TCACGTCTCTTATCGCGACTCGAGATTGACCAGACTGCTTCAGGACTCTCTGGGCGGCAATGCCATCACATACATGATTGCTTGTGTTACACCCGCCGAGTTCCACCTCAGCGAGACTCTCAACACGGTTCAGTATGCGCAGCGTGCTCGAGCGATTCAAAGCAAACCACGCATTCAGGCCACAGAGGAGGGCGACAAGCAAGCAATCATTGAGCGCCTCAAGGCTGAGGTGGCCTTTCTTCGTGAGCAGATCCGCAGCGCGGATCGGAATGGCGGCGAACGACGACCAGCAGCGGCATCAGATCGACTCGAGCGACACGGAGAGCGCGAGAAGGAGCTCGAAATGCAGCTACTCGATACCCAGGAGAATTACAGCACGCTAAGCCAGCGCCACGCCAAGCTCATCGCTGAGATGGCCAAGGCAAGAGATAATGAGGCTGCTGAGAATCACCACGAGACCGGCGAAAGCGCAGACGAGCGTATCAACCGATCGAACTCATTTGCGCAAGCCGTTGAACAAGTTGTCCTCGAGTACGAGAAGACGATCCAGTCTCTTGAACAGTCGCTATCGAGCACGCGTACCACCTTGTCCAATACCGAGACCAGCCTTCTGGAGAAGGAGACCAAGTGCGCCTATGTCGAGACCATCAACACACAGCTTCAAGCCCGAATTGCAAAGCTGGCGGATCGCGAGGCTAATACGGAGAACTACCTGCACGACCTTGAAACCAAACTTGATGGCCATACTTCTGGTGAAGAGAAGAATGCCGCTATCGTTTTGGAGCTGAGAAAGGAAATCGCCCGCATCAGGGAGAACGAAGCAGGATGCGAAGATTACATCTCGACCCTAGAAGAGCGACTCGCCGAGGCCGACCAGGATGCGGAACTGATGCAACGCGAAATTGATCGTCTTGAGCAGCTCATTGAGCGCCAGCGCAGCCTTGGCAAGCTCGACAGCTTGCTGTACGAGCTGGACAATATCCAGTCCGATGGCAAAGGAGCCGATCGCGAAGGTGATCACGCCAACAACGTCAACGGCCATCGTCGTACGTTTTCTGAGCGTTCAACACGTAGCCATGTGAGCAGGCCGAGTCTGGGAGTTCGCGATCTGCTACCTGACGTCAAAGAAGGCGCCGAGGACGAAGCCTCGGAAACCGCAGCTTCCGCAGGGAACTCTACCACTGCAGCTGCTTCGTCTCTTGAGCCAAACCAGAGCCACGAGGATCAGCCTCAGAGTCCAGCACAGTCCAAATTTGTAGCTGACAAGCTCGAGGACGTCACTCAGGAGCTTGTGGACCTTCGCGTGGAGCACGAGAACACGTTGAACGACTTCGAAAACCTGCACGTCAAGTACGAGGAAGCCATGAGGACTCTTGCAGAGCTGCAAGACCAGATCGATGAAGCCCGCCATCCCAAGAAGAATCGCGACTCGGTCCTCTCAGTCAGTATACCTGAACAGACTCGACCTCCGTCTTTTTTGTCAGATGGCCGGGGCCCCGATATCAAGGATGGGACGATTTCATCTTCGCGATCGCTCTCATCGGAATTATCATCAGCTATGGACTCGCCAGCCACTACTGATGCATTCGATACGGACGCTCTCGAGACGCCCAAGGGATCCGAGACTAAGGGATCGCCACTTGACGATGCCACAGTCTTATCCGACCCCACGAGCGAGAGCATCTCCGAGGAGATCGAGAAGCTCAAGGCACTGGCTTCCGAGAAAGAAGCTGCCGAGAAGGAGCTCGCCAGCAAATATGCTATGCTCGAATCAGAGCACCAGGAAGCTCTAGACATGGTGGAGGAGCTCAAGACCGCCGTCGCCAAAGCCAAGTGGCAGGACCCGCCTGCTTCTCCTCGTGCAAGTGGTCCGGTAATCCGCCGCAAGTCCAGCCAGAACGTCATGGTCATTGACCGGGCGCATCGTTCTTTCGCGTCCCTGCGTAACATCGCCGCCGATAACTTTGAAGGTCAGCCCGATGTCATGCAGAATTTCGAGGTCAATCTCAACGCTGCCATGCACGAACTGCACGCCCGATCCGAGCGTGTACAAGAACTCGAGGCCGACATTGCCAACGCGAAGCGGGAGATGGAGACGAAGATGACCATCATCTCTGGCCTCACCCGAGAGCGTTCGAGTTTGAAAGTGTCTCCCATGGACATGTCAGTGGTTGCAAGCCTCCGTGAGCAGCTCGAGAGAAGTGAGCAGCAGCTCAAAGACATGCAAGATGCGCACAACGCCCGAGAAGCAGAGCTCTCGGCCGAGATCGAGGCTTTGCGCGCTTCGTCTGTCAATGAATCGCAGGATAGAGCTGCTGTCAATGAGCGCACTGCGAATGGCACTGTTGAGGGCGAGCAGGATCGAAAGATCGCTGAGCTCCAGGTACTGCTCTCAACGTGGGAGACTAAACACCAGACTGTTCTTGATTCCATGCGTGCAACTGAGCAGGAGATGCAAGAGAATATTCAGCAACTCGAAGCTGAGATTGCTGCGTCCGGTTCCAAGCACGACGAAGCTCGGTCCGCAGCCAAGACCGATGAAGAGGCTCACGAGATGGACACAATCCACAAGTCCCAACTTGGCTCTCTGCAGGCTGAACTTGAGGGCTACAAGGCTACCGTTGCCGGCAATGCCGCCAAGGTTGCCGAGCTAGAGACGGCCCATGCTGCCACTAGGGCACAACTGGACGAGGCCATCGCTGTTCGTGATCGCGCCAGCGAAGAGAACACGAGCCACAAAGACCTCATTGCCAAGCTCGAGAGCCAGATCAGCGGCCACGAGCAGACACTCAAGACTCACCAGGAGAGCTTGGCTCAACTGAACGACAACTATGCGAAGGAGATTGAGCAGATTCGTGCTAGTTCTAAACAGGAGCATGAGGCTGCTGTCCATCTTCTCATGACTGAGCATGCCGAGAATGTCAAACTTCTCGAAAGCGACGTTGCTGAGGCTCGTGAAGAGCTCACCAGAGTTGCTACACAGGTTGGCCTTGCTCTTGGAGTGGAGGTTAGTGTTGACAAGATCTCCGAGCACATCGAGCACTTGGTTAGCGCCAAGGCTACACTCGATCAGGAGAAGCAGCGTAGTGGCGAGCTCGAGGCTCATCTCTCCGAGCTTGCGAATATCAACAACACGGTCATGCGCGATCTCGAGGCCGTCAAGTCTACATTGAACGAGATGCTTCTCACCGGCGACAAATCAAAGGGCGCCGCTGCCTACCCGACGGTGCAAGACCAGCTTGCCGCTATCAAGAAGAGGATGACCGACCTCGAGAATAAGAACAAGAAGCACTCTCGTCTAGTCGAAGAGCTTGAAGACCAACTTCAGACCAACTACGACCAAGCTCAAGTGACAAACAATCGACTATCGACATTGCAGACTGAGCGCAATGCCCAGCTGGAAGAGGCGACTACGGCCAAGAACAACGCAGTTGCAGAGTTGGAAGCTCTTAGGAACGAGATTGCAGTTCTCCAGGTACGTGACTGCGACCTAGCAATAATGACTTTCGGCCAACTAACATGCATCTTCAGGCACGCGTTGACGAGGCGGAGCCCAAGCGATCCAACTCTACGAACTCGCAGATCCGCAAGACGGCTTCCGTTACTTCGTTGCCTTCGCCGCCTCCAGCGATCCCGCTGCCACCCTTGCCAGGCCCGGCGTCGCCGACGCAGAGCACTCCCAATGGGCGACCGCAGAGCGACCTTGCCCTGGCGCAAATCCGTGAGGACCAGGAGGCACGCATCAAGAGCATTGACAAGGCTTTGTTCGCCGAGAGACAGCTTACTCAGACCCTGGAGGATGCCCTGACCAATCTCGAGCGCCAATCGAACAAGGTCAAGGCTGATTGTGACGCCTGGCGTAAGCGCGCACAAGAACTCGAGGGCGAGGTCAAGGAGCTCAAAGAGAAGGCGCCCAAGGATGACCGATGGAGGGATAGCCTGCACCAGATCGAGGAGGAGCGCAAGAAGCGCCAAGATGCCGAGAGAGCCCGGACTCACCTCGAGGAGCGCATGAACGCCATCAACCAGAAGAAGAAGAAGAAGGGCAGTCTCAACTGCTTCTAGTTTGAGGGTTGGTGCAAAGCCCCGGTCCTGGGCTTGGCTCTTCTCATCGCAGTGCGACTGGCATGCCTGATGCATCCACCTTCGCCTCGCCACTTGGTCTTCCCTGCGTTCTGCTTGCATGCGCTTTGGCAGTTTGTCGCCTTTCATCGGCATGGAGTTTGAGGCGCCCTTTCACCCCTACCCTTCAGGGACTTCGACACACACTATTACATACCCAGTTCCACAACGCCCTGCACATTGACCCTGTGAGGTCTTAGCCCTTGGCATTTGCACTCTATTCGATTTGCGACCTCTATACACCATACATATACACGCCAATGTCTCAATCTCTAATGGGCCTTCCACTCAGACTGCGATCATGCGCTGTCTTTGGTGCTCACTCAGCTGTACCTAGTTGAACGACATGAAACGGGAAATGATACGAAGTTCAGAGTAGATGTTATTTACGCGGACCATGGCGTGTGCCAGCTTCGTGGCGTTGCAAAGTGCTTCAAGCAAAGCACACTCATGGTCTGCTGCTTATTCGGACGTCGGCCAGGAATTGATGAGCCAAGCCCAGTCTCTTGCCGACGTTTGGAATTATGTTTTTTTTTACCTTTCTTTGTATTTTCTTTTTCCAACTTCTCGCTCTCTTTCTCCGATTCTGAGCTCGTGTTCTTTAGCTTTGGAAGGCGGCTCTTGGACAAGGGTCTGTTTAGTATTTTGACGATGCAGAGAATGGATATGTAGTCAGACTTGTTCACAATTTGGAGATACCATTTGCCGCTGCTGCACCCTTGCCGTCGTCTCCCATGGCCTGTTGTCGCTTGCCCGAGTCCAGTTTGTGCATGCTCGTAGTCTGGAGTTCTATGTACTTAAAGTAGCTGGGACAGGAAGTGGGGCCTCCCCAGGCAGGTGGTTGGTTGATGCTTGTTCTTCAGGACCCAGACCAGTCCAACAATCATCCTCTCGGCGCACTCATTCATTCACTTGCATGCTGGCTGAAGCATCAATCGTCAAACCAGTATAAGGACACCCGCCCATGTCAAACGCGTCGCCTTCAATGCCCAAGGACATTTGCAGAGCTCCTCAACACTCACTGCTGTCACATTGAGCCATCCAACGACCCCACGAGACCCTCGGAGAAAGAGTCGTTGTCGCCCCAACCATCTGAGATCCGCTCACACCGAGCACCGAGCACCTCACGCATACCCATCCATCTTCCCCCTCTCTTTCAAAAGAAAGGACACGGAACCGTGGGACCCGTCGCCGGGAGATACCAGCCGCTCATCAGAGTATCTGGGGCGATCAAGACACGGCCATGGCCCGGTCCGATGAGGCAGCGGCGTTCTTCTTCGCCGTGTACGCCGCCGTGCAGGAGATTCCGCCCGGCAAGGTGACGAGCTATGCACACATTGCGCGGCTCGTGGGGACCCGTGAGTTTGGCGCTCTCTCTCTCTCTCTCTCTCTCTCTCTATGCTGTTTGTCCTGGTGCTGACTGACTGTCCTTGGGATTTTGACGGTTCGACAGCACAACGGCCCAGACAAGTTGGCGTCTGCCTCAAACATCTCCCCGTCGACCCGGGTGCGCGGTATAATCATGACAACGTGCCCTGGCAGCGTGTGATTAACGCCAAGGGCGTCATTTCTCCTAGGTACAGTGCCACCCCCTCCTCCCCCAATATCTCAACCATACAGGAACATCCACATGATATGATGTGCTCGCAGCAAGAAGAACCTAACCAGGGCCAATGCCACCACCATACAGATCACAACCATCTGGGGCGCGGAATCAGGCACAGGCGCTCGAGGCCGAGGGAGTCACGGTGGGGAGGAGCGCATTGGGTGAGCTCACTGTCGACTTCGCAGATTATGGGTGGTTTCCCAGGAGTCTGCCGTCTGCGGAATCTGACGGGGAGGATTCAGAAGACAGCGACGGTGATGAAACATGAATACGCGTGCAGTGATGAGAAACATTATTATTATTATTCTGTGTGAACATCTATCGACTGTCAATCCCAGAGCTTCCGCCAAGCAGTTCTCGGGTGTTCATCTAGACTAAAAACACTTGTTAGCATCATCTGTTCCAACAAAAATGTGCTACAGTAGTGTTTGAGATGGCTTTCTTTCAGATAGCGGTTGGACATAACGGTTCCACATTGAATTCAGAACAGGTCTGTGAATTATGATTTTCTCATCATAGAAAGGCGGGTGGTTGAGGAAGAAAATGAATCAAGCTTTACCTTGTGCAGAGCCAGCACCATCTGTTTGGTGATAGATGGTGCCGACCATGAAGGGCGATCAAGGAGCAACGGTCTCAGTCGCTGCCTTCATGCTTCCGCTTCTTGGCCGTTGGCCTGAAGAAGGTGTCCATGGTCTTCTGCCGCGAGTCGAACTTTGAACTGCCAATGCCACCTCGAGTCTTTTTCAGACCTTGAAGGTGGTCGACATTGTTCGTGGACTCAATGACAAACGGGCCAAGTGCCATTCGCGATCTGGAATCCACGTCCGAGACCACAGAGGGACTGGATGAGGATGCAAGATCTTTGCCTTGAGACATCGACGGCGCAAGACTGGTTCGCAAGCGGGCCTGCAGTACCCCGGTATTGCTCCACGCGACAGAGAAGTCTGAGCTTCCCGCGGGCGACCCGAGCTGGACTCCAGCATGAGCTGGGTAGCGAGCGAGCATTGCTCTGACCAGGCTGTTGAGAATGATGCCATGCGCGACAATGACAATCACGTCACTGTCGGACAATAGCGGCGACGCTTCAGCTATGTACGGCTCAAGGTGTCCAGTCAGGAACTGGTGCACCCGAGCCCGCATGGCTTCCCGCGTCTCGGCATCACCTGGGAATACGCCAGGGTCTCGCTTCTCAGCTGCTCGCGTACCGTACTTCTTGCCTTCGTCCGACCCAAAGTCTTTCTCCCGCAGCTCCGGCAGTTGCACGACCGAGGGGCGCCGGCGGTTGCCAGAGGCCGACACCGACTCGACATCACATGCGTCGGTAGCCCGACTGTCTGCCTGGGCATGGGCAATCGCTTCGGCCGTCCGGTAAGCGCGCTGCAGGTTCGACGTGAAGATGCGCTTGACGGGACCCAGGGCGTGCCGCCGGCCGAGGTCAGCGAGGTGAGCACCAAGCCGCCGTGCCTGCAGCACACCGTGGTTCGTCAGGGGCGAGTCGCGAGATCCTGCGCTTGCGGGAGGTGAGCCGCGCCGCTACCCATCGTTGGGTCGCGAGGGAGGGGAGCGTTCGAGGAAAGAATAGGCAGAAGAAGAAGAGAGAAAAGTCTCACTATAACCCAGCGACATTGTCAACGGACTCGCCGTGGCGAATGAGCAGCAGGCGCATGGCCGAGCTTCATCGTCTTGGGGAAACCCGCGAAGTAAAGACACGCAGTACAGAGGAGAAAGAAAGTGCAGGGCAGGAAGTCAGTCGCGACAAGAAAAGAGCTCTGCGAGGATGCGATGAAAAGAATTCTTGCAAGGATGCGAGAAGCACGAACCACCTGTGCGAGCTTGGCTTGGGGTGGACGAATGCGGACCCCCACAGCTGGCAGCGTAGACGAGTGCAGCTGGCAGATTCGGACACGCTGAGCACTGATGAAGCAGATCGGTTTGGCCTCTCAGAGGGTTCGGCTACTCGTGCAGTTCGAACGAGTCAACCATCGCTGGATACCACAAAACCACCGGACTTACAAATATCCCAAATCTTCCCCTACGCTTCGAAACAGCGGTCTACAGTCCTTTCACACCACAAGTTGGACAGCCCAGCTCGTGCCGCTTTCCTTGTGGGTGCTTGCATCAGCTGAAGGCTGCCAGTGTTCTCGGCAGCCATCTGGATCATACCTGCACGTCATTCGTTGTCACTTTCTTCACACTGCCCTCTCTACAGACCAAACAGACCAGAAATCATGTAGTGGAAACGTCCTGCAAAAAGCTGGCTCGAGACGTCAAAGCCAGTAAGACGTCACGGTCACTGGTTGAAGTAGAGGACCAGGACGAGTACAAGCCACAGAGGTCTTTCGACACCGAAGTGAGCTATCGCATCCGAATGGCTATGCGTGCAAGGACTGCGTTAAACGGGAGCCGTCGTCTGGGAAATGACGTCGCAGGAGGGGCATGTTGGAAGAAACACTTCTGCCACATATGCCTCTCGATCAATAGGCTACGTGAAACACGCCCACATACGATCACAAGACCAGAGACAGCCGATCCGTCGCTGCTTAGCAGCACTTTAGCTCGAGAGGATCCCAAGCCCCCTGGGGCGGCCTCACAAGCCTAGGTTGTGCGGTCTCGCTCACATGACTGCGGTTAGCATGCATCGTCTACAGTGTCGGACAGATCGAGGGCTTCTTGAGCAGATTCCAGCTCCCAGGTCATCCCAGGCTTAGATGTCTAGCTGGAAGTGCGGCCACAGTGAGATGCTCTGGGAAAGGACCGAGCAATGATGCATATCTCACAGATCATGGCTGCGTGGTATTCTGTCCGCGGTCAAAATTGGTCTGAGGGTCGCCAGCCCCTGTGCTGGACTGGGCTGATCCCTCCGCGCTCTTGGTCTGTTGTGCTGGGCTTTGTACACAAAAGTAGATCGCTTTGCAACTGGAGGGCACACTGCAAGGTAACACAGAGTTTTCGCAATAGTGCCTGCATCAAGAGCTTTCATCCGTTGGACGATGAGTCTCTCTTGAAGACGGCAGAATGACAGCGTCTGGTTTTCAACGACGGTTCTCATTCTCATTTCAGGAGCAACACATTTCGGGGCTTCGTAAACGGATAAAGACGACACGCGTCGAGCGTGTGGCTGGGCGGAGTCTCCTGCGCAAGCTGGACATAGCGTCGTGCAGAATGCGAGTATACCAGGAGCGGGGAAGGGGGAAGTAGTAGGGAGACAGTCGAGAATTCCTAGGTGAAGCCGTAAGGACCCTCAACCATAATCGTCGTCCGCGCGACCTATACTAGATCATTTCAGATAAGAGTCTTCGAGCTAGAACTTGACAATCCCGTGGTTGCAAGATCAAAGAGTTATTTAGGCGCGTAGAAGCTAGGCCTCAGTGAGATGAAAGCTTGGGCATGCGGCGAGTTTCCCACGTAGGCTAAACCCGCAGAGCGGTGTCTGCTTTTTGTCTCAGGGTTAGACCGGACGTTGCCGCTGGGGAGGGTGGTGTGCTCGCATGGTAGTGGCACGACCTTGAGTGCTGACACTGGGCACTGTACAGCCGAGCGTTGTGCCGCTACTTGTCGCGCCCTTCGTTCCTGGGAGAAAATGCATGACCGTTCTGTAATGCAATCCACGCTGGTTTCTCACCTCATCAAATTGAAAGGTTGCCCTCTACAAGGACGTCTACTGTCTTGCCGGATGAGTTTCGATCATCTGAATGCTTTGTTGACGCGTAGTCCTTTCAGGCAGGCATGGGTGCTGCCCAGGATGGGTGCAGATGTGTGTGGCCAGGATCAGTCCGACCTTGCATTTTGTTGGAGTTTGGTGAACGACCCCATGGGCCACATTCCCTGAGATAGGCCTCGAAGATGTGGTAGTGTCAGTGCCTCGGCTGAACACTCGCAATTTTGTACGGCGAAGAGATCGATGAATCGGACCTGAGCTTTCTCCTGACTTTGTTGATGCGCGTTGGGTCGACACGTGCACGTAATGCGTACCTCGGACACAATGAAGGGGGAGGGTGTCGGGCTCAGGGGCAACACCGGTGGTGCTCTGCAGGGCTGTGTCCGGCTCGAGCTCATCGGACTCGGCCGCTTTTCGCCTGCGATTGAAGTCGCACAATAGCATCCTGGGAGGGCCGAACCATTCAACTCATGACAGTGCCTACATGTCGCAGAACACCCAAACAAAACGACAGTGCTTGAGATGGCCGACGCAACGAAAGGAGACGCTGCCGATGCGCTGTCATTGCTGGCAAGACGTCTGGACAACGGGCGGGGCTGGCACGGAAGCGGGGCCGTGTGTGGGACTGTGCTGGGCACACAGGGACTTGTGCAGGGCAACGGGGAAGTGGCGACGCTGATGGGCCCACTGAGTTTCTGGGGAAGTGGAGCCTGGACAGCAGCCTAGGTGGGCCCTTGCGCCTGCCGGGGTCCTGTCGACCTCACATCAGAGCCCAAGGGACGCGTGCTGCACGTGAGTAGACGTCAAACATCAACGGCCAGCTCGATTTGCGCCATTGCCCCTCATGAATGCGGCTCAACTAAGCTCTAGGTGTGCTCTTCAGGTCCCTGAATCGCCCTTGGTCGAGCTCATGGGGTGCGAGTGTCACGGCCCTGGAGCCACTGCCTGCCCGTTCTGTGCGGCACACCACACCCCATACTCTGCCGCATCTGGGGAAGCTGAGGTGTGGCATTGCATGCAACCCCAGAGTCTCTGCTGGCCAATGGGCTCAACCACTGTCTCGCCCATCTGGCCCCAGGTGTGGCTGCTCATTTACGCTTCGTACCAGCCCAGACCGGCTCACCTCGCCTGCCAATGCCCAATGGTCCGTCCTCGACAGCGTCGCCACTGGTCCTTGCTGGCGTCGCCAAGTGCGACCGTCCCTCCCTCGCCGTGCCTCCCCCCGCGGGGAAACAAGACAATCAGGCCGCCTTTTCAGCAGCCCATCACATGGTATTCCAGCCCGTGTCCTGTCTTGTGCATACGCAGAGGCCAGGAATACCCTGCTGGTGCTCAAGGCACGCCCCCCTTGCCATGAGTCGCATCGAACGATGGGAGGCCCAATCACGGCGGAGGGGGAGGGCAGTGATACGTCGAATAGTCGTGTGTGCCATCCAACTGGTCTTACCCCGCTCCCCGACTGCGCTTCGCGTCGCACCTCTGGCCTCTTGCCGCTCGAGGGCCTAGGTGAGCGTGGTGGTTCACCCCCAGAGCGGTGGTTGGGTGCATTATCTGCTGTTTAAATAAAGGTCTTGCCGTGTCCCCTCTGGATCTGGTCGCAAGTCGTGACTTCCTTCTTCATTCAAAACAACCATAGCTCAAAGAACCATTTCCTGCCATCCTCAGCATCCGTCACTTCTCACACGGCCGCCTTCTGCCTGACAGACTGGTCACCTTCATCCAAATCCACACACTCTCGTACTCGCCGTCCAAAGAGTATCAACTCTGCGGCATTTCATCAACCACTCCACTCATCACATTCACCACAAAACAACAGCCACAATGCCCGTCCGCATTCCCAAGGCCAGAGGCTCCGAGATTGCCACCTTTGGCGTGGCTGGCGTCGCCGGCTTTGCCCCCTTCTACATGATGATGCCTGGGGCCGAGAAGCGCCTGGCCGACCAGACCACCAAATGGGCACCTCGGTGGGAGAAGAACATCTCACACTTTGCGCCTCCCGCTCGTATCGTTGCCCAACGCGCCTCCCCACACATCGAGAAGACGGTCAAAAAGATCGATGACCGCCTACCCCTCGAGAAGGTCACCACCAAGATCTCGAACCAAACCCAGCGTAACTTTGACCGCTTGGGCGAGCCTCTCACCCGCTCCAAGTCTTCATAGCGGACACAGACGCCTTTGATTATGACCAAACAAGAGTAAAATGACACCCCATGGAAGGAAGACAGGGATACTAGAACAGCTTCAATCTTAGCATAGCAGGTGTACTCGTCCTGGTTTCTTGCCCCTATGGCGTTCATAAAATCCACGAAAAACAATTGAAAATGGATCATCACTACAAACTGCTCTTTATGACTTCTTCATCCGTGACTCAATCACCTCTTCTGATGTTGCGTGAGGGAACCATGGCCAGCTTCAACACGACCAGACTCGCTCAGCAACTGTGCAAATTTACTCACCATTACCTTCATTCGACGAATCTAGACTTGCTCAACTCTCTACGCAGCCATCCTGCGTGCTGCTTTGTCGCGACCATGCGAACCACATCGAAGGTCACGAGATTGGCATCCGGAGAGAACACACACAGCACCGCACCTTACATTCAACCTCCCGGAAACCTGCAGGAAGGCTCTGCGGGTAGTGACCTCACGATGCACAATTCTCAACCTGCAAACCGCGGCAGCGTGACACTCGCCTACTCCGCGCGACTCAGATCAGTACGTACCTAAGGTGATAGACCAGCCACGAGTGTGGCTGCCTGGCTGAGAAGGAGGGGGTGTGCACAACAGAGGGAAGGGGGCGAGGGAGGGAAGGTGCGACCAAGCCCTCGGACGGACTCGATCAGCATGCGTGTGAACGCACTCGCCTCACTGAGTCGAGTTGGAGCAGATCTGTCTCAGTCTGGGACGGACAGGCTGATGTCCTTGCCGCACGCCTTACTGACTTTGCTCGGCCGGTGTTGTACACTGACATTCCTCGCCTTGCCACATTCCTCGTCTTTCCAGTTGTGTACGTGAGACTCATCTCTGTGATCTTTCAAACCCTTCTGGATTGTTATCCTCTCCTCAGCAGCGCGACGAGTTTTCTATTACGGTACTTCATCTGACCCGAATCCCCCTCGGACCTTCGAGGCACGCCATGCGTCTTTATCGAACCGAAACGATGACCACAATCACCTTCTACCCACTGCGACATGCCTGTCCCTTTCCCGACGCCAGCTTTCAGCCATAAATGGCTTCAACCTTTGACCTGATGAGGCATATCGATAGTCAGGCCCGAGAAGGCTTTGTCCATCCACACAAGATCAGTCACCACGTACTCTAAGGCCATAACCAGGCCACGGTTTCCAGGAACGACCCCAAAACGCTGGATTTGCGTCCCCTGTATATTGGGTATGTTCGTCTATATGCCATTATGTATGCAGAAAGTTTCAGTCTACGCTATGAAAACGGGGAAGCACGCTATTACTATTACTTGAAAATCAACAGTACTGAGACAGCAACGCTGTGACCACGCCGACGAGCAGCGCGATGTGCAAACCACGATCTACGCTGCGACCGACAGCTGCTCCCTCTTGCTTCCCGTCCGCCCCCGAGGGCAGATTTGCGGCCAGTGTCGAGGGATCCCCATCGAAGCCCGAGTCAACCATACTCGCCGTCGTGTTCACCGAGATCCGGCTGCCGGCGACACAGAAGCGGTCAGGATCTGTCCAGCTCGAATCGACTGCTCGCTGCCACACCGCCTTGGCGTCACTCAGCATTGCAGCCGTATAGAAAAAGCGACAGTTTGCTGGCTGATAGAGGAACTGGGCCGGCGTGGAAGAGTTCCCAGGCAGGAAGTTGTTCTTGCCGTTGATGCCACCAGCGTTATTCGGATCCGTCGCGCGGGCGAGAGCGTAGCCCTCAGCCAGGACGCCCAAGTCGCCATTCCGTAGCTCTTTCTGGAAGTTGCTGTCCACGAGGCCGATAGCTGCATTAGCAGTTCTCTTGATGTCCGAGAAGAGAAAGACTTGCGAGCCTTCTACGCCCGCGATGCTCTGCATTGGCCCAGTGACAGGTCGTCCTCCCACCGCGGTTGACTTGACGCTCGCCTGCATCGTCATGAGATAAGAAAAGATGGTGCACGTTGACCCGCAGGTGCCGTCAGTGAGCAGCATCACGTTCTCGGATTTGAAGACTGCTGGTGGCGGCTTGGGCTGGCCAGGAGCGCCGGTCACGTTAAATCCAGGCAAAGCCGAGTCGAGGGGCGTGAACTGATATGCGGTGAACTCGTCCCCGTGGAGAGTCACGGGCTCCAAAATGTCATCTACCGTCACGAAATCCTCGCCATCGGGCTTCTCCACGCTTCCTGGGATGAGGTTGGTCATGATGGTACTTTGTGACAGCGTCTGCACAGAGTTCTGCTGCTCCATTGACGTGGGCACAAAGGTCGCCGGCAGGTCGCCGATGATCTTTGCTATTGTTACGAAGCTCTCAGTCCGGCGGATGTTGGTCGCACCGAAATGCTTAAGCTCAGGGAAGATCTATGTAACAGGTTTAGTTAGAATGAGCTCGTGGTGAGGAGCAGCCCAGGGCTCAGCGCGTACCTGAGCGAACAACTCGTATCCAGCCACGACATAGCCACCACCATTCGCCGAGAGATCAATAACGAGGCGCTGTTTGCCTGCAGTACGGCATTGCGCCAGGAAAGACGAGATTGTCTTTTGAAAGTCGTTCAAAAATTTCACGGGTTGGGTGCCAGTCGTCGAAAACGACTTAACCGCAAGAACGGCGACATCGTCGTATCCTTTGCCGCTCAGGAAATAGCCGGATATCGCACCCTCAGGATCGGCAACAATAGGCGCTGGGAATCCTGCAGCTTGTCGTTTCGCCAGTTCCACCGCTGGTTTCGCTAACCGCATCGACCCTGCGGCTGACTTGCCACTGCAGAACTTGGTGTAGAAGTCGTCGCCATTCTTGATGTTGCTGAAGTCTGCATACAAGGCGGCATAGCTCTGCTCGGTCTGCTTTGTCCCATTCGCGTACGTGAGGGTCACACTATCCCCTTGGTATACCAGTGAGGATGCCACCGTGAGGAATGATTGTGGCTTGGCTACAGATGGAAACATTGAGTTCCATTGCGAGTCGGGATCCTGGAACGAGCTGAACTCGGCATTCTGCTTAATGATGAATTCGGTCGCATTCACGCCATTGATCTCCGTGATGGCCACAGGATCAGCCTTGACACCTGGTCCAAAAGCGGCTTTGTTCCAAGTCAGTACTTGCAGTCCGCATCTTCATTGAGCACGCCGTGGACTTACAATAAGGATACAACTGCGGTACCTCGATACCGTCCCGAGACACTGAGATGATTCTTGCAGCCAAATCGTTCTGGAAGTTGAAAGGTCGGAAGACGTCGCCAGCAAATGAGAAATGCCCGTCATGGGCCGAGATGACGAGCTTGTATATGTCGAGCTGCAGGTCGTACTCGTTTGAGTATCCGTCGTTGCTGACAGTTGTGGTGATGTTGTCGAGTGCTGCTAAGACATCGACCGCCGGGAAGGAGTACGACTTTGGCGGGTCCTTGAGCCATGCCAGAGTGCTCTGCCATGACGCATATGATTTCAAGCTCGCCAGGAGCTTGAGCGCGGGCTGTTTCTTTAGCGGCACAGACCGCAGGCACTGGAGTGCCAACGACGCCGGAACCTTCTGTTGTTTGCTGGACGATATCTGGCCGCAGGCTGTGGTCGTCTGTCGTGGTTGAGGTGCGGCCGCTGTGAGGGCGACCAAAGCCGACAGCGCGTAGAGCAGCTGCATAGTGTCTAGCCCTGTGTAACGAGACACCAACTACGAGCCCGGCTTGAGTTGTGAAAAGAGTGACGGAAAGGAAAAATCACCACATCATATCCACCAAAAAGCATAGACAGAATGCAGGAAAACGCACGTCCGCCAGCCCAGCCAGCACCGATCGACGAGATGAGAAAAATGATGATGAAAGATCGCCAATTCCACCAAGCGAAAAGAGGACGAGCTCGCAAAGTGCCTGCCGAGCCGCCTACGGGATGTGGCCCATCAAAAGAGTTGGCGCCTGGGGCTGCCCCCTGAACCTGGCAGGACCGGAGCCGCGTAGCGTGCCAGTATGCAGGGGCCATGTCGATGCTGCGTTGCCATCCTGCCAAGCCTCTGAGATGGGTAGGTCATAGACTCACACGAAGGTCCTGGCTTGAGCCGTTCTGCCGGTGCACCAAGATGCCATCTTGCCTCATTCTGCCGCCGAGCCCTTTCGTGGCAACAGCTCCTCACAGCTACGGAGATCTTGAGATGCCGGACAAAAGCACATCTCGGCTCATGAGGATCGCCGTTGCAGAGAGGCGACGGGGGAGCGCTAAGCCGTATAGCGGCCCACAATTGCATATTACCCCTGAGACTCAGCCCGCCTGTCTCAGGGCGCTTACAGGCTAGTTCCACGCGTCGGTTGTGGTTCATGCGGCATGTTTGAGCCGATCAGCGGACCTCATTGGCCACGTGCGGAAGATTACAATGACCCGTCGAGGCCCCAAAGAATCACCATTCTTGGCGAGCGGCCAGTTGAGCACCTTTGAGAGATGGGAGATTGGGTCATTTCTCGAACTTCTACTCGTCCGCGCCCTCAAGCCACGGGAGGTCCAAGAACAAAACCGTCTCTTTAGTGCAATCGGCAGCTTCAACGTCAAGGGGCTAACGACCCTGGGGGAAGTTCTGTAACACGTGTGGCGTTGTGTAACAGGGCGGACAGGGACCACCAAACCCCACAACACAAGAACCTTCCGGGTCCCGTGTACCTTTTTTGTATGTGGCCCGTGGGCCTGGTACCTGTTCCTCGCTTTGACCTTGGAGAGTTTGGATGAGGAGAACACATTGATCCGAGCTGGTGGCGCCCTCAAGCCCATCGACGCCGCCTGTTTCCGACTTGACAGCTGGCTAAGCTCAATCGGCGCGGCTAGCTTGCTGTGGCTGGCCTGTCATAGGTGACCCTGTGACACCCGTTGCGGGGGCTGTCAGTCCTGGCTCAGACCCTGACCGCGAAGCCCAGTATTTCGCTTCATGCTTCATGGAAGCACCCTACACGATCGGGAGACCTGGTTACCGTGGCGCCACATCTCGTCGACGTTTCTTTTGGGCAGCCCCCTGGACGATGATGCCGAGCTTGAGGTATCGGTGTTTTTCTACGTCAGCCAGCGCTAGGCCATCAATCTTGCTTGTCCGAGTACATGTCCATTCTTAGCATCAATTGAATCTTGACTGTAGATGAGTTGCACTAGCACTCTGCAAGCTGTATGCGGCTCCCTACTTCACGACGAACACCCACAATCTGTCGAGTCGCAGTCGTCCGATCACAGCCATGAGGGCGCAGAATTGACCCCGAATGTGTGCTCCTTCGTCCGGAACGCCACTCTCGAATGAGCTTCGTAGTAGTGATCTATTGAGCGAAAACAGGAACCCGACGTTATCAGGTTCCTTCTCTGAGCTGGGAAATTTTGCACGGATTCCTCAGCGAGATGGCTGCTGTCCCTGAGACCTGTTGCTCTCGTAACGGGTGGTGCGGCCTCTTCCGAGCGCGAAGGTCGATACGGTGAAGAGCATTCACGACTTAGTGGGCTTCTGTGCATCAAGTGCAGCAGGTCATGGAGGGCAATATGTCCAGCTATGTCTTGAATGTGCCAGAGGGCTCCAGTGGCCGCCATAGCAAGGGTTATGTACCAGTCAGTCATCGTGCTCAGGAGATACCCGCGTGTCCGTCAAGTTTTATGTAGTCAGACAAGGGACCTGGACATAAGATAGTACGTGTCGGGCATCAGCGCTGCATACAAAGACTCTCTGGACATCCATGGATGCTGTACATTGGATGTAACTGTCCGGCATTGGATATTATTGTCGATCAGATCAGTGCTGTAGTTTACCCTTTGGGCGCTCTGGGACATGATATATAGCACAATGGAGGAAGTAGGAAACCAAGTCCAAGTCTTTGTCGCTTGCCCACCAATAACACGGCAGACGGGGCTCCAGAACCGGGAGGCTCGTATGTAGTTAAAGCGCAGTGGTCACCACGACTTGGAAGAATGAAGTCTTGCTGGCTTCGTCACTCTTGAATATCTCTTTGTATTGCTGTTGTTTTTCTGGGTAAAACATGTCAGTAGTACAGCTTGCTGGCTTCGCTTCTTCTACGCTGAGGAGTCATAATGAGAGTCGTACACACATTCCAGGGCTGTCAGTCCGCCAATCAAGCTCTCTAAAGTCTTCCAGCTGAGACAGCTGAACAGACGAGGCGTCAGCCTGGCAGCTGGACCACTTGGTTTATGTCAGTGTGCCTTCATTGTACTCCCTCACGGGCTATTGTACCTTGGTAGACTGAGTGATTATTGATAGTGTGATGCACGTGTCAATTGTGAAACTGAGAATCCTGGTTCAGAACTTGTAATAGTAGGTAAGATGTGGCGTGCATGATTCGCGTAACATTCAAAATGCCTTGATGCAGACCGCCGGTGGGGGCTGCTTACAAGAGAAAGTTCTTTGCCTAAACTTGAATGTCTAGTTTTCATAGTCCAGGTCAACTCCAATTGTCGAGCATTGACAAGATTCTGTCGCTTGATATTCAGTTGTTTCCTTCCAATCTACACATATATAAGGACAGAAGCAGAGAGTTAGAGGATTGCAGCCTCACGTCAAAGGCGGATAGACATGGAGATGCAGAGCTCTCTGGCTCGCATGGATAAGGTTTTTTTTGCTTTTTTCACGAGCGATGACATTTGTGCACTTCGCAGGGTGGCTCTACATGCCGTTATGGTGAAATTGCATTGGCATCTAGAGTCAGGGGCTGTGTGTGGGAAATAGAAAACCTGTAGGTTGAGATAAGCTTCGATGAGATTCTGGCGCTGATTTTAAATGGAGGAGCGCAACTCTATATAGTGTAGTGTGGTACAGCAGTCTGTGCCCAGGAAGAAGCAATAATGGGTTGGGTCACCACGGGGTTTGATTCCTCTCGTGTCTCTACCAAAGCAGCCCAAGCCCGCTCCCAGCTCTGGTAACCCCAGCCGAAGACGATGCAGTGATTCGAGGTCCTGCCTCGGAACCCCGTGGGTTTTGTTTAGCCGCAATCCTACGGCACGCCTTGCCGGCACTTTCAGCTGATGCCCTGTTTTCCTGACGGCTCTGCCGTCCGCACATCCGGAAGCTGAGCTGTGGGAGCAAAAGCCTCAATGTGACTCTGAATTTTGCTCAGTCATCGCCAGCTCCCGGGCCAATTCTTCAGCAAGACCTGCATCGCTCATGCCTGTACGAGCAGGTTGCTGACGTTTGGACCCCTGCCCGCGATGGTGCCAAGCTCCCTACGACTCAGGGATCCCCGCAAGGACCGATTGGTCAATCATTCCCAATCTGTATACAGGAAACATATAATATCACCAGGCTCGTCTGTTTGGCCGTTTTGTTTCCATGGCCCCTGAGCCGGTTCTGGCCAAGTACCGCTGCTTCCGGGGCGGGGAACCCCTGGCTGCGGGCCAGTGGCGTGGCCCCCCCGGGGCGGCGAGCCTGGGGAAGCAGAACATGTCAGGGCCCTTCCACCGCCTCACCACCTCGCTCACTTTAATGGCATTATGGTTGTGTGGATCTGCAGGGATCGTGCTTAGCGGGTCGCTTCGTTCCGTAGCAATGAGCCGGTGAGTGAGAAGGTGTTGCGGGTTGCCAAGGAGAGGGGGCGGCCAATCAGCACGTCTGTCCGGGCCCTGTGCCTGCAGAATGTTTAGATGAAGTTCCCCGTGGTCAGCAAAAGTTCAGTAGGTTGAGTGATGGCGTGAGCTGACAGCTGCGGAGCCGAAGTCCTGGACGAGATGGAGGTTAAAGGCAATCAGTAAGCTGCCCGCTTCATATAAAGCCGGCCGTTGCAACCCAAGAAGTGGCCCTGCTTCTCGGATTGTGCTTGGCCACGCCTGAGGACTAGAGTCAATCATTACCAAGAGTGTCTCTCACTTCAAAAACATGAAGGCCTCGACGATCTCGTGCCTGTTGGCCTCTGTTGCCTCGGCCGTTGCCCAGGGCAAGAAGTACACCATTGAGGCTGCTGGTATCAAGGCCCAGGTGAGAAATGATTGAAGCTCCCCGAGAGTATTTCGACAATGGACTGACAACAATCTAGTTCATCCCCTATGGAGCCACCTTGACCAACTTGTTCGTGAAGGACAAGTTTGGCAAGGATGTCGATGTGGTTCTCGGCTACGATGATGCCAACTACTACCGTATGCTGTTGCAGCTCTCCACGCGCACCGAGCAAAGCATTCGCTAGCTAACACGAGGACTCGCTTACAGCTGTTGACCCTTCCCACCCCGTGTACAACGCCATTCCCGGTCGCTATGTGAACCGCATCGGCAACGCCAAGTACACGATCGGGCCCAAGACGTTCTACACTGAGAAGAACGATGGCAACAACACCCTCCACAGCGGTACCAACAACTGGTCGTTCCGCACCTGGAACATCAAGGAGCACACCAAGGACTCCATCACCTTTGCCATCCTCGACGCCTCCAACTCGTCTCTCGGCATGATTGGCGACGTCAAGGCCGAGGTCAAGTACAGTGTCAAGGACAGCACGTGGAAGATTGAGATGAGTGCCAAGTCTCCCGAGGCCAAGACCCGTAAGTAGTCTTTAGCTTCTTCAGCACACACACACATTCGTATAAGTTTGTTTCCACCCAACTAAAACCAACTCTTCTTTCACAGCCCTCATGCTCACCCAGCACACCTACTTCAACCTCGACGCCTACAAGAACCCCTACACGGACAAGGTCTGGAACCACACCCTGTACATGCCCTACTCGAGCCGCTACCTCGTGGCCGGCGACGACGCCGTGCCGACCGGCGAGATCGCCACCGCCGCGCCCGGAAGCATCAACGACTTTGCGAGCAAGCGCGGCATCCAGATCGGCCACTCGAGCGGCAGCCCAGAGTTCCCGGGCAACTGCGGCGCCGGCGGCGCCTGCGAGGGCTACAACGGCTACTGGCTGATCGACAAGGCGCCCAAGGATGCCGTCGTCATCACCCTGGCCAGCGGCTTCAGCGGCATCAAGGCCGAGCTCAAGACGGACCAGGTCGGCGCCCAGGTCTACTCGTGCAACTGGTTCGGCGGGGACAACGTCCTCAAGAGCACCCAGGGCATCCCCGCCATCGGCCGGACCAACGTCACTCGCAGCTCCTGCGTTGCCATCGAGGCTCATGACTATGTCGATGGTATCAACCAGTACGTCTCGCCTCGTGGCTTTTTGTCTTTTTTGTTTTGTTTTACTTTTTGCCTTTGAGTTACCCCAGCCGATATTTATTCTCCCCACGCTCTGGTGCTTCCTTTGCTAACGATGCTCTCTGTCCAAATAGCCCTGAGTGGGGACGCAAGGAGGCCCAGCTCACTGGTCCTGGCGAGAAGTACACCTGGACGAGCTCGTGGAAGTTCAGCCGTGCTTAGACCAATCAGTCGGAAAATTGCGAGAAGGACAGACGCGGAGACCTGAAGAGTGTCTCAATATTCAGTCGAGGGGAAATGATTCGGATCCTTATCAAGACCAGCCGGTGGAAAGCTACGAGGCTGGTATCTGTGACTCTTCTCCCGCTAGACACTCTCCACCTGTATATATGGACGCAGGTCTACTTGGCGCCAACATTGGTTGAGTCAATCCTCGACGTGTTACGTTTTTGCTGTGAGAACGCCCAAAAGTCATCCAATGAACGACGTAAACTTGCACGGGCCACGATGACAAGTTGCTCCAAGCGATGAGACGTCCTGGCCATGCATTTATAACTGGGAGCTCAAATACTTGGTTCAACGACCGTCATCACCGTCTGGGGCTACACTGTGTTGAGTGACAGAGCCAGAGATATCGCCAGCAGGCGGCCCTTAGCATTTCCCTTGTTGAAATGCCAGCCACAACAATGATATAAGCCAATTGCAGAGAGTCCTTGATATGCTGCGACTTTGATCGCTGACGATTTATCACTGCGGTATCTGCATCCGAGTCTCCGCCCAGACTTCCATTAATCTCGCCACCCGAACAGCCGCGTCCTTTGCCTCGTCTGTAACCTCCTTCTTGTCAGCGACCTCATCGAGCCGCGTCTTCCAGAACAACCACCGATCTGAACTCAGGCCAGGACCGCCCTTGTACAAAGGACCGGCACGAAGCAGCCTCTTGTCGTCATCGCCGAGAGTTGGGTTTGGACTCCACAATATCTTTTCAAACAACAGCGGCCCCGCGTACTCTATCCACACCGTCGCCGTGAGTACCTCGCGGTTGGCCTCCTTGCTCCCAGCTGTCAGCTGCTCCTCAAGCCCATCACGCAGCATCCACAGAGCCTGTGTTGTGAGGTCGATGACGTTAGCCGCCATGAGCCTGGCAGCAAAGGCATGGAACTTGACCCATGCGGCATTGACGGCATCTTGCTCGTCACGATTCCTTGCCTGCGCGGGGCCGTCCAGCTTTTCTCTCAATGCGGCGCCTAGGACGGGCAGGTCTTTCCAGATGCGTTTCTATGACCATTCGGTCAGCTTTTGCATTTCACTCGTGCTCAAGTTGAGAAGAAAAAAAAAGTAGTGACCCACTTCCCAGACCTTGATCTCGACATCACCCTGTAACGACAGCTCCCTTACAAACAACACCAGTTTGTCCAGCGCCGGGTGGTCGCTGCTGGGAGCCTGCTCAGCAGCGCTAAACAAGTCGCGCCAGAACTGAAACAGATAGCCGTCGTCGACAGCGTCCTTGGCGTTGGCCTGCTTGACGTCCTTGGTTGCGGCAGCTGCTGCCTGATGTGCCGCCGACCTCGGAGCCTGCTCTGTTTGCACGAGGTCCTTGAGGATAGCGAAGGAGTTGTCGCTGATCTTCCTCTGCTCGAGGGTGAATGACGTCGTGGAGTGAGTCATGCTGTGCTTTGTGCTGAGGAAGTGTTGTGGCGCGAGGCTGTGCGGCGTGGCCGTGGTCAAGAGCGCAGTGGTGGTGAGGATGCGGGGGAGGAGTCTGGCGAAGGTGACCGTGCTGCGCATTCAGCTGGTGCGGATGGTTGTTTCGGCAGCCCTGGAGATTTGGCAGACAATCCGGTGTTTGGCAGTCGACGAGTCCTTGTAGGAATGCACAGCGCACTTGGTAAAATGGATCTATGGGAAGGAGAAGAGTGTAGTTGAAGCCAGATTGCTTCCACGATGCCCACGCGCCGTCGGTCCCCGCGGGGTACGTCATCTGCCGGGAGCTCTCAAGAGCGCGATGTTCAGATCCAGGGGCGCGTGGGCAGGTGCAGGTACTGATTGGCACAGGCAGTGTCGCGCCTGCCGAAGCTAGATCGCACCAAGTGGGCTCCCCACTTGCCCCAACAGGCAGTTGCGGGAGGCAGCCGGGCGGCGGCCTTGACCCCAAAGCTCTCCTCATTCCTCTGGGCGGATACCCAGGCAGATCGCGAACGGGAACCGCTGAGGACAACGGGCATGGCAAGGATCGTGACAAACACAGAAGATCATGCTTTTTGTTGGCAGCCACTGCCGTTCCATACCATCGTAGGACGTCGTCTGCACGGCCTCTTCGGTTCCCGGTTTCCTGTGTCAAAGTCTCATCAGCTCAACGGGAACTTGTTGTCTCGGTGGCAAAAGTGCAATACCTCGAGTCCGTGCAGTGCCGCTTCAGATTCTTGGGACGACGCCGGAGTCGACCGCGATGACGATCTACCCGCTCAGACTGCCTCCCGGGGCAGTTTTCTTCTGCCTCCCACGGCGGACCAGCGCAACGGGATGCTGCGTGGTCCCCCACAACCTGTCCAATTCCACCATCTCGCATCTTTACGACTGCGCCATAATCATCAAACCAGTCCGCAGCAAATGCAAACGCCTGGCTAGGTGTACTTGAGCCCGAACATGAGGCACGGACAAGGATCAACCCATCTTCAAGGCGGCGACCGGTTCGTCACACGACGACCCAGCCGGCACCGGCGCCGACCATTCCCAACTGCTCCGCCGACCCCCCTGGTGTCTTACATCAAGGAGTCGTATGCTGCACTCTTGCAAGGGGAGTTGGCTTTGCGATCTTATGCGGGCCTGGGCGCCATCCATCTGCGCATCTGCGCCAGGATGCAGGCACTGAGCTGTCGCAGGGTGGAGACAAGAGCCTAGCAGTACCCCTCCAAGGACTCGGCAAAGGACTCGCAAAGACCTTGACGGACCCCGATTTGTGCCCGTTTGGGAACACTACACCTCACCCACCTGCTTGCTCATGCGATGCAAGCCTCTGAGAGGCAGTGTCGTCGAATAGAGCACTTGATCACTTGCTGTCTCGCCTAGCCAAGTATGTTAACCTTCTCGCCACCGTCCTTTGATTCGTCCACTCAGGACAACGGAGCATGTTGCAACCAAAGTCGCGCGGGGCATTTCCTGCCGACAAACGTGACCGTGCGCTGCTCACCGAAACATCCAAAAAGTTGCCAAAGGACACTTGAATGTCACTGGGATTCTCGAATTGCCTAGATAGGACCGAGAGATTCTAGTACCGAGCCGATCTGGGTACCTGCAGGTACGGTGGTGCGCTGCGGACCATCTCCCACCACCCACCACCCACCACCACACAGGCGGCTGTGCCTTGACGCCACAGAAGCAGACCAGCCACTGCCAAAGGCATCCTGTTGGGTTCTGCATGGCCTCCAAAAGACAAAAAGAAAAAATTAGAGACTAGCCAGCATCAGCGTCGCCCGAACTGCATACGCACCAGGCGTTCCTTGACGCCATGATTCCACCAGATCAGGCAGCAGTCGGAAAGATCAGTCACCACGTTCGGCGGATGGTGCCCGGAAGCCATGCATCTCGATGGCTCGCTGGCCAGTCGCAGCCACAGTGATGCCTAACGCGTCCCTTGTCATCTAATCACCGGTAACAAAGTCTCCCGACTGGCGCTGACTAGAATCCCAGTCTTGGCTCCTGGCTGGGGGTACAAGGAAACATAGATTGCCGAGAAAAGCCTCACGCACGCGCAGCAAAGCAGAGCAGAACGGTGGATTGCCCAAACTAGAACACTTCTACAGTTGTGGAACAATCTGAATTAAGAGCTTGCAGCTTGCAGTTTGCATGGTATTCCCAACGTCTATGGAAGAATATGAACAAAATAATCCCAAAGTCTATCTGCGTTACAAGCAAAAACAGAGAGAAACAGGAAAGACTCGGGAACCTCAAAACTTGCAAACTATTGGTGAGATCTCTATTGTACATGGGGCTTGGTGGGGCTTGGTGGGGCGACCAGCAGAGCCTGAGAAGCTAGACCTTAGGAAAGCGGGCACGCGACGCCGAAGCGTGGCGTGGCGTGGGGGGAATCTTGAACGCACGCTTGAAGGGGACAAGAAACAAAGCGGAAAAAACGACGAAAATGATAGCTGCACTGCCACTGCCACCCAGTGCTGGCGATAACCAATCAAGCTCCGACGAAAAGTGAGCAAAGGTGCAGAGGAACCAAAGCTTGGGCGCTGCATCGCGTCACCATCCTAGCTATGCTCGTCCCAACGGCGCCCGTGGCTGCTGCGCCTGCGACGAGAGCCGCCGCCGCTGGTGCTGTTGCTTTCTCCACTACCACTACCACTCCCACCGCCGTTGAAGTAGGAGTAGTAGAGATCTGTGCTACGGCCGCTGCCGTAAGGGTCATAACCTCGACTGCTTTGGTTGTCTCGGCGGCGCGGCTCATCATGATAGTCCTGGCGGTGGTGGTGGTGGTAATCACTGCTGCGCCCGCCGTCGCGGCTGCTTCTGTGATGGCTGTGGTCGTTCCGAGCAGCGTCGTCGCGGTGGTGGCCGCTGCTGGTAGGCGCTCGCGACCAATTCCCATCAAACTCAGCAATGCTTCCCTTCGCATTGTCTTTTCGCGTGCTTCGGCCGGTCACCAACAAGTCCTGCAGCGGGTCGCGGCTCTTCATGAAGTGATTCATGTTGTATGTGTATGATGGCCTCGAAGAGGCGGATGAGGAAGACGACGACGAGTGGCCTGCATCTGGGATGCGATGTTGGTCGTGGTGACGGTCATGGCTGCCATGCTCACGAGAGGAGCGGTGGTGGCGGCGGTGGTGGTGGTCATCGTCGTCGTACCCATGGGAGTTCTCAGGTCGAGCCGTCGAGGATGAGGAACTGTAAATGCCCGGGCGGTGTTAGTCTTGGTTGCCAAAGCATGCGGGCCGCGATCGACGTTAAAATATGGAGACAATGCCATTGTGCACTAGTTGGAGGAAGCTAAGGGGATTGATTCCCTTTTTGGTGGCGACCCAGCTTTCTGCCCGTAGCCAGGCCAGCCAGGGACCTCTGAAGCTGTGGAGAATGGCACTAGACACTACGACATATAGGTCGAGGCTCGACTAACCTTGAGTAATGGTTCTTCGACGACGAAGACTGGTGCCCTTTGCTCGCCATGACGAAGATGGGACGGTGCCTTTGCAAGGTAAGATGGGATGCCTGGTGCAATGTGACCTGGTGACTGGTGTTCTGTTCTGTGGGGTTTGATTTGAGGTGGTGATGGTCCAAGATGTGTGATTCAAGCTTCAGGAAGAGTGCACGAGGGCATTGTGGGAGAGGACTGGAGAGCCCATCGTCCTTATAATGCCTCGAAACGCCTTCTTCTGTGGGAATCTCATTGCTACCGCGGCCAGCCACATAGACCACACCGAACACCAGACGCAATACAGGAATCTGTTTCGTGTCATGTGTGTAAGTGGTGCTGCTGTGGAAGTGGAAAATACTGGGACCCACCATGTCTCCGGCGAGGATCCACTTGCGGTAGGAATACTTGCACGCCAGACTTACAGCACAGCTGTGCGGCAACCTTGCACGGACAATCTCGAGCCAAAGAAACAAAGAGCGCGATCGGCCACCCTAGCACCTCAAGTTGTGACGCTCAACCTGTTCTCACCGAATCCCTTGGCGCACCCATCTGCGCAGCGGCGCCGGGTGCGGAATGACTCCTTTGCGGGTTTGCCCAAAGTCCTATGCTTGAGACAAACCCGGCACTGCCCATCCAGGACCGATCCCCGTAGTCGACCAAGGACCAACGAGCCTGGCGAGTGCAGGACTGGCTTGCGCATGACATCGGCGCGCAGCAGATCGTGCCTTGTTCCTGATTGCATCAAGTGTGCCTGTCCTGACCAGGGAGCTTGTCGACTTTGCTGGTTTATGTTGTTTGGGCACTCTGTGCAATTGTGTTGCGGGCTGCTCATGGAGAACCACACCAGCGTGACTGGGTGTCAATCTCCGCCAGGACTGGGCCTGGCTCAGCTCATTTGACGTGCGGCCACTGTTTGCATACATGTTCCGTACCGGCAGCACCCACCGCACTGCTCCGGCCCATTCTGCTGGCCCGGAGAGCAAAACGAGTCCCCTCATTTCTGCAGGGAGATTGCGTCAAGCAGTTCTGCAAGGTACCAGCGATGCTGCATCAACAAGTCGTCAGGCTGCCACGGAATGCGTAGACCCAGAGCTGCAAACATGTACGAGACTGGCCAGGTCGTCTCCATGCCGCCGCCGCCTGACTACAGACGTAGTGGACTCCACGTTCGGCTCGCCCAACTCTCGCTCTGGTACTCCCATGCCAGCCCGTTCTTGTTGCCCTGCCCCACTTCATCGCCGAAGCACGCTGTCCTCATCGTGCGAAAAAGCGTCATGTTCGCATTGTCGGGTCGGTTTCGAGGGCGTTAGTGGCATCTCGTGCTCCATCTATTTGGCAACAACGCTTGTGCCCACCAGAAGACTTGTTTAGTTGTGCTGCGTGGCTGCCTCGAGCAATGACTTTCATCGTCAGTTGGTCTAGCCCGAACGCACCTACTGGTGGATACGTAGTATGGCGGCTAACGAGCTTCTTTGTGGCAGCAGGACTGACGCTTGTGACGTACGGCTAGCTTGCTATTCCCACACTCACAGACGCCGCTAGAGCGGGATGTGCGGCTGTGTGCACGTAACAGGTCTGGTCTGTAAAGTAGCTCTTGGCCAAATCCCCTGGCGAGCATCGGCGCCACCCTACGGGCCGTGTGGGCTCGGAGTTACAGGGCATCTCGCGGAGGTTTCTCTGGAGGAACGATGCACCCAAGCCCAGTTTGTCCATATGCCCATACTGACTGTATTGACGGACGTCTTTGCCCGTGTTCCATTGCCTGTGAGGCTGTGTAGGTCGACTGTGGGTGGCAGGGCAGCCAGAGGTGTGCATTGGCTTACAGCTCTTGCACGACCGTCAAACATGTCGACGCAAAGGAAACTTGGGCTGCAGGGATAGCATCCATGTCATGTTTTCGTCCCTGATAACTTTGAGAATAGCAGGTAGCTCCCAGCCCAGAGTGACATTCTGCAGGCTTGAGAGAGTATATCCTGGTTGTCAGCGGAGGGGCGACGCGCAGGGGGCCGATCGAAATGTGCTATTTTTGGGGGCCAGAGACGGGGAGAATGGCCTGATCTGGCAAGGGATTTCCCCTCCACAAGCTCTCTGGGAGGTATTCGATGGACAGCGTGGCTGTCGTTCCAACGAGGAGACATGAGGCAGTTGGCGACTCTTCAGACAAAGGCCAAGTGCGAGCTCGAGATGTGCTCTGCGAGCGAAGATTGCAGCACCACCCACGATGATACAGGTTGATCGTGGCCAGCGCTGGAACCTTAAGCTTCAGCTGGAGGAGTGCGTGACTGGATGCTGGTGGTGTGCGCGTGGCGGCGGCTACCGCACAGGTGGAGCCACCAAAACGCCCGCCCAGCCTGTCAGGTGAGCCCATAACTCGGGACCGGCGCCGTGGGGCTTGCAGACAATACCTTACCTACCATAGTATTGTAGGGTGCAAGGCACGACCCCTGGCCGATCAGTCTCGCGGGGGTCTGACAACAGGACCGGAGGCCACGGAGACGGCCCTCCAAGGTTTCTTCAGGTCGTCCACTGCGTGGGTGCTGTCTCCTTGGTGGAGAGTGCGAGCTGAGGGCGGGTCGAAACGCAGAGGAGAGGCCCCTGCAGTCACAATGTTCCTTCTCATCTGTTCGCCCCAGGCCGCCGAGGCAGTGAGACCCAGAGATGTGTGGGGTCTGTCAGCATCTCGACCCAGGTGGGCAGGCACGCCCGGCTTGAACAGGGCCAGAAGCGTTGTCCTGCCACACCCTCATCCCTCCCACCCCCTCCCGCAACCACACGAGACGCACTTCCAGCCCCGAGCCTTGCTTGCCTCGCCTCGCCTTGCCTGGCTCTCAAGTGCTGGCCGCACTCTCTGCCAGACCTTGCCTGCCCGCCATGTCGCGCGGAGGCGGCATACATAACGTGCTCCCTCCTCCCGCGCGACCATGGTGCAGCCTCATGGGCTGGGTGTCGGTCTACATGCACCTCTTCCTCTTGCCAATGTCAACTTGCAACCATGTCACCAGCGTTTAGTCCCGGCGTGGCAGCGGGTTCCCCGCACTCTGGCGCCTCGAGGGGTGGCAGGCCGCGAGACTGGAATGATAGCCGTGGTCGCCAGCTCGTCCGCATGTATGTCTACACGGAGAACAAGATGGACATCATGCTGGAGGCGATCCGGGATCGCCACTGGGCTCCGCAGTGAGTGTCTGCTCCCCACGAGAACCGTCTCTCCCGCACTGAGCGCTGAACGCTAACTGGAACACACATTGTACAGGAAGGATGCGGCGAACAAGGTGTTACACAAGTGCCTGGGGAACGATCCCCGGTGGCTTCGACCGAAGTCCAAAGCAGAGTCGAAACAGCAAATCAAAGCACTCGAAAACAGCACCCGTCCAGTCTTTCGGCAGCCTGCCGCCGGATCTCTTACTGCTGCTGGAGCCATGCAACTCGACACATCCAATCTGGAGGGGAATGCTCTAGCTCTGAACGTCGATGCACCAATGAGTGGAGTGAGCCCCAACCCAGACAATAACCGATGGTCATCGTCGCCTTATTCGCTGTCTTCTCCCAACGGATGGCAAACATCCTTGCAGTCTGCGACATTCGCCTACAGTGGTCCAATAGAGTGGCCGCAGCTGCCTCGGAGGAACTCAGCACTGTCGGATGTGACTGTGTCCAGTATGGCAAGCAGTTTCCTGGAACGGCTCACGGTCAAAGGCGCCTCACCGTCGGATGCAGCCGATCTCTGGAAACTCTCAAGGAGGTTCACGGCCCCCAGGTCCGCAACTTCCAGTCCTTCGCTGTCGTCGCCTTTACGTGCTTCTCCGCCTGGCCACCAAGCATTCCCTAGCGCCGACATGCCTTTGTTGCTCGATCAATCCAGGGCCGGCTATGCAGTCGCGGGTGATTTTATCAATATTGGGCACGGGTTCAGCTTCGAGGGTGACAAGACCTGCGACAAAACTTCGGAAGCTCATGACAATGGAAACTGTTGGTGCGCAGTCTCTGAGCAGCTTTTCAATCACTTCCAGAGTATGCCTTCTGCACGGATCGTTCTTGCCCCTGACGCCCAAGCTGTATGGGCTCTGCGCGATATCAACACTGCCGCACGGGACGAGTTCGGCCACTCGGCGCTGCACCTGTTAGCCAGTCTTGAACATTGCCACTCTCAGTTGCTGAGCGTTGTGGCCGAAGCATTGACTGGCAAAGACCAGGTGTTAAGTGCCGCCAACACCGCCCGCCAGACGTTCCTGCACATGCTTCATCCTTCCTGGTTCTTGCCAGGATCGCAACTGGAGAACCTGATCCACATCCTCAAGCAGTCGCATTTCGACATTCTCGGCCGGGATGTTTTTGGGAGGAATGTGTTCCACATCATGCGCGAGCACAATGTTGAATTTCAGCGGCTCCAAGGTTGTGCTCTGGGACTCAATCCGAAAGTCCTGAATGTGCGCGACGCCTTTGGACGAATGCCTCTGCGAGCACTCCCCTCTGGACCAAGTCTCCATGCTGCTCGATCCATACGCCGTGTCATCGCTGCGCGGAGATTGACAGCTTCATCCTCCGATGGCCCACCCACAATCGAATCAGATTCGAGAATCATCGCTCAAACGAAGCTTTTGAAGATCATCTACGCCGCTACGGCTACGGACTCCAGCCGTGCGGACCCGACGATGGAGGATCTCGAGGGCCGCAATGGCTTTCATGCATTGGCGGAAGTCATCCTTGGCGTCACACCAATGATAGATCATGTGAGCAGGGGGCAGAAGCGCAAGCACGATGAGCCCACCATTGACCAACCGAACCCCGAGCCAATGCCACGGATAACGCATTTGGAGGCGCTGATCGACGCCAAAGTCGATATCAATCATCACAACGTTGCGGGTGACACACCACTGATGACGTTTGTGGTGCAACTTTCCGATGGCAAGACCAAGGCAGAGAACGTCGAAGTGCGTGGCATTATCAACGGCCTCGTTGGCGCCGGTGCTGAGATGGAGAGACGCAACCGTCGAGGCGAGACGGCCCTGCTTGTCGCCGCACGCCACGGACAGAAAGTCGCAGTGGATGCTCTGCTCAAACTTGGCGCGAATCCCTATGTGCGCAACTCGGAAGGGCAGAGTGCCCTCGATGTGGTTGACAGTATGTGGAGAGTGAGTGAGGCTGCGATGGGCTCGTACGAGGCGTGTCGCAAGCTGCTGTGTGGAGGCCAGGCTCTGAAGTCCGAACCGAAGCAAAGCCCTAGCATCTTCGATGAGTGGACGTTTGGCGTTCCAACGGTTTCGACGAGTTGAGCAATATTTGGGTTGGTAACGGAGGACAAGTACCGTGGCTCTTGTGGGCTGCGTGGTGTGTATCTGCTTTAAGAAAGGAAGACGGACGAATGATACCCATGAAGCGCTTTGGATTCTTGCTTTGAATTTTAGTCAAATTCACCAGCCCACAATAGGCCCTTTGCAAAGACCTGTTTGCCTGAATCTGAGTTGTGATCAGATGCCGTGTGCATGAAAAGTGCAAGACCCCCGATTGGAAATGACACCTAGCCCGAGCGAAATGACAAGCATGAGAATTCAAGTTCGTGCCAATGCAGTTTGCTGCACGGTGCCCAAAAGGTTTACATACGATAGGCGACTAAATGAAGAGCTGTTCAAAGGGGCGGTTCCAAAGTCTTTTAGCAGCCTTAGTCAGTGTTCCGTGAGTACGCTAAGTACTTTAATGCCCAGGTGATCCAACAGTGGAGGAGCGATAGTCCTCCACACTCAGCCGACCGCATGCGGGATGTCGAAGCAATATATCTGCATCGAGCAAGTAGTGTCGCGAAGTGGGCATTCGTGTAAATTTTGAAGCCGGTGAACGGAACAGTGAAGATAATGGTGTTGTCGCACCATACTCTTGGGACCTCAAACTTGTGGTGTGCTCGAATGGGCTGAGGGACTGTGCCCTTTTTTGATGTCATTGTGCACAGGAAGGTTCCCTAGGAAGGCTGAAAGGGAGGCCTCATGCAAAGTGGTAAGAAACTTGTCGGGATCAGACCCGCCATGCGTTTCAAAGCAGCTTGATCTTGCCTGTGAGCTGTTCTGGCATGCTAGAGCGACACATGATGATGCGAGCTTGTCTTGAAGGAGAAGTGCATCGCGATCAGCTGGCAGGCAAGCTCGAGTGGGTGGGGACCCTTGGACCCTGACAGGCCAGTCCTGGGCCGGGATATGCCGTGCCTGGCTCTCAAAACCTGCTTTTCGTGCGAGCTGCCAGATCCTAATCGAGGGCCGTCAGGGGGAGAGAGAGAAGAGAGAGAGAGAGAGCAAGTGGATGACATAAGGCGTCCAGACATTTGAGCACGACAAGTGCCAGCGTCACATCCCGCTTGGACTCGGAGCTTGCTCTCGGTCAAGGGCAGCAACGCATCCGTCACCTAGAACTTGGCGGCGGACGTTTTGGTCCTTGTGGCTAGGGTCTTCGGGAAGCCTCGCTCCACCTCCACACTGGCCGCCATGATTGCACTAGGCCACGCTGGCGGCTTGTCACGGATATTGCAGGCGCGCAGCCCATAATACTTTTGCTAGCGTTGTCGGGAGCGATGCCTGGGATGGTGCTGACCTCTGGTTGCGAAACTTGTCAGGTCAACGGATGCGACGGAAAGGCTGTTTCGTATGCGGACCGAGGCAGTCTGAATTCTCACTGCATGTTTGGAATTGCATTCGACCACCTGGGCAAGACAGGGAATGCACATGGACGCGGTGCGTCTGGAGGTTCTGCTCCGATGGCTGATGAGGGACCACTCGAGGTTTGATGGAGTTGTGTGTCGTGCAAGACTCGACGCCCTGCTTTGTTCTGGACTCTGGAAGCTGCCCAGGTGGACTAACACGGGAAGGATGCAGGGCACGGCTGTCAGTGCCGGGCGCGAGGTGGGCCGGGGGGTGCGGGTGACGTCACAGCGCGTAGGCTCGTGACTGCCGGGGCTGCCACGACATGAGGTGTGGCTTGCACCATCTGACGCCAGCTATGGCTGGAGCTTTGGGAGAGCGAGCTCAGCACTGCAGACACCGTCATCTGGCACAGACAGCTCCGCGATCCGCGCTCCATGGATTGCATGTCCGCGTCGGCCGGCAGCGCTGCTCCGGATCGACAGCCGTTTGTCTGCTTGGTCATGCGCCCTCCAAGAAAAGCACGACCCGTCACAGAACACCCCCCATGCCGATCGCCCCGTCATCCTTCGCGTCACCGACTGTCGCGAGGCCTAGGCCCATCGCGACATGATGACAACAGCCCAACGAGAGCTCGAGCCGTGTGTTGCGACGGACTGCACATTTTCTTGATCATGGCATGGGACGATACTGCGCTAGTGCGACTGTGACTGAGCCAAGTGCCGGCATCCTAGCCTGCCTGCATCAAGACTCGTCCCCCTTCCCGGCTACGTCGGCTGGAGCATTTGATGGATCCTGCCCGGCTTGGCGATCCTAGCACATTGACACAGGCTCGACGACATCATAGCTCACGTACCACCAACGCTGCCCAAGACACCCAGCACCTCAGCCATATAAGTCTCCTCGTTTCGCTTTCCTCGACAGACCTCTTTTGAAAGTGCCATCATCGCAACAGAAAGCAACAAGACCATCCGACTTTTCCACACTCCCGAGCAGACACTCCATCTCTCACCAACCCTTTCTCACTTACACGAGAGTAACCGCCAGTCAAAATGGGTCCTCACCACAGCACCACCACCACCCGCACCAGCGGCACCCGCCGCATGGACCCCATCACCACCGGCCTCAACCTCGTCGTCTGGGTCTCGTCGGTCATTGTCATGGGCATCCTCGCCTACCTTGTCTCCCTCAACAACAACCAGGGCTCGCACGTCATCTACGAGCTCACCATTGCCGTCCTGACCGTGGTTTTCTACCTCGCCGCCTTCTTCCTCCCCGTCCACTTTGGCCTGCTCTTCAACATCATCTTCTCCCACCTCTGGATTGTGGCCGTCGCCTTCACAGCCAGCGACTGGACCTACAGCAACAGTGCCCTGCTCCATGCCGCGGAGGCCTTCAGCTTCATTGCTTTGTAAGTTCATTCATTCTCGTGTGGCTCACTTTCCTGCGCAATGCTGACAAATTGGTTCCAGCTTCTTCCTCTTCTTCAACCTCCTCCACAACTGGTACTTTGGCAGCTACTCTGGTCGCACTGCCGGCACTTCTCACGTCTAAGTCTGAGATGGGAAAATCTCGTTAATGGAGCCACGAAGCTACTCACGCATACTACTCCTGGCTAGTTAGCCACGACAATGATCTGCAAGCGCTCACAGATCAATAATGACGACATGACACGACATAATCATGAATTTGTACAATCACTGGATGTGAAATTTTGGTCTTCTCTCGAAGAGACCTAGATTGGGAGCACGTACGGATCTTCTTGTTTCCTCCTGAACCATGATTTTTGGGGTTGGGGTGTGGAACTCTCCCGAAATTCTGGTGATCTACAGCATTGTTAATTAGCTTGTAATATACACCGCCGGATACCCATTATAATTATGCCTCAAGTTGCGTGGTGATGAAACCATGATTCTTTGCCTTTGTCATTCACGAGCCATTTCATACCATAATCTATACTGGTGTGTCTACAAGGGCTGGAACGAATGACTGGCGCTCAGACCAGTCGACACCAGAACTACATCACGTAGTGCGTGTGGCAGTCCATAAAAGACGCTTCTGGAAGTAAACTGTTCACAGATGACTGTGCTGGGGATCGGGCAAATGCAGTCGTTCCAGCGAACAATTCCTGTTGGGCCCGAGCCGAGTTTCAGCTGCTACATGTCAGGGGAGCAGAAGCAGTGGCGAGTGGGCGATACTAACAATGGCTACTTAGCTGTCTTCTTCTCTCGGTTCTTTGCTTAGGTGGTTGTTCGCGCACTTTTGTCCCGTCGTGACGGTGGTTTTTCCTGCCAAGCCATGCAGAGCCACAAAGCTGGAGATGCTGTGCGAGCTCGCTACTCCATTTCGGGACCTGATAGCGATCGCCATGTACAATCGGGACCTTTGGCACGGAGACAAATGTCACGCTGTGCATGCCAAAATCGCACATGAGTTTTTCGCACCTCTAAGGCTATCTCTCCCGACAAGCTCGCGGACGCCATGTTTGTGGCCCCAGCATGACTGGCCACGGTGTGCTTGGCCTTTGTTGGGTACTATATAAAGCCACGGATGTATACACGGCTCTTCAAGGATTAGCCGCCTAACGCGCGGACCAGCCCTGGAGGAATGGGAATGATGATACTGTCCGAGGTAGATGGCAGACAGGGACTCCGCAGCATCGTCGCCGAGGCGATCTTCTGCGGATATCCAGATCGGGATTGTGAGGGCGTTGGCAGTCTGGTCCCGCTGCGGAAGTGCACAATTATTTTCATGCATTGATATGAGGCGGTACCCCCCGGGACGAGATACGCCATCGGAAGTATGAAATCCTTTGAACCCTGCAAGCACCAATAATCCTTGGGCTGTCGCCGCCGCGCACTGGCGGGCGGGCGGTGTCAAAAAGGTCACGATGATGCTCGAGTAGCCACTGGGGTTGTAGGAACGAGGCGGCATTTTCCCCGAGGGGCCGTGCGAATAGACAGGTGGAGGGAAGGGTCGCGGCGGCGATGAAGGCCTGAGGCGGCGTGGCTTGTCGAGACAACGCGCCGCATTGCTCCGTGGATGGCACAAACAAAGGCCAGTCACAAGGGGGGTAGAGCCATTGGCACCCTGGCGAGCCCTGGCGGCGACGGCGAGAGAGCGCTGCCACGTCAGAGCCAGCGCGTTATGCCGACAGCCTACAAGGGGAGGGAAAGAGACGGGGAGGCGGTTGCGGGACGTGTTGGCAACAATGAGCGCTGTTGAGTTTGGGAGCGAGGGGTCTGATCTGGCCCTGGCCAGCGCATCGGAGCTCAAAGTCTGGAGGCGGCTGCCAGTGCGGCAGGCACACACGCCCAGCCCCCGAGGAAGGAGCGTCCGTCAAGGTGCATTCCACATTGGCGATCCTTGTGACACCTGAGGCTAGGATTTTGGCAAGGCAAGCGCCCAAGTCGCCATCTAGAGGTCACAAGACAGGCTTCGATCCGGCCCAAGCTGCGAAGCCCTGGCCGTTCCGGGACTAGAAGACAGAACACACCTGATTACACCGCACACACCCCCTCCACACCCTGAGCCTCTCACTCTGGAAATGTTCCAGAAACTTTCTGTCCCCCAGCACAAAGACCTGACCACCGTTCGTTTGTTTCAACTCTCCCTCCACATCCCAAGTGGTGCCGTTGACGTCTCCAACATCAGCAGGCCGGCTCGACTGCTCAGGCTGGGACGACACGGCACTCACACCTTTGCGAACTCGATGGGGATGAGAAGCCCGAGCCCATCAGCCTGCCAGGCCAAGCACTTGTGGAGCCCGCCGTCTCTGTAGTGCAGATCGTCTGGGTCCACGCTTTTGCGCTAGACAAGGGAGCATCTGGAACATGCCGGAGGGTAGAGATGCACCTGGCCATCGCGGGGCTCGGGGCTGTCACGCCCATGCCGGGGACCAAGCCTGGAGTTCCATGATGCGCACCCGGGGTGCTGGATGGTGTCTGTCCACCGCAGGGTTGGGCTGGTCACCTCCTATTCTGGCAATCCACCCTGGGACGAGTCGATAGCTGGGTGTTTCTTGCTCAAGGGCTGTCCCACTCGCTATGCGTGATGCTCCAAACATTCATTGCTTGCGCGAGCCGCGGTGCACATCTCAGGCAACGCGGCTTGCCCGAGTAGTACTGTGGTCAATTTTTTCAGGACATAACAAAACGAACATGGCCTCTGCAAAGATGCGAACGCACGGTTGGCGCCACAGACAACACCCTTCCTGCCTGCATGAGCGGTCGGGGGTATCCAAGAACACAAAAAGCAAATTACGAGCACTCGGCCGGACTGTGATCCGTCAAGCCACCGCAGTTTTCAACAAAGTCAGATCACGGAGCCGCTTCCGCCAGTAGCTTGACAACTTGCCATACATACTTTAGGGAATGACGTGCCAGGGTGTGGCCCCAAGAGCACTGCAGCGCTCTCCACAACGCCTCGGCCGTGGCCCAATCGGACATCGTACCCGCGAGATTGTGAGGGATCAGTCTCATCGCCACGAAACGGGCTTCCTTGCCAGATCGCATCAGAAGCGCTCAAACCAGTTATACCCGCAGTCGCTTGCCTTTGATGAAGCATTGGCCCAGGACAACGGACATCTATTGCAGGTCCAGCCATACCATCCCGTCCTGGAGAATTCCGAGAATTCCACTGGTGTGGAAACCAAAGCGAGAAACGCGAAATGCATCCGTGCAGATTGGTCAATTGAGCTACTGCCTCCAGGTGTCTATCTGTAGTGCTATCCAGCGATGGGCGAATCGCCACCCAGACAGGCATCATGAGACATGTGATCTCTTTCGTCACTCAGAGAAACAAGACACAGGGCTTTGTCGGTTCCATCAGACCACGTGCGAGGAAACGCACATCGAAACCTTGCCGTGATGCATACTGCCTAGGGCGGCTTCAGGCGGATCTGTAAAGCAACTTCATCACGAATATCGCAAGCCCCGCCTACACTTCTTGAACGATCATCAATTTGACTTCCATGTTGATCAAACTGGCCCCGTGATCACACCAAACACTGACGGACCGGGATGGCACAGCGTCCGCTCGAGAAGACCCATGCAGAATTGAAATGAGGATTCGGCTCTTACAGTCTGGGGCTTCGGCTCGACACCCATGACAAAGCTATGCATCCAGGGGCAGCCTCGTCGTCATTCATCGACCCCCAGGTCCTTTTTAACGCTACCCCATGATTACTTAGCTGCGTATGTAGGAGTCCTGTGGTACCAGACTCATGGGGTGGGGTATCCTTTCGGGGAATCGGCATTGTACCTGAGGTATACTCATGCGGGCGTGTTTTTTTATCTGACGGGCGTGCCTTTGTGTACTCGGGCTAGTGCATGCTGCCAGAAGTTCCCGGATTGACACCTTGACTTGAAGCGTCCAGCAATCGTCTTAGTCTGGATGGCTCAGGGATGGGATAAGCCAGCAACAAGAGACCCGGTCACTGCACACGCTTTGGTCTGCAGCTTTCTGTGTGTGACACGCGAGTCCATATAACAGGACCCGACACCTCCTTCTTGATCTCACGAGAATGACTTTATCACGACACGCGCCTGTCAACCACTTCCAGCCGATTCACAATCACAACTCAAATTACGACACCTTCAAACAGCAGACACCATGCCAGACAAAGCTCAAGACAAGGCTGCAAGGTGAGCACGACGTCTCTGTTCATCAGGCCTCCGGTATTCTAACACGCAAATTTTGTCCCCCAGGAGAGAGTCCGTCAGCAAATGGGTCACAGAGCAAACGCAAGAGATACCCTCTCACCTCGACAACCTCCCCTCGCGGTCGGTCAAGCAAGCAGAAGACGACAAGAAAGAAAAGTCGGCAGCAAACATCAAGTCTTTCGATGCCATCATGTATAAAAGCAGCAGCAGCACGGACTGAAGAACCGCCGGCAAGACACACCTTCTACCTAATGGTTATCAACATGATGGCCTGGCCTCCCAAGCTACGTAACGCCGAACGGACATGTCTGGATCTCGAAGCCGGAGAGCCTCTGCTAGGCCCGTCGCTCACAGGTTCCCCTTGCATGAGCTCTTGCCTCCGATGCAGGCCTTGGAGATTCGACCCCAGCTTCCCGAAGCCCGCTCTGCAACTTGCACCACCTTCCCTTTTCTGCACTCACTCCTCCGTTTGGGCGGCCTCATTCCCAGACGCAGAACAACAGCAACCTGAACTACACGATTCAAAAGCCCCCCACGCCAGCGACATGTCAGTGCGAGCCCGCGGAGGAACGCGCTTCTGAGCGGCCCCAGGCCCTGCTCCATGTTTAGCGCCCACAAGCTGCAGTTACCACACGATTGGATATACCCGATCTTGTTCGAGTCATGCATGCACATATCACACCACCTTGCAGTTCAGATGACTTGCGCACGAAAGGCAGTCTCTGGCAGTATGAGAGGGCGTTGTGGTTGTGGGGGAGCTAGCTTTGTACTCTATGTTTTACTATTTCGAAATCCCAGCATGCATTCCAGCTCATCTCAAAGCGTGACGCGCACAATGAACAAAGTGAAAGGCACACTGGGCAAAACCCAGCGCCGCCCGTTTGGCTCCATCCGGTCTTACTCACAGCCATGAGCGTCACCTAGTGACTCCTCCATCTGGGGCCGACTCAACGGCGAGGGGCGAACACGCGCTCCCTTCCCACCGCAAACAACGCTGGAAAACGCACAGACTCCCGGCCGGCGACGGCACGAATGTGGCAGGAACTAATATGGCAGGGTTCGGTATCGCTCCGCAAATGGCGCCGTCACTCCTACCAGAAACAAGCTGGTGGGAAACCTCACGAGCAAGGCGGCCTCAGGCGCATCGTTCAGAGGTGCCAGTCCATTGTTTGAGCAAGGGAGGGAGGAGGCGCCTTGGGAGGACCCGCCTTACTGACGCCCACACGCCCACGTCTAGAGTTACACGCCCCCTCAGCTCAGGCGGCCCGTCTCCGTCGTCCATTGTTAACGTAGTTTGTGGCAGGCTGGCAGGATCCGCTAATTAATCAACAACTCCCCGACGGGCTAGCGTAGAAAGGCCAAAAACCCAACGTTAGCGTGAGCCCACTGATGTCTGACACCCTGGCTTTAAAGAAAGTAGCGTTATTCCAGGGCTCTGCCAAGAGGGGAAGGGGTCCCCCACGGGCCCTTTCTAGCGCCGATCCGGATCTTGGAGCGGGACGTGCTTTGACTGGACTACTCTGCCTAGAGTTAAAGCGTACATCAGATCAGGTACGAATGTGCTGGCCAGCACGCGTGTCTCACTCGGGAAAACCTTCCCCTTTTTCTGTTTTTCTTTTCGCTGGAGAGCCGCTTGACCGCACGGCGTGAATAGTAACGGCCAGGGGTGTTGGAGAGGGAGGGGGATTATGTCATGATCCGAGTTACTCGTGATGCGGCCTGTCAGTGTGGGAGAAACGGCCATGACCTGTCAGGGGTTGGTTGCACACGCCCATCTTTGATGGGGAGCTTTGACGTTAGGGTAAGTTGGTGAGCGGTAGGTAGGTAGGCAGGCACAGTAGCCCTTGCCCGAGTGGCTGCCAGGGTTGGCATGGACGACGGCGTGCGGCCGTGTTGCTTGTAGTCGTCGTCGTCGTCGTCGTTCGGCCGGCGGCGCGCGCTCAAAGGGAAGAGAGGCCACCTCCAAATGGGCATAGCGGTGGCGCTGGTTTCTCACCCGCGCGCCTGCGCGCCCTGGTCCAATGGAGGTCGGAAGATGAAGTGGAAGGCCATGTCTGTCACACTGCACTGGCTGTTTATTTTTTTGTGTTCGTGTGGGGACATGGAGGCGCGGACGGCGGACCGCTGCAGGGAACGACGGCGGATGGAGGGAGGCTGCCATCTTCCTTCTCGCCCTCTTCCCTCCGGCGCAAGGCCCGGTATGAGTCTGCTGCAGGGGCTCTATCAAGCGCGGTGATGACGGAGAATGACAGGCCTGCGTGCCCTATCCCCTGTCCCCTCCCCTCCCGGCCTTTCAACGCGCGGAGTCATTCCGGGGCAGTGATCGGCCAATTTCGAAGGTCGAGGATCTTTTCTTTTTGTTTTATTATACTCTGATGTGCTGGCGGCGCGGGAACGAGTCCGTAGGCCAGTAAGACCGTCGCTTTTTTCCCCCTGGTTCTTTGTTTTCCGCGTGTGGGTCCGACGAACGGCCCGGACGCGGACGCGAGAGGCATCGGAAAGCAGGATGGGCGGACGCAGGTGTTTATCGTGCATGAGGGATGTGCGAACCCAGGGCAAGCGGCGTTGTTGTGGGTGGGACCCGTGTCTCAGTCGAGAACTGGTCACGAGAGCCATGAGAGGGTCGGGCTAGCAGATTTGTGAAGTCGACTTTTGGATGACGATACCTGATCTGAGGCCATCCGAGGGCTGGGGAGGTGGAGGGAGGAGCAGATACTTGGCAGGTTGTTCGACGCTCACGACCGTGGCCATGCCAGATTCGGAGCCGGCGCCGCACGTAATTTCATGTAATGGTACTGGTACTTGGTATACATGCCCAACATGTCATGACGGCAGGGTCCAGCTTCCCGTCGCTGACTTGAGCATCCTTGTGTCCTGCCATGCCAGGTCTGCTCTTTGAAGCTGTCGCGTCCCGGCCCTGTAGTCGTGTGTTCGAGAAGGTGTCGGGTAGTAGTGGGCGCCAGAAATGGGTTATTCCATATCCAACAGGCCCACACACACGCGCAGGGTGGTCCAAGATTGCCCATCGGAGCGGGCTGGACGGCTGTGGAAGAGCGTGCCCTGAAACTTCTTCACCGCCTGTGAGATTTGTTGTTGGGACTCTGTGATGACGATGAGGGCTGTCGAGAGAGTGATGGAGGGGCGTGCGCGACTGCAGGATGGGCAAATGGGCGACTCTGGGGAGCGAGATGGCGTGGTGGCCGCATAGTCGGGAGCCCCGTTACGTGAGCCAGTGCCGGGATCAGGGAAAACGTCTGGAAACAAGGGGCCAGGGGTCGCGAGGAACACTTCTGTGGGCGGGTGGTGTGCTCGTTGCAGCCCGGGCACACTCACCACTACCGCCAAGGCACACCTCTAGGGGCGTGTGCTTCGTTGAAGACTAGCTCGAGGGACTGGCGTGATGATGCTTGTCTGATAACCCACCTGCCCAGCGCGGGCCCCTGTCATACATGGCGCCACTATGCTTGCCTATCCCATCCACTGGTGGGCGACGGAGAATACCCCTCGGCCGTCTGCGCGAGCGACGATAGGTGATGCTGTTCGATCCTGGCATCTTTTGCTGCACTGGGTCCCTTCCGCGCAGCCGGCAGTCGAGAGTGCTGCAGACACCACGGGGCCGGATCATGTGCTTCGTCAGCTTTGTCGACGCAGCACGGCGAGTCCGCCCAACATTCCTAACTCCACAAGCGCGCGGCGTTCTGCGCGGTAGAGCTGGCCATGAAGGGGTGGTATCTGGGCCCAGGAAACGCGCGGGCCATCTGACGTCCTCTGCTACATGCAAGCTGACCTGCGTGTGCCATCCCGAGTGGGAAAAGGTGGCCATTCCGAGCACTCTCTGACAAGTTGTGGATCCAACACCCACCATGACTTGAGATGAAGCTTGCGAAACACCTGCTCACCGGCTCCTCGACCGATCGGCAGAGTCACTGCGGCCCCTCTACACACAGCCACCCGGTCTGGCCTTGGGAGGTGACGCCGCATGCACCCGCAAGGCACACTCGCGCTGGAAGCTCTCACCGGAAGCCCTCGTCTTTGTTCCCCGGTGGGCTTGCCATACGCCGAGGATAACCCACGACAAGCCGAGTGCACGTCAGTGTGAATCCTTGGCAACTGAAGATAGCGAGTACCGCAAGCACCGCGCCGCGCGTGACATTCTAGAAGCGCCACGAGCATACACCCCTCCTGCCACTCCCACCAGACTTTGAGCACGGGCGAGAACTTCCCTCCCAGTCGTGTTTCACCTGATGAGCTCATCTTGGCCCAGACCGCTCGGAAGATTCTTGCTGGGTATGGCTAGATTTGGTCAACGCATCGCTGGGCTTTGGCCCGATAGGTTGCAGCTGTAACGGCCGGGCCTTTTGCCAGTCTTACAGAAACCAAAGACCCGCAGTTGCTGGGCACCTCTCTGGCCTCACTCCTTGCCGTCTCGCTTTGACTGGTACCGATTGCGCATCCATATGCGGACTCCCTGGGCCTTCACTATCAAGCGTGGCAATAGATAATATTGTCGAATGAGGGAGCTCGAATCCGGTAATGTTGCCCTCTGTACCAAGTCCACATGGCCGCTGCTCCGTGCTCCATGGAAAGGTGTGTTGAGTCAAGAACGAAAGCACCCGAAGGAACCGTGACATCACAGCGCCTCTTGGACACCGTGGAAGAATATCCCACCATGTCCGCCTCATGGTCGGCTTCATGTCATCATTCCCAATCATCGAGGCTGTAGGTCTTCGAGTCCAGCCTTGTCAAGATCGTGGCGCGAGTCTTGACTTCAAACGATGCTGAGGTACACCCGTTGATCCGTAAACCAGCAAACAACGGTCCCAACCATCGCGTGACACTCCCATCCAGTATCCTGCTCGCTTTCGTGGCGGTGTGTGGTGCCAGCTGTGCCTGTCTGGACAAAGACTCCAGGAGATTCAGGGTCACGTTCGGTCTCGAGAGGCGGCGCATCGACCCAGCATATGCCTTTAGGCCCCTCGTACAGCATGTACGGGTCACATCCCACGCGGCACTGGCCAAGAGCTCGCTGCCCGCCGCTCTCATATCCTGCAAGTATACCCCTGCAACATCTAGTGGCAGGATCCTGGTAGACCCGGATCCAGCTGATCCCGGCCAGAGGTGCGCAGGAGAAGTAAGCATCAGATTCCGGCTTCGGTACCTGGTTGGCAAAAGTCATCAGAGGAGTATCGTGTGGCGGCGCTTTGGGGTGTTCCCGCCGTGTTGGAGCAGGGTAGGTCGTGGCTAGTGGGATCTCTGAACTCGATAGTCTGGATCTGGGAGATTGGTAGATGAGGACTCGTGGTGACTGCGTTTCGAACTCCCAGCCTTTGAGAGGTTCTCCCTCTATTGGTATATTCGATCCAATGAAAATTTCCCCGGAAACACTAGTTGTGAACTAACAGAATAATAGCAATTAGTTCGATCAACGAAGGAGAGCAGAATGCGGTCTCGTTCCTCGGCTTCTCTGGACCTACCGAGTAACTCCCCTGAGCCTTCCACCGGGACCTCTCTGTGATCTTTATGGTCTTGATTGAGTCTGCTGGCGGCAGTGGGAGGTAGACCCAATTCAAATAAGGTCCAAGGCGGGGACATATGCGCTCGAGAGTCACGTCTGCACATGGCGCATCTCGTGTGTGGGCGTGGATTGCATAAGTGGAGTCCCCTCTGACAAAGAACGTGATGCCGCTGCATTCGTGGAGTGACACGGTCCGAAGATAGCAGGCTGCCATTGCAATGGCCGGTGATGGGGAGTCCCTCCCAGGCGGGTTGGGAGTGTCCCAGATGGCGGGCAAGGGATTACCTGGATTGTTCTCGAGCCTGCAGAGCCCGGCCTATTCGCCCGTTGCGTGGGAGTCAGCACAGGGCTTTCCGACGGTTGTCTTGGGCGTCACATACCTCGACCCTGAACTTTACCTCGTGTGGCCGGAGGACTTCAGCGAAAGCGATATGCATCGGCCGCGTCATCGATGTTGCAGGGTCGCGCTGTACAGGTCTGATCTCCTTAATCCCTCTCCAGTCCATAATGACCTGCAGACGGTTCGTCGTGCTCTGGCCAGGGCCACAGATTTCAGTGGCTCGGCCACGCTTCCAGCTTTTTATCTGGTCAAGTGCGACGAAAAGGTCTTCTTTTGGAGCTGTTCTGACACCCTCGACGGCCTCCAGTACAGAGAAGAGGCGTAGACCAGTGTACGGGGCTGTCTTCACCCCGTCCCAGATGATTTCCAGCACCTCTGGCGGAAGTTTCTCGAGTATATGCAGCTGGAAGAGTTTTGTAGCTTTGTGCAGAACAAGCTCCGACGCAAGATCCGGCACAAGACGCAGCCAGTCGTACTCCTTCCACGCATATCGCGCACGGCAGATCAGCCATAAGTGATGCATAGGATGGTGCAAGTCGGCAGCTTCTCTGCGATACAGGTTGAAGCAGTCGGCGTGAATGGTCGCGGTATCCCGACAATACTCGAGGTTTCTGCAGAGGTAGCAGTCTGGGAACCGGCAGAAGCGGCGTTCCGGCACTTCGGGGTCTTGCTCGCAGTATGCGGAGCTCGTAAACCTCTGTGCGTTGAAGATTCTGTAACTTGCAGAGTCGAGGTTCCGCTCGACTGCCATTGTTTCTTTCTCAGCCTCGTCATGTTTGCAAATACTTTTGGGATTGTCGTCTTTTGCAACTTACGTGCAATGATTCGATCTCCTGGGTCGAGGAGAAAGCCACAGGCACCGCACTGGTCGTGGATACGCACATGGAGGCTCGGCTGGTTGCCATCCGAAGGCGGCATTTTGGTAGACTTAGCGAGTGGATGAATGTTCAGATATGTTGTAAGTATGAACTGACCAACTGGTGGCGGAACGACTCGTAGGAGCAAACAGTGAGGTGTGCACGATCGTATTCTGCATTACAGCTGCTCCTCATCGTATCAGTGCATGTGGGGGGGCGTCTAGGTGCCTGAGGCGGCCGTTCCCCACAACCCGGCCGTTTGCCCTGAGGAGGCATGTAAGCAGAAGGCTGCCCACAGTATGAACGGTAAATGTATTCTATCAGAGCGCATGGCTCGGTCCAGATTCATATACACTTCAGTTCTATCAATCTACTGACTTGCCGACTGCTTTCTCGAGCTCCTAGACCCCTTCCTCGACCCAGATGACAGAGACACAGCACCCGCCTCGACAGAGTACTCGTGATTGTCCATGAGCGGGTTGACCTGGCCCATGATATACCTATCACCATAGTGTTGCAGCTGCTGAGCATCGCCCCCTTTCTCCAGCTCCGCGAGCATCGTGCTCAGGCTACTGGAGACACTGTCGTCTCTGCCACGGGCCATTCTCGAGGCATCGCCCTCGCTGTTGGCCCGGACAGAACGGAACCCCCACGGCGGGACCGCAGACACAGAACCCGTGCGCGAGTAAGGAGACGTCGGGCTTGCGGGCTTCTCCAAGTCGCTGCCACATTCGCTGCTGTCCCAGCTGACTTCTCTCTGTGGCAAAGAGTTCCTGTTTGTGTGTGTGATGGAGATCTCGTGCGTCACAAAGACGCGGCCGATCTGCGCGGTGAGAACTGGCCAGAAGATAGGCACAGACGCGCACACGCTGCCGAGGTTTACTTCAAGAATGCCCAGAACCATGATGATCGGCGCGTTCCACGGGGGGTCGAACTTTGGGTAAGTGCCCGCTCGATTATATACCGTCTCAACAAGGCGCCAAATGCAAAGGCAGTTTGCGCTGTGATGGATGGTTAGACATCCAGCTTGGCTCGAATATCACAATGTGATTTGGACGGAGGGTGCCAATACTTACATCGCCCCCATGGCAACCAGACCTATCAGCCCCCACTTCGTCTTGTGCGTCGTCTTCGGATCAAAGAACATTGGCAGCGGCAGGCAGAGAATCACAAGATCGCCCACGAGGTTCAGTATGTTCCAGCTGAGGTACGTATAGTAGAATTGATCGTGGTTGTTGGAGGCGAAGCCCCAGCAGTTCTTGTCGCCCGTGAAATAGTCAAAATCCCAGTAGTCTGAGATCGGCCAGCACGGTACCCAGGAGAGAACTGTGTAGGCCAGCCCGACCGCCGCAACTGCGACCAGAGTGATGATGCAGGCTATGCGGATCCATCCACGCTCGAAGAGCCGCAGGTATTGGAACAACAGCGACAGCTTGATGATCGTCATTGACATGGTGATGCCGGCGTTGCACACGTAAAATGTCTATGTGGCAGGGTAAGTGAGTTTGACGGCTTGTTATGCTAGGCAGAAAGCCCATACCTTCAGGAACCGCCGAAGTCTCTCAGGCTCAAAGACAAGATCGAGCAGGTGCTCGCCGTTCCCAAATTTGGTCGCTAGACACAGTTCTCATCAGTCCACAATCATTGCCGACGGTGATATTGAAAACGTTTGGGAACATACATATACACAACGCCACGCCAGCCATTATCCCAGTCATCTAGGATCAAAGATAGGGGTTAGCTTTTGTCATGAGTTTCCTGGGACTCCAAGGGCAGGACCAGGCACTTCTTACCAAGTACATTGTCACGAAGAAATCGTCCCATCCTGGCGAGCGTACGAGGCGCAGCCGAGTGTAGAGTCGAAAGGTAATGCAGATGGTCGCGATGCCCTGTAGTCACCAACAGTCAGCGGCTTGAAATCCCATCAGTGTGGGACATTCCCCCTGGATCGCCTACCAGAGAAATTGCGGTTATTGCTATGATGAAGGAAGGTTTGTTCCACTCTGGTTGTGGATCTTGCAAGGTGTCGATCGTCGTCCAGAGATCGGGCTCGGTCAAACTGTTACCCATTCTGCAACCTGCTTGAGGAGGCGAACCAATGCTTAGAGAAGGCTGTATAATGTTGACCTTTGTCCTCAGGGAGAGGCAAACTTCCGATCAGGACCAAGAGGTAGCCAGACCGCTGCGACACTTTCGATGCGGGCGCTCGTCATTCTATGTATTGGTCGGGCTCTTGACGGTGCGCTAATCGTCCCTGCTTGTTCCATCACGCGAGCTCGAACCTGGGGAAGCCCATGTGGCATCGGCCGATATCCCAGACATTCAAACATCCGATCCATAATAGACCAAGATGCTAGTGGTCCTCGCCTTGAAGTGGTGTGGACCACGACACGTTTTGTAGTAAGCATCATCCGAATATGCACTAGACAAGGGCTGGGCGCTCGCAGCCGGCCCCATCGGCCGCTTCGGGTACACCTGAGAACCCTGAAAGGATCGACATCCGGGGTGTTCCACTGGGATCAAAAGCCACGCCGTTGCAAGGGTTTTGCCCGCCAAATAGACTTTAGGCCCGCCCGCACCACACCAACCTTGTTGCAATAAATAGAAACATCAACGCACGCTTGCCTTCCTGAATGAGAGAGGGCTTGCACAATAAAGACTCTCGCTTTCGTTCAGCCGTTGTCGCCAAGGCTTGTTGGGCGCTGACGTGCATTTTGCGTGGTCTCACCGGCACGACACCCGAAAGGCTGCATGGTGCGACGACCGCCTTTGGACGAAGGATTCAATTTCACAAGATCAGATGGAGCATGGGCTCATGGTTCACCGATAGAGCTGCGTCTCTATGCCGAGAGCCATGCCATGCATCACAACTACGGATGGCTCTGACGGGAATGTCTTGGAGTCAAGAGACGGAGCTCGGATATGAAGTCGGGGTGTGTAAACTAGGGCGGGCAATCGACAATGAAGACTACGTCATGTAACTCTAGCAATACGTTTATGAGAGATGAACAGTGCAACATCCCTGTTTGAATGCTTTGCGTATGCACGGCCCTTTTCAGGTGGTTGGCTGCTCAGCTTGAGCACCTCGACCAATTCACGCCAAGGTCGGGCGCTTTGCCACCTGGGCCGTTCTTACAATATCCTCTCATCTGCCAGCTTCCATCGGTGCGGTGGAAATGACCCGATAGCTCCGCTGAGGAAGCAAATGGGGTAATTTGTTGCAGAAGGCTTGGTTTCTGTGCCTCTACGTAACAGGCACAGCATCATAAAAGTGAATGGCTGTTGTCTATTCTCCGGGCGAATGGTGGCCAGATGATGACCGAGCTGTCGCCTTCCCAAAGCAGTAATGTTGCCTAACTTCCATCTTTACACAATGGTCTCATTTCTTTGGTTTCTTCCGAGCCAAGAAACCTGCTTACCCCATCGGGCATAGAAAACCCCTCTGGTCACCGTTCAGTCGTCGTGCCTCAATGTGGATCAAGTTCGATGAGATTAAACGGTGCAGGCGCACTGACAAGATTCAATCCTCGTTGTCGTCAATGATCCAGCAACTTGCCCAGGATACGACGTAATCTCTGCCACAAGATGGCAAACACCCCTGAGATCACCTGAGATGAATCGGTTCGTCCGTGACGATGACCCTCCCGAACATGGCCCACTCAGCTGCGGAGACTATGAGCGGGCTTTCCTTGAGCGGCTCCAGCTTCCTCTCATACGGGCTGGGAGTGTTCTTGGCTACCATGAGGTCACCCCACGGGCACGTCTTGAGCCGGTCCCAGAAGGCCTCAAAGTGCTCGCGGTCGAGTTTGCTCAGACTGTCGGTGCTATCAGCAGCGCGACCTCGACTGCGGTCATGCTTGTGGGCCTTGATTTCCTGGTTCTGTCGCAAGAACGCGCCGACGGCGCGGATGTGCGTCTGATGGATCGGCTGGCCGTAGACGTCCATGATGAAGACTGTTCCGGGGTTCTCCACGCCGTCAACGAAGACCACCTCGTTTCCTCCCGCATCCGTTGCAAAGACAAAGCGTGCCGATAAGAGGTTCGCCTCTGGGTTGTGCATCAGTGAGTCCTCCACTGCCTTTGGCGCATTGAAGCAATCCGGCGTCACGACACGACACACCCACGGCAGGCCGAGCATGAAGGGGAACGCGCAGACCCACTGGGCACAGAGGAGCGGTATTTCCGCAGGCACGACGCACGTCTCGATGGGCTTCCTCGTCATGGCGACTGCCAGGACGAAGCGCTCACCTACGCACGTCATCTTGACAGCAAGGAGCTTCTTGAAAGGGTAGCGGCTAGAGTCCGCGACACAGGGGTTGATGGCATTAATGAGCAGGCCGTCAATGGCGTTGCGGTAGTCGCGCATGCCGAGATCGCTGATTACGCCCGGGCGGGTGCCAGTTGCCTCGTCGGGCGGCGCATATTCGTCAAGCAGGAAGCCAACGACGAGGAGAGAGCCGGGCCAAACGTGCAATTCTCCTGGCTTGCCCAACGCGAGAACGCTAGAGTTGGTGGCCTGCTCAACATTGTTGGAGAGTGCGGCTAGACCTCTGCCCTTGGTCGTGAGCTGGGCGTGGAGGCTGGAGATGCCGAGATTGCCCTCCTCGGGGAACTCGCCGATATGCTCAAACATCGCCATAGACGAGATGATATTGTCCTTGGCGTCAATCCAGGCCCATCGCGGCACGTCGGAATCTGCAGGGAAGACGAGTACGCGGACGTGGTGCTCTGACGGTCTAGTGGTCTCTGTGAAGTTGGCAAAGGCCTCGCAGACATGCTTGTGAGTCTTCCAGTCCTTCTTCTGGCATGTCGTCGAGCAGTATGCTGCCTGACGGCACTGTTTGCATGTATTTCCGCCGTGGTTTGAGCACATCAGGCAGAGCCGGTCTGAGGGGTGCTCGCTGGGCGGCCGAGAGAGGACGAACTCGTCATGAGGGTGCACGTATATTTCGATGCCTCGTTTGGCCATGGTTGTTCTTTGCTGTTGGTGTATGTTGTGCGATCGGCGGATGGTGAAGAAAATGTGATGGGTGAACAGAGTGTTAGGTGTGTGGAAGCAGGTGGCCGAGAGAGGCTAGTCGTATTCTTGTTGTTGTGGTAACTCGGCCTTGCAACTTGCGTTGGGAAATGGTGCCTGGCTAGCCTCGGGCCATTGTTACTCGCCATTGAGCACACTTCCCAATGTCCAAAATGTGCATCAAGAAGGGCACAGAATAAATAATTGTCCGCAATGTTTCAGGCCCTGTAGCATCAGACCACTACCGCTTTGAAATGCTTCTCTTGTTTGTTTTGCTGCCCATAGCAATTTGCTTAAACAAGCTCTTTTCGCATATATATACACTCGATAGGGTACGCGTTGCCCTCTGGATCGTGCTCCTCCCATGCATGGGGCTCTCTGTCATACAGCACGTAGCCACGGCGCGAATACCACTCGTAATTAGAAATCTACTTGGTTGTCAGCGAGCTCGTGCAACACTGCTCAACTGGAAGGTTTTCCAGGTATCACTCCTCGGGTCGATATCGGCCAAACGAAGCAGGAAGTGACTGCATTCATCCGAAAAATGCGAAGGACTAACCTTTGGCACGGGTCGTCCCGTCTTAATCCGCGTGGGGTTGTTCTCCGCAAGCTCTTCGGGAGCAATGGTGTTGAGCGTGATGGCCTTTGCGCCAAGTTCCTCTTTCGCCGTTCTGTATTTGGAGAGAGACAAAGTGTGACCAGGAGTCAGTGCCTTTTCTTCCCCAGAGATTTCTGAAGTGCCCTCTTTGACGGGAAAGCAGCTTACCGCTCACACTCTTTGAACGCAGCCCCTCCAAGCCCAAAGTTTTGCAACACAGTCGACACAAAGAATGTGTTGAGCGAGTAGACACCCTCTGCTGCCGACGTGCCTAGCCTGTACTTGTCGCTCCACGCATCGAGCGAGATGTGACCAACTGGATAAAATTCCGCCAGAACGGGATTAGGTATGTGCGGTTTGCCAAGGACACCCGTCTTCACGCTGTCTTTCAGAGGCGAGGCTTCTGCTGGAAACGCTGCCCAGTGTGCTGAGAGGCGGGCGGGCGTTTCAGGGTCGTCCGGGGAGAGGACCTTTGATTGAATTGTTATTACAAGGTTGAACCGTTGACAGAGCATCATCCTACGTGGCTCTGCAGACAACCGGCCTATGAACTTACAATCCAGTACAGCCCTATCAGCCCAGCCCGCTGTGGTTCAGCCCATTTAGGGACCATCTCCGCCTTCCACCCGCACTCGACTCTCTGTAGTCTCATCCGCTCCGCATGCTCAGGTGAGTCTGGATCCCATGGTACCAGGTGTACCTTTGGTGCCTGCCTGGGAGGCTGGACTGGTGCCGATTGCGTTGTTGTCACTGTCTGCGACATTGTCATGTCTTTTGACTGTGTAACACTAGAAGAGCCTTTTGCGCTGTTCGATTCAGGCGAAGCTCTTCATATCTGATGTGCTCATGCCTGTAAGACGGAGGAATTCGACGGCACGTGGTGACGATGCGAACTTCAGTGAGTCATCAATTCCGTTGATCTCCGGAGGTGGTGGGACCCTGCATCGTACAGTAGTTCCCGCCCAGTCTTGTCATTGGCGCCGCCAGAAAGGCACCTCGAATTCCCTCCATCGCAGGCAGCTCGAGGTTGGATCAAGACCTTGTGGGGTAGTCTCTGACAGCCCAGTAGATGTTCAATCTTGAGAGTTCGAAACTCCTTTTAAACGTTTGCATAGTCGGTAAGAATGCAAGACAATAGCACCTGAGCTGTCGGCCTCTGGTGGGCCCTCTGCACAATTTGGTTTGCAGGCGTTTGTTTGTCGTGGTGGGGCACAGCTTCGTTCCGCAGTGGAGCTCGACTTGATGCTTCTGTGAAGCTTCTCCCCACATTCGGTTGGAGCTTGCTTGCTTCAAACAACTGCCACTAAGTCAACGGCAACCGCCTGCCCATCGACCTCACCGGCCTCTTCTCAGTCTCTGTTGTCCGGAAGGCTATCAATCGTCCTGGTTTTCCATCAATCCCAACATCGGCCTGATCATTGCACGACTGCGATACCCCGGAAGATCCAGAATGTCTCGAAACCTCGCCTCCGCCCTCGGCCGAGCCGCCGCCCGCAACTCAAGAGTCTACCTCGCATCAGCGAGCTCAATTGCGCCGCGGCTGGCGGCCGGACGATCATTTCGAAGCTCTACAATGACACACGCAGTGTCAAGAGCGACCTTCACCACAAGCACGCGATTGCCCACGCCCATCTCGCCGGAGCACTTCAAGTCAGCGAAACCCGCGCCACTGACGGACGAGGAATACCACGCGGTGGCGGACGAGTACCTGGAGCAGGTCTTGACCAAGTTCGAAGAGCTCCAGGAGACAAGGGAGGACGTGGATGTCGAATACAGCGTATGCCATGGCCCCATGTCGAGGCGCGGCCGGTGCCCACGGCAGCTCCGGCCTTCTCCTGTTGCAAAATCATCTGCCAGCTTTTCCTGCGCAAACATACTAACCAGAAAATCACACGATTAACAGGCCGGCGTCATGAAGATCGGGTTCCTCAAGAGCGGCGAGTACGTCATCAACAAGCAGCCACCAAACAAGCAGATCTGGCTGTCGTCACCAGTCTCTGGCCCGAAGCGGTTTGACTACGTGACCCTTAGCGAGGGCCAGAATGACAAGCAGGACACGGCGACGGGCGCGTGGGTGTATCTCCGCGACGGCACGATGCTGGACGAGGTGCTCGAGTCCGAGACGGGCATCAGCCTCACGTCCTCGTCTACGAGTGAGATTGAGCCGTGAGGCGTTGCCGCCGAGTACCTCATATGAGCGTTGATTGAAGTGCTTGGGACAACGCATGGAGAATGGACCTGGCAGTGAAGATGTATTTGTATCAAGATTGGGTTACTTGCGGTCTGCGAAGGTGATTCGTGACTGTTCCCTTCTGGCTCACGAAGAGGTCTGTCTGGTGTTTTCAGCAATGTATAACCTCCACAAATGTAATTACCAAATCGGAATGAGTCTGTAGCTGATTTGCCGTGCGCAACAAGGTCTGGTTTTCGTGTGCGAAGACCCAGCTTACGCCGGGCCAGCAGCAGGCGGCTGGTATCTTCCGCACATGCAGGAGCTCTTCCAGCTTCCATCGCTCTTGCGCGTTTCGTACGGAGTCCGTCCAGGTCTCTTCACCTCGAAAATTGGGTTACATGACCTGCGGCCTTGCAAGTCTGACAGCATACCTACCACATCGTGGTCCAGGGGAGAGCTAGCTGCCACCTCTACTTTGGCACTCCCCCCCAACAAGTGTCCGAAATCCCCATATCCATTCTTCCCAGCACCAGCCACATCCCCTCACAAAACCCCTGGTTTCCTCGTCAAGCCACACGGCAAGCGCTCTGGCTTGGTTGTCTCCCTCGCTCAAATTGCGCGGCTCTCATGCTCCGCCCCCCAAAACCTTGAAGGGGACGACGGCCGGGCCTTGGAACAACCCGGCCCCGGCTCATGCTGACATGCAGCAGTGCCTTCGAGGGGACAATCCGACCAATCACACCTTGCAGATCCGAGGGCGCTAATGCACGCCAAGCTATGAATCATAATGGCACATTCTGGATCATGGGCTGCGCTAGGCTTCTTTCGGGGAATCGTTGGCGGGGCGGAGTCCTGATGTAACCTTGCGCCGGTGTTGCGTGTTCTGGTAGTGCGTCGTCCATACGGAGTTGAGTGGCATGGACTGCCGAGTCGGGAGGCTGGCTGTGTCGAGCATGTCTTATCGCGCGGGTCGGAGAGGGTGCCCTGGAGGGCTTGTTGTCGCTCACGGCAGATGTGACGGGAACGGAAGGCGACAGGCGAGGATGATGCTTTGTTGAAGGTGGTCGCAGTCTGATTTCCATCACATAATGGGCACGAACTGGTAAAAACAAGATGACCTGCTTTTGAGTGTATTGTAGGCATTTGGCTGGATAACGTTGATGCATGCAGTGCAGTTCCCTAAGAATCATGGTAATCGGCGTGACAAATGTCAGGCATCTACTTGTCGCATCATGAATGAAGCATGATGAATCACATAAGTAGCTTACGCCTCTATATAAGAAGTTGGCATGCACAATTGTCACGAGAATCATGGTAGAAACGTCATTGATGGGTATCGATTTCATTCTTTCAATCATTTGCGCCTGCCAGACAAGGGAAAAGGTATCTGCACAACTATTTCTTCGCGGCCTCGTCGTTCTTCATCTGCAGCATCAACTTCAGTGCTGCCGTCTCAGCTTCCTGCCGTGCCAGTCGTAGCCGTAGGTCGTCACGTTCCTTCTTGATCTCCTCGACTTCTGCCTCGAGCTCGTCGATGCGGTCGATGCGCTTCTGGCGGTACTTGCGTGCCGCGATGTTGTTGCGTTGACGCTTCAAAAGCACATCTGGGTCCTCGTGTTCCGATGCCTTGCGCTTGTTGCGGCCAGAGGTGGTGCTCGGCTTGAGATTGCCATGGAGTGGAGGGGAGTAGTTGCTGCCAGCCAGGACAGGGGTGGTTGCTGACAGAGGTGTGGGAGGGAACAGGATGGGGTCTACGTAGTCCGAAGGGGACAACGAGACATCTGAGAGACTGTTGTCTGATAGTGTCATGTTGAAGATGGGGCTGGGGTTGAGGCTGAAGTCGGGGGAGATATCTGATCTTATGTATAAGTATATATCCGTAGTGGTGAGAGGACCCCTCCTCATGACTTGAAATGAGTCATTCCGGGAGGGTTGTGAATGGGGGCAAAACTCACCTTGACTGACAAAGTCACCATGCGTATGTACTGCGCTCAGCGAGGAGTTGTGCGAATCGACCAGGTCGGTGCCCAGCTGGGACCAGTCGATTCCGAGATTGACGCCGTCAATGGCAGACGCGGTATTGATGTCGAGGTCGACACCAAACTCGCCGCCGTTGACTTTGGCAACACCTGCGTGATTGCCACCACTGATCTGGATATTGTCAAGCCAGTCGCCCTGCAGACCAAGGCCAGCGAGGGGGTCGTGGTGGTCATCTAGCAGGAACTGGCTTGACAAGAGGTTGTCCGCGCGCTCGGGCGCGGAGGTGACCCCCCAGACAAGCTGGGGGTCAGATTGGGTCGAAAGCGCCGCATAGTTGCGCGGGCTGGAAGAAGAAGGTGGACAAGAAAGCCATGACTCGGAATGGTGGTTGAGACCTTCGGACTGGCTTAAGGGTATTGTTTAGAGTGCCGTCTACAAAGCGACGGCAACGACGAGCGTTGATTCAAGGTGATGAGCGCTTGGAGGGCGCAAAAGCGGTGGTTGTGGGATGAGGAGGAGAAGGAGAGCGGAAGGAAGGCTGAGATGGAGAGGGGATCGGGTCGAGTTTATGCTCACGGGCGGAGGCAGTGGGCCGCAGCGGAACCTCCTGCCGCCCGGGCGACTTCCAAGGTTCCCAAGGGTTGGCCTCGGCGCAGCGCACGCACACGGGCACTCCGTAAGCACTGAAACCTGCCTGTGGGACAAGTGTGGCGCAGGCTACTGCCGGGCCTGACTTTCAGGTGTCCCAAATAATCCGTTTTGGCTGGCCGGTAAATTGGCTGACCCAAGCTGCAGCCCGCTCCCCACCACCGCCAATCATCATCCCAGGGCCGCCCGTGTCCAAGCATCGTGGTGACGTCCTAAGGCAACGAGCGGTTGGTGCCGAGATGGTTGACAAGCGGAGACTTGAAGCTCATCATTCCCCTTGCATAGCGGCCCGTTGCTTGCCAGCCGCACAGCGGCACCCGACGACACACGACCGCGGCCATGATTAACGCCGTCCTCGTCTTCAACGGCCAGGGCCAACCCCGCCTCACAAAGTTCTATACACAGCTTGTAAGTGATGCCCGGCTGCGATTCCCAGTCTGCAAGTGCATGCATGAGAAGGAACTGCAGACGGCTGACTTACCCGGTCCCGCGATCAGGAGACGAGCATACAACAACGTCTCATCACAGAGATCTTCAGCCTCGTGTCGAACCGTCCCAACGGCGCCTGCAACTTCCTCCCGCTCCCGCCCCTCCTTGCCGCGTCCGGCACGTCGCACTCAGCCTCGGAGCCGCACAACGACGTCCCGTCACTAGTCACATATCGCAACTACGCGACGCTCTACTTCATCGTCATCTCCACCTCGACAGAGTCCCCCCTCGCCCTGCTCGACTTGATCCAGGTCTACGTCGAGGCGCTCGACAAGCTGTTCGAGAACGTCTGCGAGCTCGACCTCATCTTCAACTTTGAGGCGCTGCATACCACCCTCAGCGAGATGATCGTCGGTGGCGTGGTAATAGAGACCAACCTCGAGCGGATAGTGGCCGGTGTAAGGGCGCAGGGCACGGTCGCCAAAAGACCAGTCAACGAATCGAGGTCTGGAGGGCTGAGCGCGGCGGGTTTGTCGCTGGGCAGCAACTTTGGCTGGCCAGGCAGGTAGCATCATTATTGGCGTTGGTGCTCAATCATGTTGGTTCTTCTTCCATGAGCTTGTCGGGGGTTGGCATTTACGGGATGCGTAGTCGTTGACATATCAGAGCATCGCGCGCATCGCGTGATTCCGTACTTTGGTATTCGATCGGACAATGTCAATCTGCTTGAACTCCATACAATATGCTACAGATGCGCCTGGCCTTTTGTGACAACTTCCTCCTGATACCTCCCTCCCACTATATAATCGTACACGGCGCCGCAAGGCCGGACGCTCGCGGCTCGATCATTTGTCTGATGTCGTTGAGCTCTGAGGATACCGCCGCGACTGCTGCTCGTCGGGTGAAAATGACGCGAATGCATTCCTGAATGCTTGCCGGACCTGTACAACGTGGATTCATTGGTCAGTCCATCGTGCTATTATTGTCGGGGGCACTGGTCAGAAGTGAACTGGGGATTGATAGAATGACTTACCCCCTCAAATGGCGGGTTTTCTGTTTGCCAGTCCATCCAGAATACTGTGTATACTCCAACGACTATTCCAGGAAATCCGTCAGCCACTATCTCCAGCCCTCGACCCCTACTTCTTTGTGACACATACGACCAGCGGAAGGAAGCACCCAAGCCAACCACTCCCCCAGCATCCGCTGGCTTCATCCGAAATATCACCATGCAAGGGAGGAAGAGGAAGACTCACAGGAAACGCTGAACAGCTGCGCAAGCCGCACGTACTTGTCCCACCGCGGCCGCGCGGTCGCCAGCTTGACGCGCCGCTGGTACCGCCGCTCGAACCGGAACTGCTCCTTTTCAGACAGCTTGGAGAAGTCTGGAGGCCAGACCTTTTTGGGCTTGTATTGCGACGAGTAGATGTTCTCCGGGCTGAGCTTGGGCGCGGATGCTGGCGCGGGGCCCGGCCCGCCGCGCAGCGAGGCGAGGCGTCGTACGAGGGTTGCGCGCATCGTGCGGGCGGAGGAGGACCTCTGGTGGTCTCGTTGTCGGGGGGTTTTGGCGTAGATGAGCTAGAGCAGTGTCGGTGTTCGTGGTCTGGTGTGGTCTGGTGAGGTTGGTTTGAAACAACCTGCCGCGACACTGTCTGGATGTGGTGCTGGGTCCTCGTAATGGTGTTCAATGTGGTGGGCTTGCAATGGGGCTCTGTGTGGCTCGTTTGAGTTGGGTATCGTCGTGAAGGTGGTTGCCGAATGGCACGACAAAAGTTGGAGGGGACTTCCCTGGCCGAGAGCGCGGGAGTGTTCCGCACCGAGGATGCAAAAGGCGGGTGCCAGCCACGGATCACTTGGAGGGCATGGAAGGCACTCAGCGAGGCACCTGGATGGGTGCAACGGCCCCCACTCACGTCACTGAGTCTACAAGGGGACAGGCATCCCCTCCCCGTCCAATGGCACCACAGAGGCAAGCTCCCTCAAGGTGCCTTTTCGTTGCAGAATGAGAATCATGTTGAGGCTCACTCAATAGCTCGATCAATCTGGCACCAGACTAGAACTAAGAGACAGCCGGCTCACGGCAACGATAGTGATTGAGCATGTGTAGAACAACTATCATGAACCTTTAGGCTGGACATTGCACCTACTGAATACAAGCGATCCGTCCTGGCACCGTAATCCATAACCGAAATCAAAGCAGTCAAACTCCACGATCCCATTCCAAGCTACCCAAAAGAAAACGTCGCAACTACGACTGCCCCCGCAAGTAAGGGCAAATCAAGCATGGCCGACAACAGGACAGACGGCGCCCTCGGCGGCGCCGGCAACGCTCGGGTGCCCGATGACTTTGCCCTTGTGGTGGCCGACCTTGGCATGCGTGACGGGACACTCCTTGTCCGGGTCCTGGCCCTCGGTGGCCGGGTGGTCGGGCGGGAGCACCGTCGTGACGGGCCCGACGACGGGGCACACCTTGTCGTCGAGCTCCTGCGCCTGGGGCTCCTTGACGAGCTTGCTGACGACCGGGCAGCGCTGGGCGTCGGTCGGGCTGGCGCCGCTGGGGATGGGAACCTCTGGGTGCTGGTGCAGGTTGCCGTGGTGCTCCGTCTTTGCGCCCACGACGGGGCACGTCTGGCCTGGCTTGGACAGGTCGACGGCCGGGTGGGAGGGCGGGAGGGTCGAGTTGGTCGTGCCGACGACGGGGCAGACCTCAGCGTTGTTCTTGGAAGACATATTTGTGTTGGGTTCAGAGATTTTGTTTCCTTGCTGTGATAAAGGTTCCTTGGCAGCGAAGCGGTGAGCCGGCAAATGTTGTGGTGACGAAGATGAGGCTCGAGATGTGTGACAAGCAGTAGAAGAGGAAGGTTGTCTGAAGCAAGTCCGGGCCTAGAAGGAGGGGCTATGGGACCTCTCAAGGAGGAGGATCTGCGAGACAACAGCAACAGAGCTAAGGCTGTGTGTGTGGCCTCTCTCCTTGCCTTCACCAGGCAATCAGTCCAAGCCAGTTAAACTCTGACCAGACCCGCCGTCCAACTCAACCTTGCGAGGGCGCAGCCGTGCATTACTTGTCACACCTGACCGCGCACGCCAGGCGAGGCAAGCCATGTCATACGACCGGATCTAGTCCTTCTCGCGCAGGATTGACGCCCTCGTCGCCCAGGCAGGACTTTTCCCAAGCGTTACAGTGTTCCGTGAAGGTGTTTGTGCAAGCACGCTAACGTCACATGTGTCTGCTGCACACTCCCTGCCATGCATGACGGAGCAGGCTTGGCTGACGATGCACCAGTGACAAATGGCCACTCGCTGGTTGGGCGAGGGCCTGCCATCGTTCCCACCCTGGTCCCGCTGATCTGGGGAAGCAGCCTTAAATTGGGGGGGGGGGGGGGGGTTGTGCATCCATGCAGCCTGGGCATTGTGAAGCTGCTGTCCATGCGCAATCAGGCACACTAGTTAGTACCTAACAATCGTACAAGCAGACTCGCTTGTGAAATGAGAAAGTCTGCATTACACAAAGAAGATAATCCAGGCGATGCGCCTTCATCCCCTAGAAACAAGCGAGCATGTCTTCATCGCCCTCAACCCCAAGGAAGGGAGCGCCGAGTTGGCAAGAGACCCAAGAGTCTCGGCCTTTACCCCCCCAGGAAGATAGACCTGTCCTGTGTTTGGCGCACCGCCTCTTCATCTGCTGCGTCCCTTGGCTCGACAACTTGCAAGATCCTCAATGACAGGCTTATGGATACCAAGCGCTTGAAAGAGGGGTATATATTTCTAACGCTAAGTAGCCAGCAGAAGGGCCCAGGTATAATCTCCAATGTACCTTGGCATGCGTCTAAATCTAATCGCTGCTAGGACATCTCCTGATGCCAGTGCTGGCGCTCAGGGTCGTGTCAGGGAACAGCCGGAAATATACGGGAGCTGCAACGGATGCAGTGGATATAATATGTAAGTTGAAGCTCGACCGGTGCGCTAGAAGCACACGTCGTCCTGGTAGTCCCAGGACTCAAAATCATCCCCGGCTGAAGACGTAGTGCACCGCCGCCCGCATAATATCTTGAGATGGATAGTGAGGAAGCTGATGAGGGGTAACTTGGCGGTTGTCTAACTTGCCAGGAGTTCCTACCTCCGTGGTGTAGCTAAATCTTGTAAGTATAGCGGACCGTTTAGTGAAGGAAAAGGGTCGGCGGGGTGACACGTACCATTCACTAGTTGCCTCTGTTTATTGAGCCAGCTCTTCGGCATATCTTGGCGCCGTTGGAGGACGACATGGTTGCTTTGCATCCTGCTGTTCAAGTCGTACCACGCTGACGTGAGGAGTGCGTTCTCGCGCTGCAGGTGCTTGATCTTCTGATCCCGTTGGGCCTGTTTGTGATGTCAATACAAAATGTCTGGATAAAGAATTGCGCGAGGCAACAGACCTTTTCTGCGACAAGTTCCGAGCCAGAACGCAGTTCCTTGACCGTGCGCTCTAGCTCGCGGTTCTTGGTTTCCATCTCGTCGATGCGCTGCAGATAATTGTAAGTGATGGTAACAAACCGTCATGTATGACCCGCGACGTACCGATTTCAGCGTGTTGTGGCGCTGCTTGATCTTCTCAAACTTCTCTTGGGTCATGAACTCGCCCGGCCCTTCAGGCTGTCCCTGCAGCTGTCGAGCAAGCTCCTCCTTCTGCCGGCGCACCTCGTCCCTGTCGACAAGGGTATTAAGAAGTTGAGTCTGAGCGTTCTCATAAAGATCCTTGAGCGACTTGAACTCGGTTCTCTTGGCATCAAGTTCGGTACGCAGGGAAACTGCCAACATGCCGTCCGTCCGCTTCAGCTCATCCAACTGCTCGAGTGTCGCCTTCTCGACGGTGCTCACTGTATGCCATGGTCAGTTGACTTATTTACCCATCTGGACAGCACAATCACTTACAGTCGCCGCGTGCGGCAACGAGATCACGATCTTTGTCGGCGAGCTCCTGTTGAGCGGCTTGCAGCTTGAATGTGAGAGCTTTGACTTCGGCTTGCTCTGCGAGAAACTGTGTCCTCAGCTCGTGGTAACCACTATCCCTGTGGCGTTGTCAGTAAGGCATTTGAGGAAATAATCGAGACCGGTAGTCTTACCTGTCTTTGCTGAGTGCATCAATCTGCTTCTGGCCCAAGATGTGCTTCTCGGTCATTTCGTTGAACTTTTCTTGGAGTGTCCTGTAGGAGGACTTGAGATCCTCCATTTCCACAAGCAGCTGTCCTTTATCACCCTCGGTTCCAATGCTACTTCTGAGGAGTGTGTTCTCTGCTTGTAGTCGCTGGATCTCAAGGTCCTTCATCGACACCGCTGGCGGGTTCTCGCTCAGCTCATCCTCGAGAGAGCTCGAACCAATGGCAGGCCGCATTTCCAAGGCAGCGGATGGATCCACCATCATGATTTTCTCTTGGAGGTCCTTGACGATTTGCTCGTCAGATTGTGCACGCTCTTCCAGGACTTGCACCCGCATCCTTAGCGCAGTGTTCTCGCTGGTCCACAAGCTCTTCTGGTCGCGGAAACTGGCATACTCGAGCTCGTACTGCTGCATCTTGTTCGAATACTCGGAGGCCTCACGGCGGTATTGCTTGATCTTCTGGTCGGCTTGGCGGAGCTGCTCTGTGATGCCTGCAAGGTCGAACTTGTCGTTCCTGAGGCTCTGCAGCTCCACCTCTTGTTCCCTGAAAGCCTCTACCTTCTTGCGATAGTTTTCCGCCATGTTCGCCTTCTTGGTCAAGTCGTCAATCATAATCTTGAGTTCTTGATTGTCGTCGGCCAGAGCGTCTGCCTTCTTGGCCCTTGTTTCCAAGGTCTTGTTCTCCCGCTCGAGACGTATCATCTCGTCACGCGAAGTCTCGATCCGCTCTTCCAGGTTTGCAATGACAGCTTCAGCATCACGCAACTGCTGCTGTAGACGATGCTTGTCGTAGTTGCCCATTTCAGACTCGATCTGCTTGCGCAGCTCTTCGTTCTCGTCCTGGAGCTTGGCGTGCTTGTCCATCATCTCGTCATGGTTGTCTTGCAGACGATCTAAGCGCAACTTGAGGTTCGCTGCACGGCGATGCGCCTCTTCAGCTTCGTGTTGCCAGTGTGCCCGCTCCTGCTCCAGCAGCAGCTCATTATCATTGTCATAGTCATCACCGGTCTCCTGGCCCGCAGGCATGCTAGAATCTGCTCCATCGGCCGTATCGTCCGACTTGATGAGTTCCTGAGCTCCCTGTATGAGAGCCATGATGGTGCCTCCGCTGGCTTGTAAGTCGGTGGTGATAAGCTGAACATTTTCGTTACGCTTGTCTAGGCTCTCCAGCATGACTGAAGCACTCAGGAGTACCGTCAAAACATCGAGAAGGCGCTTTGGGTCACCATCGATGCGGTGCGAGTCTATCCTCTCGGCAAGGGGTTTGATGTCGGGGCACTCCCTGCTGGCGAATTTGTTGAGCGCGGCGCATATGATATGCAGCCCACGCGAAGTATGATCTTGGTCATCGTTTGAGGCATCTAAGTGTTGCTCGAACCGCTCGCCATCGTACTGCTCGTCTAAGATTTCGAGGAGGTGGTGGAATACAATGCCGTCAGATAGGTCGGATGGGGACTTGGCTCTGTTCTCGACAGCTTTCTTTGCCCGTTTCTCGAGCATGAGATTTGCCTTGAAGACACGACACACGGTCAGTAGGATATCCAGGACAGACCGCTAGTCTTTATAATTGCGGGATCGGAGGCTCACCCATTCGAGCAGGACCCCTTGGGTCGTCGCGTTGTAGGTGAAGAGAGGCATGTTGAGGATGTGGTGGTGGTGGTGCAGAGTGGGCCTCGGTATCCCGAGAGATGTCGGCACTTCGGACTCGGCTAGGTAGCTGTCTGAAAGGCGGCGAGGAGAAAGACGTTGGAGGAGGTCATTCTACATGTGCAAGGTCGATATTGTTGGCGGACAGGGAGGGGCGCGCTGGACGATTTGTTGTAGCCAGGGAGGTTCAACTTGGTTGTGTGCCCTTACGTGCCGGAGGGATCAGGGTAGAGGGGACGACGTGCGGGAAGCGATGCCGTAGATAGTCTTTTGGGACTGGATGAGACACGATATGAAGGGAGTTGCGAGGTGGTTGTCGACGGCGGTGACACGAAGTGCTGAATACGCAGATCGAGGGGGTCCGTTATGCACAATGCAGATGCCCAAGCCGAATGCACTTTGACGTGTCGAGCACCCGTGGCAGATCTTGGGCTATTCTCCTTCAGGCATAGCGCCAGGTTCAGGGGTCTTTGACTCCAGTACTTACGGCGCCCCTGCCCGAAGGACAACTAGGACCCCCACCTGCATCTGGTGAGGCAGGAATTGACAAGCACACAGTACGATCACGGCAGAAGCTCATATAGGAGATGGAGGACGATATATCACAATTTACACTTTCGCCTCCAGCACTTCTCCTGCGAGGCAGTGACTTCAGACTGACCAAGTACCGAACGAACAGGGCCATTACTGCACACGATCCTAGCCCCACTCCTCCATGACATACAAGTCTGCGGTCCGTCGTTGTCTGCCTTTATGCAATGTCGTGGCCTTGTTTGACACGAGTCACCGGTTCATTTGCCAGCATCTCCGCGCAGGACAATCTCGGCGACACCCTGGTTCGGCCCAAGCCAGTGCTTCTTCCCCCATAAGAACCATGACCCGATCGCCCCAGCGATGACGGTCGCAAACACCGGCCCGCTGTAGTTCATTCCCGTGGCCGTAACGGGAAGGGTTGTCGGAAATGGCAGCCAAATCATAGAGTAGACGGTATAAACGAGAGCGAAAATATTGACAGGGGTACCGATTCGTCCCATAGACCAGTCGCTCGTCTGGAGCCCGCTGGTCAGGCGTTTGTGAAGAGCTACCCCAAGAATGATTGCATAGCTGAAATACGAGCCGAGCGAAGACAGAGAAGTGACAGCGCCAAAGGCAATGTAGGTCCCAGTCCCAAGGTTAAGCAGCGACAAAAGGGCGACAAGGAAGCATGTCAGCAGCACGGCCCGCATGGGAACACGATTCTTGGCGTCAACATGGCCAAAAAATCGTGGCACTGGAGAAATCAGTGTCAGTAAAACAATAACAAGCACCTCCCCGGCCAGCTTCGGGTTTCGTTGGTAGCTTGCACAGATGGGACAATAAGGCCACCTTACATCCCCCGTCTCGAGCCTAACCCCAGGTTAGGAGGGTCGTCGAAGAGAATGATGATATGCCGCAGCCCAGACAAACGAAGTTGATGCCGGTTGTGATAATCGTTGCGAACGATCTGGACCCAGTCGCTGTGCTTATCAGGTAAATATAAGGGTTGGAAGACATAAGCAGATCCTCAACAGGAGGCATGCAGGCCTACAACCTCAAGATTAGACTTGTGAATCTTCTCAAGTAGGGCCCCAGTTGGCTTCAAAAACGCTTACAATGTAGGTCACAAGCATCAGGAGCCCCAGAAGGCCCGTTGGTAACAATCGACCAGAACATAGCTTGCGGAACCGCACGCTTGTCGTTTTCGGTCTCCTCTCCCATGTGAATTACACACTCGAAACCTACAACGTCGTTGGCTTCGATGTTGGCTTACACCATAGCTAGATTATCAATCCAAACTTCCAGACGAAGAGCCAGTTTTGTGTCAGCGTGCCGATACTCCACGAAACGTAGTCGTTATCCCAGGTGGAGTATTTTGTCCTACTTAAGAAGAACTCTGGGGAGTTTCGCGGCGCCATAACCCACAGCGCGACGAAAGTGATTACAAAAAACACGAGATTAAGGACGCCAGAAACAAGTTCGAACCAGGGTACAACTTCGAAAACCCACAGGTTAAGGACCGTCAGAAAAGCCATTGTCGCCAGGAAGATTAAGGTTGTATGCCAGCCTCCCGGTACGTAATCAGGGCTATTAATCTGGATTCTTGCTTCCAAATTAATGACGTTGCCATTCAAGATAGAAGCTAGTGTCGCAACGAATGCAAGCCATGTAGCCCAGCCTTGCAGCCAAGTCAAGAACAGTCTGTACTTCTCTGGTGAATAGGCATAGGTCCAGTAGTACTGGGCGCCGGCGATAGGCATGTTCGACGCTAATTCTGCAAGGCAGGCGGTTTGCGCGAGAACGCCGATGAATACCACAAGATAGTTGAACAGGAAAGCGACCGGACCGCCATTGAAGAGGGCGTAGTACATATTGCTGTCAGGCATCATACCGCGGGTCAGTCATGACTGGTCAATGCGTAGATACAGGACCATGAGGTGTCAGAAGTTCTGATGGGTACTTCCGTTCCCAGACCAATTCATGTCACAAACATGAGCGAGAAAGCAAAAAGCTGCAAAGGAGAAAAGAGTCTTCTCGTCCGCGTTTGTTTCTCGATGAGCGACGCTTCGTCGGCGCGTCCGGTCTGGTCGTTCTGTTCAGCGACCTTGACAACCGTCATTTCTAACTTGACCGCAGCCATGGCTACGCGTGACACAATTTTGTTAGATCCGCCAGCATTTCCGGCTCGAATGTAATTTGGGTGCCGTTGGTTGCGGTGAAGCCCTCGGGTGGGAAGGCTAGTATTGTGGCTGATGAGACACTGTGCTTCCGTCAGTGGCAAACCCGAGTTGAGTGCTCTAGGTATTCGTAGAACAATGTGGGAAGGAGGGCAACCAGGCTTTTAATCACAGAGTGACCTTTTGGCCCCATGTCGCACAGCATCGCCAAGATAGCGAATGCGACCTCACCTGGTCGGATCACTGACCCCCCACCAAGGCGCAGACAGCAAGGATCTGACATGCCAGTCCTGCTCGATAGATCCGTGGCAAGTTCTGATATATCACAAGCCTTGGCACCAGTATTGCTACAAGTTTTGGAACTTGGGATTCCAAAGTCAGCATTTGCAGCCAGTATCCAACTTCCGAGGCCATATCTATACCCAGGGAGTTGCTCGGCGGATCAAGTCGCATCAAGAGCTTGCCTCTTCAAATTTATCGAGTCTCTACTGAAGCTCATGTAGCTGTTGCATGGGTACTGACACCTTCCGAACTTTGATATCTACACCGTGCCTTGGCCATCAGTGACTGTTCGTTGAGGTACGTGATATGATTGCAACCCCGCTCGTCGAGTGAAAAGTCGCGATTCTGCGGGCCGAACTCTAGCACATGGTCGTATTGGACTGATAGAATTGCTAGTTTGTCTGATCTGACTGGTCCTTGGCACTGATGGCAAGGAAGCAGATACTAGGGTGCAATCAACTGCATACCGACCCCGGACTCATGCAGGACGATCCTTGTCGACCGGCTTGGTGCCGACCATTCCACACCCGCATCGCGGCACGGTCCGAGTCTGCAGCTTCAGTTGTCAGCATAGGCAATCTGTTGCCAAGACTTTGCGCAGTCAATATTGACGCATGCCTTTCACAATAACTCGAATTCAAAGGCACCAAGTCTTTTAGAATGGCTACTGTACTTGTTCACATCGTGTCTGACGGCGAGGATGCAGATGAATGAGTTCTGCCAGCGTTGCCCTGGCTTTTAGCCATGAGTATGCGCAGCTCCCAGCCAAGTGACAAGTCTCGTGGAGTTACGCACCTCTAGATTCTGAGCATCTCACGGCTTTATGCTTCACAATTTGATCTGTGGAACGCCAATCTGGCGAGGTGGCCTTCTTCAACATTGCACCACGGTTTCTAAGGCTATGCTGGCTGCAAACAGCAATCAGCGCAAAAAATGTGTATGGAGCCTTTGGGCGCTCAGATGGAGCCAGGCTTGACACACGAAGAAGAGAGAAACTGGATACTCTTTGGAATCGAAGGGTTTTCTTCGAGGTGCTGCACAGATGACATGTATGTATCCGACATAGAACTACGGGACCAATAATACACTACTCTGCCAAGTCGGTCAAGTAAATAATTCTTGGCTTCCCGTGGCAGAATTACGCACCCAGAATGCTTCCTGGCCAGATAACCCCAACCCGAACATGTACACAGACCGAGTCATATTTATTTTAATGCATGATTGAGTCAAGTTTTAGAATCTAGGAAATAATTAAATTGATCTATACACAATAGCGACTATGGTTTTGTCTTTTGAAGTGCCATTGGGAAACTCATACTTTTGCAGGCGCGACACTGATGTACCGTTGTCCGCGATTCTGCAATCGGCGAGCATGCCTCGGCAATATGAGCATTAGCTGCGCTAGCTTTTACTGCAACGCAACGCAAGGGCGAAGTGCTCAGTTGGCGCCAGTAGACTTCATGACGATTTCCGCCACGCCCTGGTTGGGGCCAGACCAGTTGTGCTTCGCCCACGCGAACCACGATCCAATAGCACCAACCATGAAAGCCACGAATACGGGGCCGCAGTAGTTCATGGTCGCAGCTGTGACGGGAACGGTGACAGGGAAGGGCAACCAGATCATGCAGTACAGGGTGTAGACCAGGGCAAAGATGTTGACGGGCAGGCCAAGACGGCCCATGCTCCATTCAGCCGTCTTCAGGCCCGTTGTAAGCCTTGCGTAGAGGGATACGGACAGGATGATGGCGTAGCTGACGTAAGAGCCGAGGGACGACAAGGAAGTCACGGCGCCGAAGGCGATGTAGGTACCTGTTCCGATGTTGAGAAGGGCCAGGAGCATGACAATGACACAGGTCAGGAGAACAGCTCGCAGAGGAACGCGGTGCTTGCCGTCGACGTGACCAAAGTAGAGGGGCACTGTAGAGGACGAGTCAGTCTATGTTCCCTCCCATAGCAATGAAAAGGATCGAGGTCTCAACTTACGTCCACCATCTCTAGCCCACGCCCAGGTGAGACGAGTAGTGGAGGAGAACGAAGACAGGCAGCATCCCACGCCGATGATGGTTATGCCGGTAGTCAAAACGGTCGCCACGGTTGGAGAGCCTACAGCTGTCTTCAGCAAGTAGATAAAGGGGTTCGAGGATGCGAGAAGGTCCTCCACAGGCGGCATGCAGATCTAGTGATTCAATTGTCAGTACTTGTGTCATATTGTCATGACGGCAGCAGCAAAATGACTGGGACGTTCGCTTACAATGTAGGTAATGATCATGACGAAACCGAGAACACCATTCGTGACGATGGACCAGAACATAGCCTGCGGCACAGCACGGCGAGCATTCTTGGTTTCTTCGCCCATGTGGATGACGCATTCAAAGCCTGATGCAGTAACGTTGATTAGTTGAGAAGCCATGGCAAGGGCGAGATGACAGCGCTTCAGTCAAGGGATAGACTTACTGATGAACAACCAGATCTGGGTGAGCATGCCGACGTTCCAAGATACGAAGTCGTTATCCCAACCGGAGTAGTTCGTCCGTGTGAGAATGAACGAAGCTGGATTGCGCGGAGCCATGACCCACAGGGATACCAGCGTGATGAGGAAGAATACCACATTCAGAATACCAGATCCCAGCTCAATCCAGGGCACCAAGCCAAAGAACCAGCAGTTCAAGATGGTGCAGAATGCCAGCATAGCCATGACTATGACGGTGGTGTGCCACCCTCCATTGACATAGTCGGGGAAGTTGATCTGCACACTGGCCTCGAGGTTGACAATCGTTCCGTTGATGACCGAGGCAAGACCTGCGACGAAAGCAAGCCAGGTTGCCCAACCCTGGATCCAGGTCATGAACATCCTGTACTTGGGAGGGGAGTACGCATATGTCCAATAATACTGAGCACCAGCGATTGGCATAATCGAAGAGAGCTCGGCAAGACATGCCGCCTGCCCCAAGACGCCAGCAAAGACAATGATGAAGTTGAAAAGATAAGCGACCGGTCCACCGTTGATCAAGGCAAAGTACATGTTGCTGTAAGCCGACAGGTGTCAGTCATCTATTTCGATCTTCCATGGTACAAAGTCGCGGTAGACGCTAGTGGCACGGTTTACTTACGTTCCAAGGCCTCCCCAGGTGATGAAGTACACCAGCGAGAACGCAAACAGTTGCGACGTTGAGAACAACCTGCGCGTTCTCGTCTGCTTCTCGAGGAGGGATGCGTTGTCGGCACGACCCGCCGAGCCATTCTGCTCGGCGACCTTGATGTCGGCCATCTCAAACTTGGATTCCGCCATTGCAGCGACAACAGGCTTGAAGAACTGATACCAAAAAACGAATGCAGTAACGAATGAGGCTGAAGGATACCGGTGAAGATCACTTCGAGTCCTGTGCTTCTCAAGGTAAGGGCCAAGAAGAAGTTGGGGATTGGAGAGGAAAATGAGTGTGCCAATGACAAACAACTGCAGCTGAAAAGGACCTTCCAACCATACGAGTTGGCAGCCCCTTGTCCACGCCACAACATGCGTTGCCCGTCTTCCATACCGAACTAGCCCTGCCCTCACATGGCTGAGGTGGTGGAGTATCGTGTCGATGCAACAGGAGGAGACAGACCCTTGACAGAGAAGAGTTCTCGACCCTGGGCGGAAGTGCCGCAGGGGTTACAGGCCCTTGTCTAGGAGCTGAGGAACTGACTAGTGCACACGCAGCATGGCGTTCCATAGTGTCACTCGATCTCTGCTCTCCGCTTGTCATGAGTAGACCGGAATAGCGCCCGCTTCCCCCGTGTGGTAGGTACGGCTGACGGCGCCTCCCATCGAGAGTGCTGGGGGTCGATGATCGTGCCAGAATTTGGTGTACGACATCTTCCAAAACGTGCCATGCCAGCAAGGTGCTGACCGGAGCATTCGATGCGACGGCCTATTCTCCAAGAAGGGCACGAGCAACCCGTCTGGCTCGATCTGACACGAGGACTGATTTCCCGCTTGTGGAGATGCCGGGACTGCAATGAAGCGCGGCAATGGCGGAGGACAGCGGAACAGCGATGGCCCTAATACCAATCCCTGTCACGGGTTGCGCCGCGGTTGGACGGGATAATCTGGAGGGCATAAAAAGTCAAGGAAGAAAACTCAGTTTCGCGGCCTATTACACTAATTGGGAAGTGGCTCGAGTGTTCTTCAGACATGGAGCACAACCAACTGCATAGGACCCTGGATCGTCAGGCCACAGACCCCTGCCCACCGGTCTGTCCAGGGCACGGCCCGCTGAAGGTTCCTGGAGCAGACGTTCCATTTCTGAGCGACTCGGCCGACATATCTCTCTGTGATATTAACTTCGGGTCCCTGGAGTCTCCGAGTCTTGACACTGTTCCAAGAAAAGCTTGTGGCTCGACCACCCCAGCTCACCGGGCGTATGTCGTCAGGGGCATGTTGGCATTTATGCTGTGCGTTCAATCTCGCATAATTCACAGCTGGAACCCGCACTGACACCGCCAAGGACCACAGCCTTGCGTGTTCGCATTCTCATTCACCCCGACCGCAAATAGAGTTTGCAGGGTTTCATCCGCGGTGGTCCAGGAGGTCGCCCGACCTCTGTCGGTGCGAGGGCCTCGTGAGATTGCCAGCCACGGACCAAGGCATTGTGACCCCCCTTGGACAAGCTTCGCGTGACTCAGGGATAATTGACTTGGCAACAGCAACAGCGGCTGGAAGGGCTTGTTGCCCCGGCATGCAGAATTTCTCCGCATGCTCATCCATACGACGTTGAGCGATGTCCGAAGTCTCTGAAGTTCCGTCCTCGACGCCTTCCATGCATGTTGAAAGCGTGAGGTAGCAGTGCCCAGCAAACTCCCTGCCGTCTTGGCTGCTAGACTTGCTTTAGGGTTTTTTCGGTCTCTGGGGTGTTGTGGGATCGAGCGGGTGCGCACTGCTTCCCACGATCGGGTGCGTGTTGTTGGCATGAGCATATTCCGACAAGCTCAGGCCCTTGCAGCTGTGCTCGCCAAGCCCTCTGAAAGTATGTTGGGCGCTGCCTTGCCGGGCTGAAGACACGGGGTCGCTCATCGATCGACTGATGATATATGCAGCGGTGTCGTCGTCCCAGTCCAGCAAAGTCGACGGACGATCTTTACCAAAGTTTTGCCCTGTGCTCGTTCCCCCTCGTCATGGGCATAGATCTGCGGTGACTAGAGCAATGGCAGACTCTCAAGATCAACTGGCGCCCTTCTTCTCCGCCTCCTCAAACGATCAGAGCGCCGTCCTCGTCACCGTCTCCATCGTCGCGGCTGCAGTGTCGGCACTAGCCATCGCGGCTAAGCTCTTCTGGCGCCGGAACATCTACTCACTCAAAGCATACGACCATGCGCTGCTAATAGGCGCTACTTTCTTGTTTGCGTACACGGGACTTGTGGTCTACTCCGCGGACCTGGGCGTGGGAAAGCATCGAGAAGACGTCGGCGACGAGCATCTGGTACTGATTCGAAAGGTAAGCCATCCCCTCCCTCTATCCGGAGATGCCTAATGAGCTAGGCTAACTCACGATTGCCGGCACCAATAAGGTCCAATATGCCGCCACACTCTTGTGGATCGTGATAGGCACGTGTACGAAAGTGTCCATGTGCCTCTTCATCGAATCGATCAACACCTACAACAACATCTTCAAAGCAAACAGGATATTGATCGGAGCAGTCGGCGTGTTAGGTCTCAGCACTTTCCTCGCCAACTGCTTCCGGTGCAGCCTCCCTTCGCCATGGCTAGCAGAGTCGACAGAGTCCTGCCCCGCCGCGACCTCAATCTACCAGTTGACCATCGGGGCGAGCATAGCCACTGACGTACTGATATGCGTGCTGGCTGTGCCGATGATCTGCAAGGTGCAGATAGCCACCAAGACCAAGGTCTTTGTCATCTTTCTGTTCTCCATCCGCATCGCGTAAGTCGACCCTCCCATCGCCTCCACCAGCCTCACTCGTTCTTTTGAGACCATGTCCTGACAGTGCTTTGTTGCACAGCTGCGTCGTCACAGCCCTCCCCGCCATCCTAGATACAACGCACCTCTACAACCGGCAGGACATCGACTACACCTGGCTCTCCCTCAGTCCGGCAGTCTGGCTCGCCGCGACTGCCAACTGCTTCGTCATCACGAACTGCGTGCCGAGTCTCAAGGGCTTGTTTGACAGCTGGCTCGGCAACACGTTGGGTATTGACATCGACGCGCCGTACCAGCTCGAGCGCATGGACGGCAAGAACACGTTTGCGGCCAAGGCGTACGAGACGGGTTGTGGAGGCAGCGGAGCGAGCGGCAGCGGCGGAGGCAGCGGCGCCCACGCGTCGTCCAGGCCCAAGGATAACAGCAGCGCCGTGGGCAGACGCTCTGGGACGTTTGTTGGCTTGCGGCTGGGGCCGGCGGCACAGAATGAAGCTGCGTGCTTCTCTGACAACACTGGCCACCACCGAACCCGGTCCGTTTCAGCTGAGAAGGGGACAAGCCGTCGCCGTGATGCTGATCGCATCAGCGACAGTGACGAGGAGAATGATGCCCACGAGAGCGAGAGTGTGAAGAGACTGACGCGCGGGATAGTCATACAAGAGGAGGTCGAGGTCCGGTTTGACCGTCCAGGCAAGGGGCGGGATCCTGAGTGTGATGACCGGCGCTCCTGGTCGGCATCGACATAATGGTAGCCTGTTTCTTCCATCCAACAAGAATGGTCAGAGTTTTCTGATCACCCAACTCAGGTCCGGAAGCTGTTGGGCTCTTTCGTACACCGACGAAGGACGTATGTACGGTGCTCAGCAGAGCCTACAACAGCTTCAAGCCCGTTCAAATCTGAATGTCACTATTAGACACAAGATTCACAAACCGTGCATCAACCATACACGTGCACATACATGAATGATATACTATTTACGACCTATTTACAATAATTCCAAGCGCAAGTGGAGGCTACAGCTAGTCTCAGTATTGACCGGAAGATAGAGCTTGCCTTTGGTTGTCGACTTGTTTGATGAATGACAGACTGAACTCCGGAATCTTCCCGCATTCACTGGATCATGTGTCGTCGCTTTCGTTCTTTTGGTCTTCGAAATCATATTTGGGTATCTTGCTGGTATGGTGGCTTAGCCTGGGCCTTGATGCCTTTAATGATCACTCCCACAAGCTTGTGATCTAGCCGAGATCTTGCTCAAAGCTCAAGCAAAAGAGAGAGAGAGAGATGAGGCTGATTGCACCAAGCGTTGTTTACAGACTCTCCTGCTGGGTGCTGACGACCTGGTCCTCCTCAACAACGGCGTTGAACTCGGTCTGCCACACGGACATGGTGGTCTCAAAGATCTTGGCAGGCGCTTTGGCAGCAAAGCCCCTGGAGTAGATGACGACAGTCAGCAAATACGTACTTCGGAGTAGATCTCGGTGGAGGCAGTGCGGGCGCAGTGCTTGACGGCCTGCCGGAAACAGTCCGGCTTGATGCACGCTACACAGCAGAGCACCAGCTAGAGATTCCTCGTGTTGCAGACACCACATGGTCAAGCTGGGATATGGGATGGGTCATCGCGCTTACTTGATGAGCTTGTACTCGTGGGTGATGATGCCTCCGGCCTTGCGGATCTCGTCCATGGCGTTGTCGATGATATTTGTGGGGGTGTCGAATGGGAAGCTAACGATGACGTTCTTGGATGGGGCATCGACGGCCAGCGCGCCAGAGGCGGCAGCTAGGACGGCAGTGACGGCAGTGGAGAAGCGCATCTTCGGGGAGTTGTGATATTGTGGAGAGGATGGAGCGGTGTTTATTGCTGTCGAGGTTGTGAGGTATTAGTCTTGCTCGTGGTTGTTGGCGATGGATGATGTAGAGGAGAAGGATCCCACACGACGATGTGGCGGTCGCATGAGCAGCTTACGGGCCCTCCAAGGGTGGTGTGACGAAGGTGGAGGGCCTAGCCGCATGCAATGCGCAGTGTGGGCCCACCAAAGCCGGGGTTTGCTGGGGCGGGCTTAGCCCAGAGAACACTCTAAATGGTGAGTTTGGTGGAGACCACCAGCGGCACAAATATGGGAGCCTGGACACACACACCATCATGCAACCAGAAACCAGAGCAAAGCTGTCCGTTTCGCAGGCACTTCTACTCACTTGCGGGTGCCTGATTCGTTATGCCCAAGCAGATTCTTCATTGTGCCAAGCTGGGCAACTTGCATCGTGCTGCCATTCTGATGACCATGTCTGTGACTATTACAGGACCTGATTGGCTGTGCGTTCCAGCTTCCAAAAGTGGAAGGTACGACCCGGCACGAATGGGAAAGTCAAGTGCTGGAGCCAAGCAAAGTAGTCCCACCTTTTCTTCACCCTCACATCACCACCATCAAGGAGACTCTCGAGATCATCCCTCTGGCCAAGGAGCTAGTCACGGAAGCACGAGCGAGGAGGTGAGTGAGTTGCAAGAGTGAGCCAGCTGGTCCGGATTTCAAATCAGAATCATGCCCCAAATCGGATGTATTGCGCAATGAGGTAGGCGCATCACTACCGCCTTTCATCAGGTCATTTGTTTATTCCAAAGCCATGGCCATCCACCCGAAAACCTAGCACATTATCAGATGATGGAATGGTAGGCCCAAAGCAAGAGAAAACCAATCACAGCCGCCGTAAATCAATAATTGTGGAAATACTACGGCATGGCGATATGTTGTGAAAGAGGTGAGACAGCATGTTCATCTTTGTAAGATCATAATCAAACCCTCCCTATGCTAGCACGTTGTGAATCTCTTTGCTCTCGAGAGCATTCCTGCATCCCAAGGGCCCAAAGTTGCTTGCGGCTGCTCCGGCCATGAATCACCCATAGACTTTCCACGGCGAACACAAAGTTGACGCAGCAGTCGTGCCTGACGAGTCCTAATCAGTGGTAAGACATCGTGCCTAAGCCTCATCCTCATCCTCATGTTTGAGGGCCGACGATTCCTTCTTCACAGCAGACCTCTTGTCCGTATCACGCTCGTCCTCGGGTTCTGCCTTCTTGACGCGGGCCTTGCGAGGAGTCTTGGGCTTGGGCTTCGCATCGCCGTCTTCAGCCGCGTCGCTGTCGGTGTCGCCCTTGCGCTTCTTCGGACTGACGGCGTTGGGCATGTACTTCTGACGTACACGCCACCACTTAGTATTGGCAGCTGCCTTGGTGGCCATGCCGGTCATCACGCGGAGCTTCTCGAGGTCAACCTGTGACGAGAATATGTGAGCTGGACTCCTGCATTCCATCTCGGCCGAATGCCAGTGTGACCTTGTCGTGATATTGAGATCCTTACCTTAGGCTCGTTCTCGAAGCACTGCAGGACAGCGATGAGGAACTCAACATCTTTTTCACCTCCGGATGACTTGGTGTCCGCTTTGGTCGGGGTAGCTGGTGCCATTGTTGCTAGATTTCTTGGTTTCGTTGTGCGAGTTGTCGTGTGTGAGTGGTTTGGTCGGGTAGTTGACTGGGAAAGGGGCTGCACGAGACTTGACGTGGTTCAGAATGTGAACAAACAAAGATTGTAATCGAGATAGGTACGTGTTCGCACTACCAGCTGGGCATTGGTTGCGGCTGGTCAAGGGAACAATGTTCGTGTGCAAAGCAGTTGCTGTGGGCAACCGCATGTGTCAATGCTCAAAGTGCCTGGGGCAGAACTGAGATGGAGAACTGATGGCATTCATTCTGTGACAACACTTCATAGCATAGAGGCAGGACTAGAAATGCCCAATATGATTATATAAGTAAAGGTGATCTCTGATGATCGCGCAGATTGAAAGGAAAACGACACTGATGCACCCAACCACCAAGTAACTTTACTTTCAGCAGATCACCGCTGGCAGTCCTTAACTGGAGACGGGCAACGGGTATGGGATGAATGACCAGAACAATTATCCTTGACTCTCCCTGTGTATTAGACATAAGCATATCCTGAAAATAAGCACAAGATGGTAAGCATGCGCAGGCAGGACTCTTAATACACGGCCGTGCGAATAGCCGTGCTAGGCACCGTAGACATTCGGGCTATCTCTTCACACAACACCAGGTAGACGTCCAACGACACTCCTACGCAAACCGCCACATCGGACATACAATGTGGAACCTACAGCCATGACGACAGTTCCCTCACCGAGGGAGTTCCTCACATCTGTCGTAAACACTCTCTCGGCATACAACCCGGCCGAGCACCAAGCACACCCCAATCAGCAACACCAGCGCCACCATCACCACTACGCAGACCATCCCCCATCAAACCCTCTCAAGCTCATCCCAAACCCGCACCGTGCACTCCTTTCCACTCTTCACGTCCTCTATCCTTCCATTCTTCTGCCCGCTCTGGATCTGCTGGACAGACGCCTGGTCACACGGGTTGTCGTCGCAAATAGCAGCAGCAGTAACAACAACGACAGCACAAACAGTGACACCAAGAACGCCAGGCCAGAAGAGGCATCACTACAACGAACCCGGACATTCCACCTCGTCCGCTCCGCGCAGCAACAACAGCAGTCCACCACCACCTCCCGGCGCCGCCACCATCATCACAACCACAACACGACACTAGACAGCGTGTCGATAGCAGCCGCACTCGCAGGAAGCGGCCGTGGCGCCACGACGATCCCGGCCGCCCCGGCACCGGCCCCGGCATCGGGCGGGAAAGTCTACGTCGTCCGCCTGGACGCATGGAACTGCTCGTGTGCGGCGTTTGCGTTCTCCGCCTTCCCGCCAGAAGCTACGAGCCGGTTCCCACAGCATCAGTCTGGTCCTGGGGCAGCAGGCAGCAGCGCCCAAACGTCATTACTGGCAAGGCTGAAGTCCGAAGGACCCGGCGCTGGGCAGGCCCGAAGCGATGACCACGATCTCGCAAGCAGAACGAGAGCGAGTGATTCGGGTTATGAGATCTTCCCAGCGGCATCGCATGATGAGCATGGCATACATGGTGACGCCGCGCAGACGAATCGGTCGTGGGAGTGCGGCGGGTTTAGTATAGACGGTCTGCCCGGGAGCGGGATCGTGAACGTGCCGTGTTGTAAGCATCTGCTGGCATGTCTTTTGGGCGAGCGCTGGTCGAGCGTACTTGGTGAATATGTTCAAGAGCGAAGAGTCGGCCGGGAAGAAGGCGCCGGACTGATGAGTGACGTGTAGACCTACCACTTCATTATTGCTACGCGGATGTCTGGTGGCATATACGAGATGCATTTCGATCAACGGATGCACGCAGCTACATGCACAGGCAGAGCCTCCGTCTATTCTCTAGCATCTGCTCTTTCATACGAGGCCCAAGTGCACAATTGAGCCTAGCACTCGTGCCTATGGAGATGTCCCTCATCTGTGCGGGACTGCGGCGTCTTACTTCTTCTCTTTCTTCTCCGCAGAATCAGCGGCTGTGCCATTCGTGCCGTTCTTCTCCTTTTCTTTCTCGTCCTTGGCCGCCGCTGCCGCCTCTTCCTTCTTGGCCTCCTTCTCCTCCTGCTGCTGCCTGTTCTGGATCTTGTTGTCGATCAGATCATGGAAGGCCGTGATGGCGCGGATCAGACTGCTCAGGTAGACGGCAAGCAGCTGGTCGTTGGTCTTGACGTTCATGGCGTAGGACAGTTCGCTCGTTTGCGACGACTTGCCATCCGAGCCTGATTTGGGTGTCGACAGGTTGGGCAGGAGGTTGAAAATGTCCTGCAGGTTGCCGAGCACAGCGTGGTTTACTGGTAATTGGCCATCCTGGACTTTCTGAAGGTATACTTGGATCTCCCGTAGCCGGAGGTGCAGCCCTTGCAAGGATTGCAGCTGATTTGTGATGCGTGTGGATAATGTGCCGATGGCAACGTCTCTGATATCGCGAAGCAGGTGCTCGACACCAATCTCCTCCGCCTCCTCCGCCTCGATCGTGGATGGGGTGTGTACGAAGGTCTTGGCCGTTGTTGTGCCATCCTGTGAAATCGTCAGTTCACCAATGTCGTCATGTTGACACCGTCGAACGTTCGACGGGCACTCCAGCAAATGGAAATAAATCTTACATCCTTGATCTCCTCTACCGCGAAGTATGCATCTGTCGGCACACCTGACTCCTTGGGCTGGACATCAATGATGACGAGAAGCGGGTTTGGCGTGTATCTTTTGAAGAGCTCGTTGATCTCGAGATCGGAGGCACGCAGCTTCGGGCCAGAGTGATACCATCCTATCAGTTTCTCGCGGGCGTTGATCTTCTTGAACATGTCGTTCATGTTCTCGACGTAGTTGTGGTCCAAGAACCAGACGGAGGGGTCGTCATTGTCCTCCTCAAAGGGGACGGCAAAACTGTTTGACACCCTCACAACCTGGCCATCGTTCTGGCCGAGCAGCACACCAACTACTCGCTTCCTTGTGCCCTTGGCCGCGCGGTTGTAGTGGTCGACGACGGAGAGCAGAACGAGCGGGGCAACGGTGACGTTCCTGCTAACGAAGGACAGCGTCTCGGCTGTGGTCGCAGGCATCTTGTGAGAGGTGTGTCTCAAGACACAGTCGGCAAGTCAGGTCGTCGCTCCAAGTAGTATGCTGTAGGCTTATGGTTTCTGCGCAGGCAGAGTGGCGGGTGCGGCGGTGACGTGGTTGTGGTGATTGTTTGTGCCGATGATGAAGCTCGGAGGGCGGAATCGAAAGCTCAGGTACGGAAGGCTGTCAACGTAAGTGGTGAGGCTGCCTTCCGCTGCCCGCCAGCCCACCACAGCATGCGCTTGCAAGCAGGGGAGGCACGAGAGCTCGATCCCTGATCCGGAATAGCGCCTTTAGGACGGCCGTGGAGCTGCTGCCCGTGCGAGGCGTTGGCGCCACACTGGAGCAGTTGATGCCGCTCAACTGTGGCTTGTGTGCACGATTCGTGGCTGAGGCTTCCCACAGCGAGGGACGGGGAGCCTGACGCTGGCTCAGCGACATGAGGCCTTCCATGGGCTGGAGCGGCAGACTCAACTTTGCGCTCGTCCCATGTTTCCGCAGCATCTTCACTCCCGAGGAGAACAGAGTGTACAGTTGCCAATATCGACACTCACATGCGACTGTCTTGTCTTGCTAGCGTGTTCAGGATGGGCTTTTTGCAGGCCGTATATAGTGTCTTATCTTTTGGTAAAAAGCAAACAATGCAGCCGCAGTCTATCTACGTGACAGGCCGCGGCTGGTTCACCGATAGACTGTAATTAGATTTCCACTTATCTCCCATCGCGACAGGTGGATGGGTCTCAGGCAATAATGAGCAATGAGGCAAGACCTTGGGTCTTCCCCTGACTGGATCTGCAAACAACTCCCGGTGTGAGCCTTGTACAACAATGTCTCAAGTAGTGTCTCTTGGCAGATATCCAGCCGGCATCTACGACGATCCCTGACGCAGGGACATGAGGCCAATCTCATCATGCAACACCGGCAGAGAGTGATTCTGCGTACTGGCCAGATAGGATATGCTGGAAGGTGCCCATGCCGGGACAGGTGTCGGCGCTGGCTGGGCCAGGGGTCCGCCCGGTTGACCTCGGCGGATTTTGCGGGCAAAGGGGACCAAGGGGGCCGCTGGCTAAAATATAGCCGAGCTGGCTCGTGGGCAGGCGATGACGGAGGTCCACGAGGGTCGCTCAGTGGGAGCCGGGCCCCCCACTCAAGAGGCTCAATTGGCGGGCGGCGGCCCTGCAGGCGGTGCCAGTGCTGGCCTTGCCCCAAGCTCCACGGCCGATGTCGACAGCCGGCCGCCGCTAGGCTCTTCGAGGAGAATGCTGCTGCCACTCGCACGCGATTCTGAACGTCTGCCGCCGCCAGCTAGCCAACTTTTCGTCGCAACCTGGCCCGTCCCGGCTGCTTCCTCCGCTCCCCCGTCGCTCCTATCATTTACACTGTACCTCCTGTCCTGTCTTTTTGCTGTCTCGTTAGAGCCTCACGCAATCCGCTTTCCCTCCCTCTTGCATCCCTTCGTCGACTCTACCTCTCGAGCGGCTCCTTACTCTCCCGCCAGTTCGGTCGATTAGCTTCGCATCGAACAGCTCCTCCTTCGCCCACGCGCACCTCATCGTTGAGCCCTCGCCCGCACCCGCACACACACACACACATCCCCAAGCCGCCAGCATGGGTGCCATCGACACCGAGTTCAAGCGTCTCCAGGACGTCGTCTCCGGCCTCGAGGAGCGCGTCAAGCAGCTCGAGCAGCGCCAGAGCGGTGGCCCTTCCGTGACGGACAGCATCCGCATGGTCATCATGGGCCCCCCCGGTGCCGGTACGTAATTGCTCGTCAAGATCCAGTCGCACGCGGCGTTCGTCGTGTTGCGGAACGGCGCACGCCATGTGCCAGCCGCCGAAAACCATTGCCGTGTAAGCTAATTGCGGGATTTTCATCTCAGGCAAGGGCACCCAGGCTCCCAAGATCAAGGAGAGGTTCTCCTGCTGCCACTTGGTAAGTACTCGCGTAGTTGCACGAGGGGGTCTGCATCATTACAGACGGTGACCGCTGACATGTCCTCAAACAGGCCACCGGTGACATGCTCCGATCCCAAGTCGCCCAGAAGACGCCGCTCGGCAAGGAGGCCAAGAAGATCATGGACGCTGGCGGTCTCGTCAGTGACGACATTGTCATTGGCATGATCAAGTCTGAGCTCGAGAACAACAAGGAGTGCAAGGGAGGGTACGTACATGCGTAAAACAAGGTGAACCCGTCCCCAATGGTGCATGCTGACTCTTGGTGCTTTCAGATTCATTCTCGATGGCTTCCCCCGCACCGTCGCCCAGGCCGAGGCTCTCGACAAGATGCTTGCCGAGAAGCAGCAGAAGCTGCAGCACGCCGTCGAGCTCCAGATTGACGACGCTCTGCTCGTTGCCCGCATCACTGGCCGTCTGGTCCACCCTGCGTCGGGTCGCAGCTACCACAGCACTTTCAACCCGCCCAAGAAGCACATGACCGACGACATCACTGGCGAGCCCCTGATCCAGCGGTCAGACGACAACGCCGATGCCCTCAAGAAGCGTCTCGTGACCTACCACGCCCAGACCGCCCCCGTGGTCAACTACTACCAGAAGACTGGTATCTGGAAGGGTGTTGACGCCAGCCAGGAGCCTGGCCAGGTCTGGAAGAGCTTGCTGAACATCTTTGATGCCAAGCCCAAGAGCGGCATCCTCAGCAAGCTTACTGGCAAGTAAATTTGGTCACCTTAGAGTGACATAAGCAGTTGCCGTGCGCCCCTGTCATCACATGCGGCGCATCGGCAGCATGCACGAGAAAATGGCGAGGCCACTCATCTGAGAGCACTCATCTAATGGCGATTCATGTCATGTCGGTTTATGTGATCACGCATGGGAGGGGCTTCCAGATTCAGAACACTTGGCGCATGTCGGAAGAGGACAAAAGATCTGCCCGCATAGTGGGATGTTGTATCATACGAAAAAAAGACGTCGGTCATGAGTGATGGCCGGTATGTACAAATGACACTAATGATTATGCACTTGCTTTTTGCCCTGTTTTAAAGTTCTAGGTTGGTTTCCTTGCAGATGCTATGCATGACAGAGGCATCTGCGTTCCAACCGCTGGCAGCGCCCTCACTGGCTTGAGAGATGACTGCAATCTCGCACATGACTGCACTACCTGGCCCCAGAACTCCACAACTCTCGTCACGACAAGCAGGTCTGTACGATACCAAAAGTCCCAATCATGCTCAGACCGCCTTCAAAGTCTGTGGCACGCAGACGGCCTTGCCAGTGGCATCCATCTGGCAGACATTCCCAATCGAGCACGTTCCGAGCAGATGATACGCCCCGTCGGCGCGGCACTCCATCCGCGACGGGCCCGCCGGGTAGAACCACATGCACAGCTGCCCGCCGACGTCTGGGCACGGCTCTGGCGCGGCGGGCGGGAAGAAGGGGTCTGGTGGGATTGAGCTTCCGGGTGGGAGGTCGAGGTTGTCGTTGTCGTCGTCGTTACTGCTGCTGTTGTTATTGTTATTGGTGGAAACGGCTGGAGGTGCTGTCGGCGTTGTTGATGATTGGATGGGAGCAGCTGGGGCCTGCACCGGGCCGCAGTTCTTGGGTAGGATTATCTCGACTGTCCTTGTCCTGCTGCTGGATGATGGTGTGGTCGGCAGGGCCGAGACCCCAAGGGGTGCTACTATGATTACGGCGGCGAGGAGACCCGCGGTCGTGAGGAGGGAGCGGAAGTTGAGGTGATGCATTTTCGCTTCTGTAAGGTGCCAGGTGTGTGTTTTTAGAGGTGTGTGCGGTGCGAAGTTGCTGGGTTGTCCTGTGGGTGAGGGCAATGTCTTCGAATGGTGACTCGGAGGATGAGTTGCTCCTTCGGCGAGCTTGCAGGTTCTTGCGCTGATTCCTTTGCTGTCAAGTGGCGTCTATTACGTCTGCGGAATCAGTGTCATACAAATGAGTGTCTCGGTATACTCGCATATCACGAAAATGGGAGACCTTCTATATGGCGACGACGGCCAATGGGTTTTCAAGAATGACGGAGAAGTGGCAAACACGGTCGACTTATAAGGTTCGTCCCGGCAGTCACACGAGAGCAGGCTATACATTTGATGTATCGTTTGCACCGCCTGAAAGGCAGGGCAAACACGTGGAGCCTAGCATAGTCATGTCTGGTCTAGCCGGTGGCAGAGGATTGCACCTGCCTCCTGCTTTAATTGCAGAGATCGCCATGAAAAAGGCATCGTGATCACAAGCCGCCTCGATACACACTCCCCGGCACTAGCATGGTTGGGTTTCCACCTTGGGACGCAGAGACTATCGAAGTGAGGCGCTGATTGGCTCGTATTAAGGGATAGCGAACGAGTCGCACTAACTGCATTTTCGACAAAAGAGAACCCTGCATTTCTCAATGGCCATGCGTGGAATTATGCCTTTTGTTTCCGGATCGCAGGGCGCGAGTGACAGCACGCCGAGCGGGCTGTCAAGAACTCGATCCTCTGGGATCACCGGATGGCCCACGGGTGCGGGATGGGATGCCGTGCGACGTACCACCGACTCTGCACTTCCGTTACAACCCAGAGTGAGCATGCCGCACACAATTCAATTCCACTGATCCCACGCGACGACAGTTGCGACGGCTGCACAGGCATCTCATCCGGGGGCGCAGACGACTAGTGCGTCAGGGCAGCAAGCAATACAGAGTGTGGCGAGAACTGCTAGCTGGCAAGGGGAATGTGCCCAAGGTGACAGATGTCTCAGTCGCTCGGCATCGACCCTTCAAGGAGGTGACCATTGGATAGGTGGAGTGATGACTAGCGCCGCGCCATTTCTGTCAAGGCACGCTCAGTGGCTGTTGGCCCTACCAGAGATGGTTCACTTGACACGAAGAGCAGATTTCAAGATTACGGATCTCTGCTGGGTAGTACTCACAGCCATGGCACTGCAGTGTCCGTATCCAAGACCACATTGCTCAGCCGGCTTGTAGCATCACGGCCCTCCAGCGCTGAGTCCTTGCCATCTCATGTCCGTTCTTCAGGAGAGTGCACTTTCAAGCCCATAAGGGCATCACCAGAAGGGATTGTGGTACACAAACAGCTCGGCTTCGGGCCGCACCCGCGGCTTCGGTCACGCCGTTATACAAATAATGATTCAAAGTGTCTATTTTACCAGCTAGTATCGCTCCACTCGTACAAGGCGACACGTTGGGTCATATCATTCCTAACATTGTCTTACGGAATTGCCTTTACGTGCTTGCTGTCTGCGGCGGATGATGATTACGGCAGGTCGGACCACGATGAACCTTGCAGCTTATCATCACTCTATCGCGCGTTGCTTCCCAGGGATGCCCAAAGCCGGTGAAGACGGAGATGCATCCGGCTTCGTGCGAGGCATTGTAAGAGCCGGGCCGCTGCTTGTCTGGAATTCCACCAACGAAGCGGTTGTGTCACAACCGAAGGCGATGGCCTTCGTACTTTGTGCTAGATCGATATGACGGTTACAGTGTTTAGCTTGCAAGAAGGCAGAGATCAGTTCGTGTTCCAAGGTTGCCATGACAGATGTCATTCTAACCAATGTTGTTTGAACATCACGTCATACACGGAGAACGGCATCCAGTACCCATGAAGTAAAGCCTGCCGCTTAATGATCTGAGATTCCATGAAATGCAAATATACCCTATTTCTCCAGCATTTCAAGGAGATCCGTTACCCACCAGCTTTCTCCGCAGCCGCGGCGTCCGGACTTTTCTCCGCCGGCGGCGGCGGCACAAACCCAGGATCCGCCCACTCCCTCAACGGCCACCCGTCCGTCCCGGACCCGACCTCGGGCCAGCCATCCGGCAGCTCGCCAAACTTGAAAAAGTACGTCTTCTCACACCCATAGTCGTGGCACTCGTACAGGTCACACATGCCAAACTTCTCGCAGAAGCAAACCCCCGCATCCGGGCAGTCCACGGCGGGCGCGCCGAGGATCTGGTGCCAGCTATACTCCATGACCCGGCCCGAGAACTCGTCCGTGAGCTCCGTGGTCCACAGCCAGTCGCGGTACGAGACGTAGTCGGCCCGGGAGTTGGCCCGGATGCGCTCGCGCGTGACGGCGAACTGCGCGCCGCAGTGCACCCCCACGGCCTCGGGTAAAGGCTTGCCGGGAAACAGCTCCCGGAACGCCGCGGCGTAGGCGGCCTCGGTCTTTGCGCGCTGGTCCGCGTCCGGGTCGTCCCATTTCAGCGTCGCGGCCGGGTCCGGCTTGATCTCGAGCGGGCAGCCGAGCAGCCAGGAGCAGCGCAGCGTGGCGAAGCCGTGGTCCTGGACGTAAGGGATGCGCAGCTTTTGGAGGGGCCGGACGCCGTCTTTTGTTTGTCGCCCATATCGTATTAGCATTCTGTCATTTGTAAACTTTCTTGACTGGGAGTGGGAGCAGCACTTCCCAACAGTCAAGAGATGAGTATGGGTGGGGACATGCTTGACTTACCATACAGCGGATCCTCGTTGTGCCACTGATACCGCTTGCCGTGCAGGAAGACGACGATGTCCGGCAGGTCGTCGTAGTGGTCGATGATGTACGTCAGGTAGACGCTGCTCTCGTGGCCAATGTTCTTGCGCACGGTGTACGGCGCCGTCGGGTCGTCGGCGATGTAGATGTGCGCCGGCACCGAGGGGAAGAACTCGGCCACCCAGGACGTGTTTGTGGCCTTGGTCGACGACACGACAAACTCGACCTTGGGGGACCCGGCCGAGCCCGCCGTGTGGCCCCATTTGCTCTCGTCGGCGGCGGCCGCCGCCGGGGGGACGGGCGGTTTTGATGGCGGCGGGCCCGGGTTGAAGCCCTGCTGTGGTTTCGCCGTCCCCAGTGCTGCTGCTGCTGCCTCCTTGGCAGGTGTCTTGTCGCCCGCTGGTGACTGGGCAGCGCTGCCGGCATTGTGAAGATGCTGATGGCCCTCGCTGGCGCCGCCGCCGTGGTGGCCCGCCGCAGCCGCCGGGTTGGACCCGGGAGCTCCGGGCTGATTGAGCCTCTGGTCGGCCTCGTCGCCGGTGGTGGGGATCAGGACGACATGTGTCCTTGTCCCGCTGAGCGTGTAGAAGACGATGATGATGAAGCTCAGCGTGATGGTGAGCAAGCCCAGCCGCCGACTGAGCATGTTTGCTGCTGCCGCTGCTGGTGGTCGTCGCCTGGGTAGGCGGCCTCCAGGGTTCACGGGATGGATGACGCTGGCCCAGTAGTAGTAGCTGGTTGCCGTCTTGGCTGCCCTTGTCCGTCGTTCACAAGTGCAGGCCGAGTGGTCACAAGCTCATGGCCTGCAATACAATCCCGTCTTGCAAGCCCTGCTCTGGCCAGAGTGTCGTGGCGTCCGACTGCACGTTGTCGTTCAAAGGGAAAAGTCCCAGTCAGGGGTATCACTGCAGCTGATTCGCATCCCAGCTCAGGGACCATTCAACTTTAGCTTCGCCGCCAGGGCCCAAGGGTTTCTTTCCCATGTGGGGCCCCCGGCATGCGCGCACAATCAGCCACTCACGTACCTGCCCTGGCCTTGCCCCTGCCGTAGCTTACACTTAGTCGTAACTTTGATGACGACCGTGAAGAGCAGAGTTCAAACCTCGGTGACAAGTCAAAGTACGCATGCTGGTAATTTTGTGCTTTAGTCCAGATAATACAAAGGCAATTTTTGGAGAACGACTGATGTGTCGAGTTGAGCATGTTTCCTCCATGTACTGGTACTTGTTTTCGTGAAGAGTGGGCTTGAAAGCGCAAGTCTTGCCAAATATGAGAAGAGCCTTAAAGCCAAGCAGAGTGATTACTTTGAGTTATTCATTATCCTCACGCCCACCCTCTAGATTCCCGGTCTATAGCGCTGATGCGATGTAACAAGTACTTGACAAAGAAGCTGGGTATATCATAAAAGTCATTGACCACACCCCCAACGGCTTAAGCCCACTTGCCGAGGACACTCATCAGCACCAAGCCGGCAACAAGCGCGACGCCCGCGCTCAAGGTAGTGCATAGGTCTGCATCCGCCAGCTCTCCGCCAAACATCCAGTCACCAGCCCACATCTCGACTACACCAACCCAGACAAGGATACCAGCAGACACGGCGTCCAAAGTGCCTAGGGCGATCAGCGTGCGTCGGTCGCTGCCGTTGAACGTGTTGAGGACACCAGTGCCAATGGCCATGCCGATGGGCGTGGTGATGGCAAAGCCGACTCCCATAAGGAGCTTCTTGGGCAGCGAGAGAGTCTTCCAGCCCACACTAGACGTCTCAGAGGGGACACTGCTGTTCTCGCTGACCACGCCCCCGTCGGTCTCGTTGGCGCTCTTGGACTCAGCAGGGGCGGTTGGGAGCGAGTGAGCATGAGTGTGCGCAGCAGCCATGTTGCGCACGTGGTGTCCGACCGCAGCAATGCGACTGCCCAGGGCAATGCCTTCGAACATTTGGTGGAAGATGATGACAGCCAGCAGGCCAGCAAAGTATTGGTCGCTAGCAACAACGACGGTGATCCCGATCACTGATGTTCATGTTCACGTTAGCGTCATATTTCAAGCTACTACGGTGCGTCGGGTTCCGCGTCTCAAGGTAACAACTTACGGATAGAGTGGAATATGATACCAGCCTCCAGTACAATGACGCTGACAACCTCGTCGTTGTAGTGCGAGTTTGACCAGAACTTGCGAGCCGCACGGTGGCTGCCATACTCGACGAGCCAGGCCAAGAAGATGCCAGCCATGACAACTGCAGCAGTGGTGCCTTCATACTCGAGCGGGCCCACGCATTGGTTACCAAACATGAGTTGGGCATGAGTGAACAGCTGTAAGGCGCACGACTCGGTTAGTATATTTTGATGGTATGCGCATATCTGGTCGGGCTCCTCACGTGAATGAAGGCAGTCGAGATGATGATGCCAGTTCCGAACTGCTTAATAACGGTAAAAACAACCTGCGCCTTCTGAGGCAAGACAGGGGCTAGGAAGATGGGTCCCAGAACACCTAAGCGATATGAGTTAGTACGAACAGCCATGGGCAATCTAGTGGTATATGCCAAGCTTACCGATCATCGACGTCGCCAGCACGACAAATATCATTCCGATGCGGAGGCCAATATTGTAGTCGCGGTCCTTGCCCTCACAAGAGACCTCCTCGGCGCCGCTGCCGCCGACACAGTGCCTTCGAGTCTCGTCAGTATTTCTTGTTTTGATCATGGTGGATGCGGTGGCTGGCTGAGCTTACTCGACACCAGCGTGGTCATGACAGTGCACGTTACCGTCCTGTGCAGCCTCGCCCTCGCCCTCGCCCTCGTGGTTGTGGCCCTCCTCTCCGTGGCTGTCTCCAGCTGTTGTCGCCGCGGCAGGCTGGTAGCCGAGAATCTCCACATCGTCACCATTATTATCGACACAGAATCTGTCACGAAGGGTCAGTGTCTTGCGGTCGAGCGAGCTCAAGCAGTAAGTGCCGACTTACGTGTCAGAACCATGAGAGTGGCAGTCTGTGAAAGCAGAGGGCAGAGGGCCGGTCATGGTGGCAGGCACCTGTACCTCATACTCGGTCGTGCCGAATTCGCACCACCTGGATGAAAAATATTTAGTATCCTTTACCCCAAGAAATGAGTTTCGGGGGGTTGTCTTACACCTCGCTGGCGTGGCGGTGACACGATGAGACGGCAGTCATGCTGCTCGCGGCCGTGGGTGTAGGCGTAGCGGTGGCTTGCCGCCGATCAAACTGCGTGATGCGTGATGCTGCCGCCAGGGGACCAGAAGCAGCGGCCAGCAGCATGGCTGCGGCAAGCGCAGAAGTGCGAGCCATATCGGTATCCCAAGATCTCGAAGGTTTCCAAGTCGCGTCTGCGCCAGAATATCCAACCTGAGCTGGTAAGGCTTCTCTGCTGCTTCGAACAGATACTCCTGAGAGATTCAAGGGCTTCCAAGGTGGTATCCGAGGCTCTAAGTATTGATGAGGCTCAAAGTGACGAGGTTTTCACTCGAGAAGAAGTCTTGCTCGAGCGGCCGCACGGGTTCCAGCTTGGTAGGCGCGACTTTCGGTGGAAAAAGCCAGACGACGGCAGAGACGAGTGCCCAGGTGGTGCCGTAAGACGGGACGCATCGCGGCGCCGTGGGTCGGCCGTCCATGACGGGGAGGACCGGCGGCTGGAGGGTCGGGGATGGGCGCTGACGGGGCAATCGAGGTGGCCATCAGGGTGTCTGTGGAAGGCAGCTTTTGCGCATTCCCACCGACGGCTTGGCGATGTCGCTGGGCGAGTGGCAATTGGTGGTGGGAGCGGGCCACGCCTGCCATGCCGGCTTGGCGACGGCGGAGCCCAGCATTAAATAGAGGCTTGGCCAATGGCGCCAAAAAGCAAGTCGACGACATGTGTCACACAGCCGCTGAGGACCCGGATGGCCACCTCGTCCCAGTCCAGTCCTGTCTCCCGCTGTCCACCATCATCAACCACCTGCAATACCCAGCGGCACACAACAGTCGACATCACCAACCACCAAGGCGGAACCCGGCGCGTCTGCTCCTTTGGGCAACTACGCCTACTTCATCTGGAAAATGCATGTCAACCTCTCTCGTCCCCGCCACGGACTGGGGCGCCTTGCATAAGGCCCCGTGAGGAACCCCGACCTTTTCTTGTCCGGCTGAATGACCGATCAGGACATGAACAACAAGCTGGAGATGCTGCGACTGACGCCAATGCCTTGGTGCCGTCGGCAAGTCCGCATGGCCCTTAGATGTTTCCATCCGTCGGAACTCTCCCCATGTCACCGCCACCGCTTGTTGCTCTGTGCTATGTCACAGATCCTCGTGTACAGCGTCACTCAAGTATACTACAGTACGAGAGATGCGGAGGTGGCATTCGATGCCATTCCATGCCAATGCATGCAAGTGTATGCAACTGGGTGGCGTGCAGTGACATGCAGCAAGTCGCGTTCGGGCATGCAACATGAGCACCAACCAACACCGGCCTCCAAGCACACAGCTGAGAAATGAGGCGGAAGCGGGAGAATGGCACGATGGTGGTCTAAACAGTGTTCTGTTGTCATTGAACGGCAACGACTCTATTGTCTAAGAAGTGATGCTGCAAACTTCTCAACGGTCCTCAAGCTACGAATGAATATCCCGCGACTAGTCGATCATAATTGCCAACTGTGGTTTTGAACTATGGCTTAGCCGAGGGGGTATCTAATCATTATCTACAAGGCAACAGCAGCCAGCAGGCCACCAACTACGGCAGCCCTGTTGAGCATGACAGCGCCGGCTGCCGCCGGAACAACAGTGGACGACGTAGTGGCCGTGGAAGAACGGGTCGAGACGGGAGCACCACTAGTGGAAGCAGGGCCGTCGCAGTGCCTGCAGGAATTCCAGTCAGCCAAGCGTACAGATCAGTCATGGAACTTGCAGAGTCAGAAACGTACCAGTGGTCACCGTGGGGTTCACAACCGATGGACTCGGTCGGGCTGGGAGCCAGAGAACCGGTTCCACTGGCGTGGTCGGTGTGGTCATCATCCGTGTGCGAGTGAGAAGCCGTGGTGGTCGCAGCACCAACTGAGCCACCAGTGGTAGTGGCCGGGCCATCGCAGTGCCTGCCATCAGTCCGGTAAGTTGGCAACTCAATTGCAAGGGGTAAGGATCAATCTCGAACTTACCAGTGGTCACCGTGCGGCTCACACCCGATGGACTCGGTGGGACTGGGAGCGAGCGATGCCGTGCCAGTCTCGTCCTCGTGATCGTCGTGGTCCTCGTGGTCATGGGTGCTGGTGGTGACAGCACCAGCAGTACCAGTGGCACTGGCGGGACCATCGCAGTGCCCTGCAGGGACAAAGTCAACACCGGAACCCTGCCGACTTGGCGCGGCGTCGTGGACGAAGACTTCGCCGCCATTGAGAGAAAACTTACAGTGGTCGCCGTGAGGCTCGCAACCGATGGACTCAGTCGGGCTAGGGGCCAGAGTCTGAGCGCCAGCCAACGAGGCGGCGAGGAGAGCAAGGACAGTAGCGCTGAAAGTCTTCATGTTTGCGGTTAATGTGACTGGTTGCCAACGAGTGTGCGGACAGGCGAGACGACGAGTTGTGCAGCGATGGTGAGTGAGAAACTGGGAGAGGTTGAGACTGGTCACGCGCTTTCCACACTTATAAGCAGTTAACACTCATTGAACATGAAAATCCTTGTTTGCCAAGGATTGTTTCCGCCTGGCCTTTGGCTAGTGCTCGCCAAGCAACGAACGCTTCCTGTTCACGAGGCTGGCGGTATTCTGCCTGTGCAAGCAAGATGTGATTGCCAACCCTGGGACCGTCGGGCAACGCCGACAAGGCACAAGGTACAAGTCACAAGTCACTCGCCACCAGCCTCGCAATAATTCCATTCTTGTTCATTCGGGCCAAATCGTCCCGGGGCGAAGAAAGACAAGTGCCTGCCTGGCGACTGGTTTGTGCTGGAAGGCCATCAGGGTGTCTGCCAAGCCGTCACCGTGCCGGCGGCGAATAACAGCCCGTCTTAGCCACTCCGCAGCCAACGCATGACAAGTGGGACACAGAAACACCTTGATGGACAACAAGCTTCCGTGAAGTCAGGCCTCTGCTCGTCTGATATAACCCAGCACCCGGTGGCTCCGCCAGCCAGGTCCTGCACTACTGCTCGCCACTCTTGGCATCGGCGGTTCCTTCCACGGCTAGTAGGCTTGCCAAGAAGCAATCCTTGACGACGTCGGCCGTGGATGCCCGGAACCAGCCAGGACGACGTGCGATTATTCCAGGATCAATGTTTCTCAGCAGGCCGGCGAGCGGAGTCCCGCGTGCGAAATAATGACGATGATCCAGCAGGGTTACTGAGGAGATTTTGGCGTGGCGCACGATGGCCTGGCAAGCTACAATGGTCTGGAGCACGAGTCGGGACGAGAAGAAGCGGGATCTCTCTGAATGAGGCACGACCAACTTTGCTATAAAGCAGATCCCGTCGCCGGTTACATCTGCATCAAGATCACCTTCCTGGTCACAGACAGCGCTTGAATACCCTCGCATCCTGTCCTCTGCCTCTCTACCTCCCTGAGAACCCCGAGAGTCCTGCTTGACAATTTCGCAGTCCTGTGTCACTTCTCGATCCATTCCCCTTCTCAATCTTCAAGATGCGGTTCTCCTTCGCCAACTCCTTCACTGCCTTGTTGGCCCTTGGTTCCAGCGTCGCTGAGGCTGGTAGCTTCCGCAATAAGAGAGAGCAAGCCGTGACCGTCACCCAGACGGTCACTGCCACCAGCTCTGAGCCTACCGCATGGCAATGGGATGCCGGTGCGACCCGCGAGGTGCCCATCCACCCGTCCTGCAATGCCACCGAGCGGGCCCAGCTTAAGCGTGGCTTCGCGGATGCTATGAAGTACGCTCAGCACGCCAAGGACCACATCCTGCGCTTCGGCAACAGCTCCGACCACTACGTCAAGTACTTTGGCAGCGCGCCTACCGCTGAGGCCGCTGGCTGGTATGACAAGATTGTCAACGGTGACAAGACTGGCCTGTGGTTCCGCTGCGACGATATTGATGGCAACTGCAGCCAGGATGGTAGGCGTCCCAGTCTTTGAATGTCAACTAAGATTCTCCTTCGCAATCCATGCACTGACACGAGAGACACAGGCTGGGCTGGTCACTGGCGTGGATCCAACGCGACCATGGAGACGGTCATCTGCCCGCTCTCCTTCACCACCCGCAAGCCCATCGAGGCCCTGTGCGCCTTTGGCTACGACGTCGCCAACGGCAAGCTCAACACCCAGTTCGGCATCGACCTCATCCACCGCCTCTTCCACGTGCCCACTATTGGCGAGGGCGCCGCCGAGCACTACGCCGACACGTACGCCGAGTGCCTCCAGCTCGCAATTGACAACCCGGCCGAGGCCGTCCGCAACACTCACTCCCTGCAGTACTTTGCTCTCGACGTCTACGCGTACGACATTGCGCTGCCCGGCGAGGGCTGCGCCGGCGTCCTCAAGGAAGAAGCCAGCTCGACCGGAGCCGCCCCCGCCGTGCCGAGCGCGACTGCCACTGAGGCTCCCTCGCAGACGAGCGCTGCTCCTACTGTAAGTCCCCGTCACGCATTATCAAGCTTGCCTTCAAGCAATAGTCCATAGCTACAGAGTACTAACGTAACTTTGCTTCCCAGGAGTGCCACACCCATGCCGATGGTGTTGTGCACTGCTCTTGAACTCGACCATACGTCCCCCATGGTCCATAGACACGGTAATATGAGCATGCCTAGCAATATAGAGCGGAGGAAAAATGTATCTTGGTAGATATCAACACATGAGCCAGCTGCATCGTAATGACTTAATGTAAAGACACGACTCATACAAAGGGGTTCCGTTTTCCACGATGTCGATTTTCAGACCTACTTGTGACAAGACCATGTTATTTTGACCGGTGGTACTTTTTCATAAATGAGATGAGCACTGTGTGTGTGTGTGTGTGTGTGTGTGTGTGTGAAGAGAGAGAGAGAGAAGCTCACTTACCCCTTTTCCAAAAAGCCGGCCACGGTTAGTGGCGTGCAGGGATTTTAAAGTCCATCCTGTCAAGCACACACTTCCAACCGCTTCAGCCTCAGCCGGCGGTTTTGCACAAGTTATATGCTGATGTCCTGACTTTCTGGCGCAAGGCACTGCCGCAATGGTCGCGAACTCATCATCTTCCGCGGTCTCAATTCTGAGCTTCGTATTGCTTGCGGTAAAAGTCACGAGGAATACGATAGCTCACTATCCACACTGTAAAGATGAAAAGGGGGTAGAGGATTCATCAACCGTTTGAGCACAGTGTCGTCGATTTACGATACTGGAACGGATTTTGACAATGAAGCGCCCCATGAAATCCAGTTACGCGGAGAAAAGAAAAAAGGACACTGTTATTATGCTGCAAGGTGGTGACCTCAGGTTAGGAGCTGTGGTGGCATGGAAAGGCACAGGTTATTTACTTGAGAAGTATTTTGAAAGTACGATTCCATGATTGGATCTTGATTTTTGAGCTACAGCATTCTTGCGCGTATATTCTTCAGCACAAACCCCATTACCTCCTCCACCTGCTCGGCGTCATTGACGCCCCCTGTTACAGATAATTTGCTGTATACAACTGCTGCACATTACACTGCGCGAAAAGTCTGGAAATACACAGGAGCTCTCAATTTAGAGCATGAAGGCAGCAACACCGGCAATGACGGCGGCAGCGTTGAAGCCGTTGGAGGCAGCGCCGGCAGTGGGGATGGGAGCGCCGGTGCCCGAGGCCTTGGTGGTGGTGGGCATGGACATGGTAGCAGAACCACCGGTGGGCATGGGCATCGAGGCGGTGCCGCTGTGCGTCATCATCGCGGACGACGACGAGGCAGTGGCGGAGCCCATGGCCGACGAGGCGACGGTCGAGGGCTCGACGACGGCCGAGTACGCGCTGCAGGTCGCACTGGCTGTGGCGATGGGGCAGTCCTCGGCGATGCAGATGGCCTGGAGCTGGGCGCCCTGGGCCGGGATGACGGTCGTCGGGGGGCTGCAGCGGTACCCGAAGAGGTTCATCAGGGCCATGCCGACGGCCTCGGCGTCGGCCTGGGTGACGCCAAACGACGCGGCGGCGAGGCCAACCTGCGTGTTGAAGTAGCCGAGCTCGGCGGCGTCGAGGGCCATGAACTTGTGCACGTCGTACATGGACGGGTCGGCCGCGTAGGCGGCAAAGCCCGGCATGCCCTGCATGCTGCAGCCGAGGAGGCTGCCGAAGAACTGGTACAGGTGGGTGAGGAGGAAGCTGTGTTGGAGTGAGTTGTGTTAGAAAGTGCTTGATCGCTGAAAGATGGACGAGTGCCGCGGTCCGTGTTTAGGGGAGAAGATGCGTACTATTGGTTGGAGGTGTTGTCATTGGCAGGCTTGTTCTCCATAAGGGGAGCGGCACCGCCGCCGTCGAGGAAGTTCACAGAGACACCAACATCGCCGCCGCGGTTTGACGAGGCAAGCTCGCCATTGAAGTACGGCAGCAGGTTGACCTCCTGGCCGTTGAAAGTGCCAGGGGCAAGGATTCCGGGAACCTTGAGGCCAATGTTTGGCTGAGTGTCTGAAGTTGTATCCGAGTCAGCGAATCCCTTTCACTGTTGATGATTTATCCGCAGTGCTATGACTTACAGTTGCCAATGACGACGGTGTTGACGACGAGTGTCAAAAGAGTGGCCTGGTTCTCGGCAGTGTTGTTCTTAAGCAGTGCCGTAGTGTAGTAGTCACAGATGGACGTGTTGGAAGGGCGCTGGGCCTGAACTCCCGAGAGGGAGGCAGCAGTAGCTGCGACGATCGTCTTAGAGTAACGCATAGTGAGAGTGGTTAATGATGATTACTCTGGTGGTCAACTCTGATGAAGTGTGAGGCAGAGAGGGGAGAAAAACGTGGAAGGGTTGGAATGGCATATGTTCTCCTTATGAGGGAGCTCGAGTTCTGCTGCCCGATATGCCTGCGAGGGCCAAGTCACCTGAACCGCATAGACGGCTTGAGCTTCATGACACTGCTCACACCAAGGTTTGGCCAATCTCCCCTTCCCCAGGTGGCATGTACATGTCGATGGGGGAGGCACGCTACGGGCAAACTAGCCAAACAAGGAGTCTCAGGTGCCCGATCTGGACAGCCACGGATGGCAGTTGCAGCGGATGTCGCATCTCCGGCGACCTAACGGACGCGTACCCATGCAAGCAGGGCCCCTCAAGCTCAGGAGAAGCAGTCAAGTAGCTGTTGACGATCCGTGTCAAAGGTGCTGGTGCCAAGCTAGTCGGACGGAGCTAGGCTGCGCGATATACCGGTCTGGCAGATGTTGTCGTAGGTGGCGACTTGCTGAAATGAGCACGAAACCTTCGGCAGATCTGCTCAGTACCTCGTGATGGAGCATGCACTCCAGCAAGGACGCCCTCGGACACTAACCCTCCAGGTGCCAGGGCCCATGTCAAGCAGGTTGGCGTATCAAGATCTCGACGACTGGAAGTTTACTGATCGTGGGGACGCATCGGTGGGAGTGATTTCGACCCCTTGGCAATGAGATGGACGCAACGGCATTTTCCGTCGCTATGCCAACTCCGTCACGACACCATACTTCGAAGCTTTCTGGTAGGAATGCTGCGTTTAGAGTCAAGACAAAAGACCACGGTGATCTTTGCTTGCGATAAATCGAGATGTTTCGCGGCAGGCTGCTCGTATGAAACGGGCGACACTCCAGCAAACGCGACGATATTGGGCTGTCCTCGGCGGCTGCGTATTGGTCAATGGAAGTATTCCAAGTACGTCTTTGTCACATCCCGGTCCCCAACCCAGGTCTCCTCTCCACTGAAAGCCCGGGAAGCTGCCCTTCCGGCTGTTGGGCTTGGGTTAACCCTGAAGAGCTTGGGAGCTTGAGAGCTCGACAGGGCTCTCCACATGCGGCCGCAGCTCGAGCTCCCTTTTTGGCAAGTCATCCCCCAGGTTCCTGGCCTAAAGAGCCTAGCGGGATCAGGTTTTGCGACCTGGGCACGCTAGTGAACCATCCCCGATGGGCGGACAGCCAGATCGTAGGGCTGTGCGTGGCAATCCGATAGCCGGAACTGCGTCTTGCCGGCTGTTAGTGGGGTGGCTGTCCAATCAGCGTGACGCGGATGACCAACTGTCCGAGTGTACATTCTTCTGGACAACGGCGAGTACGTGCCATCCGTCGCGGTCCCTGCAGCGACGCGATTGTTTCTTTCCTCCACGCGGCGGAGTAGTCATCACGTATGCATGACGCTGAGACCAGTGGATGCAGAGCTTGTTCTGATCCGGAAACGTCGCGGGACTATCGATATTTCGGATCACGATGGCTCCGTGAAGATTTGCTTGGGGACGGCGGGGCGCCTCGAGTATGGCTGGGGTGTTCAGAACGGGAGTTTGTGGCTCTGGCACATCACATTCGAGAGGATTGCCCGACCTCGTGCAGAGTAGTGGGTGGGAGGCCGTTTGTGCTCAGTCAGCTCGCTCGTCGCCTCAGGCATCATTCATGTCCACAGATGGTTTGGCCACACTCACTTAAAGAGCAACTTGGTCGCCATCAGCACAAAGAGCTTGGGAATTCCATGTGGCTCTCTGAAGAATCGATTGCTATGCAAGGCCTCTGCTGATGGATCACCTTCGGACCTTGTGCCGTGGCCCATCGGCTCATACGGACGCCCAGACATGTCATCAGAGCACCGCTACTCCGCGCTGACGTGCGATAATATGCTGCATGCGCGCACGAATGACAGCATGGATTGAGCATTGTGACTCTTTGCACCCGAGCTCTCCACGATGTCTTCATGTCGCGTCGCCGTCAAGAGGAGTTGCTACGTGCTGCACGCGGAACCCAGCGGAGCAACACATTTTCTGACGCGGCAATGATGTCATCGCACAACTCAATCCGCACCTGCCATTGCTTCGCACGTCGTCCCCATCCATACTTGGCTTTGCAACAATAAGTAGATATTCGCAGTCTAGTTACGGTAGTTTCCATTGACAGCAAAAAGTAAGACAACCGGCATTTTCAGTTCCAGGCGTCAGTTGCACGTTCCGCAGTTGTGTCACAGGGCCAAATCACCACCAGACAAGCCTGCGCCCGAGTCAGGCCACCCATCCCAACGACCATGTCAATCGCCGCATTCCGCCCGTCGCCCAAGCACGATGAGTACCGCAAACTCGCAGCGGAGCACATGGAGCATGACCTCGAGCCGACCGACCGCAATGCACTGGTCAAGGCCTCGAAGCGCGTCGGCCTGACCACCACCATCGGCACCGTGGTCGGCCTCGGCCTTGGTGTGTACGCCGCCTACCGCCTTCGCAAGGTGCGGCTCAGCATGTTCAATGCACTCCGTGCCGCAGAGAAGCCCACCCACGTTGTATTCGCCGACGGCAGAGCAGGTAAGGACCTTTCTGTGGGTGTAAAGCCTGCGCAGTCGTGTGCCATAGAACCGCCAGATGATGTCAACTAACTACTGTGTCTTTCGGACAGAGCCTGTGCCGGACATAACTCCGTACTTGCAGCCGACTCGTTGGGGCGACGTGGCGACGTACTTCTTCTTCGGCCTCGGAGGGACAATCTTTGGTGGGGAGTTGGGATTGCTGGTCGGCACCTGGTCAGCATCCAGGCTGGTCTCCAAGGACCCTGCGAGGAAAGGAAGAATCGAGACTGCTTATCGGCGCTTCAAGGCTGACCTCCTTCGGCGCGAGGCCGCCAGGCTGGAAGCTGGCAAGGATTCAGCTGATGCTGCCGCCTTGTAATCTACAGAATCGCGCATCCCTGGCTGAGCTTCGCCGCAAGGGCGCAGCGAGCGTATTAATTGTAGCTTGATAGGTGTCATGCAATTACACGACTAAAGCCCAGCCAGTTGTTTTTACCTCTTGACTGTCACGGCGCAGGCTCTAATGACAGCACTTGCCAGTATCGAAGCGGATCAAATAACAAACAGGGGCAGGGTACCTCAGCCGCGCTGCTACCCTGGACATCCGACGGTTAGCCCTGCACTACGCCGTAGACGTGGGCGAACGAGCGTCTATTGAGTATCATCAAAGTGGATTCCCCCAGGGCCCTGGTGTATGCTAGTGCTGACACTTTTGGAAACCGCTTTCTAATTTCCATGATCGACAGGCATACTGATTGGCTCGAAAAAACGAGGACAGGCGCGATCGCTCCTAGCTGAGAGGCGCGCACCGCTTTGGACGTTTCGCACGAGTGCGAAAGGGGCCTGTGCATCAATCAGTTCCAGAGTTTTGCCCATCGGAGAACATTCCGTCAGGTCCTTGTTACTGACATATTTGCGTGGACTGTCCTTGCGCAGCCCTGGACTCGCTTGTCACCCTGATAGGACTACGCTTCCTTATCATGAGTGGGCTTGGGTTAGTGCCTTGGTAGTTTCCAATATTAGACATGAAAGCATCAGTCCCGGCATGCTCGGGCCGCGTTCTGTCCTTTGGATACAAAATAATCGACGCAGGGAAAGAAAGCGCCAAACAGCTTCAGAGATTTCGCAACGAGGCTATGAAGCATCACAAGGCTATGCGAAGTGAACAGCCATGAAGTAATTATGCTGGATGCAGGCAGAACTGCACGGGGCCTGACAGCTTTGCCCGCACCGCCGCCCAAGAAGAGCAGCTCATGTGGACCAGGGGATGTGGGATGGAGTTGGTTGTGGGAGGAGCAGAAATGCCTGCAACTCTTGATTGGGCAGATACGAACCCCTTGCTGCCCTATTTGGGGCCAACGCTGGATCATGTCAGCCAAAGTTGACAATGATTGGGCGGCTGTTCGACAGCCACGCCTGACACAAGGACCCTGGTCACGGCCTGAGGCTCCGATTCGACGGCGGGCACACCAACTGCAGCAATGGCCCCGGCCCAGACCACTATCATCTAGAGGCACCAACGCCTCCCGCATGCCCATCCTGGCCGCTTGAAGGATCCAACGGCGCAGTCGGCCCTGTCGACAGAGGCAGGCCATGCACCTCCCGCGCATGTTGGCTCCGCGTCCCGTGGGTCGCCAAGGTCGCATCGCAGCCTTGCCATCTGAGCCACACCCAATTTAGAAGTCTTATTCCCCCTCCGGGACCATGTCGTTTGCTCGCCCTTGCAAATGGGGAGGCGCTGTCAAGCGGGACTGCTGACACCATCGTGGTGGTTGTTCATTCACTGTCCCTCATTAGGCGGCCTACCTACACCTCCATCCTCACCGCGATCCGCGACATCTGCATACACTTATTGAAGCCGTTCAATATCACATCACAGTCTCCCGTGTGCACCTATTCCTCGCCAACCAACAAAGCGGATTTGTGGACTCGCTCAGGATTATGTCGCCGATCCAGCTCCTCCGACGATGAGACTACCGAGTGGGCCGCGCCGGGACGGCGGCCGGCGCTTCGCCGCAGTTGCCCAGGACGAAGAGGTTGCGGAGCAGATCGAGAACGCGCAGAGCGTTGGTGTTGCCGTGCCGGATGCGCAGATAGCACAGTGGCAACGTGAGTCGCAATCCGCCAGGGAACAGGAACAAGTCGTCCCCTCCAGACTTTCTCCCAGGGAGCGGTTCCGCAGCCAAGTACAGCATGTATTATCACAAGAGTCCTTGCATCAAGAGCAAAGACACGGCGCGATCCCGAGTGCTCGAGAATCTCCAGCAGCTGCCTCGGACGAGACGCTTGTAGGAGAAGTAGGAAGAGCCGGCAACGGTGGTGGTGGTGGCGGCGGCAGCGGCTATCAGCCAGTCCAGTCGCAACAATATGCCGAGCTCGATGTGGCCGACTATCTGGGATATGGTGGCTACTACGGTCCAACTGGATATCTGGCGCCCACGATCGCCCACGACTACGAGGAACCACAGAAGGCGGTGGAACCCGCAGTCCAAGTAAAAGCCGTTGCGTTCAACATGGCCCAGCCTGACGGCGACGACGAGGACGAGGACAAGTACGGCCCCTATGGAGATGCATACGGCCACATGCATACCAGGTACAAGGGTGCCCAGGGTTTCGTGGAGGAGCAGGTCCCGAAAGATCGGCCCAACTACAAGCCTTTTGCGCTCCGGCTGTGGTATACGTTGGTCTTTATGGTGGTGGTGCTCGCCTTGATTGGCCTGACTGAGTTTGCGGCTCGGACTCTGCCGGACGGGACCACGACCAGCGCTGATGGCTACTTCCATGCGAATGAGAAGACTGCCCCGACTGACGTGGGGTTGGCGCGGGTAGTGAGGTCTTTGGGACTGCGAAAAGATCGCTATGGTCGCTGGGTGGTCGACCCTCAACGTCGAGCCGCCTTGGAAGCATCCCCGACGCCCACAGCTGCCGCGGGCACAAATACAGACAGCACCGATGGTGGCAATCACGGTGTTGTCCTCAACGCTGCGAATGGACCTCAGATTCAGACACAAGCCGACCCGGTAGTGTCAACACCAGCTCCTGGACCAGTCGTCGAGGACGGAAACAACGGCAATAACGGTGCTGGCTCAGGCTCACAGCCTACACCTCCTAGTCCGTCGCCAAGCAAGCCGCCAGTGAACAACAATCTTCCAGTCAACAACAACCCTCCAGTCAACAACAACCCTCCAGTCAACAACAACCCTCCAGTCAACAACAACCCTCCAGTCAACAACAACCCGCCAGTGAATACTCCGCCAGTGAACACTCCGCCGGTCAATACTCCGCCGGTCAATACTCCTCCGGTCAACAATCCGCCCGTTGACAACCCACCAGTTAACAACCCACCAGTCAACCATCCGCCAGTCGAAAACCCTCCAGTCGACAATCCCCCGGTTGACAACCCACCAGTTAACAACCCACCAGTTAACAACCCGCCCGTAGTGACCACCTCTTCAACATCACTGGCTTCTTCATCTTCCACAACGTCCGTCGGTCCTACTGAAACTCAGAACTCTTCCTCAAGCTCAGCACCACCTCCGCCGAGCTCGTCAACTAAGCCGCCGAAGCCTCCCGTGGACCCTCCCGTGGACCCTCCCGTGGACACTCCAGTACCACCCCCTGCACAGAGTTCCACCACTAGTCCTGCGTCAAGTACCTCAACAACATCTGCCAAGCCAATAGAAACTCCTCCAAACAATCCCGGAGGTGGTTGGCCCGGGTGGCCGCCAGGACCTCCAAAGCCTCCTTCATCAAGCACACCTCCGCCACCTGCTTCCACGGAGCCTCCAACCACTCAGCCGCCGCCCACGAATGGACCTGGTGGCCCAGGAGGACCTCCTGGCGGCGGGCCCGGCCATCCACCTGACCCGGAACCGACCCCGACCACAAGCTCAACATCGACCAACGGTCCACCAAAGCCAACAGATCACCCTTGGTGGCCGTGGCCGCCACCTCCCCCAAACCAGGACACCACTACTACCACGAGCCCAAAACCTGGGCCGACTGACGAGCCAAATCAACCACCAAACCCGCCCAGCCCTCCCGGTAATCCTCCAACAACCGCACCCCCAGAGGGGCCGCCCAGGCCAACTGACCAGCCGCCGGTGCCACCACAAAATTCGGTCACACCACCAGCATTGACGCCGCCGTCTGGGCCCAGCTCCACAGCATCAGACGTTTCGACCAAGTCTAACGATGGGCCAGGATGGCCGGGTTGGCCGATTCCAATTCCAGGAGGGCAAGAAACTACTACGGTAAATTCGCCACCAGCAGGACCTACAGAACACCCGGGCGCGTCAGTCCCAAATAATCCTCCATCGCCAGGGCCGATCCAGCCGACACCGAAGCCGCCTCAGTCCCCAGTTGATCAACCTCCTGCGAACGCGGACCCTGTAACACAACAGCCTCCAGCGGCATCAAGCAGCTCCCAGGAACCAGGCTCTCCTTCCCTGCCATTTCCATCGCTGCCAGACGCGATTCCTATTATGACTTTGACCAGAACCGACACTTCGCACCCTGAACCCACCATTGATCCCTCTGGCGAAGCTCCAGCGGCATCTTCATCGACACGCCGAACCATCGATATGGGAGGACAGTGAGTTTGCTTTCTTCTTGTGTACTACATTAAACTACTCCAACAGCGACTGACAAGAAGCCACATTCAGATATGCCGGAGGCACTTTGGGCACGTACACGTACACGGAAACCAACTCATTGGGCATTCCCACCCACACATATCCCTTCCAAGGACTCTTCGTCCCCGTCACCATTGTGTCAACAGATTCGAATGGCGTACCATACACCACTCTTACCGAGGACCACATTTTTGCCCCTGTGTCCTCGACCCTGACAGACTTTCAGGGCCGCCCTACTAAGACGGAGCTAGTCTATGTGGTACCGACAGTCATCACTTTGACCAACGCCCAAGGTGAACCAACAGGGACGACAACATCAGGTGTCACGAACACACCCGTTGTGACCACGTTGACTGGAGCAAATGGGGTGCCGACGAAGACGCTTACCTATTACGCCCCAGTTGTCGTGACGTCTGCTGTCATTGTCGTCGCGCCTGCAAATACAGTTGAGCCCCCAGCTTCGCAAAAGGAAGCCCTGGAAACGGTTACGGAAGGAAACTACTTCCTCGGCCTGGTCGTCCCGACAATGCTTGCTGCCCTGCTGTCCATGGCGGTCCGACTCTTCGATCACCACGCCAGGCTTTACTTTCCATTCCATGCTCTCACGCTGTACAACGGTGCACCCACCACGGACTCGATGTGCTTTCCCGTCACTGGAATGGGGGGCTTCCTCGCAGGCTTCAAGATGGTCAAACGAGGACAGTACCTGCTCGCAGTGACAGGCTCAATGGTCGTTGCGAGCGCGATCCTCACGATTTTCAGTGGAGGCGCGATTCATATTATTCGCACTGGATCCAGCTGCTCCGCTGCGGCTGCCGAGAGTTGTGGCACCCGGATTGCCGTCTTCCCCATATTAGCAAGAGTCTCGATAGCAGTACTCGCATTTATTCTTCTGGGCGCCTTTGTTGCAGGGTGGATGCTCCTGAGGTGGCGCACTGGCGTCTCCTACAACCCTTGGAGCATACATCACATGCTCGGCGTCAGCACGAATCAAGACATTCGAACGCTTCTCTTGCAACTGCGCGAGGTAGACGGCCGGATCACTCGAGCGCAGGCGGCTACCGCTCTCGGACCTGGACCGTTCATCCTCGATTACTGGCTGGAGAACGCATCTCTCAAGTACGGCATCCTTATCGGCATATCAGACTCGACTTCCACACCGCTGAGAAAGGAGGGCAAGACTGGAGGCATGATCAGGCGGCGCTACCGCCTACTGCCCAAGGGCAATACTGTTCCGTTTTCGATTCTTAATCTGACGGGGCGATTCTTCTTCTTGCTATTCCTTTGTGTACTGCTCATTGGCATCTTGAGCTACAACATTGTCGGCGGCGGCGAGATCGCCGCCGGCACTGCCGGCTCTCGAGGCCAGGTGTTTCTGGCGTTCTTGTTCGTGGCGGCTGGAGTACTGGTCTCCTTCTGCTGGAATACCACCTTCCATGGTAAGCACTTCCCGCAAGACACTTCCCCAGATAATTCGCAAAGACTAATATCCGCCTTAGCCGTCGCCTTCATGAGCCCATACAAAGTCCTCGGTCGCAAGAACAACTACGCCGACGACATCCTACACATGACGCCACCCACCAACGTCTTCAGCGCGATGCGCTCGGCCCTGTCCCGTGACCGGCGGGATCTCTTCCTGTTCTTCGTCGCCTTGGCCTCGCTCGTTTCCGAGTTCATGCCAATCATGCTACTCAACATCCCCTTTGGCATGGTCAAGACCAGCATCACCCACCTCATCTTCACCTGGATGACTGTAGCCATTCTCATCTGTATGATTTTTGTGCTGGCGTCGTCGTTCGTCATGCACTGGCCGCATCTGCCAATTGACCCCAGCACCATTGCGGGTGCACTGTACTATGCGTCGGATCCGGGCGTTATTGCCCTGAGTCCGGCCGCGGGACTGCTTCTAGGAAAGAAGAGTCTGAATACAAAGACTTGATCAAAGTCGACTTTAGCATTTACAGCGATTTTTTTTCGTTATTTTAACACATATTCAAAGCACCAGATTAGCGATGCGGTGTCGAATCAGCGAGCATATACATTTCATTTAATGTTGCAGATTTAATATTAAAAAAATTAGTTTGCATACAACACCAGTGTCCATTTCGCAAAGTATTGTGCCATCACTTTCCAAGTGCGACTAAAGAGTGCTTCATGGACTTGCCATGCGCAACTAACTGTTGTTCCCAAGGCATTAAAGGTGATAAATGCTACAGGACCGAATCGAGCTCATGTTTAGCCTAAACCAGAACGGAAGCAGGCCAATGGCTCTACCTTGCCCAGCTTCCCAAATAGGCTGACATGGATACAGGAATGCAACTTTGGACCTATGCGAGCTCCATTTTCCCCGCATGGGTCGCCGCTAGAGGAGAGCATCATGGCCCTGTCGGGTTGTTTCGTAGGATCATTGCACCGAGCCGGGGAAGTCTATTACCTTCGGTAACTCTCAATACACGACGAGGGGCGGCCTGCTTAGTATCGTCGAGGGTGTCACGCTAGGGTAATTCTTGACATAAACTATTGGACTTTGTCCTTCTTGTTCTTGTAATCTGTCGCCAGTTCGGGAGTGCCACACTCTAGAAATTGCTATATTCGTAAACAGGGAGGCAACAAGATCCCAAGGAACCATATCAGCCACCATGCATCTCTTACATATTCCCTGGGCCACGTTCGCCCTGAAGATGGCTCTTCTGGCTGCCCGAACCACAGCCCGCCTCAATGCCACCGAGACAGCAACCCAATACATCCTGCAAAATGACCGTCTCTACGTCGCGGTGAGCAAGAGCAGCGGACAAGTGACGGACCTCGAGCTCGAATCGCAGGACCTGCTTGGGCCTGTGTCCGGCAACACCGGCAAAGGACCGTACCTGGACTGCTCGTGCACGCCCAGCGGCGCATGGACGCCCGGGTCTTCCACGGCGAAGAGGTTCCAGCTCATCGAGGGCGTGGACTCGACGGGCACTTCCTATGGCGGCATCATCATGGGCGACACGTTCGCGGCCACGAACCAGTCCTTGTACCAGTACATCTTCCTCCGCGAAGGCGAGACAGGCCTGCACATGTTTTCCCGGTTGACGTATTTCAACGAATCGAAGCCGCTGCTAAGAGATCTTGGCGAGCTGCGGACTCTATTCCGGCCAAACACGGACCTCTGGACGCACATGTCGAGCAGCGAGGGCAACTGGGCGTCGCTGCCATCGAAGCGGGCGTTTGCCGAGGCCGTCACCGTGCAGGACGCGACGACCTACCTCGGGCGCACCACGTCGGACGGGTACGTCCAAGAGTACTCGGACTTCTTCACAAAGTACACGTTCTCCGAGCTGTGGCGCGACCACGACGTCCACGGCCAGTACGCAGACGGCTCGACCACGGCAGACGGCAGCACGTTCGGGGCCTGGCTGGTCCACAACACGCGCGAGACCTACTACGGAGGGCCCTTGCACTCGGACCTCGTCGTCGACGGCATCGTGTACAACTACCTCGTCTCCGGCCACCATGGCGCTCCCGTGCCCAACATCACGCACGGCTTTGACCGCACCTGGGGTCCGCAGTACTACCACTTCAACAAGGGCGCGCCGGGGACGACGCTAGCCGAGCTCAGGGCTGATGCGGTGCAGTATGCGAGACCGGAGTGGAACGCCGAGTTTTACGACAGCATCGCACATTATGTGCCCAACTACGCGCCGACCAGTAAGCGGGCTACCTTCAGGGCCAACATCGAGCTGCCCGAGGGATCCAGACGGCCTATCGCCGTGTTGTCGGAGAATGGTCAGGACTTCCAGCTCAACGTCTTCCGGCCCGAGTCGTTGCAGTACTGGGCAGAGATCAATCCAGCTACAGGCGACATCGAGATACCCAGAGTCAGGCAGGGCACCTACCGCTTGACTGTGTATGCAGACGACGTCTTTGGATGGTTCATTCAGGACGATGTCGATGTCATTGGAGACAGGCAGGGTCCCATGGCTGAGTCGTCAGACAAGACAGTAGCTCACTTCACATGGACCGAAGAGTCTGCGGGCAAGGAGATCTGGCGTATCGGCACGCCAGACAAGTCAGCAGGCGAGTACCGGCACGGGTATGCCTTGGATGAGTCGAAGCCGTTACAGCCGGAGCAGTACAGGATCTACTGGGCCAAGTGGGACTTTCCGACTGATTTCCCGAGCGGCGTCAACTTCCACATCGGCGAGAGCGACGCTGCCCTAGACTGGAACTATATCCACTGGGGTGTCTATCCCGGGCAGGCGAATTACATCAGGCCTGGTCCGCCGAAGTATTACACGGCCAACATCAACAACTGGACCGTCACCTTTGACCTGACCGAAGAGCAACTGCTCAACACTAGCACGGCGACACTCACAGTGCAGCTTGCCGGCACGAAGACGGCCAATGGAAACAATAAATGGGCAGGCCAACTGCCCGGCGAGAAGTACAGCAATCTGCCGTACACGGTAGCCCTCAATACCGGCACAGGCGGACTTGAGCAGACGTGGGTAATTCCGTATTGGCGCAGCGGGTCTTGTGGTGTCCGAAGCAGTGTCATCTGCCAGAATACCGAGCACAAGTTTGTGTTTGATGCCACGAAGACACTGAAGGTCGGTAGGAATGAGTTGGTCTTGAGCCTGCCCTTCAATGCCACGAACACGGAGACAGCACTGTTGCCTGATGCATTATATGTACAGTACGATGCCTTGAGATTTGAGCTAGCGTAGAACAATCCAGGAAGTGTGAGGGCGAGGCTTGCAATTAGTTTGAGGATGTTGTCAGGTGCAGGAGGGCCATTTCGCTGAGGACAGTCTCAGACTCGGTGAGATCGCACTCCGTTGCACCGAGCTCGCCATTTTGGGAGTTCTCTCCAAGTTGAAAATGACGAGGATTGTGACACCATTTGATCACGTCCAGGACGGAGTCATGCCGAATGCAGTGATGGAGATCTAGCTAATCCCTCACGACCATGCTTCCGGCCATGCTTTCGTCTCCCCACACATCACGAGTCTCTTGCTCGACGGCGCGCATGGCAAGCGCAACCTCTTCGAGCTTTGCGACGACGTCCCGCACGCCATCGTCGACACGGCCAAAGTACTTGTCGTTCGCTTCGCGCCGCTTCCGAGCCAGAAGGATGTCACGCTCGGTCTCCTCTTCGAGCTTGCCGCCAAGCATGTTGCTACTCAAGCCTCCAGGGCCACCGCTGCTGCCGGGATGGTTGCTAGCGCTTCCGACCGTGCTCTTCCCACCATCCGTAGCATCACTGGGTCCAGCTTTGCCGACGCCAGATGGTGGGATGATACTACCACCTAACCCAACAGCCGCGGCGGCAATGCCCACGTCGCCAAGTGCGCCTTTGAGATTGCCCACTTCGCTCGGTTCGCCCAAGTTGTTCTCCGTGACAGCATCGTCCGCCTCGCTTCGCGCCCAGGCCTGAGCGAGCGCAATCTGGGCCATGCGCAGCTCTGCCAGCTTGCGATCATGCTCTGGTCCGAATACACGTGTGCCCCCAGTCGCGGATAGTTCTGCCTCTTCAAGAGTTGCTTGCATCTCGGCCCATAACGCATCTGTCCTGTCTGTGGCGCGAGACGACTCGCCACTCACGAGGCGAGGAGGCATGCCTGTGCTGTTACTGCCGGCGATGTTGTTGCGAGGGTTGAGTAACGAGCCGGTCCTTCCAAGAGGTGGTGCTGCTATGGGACCGCCACCTCGGCTTGCGCTGCCGATTTCCAGGGACATTCTTGTCGGAGCCTCCGTTGATGACGCCACGCCCGACCCGGAGGCGTGGCTCGCGCCGCCTGTCGCAGCCGCGATGCCAGGGAGAGACACATGGGAGGCGGCTGGAGACGGGTGCAAGAACAATGCAGGCGGGGGTTCACGAGGCTTGGCCAATGTCTGCTTTGGCTTTTCCTGAGACATGACTACATCTTGGGGGATGATCTCAGGTTGCAAAGGTAAAGTGCTGCTGCATAGGGAATGCAATGTAGGGATGTCGTTGAGGTTGCTGATTGGATGCGTTGCCAGCTAACAAGTCGCGCCTTGGGAGTCCACCACAGGGACATTGCGTTGACAATGGCGATAAGTGCATATGATGCTTAAGGTACCTTCTAAAGTAGGTAGGTAGGCTCGCCCATGATCCGCCAAGGCCAGCTACTTACCTAATGACAAACGAGTCCTAAAGTCCTATCCCAGCCCCCAAGAATCCACAGGACCTGGACCATCAATGTGGAGACCATAAGCATGAGCCACATGCGCGGAGCCACAGTTCACCCAAAAAGAGTGGCACCAGCCACATCAGGGTTTTTTTGCTCGCACCACACAATTTCGCATTGCCCGCAACAGGTGGACTCCTGCAAAAATCAACTGCCTGGGTTCCCAACTTCACACGAACGCTGGCCTGGAAGACGCACGACTCTTCGACAACACCCAACCATATCACGTCAACCCAGATAAGTCGGTAGGTCTACACCCTCGTGCTGCTCTCCCTCCGCTGTGTTGTATCATCGCCACGGTCGCGCCTCGACGTATCTCAATGACATTCGCATCTCGAGCACTTCAAACGAACGACCCAGACCGAACACGACCAACACCGCACCATTGATTTTGGTCGCTTCCACCTCGCATGCACAACAAATATCGGGATACTGCGCTTCGACGAATTGATATACACACACGATCTCGCTACAAGCATCGCGCACCGCGCATGCGCTTTAATCAGCCTTGACTAACTTGTTGGATTTCTCTACAGCCATCATGGGTAAGGGAAAGCCTTCAGGTCTCAACGCCGCCCGCAAGCTGCGGTTCAACCGCAAGGAGCAGAAGTGGGCCGATCTTGCCTACAAGAAGCGTGCTCTCGGCACTGCCTTCAAGTCCTCGCCGTTCGGTGGCTCCTCCCACGCCAAGGGAATCGTCCTCGAGAAGGTCGGTGTTGAGGCCAAGCAGCCCAACTCCGCTATCCGGAAGTGTGTCCGTGTTCAGCTCATCAAGAACGGCAAGAAGGTCACCGCTTTCGGTACGATACCCCGATCTCGATTTTTTACCAGGTCGTACGATGGTCATGCTGTTGGGTCGACGGGGGGGGGTCCTTGCTCTTCCAAGATGGCTGAGAGAATAACTGTCAAGCTTCTTGGACAAGGGAAGGATGTGATCGACCACTGCATGGCCCGAAACGAGAGAAAATTTGTGTATGACCATCATGCTAACTTAAGCGCTTCCCAGTCCCCAACGACGGTTGCTTGAACTTCGTCGACGAGAACGACGAGGTCCTCCTCGCCGGTTTCGGTCGCAAGGGCAAGGCGAAGGGTGATATTCCCGGTGTCCGCTTCAAGGTCGTCAAGGTTTCCGGTGTCGGTCTGCTGGCCCTGTGGAAGGAGAAGAAGGAGAAGCCGAGATCCTAAACGTTGTGCGCGACACAGCAAAAGGGAAACAAAAATGGAAAAACACGAATGAAAGAAACCTCTTACCCCAACACAACGGTCCACAACACGACTACGATGTGCATCTTCACGAATGTCAACAAAGATGGATGGTTTTTTTCTTCTCAACTGGGCAAATGCGGAGTTGATATTGGCTTGCTTGATTTTTCATCGGCATTCATAGGGTTGCGGCCTAGACAAAAAAAGGTCTGGTCGTGAGCCTGAAAACACGAATACCATGGCGGGATATGAAAGATACGAGGAATAGAGATCTTCTGTCTGCCGACGAACTCTGATGACTTCTGCTGCTTGCTATGCCGATGTAAATGGCCAACATGACGTCGCCTTCATGTTCCGTGTCACGTTCCCAAGATTGTGAATGCGAATGGCTTTTGATGACTGTGCTACTCTTACATGTTCGTACATTTCTAACATTATTCGGCCAGCTTTTTCGACTGTCCCACGACCTCTGTCGGGTCTTTCAAGTATGCCAAGACGTAGTCCAGTCCCATGCCGGCAGCAATCACCCCTCCGGTGATCCAGCAGCCGTTCACGAACCACCACCAACAATCCTTGACACTCTTCAAGTTGACTCTTTTGATCATCCACGCGAGCGACAACGCGGCACCTCCGCAACTTCCAACAAAGAACGCCGGCCCAGCGCCCGCCGCCGTGCCTGCCGCCGCCAGCAGCCCAACCTGGACCACCGCGAGGCCCGACAGCACCTTCTTTGTCTCGGCGTCATGCTTGAGCGCGATGCTCTTGATGCCGGCCTTCTTGTCGTCCTTGATGTCCATGTGAGCATAAATCATGTCGTAGAGCACGGTCCAGGCGATGTTGCTCCCATAAAGACACGCCGCGGCTGTCAAGGCCGGTGTGCTCGCGAGCAGATCGACACCGAGAGCCGGAAATCCCATGATGGCGCCCCAGGAGAAAGCAAAGCCCAGCACGACCTGTGGATAGTACGTCACGCGCTTCGCCAGCGGGTACATCACTACCAGGCATAAGCTGGGGATTCCGTAGTAGAGACAGCTCAAGGGAAACTGCAGCAGGATGCCGAGACCTGCCAGGCACTGGAAGCCCGTGAATACCAGCGCTGCTTGGGGTGTGATGGCTCCCCTGGCGATTGGCCTGTGACGTGTCCTCGCGACGTGCGGGTCGAGTTTCCGGTCCCAGAAATCGTTGATGCTGCAGCCGGCACCGCGCATGATCAGGGCGCCGCTGAAGAAGAGCAGCGAGGTGCCCAGGACGGCGAGCGGTGGTGCAACCGGGGTGGCGAGTGGCGCTGCGAGCAGGGTACTGAAGAGGCAGGGCAGGAACAGGTAGTATGTTCCTGTGGGCTTGTCCAGACGGACAAGCTCGGCATAAGGAACCCATGATGTTGGCAGATATGATAGTATGCCAGTCGTGGGAGGCGAGTAGGGCTCAAGCAATGTTGGCGAAGGCACGAGGGGTGAGGCCGGCGTCGTCTGATGAGATGCTCTTCGCAGCGCAACTAGTGGAACGGCTGCAGGGACTGATCTTTGGTGTTTTGGATTTGAAAATATCGAACTCTTTTGGCTTGGTTGCCAGCTAGAAGTGTGCTGCAGACAACGACCAGTCCTGCTGACATGTCCAGGTTGAGTCAACTTGAACCGTACTAGACGAGACTCTAGGCATCTACGGACAAGTCCTTGAGCCGCCATCCTCACAGTCTCCCGGGCGCCTCTGCTTCCGCCGCTTTTCGTCAGTCGGAGCCATCCAAAGCCATTGATCACGAATTCTGGACCGACCTATTCGCTATTTATCCTCTTCAAAGAGACATATTACCTCGGCAGCATCTTCTGGGTGGGCCTGGTACTTTTTGATGTAGGCTTGGGCTTGCGTACTCAAGCGCACAGTCGCGTGAGATTTCCAGACTGGGAAGTTGCACGTGGGAAGTGATAGTCCAAGTGAGACGTGAGGCTCCAGTTCTTTTAAGAAAATGCTGGCATGTCGTCTTTGAAGCTGTCACGATAATTTTGGGCGGAGCGAGGTGCTTCAGGTCCCACTCCGTGCTCTGGTGCAGGATATGATTGGTCTGTGTGGGCCTCCACATCTGCTAGTCCACGCTTAAGTCTCCACTCTTGGAGATGCGCCCCCGCGGAATTGGAGATGGAAAGAGGGCGTCGCGTCTTCGCGGTGCAAACAGAGGTGCAACTACGAGATCTTTAGCACATCAGCCTCGACGAACCACAAATCTGCCCTGCGCCCACCCCGAAACTCGTCGCACCCACTCCCGGGATACGCTGCGGTCTGATTCGAGTCGTCCTCCTCCATCTGGCACCCACGAGACAGATCCTGTGCTGTTTGCGACTAGGCTTCGACCTAAGGCGACTTCTGGCGATGAAGGGCACGTAAATGCCGTGTGAGGGCATCATCTTGTCTATCCAAAAGACCCCTTACCAAACTCGATACCCGTCCATGCCTGGTGGATTCGTGGTCGTCCAGCCCTTGAGGCACCGCCGTCAAAATGCCGAGTGCCATGCATCCGCAGGCGAAGTTCGACCCCATCCCGCCAGATCTCGACCTCCAGGATCTAGTCGACCGCGCGCCGAACTTCGACTGGGTACTTCGCATACCACTTGTAAAGATCCGTCGCCTGGGGTCGGCAGGGTTCGAGAAGCTTGTGCAGCTTCACGTCATAGAGGGCGGTCGACCCCTTGTGATTGAGGGATGGGACAAAGTGCTCCCCAGCAACTTGTTCAGTGCTCGGTGGCTGGAGAGCACGTATGACAAGAAACAAGAAAATGTCAGAGACATCAACGCGCAATCCGACATCCCGATGACCACCGGCCACTATCTGCGCGCCATGACGAAGCTCACGAACCAATGGACTCCTACCAACTTCCGTGGCGAGCGACGACAGAGACTCTACCTCAAAGACATCGACTGCCCGCCTGAATGGCACGATCACCTCAAGAAGATTATCCCGCCAAATGTGTTTTACATGAACGACAACATCAGCGACATGCCTTCCACTCATCAGAATAATGACAGCGACATTTTCGGCGCCCCGGAAAGAACAATAGCAGTGGCGGGAGACCTCATGAGCAGCCTACCTGAAGAGATGCGAGCGCAAAATCTCATGTGTTATATAGGACACGAGGGTACATATACCCCCGCCCACAGGGAGATGTGTGCCAGTCTTGGACAGAATATCATGGTAGAAGCCTCAGGCGACCAGGACGGCGAAAAGCCTGGAAGCTCGATCTGGTTCATGACCGAGACGAAAGACCGCGAAGTCGTCCGGGAGTACTTCTTGTCAATGCTTGGGCATGATATTGAGATCGAGAAACATTTTGCCCAAGTCAACGCCTGGAAGAAGGCCAACTTTCCCGTACATGTTGTGGAGCAAAAAGCGGGCGATTTCATCCTCATTCCCCCTTTGGCACCACATCAGGTATGGAACAGAGGCACACGTACCATGAAAGTAGCCTGGAACCGCACAACGGTCGACACGCTTGGTCTTGCCTTGCAGGAGGCTCTGCCGAAAGCGAGACTCGTGTGCCGCGACGAACAGTACAAGAACAAGGCCATCATTTACTTTACATTGGAGAAGTACTACAACGAGCTCCAGACATTCGATGAAAGCACCGAAAATGAATGGCTGGGCCTGGGTCAGGATTTGCTCCAAACCAACGCACGATCCAAGCGAATGCTTGCCGACTTCAAACGGTTATTCCGCCTATTCACCGATGTTCTCGTCAGCGAAATGTTCGGGCAAAAACAGGCAAACGTAGAACATATACCATACGATTCCAACATTACTTGCTCTTACTGCCGGTCGAACATCTTCAACAAGTTTCTCACCTGCAAGCACTGTGTTCGCCAGCTGATCAATGGCGACGAGGACACCTACGACATCTGTATGGAGTGCTACGCGATGGGGCGGTCTTGCATCTGCATCTCGGGTTTGCAATGGTGCGAGCAATGGAACTGGTCCGACCTTGTGGAGAAGCACGAATTGTGGCGTGCCATGATCATTCAGCAAGAGGGGTTTATTGACATCAATAACTCACCTCCGCCTCTTGAGGTTGCGAAGGGACTAACCTACAAAAAGACCGTGGCCCAGATTTGCCAGGAGCAGCTCAAAATACGACCCTGGAATGACATTTCCAAGCCTGTTGAGCAGCAGGCACCTGAGTCGGAGCCCGAGCCCGAGGTCGATGATGATGGCCGGGTCAAGAAGCGAAAATACAAACGAAAGGCCAAGAAAGGAGAGGTCTACAAGTGTCATACCTGCATCCACAAAGACAACACTTGGAAGCTCCAATACTGCACCACCTGTTCTGAGGCATACTGTTATGGAGTTTTGTGGCGAGCGTTCGACATTATGCCCCAGACTGCCATGGAAGCGGAGTACTGGCAGTGTCCCAAGTGTCTGGGCTATTGCAATTGCGGTGCTTGCAGGCGTAGTGGCAACACGCAGCCGTACATCCCCAAGAACACACTTCTGGGCCATGACACACGCCCGGTCGCGGATGATCGCAGTGTAGAAGCTGTTGTGGACTTCCGCCTTCACAATCTGAATTGGCTCAAGGCCAATGGGGAAGAGAACCGCAGCAAGGACACAAAGCGTATGCAACGTCTGAAGGAGAAGGCCGATGCCGCAAAGTCTAAGGATCTGATGGAATTGGAAGCCGCAGGTCGGGAGGTCGCTGGACCCGACGGCATCGCTACCGGCGCTGGCGATGAATCAGATGATGGAGCCGAGCATGAATTATCGCGGCATGACCAGTCCACTATCGCCCACAACAACGGCATGGGAGCACCTGAGGGTATGGTTCCAGTGGCCGATATGTCGGCGCCGTGGGATCAGACTGGTGCAGATCCCGACGCGTCTAGCTATCCCGACCCGTCTAATTATCCCGACCCCTCAATCATGACCAATGGGCGCATGATGGGAATGGGCTTTTATGACCAAGATGATAGTGAGAACCGGATCCTCTTCGACGCTTTCGACGCATCCCAGGTCCCAAACCTTGACCCTGCGAACAACGACTCGCAGATGTCCGAGTACATCAAGAAAACTCTTCGGTTGGCAAAACGTCGGGCCCGACTCAATCAAGAAGACGACCCAGACTTCCGCGCGCCGAAGAGGAGTTACCACAGAAAGAAGCCAGAGAGCGGCAATGTAAGCCAGCTCGCCAACCTGGACCCTGCCCTGATGGACGCTTTGGGCGATGCGACAATGACTCCCCAGAGTGATGGGACCCCAGCGCCGGTCACAAACCCGGCTGCAGCCCAATCTCTCATCACAACTACATCTGCTGAAGGCACACAGCTGGTTCAGCCGGTACAGCCAGCAGAGCCGGCACAGCTCAAACAGCCCAAACAGCCCCTGCCCATAGATCCTCTCAAGCCTACTTTGCGTCACGCAAAGCCGCGAGCTTCTTACCTCGATCCTGAAGAGCCTGTGGACGACCCTGACGACATCGTGCCCAACAGACCATATACTCGCGCACCAAAGCCACCCGCCACGGCCATTGACGTGTCAGCTGAAGCAGTGGACCTGGCAGCTGATGCGGTGCTTGGGTTGGGCTCAGCGCCTGCTCCAAACGGTGAGATCCCTGCCATTGCGGCAGATCAACCTGTCACCCGGAAGCGCGGTCGGCCGCCTGGGCCGAGACGTGGTGTGCCAACCGAGAGCGACGCTGTGCAATCTGCAACACCAGGGCCGGTTGCGACCCGCCCATCCCCGGAAACCCGGAAGCGCATGCGACTTGAACGTGCGCAGGCGGGCGGTGGAGATGTTTCAATGCATGACGAAGATGATACCGATGCCGAGGCCGAGTGGCAAGCTGTTGCGGGTGGCCGTTCCGGGGAAAATGGCGACTCGGATTCTGACTTCAGACGACCGAAGACACCGCCCGCAACATCTACGGGCAGACGGAGAGGGCGCCCTCCAAAGGCAAAGCCCGTGCCGCCTGTAGTCGATGATAACTCGGAGGATGAGCTTCACGTGGTTACGCCTCCGCCACCTCGCAGACGTGGCCGACCACCGGGAAGGAAGTCTGAGCCAGTGGCACCACTTGCGGTAGAAGCGCGGGATATGCAGTTCCTCTCCATGGCGGAAAGAATGGCCCTCAAAGGCAAGAAGATCAAGATCCGGGGTCGTAAGTCGATGCCGGCCACTACTCAGAGTCCATCTACAGCGAACCAGGTCGACTCGCCAAGGGCCTCAACACCCGAGCCAACAGAGATCCCCACCAAGAGTTCCTCTGAAAAGTTGGTTTCGGTCTCTGCAGAGAGGGACGCAAACGTCATTGTGGCTCAACCTGTCGCATATTTGTCTGACGAGGAGGGCAACTCCTCATCAAGTGCTTCTTCCATCGCGGCAGAGCCAACACCGCGGCGCAGAGCCGGTCCTACAGTCGTCCGCTTGGACTTGTCGGATGCTGAAGACGGATCGGATAGTGCTTCGGTCAGTAGGGGTAGTGATAAGGCAACATACGTTGCAACACGGGGCCGTGGGCGAGGACGAGGACGTGGGCGAGGGGTTGGCAGGGGCAGAGGAAGAGGCAGAGGGCGTCCACGGGGCAGTTGAGCCCATTCTGCAATGACGAGTCCTTACCGCATGATTGATGGTTTTTGTTTGTCTGGCTTCTTTCTATATGGATGATACCCAGAGTCAGGCTATTGTGGCGTAATTAGAGCATGTCGGACTCACAGCGTTTGTCGTATGAATACAGGCAGGTGGCAATTGAGCATCATGTCATTATTTTGTAGTGCTCATTAGGGACGTGGCCTGCAGCAGTGACCCAGACCTTACGCTTGTGATGTACTTCTCCCCTTGATAGGCCCTGACAGCATACCAGTGTATTTACGGATAGAGAAATTGTGGCGTCGCTAGCACGAACGCCTCAATCAACATTCAAAGGTAATTAAAGTAGGACAGAATGATGAAATGAGTGAAGTGCCAAGACACTCGTAAGCAGGAATGACATGACACCCAGGGCCGCGCCGCCCGGCTGCCGCTTTATTTATCCTACAGGGCTTTGGCTCGTCCTTGACGGATGCAAATGCACATGCTGCCTACGCGTGCCTTCTGAACTGTAATGCATCGGAATTTCAGTCGTCCAGAGGTCTGGAGGGGGCCGCGGGGAAAAGCCTCGAGCGTTCTGTTCTGTCTGTCGCCTTCAACGGCCCACGTTGCAAGCGCTGATCCTTTGTCATAGCCCCATTCGTGTTGCTGTTCTAGGTGCTTTCGGCGTCTGGTCCCCTGCTGGCCCCTCTTTGGGGAGCAGCAGGCCGTCGCAACCATGGAATACCTTGCATCGCCTTGTAATAAACCAGAGGCTAATTAACACCTTTTGACGCATGGCCCTTGCCCGCCTCGACATTTGGTCTTTACCACTCTCAAGTTTATTCTGCAGAGACGCGCCAATCCACGCAGCACCCTACAATATTCATCGACGCAGAGCACGACTACGTACCCGTAGAGAACCACGGCTACTCAAACGAGCGCTTCGGACCACCCCCGCACCTCTGGACTACGTCGAGCATCATCCCGCATCCACGCACGAGACGGCCACGCGTCGAGTCGAGTCATACAGCAGCCTCTCTTCTCACGGCACGGCGCGCAGGCCGGCGGGCCATGACTCGAATTGCGCTTGACTTTTCCGACTTGGCGCACGCCATGCCAGAGCGCACTCTGTAAGGGCCGAGGCTCTCCATATAGATCACCGTATTCGCGATGCTCTCCCATCTCCGCTTCCACAAGCGGGACCGCTCGAATCCTGCGTCGCCTATCCCGCCCGACAACACCCATAATCCATGGGGCGATCTCCAGCCTGCCCAGCTCGTGCCTGACGATGCCATCCCAAGCCCGGACGTCCGCCCGCGGTCCTCACAGTCTGTGCCGTTCGGGCCGCACAGTCAGGCCGTTCCTCCGCACCCACAGCAACCACCGCCGCAGCCGCCCAAGCCTTCCCATGCGCCAGCCCAGCAGGCGCCGATTCTCCCACCAATTACCCGCGTAGTGTCGGACGCTTCAGGCTTCGGTATGGACTTCGCAGACCTCAGCATCAGGCAGCGCGACGAACCGAGGCCGAGTCCCGTCTCACCGAACAATGAAACATCTGGCTTCATCGGAGGCTTGGCCCTGCGCAACTTGCGGCTGGAGCAAGAGGCCTCGATGAGGGCTGCGCAGAAGTCCCCAGATGTCGGTCCCGGGAGTGCTCTCAGTCCTTCTGGCTTCTCGAGTCGTCCCCCGGCCCCTCCGTTTCAGCCGGTCAAGGCTGCTTCATCCTTTATAAGCCCGACCGACATGTACAAGCCGGGGGCCACCGGCAAACGCCCGCCAGGCGCGCGGATGGCCAGCGAACCCCAAGTCCTCCCCTCACAAGGATATGCTCCTCAAGAACCGCCCCGGGGAAAGAAAGGTCTTCCATTTCTGAAGAATCCAGTGTCGACCCTGCTCCTGCGGCGGAAGACGAGCCAGAATGCCCCAGACCTGTCCATACAGCTCCGGAAGCAAGAACCCGTCTACGATCCACGGATTCGTGGCACCCGAGTCCATGATTTCAGCGCCCCTCGGCCAAGGAGAGCCCAGCCGAGCACCGATGCTTTGTCACCGGAGGCTGCCTCAAGCACAGACGCGCTGGGAATCAGTACCTTGACATCTCCCGCGGATATGCAGTCTCCTATCCCCTCCACGACCTCACCAGCTGTCGAGGTGGCACCTCTACCAGAGCTGATTGACGATGAGAAGCCCTCACCGGAAAAGATTAGTGAGCTGCATCCAGCCCTCAGACGACAGCTCAAGACCGACGAAACAGAGGATGTTGGCGGCGCCCCTATGCGCGCCAAAGGGCCAGGCATGAGTTCAAGGCGCAAGAGGGGTTCTGTTCCTCCGACGATAAGCCCGCTGTCGCGCAACGCGTCAGGGCACTCATTCAGCGCGATACCAAAGCACATGAAGAGCACATCCTCCAGGTTCAGTTTCGACATGATAGGGTCAGCGAATGAGGAGAAGCTCTTGGAAGAACGCCATCGTCAGAAGCAGCAGGACAAGCAAGATGCTGGGGATGATGCGCACGGCGGAGGCTTCCGAGATTCACGATTCGACGACTTTGATGAGGATGCTTTTGACTACGACAACATGGACTACGACGATGGTCTAGAGGAAAGGATACCGGGCGTCAATGCTGACTACGAGGAAGACGACGGCTTTGGGGGTATGGACGACGTTGGCTACGAGGAAGATGACATGGGCTTCGACCAGGACGAGCAAGATCCAGACAACGATCAGAATAATTTTGGCGGCTTCGTATTCCAGAGGTCTGACCCTAACTCACTGGTCGCCAGCCCCCTCGGCAGCGGGCCGCTACTGACACCGCGAGACGATGGTGGCAATGTGATTGGATATGCCTCCGCCGGGTCTACGCCTACATATCCGCCCAAGGTTGTGACGGAAGTCGATTCAAAAGTAGACAGTGTGGAGGAAGACCTCGTCCCCATGCCGTTGCGCCACTCGCAGCAGATGGGTCTGGGCATTCACGGCTCATCGTCGGTTGACAAATCCCAATTTGAGGATATCGACCTCTGTGAAAAACCTCATGAGGACGCAGACCCAGCACCAACGCGGCACCTGGACCCCGACGACGAACTCTATTTCAAGAGCGATGACTTTTCGGGTGAGGGTGACGGCAACGCTTTCGATGAGTCTCTCTTTGATCTCGACGACACCGACCAATATGGCAGGCCAATCCCTGGCATGTTCGCTAACGCACTGGCGCAACGCAACAGCGGCGCTGCCGATGCCAACAAGCTGGATTCGGGGATAGCTTCGAGGCTCTCTGCCGTCTCTGGCGCTTCGCAGTCTACCGCTCACACGTCGGTCAGTGTTGAGCCGCGAGAAGTCGTTCCTGTTGCAGAGCTTGCCGAGAAGGATGTCGAGAAGGATCCCGTGATGGCCGGGCAACTTCAACAACGACCTGAAGCATCTGCAGAAGAGAAGCAACAAATGGCCGCATACCAAGCGGCGCTAGCAGCAGCAGCCTGTCAAGCAGCAGCGTCAGGCAAATTTGATCGAGACTCGCCCCCCTCACCCGTTGATCTCATGAGACAACCATCAGCGGCTGCGTCGTCTGTGTATTCGACTGAGGACAACATCCTCAACTCGATTGAGGACTACGAAGCAGATGACGATGCGTACGCAGACCTGGACGATTATGAGCTCGACGACGACGCTATCATAGCCGAAGCTAACGCGAGTGCACTTGCAAACGACTCTGACGGCTGGTACGGCCAAGAGTTTGGCTTTTATGCCGCGCCGGCGCAGCAGCAGCACTTGATACAACAGCAGAAGTCGTCCAAGTCCTTGACTGAGCAGAATCTGTACCAGTACTCCCATGGTGGCTTCTTTGGTCCAAGTGGTGGGCTAGATCGCACAATGTCGGGCCACGCAGTCCTGAGGGAGCCAAATCTGACGCCCATCACCGAGCGATCCGAGTACTCGAATCGTAACTCGATCATGAGCTTGGGCATACCTCCGGGGATTGGAAGTGCACCGATCCAGAGCCCGGGTCTGGCACAGCTCGCGATGATGGCCGACGATGATGACATGTCAATATCAGCCTTGCTGAAATTGCGGTCCAAGGCCTGGGGGGGTTCACAAGTATCGCTCAGCTCACGTGAAGGATCTCCTAACGATCGGAACGGGGCGAGCAGCCCATGGAGTCCTGAGCCTTCGTCGTCATTCCTGAACATGACGTCTCCGGCAGGGCGAAAGAACTCGGCCTTTTCTGTGTGGAGCCAGGACTCTGCTGCGCCTGACAGCGGCGCAGGAAGCCCGACCATCACACTGGCAGCGCCCATTGTTCCAAACAACCTCACGATGCCGCCATTGCTGATTCCAAACACCAACAATACTGCCATCTCTCCCTCTGTTGGCACAGGGTCGTTCGCCTCTCCAGCTCAGCCGTCCTCGGCTTGCCCTCCAGTTTTCGAGGACGACGAGACGGACGAGGCGCAGACGACTGCGAGCGTTTCCAACTCGAGCTCCGTCTATGTCTCGTCTGGGGCGGGGAGCATGATGATGCCCCCGCCGCCTCCGCCGCCGGCGCGGAAGGCCTCGCAACACCGCCCGGCGATGGGCCACAGACATAGAAACAGCGCCGACAGCATCTCCTACACCAAAGAAGAGGACAGTGGTGAGACGCGATGGGTCATTGAACGTAGGCGCACTGCAGAGTCTGGCGAGATGGAACTCCTTGGACGGGAGATTATTCCCGGCGGCAGGATATGATGTGTGCCGGGCCTTGGTGACTGGGAATCAGTCAGGGGATTTTCATTGAGAGGACGGTGCTGGTATTTGTCTGTCGTGAACAGGACATGACGGGCCTGTTTGGTCCGAGTGCCCAGTTCACATGAATTCTAGCAGGCCCGGGTTCCAGCAAAGCCGCGAAGGAGGGTAGATATTTTTGGATGGCTTTTTCCTTCATGTCGAAACAGTCTCTTGGAAAGCAAGCAATGGCGTAGGAGCACTTGGGTACATAATCATAATGATATATTTCACGGCTAGCTTCTTGTTTTCTTCTTTTGAATGAATCTACAGTACGAAGCTGTCACTCTGATCTCAGCTGTCATTATCAGGCAAGCATACCTGGACATGGCGATTCACTTCGTCAGAGCACAGAACCGCTTTCTTCATCCAGAGCAGCAAAAGATGCCGGCTCACCGAGGCGGGCAACACCCATCGCCATTATTGCTCTCCGTGACAGCTCAGCTCATTTCATGGGTCCCTGAATGCTTGCTGAACATGTCGCAAGCCTCGTGCGACCGGCACCACCAACCCCCCAGCTACCAGCCCGACGCGCCACCTCGGAGAACCCACAGCAGCCCAGCGATCCACCGGGAAGATAACAACATACTTTGGGGTCATCATCCATGCTCGTATAGTCCCGGGCAGCAGGGGAAGGGGGGGGGTGCGAGGCTCTTGTGGTCCTCGATAGTTCGAACACCTGTCACTTGTCAGTTTTGCGGCAAACTCCGGCCACAGGACAGGGTCGAGCCTTGTTCTCTCTCTCTTTTCCGTGACTCCCTTGTCCTCCCATGTGGTTTTTGGTTCGGGGTTGTTGTACGCCAGGTGTGTGGATTTGTTTTTTTTTCATAATGGTGCCCGTGTAGCACAAAAGCAGCAGGGTCTTTTCCGAACACAGAAACCCGAAAACGAAAGAACAGTGCTGCTGATGGGGCCCAATTCCAGGCCTCCCCCCTTCATCCTTGCACGACGACCACCCGTCGGTGAAGGGGCATCGTCCGACTGAGCGAGTCAAGATGCCCGACCAAAAAAGATAGCACGGACGCTCGTTTCACACTTCAAGGACGATAGATGTTAAGGTTTGATTTTTTCTGGAGTATCGATGGGGGAAGGGGGGGCCCTCTTTCGGCTCTTTTTTGCCTGGTGTCATTATCGTACATATTTTTTCATGCTCACGGGGTCGGGCGCGCGCACGTGGACGGCCGGGTCCGTGCTTTTAATCGTTTCCAACGGCTTTTTTGAGGGGCCAGGCAGAGAGAGTCAGAGAGTCAAGAGTCAGCAAATCCAGGGTCCTTTTCGCGCTGGTGGGCGGTTTATTGTCTGTGCGAATGGTCCTCAGGAGCAGGGAATATCCTCGCTCGGGCGGTTCTTCTTCCCCAGCCAACCCGGGCCACGCCAGGCAGGGCGGGCGCGCGCGCCGTGCATGTGCATGTGCGTGTGCGTGTGCGTGTGCGTATGTGCGTGCGTCCTCCTCTCCTGTCGTCGCGGGGTGATGAGACATGCATAATGCGCATCTCTCGCCTCGTCTTTTTATTTTTGCGGTCACACCGGCGGCGGCGGCGGCGGATGCGGATGGGGCCTCGAAACCAATATAATGCAAGTAATATCACGATGCGCATCATCATCCTTCTTTTCTTTGGTCCCTTGCCCTGTCCCCCATCCCGGAACATGGAGACCGTTGACCAGGCGAGGCGAGGCCCGGCGAGTCGACGACCATTTCGGGGACGACGGGGATAGTTATTAGCATAGCAACACGTGTCGTGTCAATGAGGCTCCTCCTCTTCTTGCCGGCCACCCCCCCTGGAGATACGGCACTTGGCATGACATGACAGCACGGCAGCAGCACGGCAGCAGCAGCCCTGTGCCGCCTGCCTGGGCGTGCCGCGTGCCAGATTGGCCCCTAGTGAGCAAGGGGGGAAGAGAATCGATGCCCTAACCAAGTGTATGGATGTAATGTGGCCTGGCTCGACAATCAATTGGGGTCGATAGTCCATCTTGCGTGTACTTTTTGTTGGCAAAGTTCAACAGGAAAATCGATTCGGGGGGTTACAGCATACAGCATGGGGGTGTTTACGCGTGTGAACAAAAGAACCATGTGATGGTTGGTGAAAACCAAACACATTGATTGCCCCCTCTCTTTTCTGCGCTTCAGCTAGCGTCGCAATTGCATCGCCGCCCGCTGGTGAAACGGATGGCGCTGTATGGGCAGGAAGGATCGGCGCGCGGAAATGCATAAATGGCCCGCATCATCCATGCGCAACAAGCCCTTTTATGACCGGGTACAAAGTCGATAATTAACCTTCTGTCAGGTGGTCTGGGTAGAGAGAGAGAGAGAAAGAGAGGGGAAAACGGTGAGACTGGCGAGGGGCCCAGCCAAGAAAGGCCAAGCATCCGTTTATGCACGCTACCGGCACGCTGCCGGGCCCGTTGTTCCTCCCTGTACATACACTTACGCTGGGCTGGCCCATACGAGCGCCGCCGTGGGTACATACAGGCCAGCCGTGCCTGCGGTGAGATTTATGCGTCTCGATAACAAGCGGAAATCCTTCCAGCTCGCATGCCTGCCAGGCGAAGCAGCAGAGATTGGGTGCCGATCAGCATGCTTATTGCCCTGCCTACATGATCGTCATCCCACCAAAGTGGCCCATCATCCATCCATCGTTCAGGTGGATATAGAGAGAGGTATATAGGCGCGCCCATATGCCGTGATTGCGCCATGGCAAAGATGGGCCCTCCGTCAAGGACAACCGACATATAGCCCGCGCAGATATGTACGTGCGCCCGCTCGCGCACGAGGCAGGCCGCGATGAAAGCTCCGGATGTCGTTTGGTGCCGGTTTCATGCCGTGGGGTTGTGCTACCGTAGGGCCGACCCATATGTGTGTGTGGGGGATTCGGGTTTTGCCTGGATGGATATGATGATGTGATATTGGTGGTGATATCGATACCTGCCACATAATATGGTTAATGCCCACAAGACGGAAGATTCCGCTTGATATCTGGAGACGGGCAGGCAAACTCCGCAAAGCCAGCTTCTACTCCTAGCAATAAGCAATAAGCATTCCGCGTGCTTGTCGTCGCAGATTGGTCAGCGTTGACAAAACATTCGTCAACCCAGGGGCACAACTTTCCCCGCAAAACCGGTCCAGAAGTTTATGCTGTGAGAAGGTTTGGTGAGACGAAAACGATCCTCGGAAACACGGCCCCAATTGGGGACCAACCGACTTCACTTGTACGTCTCGTAATGAATGACGCACCCAGAGGGGAGGGGATGCAGAGAGTTTGCAAGTGATCGTCAAACCCCAACGGGACATGCTCCACCCGGTCTCAAGAAATTCATCGTTGCCAACACCCCAAATGACTGATCTGAATGGCTGGACTCCACCACGCCTTCCTCTCTGTGTGTGGAAATCACGTCTTGATGGTTCCAGGCCTTTCTCTCTTTTCGAGCAGGACGAGCCGTGGTTCTTGAATGCTCAGCCCCAAGAACCGGAATTGGGTCTAGACAATGGCATTATCATAATGACCGGTCATTTCCCCGACACGCGTCGGCAACTTCGGACAGCCGGATACGCTAGCCGTTGCGGCGTTCCGCTTCTCGACCATTGTTTTCCTATCAAAGAATTGCCCGATCAGTATCATGCATGAGACTGGCGCTGGGAGACTGATCGTCTTTGCATCTCGCCTGGGCTTGCAGTAGGCAGCACTTTCAAGCCACCGTGCAAGCCCTCCTCTCAGCCCATCATCCATTGCCTCCTCCCTGACAGTGGTGGTCTGGCCTTGTTGGAGGCGAACTTGAAGGCAATAGACTTCAGTACTAAGCAGTAGGCGAGGTACAAGCCCGCCCACAAAGAGCCTCGCAGCTCGTCCATCTGCCATGGCGCTCGCAAGCTAAAAGAAGGCGTAGCTGTTCTACGCGTTCCTGGCGCTAGCGCAACTCGTTCATGCAAGGCTGAATGTTAATCCAAAAGCGGAAACGGGGAGAAGAAACAGTGGTCAGTCATTGGACAAGCTTCAGTGCCCAATGCAGTTTCAGCCCACCGAGGACGATTTACATGCTTACTGTGTCCTCGCATCAAAAAAGCACATCGTATGTGTTCTTTTTTTCTTTTTTTCGACACAGTGGATACCCCCGCAGCAGGGAAACGTGCCCTCGTGGAAGACTGTAGAGTTTGGCCGTGTCAATGCACATGTGGAGTGTATCTGGGTCTGTGAAGATTTGCTTTCGCCTGACATATGAGGCGGTGTGCCACGCGCGATCTGGCTTCACTCGTGTCGTTTCAGAAACAAGACCAAAAAAAGAACACCAGACATGTCACTGCTGCGGCGGCCTTTTGTGCTCTTCTTTACTGATTGAGTTTCATCAGCCACTGCGCCGCAGGCTAATTTTCCACATGGGCGGATTCTGCTCACTGTGAGCCTCGGTTCAAAGCAATCTCGCTGGCCCGATAATGTGCTCGAGTCTTGGCCCACGGAGCCAAAGCCGTGCTTCGAGCAGGGATACCACCATGTTTCCCGTGCCGTCAGGCTGCATGCCCCATGCGTCTCCTTTGTGCTGCTGCAGACCTGCATGCATGCAGTGTGTGTCTCAGCAGGGTATCAGGTATTGTGCATGCCAGACTTCCCGCAAGGTAAAGAAAGATGTTCCTTATAGTGAGGGGCTTCATGGAGGCCTGTTGCTGTGACGTACGGTGAGTTTGCTGTCGCTTCGGCCGGCTCTGTCCAGCCCCTGGACGTCCCCAGCATTTCCGAAGCTGGCATCAAGAGTCACCAACGTGTCGCCAGGGGTTCAGACATGTTTGATGGCAAGCCCCCACGCCTCGAGGGCTTGTTCAGATGGCTGCGCAGCCACCATTGTGCACTTCCACAGCGCATACCTGTTGGCTGACCCCTTGCCGGACCCATTTGTCGACATACGCCCACACGGTGACCATACCAGCGGGTTTGTCGAACGTCGAACAGCCTCCGAGACGCAGTTGGTGCTCGTCATGTGATCCTTTGTGTCCCGGCCTGACAGAGTGGAAACACAAAGAATGGTCTTTCGCAAACTTAAGCAGCCCATTGCATGCGTACAGCAGAGCAAAGACTTCTGCGACCCGACTGGGAAAGCTGCGCATGCTGACGGGCCTCCCGCTTCAGCGGCTGGGTGGGTAGGCAGCTCTGGACCCTTTCGACTCCCCAGCGAGCCAGGCCCTCGCCGCGAGTCAGATTGACTTTTTCTGTTCTGCTGGTTTCTGCACTAACATGACCATCATGCCGTGGCACAGGAGGCACACCTGCGCGGACTTGCCTCCGGTGCACGGCATCCCGTAGTCTAGCCTCATAGTGCACTGGCTCCCGCGCGGCCGCGAACTCTATTCCTGGCTCCAAGCCTTTGGCTGTGCCGCACGGCCGAGGCAAGAACAGTGCAGAACAAGATTACCGCTTCTCTAAGCGCTTCAGGCGCGAAAACACCGGATCGCCCTGTCAAGGCTTTGGCCGAAGGTAAATCCATGGCCAGGTATCTGCTCGTGGTCGGTGCTTGGCGTGGGTCTGGTTTCCATCAAGGACAGTCGAAACAATGCAGCCAATACGGACAATAGGGACAATGAAGCGCCACTTCTCAGATGGAGGCGGTCTCCGTGGGCTGTTGCCTTCTCCATATGCTCTAGTGCCTGCGGCTACTGCCGTTCGTCGATGCCCTACTCAATCATTACTTTCAGTCCTGGTGGACATGGCGTGGGCAGCGCAGCTGCGGCTCCCGACGGAAGAGCTGAATGGCCACCAAACCCACAGTGACGAGTGTGCGTGTTGCTGCATCGGCTTGTTCTGAATAGAACCTTGCATGTAATCCCGGTGGTGATCAAGCAGCAAGGCTACAGATCGGCGGTGCAGAGGCTGCAAGAGTGGTCACCAGAGCTACCTAAAATGGACAGCTTGCCGAGGTGCAAGCTAGCGATCCCGTGCCTTCGCTGAACCGAGTTGCAAAAGCAATCACCAATGCTCAAGACAGAAAGAGAGAAAAACCCTGCAAGGCTCGTGCGTTTGCCATCAACCAGGGGCTCTCGCGTGGTTCTGGTTGGTCCAAACGCAAGGTACACGCTGCACTGGCCGAAGCTAGCCACTACGTGCATGGCGGGAACGGGCTACGGGCAACGGTAAAGCTTCCCCGTGAGCACGGACAGCTTTGCCGAATGGCCTGGATGGCCCAACGGGTTGGTTTGCGGCAAGTAGTGATATAGTGCGCACGGCCGCTATGTGTCCAGCGACGTGCCTTTTGGCCTGGGAGCCAATGGGACCGAAGCCGTCCTATCCCCACTGCTTTGTCCAGACCCAAAGGGCCCCTGTCGTAAATCAAACGCGCCGTCTGCTACTGCATATGGCATAGGGTCGTGATCGACATTGTTTTTGTCCACTGTGCAGTATCGCATCTTTAGGCTAACACAGGCATGCCTCCGTTGTCGGTACACGAAAGATCCTTTGCCGAAGGTATCGTGCTTGAAGCTCATGAGACGCGGGATCCCAAGCAATGGAGCAGCTGGGCCTGCGTAGGCTCGGTCAGGCAAGGGTCACTGATTTCGGAAGTTGGCTCAAGCGGCACCCGTTTCCGAATGGAAGAGCAACTATGTAGCGGTAACACTGGTCACAGTATGCCCAAGGCTGCGTCGGTGCTCTGCTTGCTTGACCTTCGTTGGCTGGGTGAGGGACCTTGGATAAATAGCCGAGTACTCATGAGGACTGCCAACGCCCAAACCGCTTTGCGGTGGTGGGTTTCTTGTTTAGTCGTGGCTCGAATTGTGGCAGTATTGCAAGAGCAATCTGAATGCTTGCCATTTGGCGCTCAAAAGACATAAGAGAAGCGGTAGGCATCATCGACCGTCGTGTTTTTGTAACGCAACATGTTATTGCGCAGTAATGCTGAAGTGAGGCCCTTGTTCACAGCCTGTGTGTCCGACCCAAGAGTCTGGTCGATGACCGTACTCCATACTGCGACAAGCTGCACCAGAGAAGTGGGTTTTCCACGTCATCTGCCCAACAAAGGAATGTGGTTCCAACACGGTGTGAGTAGGGCCGTGCATGGACACAAACGTCTTCGGGCTCTTGTGTTCATTCGGGTAGTGTTATCGAGGTCAGCTGGTCGTCGCTTCAGCACTTCGCGATGGTGTTGCACACGCCCCGAGGCAAGCCCAGCAAACAATCAGCTAGAAAAAGAATCGGCGAGCATACGGAGATGCGCGGCGTCGTCCCGGCTGCGCACATCATGTACATTGGCGCCTCAGTTGCACCGGTGTGCTGCACAGTAGATGCACTGCCCGCATTGGCGCCACTGGCAGCATCCGTAGTCATTAGTCTTCCGTGTTTGCCGATTGTTTGCGAGGAGCATTGGCGTTCATTGTGTCCTTTAGTCTCATGCTGCAGCCGTCGAAGGTTCTCTCTTTTGGACATAGGTTCGTGCGACTTTACTATTTCAAGAGGAGCTGAAAGGTGCATGTATGTACCTGCATGCTGCCATGCATGGCGGTGGAGAAGCCTGTACTGTTCCTGCGATCAACGTGTCTGCCCTGCTTGCCAAAACTCAATGAGCACTGCTGCACCACTGGGCTGTGAACCAAGTGCAGCGCAGCAGAAGAGGCGGCTTGGCTCGTTCACTGACCATGCTCGATTTGGGTATGCCATTGCTGTTGCCGCGAGGTGTGACTTAATGACGCAGGCACAATTGCATCGTAGGGAGCAGTGCTTCCCCCCGAACAAGCACCTAGCCCGCAGGCTCTGTGGTCTCTACCTCACAAAATAGCCCGATGCGGAGGGGTACATGCTTGGGTACTCGGTGATCCATGTACGACGATGAATTCCTCGTGCTAGAAATGTCTCGTTGTGGCAGAGGAATGGCAGATCATAATCAAACACTCCCTCAATCCATGGGCACGGCGCTGTGATGGCCCAGGCAAGGGCAATCGTATCGGCAACAGCCTCGGCTGTCAAGGGGTGACCAATCCTGGCGTCGAAAGCTGCGGCGAATAATCTATTGATCATTTGGTTGTTTGATCCCGGCCAACAGGGTTGCGGGATTCGTGCTAATAAGTCTCTCTTGCTCCGGCCTTCTCAATCGGGCCATACATAGGTGGTCAGCATCGTGCCACTTGTTGGCTGTCATACGTTGTGCTGGCGCCCGGGACTTGTACAGAAGCCGCGTAGAAGTGGTTCAAGCCTGCGACAAGCCATCGCATCTTAGAGCCAGATGATCATCGAGTCAGAATTGGGGTAGGGTGCCCTGTCGTAGATCCTGGCCCACGGAGTATGCCCTAGCGGAGGGTATTTGCCCGTGGTCTTTTGCTCTGAATCCACAGAGATCATCTCTCTTGACGTACGCGAGCCGCGATGAGCGGGTTTGCAAGCCCAAGAACGGACCCCGGGAACGATATGTGGATCAAGTGCATGGTGCCCGACGGATACATCATTACAGGTCCGCGAGACTGGTAGTACTCCGTACGCAGTATGTCGACCTGCCCGGATGTGACGTGCAACGTGAATAAGCTGACTGGCAACGAGCGGTCGCGCGTTAGAGTGTAGCAGCTGCCCAGTCGATCTGCTTTCAGAGATGGGAGACACGCGAGAGCTTCATTGACCGAGGGAGCAGAATCAGTTCTGGAGCTCCTTATCGTGCAACGTCTCAAAGAAGGGGAGTGAAGGGGGCCTGTTGAGGGGTTCGCTCATGTCAGTGCTTGACAACGGCCGGAAACACTGTTTGACCCTGGCTCGGCCAACGTCCACGTCCACGGTTTCTTTTGGCACAATGACATGTACGTGAGCAACGACTGTCTGGTTGTGGCCGGATTGTGCACACTGCGAGCTAGCGGTTGTTGGTCGAGAACTGAGCACTGAAGGACGCGCATCGCCGAGCAGTTATGCGCGACAACTTGAATCGCAGAGCTGGTGCCGTGCCTTTAGGGCGGGCCGCAGGAGATGGTACTAGCGAGGACTCTGGAGCGGCGGAGCTGTGCCATGGGGCACGATCACGGCGCAGAAAAGAGCACGGTGTGATTGATGTGATTGCGTGTGACGGCAGGAGCCCTGGACTGGAGCTGGAGGCTGGCTGGCTGCTGCTGCGCAGTGGTGGTTGTTGTTGGTGCCTGTCACAAGCCAGGCAGGCGGACGACGCAGGAGCAGCACACGCACACGCACACGCACACGAGAGGGAGGAGGACGCGGAGGTGCCGGGCAGGGACTGCATGGGTGCGGCCGGGCTCCCTGCCTGCCCGGTCGGGAGCCCATGCCTCCCCGATTTGCAAACGACTGGGGTCGTGGTTGGAGTGATGCGCTGCGTCGTCCGCAGCAGCCACTCCAGACCGGCCTACCCACCTGGCCAGGGGCATGGACAGTCGACGACCACCACGGGCTATCATCGTGAGCGCTGAGGGATCAGTCAGCGTTCCATCATACCCCCCCTCCCTGCTCGTGGCCACTGCATCCGCCCGTCTTCGCATGGCCCGCTTCCGGCTGGCCCTCGCCGCCCACCTCTTCGCCTGGCTTCTGCGCCGTCTTCTGTCGTCTTCTTGCGCCTGCCCCAGGCCTAACCACGCCCTGCCTTCCTGCCTGCCTGCCTGCCTGCCCGCGTGTGACTCGAGACCTGTGTCACAGCTTGGTTGGCTTTAGGCTCAGAGTTGTCCTTGGTGCGTACCGCTTTCGGCGCAGGCCATTCTGACGAGATATCCTCCGCAGCTCTACTAGCTAGCAACAGCAGCAAGCCCGGCCAGTCACATCGCGACAGGACCGTCTCGAGACTCGCCGTGGTGACGATTGGCGGCGTCTGCCGTGCGTGCAATCCTGCGAGCCGCCAGCTTAATCCAGATGACGGCCTAGCCTCGGGCCCCATCGTCATTCATCTTCTGCAGACGCCATCTCCCGAGCACCGCTAGCCCCAGGCGGCTCGAGACTAGGACCTTAGCTCAACTGGTCGTCCCCCACGGCTGGGTCCTGGGCGAGGTTCGTTCGTGGCTGTAAGAACCCTTATTTCCAAAATAACATTACTACTTTGCCCGCCCGGCACTCCTGGCCCCTCCTCCCCTATCTCGTTCTTGAAGGTCATCTTTGGCTCTCTCGGCGTCTGCTCTCACGGCCTGCCTGGCATTTTTCCACAGTCGACCTCACCACTGGTAGTTGGCCACGTTGAAGGAGGCTTCTTCCGTCCACATGCGATTGGCGACTTTGAGCACAGGACTGTGCAAGTAAGGTCCCTGCTCAGCTGCACCAGGAGGCTTCGCCCTTACAAGGTATGCGACACTGCAACTGTCATGACTCCACTCCACCTGTCACACACATCCTTCTCGAGGCGGCCCAACCCTGGACATAACGCAAGCTGGATCACTGCTGCTCCGGTGTCAACCCGCAACGGCTGTGGTTGGGATCATTGCAGGGCATTCCCTGCAGACTCTGCAGGTGCCTGTCTGCAACACCCAGTACTAGTGGCCGACACGCGCACCTGGCTAGTCACCTCTGGCATTCCATTTACCTCCTCCCAAGCTCCAAACCACCAGTGTGATGCCACCTTTGGGCTCCCTTCATTCCAGTCCTCGCCTCTGATATTCAAGCCTTGTGTCTCATCTCTCCAGACACGGCAGCAACAATAACAACAAGACAACAACAACAACAACAACAACAACAACGCCATTGCCTCCTCCTTTTTCGAATCTCCCAACCCACTAACGCCGATCGCCCAGCTAGTCTACTTCCCACACAAACGATTGTCCAGCAACGACTCTATCTACACCCTGCGCAGCTCGAGAAGGGATACTTGCAATCAGTTCTCGACGCAGTTGCCCCTCGTCCGTCGCCTAATTCACCATAGCAGCTGCTACCGTATTCCATGGACGAATCACCACCAGATAAGACGTATTGAACCAGGCTGCTACCCGCATCAAATCGAATCCTCTGGCTCATGGTCTGGCGACGACAGCCTTGAACCACCAAGCATGATGCTGGACCATCAGAATTTGCGCGCAAGCCTCCAGGTGGCGCCACTCGCCATCCAGAAGCTTCAAAGCCATGGAGACTACACTGGCGAGAATGCCGACCAGCACAACGACTCTACGGGGTTGCCATATTCTGCGACACAACCTCGTACTACACCGCCAACAACGCCAAATACTTCGCAAGAAGCTCTTGTGCAGCAGATCCAGCCAATACAACCCGTGTTCCACAACTTCCTACGAGCATTTTACCCTTTCAACCCAACTGGCGCCATGAGCGACTCGACAGTCACATTACCGCTGAACGAAGGCGATGTTGTCTTGGTACACTCTATTCACACCAATGGCTGGGCAGATGGGACTTTGCTGCTAAACGGTGCTCGTGGATGGCTTCCCACGAATTACTGCGAGTCGTACAACCCCGAAGAAATCCGGAACCTTCTGAATGCTCTCCTCAATTTCTGGGACTTGCTTCGAAGCACGGCAACAAACGACCAAGACATTTTCGGCAACCAAGAATTCATGAAGGGAATAATCGCGGGTGTGCGATGCCTTTTGGTAAGAGTAGTATCGTCCAGCTTCTGTAGAACGCGCTCTAATCTCGATTGCAGGAGCGGACCCATTCCCTGACGCGCGAATCGCCGATCATTCAAAGGAGCGAAATCCTTCGCCGTGGCCGGAAGTCCCTTTTGTCTGAGCTGTCATCGCTCGTCAAAATTGCCAAGGCGCTGCAAGAGATATTAACCGAGTCGCTACCAGGGGACGATCACGTCAACGACATGATAGATGAGATGATTTTGCGAGCATTCAAAATCGTTCTCAAGGGCGTATGGTTTCTCGACCTGTTGGAAGACGATCGTCGCTCTCGAGCTACAGCCGCGGTCACAGTAATGGCAACCGTATTGGAGGAATCAGCTGTGCCCCCGACACCGCCCGCAGATGCCGTGGCTTTCTCGGATTCTCACAAGGCTCAAATTGAGGACAATAACCAGCGTGATGCTCAGACTTCGGGCCGCGATGAGAGTAGCTCTCGCGAACAATCTCAGACGGCCTTGGGACACAGGCGGTTATCGTCTGTGCGATCGCTTGCAAATGCCGGGCGTAGTACGGCACACTCACAACACAGACCTGGCAGCCGTGTGTCGGCGACCATATCCCACAGAGTGTCATTAGCGGGCCTGTCGAGCTCTACCCAGCCTCAGAACCTGATCTCGGAAAGACTCAACGCGAACCACGACACGTTCCTGTCCTACCTGGGTTCATTCATTGGCCGGTTGCATCTGCAATCACAGTCCCGGCCCGAGCTTGCAATGGCTATCAAGCAGTCCGCCATCTCCGGTGTGCAGCTAGTCGTGGTAGTCAACGCAGTCATCGAGCATAACCCCCTGGTTGCGGATTCGCTCGACCAAGCTTGCGGCTCGATGTTGGATCGCATTCGAGATCTGGTGTATTCTGCGCAGATGATTCTTCAGGACAGCGGGCCAGAAAGCGAGGACATCATTGTCGCTCAGGACAACTCGCACCTTCTCAGTGCCGCCACCAACTGCGTCAAAGCCGCAGGCGAATGCGTGGCGAAAACTAAATGGGCCATTGAACGAGTTGGCGACTTCGAGGTGATCTTGGAAGCCGTCGACTATCAGAGCATCCTTGAAGTTGACCTCGAGGAATTGGACACTCTCTATGAGAGTAAGAGCCGGCCAAGCACGGCTGGGCATGCAAGCGTGGCTGAGTCCCGGACGTGCGAATCGATGAGCGACTCTGTCTCGACCATGTCCCGTTCAGTAGTACATGCAGCTGAGAAGCCTCTGCCCGATATCCCTGTCTCGCCCTCTGGCGCCACTGATGAGGTTGTCAATGTTGAATCTCCTATCGAGGAACCGGCGCCTCAGACAGAGCCCGTGGGTGAGCCTGATGCAGAGATGCCAACTCATTCAATAAGTTCGCGCCAGAGCCTGCCGCCGCTCCCAAGACTCATCACTTCTGCTCTACCAGACATGGCACCCAATGCAACCTTGGAGGACTCGCGCGACATTGAGGGTCATGGCTCGTTCCGATCAGACACATTTACGGCCTCTAGTTCTGGTACTAACAGTACTTACTTGAGCCGTGACTCCGAGGCAAGCCTCCTCTCGGAGACTTCGACCCGTGCGACAACACCTGACATCGCTCTTGCACCGAAGCCACAACCATCTCTGTCAAACCTGAGTGCAGCTGCCAGCTCTAGCGCCAGCGAGGAAGTGGACGACGTAGAGACACGCCTCATGGAGAAGACATTTGCGCACGAGCTCATGTTCAACAAAGAGGGGCAAGTCACTGCTGGATCACTTCCTGCGCTTGTCGAGCGCCTCACAGCCCATGAGTCGACACCTGATGCTGCCTTTGTCTCAACATTCTACTTGACGTTCCGGCTATTTTGCACTCCAGTCAAGTTCTCGGAAGCGTTGATCGAGAGATTTGACTGCGTGGCTGAGACACCTCACATCGCCAATCCCGTACGCCTTCGGGTGTACAATATTCTCAAGGGATGGCTCGAGTCACACTGGAGATATGATTCAGACCATATTGCTTTGCCTGCGATTCAAGCCTTCGCGGAGACCAAGCTGAGCTCTGTGCTGCCTGCGGCTGGCAAGCGACTGAGCGAGCTAGCAACCAAGGTAGCAACTGCCGACTGTGCTTTGGTTCCGCGCTTGGTGTCGTCGATGGGCAAGACTAGCAGCTCGATCTCCCAATATATGCCCCCAGACACACCCCTGCCAAACCCGGTCGTGTCACGGAGTCAGCAGGGCCTTTTGAATAATTGGAAGGCAGGCGGCACCTTGCCGTCTATCCTTGACCTCGAACCACTCGAGATTGCCCGCCAGCTTACGCTCCGGCAAATGAACATCTTCTGTGCCATCCTGCCCGATGAGCTTCTGGGATCGCAGTGGATGAAGAAGGGGGGAGTCGACTCCCCCAACGTCAAGTCTATGTCCGGCTTTTCGACAGATCTCTCCAACCTGGTGGCCGAGACCATCTTGCAGCATCCCGAAGTAAAGAAGCGCGCAGCTGTCATCAAGCAGTGGATCAAGATTGCGAACCACTGTTTTGAACTGAACAACTATGATGGACTCATGGCCATCATCTGCAGCTTGAACAGCTCCATCATCATCAGACTCCGAAAGACCTGGGATCTGCTCAGCGTCAAGCGTCGTGAGATGCTCAAAAAGCTCCAAGGCATTGTCGAACCAGCGAACAACAACAAGGTGTTGCGAGCACGCCTGCAGGGACATGTTCCTCCCTGCCTGCCATTCCTTGGCATGTTCCTGACCGACCTGACATTCGTCGACATTGGCAATCCTGCCACAAAGCAATTGCCCGGGAACGACTCAAACGATCGCGGGTTGACTGTGGTCAACTATGACAAGCACATGCGCACGGCGCGCATTATTGGGGAGCTCCAGCGCTTCCAGATTCCGTACCGCCTCAGTGAAGTGAGCGACATCCAGGACTGGCTTCAAGCCCAAGTCGACAGGCTGAAGGAGTCAGACCAGAGCAATGTTCAAGTGACATACTATCGCAAGAGCCTGCTGCTCGAACCCCGGGACACGGCTTCTCGGATCCCACAGGACGCCACATCTACTGGCAACAACGCCGCCCCACGGTCAGACTTCCTCGGCTCCAGATGGCTCTCTCGGAACCAACACAGCAATGCCACGACCACTTCGTAACCCGCGTTGTGGCCGCGCCGACTGTGTTTAATTCAACATCCCTCGTGTCCTTCTTTTCTTACTCCATTTCCTAATTCCTTCGTTATCTTCCCTGATACCCACGTAGTTCTTCTTTATCTTGGCGGGCGGGCTTCATGCGGCATATTTGGATTATTACGGCGCTCGGTGTCCTTCTTTTCATTCCTTTTTACGCACTATCAGGCTTATCATTGTTTGCTGGGATCTTGGCGTTTGAAGGCAAGCCATGAGCGAGTGGCGCCAGCGGTATCTACTCAGAGATCGCCTCGTCATACTGGGTATCTTTCTTCCCAGAGATTTCATAAAGGAGCACCTGGAGGGATACAACTTTGGAGCCTCGCGGCTTGTACATTATGGGAAAGGGGGTGCTCCTTCAGAACATGACGGATCGGCTCGATAAAAGTCGGGGAGACTGGGCACTGTCTTCATTGAAGCACGAGACACTTAGCAGGTAGACACAAACATGAGATTCATGAGTTCTGTCATATTCAGCCTATGGCTTGAGTGCCCTGAGACTCCATATTTGTATACTGGTTCGAGATTTTGCAGAGACCAACAACACGTGTGCCTGGCGATCGCCAACGGAAGACAACCTTGGAACGTTTAAGACTATGTAATTGTAGAGATGGATTTGGAGGCTGCACGCCATGACGTCTTTGAGGCAGGGGCGTGGATGCGTCAAAGCACATGCACTTCGTGGTCCAGCAGAGTCGATCCGACCAACAGACCGTCACACAGCCGCGCAATCACGTCTCATCATACAGCCCATACTTCCGCGTAGAATTCATGACTTTGCAAGCTTTATTGGGTATCTACTAATTCTTGAAATCATGTCATGAACCGTGAAACTCTTTTGAGGGTTCCACAGGAGTGGGGTGAAGGAGTTATGCATCTACCGCTTGATTTCGGTCTGAAAAGTTTCCCGAACCCAGCGCAAAAGCTCAAGGAAGAGACGTGCTTTCGAGGCGAATGCTATGGCTCCCGGCGCGTCATTAAAATTAAAACAATGTCGACCCCCTTGCACAAACGGACTCTGGGCAATCATTGTCCCCATTGTCTGCTTTCAAGTCGCATCCGTCTTCTTACTCTCTCTCTCTCTCTCACTCATATACACACACAGACACACAGACGCACACGCACACCCTGCCACGTCTAAGCCTCGCCATGGGCTCGCTTCTCCTCAATGATAGCTGCGGGGAGAACCTGCTCAATGTTCTCGTCACTGAACTTGAGGTCCTCCTCGATGTCGGTGGTGTCCTTGATCTTGATCCAGATGACAGGAGCAGCGATCAGGAGAGATGCGGCACATACACCCCACTAAAGCGAGCGCAAACAAAATGTGTTAGCTCTCGTCCGTGTGACAGCGATGTTGGGACTCGGGTACAAAGGAGACCATAGAATTACTTACGGTAGCGCCAAAGAGAGCATTGTACGAGACCTTCAGACCGTTGAGGCGCCAGAAGATGGCGGCACCGGCGGACTGGATGCCCTTGTAGAATCCAGCCATGTTGGCGGTCTTGCGACCAGAGTTGGACAGGGCACCCATGTACCAGTAGATGGCAGTCTGCCAGACAGCGTCGTAGAAGCCGTAGAAGATGTACAGGAACATGGGGCCGATGTAGGCCGGGTTGGTCCAATCTTGGGCGTTGGCCACGTACTCGGGGGTCAGAGTAGTTTCGCGATCAGCAGCATTCTTCTGCCAAGCGTAACCGCCACCCCAAATGACCATGGTCAGGACAAACAGAGTCACAAACGAGGCCTTGGCACGAATGGAGCGACGGAACTTGTTGAAGTCCAGGGCGTAGCCGAAGAAAACGGCACCAAAGATTTGGGCAGCCCAGTAGAGCAGGTTGTTCAGAGCACGAGTGCGCAGGTTGAAGTGAGGGCCGTTGACAGCGTTCTGTTGGTAGGTGTAGAAGATGTTGGAGGCGAAGAACATGGGGAAGAGCGCAATGACCCATGGCTGAAGATACAGGCACTCCCACAGGCCGACGAATTCCGACTGCCAGGTAGGGTTCTTCATGAGGATGACCTTGGAGCCATCCTCACGAATGACATTGTCGGCATCGCAGAGGAACAAGGCGAGCAGGGCGCCAAGCGCCATGAGGATGATGAAGCCAATGTAGGTGCCGTCAGCGACGCTGCCGTTCGTGGTCGAGTTGACGTTCTGAGCAAGCGGGATCAGGGCTCCGACAACGGCACCCGTGTTGAAGATGATCCAGAACCACGAGATGTAACGGCCCTTGGAACCCTCAGGGGGGTATGACATCATGATGGCGCCCTGGGCGGTCCAGAGGAGACCGGCACAGAGACCAAGGAAGGCACCGGCAAAGATGACGAAGCCCTCGTTCTGGGTGTGGTTGTAGCAGAGAAAGCTGGCGGCGTAGAGGCAGTAGCCGATGCCACCGAAGGCGAGGGTGACCTTGACGCCGAGCTTGTTGGCGAAGGTGCCGGCAAAGAAGGCGACGACAGCAAAGACGGAGTAAAGAGCGGTGCTGGCGTTGTCCTGGACCGTGCTGACGAGCTGGCCACCACCTCCGAGGCCACCAAGGGCGTTGTACATGCCCGGACAGAGGAAGCAGACAAAGGCGACCATGAGAAGCTGGATCTTTGGCGAGGCGTACCACAGGCGTGTCTTGCCAATGCTGACGGTCTTGTAGAGCCACCCGCTGGGCAGGCCCTGGTCGGGGCTGTTGAGCCCAGCCGCCTCGGTGCCGACATAGGCCGGAGGCGCCTCCTTTGAGTCTGACATGCCGGAGGGTATCTGTTTGGATTGCAGCCTGCAATTGGGGCGAGTAAAGCAGTGGTTAGCATACCAGCATGGAACAGACAAGCTCTGTGGGTGATGGCCGGCAGAGCTGGCACATGACAGCGTGACAGACGACGTGATGGTGCAGCGCAGGCAGGTTGGTGGCGGACCTGGGCGATACGGATCGACAGAGAGGGGGGCAACTCACCTTGATGTGAAGGTCTGTGTCCACGGGCTGGCTCTGAAGTCTCTCTGGCGCCTTTGTGCGAGGGTGTGCTCGAGAGCTGGCTACCTTGGGGAGGGAGAGGACGGGAGGCGCGATGGTGATGGGCCGGGCGCGGCCAGAGTCTTTATGGACCGGGCGGGCCAGCGATCAGCGAGAGGGCCGGAGGAACGATGCTGAGCAGTCCGTAGAGCCACCCAGCTCGCCAGGCTGGGTGAGTGAGCACAGTTGCGCCGGATGGATGAGCTACCCTGAATCTGGCGATGGGCACTTTTCTGCAATGCACACCAGGGTCTTGCCACGGGCAGGGATGGCCGCCCTCCCGCGCTCCACCCGCGCCTGCTGCTGCACCACAGAGCAGACGTGCCCAAGCTTAACTGCGCGGGGGGCTCCTCCAGTGGGCAGGCAGGGTGGAGGTCAGCACCGCAGTCGCCTATCATTGTGCCGGGCCCTATTAGGGGAGCCTTCGCTCCTCCTTGTTCGAACCACACCCCTTTGGCTCTGTCATTGGGCCCCGGCCGGCGCCTCCCCAACGGCCTGCTATCATCATGTATCATGCCCACGAATAATGCAACCATGCCTGTCTCCAGATTCCAGCTCGGCCGGCTCGCTTCGGACGGCTTCTTCACGCCTCGTGCTGGCAGTCTCGGCCGCGCGCAGCACACAAGCGTGGCGGCAGCAGCTTTTCAGACACGTTCGACTCAGCCCTGACTCGGGAACACGAAGCAAGACAGAAGCACGCCTGAGAGCCGTTCAAACCATGTCCCAGGGCCGTATTTCTCGGGGCTGGTGACCGCCTAGTCTAAGAGCCCCGTCGCCAATTAGACCTTCGCACGTCCAACGAGGGGGGACACAGCATGGCATGGTTACAGCAACGTCGTCTTGACAGTCACATCTCCGCATGCCTAGCACCGTCCACAAACCTCATCCCGACGCCGGCGACAGGCACGCGACCCAACCCTCGGCTTTGCCTGGAGAAGTTGGTGGGCGGAGCAGGGGTTCAGATACGACAAGCTCGCCGCTGGTCAGCCACCACACGAACAGATCGACATCCGCCTAAACTAGCTAATTAGCTCGAGCACTGCTTCCGATCCAGAGTGCTCACACGGGCTTACATGTGGTAAACCGTTAAGCGCCTTGCGCTCATTTCCCACGCTCTTGCTTCACCAACCAGGAGCACCAGCCTGTTGTACACTCTTCCCGCTGATTACTTCGAGATGACTGTGGGGGGGGGGGGGCACAACCATGACAAGCCAGAGTGCTGGTCTGAAACTGCGGGTTACGACACGGTGAGCAAAGAGCCGGTATTTGACCAGTTCCATTACCTTGCTGTGCCATCGACTTGCAGCAGACGTCGCGCACAATCATCTGAACATCTGACAGCCAGGCTGGTCCAGCTATCGTCAAACCCGGCATTGTGAGCGAGCACATGGGGCAATAGGGCCATATCCCCACTTGTTTTTGCCGAATGAAGGATCAGTTGAACAACACACCCACTGTTCGTGTTGCGTGGAGGTGGGGAGCGGAGCCCCTGGTCAGACACCTTTCTTGATCTGGATTTATCTCCTCTCTCGGGTCCATTGAAACAAGATATGTCCATCTCCTTTCCCAGCATGACGAGGACTGGCTCTTTTCCCCAGGAGTTCGATTGTTGATAGGCGCGGAACCATGTTTGTTCCCAATAATCCGTGCACTCTTCCATCCCCCCGGAGCTCTTACTGAGATTGTTCATGACAGACGCAGTACGATGCATGGACAGTTTCTTCGTCGACTTCGGCCGGATGCAATGCTTGCCTTGGTTATTGCGAAGCAGACTAACACCACTATCACGGGATTTCCATACTTGGCAGGGATCTGGAGGGCCTGGCCTGGAAAGCCGATAAGGGCGGGCCGAATACACAGCCAGTGCGGAAATCCCTACACCAATAAGATAGCAGTATCACCACGAGGCCCCCCAGTGACCATCGCAAGTATTGGCCGCTAGAAGCTGGGGAAGAATGACATGGGGTTCGAGGAAGAATAACCAGCAGTCCTGGTGGACCCGGATTGTGGTCGCAGTAGCCTGTCGTGGCCGGCTTAGGAGAAATTCGCTGAGGCTAAGCGGGTGGCTGCCACCACAAACGAGCGCCTCGTTCTCGGCACAAGAGTGCTAGCACAGGGGCAACCACAGGGGGAGAGGGGACCAAACTGGGGTGTGCTTCTAGGCATACCACAACCCCATGTAACGTAGCTTCCTGCTCGCTCCCCACCATGTCACCGTGCTCCATCCACACCGACAGGTTGCAAGCAGTTATGGGACAGCCAGAGTCTAAACGATGCTCAGCTACCTCAGCTGTCGGCGCTGGCGCCCGTCCAGCAAGACAGCCGGTGGAACCTCGTCGTCGCTACCAGCCGGCCGGCGCGCCCGTCTGGCTTGGCTCGCAGCCGTGTCATTGTCGAGGCTTCTCAGCCTCTTCATCCCTTGGACACGGCGAGGTTTCAGTGCAATGCCAGACTGGAGTTCTGGCATCTGACGGCAGCTCCACAGGGGCTTCCCAGCCACACATATGCAAGCCGTGCCGACGGCCGCAGTATTCCGTACAGTCATCAACGCGACCGGTCCCGATGCGGTAAGAGAGCTTGACGCCTGAGCTTCTGTCTCCTTGACCACACTCACCCGTGTTGTGATATGCCACTGTCTACCACGTTGTCAGCCAGGAGCCGACGCCTGTCTGAATGATACCAAGATTGGAACCCTCACGGCATTCGCAAGATTCGCAAACGCCAGTCTCCAGTCAAGAAGAGCGGGTATGGGTGCCCACCATCTCACATTCTGTTCTTCGTGAACGAACATGCTGATGCCATGGTACTTTGGCTTGATCGCATGACGGAGATCTACGGCCTTGGTGAGAGGACCCGTTCGTCGTCGTCTGACCGCAAAACACGCCATCCCTTCTACAGGAGAGCGCAAGGGGGCTACAGGGGGGCGGAGTCGCGCTTAATTACAATTACTCACTTATCTATCAGGACCTGAGTCCCTGGGCTTTCAATGCGACCCGATACAGAGGTCCAAAGCTCTGGGTCCAGCTTCTGTCGAGCGGAGGCGTGTCTGAGGAGAGTGCTGATTCCGAACAAGCCTTCCATTCTGGGACAAGTTCTTCGTGCAGTGCTAAAATGGCACCTCGTTACCACCAACTGCCGGCTAGCAATAGCTACGAGTTGATGCTCTATCATGATGCGCATCCGAAGTCAACAGTATACCCCCATTGTGGAGTAGAGAAGCTGTTCCTTCGAGAGAGTTCGACCCGCCCACGCAGGGGCTACAACTGCCGACGACGGTACTTTTAAAGAACACAATGTCCCAGTGCTCAATGCTCTATAGTTCCAGAACCCACGAGAACACGGAATGAATCCGTCTGCTGGCAAGCAGTATTGTTCGATGTAGCTATGGTGCTTCTGGAGCATCAACGACTGTGACCTGGATTCCGCTATGCCTTGGCACTCACACACTTGATTTACTGCCGCTTGCGCTCCCAATCAATAGCACGATCTCTTATCAAAGCCGACCGGAGCCTTGTCGATTGCGGCGACGCTGCACGTTGCCGCAAAGCCCCCGCAATACCAGCACGCTAGCTCTAGACGACCCTTTCCCTTGTTTACGCGCTTGGGTCGAGTCAGTGTGACATTACATCCGGCATGGACGCGCGCCGCACGTCGATGTAACCTCCCAACCACCACCACCATTACGAGGGGACGGAGCTCGAGTTTAGCACCGTGGGACCCTGTTCCCCACCCATTTCCTGCTGGCGATCCGAGCTGGCGGGTTTGTACGACCAGCGGCTTGCAACGACAAAGATCAAGTTCGATATCGCAGCTCCCTTATCTGGAGGGGCTGATTTTTCAAGCCATTGTAACCTGATACACTTCTGCAAGCCAGCCTGCCAGCCTGCCTGTCTGCCAATGCTACAAGCGAAATTCATCATGCCATTCGCTATCCTCCGTTTGGCAACCTTGGGTGAAGATCCACGCCTCGAGAGACAGGGGTCCAGACAGATTTGGCTGCAAGTCACAACGACGAGCATACTACACCAGGATCTGAGCTCTGAAAATAAGGCGAGGGCATGGAAGACAATTTCCGGACTTTTCTTTGTCCAAAATTAGACTCGAGACATTGGGCAAAAGGGGTGTTTCAAGAGTTCTGATTGTTCTAAAAGCCGTGGACGAGGGAAGTATGGTACCCTGACAGAGCAAGAGCAGGAAACAATAAAACAAAATAAAAAGTCCCCTTTCCTGTACGAGGAAGCCGCTCGGCGAACAAGCGCCAGGGGAGAAGGGAAGAGGGGAGGGGGGTTGTTCGCATCTCACCTCAAGGGCCCCGGCGGCGCAGTCGATATTTTGGCCCAAACACAGACGCCAGCATCTTGCTGTTACGTACCTTTGGAAGTTTGGTAAGTGACAGGACCCGGCTCTCGTCTCGAGATGGGACGGTCCGCGTTGGGTAATTGGACCTCTCTCTCTGCTCTGTGTGTGTGTGTGTGTGTGTGTGTGTGTGTGTGTGTGTATGTATGCAACCCTTGCAAAAATCGCGGGCGGCTGCCATGGGTGTCACAGCTATGTTACTCGGCCGAGCGGCGTAGCTGGTTGGGAACTGGGTTGAGCTGATACGGTGCGCCCCTGTGCAGTGAGTTTCTGTGTGTGTGTGATGCGATCAGAGTTGCTTCCTAAGATCTTTCCAGACATTGTTGCTGCTTACGGACCGGTCCTTGTCATTCAACTTGAAGGACGAGCTCGAGCACACATGGAGGGGCCGGGAATGGTGGGCGCCGAGGCTGTTTGTCTACGTGAGACGGCTGCGCTCAGGCAGTGGCTGGTCGCCCACAGAAGAAGAAAAGGCATTTGCTAAACTTCGTCTTCTATCTTAAGTTGCAGTCACTCTGGACGGGTTTCCTCCTATGCGGCCGCGGAAAGATCTCCTGGCTCCTCCGTGCCTTCATTCGTGGACTTGCGTGCAGGAACAGAGAACACAGACATGCAATAGTGAGTAGTGACAAGCAGATGTTTCAAGAAGTCTGATATTTGCATACAAGTTTTTATATATGCGGGTCAACAACGGGGATAGATCTTTGTGGGAAATGCCATAACGCGTCCGGCCAACCTTAGATCTGTAGCTCTGCTCGGCCTCCGCCTTTCCCATCGTCTCCTCTCTTGCAAGAACCTGAACCCACGACTCTTTATCCTTATTCTCTCTCAAGGGGAGACCAAGTTCGGATACTCCCGAACTTCCGGATTCCGCATCACCACCGCTCAGAGACACACTCTGTTCCGGGGGGCCCCAGACTCACGACAACACGCACGACCAATCTACCACTTGACCTTGCGCATGCTGCCCTCCTCGACGAGCGCCTTGTGCATGTCGAAGCTGTTGAAGAGCAGGTGCGGCTGGTGGCCCATGCCCTTGCGCAAGCACTCAAACTCGGCCTTTTCGAGGTACTCCTTGAGGATGGGGCGGTAGACCTCGTGGGCGCACTTGTCGATGATGACGCGGGCGCGCTCGCGGGGGGACAGGCCGCGGACGTCGGCGAGGCCGACCTCGGTCACCACGACGTCGAGGTCGTGCTCGGTCTGGTCGACGTGCGTGCACATGGGCACGATGCACGAGACGCCGTGCTCGTCGGTCTTGGTGGGCCGCGTCGAGGGCGTGTGCATGATCGAGTACTTGGAGTTGCGCAGGAAGTCGGCCGACCCGCCGAGGCCGTTGAGCATGCGGCTGCCCATGACGTTTGTGCTGTTGGCGTGCGCGTAGATGTCCACCTCGACGGGCGTGTTCATGCCGATGACGCCCAGGCGGCGGATGATCTCGGGCGCGTTGCTGACGGCCTGCGGCCGCAGGAGCAGCTTGTGGTAGTACGCGTCCCAGTTGTTGTAGAACCGGTCGAAGCCCTCGGGACTGAAGCGGATCGAGGTCGCGGTAGCAAAGTCAAGCTTGCCAGAGTCAAAGAGGTCCAGGAATGTGTCCTGGATGACCTCGGTCCAGACGTTCAGGTGCTGGTAGTTGCTGTCGGCGAGGCCGCCAATGACGGCGTTGGCAATGTTGCCAATGCCGGACTGCAGGGGCAGCAGGTTCTTGGGCAGGCGGCCGTGCTTGACCTCGTGGTCAAAGAACTCGATCAGATGGCTGGCAATGGTCGCCGAGCCTTCGTCAGCGGCGGTGTTGGGCAGCGTCTGGTCCCGGTAATCCGACTCGACGATGCCGACAACCTTCTCGGGGTCAAGCGGGATCGAGGTCCGGCCAATGCGGTCCTCGACACCCATGATGAGATATGGCTTGCGGTTGGGCGGCAGGTCGGTCATGGTAATGTCGTGCAGACCCTCGAAGCTGGGAAGGGCCGTGTTGACCTCAATGATGATCTATGCGCTTTCGTTAGCACGACATTCCTATAGACCAGTCTCTCACGACGACCGTCGTCGCTTCTCCACCTCTCGATTCTTACCTTGTCGGCGATCTGCATCAGCTCGGGCGTGGCACCAACAGAGGCACCCGGAACAATACTGCCATCCTCAAGAATGTCGGTTGCCTCCACAATGACAACATCGAGGTTCTGGTTTTTCCGGTCCTTGGTGTAGAAGCCCTATAGAAGCTTCGGGTCAGCTGTGCACCACGTAGAATTGCACAAGGAACCGGCACGGACTCACATAGACGAGATCTGAAGGGAACATGGACAAGTGCTTGTCAAAGAAGTTGATGCGACCCTCGTTGATGCCCTTGGCAATGGACTTGCCGACCTGGTGAGGGCTCCGCCTCTCAATCATGTCGAGCGAGGCCCACCTGCTCTCCGTCTCGGCGCCGGAGGAAGCGCCGACGAAGAGGCCGTAGCGCATCTTGCCCTGCAGGTTGTTCTTCTCAACATGGTCGGCGAGGAAGGTGGGGATTTTCCTTGGGTTCACAGTGTCAGCATGTCTTGTCCGTAGCCTCAAAAAATCTCAGGCGACGAAGAGCGGCCTGGTTCGCGCGATCCGTGCCCCGTGCCAATTGCTGGCAAGGGAGAGCTGCGACTTACTTGGGGTAGCCGACACCAGTGAAACCAGACCAGCCAAGGTACGCGCCGTTGGGGAAGTGCTTGAGCATGTCCTCTGCGCGGCAGAGCTTGGAGAGCATAGACGGCCGCCGAATGCGGGACTTGAGGAGTGCCGAAGCCACTGGTGACGCCATCTTGACGGTTTCTGTGGGTGAAACTCGAGGTCGACCCCGATGTACAGTCGCGAAGTTTCAAACAGAAGAATTGTAGCTCTGGACTCCTCGACAGAGCTCGCCCCAAAAGCGGTGGTAATCGCCCTGCGCAGAAGAGCAAGCCGGGTGGGACGTAGCTTTACCAGGGTAGCCAGATAGCAAGGGTGGTGGTGTGTTGGGCAAGCTCCCCAGGTCAAGGTCGAGAGGCCTGCCGGTGTCGTTTGAACCAGCACAGGGAGAAGCAGAGGTACAGCAAGTCTAGAGGGAAGAAGAATGGAGGGAGGAGGAGAAGAAGGATGCGGAGTATGGAAGGGTCGCCAGAAAAGCGAGCCGAGAAGAGGAGTCGCGTCTGCCGAGTCGTGTTCAGTCTGGGTCGATCCAGAAGCCAAGCGAGAGAGCTATGTCGTCGCGGTGGAGTCGGCTTGCCATCCAAGTGGTGGAAAGCTAGTCTGCCATCAGGGTCGGACGGGTCTTGCGGCCAGGCCAGTTGGGGACAGCAGGTGGACTCGTGGTTCGTTGGGATCTACGGAATCGATTCCTTTGCATCGTCAAGTTATTCCGTACAGACACACCAGCGCCGGCGCAGAATACCGCCCTCCAGCAGTCCTTTTACAGAATTCACCAGCTTGACGTATTCCAGAAGCACCAGTTGTTTCTAGAGGGGCAGCAAACAGCCAGGACGGGCTGACGGAGAGGGTTATCCGGGCCCAGCCTAGCCGCAAGGCCCTGGACGGCGTGGGGTTCCCGCTGCCAGTGCAGTGCATTGCAGTGCAGTGCAATTGCTCGGCAATGCCTGCTGTGCTGTCCCTCTTCTCGGGCGGCCGGAGCAACGGCAGCTGACATAATACTCTGCGCCATTCTCCAAGACCTTGGCTCCCACAGCTGATCAGCTTCTCCAACTTCTGGATGAAACGATGCGCTTGCTACCCCGCAGCCCATCAGTGGCTCCCGCTCGCCCGTACGCGGAGGTCGACACGGCGAAAAGCATCAAGGTCTCGGGAGAACAGGCTCGAGATGAGGTCAAAGCCTGTAAAATTACCTCAAGTTGCACAATCGGCACGCGCACGTAAACATGTATATATACCTATAGAGAAGCGACTCTCTCTATCCTGATATTCTAGCAGCGCCCTCACTGCCACGGTCCCGTCGCCAAAGTGTCGCACCAACACCCAGAAACCGCCCAGCACGCAAGTGACATCACTCGCCCCCAAGGCGGTCCAGGCCCCCAGGCTTTCCCGCAGAGGGAAAGGTGGCCCCCGGTTCGGACGAGCGCATGTTCTGGCTCACCTTACTGGACCACACAGTTGGGCAGTGTCAAGGCTGACTTGTGCGGAATGGTGTCCCGCACTTCCGGCTGGTCGCGTTCCAGAATGAATGCCTTTGCCGGCAAATTACTGTCTTCCGGTTATGGCGGGTGAAGCAGGCTAACCTCTCGATTCGCACGCGACCTCGGACGGATAATTGTTGGCCTCGTTTTGCAGACTGAAGGCTATGCGATGTGGTTCAATAACACATCTGTTCAAACATGGCACAAATACAAGTATATCGACTACTTTGTGGCTTCGCGACCCTTGAACAAATCCCGCCACATCTCTTTGAAACCGTAGTGCGGCGCTTTCGAATCGTACACTCTCGACGATGTCGGCGTGCCGAAGCGGTCCAGGATCCCGGCTGTTTTAACAAGGGCGTCACCGTCCGGTTTTCGAGCTGGCCGTGCCGCGCGCTCCCGTATCGTCTCAGCTAGCTGCGGTGCGACTTCAGCATAGCACTTGTTGAGCTCGCGTTCCAGCGAGTAGTATGGCTTCTTCGCCAGCTCGGGCGCCATCAAGTTGTACGCCCGCGTGATGCCGTTGATGTTGGCGATGCTAAGTTCCATGTATGACTTCTCGAGGGCTAGCCATGCTGGGTCACGAAATGGAGTAGCGAGAGGCATAATGTCTTCCTCCTCCACTGGTGGCTCCTGTATATTCTGCACGGCAGAAGCCTCGATGACGTCCGGTTCTGCGTGTGACACTGTGGTGTTGGTCGACGAGCCCATCTCCTCTGATAACTCGCTCGACAGCTGTCGTTGCATATTCGCCATGGAGGCAGTGCTTGTCGATTCCGTCACACGTTCTGCGTCCGCCGAGTGCTCAGTATTGACTTTCTTGATTGCCGCGGGGTTATGAATTTCTTCCGCGAGCGCGTACCGCCTCGCCGTGCGCACCTGCTCTTCCAAGGAACCGCCTCTGCTTGCGATACTGCGTGCAGCATGCCGTTTCCAGTCGTTGCGCATCCTGCTCCTAAAAACATGCACAGCTTTGATAAGCTCCTGCTGCTTGTCTATCCATGGGGGAACGATATTCTGCTGCTTGATCATCTTATTCATGATGTACTCGGTCGTGTCGATGAAGGGATTGTCGGCTCTTGTATCGCGTTCTATGCCCGGTCCTCGCGGGATGTTCTTGAACTGTCCTCTGGCAATGGCATCCTCAATGCGCTCATTGGCGAGAGATGCGAGACCTGTCAGAGTCGCTGGCATGGTCCTTGCCGCAGGCTTGAAACGCTCACGGAACTCGGCTCTCCTAGCTTCCCTCTCATCGTCCGTCAAGTCATTCTCTTTCTTGTCCTTTATTCCAAGCCCGGTATACACCGCAGCTCTTTCTCGGGCATTGGCCAACCTCTGGCCAGCGCTAGGCTGGGGCTCAGGACGAATGCGGAGGTCGACAGGCTTCAAGTCTGGGAACGTTGGCTTCCCGCCACCTCTGAGCCCCCGCGGCAAGGGCTTGTGCGCGTCGTTGAGCATCCGCATTACGGCATCCTCGGTCGACTCTGTGCCTGTCCATACAGTAGAAGTGGCGTCCGCATATGTCCTCCTGTCTGCATGGCCCGGCAGCCCCGCCTCAGCAAACGCACTGGCGTTCTCGGCCCGGAATTTGGCATCTTGCACCCGGGCAAAGAGCCGTTCTTTGAGCTCTTCTGAGAACCCCGCATCTTCGACTGCCTGGCGACCAGCACGGCCACCTGTCAGGAGAGCTTCTTCTGTGGCTTCCTGCAGACGTTGTGACATGGCGCCAGGCTCGCGAGGTTCAGGAACCGGGGCTGTCGGGGGCGGATCGTCACTGCCATTGCTGGGGCCGCTCGAGGTTTTATCTGAGGCGTCCGCGCTTGCAGCCAGGCGCCGGCTGCTGTCGTCGTGCTCGGTGGTCGCCGTACCGGACCCTGCCGACTTGTTCGTCTGCCATCTTCGTGGCAGTGTGGCGGTTCGGGCTGGTCGCAAGAGGAGTCGTGCACGAGTGCACTGGGCGCAGAGGTACGCGGGACTGGTTGTCTTAGCCATGGCCGTCCTTGCAGGAGGGAGATGGCGAAGGAGAAATCATTGCGTGCTTCTCGGGATGCAATGGGTTGACGTGTTGTAATGGTTTGCTCACAGTGTCTCTAGGACCAGCTGCGTGGAAAAGTGGCGAACAGCGCCGGAGATAAGCGGAGGCATCAAAGTCGTCATGGATGCGACCTCGGGAAGCTCCCACAGCTCCCTTTGGGGCGCTACTTCACGATAGGCGGCCAAGCCACATCCCTCGACTTCCACTAGTCTAATCCACCCCAGTCAAAGGGCTTCATGAGCCTTGATGCTCTGCGTGCGAGACTGCCAAAGATCTCAACGAGCATTGATTTATAAATACGTGCTCCGTCCATGAATGTGGATGCTTGCCAAATTAGCGAAAGGTAGGGGTCATCGCAGCCCATCAGCTACACCACAATGGCCCCATCCGAGCTGGAGATTTCTGAGACACAAACTACCTGTTTGATTGACGACCATGCCGTTTCTAGACCAACTCCATTCGCTCTCAGTAATCTCGTTCCACTGCGATGTCTTCAAGTCAACAACGCTTGGAATGTGACCCGTCAACATGGTTGGCGTGTAGCTGAGGGGCCATTAATACCCAGGCAGCCTGGCTCCCGAGATCCCTTGATGAGTGCGTAAGCAGCTCATCGCAGCATCTACGTAGTCTGAATCGTGGCTGCCACGCGAGACGTTAGTTGCTGCGAGGCAAGTGCAAGGAATGTGCAGGGTCACTGGTCTCGTCAAGCAGCTCATCGGGCACTTGCCATTCTTCAATGGTACAAGAGCTCCTTCCTCTCAACCACGAGGTCTGGACATAATCAACGCGACGGCGTTCGCGTCGAGCACAAGACTTGCCTTCTCCTTCTCACAACAACATCAGCCCATTTTTGCATGCTCGACCCCAGCATTTTGCACAGCTTTGCTAGTTGATATCTTGGTCATTCATCACTCTGGCGTATCCCTGCATCTACACATACATACACATTCTCGCCACTCTTGCTGGACACCAGGCCGTCCACCATGGCTCCCACTGTCGACACAACGGAGTTGGAACAGTCATTCTTCAGAGCTCGTGCGGCACGGCACCATGAGCCGTTTCCCGAAGAGGATTGTCCACCCCTCAGACTCAACACCAGAACCCTCCTTGCTACCACCGCTGTCTGTGTTGTCTATTTCGCTCAGCTCATCGCAATCATGGGTGCCACTGCTGTAAGTCCGCTGTTGACTGTTCCGATCAGTTGAGAATTACTTCTGACCTGCCCTTTCTTGCCCAGCAAGCCAGAGAAATCGCGAAGGCTTTCGAGGCCTTGGACTACGCAGTCTGCTTCCCTGTGTCTCTCACCATACTTCCTGTCCTTCTCGGACCCATCTTCTCTCAGGCTGCCGAAAGCGTGGGCCGCAAGTGGTTCCTCGTGGCCCCGACTGTCATGGGCGGAGTAGGCTCCGTGATTGTGGCCACTGCTCCTTCGTTTACCGTGGCCATCCTTGGTCACTGTGTCATGGGCTGCGGCCTCGCCAACCAGCCACTACTGTTCACTATCATCGCTGAGATTCTGCCTCGCCGCTGGAGAAGTTTCGGTCACGCCAGCCTCATGGTCACCAGTTGCCTCGGAAGCACTGTCGGACTTCTTGTAGTGGGAGGCATTCCTCCCCAAGACCATTTCGGAGCCTGGCGGACCTACTACTTTGTCAACCTCGGATGCCACGCCGTCGGGGTCCTCTTTGCAGTCCTGGCATATCGTTCTCCAAGCCCAGATATGCCTGAGGTTGTTCAAAGGAGGGAGCTTACGAGAATGGACTGGCCTGGGTACACCATATTGTTCTTTGCGCTCTCCGCTTTCAGCGCCAGTTTCTTCATCTCCCACGCACCCACTTCGGCCGAACAAGACTCGGCAATCCCAGGCTTTCTCGTGGGTCTGCTGATGGTCATCGCCCTGCTTATTTATGAGCTCGTCGGACGGAAAGATGGGTTTCTGAATCACAACCTATTCCTGCACCGCAACTTCGCACTCGCCACCTTGTCACTCTTTGGGGCAGGGGTGTCATTCGCCGCTTTCGAGTGGTGCTTTCTCACCCAGACCGTTAATCTGTATGATGCGGATCCTTTCCTATCTGGCGTGCGCTCCATTGTCACGTTGGTCTCCGCCATGATCGCAGCGCCCCTTGCAGCTTGGTATTGTTGTGCGAAGAGGAAGATCAGAGGTGCAAGCGTAGTCGGATTCGCTGCGTGTCTCGCATTCTACATTGCCATGGCGCACACAGATCAGACTACCAACATCCAGACGTGGATCTACCCTACCTTCTTGGGAGCGGCAATGGGAATTCTGATGGTTACCCTGCCCACCTCCGCACAACTCAGCATTCCAAGTCAGCTCCTCTCAATGGGCACCGCTTTGCTCATCTGCGGCTTCATACTGGGCCGGTCCATTGGCTTCATCATCTGTAAGTTCAAACCAGCAGTTCTCTGCGTGCTTGATAGCTGTCTGACAATGCCTTAGACGACCACCTCGTACAAAGTGCCATGGTGGAAGGTTACCCAGCCATCGTCCACAGACTGCTTTACTCGGGATCGCCGAAGGAATTCGCAGACGAGGTCATCACTTACCTGAAGTCCAACCAAGCCGGACCCCTACCAGACGTGCCGGGTTTGACAGACGCCATTCTTGACGATGGTATGGCTGCACTAAAGGCCTGCTATGTGGCTGCATTCAAGAAGGCCTGGATTGCCGCTGGCTGTTTTGCTGGAGTATCGATGTTGAGTGAGTGGCCAATGCTCTTTATTACATCCTTTCGAGATCCTGCAAACGACTAACCCCTTGATTGCAAAGCTGCCTCCCCGATGGACAACCCTGAAGAGCAGTTCACAATGAAGATCGACGTGCCTCTTGAAAGCACCGCTGAAGTGGAGCCGAAGCCGTGACTGGCCGAGATTGTCGACCGGGCGAAGTTGTACTTTTTAGCAAGAGCTGCCTTCCAGGCCCTGGAGAAACGTTTGCAGGAGGACAGGCCCTGGCCCGATCCCCGTGCATAAGTCGCTGGGTGGGCAAAAGGCCAAAGCCGACATGGAGATGGACATCAAGAAGTTTGGGAGGCCGATGAGGTGATAATGTGCCATGCAGGGTGTCTAGAGAGTATTCAATAGTTCTTTCTTAAGCAATGCAGACACCCAATACTTACACTGCCACCCGTGATGTGGTTATCTTTTCTTGGCTGGCTGGAAGCGTATGCAGCTCTGGCCTTGGCAGCAGGGATGCGACCACTGGCAGAATAAGCTTACCCACAGAGTTTAGGATACCCTGGCGGCTCAGGTGGCTAGCACCACCAGCGGAGCATCTAGTCCTGACCAGCGCAAGTCTGCATTATCGAAGCTTGCGGCCGCGTCAGGTGTGCCTGGGGCTACATGGCAGAGGCCAGCGCCATGACGGTAGTGGCTACACGTGACAGGTTTCCAGGAATTGACCAGCCAAGAATTGCAATCGATTCCTGCGTGTCGAGCAGCCGTTTGTGTGTGGTGATAACGGTCGCGTGCCCCCCTGCCCAGGCCATCCTTGCAGCTCAGGCGTGCCCAGCGCGATCCGGTGCAAGCGCACCACGGCTGACGTCACTGTCTCAATGAGGCCCCGGCACCACCACATTGGATCGGGTCGGTCACGGCTCAGGACCGTCCACCCCAAGGGAAACACCTCGGCTGCGAGCTGAGTCTATTGTCCTCAGATCTCAAGCTGACATGTTCACACGCCAATCTGTTTTCATTTCCAGCAATCTGCCAGTCTGGTCACACATTGTCGCAAAGCCTTCGCAGCAATGAGCCATGCGTACCGAGCCTGCTCACAGCTGAGGGCTGGATCCTTAGGGTGTGCGACAAGTCGAGCCCCAACATTGAGTAGGATCGCGGCATGCAAGCTTTTCCCAATCACCCAACCCCGCGCCATTCATGGACATGGACGAACGATACCTTCAGTACGATCAGCGTGGCCGTCCTCGTCGTGTCCGTCGAACTGGGTCGCAGGACGCTGGTTGTCAAACACTGCCGCGGAAGCGCGAGCTAAGAGGGACGAGGACGAAGAGACCGCGCGCGAAACAAACCAGAGAGATGTCGACCAACACGAGCGAGATGTGAAGCAGGCCATCTCCGAGACGACGAAGCAGCAGATCCGGCGCCCGTGGCACAGGGAGGGTGCGGATGAACCGCCTGTCAGCAAACACCGCACAGAGATGAACCGGAATATGGTCAAGGGTAAGACTTAGAGCTCCCGCATCTCCTGTCTCTGGAGAATACTGATTTTGCGTTGTCGACTGCCAGGCAAGCTTCTTACCACGCCAACCCGTTTGCTCAAGCTCATTCTACCACTTCCCGTCGACGCTGTCCACGACGAGCACGGCAACACGGGCGAGTTCCGTGCCCTGGGGCAGAACCAGGACATCCAGCCTCTCGCACTGCTCATACACCCGCAGCAACCCTTGTCATATCTCGAACGCCTCATCCAGGCCGAGCTCCCGCCGACCACCGACAAAGACGGCCGCGAGAAGATGCCCAACGTGTACTTCCTCGCGGAGGCGGCCGAGCGCGACGAGGACGGCGAGCAGCGCGAGAACCACAGCGACCAGGATAAGGACTCGCACGTCGTGAGCTACTCTGGGCTCGGCCGCGAGGGGGAGGCCCCTCCCCCGGACTCCCACGAGGACTGGGTGCGCTGGAGCAGCAGCACCGAGATTGGCGACTTTATCCGCGACGCCGCTCGCGGGCGCGAGTTCGCCATCGTCGTCGACGGCCAGTCCGAGATGCGCGTCAGCGTGCCCAGCTTCAACGACCGCACGCACTTTATGCGCGTCCGCCTACGCCGCCTGTCCCGCAAGATCGAGGAGCAGAGCAAGATCAAGCAGGAGTGCGACCGGCTTGCGCATCGCGGCGCCCACAGGCTGGCGCAGGCTGGATTTGGCGCGATATCGGTCTGGTGGGGCACAGTTTATTACTTGACTTTTCGTAAGTGCCTCGTCTGAATGGTAGCTAAAGTGACTGCCATGTTGGAGGCAGCTTCATGCGCTTCTGGGAAGATTGTCACATGCTGACGTTTTACGTTCTTTGCCACACACACCAGACACCGACCTGGGCTGGGACTATATGGAGCCCGTGACATACCTCGCAGGCCTGGGCACCATCATGGGCGGTTATCTGTGGTTCCTCTTCATCAGCCGCGAGCTCAGCTACCAGGCGGCGCTCAAGATCACCGTCTCTCGGCGGCAGGCCGCGCTGTACCAAGCCCGCGGGTTCGACGCCAACGTCTGGGAGGCCATGGTGCAAGACGCGAACGAGCTGCGGCACGAGGTGCGGCGGGTAGCCGAGGAGTACGACATCGAGTACGACGAGGCCAAGGACCTGGGCAGCGAGGACATGGTCGAGGTGCTCGAGAAGGAGGAGAAGAGGCAGCTCAAGAAGAAGACCAAGCAGGACGAGGAGGATGATGAGGACGCCGCCAATGCGGCCAAAGCGCCCAAGGAGACCAATGGGACCAAGGAGAAGAGCTCTGAGAGCAAGCCGAGGTCCAAGCAGGACTGAACCTGCATGTAACAGGCTTTGTGCGTTTGACAGCAGCTTTTATACTTTGTATTTCGGACACTGTGCTTCATCACACGACCGGGAAGGGGGGTTTGCACATATTTGTTGCTAGGACCTGCATACCACAGCATAGCGAAGCATTCCCATGTAGCGAATTCGTCCGCCAGAAATTGGATCGCTGACATCTCAGTTGCTCTGGAATCGTCTCGGTGATGGGGAAAGTCATGCCTATTCATTCACTGTAGCCTGCATGTACAATCCGACTCTATAGTCCAAACTCCTTGACCTCACTGGCCATAAAACTCCTTGAAATACACTTTTTCTCATACCCACGTTTGCGTTCCAACTCCTGCTTTACGCGCCGAGGGTCTCCTTGATGACGCGGATCTGCTCGAGGACGCTCTCCTTGCTGGTGCCCCCCTTTGCCGAGCGCATCTCGACACTGCGGTCGTAGTCAAAGTAATCCGCGATATCGGGCTCGAAGCGGCTGTCGATGCCCTTGAGCTGCTCGTAGGTGAGCTTGTCCATGGGGGTGCCGGTCTGCTCGGACAGGGCGACGACGCGGCCCGAGGTGTGGTGGGTCTCGCGGAACGGTACGCCCTTGCGGACGAGGTAGTCGGCAATGTCGGTGGCGAGCATGAAGGGGTCGAGGGCCGCGCGCATCTTGGCCGGCTGGATGTCGAGGGTGGCGAGGACGCCCGTGGCGATCTGGATGCTGTCGCTGACCGTCTTGACGCTGTCGAGCATGACCTCCCACGACTCCTGCAGGTCCTTGTTGTACGTGCTGGGCAGGCCCTTGATGGTCGTCATGAACCCGGTCATCTGGCCGAGGATGCGGCCGCTCTTGCCGCGGAGCAGCTCCAGGCTGTCCGGGTTCTTCTTCTGCGGCATCAGGGACGAGCCGGTCGAGTACGCGTCGGCGAGGCGGACGAAGCCGAACTCGGCCGTCGAGTAGATGATGAGGTCCTCGGCCCAGCGCGAGATGTGAAGCATCAACATGCTGCCCCACTGCAGCGGCTCGGCGACAAAGTCGCGATCCGCAACGCCGCCCATCGAGTTCCACAGCAGGCCCTCGAAGCCGAGCTCCTCGGCCATCATCTCGCGGTCGATGTTGAACGGGTTGCCGGCGAGGGCGCCGCAGCCCAGGGGGGACTTGTTGACGCGCTTGATCACCTCGCGGAGGCGCTCGAGGTCGGCGGCAAAGGCGACACAGTACGACATGATCCAGTGGCTCCACCGGATCGGCTGGGCGCGCTGCAGGTGTGTGTAGCCCGGCATGACGTGGTCGACCTCCCTCTCGGCGCGCTCGGCGGCGACCCGGAGGAAGACGACGAGGTGCTCCTCGATCTTGCGGAGCTCGTCGCGCAGCCACATGCGCATGTCGCAGACGACCTGCTCGTTGCGGGAGCGGCCGGTGTGCAGCTTGCCGGCCACGTCCTTGCCAATGATCTCGCCCAGCCGGCGCTCGTTGGCAGTGTGGATGTCCTCGTCGACGCCGGGGACAATGACGAACTTGCCCGCCTCCCACTCGGCCATGACCTCCCGGAGGCCGGCCTCGATCTTGTTGAACTCATCCTGCGTCAGGATGCCGCCTTTTGTGTTGGCCCGGGCGAAGGCGATGCTGCCCAGGATGTCTTGCTTGTACAGAGCCTTGTCGAAGTGGATGCTCTCGTTGTAGGCTACCATGAGAGGGTCGAGACCGCCTAATCATCCGTGCTTCCTGGTCAGCAATTGGTATCGTGGAGAAGGACGTCCGAAGAAGGAAGGTCAAGTTAGCAAGCTGCATTTTGTCAGGAGACTCGCCCGATGAGGGTGAACCTGAAATCGCACCATGCTGCGACGATCCTCAAAGAAGCTCAATGGCATCGTTCCAGCCTCTTGACGGGTTTCCCCATCACATTGGGAGCTCCTGTCGCCAGGGCCATGGAGGGGCACAAATGTGATGTTTGGGGAAAAAGAGTGGAAACAAACCCACCGGTGAAGCGGCCGCCCCAGAGCATGTTCTCGCCAGGCTTGGTCGTGCTAGGCGCCATCGTGTCCGATTTGTGACTGTCGTACGGAGATTGCCTTGATTACTTTGTGAAGCTGTCCTGGGGTCAATCGACAGGTCGTACAAAAGCCAATTGCCGGAGCCGTGATTAAGTGGGATGGCAAGGCGGGCTGCGAAGTGGAGTGAGCTCCCCGCGATGACTCGCGAAGAAGCTGTCAAAGCTCACCTGGGCAGTGGTGGCCCCTTCCGCTGTCGCTCGACCACCGCCAAAACTTGCAAAAAGTTTCGACTCACTGATAAGATAAGCACCTGACATGTCCGATTCGGAGACCAGGGTCAACCCATCGGGGTCCTCTGACCACCTGCGGAATTCTAGAAAGAGAATCACCAGTCATTTGTATGAGCCAAGTCAATCATCATCACCTGGCACAAAGCGTGGACTTGTGATGTATCATCGCCTGCCTTGAGTGTGTGCCCAGCAGCTCAGCCCGATCTTGACTGAGCTCCGAGGAACAGTCCCCCGATGTTGTGCTGAGTGGGTCCTGCACATGTCGAGTTCAAGAGTTCCATAGGCCTGTCTGGTCTGAACAACTGGAGCTCAGCGAGCCAACCGCCAAAGAGACAGTCCCTAGCTAAACTCCAGTAAAGGGTGAATTAGTAGTTGTGCAATAGTTATAACGTATCCAAGCATCATTGCTCACCCAGCGCGATCTACGCGAATCACACGCAAGATGAGAACATCCTATGAGTGTACCACCTTCCAGAAGCCTTCAGGCTAAAGTGCAGAGACAGAGTGAGTCGAGGCCCCTTCTGAAGTCGCCCATGTCCACGCAGGGGACATTCCAAAACGGGATCGTCATCACGCCTAACGCCATTGCCCCGCGCAGGGGGATCCTTCCAGATATGGGCAAGATGAAGCGCCGACAAGCGTCGCATCCTAAGGTGCCGCTTCAGCGTGACAGGAGGCACACCAGCTCCTCTGGTTTCAAGGATCTCCGGCTGTTGGTAGGCATGCCACAGGCCTGGCTTAGAAACAGACCGGCACCTATTGGTGGGCCTAAGGTAATCGGGTCTGCCAGCCGAGCCGCTGGTGGCCGCTGTGGATCCCGTCAAGCACCATGGTGTAGGGATGGCATTCTCGAGGCGGACCATCACAATTGAGCGGAGTGCCTGGCCAGAGGCAATGCATTTGTCGCCGAACATGTTCCTCCCGGGAGGGAGACAGATCAAAAGTGAGCAGCAGAGATCTACTTGAGAAGAGGAAAATGCCTCGACACCTTGGCCGACTTGTCTTCTCGTTGATCCAGCAGACTGGCTCTGATGACCGTCAGGGCCTTTGAAGAATGACGTTGATGATGTAGGTGGGAGACCTTGTCGGTCTTGTGGTGCCCAGGGATCATGCCACCACGCAGTGGGTTTCGGTGGTTGTCCCTGGTCTAGCTGCATCCGCGTCTGTGGCATACAAATACTGAGCTTCCGTCATGACAACTCCTCTGCTGCAGTAAAGCCTTGAATAAAACAGTGGTCATTGGGGCCACTACGCGATCCATCCTATCCCAAAGAGCTGCAGCCTTGACCCTGCGTCACCTCCGTTCGGACATACGAGGCCCTGGCTTGCAACAACCCCACCAGCAGTCGAGCTTCACGTTAGCCCCGCTATCACTTAAAGCTATCCCACCTTAGCTCTTGCAGCTCCCTCGTCGAGCTTGCCAACGCCGCCGCGATCTCGCATTTCGGCAGATACACGACCGGTCAGTACTGCAGCGAGATGGCGCCTTCGGTTGTCTACCTGCCCGATGGCCAGTACTTTACGGTCCAACCCGTCTTCTCTGGGCTGTTCTTCAAGCTCAACGATGCTCAGCAGAGCTCCCACCCAGCTCCCTATCCCGCAGGGTGGACTGTAGTCCTGCACAGCGAAGACAATGTCGAGAACCATGTCGACGGCCTGACAATTCAGGATGACGACGATGAGGCGCGATCAAGACGGAGTCACAGCCACAGGTACAGCAAGCCGACGTTGCAGAATGACACCCTTTTCATTTCCTCCATCTCCAACCCGTCAAGCACCGACCCGCCTGCCAGCGCGTCACGCCAGATTGCTCTCATGCTGTGGATCACTCTCTATTGGTACTTCCACCAAACCGAGCCATCGCCTTACACGGAGACCAAGTCGTCCCGTGCGACACCTCTCGAGGCAAAACCTCGAGGCGATTGGCGAATCCGCATCAAGAGAGACGGCGTCCTCCGAACGCGCAACATGATACCCAAGCTCGAGAGAATGGGCCTGATCACCTCAATGGACACTTCCGTCGGCACCGGACCTGAAGCTGGAACACAAGGCTGGGACACGATGTATGTGACCCGGAGCGTATTCTGGCAGATACCCAGCGGGCTCTTCCTCTTCAATTTGCAGACTCATCGGCAAAATTCGATTCCTGGGTCGCCGCTGCCGACAAGTCGCCCAACGTCGCCTGTGCGAAACGAGGTGGCCCAACAGAACATCAACTCCGCGAGCCATGCCCATACTCACCACCTCAGCGTCGACTCGATTCAACTGCCACAACCAATCACAAGCACTCCCACATTCCCAATAGGGCCATACTTCTCGCCTTCGAGACTACCGACATACTATCCACCACCACCCCTGCGGTACACTGTCACGGGCGGAGTACGGCACCCCATTCGTCCGAAGCCTCCACAGATGGGCGAAGTCTTCTACGCGCGATACATTCCCAGTACCGGAAAGTACCTATCGATCCGGGTTGCCTCATCGTCGCCTCGGCCAGTCAATTACTTTGGCCCAGTTGCGGATGCTGAAAGAGAGCATGCCCATCTGATGAACTTGTCAGACACATCGCTGATGCAAATGTGGCTGTCCAACCCTCGAGTCTCCAAGTTTTGGGGAGAGTTTCACGCCGAGTTCCTCACCAATGCGCTCAAGTCGCAGCACTCTTTCCCTGCTATTGCCATGTGGGATGGAGTACCGTTTGCCTATTTCGAGATTTACTGGGTCAAAGAGGATATTCTCGGCCAAGCACTGGGCCATGAAGTGGGCGATTTCGACCGTGGGTTCCATGTGCTTGTCGGAGAGGAGTGGGCTCGAGGAAAAGTGTCGTTATGGATGTCTAGTCTCGTGCACTGGGCGTGGCAAAATGATTACAGAACCTCGAATGTGTGGCTGGAGCCCCGGGTGGACAACCACAAGTGAGTGAAATGTCTCGGAGAAGAAGTGAAGCGTGGTGCCCCGTACTGACTTATACTGCACCACAGGTTCCTGCAACGGCTGCTAGAGAACGGCTTCGCCAAGATCCGAACCGTGGCCTTCCCTCACAAGCAAGCATCCGCATGCAGACTGAGCAGAGAAGCATGGGACGGCCCAGCAATCTGACCCTGGGGTTGCCAAGGACCATATCCTTACGAGGTTAGGCCGCTGTACTACTCTGCAAGTGCAGCCTCGGGACCGAGCCGTTCCCATGCCCGACGCTAGCGGCGTACGCACTATGGTGGGGAAGTGCGACTGACGCCATTACCACATCACATATGTATACACCTCGTTCCCAAACGCAACTGGGCAACAACCTCAGCTTTGCCACAGTTGACACTGAGAGTTACTTATATATCTTATGGCTTAGAAGAACCCTGGATCCTGTATCCCATCATTTCCGCACGATTTCATTGTGCGCGCTCAAAGCTGCAGTCATTGACGTTGTAGGCATCCCAACGCCAGGAGATTGGTTCACGAACAGACAACATCAACATGACGACTTGCACAATCCTCGTCGTAGGCGCGACTGGGCAACAGGGGTCGGCTGTCATTGATGCACTGGCCGAGCTTGCTCCAGCGGCACCCGACAAGATCAAGGTGCTTGCGCTTACACGGAACGCCTCTTCCCAGAAGGCACAAGCACTAGCTACGAAGCACACTTCTTTATACTTGGACGTGATCGAGGGCAACGTCCTCAATCCGGAGCCAATCTTTGACGCGCACCCCGAGATCCAACGTGTCTTTTCATTCACCAGCCCGCCGAATGAGGTGCCCCAGGCCACGGCACTGATTGATGCCTCAATCAAGGCGGGCGTGTCGCACTTCGTCTTCAGCAGCGTGGAGCGAGGCGGCGACGAAAAGTCATGGACCAACCCAACACAGACGCCGCACTTTGCGGAGAAGCACGAGATTGAGCTCTACTTGCGGGATCAGTGCAACAAGCACAAGACGGATGCTGAAAAGGGCATGACTTGGACGATACTGCGTCCCACGGCTTTCATGGACAACTTCAACCCTACATCTCCGTTTGGGGCTGCCTTTGCAGCTCTCCTCAGCACGATGCCGGCCTCACAGAAGTTGCAAGTTGTCAGCGTGCGCGACATTGGGCGATTTGCTGCCAAGGCATTGCTGAACCCGAAAGCATTTGCAGGGCGAGCGATCGGGCTGGCCGGAGACGAAATCACGCTAGGCGATGCTCGGGCGACCTACCGCAGAGTGACTGAAGGGCTCGAACTACCGCAAGCCTGGTGGATTGTTGGCAAAGGTCTCCGATGGGCGATCAATGACGTTGGAAGAATGTTTGATTGGTTTGAAAGTGACGGCTACGGAGTAGACATCGCGGCGCTTCGCAAAGAAGAACCCGAGCTGCAGGACCTTGAGAAGTGGCTCAAGGAGAGCAGTCGTTTCGATTGCGGCCTGGGAAAGTGAGGTATATAAATGCGTCAGAGCACGCAAATTCAGAGTTTCAGAACTTCAAAAGGATATATGATCCAATATACTGGCTATGCACGAAACGCTACTCTCTGAGGCCGAGTGTGATTGTTCGGCCAGTATTCCCGCCGAGATTGCGTGTGGGTGCCATTGCAATTGCGATGGCTCAGCACGTCCGACGTCAAAGCAGCCTTGCCCCACCGGACTCGCTTCAGTCGAGCCCACACTCCCGCATATGCAACATCAAGGACGACAACGACAACAATAACGAGGGCCAGCGCCCGGCGCATTGTCTCGGAAACAGTCCGCCGTAAACTGCCAGATAAGTCGCGCCATGATCCAGTTCGTGGCTGTGGGAGCGTGTTATTTGGACACAATCCTCGAGTTAGTCCAGTCGCTTTCTTTCCCATGCTCTGATACTCCCGTGCAAACAGTGATGAGGCTATGTTTCCTCACGCATCTCATTGTTGTGACATGTCAAGGTTGCTATAATATGCTAGACATCCTGACTGATCTAGCCCTATATCCTCTCTTTTGTCCACAGGACGACAGAGTTCTGTTATCATAACTGACGCTGAACCGCACGATAGCGTTCCTCGCTTCGTCCAGGAGGACGAGAAGCTCCGCGCCACGAGACTCACTCGCCGCAGGGGCGGCAACTGCGCAAACACGATCGAGGTCCTGCAGCAGCTCGTCGGCCTAGCCGCTCAGGGATCCTGCGTCGGCGCCACTGCCGAACTGGGAACAACGCATGTTGAGGAGATTCACCGTCGTCCTCGTCGTAAAGATGGAGGTGAACAAGTGCCAAAGGCGCAGATTCGGAGCAGTCTAGTCTCCGTGCTGCCTCACCGAGCATCTTTGGCTGTGCAGCTCATCGCGGAGTCTCTCGGTTGTGCTCCGCCTCCAGATATCGAGGCGGGCCACGCCACCAGCAGCGGCAGCGGCAGTGGAGATGTCAGAGCTGTCAGTGCTTCTTCCAGCAGTGGTGATGATGACCACGGCATAAACCGCTCGCAGCACGTCTCCCTCGAGCACTGCATCTACAGACAAGACCACCAGGAGCCGGCCTCGTCGTACATCATCCGCAGCCAAGAGAATGGTTCTCGCACGATCGTCAACTACAACGAGCTTCCCGATATGACTGTCGCCGAGTTCCGGAGTGTCGCGGATGCCATTGCCGGGCAGGGGCATGAGATGTGGTTTCATTTCGAGGTCTGTCTTCTTCAGTCTCGTCTTTTTCTATTTTTCACTCTTTCTTGCAGCTCAACGCGAATGTTGCCCGCATGATTTTGGAATCGAGCGGCTGATTTGCATTCACGCCTCTATTGCAGGGACGGTCACCAGCGATCACTCTCGACTGCATGAGATATATCCGTGCCGCATACCCTGCCGCACGCGTGAGCGTGGAGGTTGAGAAGCCGGGCCGGCCCGGGCTGCAAGAGCTTGTCCCCGAGGCTGATGTCGTGTTCTTCTCAAGAGGATGGGCGCAGGTACGTTGATGAAGATTTTAAACCCCCCCCCCCCCCCTGGTACTGGAGGGATGATGCAGGCCGACTTGATAACCAAAGAAAATAACGAGAACGTGGACAGGATCGAGGATATGAGGATTGTGAGGCCTGCGTTAGGGATCAAGCTCAACATGCTCTAAACGCGTGAGTGGTGCTCCCACCTTGGACCCTTTTACCTTTGGTCCTCTGACTCTTTGGCCATATGGTGTCTTACAATGCAACTCCTGCATCTTGTCTTCAACGGATGCTCGAGAGCATTGATAACTAGGCCAAGCATGTTGACGTCCTTCTTGAAATCTTCAGCACAATGCTCTGCTGCACGTGGGGCCAGACGGGCGCAGCAGGCATCGAGCCCAAGACGAAGACATATGCGCAACGAGGCGCATGGGTTTCCGACGAGCCTTGCACAGTCGAGTAAGTCTTTGTCTCTCTCTCCCACGAAAAGAAAAAGAAAAGAAATACCAGAACCGGAGGTCATTTCTTGGTTTCGATGGCGCAGCTTCTTGCGATAATTTGGGACTTCATTAATGACGGCATATCGGACATAGCACGATCGGAGCAGGGGACACTTTCATGGCGGGCATGCTGTACGCCTGCCTGGCCCACGGGGAGGACTGGCCCTTGGGTAAGAAGCTAGAGTTCGCAAATGAGCTGGCGGGGAGAAAGGTCGTCCAGGAGGGCTTTGCTGGGCTGGCTGAACCGATGAGTGGATGGTTGTGATACCCTCGCCGGGGTTGTGCTTAATAGCTGGCGTTACGCATATATAAGCACCCTCGAGACGAAACGGTTGGAAGCTTTCGGAGGCACTCTTTGAGTATTCATGTAGGCATTCCAGCCACAGTCGAGGTATTTTCGACTCGGATAGTAACAAGAGTTTCAGTGCAGACACGGAGGCCGATTGGTTATACTGCTGCTGCCGTACTCATATGCACGACGGTGTGCGGGGGAGGTCTGCAGCTTCGCATACTTTCACGCGGAAGAGGGCACTTCTTTAGCACTAGCAAGGCTTTTGAAGATGTTCAATGCATTCGCAATTGTTCCACCACGGGCTGCTAAGTGACTGCCGGCGTGAGTTGGTCTCCAAGTCCAAACCATCCTGTGCTCGCCCTGGACGAAGAGACAGTCTACCCAGGAAACCAGCTAGCCAATACTCCAATGATCATTGGTCCCGTGGATGAAATGATCCGTCCCTTGGTATTTCAAGACTTCAGGCACCATACCTCCTTTCTGATCGCCGTGATGGCCACCCCAAACGCTACTTGTCCATGCCAAGATGACTGAATAACATTTGCCCTCTTCGCTAGCCTTGTACAGAACCCCAGGTAAAGGGTACGAGGACACGCAGCGAGGGACAGTGGATGGCAGCAGAGACGGCGTTCAGACCTCGGTGTCCTCGTCCTTGCCGTCCTGGACATCGTCGTCCATGTCGTCGAGCTTGACCTTGGTCTCGAACTGCTCGTCCTCGTCCTCGGACTTCTCTTTCTTGCTGTGTGAATGATGAAGAGCGAACTCATGTCAGCCTACGGGTTTCCCTTTGAACATTTGGCGGGTACATGGTCAAGTGTTGGACCCCCACAACGATGACAACAGGACGACATGGCAGAGGCAGAGCATGAATGGAGGGCATTGTGACTTACGCAGCAGGCTTACGGCCACGCTTCTTGGTCGGGGTGCCGGCGTCGGGGCCGGGGGTGTCGGTCTTGCGCTTGCGACCGCCCTTGCTGGCAGGGGTGGCAACGGGCGTGTTGGAGGTCGAGGTGGTGCCACCTTCCTTGCGCTTGAGCTTCTGGATGTGCTGTCTAGTTCAGAGTCAGTGACAAGGGTTCGATGGGGCCGTAAATGCGGAAGAGAGAAATGATTAACGGAAAGGCAAGACGACGGTCACGGTGAAGGTTATGGCGAAGCATGGGAGACGGGAGGGGTCCTAGAGTTGACCGAGCCAGGCATGATGATGATGAAGAAGTGAGGAGGTCTGTCAACGCGAAGCTTCGAGCATACTTTGCTGCGCTCCAGTTATACACATAGCCCTGGGCGGCGACCTTGGTCATGATGCGAGAGACGTCGTCATCACTGGGGCTGTAGTTGTCCATGATGGCGATGAGCAAGTCCGAGCGGGTCTTGTCATTCCAGATGGTACGGCCGCCTGAATCGGTGGTGGGATTGTTGGAGTCGGCCATGGTGATGGAGCCCGATGAAAGGTATGAAGATATTGAGGGATGATGGTGCTTGTGTGGCTATGTGGCTGTGTGTTGTTGTGGGGAGAGGCTAGGTGTTGAGGAAGGATTGCCAAAGGGATAGAGCTGGACTGTCTGACAACAAGGGGAGAACTCGTGCACACCAAATCCTCAGGCAAAGCAGGTGTTCTTGGTGAGTGCAATGTGAGAGAAGAGTCAGACACAAAGGCAGAAGCAATCTCACTTGAGCTTGCTGCCTCGCCCCATGAACTCTATGGTGTGATGCATACCGGAGCGCTTCAAAGGTCAAGGTGTGGCCCTTGTCCGTCATGATGGCCGCAATCTTGTGATAATCCTCGCCTGTAAAGCTGCCAACGCTGACGAGCGTCTCGACGAGGGACGAGAGCAGTGCGGGATCATCCCACTTGGAGGACTTGGGAGGCATGTTGATGGTTGCTGTATCCTTGTGGTGCGGACGGTGGGTTTTTTGTGTTTCTTGATGATAGGGAAATGGTGCGAATTTGCTGAAGAAATGAGAGGTGACGGGCAAAGGAAGAGACTGAAATCAAGCCCGCTGTTGTGGAGGAACAATGTTACCGTAGTGATGCTCTAGGCACTTGCCACAAACCACGCGGAAGACTTGGTTCGACCAAGGCAGAAACCGAGCTCCGTTCGGCTTGCTGAGCTGCCAGAAGGGCTTGCTGGCCTCAAGAGTGCATACCTAATGGCATTTGCGCTTGTTTCGTGGCCGTTGGCAGTCATCTCAGCCGCGATCTTCTCAAAGTCGTCCGATCCGAAGACTTTGAGTGACAGCAAGGCCTTGAGGAAGACCTCGCACACTGCCGGATCGTCCCACTTGCCAGGCATGATGAGGTTTTGGTTGATGTTGCAGTGGGCCTTTGTGTTGCGTATGTGTTTTTGTGCGTGTGAGGGGAGCCGCTGTCGTGGAAAACAGTAGGTTGTCTGAGGTTTTGCATTCGCCCAAAGATTACCACTATGAGATTTGGGCACCCGCCACTGCGCTGGCACAAAATCGTGGCTGCGGCATGCCCGAGAAACCAGACGGCCAGGCACTTGCTCCGTGCTTTTCGGACCTCAGACAAAGGGGAGGTTGAAATGACAAGCGTGACTAGCGAGAAATCAGACGGGCTTACTTGAGAGCACTCTCGGTAAAGGTGTAGCCCTTTCCCTTCAGAGTGTCCATGATGGCAGTCCACTGCGGCGGACTAAAGCTGATGCTGTCGGCCATGGCGCAGAGAATGTCCGTGTGCACCTCGTCGCTCCAGCGCTGGGTGGTTCGCTTGTCGCTCATCGTGTGTTTCGGCTTGTGAGACAAATGAGAGGAGGCCGAGTGCAGTTGCCTGTGTCTGGTGGAGGGATGTGCCGTGGGTGTTGAGAAGTTGTTGTGTTGAAAAGGAATGCCAAGTTGTGGAGGCAGAACTGCGTTAAGAATGCAAACGAGGAAGACTTCTGAAGATCTGTTTACGGCTGTTTTGCCAACAAGCGTTGCTGGAGATTTGTTTTTGGGCTCGACGCCTGGTAGCGGGCCCAAACGTATTTTGGTGCAGCCACCCTCGCCTGGTAAAAACAAGGTCAAATTTCTTTCACATTCAGAAACCACATGCGAGACCAAGGAATTCAATGAAGCATTGGAGTTGTCAGATTAATATAGAAGTGACAGAGGTATCAAAGGGTATTGCAGCAGGCAGCACACTGGCGTGGATCATGCTCTGCTATGCATTCCAGAAACTCCAAACGCCTAACAGAAAGGAAAACACTTTCAAATATAGACTCGTGCTGCTCAGCCCAACTAGCACGAAGAAAGCCGCAATCTCAATCGACATGACCCTCGAAGGTAGTTTCTGTCGGCGTCTCCCAGGATGGAGACGAAGCATTTGAGACAGCAGCTATCTGTCCATCCCCGGCTGCAACTAGTGTAAGCACAGCATCCTCCGCGTCATGGTTTGATGCCACATCATCTTTGTCTGCCCCAGCCGGATGGGTTGATGGGTCGATCTGGCTGAACAGCTCTTCCTCCTCGTCATCGTCTTCCAAGTCGTCTGCGGATTCTTCTTCGAGCTGACTAGAGGTCAGAGTGACGATAGTGCCAATTATCTCGTCACCGTCAACGCGTTGCCTTTTAGATGGCGGCTCGTCTTCCCCTGGTGCGTCATCGTTTTCCGTCATGGGCGCCGGTGGCGGACGCTGTGTAGATCCATTGGTCTCATAAGAAACCTCAGATTGGGGTTCCAGATGCATAGGCGCTACAGGTGCAGAAGGCGGGCCGTGTTGCGGCAACATGTAGCTGTAGCTCGGCTGTAAGGCTTGAGGAGGGCCGCCGGGCGGTGCTGGTAGCAGCTGACGGGGCCCTTGTGATACTACAGGAGCAGGAACTTGCACAGATGCTACTGGTTGCCCATCTGCGGGTTTGACGGCTGCATTCTTGCGAGGTCGACCTCGCCCGGGCCCAGGCCGGCGGGTAATGGGATTCTGGGAAGGATCATGCTTGAATGAGCCATCTGGGAGCAGGTTCGCCGCCGTGGCAGCTTTGTGCTGGGCTCTGCGCAAGCCCTGGAAGTGTTGACTAGTAAAGGGGAGTCAGTAACCCGATATCTGGTATGAGATTTAGATGCAAGCGTAAAAGGAAATTTGCAGCAATTGAGAGCCTTTCTCTGCATTGAGCTCGGCAAGAACATGCAATTTGGGATGAGACATAGCGTACGGAGGAAGACCAACAGCACATGGGAACGTGTTAAAAGAAGAAAGCAAACTCACCGGCACCCTTCATTGGTAAACCCGTACCGCATCATTCGCATGGTATTGCCAATGGTCGACCATTCTGCACCAGTAATGACACCAATGTTCTTGACAGACAGGATGGTGAAGAACAGGTCCTTGTCGGCCCTGTCGCCCCAATTCTTGTTCATGGTGAACTTCACCAAATTATGGGCGTGCCACTGATGCCAATGGCGTAGTGTTAAACTCAAACCCGGTGGGTGGGCGGATGTGGATGGCTGGGCAATAACAATTGTTAGGCGTGGGTGAGTGATAATTGTTAAGGGATAACCTGTGAGAGATGGGCAAACGGGGTCGCGGCATAAAGTTAGTGCTTGCTAATTGTGGCAGGCAGACTGCAGCGCCACAAGGTGTGGCTGAAGCTGGAGGGACGAGTGTGGCTGCCATGGTGCCGCTCAGGGTGTGCTGATGCCTGAGACAGGGCCAGCGGCTGCCTGGCGCAGGGAGCCCACTGGGAAAGAGGTCGCAGGGACCTCAGGTGACTCACGTGCTTTGGCGTTGGGGTCGCGAAGAACCTGGTCGCACAGTGCCGCCCCTGGCCCCGCCAGGACGCGTCTCCCAACCACTTTCTTTTCAATGGCGCGGACGCTCCGGCTCGTGATCGTCACCAAAAAGTCCGCACCCCCCTCCAAGATTGTTCAGTCTGCCGAGTCTGCCTGGCTGCTGGTCCGCCCGTCCAAGGTTCGTGTTGATCATCGCCGGTTTCTAAGCTCCAACAGCAGCCCTTCAGCCCTCGGCGTCAATTGAGACGACAGTGACCAGATCTCGTCGGGCCAATTGACCAATCCCACAGCCTGACCAAACTGGCAAGCTTGCACAAAGTCCAAAGCCTCGTGCGGTGGTGACCATTGCCCCTCCCGGGTGCTTCAAGCTGACAGCGCACGCCATGGATTGCTGCATGAGCCGTTTGCAGCGCTGGTTGGAGCTGCAAGGGAGCGGCAGACGAGACACCCATCGTCTGCCGTCATGACTTTCAAGGTTGGTCCATTCTCCCCAAGGTCAGCAGAGTTGCATTCGTTTTGGCCCTTGGCAGCCGGGACGCGGATTGCTTGCCCGCGAGCCTTTTCGCATGAGATGTGCCGATTGAAGGAACGCCCACTTCCTATTGCTGCACCCCAGGGGAAAGATAGAAGAACCCCTCCCACAGGCACTCGAGTGACTCATACGTTTCACATACCAGCCCAGGCTGGATCCTGGACCTTGCTCATCTAGACATGCAATCACCGCCTCCGCCTGTCGATGCTGTGCCTGAATTGCAGCTCCCTCATTCTCACGTCGCCTCTTGCGAAATTGCAGCAAGAAGCAAAGTCTACTACGTGCTCACATGTCCAACTCACATCTTGCCTGCCCTGCCTGCCCTGCCAGCCGCCATGCGAGCCAGGCAAGATTGATCACGCCTGGGAAGCAGATGAGAGGAATCCGGGACGAAGAAAAACAAAAGATTGCTGACCATTGCGGCGTCGAACGGGCCACACCCAGCACCAGCCAAGACCCTCGGCGCAGGGATCGCAAAACCACTTTACGCGGAGTCCGCGACCCGCCCCACTTGTTTTCGCGTAAAGCACCTCGCAGGGCTCCACTCCCCCCTCCCAGGAGGCCTATCGCCGCCTCCCATTCGCCGCCTCTGCTCGACTCAACACCGCCGCCCATCACAGCCCACGCCAGATACAGCCGGTGGGATGGGCCCTTGTTGCAGACATGAGGCCTCACCAGCGAATCGGCATCCTCGCCCACGTTGCTAGGCAACCTAGGTCAACGCAAAGTACTCGTCTTGACGTAGGCACCCGCCCCTACAGTGTGTCGAGCCATCATCTCCTGGCCTGGTCCGCTAGAGATCACCGGTAATCCTGCCAGGCTAGACACAGCTGGGCCCTCATGCAACCACTTAAACTCTCTTCGGGCAACGACCCAGCCTGGAGCCTTGTCCCTGGCTCCAGTAGTGGCCCCCCCGCCTATGAACTCGAGCAAGCAAACGCTGCCTGTCTGTGGCGTCGTGGTGATGGTATATAACAGTCTCGCACCCGCCCGTCAGCCGGTCACGTATGCCCTTGCTCTCTTGTTCGGCCTCGGTCCTGTATTCTGTTGAGCGCAGTGCTGCCTCCAAATCAAGGCACCCCCCCCTCCTTCCCCATTCACGCTCGCCATTGCGTGAGTCTTTGCCTGGTCCAACCACCAACCAATCCCCTCTCCGCCTCACTTTGCAAGGTCGACCGCCTGATGTAAGCACCTCATTCACGCTGCCAGTCCGCAACGTGGGTCGCAAGCCGTCCAGCATACGCAACGCTGCCACGCTGCCGCCGTGAACTCGGTCCCTCTCCGTGACTCACCGTCAACTCGTGGCCTACCGCACCGCATTCACACGCACCTGTTGTCAGCCTTGGGGATTGTCGACAGCTTGATGATATAAGAAATCCATCGAGTTGCGAGTGTGTTCGAGGTATCATCCACAGCAAGGACTCGAGCTGCCCATCGTTTACAACATGTCGACCAGCAACGATAACCCGATGGCTCGCTTCCTCTTCGCTATCCTGAAGCAGAAGAACCTGAAGGATGTAAGTCACCTTGCACAGAGCATGCCGACCTTCTATTGCCACAGCATCTGATATTTCTTTTTCTCGCAACAGATCGACTGGAACGAAGTTGCTCGAGACTCGGTCCTCGTGGAAGAGATTTCCAACGGCCATGCTGCCAGAATGAGATATGCTCGCTTTCGAGATGCAATGCTCGGGGTTGAGCCGACTCGACGCAACCGCACGGCTTCAACCGCATCAAAGTCCCGAGTCACGAAACCCAAAAAGGAGACCAAGATCCGAAAGGGAGATGGGTCGAGGTCCACATCAGGGGTCAGGATCAAAGAGGAATCAGTCCATTCCATCCTGGACAGCCGAATGACACCCGGCTTGACCCCTGGGTCGTTGAGCTCAACGTCGCCCATCATTGACCAAGCCATGCATCATCAACGCCTTATGACCCCGACCAGCGACCACGACTTCTTCAACTCGCCGCCAGTCCCGACCATCGCCAGCCCTCCGGCAGACGTGCTGAACTCGCAGTCGCTCTTCGACTTCCAGGCATCTTCTTGTCCTTCGCACGATGACTCGGCATGGCAGCAGGGCATGCCCTTCTCCGCGTTTTCCGCTGCCTACCACTTCGACGACTTCGGCTCAGAGGCTCAGCACTTGCTGCAGCCGTCCGACAGCAACCTCGGGCCGAGTAGCCAGACCGGCCTCTTTGCCACTGTAAAAAATGAAGAGTGGGATCCTTACCACTAGGGATCATTACGTTGTGCTCGCTCGGCAATTCGTGCCGGCGCGGATTGGGCAGTCAACTCAAGCTTGGGCTTCGCCCGCATAGACTGCTTTGGCGTTGAAGTCCCTGTTCTTGGTTTTTCCTCCTCATTCTCATATCGTTGATGATTTATGATTCGATTCTATACGGCACTGCTTGGGTGCATGATGACGCTGGGGCTACGGAGTTAATGGCGCAGCGAAGGATATCATGTATAATACAATTTTCGAACAAGTCCTCCTCGGGATTCATGGAGGTGAATGAAAAGCTACCATTTGATAAATGCATGAACTGATGTGTTCTTGATCATTCACTGGCGCTTTTTGGCTTCATGGAGTTTGTTGCTTGACCAGAGAGCAGGACGGGATCCTCGGCATATGTCTGCGGTCGTATCGAAATTCCTGCAGCCATAATGACGAGGGCGATAACACGCCGCCTATCTCTTGGGCAGTTCTCGTGGTCTTTGTTTCAGCCCCTCGATAACTCTGACTTTGATCTGCCTCGTTTAGGACCAAAGTCATTCCGTGGGTATTGAATAACGAGCTGCGAAGCCTGCCCCAGCTGTTGACTCGTGGTGCACTATTATATCAGAATTCCTTGAAAACACATCAAAGCACGCACTAATGTACAAACACTTCGGTGCTATACAGCTTAAGGGACCTATGTGGAATGATGGTAATGCATTCGCTGAATGTACGCCTGGAACTCTGTAAGTGCCTAGCTATCATGCCACAGCGATGGTGGTTCAGTGCAAGCCTCGGGCACGCGTGTGTATTGGCGCCTGCTTCATCTGCTGTTATCGACACAGAAAAGTGTTTCTTCATACGGCATGTGTGCATTGCTCTCTGTTTGATCATGCCGACAACTGTCTAGGCGGACGATCCGATGGCCGATTACTCTAGATACCCAGCAGCTCGAGCGATCTGGCGAAAAACCTGAGGATCACCGCAATCCTGGCCAGGATGGGTCTCCATGTCGTCTTCGACGCCGACGAAGCCGATATCCGCGTCGTCCGGGCCGTTGCTGTAAGACTGTCCAACGACATCATCAGGGCGGCTGGTGGTAGCACCGCGGCCCTCAGCGATGCCTGAGTCACTCAGCTCTCCCGCCTCGACTGAAGTCTGCAACTCGTCATCTGCCTCGAGGAGGTGCTGGGCGAGCGCTTCAAGGTTGACGCTATTCAGAGCGGTTGGGTCGTTGATCTGAGGAGCATTGCCGACGGCGGTTCCTGGGATGATAGCCACCTCATCATCGTCGCTTGTGGCAGATTGCTGTGGAGTCGGCATCTGTGACTTGTTTTTGGTCTTCTTTCTGGTGCCGCTAGAACTGGCCTTGCCCTTCACCTTCTTCTTTGTCGGGCCCGAAGCAGCAAGGACGTCGGGTCCTGCTGCGGCCATAGTGGTGACTGCATCGGCCTTCCTCTTGCGGCCGGCGCCTGGAGCGCGGGTCTTCTTGACAGGTGTGGCGGCAGTGCTTGGATTAGTGTTGCCGCTATTGCCCGCGCGACTTTTGCTGGAGCTAGTTTGGTTCGTGGCAGGAGCGGCAGCTGCAGTACTTGCATTTGAGCTTGGGAGATTGAACTTCTTGCGAAGCGCGGAGATCTTAGACTTGATTGGGGACAAAGTAAGCTGTTAGTAAACCTGGCTAACCCTGAACCCGAAGAGGGATGTCGAGTGAGGTGGAGACCTGATATGAAATGGGGAATTCAGTCCGTGAGAACCGAGGTACGACATTCTCTTCATGTCCTCAAAACACCAATGGAAGTCTAGTGACATGGGGATGAGGCGGTCTAGATGAGTGACAGCGAGGAGTAGCAGGGTACGAACCTGTGCGGAATTCTTCTGAACATTAACAGCGGCGGCGATTTTCTCATAGTTCAGTTTGTGCTCGCCCTCGTTGAACCGAATCATCGCCAAACATAAAGCCGCTTCGACGTCAGTAAGCATGGGTTTCTTGGCGTCAGGCATCTTGGAGTGCGTGTTGTCGCGGTTGCCGGCGGGTATTGTGATGTCTGGGCTTCAAGAATAGAAGAAGGAAGGAGCGAGTTGAGCAGGAGTACAGTCGTTAAAAATCCGGGGAAACGAAACTTTGAGCTGTTAAGACAGCTTCGTTTGCATTGGTTGTTGCAGGGAGATGCTAGATGTACCGTGACCACGATGGGTTGTATGTTACTCGTTGGTGCACTGGCAGAGGACAATGGGCCTGCTCGTTCGAATTGGTGTTCTGCAAGAGTATAATAATGGACTGGGTAGAAATGTCGCTGGTGATACTTTGAGGAGTTGAGCTGAGTGTTTACGTGGTAGGCCTCTTGTGGGAGAATGCAAGGTGATGAGCTTGGTCGACGACTCACATTTGCAACGTGAATACTCGGAGGTGTCTCCAGTGGAAGCTTCGACTTGATTCCGAGTGACCCAGGGCAATAACGGATCTGTCTGCACGGAGGGTAGACGAAATGGGGCTCTTGGTTGATGTTAATATGTTTTGTGGTAGTCGGGCAGCTGGTTTTCAGGTGGTTCGGGTGGCCCAGCAATAGGATTACGAGGCGTGGATGACTAGTCTTAAAACAGCCTGATGGAGGTGGACTCTCTGAATTGAAGAGCTGGTCTGCCAAACATCAAGTCCACGCACTCTATGATCGTTGGCAAAACCTAGCAGCAATCACACACCACCTCAGCTTCCACCTTAAGCCCTGGAATCAACCTGCGACACGGAGTCAACCCATCACGGCTTCACTTCGCTCTGTAATAATTCAAGCACCAAATTTGCATAAGCAAGATCGTAAGTGCTTACAATCGTTCTCGTAGGCCATGCTGTTCATATCACATCACACTCACCATCCCAAACAGGCAACGCTCTCATTGTGAGACAAAATCGCAGACATGCCTCCCAAGAAAGCAACACCAACCGCTATGGCTTCGTCCACGGATCTCACCTTCAATGACGGTGATATGAAGTTCATCCAGTCGATCTTCGAGGCCTTCTCTGCCGAGGCCAAGGAGCACATCGATTGGGACGCCCTCCAAGCTAAGCAGGATCTTCAGAGTATCAAAGCTACGAAGAAAAAGTTCCGCCTTTTCTGCCAGAAGCACAAGTGGTGCGAGTATGCTGAAGGCAGTGCCAGTGGTGGCAGCAAGAAGCGTGCCGCCGAGGATGAAGATGGCTCCAAGTCTGGAAAGGGCAAGGCCAAAAAGCAGAAGAACGCAGAGGAAGCCGAGGAAGACGCCGATGAGGATTAAAGGCACGGGATGGGACGACCCTGAGATTTACACGGACGGCACTGACATTGGCAGAGCACCGAGCACAGATAGACTCGTACTGGGAAGCAGAGGCTGCGTTTGGGACAGAGGCATGCATTGTGCTTGAGTCGTTGGGGGGTTTGAGCAGAAAGCCATAGTCGCCATAAATTGACGACAGAGTCTCCAAGAACATTTTAATCCGTGATCCTGTTCTATTACGATTCTTTGCACGTGTCTATGCGCCTAGTTGGATGCCTGATTCTCCGCCACGAGCATTCAAAAGTCGGCCTGGCGCCCGCTGGGAGCTCTCTGACCCTGCAAACGGCTCCTCAAATACACCCTGAACTAGGAGCCCACGCAGGTCCTTTCTCCCACATGCGTTGTCTCTTCAACACATCCCTCTAGTTTCTCACAGACACAAGACTCACATCCCTCATACAACCGTTGTAGCCTTGCACTTCGCTTGTAAGGACTAAAGCTACACTACAAACACACAAAGGTCAGTCGTCCAAGTATAAGACACCTTAGCCGATATCCTGCTCAGTCGTAGACCATCACGGCCTCTCCATCAGCCAAACTACAACCAACCACATCAAGATGCCTCCCAAGAAGGACTCGACTACCTCCGCTGCCGGCGATGCCACCACGTCTCTCAGCGCCAGAGACATGAACCTCCTCACGCTCTACCTGCAGACTTGCCCCCGTCGGCCAAGACCCAGGGCGACTGGGCCAAGGTCGCCGAAAAGGCCGGCCTCAAGGACGAGAAGTCGGCTCGCGAGTCGTTCCGCCAGCTCTGCAAGAAGCACGGATGGTACGAAGCCGCTCCTGGCAGCGGTGACCAGGCTGGCGCTGGTGCCACGCCCGCAAAAGCTCCTCGCAAGCGCGCCACGCCCAAGAGCAAGAAGGCAGTCTCCGCCGACGGCGATGGCGATGGCGTGACCGCAGAGCAGACGCCCACCAAGAAGCAGAAGCAGGCGGTTGTGGATCAGGAGGATGCCGACGATGACATGAATGAGCTCTTCGACGTCACCGGTGCTTCGTACGCTTGAGCGTCTCGTCACTGAATGAGTTTGAGGGCATATGGACATTAGAGGTAGCAGGGTGTTCGACCTGGGCCTGAGTTACGAGCAGTAGCACTTGTCATCATTAAGATGCGCTATTCAGGATGATTATCACCAATAGATCGCGAACAGAAGCCCGAAGAATCAAGGCGTTGAATCACCCCGTTCATCAATAGAGATGTCTCATACCAAAGCTCTATAAGATGATGTTTGAACTGTATCGACTTCTTCATGTATCAAATGCTACCCAATCCTGCAGAAACGATCTACTGGCTTGAAGTGAAGGTCAGCAGTGAAGCTCGTTGTCTGTGAGCTGATGCTGAATGGGAACTGAGATCGTGTTTCTAGAGCAACCGAGCGGGGGCTCGGCAGTATCTCCTGAGAAGTCTCGTTCAGCTGCTGTCTCCCATTTGCGGTCACAAAGGCTTCTGAATCGTCTGCGCATTCACTACTGCTAGACGTCTGTTCCTTGAGCCACCCCCATCAATCCGCTTGACACACACAGTTGTGCCTTCCTTCCACCATCCCCACCGAGATAACTTTCCTCACACGGGACGCAACTCACAACTCGCAACTCGTACTCCACCAGCTTCATCACACATCCCGGACATTACAACTGCACAGCAATCATGGTTCAGTTGACCGACGAACAAGCCCTATTTCTCGTCACGTGCATCAAGCACGCGGGCTTCACCTCAGCCAGCGTAAGTTCAAGCCATACCTTGGCACATCCCACAACTCCAGATATGGTCATCTCGACATACTAACCTCACCCGCTTGTCGTTTCAGATCCCCATGGACAAGGTCATTGATGAGCTCGGCCTGCCGTCCAAGGGTGCCGCGTATGTTGTTTCCTCTTTCATTGTGTACTTCACTTTCTGGTCCATCACCAAGCGGCTCGAGTCAGCCAAGCCACTGACATATGCTGCCGACCCATACACAGAAGCAAGCGCTGGTCCCGCCTGATGCAGGCTCTCGAAATCACCAAGACGACCTCCACCTCCAATGCTGGCACGGGTACCGGCGATGATGCTGGTGACGATGACGGCGAGAAGAAGCCCAAGGCCAAGGTCAGTACTCTTCTCATTGAATCATATTTCTACCGTAAAGGCGGCAACAGCATCGCGGAGCGAGTCACTCGCTGACAATCAATGACCCCGGGAAACGACAGGCAAAGCCCAAGACCCAGCGCCAGCCCAAGGCCAAGGCGAGTGGCAAAGCTGCGGCCATCAAGAAGCGCAAGCTGGAGGAAGACGAAGTCGACGAGGAATTCAAGCAGCAGCTCCACAAGGATGACGAAGATGATGACGAGGCTTGATTGCAGGACGCTGGGTCGCAATGGCGTGAGATATTCAGCAACTACGGCTTTGAAATTTGCCTCTGCGAGGACATTGAGTCATCGGGAAGGCTTCATTGGGGCTGATTGATAAGGGCATGGTTCTCTTCCTGCTTGTCACGGTGATCGCATATGGGCATAAAGACGTGATTTAATCATGTCTTCGCCAGAAAAGACGAGTATCTAGACCCAGTGAATACACACGATGCCTTTGAGTCATGCTTTCCATGTTTGACATGGTATACAATCCTCGCTCTTAACGTGTCCTCTGTCCACTTGGTCATCTCTGCTAGGCTAATACGACACAGTCTAAGGCGACTTGTCGGGCCGAGTCAGGGCTGTGGTTGCAATTAAGAATGTGGTGCCTCGTGTTTATGCGAGTGCCTGAGACTCCTGGCTCCCTATGTTGACGTGGATGCCCTGGGCAGCTCTGCTCCTCCAGAGTGCCACTTGTCGGCCGCGCCAGCAGACATGCGTGCTGTCTAGGCACTTTCGGGTGCGCACAACAAAGCCCACAAAGTCTCACTTTCTCTCACCTCGCCACACCACACAACACAGACAACACAACACAGGGACACGCTCACAAAACACACAACGCATACACACAGGCTACACTTGTGGTGCACATTTGGCACAACTGAGCAATTATCTGTGAAGCCACACAGCACCCACGGCACAGCAACACCACTCAATCAGCCCCATACTCCCACCTCTTTGCCTTCCCACAGCACAATCCTCACGAATCCCTCACATCACCCCCGCGAACAGCCGAGCATCTTGCACCACATCCCCCCGAACACAAAGAAGCAAAGAAACAACAAGACAAACTGCTTCAGCTACCAATGGCTCCCACCACCTCGGACGAGACGGTCAAGTTCCTGGTGGCCTGCATCCGGCACTCGGCCAGCGGCCGGATCGACTGGCAGGCGGTGGCGGACGAGTGCGGCGTGCCGACCAAGAACGCGGCCAGCATGCGATACACGCGCCTGCTCAAAGCCCACGGCGTGACTCCTGGTGGTGCTGGTGGCAGTGGTGGCAATGGTGGCAATGGTGCTGGTAATGGCACCCCGGCCAACTCGCCCGCCAAGGCCCGTGCCACGCCCAAGAAGAAGGCCGCCGCTGACGGCGAGGCAGGCTCGCCGGCGAAGAAGCGCAAGGTCAAGGGCAAGGACAAGGCTGAGGATGAGATGGAGGATATCGAGACCGTCAAGAATGAGGGCGACGGAGAGGATGCCCAGGTCTAGACCGGCTCTCCCGTGGCGCGTTTGCAGGACAAGACGAGTGAGTCTGCTGGCATTTGATTCTTTCCGAGTCTTGACTAATAATACTGAGTTTTGGCGGATTAGGGCACGGTGACAATTGGCACTTCTGACGGCACTGGGTGTTCACCAGCTGACCAACTCGACTCGCCACGGCAAACCCTGCAGTGAAGGGAGGTGGACAGGGCAGAGGGGGTTGGACATGCAAGCCAGCCATGGACAAACAAAGCCTCGACGAGGGTCGCGATCTGCTTCTGGGAGGATCAACACCGACGTAATGCTTTGCGGCGGACAGGGTAAAGCTACGAGAGCAATGAGCAGATGACCGAAACACGTGTCTACTTTGAGATTATTTCTTTCACCTTGGCGAGTCCCAGTGTTGGGCACGCGCAAGCACTTGCACCCATTGTTGGCTCCCCAGCCTTGTGGTTTATTGGTCTGACCCTTGTGCAGCTCACATCCGTGCCCAGTGCTTCATTGACTGACTGCCAGCCAGCTGTGGCATTCCCTTGCACTACTTTTAAGACTTGTTCCAGCATTTTGCATGCCGAGTCGGTGACCCTCCCAACCAAGAGCACACATATCGGCTGCAGTGCTTGCTCAGACCTGCAGACTGGACGCCCAAGTGATATATATACCTAGCCCCCTGGATGCTTCTGCCCCACCACAGCGACGACGAGGGTGTGACTGACTGCGCACCAGAAAAGGACGAGGCTGAAGACCAGGCCCGCCGATGCCCCCCCCCGAAAGAGGCAAGTGGGGACGCGCAGGGCGGCCTCGCATTCGTCAGTCCAAGGCGGGGGTGAGAAGAGGCTGCACGACATTGTGCAGGCCAGCACACAGACACACAAGACACACACCTCTCTGGTCTAGCTGCTTGGAGTATGTACAAGGCCAGGGAGGACAAGGTTGCGTGTTGTTGTTGTTCGTCTGTCCCTGTGCACGTGGCTGCCCAGTTGTGTATTCTCCTGGTGGCGCTGCAACAAAGGAAACCCCCTTGGCTGCTGTTGGCGTGCTCGGTGCAGCAAAGGCAGACAGGCAGACCGACAGGCAGACCGAGAGACCAAGACTGTGGCCATGTCTGTCGTGGAGCAGCACCAGCACCCACCACCCAAGCACACACAGCCAGTCAATGCCCCCAATGGATGGTTCGACTTTGATCCCCCCCCCTGGCTGGCTGCTCTGCCAGGACAAGAAGCCTACGGCAGCTGACCAGTGTCATTGCATGCCTTGCTCATTGTCCTTGTCCTTGTCCTTTTCTTTTCCTTTGTTGTTGTTTTCTCTGTCGCCCAGCCGAGGCAGCAGTGTCTGTGCTTGTGTGTGTGTGATTTGTGCCGCACGACAGACGACAAACACCGACCGAGGGCCCGGGCCCCACTCGCGCACGACAACGCCTACACACACATACGCACACACACATCCATGCCTCTCTCGCGTCTTGCCATTTGCCATCCTCAGCATCAACACCGGGACGGGGGAGAAAAACACGGAAGGGGGGGCTGAACATGGGGAATGAGCGGCAATGGGGCAATGGCAATGGGCCCAGAGTCCGCATCGTCTGCTGCTGCTGATGCTGCTCTGCCTGCACACTCACTTTGCTGTCCCTTAGTCAGTATCGTCCCCTTTGTGGTGTGCCACTCTGCCTCTGCCTCTCTCTCTCCCTCCCTCCGATCCATCACGTGTGGCCTCGGCTTCAGCAGTGCAGTGCATTCCATAAGGCAATTGTCCCTTCGTGGGGTCCCAGAGCCCAGCACGCACTCACTCACTCTCACCACCTGCAGCACACAACACAAACACTCTCCCTCCTCCTCAACAACCCCCCTCCCCCAAGGCACCTCTTTTTCCAATTCCTCACTCCTCCTCCTCCTCCTCCTTCACTCTCCTTCTCCCCATCACCATTGCCAACAACCAAACCTTCCTCCTTCTCCCCTCCTCGCCAGGCACTCGCCACTCGCCTGTGCGTCGCACTCCATAAAAACACCACACCAAGATCCCCCAAGAAGAGTCACCCCTAGGCATGGGCCACACACACGCTGACAAGGCAACACAACCCAAGGCAGGAAACCCAAAAAGAAGGACAACCCCAAGGCACCAAGACAGGCGCGGTCCAGGCAGGTGGTGGTGGTGGGCTGTGGCAGCAAATACATGTAACACATACCTCAGGTAGCAGTAGACAACAACACAGTCTCTAGACAGCATCATCATCAGAAGCATCATCAATACAATTAAATATTCGTGTCGCCTCCTTCCTCTTCCTCTCTTCGAGCAAGCACTCTCTCCTCTTCCTCTTCTTGTTCTTCCGCATACTGCCCCCCTTCCACCACGATCCCATCGACAACAGACAGCACACATACAGCACACTCTCACGCGCCCTCACAGGCCAGAAGAGCACGCTTTCCCATACACACACATCCTCAACCTACATCCACTTAATACGCACCCGTACACAGGCACCGCACCCTGGGGCCGCACCAGTTCCCACTCCATCCCGCAGTCCTCCTGGCCTGTTCTGCCCCAACGGCTCGCTGGTCCTAGTCACCAGATCGCAAGTCCCCGGGACAGTTGTGACTGCTCTCCGCGCAGAAGCAGCTCTACTTACTACTCTAGAGTCAGCGGCGGAAGCCGAGCAGCAATCTGCCTCCTCCTGGGCCGACCAGAGACGACCCTGATATCTTGTCCTCTTTGGAAAAGACAACATAGCAAGTACAAGAACCGCCTCGGTTGAGGGACTTTGGGGCTTCCCTCTCGGTAATAGCCGCGGGCCCTTGCTACGACTGCGTGCCGCCGTCCCCTTCGAGTTAGGTGTAGCAGCGCTGGTAGACTCGAGCAAGGTCTCTCTTGTAAGAGACAAGGACCAATCATCATTGAGGTAAGTCATTTCACAACATCGTCTTCTCCCATCTTGTTGTTTTCCATTGCGCGACATATCCTTCATTTGCCTGTTCTGCAAAGTCGCCGAGTTGGCGCAAGGTCGCACAACCGCAGTCACTTCTCTCCAAAAGTGGGACTGTCGAGACACCCGAGAACGACAGCGTCAACTTGACATTTCTTCTCGTGTATAAGCCTGTTACCACAACTCGTTACGATCCCACGCACTTCCAGACCCCCAATTACTTCATCTCGTGTATATTTTGGACGAAAAACGGTGACCGCCTCACTTCCACCTCACGGGCGCCCAGCCCAGGCCTGCGTGCACCGCCGCCCGCCGACTTACACGCGCGCACCGCAACCCCTCTCAGTTGCACGGAGCAACCAGCAGACTCCCAACCCCCCCTTTTCCCCCAGCCAGCTGCCAGAGCTGCTGCCGAGCGTGCTGGACTGCTGCCGCGCTGGGCTGGCAGTCTTTTGTTGTCGTCTGCTGTCGCCTCCGTCTTCTCTTCGTCTCTCTCCCGTCTTCTGCACATCACCAACTTCACGTTGCCTCAGCCCTCAAACTCTGACGCTTGTGTCCAAGGCACTCATCTCTGATCCTCTACTTGTGTGTACTCCGCACGAATAGAGACAACAAACTGTAAGCCCATCTTCTCCGCAAGTTTCCCCAGTCTCATCTCACGCCCCACCGAGAACATATCTCCGGCGGCAGCACCACACATACACTCAACACCACAACTCGCGAGCATCCAGACTGACACCTCGTACTATACAGCCTCAGCCTCACGCCCGCTCTCTTCACGTCAAGTGAATAGAGTCAGGCCGCGGCGTCAGCCTATATAAGCCTCGCAGCTTTACTCGAGCCAGGTCGACTTCACGGCCAGCTCACCTGGCGCGACAGTCAACGACTTTGTCACTCAGCCAGTTTTATACTGCCGACGTCTTATTGACTGGACTTATACGTCCCATGTGAGTGTTTGCTGCCTCTTCTTTCTTTCCAACGTCTCTCTCATGGACGCAACAGACATACACGCACGCACGCACGCACAAACGCATGCAAACTCGAGCATCATCAACAATTGTCATGGTCAGCACGCACACGGCTAACACCCGCCTCAGATCAAACAACTCAAACAACAACATCAGACGCCCGTCTTATCAATCCGTCTGTCACCAACAGACAGCAAAGGACAAATCAGTCAAGATGATGGCCTACCGCCCTTCCAAGACCGGCCGCCGTGCCGAGACCACTCCCGCTGCTGGTGTCACCACCACTGACAACAACAGCAGCATCAACGGCATCAGCAACAGCAGCAGTGCCAATATCGAGAATGCCAATGCCACCACCATTGGCAACACTTCCTTCCCCCCTGTCCCTACCACTCCTGTCCGCGGTGGTGCCACCAAAGACGTCATCACCAGCAGTCGTATCCCCATTGCCTACGACGGCAACAACACCACCACTACTACCAGAGACGGCATGCTCGCCCTCGCGAGCCCCGCTGGAACCATGTGCACCACGCCGATGAGCGCGACCTCGTCGTCCTCTGTCGGCGGCGGCGGTCTCTCGTCAGCCACCCCAGTGACTCCTTTCACTCCTGTCACTCCTGGCGCTTTCACCAGTGGCGGTCACCACCACCACAACCACCAGCTGCCCCTGAGCCCAAGCACCCCGTTCACCCCATTCACCCCTGCTGATCTGGGCGTCATGATGGAGGAGAGCGGCGGCATCACTGACGAGTGCGTTGGTTATGGCGCTGCTGCTTCTGCTTCTGTTCGCAATGGCAGTGTCAACTTCTCTGGCAACCAGAGCCAGAACCAGACTCGCACTCGTGTTAGTGCTCAGCAGGCTCGCGAGCACCACCACCAAGAGCAGTCGACCTATGCCCACGCTGTCCAGACTCCTCAGCTCGGCGGTGGCCAGCCTCGCGGCCAGGTGTACACTCTCAACTCTGACCTCGGCGATATCCCTGAGCACGCTGTCCTCGAGAGCCAGCACGAGCTCGAGCATGAGGAGCAGCCTCCTGCCTACCGCGCCGCTGTCGACGCCAACGGCCAGGAGATCCTGACTGATGCAGTGTACAACCCCTTGCACCCCATCACCATCACCCGCGCCACCCAGCACAACCTGATCCGCTTCAAGGGCGTCGAGTACACCATCTCCCAGATGGAGAAGATGCGCGTCGCGCTCAAGCTCGCGGTCAAGAACGGCGAGCTCCCACACTACGACACTCTCGGCCTCGCCGCGCACCACGTGCTCGACGACTACCACCGGCTCATCGAGATCCGGGTCACCCGGGCCAAGATCGAGCGGGAGGCGGCAGAGCAGCAGGAGCAGCAAGCCACTGCGCTTGCGTCTGCTGCGGCGGCGGTCACTCGTGCTTCTTCTTCCTCTTCCGATGCTGCCGCTTCTGCTTCTGGCACTGTTGCTGCGGCTGATGCTGATGCTGCTGAGACTTCAGGTACTGCTACTGATGCGGCTGTCGTTGGCGGTCTGACCTCGGTCTCTGCTTCCGAGTTTGCTTCCGAGTCTGCTCTCCCGGCTGCGGATGTGGTCTCGGCTGGCAGTGTTGTTGCTGTCTCTGGCACTGGCACTGCTCAGACTGGCAATGCCACCACCACCGGTGCTGTTGCTTTGGCATCTTCTGCTTCGGCTTGTGGTGCTGCTCAAGGCACTGCTTCTTCTCTTCTGGCCGGTACCCAGACCACCGAGACCACCGGAACCGGCACCGCGGGCACTGGAACTGCTACTGCTGTTACTGTCACATCAGACACTTCCAATGGCATTATCATCACCGCCAACACTGCCGCAGCCGTGGCTGCAAGTGACGCTGCCGAAGACGGCACCACCAAGACCCTTCATCCTCTTGCCTCACCATCAGTGTCATCCCCAGGCAACAACAACAACCTCCACAAGCACACCCAAAACAAGGTCGTCCTCCTCGACACCAACCTCGCCAAGCACAACCCCGTCGTCACCACCAACACCACCACCACCCAACACCAACACCACAACAACCAACAACACCCAGCCCTCCTAGAGCACTACATCTCCTTCACGGCCAACCTGCGCGCCCGGAACCAGCACCTGGCCAGCGCCCTGCGCCACGCCTCCACCACCGCACAGGTCGACGCGCTCACGCACAGCGCGGGGGCCGGGGACACGCGGATGTACACGCTCATGCAGGCCGCGGTGCGGGATGCGATTGCGAACCAGGCTCGCGACGGCCGGCATGGAGTGACTCCCGGGGTGGTCATGGAGGGCGTGCTCGAGGAGATCTTTGGCATCATCGAGGCCGGGTTCTTGGATGCCGCGGGCCCGCTGAGGGCGAATAACTGCCTGCTTAGGGATACTTCTGCGACCTTGCAGGACGGGAATGCCGCGCTGCAGAGCAACAACGAGGTGCTCGAGCAGAACAATGTCGCCCTGCACGCGCAGGTCGGTGCCATTGGCCAGCATGTCGGCGCGATTGGCAGCCATGTCGGCGCCATGGGATCACACCTCGGTGCCATGGGAGAGAACCTGCGCAGCGTGTCGGGTAACCTGAACGTCATGGGTGGCCAGATTGGTGTGTTGCAGACTGTCATCCAGATGCTGCCTACCATGATTGACAAGACTGTCGAAAAGGTTGTCATGGAGAGCATCACCGAGACCGCGCAGGAGATCATTGCTCCCCTCGGCCCCGTCATCGTCGCGCAAATCGAGGCTGCTCTTGCTGCAGCTGCAGCTGCTCAAGGCCAGCCTTCTCAGGACCCGGTTCAGCCCGCCCAGCGCAAGTTGAAGCGTGGATGCCTCCTCTTCAAGAAGAAGGGCGACAAGAACTGAGCACACTCAGAGTCTCATCTTGACGACAGCATCACACCACTTCACCGGCATCGTCACACAACATGATCACGCATTGACACTTCAACACACACTCACAAGACACATGACCAGCGGCGTCTGGCAATCAGTGCTCAATATTACCGAGTAGTCGCGCTGTCATCAGCCACACGAGTAAGTCATCCTCTTCCCTCTGCCACCACACCACTCCCCAAAACTAACCACCACCCAGTCATCCACGGACACCAGTCCACATCGACATTCCCATCTGTTTTGGTCTCTTAGTCTCTTGGTCAGCATCTGTACAACAACATCGTTCCCCCTTCATGTACAACACACAATCTTGTCTTCTCCTTGGGTCTCTTCTCTGGTTTGGTCTCCTCTTGTCATGTCTTGTATCTGGACTTTGGAAGCGCGCACGCGTCAACGCACGCACATGTCAACACACACACGCATAGGCAGCATTGGGCGGCGCATGTATCGGGCGCATGTGTCAGGCGCATATCAGGCGCGACGCAGTCGGTTATGCAGGCTCGTCATTATCAGCATCTTCGAAGAAGCTTGTCCTCGCGGACCGGCGGTGTTCTTCACTTACACACACACAACCATGTCCCAGCTGTCTGCCTGCTTCAGACTTGTCTCTCGCTCTTCGTCTCTGCCGTGGTGGGTCAGACACACAAACAGCCGCAGACCTGTCGGAGCCGCAGAATCATCAGCTGGGTACGCAATTACTCACACAAACACTTACACGGGAAATCCTGCCTCGGTCGCGTAAGCGATTTTGGGTGAGGCGGGCAGATTTGGACGATGGATACGCGGGCGGTGGGAGTCTCGCGGGTATTATTGGTATGCGCATGGAAATTGGAATCCACGGGTTTTGAAGGTCGAGTCAAGCACAACATGTGGCCTTGCAATTGGGCAGGCGCACACCAGCATTAGTTAGGTAGATAGCGGCGGAATGTAATGGTGTCAAAGAATATCGCCTTTCTGTGTGTGGTCATGGTGTATGAGTGAGTGTCTGCCGGTTGTCGCCATGCTTAGAAGATGGTGATGGTGCTCTTTGCAAGATCAACGGCAGCCACGAAGTCGGTAAGCATCGATTATATTCACCCGTCGATGACCTTGAGGGTCTCGTCTCATAGCTCTTGTAACGTCCGATGGATTCCTGGTTCTGGTTACCTCGAAGCTGCCGTTTAGCGGAATGATTGCGACAAACAAGGCACGATGAGCATTTGCGAGTGCTGGAGGCCGCTCTATGCAGCTGGATCATGCATGTCGCCGTGAAGAGCATGTCTATGTTCCTCGCAAAGAACGAAGGGCTGTCATGGTATGCTTGATGGCGTTGCTTCTGTTGATTGGGTTTCAGAATTTGACAGGCCACTATGACCATGCTTGCGTCTCAGTACCGTTGTGTTGCGTGAATCTGCACGATCCAGTTGCCCGAGGGCAAACCTCAAGCTTCATCCGTTCTTCCCCCAGTTTCTAGGCAAGTCTCAGGCTTGACACAACTCTGGTGACGACGGTCTTGCTGAAATATGGCTTAGATTTCACCCTGAGAGAGCTTAGATTAGCGCATGAATGATATATCTGCGAGTGAACTCCTTCGACACCTCTCTGCCATGTAGTTTGCTGTCGGATTAGGCAAATGGTCCAGAACTTTATCGAGAGGCGTGGAGAATAACAGGGCCAGGGCCGTCTTGCTCGCGGCTTTGTGGTGGCAGCAGTATGTCTGGGACCCACAACCAGGACGGAACATTCCAGTGTTCAGCCTCTTGCAGGGGGTTCGGTAGAGTCGGTACCGGTTTGTTGAATGTCGTGAGATAATCCAGGGAGGATGTCCTCCACTGTCCACCGCAGTCAGGATCCGTGACCGAAACCCCGTGAGCCTCGTGATCTTGAGCTCCTTTGAAATGCAATCCGGGCAGATATAAGTCGCCAGACGGCTGCTATTGAGACGAGCACCAAAGTTTGATATACTCGGTCCTCAAAGGTGAATGCCCGTGCTAAAGGTGCTGCTAAGTCACCAACAGTGACAATGCGGCAGCCCAGGCGTTTCCCGAACATCTCGCCTCCTTACCAGAAAAACCCCGAGACAGATGAGTGAAGATGCAATGTGACTTCTATGAAGGCCCACCAAGGTCGTCACAAGTTTCAATAGCCAGACTACTTTCATGACAGAGGGTGATGATGAACTTCTCCTGTTGCTGGAGTTTGGATCTGTGGTTCAACCCAAGCACTTGGTACGCTGTCTTATCAATCTGTTGCCCATATTTGATTGGAATCCCCGCAGGACCATTGACGAAGAAGCAGGTCGAGTGTCAGCTTGGCGGTTAGAATGAAGTGGCTCAACTCGAGCGACCCGATTGTCATCAACTAGACTCACAAGAATCCACCAGCTGGGCTCTTGGATTAGGCCGACACGGGTTGCAGGCACAGATGCAGGTCGGGTTCGCCCTCGAGGACGTTTGTGCACCAGGACAAGCGCTCCAATTCTGCAGCGGCACCTTCCGCGGGTGAGGCGGATGCATGCATGCATGCGTGCCCGAGTGGCAGGCGCGTGTCTCGGCACAAAATGTTTAACTCGGTCGGAATTCTACGTCAGACTCGTTTCTTTTCGTTTTTCTTTTCTCCCATAAACATTTTGCTCTCTAGGCCAGGGATCTGTGCCCGTGAATCCATTTCCTCACTTCTTTCTAATCAGCCTGGCAGAGTTCAACTCGGCGCGGTACTATATGCTGACTCAGATGAGCAACGCCAGCGCGGTGACCCTTTTCTGGACAATGCAATCTCAGTGCCAGTCACTCCTGCTTGTTGGAGAGATTGACAGTCTTACCTAACGTCTTTGTGGACTCAAATCACCGCAGTTGCTATTGCAGCCGAGCCTCGAGGCGAGCCCAATTGCCCCTTTCTCGAGGCCACAAACATGAACAGGAGTCGTCCTTTGTCAGGATATGGCACGGCGCAATCAAAATAACGCCAGTGCTTTTTTTTTTCGGGAACAAGACCGTCTCCGGGTGAGGAGCAGCCCGCGTGGTGAGTTCCACCCCAAGAAACGTTGCCCCTTGGCCAGTTCCATCGCAGCACCTGACAATCACAACCAGGGCCCCTTGACAGCATCAGCCCTATGGCACTGCAAGCCGTACCATTCTGGTCATTCCTGCGCCCCTTGCTCCAGGAACTCCCTTGTCTTGGCCGCTGGAGGGCTTCGTCGACGGGCAAGGCTCCTGCATCCGTCACATGCCAGATCCCCACTCTCTGGCCTGAATCTTGGGGGCCGAGTCCCAGGACATGGCTCGAGCCACAGGGAAGACGCCAAGATCTACTGGACGCGATGACGTCCCGGGACGTCGGCGATGCCGTGCCGCGAGGCTCTGGGGCTGCTAGGGAGTGGCCGCCACACGAGGGGCATCGCACTTGAGAACTGTGCCACGGAAGTGCCCCCTCAACCCCATGACCAGTGGGCGAGTATCGCGGATCGGACCCCGAGTTGAGTCTTTCGGCCTGGGGAATGGCTTCGAGATTATTTCGTCCCCGTTGCCAGCCGACTGGCTACTCCATGGCAGCATGCTCCCACTGCCGCACAGGACAGAGCAGTTCCCCCCAACTGCAACCCCACACCACAATTGGTGCCAGCAGCCCGCCCGCCGCATACCCACCTCCCCCAGACCACCGGGTCATCAGCACGACGGCCACGACCCCAAACTGGCAATGGGGGCCAACCCCAATCGCTCGACAGATGCACAAGCTGATTGGCTCACGTCAGTCGCCGGTCCAAATCGCATTTGCGATTTTGGCGCGGCCAGTATGGGTGGTCCGGATGGTGCTGGGAAAGCGTCGAAATGGCTATAAAGAGGGGAGGAACTGCCAGAGCCTTGCGGGATCATCTTTCCTCTATTCTCAAGCATTCTCGGGCTCTTTCTGTGGTCAATTTCAATAAAGCCAGCCTTATTCTGCGGTTGCCCCTGTGTTGCAGCACAGTTAGCTAGCATCCTCACGTGTTGGTGCTTCGCCTCTTACACCAGTGGCCGGCACTACAAGCCCACACACCACGACTCCATGACCTGGCGCCACTCGTCTGGGTCAGACACAAGCAGTTCCAGTACTTGCAGGCAACCACCAAAGCTTGGCTCCTACGGCGTGGAATACTTCCTACGAGAGCCCAGCCCACCTGTAAACGAGGTCATTTACAGGGCAGCCTCGCCACAGCCCGGCCGATACAAGTCAGAGTCTCTGAACAGGATCAACTCTTACCAGTCAGAGGCTTCATACAAGATCAGCCGGTTCAACGAGATCACCAAATCTGCCGGCAGTAGCGGTCCGAGTAGCCCAGCCGTTTCCGATGGCGAACCATAAGCGGCCGAGGCGGCCGGCGTCTTCTGATGAGGAGTCTTGTTCGGATGACGGCAGGTCACCGACGAGGACGGCCTGGGTGGGAGGGCCCCCAAAGCGCGAGTTGGACTTGATGGTGAAGAGTTTCAAACAAATCAGAGCCCTGGTTGAATCAAACGATTGCCCGGACAGCCAAAAGTACAACATTGCATGTCCATTCCTGCAGCACGATCCTGGACGTTATGCAGACGTGCGGGAAGTCTGTACTACGGGGGGTGGCTTCTGCAACACCGGCAAGCTCAAGTAGGTTGATATACACTCCTCTCGTGACATGGCATGGCTGACAGGAAACCCACAGCGAGCACATCAAGCGAGTGCATACTCGCATGCACGGCTGCTTGAGTTGTGGCCATCGCTTCACCAACGTCACAAAAGCCGAGCTTGAAAAGGCCAAGGCTCAGCACAACTTAACCTGCAAGAAGCAAAAGAACGGCTGCAGAGACATTTACACACCAGACGATTTCGCCCCGGAGTGGATGACAGAGGATCAGGACAGCGAGTACGAGCGCCTCGTCTTTCCACGAGGTCATTCGAAGGATTCCCCCCAAGAAGTATTCGAGCGCATCTATCGGGCACTATGGCCAGACACACCAAAGGAAAAAGTGCCGCATCACCGTGAGTCTCCCTGGCTCGCCGCTACAGCACCCTATACTGATACTCTCAACAGTGCATGGAAGTGGCCCGTTCGTGTCTCGATACAAGCTCGAGACTATTCTCAACGGGGTGTGCTCATCTCCGCGGAAGCCAGCAACGCAAACCGGCCAAACAGAATCTTACGAGACCAGGCGAATCGCAGAATTGGAGAGAGAGAATGCGGTGCTCAAAGAGCAATTCGCCATGCTCATGTCTGCATCAGCACAAGAGTACGGGTTTGACTCCAGGATAAGCCCTCACTCGCCAATGGCCACAAATCAGCTCACACGGCCGGTCCAGGCGAGAAGAGCGGATGCGCCCCGGTTCGTACCAACGCATACGGCACACCACGCAGTTCAGGGTCACAGTATGGGCCGCGATTACACCCTCTCCCTCTCCAAAGCGCCTGAAATCACAAACTTCAGCATTAATTCCGGCCCAATGTCGAACGGCGACGACTCAGGCTTAGGGTCCTCAGAGAGCGACAGTTGTAACCCAGCTCACGAGGGTATGCAGACACACGACTTTTCAAACGAGCTATTCATGTATGGGGAGTTTGATCATGAGACGACACTGTCCTTCCTTGGACCTGCCGGCCTTGAGGCTGACGACCGGCCACATTATGAGAACTATCTCATGGAGCTTGACCTACAGTCATGATGTTGAGTAGCAATAAAGTCGCAGGCGCCTCGTTTCCCTGCAAACTACTCTGTTCCCGTTCACTCTTCGTGGCGTTTGATAATCATGTCTGTGTTGACTGCTGCCACGTTCGTGCTGCGTTTCGGTGCGTTTGCAGGAGAATTCGCGCTTGATATTGCCCAGCTATATAGCACCACAACTCGCCCCTCCAGAAATAATGTGAAAGCCACGGCAAGATCAATCTCATCACCAGGGTAACCAGCCACTTGTCAATTAGCTCTCTCTCTCTCCTGTCACCGCTCCCGACCACCGCCAGCCTGGCTCGGTCGTTTCACTCCGGGTCTAAATTCACCCTGTTGCTTGCAACGCCAGCGCCGTTTGACTCGACGCGCGCTGCCGCGACCGCCTCTCCTCGTCAGTCTCCCCATGTGCCACCTCCATCCAGACCACGTTCACTCATGCGAGCTTCCTCGTTCAGCTAGCCCATCCCGGTCCTTTTGGTTGTCAATTTAGGGCCGCTTGGATATTCCCCATTGAAGCCCAAAACGTTCATCCCGACGGGCGCCAGGCCACGAGACTCTCGGTCCCGAGCGAACGACATTGATCCACTCGCCCTGGGGATTCTTTTCTTCGCAGCTGCATCACCTGGTAAGTCCAGGCCGTGGCACTTGCTCACATAAATACTGGCAGCTCCTTTTCCCCCTCTCTCAGAGCCCGTAGCTGTGGGCTAGGCCACCTCGTGCTTTAGAATATGAGACTGTCCGCTTACATTGGCTTGCCTGTTCGCTCCAGAGGTTCAATCAGATTTACACAGGTAGGTGCTTCTCTAGGTGGCACTTGGCTGTCCATGTCTGGCAAGCGAGCTAGCAGGTCAACCATCCGAGCCCTGGCCCTCTTGCCCTCCTCTGTTTCTCGAGGCGCCATCGCGAGGCACCAGCTGACATCTCTCATTCTTACCAACAGAGCACATCTCAGCGATGGCACCAACCAAGAAACCAGCACAGGCCAAGGCCAAGACGCCCGCAAGCGCTGCTCGCTCGAAGCACGCTCGTGGCGCCAGCACGTCCAACAGTTCCCCCAACAAGCGCGCCGAGAACTGGAACTTCACTCACATCCCGCCGGATGCATCTCAGCGGACTGGCAATGGTCGTCAAAAGGGCCGCGATCTCGTGTCCTGGGCTCGTAAGTGGCACTTCAGATAGTACGGAGCTGCTTGAATGGGCACTGACAAACGGCACAAACTCGACAGGCCCGCGCATGATGGAGCAGGCCATGCTCCATCTCGTCTACGAGGCCACCACCAGGAACATTCGCCTCCCGTGGGACAACATCGCCCATCGCCTCCACCCCGGTTTGTCTGGCAATGCTCTCCTGCAGCGCTTCCAGCGCCTCCGCAGGGAGCTCATTGCCGAAGGGCATCTTGTCCCACCTTTGCCTGGTCGCGGCAACTCCAACACTGACCCAGAGGTTCGTGGATTCACTCGTCTCGACCGCGATGGTCCTGACCTGGAGACCACTCGCCCTGTGCGCTTCGACGAGCCCTGGCTGGCTCCCATGTTCAATCTGCCAGATGCTGGCAAGCTTGTCCACAACCAGACGAGCTCACGTAAGGCAACCAAGGATGCCACTGCCTTCCAGCTTGGCAGCGATGAGGATAGTGACAGCGAGGAGCAAGACTTTGATGCACTTGACCCTGATGATGGAGCTGGCGACGATTCCGAGGAGGATGAGGACGATGGTGAGGATGAAGAGGATGAGGACGACAAGGCCTTCAAAAACAGTCGTCGCGCGTCAACCAGCCGCCGTCAGAGCATCCGCTCTCAGAAGAAGAAGAGCTACGCCGAGTTCGACTCTGACGATGAACAAGAGACGAGCAACAAGAAGAAGAGCACTCCTGACCGTCGCAACCGCGCCGGCTCGGTAAGTTCTCCTCTCTTACCACATCACGCAGCTCTACTGACTTCGTGACCGCCAGTCTTCGCCTCTTGTCAGACGGCGGAATGGCCCTGGTCGTCGGTCCACCATGTCTTCGACGACACAGCCTTCCGTCCAGCCGGCAGGAAACATCAACCTGGCCAACATCCCCCAGAACCCAGGCTCTGGCTCCGGGCAGCCGTCGAGCGCTATGCCTATAACATTCAGCTACAACCACGACGGCTCGTTTTCGTTCCACGGCCTAAACGCTGACGGCCTGCCAGGCCAATCGATTAGGATTCCACCAGTTGGATCTGCCCCAACCGTTGCCGCCCCGGGCAACATTCCTCAGGAGGCACTCTTGGCTATGTACCAACAGATGCTGAACGCGCAACAGAATCTGGCAGCCTCAGGCCAGCCCGCCGCGTTCCATGGCTTGCAGGCTGCGTCTGGTGATCGACCTTCGATCTTTACAGCCCAGCACTTCGGCATTGCCACTCCCTCGTCCTCCGCGAACCAGAGTGCTAATCTGCCATCTGGCGACATCACCATGGGCGGCATGGGTGCTTCTCAGGCTGATGCTGGCGGCAAGAGCAGCCTTAACCCTGAGCAGCACCGCCTCGCGATGGCCATCTTGAACCAGAGCGGTGGCGACGGCTCAAAGACCCCGGTCCGTCGAAGCCAACGCAACCACCAGAATCCTGTAGGTTTCTTCTATCGTGTCTGCCGTGTGCTCTTGGAATGTTCGATAGACATGCTTACTCGTTTGATTTAGGCCGACAACGGCGTCCAGGACACTGTTGTTGTCAAGACTGAAGATGGCCCGAACGAGGACGCGCCTGGTGAACCGAACACCACCGCATCCAAGAATGTCCCGAGCCTGAACAAGGAAAAGACGATCCGGGAAAGCCGCGAGGAGGACGACATGGATGAGTCTTAAGAGCCAGATGTTCCACAATGGTATGCACTGGATTGTCATTTCATGACCAATAATAATTTGAGACCAGCCAGCTGACATCTAGCCAAAGGTGCAGGTACTCGGACGTCTTTGTAACGGACATGGTACATTATCTGCGCCGCCATCTCTCGGCGTTCCTTTGGGGTTCTTTGGCATGCGTCCAGGCTGCTCTTGTCTCCTCATGAGACAATTGGTTTGATTTTTCATCTGCTCCGAAGCATGGCGTAATTGGCTTTGGTTTTATGGGAAGCAGCAATGCTTTGCAGTCCTCCGCACAGGTCAGCGAAGCTACATGACTGACTCTGGGTCAGTCGAACAGTTCGCCTGGTCAGATGATAGGACGGTGTGATGACAGGCATATGGCAACAGGGGACTTTTGTTTTGTAATGAGAACTCGGGATAGAGCAAGAGAAATAGATAAATAATGGCAGGATGACGACAAAGCATAAAAAAAAAAAAAAAAAGGCTCCAGAACTCAAGTTAAATCCTCGTCAGACTGTTTCAGACTCGATGAGCAAGCCTTTCGCCCTTTATATGTGTTTATACGTTCCGGAAGTCGAGTTGTCTGATGGTTATAGCTAATACACAGCACAGCGCAAGGTCGAGTGGTCCAGCTGTGGCAGCCGGAGGTATCGGCGATAAGGCCAGTCAGTGACGCCCCACAGTTTTCCGTTCCCAAAGACCGCTGGCCGTTTCCCAGCGCCCTCGTGGCCCCAAAAGCTCAAGCTTTGGGTGGGCCACACTCCATGGATTGTGATGCAATGCAACAACGGTGCCAGCACTTCCGCCGCCAAGGGACAAAACGAACAGCGGTGCGTGCGCGCGCACCCATGAAAACGTGGCCCGCCAGGGGGTCTTAACACAAGGAAACAACCCATAACTCCCGACAAGACTCATCGTCATCTCGAGATCTCATCCCCCGTCGGTCCCATCTCCCCTCACGCCGAGAGGGAAGACTAGAGACGGACAGCGCGGCAATCATGGCGCAGAGGTAAGTCCTGTTTCGTTGTGTTTAGTTGGTTGGTTGGTTGGTTGGTCTGTTGAAGCCCCTTTCGTCATTGTTGCCGAGTGGTCAACACGCATGTCAAGCGGCATCCACGATTCACTCCAGATGCGCCGGCCTACTGCAGAGCTGGAGATTCCTCGAGCATGCACTTGTTGAGCTCGGCTTCAACATTCCAGGTGCAACCTGCAGAGCCTCGATCGACCCTCGTGGTAGCAGCAGCATTGCTCCTTGCTGCTTAGGGGCATCTCAAGGCTCAACCCTCCTCCCCTTTCACTACCTCCCGAGCCCGTTCTTGCAAGCAAGCACCACCTCCGACGGCCACCCGCTAAAAGATTTCCGCGTCTCGAAAAACACACACAGGTTCGGCAGCTCAAATCTCCACCAGCGCGACTCGCGCAGCGCCCTCTTCGAAGGCTACACGGGCGGCGGTAGCAGCGGCAGCAGCCACGACGCCTCGAGGAGGCAGTTCTCGGCGAGTCCCTCGGTGGGCGGCGGTTACGGATATGGCGGCGGCAGCGGGAGCGGCAGCGGCAGTGGCATGGGAGGGCCGACACATCTAGGTGCGCCGGCTGGGCTGGGCCAGTACCGCGCTGCGACGCCGAACAAGAGGTAAGCAAAGGGTGGGGGTTTTGCGCTGGTTGTCTGGCTGTCCGAGGAGATACGAAGAGAGGAAGAACTGTTGGAAGGAAGCATGAGCCACGATGCAGCCGACGCAGGTGGTTTGGCTTGCCGGCTGGGCAGATGTACCTACACCAGACGACGCTTCCGTGGATGACGGAATCTTGACGGACGGCCCCGAGGCGTGAGAAGACCGGTCTTGCTAACGCGCAACATCACGAAACCAATAGGGGCCAATACAGCGACGCGGTGCTCAACGAGCTCGAGAGCCAGAATGACGCGCAGGTCGAGGGCATTCTAGGCAAAGTCAAGATCCTCAAGGATGTACGTTTTTCACCTTTGTTTTCAACAGAATCCCTGGGAGCCATCAATGCTACTCCTCTACCCGCCACGAACCCCAACACACTGCTAACGCTCTGCCTCCTTTCGCGCCAAATTAGATGACGGTAGCAATCGGCGACGAGATCCGCGACTCGTCCGCCTTTGCCGAGAAGATGAACGACACCTTCGACTCGACGCGGTTACGCCTGCGGGGCACGATGAACCGCATGATGATCATGGCTGAGCGCACGGGCGTCGGCTGGAAGGCGTGGCTCGGCTTCTTCGCCGCCGTGGTGCTCATCTTCATGTACGTCTGGCTGTTTTGAAGCCTGGGAAGGGGTTGGGCTGGGCTGGGCTGGACGCAACAGGTTTGGGTAATTATGATTGGGAAGTGAGCGAAAGGACAAAGGGTCATGTTAACTGGGCTGGGAGGCGGCAGGGATGTGAAGATAAAATAAGGTTTCAAAGCGAGCATATGCCTTTATTGCGGATTGCCGTGTTTGTGTTGTGCAACTGGGCAACAGTATTTCTCCATATGCCAAAGGGTGCCCGTGCAATGCTATAGCTCAGCAGATCTGGGGTTGCGAATCTAACGTGGAACTGAGCTGCCCGCGACTTTAGGCTGCCAAACGCCGGATGCCAGTCCAGAGGAACCAGTAGATGTACGGCAGTTGTTGCGATCATCAGCCGGACGTGCTTTGGAACGATTCTGGTTTCTCCACCGCCATCTGCATGCATACGATTTACAAACAATTATAATTATGCTAATCGCTTTATTCTATGGCCGTCGTGATTCATAACATCGTAACAGTAACCGTCGAGCGAGAGAGCACGGCTTCCATCCGTCTTACAAGCTTACCGTTTGTATTGTCCCATAATCAACGGCCATAGCCAGGTTGCCGTGGCATCTGCGGACTGCTACCCAGCACACTGCTTCCGTCTCGTGAGAGTAAGTCGCTGATGGCCAGGCTGTGCCTCGTCGCGTCACTACGTGCGAGACTGGTCCTAAACCGAGCTGTCTGGGGTGCGCGAGCAGGCGGAAAGCTCGTGTTGCCTTGATCCTCGCCGTCATCGCTAGAGCTGAGGTCCGTGTCAGTGTGCTCGTATCCACCACTGAGACCTCCGCTCATGCCCTCGGGAATATCGTCGTCCAAGTCGGCACCCATTCCCATATCGTCCATGTCGCCGTCTCCAATGAGATCGTCTTCCTCGATCATGCCAGCGCGGGCCTCGTCGTCGAGGTCTTCATCCCCATCGTAGAATGAGGCCCCCTGATCACCCTGGAATGAGCTCGCCTCACGCATTCTTTGAGCCATCAGTTGTGCCTCAGCCGCGCGGTTGGCCATGGATGCTCCTCCCTCGTCGCCATCCTCATTCTCCTCATCCTCGTCCTCCTCTTCGTCGTCATCCTCGTCATCCGAGTTGAGCCCAAACCCAGCCGAGTCGCCTTCAGGGATATCCTCATCCAGATCTCGTGCGCCATCAAGCTGGACATCATCCATGCCATCTGCACCCTCCTCGCCAACCTGTTCGCCATTCTCCGGTCCGTCCACATCCGCACCCCCTCCACCAGCAGCTTCCGCCTCTGCGAGCTCCTGCGCAAGTTGCTCTCGCCGCATGGCTTCCTGGTGTTCTTCAGCCTCTCGTCGCTCCTCCCTCAGTTGATACAGCGTCTTTGGTATCCCAGGCGGCTTGAGCCAAGCGCTACCAAAATTGGTCACATTTTGCCGCCGGCGTTCTAGGTTCTGTTCGTCGGCACGCAGCCGTGCGAGGGGCGATCGCTCAATCAGATGGGCCGCGCGCCTGGGGTTCGGTCCCGCAGACGCGCCGTTGTTTGCCGCAGAAGGGTCGAGTGGGTTGTGATTTGGGTCGTGCCACACGGCCGTCGCCGAGGCCGGGTTGCGAGAGGATGTGTACCACAGAGAGTGTGACTGTGCAAGGCAAATGTGTGTGTCAGCGATTTGTCCCCTGAAGCCGAAGGGCCAGACTCACATCACGCGGCGCCAGGTCCGGCAGTAGGGAGAGCATGGTGCTGACAACTGCAGGGCACGCACGCGCCCCGGCTTAAGCGATTGAGTTGCTGCCCTTGTTGTGTAAATATTGTTCAATATGCCGTGGAGAAACTGCTCAGCGGTGCTCGCATTCAATCTGGCGGACACGCGACACGCGTCGTGGCCGTATGTGGAGCACAGTTGCCCGGTTGATGGCAAAGCTGTTGAGTCGCAGGCTTAGGGCGAGTCCTCACTCAGTCTCTACGCATGACCTCTTGATTTAGTAATTGATGCACAACGTGGTGGTACCGGAGCGTAGTTTTCGGTCTTGCGTGCGTTCAAGGTTGTCAATCACATGCGTGGGTGAGCTAACCATTAGAAAACAGCTCCAGGACAAGCTCACGATGTGTCAAGCACTGCATAAATTCCTTGGCGCCACCCTCAAAACGTACAAGGCATGTGCGGGGTGCGGGGTCACGACCCAGTCGATCGTGACTGCGTCCAGATGCAAGCGTCTTCCTCTTGCCGCGAGGACGAGTCAGCTTGCAGCATGCTAGAATGCTTAATTGTTCTTTCGTGTGCCTCTTGCGAATCCGTCCCCGAAGCATTGCTGCCCTCGTGTCCGTCACCGCCGTCCCCAGTGCTAGGGCGAAAGTATTCTAGCAGACCTCCGCGACCCTCGGCTCGAATGTAGACGGCTTCGGCGGATGATTTACAGAAAGCACGGGCGACCAACACGTATGTCGTGTATTCCATCTTGGGACGTTCAAATCAACGATCACGGACGTACGACATAGGTACTGGAACCATATATTCCCATCTGTGTGGGAACTACTGGCTGGTGATTCTAACAGCACATGCGGTGCCTGCAGTTTTGTGCTCCCCCATTCCCTGGACCCCTCACTTGAGCATTCTCTGAGGTAATGGAACAGACCCTGAAGACCAGGGCCGGGAGTCCTTGCAGTCTGAAACGACGTATCCAGCCTATTCGGGCCATTTCAGCCCCTGGCAAGTGGTGGTGACCTCCTCCAACACGAGTGTCTGCCCAGGTGGCCTCAAGTCTGACCTCGAGGACGATTTCCGACAAGCACCCGCCGGAGAACACCGACCGCTCCGTTCCAGGCATCTCCCCAAGCCTTCCGCCCCGCCTGAGCAACTCTGGCATTTGTGGGTGGGGGACACATGCTACTATCGGGCAAACCCGGAACCACCAGACATGGCTAGAGTATTCCACCGGGCTTGACCCGAGCGATGGCATACCGGCAGCAGTTCCCGAGCCGACGCTTCGTTCCGGAGACATGCTGATGCGAATGTCGGACCAAACGCGCCAGAGCCAGCTCGTGCCGATGTCGGTCTTTTTTCCAACACCAGAAATGTTCGTCAGCAAAGCGCCCGCGTAGTCTGGCAATGCCAACTCTTTACGAGCAAGTCTCAGTATTTGGCTCGAGTAGCGAGGCTGTAGGCCAATGACCGTCAAAGATCGCTTCTCCAGAAAAGCGTGGTTCGCAAGGCACACAACCCCGCGCCACTCGATTCGCCTGCTTTATGCTTCAGGGCTTTTGCCTGTCGGTCCATCCACATCTGTCTGCGACCATGCACAAATGGCACCCAGGCACGCTAGGCTACTGGGGTCCAGTGCGGCTAGATCTGCGGCAACATCCATTGATGATGGCTAGCGCACCACCAGAGCACTGAGTGGGCATCCTCTGGCATTAGCGCAGGCTTGCTTCCCTTCGCCCTGGCTTCTGTTGGCTCAAGATAAGGCAGACGGTGCATGCCTTCTTCTCATTGGTCGAGCGAGGGACATGTTACGCATTCTGTACTGGCAACATTTTTTTTTTCCTCGCCTGCACTACTTTATGCCCTCCCCCGGTGGTACAGAGGTCGGGAGGCAATGGCTCGACAACCGGGTGCAGAACTTCCGGCGAACATAATCAACAAGCACGTCTAATCTGGGCTTCAGTCACCATCTGGCCCGCGTAGAGATCCTGTGACTTCCATCTTGTCAAGCAACCTAGATTCGCCCAAGTATGCAGCCATCAACTCACGTGCCTGTGGGGTGAAGCATCCTTGGGCTTGGGCTTTTTGTGATGACATGCGGCGGGCGACCTGCCGCACATCTCGCCAGGGTCGCTTGGCGACATCGGAAGTTGTGGTCTGACAGACAGAGAGAAGAAGCCGTGCGCGAATGCCGCATCGTTCATTGGACACTCCCCACGGGCTGGGAAAGGGTACCGCAGGGACAGCGCTCGCGCATCCCTGTTCTGGTAGCCTCGACGACGACGATTCCGCTACGGCTCGTGGGGTCTGAGCCAGCCACCCCAGTTTGTCTCATGGCTGATGTGGGGGACACTGGAGGTTGTCGAGCATTATTCCGGTGTGATAATTCTCTTATTCACAGCCCCCGCCCGTGTCGGAACTCGACCATGGTTGGATAGAAATGGCCAGCGCACGGCCGACACAAGTTTACCACGCCACTTCTTTTGAGAGGTGGCATAAAGCTACTCAGCAGATCCTGCGATTGTCCGCTCGACTGAGGGCCGGGCAGGGGCTAGCTAGCGAAGCAGCAGCACTCTTCAGAACAATTCATGGACGTCACGAGTAAGCTTCACACTTGCTGCTCAGACCCTAAAACCGTGTGAGGCGACACATGACTTGTGCACACTTAATTACCCCACGACGATCGCTTGGGACGCCCACTTGAGATCATCCCCATGAGTTTGCCTAGGCTTTACTGATGTTGCTCAGGGTACCACAGCTTCGTCGACCGATTGTAGGCGTGAGCGGAATGCATGATACTCCTGTAGGGCTTCCATCGAAAAAGTATGGCGAAGACTGATTCACGGCAAGACGTGCCAGAGCATGATGCGGACATGCCTGCCCCTTGAGCCCAAACGTTGCCATTAGCCCTAAGAGGGTTGCATAGACCCAACTGGCCAATGAACAAAGTGCATTTGCCAATTCCATGGTTGGGCGCAACGCACTTGAGCAACAGGATCCATAAAATCGCTCCGAGACCGTCGCCGCCTTCTCTTGCCATTGAGTCTGGAGAGCCAATGGCGTCCAACGTGTACAGGGATTACCGGTGACTAGAGCGCCCAGGGTTAATTGTCCTGGCTTGTGAAAAATTAGGACCCGTCAGGTTCCGGACATCGGCGCCTTGCACGTCGCACCCCACCAAGAGACAGCTTGACTCCCTGGGAGCCCACCCAGCGCTTGCAGCACCAGACCCGGGCGCAGGCCTGCACATGCGTGCGACATTGGGCACAGAACCAGGGATCCTCTCCAGCAAGGCGGCGAGTAATCCTGTGCCAGTGCATGAAGGCCCTGGTCGTGCCGGGTCGGAGGCTCAGCCGCCGCCTTGGGCTGCTGGTGGATTTGGGGTGGCCGGAGGATGCGGGTGGGTAACTTTTTATTTTATTTTCTGTTGTCTGTTTGAATTACACACACGTCCGCTCCCCGTGGGCCGCCAGCGCCAGGACTAGGCCAAGCCCAAACCGTCTGCTTAATGGGTCCTCCCTGATCGGAGCTCTCTGGGCCTTGGGCCCTGGGCGGCGTTGCACAGTCTCGTTTGGCGGCGACCACCGGAGACCCCTCCACTGCTCCGGGCTGGGTGGCCCTCCTCCTCCTCCTCCTCGCTCGCCCGATGGCTGTTCATGCCACCCATCCATAAAGTCGCACACCACCCACCATTGCCCTCTGTGGTCTCTTCCCCCCTTCTTCCCTTTCGATACTTTGCGCACGAGATCACGAGATACCCAGCTTCATTCGAGAAGCACGCCATAGACTACAGGTGGAGTCTGCCATATTCACACAACACGCACACGACACTTCACCTTCTTCAAAAGTAAGTCAATATTGCTACGGACCGCTCCCTCCCATATCACACCAGCCCAATCCCTTCTCGAGCCTCTTCATGTCCGAGACGAGGGGCCCGAGATTCCTCGACCTCTTTCGCATGTCCAGCCAGTCAGCGAATGGAGTCGAAAGTCTCGATGCATCAGCATGCGGCAGGGCAGCATCTGGCGCCACCGCCGCGACAGCCAGCTCCGACAAAGCCTCTTGACAGTTTGTGTATCTGTCCCTTGACGGCGAAACACAATTGTACGGTATCGCAAACTCGAACCGCCCGCATGGCAGTACTGGAGGCTCGCCTCCGTTATCAGAACCCGAGTCGCAGAGCACAAGACGGCAGGAAATCAGAGCAGAAAAGGTCGGCCATCATCGCATCTGCCAGACAGCAATAGCCCGCGGCGCTCTTCTCAAGAGGCCCTCTTCTGCTTCCTGCCCCTCACCGCAGACGGCGTTTATCGGCCCGATATCATCATTTCCCTTTCATCCGACTGCGGCCCTTTGATGCATTGCGCGATCATGGGAAAAGCAACAGCAAAGCGCAAGGGAACAAACATGGCAGAGCCTTTGGGAAGGCTGCTCGGACTGAGCTACAGCCTATATTGCGAAAAGTCGCCCACGAGTGGGAAATGAAGCACAGTCTATTGGCTGGGCGGGAGCTCCAAAAAACAATGCTCTGCGACCCCACGCCTGGATGCAGCGCCAACTCGCAGAATCCCACCTCGGAAAGCGTGTTTGGACAAAGACCCCTGCACTGTTTTTGTGGGCGCAACAGCGGCCGGTCTGGGCACCCCTCGGCAGGTGGGCTTGCATGACGACACAGACTCGAGCCAGCGGTGCCTCTTGCTGCATGGCTGCTGCACCCCCCATGCAGCCGCCTGTCTAGGGCCAACCACGCCAAGGGTACAATCCCACCTCCATCTCCGCGAACGGCGATCCGGTTCCCTTGCGGCAGCCTTGCCATCCCAATCCCGCGCATGCATCTGCATATCGGCTGTCCAGTCAATGAGACGTCACCGTGCTGCATCACCGCAGCTCCGTATTCACAGCAGCATCATACAGTCAATATGCTGTCTGGGCACATCTCTGCTGGCAGAGGGACTGGCCACAACCGAGGGCAGGAGCCCGCTGGGGTGGATAGCCAATTACAACCAGGGGATTGCATTCACGGGGCGCCCATGTTTTCATCCCATCTCAAGCCATCTTCCTCAAGCCGCGGCGGCACTGGGATATGTCTTGTCTTCGGCTACTGCTTTTGTCTTTTTCATCGCCACTGCAACCGCTTGTCCCTCTGGCCTGGACGGGCCAGAAGAAAGCCCGCATTTGGTGCTGAGCAGCGGAGCAGCGGGCCACAAGCAAAACCCCTCTCTCAAGGTTGTGGTCGCTCAGGCGTGCAGTGCCGTGCAGCGCAGTGCAGTGTGGGGGCCTCGCTAGTTACATGCGCTAGTTTGCGGCACCCACATCCACCACCACACCCAGGCTGTCCGACATCGCTATCGACCAATTGCAGGGCAGCCCCGCATTCTTTAGCATATGGACGAGGTCAGACTTGACTCAAATCGTTCTTTTAGAGTCTGGTCGAGGATTCCACGGCTAAGCTGCCTGCATTCGCCCATTCGTGTCTCTCGGATGGCGCACCCTACCTCGTCGGCCGCTATCAGTCAAGCCTCCGCGCAGCCTTATCAGACTTTTGGTGTGCGACAGCAGCCCTCCCGCATCCGAGTCTGCTTGGAGCTTCTCCACGCCTCCGCACTCCCACCTCGCACTTCTACATTCTCAATACCCCCCAGCACTACCTACCGGATCGCAACACCTGCCATTTCTGATGCTAACTTGCGCTCCCTGCGTCTTACAGATCGACTGAGCGGCACGCGTCTGCCCGCCTTCCCCCGAAGCGACCTATCCCCAAATCCTCCCACACGCTTCGGGCCATAGGACTGCTCGCCTGACATGGGCCCTACATCCGACTTCGACGACAGACAAACACAGCTTGAATCTGAGCAAGAGGCGTACCACCCGTACGAGTACCAGGAAGAGAACAATGGCTCGTGGGCTGGCGCCCTCCCGGTGAAGCAGGGTCTCTACGACCCTGACTTGGAGAAGGATGCTTGTGGTGTCGGTTTCGCCTGGTAAGTTTTGCTCCAGATCGCTCCTTCGTCGCGGCCCTGCGATTTGGTGATCAGATCGACTGACGCTCTCCGCGAACAGCCACATCAAGGGCAAGGCGAGCCACAAGATCGTGAGCGATGCTCGCAATCTCCTCTGCAACATGACACACCGCGGAGCGGTTGGTTCAGATGCACGAGACGGTGATGGTGCAGGTGTGATGACCTCCATCCCCCACCGGTTCTTTGTCAAGAACTTTGAAAAGGAGCAGGACATCAAGCTCCCGCCCCAGGGCCAGTACGCCGTAGGCAACCTCTTCTTCAAGCCCGAGGAGGAGACACTACAGGAGCAGAAGCGGCAGTTGGAAGATATTGCCGATTCGCTGGACCTCAGAGTCCTCGGATGGCGAGAGCTTCCCGTCGACTCGTCGCTGCTTGGTCCTGCTGCCCGCTCTCGCGAGCCCACCATCCTCCAGCCCTTTGTGGTGCTCAAGTCTGCCTACGGCGCCGGCTCTGCTCCTGAAAATACGGACCCAGAGACCTTTGACGAGAGGCGGTTTGAGAGACAGCTCTACGTCCTCCGCAAGCGTGCCACACACACCATCGGTCTGCACAACTGGTTCTACATCTGCTCCCTGTCCAACAAGAACATTGTCTACAAGGGTCAGCTCGCTCCTGTTCAGGTCTACCAATACTACCACGATCTCGTCAACGCCGACTTCCAGGTTCACTTCGCTCTGGTTCACTCGCGTTTCTCCACCAACACATTCCCCTCGTGGGACCGTGCGCAGCCTCTACGATGGGCTGCTCACAACGGTGAGATTAACACCCTGCGCGGCAACAAGAACTGGATGCGCGCGCGTGAGGGTATCATGCAGTCCGACATCTTTGGAGACGAGCTGGAGCAGCTGTACCCCATCATTGAGGATGGTGGTTCTGATTCGGCCGCTTTTGACAACGTTCTCGAGCTTCTCACCATCAACGGCGTGCTCTCCCTGCCCGAGGCTGTCATGCTCATGGTTCCCGAGGCCTGGCAAGGAAACACCTCGATCGACCCCAAGAAGGCCGCCTTCTATGAGTGGGCTGCTTGCCAGATGGAGCCCTGGGATGGCCCGGCGCTCTTCACCTTTGCCGACGGCCGGTTCTGTGGTGCCAACTTGGACCGTAACGGCCTGAGACCCTGTAGATACTATGTCATGGACGACGACCGCATCATCTGCGCGTCCGAGGTTGGAACCATTGCCGTCGAGCCTGAGCAGGTCATCCAGAAGGGCCGCCTGCAGCCTGGTCGCATGTTGCTTGTCGACACTCAGGCTGGACGCCTCATTGACGACTCGGAGCTCAAGGCTGCCGTCTTCAACCGCAACGACTTCCGCTCCTGGATCGATCGCGAGCTCCTCTCTCTGCCCAAGCTGCTGGAGGAGATCACCGAGTCCAAGGCCGTCGAGCTTGCCCCCAAGCCTGACGACTCCCGCATCCAGGAGGACCCGCTCCTTCTCGCTTTCGGCTACACCCACGAGCAGGTCAGCTTGCTCCTCGGACCCATGGCTTCTGACGAGAAAGAGGCTTTGGGCTCCATGGGTAACGATGCCCCTCTCGCCTGTCTCTCGCAGGCCCCTCGCCTTCTCTACGAGTACTTCCGTCAGCTCTTTGCCCAGGTCACCAACCCTCCCATCGACCCTATTCGTGAGTCGGTTGTCATGTCTCTGGAGTGCTATGTTGGTCCTCAGGGCAACTTGCTGGAGATGGACGCCTCTCAGTGCGGCAGACTGCTGCTGCCCAGCCCCATCCTCTCGATTCCCGAGTTCAACACGCTTAACAACATGTCTCGGTCTCACCCTGAGTGGTCTGTCAAGACTATTGACCTGACCTTCCCCAAGTCTGAGGGCACCGCCGGGTACATCAAGCACCTTGACTTCATCTGCAAGGAGGCCACTGCTGCCATCGAGGCTCGCGACAGGATCATCGTCCTCTCCGACCGCGCCACCTCGGCTGACCGCGTCCCCGTCTCGGCTCTGCTAGCCTCTGGTATGGTCCACCACCACCTCGTCAACAACAAGTGGCGGTCCATGGCTGCCCTCGTTGTCGAGACTGCCGAGGCCCGTGAGGTCCACCACATGTGTGTCCTGCTCGGCTATGGTGCTGATGCCATCAACCCTTACTTGGCGATGGAATGCATTCTCAAGCTGAACCGCGAGGGTCTCATCCGCAAGAAGCTCTCCGACGAGACCTTGATTGCCAACTACAAGCACTCTTGCGACGGTGGTATTCTCAAGGTCATGAGCAAGATGGGTATCTCCACTCTGGCCAGTTACAAGGGTGCTCAGATCTTTGAGGCTCTTGGTGTCGATGACGATGTCGTGGAGCGCTGCTTCAAGGGTACCGCTTCGCGTATCAAGGGTATCACCTTTGAGGGCATCGCCGAGGACTCTTTCCGCTTCCACGAGCGTGGTTTCCCTTCACGCTACACCGTCGGAGTTCCCGGTCTTCCCGAGTCTGGCGAGTACCATTGGCGTGATGGTGGCGAGGCCCACATCAACGACCCTACCTCTATCGCCAACATCCAGGATGCCGTGCGCACCAAGAACGACAAGTCCTACGAGGCCTACTCCCGCTCCGAGTACGAGCAGATCAAGGCCTGCACACTCCGTGGCATGCTCGACTTCAAGTTTGAGGAGTACACTCCCATCCCGATCGACCAGGTCGAGCCCTGGACCGAGATTGTCCGCCGCTTCTGCACTGGCGCCATGTCCTACGGCTCCATCTCCATGGAGTCGCACTCCACTCTCGCTGTTGCCATGAACCGCCTCGGTGGTAAGTCCAACACTGGAGAGGGTGGTGAGGATCCCGAGCGTTCGCAGGTCCACCCCAACGGCGACACCATGAGATCTGCCATCAAGCAGGTCGCTTCGGGACGCTTCGGTGTCACCTCGGCCTACCTCGCGGACTCGGACGAGATTCAGATCAAGATGGCTCAGGGTGCTAAGCCCGGTGAGGGTGGTGAGCTTCCTGGCCACAAGGTGTCCAAGTCCATCGCTCGTACTCGTCACTCCACCCCCGGTGTCGGTCTCATCTCGCCTCCTCCTCACCACGACATCTACTCCATCGAGGATCTGAAGCAGCTCATCTACGATCTCAAGTGCTCCAACCCTCGCTCGCGCGTTTCCGTCAAGCTCGTCTCCGAGACGGGTGTCGGTATTGTCGCTTCTGGTGTCGCCAAGGCCAAGGCTGACCACATCCTCATCTCGGGTCACGACGGCGGTACTGGTGCCTCCAGATGGACTGGTATCAAGTACGCCGGTCTCCCCTGGGAGTTGGGTCTCGCTGAGACTCACCAGACGCTTGTCCTCAACGATCTTCGTGGTCGTGTCGTTGTTCAGACCGACGGTCAGATCCGCACTGGTCGTGATGTCGCCATCGCCTGTCTGCTTGGTGCCGAGGAGTGGGGTTTCGCTACCACTCCTCTGATTGCCATGGGCTGTATCTTCATGAGAAAGTGCCATTGTGAGCTAAAATCTCCCGTCCCCGTCATATTTGCTAGCTGCTAACTGCGTAATAGTGAACACTTGCCCTGTTGGTATCGCCACTCAGGATCCCGAGCTGCGCAAGAAGTTTAAGGGTACCCCGGAGCACGTTATCAACTTCTTTTACTACATTGCTAACGAGCTCCGGGCGATCATGGCTCAGCTGGGTTTTCGTACCATCAACGAGATGGTTGGCCACGTCGAGTGCCTCAAGGTCCGCGATGACCTCCGCACCAACAAGACTCAGAATATTGACCTGTCTCTGATCTTGACCCCGGCCCACAAGCTGCGCCCTGGTGTTGCTACGTTCAACGTCCGCAAGCAGGATCACCGCCTCTATGTGCGCCTTGACAACAAGCTCATTTCCGAGGCTGAGCTCACCCTCGACAAGGGCTTGCCCTCTAGAATCGAGTGTGACATTGTCAACACCGATCGTGCCATGGGTACCTCCCTCTCCTACCAGGTCTCGAAGAGATACGGCGAGGCGGGTCTTCCCACGGACACTGTCCACGTCAATGTCAAGGGCTCGGCTGGTCAGTCCTTCGGTGCCTTCCTGGCTCCTGGTATCACCCTTGAGCTCGAGGGTGACGCCAACGACTATGTTGGCAAGGGTCTGTCCGGTGGTCGCCTGATTGTGTACCCGCCCCGCTCTGCCGTCTTCAAGGCCGAGGAGAACATCCTGATCGGTAACACCTGTTTGTACGGTGCTACCAGCGGTACGTGCTTCTTCCGCGGTGTTGCCGCCGAGCGTTTTGCTGTCCGCAACTCTGGTGCCACGGCCGTCGTTGAGGGTACTGGTGACCACGGATGCGAGTACATGACCGGTGGTCGTGTCGTCGTTCTTGGCAGCACCGGTCGCAACTTCGCGGCTGGTATGTCTGGTGGTATCGCATATGTTCTTGATGTCAACCGCGACTTCATGTCCAAGCTCAACATGGAGATGGTTGAGGCTTCGGGTATCGAGGACCCCACTGAGATCGCCTTCCTGCGTGGCCTGATCGAGGATCACCACCACTACACAGGCTCCGAGCTCGCCGCCCGGATCCTGGTCGACTTCAACCGCGCTCTGCCTCGCTTCATCAAGGTTCTTCCCGTCGACTACAAGCGCGTGCTCGAGGAGGAGGCCGCCAAGGCTGCTGAGGCCAAGCGTGCCGAGTACAACCTGCCCATCGTCTCTGGTGTCCACGCCAAGAAGGATGACAAGGCCAACAAGCTCCAGGATATCGAGGAGACCATTGGTGACAACGCCGCTGAGAAGAAGCGCGCCCTCGTCCTTGACAAGACCAAGGGTTTCATGAAGTACTCGCGCCGCGCCGAGAAGTACCGCAGCGCCAAGACCAGGACCAAGGACTGGGCTGAGCTGTCCACCCGTCTCGACGAGGACGAGCTCAAGTACCAGTCTGCTCGCTGCATGGACTGTGGTGTTCCTTTCTGTCAGTCCGACACTGGCTGCCCGATCTCCAACATCATTCCCAAATGGAACGAATTGGTCTTCCAAGGGCAGTGGCAGGACGCTCTCAACCGTCTGCTCATGACCAACAACTTCCCCGAATTCACTGGTCGTGTCTGCCCCGCTCCCTGCGAGGGTGCTTGTGTTCTTGGCATCAACGAGGACCCTGTCGGCATCAAGTCGATCGAGTGTGCCATCATCGACCGCGGTTTCGAGATGGGCTGGATGGTTCCTCGCGTTCCTGAGGTCCGTACCGGCAAGACTGTCGCCGTCATCGGCTCTGGCCCCGCCGGTCTGGCCGCTGCTGACCAGCTCAACCGTGCTGGTCACCTGGTCACCGTCTTTGAGCGTGCCGACCGCCCCGGCGGTCTGCTCATGTATGGTATCCCCAACATGAAGCTTGACAAGCGCATTGTCAAGCGCCGTACCGACTTCATGGCTGCTGAAGGCATCCAGTTCAAGTGCGGTGTCTCCGTTGGCGAGGACGTCACTCTTGCTGAGCTCAAGGCCCAGCACGATGTTGTCATCATTGCCACTGGTGCCACTGTCGCTCGTGATCTGCCGATCAAGGGTCGCAACCTTGAGGGCATCCACTACGCCATGGAGTTCTTGCACAAGAACACCAAGTCGCTCCTCGACTCTGAGCTCCAGGACGGCTCGTACATCTCTGCCAAGGACAAGCACGTTGTTGTCATTGGTGGTGGTGATACTGGTAACGACTGCATTGGTACTTCGGTTCGCCACGGTGCCAAGTCCGTCATCAACTTTGAGCTGCTGCCCCAGCCGCCGCCCAAGCGTGGCCGTGACAACCCGTGGCCCCAGTGGCCTCGCATCTACCGTGTTGACTACGGCCACACCGAGGTCGAGCAGCACATGGGCAAGGACCCTCGCGAGTACTGCATCATGTCTGAGGAGTTTGTTGATGATGGCAGTGGCCGCGTCAAGGGCATCAACACCATGCGTGTTGAGTGGACCAAGTCTGCCTCTGGTGGTTGGGACATGAAGAAGCTCGAGGAGACCAAGGAGTTCTTCCCTGCCGACCTTGTCCTCCTCTCGATGGGTTTCCTCGGACCCGAGGCCCGTGTTCTTGGCGACGAGATCGAGAAGGACGCCCGCAAGAACGTCAAGACTCCCGCCGGCTCGTACGCGACCAGCGTTGAAGGCATCTTCGCTGCTGGTGACTGCCGCCGTGGACAGTCCCTTATCGTCTGGGGTATCAACGAAGGTCGCCAGGCCGCCCGCGAGGTCGACCTGTACCTCCAGAAGTACACTAGCCTCCCCGTCACTGGTGGTATTGTCAAGCGCACAGCCCAGGAGGTGTTCAACGTTGTCACTCCCGGTGCTGTCACCGCCACCCCTACTGTCACCATTGACCCCGTCGCTGCTTAAATGCGATCATGGGGATGTGGTTGACTCTTTTCCTTGCACTCTGTCTGATTACGATCATCTACGGCGCTCGTGCATATGACGAAAAAGAACGAATGTGTTTCCAAAAATGTTTGCTCAAAAGGGGTTCATGGCGCCAAAGACAAGGCGCGAACATTTTTTTCAGAAAAATACCCTCGCCTGCTTTTAGATTCTGCTTTACGATGGTCTTCATCTCTCGCTACATGTATTCTAGCTTATGGCTTGCTCAAATAACATATGGATGTTGCATAATTTCGCTTTTCTTTTGACCATTGGTCATCGTGAACACTGTGCAGTAAAGCCTCTGGAGATGGCTTGCGTGAAAATTTCCGACCCTACATCCTTCACCGGTCTAGCCTCCGCACCTCTGCTGCCTCTGAACCTCTGCTGCGTACCTTTGTACCTCTAGGACAGTTGAGGTTTTGGTACTTTTGGAGCTCTTTGACTATTGAGGCTACTGTGGGCCTGACTTGCTGCAGCAATCCCGCCTCTGCCATACAAATCGTTGCTGCAAACTGTCGAGACCTAGCAGACCCGCCAACCAAGATCACATGTGGTCTTCAGGTATCTACCATTTGCGCGGCAGAGATTGGAACATGTCTCATTTCCCCATGCTCCTTCGGTGCTTTCTAATGGAATGATCCTGGTTAGCCTGGCCCTGCTCATTGTGTGAGACATTTGTATCCGGTGCCGTTGACCAGAGATCTAGCTTACTTAGATCGGCTTGCGAGACAATGTTTTCGTCGGCGTTCCATGCCAAATAGCCTGGCAGCCACACAATCCCAGGCTGGCGTCATTGGCGGCGAATGCTGCATCACGTAGTACGCAAGTATGCAGCACATGTTCACACAGTGTGTTCAGATTGCACCTCCCCCGAGACCCCGTTCTTGATGGAAACCGAAAGTCTGGACCAGCGAATCATCCGTGATAATCCTTGCCCGTGTGTTCCGGCCGGGGTGACTGCCGGCCGCCGCCACCGCCGCCGCCGCCGATGGAGAGAGACTCTGGCTGAGAAAAAAAGGTTTGGGTGGCAGGGCCGGCGACAGGCATGCAGGCCTCTTGACAAAGACGGGCAAGCAGCACGTGTGCGTGCCTAAGGCATGTGATTGGCCAATGGTAGCAGCGCGGTGACGCAGTTCCTGGCTGAAGCTGGGCTTGTCTGAGTGCAGAAAAGCGCCGCAGTTGGGGTGGGTGCAGGTGGGGCCGGGTCTGGGCTTTCCGCCCCCTGCTGCAGGCTTGCAGGGGTTCCTCTGGGCGCACCTGGGCAGTTGCAGTGCAGCGCAGGCGCGAGCGAGAGCTTGCTGTTTGGCCGTTGCGAGCAACAACAGGGCGGCTGTTCCCTCGGCCCTGCGAAACGGCTCGCCTTGTTTCCTCCAGAAGCTGGCTGGCCCACGACAACAAGGTTCTCCCACGCCGGTCCGCGACAATCCGCAAAGTATTGTTTGCTCGAAAGGTGAGTCTGCTTGTCTCCTGCTCGTGTCCTCCTCAATCGGCCTTTCCGGACAGAGCCTGTTGCAGTCTCAGTTCTTCCGCAATCAAAGTAGTGTCCCGCCGCACGGCCGTCGCAGCTCCCAACTTGCTCACACTCCTCGTCGGCCGTCCAGGAAGAACCAAATCAGGCTCGACATCGAGTTGAGCTTGCCCATCATGCGTTTCGGCAAGACGCTGCAGCAATCGATCCACCCGCCGTGGAAGGAGCACTACCTCGACTATTCAAAGCTCAAGCGCCTCCTCCGCGACGATGCCCGTGGCGACGACGACGACAAGGCGTGGACCGAAGACGACGAGAAGCGCTTCTCGAGCGAGCTGCTCAACGTAGAGCTGGACAAGGTCGCCCAGTTCCAGGCCAAGACCATCGCCGCCCTCGAGCAGCAGGCCGAGGATGCCTTCTCCAAGCTGCGCGAGCTCGCGCCCTCGAGTCCCAGCCAGAAGAGTGACATCACCACCGGCCGCCTCAAGGAGCTCCGCAAGGAGCTCGACAGCATCACCAACGAGCTTAAAGAGCTCAAGCGCTATGCCAGCACAAACTACACGGGCTTCCTCAAGATCGCAAAGAAGCACGACCGCCGCCGCGGCGACCGCTACAAGATCCGCCCCATGATCCGTGTCTCCCTCTCTCAGCACGGCTTCAATTCGGAGGCCTCGTATACTCCGCTCCTCAACAAGCTGTCCATGATGTACTTTGTCGTCAACCAGCACCTTGACGAGAGCGAGCAGCAGGCGCAGCCGGTCGACCTACGCATGCCCGAGGAGGTCCGTCACGGCGAACGGTATACAGCTCACAAGTGTAAGTCTCTCTCAAACGCAGCCGAGATGGTAGCCGTAGTACTAATGACGTCTGTTCTTATCCACCAGTCTGGGTCCATCCCGATAACCTGCTCGAAGTCAAGACCGCCGTTCTCCGCCACCTTCCCGCACTTCACTACTCCCAACAGGATGCCAAACAGCTCGATGGAGGCGAGGACCTGGCCACGACCTCGATCTACTTTGACAACCACCAGTTCGAGCTGTACAGCCAAAAGGTCGAGCGCCAGTTCAATGCGGCCTCGCTTCGACTCCGCTGGTACGGCCAGCTGGCTGACAAGCCCGACATCGTCATTGAGAAAAAGATGGTGCACGAGAACGGCAGCAGCGAGGAGAAGCGCTTCAAGATCAAGGACAAGTGGATCATGCCTTTGATCACTGGCGAGTACAAGATGGAGCGGACGATCCAGAAGATGGAGCGCCAGGGCCAGCCTGCCGAGTCCATCAAGGAGTTCAAGGACACGGTCGAGGAGATTCAGGCCTTCATCCAGGAGTTCAAGCTTGAGCCGGTTATGCGTGCCAATTACACCCGCACTGCGTTTCAGAAGCCCGCGGATGATCGCGTCAGGATTCTGATTGACAACGACACCGCCTTCATCCGCGAAGACACCCTAAATCAGGATCGGCCCTGCCGTGAGCCAGACGACTGGCACCGGCGGGATATAGATAGCGCCCAGATGACGTTCCCCTTCCGCAACATGAACCAGAGCGAGGTCTCACGGTTCCCGTTCGCGTTGATGGAGATCAAGATTAGGGAAGATGAGGGCAAGAGACGGCCTGGGTGGATCGAAGATCTTATGGCCTCCCACCTCGTGCACGCAGCGCCGACCTTCTCCAAGTTTGTGCACGGCGTGGCTTCATTATTCGAAGATTACGTCAATAACCTGCCCTTCTGGCTCGGCGACCTCGAGACCGACATTCGCAAAGACCCGCAAGCCGCGCATGACAAAGAGGAACAGCGCAAGGCCCAGCAGGCAGAGACGGAGCAGGTCGTGGGAAGTTTCCTTGGCAAGAGCGCTAAGCGCTCCTCCTACAAGCCGTCTGCATCGTCGCCAGTAGCTAGGTCCTACTTGTCCGAGCGCTTGGCCGCCGAGCCTGCCGTGTCTGATTCGAGGACCCTGGACGGCGGCGCTGGGGATGACGAGACTGATGAGGCTGAGGAAACGGAAACTCGTGGCGGGTACGGGACACTGACCAACATCTTCCCGACTTTCTCGCTGTCCAGGTACGCACGCGCTAAGCGGCAGCAGGCGCAGTTGCCCGAAGGAGTCGCGAAGCCGACATACCTGATCAAGAACGCTGGACCGCTGCAGGTTGAGCCCAAGGTCTGGCTGGCGAATGAGCGCACGTTCCTCAAGTGGCAGCACATCTGCGTCCTACTCGGCAGCCTGGCTGTTGGCCTGTACACGGCGGCTGGCGAGAACTTTGTGGCCGAGTGCATGGGCATTGCGTACATCATCATTGCCATCCTCGCCGGCGTGTGGGGATTCTCCATGTTCAAGGTCCGCCAGCAGATGATTGTGGAACGCAGCGGCAAGGACTTTGACAACATGATTGGCCCATTGGCTGTCAGCATTGCCTTGATGATCGCCCTGATTTTGAATTTCGTACTTGCTGTAAGTCGTCCTCCTTTTCGCCTGCAAGCATCCAGCACGGGTCGTTGACTGACATTCTTGCACAGCTCAACCAAGCCCTTAATGCTCCGGACGAGCCGTCCCAACCTGTCACACCGAACGTGACTCTCGGATATGTTGGCGAGCTCTGATGTCCCTCTCGATGGTGAAGCTCGCAATCTTTCATGCGCAGTATCAAACGGTGTGCAAATAGTCAGATTGATCGGTGGGCGTTCCGTCGAAGGCATGGTCGGACGTTCACCAGTAACAGAAATACAGCCGTGTGGATTGAGTTGCACCAGCTTGGAAACCACCAAGCAGCGCCAAGAATTGTGTATATATATCTATATGTATTTGCGAAGCATTGTTCCGTGCCGCAAAAACGTTATGCCATTAACCCACGCGGAGGGGGAGACTCCATGGTTTATATATCCTCCACAGAAGAGCGCCAGCAGCCAAGAGAATACTGTTATGTTTGCTGCCCATTTGTGGAGGCAGATACGCCCAACTCAACAATTCTCGTGATCAGTGCTCGCCAGCCGCGACATATGGCGCTGCCCAAATAGCTTGCCAGTCATAAGGGATTGGGCGCAGGCACACATGCACAATGCAGGAAGTGAGACATTGTGTCGACAGCAAGGGGCTGGTGCTGTACTCGTCTCATGCAGCATCGGACGAGGGGGCGGGCAGGCGGGTAGGCAGGAGTGCCAGGGCACATCATGCAGCCAAATGCGCGGTGGTGCCTTGCGGCTGTCAAGTTTCCATCTATTTATCGCGAACCCAAGGCTGCCTGCCTGCCTGCAAGGCCTCCCTTTCCTGTCCTCTAGGTATATCTGACAGCAGCAGAGCTACTTGTCCTTGTCCTTGTCTTTATTGATTTTGTAGTGCCCCTTGTCGCACTGTCACCGAGCATCGCCGCCGCCGTCTGCCGCATGCATTGTGGTGCCCAACCCTTTTAAAGGAGCCCGTCTGGACCGCCACGAAACCCCCACACTTTGGGGCATCAATCAAGCCGACCACGCGCGCGCGAGACTTTATCGTGGCCCGCCAGCCCGCCACCACTTTCTGAGGCAGCCCGCGCATCGGAAACGCAACGCAGCACAATACAACACCCTCATTATTACAGCCAGCCAGCCTCGAGAGCTCACCGTCCACGGCAAGGAGAACCTTCACGGCCGCAGCTATTTCTCACGGAGCCAGTTCCTGATCAGACGCCGCCCACCGTCGTGCGCTCGGCGCGCGCTTGTGGACATTGCAACACTGCGGGACAAGGCATAGAGCTAAGGGAAGCAACTCCGCCGCCTGGGGGCCAAAGTACTGTAGTCCAACCAACCAAGCGGAGGAAGGGTTCCCCCAGCCACCCGCCGCGCCCGCGATATCTCGCTGCACGCACCCACGCCGCGGCAGCGCAAGAGCAGCAGCGCAAAAGCAGCAACACGGTGAAGGCGCGCACCGAACAGGCATCAGAACCAGCCCTGTCGCGCGACCTTGGGTTTTCTACTTGCTTTTTCCTTGCAAGTGGTTTGCGCTTGTGCGCGCGCGCGACGTGCGTGAATCCTGGGACAGCGGGACGAACCGCCGGGCACCACTTTCTGGAGCTTGGAGCCGTACTAGCGGCTTCGCGGCGACAACTACAGCGACAACGGCGGCCCCATCATCCAGTTTCACGGACGTTCATATGATTGCATGAGAAGAAGAGGGGATGATGCACGATTCTTGACGACCTGGGCGCTGCGTTGGTAGCAGATCACTTTTCCTTCCTTTGGCGGTCTATTCTGGGGAGAGCGCCTTAACGATTGAAGTGGTTCACCGACTTTGTCGCGGTCAGGTTTGCGACGGCACGGGCGTTCTTCTTTTGACCTCACGTTAGGACGGCAAACGTTGGTAGTGGTGGCAACGGACGCGAAGGACAGCAAGTACAGTGGGGGAGCTTTCGACTTGCGCTTGTTGCGCCCTGCGCGAGTGAGGCCGAATTCACAAGATGGACAGGAGGGACTCGCAGTCGCCGCCCAGCGACGGGCCCAATTACAGTGGCATCGACGCCGGCAGCAACAACAACAACAACAACAACAACGGCGCTGGCGGCAGTCTGCAACGGACGCAGAGCAAGGCCAAGAGCTTCATCACGGGGCTTTTCCGGCGGCGCAGCGATGCCGTGCAGCCGCTGGGCGACCAGGATCCCAACCAGGCACCCTCGGGGCGCAGGAGGGTCAGCGACGGCGATGCTGCGATGTTTGCAGGCGGTGGAGGAGGCAGTGGTAGCCGGCGGCGACGTCAACGCGAGAGTGACGATCCCGGACTCCGGGACGAGAGGCGGCGGAGGCGGCAGGAACAGCAGCAGGCGCAGCAGGCACAGTACGGTCAGGCCGAGCCTTCACGGCGCAGGACGAACCCTGACCTGTTGTCCCAGGGGTCATCCAGGCCTTCGACAGCGGCGGCAGAAACACAGAGTCCGGATGCTGGAGGCGATGTCCATCCCTATGGCAGTAATGGGAGGACAAGAGAGGACAAAGGCAAGGGACGGGCAGCCTCGAGGTCTGGAGACCTGCTCCAGCAGGATAACCAGCCACAGCACCACAGACAGCAGAGCCTGCACTCGCGAGATGGCTCCAACGGCAATGGGAGCATGCGAGCAGGCAAAGCGGTGGCGGCATCATCAGGTGGCGACTACTCGCGGCACCACACACAACAACAACAGCAGCAGCAGCAGCAGCAACCGCAACGCCGGCGGCTGGGGTCCTGGCCTCCATCGGGCATGTCGAGCACCGAGGAGCTGCGGCTAGGTGCCGCGATGGACCTGATTGCACGGGGCGTTCCAGCGTTCAAGGGTCACAAGAGGGCCATCCCCCACGCCCAGCCGGCAGACGCGTACTTTGCGCTGTACACGACGGCGGCCGGCAATCATGGCGAGGACAGTGATGCGGCAACGCTACACGACTCGATGACCGCCCTGTCGACGCTGAAGATTGTGACCACGACGGCTGGTGGTGGTGGTAGTGGGACAGGAGGATCAGTCGGGAATGGAGGCACCAGCGCAGAGAAGTCGAGCACCAGCACCACGATCTATCCCTGGGAGACTCTCGAGCAGCCTAGCATGGCGTTCGCATATGGCAAGAGGCCAGGCACCATCACGCTGAATCACTGGGTCAGCAAGAGCAGCTCCTTTCCCTCGGGCATACCTCTGCGTGATCCCGGCATGCCGCCGAGGGCCGTGGACCTGATTGTCATCCTCGACAGGCTAAAGGAACTCGAGCACGGGCTTGAGCGCGACGAGGAGCGAGACACCGAAGAGAACATGTACCGCTTGTATCGACGCTTTCTGAAAGACCCAGACGCCCGCACGACGAACCGGCCGCAGAAGAAGCCTGTCCCGACACAGATCATGGATCTCGTCATGGCGTTGAGCAGTACTGGCGTAGTCAGCAATGCATCACCACCCCCATCACGGCACGGGCGCGGACGGGGGGATGACAACAACGGGGACCCGGACCTCGAGCTTGGTAGGATCAATAGCAACGGCCGGTCCGCGCCCAGCAAGACCTGGGTCGACTTTACGAACCCGCGGAATCAGGTCGTCACCAAGTTTATCTACGACACTTCTCCCGAGAACTATGACACATGCACGAGGTTTTTCTATCAGCTCCTGCTTGGTCTCGAGCTTGAGCTGCGGATCAACAGCCCCCGCCACGAGGCGGGCGCAAAGGAGAGGCTGATGGCCCAGATCCCGCCGCGCATCCAGTACGACATGGCTCTCGCGAGGCGGTGGCGGGACAACATTCGCATCGAGCACTGGGGCCACTCGGCCGACGAGTTGAGGCTGCGGTGTAAGCTCAGGAAGAGGCAGGTCAAGATGCTCCGCCGTTTCGCTCAGATGATGAAGTGGCCGAATCTTGCAGACACGTTGGACGCGCTCAAGAAGAGCGACGAGGAAGGAACAACTGTTGGGATCAGCTCGCATGCCATGGCATTCTTCAGTGGCTTGATCTTGCCCGGGGTGAGTTTGCTCTTCTGGTGACGACTTGTCAATGATTCTTGTGCTGGCTACACCATTACTAACCAACAAGTCACGCAGCCTACCTTTCCCTTTCTGCTAATGAACGCATTGATTGATGTCGACCCGGACAAGGCAACTGATGAACTGGCACTTCTGACACACGTCCATCCGAATTGCGGCTTTCAGTATCGTAGCAGTTACACTTACTGGACTTCGACGTGCATCGTGGGTAAAGTGCTCGCTCCTACCTGCCACGAGGTTGCAGGCTGGGTCGGCCCAGCGAAGCCCACCAGTGATCTCGACCGGTCGCAGATCGCCCGCATCCGCACGAGGAGGCCGCGGGATCGCATGAACCCTCAAAACATTGCCGCGATGAGCGAAGACTCTGACCCACTGGGGCCTCCAGCCAAGATCTATCCTGTCGAGGAATACGAGCTGCACACACCCGATATTGAGGATGCCATGGACACTGTCCGCGTAGAGTTGCTTGGCTTGACGCCTGTTGCTGAACGCAAAGGCTCTGGGCCAACTGTCTTCGACGCTTCCATCCAGTTCGCGATCGACGGGTCGTCCTGGCCGCTGCGCCTCATGCATGATGTCTCGTTCATCCATGCCTGGCCATGCTCTGACGGACCTCATCCCCTGTACTTTGACTATGTGTTCAAAAGCGTCAAGGCAGATGAGGTTGTCGGCATTCGTGACTGGGGCAGGCGTGACAGCGGCATGGGCTTCAATAGTGTGGACGGGAGTGCTCGCTCAACACCCGTGGCTGGGCCTCGACCGGCAGTCAAGAAGGTAAGTCATTCTTCGAGTCCGGCGTCTCATTCTCGCATACAATCAGCTGACGGATGCTTCCAGGTGCGGATCCAGGAAGACGAGTCGGACCAGGTCTTGGTCATCGAGGCCTTTGGAGTCCGCGACAATGAGGTGCTTGCCCGTGCATGGTGCGCACACTGGGGGCTCTGCGCGATCGTGGCAGACCTGACGAAGACATGGTAAGAGCGCTTCTGGACCGAAGATGCCGACTTGGCCCTGCACCTCTGCTGACTTTTGAAACAACAGCATGGCGTGTGCCATCCGCGAGGCATATGCAGCGAGCCTGACAGTTGTCATTCTCGTCGAGGACCAACCTCACGGCACAGAGCGGTGATAAGGGAAGAAAGCGTGCAGCTGTAAGCTGCCGATCATGACGACGAGGCGGGTCGTTTGTTGAGGGTCCGGGGAGCCCGCCGGTGGAGCATGCGCGAGGAAGCGGCATGTGGTGCTGCTGGTGTCTGGGATTGATCTGCTTCATGTGACTTGGCTTGCGCTGCGTTATCTGTTTTCGCCCTGCTGAAGAAGGCAAGTCCGTTTGGCGTCGCGACGAAGCTACTTTTTCCCGCCTTGGATACCCAAACGAGTATGGAAATCTAGCAAGCCATAGCTGTTTAAACGATAAAACACAATCTACCACTATGCGTGTCCTCTTTGTGACCAGCTTCGGGTAACAACTGACCCAGGTGGCAATACCGGGATACCGGATTGAGACTGCAGACGTGAAAAGTGGCAAACCCACTCCGCTCCGCCGTGCCGTGCGGACCCTTGCTTATTCAACACGAGTGTCGTGGACGATACCTTGGCCAAGGGAACGATCAGGGCTATGAGCTGCAGTTGGTGTTGCCAGGCGGTGTGCATGTGCTTGGAGGAGCTCGACTTGTGATGCTGATCATCACGGGTTGCTGGACAGCTCGTTGTCTACCGCAGGCTGAGCTGTGATTCAGGTCATCGTCGTCAAAGCTCCAACAGGGGGTTCTGAAGAGGCTTATGATGGCCAGACCGCCCGTGATCAGAAGTGACGGGTGCCAGGGAGAGGAGTGAACGAATTCTGACCTTGAGACGACGACTTGCCTGGCTGCTCTTGCCAGGCGTGCCTGCCTGGAAAGTTTCTCTGATCCGCCGCTGTGTTCCTTGCCGTAAGGTACATGGTGTACGCAAACAGCGACCTCGGGGACCTCTCAAGGCCAGAAACGACCTTAACATTTCCCCCCCCAACTGTCAAGGTACTTAGTGAGCACCTGGGCAGCCGGAATTGCCATGCTGGGCGTCGAAAACCCACTCTTCAGACCCACGATCGGCATCATAAAGGAGGGGCGAATTCTCCACCACCGCAAGGGTCCCCGCCCTGCCTGTCCAGCGCCCAGCAGCCCGCGCGTCTCGAGACCAAAGTCCCCGCCGATGCCGCTGTAGTACAGTAGTACAGGCGCGGGGTGGTGCTTAGAGAGCAATCTTGAATGGTGTTGCGTCAGTCACTGCTGCACCGGACAAGCTCCGCAGTGTCCCTTGCAAGGTCGCGTCGCCCCCCCTCGACGCGGCAGCTGGCAGAGAGCTCCGATGGACCCTGGATTGGGGGTGGGTGCCCTTCAGAGAGCAAGGCGAGGAGCGGCGAGCAGATCACAAAAATCAATTCTTTTCTTGCGGGAAGCGGCGAATCGGGTTTGGCACTCAATGCAGCAAGCTCTACAACAGCTCGAGGACCCCTAAAAAAGAGCTTCTCCTCATTGACAGACGATCTTTTTTCGTCTTCTACCACTTCTTTTGCGGCTTCGCCCACCATATACTTTCTCTCTTGCCCACTTGCCCTCGCTCCGTGTTGCGTAAACGCAAACCTAGAAAAGACAGCAACAAGACAAAACTCTGACCGCGCAGTCTTGCGAGAACTGACTCCAGCTCCCGCCGCGAAAGCTGCCGTTCTAGAGGTCAGAATTAACTTTCAAGGGAGCTCTTATCTCGCCAATTGATATCCGCTGTGGCTCGGTAACCGCAGCAATCGTCCATCATGGCCGAGTAAGTCTAGTCAAACAGCCGTCATGCTCGTGTCTACTAAGGAGCTGGCGTGGACACGGAATGTCTCACTGGGAGCTTTCGATTGACTGATCGTCATTGTCTGAATACAGCACAAGGAACACAATCGTTCTCGAGAACAATGTACGTCATAGAGCCATAGAGCGCCGTTGCACCTCAACACTTCTCTCTTCGATTTCACCAATTCAGCAATTCTCTTCGCGGCACTTCATGCCCTGCCTTTGGACAAGATTACAAGAAACGCCATGGCTGACAACGGACTTCAGGAACACTTCATTGGAATTGACGTGGGGACGGGTTCTGCCCGTGCTTGTTTGATCGATCGGGACGGAGACATCAAAGCACTCCACTCAGAGCCGATCAAGCTGTGGCAGCCTCAGACCGGCTACTACGTGAGTGGCTCCCACAGTTTCTCTCCCGACCCTTTTGAGATCTATTGCTGACTGGCTGCCCTCTATAGGAACAATCGACCACGGACATCTGGTACTGCATCTGCCAGTGTGTACATGCCGTGGTGCACAAGTCCGGGGTGGACACATCTTTGATCAAGGGTATTGGTTTCGATGCGACTTGTTCCCTCTCGGTCTTCTCCGAGGACACCGACGAACCGATCTCCGTCACCGGTCCCGACTTCGAAAATGACGGAAACGACCGAAACGTCATCCTCTGGCTCGACCACCGGCCGGTCGAGGAGACCAACAAGATCAATGCCACTGGTCACAACTTGCTCCGTTACGTAGGCGGCAAGATGAGCATCGAGATGGAGATCCCCAAGGCCCTTTGGCTCAAGAACAACATGCCCAAGGAGCTGTGGGATCGTTGCAAGTTCTACGACCTCGGAGATGCCCTTACACATCTTGCCACGGGGAGCGAGACACGAAGCTTCTGCAGCACTGTCTGCAAGCAAGGTTTCGTGCCTATCGGCGTGGATGGGAGCGAGAAGGGATGGCAAGAAGACTTCTTCGAGATGATTGGCCTCAGTGATCTCGCAGAAGACAACTTCAGGCGAATGGGCGGCGTTCACGGCGTGGTAAGTGAGATTTGTGGGACGTGCTGGTGAGATCTCAGCTAACCATGGCATTCCTACAGAACGGAAAGTACTTGAGCGCTGGAGAGCTCGTCGGTCCCCTCTCTGAAAAGGCAGCCGCCCAGCTTGGCCTGCCCGCCGGCATCGCTGTCGGCAGCGGTGTTATCGACGCTTATGCCGGCTGGGTCGGAACCGTTGGTGCCAAGGTCGACAAACAGTACGGACATGCAGACGAGGATCACCCTTCAAACGACATGCACCAGGCTTTTACACGTCTAGCGGCCGTAGCCGGAACATCTACTTGCCATCTGGCGATGTCTGAGAAGCCGGTGTTCGTCAATGGCGTTTGGGGTCCTTACCGGGATGTACTCCTGCCAGACTTTTGGATGGCCGAGGGTGGCCAGTCAGCAACTGGAGAACTGCTGCGGCACGTCATCGAGACCCATCCCGCACACAAGGACATGTTGCCCTTGGCGGAGGCCACACAGATGAACATTTACGACTACCTCAACCTGCACATTCGCGAATTGGCTGAGAAGGCCGGTTCGCCAAACGTCTCACACCTCGCTCGCCACTTCTTCTTCTACGGAGATCTTTGGGGCAACCGGTCTCCAATTGCCGACCCTAACATGAAGGGCTCGGTGATTGGCCTGAGCCCCGACGCCAGTGTCGACGGTCTCGCATTGTACTACTATGCCACGATGGAGTTCATTGCCCTGCAGACACGTCAGATTGTCGAGTCAATGAACAAGTCGGGCCACTCCATCCAGACCATCTTCATGTCTGGGAGTCAATGCCAGAACGACCTGCTGATGGACCTGATTGCGACTGCGACTGGCATGCCGGTGCTCATTCCTCGATACGTGCACGCTGCGGTTGTGCACGGCGCGGCCATGCTTGGAGCCAAGGCCGCCAGCGCTGACCACGACGGCAACACGGAGCACCTCTGGAGCATCATGGACCGGATGAGCAAGCCCGGCCGGCTCGTGAAGCCAAGAAAGGACGCTCAGCAGAAGAAGCTCCTCGATGCCAAGTACGAGATTTTCCTGGAGCAGTGCCGCACGCAGCAGGAGTACCGTAGGAGGATTGACGAGGCGCTCGAGTAGAGAGTGCACACATGGTGTACAGGTTGAAACTTTGCTAGAGCTTGTCTAGATGAAACGATAAATTAATGAGAGATGCATGCATCTTTGACTGCGTCCCGTACAAAGTGTGCGATTGCGGCGGTACGTAAGTAGGAATGTTTGAATGCGGAACCTCGAAGGTCCAACTGCCCTGCTGCAATATGGACTGCCCAGTGACTTGCACATGTGGTGCCGGCTGGGTGGATCCCTGTGGCCCGTGCCTGAAATTGAAGAGAGTGCAGCTTAGCTGGAGCTGGTTGCCGCCTTGTTGATTGTTTTCTTCCAGCAAGAGCAGGCAAGCTTGGTCGCCCAATCGATAACTTTTTCTCTGGACTTGCTGGTCCACGACACGCAGAGCTGCCCTAGAGCTCACGTCACGATCGCGACTCCTCCTCCTGTCCTTCCCGAGTCGTACCCCTATCGCATCGCGTCCCTTTCACAGCCCTCAGCACCGAACGCGCGCGCATCATGTCGCTCTTTGGCGGCCAGGCGGCGAAGCCCGCAGGCTCCCTGTTCGGCTCAACACTCGGGGCCTCCACGACGACTCCCCAGCCATCGACTGGCGGCGGGCTCTTTGGTTCTGCTGCGACCACGACGAACAATCCCACGACGACTCCCGGCGCCACTTCATTATTCGGTCAATCGACACAGCAGCCCGCCGCGCAGACCTCGAGCCTCTTTGGCGGTGCTACCCAGACAAACAACGCTCAGCAATCGAGCAACCCTTTCGGCGGTCTGGCTCAACAGCAGCAGCAACAGCCGCAACAAACGACGAGCAGCCTGTTTGGTGCTCCTCAGCAGCAGCAGCAGCAACAGCCCCAGCAAGCGGCCAGCAGTCTGTTCGGTGGAGCCCAGCAGCAGCCGCCGCAGCAACAGGCGCAGCCCGGCGCGTCGATAACCGCGAATGCATTGCCCCAAGGAAACACCACTGGCTACTTTGACAGTCTGCTCGCCAAGAGCAAGAAGCAGGCAAATGGCGAGTCACCACTCGAGGACCTGCCCAGCCTTCACCTGGGCATGGGCGACCTGCGCCAGCGCCTGCGGCAGCTCGGAGCTCGCACCACAGATCCTCTCCAGGCCGGCAAGGGCCAGTACATGCTCGCGGCGTCTGGCGTCGACCCTGGCGCGGCAGTGAAGGACCTCAACTTCTTCCAAGCCCACACGGGAGCTCGTGTCGAGCGGCCCACGGCTGGCACCGGGCCGTCCGCCGTCGACGTCGATGCATATCTCGCAAACCTCCAGACCAAGACAACGCTGAACATGATTGCCGACGGCCTTGAGCGGTCGGCGAGGGACTTTGACAACTTCCTGGAGGACAACATCACCTCGGAATGGGAGGCACAGAGGATGCGCATCTATGAGCACTTCGGTATCAAGCCCGTCCAGGACGCTCCAGGAGCCAGCGTGGCCGAGCCTGCCGCAAAAGGTGGTTTCGGCACGTCGAGACGGACTGCTCGGGGTGGACGTGCCTCCACAGCCGGCGCAAAGGCCAGCACCTTTGGCCGATCGACACTCCAGAAGTCAGTGATTGGCACTCCCAGCAGGATCGGATCGCACCCAGAGTTTGGCGACGTCAAGGAGCAGAACGGTGGGAGCTCGACTCTCGGCAGTGCCTCCGTCACTGACGACCGCTTCCTCCGCGAGAAGCAATCCAAGCTCGCCGAGCGTGTCCGCCAGCTCAACCTTGCCCGCGTGGAAAAGGCGCCCTACCCCATTCTGCACGAGTTCGCGCATGTAGAGAGCACATCTGGCGACAGGCATGCTCAGCACATGGTTAATGCCTATCAGGCTGTCATTGCGATGGTCGGTGAAAATGCCGAGGCCGAAACCTTTGCTGGCGGGGCAACGGCCAAGGAACGTGCCTTCAAGGACTTGTACCTCGACGCCAACAGCAAGTCCGCCAACGCCGCTAGCATGCGCAAGACTATTCTCAATGGCGCGAACAGATTCCTCGAGCGCAAGTTCTACGAGAACGTCGAGGATCTCATCACCAAGTACCCCAAGGAGGCGAACCTTGGTGGTCGACCAGATGTCATCAACAAGATGAAGGCGTATGTGCGCCTGCGGCACGTGCGCAAGGATCTCGTTCCTGATGGCGCCGAGCTTCAGCAGGTTGAGGGCGAGTACATTTGGGCTTTGGTGTTCTACCTCCTGAGATCTGGTCATGTAGACGAGGCTGCAGAGTATGTCAAGACCCGTGCCAACACGTTCCGGGCCATTGATCGCACCTTCTCTTCCTATCTCCTGGAGTATGCTGCGAGCCCAGACCGGCGGCTACGCCGGCAGCTGCAGGAGAGGTGCAACAACGAGTACAGCCAGCGGTCACGCATGGCGCCCACAAACTCGATAGATCCATACCGGATGGCTTGCTACAAGATTGTTGGACGCTGCGAGGTCAACAACCGCAGCCTCGACGGTCTGAAGACAGACATTGACGACTGGATCTGGCTGCAGTTCAATCTCGCTCGGGAGAACGAGCGCACGATCGAGGTCGCGAGCGAATCCTACACCTTGCTTGACCTGCAGCTCAGCATACAGGAGATTGGCACTAAGCACTTCCCCAAGAGCCCCAGCGAGGACACGAACGGCACATTTGGCATGTTCTTCTTCATGCAGGTGCTCGCCGGTATGTTCGAGAAGGCCATTGCGTATCTGTATTCCTTCTCCTATGTCGATGCCATTCATTTTGCTATTGCTCTCGAATACTACGGGCTCTTGAGACCTGCCGACCCTTGGAGTGCGGCGAATGATCTCATGTCCTTCGATACCAGGGACAACCGCCAGATCAGCTTCGGCCGCATGCTGGGATACTACACACGAGACTTCCGGGCTGCGGACGTCAAATCGGCAGTCGACTACCTGGTCCTCATCTGCCTCAACGCCGACCTGGGTGGCGAGGCTGGCGCACAGCAGGCCGAACTCTGCCATGCTGCGCTGCGCGAGCTGGTGCTCGAGACGAGAGAGTTCAGCAAGCTTATCGGAGACATTCGTCCCGATGGCCAGCGTATCCCGGGCCTGATCCAGGAACGTGCTCCGCTCATCCACCTGCAAGCCGACGACGATTTCGTCCGCACTGTCACGCAGCAGGCGGCAAGGTTTGCCGACGAGAATGGTCGGACAACGGATGCCGTTCTGCTCTACCACCTCGCTGGTGACTACGACAGCGTAGTGACCATCATCAGCCGCGCGCTGAGCGAGGCCATCTCTCTGGACATTGGCGAGGACCCCATGCGTCTCATGCCTGTCAAGCCGAGGGCCGATGACAAGACTCCGGGAGTCCAGCCGGGCAGCAGCCTCAGCTTAGCCTCGATTGACGACCCTGTGCAGCTTGCGCAGACGATGGTCTCTATATACGAGCAGGATGCGATGTTCTACACCAAGATCGAGGAGCAGAACCGGACCTCGTGCCACATGTTGCTCGAGATGAGTGCCATTAAGAAATTGGTGGAAGCTGGCCACTGGAGCGAATGCATTGATGTGAGTAACAACACGGCCGCTCTATTCCAAAGACTACAGACTAATCACTATGCGATTATCACAGAAAATCCGGACACTGGACATTCTGCCTCTGGACGCTGGCGGTGACGCCAACAAGATCCGCAACGCTGCATCTAAGTTTTCGGCGCTCAGCCAGCCGGTGGCTGCCAACGTGCCCAACCTGTTGCTGTGGACTATCACCTGCTGCGTCCGCGAACGGGAGAGGCAAGCGAGCGGGCAGTACAGCGGCAACGACGGCACTGTGCGCATGATTATCCGCAAGCTCAAGCAAATGAGCATGGACTTGACAACGTACACGAGCCAGCTCAAGTACAGATTCCCGCCACACATCCATGAGGCACTGGCGAGAGCGTCTGCGGACTAGGCATTTGGGTGTGTCGGTGTATATTTACAGAGTCGAGATGTGCTCGACGCGATTGTGGAGCCCACGCCAGGACATGGGCAGATAGGAGAACCTGTACGGAGTAGCCAGAGAAGCGAGAATGAGAGAGAGGCAGAGGGATCCGTGCTCCCTACACGAGCCTGCCTGGCCCGAGCTCCATGCGTGTTTTCACGTTGGTGAGACAAGCAATGCTAATTATTGAAGAGACATGATGACCTCACTTTCCGTTGAGCTCGCCGGTTGGTGGGCCAGCCCTGTTGATATTGTTTGACAGCACCCATGACCGGGCCGGGGTACCTCCTGGCATGTGGCACAATTGTGCTGCATCTCTGCAGTACATTATCATGAGAGCCCAGTGATAACCCTGAGTCAAGCAAGTCGCCCCCATGTACGTTTGCGCATGGGGCTTGGTCCCTTGCGGGCGCCAGATGGGAAATCACATTGTCGCACAGCCGTCCGCCGCAAGGCCCAGATCTCGGCCGGCCGGCTCATGGTGAGACATTGGGCGGCACTGCTTGAGTTGGGGGCACAAACTCTGGAATTCTTTTGCGAAAAGTTCTTTGGGGGGTTTTCGTCGTGTTCCCTCTTCCCACTGCCTGCGCTGCCTGGCGGGGAGAGTCGGACGATAAGATGATTCCAGTGCCCTGGCTGTGTTTCTGATACGTGCTATCCATGGATGACATGCCATGCCCATGAGGGGAATGGGCGGAAATGACTTGGCCGCGCATGTTCCGCTGCCGAGACAGCAGTGGGACCTGGCATGCCTTGACGAGTGCAGGTCGATACGGGCATGGTTTGGGGTATTCGCCTTGTGAGGTTGGATGCAAAGCAACTGAGCTCTTTGCAGGTTGCATTGGGTTGTGAATTGGCATGTGTCCTTGCTGAATACTTGATAGTACTAGACCGTGAGGGACGACCGCAGCTCCACTGTGTGTGTATGCCGACGCCACCGGCCAGTGTCGGGGCGCCAAGCAGTCCGCCTCCGGAACGATCCCTGCGGGCACCAGAGAAGCTTCCAAGGTTCCCAGATTGCTGCTGGGCCATCGATCGGAGCTACAGCAGCTCCGGCCTAGCTTGAAAGCTTTGCAGCTGGTCACAGACGATGCGGTGTGACCACCGAGTCTCGTTTGAGCTGAGACGGAGCAACGAGGGACAGTGAGTGTCCTGAGGTGCCCAGAGTGCCAATACTCTTGCCCAGGTGCTGGGGCCATTTGCTCCTCCCACGCCGGTGACGATAGTTTGCGAGAGAAGCGCAGGTGGGATAGCCTGGGCACCCTGGTCTGGGCCCTCGTCGTTGTCAAACCTTGTCCCGCGATCCCCTGGCGAACCTCTGAGGCACAGCAGCGCTGTCTGCTCCTGCTCCCCTGGCTGGCTTCCCCAGATTCGCTCGCCATCCACCATCCACCCACCCTCCCGTCCAGTCTCCACTGCCAGGCCTCTCTTTTGATGGCACGCTACTGTTGCTTTTGACCCTCTCCTCACCATCCTCCTCCTCCTGCCGCCGCCGCCGGCTCCGCCACGACTTGCGCCCTGCTCGCGAGGCATCAACTCAGGGTCTCATATCCACCCGTAGTTCCTGCTTGAGCCTGTTCGCGCCCCGGCCCATCGAGACCAGAAGCACGCGACTCCTCGCAACCCACAGCGTGCTCGCCACTTCCACTGCCGCCCCAAGACGCCACCACGGCGACCCGCTGCCGGCCCGCGTCTGCTCGCCAATCTTTGGGTTGATAGAGAATCGCATCTTGTCGACAAGTCCGCTGCTCGGCCATATCAACAGCTGCCTCCGATCGTGCAGCCCTGTCCTGTCAAGGCCCCTCGCCCCGCGTTGACTCAGGCCATCGCTGGCCGCCCACCCGCGCTCTCTTGTCCGCCCTGCGCAATCAGTCTCCCTCGTCCCAGTTACATTGCTGTCGTGTCCAGCAAGCAAGCCAGGCAGCTAGACAGGCGGGTGTTGCCGCATCGTGACGGTCTTACAGCAAGGATCGCAAACTCAGCAGCTGCACGGTCGTCGACCAGGCCTGCCCCCTAATTTCAGCTTGGACTCTTGCCATCCAAGACTTATTCCTCAGCAGCAGCGCGACTTCTATCATCTGTGGCCTAATGTGGTCGGAGGGTTGTGCATTCCACTAGAATGCTGCTGTGGCGTTTGCGCTCCAAGCTTCGACGCGGACTTTCATGACTTGACTTTCCCTGGCTTTGGTTTTTTCCACTGCCGTCGTCGACTCTTAACCTGCGAGCATGCCTGTCCCGGCCGCCTCTCGCCCTCCAGGCGCCACTGCGATAGGCGCGCACTCGTCTCTGCCGAACCCGGGGTCTTCGGCCATCAACAGCATGGCCCACCGGTACACGAGCAGCACCAACAACAACATCCATCATCCTGGACCTGTGACGACGAGCCCAGGCCCCAGCCACGCCCACGAACCGGTCGTGCCTCCTCCAGCTCAACATGGCAGCGACGCCGGCATGCGGGGGGCAGGACCAACGTCTAATCCTCACAAGCGAGACCTCTCCCAGTCGCTCGAGGCTGCCCAGTCGCCCGACTCGGCGGTCTCCTCGCCCGCAAATTATGGTTCGGGCCATGACGTTGGCTCTGCGGGACCAGAAGAGCAGCGCTCGAAGAAGCGGCGCGGCGCTCCTGGCTCGAGGGGTGTGGCGAATCTCACGCCGGAACAGCTGGCGAAGAAGAGAGCCAATGGTATGTGATATTTCTCCCTCGTGGCATGGTCGCTTCTGTGACTGCTTACATGGAATCGGCATGGCGTTCTCCTTGGTGTGGGTGTGTGTCGCGTTTGGAAAAGGCCCATTTCTGACCACAAAGACAGATCGTGAGGCGCAACGCGCGATACGAGAGCGCACGAAGAACCAGATCGAAACACTCGAGAACAGGATACGCGAGCTGACCTCGCAGCAGCCGTATCAGGAGCTGCAGGCCGTGATCCGGGCCAAAGAGGCAGTCGAGGCGGAGAATGCCGAGATCAAGAACCGACTGGCCACAATCATGTCCATCATCCGACCAATGATGGGCAGTCAAGAAGCAGGTATGGGAACGAACGCCTCTCTTGAACCACACGGAGCTCTTGTGCTGACAGTTCGGGGACAGAAGGGGGATATCCGTCGCCGATACCAACCTCTCTGCAGACGTCCCCTACAGACAAGCAAATGCCGGCCGTGCCACCAGTACCACCAGCAAACAAGCCTTCGCCCGCCCAGAGCGCGCCGTCGCCTGCAGCGGCTGACAACCCTTGGTCATCCAATCCGGCAGCACTCGACGCTCCGCATGCCGGCGGTCTACCGAGCCCTCACTTCAACCAGTACCAATTGATCACGCAGCAACGGAAGCATTCGACGAACAATCTGGACATGGGATCGGGCGAGCACCTCAAGCTCGACTTTCTGCTGGATTCCAACCAGCGCATAAATCGCATGCCGACGGGGGTCAACGGGGCTCAAGACACGGCTGCGTACCACCATCTGGCCATGAAGCATGACTGGTCCGCACAATTACACCATCATCAGCAGACTCAAAGTAGCTCTGCATTTACCGGTAGCTCGCCACATAGCCAGACAAGCTACGTATATTCTCCGGCAGAGACCACCGGACAGAGTCCTGATGCGCCCTGGGACGGCAGCTCAGGTCTCACGATCAAGAACAGTGCAGCAACATGTCCCCTGGACAACTTGCTTCTCGACTTTCTACATGAGCGGCGGCAGCGTGCAGCGGAAGGGGTACCAACACACGAAGTCATCGGCCCTCGGTATCCGTCCGTGTCTTCGCTGCTGAACCCCGCCAACAGCGTCTACTCACATCCATTGTCCAAGGTGTTCACAGACATCTTGGCCACTTTCCCCGGCATCTGCACATTGCCCGAAAAGGTCGCGGTCTTGTACGTCATGTTTGTGCAGATGCGGTGGTCGATCAGTCCCACACAGGAGAACTATGACACTCTGCCGCACTTTATCCGTCCGACGACGAAGCAGCTCACGATCCCTCACCCGGTATGGCTCGATCACCTGCCGTTCCCGGGGATGCGGGACAAGCTCATATCAGACCCGCTGCCAGACGATCTGTTTGACAACTTCTTCATCCCTTTTACGAGCACGATATCGCTCAACTGGCCGTACGAGGAGACGGACGTCTTTCTGCAGACTCCCGACGGCTCGGAAATCATGATCAACCCCGTCTTTGAGCGGCACATGCGCCGTGGGGAGAACTGGACCCTGGGCGACGCCTTTGACAAGACGTTTCCGAATCTGCGGGGCACGTATAATCTCAAGAGGTCTCGGAGGAGGAAGAGCACGGCGGGTCAAGAGGACGGACGGGGAGTTGTTGGTGATGAGTGAACTTTTTTGGCTCTCGAGTAATTCTTCGCCCCAAGCCGTGGACCTTTGACCGTTGGATCGCAAAGCCCGTTTGGTGCTCAGCTTGTTACCATCAAGGTCCGGGCGCGCATTTCCTCCTTATTGGTTGCATTTGGAGTTTTGGGACGGCGGTTCGTACACACACATGGCACTCCACGGATTTGGCGCATTTTGGGACATACACACACAAAAAAGGCGGGGTTTTGCGGGAGAACATGTGCTTTGATCTGTATATATGTCACTTTGGTTTTTCTCAAGGCAATGGATCATTTGGATCCCCGTGATGGGTTGGTTGGTTGGTAGGCAGAAATTGTGGAAAAGGGGCAGGTTCTGTACAATAGCACCAAAGGGGAATCTGCAGACGCAAGCTGCGTAGATCTCATTGTATGTACGCATGTAATTTGAAGGGAGCAGCGCACCCCTTACCTTATTTCCAAGGTCAAGCCCGAGCTTCCCGAGCGACTTTGCTAAACTTGACGAAGCAAGCTTCGTCTCCATGGCTAAGGCTCCAAACCAACCCCCCCCCCCCTTATCTGACTGATCACGCCTCGTCCTCGAAATCTCGCACGCCAAACGAGTACACGTTGATGTTGCTCTGCACGCCGACAAACAGCGACGAGACCTGGTCCCGCGGGAACCTCTGCCACTGGATGCTCTGGATCGGCCCCCGCTCCGAGTAGACCTGGTTGATGTCGCCGCTGCTGCTGCTGCTGCCGTTCATCGTCCTCGCGCCGCCACCACCACTACTACCACCACTATTATTGTTGCCTAGCTGCGTTGTTAATGACGAGGAGAAGGAGGAGGAGGACAGTGATAAAGACGACGCTGATAATGACTCCGCACGGTGTGTCGTTGTTGCCGCGGAGGAGGAAGAGAATGTAGGCGAGAGAATCGGCGGCGGCAGCGCGGGGGAGCGTCCGAGCAGCCGGTGCCCCGTGCGGACCGAGTAGAGCGCGATCTTGCCGTCGTCGTGGGCCGCCGCGACGACGCCCGAGTCCGGGTCGTAGTCGAACCCGATGTCCACGTGGGCGGCGTTGCGGTACTCGCGGAAGCGCAGGACGGGGCGGTCTGCGTTCCTGTTGTTGCTGCTGCCGCTGCTGCTGCTGCTGCTGCTGCTGCTGCTGCTGCTGCTGCTGCTGCTGCTGCTGCTGCTGTAAGCATTATCGTGATAGTTATTTCGAATCTTTTGGCCGCCCCGGGTTTGGCCCTGACCGCGACCACGACTACGATCGCGGCCACGCCCGCGACTGTCATAGAGCACGCTAGGACGCCCGTCAAGCTTCTGCTGCCGCTGCTGCTGCTGCTGCTGATTTCCCTCTCTCTCCGTCTTGTCCGGCTTACGGAACCGCAGATCATACAATGCCAGGGTGTTCTTCAGCCCCGCGACGAGGACCTGATGCTCCCTCACGCTCCGGACATGAGCAATAGAGCTCGGCACAGCTATACTGTCCCACGCCTCCGGGCGTGTCCTCAGGTCGCCAATCCAGAGCGACCCGGGCCGCCCTCCGAACAGGGCGACCTGTGCGCTGCCCTGCGCAAAGTCGATCGCGAAGATGTCCCGGAAGGGGTTGTCTGGGTATTTCCCATGGCTGCCAAAATGAGGAGGTGTGGGTGTCTGGGCCAGTGAGGTCGGGGTCAGCCAGCTCGTCGACCCGTTGTCGTGCCACTGGACGATGCCGCTGTTTGTCCCGATCATGCCGATCAGGTTTGAGGCTGAGGGTGCGATGCCAATCGTGTTGGCCTGGTAGGAGGAGCTGGTTGCTGAGCTTCCACCACCACCGCCACCGCGGCCCGGCGTGCGTATGCAGCGGTAGACGGAGCTGCCGTCTGTGCGGTTGGAGAGATGGGTCAGCTTCTGATTGCTCTCGCAGACATCTCACGGGGGCCGAAGGAAGGGTTGATGAGGCGCGTACTCCATGATAACAACCAGTTTGGCCGTGGGTCGTCAGGGGCAGTGACCTTTGGAGAGAACGCCCACATGGACACGTCGGGGCCCGGAGACCGGCAGGTGATGAGAATCTGGTTACTCGGCTGATGGCACTTGATGTCCGAGATCTGGCTGACCGTGATCTCCTGATATGGGGCCACATGCGTTGGCGGCGTGTGGTAATCCGCGAGGAGTCGACGATGAACTCTGTAAGTCGGTCAGCTGGCGGCCTCTAAAAGAACGGTATCTGTGACGAGATTTTGGACTGGGAGAATCAGACGATGGCTTACCTCCCGTTCCCATCTCGAGGCACATAAGTCGACATTAAAGAGTCGCCGTCGATAGCTATAGCACACGCACGAAGACGCAAGTCAGCTTCGGGCCCCCCAGCCTCCTTGTACACATGCCCTGCCAGGACCAAACAAGAAAATGACTTACTCGAGAACGCCGTGCAGACACCAGTCTTGACATCCTGCCCATCAATATACATGTGCTGGACGTTCCTCCGCGTAGCAGCAGCACCACCGCCGCCCCATCGCGCATCAGCGAGCGGCAGGCTGCCCTTCTCGACGAGGCCGCCGGCGAAGCACTCGGCGACGACATCCTCCCGCGGCCGGACAGAGTAAGAGTCCACAGCAGTGCCGCCCAGCTCGCGAGCCAGGAACCCTCCCGTGAGGGCGCTCTCGAGGACCGCGGCCCGGCGCACACGGTCCTTGTTCCGCCGGATCTGGTGCTGCCGCGCAGCAGCCTGCTTGTCCTCGACTCTCCGCCGCTTCGCATTGTCTGCTGACCAGGCTGCACTGCTCGGCGCCGTGGCCGCCTTTTCCACCTTGAAGTACTTTCCCTTGGCGACGTCTGGTTGGGGTGTGGTTTCGTGGTGTTAGTGGCATGGCAAAACGAACAGAGGCACCTCCGCCAAGCATGGAGGAGGGCAAGAGCCGACCAAGGATGCGAGACTGACCATAATAGTAACCAGGGATCTGACGCGGCGGTTGTGGCATCTTCACTCCGTCTTGCCGTCGGAGGTCCTGCCTCGCGGCCTGGTCGCAAGATGGTGAGTTGTAGATAAAAAGTGTAGTCGTGAACTCCACTCAAGCCACCGGGGTAGTAGTGGCTCCAAGACGGCGCGGTGCGCGCAAGCAAGCACCACGATCGCCACCTCCTCGCCTCTGTTCCAATGCGATCGAGCCGGGAAGAATCAACGAGCCATTGCCTGTATCTGGACGCGATGAGCTCAACCTGGTGGCGTTTCATCACCTGTGGCGCTGAGCTTCACTTTTTACACTGCACAGCTGTCAAAGACTGGGCGAACAAAATCGCGCCAACGGCACGCCGCCCCGCCCAGACAGGCGCCGCCGCCGTGCTTGGTCCCAAGCAAACTACTTGCAACAACCACTGTAGACCTGGTGACATGCAGCTCACATCAGGATGCCTGGACTGCCCGGCAGTGGGTTGCGACAGCCATGCTGACCACAGCTCATCACAGCGTAGGGTGGTGCACAAACTTGACATCATCACCATGTCAGGTGCGGGCTCCAGGCATGCGAAGCTCTGAAGATCATCAAACTACGACGAGCCGTGTAACACGACACACGCGGTAGCAGACGCATCCAGCTACGGTGTGGTGTGCACACAGTTTCAAGTTACACGCACGGAGAGAAGCAGGGAAGGGTTTACTGACGCGGCATGACAATCCAAAATAGTGGAATTTTTTGTATTACTTCTATGAGACGCGACTACATCGTGCGGCGGTGTTGCACACCGTCTCTGGCAAAGTGACCAGTACTCACAAGTGAGCAGACAGATGAATCATGCATTGGCTTAAAAGGAAATGGTATTATGTGCACAACCCCATTCTCCGACCGCGCTTGATATTAACCGACCGACAGGTATGAGTATGTGACACAGTGATTGGAAAGGATCCCGACCCCGGCGGCTATCGAGGGGATACCGCACAGGCTTGTCGAGTGGGTATCTATTGGTGCTTCTCGTGCTGGGTAGAGACACGCTGGAGAGAGACAACTATAGCAAGAAATGTTAGCACTTGTGATTTGAAAGCGTCAAGGTCACGGCGTGGTGGAACTTACCAAAGTCCTCGAGAGACCTCTGCTTCTGGCTGCCCTTGGGGGACTTGCCGTGCATGAGGTTGTCGAAGCCAACGCTGTCCTGGAGCAGGTAGTAGACACCACCCATGATGCAGAAGACACCGAGGGAGAAGATCCAGATACGGACGACGGTGACAATGTGGGTGAGCTTGCCGCCCTCGAAGAAACCCCAGATACAGAAGCAAGTGGCGAGGATGTCGACGACGAAGATAGCACCGGTGAGCTGCCACGAGGGGATGGAGGACCAGAAGGGACCGTTGGCACGGGTGATGAAGATGAGCCAGTTCTCAGTGAGGGAGATCTGGAGGAAGACAATCTCATCAAGGTTACCGTTGTTCTGGGCAATACCACCGGAGGTCATGCCATCAGCATCAACACCAGCAGCGTAGATGGTAGTGACAGTGATCCAGGTACCGACAGCAAGGACAATGCCGAGCAGGACGGACATACCCCAGAGCTTGGGCAGGTTCCACTTGACGGGGCTGGCAGAGAAAGGAGCGTTGTCGTAGGCGATGGCGAGGGTGGCAACGTCAGCGAAGATGGCAATGAAGACAACGAGCTCGATGTTGAGGGAGCGGTTGAGGATGGCAATCCAGAGGCCGAGGTAGATCTCCATGTGCAGGGACAGAGCGATACGGTAGACAACGTAGGCGTACATGCGGTGGAAAATCTGGCGAGAAGTCTTGAGAGCATCGATGATAGCACCGAGACCAGGGGCAAGGAAGACGATATCGGCGGCGGAACGGGCAGCATCGGAGGCACCCTCGACAGCAATACCAGTATCAGCCTTCTTCAAGGAGGGAGCGTCGTTGACACCGTCACCAGTCATGGCAACGAGGTAGCCACGCTGCTGCAGGATCTCGACGACGTTGTACTTGTGCTGGGGGAAAACCTCGGCGAAGCCATCGGCAGCCTCAACGAAATCGTAAACCTCAGAGCCGGGCATGTCACCACCGCCGCCAAGACCGAGGCGCTCAGCGTTGTAGACGTTGGTACCGAGACCGAGCTGGCGAGAAGTCTCACGGGCAATACCGACAGCGTCACCAGTAAGCATCTTGATGGAGAGACCAAGGCGCTTGGCCTCGTTGATGGTGCGGGCAGTGTCGTGGCGGGGAGGGTCAGAGCAGGGCATGATACCGAGAATCTCCCAAGAGCCCTCACCACGCTTGCGGGCAACACCGAGGGAACGGAAACCACGGGTAGCGAACTCGGCAACCTTGTTCTTGTAGTCCTGGTCGATCTGCTCGGGGATGGGGTGGTCCTCCTCGACGGTCTTGAGGACGAACAGAGGGGCACCCTTAACACAGGTGATGATCTCACCCTGGGGAGACTCGACGATAGCGGTAACCTTCTTGGAGACGGGGTCGAAGGGGAAGAACTCCTTGACGGCGTACTTGGAGAGGACACCCTTGGCGCGGGGGTAGTAGCGGAGAGACTTGAGGAAGGCCTTGTCGATGGCATCAATACCCTTCTTCTTGCGAGAGGCAGCAAGGCAGGCAGTGAGCATGAGGTCCTCGGGGTCAACGCCAGCAACGCAGTAGGGCTCAGCGAGAGAGAGCTTGTTCTTGGTCAAGGTACCGGTCTTGTCAGAGCAGAGAATCTCGACACCAGCAAGCGACTCAATGGCAGACAGCTTCTGGACGATGGCCTTCTTCTTGGCGAGGTAGGCAGCACCGACAGCCATGGTGGTGGTGACGACGGCAGGGAGACCGACGGGGACACCGACGATGGTGATGGCAAGGGTGAAGCTGAGCATCTGAACGATGGAGTTGGAGCGGTAGAAACCAGAGATCCAGACAATGAGGAGGGTGAAGACGACGAGGATCAGGAGAACCGTACCAATGCCGTTGAGAACCTCAGTGAAGTGACCAGTACCGGCAGAGGCAGCGTTGACGAGGGCGGCAGCGCGACCGACGAAGGTGTTGTCACCAGTGGCGCTAATGACGATGAAAGCCTCACCACGCTTGACAGCGGAGGAAGCGTAGCAGTGGTCACCCTTGTGCTTGTCGACGGCGAGGGACTCACCGGTGATGGCGGACTGATCAACCTGGAGGAAGGCATCCTCAGTGACGATGCGACCATCAGCGGGGATAATGGTACCCTCCTCGACCTGGAGGATATCACCGGGAACGACCTGGGGAGCCTCAATCTCCTTGAGGGTGCCGTCACGGAGGACAACAGCCTTGAGAGCAAGAGTCTTCTTGAGCTCATCGACAATGGAACCGGCCTGGAACTCCTGGATGAAACCAACGCAGGCGTTGAGAAGCAGAAGGGCAAGAATGACACCGAAATCGACCCAGTCCTCAAGACCGGCAGCAAGGACGGCAGCAGCCTCCATGACGAATTGAATGGGACCGACGAAGAAGCCGAAGAACTTGAGGATCAGGTTCTCCTTCTCTTCCTTCATCTGGTTGAGACCGTACTTGCGACGGCGGTTGGCAACCTCGCCTGTAGTAGAGAAGCATTGTTAGTGATCGATCTCGTGGGGGGATGACTGGCTGGCGCTCATGGGCGAGCCAATTGACGAGCTTGCGCTGGCCATTGGACTACCAAGGGACAGGATGAACTCACTCTCAGTCAGACCGACACGGGTATCAGTCTGGAGCATATCTTCGGGGACAACACGACCCTGGGTAGGGTTGGCTTCGCCCTCCTCCTCCTCGTCAAATCCGTGACCATCCTGGGACTCGAGGTCCTCAATGAGGGCATCAATGTCCTCATCCTCGTCCTCCTCCTCAACCTTGGGCTTGGTGTCGGCGGCAGGCGCGGTGTTGTTGTGAGCGGCCTTCTCATCGAAGTGGCCCGACTCAATGTTGGTGTTGAGCGCCGGAGCGGCGGCAGCGTTGGACTCGGCCATGGTGGGCGTCGGCAACACAGCCAAGGTCTACTCGCGTAGTGTTGGACGGGATATTAGGGTTGTAGTCAGGATCTTTAGGGATTGAAGAGTCCAGTAGCAAAGGAGAGGCGGTGATTAGGAGCTTGCGGAACGCGAGGTGCTCGGGAGGCGATGTAGAATCGACAACAGACACCTAAGGCGCGAGGGTAGAGGGGAGAGTGCTGTCGGAAGCCACCACGCAGGACCTTGGGAATCGACGAGTCGACTTTCGGGGATCACCAACGTGGTGAGGAGGGAAGAGAAGGAAGGAATCCGGGTGAGGAATGCGTGGAGAGGAAGGCTTTTATTATCCCGCACCAGCACAAGCTCGCTCGCCCGTCCACCCCGGGAGCAGGAGCGGCGGCGCGCGCGCAAAGCAGGAGCGAGTGGGCACTGTTGCGTGTGTGCGTGCGTGCGTGCGTGCGTGCGTGCGTGCAAAGGTAGCGGCCCGGCCTCGGGGGGCGCGCGCGCGCGCGGTACAGCGCTGGGACGGTACATGGCCGCCCTGGCGCAATCGTGTGGGCATCCCAGGTTGTTTCCTCCCACGGAGCTACCAAGCATGGGGTGGGGCCCGCCAGCGAGAAACAACCTCGCGCCGGGACCCACCTCTGCTGCACATGCAGCAGCTACCCTGGCACCACGCTAAGCAACCCCCAAGCTAGCCCAGGTTTTTCCCTCATCCCAGGGCCCCGCACCGTGCCGTCGCGTACCGTGCTCGCCGTCCTCCCAAGGTACCCGCTGCGCTGGCTGGCAAGCCTCGCCTCGTCTCGTCTCGCCGCCGCCGGCCAGGGCTCTCCTCGGTCATGTCATGTCATGCCCGCCGCGCTGTGTAATAATGCCCACGTAAACCCGGGTCCTCGCCGTCCACTGCCGCACCATCCCACAGGCCCCGTACCCAGAGTCAGTCCGCTCCAGGGTTCTTCTGCGGTGGCAGGCAACGGCCATGGTGATCACTCTTGCGGAAACGCCTGGGCAAGGGCTCGCGGCCGGCCTCACTCCAGCAACCAACGAGGCCCCCCTTCATTATCCGCCCTCTCCAAGCAGGCGGCGCCTGTGTCTCGAACCGCACGTCCGCCTGCTCGCAGTGGCTGGTACGTACTGTGTGCTGCTTCACCGAGCCTTGCGGGAGTTTGTGGAAGCGTAGCATCTTGGCATCTAGTTACAGACTGCGGCAATTTTTGGCTCATCCTCACGGATGCTCCATGTGGTCTTGTCGCACCAATGGCCACTTCCTCAAGTCCCAAGTGGTCCATGGAAGTGCCGTCTCGCTCGGCCCGGCCGTAACAGGACAGGCACCATGGATGGTGCTGCCAATGTTAGCTGGCCTGGTTGTCATGCACTACGGAAAAAGTCTTGTCAACAACCACTGCGACTGCCAGACCGGTCTCGACAGCCTTGGAACTGGCCTAGCAAGTGCACATGGCGCCCACCCATGACGAGGCCCTGGAAGTCTGCGGAATAGAGATTTCGCCCTGGCTTCCAAGCAATCTAGACCCATAGCCCGGAGAGTCCCTCCTCCTATGGTGCCGGCATTGCCTACCACAGCAGCCGCCGTTATATCACGCTCCCCTTGCGGCTTAATGCTTGGATCTATCGTGGCGGTTGAATAACTTGAGCGGAGCCGCAATCAGCCCCTTTGTGGCTCTGCATCTTGTCTCGAGGTGAGTACTGATCATTACGGTGATGAGTATCATAACAAGACACATTGATGTGCCCATGACATGACCGCTACATGGCCCAGGATGGTGAGCTCGCCTGAACAATCTCGGATCACTGAGGATGCCGCGTTCAAGGAGTAGTCTGCAGTGTCAACCTGAGTCCCATAGTGGTACAGCAAGGTTGGCACGATGCTCAGGCTGGTCTGCCTATGTTGTCTGCTTCGCCATGTCTCAAAGACTGTAGTCTCTAATTACCATGATACCGGGAATGTCGTTGTGCCACCCAGCAACAAGGGCAGCGCAACTACCGAAACATCACACTGCAACGTTGGTCAACATCCATGGGATCTGCGCCTGGGCCATGAGCAGCAGCCAACCCAGCCAGCTCGCCAGCCAGAGCCAGTCATTGTCGCGTGATGTCAGCCAGCCAGCTCTGGGCGCGCTGGCCTATCGCTCGAAAAAATTTGGCCGGCTGAGAGAGTGCCATGCACCGCTGACTGGCGCTGACTGGACACCCACTCAACACACACGCACGGGGGCTCCGGCGCAAGAGTCTGGCGAGAGAGAGCTTGAGCTCCGTGGGAGGTACCTGGGGGACCCACCAGCGGAAGCCCTGGCGCCTCCCGAGTCGCACAGTATCGTCGAAGAACCGCCGTGAGCAGCGCGCGGCGTGGGCTTCCCACTCTTTTCTCCATGGGCGACCGAGAGCTTCAATCGGCACTGGCCCCACCTGGGTGATGGATCTGAAAATCCCGCATCCCTTCTGTGCAGACATCCATGGAAGGTGGATGCCCCGTCCCTTTTTCGCCTATCGGCCAGGTCGGATCCTCGACGGCCGGCTGCACCGCGCACACACCACCACGCTCTGCCGCTCGTTCGCGCGCCGCGCCCACACCCTCAGCGCTCGAGATGACGACACGACGCGGCTTCGGGCCCTCGCCTGGCGGTCAGCCCTCTCTCGGCGATATCGCAATCCACGTTCCCCATCTGATCATCTGCCGGGAAGCTCCAGCTTCGCCAATTGCACAGTCTGCGCCGCCGCCAGCCTGGTCCACACATTCTCTTCCGTACTTCGCCGCGACGTGTCGCTCTCTGCCTGCTCTCTCGGCTGCAGCGCCAGAGGAAAAAGCTCGACGCAATCAAGACTTGCCTACGATGGCAGAAGCCGAGCTCCAGATTGGCTGCCAAGCAGGGGCATCCGACATTGCGAGAACCGTTACCTGTGCCCCACACGCTGCAGACTGCAGACTGTGCGGCTGCAGCCACCACTGGCACTATGAGCAAAGTCCCCCATCAAAACCAGGCACTCGATAGCTCTGGCCAGGCCAATCGTTATCTCTGGCTGCAACGCTCCATCAAATTTTTATCCGGGTCATCGGTTGCGACGGTGGCATGGAGAAGTCTGGAACAGCCTGGTTATCATAGTTTTGCCGTGAGAGTAGCGACAACGCAGTCGTTACTCTTGGTCCTGCTGCTGCTGCAAGAATCGGTCCAAATCGAGCATATCAATGCAGGGTCGTCGTATGCTTGCACGTTGGCTTCTTGTTGTGCCCACTTGAGCTCACCTGTCACGCCGGTGACGAGCCAATACAAGAGTTCACAGAACATCCCTATCACGCGGGCCAAGAGGACCCTCCTGCATCCCCCCAAACCCCGTGGGACACTACCCGCTTGCCGAGACCGCCTTGACTGAATAGCCCGCTGTTCCATGCGGGATCTGTGGGTGGTACCGTGCAAAGAACGACTGTGCACGTCCGACTGGTGGGTGGTAGGGAAATTTCGAAATAACTCACCGACCAGCCGCCCAGGTATTGGCTTGGCCGCCTGGCGGCGGGCTAGGACTGCCACGAACGGCAACATGGACTCCAAGAGAGCGCAGATCTTGGCTCACCCAGAGCAGCTTCGCACGCAATTCGCTGTGCTCTTGCCAGTGGCACTAACTCCATGCAGACTCGGCCCGTACAGAAACAATGGCGGCGCTCTAGGACCCACGACAATTTTTTTAAATGCCTCTCCTCGTAATTAGTTGCCAACAGCCTGCCAGCCTTCGCCGCATGGTCCTTGTCTTGACACAAATCGCCTACACCTGCTTGATTTCTGCAACGACCGGGGCGCTTCCGTGAGGTGGCTTGCAAGACGATCGTTACGCATCCTCGTCGTTTTGCCACTTGCAGAACAGTAAGAGCATCGCATGGTGGCTGGGACCTCCTACGTCATGTCCCGGACATCCCCTTATGGTCTGGACAACGCCTCAAGACTGGGCCACGCACCACAGCTGTGGGAAAGCTCGGGCACCTTGCGGGGAGACCCATGTCGGGTGCTTCACTTCCAGCGCCATTTTCTCTGCAGTAGACCAATCACGTGCGACCATTAGAGAAGCAGCCTGCCAATCAGAACAATGCGAAGCAGAAATTTTCAGTCCTGCCTGCTCTTGATAACGGGCAGCACCGGGCAATGTCGAAAGCGGCCGACAGCACACTATGTCAGTTCAACCAGGACCTGTCTGGTTCTACTCCGAACTCATCGCATGGCGCAAACTCCTGATCAAGCATGAATTCTTCCTGAATCATGAGTGATTGGCTTTACGTCAGCAATCGCCACTGGGTGCCATCTGCACGCGACGTCGCCAACTTGCCAAGCGGTGGATTATCAAGTGATATGCGCAGACACGGTTGTGCGCAATGCAAGGATGTCCATGATCTACACAGCAAGGTCCAACAATTGGCGACTCCGTACCGGCGGCAAGCCCGCGAAAGCACTGCTCTGGGATGTTCATGACTCGGCAAGACATCAGCCTCTTCTTGCAAGAATTCAGAGCGCAAGCAAGCATACGACAGTTTTCTGTGGCCCGCTTGACACATCCTGCACTGTCTTGCCTACAACATGGCCCTTAGGTCGGCACGGCATTGAGCAGAATTGTAGCCATTCTTTCGGGCAAGTTTCCAGAAGCTGTTTTGGTGTCTTTGGGAAATGCTCTATTCCAGCGCATTCTACTGGACAACCTAGAGTTCCCAAGAGAGATAATCCCGCCCCACTGCGGATCTAGCAAAGCTCGTCGGCTTGTCGTTCTTCGGCCCTTCCCTTCGTTCGGCGCGGTCCAATGATGCCACAGGGCTTTTGTTCCCGGTAGTGCTCGAGCCCGTGATTCGCGATATGGCCACCGCTCGCGCTCTGCTTGACAAGCCGAGACGCCCAGGGCATGAACTTACTGCAAAATGTGTAAGGATTTGGGGCCTTGCAAACGCCATCGTCATGCTATAACCCTGCCAAAACTGGTGCGCCCTGATGCCGCGAATTGCCTCACAAAGAAATCTGCCTGCGTGCATGTACGCAGATCGGCGACGCTCAACCAAGATTGACTGTGCCAGTGCCGGGGCTTGAGGTAGCATCACCGGAGGCTGACCACTCAAACTAGCGCCAGCGGAGTCGCATCCGTGACAGCACTTGTGTTTGACATGAAACGGAAGCTTGGCCGCTTCTGCCATAGCCAACAAACGATTGAGAATGTGAATAGAAACGCCTCGCAATTGGTGTAAAGCTCGTCAAATGTCTGGTGAACCCTTGACACAGCGCCCAAGAGGACTGAACGAGTCTTCTGGTTCAGACGTCTGTCTCGGATGTGTCACGACATCCAAGACGTATCCCAGTAGCCAGGGGGCGGTACGGCTCTTCAACGATCGCAGCTGTCCATCAATGGAACCGAGATTTCCCCACTCAGAGACTTTCTGCGCGGTCGATGCACAAGAGACGCCGCGCTCTCGTGAGCCCAGGACGCCGTGCCACCTCAGGATCAAAGCACAATCCACATGGGAGCTTCGCCAAACACCAGCATGGACTAAGATGGCTGGACACGGAACACTAGCGCCGGTATCCCTCCGCGCTTGTAACGTCATCTCCGGTTGCTCAATTGTACAGCCTATGCCGAAACTTAGCTTGAGTCCGGGGTCTTTTCAGCGGTTTTAGGGAAGTCTTTGATGCGGCTCAGAAGGCCCTGGCGGGATGGACCCTGACTTTCTCGTCCATGAGTTAATTATTGCACAAGCGAGACCGGCAAGGATCAGGGCGCATCGAGGAGTCCCTGCCAGGAGTTCGGGATACCTATACCGCCGGCTTCAACCAGCAACTAGTCTTCCGGCGCGGGCCGTTCGGTGATTCGGACAATATTCGCGCACTTGTTCAGTATCACCGCCCGGGGACCATGTTGGACGACTGCAAAGAGCCCCTGCTCGGAACTATTGCTTTCACGCTCTTAGTTCGATGTACAACTCAAGTGTCGGTGTACAGACTACGCCCGAGTCGTGAACATGTGAAGACTTTGACCCCACGAGGAAAAGATGTCGTAGTCCGGCCCTACACCATGAAACAGACCTCCGGAAGCTACGAGGGGCATGACGTAGAAAGTAGACGCTTGTACAACGCCGCCTGTTCGACCTGAACCACGACGGCGACCCGCTCGATATGAGACGTGACTAGGCTCGCCGGCAGTTGCTCACAGGGAGCTGCTTGCAGCCTCCAGCTCGTGGTTATGCGGCACGCTGCCATTCTCTGGAATAGAGTGTACTTCATCCTGTCGAACAACCGTTTGGTTCACCAAGAATATGCAGATCATTATTCAGTGTCCGGCATATCTGAGAAAGGCTTTCCGCGATCAAGGATCAGGGAGGGCTGGGGACTTGGATCTATAAGTCGCGTGTTAACGACCCAATTTCGCAACTCTTGCCCAGCAATCACGATTTCCCCTGGGCATGAACCAGATTCACAGGCACAGATTGCCGATGGGTACTGCCACCTGTGTCAGTCTGCGGGCCAGATGGCTATGCTCAGCTATAACACAAGCACCCATCAGCTGCAACCTGGTCCGTGGCTGGTTGCATACTCCGCACTTTTGATGGACGATAACGACATTGGGACCACGAACATTGTGGGGAGGAGGTCCCTGGCATGCACGACGATACCGTGTCCAATGCGATAGGCCCAGCGCAATTCGCCAAGCACGCCTTGTGCTGCATGCCGAGACCCCAGGATCCGCCTTGATACGTTGCACAGCACCGGGAGCGCATTCAGTAATCACGCACTGCCCCCATACCTGGAGAGCTTGATGCTGGATCGAGCGAGGTGCTGGGTTTTGCGGTATACTGCGTCAAGCAAAAGGCGTGTGCCTGATCGTGGAAGAAGTGCCTGTGCCTTCCCCTGCCCTTCCCATCCGTCGCGACAACTACAGCCGGGAATCGCGACTTCGGCGGTGCCAATTCGGGCTTTACTGTTGTGTGTGCCGAAACCCGGGCGCCAGCTTATAAACGGAGCCTGCCCGTCAGGTGTGATTGCAGCAGCCAGGGCGGACACGTCGGTACCTGCATATTCGGGAGGTCGATGAGATGGCCCACGACGCCACTGGCCAATGGCGGCGAGAGGAATGGGGACAAGCCTCACGCCAGCCAGCCTGCGATCCACCTGGGCACTCTCTGGGTCGCCGGGGGACTTTGCTCGCACAGTGGACGAAATTTGGTCAGGGGACACGCTGCGAACGCAGGCGGAGACGCAAAAAGCTGGCCGTGTGGGGGGGCCAAGGGGACGCCCCATCCGCATATCGCAATAATTTGGCCAAATCTCCTTTTGTTATGGCGGATCTCGTTGTTATTGTTGTTGTTGTTGTTGTTGTTGTTGTTGTTGTTATTGTTGTTATTGTTGTTATTGTTGTTATTGTTGTTATTGTTGTTATTGTTGTTATTGTTGTTATTGTTGTTATTGTTGTTATTGTTGTTTTGGCCGCCGTGTCCAGAAGAGGCATGCTTTGTCATTGCTTGTATCCAGGCACGCATTGCATCGACCTTCTCCAGCCCGGCCTGGCCACTTGCTGCTGGCCCCATCTCATCTCGGCACCAGAGCGCTTCCCGCTCCTGGGCTGTGGAGGATCCGGGCACACGAGGTCCTGAGAATATCGCAATTCGGCCGAATTGTGGCTCCAGCGCAACGCACCCAGTGGCCCGGCCAAGCAACAGCAGAGCTCGAGGCGACGTGGCAGTGGGCGATAGCAAGCTGGCAATAATCGGCCAGCACTGCGCCGATCAGCCTCAGGTCCGCCGTCAGCCAGCCAGCCAGCCAGCCAAAAGAAGCCGTGGGAAATGAAGCCCCAGGAAGAGAACCCAGCCTGGCTCAGGCCGGGCAATGGTCACGAACTGGCTATCGTCTGGGGCTGGCTTGTCCCTGCCCCTTCATAACCACCAAGCTACACAACGGCACAACGACAATAAGCAAGCAGCGCGTGGGATGGGCCAGGTCCCTTGTACCTTAGCCGCCGCCTTGGCTTTTCTTTCTTCCCCCTTGGGCCCCCCGGTTCCGACAACCCCGGCGGATTATGATGCAACGCTACAGTCTCGAGGGTGCGCCCCGTCTCCGATCGACCAATTGACCAGTCAGGATAAGACATGAGTTGTGACTGGGGGCAAAAGTTTTGGTCCTGAGGCTCGCCAACAACGTTTACGGCCGGCACCCGAGTCAGTTTCAAAGATCCTTCTGCGCGCGATCGCATCTGTCGGCACAGCGCAAGGGCACGACCAAAACTAAAACACCGAGGTCCTTGCTTCTCTGTCTCTCTATATTGCCGTGAGAAGGGTGTGTAAGAACTTTTGGGGCCTTGCGGCACTTGCATGCTTGCTTGCTTGCTTGCGGCCAAGCGGATCGCCCGTTAGAGGCTAAGCTTTGCATCTCTTGAAAGCTTTTTTGTGCCCCCAAGCTTTCTGTCGAGTTTCATACACCTCGTTCGCAGCGTCGCTGAGTTGTCCGTACTGTGTGTGTGCGCTGCGTGTGTGGGCCGGGATCGATCGGGAGCACTCACTGGCTGGTTGTGGCGTGCTGGACTCCCGGAAATCCCTGGCATTCCCAGTGCGCAGTGCAACTGTGTGTGCCTTGGCAGGTGCACATCTGTGTGCACATGCGAGGGATTCAGAACTCGTGCGCAACAGAAAGTACCTTCACAATAATAGCAGCAGCAGCAGAGGCGGTATCGAATAGTGCGTGCTGGTTGGTACATCTCCAAGGTATGCCAACCAGTGAGCGGCACGATAGTGCTGAGCTCTCTCCAGCTTCACTTCAAGACCTGGACCGATGCTGGGCCACCGAGCTCACTTTGGCGCCAAGCCGACGGGGTCAAGGGGAATGACAGTTCACGCCGTAAAAAAACAAAATGAGGCTATGTCTTACAGTCTTGTCGTCGTTTTCTTCAGTGCAGGTTCGGCGAGCGGAACGCGGGGGTGGTTCGTGACTTGGCTGACGGTGTTTTGTCTAAGACATCCGGATTCCTCCAACTGGAAATTGGAGAACGCCAGTCGTGCTTGTTTGTTTACCTATTTCCCGGGTCTCCGAGTGCCTAGGTAAGGAGCGTTCGTGACATTGTGGCCCGGTGGTATAAGAGAAGAGCTCTTTGCGTGCGCATGTCGGTCGATAGTCTCGTGGCTTGGCTTCTTGCCGGGCATGTTGGCAGGATTGCAGAGGGAGATTTCGCGTGCAAAGGAGGATGCATGCCACGCACACTTGGCGGCGCAAGGCGCATTCAGGATGCGGTCACGGTGGCTGGCTCTCCCGCGCCTACGAGGACGCAGGCAGACCAGGATCCTACGTCCCTCTCTGTGCTACTTTGAGAGGGTGAAGAGTTCCCTGGTTGATGCCTCGTTGGGCGATCAGCACACTGGCGTCGTTGAAGGATCGCGCGATGCGCAACGTCGTAGTAAGCCTGCACCTTATTCTCCAGCCCTCCTGGCGGTGGCTGTAGTAGGAGCTAGATGATGTTGCTGATGCTGCTGCTGCTATCTATGGTGGTGAATTGTAAATTGATGTTTGCTTAAAACATTCTGTAGAGACCTTTTGGCTGGGATGCAACATATTTGACTTTACATTTCATTTTACAATATTCTTTGATATTTTCATTTCATCTTATTTTACAACCAAAACCTCTGAATGCCAACTAATTGGCAATTGTGAATTTCATCGCTCTCTCTTTTGCATAATACCGAATGCTGTAAATTTGGCAGACGGCGAATTCCACGGCACGGTCACCATGACAATCTGACTGCATACTCCCAGCCTTTGTCACAACGTTCTCACTTTGGTATCTACCGCTCCATATGATGGGGCCATTTCACCCTTATTCACACCCCCACGCGCAATCTCGCGAGCAGCATGACGACCTTTTCTTCATCTACGAATCAGTCCTCATCTCGTCGTCGTCGTCGTGGCTGTGAAAAAGAGCCAATATATTTGACAGGATCGGCAGTGTTGCCGCGCCGCGCTACTTGAACTACCGAGAGCACCAGCTTTTCTTGGCCCTTGGCGCGCACGCACCCGCTTTGGTGGTTAGGACGCCTCCTCCCCCCAACCAAAGTCCACGAGCACAACTGAAATATCGATCTTCCATTCTCTTGTCTTGGCGTTTTCGCGGATTGAGTCCTGACAGGTCGAGCAATGCAGTAGTAATGACCGGCAAACACTATCTGCCTCTCTTCTTTGTGCTGTTCATCCATCCCCCGTTATCCCCCTTTCCCCGGGCCACAAATTCCACTGGGGGACTTACAGTATCCCCCCCCACGTGCCTGGTATTAGCGTCTTGGTACTGTGCCCTATGTGCGGTATTGGTGAGCTTGCAAATGCCGACACGGAGATCGTGGTGATGTAAAGGCGCTGTTTTCGACGTCGCAATGATCTCTCTGTGTGTCCGTGCGCACACGCGCACACGAAGCAGACAGACAGTCAGACGTGCGATTGTGGTTCCGCCCAACGAGGAGCCCTGCGCTGGCCGGGGGAGCGTAGCGCAAAGATGTACGTGAAGAGTATGCCACGGCAGCTTTGTTCCCGGAGCTTCCCTTTGACGGACATGCTCTCTTTCGCGGGCTGCTTCTTCTGTTGGGGTCCTATGCTGCACGCCGCCATTCATCATCACAGTGGAAGTACATGGCCTGGTCCTCCCCACCACCCACCCTCAGCGACGTATCGTTTTCTCAGACTGCTACTCTGATACACGGGATTCTGTTTCGCTTCCAGCTCACCAGCTTTTTCAGAAACTTGCCTCTACTTGTCTGGACCCCTTCAGGGTCCTTCTGCACAGCAACGCGCGACTTTTGTGATGTCATGGCGTCGTGGGTGAGGCTAGTGGCCAACATGAAACGACGAAGGCTGGGCAATGTTTCGAAACTTCTTTGTTGGCCACGAGGTTGGGGTAGGCGGATGGGGAGGGTCACATCGCGCACTAGCTCCTGCGGCACATGCGAGAGCTTGTTCGGAGCTTATTTTTATTTTTTATTTTTTGAGGCAGTTGCTGTTTCATGCTAGTAAATATTTCGGGATGAATTGTCAACCAACTACACGGGCTCGAAAATGGAGACAAGAACTTTTGCAATCATGACGGACTACGGTGCTTGTTACTGTGTAAATGTCTGGAGGCCACGTTTATTGCTAAAATCTCTGAAAACAGACAAATGGAATGATTGCCAAGGGGATAATACCAATACGCATCGGAATCGTGGTAAACTGTTTCTCTGTGTGCATGGGCCGATTCGACTACAGCTATACGTTCCTGCGACAAGTGTCTCGTTTTGGGCCACCAGCCGAGAGATCACACTTCGGCACATTGACCTTTCACTCTTGTCAGGTTATTAGATACCTGGATTCAATGTAACAATTTAGCTCCATAAGGTACCAAAGAGGCATTGACTGGGAGAAGTTCCCGTCCTAGCCGGAAACACGGTGCTGACATGGTGGCTTTCGTGAATGTTAATGCTATCAGCTCACGGACAAAGTGGCTCGGCTTGGAAAAGTCTACAAAGGCCTGCCATGGTGGAAAAGACCAGGCTTGATCTCTATGTATGTTGTTAAGGAGTCGCTGTTCGTTGTTTCAGGACCTCAAGCCAGAAATGTCCCAGAGCGCTCCTGATATCCGAGATCCGCACGGGCAGCAGTGGCCCCTGGACGGTAGAGAAGCGAACTCAGGACACCGAAGTCGAATATCAGCTGATTTGGTTCAGCAGGACTGCTAAAATCGGACCATATATATCCTTGGTTGATAGACAAACAAAGGACGCTTTAAGTCGCCCTATGAGCTGAGAACCTCGCATTCACTGCACTAGATAACCTAGCAGGACGACTCGGATCGACTGGCATTCCTACTCTGTGAAGGAGAGCTGCCATGTTTCGGGCAGGAACTCGATGTCGGGGCACGATAAAGCACATTTTAGTGACTCGTCGACCACAAGGACCAGAATACTGTCGCCAGATGGAATTCACTGCCCGAAGAAAGTGTCATTTAAGGCTTGACTCTACGCGCATGGCGTAATCACTAGCACATATATGGCGAGATCGTTCCCGGCTTGGAAGTATGAAATAAGCAGGCCATTGGGTGAATTCAGTCATATATGGGAATATTGACGTGTTGATTTGACGCCCTGAAAATATACATAAGTGAACGTAGATCCGAGGTAAAGGCATAAGTCGAAGGGGGTTCTTTTCTTGGGCTCGGACGCACCAAGGAAACCTTTGATCCAGTGTGGCATAGGCACTTGCCATGTACTTTGGCCGGTTTTCATCTCATATGGTTCAGGAGAGAGGGTCTGGGGGGGTTGTAAACCTTCAAGCCTGACATATTATACGAGTTAACTTACAATGGGCTTTTATTCACTGTTAATTATTCGATAACGAGTAGACTCAAAACTATTTTCGCCACGGAACTGAAGGCCACGTGAAGCCTCACAGTCGTGCTTTACCAGAATCACTTGAAGGCTGCTTGTGAAGAGGTTCTCACGGTGGCTTGTGCCAGAGTTCAAGTATGAAACCGAGCTCGTGGGACTCGCAGAGGTCTTCCAAGCTTGGTCTTCCAAGCTTACGACAACGTCACAAGAGAACCCAATGTACTGCGTCGGTCTGGGATTCGTCGTCGTAGCATCGTAATTCATCCACAAAATGTTCCGGATGCTGCAGCCTTTGCAGAGTGGTTTGCAACTTAAGAGCCGAAGCTCTCACTGCCGGCGCATTTGTATTGATGCCGATGCGCCCCAAGCTTTTTGGCATTAAATCTTCCCCGTGACACTCCAGAACATCACCGCACCCTCCTTCCAGAAGCTTGCGTCTTCCAATTCAGGCGACAGCCCGGGTTGAAGCCTATCCCCAATACAATTCTCAATAACTCCCGCTTGGACAGTCAGTACATATATCCCCGACATTCTTACCACCTCTTACGGACGAACCCACAGACAGCTTTTTGATACCAGCAGTTACTTGTAAAAGATGATTCGCGGCCCCAATCCCCCATCACCCTAATCCAACAAATACAAATTGAAAAGCAGCTGTATCAACTTACGCCAGAACACACAGACTCACGAAAGCCCGCGTCGCGCTGCTTCCCTCAATCAAAGCTTGCCACCTCACCACGGGCGAGAGGTTTATCACTACCAAACGATCTCCCCTTCGAGTCTTCTTGCGTCAGCCGACAAAGCCACTGCCCTGCCTACGCAACAACACCACGATGCGCGTCTCTCGATACAACAACAACAACAACGCACAACACCGGAAAAGGTCCGGCGCGTCACCATAAACATCGTCAATTCGTCTCCATGCTCCTTCCCTCCCTCCCCCCCTTCTCTCTCGCTCTCTTAATGGCAAGTTAAGAAACGATTATTGATTGTAAAGCTCTGGCCAAAAATGAACCGACTGCCATCAAATCAGCATGGGTAATCCAGCACCCCCGTCCATCAAACATTCATCAAGGCACAATATCCAAGTCCCCAACGATTTCAAATGCACGGCACGACTTACATATTGATCACCACGCGGAAGTTCGCCGACGGAAGTTCACCGACCTACTGCACTGAATGTAAGGCACCCTGCCTGGGTGGAAGCAACCTGATATTCGGTAGTTGCCCGAGGTCTCCGGCTCTGCCCAATGAGAAGCAACCACACACAAACGGGGACAAGGCCGCCGATAGCCTCGCGACTAGTCATGTTTGCGGACCGACGTCGCCGGACAGGGTTGGGTTGGGCTGAACCTTCGCGGGGCAAGACTTTCAAGAAGGGGGTCACAATGCATTATCCGTTGGAGCAATCAAGCCCCGAGGCTGTTGAATCGCATCAGCGACCACTGATTATCATGTATATTGTCTTAAAGGTACTGCAAGGCTGGAAACAATGTCTGATATCCGCAGATCAAGATAAATTCTACTCAAAGCCAGCGATTGACTGACCAGACTGAACCGTGCTGAAAACCACAGAAGCAACCAAACCCGTGCCCAGTAGGTACCGTGCTAGCTTGAAAAAGTAATGCACCACGCCCGCCAGCTTGCGGGCCTAAGGAAAAGACGCACCCAGAACCACCAGAACAACCAGTGACGGCTACAGCCTCGTGCGTTCCAGCAGGAAACTGCGGCCCAGACTACCCCTGGGCTTTAGTGCTTGGCAGTGACCTTGTCGCCAGTGAGCTTCTCAATGTAGGACTTGGCCATGTCACCCATGGCAACCATGCAAATGGTCTGCCAGACACCGAGACCGATGCGGGGCATGACACCACGGTAGAGACCCTTGAGGCCGTTGCTCTCGTAGATGTACTTGGCGGTGTTGCCGACGGTCATCTTCTTGGGGCGGTTGGGGTCCTCCTTCTTGCTCTGCATCTCGACGCGGATGACCTCGATGGGCTGGTTCCAAGCCGAGAGACCACCGCCGAGGGCAGAAGCAAGGATCTTCTCGGGGACGGAGAGCTTCTCGCCAGCCTTCTTGTTGGTGACATTGCGGATTCCGTCCTCGGCAAGACGGGACAAACCGAAGCGGGAACCCCAGTTGGTCATCTGGCGGATCGCAACGGCGTTGACACCCTTGTTGATGCCCCTGATGCCTTCCTTGCGGTAGATGTCGGCAAAGGTGGCAAAGGTGGACTGGGGCTTGACGCCGGCGGCAGCCTGCTTGTGCTGGGTGATTTCTACCGTCTTCATGCAGGTGCAGAAACCCATGGTGGCATACGCCTGGGCGACACCACCAGTGATTCCTCCGATGATGCCTCCACCAAAGTCGGAGGCACCAGCGGCGCGAGCGTAGTACTCGGCCTCGGATGCGACGAAGAGCAGCACGGCGCCCTTGGTCGAGGCTTCGATCCAGGCCCAGGGGATCAGACCTTGGTAGACTGGGGAGAGAGAGAGGAGAATAGTCAGCATTGTGCCGCTTGTCTTGTCAGTTTTCTTGGTGGAAAAAGGGACTCACATCCGAAGACTCCACCGCGGTTCCAGATGATACGGAGGGCACCGGCCATGGACTCGCCACGGTTTGCGCTCATGGTGGTCTTTGTGACCTCGAGGGGCTGGCCGAGGGTGGTGACCTCGAAGAGGTTGAGACCGGCACCGAGAAGGAGGTTTGAGAACTTGACGGGCTTCTTCTCGAGCTTGGCGGCGACATCCGCCGGAGCGGTGGGGATACCCGTGGTGGCGGACATGCTGTGGATGGGCGTCTGGATGAAGGGGGCCTGACCAAGGCAATCGTGTGCTTCGTCGCGTGGAGGGGAGAGGGGAGCTTTTTGAGAGCGGGACTGACGTGAGGAGTCGGATTGGGGAGAGGGAGGAGAGAAGAGAAGAAGGAACACGGAGGCGGGCAGGAAGGCTGTGGGATATGGGGATGCGCTGGCGAGCTTGGGGAGAGCTCACGGCGCACTAGCAGGGAGCTGGTGGGCGGTTGAGGGTGGTGCTCTAGCCGCAGTCCTCGGCGACCGACGTGGACCCCCAGGGGTTGCTCCCACACCGTGAATGGAGGGGGCCACAAACAAATGGGGCGGCTTACGGGACGTGTACATACGGGCAGGAGCAGCCCGCCGCTGTGCGCTGCTCCCGTGGCAGGCACGATGCAAGGGTGCAACCACACCAGACATGACCTCGGCCGCAGGCTGTAGCCTGCTGACTGTCTATTGCATGCCAAGTAGGTTTGGCAAGCAGACAAGGGACTCGATCTCTATATCTGTCTGGTGCCTTTCTAGATGCCGTCCAATTTGGCACATACAGAGGGGAGGGATGGAGCGGGAGCGACATCGGCCAGGAGCATCACAGCCGCGGGCAGCATCATCACAAGCCAGCGCTTCGACAACCGACGCAACCCCACGACGTGCGAGCTTCCCCATATGGGGTTGCCCGCCGTGTTTCCGACTCTTTCCTCTCCTTCACGATGACTGGCCCTCGGCCAAGTGCCGCGGGACTGCCGCGGGACTGCAGAGCCTCAGACGTCGACTTCTCTCGGAGTTGCCCTTGAGAATGGCCTCGGATCCGAGCTTGCGATGCTCTCGCGCCGAGTCCCCATGTCTTGGCGGGCGATGTGCCGCCGGGAATTTATCGAGGTTCAAAGTGCTCGCTTACTGATTCGGCTGGCGACGCTGAGCCATAAGAATCCGTGTGTTCGCAATGTTGCAAGGTGGTCTCAATTCTTGAGCGTTGTGTGTCTCTGCCCAGGCCTTCAACTGTGACAGCTCGAGCTGGGGCCAGCCAGCCCATGCCGCAGGACTGGCGGGTGGGGGAACCCCAAGCTCAAGGTTCTCCCCCCTCTCTCTCCCCAAGCCTCCTCACAACTGCCCGTCGCCAATTGGACCTCAACCACAACCACTCAGGCTTCATAGTAAGCTACCACGCACACACACTGGACACCCAGCAGTCGCATCAGCATCAGCAAGTCGCTGTTCACTCATCAACGGAGTGGACCGCCATGGGTCGAGCTTCGCTCGCTCAATTCGAGGCAAAAAGCTGGGTGGGACCCTTCCATCCCAGATGTTGGACCACCAGCTCAACAATGCCAAGCCCCCTCTGCTCACAATTGGGGACCTGCGTCCCTTGTTTTAGCACACCACCTTGACTAGCGCCCGCCGCAACAACAGGTTCCCCACAAGGTCTGGTGTCGATCTGTTGAGAGATCTCATCTGGCACATCCCCTATTCGTCGTGCCAAAAAATTTTATGGTGTCGACTGTCGATGCAGTCCTGCATGACGTGATCTGCGATTCGCTTCAACAACGAGTCGGGTTGGAGAATCAAAGCTCGAACCAGTCCTGCCAAGACGGCATACCTCATTGACCTATCGTCGAGCGCTGCGTGCTGAGAACCGACTCTGGCGATCTCGCCAGCCTTCGATTTCTTAGGTAGGCATTTCAGGACAAAGATGCATTCAGGACTAAAGCCTGGTGGATTCATGCAAAACTGCCTTAGACAAAAGGTCTTCTTAAGGGGCTCATAAGGCCGCGCCCTGCAAACCATGATTCTGAATAGTCAAAGCACAACTGTGACATGGAGGCTCTGCGTGAGGTCATGACATGTATTTGGTAACTATAGCTGTTGTACAAGCGCAGATTGTTATGGTATCAAGGCAGGAGCATATCTTCATTCTCTCAATACGCGCGGCGTGAAAAAACCAAAAGAAAACTCCTCGTCATGTTGATACAAATACTGCCCTTCGTTTTTTATCTTTCCATTTCGACGTCAATCGCTCGTCTCGTCACGGACTCAGGCAACAGCGAACCCACACCCTTTTTGCCTAGAAACTGCTTACAACTTCTTGACAATCTCGATCCACTTGGCAGTGGAGAAGGACTTGGGGCGCTCGATGGGGGCACCGACGGCACGGTCGATGATGAGCTGGGGCAGGACACCGATGGCGCGCGAGACACCAAAGAGGACGGTGTAGTAGTTGGCCTCGGTCAGGCCGTAGTACTGGAGCAGGACACCAGAGTGGGCGTCGACGTTGGGGTAAGGGTTCTTGGTCTTGCCGTGCTCAGTCAGGACGCCAGGGGCGATCTTGTAGACCTGGCTGACGAGCTTGAACATGGGGTCCTCAGGCATGTGCTGCTGGGCAAAGGTGCGCTGGGCGCTGTAGCGGGGGTCGGTCTTGCGGAGGACGGCGTGGCCGTAGCCAGGGACGACGCGGCCGGCGTTGAGGGTCGACCACAGGTACTCCTTGATCTTCTCGTCGCTGAGATCGTCACCAACAGCCTTCTTCATCTCGGTGAGCCAGTTCAGGACCTCCTGGTTGGCAAGGCCGTGGAGGGGACCGGCGAGACCGTTGAGACCAGCAGCCAGGGACAGGAAGGGCGAGCTGAGGGCGGAGCCGACCAGGTGAGTGGTGTGGGCAGAGACGTTGCCACCCTCGTGGTCGGTGTGGATGGTCAGGTACAGACGGAGGAGCTCAACGAAGTCCTTGTTGTCGCCGAAGCCGAGCTGGTTGGCGAAGTTGAAGGAGTAGTCCTTGTCCTTCTGGACGGCAGCGACCTTGCCGCCCTTGAAGACGTTCTGGTAGATGCGGGCGGCAATGGTGGGCAGCTTGGCAATGAGGTCCATCGAGTCCTCAAAGGTGTAGCCCCAGTACTCCTTCTTGTGGACACCCTTGGCGTAGGCCTTGGCGAACGACGAGGTGTACTCGAGAGCAGTGACGGCCAGCGAGAACTGAGCCATGGGGTGAAGGTCGGTCGGGCAGCGGTCGATGAGCTCCTCGACGAACTTGGGGATATCGGAGCGGGCAGCCCAGTCGGCAGACAGGTCACGGACCTGCTGCTCGGTGGGAACCTCACCAGTCAGGAGCAGCCAGAAGAGACCTGTTGTCCTGTGTCAGTACCAGTCATCATGAACGATATAGAGCCCGCCACTGGAGTGAGGCGCCTTCAGGAAGTGTCCATACCTTCGGGCAGAGGCTCCTTGCCACCAGGGGCCTTGGGGAGGAGCTCCTGGCATTCTGGGATCGTCTTGCCGCGGAAGCGGATACCCTCCTCAGAGTCGAGGACGGAACCCTCCCAGACGAGGGCCTTGATGCCACGGGCACCACCGTAGACCTGGTCGAGAGTGACCTTGTCGACGACCTTGGAGCCGTGCTCCCTGTGTGGAGAGAGAGATTCGGTCAATATATACGGCCAGGATGGAGTGCCTCGGACGACCGGAAGAGCGGGTCGAGGATCGCGGGGGACAAAGTGCTGGCCAGGACTCACTTTCTCAGGGCCTTGATCTCCTCGATCTTCTCGGGGAGGAGCTCGGCGAAGCGCTCCTTGAGCGACTAGTTGTGCAAGAGGACGGTTAGCGGGCGGCTGTGCGGCGAGCAGCGGTTGTGCAGGCTTCACCGTACCTGAGTCTTGGACGAGTAGCAGCGGGCGGCAGCAAAGGCGGCGTGGCGAGCAGTGAAGCTCGGGGTCGCGCGCATGGAAGCCCGCAGAGCGGAGGAGCTCAGGCGCATGGTGGAAGCCATTGTGAGGATGTGTGTTCTGGGGACTGGATGAACCCGTGTGATGCAGGACCAGAAGGGGAGGATCAGAAGGGAAAAAACACTGGCAGGGAGATTTAACGGGACACTGGAGCAGCAGATCGTGGTTGGGCGGGTGACGAAACGGGCATAATCAAATGCCGCAGGCGGCGGGAGCTGGAGGGGACGCACAGCAGCTGGAGGTCCGTCCTCCACCATCACCCACCCAGCAGCACCCCTCCTCCTCCCTCCCGAACGGCACATGTCCTCGCTGCGGGCTCCAGAATTTGGCGTGACCCAGCCAATGCACGCTGACGATGCAGTGGAGTGCAGCTGCTCGGACCAGCCAGGGCCAAGGCCAACCGCTGCGCGCTCCGGCCTGGAAACCTCCATCTGACCGAGGGTGAAAAATGCAGACCGTTGGGCGGATCCTGGACACGGAACAAAAGCAACAGAGAGTCCATACAGGACAGCCAGGGACCTCAAAGGCCGCGCCTGTCTCAGTCAGTTCGCTAATGCCGGTAAATCCAAAAATTCAACAATGCTCTGCCGTGCCATTTTAGCATATTCAATCGCTGTTAGCGTCCTGCAGCTAAGATTGTTCTTTTGCTTCGTTGCTTCGAATCCAACAAGCTCCTTCGAGTCAGCCGTTGCTCCTACCAGCAGCTACTGACGGACCATCCTTGCATACTCCAAGTATGTACATGGCGCCTTCCGTGACGTCAAGTGCTGGGCCGTTTTTTTCTCCTCGCTGAGCTTGCAGCATTCAACTCCCCAGATGCTGCATGTGCATACTTGCGTGCGGCAGCAGTCCCGCTTTGAGTGTAGCGAACAGGGCAGCTCTACCAACGCCATGTTGTTGGAACCCGAGAGTCCCCATGGAATGGCCTCGCCAGACATTCTTGGGGTTTGGCCCAATCCTTTGTCCTCCAAGAGTTCCTCGTCACCCAGTTTGTGCCACGAAGCCAAAAAATACCCTAATGACTTGTGACGGCGGCCGACTTGGCTAGTACAGGGTAGCTCCCCGGGCTGGTGGAGGAGGGGGGGGGAGCTCTTTCGACAGCTCCACCTGGTGGTGGTGACTGGTTGTCCGAGGCTTAATTAAGAGGGACACATTCTGCTGACTCGATTCTTCTCCAACATCCCCTCTTACAAACCAGCTTCTCACCCAACCTGCCGCCTTCGCTCAGCACACAGTTCTTGTTGCTGCCCTCACCATCACCTCATCTGACGCGTCGCATCGTGATACATCACCCTCGCGGTCATCTTGGTGTTCTCCGACCACGTCGACCAGCTTCTGGACATTGCGCGGGCGCGTCCGCATCGCGACTGCGCCGTAAACACCACCGTGTCCCCCATCGCCATAGGCTGCTATTGTCTGTCTCCGCTTCGTCATCGCCAACAAATGACTCAGGGCATACATAGACTGTCGTAGTGTCGTATGCTGCTGCTCCTATATGAGACTCGTCCATCCGGTAGACTCGCTACGTGCCCGCGACCAGTATCCTTCTTGGCTGTTCGTGGCGTGGCCGCTCGTGCAACCTTCGCAGACCCCCTTCTAGATCGTGGGCGATAGACAAATACTGCCCAGTCGAGGAAGACGCCGCTTCGTGGCCGTGAATACCGTCTGAAAGCGGCTAGATCCAGCAAACGCGTAATCGTCGAGGCCCAGTGCTTCCCTCGTATCAGTGAAGACCGTCAGCTGCGCAGTGTCTTGACCTGTCCAGATCTGGCTGCCTGTCGCTTGTGGCCTGCAGCCCCGGACAGTACCTCGTGCTATATACTATTCAGCCAGTCTGTGCCTCTCAACGGACAAGATGGCATCACCGGTGGCAGATTTAGAGGCAGGGTTGAGTTACATGCAAAGTCTCAAGCCCCCAGGAGTGTCTGGTACTCGCATTGCGTCCTTGACTGCACTATGTGTCGACAACGTTCAAGTAAGCAAGCCAGCACCCGTGACAGTGTCAGTCAACAGCAGAATCAAGCCACTAACCCGACAAATTGCTACAGTCTGAATCAGTACTCATTCAGAAGATCTACACTCATTTCAAAAAGGCTCCAGGCACACATAAGTTGGGCGTACTCTATGTGGTGGACTCTGTAACCCGACGATGGATTGAGCAAGCCAAACAAAGCGGCCAGCAGATCAATAGTTCTGCCCCCGACGGCACTTATGCCGCAGGAGTGCATCGAGTGACAGAACTCATTCCCGTGCTGATGAACGATATCGTACAAACTGCTCCGTCTGAACAAAAGGTGAGCTGCACTAGCGATGACCTGCGACCATGACCTTCCCATCATCTGTTGTTTTTGTTTCAGGCGCCACGCCTCATGATCCGAGTTGCCACTCGAATTGCTGCTGGGAATAGTATCGACCACCGATGCCTCTCAATCTCATAACCCCCGAAATGCTGTGTGCCCGTGACTAGCCAGTCCATACTTACACGTGTGACGCTGTAGGAGAAGATAAGAAAACTAGTCGATATTTGGGACAAGGGACAGACCTTTCCTGCCCCGATGGTAGAGTCCTTCAAACAGAAGCTCCAAGCTTCCGTGCAACCGCGTACGTCTGCGCTACATCCTAAGTTTTCCCATGCAGCCTGTGACATACAATGTAGACTAACATGAAAGACGGCGCAGAAGAGTCTACAACGCCTCCCGGCAGTCCTCCCCCTGGGCCTGGACTACCAGGTCTGGGTGAAATTAAGCCTACTTCGCAGGCACCTCCCAATGCAATCCTGGCAGCTCTATCGAACCTGGCGCGTCAGCATCCAGCCTCGACGGCCCCAGCCAGCACTTCAGCTCCTGCCAATGCCTACAGCATCCCCCCAACGCAGCCATATACTCAGACCCAGAGCCAGACACCTGTCTCTTTTCCACCTGTGCCACCGCCAGTCAGCATTCCGGGCATGCCCTTCCCGTTCCCACAGCTGGGACAGGCTCCTGCAGTAAACCCAAGCAGTCAGCCCCCGAGTTTTCCAGGAATTACGCCGGGCATGCCTCCACCCGTGGTGCCTCCGCCCGTGTCGGGCGCCATGGACACCAACCTGCAGCAGCAGGTCATGCTAATCAAACTCCTTGCTGATCAAGGTGTCCCACTGGACAAGATACCAGCTATCGTCGCTGCCATGCAGAACAACCAAGCTCCTAGTGTGCCGGCTGCTGCCCCGCCAGTATCGGCGCCACAAGGACCAGCGGCGACATACGGGCAAGGTACTTGGGGACCAGATCGCCAGGCGCGATCACCCGAAAGATACCGGAATAGATCCAGATCACGATCGCCTGGCCGGCAATGGGACTCTCAAAGATCACCACGGGGACCACGAAACGGCCATGGTAGCAGTTCCGATCGGCGTTCCCCGGATCAGGGGCGAGGACAGCACGGCCGAGACAACTATCGGCAACGAAGTCCGCCTGGCCGCCACGGCAGAAGCCCAAGTCCTCATCGGAACTCACAAAGCGGCCCGTCGACTGAGAAATGGGTTGACTATGACCGGTCGATCCCACAGGGCAGCATCAAAGGTAAGAACAAGCTGCTTGGCTCGCGTAGAGAATTGAGCTGACTGAACCGGCACAGTATTGAGTCGCACTCTCTTCGTCGGAGGAGTCACGTAAGTCCCACCACAATTCTAGAAACCACGTAGAGCAAGTCCTGACATCCGCCCAGAGTCCCCGAGAGCGAGTTACGCAGCATCTTCAGCAGGCACGGCACTGTACAGACCTGCATCGTCAACAAAGACAAGCGGCACGCCTTCGTCAAAATGGTGAACCGTCGAGATGCAGTCGCTGCGAAGGAGGCGAACGAGACGGGGCCTTTTCGGGTATGTAAGACCCCCTCGAGTCATCGATACTGGATACTAACAAGTTCATCAAATAGACGAGATGGGGAGTTGGCTTTGGCCCCCGTGACTGCAGCGACTATCAGACAGGCGTCAGTATCATACCGATCGCCCGGCTGACTGAGGCTGATCGAAAGTGGATGCTCACCGCCGAATATGGAGGCAGTGGCGGCCGCCCGATCGAGAGCGGACTCGTCGTCGAGGAGCCAGATATCGAGATTGGAGCTGGCGTCTCGTCTAAGGCTATCAGTCGGCGCATGCAGACGGACAAGAGTGGCCGTCACGGACCCAAATCATCACATGACGACCAGGAAGACGATGGGCAACGGTGGCGGAGGAACCGAGATGGGCGCCGTGACGACCGTGACAACCCGAACCACATGCCACCTGGCCAGGGAGCTGGTTCTAATTTTCCCTTCGGGATACCCACCGGTGCCAACGGCATGCCAATGTTTCCGCCTGGGTTCAGCTTCCCAGCCCCTCCTGGACAATAGTGCTCTACATGATGGGATTGGTGATCGAGGAGAAGGCCATTTCTTTGGTAAGTGTCATTAGTTCGGCACGAGCAACGAATGGCAACCATACTGGGTGGAATGGGAGAGTCTCGGTCGAGGTGCAGGGGTCACCTTTGCATGAATAGCGGCCACGGTTTTTGTCACGTTTGCATTCGAGGCCCAGGAAAAGAAAAACACACAGGGTGCATTCTTTGTTCATAGTTTCGGCGTTTCGATAACGTGTATCATAATCATGCGGTGGACTTCACACTGCAAAGACGGGGAAGCAGGCGATTTGGCATGCTGTTATGGTTTGACTCTTTCTGCGCGCTTCTTTCATGCGTTGAGGCACAGCAGAAATGCTGGCTGTACCCTCCGTTTTTGTGACGTTCCTTTATGACGGGTTGATGATGCGCCCCCCGGGCTGCAGATGACCAAGGTTCTGGCTACTTTTCCATCGAGAGTACTGGTCCCAGAGAATTTATTACAGGTACGGAAGCTGAGAACGGTCCTCACGGATAGGATTGGTCACAGCTCGGTACTTGTGGCAGAGATGAATCAAGCATCTATGAAGTAGAAGGCGGTAGATGATCAGCAGAAAATAATTGTACTTGATGTCAACCGCTAAGTCCAGAAGTCCACTCTGTTCAGAGATACATGGATACATTGTGCGATTAAAGATAGGATGATGAAGTACTTCAAGTGAGAGACTTTGACTGACGGATGCCCCCAGGTTGAGCGAGTCATCTTCCCACGAGACGAACATAATGTGCATGGCTTCAGAGAAGGAGAAGAAGGCATCAAAGTAAAGTCCGCCAGTACTCGCACCTGGAGAATCGTCGGCTCTCTGCATGGAACCTGACCCTACGGCCTGTATGGCCTTTGACTAAGGAATAGCACCACCTCAAGCTAGGTACGCCAGCAGAAGCCCCCCCCCCCCCCCTTCTGGAACAGGCAACTCCCATCGTGACCATCTGCACCCAGTCTTGTCTCTCTCGGAAACCAAAAAGGTACTTGACTGGCACAGTATGCCAAGAACATACAGTGCCCAGCACTGTTGCGGCTTTTTCCTCGCCTTGTACCTGCCCGGGGTCTCTGCCAAGGTGGTTCTTGTGGTATCGCCAAGGTTCAAAGTTCTCAGGGTCCTTTTTTAATCGGGTGCAACACCCCACCCACCCACATACGCGCGATCTAGACAAATGCCAACTCTCCCCCCTGCGTGTGCACCTGCATATGTGCAGGATACGGGACGAAGTGCCGGATGGTTAGCTGTCTGGCTAGTCTTTCGCGGAATGTTCGCTCCCCGTTATCTAGCCCTGGAAATCCCCGGGAGCCATGCAACACGTACGCTTCGGGGAAGAACCTGTGCGGGGGGCTCCGCGTTATTTTCTTCAAGTCTGGGGTATCAAAACTACCTAGATTAAAATTACAGTGGCAGGCCAGCCAGCATGGAAGAGGCTAAGTTAGGTATGTGAAGCTGTTGTTGTCTTGACCGCTGGCGGTGAGATCGGGGGACGGGTTATCTAGACACACTCTGGGAGTTGCGCTTTAGGTTAAAGCCTTGCGATCCGTGCCCTTGCTCTCGATTCAAGCAAAGTGACCTGATAACCTGCAATGCTGGGGCGGTGAATCTCTCCCTACCAGCAGCACGACTCGTATCTCATGCGGGTTTCCGAAGATACTTGCGGTGGTGTATCCGGCTCACCCGGGCCTCTGAAACATCCCAGAGCCAACCTCGTTGCGGGATTATCATCATCATCATCACGATATCTGTGCAGGGAGGCAGGGCTCCATATGACAGGGCCGAATTGTCCCGACCTGCAGCAGCAAAAAACCCACCTCCCGCTCTGGAATATTCCCTGCATACACCCATCAACTTAGTACGTGTTAAGCGCGTAGGGGCGGGGGCCCAGAGGGGGGGGCCTTATGCTACTTGCTGACTTGCAACAAAACTCCACATGTGTGCCAAGATGATCAGACCTGCAAGTCTCCAGCCAGCCTGCGGTATTTTTTGGTCAACGTCGGTCCTCAAGCCCTTGGCTTTTTCCTCCCGTGGCTTCCCGTGGGAAGCAGCACCGACATGACACGACACGAGACACACACACGGGGCATCTCCAAAGCCCTGATGGACGGACTGTCTTGGCGAAAACGGGGGACTGGGGTTGTGGGGAGGGATGGAGTTTTCGTTCCTCCGGCCAGATACCTAGGTCGTCCGCCAGGCTTGCCGCTAGCACACCGAACCTGCATCATTCCAGTGTAGAACCTGCAGAAGGAAGTACGCACGTCGTCCTAGACCAAAGAGCTGGAGGAGAGAGCCAGGTGGTTTTCCTTTTCCAGAGTGCATTGATTACTAGCCATGCTCACGTTGCTCGGACTGCATCGTTCACTCAGTCAAAAAAGGGCAATCAAACGTCCAATTGAGTTTGCCGATAACTTACTAAGTAGGACCAAACAGCCGCGAAAGAACGAAGACCAGCCAATCAATCCCTCCCCAAAAGAGTTCCTGTCGATGCAGGACGGACAGTCTAAAAATCCCAGAGCTCCCCCTGCTCACAAATCGCGCGTGCTCTGATTGGAGCGCATTGGCGGGGCTTCATTGCCATCACACACGCCTGCTAGGTGACACAACAAGGCACGTTGTATGATGACAAACTTCTCGTCTTCTCGCGCGCCCGCGCTGGTCTTTCAGGGAGGTGCATGGCATGAGGACGACGGAGAAATGAAAGCGGCAACCCTACTAAATTGGGATTGCGGCGGCTGGAAAGATGAGCTTCGCACTCCTGGCGGAATGACTTCCAAGCCAATCGTCGAAAAGTTGAAACACTTCGGCTAGAAGTAGCTGAGTACCGGGTAGCTCGCCTCGAGATACTACCGTCTACTGGTTTTCAAACATGAATATCTCAATACTTTAAAAAGGAGATATGGGCTCTTATAAAAGAAAACATGCATATCAAAGTCTTTAAAGTTGTTTAAAAGCAAAAGTGTCACGATCCTACCTCCGGGGTCAACCGTCTGGTAGGACGCTGGGGTTGCTGTTCTGCAGATAGGTAAAGCCTGCGCGATATCAACTAACACTCTGCTATCGTTCTCTCTCTGGGTTGTCGTTCGTGTCTCTTGGAAGAGATACCAGTCTCGGCAATTGAGTGACTAGTTCAAGTGTGGGTGAAACTGATACTTAGATTGATCGCTGAAGTACAAAGGTAATGACTGTCTATCTAGGAGATCCTTCTGGCTCTATATATCCCTTTGTCCTTCATCGTGCCCGTCGTCCTGCGACACCGTTGGGTCGCATGCCGACAGTTTGTTGTCGCAAGACCGACGGATGATGGTCGCCGTGCGACCGTTCATCGTCGGCTGCTGACGTAAGGTGGGTGCTTACATAATGTGTTCCCCGCCAGCCTTTCGCTGGTCCGCCCTTGTCCCTGGCCTGATCCTGCGGCCTTGTTTGTGCTGGGCTTGTTTGTTACCTCAGCCCCAAGCAGTTCCCCTGTTGGTCGGGTCGTCACAAAAAGATACTCGATATCACGGTTAAGAATTTGACTATACAGGTTTCTGAGTGTTTTTATTTCTCTCGTCTACAGCTTCCTCTTACAGAACGTCAAGACAAGAAGTCTAGAGGAGAATACTAGGCCTTTTTTTGTTTTGTTTTTGTCATTGCCTTCAAGACATGTCTTCGTCAGAAGAATCGTCGTCGTCGTTATCGTCGTTAGAATCGCTTTGGTCTGTCTCGTCTGATCTAAGCATGTTGTACAAGATCCCGTTTCTGGAGTTGCCATGCCTGGAATCCTTGTCCTCGTTTTCCTCTTCGTCGTCTTCATACGAAAAGACATAGTCCACTTTGCTAATGTCGTACTCGACCCTTTCGGCCTGGAGCTGTGCTTCAGTGGCGGCATCTAGCTGCAAACAAGCAAAGTCGCTTGAAAGGTGATGTGTACTACCGGCAGTGGTGCATTCCTGCCGCCGTACTGGCCAAAACATGGGCGGCCTCTCAGTCATCTGGGTGGCCTGATGGCGAGCTAGTAGTGGCCCTATGGGATCTTCGTTGAGATGAAGATCTCTCCGGTAAAATCCCAAGTCGGAGTAATTTGGACCCTTGGAAACCCCCAAGCCAGGCTTATAGATAACCTTCCCTGTTCTGAGCCAGTCTGTACCACCTGCATCTTCGGCCTTTGAGGGGTCACCTGGTGCTGGTACGTCTGGATGAGGTTGAAGGGCCCGTGGCAGCCTGACAGTACGGGTTTGTCCGTGAACGTCCAACTTCAGGCCCTGGACGGGCGGCTCATCATCATCTTCGTCCTGTGTCAGGATACAGACCTTTCCAGTCCCATCTCCAATCGCCAGCTTACGCAGATCTGGCGAGAATGCACCATACGTAACAGGCCCGCTTAGCTCAACCAAGTCTTTGACAAGGACAGGTTTCCCTCGCCTTATATTCCAGGCCTTGACTACTCCATCAGAAGAGCCAGTGTACAGTCGATCTGGGGTTGAGCTCCAGGCCGTAAATGTTACTCCCACATCCTCCCGCTCTCGATCACCGAGAATCTCGTCAATGGGGTCTCCGTGTTTCAGCACGCACAGAGGACGGTCGCTCCCGCTCGAATCCCACACGTACACTCTACTGTCTGTGCAGCTCGCTGTGACATAAGAGTAGATTTTGCTGTTTGGCCTCAACGTGAGCATGTTGATGTCGGTGGCAGGACAGTCGAGTGTCTTGTGGACGTTGAAACCACCCTCGGGCGACGGCCAGAAGAGTCGTATCTGAGTCTTGTTGTACTCGGATGCTCTATTGTCAATTCCAGGTGCTGTCGACGTGGCCACCGCGAACATGACTTGTGTCGGATGCCAAACAACATCAAAGACATTCTGCATAGCTGCGCCGCTGACTCTGAGCGGCTTCTTGAGCTTCGTATGGAAGATGCAGAGCTCTCCGGTGTTGAGCTTGTCCTCGGGGATTTCGTAGTCAGCGCCTGCTCCGTGGTGACTTCGTGGTGAGTAGCCGACAAGCAGGAGATGTTGCGCTGATGGTGCAATTCCCCAGCGGATCGCGGCTGGATAGTATGACCAACTGTCCGACTGCACGAAACCAGTTTCGCTGATGCGTGAGCATGAGTACTCGTCGTACTTGGCATCGGAGTAGAGATGACCTGGAGGCAAGTCATGTCGCGGCTCGTCCAAGTGGTAGACCCTGACATTCTTTTCCGCAACGTCTGCTGCAGTGGCCACTGGGCCCTGCTCACTCGTGGAGGCGACCACATAATTGACACGACCCTCATGAGGCCATGTGCCTGCAGCATGCATGGAGCCTTCATGACATTGCCAGATTTTGACCGTGTGATCAAAACTGGAGGTAAATGCCAGCTTGTGCACAGACGAATAGTCAGACCATACAACAGATGTGAAGAGCCAAGGGTCTTGGCTGTGACGCATGGACTCGAGAGCGTTGTCACCATGTGACACGAGAGGACGCAGAATTCGATGGCCTGGATGTGCCACCAGTTGTCTCTTCGTAACATTACCAAGGGCTAGGTTGCCAGGCTTGTTGTATTGCTGGTTATGGCTGTCGGAGTGTGTTGTTGTGCCACAGATGAAGTCGTTGTCCGACAGCCAAGAAATCGTCACAATGTCGCCTGCGCAGCCTGTGAACTGCATTCTTGGCTCCAGCCGGTCTTCGACATCGTTTCGAAAGACGGTGTCGAAATCTTGATATCGTCTCAAGGTACCAAAGCCACGCTTGCCAACAATCTCTCGAGCAAACAACACCTGAGGCATCCTATTGACTGCTTGCGGGTTCTTCCTCACAGGCTCCAAGCGAAGGCACTGCGGCGAGCTATTGTACCGCCTGACGATAAGATCGCGCAAGTAGTTAACCAAATCTGTCTCTGTACGCGCTAGTATTGCAGTAGGTGGAGTGAGATCACGATGTCCAACGAAGCCTTCTCGCAGATCCTTGAGAAGAGCCTTTTGTAACGACCGGTCCAGGTCTTTCTTGAGAATATGCCGCAGGTCGCGAATCGGCAAACGGCCACCAGTGGCGGGGCGTCTATAGTGCCTCCGTGCAAGCGTCCGCAGAAAACTGTTCTCCTCGTCGGTGAAGTCGACGTGTAGTATCTGTGTCTGTGTTTCTAGAGGCGAGGTCACTCCGATTACGCTCCCCGCAATAATCTGCCGGCGTTCGGCGGCAGCTAGGTACGGCCGCCTTGTGATCCCAAAGCTACGATGAGTCTGCTCGGGTGTGCTACTGCTTCCTCTCGATGAAAGCTCAAGCGCCCGGCCGCCCTGCCATTTCGTAGCCCGGGCTAGTGCCTTTTGTCTTTGTATTGTATTCCGGGGCGGCTTCTTCTCAAGTAACTTCGGTGGCGACTGCAATCGTGGGGGGCTTCCACTACCATTGCTGCTCCCTCGCGCTCGGCTATGCTCAGCATCGGGCTTAGTAGGCTGTTTGTGAGGAAGCTCGTCGTACTCGGGAGAATCCGCAATTTGGTCGGCGAGGCCTTGTGGTGCTCCGTTTGGTTGTTGCGAGCTATGTTGCGTTTGGCTTTGGCTGGCTACTTCAACTGGCTCGATTGATGGTCTGATTCCTTGGGAAAGCGGCGCCAGAATGCGCGCCTGTTGGCTGGAGGAAAGATTCCATGCTGCTAGCTGTTGTCCCTAAGTATATATGGTCAGTATCAGCCAAACTTCACTTTTAGCTCACGCGGAGAAGAGGCCTTACTCGTTTCGCTGCCCAGTCTGGGTTTACCTTGCGGAATGCATCCAAGCCGCCTAGACTGGCAGTACCGTACTTGCGACGCTTGGCTTTGTCGGGCCATGGCGTGAGATCTGGCACCTGAGAAGGAGGAGGAGGAGGAGCTAATGCTGGTGCTGTTGGTGTTGGAGTTGGTACTGATGCTGGTGCTGGTGCTGGTGCCAGTGTTGGTGGCGTGGCCCATGATGGTTGTGAAGGCACCGGGATCGGCGTTGTCGATAGTATGCGTGGCTTCGGGACTGCGTGATCGCCGTTTGTGGGTAGCTGCCTGCTTCTGTCCGCTCCAGAGGACGCAAACGAGGCCGGCTCGTCGTCTTCAGTCAAGTCGATGATGACCTGCCCTGGCGGCCATGGCGGTGCCATCATGTGGCCACGGGACAGGCTGGACGGGTAGCTTGCTAGCGGTATCACGCGTGGTGGCTTATGACGCGCTACCTCCATACTCTGTGAAGACGGCGCGTTGTGGGTTTCGTACGGTTACTTTGTGTTATACAGGGGAAATAGATTGGGTCTCATACTAGTAATAAGTGGGGCTGTTTGCTGAAGCTACCCTGTAAGGCAGGGTAGGCTGGCAAAAGCTACCTGAGGTGTCTAGTTCCTAGATTATTTAGGCTACAAGTCTATATCATAACTAGAAAAAGGAAATATAAATATTACTTGTTTTGTACTAATTTGTGTTGTTTTATAATATTACATATTAGTATCTAAGAGCTCAAATGACTTGAAAGAATGCCAATATATTATTTACCATAGTTCGCGAGCTACTTTCAATCTTATTTGTCCAAGATTTTCCGCATTAAACAACGGTGTCTTGTTTCCATTCACAAGTGATTCAGAACGTCCAGCCAATTGTTGCAATGTTGAATGCGTCCAAAAGCAGTCAAGAAATGCGCAAAGTTGCCAGAGTCTGGGTTTCACAGAGTTGCAGTCCACTACGTATCTCAGCGCAACCCCTATGTGACGACCCGACCAACAGGTCGCAAGATCGGGCCAGGGACAAGGGCAGGTCATGCACGCGGGTCCAAGAAACATTACCTAAGCCACCATGATGAGTCATCCAGGACAGGACCACGCCAAGACCGTGGAACTGTGCCAAGAACTGTGGGACTGCGCAGTCCCAGTAGGAACTGCGCAGTGCGCCGATAGAACTGACAGTTCCAAGGCACGGCAACACAGTTCACGATGAAGGACAAAGGATATATAGAGCCAGAAGGATTTCCTTGTAGACAGTCATTACCTTTGTACTTCAGCGATCAATCTAAGTATCACTCTTACCCTTCACTTGACCTAGTCACTCACTTGATTCCAAGTGTGATTGTGACGACCCGACCAACAGGTCGCAAGATCGGGCCAGGGACAAGGGCAGGTCATGCACGCGGGGCAGCACACCCCTGGTTACATAAGCATCCCATTATGTCAGCCAGACGGAAGTGGATCGCTGGGATCACCACAGATCCAAGACGATCCAGGATCACCGAGGATCACCAAGGATCCAAGACGATCCAGGATCACGAGGAAACCAAGTGATCCAGGGAACCACGATGAAGGACAAAGGATATATAGCACCAGGAGGATCTCCTTGTAGACAGTCATTACCTTTGTACTTCAGCGATCAATCTAAGTATCACCCTCACCCTTCACTTGACCTAGTCACTCAATTGATCCGAGTGTGATATCTCGCAAGAGACACGAACGACAACCCCCTCGAGAACACGAGAAGCACGGAGTCAGTATTGCATGAGGTCGCTACCTGCCTTATTCAGAACATAAACCCCACCGCGCCGATCAGACGGTTGACCCCGGAGATCGGATCGTGACATTTTGATCGCTCTTGTTCGGGTAAGTACACCCCGAGCAATACTGACAACAGGTACCACAGTTACAGGTCATGAACAACAACCCAGCACACACCCAGCAAAGCACCGCCAATCCATCGCAGGACAAAGCACCTGTGGAAGCGCGCTGCAAGGAGTGTGCACAGCCAGCAGTTTACCTCGGACGTTGCTACCGACACCAGCTCAGAAAGGAAGTCGGAGAAATCTGCCGACTTTGCTACAACCTCCGGTACATCAACCACAACGACGTCTGTTCCGGACGATCCTTCACCCACTGGAACGAGGAAGAGTACTTTCAGAGCACCAGCAACGCCAGGAAGGAATAAGCCATGTCGAACATGTCAACCGACTCCGCAGGACGAGCCGTCACTCCAACCCACGGGCGAACCCTGGAGGACGAGCTGGGCGAAGTCAGCCAGCCCGGACTCTCAACCGAGGAAGAACTGGCCAGACTCCAGGAATGGGCCAACGGCGCAATCGAACACACCAAGAAGCAGGACAAGGCCATCCTGGCTCTCAACCGAACCACCGAGGAGTACAAGGGCATGGTCGCCGAGCTTCGGAACCAGGTCCAAGCACTTCTGGGAGCAGCCAGCATCATCGCAACACCTAGCGGAGGAAGCGTTCGTTTCAACACCCCCGCTAAGTTCGATGGAACCCCTGGGAAACTCAAGGGATTCCTGGTGCAGCTCAAAGCCTATCAACGACAGTACATCAACCAGTTCCAAACCGAGCAAGACCGAATTATACACGCTGCCGGTTTCATGGAAGGAAAAGCACTGCGATGGTTCGAGCCACACCTAGCCCAAGCACTGGAGAACGACCCGGAAGATATGGAGGGAGAAACGAGGAAAATCTTCGAGTCCTTCGACAACTTTGAAGAGGCCCTGGAGTCTCTGTTCCAGGACCCCGACGAGAAGAGACGAGCCGAACGAGAACTCGAGAAGCTCAGACAAACCAAGTCAGCTGCGGAGTATGCCACCGATTTCCGACGCATCATCGCACAGCTCGACATGACCGAAGAAAGCAAGATCTCGAGCTTCTACCGCGGACTCAAGGAAGAAGTCAAGGACAAAATGGCCGAATACTTGGAACCACCAACCAAGTTCCTCGAATACTGCGAGCTTGCCATCAAACACGACACGCGTCTGTACGAGCGGCGTGCCGAAAAGCACCATGGCAACACCACGAAAATACAGCATCAGCCCAGGCAGCCGATGCAGAAGACGTTCAAGAGGACCTTTAGGCAGCAAACCACTGCAACGGGCACCCACGCGGGACCCATGGACATCGGGAAGGCGACCCCGAGAGACAACAAGAAGTTGTGCTACAACTGTGGAAAGGAAGGGCATTTCTCAAGGAAGTGTACAGAGCCCAAGAAACCATTCAAACCGGTACCAACCCAAGCAATCAGAGCATGCTACGTGGCAGAAGAAAGCGAACCAAGCGAAGGGACGCCGCCACTCAGTGAGGCAACGACACCTGAGACGCCCAGGACGCCCACCATACCGGCAACGATGCCGCAAGACGTTGAGGAAATGGACTCGAGCAACCAGAGTAACAACGCACCCGACGACGACGTAGAGCCATTTGTGTTGGCTTACGCACGCAGCGAAGAATACGACTCCCCAGAGATAATGGAGAGCCAGTACGACGAACCAGAAAGCAGCGAGTCCAACGACTCCGACAAGGAAAACCAGCCGCCGGGAGACGACGAGATCCCCCGAGGAATCCACGATACGGGATACGAGGTAGAGACCTTCGGCTGGAACAACGCGCCGGCCGCCATGCGAGAGCTAGCGCGGACCAATCGCCAAGAAAGCAACGGCGAATACAGCAAAATGTGGGATGCCCGGGCGGCCGACCTCTCGGCCCCGGAAGGACCCACCACCGGGATGTTCAAACACACCGACGAGCTCGCCAACTGGCGGAGCAAGGTGCACAATGCCTGGGTAACGACGGAGGGAACTCATGACCCCCTAGAGTCAAGACCCGGAACACCCGACAGCTGCGAAGACACCCAACTCGACGAAAACTGGGAGAACGAAGAAGGCAGCGACATCGACGGCTACGAAACCGGGATTCGGTTTCAAGGCAAGCCGCTCAAGGACAAAGATGACCCTTTCGACTGGGCCATCGCGGCAAGAAGGTACCAGACACAACTCGCATACCCCGGAGACCACCGGTATATGCTAAGCTGGGAACCAATGCACGCCACCATTCTATGGGTATACTGCTATAACGACGGGTGTTACCACCACTTCGGAGACAAAGTACGCCACCAAATATTCCCGCGCCGACAGGAGGGGACACCAGTCCCACACCCCCTGCCAGGAAACGTTCTACGGGAATGGCAACCAACCTTCGTCGACGGAGCATACGAACTAGCAGACACGTATGAATACCCCAAGGAATGCGTGTTGGGAGGAAGGGGCAGAAAGCGTTGCATCACGAACAACTGCCTCATACACGTACAACGAAAAATCGAAATCCTGCAGCTCGCCGAAACCACGCGGAACCTCAATGAAATCTGCGACGACATCCGACAGGAGCCGGACTTCGTGGAAGTCTACCAAGGGCTCAAGGACCGAGTCGCGGAACCAGGAACGATCGCGCGGGATTATCTCGACGAACTCAGCGACCACCTCAACGAAGTCATGGCGTTCATCGATCAGAATGGGCTAGTTCCGGGATTCAGCCGAGCAGAGATCCGCGGAGCCGGGATCATGATCCGCGACGCAGCCGAACGACCTACGGGGCTAAGCGCCTACGATCGACGGAAGACGCTATGGAAAGATATCGAGGAAGCATGGAAGGAGGGGCTACTGGACAGAGGTTACACTGCAACCACCGTCCAGGCGGAAAAAGACCGACGGCGGGCGAAGGAGGCTCGTCCCCGCCGATCTTAACCCTTGCGTCCTCCTATCCACACCACGGGAAATGGAGCCCGACAATCAACATCGTCGTCAACGGGATTCCATGCACAGCACTCATCGACAGTGGGTCCAACAGGACCTATGTCAACGCACAATGGGTAAACAGGTGGGAAATTCCTTACAAAGACAAGGAAAGACCCTACACACTCGTCAACATTGAAGGAGCATATGTGCTCTACGACAACGGATGGATACGACGGGAAACTCTACCGCTACAAGTCGAGTTCCCCGGACACCAAGAAACCATCACCTTCGACATAGCCGACATTGGACGAAACCAAGTCATCTTAGGAAGCAACTGGCTACGGAGCAGCAACCCCACAATCGTATGGGAAGACAACATTCAACTCCACTGGCAACCCACGATACACAGCATCCGGGAAGCCATTGTCATGGACGTACTAGAAGGGGTACCCAGCGAATACCATGACTACATCGACGTTTTCGGATTCAAGAACGACCGAGGACTGCCACCACACTCGAAGTGGGACCACGAGATCAACCTCAAGGAAGGCAAGGAGCCTAATTTCATGAGAACCTACAAACTCAACCCCGCAGAAAGCGAGACCCTCAAGCAGTATGTCAAGGACATGCTGAGGAAACAATTTATCCGGCCATCTCAATCACCTGCCGGGTTCCCCATCCTATTCGTACCAAAGAAGGACGGGAAGAAGCGACTCTGCGTGGATTACAGGAAACTCAACGAGGACACCATCAAGAACCGTTACCCACTACCCTTGATCTCAACACTTAGGGACCGACTGTTCAAGGCCAAGGTCTTCACCAGCCTCGACATGCCGGACGCCTACAACTTCATCCGAATCAAGGAGGGTCACGAGTGGAAAACAGCGTTCCGTTCGGAGGCCGGGCACTACGAGTACCTCGTCATGCCTTTTGGACTCACAAACGCACCCGCAACCTTCCAAACCATGATGAACGAAATCCTCCGAGAATTCATCGACATCTTCGTCGTCGTCTACCTCGACGACATCCTCATCTATTCGGAGAACTATGAGGACCATGTCCAGCACGTACGAAAAGTACTCGACAAGTTCCGAGAACTACAGCTCCTCGTCAATCCCAAGAAGAGCAAGTTCAACCAAGAGAAAATCGACTTCGTCGGGTACACCATCACCCCTGGACAAGTGCATATGCAGACCAGCAAGACCGATGCACTACGCAACTGGGAAATCCCTACGACAGTCACGGAGGTGCGCAGCTTCCTGGGATTTACCAACTACTATCGAATCTTTGTCGAACACTACAGTGGCCACGCGAAACCATTGAACGATCTCACCAAGAAGGATCAACCCTTCCAATGGACCAAGGAACAACAAGAAGCATTCGACAAACTCATCCAGATCATCCTCAGTCATCCCATCCTGTGGATGCCGAATCCGGAACTCCCATTCGAGGTGGAATGCGACGCCTCAAAGTACGCGATGGGAGCACAACTAGGACAACGAGACGAGAAGGGACGACTACACCCCGTCGCCTTCCTATCCAAAACATTTTCCGGACCAGAACTCAACTACACAGTCGGAGAAAAGGAACTACTCGCAATCGTCACCGCACTCAGAGAGTGGAGGGCCTACCTACTGGGGTCCCCGCACCAGATCCAGGTCTGGTCAGACCACTACAACCTAAAGGACTTCACCACCACAAAGGACCTCACCATGAGTGAGAGACTCTCACGATGGTACGAAAAGCTAGCGCAGTACGACTTTGTCATCCACTACCGCAAAGGTTCCAGTAACGCTAGGGCGGACGCCCTTAGCAGATACCCCAAACACGAAGGAACGACAAACAACAGCCACCCAATCCTAAGACAACACGAGGACGGCACGCTGCGAATCGCCGCGGCACTCACTGTCGACAACTGGGACAAAGATCTCCAACAACTTGTAGTATACGCAACCCTCCACGACAAAAAGGATATCAAGGAAACCCACGCGGAAGACCCGCGATACGACACCTCGAGAATCGACAAAGGAGTGCTCAAGTACAGAGGAAAAAGGTGGATACCACCCACCGTTCGGGACGAACTTATCCGAGCCGTCCACGAACACCCGCTCAGCGGACACCAAGGGGTCTACAAGACCATTCAGCGGATGCGCAAGCAGTTCGACTTCCAGGGACTCAAGGAAGCAGTCCAGAAAGTCATCGCCAACTGCACCATGTGCGCAAAAGCCAAGGCATCACGACACAAACCGTACGGAGAACTCATGACTATCGCACCACCCGATAGAGCGTGGAAGGCAATCTCTATGGACTTCGTCGTCAAGTTACCTAAGTCCAAGGACCCCGCCTACCAAACCGCCTACGACAGCATCCTGGTAGTCACCGATAGACTCACAAAGTACGCGTTGTTCATACCATGCAAAGAAGCAATGACAACCAAGCAGCTCGCCTGGATAGTCAAAAGAGAAGTCATCGCACACCACGGACTTCCAGAAAGCCTCGTGACAGACAGAGACAAGCTCTTCACGTCACACTTCTGGAAAGATCTGATGAAGCAGCTAGGAATCAAGCATAACATGTCCACAGCGTTCCACCCTCAGACGGACGGACAAACAGAACGCATGAACCAAAACATCGAGACATACCTACGCATCTTCATCAACCAGAAACAAAACGACTGGGTCGAGCATCTACCCACAGCCCAGATCGCATACAACACCTCGGCAAACCAAGACATGGGAATGAGCCCATTCTTCGCCAACAAAGGGTACGAACCCACAGAACCTTCAGCTCTCGCAGACTCGCAAGTGCCGGAAGCATTCGTCGAAGCACAGAACCTCACGAAACTTCAAGAGAAGCTTCGAGCCGTGCTCAAAAACCCCAAAGACAAGCAGAAGGCGCAATACGACAAGCACAGGCTGAAGGGACCAGCCTATAAGGAGGGGGATAAAGTCTATTTGCTCCGCAAAAACATCAAAACCAAACGACCGAGCAACAAACTGGACTTCAAAAAGATCGGACCATTCGCCATCAAAAAGGTACTGGGACCACTTAGTTGTGAACTCTCACTACCAAAGACCATGCGAATACACCCGGTTTTCCACACCTCCCTCCTCGAGCCAGCGCCAGCCGACGCTGAGCTCGAAACACAACTCGAGGTCGAGCCTGACCAAGAATACGAAGTCGAGAAGATCCTAGACGACCGCGTCAGCGAGGACACCAGGGAGTACCTCATCAAATGGAAGGACTACGACGACTCGGAAAACACTTGGGAACCCAGGGAGAACCTCACGAACTGCAAGGAACTCCTTCGCGAATGGGAAAACCGACCACAGAGCTTCCAAGAACAACCGTGGAACTGGACGCGACGGGAGTACCAAGGACAAATGGCGATCAAGACCGCCACCATCCGAAGGGAGTTCACCCCACTCGACTTCCCGGAAGCGTATCGCTACATCAAGATAAGGAACGAAGGAGGCACTCACCGGACTAGCCCTTACTGGTTCCAACAGGAAGCCGATCCTCCGATGCGGCCCGCGGCGGCTCAGGCGCTTGGGCACGAGCGCCCTCGGCGGCCGGCGACACCAGCCCAAACTCAGCCAACACCGAAGGCTCCAGAGGAACGTCGGCGTACACGGCATCCCAGTCGGCCATAAACTCGGCCGAAATCAACTCCTCGGAGGAACGACGAGAGGCCTCCTCGGCCTCCTCCCTCTCAACCCGTTCCAGCTCCTCCAAACTATCGATTCCACGACGCACCGCGCGCATCATCTTCTCAAACCACAACTTTTTCTGTTTTCGCAACCGCTGCACCCTCACAGCGGCAGCCAGCTGCTCCTCTTCAGCAGCCTGGAGCTCGTCGTCAAGCCTCTGGTGCGTGAGGGAAATCTTGCGAAGCTCCTCGGGACCAACCCCCAACACGTCGCAACGGGAACGACCCAGGCGAACGCACTCCGCGCAGCGAGAAGAATCCGTCGGGGAAACCTCGCAGGAGGCAATCCCCCGACCTTCGCAATACGAGCACGAAGGCATCTCGACGGACGACTGAAGAACCGTAGCCAGGAGTAAATGACGCTCCAAAGTCTTTTTGGCGGGCGGCACGCGCGATTTCGATTTCTCAATTCGACCTGACATGATGAGCCATAAGGAACAAAAGGCAAAACGCACGGGCAGGGGCATCCACTCACTTTTGTACTAGGACGCTGAGGACAGCGTCAAGGGGGGAAGGGGGATAATGTGACGACCCGACCAACAGGTCGCAAGATCGGGCCAGGGACAAGGGCAGGTCATGCACGCGGGGCAGCACACCCCTGGTTACATAAGCATCCCATTATGTCAGCCAGACGGAAGTGGATCGCTGGGATCACCACAGATCCAAGACGATCCAGGATCACCGAGGATCACCAAGGATCCAAGACGATCCAGGATCACGAGGAAACCAAGTGATCCAGGGAACCACGATGAAGGACAAAGGATATATAGCACCAGGAGGATCTCCTTGTAGACAGTCATTACCTTTGTACTTCAGCGATCAATCTAAGTATCACCCTCACCCTTCACTTGACCTAGTCACTCAATTGATCCGAGTGTGATATCTCGCAAGAGACACGAACGACAACCCCCTCGAGAACACGAGAAGCACGGAGTCAGTATTGCATGAGGTCGCTACCTGCCTTATTCAGAACATAAACCCCACCGCGCCGATCAGACGGTTGACCCCGGAGATCGGATCGTGACAGTGATATCTCGCAAGAGACACGAACGACAACCCCACGAGACACGACAGCACGGAGTCAGTATTGCATGAGGTCGCTACCTGCCTTATACAGAACATAAACCCCACAGCGCCCGATCAGACGGTTGACCCCGGAGATCGGATCGTGACACCCTAGGGTCCAAGCCTGAGATCAATCGTCTTTGTGTCAATGATGCATGCCTAGTTCGTTAAAGGTTGTAGACATCATTATTCAGAGGTAGTTGTATCCCCGGGTTTTTATTCCTATTTTAAGGCATTATAATCAATTGCAAGATGTGATTAGAATTGTATTTGTCAAGCAACCCGAATCACCCCCATGATCCCCCATGGGGCAGGCTCCAGCAGGGCAAGGACGACCCTTGCGCGTCAAAGCTTAGCGCGTGGATGCTGGCAAGACAAGGCAGTTAGTCCACCGCTCCCAGCTTTACTTGGGCATCTTTCTATTTTGCTGCAAATGCTTGACTCGAAGGCTGCAATAAGACCATTCACGAGTAGAAAACGATTCGAATCAAGAGATTGAGCCGCATATTTTTAATTGGTTCTGCAACCTTCAAACTCTTTACAAATAGGTCTTAGGCCACCGTTCAATAAGCTGGCTGCAAGTACTTGCAAGGGCTTCGATGTTGGTTGGCCAACCGGTCCGACTGAAACGGGATTGGCACGCGGCTAACAGCCGCGCGTTGCAGCCCACGGTGCTACCCGACGTGTCAGCACACCACACCCATAGACGTGCTTGCCATGAAAGATGGATGCTTGGATCATGTCAGGATTGGCATATGTGATGCATCGCCATGAGCTGGATCTTGCTGAGCAGGCATTGAACATTGATCAACCATCGGGAGGACAGTGCAGACACCGGAGATTTGCATATATACACAATATAAACTAAACAACTCCATGGTACAGGCGCAGCTAAAGAGGTACAGAAGAGCGACACGTAATCGCAAGATCCAGTGCGCACTTTTAGAGCATGGCTTTGACGGGCGCATTGGCATTGATCTCCTCGTACATGTCATCGATCTCCTTCGCGAACGCCTTGGCGGTTTGCGGGCGCTTGAGCTTAAGACTGTTGGTCGCAGTGGTTAGATTATGATCAAGATAAAAGGTCGAATTTGTCTGTGTGCACTTACGTCGGGGTCAACAGTCCATTATCAATGGTGAAAGGCTCAACGTCAAGGTAAGCCGCCCGCACCCTCTCGTAGCCGTTGAACTTGGACTTGCGACCAATGTCGTCGAGGTGTTTGATGAAGGCCTTGGCGACCTTTGGATCCTTGCCGGCGGCCTTGATAGCCGCAATGTCCTCGGGCTTGATGGTCTGCTTGAGGATCTTGCTCGCCCAGGGGGCAAATGTGACAGGATCCACGCCAAAGACGGCAACGAGGGTCGATTGACTGGGAGAGCCGTGCACATAGGCAGAGGCGATCATGCCCGAGCTGCCCAGGTAAACGTTCTCGATGCGTTCAGGGGAGATGTACTCGCCCTGAGACAGCTTGAGGACGTTCTTCTTGCGGTCGATGATCTTGACACGGCCGAGCTCGTCGATCTCGGCGATATCGCCAGTGTGGAACCAGCCGTCTGCCTCAAGAGCCTTTTTCGTCTCGGCCTCGTTCTTGTAGTATTCGCGGAACATGGTTGGGCCTCTAAGCAAGAGCTCTCCGCGGGGGCGCGGCTTATCGGTGACATAGTACTCATAGTCTGGCACAGACTCCAGGCAGATCTCGACACCTGGGATAGGTCCACCGATGTTTCCTGTGGAGAAATCGTCGCGCGACTGGAAAGTGCTCACAGCATAGGATTCGGTAAGACCATAACCCTGCATGAAGCTGTTACCGAGAGCAGCACGAAGGAACGTCTGGACTGAAGGGTCGAGCTGCGCACTGCCACTGATCATCGAGTGGCATCTGTCGAGGCCCATACCAGCGCGGACCTTGGGCGTCCAGAATCGGTCGTAGAGAAGGTGCGTGTTGTAGGCCTGGCCGTGGGGCAGCTTCATGTTGGCCTTCTTGGTGTCAATGACGCGCTTTGAGAGCGTGCCCCGGAACCCGGGCGCCTCGATAGTCTGCATCTCGATCCCAGCCTTGAAGCGGTTATACAATCTGGGAACAGAAAGAAGGCCGGTCGGTCTCAAAATCTTGAGATCGTCCAAAAGCTCGAGCATGTCACCGTGGAAGAAACCAAGAGCTCCGCCAACGACCATACAGGTCTGGTCAGCCATACGGCCGTAGATATGCGCAAGGGGCAAATAAGAAAGCGCCACGTCCTTGTGACAAGTCTGGCCGCTAGACTGGGCGTTGGTAAGGGCGGCAACACAGTTCCTGTGAGTCAAGACGACGCCCTTGGGGTCGCCGGTGGTGCCCGAGGTGTAGTTGATGGTGAGAATGTCTTCCGGATTGGGCGGGTGGACAGGGTGAGCTACCTGCGCACCCAGCTTCTCAACGTCGGCCATGGTCCAGATCTGGATGCCATTCTTCTTGGCGATCTCATTCAGGATGTCCAGCTTGGAGTGGCCCTTCTGCTCGCCAGCCTCGAGGGGATCAAGCGAGATGATGACCTTGAGGGTAGGCACACGGGGAGCCAGAGCAATCAAGGTGGGGATATGGGGGAGAGACGTCACACACGCGGTCAGCTCGGCGTGGTTGAGGATGTATTCGCTGGCGTCCGGGCCGAGCTGCTCGTACAGCGAAACACTGAAGAGGGACTGAGAGGTCAAGCCGAGGTCTGAGGAGGTGCGCCAGCCTGGTCAGTATACGGCTTGTAGGGGTTTGGAGGTGTCTTGATCGCCTCCCATGACACGAGGGAACACTTACCAGTGATCTGCCATTCTGGGCGGTTCTGGCACCAGATGCCGACGCCGTGGTTGCTGCGAGGGACACCCAGGCGCTGGTGGAGCTCTACGATGCCAGAGCCAAAGTTCTTTGCGCGGGCATCGACCTCGGCGTAGGTCTGCCAGACAAACTTGTTGTCCCAGCTCTGGGTGGCCGCGTTCCAGGTGCGGGCGCCGAGGCACTTGTTCTTGGGGAAGCGGGTGACGGCGTCCTGGAAGTATTCGTAGAAGGTACGGATGGCCGGGTCATAAGTCTCAAGCAGCGGCTGGTCCTGGTATCGCCAGTGTCGGTAGATGGGACTGCGGCCCTCGCGCTCCGTGTTGGGCAGGGGCACTGCGTAGGGGGAGCCGGCCGGGGGTGGCGTCTTCAGGAGGTTGATCTGAGCCTCCACCTTGGGGTTGGGACTCATGATGGGCGATGTGCTTGCGAGGTGCGCAGTCGTGGGCTTGATTGAAGTTGATGGGGAGGAGTAAGGAGTGGCTGGAAAAGAGGCAGGAGGAAGACGGAGAGAAAGGACAGCAGCACGAGGCACGAGATGAGGTCAAGTGGACGTGGAATCGGCGAGGAGGGAGACGGCAGGATGGACGATAGAGGCAGGACGTCCGGGGGCTGCGGCAGGTGCTCAGCAATGGATGGCCCCAGCAAGCAAGCAATCAGACAGACAGACAGGAGGCAGTACCCCAGAAAGCCGGGGCAGTTCCGCATCTGGCAGCAAGCAGACCCCAGAGCTGCCCTGCTGGAGAGGCCGGCGGGCCAAGCACCGGGGGCGTCCTTGGCCCACGGCCATCGTCACCTTCTCCACCTCGCGTCTCCTCGCAAGACCACGCCGGACCAGACACACGCACGCACGCTCTGCGCTGCACGGGGGCGCGGCTCTCAACTGAAGCCCGCGAGCCGAGGCTCACGGCTTAGCGCGTCGCCTCCCAGGTCGAGTTTTTTGCTACTCTCTCGTCTTGTCCTCCACCAGCCTCCGTCCCCAACTGCCCACAGGTGCCCATGCTGGCTCGTGCGCCTCACAGTCTGCGAGCAAAAGAACCTCGTGGTCCTACATCTCACGGGTGCAACAGCATGCATATTACGTACTTTAAGTAGGGTACACTGGCATGTGCAAACCCGGCACACATCCCTCTTCTCCCGCATGCTGCTTTTATCCCAGCTGTATGCAGGTGCATGGCGCCAGCCTGTACTGTAGAAGAGCTTGTCTCCTGATCGGGAAAAGCGTTGCACACGCTCGAGGCTTCACGAAGTCGGCTATGCAATGTCACATGTCCCCGAGGGTGCCCGTCTAGTTGGCATACACTGCTAGCTCGAGTCCTACTCGGTCAGCATACGACGGCTGAGCCATGGACTGAGCTCCCACGTCCAGACGACACATGCCACGCTCCAAGTGTACGTACGCTACTTTATGTTAGTCAGGCTTGAGGAGTGTTGACCTTACACATGTGACGGGTTTCTCCTGTCAACACAGGCCTGGTTGGCCATTCTCGCTAACCACATTTCCAAGCAAGTTGCTTGCGCATAGGCCACAATCTTCCAGGCATCACTTCAGAACCAGAATCTGTTTGAGCAATCTCGCACCCTGCCAGCCCTTGTGCTATCCACGATCGCCTGAATCCCGATTTTGCGCAACGCCTCAATCATTCAGCAAGTCCTGAGTTACATGCGGCCGTCGCAGGGGCTCACTGCGTGCCCAGGGCAACCGCTCACGTGAAACAATGTGCTGCGCACACAAAGGGTCTTGAAATGCTCTGGGCTCGATTGACCAGGGACCGGCTGCCTTACCCCTCCACGCCAGACATAACTGCGACGACCCAATCCCAATTCCACATCCCCAAACCTCAACCGTGACGACCTCTCGGACTGGCGAATATCTGAAAGCGCGTGCATGAACTCGGTCCGCGGGTGCCTAAGACCAATGTTGCATTCTCCACCACCACCAAACCACCAGCACGAGCGCAATCACGGCATCGACCTGCCTAAGTGCCTGCAGCCATGCTGCGAGGCCATTGCTTCTTTCTGACCTTATTGCATTCTCGCCGGCCGGAGACGGGCATCGTGGTCTTGCCAAGAACCAGTCTTTAATTGAGACGCGCCCTCATCGGCCAAAGACGCGACGCGTCAATGCCAGACTCGTCAGGCGTGATCCAGATGTCTCACCGCGAGCTACCCCTCCGAAAAAGAAAAGGAGCGTGGTTGTCGCTGGGTAGATACCACAGAAACCACCATGCGGCCGAGATTATACCAAGACACGCACCTTGAGAGCATGCATGAGGTCAGCAGTGTGCTCCGCTGTCTCAGCCGACGTGCGCGGGCGGGATCCTCGGGCCTGATGCGAGCACTTTGCAAAGCGGACCCAGTGTCACCGCTGAGTGCTCAACCGCCTATGCCGCACCGGAAACAAGCTCGTTCGTGGAGTGGTTCCCGCAGCACAGCCACTCTTTGGCGGACGAACACCTCTTAAGCTACTGGACGTGGATAGCCCTCATCGATCTGCCCAGGGTTCCGGACTGACAGCGCGTGCGCTAAGGGTGCGCCGACCGTCACAGCTTGAGTGCACGTTGTCCCAGTGTGCCTCTCTGTGTCCACCCATGCTGGTTTCAGGTGGCCGTGTTGGACACCAGACTGTGGTCCACACGCCAACGATGGTCGTCGTGCACGGCCCGCCCCATCGGACTCGAGAGAGCCGCGCTTAACTGCTTGAGTGTGGCCTGGACCTGAGACATCCCAAATAGAGAAACAAAGCAAAGAGAGAGGCCTCGAACGGACGACGAGTTGCATTGCCTGGGCCCGAGCAAGGCCTTTGCCGCGCGTAGGCAGTATCCACAGGGAGGACGTAGGCGTGGGATAGCTTATTAGTCCTGCTCGCCGCCTCGATGGTGCTAGGAGCTATTGCAGCCCGTTCCTTGAGTGTCCGCTCCCTTGAGACAGGTCTCACACTTCACTTCTTGACACAAACTCGAATTGACAGGAACAATACGTATTACTAGCGACTTTGGCCAGACTATTTGAAAAGCACGACAGCCCCGCCGCAGTCAAAGGCTGTCATTCTTCACTCCATCTCGCCACAGCTTCCAACTTGTTTGTCCCGGCCCCGATAACAAGTACTCGACCAGTATCGCTCCCGTGCCAAGACGATCTATAACATGATTGTACTGTCGTTCCTGTTCCTTGCCTTGCGCAGTGCGCAGCTGGTCTTCGCCCTGATTGTTCTTGGCATCTCCGGACACAGTACGTTGGCTCACCTTTTCAATTGCAAACGTGCCACAGAGTCATACTAACAAGTCTTGTCTAGTCTCTGCGAGTTGGGCAACCGTCACTTCAGGCTCCTCCAAATTGTCAACTGTTGTGCCCTCAGAGGTCACCTGGATGATAATATGCTCAATTATCGCCTTGATTTCCGTCATCTACCTCGAACTTGCCCCGAAATTCCTTCCCTCAGGTGAGATACTTCCTCGAGCCAATAAACCAGACTGAGGCCCTACTTTTACTAATACACTTGCTCGTAGTATCACACCCTTACGCTTCCATCACCCTCGAAACAACAAATTCCATGTTCCTGCTGGCCGGGAGCATCGCCTTGGCCGCCTTCCTTAACAAATTGTCGCCGGCTGCATCTTCGACTTGCCCCTTCTCCTCGTCCACACCTGGAGCTGGCACGCCCTGGAGCGGCCACTGCATCAACATTGCCGCCGCCGCGGCAGCAGCTGCGCTAGGCATTATTGCCTCGCTTCTGTGGGCCGCGAGCGCATTCCTCACGGTAAACGACATGTTCAAGCTCAAACAAACGCGCATCAACCTCACGAGGAAACTGTCTGTGTTCTCGGTGAACAAGGAGACCATCGGAAAGCACGAGACTGTATGAGCTGGACAATAATGCTCGTACGAGTGAAATCATTTGCGGTTGCTTGCACAGATTTAGCGCTTGGCCTGGTATGATACCGGATTATCTGATTTTGATACCCATGATTTACAAAAGCGACGGTGTTGGATACAGGATGTACAAACGGGGGGTTATCGAGAATCATTTTCAATGACGGCACCACCCCGGGATTCTTAATAATTATAAAGGGATAACTATTGCAACCAGATTGGTAGATGCCGTGGTATGTGCATACGTAACGACTTACACGAAAGGATTTGTGATCTCCTTGAGCTTGGCGCAGGCTTCCCCGCAACGACCCCCACCTCAAGGCAAGAGATGCCACAGCTTTCCCCAACTTCACCCAGGTGCCCTCGGGTTTTGTCTCCTTCCTCCAGAATGTCGAAGTCCTGTACTGCCAGGATACCAGAGGCTGGGGCCGCTCTTACATGACATGTCGAGTTCCTGCAAATGACATCAATCGGTAGGCCTAGCCTAACCTGCACATCTGAAGTCTGAAGCCACGCCGCTGGGCGAAAGGAGACACATCCGTCGACCCGGCTTGCCGATTCCAGATTGAGTCAAGAGCTCCTAAAAGCGTGACGGGGCAGCACAATGTCACCATCGCCGCGTCGACCACTCACAGCACCGCTCTTGCTCCCCACACTTGAGGCATGAGCCTTTCCGGCTCTCTCCACCGTGATGCCCGTCACCATTGGCCTATGAGCACTCTCCCACTCCTCACTAGCACCACGTCGCGCCGTCCCATTATGGCCACACTGCATTGGTAGTATGCCCGAAGCCAGGGTCGTCCAGCCCTGTACAGATCCGATGGCTCGAAATTGCGACATCGGCTGAGATGTTCGCGCTCGCTGTGACGCCCATCACCTTCCCTGCTTGGCTGGCATACCCTGACGGCCATCACGACCAGTCTCCTACTCTGTCATAGGACCATCTCTGCTGAGGAGGGGCTGTCCCGCAGCACGAATCTCACGTCTTACTGTGTTAGTCTTTGCCCACTGCGGCTCTCGGCCAAAAGGGTTCACGTATAAATGCGAGGGGTCGGCCTCCAGCTCAATGCCAGACCCCTCTGCTGATGAGATCGTAATCTACCCTCCCTCCCCCTCTTCACACCATTATACTCGTCCTCGCTCCACCTTGTCGTTTCTCACCAGCGGCGAATCGGGGGTGTCTCGCCATCAAGTACAAGACCGTCCAGGTACTACATCGCCACCCTATTCTTCTCTCCTCCCAACACCTTTGAACTGGGATATACTGCAGCAATGGCGGACGAAGTCAGCAAGAACTTTGAGACACTGCAGCTTCATGCTGGGTAGGTTCCCGACAATGCTCGCCTTCCCCGCGCTTCTCTAAGTTAAAGTTTCGTGGCCGATCCGGAAGCTCATTAGAATGACAGGCAGGAGCCGGACCCAACGACCAAGTCGCGGGCTGTCCCCATTTATGCCACCACTGTACGTACCGATGCCGTCTCCCGAAATCAGACACTCAAGATGGTGCTGCCCTTGAATTGGCGATATCTGACAGTCGGAATCGACAGAGCTACACCTTTGACAACTCGGAGCATGGCGCCAGGCTTTTTGGTCTCAAGCAGTTCGGCAATATCTACAGCCGTATTGGCAACGTAAGCAGTGCCATAAACCCCTCTCCTATACAATCTCATCGTCATTGTCTGACATGCAAGCGGAAACAGCCAACTGTAGGCGTGTTCGAGCAACGCATTGCCGCGCTCGAGGGCGGAGTGGCCGCTGTGGCAGCGGCATCCGGGCAGGCCGCACAGTTCATGACAATCTCGGCTCTCGCAGTGGCCGGCGACAACATTGTGTCGACCTCGAACCTTTACGGTGGCACCTACAACCAGCTGAAGGTCCTCCTGCCCCGGTTCGGCATCAAGACCAAGTTCATCGAGGGCGACAGGGCTGAGGACTTTGCGGCGGCCATTGACGACAAGACCAAGGCTGTCTACATTGAGAGCATTGGCAACCCGAGATACAATATCCCGGACTTTGAGGCGATCGCCAAGGTCGCCCACGAAAAGGGCGTCCCCGTTGTGGTGAGTTTGCCGGGGCATTTCCAACACAGACGACCCTCTCTAACTGACAGAATATCAGGTCGACAACACTTTCGGTGCAGGCGGCTTCTTTGTCCGCCCTATCGACCACGGCGCGGACATTGTCGTGCACTCTGCGACCAAGTGGATCGGCGGTCACGGCACCACGATTGGTGGCGTGATCGTTGACAGCGGCAAGTTCGACTGGGGGAAGCATGCCTCGCGTTTCCCGCAGATGGTCGAGCCTGCCGAGGGCTACCATGGGCTCAAGTTCTGGGAGACGTTTGGACCCATCACCTTTGCTATTCGTGTGCGGGTCGAGATCCTGCGTGACCTCGGAGCGGCCTTGAACCCGTTTGCGGCGCAGCAGCTGCTTCTGGGCATCGAGACGCTCTCCCTGCGCGCCGAGAGGCACGCGTACAACGCGCTCAAGCTGGCCAAGCACCTCGAGGCGAGCCCCTACGTAAGCTGGGTGTCGTACCCGGGACTCGAGAGCCACAAGAGCCATGAGCTGGCCAAGAAGTACCTGAAGCGCGGCTTCGGCGGCGTTCTCAGCTTTGGCGTCAAGGGCGGTGGTGCCGCGGGCAGCCAGATTGTCGACGGCTTCAAGCTCATTTCCAACCTGGCCAACGTGGGGGACAGCAAGACGCTGGCGATTCACCCCTGGACGACGACGCACGAGCAGCTCTCGCACGAGGAGAGGATTGCCTCTGGCGTGACGGAGGATCTGATCCGCATCTCTGTTGGCACCGAGCACATTGACGACATCATTGCCGATTTTGAGCAGTCGTTCAAGGCGGCCGAGGCGGCCAGCACAAAGGGAGGTGAGGCTACCGACAAGCCTGTTGCCAAGTCGGAGGAGGCTGCCCCCACGGTGGTCTGAGAACTAGGCGAGAAAGAGATACCCTCGAGGAGCAGGTTTTAATTATCGTCACACATGTTTAGTCCTTGTTAGGCGGTGTCGTGAATATTGTGACCATAGAGTGTTGTGCTTGTGTAAATGCTTAGGGACTATTAATCCCAGGTAGTGCGGTTCTGCCTCCAAGCACTCAAGAATGGCCCCATGGTCTGTAGTGGAACCCCACCCCGGACCGTCAACGGCCAGCTATTAGCTAAACCACCAACTCCACCATCACGGGAGCTTCTGGGTGACACAGCTACAACTTCCCACCCCCCACACCCCCATTCCTGCTCTGCGCCAACGAACCAGTTGTTCTCGCAGCAGCAGCAGCATCAAGTCCCGCCACGATGCGCTCAACCACCTTCTGGAGCGCTGCAACCAGCCTGCTCCCCTTCCTCCCCGCGACGGCCGCCGCGGCCGCCGCCGGACTCACAACCTCCGTCAAGCTCGCGATCCCCGCCTCGCAGCAGATCCCGAACCCAAACGCGCTCCCGGCCTCGACGCACGCCACCCTCACGACCATCGGCCTCCCGCCGCGCTCCGCCCCGCTCACGGCCGCCAACACGTTCGTCTTTGACAACCTCACCGCGGGCTCGTACCTCGCCGACATCCACTGCCCGCTGTACGGGTTCGCCCCTCTCCGCGTGGACGTGGGACTTTTCGAGGACGCGCTCAAGGTGAGAGTCTGGGAGACGTACCGCGGCAACGACTGGGAGAACAAGGGCGAGGAGATCCCCGCGAAGAAGGTCGCCACGGCCACGGCCGCCGCCCCGGGGGTGGTGTACGAGGCGAGGGTGCTTGGTGGGAAGGTGTTCTTCCAGGAGCGAGCTAGCTGTGAGTTCTTTTTCTTTTTTTTCCTTTTGGGGAGCTGTTCGCCGCTCTGGGAGCTGGGAGTTTTGCTGGAGATCCCCGTGTGGAGGAGTTTCTAGTTGCTATGGAGGGGCTTCTGTCGCTTAGAACAAACGAGACGAGCCCCCTACGGAGCTGCACATTTCATTCAAAAGAGAGAGAGAGAGAGAGAAAGCATGCTGACACCAAAGGAATTCATCACACAGTCTCCGTCTTCGGCATTCTCAAGAACCCCATGATCCTCATGGGCATCGTCAGCTTGGCCATGTTCATCGGCGTGCCCAAGCTCATCGAGAACAGTACGTCCTTCTTCTTCTTCTTCCTCGTTTTCTTTCCTTTGCCCCCCCCCCCCATCATTTCCCCCGCAAACAGAAGAAGCTTCCCAGAATCGCCAATCCATGCTGACCCCCTCCCTCCCCCCTTTCCTTTTCGAAACAGTGGACCCAGAGACCCGCGCCGAGTTCGAGGCCACTCGCAAGGAGAACCCCATGGCCAGCCTGCTAGGCGGCGGTGGAGGCGGCGGTGCTGGAGGCGCTGGTGGTGCCGGGGGCCCGGCAAACTTTGACATGGCGGGCTTCTTGTCCGGGCACAGCGCGAGCAAGAACAACGGCGGCAGCGGCGCTGGTAGTGGAAACGCCAGTGGTGCAGAGGGCGGCAGCAGCAGCGCGGAGGTCGAGGGAAGTGCTGGTGGTGGTGCCAAGGGCAGCGGCAAGAAGAGGCGGTAGAAAGAAGAAGAAGAAGAAGAAGAAGAAGAAGAAGCCCGGCTGTCCAGGAAAAAGCTATTTGTTCTATCGTTTCGTGAATGGGGGCTGTGGTTGGGTTGATGGCAGCGTTGGGGGGAATTGCAGCAGCTGCAGCAGAGAGGCGGGTTGCCCATTTTGAGATGTCATTAGGAAGGGACCGCTGTACTTGCTCGCCAGACTCCTCTCCGGCTTTGTCCGGGTTCCTTACGAAAAAGGGAGCTGGGATGTGCTCCAGGTGCCTCCCCCAAAAGGGGATATGAGGAATTGGCACGATATATTTCTGGCCGCTCATCGAGATTCACGACCAAGCCTAGAGACATATATACATATACATTACGCCACGAGACAAAGATGATGCACACATGTGCCTTGAACTGGTCCTTTGCTAGTATTCACTTTGGCCATATAGCCATTAATCACGAGTAAGTCGACGACAGCCATCTCTCCTTGCCCATTCATCTCCATGGCCCCTTCTCAAATTGAAGAACATGTATTCAAGTTGGGTCAGACGGCATAGCGGCTCAGACCATGCTGATCATGTACGTTCTGGAATTTGTTTTGTGTATCTGCATTGACCCCTCGGAGAAAAAGGATTAACGTTATTGCTAATAAATATACACCAAATCAACTAACTACTACCCTCCCAGGTCGGTCAGGAATACCACGAATCCTCTAGAAGTCACCACCAAAGTCGCCGCCGCCGAAATCATCACCACCAGCACCGTCTTGGTAGCCGTCCTGGTAGGCATCCTCCTGCCCGTCCTGGATCTGGTCGGCAATGATTGCACCACCAATCAGACCGGCACCGAGACCCAGGGCCGCGCCGCCGGCCATGCCCATGCCGCCGCCCGACTTCTTGGGCTGGCCGTAGCCACCGCCGTAGCCGCCGCCACCGCCGTACATCGGCCGGCCACCGTATCCCGGCTGGCCGTAACCACCGCCGCCGAAGCCAGGCTGGCCATAGCCTCCACCGTACTGCTGCGGCGGTGGGCCGCCGCCATAATAGCCCTGCTGTGGTTGGCCGTAACCGCCACCGCCGTAGCCTTGTTGTGGCTGGCCATATCCACCACCGGGATAGCCGCCGCCGTGGGAAGACTTGCTGCCACCGAGCAGCTTGCTCAGGAAGCCCTTGGCCTTTTCTTTGCCGTTGCCGCGAGTATCCTGCTGAGAACCGCCATATTGCTGCTGCTGCTGCTGATACTGGCCCGGCGCGGGGGATCCAGCATAACCACCAGCGGCACCGCGCGCACGAGCCTCCTCCTCTTCCTGCATCTTGCGCGCGAGCGCGGCGTCAGAGTCCTCGTGCGCACTGGTGGCATAGCTACTCGCCGCGCCAGAGCCGGAAGCACCCGCGCCGCCGCCTACCGTGGCCGGTGCACCCTCATGGGCAAACGGGTTCGTCTTGACGTCGCTGGGGGTGGGCTGGTTTGAAGGGGTGTACCCCGGCGGGGGCCCGTCCGGGCCGTCGTGATGTGTGGCGTTGGGGTCGACGGCGGGCTCGGTGGGCTTGTCCCACTGGGACTTCTTGGTGTACGTGTTTACGTAGAACCACTCCTTGTACTGGTCGTTCCAGCGGGCGACCCAGCCCTCGGGGACCTTGGGGGGCGGGGGCCCAGAGGGGGCCTCGAAGTCGGCCATGCGTGGTGTTGTTGTTGTTGTGGTTGGGGTTGGGGTTGTGTGGCTGTGAGAGTTATTCAGGTTTGGTGCCGTTGCTGGTGATTGTACGGAGGGTGCTTTGTTCCTCAGTCGCGGGGGGATCGATGAGATGTGATGCTCTGAGAGGATGCAGAAGGGAGAAGAAGGAGGACAGGAGAGAGAGAGGCGTCGTGGTCGCAGTCAAGTGCGGGGGTGGACTGCTTGATGGGTTCAGTAGCTCGGAGCTCGACTAACAACTGGGCTGGCTGGGCAAAGCACAATCAGACGCCAAGGGTCGGGAGTGATCTGATCTGGTGGGGCCAAGAGGTGGGAGAGATGTGTGCAGTACAGTAGCTCGCCGGCCAAGAGCACTCGAGGCAGATGACTTTATAAAGTGGCGCCTTGGTATCGAGTTGCCCACGGGTGCCCTCATCGTGGCCCGAGGGCGAGATACTTGGTGTACTTTGATGGGTGGTGCGAGGCGGGCGGGCCAAGCGCGGCGCAGTCGGGCCCGTCCACGCACGCACGCAACTTCCGCCTTCTGCGTCAACTAACTATTGCCTTCCAAATGTGTCCCCCGGACGCCAGGGTGAGAACCTCCGGGCCTGCGGCCACAAGTCGACAACTCCGTAATCAGAATTGCACATGACATGTCCCGCTGCGCCTCCTTTGGCCCGTCTGAACGTGCCTTTTCCCGCCCGTTCGTGCCTCGCCCCCGTCTCGCATCGCCAAGCCCTTCCGGCAGGCTACCCCAGGAGGCCCCTCCAGTCCTCTGTGCGTCATGTCGACGTTGCGTCTCCCACCAATCATCCCACGCCCGCCACCTGGGCCACCCGAGGCGGCTTCGGGTCTGGCTGGCCCCAGCTGAGACGCCCGGGCCCAGCTCTCGAGAGCATCCGTCACCTTCGTGTGGCTGAGCACTGCTTCGCTCTCATCAGGTCGGAACCCGCTGACTCACGACTGTAGGTTGCAATCGTGTCGTCTAAATGCCTCTCTCTGCACATTCGCCCTGGGAAACGTAAGCACGCATGGGGGGTTTCACAGTGGGCGGCCTCCCTTCCCCAGCCCTGTCGAGGCCGTTCTGCAGGGTCCCTCGACTTCGCTCTCGGCACGCATAATGCCGGCCACAGTGGGGCCACCGACCGACAGGGGGCGCTGGCTGCCTGTATCCAGCATGTTGGGTTAAATACCTGGGTAGACAATGAATGGCAACCTTAGAACTTGTCAACAGACCAGAGGCCAATAGCCAAATACCAAAAACCTTGTTCAAGAGAGCCAAGCTAGAGAAAGACAAGAACAGCCAAGTCTACCACACCTGGGTATATCTTGCAAACAATGCCCATGTACCTTGCTTGCCTGCCTGTTCGGCAAGCCGCTTTGCGCCAACCAACAACCAATCCTGAAAAAGATATCAACACCTCTAAAATGAAAATGTTTCCCGTGCTGCAGGCACAATAACAGCCAGTGGCCTCCACTCGCATCACACCATGTCTCGGTGTCTGTGCTGCCGTTCCTCAAAGAGCCGCGCAGCCTCCATGCAGTATCCCGTCCGCCCACTGCCCATCCTCCTCTCGCTCGCGTAGCATACAAGCACCCCGTCCAGTATGCCAGACAAGATCCCTTCCATCGCGCCCAGGATGCCCCAACCAATCATACTGGCAACTATGCCGACGACATACGCATACGCACTGCCCCGGATCCCTCCACGGTCGGGCAGCGTCACCTCGAGCTGTCGTGCAGTCATCACCCACGCAGCAAAACCCAACGCCGTCGACATGACAAAGCGTGCAGCGTGAAGCAGCAGCTTGGCCATCCGATAAGGCACCAGAGTCGTCGTCTGTCCTCGCTCAAACGTGCTTGGTGTCAAGCTGGTCGTCGGCCCCGTGCCTAGGAACGAAATCCTGCTCAACGCGCCAGCAGACTCCATCAGCGGCTGCGAATGGATCGATGCATACGTAAGAGCCAGCGGGTTGGTGAGGATCGTGACTGGCCGTGGGGCAATGCGCCACCCGATGAACTCAATGATTGCCGAGAGCCGCCGCGGGAGGATCAGGATTGGTAGGCGCACGGCCAGGGACAGCAGTGTCGAGGCGCAGACGGTGCCAAACACGGTGGTCAAAGAGTGTATCAGCGCTTCCTTGACAATCGCGTTGGACGGCGACGGCGGCTGCTTGTTTCGGAAGAAGTACCAGTTCGAGACAGTGCCAGCAGTGGTGGCCCGGACAACACCGCTCAGAACCGAAAGTGTCCACACAAACATGAGGAAGAAGAAAATGGCGAGCCACCAAGTGGCTGTACCAATGACAAATGCCGATAGTGACTTTGAGAAGTAGCCACCCAGGAATATCCGGGTGAACATGCTAAGCCATACCCATGTCCAGACGACGACGAATCCCAAGGACGCAAAGCCAAGCAAGACGAGTGCCGGGTTGGCACCAAGGATGCGACTTGAAAAGTCGAGAATGTCCACTGCTTGTTGGATGTCGTGGCGGCCCTTGTACAAGAGGTAGGTCCAGATTACCGCACAGATGCCCGGCACAAGGGCGGCATAGCGCATGACGACGTCCTGTAATCGGCTGCCCCCATCGGGACCCTGATAACTCGATATCAAGGGGTACAGGGAGAATGAGAAGAGCACCACTGGTACACCCAGCAGAATGACCAATGCAAGCGGCCTCACAAAGGACCGCAGCATAGCCATCCAAACCAGTGCAACGATGGCCGACACGAGGGTGTCCACAGCCAAGAGATAGAAGGACGAGTGTAGGGTAGTGTAGATGGTGTCGCCAATCGGGTGCTTCCGACTTGGTGCTGATGTGTTCAACCAGACCAGCACGAAAGTGGCGACAAGCGAGGCCAGCGCGATCAGGTAGATCCACGCAAAGAACTGGTCGTGGACGAATACCTCGCCGTATAGACGTGATGGCGCTGTAGGAATAGCGGCGTCTTGCACTTCGTCCTCGTCTTCTTCAGCGATGACTGTCTGCATCAGGCCGTGGCCATGCTCGGGTTGTGGATTCCTCAACGGGCCCTTCTTGAATTGCTGGAAGGCCGGGGGCTCATGATCAGTAGGTGTCTCCAGTAGGAGATCACCAGGGACGGAGTTGTCCATGACAGTCGATTCGAGGCCCACATCCACCATCTTGCCGCTTTCGTCACTGTCCGAGTTGTGACGCCTGGGGCTCTTAGCGTGGTCTGCTGCAGCATCGACGGTCGTCCTCTTGGTCCGTCGATCTTGAAAGCTCGAGTCGCCATTCCAGCTGCTTTTGATGCCCATCGGGCGAGTACGCTCGTCATACTCATAACTATGTTGCTCGCCGCTTTGGTCCAGTGACTGCCTACTCAACTCGTTTTCCGAAGCTGAGCTTTCCTCAAGCCTGCTCGATACAAAGACCCTGCGCGAGCGCTGCAGAGCTCGTAGATCGGCAGCGTCCCGGACGTCGTCCTCATCATCGTCTTGAAAGTCGTTCAGGGCGCTGTGAAAGAGCGGCGCATCTGGTGCAGCGCTGTACCGTGACGCGAAGCCGAACCTGGACTGCCCGCTCGGCTGATAAGGATTCCCGAGTCTCGACTGGTACGCGGACCGGTTGGGATGTCTTGAGAAGCGAGATGGATGCTCTGCAGGTTGTCTACTCGACCCTTCGCCTCTGTCGGGCTGGCCAAAGTTGGAAAGTCGAGACTGGGACTGCGCCAGAAACTTGGACGCGTCTGTGAACGAGGCGAGCCGTGGTCAGCCTGACGAGGTTCCCAGACAGATGGGCCGAGACGCGGAAGCATTCTCTACGATGGACACTCACATTCTGAAAACATGGTTCACGAGAAACCCGAGCACGAAAGCGCCCCGACTCAAGTGGGACAGGAAGAGGCGGAGCGCTGGGGCATCAAGAGAGACGGAGGTGCAAGGGGAAAAAAAGGTCGACTCGTGCAATGAGAATGTACCCGTGGTGTTGTGCTGCTGGCTGACGAATCTGCCGGGCGGTTCGGCTGAGCTTACGCAATGATCCAGGAGCGTTGAGAATGACGACAGTGATGCCTGCAGGGAGTCGGCGATAAGGAGTACTAGGCCGCGGGCGGCTATTGGCGGCGGCGATGTCGCTGTCGGAGTTGTCGTGTCGCGTGGAGGCCCGACTGGGAGATTGACGAAAGGGAGAGGAAGAGTGTTTGCAGGAGCCGGCAGACGACGCAAAGGGTGGGAGAAGAGGATGGAAGCAAGCAAGCAAGCAAGGCTGACGAGAAATAGGCTCTGGTGGTGAGCATGCACTATGCCGGTGGCAGGCAAGAGCAGTGCGTGCTTGTGAAGCGGTCACTTGCATGTCGTGCCTGCCGTGTCATGCACAGCTCAGCACCAGGCGCCAGCGCCGTATGCGGAGCCCGGGCCTGGAGCACCTGAGTCGCACGCCGACGACTGCCACTGGCCCCCCCAAGGGCCGCCCTTCCCCACGCCACCATCCGCCGCCCACGCAGGCAGACGGGGACCCTTCCAAGATGACGATACACTGAGCAGCACCTGCCAGCTTGATGGACCACTCCAGTCCCGCGGCCATCACTTGATGGGCCGTACGCTACCTACAGTGTCCGGGAAAGCCTGTGACTGCTGATTCAGACGATCCGTCCGCCCGGGCCCTTATCGTGGACGGCGTGGGCCTGAGCCCTTGGAGAACCTTGGGAGCCATCAATCAGGTCACGAGTTGGACAGGGGGCACCAGTGGATCTGCTGAGCGCTGCGGGTGAGGCAGGCAGGCCGGGCACATGCAGGTCAGGAGGGCACTCCCGCAACTGCAGGAGCTAGAGCTCCGCCTTATCGTGCGTCCCTCCAAGCACGCGCTTCCTCAACCACCACACCACTGCACAAGCCGCCTCCCACTCTATCCTTTGCTCGACACCTGCTGCTTGCTCATGACTGTTCTCCCTCATTGAAAAGTCTCGCGACCTGTCTGTCCCCCCCGCCAGCCTAGCCCAGCCTGACCACGATACCCCGAGTTCCCAGCAGCACCACTGTAGACCACCCAAACGACGTCACTGCGATTCCTGCTCCACGTTCCTGCTGGGCAGCTTCGTCCTCGACCTCTATCCTTGCCCGTCCACACGGCGCCGACCACAGCTGCTGCCCTCAATGTCGTCGCCGCCCTGGGACTACATAGCCAAGCTCGTCTGCATCGGCGACTCGGGCTGCGGCAAGTCGTCCCTCACCATCCGCCTCTGCGAAGGCCGCTTCAGCGCACAGCATGATGTCACCATTGGCGTCGAGTTCGGCTCCCGCATCGTCCCCGTAGGGCCCCCTCACAGCACGCCCAAGCCGCCACAGCTGGCCTCTTCACAACCTGCCGAGCACTCTGGCGACTCGTCCGCCGACGCCCCCGCCAGAAAGCCAGAAGGCCTGCCCACGCCGCGGACGACACCCAAGGACAAAGACCAGCAAGACCCTCCCGAGCAGAAGCACATGAAGCTGTCGCTGTGGGACACGGCAGGGCAAGAGACGTACAAGTCGGTCACTCGGTCCTACTTCCGCGGCGCCAGCGGAGCGCTGCTCGTCTTCGACATCACCCGGAAACAGACATTCCTGCACGTCACAGACTGGCTCAATGACCTCCGGCAAATTGCCGAGCCCGACATCGTCGTGGTCCTCGTAGGCAACAAGCTCGACCGCGCGTCAGAAACACCCGAGGGGGAGGAGGACGACACAGCCGCCGCATCCAAGAGCAACGGCAACCCAAACCGCGACGACGGCAAGACCGGCCACAGGCGCGAGGTCTCGAGGGCCGAGGCCGAGGCGTGGGCCAAGCAGAACGGCGTGCTGCACTACGTCGAGACGAGTGCCAAGAGCGGCGAGAATGTCGAGGCGGCCTTTATGAACGTGGCCGAGCGCATCTTTGAGAACATCAATGCCGGCAAGTACGACCTCAACGACCGGCGGTCTGGCGTCAAGGGCCCGGGCCCCGGGACGGCCGCCGCGCGCTCCGTCCAGCTGTCAAATCAGAAAAAGGCCGCTGCTGGTGGATGTTGCTGAGCCCTTTGGATCCCCCCCCCTCCCCGGGGCGGAACTTGTACTTCAGGCTCGCTTGTTTCCGGAGCATACCGTCCCGTCCTGGAAGGGTGTCCTCGTTTTGTATATATATATAGCGCAATTTCCACAGTTTTCTGTCATCGTCGAGGCGGAGGCCCGATGGCGTAGCACAGCTGCAGCTTTTAAAGAAAATGATACCCAATAGGACGGTAATAATGACTACTGACCCAATCTCATGCATCGAGGTCTACATGAAGCTCCATGTCTTCCGAAGGTGCTTTCTTGGCCGAGAACCGGGGTTACCACAAGTCATACCTGGAGGCGATTCACACAAATTCACACCAGAGGCCAAAGAGGTCAAAGAGAACCATGAGTATTTTCCCAATTACGCCTTCAGAATATCTTCTCTACATTTTCTCAAGGAAAAACACAAGCGTTCTTTCGTCATGTGGAGTTACAAGGTTCAAAGGAAAAATGTGGACTGTTGGTCCATGTGTGGGAGATGTGAGTGTGGCTTAGTGCGCCATAGATCGCGAGAGTCTTGTGAAGGGTTTCCCAGCGTCCTGCTGACCAGCCCTGCCGTTTGGTATGGAATGAGGCAGTGTCAATATCATTACAAACCCTCCAGTTTATGGCTCGGGAGCCCAGAGCCATGGCGATCACAAGTACCGCTTTAGTCCGACACGCGCCAGGTGCTGAACCACTTCATGTAGCTGTACTGCTTGTTGGGACCGGTCATGCCCCAGCAAATGGGGATGAAGTAGATGTACAGGCCGATAATGATGGTGTACAGGATGCCATAGATGGTGTACTGGATGACCTGCTTCTGGTTCCTGAGGAAAAAGTCGACCAGGAAACCGAGGGCCAGGATGGCAAAGTAGAGGGCCGGATAGTAATGGTGGACATATGTAACGCGAGCCATGATGACGAACGGCAGGTAGTGAAGGAACCAACCCATGACCGGGTAGATACCAGCGTAGTGGATCAGGTCAATATCGCCTTGCGACAGATCCTTGAACCCGCGCTGCCAGCGCAGGATGTACCAAGCAGCGACAAGACCGACAACGCCGAGCGACGCGGTGGAGACCCAGTACGTGAAAGGGTTGCCGAGAAGAAAGTACTTGACAATATCGTCGTTCCAGCCGCACATGCGAAGACCGACGTGGAGGATAGGCCATTGCCACCACTTAGAAGCCAAGTCATCCTGCTTGTCGGGGTCTGGGACAAGGGCATTGTTCGAGGTCATCATGGCGACGTTGAGGTGGATGAAGTCGTGGAGGAACGGCGACTTGTACTTGCCAGGGTCTCCCGGAGGCACTGTTGGCTTGTTAGCATCAATTTTTTCAACCATTTGCTAGACCAATCGCATCACAACTTACGCTTGTCGTTGGTGTGTGCCTCGATGTTCCAGTGGGTAAACGTGTCCTTGGGGTTATTCTTCTTGTCACAAGTGACCTCAATCTGCTTGAAACCCCACTGGGGAAGGTTGGTGTTGCCCGCCCGCAGGTAGCACCCCATCGAGGGATGCTTAAGACGGAAAGAGCTGGTGAGAGTGCGCAGCTGGGACCTGTCTCGAGAAACATCCTTGACAATCTCAACTTGCCAGTGGTCCTTTTCGTCACCAACAGTCAGGTTACCGTAGCAAGAAACTTCCTTCATGCTCTTGGTGACGGGAGCAGCAATATCGTGAGAGTGCAGATTACGGCCGGTCTGGGCATGGATCAGGCGGACAACGTCGCCGTTCTTGACGAAGCGGGGCTCGGCATCCTCATCAGGGTTGTAGTCAGCCTCGCGGCGGTTGGGGTAGAACCACCACTCGTTGTTGGTGTCCTTGTGGTGGTAGCAAGTGACCTGCTGCTGCTGAGATCCGTCCGGGTAAGTCTGGACATGGCTGTGGAGGAGACCACCACCATAGCCCATGTTCTTGATTGTCACCTTTGAGCCAATGGCGATCTCCAGGGGGGAGTTGCGGCCAATCTCAGTTCCTTCCAGGTTGGCCTGGAACAGAGAGCTCATCTGGGCATCACCGGGACCACTCTTGGTGAGAATGGCAAAGTGCAGGGCAAACGAGAACAGATAGACAAGCAGCGGGATGACGATCAGGCCGACAACGCGGGCAAGGAAGTGAGCACCAAGGACAGTGGGCGGCATCTTGGTGTTACCGAACTTGGTCCACAGATCCTCAATGGTGTAGATGCCGACGAGAGCCGTAACAAAAAGACCGACGAGCTTGATGCTGCAGACGAAACCCAAGCTGAGGCCCGTCAGGAACAGCCAGATGAACCACTCAGGCTCAAACGAGTTCTTTTGCTGGTTGTGAAACTTGGCCCAGCAGAAGACAGTGGCGACGGTTCCGAAGAGAAGCATGGAGTCGAGCAGGATGAAACGGCTGATTGTCGTGTATGAGTTCTCGCAGAGAACCATGAGAGTGACTAGCCATACCGCAGGGCGCTTGAGCTTAAGCTCACGAGCGGTGTAGTACGCAAGAGGGATGCACAGGATGCCCCAGAAAGCGTTGAACGCACGCATGAACGTGTAGTTGAGCTCCTCGGGATATTTCTCGCCAGACTTGAACTCGAAAGTGCCGTTGTATCCTGCCATGACACCAGACAGGCCAACGAGGATTTTGCCGAGCGGAGGGTGGACATCGAAGAAGAAGTCGCGCTTGATGTAATGCGAGCCGAACTTGCCGAAATGGGCCTCATCCCAAGTGACAATGGGGCTGAGGCCAATCTTGTACAATCGAGTGAAGAAGGCGAGGGCGGTGAATATGATGGGGGCGATGATGGGCTCCCACTCCTCGAGGGTTTCGAGGAAACTAGGCTCCTGTAATAACGAGCGGCGTCAGCAACTCCTCGGTTGTGCACGTAAATGATCACGACGGTTCGGGTAGCGGACATACCTTCTTCTTGCCGTGAAGCTTCTTCTCCTCGGGCTGAGTCTGCTGCACGATCGCGACGTTGTCCTGAGGAACGTTGCGACGACGAAGGGCGTCGTTGGCCGCGTCCGCGCCAGAGGCAACGGCGACCTTTTGCTCGGCCATTGTGGGCGATTCCTCCAATCAGTGTTGGCTCGAGATGTGCCGACTTGTTCTACAGGCTCAAGGTCTATGCTCGGGGCCAATCGTGTCAGTTCTCCTGGCAGCAATGGATACAATGGCCGTCTAGTCGTGCGCCCTGAAAATGGGAGTACTGACTGTAGTGTGTGTCGAGGACGAAATCGACTATGCCCTAGTTGAGCAGGTTTTCGATTCGTCCGAGAGGTCGAGATGTTCCGGGGAGGTATAAGGAAATGTCGGGCGCCAAAGGGGCGAAAGAGGGTCGAGAAGGGCGGGATCGAAAGACGCAAAGGGTTATCAATAAAATAAATTATAGGCAAGGCGAGGGGATGATGCCGCGTGTTCACAGCGGGCCGCGCCTGGCTCGAAGGGACGGGCTCTTGTCGAATCGCCGAGCAGGACAGGAACAGCAGGCCAGAACCCGTGGACCGCAAGAGGAATAGAGAAGAACAAGGGATGACCAGAAAGCTCCTCGGGCTGGAGGGGCGAGGCTGTAGAGAGGAAAGGGAGAGGGCAAAGGACGACGAGATGCGTGTCCCCTTCTTTGGCGGGAGGAGATGGAGCCAGTGGGCAATTGCGCTTCCTGACTGGATCCCTTTGACAGGCCAGGGTACGGGGTCCAGCGCATGTACTCCGTACCTCGAGCTGAGCAGCAGCCACTCGTCAGCAGCAGCAGCATGCCCTACCTTAAGGCACCTTCCGGCCGTCCAGCCCGCGCGAGCAAGGGGCGTCGAGTGCAGGTCAATCATTGTCGGCGGGCGCGCACTAGCTGCAAAGGGGTCCACAGCTACCCGCCCGCCGTGGCCCATGTCTCGCTCACCCGAGCAAGCACAGCTGGGCGTCCCAATGCCCACTCGTCCATTGTTTCCCTCCTTCGAGCTCCTGTCTGCCCGCCCCCATCAGGCCACCTTGCACAACTCTGCGTGCTCCAGCTCCGCTCCACAGCCCACCACAGCTAGGCCTGTTGCAGGTAGCTTGACATTCTTCAAAGCTCGTATTGCTGGAAACCGACAACTCCGTTATACGTACAAGTGGGAACAGTGTTCTCCTCAGAGAGAAACTCGCGCAATCCTATCTACTACCGGTAATCGCACACATCTTCTTTCTTTGCATGAGTTACATACCGTATGATTTGCCCGACCAAACACCCCTCTCAGAGCGGAAAAGGTTCGTTCATGCGGCATAACGAAGCTTCAGGCTGGATGGAGCACCACAGATCGTGTTAGCGCTGTTTTGGTGGCGTCGGCTGCTAGTCCTTGTGGTGGCCATGGTCAAAGCACTGTATAAAAGCCTGAATGAGGTCCGGTCGAGAGCTCTATTATCCAATGCCGTACCATGATCGCTGGCACCATGCTGTCTATCTGCCTAATCTTGAAAATGCGATCCACCTGTCGTCGTAGCGATTGCCCTAAAGACGAGGCCAGGCTCTAAACTCGTCCTGCATGCCCAGTGATACTGCAACTAAATCACCCTGCAAGCGCATCCACGAGACCCAGCTCAAGTCTCCTCATCCTCTTACTTTCAGCCCTCATCGTATGCGTAATGACCACGGGTCACAGGCTGGAGTCATGACCTTACCATAGTAGTCCGGCTCCTTCCTTGTCGCCGGCGTGAGCTGATCCCTTTGCCTGTACGCTCACTCGTCATCAGCACGTTGGTCTACAGACTGATAGCGTCCTCTGTTGGCTGGACTGCCACTCGTCCCTCGTGGACCTGTAACGCGGTTGAGCCACTCGCCCACGCGGGCGCGAGAACCACCACGACTCTGCGAGCGATACTGTGGCTTCCCGTCCACGATCGGCACGTAAGGAGGCTCGACGCTTCCGATGTCGAGAGGCGGAATGTTGTTGTCGATTTGGCGACCACGGAAGTCTGACGGAGCTGGGGAGCCGGCACGAATTGAACCGGTCTCGGCTCTCATTTGCGGGGTGCCAGCTGCCGTGCTGGCATCACCGAATAGCGAGTCCATGTCTTCTAGACGCACACCACAGGTCTCCGGATAGATGAAGTACACTAAAGCCAAAGGTTAGTACCTGCATGGGTTGCCATGGCGAGTATGACGACTTACCGACTACGAAACTGACAACACAGAAAAAAGCGTGGAGCAGGTAAAGCCGCCAGCCGATCCATTCTTGTAAAATGGGGGTCATCTCACCAACCAACCAGTTGAAAGCCCAGTTCGAGGCAGTCGACAGACTCGCGCCCTTCGAACGGATGCTAAGGGGGAGGATCTCGGGCGGGTAGAGCCACGGGATAGGGCCCCATGAGTATCCAAAAGCTGCATTGTATAACATGACAAAGATGACAACCATTGTCGGGGTGATGGTGACCTTGAGGTAGAGGAAGTACGACACCATAGACAGTGAGATAGCCATGGCCAAAGCACCGGTGAGGAGGATCACACGCCGACCCCATCGATCAACCACGTACCACGGCGGAATAGTGGAGAGCAGGTAGGTGATGGCGTTGATTCCAGTCATCATGATGGCGTCGTGTCCATGCCATCCCGCAGCTTCGAAGACGTAGGGGGCATAGTACGAAATGACGTTGATGCCATTGAGCTGTGCCAATGCTTGAGCCGACATGGCGATGAACACCCGAGTCTTGTACCGACGGAACATTTCGGTGTATGTTCTCTCGCCTTCCATGCGCTGAAGCAGCACGTTCATCTTGATCTCGCGGTACTCGTCCCGAGCCTTGGGGTTGTGAATATCACCACCACCGTAGAGGTTAGCAATGACCACGATACCCTCTTCGTCGTGGTCGTTGTCGAGCAACCATCTATTCCCGGTTAGATTTTAATCTATTCACGTGCCACGGCATCTCAACTTACCTTGGAGATTCGACAATAATGAGGCTCCCGAAACCCAGCAATGCACCCATGACGCATTGCATCAAGAGCGGGATGCGCCATGACATATCGCTCTCGATATATCCACAGAAGTAGTCAACCCAGACCGAGGTGGCATAACCAATGATGTTACCACTGAACTCGATGCAGGCCAGCTTGCCGCGGTTGTGCGGGGGCGAGATTTCGGACTGGTATACAGGCACGATAGTGGAGAGACTGCCAACACCCAGACCAGCAATGATTCTGCCCAACATCATCATGGGCATGTTGGTGGCTGCGGTCTGTAGAGCACCGCCGATGAAGAAAATGATCGAGCCGTATAGGATGGTCTTTCTGCGGCCGATAATGTCGCCGATTCTGCCGACCGCGAGGGACGATATCAACGCGCCAATCTCGAGAATGGCAACCATGGTGCCGACCTCGGCCTTCGAGGGCTCGTTGAATGCCCGACGGAAGTACGGGCCACTAGAAAGCTGCCAATCAGTATTGCGTGCGTGGATTGCAACGGGGAATTGAAGCACAAACGACGTACGTGATGATGCCCGACATGACACCCTGGTCATATCCAAACAAGAACACACCCAGGGACACGAATATACTCGTGAAATAGCTGTCGAGACCCAGGTCAGTAAGATCACGTCACGGCATATTCGACTTGAGGCTTGGTGGCCCAACGCACATCAGTGACTTCCCCGTTAGGGGGCCACGGCCTCCGGTGGGCGGCATGGTGACGGTGAAGGCGCGCTCAAGGCGCTATGCGTCGCAGGTGTACAACGGGGAGCTCTAATGCTGCAAGCTCATGAGAATCGGAGTGGTCGTCTTCGTCTAGGAGCGATGCACGAGAGAATGGGGTGGGCGTTTGTCGTCGTTATCGTGACATTAGCGAGGGTCCGAAGCCGCTCGCAAAAATGACGTCGCTAGGCACCAAGGTGGCTGGCTTCTCGCGCGACGAGGCCAGCACGCGCGATCCCGACAGGTGACAGTAGCACAGTCGGGTTTGAGGTTTCCGGGTCGAGAGCTGGTCAAATTGCCATTGCCCGCTGGTTAAATGCTGGGAAGGATCACAGAGCAAGCAGATGGAGCGAGAGTCGGAATCAGAGGGGAAAGGCCGGACGCACGTTGCTCAAGAGAGAATAGCCGGCGGGAGGGCTCAAGTCATCTGGGCAGTGACAGGTGATGGGGTCTCGAGGCGCAATCGCACCCCCGGGGGCCCGGCCCTAGCCCAAACTTGGCGGAATTTCCAGGGGTCTGTCTGCTTGCCTGCCTGCACTGCACCAGACACCGTACAAACAACCTTAAGCACAACTCGTTCCTTCCAGCTTCTGGATGCCGTGCCTTTTCCAGCTCTCACATTCTCAAACCCAAAGGATCCCAGCGGCCAATGTGATCGAGTCCAGCCACGCATGCCTCTCTCTCGTCTCTACTTCCACCATGCAAACCAAAAGACCAGAGAGCCTTATCGCATGACGCCGTGTAGCCTCAGTCTGCATGCGATCCGTGTCTCCCAGCCCTCGCCCTGATCAGCGTTGGAATCCCCACATACGGAGAAGCGCAGTGGGGTTCGATCCGTGCCTCTCGACATCTTCTCTGCAAGGCAGGTGTGCCTCGACAACTCATGTGGTCAAGAATTGGCCCAGGAGTGGTACTGCGTCCTGTGCCTCCTTCTCCCGGATTATGACGACTTGATTGCCAACATCTACGGTTGACCAAGGTACGCATACAAGATTGTCGGACATTGCTCCGTGCCAGCTTGAGGTACGGCTCATGGCTCACGATAAAGACCTCGCGACCCCAGCCGCCCCGACCCCGACCCCGACCCCGACACGGTGGGCCATCAGCAATGGGGACAGCCCCCACCCAACGACGTCACACCCTCTGGCTTTCTTTGGCTCGGCAGGAAGCGGTAAAGCTTCGTGAAGACTTCAGGCCGCGCGGGGGCGTTCCTGTTCCGCTGTCAGCCCGGCCGTTGGCCAACGTTGCATTGATACCACGACCAGCGGGACGCAGGACCTCGAGTCATGGCCGCAATTGAGAGGGGTTTTCTGCTTGATTTTCAAAGTAGATCGACAGCGACCCTGGGAGCCAAACATCGCCTCGTGACATTGCGCTTGTGGATATGTCAAGATGGCTTGTCTTGGCTGGGGACGATCACTCTCCTCAGGAATAATTGCCGCTCCAAGCGAGCTTTCATCACTGTCTTTCTTGCAGACCAAAGTCCTTGAATGTAGATGTCGCTTTTGGGCAACATCCTCACAATGAGGCCTTGAATTGAGGTCTTGGGTTACCCAAATATCTATGGGCGGCTATTGACTTCTGGTGAAACAACTCTTGTGCTCTGCTAACTGACTTTGTGTGATCGACCAAGGGTCGTTGCTCACATATGGGGTTGTGCTTCGCCCACAACACCCTGTGCTTTGCATACCATATTCGGTGGGGTTTCCATACAGCGGAGTAATCAGTTCCCGCGGAGAAAATCTGGGACTTGACTGTATGTGCGCGAAACAATGGTCGAGGCCCTGGGTTCATCTTCACGATCGACAGCTGCCCCGCAAATCAAAGCCTCGAAATCGGGTGTTTGGAATATGAGGACAGACTTGTTCAGAACCACAGTCCCCGCTCACCTGCCTCCCTTTGCCTCACTCTGCCTCGCCTGACAGCCGCGCATACATCGCCCAGCAGAATGCCGCTCTGTGCCGTCACGTGGACCACCCACCTTGTACATGCAAGTGACATATGGGCATTTCCTGACTGGTATTTCGAGGCGCCTGCCTCGGACGGGCGAACAAAATAACGAGTTTTCCAAATCTCAGAAATGAAGGATATTACCAGCGTTGCACTTTTGTTCTCGGAAATGCTGGTGCATGTTAGAAAACATCAGGTACCATCAATATACCTCACTCTTACTAGCCCTTTTCGCAGTATACATGTCTTCCGGCAACGTCTTCTTCGGCCATTCAAATCGAACTTCTACCCATATTATCTTATTACACCCATCTTGCTCACTATTCATCGATTGCGGAGCTGTTATCACACTTGCTCTGCTTACCCATGGTACATCAAATGATAACGGGCCCAAGCCATGCCATTGCTATTCCGTGCCGCAAACAAAGGGTTTTCAAAGGAGATGCATCAAAGGCAAGAGAACCAAGCGTAGGTGGCACTTGGGAACTTCCATTGGCATGCCCTTGCTCGGTCCGCAGTTCCCGCTACACTTGTTAATCATCCGGTCCTCTATAATCGCACGTCGTCGCGGCATTTGCAACTCATGGGCTCATGTCGGAAAGTGTCCCTGAGCGGCAAAGGCTTCACTTTTTAGCATGACTCTCACAGGGCAAGATAGGCCGAGTTCGGCATCCCACGCGGCAGATGGGAATATATCGATAATGCGCACTGGCGCCCGTGGTCAGGTGCTCTGTGCCGCAGATTTTGATCTCAAGCATACGACCTTTGTCGAAAGGCTTATAGCAGCACGAACAATTTGATCTTCCGCACGTCTGTAAGCTCAGCCCAGGCTCCGAAGCAAATGCAGGCTGAGTTCTTCGCTGTCTCGCTTCCATCTTCTGCTGGGCAGGAGAATGTGGCGAGCTTCCTCTGCCATGTCAACATGGGTGAACGAGAGTTTTCAAAGTATGTGCTGCTCGCGAGGCGCACAACCTTCTGTCTACCCCATGAGAGCTTAACAAGGTAGCGAAACTAATTGGTCCCTTGTTGCCTGGTCAGGCGCCTCCAGCTGAACCGTATCATTGGTGCCAGCGGGTATGCAGTTGTCTGGTGGTCTAATTTATCTTGCATGGCCCTAAGACATATAATGCCGAGTCCTTGTGGCTGGCGTTCACTGGGTGACAGGTGAGACCCGAAATCTAGAACGACACGGACAAGCAAACAACCCGAGGAAATGGCGGAAATGGCCCGAGAAGAAGAAATCCGGGGTAATCCGGTGGGACGAAGAGAGCTTCGACCTGGGCGAGCACATGACAGAAAGTAAGCCAAGGGAAAAAAAACAATAACGTCCAAGGAACGCATTGAGGGTACTAGTGGGCGCTTACTCACAAGGAGCATGGGAAGGAGGATAAATGAATGGCTAGTTGAACTGGAAGAAGAACAAAAATCAATCAATACGGCGACGCCGATATTCCGTGTTGTACGACGTGCTGGGTAGGCCTCACGGGAGGAGAGATACGGACACCGTGAACCCTCTCGAGAAGACCCTGGGCGTGGCGCATGGCACAAAGATAGTAACGCAGCTATCGAACTTTGGCTCAGCTTCCCGCCAGACTATGCCCGGCGCCGCACTTCTTGGGACGAGAAACCTTCGCACACGCATTACGGCATGCTCAGACGATGGGGTAAAGTGTATCTGGTTGTGCGCTCGCCCCTGTTGTTCTCTGAGACATCACAACTCTGATGCGCCCCGGAAGGCAGAAGCCACATCCGAGCATCATGCTGTACCCCTGGACTTATGCATGCATGTGCTGGGACCAATATGAGATGGGCTGGGGTTGTGGCAGCTGACAATTGCCATGAATGTAACATCATGAGTCAAGTGGAAATGTGAGGCGCAGCGGAACGCAAGCAATCTGTCATCCATCCAGCAACGCCTTGCATAGGGCTCCCTCCGATCCCTCGGAGCCAGGGGTGCATTGTCATGACACAGCCGCGAAGAGGCTGTCATTACTACAGACGTAGTAGAGACCATCAGAGCTGCTGCAACTCGTGAGCTTGTGCCCGATCTGGGTCCTGTTGAACGACGTGTGCGCACACCCCAAGCTCAACCCCATATTGTGCATTTGCTTCCTAGTACGGACGTGCTCGATTCCGAATACAAGACTAGGGGCTGCTAGCCTAGTTGGAAATTTGGCCTTGCTACGCAATCAGGCATGGCGGCGATCGCTTTCCAGATCCAAGACGCGGTCGATTCGAGGTTGAGAGGCTGAGTGCTCCTCGCCCACAGCGATCTGCACAGGCTTCTATGCGCACCAGGGCTGCTCGGACCATTCCTGCTGAGAGTGGCGCTCGTTCCGAGAGCCGGAAACTCTTCAGCACGACCGGGCAAGGAGTGCTCAGACTGTTGCTCGTAATCAAATGATGTGGTGGGTCAGGCCTCCTGCTAGGGTGTCGCACCTGGGAGGAGGCTAAGCAGGATGGGGGGCTGGGACTGGCTGTGAACGCAACTCGGCAGATGCTGAACGTCGCACCAAGAGCATCTCAAGACAAAACTGCGCTGGCATGCCCTTGTGCCAACTTCTTTCAGGTCGCATGGTCTTGCATCAGACGTGTTTGCCGCGACCCGGCGTCTTCTCGTGGTTGGCATGCTACCACTCGCCTGTCATTTCTCGTGCGCGTAGTTGGCACTCGGGAGGGCTCCGTCCCAAACGAGTCACATTCCTCCGCCTTCAGCATGCCATGAAGCGCTTGCCGACCACTAGAGTCCGGAGTATAACGGCAGGAAATATAGTGCTGACGTCCGGCCGATGATGGCGCAAGTAACGAAGCGGCTAGACTAGAGGGGTGGTCACGATCTGGATCCAGATACGACTCGCGCAACTGCGATACTGGAACCCAAAAAGCATCGAGACCCGGTTTCGAGGTGGGATGAGCCATGCGCGGAGGCTGGGGTCCTGGTGACGGGAAGGGCTTGGCCAGCGTGGTGCGATGCAATGCAAGCAATCTTGAAACCTGCTTTTCTCGGCTGGGAGCTGCAGGTCGTGGGCGGTGCGGGAGCGGGTTGGCCAGCAAGCACCCAATCAGCTCCCGCAACGTCACCAGGCAGTCCTCGCCGGAAGGTCAACTACAACAGAGGATACCTCTGGGCGACAAAGAGCCAGAGGGCCGGCGTGGAGTGATGATGCTCTGGTGTTGACCCATGAATGACGGATACGATGATGCTGTGAGCAGCCTGCCCAGCCCTGCCCAAACCACGCGCTCCCATCGACCGAGTCCCTTGCCTGGACCGCACGTCGAGGAGATGCCGCATTCGGCAGTCCAAGGAGCTGTGCAATTTCCCGTCATGGGCGGCGCGGCGGACTCCCTCCCCCATTCCCATAGCGCCGACTGGCGGGTGTGGATCGAGGTCTTGGCCCCTTGTCTGAGAGCCATCGGCGGCCATCAGCAGCTGGCCTGCGATTTGCCCAGGGCTCCGAGGGCCCCCATGCTCGAGGACTGGCATCGTTGGAATTGCTTGCCAAGTGCTTGCGAACACGCGGTGCCGGGGTCGTCGCGGAAATGGCTGTCTGCGAGGCCTGGTCGATCTGGTCGAGGTCGAGGTCGAGGTCAAGCCTGGAGCTGCTCCTGCAGCAGCACGCACTCTAAAATAAGGGCCGCCGATGGGGCCTGGGCTCCCGAGCTGTCAGTCAGGTACAGACTACAGCTGACCCGAGTCCTTGCAACCCCGGCCGCTGCGAGCTTCGCGCCGGGCCCACCCGTACTTGGTACTTTTTGCCCAGGGGCCCGTTCCTGCCCCAGTGCCCACCTGGGCTAGCTGGGCCTGCCCGGCAACCACTCCAATTGCACCAGAGCCGCGCTCGTCCACTCTTTTCACTCGCCCGTCCCCCAGAGGCGCCGCCATCGTCCCAATCTTACTGCTCTCCCTCCTCACCTCCTCACATCGCGCGGCCCTCTCCCTCCAATACGACCTCCCCTCCCGCCTCGGAGCTCTGCGTCGCCCGTCCTCGGCACTACCCAGTCGCCCATCGGCTCGATTGCGTTGCTACTTCTCTGTCGCCTCCTCTCCAACGAGTTCCGTCCACAGAGAAGCCTCGTCCTCTGTGTTCTGGTACGCGCTCAATCGACGACGTCTAGCCGTGTTCATCAACTGCGTGTATTGGGGGGGAAAGCTGGCCGGCTCGAATAACACTCGAAGAGATCGCTCGTCCCGACAGTCAGTCACCAGTGCTCAATAGCGGAGCCGAAGACACGACAGCTCGCTTCCAAGCGCAGCCACATCCCAACTGCCTACGATCAGTCGCCGTGCGGTACTCGCACGTCCAGAGCCGTCGAGATGGGTTCGACACAGTTCGGAAACTTTGAGGTACCAATCCTGAGGATCTAGCCGGCTTTCAATCGAATCAGCTCACTAATTGCGGAACAATCTGCAGAACTTTTGTCGCGATTCGACTTTGCCCGTTTGCAATGTATGTCGCCTTCGTAGTTATACACCACACTTCCGGCGAAAGCGCTTGGTCCAAAAGCTAACAAAGCCCCCAGGTCTTGAGTGAGCTACACAATCAGACTGGCCCCTGGGGCGGTTGCGAGCTCAAAGGAATTCCTCTGAACAATGGCCAATTTTTGGGAAACATCGGTAAGCTAAACATTATCGCCTCTTAATGTAGACGGAAGACGCAAGACTGACATATCCTAGGTTCGATACTCCTCAGCGCCGCTGCTGTCCTCGTCGCTGCCTTCCTTTTGTTCAAATCCGAGCGAAAGAAGGCCGCTGTCGGTCGCAGGTATGTACCCGTCAGTCTCTGTTATCAAGTATCAGTTGGGTCATTTGGCTAATCATCAACAGGGAAATGCAACTGTTCCTCCTTGGCTACATCATCATCTCGATCTGTGAGATCTTCACAATTGGAGAATTCCCTCTGTCTTCCACAGTCCGCATTGTAAGCCCTCGCACTCTTTGCAAACTCGTCACACACTTGCCTGGAAACTATACTGACTCGCATGCAGGCCTTCACCGGTATTCATCTCGGCATGATCACGGCAACCACCTGGATCCTCATGCTTAATGCTGTGGTTGGGTACCAGGTCATTGATGACGGCACCCCTCTGTCCGTAGCCCTGTTCTTCCTTTCTGCCGCCGCGCTCTTCATTGGCACTGGTTACATCACGCTCGACACTGGTTACGGCTGGACCGGTCGCTGGGCGGACAGCTACACGGCGCCCTTCCGGAACATCCCTCTCTATGTTCTGTATCAGCTTGCGCCGCTCGTCTTCTTGGTTGCCTTCTTCGTTCTCGAGGCGATTCTCGTCCTGCGCGTGCTTGGCGAGGTGCGACCAATGATTTACCTTGTGGCTGCTGCTCTACTTTTCGCCATTGGTCAGATCTTCACCTATGTCGTCAGCAGATATATCTGCGATGGCTCGGCCGGCAGGATTGACGGTTCGCTATTTGAGACCCTGTTCACGCTCCTTGCTGTGGTCATGATCTGGGTCTTCTGGTCGAGTATCACCGAGGATGACTGGCCGGCCACTGGCTCGGTTGCGGGCTACTGATGTGGGCTTGCATTTTCAGCTCTTTTAATTGTGGTAGTACCAACCAGGCGACAATTCGGGCGTGCGACCATACTTCGTATGCACGGCCTGCTGCGCACCCCCCAGGTGCGGCCCTTGGGTTTCACTACCATGCGGCGTTGGAGTTCTGATTCGACATTTATACCCGTGCGATTTCTTGACTTTTATCGGGGGACGCCGTTGCGCGGAAGCTGTGCACGGCCGAGGTTAATGTTGGAGGTGGAGGACATATATACACAAATCATGTGTCAACAGAGGATGCTCTGAGAGGGGATATACCAAAAGCTAGGAATGAAGTCAGCGAGTGGCACGGAAGTCATGCATTTCACGCACATACCCAAGTTGGTTGATGAATGAGGTCGGACATGCTCGCACAGGTCCACTTCATGAGACTGTATATACGACGATATTATGATAGAACAATGAGCAAGTTCCAAGTTAATTTCCTTTCTTGCTGGCACTGATACAGCTTTTCGAGGAGAGCATATAAATACGTGGTCACTGGTGCAATGACGTGTGCAGAGGTGGGTGGATAAGCCGACTCGACCCACGACACGCAATTGGCTCGACTCGTACAAGGCTAAGTAAAGATTCCCATGTTTGAGCTTGTGAATGCAGCCTTGCACTTTACCTCTTTCACGTACGAACCCGTCGCAACGACTTTTCTATTTCCCGCCCGCAAGCTCAAGCCCGCTCCGTTTACTTGTATACTCTACCTAGCTACTCAGATCTACAGAGGCAACCGCAGATCACGCACACCGAGTCGACTCGCAGCTTACGAACATTCCATCCCGACCACCGTTCTAGAGCCCATCACGAACTTGCGCAACGACACCACCCTTCCGCAGTCAGCAGCACGTCGCCGCGAAACTCGGCTCGGCTCCCGTTTAGATCTGCAGCTCTCGTTAGCCAACACTCCAGCCCCACTGGCGCAAATCACGACGCCAAGCCATCAGCAAGCCCTGAGCTGGCGTGAGCGCCTGGGTCGTACCATTCCCAGCTGGGTTGGGAACGACACGACCCTGCCATCATGGCCGACTCGGACGGTGAATACAATGGCGACAACGCGTCGGACGACGAGTTCCAGGTGAACGGCGGCTCGGGCCCGGGCACGCGGTCACGCAACGACAAGAAGGGCAGCCGCAAGGCAGGGAAGGCTGCATGGGAAGACATACAGCGGTCATGGGATCAGATAACGGAGGGCGTCGACGGCTCGCTGGCGGCGACGATAGAAGGTCTCGCCGAGGCCGAGAAGCGCGCGCGGCTCCTGCGTGACACGACGCCGCTGCAGCGCGGCATCATCCGCCACCTCGTACTCGTCCTCGACATGTCGCAGGCCATGGCAGAGAAGGACATGCTACCCACGCGGCATACGCTGACCATGGCGTATGCGCGCGACTTTATCCGCGAGTACTTTGAGCAGAACCCCATATCGCAGCTTGCCGTCATTGGCATGCGCGATGGTATTGCTGTGAGGATAAGCGACATGAGTGGCAACCCAGCCGAGCACCACGAGAATCTGAAGGAATGGACGAAGAAGGACCCCCAGGGCAGTCCAAGTTTACAAAATGCCCTCGAGATGTGCAGGGGTGCTCTATTGTAAGTCATCCCTCTTGACGTGCATTTCGGGCGCCGAATCGGTACTGACCACAAGCCTTCAGTCACACCCCCACACACGGCACACGCGAAGTACTCATAATATACGGAGCGCTCATGTCAAGCGACCCGGGAAACATCCATGATACCCTAACATCCCTGATCAAAGACAGGATACGAGTCTCCATCATCGGCCTGGCGGCACAGGTCGCCATTTGCGCCGAGATATGCAGCAAGACAAACGGAGGCAGCCTGTCGAATTACACAGTTGCTCTGCACGAGCAGCATTTCAGGGACTTGCTACTGGCAGCGACGACACCTCCCGCTACACGCGTCGAGGAGCAGAACACGGCGAGCTTGCTCATGATGGGATTCCCCTCGAGAACACTCGCTGCAGGAGACAGCATACACTACTGTGCCTGCCACAGCCGGCCAACAAGGGAGGGCTACCTATGCACGAGGTGCGGCGCGCGTGTCTGCCGCCTCCCATCCGAATGCCCAGCCTGTTCCCTGACTCTAATTCTATCTACGCACCTGGCACGGTCATACCACCATTTGTTCCCGCTGCGGAACTGGGTCGAAGTCTCCTGGACAGAAGCCAAAGCGAAACGCTCCCGTGCATGCTACTCGTGCATGGCACCGTTCCCAGAAATACCAGCACACATCACGAAGCCGAACAAACTAGACAAGGCTGCGGGCGGCGGCACCACGGCGGGCGCCGTGGCTGCGAGGGCAATCGAAGGCCTGAGCGAGTCTGGCCGGTACGCGTGCGCGGTGTGTGGGAACCACTTCTGCATCGACTGCGACCTGCTCGCCCACGAGGTCCTGCATAACTGTCCAGGATGCCAGAGTGATACGCGGGGCTTGACGCGGGACCTGAACGTGGCGGGACTGGAGACGTCCGCAGAGGCGGCGGGAGATCATACGAACGGCGCGATGGACATTGATACATAGCGAAAATTCGCCATGGACAGGACGAAAAAAATGCCACCAGCTTATAGCACCACCAAGGAACCACGTAGGACCTGGACATTCGGGCACGAATGAGGGGCCCCTTACACATCAATGATACGACTACCGACCTCAATCTCATCATGGCGATGCAGGCCTGCAGATTCCACTTGCCCGTCGCTTGCAATCATCATATGGAAAAGTGTTGTAAATTAAAGCGTAAAACTCATGTGTCATCATTTTTCAAAAGTGCAAACTATGAACGCTATGTTGTGCAATTTCTGCGTGCTACCCTGGCCAGCGCAGACAATGATGATGTGGTGGACATGAAACGATGTCCAAGAGAGAAGGAAAAAAAAAAAGTAAAAAGTCGCGGAGCCAAAACTTCCCTCGAAAACGTACAGGAAGGGTGACCGGACGAATGCCGATGGAAGAAAAGAAAAAGGTATGTAGAGGTCCTGGATGCCTCCCGGCTAGGCAGCAAACCATGATTCTCGAAGCGAAGTTGGCACAAAAAGTACCAATCCGACTACTTTTTGTTTTTTTCTTTGTGTAAAAAGAAACTGAACTTCTTCACAAGTTTCCGCGCTTGGCCTGCTCGCGCTCGATGGCCTCGAAGAGGCTCTTGAAGTTGCCCGCGCCGAAGCCCTCGAAGCTGTTGCGCTGGATGATCTCGATGAAGACGGTGGGGCGGTCCATGAGGGGCTTGGTGAAGAGCTGGAGGAGGTAGCCGCCCTCGTCGTAGTCGATGAGGATGTTGAGCGACTGGATGGTGTCGAGGTCCTCCTGGAGCTCCCACGAGCGCTTCTCCGTCTTGAGCCGCTGGCGCATCGTGTCGTAGTACGTCTCGGGCACGCTGATGAACTCGACGCCGCGGGCGCGCATGGCGGCCACCGTGCCGATGATGTCCTTGGCCAGCAGGGCGATGTGCTGGACGCCCGGGCCCGAGTTGAAGACGACGTACTCCTCGATCTGGGACTTCTTCTTGCCCGGGGCGGGCTCGTTGATGGGCATCTTGACCATGTTGTTGGCGCTGGCCATGACGATCGAGTTGAGCGCCGAGAACTCGGTGCAGATCTGCGAGTCGTCGACCGACCAGAAGCGGTGGAACGACAGGCACTGCTCGTAGAAGGCACAGGCGGCGACCATCTCGTTCCATGACTGGTTGCCGACGCAGTGGTCGATGCGGGCCAGCTGGACATCGGGCAGCGTCACGGACGAAGGGGGAGCAGACTTGGCGATGAAGCCAGGGAGGAACGGCCCGCTGTAGCCGTTGCGCGAGATGAGGGTGTGCGTGGTGTCGCCATATGTGCGGATGACGGCGGTGGTGACCTCGCCCTTGTGCTGCTTGTCGCTGAGGACTTTCGGGGGCTGTACAGATACAGCACCACCCTCGACGGCCCTGGAGTAGACGGCCTCGACATCATCCACCTCGAACGCAACGTCCTTGACGGCGTCGCCATGCCTCTCGAGGTGAGCGTGCATCTCGGCGAGGAGTTGACGCTCCTCTGGCGTTATCGGCTCATCCTCTGGCAGGTGCCTGGCCGAGCGGATGGGGGATGTGAAGACGAAGCGGACATTGTTGTTGGTCACGACGTGTGATGTGGTATACCGGTTGCCAGTCTCAAGGCCCTGGTATGCTACTGTCGAGAAGCCAAAGATGCTGTTGTAGTATTGGGCAGCCTGCTTGGCGTTGCCAACCCACCAGGTGACGTGGTCGTAGCCTTGGAAGTCGGCCACACCCGCTTGCACAGCATAGTCATCACGATTTGACGGAGGGGATGTGAGGTAGGCCGGCTCCCGCGGCGGCGAGTCAGTGATGGCTGAAGGTGCCATGCTTGTGATGTGCGTATGGTGCTTGGGGCAGTCGCCAATAGGCCAAACAGTTGAGTCGAGGCTGGACGGGGTATGTAAGTCAAGTGGCAACTGGGAGTTCAACCTGATGATGTTGTATGCGCCATGAGACACCTGGCTGCAAGCCAACCGGCAGCCTCTGTTAATAAGAGCATCACTGTGCCCGCCATGGGTGACCAAGCACTGCGTCCTACACCCACGATTACCTCATCCGGGGGTCAGTTGGAGGGCTGGGTATGCGCGGGACAGGCGGCCGGCGCCCATTCCGCACTGGAAGCCGCGTGAACCCACCAGTGCCGCTCCGCCCGGGCGGCAGCACGGCCTTTGCTGGAGACGCTAGGCCGTCAGCGCGGAGCCTCCGCGCGGCCCGCAGATAGCCGAGCTCACCACCCCCATGCCTCACAAGCGCATGCCCGGCCGTGGCAAATGCAGTCAGCAGCTCAAGCGTCAAGCACCTATCAGCTGGTGCCCTGCTGCTCCGGAGCTACGGTTTGCTGGGCTTCCTGCCTGCGACCAGCGTCCTTATCTGTGCCGCGTGGCCTGAGTAAGAGCGGTGGCGTCAGCCGTCAGGACCGCGGAACCGTAGGGCTACAGTCGGGCAGGCCCCACATGGGCCGGAGCCAAGATGTGAAGCTCGGGTCGTGGGGATTGACGTTTTGTCCTTGATCGCGTGTCAAACCAAACGGTGCTGCAATCTTTCACTTGTCAGAAACACTATCCGGTGCCTTGATACACACAACTGCTAGACCGACTTACATTGCCAACCCAGACGGCTGTTCTTCCAACCACCACCCACCCTGTCCCACCACCACAGCCAAGCACCCAGACGAAATGGCATCCGCTATGGGCGACTTGTCGCTGAGCCGACGTGATCTCAACGTCCTCGAGAAAATCAAAGACCCAGAGTCGGATCCAACCACTGCTGTCGTCATCGACCCTTCGCTGCCCAGAGATCCCCAGATCACCGACTCTCAAGTCTACGACCGCGTTTCCCGCAAAGAGCGCGAGATCATCATGGCCATGCAGCAACTGGAAATGCAGATTGCAGGCCTGAAGCCCCTTGTATCAGAACCCGTTGACGAGTATCGCCGCTGTGTGGCGAGTCTAGGGGAACTCATCACCCAGCAACCCCAATACGCCAGCGCGCGGAACAACAGAGCGCAGGCATTGCGCCGGCTTCACGGCGACACAATGCTGCTTCAGGGACACAAGGACCCGCGGGCCTTGATCAAGGACGCCGAAGAGAGTGACAGAGCCGAGGCTGCAGCTACGGCATTAGGCGATCTGGATGAAGTGGTCAAGCTTCTGACGCCGCGAAGCTTGTATGCTGGCATGTCGCCACAAGCTTGCAAGACTCTTTCGATGGCCCACACCCAGAGGGCCGCAATCTACTACACTTCAGCCAAGATGGTCGCCAACGGCACATCCATATCCGCAGGTGGTAGGGTCGAAGAAAGCTGGAGCAAGATAGAGTTCGAGGAGAGAGCGTCTCGGGACTTTGCCATGGGCGGACGATATGGAAACGAAGTTGCAAAGGGACTTGCGGTGGCCACAAATCCGACTGCCAAATTGTGTGGCCAGATTGTCCGGGAGGCGATGAAAAAGGAGTATGGTCCAGGCTTTGAAGCATAGAATTAGGGTATCTTGAGCTTCGCTAGTGGACGCAGTTCATCCAGTCCGCATAATAACCATCTCCAGCTGACTTGCAGAAGTTCTTGTCTTACAGTTGGACAGTTAAGATTGCCAAGTGCTTCCATTTCCAGCTATGCACTGCGTGCCAAGTCACTCCTGCTGCGTGGCGGCCGTGATCCGGGTGACGCAGCATATGGCCCATCTTTGCCGAAGCCGATGGAGTTTGGCAAGGTCCAAGGCTGCAGTCTGTGGAGCCAGCCAGATCGTAAGAGGTCACTGGAAGAGTCAAGCCAAGTTGCCAGGGAACTTTGCAGGCAACTTTGCAGGCGGGCTACGTGACTTGGCCCGCGGTCCCAGCTGTTGACATAGACTGGCCTTACTTGGACAGACCCATTGCGAAGCCGAGCCGTCTGAAATCATTCCAAAGTCAGGAATCATGTCCGTAGTAGATAGTGGCGGAAGACGAACCTTTTGCCGGCTTCGACAGTCTGTTCAGTGGTCTTGCCCTTCTCCTTCCCCTCACGAGTGATGCGTGTTGCAGCTGCAGCAAGGCCAACAGCGACTGCGAAGACGGGGTCGACAGCCTTGGAAATGACATAGGTTGGGGGAGCCATATTGGCGGATGTGAGATTTGCCCGGGCTCGTGCCTGGCTAACCTTGCGTGATCAATATCACAGGATTATTGTGGGAGAGAGGTATCGGCTGGTGCTGGATCTCGCGAACGGCGCAACAGCCACGGTGCCCGGGCAGCTCTGGTCACAGTGGGTGCCGTCCGTCGCCCAGCTCAAGATCGGATGCCAGGATGGCCCGCTTTTCCCGAGTCCCTCCTGCTCAGCGTCTCGGCCGACCTCAGCCACACCTGGAAGCCTCCGGACCTGCATCAGGCGGAGGGGGTGCGCCACGTCGTGGCTGGCAGCGCACTGACCACACCTCTCACGCCAAGCCGAAAAACCCACCGCGACCAATCCCTGGCCAAACCCTTGCGGTACCGCACCAAGTGTTCGCTTAATTTTCCCAGACACACTTTGGATTTTCCCTGGTGAGCGAGCCAGGCCTGGTAACCGCGGACTTTTTCCCTCGACCAACGACTAACTCACCAGCACAACACCCCACGCCGACTTCATTCGACAACCCAGCCGTCAAGATGAAGTTCCTCAAGGTCGGAAGAGTCGCCATCATCACCCGCGGCCGCTACGCCGGTAAGAAGGTACGTTCAGAACGCATGACGACGTCGCTGCGAACTTTTTTTCCCGGACGCCCGCAAACACAGAGGGAGGATGGTTGAGAGAAGAAGGAAGAACTTGGTGGAGGATTTCTCAGAGGAGCAAAGGTCAATCGATGCACGGAACGACTCGATTCTCGAAGCGACATCCCAACAGACACGACGACGCGCCAGTGCACGAGGAGGAGGAGTAGGATGTTTGCGGGTCGGCCTTTTGAATCTTTTCGCGGCGGGATTGCGAAACGTCAAATGCACACGCACATACAAACAGGCAATCTGGTTCTGACACAAGGTTTTCTTCCGTCTATAGGTTGTTATCATTCAGCCTGTCGACTCCGGCAACAAGGCCCACCCCTATGGTCACGCTCTGGTCGCCGGCATTGAGAGATACCCCTCCAAGATCACCCGCCGGATGTCCAAGACCCGCCAGGAGAAGCGCTCCAAGATCAAGCCCTTCATCAAGGCCGTCAACTACAACCACCTGATGCCCACCCGTTACACACTCGAGCTTGAGGGACTCAAGGGTGCCCTTACCGCCGAGACCTTCAAGGAGGTCAGCCAAAGGGAAGATGCCAAGAAGAACGTCAAGAAGGTCCTGGAGGAGCGCTACACGAGCGGCAAGAACAGATGGTTCTTCACCCCTCTGAGTACGTTTTTGCCCTCCCTCGGTCGTCCGATCAGCACCTACACAGAGGTTCATGTCGCATGTCGGCGATGATCTCGAACCCAATCAATCCTCCCGTCCACTCCACTCCCGACGACATTTGTACTAACTTCAAGCCTCACAGAGTTCTAAATCAATTTCCACATTGCTGCGTCTTCTGTCGTTTCGGTCATTAACGGGGTCATGGGCTGGGGATGTGTTTTTGGCATCATCACACACGGCATAGGGAGCCTAAAATAAGGAGTCACGCGCTCTGGAATCTGATAGAGATTTTAACATCAGACGGCTTTACGAACAAAAAGAACAAATGAACGAAATTCAAAAACACAAGACCAAAAACACATTCCAAAGACCGACCGAATCATTCCAAAAGGGATCGACAATGTCTGCGTGAAGGGGACTTTTCTTTGAGTGGTGGTATTGACCAACAGGCTTGCCGTCGAACGCGGTATACTATGAAAGATGCCACCTCTCCTCCGGCCAAACGGCCGATGCTTTCGAGCCACATCATTCGAAACGCCCGTCCACTTCCGCCCTCGACTCTCTCTCTCTCGATGTCCGCCACCCTGCCAGGCCTACTGGGATCCGGACTCGATATTTCGTGACCAGCAGGTTGGGGAGGCGGCAAGTTCGCAATCAATTGACGTAAACATTCTCCCAACTCAAACCCAGCCACATATTCGTCGTGCACTAGTGACAAGACACAAAAGACTACTGTTCCAGAACATGGCTGGCCTTTGCCTCTGTCAATGATGCAAGCTATTCTGACCACTTTCCAACGGTCATCGATGTGATGCTGCCAGAGCCCTTTAAGCCGTCATGCCCAGTCCTCGCCCGCCCGTGCTCAACATATGTGATGGATGATTAGCGCGTGATCTGTTCCCCATTCCCAACACCAGCTTGCCTAAACATGAATGCACCTAGTAGAGACGAAAGGCCTGACTGATGTCATACCTGTCTTGTGCTCCCGAAATTCGTAACCTTGCTGTAATCCGCATGATGACCGCATAGCTGTCAGTGGACTACGTCGTCGCCCTGTTCCCCTGCTATCACATACTGTTGGGTAAGGCACGGGTATTTGTTGAGGAAGATGATGCATGGTCGTGCTCTGTACGTACCCACAACCTCCTAGCACTTGAAGAAGGAATTGACACCGTTGAGGGTGACTAGCACTGTGTTTGCGTCTACGAGATCAAACCCAGTCGGGCCTGGATCACTAGGGCAGTGCGTGACAATGGAGAACGGTAAAGCGGTATATTGTAGTCAGGTTGTAAGATCCCCGTGACATGTCAAGCTTTTTCTCTATAGTCTAACACATTCGGTGTCTCTATATGGTTTTGTTTCCCCCTGTAGACAGCTGCCTCTCCCTGCGCCGCGGGATCGAGCATGTAGATATCGGCGTAGGCGAGTCTAGAGGAACAGTGGCAGTTACATACCCTCTAGCACTCCTGGGACGGTAAGGTTCAGTGTTCCTATAAAGCACGCCGAGATACTTGAAGACGACTCAGTCCGTGCCGAAACCGACTCCCTGAATGGCACCTTTTATCGAGTCCGAGCTGTACGCAGGGATGTAAGAGGCCGGCGCGACGGTAGTAAAGACGATGATGACGAGGAGCAGACCAGAGACGGCGACAATGATCTTGCGGAGGGCCGGGCGTGCCGCGCCGAACTCTGCCCATTGCCGGCCTCCTTCCTGGGCGTAGCCCTTGAGCGCGTCGTAGCCGAGCTTGTAGTACACCATGCCACCGAGGGCGATCGAGTAGCCGAAGAACTGGAGGCCCGTGACTGGGTGGCCCCAGATCATCATGGAGGCGAAGACCAGCAAAACGTCCTTTAGGACACCGCAGAGAGTCATGACAAGGGACGAAGTCTTGCCAATCTGTGAGAAGCGGGTTTGGTCAGTATCCTGCTAGCGAGCGAGAGGCACGGCTGATGCAGGGTGGCATCGCGCTTTTGTCGCTGGGAATCACTTACCAGGAACACAACAGAGACGTTGAGGAGGAATGCAGTCAGTCCGTTGATGAAAAACACGAACAGGCCGACGTTGTAGACCTCGCTCATGGTGACTCTGGGAACCTCCCAGATGAGGGCGACGACGCCATTCATGCCCGCACAGATGGGCGCAAAGTAGTACAGCGACACGAGCGGATCCATCTTGTACTCGGCCGAGCTCAGCAGCGCTTGGACTAGATTGAGACGAATGGCCTCAAAGATGATGCCGCCGAGCTGGTAGAAGAAGCCAATCCAGACGAACTTGATCTCACCAAACGAGGCAATGACCACACCAATGACAATGGCAGAGACATTGAGCAGAAGCTTGAGGTTGGGTGCGGCAATGCCCATGACCCAGCTAGACAGCAGGACAGCCACCGGCGTCGTGGCCTTGAGCATCTGGATAAAGGAAACGCTCAGGTAGAGATATGTGAGGTTGCCGCAGATTAAACTCAGGCTGAAGAAGATGCCGATGGGGACAATGGCGCGCAGGTAGACGCGGCCTGTCATTTTGACGTTCTTGCGGCCATCGAGGACCTTGGTGTATCGAGCGAGAAGCTGCGTCGCGACTGTCGCAAAGCTGAGGTGGTAGGTGGTCAAGACAACGGGATATCCTGACAATTGATCACATTGTCAGCTCAAGATGCAATATCTGAGGATCTGGGAACGAAGAGAGTGGTCTTACGGAAATCCAAGCTGTCGAGAATCCACTTGTTGAAGAGGATGACGGAGGATGACAAGCTGATCCATGTGCTACAAAGTCGCGAAGAGGTACGTCAGCCTCGCAGCCCGCTACCAGCATGAGATTGAAGCAGCTTGCAGAGCTAGACTTACGCAACGTAGACGGCTGGATGTAATGAAGCCTTAGCCGGTTCTGGGGTCTCGACGGTTGGGAGGACGGGTGCCCTGTCCGCGAGCTCGACGGAGCTGCGGACCTTGTCGTCGGCTGTCGCTGCCATGGCGGCCGGTCTTGCCTCGAGGCTAGCTCGTCGGCCGTAAATGTAGAAAGTGAGAGTGGTTCGCTTGCGAACAGTGAAGAGCTGAGGACGTTGACTGTCAGGCTGTAGAGTCGGCTGGCCGCGTGTTACGTGGTTGGATCAATGGATAAGAGCTGCGATAAGGTTGGGGTTGACGTCTTTTGGTGAGCAACCTGGAGCTTGGACCCGTCGACAGCAGACCAGCCGTTTACTTAGCGGGCAACCCTACAACTTCAGTGTGCGCTTGCAGGGACTTCCTGGCGACACAATTGCTTGACAGCGATAACGTGCTTCGATGGAAACCTTGGTAGAGGAAGGGATGTGCTTGATTGTCTTCAATTGAAGCACTGGTGGGATACTTGCCCAGGGGACGAGACATTCCTGGCCAAGCATTTCAACGGGTGTGCGCCATGGTGAAGTATGAGTGGCCACCAAGGTTGCATGGTGGGGAAGCTCAAAGTCACTGGGGTCTGTATTTGGTGGCAGTGCTCCAGGCATCAACATTAAAGAAACCCTTGTAAAGCTCGGGTTGACCGCTGGCTGGACGTTTGACGGGGAGTGTGTGTGACACTGATAATTGCCTGCTTTCCCTACGTACTTGAAGTACTAGCTCTAGGTATCTCTTACTAGGAATGCCGTCTCAAATTAAGCATTCTTTCCTCTTTCTCACAAACAATCATGTACTCAGTGCGAGTTCAGCTACCATGACTAGTCTGATTGAGATGCAGTGTTCCAATGCGGGCTCACTAGTGTATTCCCATTGTCTCGTCAACTTCACCATAGGGAACCCGCACGATCGTTGCGAGCACAATATTCGGCATTGGTTGCACCCGGCTGGCTGAATTCATGTTCCTTTGAAGTTGCATTGTTGAGTCCAGTGATTTGTGAGAGGTTTCTCATTTCATGTTCGCAGGCAGGAGACTCAACGCAACCTTTTCTTCGGGGGTGATCACAGTAGGTCGAAGCACTTTCAGTCGGAACGGGTCTTCCACAGATTTGTACAATATGCTTTAAGCTGCGCCTGAGACGCGATGATCACAAGTAACATGACCGGGCTGCATATGCCCAAGTAATCCATTGTGGACCGTCAACCACCGCTTCGACTACTTGTATCAGCCCGTGCTTGTGCGTGGTTCACCACCTCCCATGGGAACGCGCAGACATGCCGCCACGAAAAGCAGCGCTCATTAATTAGTGCCGCGTGGTGCCGCGCACTCTCCGCATGCAAATTGACCATGCGGATCAAGCACATGAGAAGGGTTCTCCACTAAACATGAAACACGCTCCGGATCACTTCTGGAAGACCTGCAGAACTTGCCTTGCTTGCCTCCATCGTCACTGTGCACTGTTCCAAGAAGACGTAGGACCCGCGGCTTGCAGCGATGGGATCGGCCGTAAAGTCATGGTAGCTATGCATGGCCTGTGGCAGTGGAAGTAACCGACTAAGATTCGGATCATCTTTGGCTTGTCTCCCCATGATTACTTACTGAAAGATGCCATTAGGTTGGTACGGCGAGGGCTGTGGGAATTTTCGTGATTCGTGGTCAAGCTCTGTGTCAGGGCGTTTGCGCCTTGCGACAGACAACCCATCCCGAGAACTTTCTTGGCACTAACCGACGAGGCGCTCTGGAAATCCTGACATGAACTTGTAGTGGGATAAGGTGCTGAGATAGGGTAGACTTGCATGAAGAGTGTGCAGATCATGCACGTTTGTGTCTTAGATGCCAACCGCATCTTGCAGGAACGATTTGGCGGTAGACACTCCAGTGTGACGGGCCGCGGGAATCTTCATCGGTGTGCAGAATCGAAGTCGCGATATCTACATGCCTGAGAGCGTTACCGCAAAGTACCGAGAGCCAACAGGTCATGTCCTGGATGTTCTTGGAGCAGTTGACTTCGACGCTCTTCACGGTCGACACCCTTGACACAGAAGCGGCATCGCCAGACGGGTCCATTTCCGCCTAGCGACTGAAGGATGTGACCCAGCAAGGCCGTGACTGGGGCCATGACACCCGCAGGCGGATGGATCTCATTTTAGGAAATTAGATTGGTTCGCCATGGTGGGCTTGGTTGAGTGATCAGCTCTGTGACACGCGTACTGATCTTCGAAGCCTCCAGCCTCCCATTGATTGAGGTGGGAAGGCCTACCAATGGAACAAGTTATTCACCTCCTTGCTCATAGGTCGCTAGGGTGATGGCAAGCAAGGTGTTGTGAGGATAGGCGGTGGCCATTGCGGCGGTGGAGTCGTGCAGACAAGACAGGGTTGAAGGGCCTTGTCCGTTTGAGCGACGCCTGCCGGGTGGCTGTCACTATGTCAGACCTGGAGGACGATCTCAGTCACCCGGCGGTCCCTCGAGCCGCCACCAGCGAAGCCAGAGACGGCTACAATCGTGCTGTCCTGGTCACTCAGGGGCCCTCTGTCACGCGAATAATGCAACGCAATTGTCTAGGTATTGGGGCGCCTGTCGTACTGAATGATCGGCCCCTTGGATATAGGGGCTTTGTCGACCTTGTCCTATCGGGACACGTGTCTGGCTAGCCTACCTTAAGGTACGGATGGAGCAGCGGGAAGAGCCTTTGACTCGCTTGAGCGCGGCCTGGCGGTGGTGGCGCGGCGTAGCCGCCTGCTTGGACTCGAACGCCGCCTTCTGGTACGTACCTTTGACCGACCCGTACATGCCGTGCTGGTCGATTCCAAGACTCGTGTCGGGAGTACGAAGCGGCTGCCGTACAAAAAAGATGGTGTCGAGCTCCTCGCTGGAGGACGTTCTGCTCGTTCTGCAGCCGTGATACGACCGTCAGCGGAAGCGGAAGCTGAAGCTTGGCTGTGGCAGGGTCTGCAGGATCAAATGCGACAAACAATCAACAGGCCCCAGGCCCTGGCTGGGCAACAAGATGAGCAGCGGGCTCGAGATAACCTCGCTGTGTGACAGATTGGGGTGGCGCGCTTGCAGCATCGTGGGATGGGGAGAGTGGCCAGGCAGGGGTCTGGCCGACTATTGCAGCAAGTATTAGGCGGGCCAACAGGTCTGGCGGGGGGGAGATGGGCGGTGGGCGTGTTGGAGGGGGAGGGGGAAGAGCGTGCAAGCGGGCAGCACCCGTATCGGAGGACCGGCAGGTACACGCGAACCCGTCGAGGGGCCACTGCAGAACGGCGCGGCGGCCAGCCCGCGACAGGTACCGACAGGGGTGACAAGTCCAGGCAGGTCCCACCCTCCACCTCAAAGCCCCCTAACTCCTGACCCCTGCTGGAAATTTCACCCCACCATGTCTGGTCATCGTCCCTCAAAAACATTGCCTCTCCTATCTTGTCGTCGGGACGCCCTCTCTCTCTCCCTCCTCTGCTTCTCGTTGAGCCTTCTTCCCCTGCCTACTTCTCACGACTTGGAAAGAGCTTCTCCTCTTCTCTCAGTCCACCCACCCTGCTCTTGGCATCTTCCCCACGGGAGTTTTGCATCTGAACACCCTCACGCCGCCCACTACTTCTCAAGTTGTCAAGATGGCTGATATGTACGCCCCCCATGCTACGTGTTGCCTTGCCCATCGGCGGCAGGCAATTGCGCTCCCGTCCTTGGTATCTCTCGGGTCTCACTGGATATGCTAACGTGGTCCCCTAGCAACATTGACGTCCTCGTTATCGGCGCTGGCCCGACCGGTCTCGGTGCCGCCAAGCGTCTCAACCAGATCGTGAGCTACACCGCCAGTCCGCTTGAATGGAAGGACGAAAGACTGGAAGAACTAACATTTGCTTATAGGATGGTCCCTCATGGTTGCTCCTCGACTCCAGCGAGAAGGCCGGTGGTCTTGCCTCCACTGATGTTACCCCCGAGGGCTTCGTATGTCAACCCGTCCCTAGCACCCATGCCATCTTGATTGGACATCGTCGCTGACCTATGCGTTGTTCTGGCACTTAGCTTTACGATGTCGGCGGCCACGTCATCTTCTCCCACTACAAGTACTTTGACGACTGCATTGAGGAGGCTCTCCCCAAGGAGGATGACTGGTATGACCACCAGCGCATCTCCTACGTCCGCTACAAGGGACTGTGGGTTCCTTACCCCTTCCAGAACAACATCTCGATGCTGCCCAAGGAGGACCAGGTCAAGTGCATTGATGGCCTGATCGACGCTGCCCTCGAGGCCCGCGTTGCCAACACCAAGCCCAGCAACTTCGACGAGTGGATCATGCGCATGACTGGTGAGGGTATTGCCAACATCTTCATGAGACCTTACAACTACAAGGTCTGGGCTGTTCCCACCACAAAGGTAAGCAAAATCCCAGTGACCCCAGAAGTCACCATTCCTCTAACACCTACCTCATTTAGATGCAAGCCGCGTGGCTCGGCGAGCGTGTCGCTGCTCCTGATGTCAAGGCCAACGTCCGCAACGTTATCATGAACAAGGTTGCTGGTAACTGGGGCCCCAACAACACCTTCCGTTTCCCTGCCCGTGACGGCACCGGCGGTATCTGGATCGCCGTCGCCGACACCCTCCCCAAGGACAAGAAGCGCTTCGGCAAGAGTGGCACCGTTACCAAGGTCGACGGCGAGAAGAAGATTGCTACCCTCGCCGACGGCACCACCATCAAGTACGAGAACCTCATCTCGACCATGCCCGTCGACAAGCTGTCCGCCTCTCTCGGCAACGACGAGCTGGTCCAGCTCTCCAAGGGCCTGTACTACTCCTCCACCCACGTCATCGGTGTTGGTCTCCGTGGCGAGCGTCCCGAGCGCATCGGTGACAAGTGCTGGCTGTACTTCCCCGAGGACAACTGCCCCTTCTACCGCGCGACCATCTTCTCCAACTACTCCCCCTACAACCAGCCCGAGGCCAGCGTCAAGCTGCCCACCCTCCAGCTCGGTGACGGCAGCAAGCCTTCCAGCTCGGATGCCAAGGAGGGTCCTTACTGGTCCATCATGTTGGAGGTTTCTCAGTCCACCATGAAGCCCGTCGATGAGGAGAACCTCCTCCGCGACTGCATCCAGGGTCTCATCAACACTGAGATGATCAAGCCCGAGGACGAGATCGTCTCGACTTACCACCGCAAGTTCGACCAGGGCTACCCCACCCCCTCGCTCGAGCGTGAGGGTGTCCTCACCAAGCTCCTGCCCAAGCTCCAGGACATGGGCATCTACTCTCGTGGCCGCTTCGGCAGCTGGAGATACGAGGTTGGCAACCAGGACCACTCCTTCATGCTCGGTGTTGAGGCCGCCGACAGCATCGTGAACGGTGCCGTCGAGCTCACCCTCAACTACCCTGATTTTGTCAACGGCCGCAAGAACACCGAGCGCCGTCTTGACCAGGGCCCCGTCGCTGCTAAGCTCCCTACTCGCTCCAAGTAAGTGGCAGCTTTGGTCGACAATTTCTGTAAATATCATTGCTGTGTTGCGGGAAAAGGCGGCCTCCGCTACCCCGGGGCTGCCAAACTGGAGTCTGAGCTGTCAGCGTTCTGGACGATAGACAGTAGTTAGACTTGATGGAGACCTGAGTCGCCTCCTTGGTTTTTGGTTTGACGACATTTGAACGCGACGGAATGAAATGAGCAACTTGGAGGTTGGATTATTTTTGCGATTTTCGGATTTGGTAATGGCGTCTAGAGTCCAACTCGTAGAGGTCTTGCTGAACTTCTTCGAAAGTGTTAGAGATACAAATAGATCTCTTAAGCAGTCTAAGCGCCTGCTGTAATCATGCATGAGACCTGTGCGACGCCCGCATGTGAGACATTGGATGCTGCATGGTGACGTTGAGGCGCTGCGCACAGAGACATTCCGCGCCCACGTTGCTGGATCGTTCTTTGAGGTGAGCCAAGCCATTTACTCGCGGACTTCCGATTCCCCATCTCCCAGGAGAACCCAGGCTGTCCTGATCTATCAGTCCACTTCATGCAGATGAAACATCGCGCAACTGCCGCATGTACTCCCACTAGCACAGGTGAGTAATATACGTAGCCTGAAGTCCTGTTCTTCCATAGCTGCCGCCGCGAGTGTCCGAAGGGCAACAGAGCCAACGACGGTTATACGAGTCGCCAGGCGCTCGATACCTTTTCTGGGTGAGTCAATCTACGATCAAGAGCCAGTTTATGAGACCCCTACAAATCGGAATCGCGAGTCGTGCCTCCACCAACGCCCTGTGTGGCGCCCTTCGATCTCGGACTGTCAGGAATGCAGGCCAGTGCACGACTTACCATAGTGCTCGTCCTGAGGTCTTCAGCGGCGTACACGGCCGGGCTTTACGCGACCAGCATGCAAACAATTTCAAAGTTGCAAGCCTGGAGGTCCCACGGCCCTGTGGCTCGGGGGTATTTTGATCAAACGACAGTTGAAATCCATTGAAATATTGGCGCGAAGGTTGCGACGACGCAAAACTGCCAGAAATTCTAGAAAGTGCTGCCAATATCTCATGTTGGGCAGAACCAGCAGAGCCTACGCATGCACCTCCCCCCCGCACCACGTGTAAAATGATGATGCGTGTTGGCGGCCTGCAATAATTTCGGCGTTAGCTCCTAGATATGCATGCTGCTGCACGAGACTGGCATATGATGAAGAATCAGCGAGGGACAGCCAGTTTCGGACACTTCTGAAGCACCATGAGACCGGCGTTGTGGGGAGGGGGGGGGATCGTGGCAGTCCTTGCGCGGCGCGGCCCAGCCGGGCCCGGCGGTGAATGGCAGGCGTATCTGGCCTTGGAAGAATGCTGGTCAAGAAGGGCTTGTCTCAATGGCCTTCCAAGGTTGGCCCTGGGTTGGGGGTTGCTACTAATTAGAGCAGTGCGGCTGCGGAGTATCGTCACCTCAGAACCTGCTGACGCAGTGCACGGCGACTGACGGCCTCTCTTCCCCTCCTCCGCCTCTGCGGGCACGTCGAGCATTTTCTCGCACCCACCGCTGTAGCGGACTGTCTACGGGCCCCATTGGTGCTGCTGGTCTGACAGCACTGGCCATTTTATTTCCGCGTGAGGATCCACGACGTTTGCGCCCGCCATCCTTGCTAGCCCCAAAGCTGGCAGGTTGAAGAGACCCCTTCTCGCCCCAGGCTCTCCTCACCTTGGCCGTGGCGGTGGCTCGGTCGACGACAGTTCTGCTCTCACAACGACACGCTCTCTGCCGGCAGCGCCCGAAACGACGAGCCCGAAACGACGAGCCCGACCTCCTCGACGCCTGCCCCGTTGCCGGCCAGCTGCCTATTGCCAGCTCTTCGCAGGCGGCCCCGCCTAGACCGCGATGACGGATACCGCGATACCTTAGCCATCGCCGAGCTATTTGACCACGACCAGCGCCGGCCTCGTGCTCCCATGATCCGTCGCCATGGACAGCTCTACGGCCCTGTTAGACGAGGGCCCCGATCCGCCGCCGCGCATTCTTGAACGACTCCGCCAGCTTGCCGGCTATGCCTGGAACGAGGACCAGCGCCCTTACCACTCTAGCTACGATAACTGGTATTTGCCTGCAACCCGCCCCCCCGTCCTGGGCCCTGGTAGTCTGCTGAGATCGGCTGGTTCTAACATTACGGTCACCCTTTGCTAGGCATGTCTTTGGTACTCGATTTGTTTCGCCCTACTCTAGCTCGCTGGGTAGCCCGCCACAGCCCTTCGCGAGCCCGCCAGCTCCTGGCAAACTTTCGACACATTCAAGTGGTCGCTCCACCGGCGAGATTCCAACGGTCTCAGGCCTGCATAGCGAAGGTCTGGGCGACAGGTCTGCGGCTTCACCACCCATCTTTTCGACGGCAGCGAGCGATCTCAACAACATAGAGGAGCAGAAAATTGTCGCTCGCATTTCATACTACACCCTCCGTGAGGAACGTACTTTTCACATAGCCAAGAACTTGAGCACGACTGCGGATCCCGAAGGCCGCCACATTGTGAAGCCCATCGACCTCATTCGTTTGACACCACTGCCCGGCGATCGGGCTGCCATAATAGTTTCGATTTACGAGAACCCCGGCCCGAACTACCTCTTTCAGAAGGTTGACCTGGGCCCAGCCTTTTTCTTCGCGGAAAAGTTTGAAGACCGGCTCGATGTCACTCCGTCCGCCCAGACCGAACTCCAGAATCCAATCACGATATCAGACTTTCTCGAGTTTGCCATTGGATCCACACAATGCCTGGAAATACTGCACCACGCCGGGATGGTTCATGGAGAAATCAGGGCGGACGCTTTCCACTTCAACATTGACACCAGCTGCGTCAAGCTAGTCTCGTTCGGTTCCGGAGTCAGGTCATTCGAGCAGGGCCTCACCAGCAATGGCTGGTCAACGTTATCCAAGGAGCTCGGAGCGAAGAATAAACTCATCTACATCAGTCCGGAGCAAACAGGTCGGATGCCTGCCGAGCCTGACACAAGGACGGATATCTATTCTCTGGGTGTAGTCTTCTGGACACTTCTTACTCAACAGCCTGTATTCACAGGCGCGACGCCTTTGGACATTGTCCAATGTGTGCTTTCGCGGCGGATCCCACTTGTGTCCAGTATCCGCACAGACGTACACGAGGTTCTCGCCCGCATCATACAAAAATGCACAGCCAAGAATATCGCAGAGCGCTACCATTCCGTAAGCGGCCTCAGGTTTGATCTGCAGATGGTCCAGAACTTCCTCGGCGAAGGTGACTTCTTGGCGCTCAAAGAGTGGCGGATTGGTTCCAGGGATGTCTCGTCGTTCTTCATGCTGCCCACGGTGATGGTTGGACGGGCCAAGGAGAGAGCAGAGCTTATCAAGGTCATTGACAGGGTTGCAAACAGCCACAGCGGGTTCGGCAGTTTCAATAACGCCAATCGTGCTTCCGATGCCTCTGCCTTATCCAACGATATCGTCGATGCGGCCGATGCTTCTAGCGAAGGCGCAAGTTCGGTCGACGGTGGTAATCGAAGAAGCGGTTCATTTACGCAGACCATCTCCTCCGACCCAAGGCATTCCCGCATCATGGCCCAGTCCTCGCTTTATAACGACACGCAGACGATTGCAAGCGACACCATTTCATTCGGCCACACAAGCGGGCCGAGTTCTCGACGGGGTTGGGACAAGCACTACAGCTTTACTTTTGAGTCAAGGAGTCACCTCGATGGCATGAGCGAGCGCCAAGCGTCACGACAAAGCGTGTCCGACATCTCCAGCATCCTGTCCAGACAGCTGGGCTCCAAGTTTCGCAGACGCGGCCAATGCGAAGTTGTCACTATTGCCGGCGCTGGAGGGCTAGGCAAGAGTTTTCTCGTCCAGCAAGTACTTGCCGATGTGCGTAGGCGCGGGTACTGTGCCACTGCCAAATTTGATACCGCTCGCAGGGTAGCTTTCGGGCCCTTGCTTAAGCTTATCTCGTCTTTGTTCAAGCAAGTCTGGGGCGAGAGAAACACGGAAACACCTTTGCACTTGGCGCTCAAGGACTATGTGCGCCCAATTTGGTCGAATCTGCACAAGACTTTGGGGCTCCCGGAGTTCCTCCTCGGTTCACCCGATGCGAGAATCGCCCGATCAGTATCCTCTGCCCAGAATACAGTTGACTTGCGTATGAAGCGAAGTCCCATCAAACGCCGAGGCTCGTCACCCGGGAAATCCCCTCCAGGCTCGGCTCCTTCGAGAAGCCCACGAGTCACCTCGCAATCATCGCAAGATTTCCTAAGGTCCAACGCTTCCACAAAGACCATTCGTTTGATGAACACTTTTCTCGACATTCTTCGGATCTTCTCAAGTTATCACTTCATCGCCCTCTGCCTGGATGACCTGCATTATGCGGATGACGAGTCACTCGACCTCATTACTCAGCTCATCGCCGCGCGACTGAAGATTCTCCTGATCCTCACATACCGTCCAGATGAGCTCGACCTCGACAAGCTCGAGCGAGTGATCAGCCCTGCCGAGCCCGAAGGTAAACTCATACTACCCCTTGTAATGTCCTGGAGCTGCAGCTGACATTGGTGCAGATCACCCCAAGGCGGTCGGACCGCGAGTCACCACGATAAACTTGTCTCCGTTGTCCGAAGCGGAAATCATACAATATGTCGCCACCACTTTGTGTCGACCAGCCGAGGATGTTGCCTCACTGGCTCTGGTGATTGAGTCGAAAACTGCAGGCAATCCATTCTATATGAGAGAGATGCTCAATGCCTGCCATCGGAAAAAATGTATATGGTATGACCACCGTGAAAGTCGGTGGCTCTTTGACCTTGACAGGTTATTTGAGCAGTTCCAAGGCGAACACGATTATGACATACTCGACAACGCCTTCATCTTGCGCCGCTTGCATGAACTACCACTTGCTTCGCGCTCCATTCTGGCCTGGGCCTCGCTCCTAGGCAATTCCTTCTCATTCGCCCTCATTTCACAACTCCTCACCGGGGAGTTTTCTGACCAGGCTGGATGCCGACTGCAATCAGGTGCAGCGTCATCTCATTACGGATTCTCGAAGCAAGACGCAGTGGCCGGTCTTCAAGCTGCCGTAAATGCTTGCATCATCGTCCAGAGCGAAACTGATGATCGTTTCCGGTTTGTGCATGATCGGTACATCCAAGCCGCTTCAACATTGGAGGAGTCAGACACAGCCAAGATGCATTTTGTGATTGCTCAGACCCTCATGAAGCACTCGGACCTGTTTTCTCCATCCTCTGACAGCATTGCTTCTCACATCTGCGAGGCGTCAGATATCATCAAGAGTCGCCTCACTGTGCGACGACCCTTTCGACAGCGCTTAATGGATAGCGCAGCAGAGGCTGCTGAGAATGGCGCGAGGCCCACAGCCATCAAATACTACTCGCGAGCCCTCGATTTGCTTCAACCGAATCCCTGGTCAACAACCGAGGAGGATGTCAGTTATGATGAGACACTGCAATTGTTCCTACGCACGGCGGAATGTTACGTCTACATGGGCAACAGTACCCTCGCATCCGGGCTGCTGCAGACAATCTTCAATCAGGCAGAAACTGCTGGAGACAAAGCCCCGGCTTGGTTACTCTTGTCCCGCATACAAGCCCAGAACGGCGACTCCGAGTCCGCAAGAATCACCTTGAAGCAGTCTCTTTCGCATCTCGCAGTGCCCTTCGACCCAGAGCCGACCTACGAGAAATGCGACGAGGTCTTTATGAAGCTTGCGACGCGCATAAAATCATTAGAGAAACCGAATGTTCCAATTCCACTTGGAACTCTGGACGCCAGGCGCCTGATCATAGGGTCGATCCTCTCTGATGCTTGCAGTGCAGCCTGGTGGAGTGACTGCCTCGACTTTTACAATCTGTCACTCACTCTGATCAATCTCCATCTCGATGAAGGCCCATTCCCGCAATCTGGGATGGCCTTTCTACACATTTCTATGATAGCACTTGCCCGCTTCAACATGATCGAGTACGCGGCAGAGCTTGGTAGCATTTGCGTCGAATTCCTGGACAAATATCGCGATCCGTTCTCTCAGGCTCGCGGCTACATGATTCACTCCAACTTCGTCAGCCATATCAATGTCCCAATGGGCGAGGCTGTCTCCCATCTTGAGAACATAGTCGAATATGCCGCCGCTGCCGGTGATCGTATCAGCACGATCCTGGCTTTTGGGCTTTCGGCCCAGATGCGGTTCTTCGCCAGCGAGAACGTCATCGACCTGGAGGCGGTCTGCCAGTATTGTTGCGAAGAGGTTCCTGGGTGGCATCTGGATACCAGAGGTGGCACCTTCCTGGTTACTGTACGACAACTCTGCCGTGCGCTTCAGGGTAAAACGAACGTGTCATCCGCGAAAGAAGTCATGTCAGATGAGCACCACTCCTCAAGCAACTACAAGAAGTGGCTGCATACCACTACGCGCAATGGTGGTCGATCTGTTCTCCTGTATGAGACGATGGAAATTATCCCACTGTTTCTCTATGAGCACTACGAGCAGGCTTGCGAGCTGGGGAGACGATGCTTAGACAGGCTTGGCTTGATCTGGTCTGCGCGCAATACGCGCGTGGTCCTACTCTATTATGGTCTATCGCTTTCTGGGCTCATGCTGCGCAAGATCAACGACCCTCGCAATACAGGTGTTGACTTGAGTAACGACATCAAGGAGACCATAGATCAAATTGATGGCTTCAACAAGAAGATCAAGGACTGGCAAGAGGTTTCAGATGTCAACTACCTGGCTTGGTCGAAATGGCTTGATGCCCAAGTGGCAGAGCTCCGTGGCGACCATGGCTTCGCCATCGAGAAATACGAGACCGCACTTGACCATGCCTCGGAGCACAGTTTTGTCTTTGAGGAAGCCCTGGGCAGCTATCTCATGGCCGGGTTTTTCATCCGCCGGTCTGCACGGAGGTCAGCTGCTGCTGTGCTACGCGAAAGCGTCGGCCTATGGAGACAACTCGGCGCCACAGGCATCACTGCACGGATAGAGGAAGAGCATGTGCTACTCCTCAAGGGCCCAACGCGACATTTCAGGACAGCTGAGGTCGCAGTACAAACCGAAATTGCTGGAGATACCGCTGGAGTCGCATACACACCAGATTCCGAAGAACTGCCAGCGACCTTACAGCCTACAATTGCAGAGTCGAACGCCGCACGGATGGCCGCATGGAGAGGTTCAATGCCTCCAGATACCGGAGTCGGGCTTCCGGCACTTGATATGATCGATCTGCATTCCATTCTCCTGTCCTCCCAGATCATCTCTTCCGTCCTACAGGTGGATGAGCTACTGAAGACAATGTGCCAGGTCATCCTCGAGAACTGCGGCAGCTCAGCAACACAAGCGTCGATCGTCATCCAGGACGAAGGCGATGGCAGTGGAGAATGGTGCATCGCTGCCAGCGGTGACCCGGAGCGCGGTGCTACAGCGCATCATCCGCGACTGCCACTTTCGGGAGCATCTCATGTCGCAGAGAACGTCATCTTGTATTGCACACGTTTCCGAGAGCCACTGTTTATCCCCGATCTTTTGAGCGATGAGCGATTCGGCAATGTCAACAACACATGGCTGCAGCGAAATCCTCTGAGCAAAGCCGTCATTGCGATCCCCATTTGCCACGGCTCGAAGCCTCTCTTGGGTGTCCTGTATCTTGAGGGTCAGCCCGGTTCCTTTACTGACCGGAACGTGACCGTACTGCAATTGCTTGTCAACCAGATAGGGATCAGCTACTCGAATGCACTAGCAATGAAGGCGGTCGAGAAGGTCTCTGCGGAAAATAACTCGATGATCGAGGTGCAGCGGAAGATGGTCGTTCAAGCTCGTGAAGCTGAGACCAAGGCCAAGAACGCGGAGGCCGAAGCGAAACGTAACGTCAAGATCGCCGAGGAGGCTGCAAAGGCCAAAGGCATCTTCCTGGCAAACGTATCGCACGAGCTGCGAACACCACTCAACGGTGTCATTGGCAACTCAGAGCTGCTCAGGGATGGCAACCTCAACAAAGAGCAGATGGAAATGGCTGACTCCATTCGCGTATCGGCGGATCTATTGCTGACAGTCATCAACGATATTCTGGACTTCTCCAAGATGGAGGCCGACAAGATGAAGCTGTATATCATTGCTTTCAACCCTGAGGAGATGATTCGCGAGGTCGTCCGGGCTGCTTCTTACAGGAATCGGGAAAAGACTTCGAAGACCAACGTCAAGATCATCCAAGACATCAACCTGCCTCGCATGCTCATATATGGCGACCCCATCCGCCTTCACCAAGTCTTGGGTAATCTCATTGGAAACAGTCTCAAGTTCACGGAAGATGGTTCGATTACTATCGGCGCACGAATTGACTCCGAGACCACAGAGCAGGTCACGCTCACTTTTTGGGTCAGGGATACAGGCATCGGGATCCCCCCTCAGCAGCTCGCCAAACTGTTCCAACCCTTCAGCCAAGCCGACCCAAGTACTGCGCGGAAATATGGTGGCAGTGGCCTAGGTCTGAGCATCTGCAAGTCACTGATCGAGACAATGATGAAGGGCAAGATTCAGCTCGATAGCGAAGCGAATGTCGGAACAACCGCGTGGTTCACGATTACTTTTGACAAGGCCAATCCCGAGGCATCAGCCGGCGATGTACAGCAGACTGTGGCCGCGCCCCCAACGGTAGACAGGCAAGATGCCTCCCCACCGGCGCGGCGAATGTCTGTGCTGAATCCATTCACCAATCTCATCTCGATACCACGGGAACAGATTCGTATCTGTATCGCCGAGGACAACCTCATCAATCAACGCATTGCAATCCAGTACGTTCGCAAGCTAGGCTACACCAACGTCGATGCGTACGAGAATGGTCTGAAAGCAGTCGAGGGGCTCCGGCGGAAAGCTCGAGAGGGCCAGCCGTACCAGGTCGTTCTGATGGACGTCCAGATGCCCGTCCTTGATGGTTACGAAGCCACAAAACTCTTGCGCAAGGACGAGCTAGAAGATGTCCGGAAGGTGCTTGTCATTGCGATGACAGCTTCAGCTATTCAGGGAGATCGAGAAAAGTGTCTGGCTGCTGGCATGAACGATTATTTGGCCAAGCCCGTCAAGGCAGATCTGTTGAAGCGGAAGCTCGACGCATATACAGTTGGGGCGCACGAACGCAACCTTGCACAGACGCAATTGTCGAACGGGGCCGAACTTATTCAGTCAACTACCACAACCATTGTGACGCCGGCTCCAAGCCCACCAGTTATCAAAGAGGGTGAGGTGGACTCATCCACTTCGCCGCCTCTTGTGGTGCCTACTACAGACCCGTCTGGGCTCATCCGGAGTCCCGAGCTGTATTCGGCACCCAGCCTGACGTCAAGCGATACTCGGCTGTCAGACCGTGGTTCTGTGACTGATTTCACCTCAGATGCATCGATCATGTCCGGTCAGACTTCCCGAAGGCAACCCAGGAAGTTGACAAAAAGTCGAAACAGCAGCGAGGCGAATGTGGCTATCCCCGAAAGACCCAAGGGGGTGCTAAGGAAGAACCGGCGGCCAACAAGTGTCTCCAACGTCCACGACCTTGATCGTGGCCACGAATCCGGCGCACCACTTGGGTCAAATCAGTCAATCCGCTCTTCCGCCGACAACGACCGGCCTTCGAGCTTGAAGTCAAACAGCAGCAGCACCGGAACAAAGGGGGGCTTCTTCATAAAGTAAAGCCCGTCGTGTATATGCTAGGTCAGGGGAACAGCACATGTCAGTGCATGTGTTTCGCGAGTGGGCTCAGCATGTGTTCAAGCTCTCTTTCTGCAACTTTGGTCACCTTTGTGTTTTTGGCTCTTCATTCTCCATTTTCTATTTCTTTCCTTTTTCCAATAACAAAACACATAGGCCTTCATGCAGCCAGATAGAGGGGGGTTCCACGGGAAAGTAGCTGCCATCATGTTCATAGACGTGTCGTTTATACCCTCAGACAGCAGGATCGAGCGTTGGGAAGATGCATGGTCACATTGGTGCAGGCGTGTCTTTTGGGGCACTGGAGTTGGCTTATCTCTATCTTCTTTTTTCGACTTGGGTTCCCGGATTACTTTCTTCAGGCATACTGTTGTCCTTTTTGCAAAGATACGTTTCGTGACAATGACTTATGGGACGAACATGCACGTAGGCCTTGCACGGGTAGAATGAGTGTACATGTTCCCTGAGAGTATATTATGAGATGAAATCTACTTCTACGACAGCACCTATCTCCCGGCCATATCTTCGGATGGTGCCTCTCAGGATTCATGCTTTGTCAGGTGGCCAGCGAGAAGGAATATGAGCTCGTCGAGCATCAATGCGTGCGTGCTTTACCTGCTTCGCAGCTGCAGTGCTCGCCAGGCGACAAACACCGAAAAGGGGTTCGTACAGCGAGGACGAAGTCATTTTGAGCCTTCATCGATTGAACCCATCAGCTCCGTGGGCGTGAGCTCTACTTCCCGCTTTGTTTCTTGTCTAGCCTAGTATCATTTACGGCTCCTTGTCCCTCTCTCGTCTCACGCGGTCAGGGAAGCGACGAGCATCTCCAGCGGTCAGTCTTGGCAATGATTTTTCATGTTTTCCTCCAGCATGAATACAACTGGCCACCTGCGTAGGCGTGGCCCGTTTCACGACCAGGCACGACGGTCCAGAACCATTTGATTCTCTGCATGTCACGCTAGCAGGAGACCATCATGATCATGCTTGCCAGCCACATGCGGTGTTCGGAACCTTGCCGCATTCTTATCGCGCAGCGACCGTTCTGCGCTGATGCCGGAACCGTCGACACCCACCGTAGGGCTTGTCTCGTCTCCCGTCGTGCAGCAAAAGGGAGGAGACGGACTTGGCCAGGACGGGGTGCGGTGCAGCAGCAGCAGCTGCTGCTGCTCACGCCGCCCTGATCTAGCAGCAACGCCTAGAATCTAGGCTCGGGACAACAGATGTGATTACATTCTCGCCGCACCCACGTGCTTCTCCGTCTTCTCCCTGGATCTGAAAAACCCAGTGATGGCTCATCCCGGAACAGGACAAGCCCAGGGTAGACGATACGATCTTGTAATCAAGATGAATCGGCGAATCGCGATTTTTCCTCTTCTTCCGATGGTCGGGTTGACAGCCCGAACCCTTTTCCTCTTCTCCATTTGTGGCTGCATCCCGGAACGATATCTCAACAGACCTCCTCTGATAATGGGGTGTGTGATCGTAATTGTCGTCTTGTACGACACCGTGGTCATGGTGGCACACCGCTGTCCTCGATTAGGCCACATTAGAGAGTGCTCCAGGTGAATCGGGACGAGGCCTGTCCGAAACATGCAGAGTAAGAACTTCTGCTAACATCGCTTGGGCGGCTCATGTTGATATTGGCGTGTGATATGCTTCACGGCTTGCAGGGTCTTCTCCTCCTTCGGCTTGCTCTTGGGCACTCTGCCCATCGGAGACATGTTGCCTGGCGACATGGGATGGAGCGAAAAAGCGGCTCACCACAACCCACACCTCCACATGCATGCACATGCACACCACACATCTCACCGTCGAGCCGGCACGGCGCAAGGCCCAGTAGCTTAGTAGAGCCCGATATCGACCGGGGCCCCCGGTGCCAATGGACGAGCTTGTGAAGACCTGGCCCGCCCTCTCCGCCAGTGTGTCCATGCCATCTCCCACTGTCTGCCGAGCACGTATCAGGTTCCGATGTAACGGTTGCAGCGAGCCCCACTCAGGTCGCCTGAGCTGGTTGTGAAGTGACTTTTGCAACTCTATCCACGTCTTTGCTGCATCGTGGCTTACGGTACGCAACTAGACCGTAGGCCTACGGCTGGAAGTGGGACGTCGTTGATTCTGAGAAGTCCGGCATAGCCCTGAACTGCGGAGCTAGCACGCCATTAGGCGCAAACTTGCAAGCCAATCGATCGCGGCCACAAGTTCGGAGCAAAGTCACTGTCAGATCTTGCGACACGAAATCGGCGCGACATGGCTTTGGCAGCACGGCAGGGGCGAAGATCGGAGCCGTACTCGTGTGCGGAGTTTGACCAAGTTTGAAGCAGTTTGAAATTGAAATTCCTGTCATGGTATCTTGACCAACTTCTTTGCAGCCCTGAAGACCTGTATGTCCGCTCTGTTCGCGTTGAAGCAGCGCGAAATGAAGAGGGAATCGAGAGGCGATGCTTGGGCAGGCTGATGTTTACCAGACGATCGTCCTCTGGTAACCTCACCCTATGCGTTGCCAATTGGAACGTTTAAGAACAGCGAAGAGAACACATTGGTTCACAGATTAGAAAAGAGTAGCACCTGCATCATCCTTGGCCAGCAGGCGAGGCAGCTTCGGCATGTCCAGATTTCACATTTCTACTGAGAATCAGAGACGAGGTGGCGTCGGCGTACCACGGGGGACGAATACGCGACAAAGGGCGAATGGCACCAAACTTAATGAACGATCGCGATGTTGTTCTTTTCCCTGGGCAGCGAAGAACAGTCCAATGCCAGGTAATTGCTGGGTCGCTCCTCAATCTGCCATCCCGCGCGTGTTCTGAGACACGGCAGAAGGCGTGTGTGGATCGTGAATGAGATTAAAGAAGCGGCTTGCACTGGATGGCCACCTGACAGGAGTTGACTGTTGTCGTTGGGACCTGACAAGCGTTGTCATGTCAGGTCCAGGATAGAGTAACCAAAACGGGAATGGGAAGGGCATCGGTCCACCGTTCCTGAAGAAATCAGTGGTAGAAAATATTTAGTTTGCACATGTGCGGGTCGGCCACAAAGAACTTTTGACAATTGTCCCGCGAGCCGTTGGAGCGAGCCACTAGGCGGCTAAGCTTGTGGTCCAGGAGATCGACCTGTGTGGCGCTGCCTCGAGTGGTGTCCCTGCACGGACTGGCCGTAGACTATACAGGCGAGGCTAATGCCACGACCAAGCCTTAGGTTATCCGTGCACTGTATGATCCTCGGGCGGGAGTCCAGATCGACGCCTTTGAAGCGACATAGAAATGGTCTGATTGAGGTTACGGAGGCTTTTTTTTTTTTTTTTTCTCTCTATTCTTCTTGCACGATGATCCCAGTCTGGCGAGGTAGATGCACACAGGCCCGAAATGGCCAGTCTGGCTGAACTTGGCATGCGCATGTGGAGCTTATTCCGTAACCACATCAATTGCCAATTTTTGCGGATCAGAAACTGGTTGTCGAGCGCCATGTTCCAGTCACACCGCCCTCACCAAAGCAAGAATAGGGACAAAGAGATGGAGGAAAGGCGGCCCACTTGAGTGAAAAAGCCGAGCGTGTGGCGGAGTGTGGCTGGTCACCCATGTCTGGCCCGGTTGTGTCGACAACCCGTCAGACAGATCAGCGGACTTGACAACCAGCTATGCCGCTTGGGAAGAGATCAGATTCGTTCCTTGATGCACGACAGCGTCCTTGGGCGCCCAGGGTGCGTGCTGGAAGGGCGGCGCTGTAGCGGCAATTGGACGAGCATGGCTTGCTTCCTCAATTCTGCCCAATCGGGGCATCCAGGACTTGGATAAATCAGCTTCGTTAGGCCGAGCTCCAGCACCTTTTGTTCATTGACGACTTGGCAGCAAGGCTCGCTTTTGCGCCATGCTTCATGAGACGGACCCCTGACTTGCGTGTGTTCCGCATCTCCGATATAGAGTACCGTGCGAGAAGGTACACAGTCGAGTGCGGCTCGTGTGGGAGTGTCGTATCGCGTAGGGAGACATTGCTGCAGGTTCCAGGAGGACAGGCAACTTCCGCAAACGAACGGTTTTGCCAGGGTGTCTACGGAGTAGTTCGAAGAAAGTGCGAACCAGGATTCGACAGGGACAGCACCTTGGCTTACCAAAAGAATGTGGTGATGACGCCCGACTGGTATGATTGAGACGACACCCGCACCCGATCCCAGTAACCCGAGTCCCTCGCGTGAGGCATCATGGCTCCGCACGACATATGTGACAACAAGATGACTTGCAGTGTGGATTACTGTGGACCAAGCCAGCATGACGGCGACGCCCACAAGCTTGCCGGGCAGCCTGCACGTGGTGCGCACGCACCTTGTGGAAACGGCGATGGTGATGGCGACGAGATGCTCACGACGCTCGTGGAGATGGAAGGGGTCGAACTTGTCTCGCGGAACGGTTGCGTGGCTGCACTAAGGAAGTGGACCGCGGGCTGGCAGACCTCGCCTGTCCCGTCATCCCAAGTCGCAGGCGGGGCGGGTATTTGGGCTCGAGTGAGACTCGCATGGGCTGGCGACGGCGTTGCCTGCTGATTTTGACATTGTTGTTTTGGTTGTTGTTGTTATTGGTGTTGTCGGCGGTGCTGATCTTCCGAGTACAATCGTGCTGTAGCCGTGCGGGCAGCTCCATCCAGCCTTGGGCTGATGGTGATCTCGGTCGGAGGGTGTAGAAGTGGGCCCCATGGGGCTACCAGATGGCGCCGTTTCAGATTGATCCAGACCTGGGAAGGCGCGAGGGAGGCTTGTGAGGGCAGGCACGCGACGCACGGCCGAGTCGTCAAGCCACCTGGCATGGCAAGGGCACTTGCCGTTGCTGGCAGGGTCCCAGGCCTGGGCCCCTGCTCTGCTGCTCCACGGCACTGCCTGACTGGACGGACTGGATGGCGGGGGTTGGCCTGCCTCATGCCCACCGTGGAAGCTCATTGCCCATTTCGCGGGCCACCACTGTACCCGAAACACAAAGACGCGCGACTTGGGATTGCGCTGTCTTGGTCCCAACGGCCACCGACAAATCCAGCGACGCTCACCCGCCCCGGCCGAGCCAGCTGCCTGGCCTACCTGGGTTGCGAGATTGCGCGCTTCCTCCTCACCCCCGGCATACTCGCTCAGCTCGCTCCCTGCTGTCGACATCAGGGTCTGGAGGCCGCGAACCGCATTGCGCATCGTCTAGCTCGAGATCGGCACTCTCTCTTGCCAAGGAGAGCCAGTTGGTTCGTTCTGTCCGGCTCGACCTTCCACCCGGGAAAGCGGAGTTCACCAGAGCCTCAAGCCGAGCCTCTCGCCTGCCATGCTCGCGTGGCAACTTGATGCCCATTTCGACTCGCACCAGCCACTCCAACAGCCGATCGCGGTGGAAGCTGCCTGAGCACCATACAAGGCCGTGATGGGCAACCAGCATTCCGCATGCCAGCGCAGGACCCCCCTGCCGTCCCGCTAAGCACCAACGGCGTGGAACCGGTCGAGTCTCTGGTCTCGATTTCCCTCATGGACTACAGCCCCTCGGCCCCTCAGCGGCGTGCGCCGACGGCTCTGATCCGCCCCCTGCACACTTCGATCGACCATTTTGGGTCAAAACCAGCCAGGCTCCACCACGACCTGCAACCCATCCTACCATTTGATTGGCCAAGAAAGTGTCCGCTGTCCAGTTTGGGCATTCCATCGTTGCAAGTTGGCACAAATCCCTGGTATCCAATCTTGGCCCGAGGCGTCCTCCGCATCCCCACCGAGTAACCCAGCTCCGCGAGTCCGCTCAGCACCTCGGCAGTGGCCCTGATGAACAACATCGTCAATCACCAATCCATGTTCGGAACACGGGATGATCTTGTCATCGTCGAAAGAATGTGGATCCCTCCAGAGCGGCTCTTTGTCTAATTGCGGCTGGGTTCCAGGTCCTCGTGCGAGGCACACGTGGGACAACTCACACCTGTCTCAGATTCTGACGGGTGGCGGACTCCTTGTGGCTGGTCGACAATTTCCTTGCCTTACGTGACAAACCTGCCGCGGAGAGTCACAAGCAGTAGTGTTTGTCTCGTCTCATCCTACACCGCTTGGATCCGTGGCGGGCAATACCCTCCAGGAACGCAGTAAGACCAGGCATTCATGAGCCACGTGTTTTAGCCATATGGCACGTTCGTCGTGACATATAGGACGGGCTACTCGTCTATTCTATGCTAGCAGTGTTCAGTCACCTTTTAACACAGCCTTTGCTCCAGTCGTGCTGGCCAACCTGGCCAGTGAGGAATGGAACTTTGGACCACTCTTTCTTGGTCTGTGCCGCAAGCCTAAGTGGTACTGGCAGAAACGTCGCGTGTCAGGCTGACTGTGGCATCCAAATGTCCTGAATGCTACATCGCCATGGGCCATGAAAGCATCATTCGAAACCGCGAGTGTTCAGCACCAAGTCCGTAGCATGTGGCAACTACAATCAACAACAGCTGGAGATCAGGCGCAAATACCTCAACTCAAGCGACATCTTGACTAAACTATGCCTTCACAAACGGGCTATCTGTGGGAATCAGTGTGGCCAACCGCACACGCTTTGTAGTCCCACGACGTCTTTGCAATAATAATATCCCGAAACTCAGGCTCAGCACTTTCGCGAACAAACTTGATTTAGACGTGCTTCGGCTCGAAAGCCGAAGGCAAAGCCGCCTGGTCGGGGCGCTTCAGATGACGAGCAGGACCAATACGAGACAGCGCAGACCAGGAGCCCGATCCCCCTGTCGCTTTGTGTGCAGGGATGGTGGCATTTGCTGAGCGACCAAATCCAGGTCTTCGATGCGTGTCTCTCCGCGGCGAAGATTCCTTATGTGCAGCAAATACAATGCGCTCCGCTCGCTGCAAGATGCGAGCGTACGAATCACTCACTTGCGCAGCCTGGGAGTGAGAGTTTGCTTGCATGAGGGGAACATCGTGGTCATGTCATCACCGCAGCGCATGCAAGTCATGCGATGGCCAGCACCGACATTGAGATATGTGCTTGCAAGAAGAGGCTACCCTCACACCCCCTCGACCCACATAGGCTGATCCGTCCGAGAATGCTCGGCCACCCCCCTCCCTTCGCTACGACTGTAGGGCAAGCTCGACGGATCGACCCTGCGTCGAGCAGCAGGACTACACCAGCAACATTCCGTCCTTGCCCGTTTCGGCTACCGCTTGTCGGGCTGGGTTTGATCATGGTCTTGCCCGTGGCCAACCACGGCGCTACCATGAGAACAATAAGACACCATGTGCGCAAGCTGCCACTAGAGAAAGGCGACCAGGCCATGCCAGGCTCACAAGCTCAGAACAACGCTCGCCCCGCCACAGGAGGCTAATGCTGCACATCGGACAGCCATCCTAGACCCTAAAGTGGGCGAGTCCTTACTTCCCCAATTAATGACTACGTTACCACACCCCCCATGAGAACAGGTCAAGTCGCGACGGCCGGACTGGCGTTCTGGGCTTACTCGCCCGCCGCTGGTCCCTGCTGAGTACCGGGCTACTAGATCCCTATCATACCCTGTGCAAAGCACGCTAGCTGTCGTGCCCTAGAGCTGAAAGTCGTTCTTTGCGCGGCATTCGCCTCTTCCTATCACGGACGATCCTTTAACTGTCACTCGCGCTTAGCTTGTTACACACTCTAGCCCGCACGTTCCATCCTTGACTCCTCCTTCCCTGCTCGTAAATTCTAGACCCGGCTCATCTTGCCTCTCCAAACCGCCAGATTTGCCTTCGTGAAATTCCTCGACACTACCGGGTCTTGCAGAAGATCATCAAGCCCGTCCGCTTTTTGTCACATCTGCCGGCAGGTTGGATCCAATTGGCGAGTCTTCGTGAGCAACGGCGTTTCCACTAGAGCACTCTTTGCTCATGACGGAGTCTGGCATTTCGCCTTTCGACAAGACCGCGCCAGCAACCAGCAACGCCTCGCATATCGCGAGCACAAAATCCAATCACGAATCGTAAGCATCGAGTCTTGGGATTTCACTATAGCTGCCGTCGAAGCTTGGTGTCCAGTACCAGACACATTACGGTTTTTGCCAGAAGACCTGGTTAAGACTCTTGACATTCTCTTCGACGAGTACACAGACTGGCACGAAGAGACTCAAGATGCGGCAGCCTCTTATTGTATAACCGGGTACATGTCACTGCTCATCCTTCGGGTCTCAGCCGCCGATGCCGCATGTGTCCAGCTAACCTTCTGCAATCTAGGTCCAGTACAGGGTTTCTTGGAACTTCCCTGCGCACTGCCTGCCCTTTCCATCTTTGAAGGCACACCACTCACAGTGCCCGGCTGGCCCCTCATTCGCTCTCCTTTCGTTGCCGTGCTCGGGAACACATAACAGCCACCCGTGCGGCAACTAGGGTTACCCACAACATATACAAATCCTGGCCAGCCCCCCCATCGCGTTACCACCGGGCTGGGTAACCTCTTCATGCAAAGGTCATTATAGCCCCCGATTATGAGTTCCTCATCCCTATTATCATCACCAGCATCATTCGGAATCTCCTTGACTCTGAAGACCTCCCATGCTTGGCCCAACGCGGTGACGTTGCAGTAGCCACACCGCCCACCTCTCAGAACCCAAACTTTGCTCACATGTCGCCTTCGACGCTGAAATGATGCTCACAACAAAGCAGCCAGTACATTACGGTTACAGAAACCTTCATGAGATTCCAACGCCGCCTCGCACCTCACCCATCCTAGGGACTCAGGACCAGCCCCTCAATTCAGCGAGGACTCTACCCACCACTCGTAGTCCCAGGCTACAGTCCATGTCAGGACCGCATCGCGGCTTGCCGCCTCCTCCGGGTATGGCTCTGCCGCACCCCTCGCCGGCAGTTGCAGTTCACCAACCCCCACCCCCAGGCCCTTCTTCACATCCGCAGGCCCTGCCGCCGCCTGCGCATACTCATCCAGCGCTGGCCTCATCGTCTCAACCCCATCCGGAGGAGTCTGGGCATAGCTGGCTGCAGGCGAAGATTGAAGAAGAGAGGCGGAGACAGGAGGAAGAGAGGAGAAGGCAAGAAGAAGAACGTACGAGGCAAGAGAACTTGCGCCTCGAGCAAAGAAAGCTGGAATTCGACATGCTTCGCACCTCTCTCGACAGAGGCATCCCGCCACAACTTGTACCGATTGTGTTTGCCGCCATGGGCGGCGGTCAGCTCCCACAAGCCATTCTAGAATACGCCCAGTCGTACATACAAGGCCAACCGGGACACGCGGTACAGAGCTTACCGGCGCCGCCAGCAGTTTCTCCAGAACATCACCGGGATCCACAGTACGCGATGTACTCCGGTGGCTCAGCAGCTATATCGGCAACTCCCCACCCGAGCGCAGGCCTTCAGCCAGGATTTATGCCATATCAGGGAGCGGGTTCACCGCCGAGACAGCGAGCACATACCCTTTCCATGGGCGGACCTCTTTCGAGGCCGAGGGCCAGTTCCAATTTGGCACGGTTACAGACAGAAGAGCAGGCCGGTCCAGGTACAGGTCCAGGTATGCCCGCATACCTTCGAGGCGCTGGCTCTGCTTCGCAAGCTGTACCTTCACAAACGGAACAGTCGCCCTCCATATATTTCCACCATTGGCAGCCACCCGCATCGTCTCAGCCTCCGCAGCCCGAGGTATCATCAGGTTCGTCTCGGCTCAACTTGAGGAAACTTGGGCGATTTTGCTGACCTTGTTGCTTCTATCATTAGGAGAATCGCCGCGCAAACGCAAAGCGACAGGATCGCAACCAGCTGCGCCTCCTCCCTCGTCGCAGATCAGGACGAGGTCACCCCCATTTGGGCACAAGAGCGCTGCTGGCAGGCACCGTGGACACTCTCGACAAAGAAGCGACATTTCATCATATCGACCATCGGCACGCTCTCGGGGGGACAGCTACACCTTCCGGGGTTTGTCTCCGGGTTTCGGCACACCACGCGAAGGCTCAACATTTGAATCCGGCCCGCAGCAGCAGCAACAACAACAATCACAGCCTCGGAGCGGCCCACATTCGGTCACGTCGATGCTGTCTGAACAGCAGTCTCCGCGATTTAGCACAGATCCCCGACAACAACCGCGTCAGCAGCATCAAGAGCATCCGTTCCACTCTCAACAGCCAAGCCAGGCGGAACAAAAGGACTCGCCAATGTCCAATGTGGACGACAAGGGCCGTGCTGGTGTGACCGTTACGTCAGCCCCGCGAGATCCGAGCTGAGGACGACTGGCTACGCCAGCCGGAGAGTTCAGAAATCATGGCATTTACGGACATTTACGGACATGGGTGGCGTTAGTTTAGCCAGAGAACTGTAACAACGATGTATGAAGGACGCGTTCAGTGGATGCATATGTCGGTCGACGCCGGATCGTCTACCCTGGCCACCTGTGGGTGACAGGATCAAGGAGCGATATCACTACGTTCTTCAGGTTTGCATCCCCGGATCAGGTTGCGTATGGTGCAGGATAGCCCGTACTCCTTTATCTGGCGAGTCATGGGCTTTTTTTCCTTCTTGCTTTTGGTTGCACGCATTTGAAGCGGGCGTGAGGGAAGTGGCTGCCCACGGTAGTGCATATGTGATGAACAGCATTAGAGAGCATCGACGACAGCGTCAGCCGTCAAACTACGAATACTGGAGCAATGAGACCCCGCGAATGGATCATGCCTGTTTTTTCTCGAGTCCGAGCGACGTGCGACATGGCCCCTTGTTCGGACCTCGTGGCAACGGCATGTGTCGGCGCGGGGCAGGCAGAGGGAAGGGCTGCAGCATGGTGGGATGTGGGAAGACGGCAGCGTTAGTGATGACGTGAAACGCCAGCAACTGCCGGCGACACGCGCCGCCGAGAGAAGCTTGTGGTTTGTGCAGCGACGATCTGGAGAGGCGTGGCCCAGGGGGGGGATGGAATGGACAAGTAGGATGGCGGCAAAGAAAGGCATTGGGCGGGAGCCTGCTTGTGGTTCATGTACGGGCAAAGTCTATGAGCCCTACCACGCCTCTAAGCATGGCGAAACGGGGTGTGTGGCCAGGCTGCTGGTGGGGGCCAAGTGTTGTCTCTCCATGGGCTCCAGACTCGCCCTTGAACGCGAACTCTCAGGCTCCTCCTGGACCAGCTGCCTAACTGCCTAAACCACCTTATCTTGAAGGTAAGGTGCTTTATGTATGTGCTGGCGCATTCCCACACCCCGATTGACCTTGGGGGGCAAGAAGCTAACCTAGTACTCTAAGCTGTCTTTTTCTCTTCCTTCTTTTTTAGTCTCTATGCCACGAGCAGTGCTGATTGGCCCACAAGACCCCGGACTTCCCTATTTCGTTCTAAAACGGTTCTCTCTGGGCGCGCGCGCACCCTTGGCTCGAGTTGCTCCTTTGCCTGGAGCTAACCATTGCTTGATTCCGTGTAAGGACAGTCACTCGCTCGCTGGGTGCACGAATGGGATTGTTGGCAAGGGCATTGTTTGCCACAGGCTATCCTTTCAGCTCGTGCCTAGCAGCTCATGGGCCCAACCCAGGCTAGAACAGCCGAGCCGCCCATCAGCCTCTGGCACACACACACACACAGCCAAGCAGAGACCCAATGTGGTTTACTGCTTCTGGCAGGCAATGACTGGCTGGTGTTGGGGCCAGGTGATCATCGCTGGCGCAGGCCAGTGGCTGCATCCCGCATGCCCAGGAGAATTAGTACCTGCTGCTGCTGCCGCCACTGCCGCTGCATGCCAACGGCCGGCCGGACCTTCCCCGACCTTGAGCCCGATGACGACAGTCCATGCCGCCGCCCACGCGCAGCCACGCTTTCTGCGCTGCACATGCTCACGTGCAACCGGCTCTTGTCGTGTCGCCCTTGATGGGCATAGGCAGCAACAATCATGGACAGTTTCAGCATGAGGCTATCCAGAGCCTCCCCCCCCCCGGTCCCCTTTCCCCATCTTCCCTTTCCTACCCCTACTCCCTCATGATCGGCGTCTTCAGAGTCGGATCTTCACACTCGAGGCCATTCCCTGCATGTGCGTAGTTGCGCCGCTCCTTTGGACTTGACGCCTTCGCAACGCAAAGTTCCCCAGCCACGCGTCCAATGCGTGCTGGCCTATGGTCGCGCGATCGCGCTACTGCTCCTCATGCTGGCACTCCAGGTACTCGTATTCATGGTGCATATCCAACGACCCCGGCCGGCCCATCCTCAGAAAGCCAATGCCGTCGGAATGGCCCTCTCCGACGTCCACGGGTATAGAGGTGGTTTGAATGGCCAGACTGCAGACTTACGCGCCTAAGTAGTGCAAGTAAGAGTAAGGATTAATTAGGTCAAGCAGCTAACTAGGCCAGCAACTTTGCCTGCTGTCCAACAACTCTCAAGCCCAGCGACGGAGCTCGGGCACTTCTACCCTCCGACCATTCCTGTGCCCTGCTCCGAGTCCTCATCAACTGCTGACAACACATTGCAGCCATTGCGACTCTCGAGACGCCCTCTCGGCCCAAGCGCCATGTGCCGGGCATATACGGGAGAGTCGCCGCACTTCCCCACACATTCCGGATTAACCAAAACGGCTTACAGAAGAACCCATATCGGCCACATTTGTATGCCACCAGGTGTGTTTCTGGCTAGTCCGTCTCCTCCGATCGGCCGTCTTCGGTTGTTCTTTCAACGCGACACTCGACGTGCAGGAGAGAAAAGTCGCAAACCGGCCGTTGTTGCTGCTGTTGACGCTTCCTGTACGTTAGTTCCGGTATTCAAACCAGCCATGGGAGCCAGCTTTGCCGGCGCTGATGACGTTGCCATTGACCAATGCAACTATGACGCACTTGAGGCTGTCTCTACATACGGTCTCGTACACTAGGTTTTTCCCCTTACTCTCCTGAGAAAAAGCGTAGTGGCCATGCCCGCCGAGCTGACATGTAGTTTGACCAAAGCAGTGATCGCACGGCCTTGTGAAAGACCTGCATATGCATCATTCGGGGTTCCTTCCCTGGTTTTCAGCTACTTTGTCGAGCCTGCTAGAGGACTAGAAGCACTCGTTCTCTCTCTTCGTGCGCAGACATGCAGGGCCGGGATGCCAAAGAGCCACGCAAGCCCGGACCATTGCGTCCTATGCTTAAAAGTTACCGGCTGTATGGCGAGCTGTGACATGGGTTTTCCTCTTTGTCTTGCCTGTTTAGGAAGGATGGAGATCGCCATCAGAGCAAGGTTATCGGCGGTGACGTGGAGATTGAGGCTGAGGGCAAAGCGTCAAGGCTTGCGTGAGACACTCTCGTACCGGACTTCCACATCATGGCATCCTCACTTTTCCGGGTTGTGCCTTTGGTGGTTCCACCTGAGCAGAGAAGGCGCGCATGTCGTTCAAACTTGGAACTCCTCCCAAGCGGCATCAACATGACGGGATCCTGGTCTCTGCAACAACAACACGGGGGGAAAAAAAAACGCAAGACCCCTCCCCCGGAGCCATAGCGAACTGCATTCCGTACACAGCGTATGAATATCTATGTCGTACTGGTGTCGTTGCTGACACACATCCCTAGCCGAGAAACAGGAACGTCAGCAGCGAGATCTGCAGGGTCACATCGGCGTTCCGCCGCATGCGCCAGGGTCCCCTTGCCCCTCAACCTTGCCTTCGCGCATGCGGAAAAGCCAGGGGCCATGCCTTGGGCAGAAGCTCCCCACTGACTCCGTGAAAGAGGAGCCGCGGCTACCAGGACCAGGTTGTGCAAAAACCTTCCGAAAACAAAAAGACGACGACAAGGACAAGGGCATGGGGTTGCGCGAATAGGACTGCTCATCATAGAGTCGCACTCAGGTCTGGTGATCCGACCCATGTCTCTCCTCCTTTTCTCCCTAGCCTCCCGACGCGGGGAGACAAAGTCTCGGCTCAAACCACGGGGTCCACGGACCTTGGCCGACCCCAGAATGTGCATTCTTTTCTTCTTGCTTGCGCCGCCTGGGGTTACCTTGGCTTGGTTCTGGCTCAATAAGATGAGTTCTCGTGTCGGTGTTAGTCTGCCGCAGCACAACCGAGACCGTCGTCTCACTTGCCCACCCATGCACTCAGTTATTCGCCAGATGCTTGACTTGCCGCACAACCTCGGCGAGCCGGTCTCAGGTGTCGTTTCCCTCGTCACTACCATTTTGAAATCCCCGAAACGGGCAGTAAACCACCTCGTTCCCGCCTCGGACGGCGGCTGCCCCCCCTTGTCGCGCCCTGGTCAGTGTACTATCCAGCAGCCAAGATATCCTCACAGAAAATGCCCCAAGGTCGCCGAGATACCTTCCCGCCTGTCCATTTGGGGGGCTTGCTTCATTGAATCACAAGAAGTCCCGGGTTTCATCTTTTGCGCACCACACAAACGGTTCCTGATGCCCACCTCTGAACCAGACGCCCCTTCCCCCTTTTTCCCTTCCCCCGAAGCGTTTGCCGCTTTTACACGAGCTCCGGCCGGACCTTTCTCGCCTTGGGTCTGGGGCACTTGGTGGGATGCACAGGGTTACGTGGCCCTTGATGTGACGTGTCGGCGTTTGGAGTATTTGCGTAATTCTCGTGCCTGCCCCTTACGCTGATGCCGGCGATGCTGCTGATGCTGCTCCTTACACGCGGCTTGAAACGAGTCAGGACCCCCTCCCGCCCTTTACTCAGTTTTGAGAGCAACGAATGGTGTGAAGAGGGTGTGCCTCTAGTCTTATGCATGTTTTTAGCGACCTGTCTACTTCGCTTACGCGGTAAGCTCCCCCACGCGTATAGAGTTCATCACCAGTATGCTGCATCACGTTATCCGTCACGAGGTTAGAAAACGAGCATCGAAAGCGAGCCACGCTTACATCAGCTGGAGACTTTGATGGTGATGATTTTGAATGAGGATGATGATGGTGATATCTTTTTGGCTGTCGAAAGCCGTCACTCGCGTCCGCGGGTCACATGGCCTTCATACTCGTCGTCCAACGTAGCTGGCACTACTGCACAGTGCTGTCAGCAACGAGTTCCCACACACACACACACACTCGCCCCTATGCAGCGTGTATAGGAGGACAAGACTCGCTTAGTGGCCTGGGATGCAGTGCAGAGTTTTAGAACAACGAACAAGTCAGGCTTGGGGTAGTGCGTCAAAACACCGCTCGCCTCACCTGGCCAGTTGGCCAGTGGACAAGGAAAGGAAAGAAAGGGAGAAAAAGATCACACCACAGCTGACTGGCCTGTGTCTTATCATCATTCTGACAAAAAGGAAAACCCATCGGGCTGATGCTCTATTATCGACCGAATGCATCAACGTCTTCAAGCTCTCGCAACATCATTGTAGCAATTAAGACAATGGATAAAAAAAAGAGTCGAAAGTTTCTTTTTAGAATATTTTTTTCGATGTCCACATCGTCCCTCTGAGTCCCGATTGTTGTAATCCCCCCCCCCCACCCCCCACACACACACACAAAAAAGCTGCCTACTTCGACAGAACAAGGCAAGAAGAATGCTGTGTAGTTGCAAGATGCATTTCATCTCATGGACGCCTCACTGCTCCTTCCGTGCGGCAAGCAAACATCCCTGCCTGACAAGCGGGGCCGCTTTTGGAGCAAGACGGCCTTAAGAACGAGGAGAGAGGGTTGATAGCATCTTCTTTCAAAGGCTGTGGCCCCGTGGTGTAATAATCTCGAAAGCTAGCAGATATAACATAACACAACAAACATACCAGGCAATCATTTTCTTGTCGGGATAAACGTCTTTAAAACATTGACTTGTTTGTGATTGCAACTAGCATGGCCGTCTTAAGAATACAACGCTCTTCGGAATACATTTATTATATCTTCTGATGGGTTCTGTTTTTGTTTTCGTCCTCGGAAACCTCCGCTACCTTGGCCTGGCACTAGGACGTGCTTCTTCAGGGACAGGATTTCGCCTCCAAGCCAGTTTCAAAGTCCTCAGCGCGCCAGACGTCCCCAAAGATCTGCTGACGCCCCCGTGCTCCGGCAGCAAACCCAGCGCAGTCTCTCATCCATCGAGAGCCCATCGGCAACCAAAACGCCAGCGCCAAGAGCACGACCAACATCAATCATTGGGGCCGACGACTCCTAGTACCCATGCTTCATCTGCCACAGCGCGGACCGGGCCTGCTCCCGGACGTCGAGCTCGTCGTCCGCCTGGCCCAGGGCCTCGAGCTTGGTCAGGAACCCGAGCTTGCGCAGCTCCACGGCGCGCTGGGAGCACGCGGTCGCGTCGCTGCCGTCGTCCTGCCAGGTCAGGTTGTTGATGAGGTGGCACAGCGCGAGCCGCACCTCGCGGTTCTGGCTGTTGAACATCTTGGACAGCGTCCGCAGCAGATCTGTCTGCGCGATGACGAGCTGCCGGTGCCGCGGCAGCGAGGCCGCCATGTGGACGAGGATGTAGATGACGGCCACGATGAGCTTGCTCTGAGGGGCAAGCACGCGACCGCCAGCATCACCACTGCCGTTCCCACTGCCCCGCGTGGCAGACGAAGTACTGTTGTTGTCCTTGCGCCTTAGGGGTTGAGAAACACGACTGCGCAGCTTGGACGACATGATGTCGAAAAGTCGCTCCTGGCCTATCACGTCAAAGAGGTGGTCGATCATCTGAGCCGTGTCATTGGCACCATCGGCATTGCTCCCCGTGTGCGCAGACGCGATGAGGTTGCGAATCAAAGATAGGCCCTGCTCCTGGATGGCGAGATCATTGTGTCGCGCCTTGCGGGACTCGCTCGTCTCAGCTGTGCGCAACGCGCTGAGTCTGAGCTGTGCGAGCCGAAAGAGACGAACTTCAGATTGTGTCGCCGTCAATGGCGGCGGCGATGAAGTCTTGTACAAGTTTTCTGACACCGAGTCGAAACGCTGATCTTCAGAAGTGGACATGTCGATGTCCTCGTCTGTCTCCTCACTTCTGCCACGTGCCAAGTATAACGCATCGTCCTCGATGTCGTCACAGATGAGCTGCACGAGCCACTCGGCGCCGAGTTCTGTGAGGCAATTTTGCCGGAAATCGACACCCGCGTCGTGTATAACGTGTTTCAACGCCCATAAGGCATTCAGCCGTAGCTCTGGATTTGACGAGTGCGCCTGCTCGCATAATATCGGCACCACACCTTCTTCTATGAGAGGCTGGAGATGCGTCTGGTTAGCAAAAGCATTCTTTTAATTGCAAAACCCACGTAATACTTCATGTGAAAGCGTACCTCTCGCAAGGGACTAAAGTCCACGACCAGGTTGCAGGTCACATAGGTTGCTGCAATCTGCACTTTGATGTCGGGATACAGGAGGAGTTGCATGAGCGATATTGTAACGTCAATATCTGTCAGGGCCGTGCGGAGGATGTGCGGCGAGCGAGCGAGCATCCGCACCACGTAACTGGCGGCGATCAGAACGCCTGGCGGGTTCTTCTGTGGTCCAGATATTGGCGGTTCTTTGACTGCTTTCGGAGTCTTCTCGCTGGCCTTCGAGCGATCTTTGGTCTTTCGTGGATCTCCCGGAACAGCGCTGAGCGACTCGGCAATATAGGCAAGGGCGTCTTGGTCGATGATCGCCTTGCGGTATTCATCTTTGAAGCATGCTAAGGCGCCTAGCGCTTTCAGACAGTTCTCCCGAAGTCTGATGCGATGCATCAAGACTCGCCGGTCCTCATTCCTCCCAAGGCGACACGAAGCGTCGAGATCTGCGGCATCGAGAGCCATGCCCTCCGCCTCTGGTGACCATGGTCGAGACTCAACATCAGGTAGTGGCGTATCGTATGTGCCCTTCAACATCGTGGTGATGAGCTTGACTGCATCACATTCGAAGGCTGCCCTTTGAAGGAATTCGCCGTCTGTGAGGAGCTGTGTGAGTATCGCTGGGGCCTCTTCCAGCTGGTCAAACCTGTATTCGGATTTGAACGGCGTATCTATGTCGCAGGTTGTCGAATTCGATGCCTCGGTAATAATGTTGAGTAACACAGGCATCACGAAGACGCTCAACAGGTGTTCTCGAGATTTATATGCATATCCAGCTTTAAACAGCGACGCCAGTACGGAGACTGCGGATAATATCTCTCCTTGATGGCCTGTTCGTACCAACCCGATGAGCCAAGGGATCAATGGACTCTCCGCCTCCTCAAATGCGACATCGCTGACAGTCTCCAGTTTGTCCGCGCTGCCAGGGCCAGCCTGGGCGCCGCCCAGAGTAGTATTGAACTTCGAAGTCGGCCGTCCGCTGCCACCATAGGCGTCCTTGGCCAGACCCGAACCAGATGGGGACGAGCTTCGCATGGATGGCAGTGACCGAGAGTGATTGGGCATGAAGGGGAGAAAATAGTCCATGGGGTCATGATCTGTCTGTTTCGTTGGTCGTGTTCCGGGGAGCCGCATAGCATCAGACGCAGAATCGGGGTAGGCAGCTGCTTCGCTATCGACAACCGGAAAAGTTGCCAGTACTGAGGGAGACAGGAGGAGTTTGCAGGCGCGGTAGGACGAGTCCGTCACAATAGCCGAGATTGCCCACAAAACCATCTCGAGGCTTGCGTTCGACGTGGCTGGCGCCGGAATGTAGTCTGATAAACCACCAGACCGGCCAAGGATCCCGCCGTAAGGCAGGACCTGGCCTTTGGCCACCGCGAAGCTCGCGAGTCTCGTGGCAAGGGCGTCGAGGATACCATGATTGACCAGGGCAATCTGATGGCGGTCTTCTGAGCATAATTTCTTGATGAGGTAGGCGACTATGAAGACCTGCGCGTCCAGATCGCGGCTCGGGGTGGCATGCGCGAGGATTCGAGCGAATATGTCGAGCGTGCCGGAGACGAGGACCGAGTCTGCGAGCTCGGTTACACCAAAGCCCTCGCTGCCAGCCCCCTGCGCGGTTGATGCCGCGAAGTCCCGAAGTACGCGCAACGACCAGAGCACCGTTTGCGGATGCCCACTTCCCAGGCAGTTGTCGCTCAATACTGCTGTGAGGGCGCCTGCGGCGTGCAGCGGAGGAATGAACGATGGGCCGGCATTGGCGAAGCTGCCAAGTATTTGCAGGCCTTGCAGGCGCGCCTTGTCGTGTTCAGCATTTGCGACTCCATGGCTTGACGAGGTGCCAACGATGGAAACGATGGGTCGGAGAGCGCCGAGTTGCACCCATTTCTCCTTGCACGGGAGGTGTCCGACGATGTCGTTCTTGAGGCGCCGCAGGGCCGCGAGCTGGTCGACGGGGTTGCCGGAGAGGAGCTGTGCCAGTGTCGAGTCTGGGGCCGAGTCCATGGCCAGAGGCAGTGGCCGCCTGTGTTGCCGGCGATGCTGCTGTCGTGATGATCGAAGACGATTGATGTGTGTAGCTTGGGTGGGCTGGCGGGACGGTCGCGTCCTTGTTGGGGCCGTGTCTCGATCGCGTGGAGGGTGTTTGCAGGCATGCGAGGTCGGCACTGAGATGTCGTCACTAGCTCCGGAGTGGGAGGCGTGGAGGAGCCGGGGTAAGGGCGGGCTGGGTATCGATAAACTTGGTGTATGTACACTGCCCAGGCCGGGGTTTAGGTGCACGCAGCACATGTCTCGATCGTGCAAATCACCCGTGGACGACCTCAGACATTTGCACCTCTCCAGGCCACAGGTTTTGTGTGTTGCACCCTCAAGTCCCATGTAGTCCCACGCTTTGTCCCTCGCTTACTTCGAGGTTCTAGCATCGGCATTACGAGCCTGGTCTCTGATTGTCATACTACAGCTGCTTGCTTGCTTGCTTGCTTGCTTGCTGGGACCCCGTTCATCCGGGATACTCCATACAGGTATGGATCCGGCCAGGGAAGACAGTTCCAGATGGGCAGGCATCGACTTAAGTAGGTGACAAAAGCAGTGACAATGACTACTAGAAAGCCAGTCGGCTCCGGTGCCACGGTGAAGCCGGCATACTTTTACTCATGTCTTACATGGCATTCAAGGGCGCTCTGAGCGCAACCGAGAGGTTGCTAATTGCTTAACGGAGTCGACATAGCAGTACAAAGAGAGGCAAGATTCACACAAAGTCTCGTCCGGCACCTCGCTGGCCCTTCATAGTACAAAGCCTGGGATTGATTTCAGTCGGCGAGTCCGCGGCAAACCGACCTGGAAATCCTTGACGAGATAGGAGCATCGGGTACGGACCACCACAGTTCCGTATATGACTCGAATGCCTCGGCCACCACGCAAGAAAGCGGACTTGAGCAAGCACGGCATCGGTTCCGCTGGCAGGGTTGGGGTCTCGGAGCCACTAGGCTGGTGCCATGAGTCGTGCCGTGGTGCCTACCTGGTCAGCCACTCCCGGAACTGTCAAATGGACCAGCAGCGCCCAACAAGTAGGTTTCGCACAATGTGCTGGGAGTCGAGCGAGATCTGATAGCGAGTTTCTCAGCGGCGAGCACTGTCCATAAAGGGGAATGATTGGAAAGACACTGGTGGTAGCTTCGCGGGCCTTGGCTCTTCCGGCCCGACCAGAGAAAGCACTGGCCAGGGGTCCGAAATTGAATCTTGGAGCGCCGAGCCCGGCCTGAACGAGCTCCGCTGTGCGGGGGATGGCCGCCCCGGCTGATGAGTGACTGACTGGCCCACTGGAGCACGGCTTTGGTCTGGGGACGGACGGCCCCTAATTATCGCTACGCCCGCCAAAGCCCATGGGCCGAAGGCGCGAGGCCAGCGGGATGCTAGTCTCGACAGTTCTCCATCGTCGCGGCATGCCTTGACAGAAGAGAGCAGAACCCCCCGACGCACTGGACGGCTCCGTCGGGCATGGTCCCGAGCCAGGGTCCAACTCTGGTTGGGCTGCGGTCACGGCTGGCCCCCGCGCCCGGGAGTCCTCCAGCGGCCGCCCAACTGCGTGCTCTGTATTATTACCTGTATGTAATACATGGTGGGAAATGCCTCGAGAATCCAGGCTGCTGGGCCTTGTGGGCCAGCCCACCCAAACAGCTCGGCTATGGCGGCCCCCAGACAGCCAGACAGCCAGCCAGCCAGCCGTTCTGTTCTGCTGCTCGCTAATTAGCTCGACATGTAGCGGCCTAAGTTCTCGAGGTCGAGGCGGCCACGCGATCGGATCGTGTGGCCAACTACGTACTGCTGCGACTTTTCCCAACCTTCGCTGTCTCTCTCTCTCCTCTACTGCCCCTTCCTCCAGGACGACCGACCTGCACTCGACCCCTGTCTGCCCACAAACTTTTGAGCGCCTGCCTGCCTATGCCCACCTGCACCTGCCTCTCCGACTGTCGCACTTGACGCCGCTTGGTCACTGGAACCCCCTGCACGGCTCGCAGCAGCAGCAGCAGCGTCCGTCCCTCTTCCCCGCCGCGCCGACGTCTGCGACTCGAGCCTATCCCGCCCTGCGCCTTTTCGCCCAGTAGCAGGCCGCCGTTGCCAAACGTGGTCGACGACAAGACTCTGACAGCTCCGTGCCGTCCGCCCTTCGACTGCGCCAATGCACCGCTGGTGCCTCTTGTCGTCCCGTCCAGTCTTTGCCTAGGAGCGCGCCCGTCCCTTTCCGTCTCAGCAACGTGCGTGCCTGCTGAGGGTCTCCTGGTGCCGTGCCCCTCCCAGGCCCTGCAACCCGCTTGCTGCCAAAAACCACAACGGACGGCCACCGCTGGAGCCTCGTGCATCAGCGCCCCACGCCCCGACCGCATCTCATATCGCGACGTCGCCGCCCGCGAGCATGGTCAGAGGCATGACTTGGGGATCATGTTGACCTCGTCGCCCATCGCCTCAGCCCCGTCCCCAAGGTCTCTCCATTATGTGACGAGCCGGTCTCCACTCCTCTCCCCCTCGCACAGGGTCGCTGCACCGCTGCCACGGCGCCTCTCGAAGCAGTCTCTGTCCCACTCCCCGCCAACGTCGTTCATGTCCGCGCCGCCACCGCAGTCCTCGCCCTCCTCCCAGCCAGGCGCCCGCAGCAGCAAGCAATATGTTGCCGTTGATGCGGCTACCCAATACTCACCTTCGGTACCCTTCGACCCCCGCGTCCCCTTGCGCGCCGCCGAGGGCCCTTGCCCTCGACGCTCTTCGACGCCCGTCACAATGACAATCGCCTCCACTGCCACCGAAGTCAAGACCGAACCACAATCTTCGGCCAGTGTTGTCGTGTCGGCGTCCGTCTTCGAAGCTGAGCCGACGGCGACTGCAAGTTCCTCCGCCTCCGCACAGGCGCCGTCCACTGGTGGTGCTGGAACCTCTACTGCCGGGAGCGCGCCAGCCAGTCTCGCAACGAATCCACTCTCACCCTCAAAGAGGCGCAAGTCAATAGAAGAAGCCGTCGGCACGGTCGCGCATCCCTCCACATCTGTGGTGGTCTCGAGCACGCCCAGCTCGCCCAAGCGGTCCAAACCAAATCAAGGCCCTCCCAAAGTCCTGCCTCTGAAATACGAGTTATGTGATGTGGAAGACATGGTGATTCTCATTGCCAATATGCTCGGCGAGTTAATAGAGACCAACGACTCGATCGCTATGAAAAGTGGCCAGCTCACGAGGTTTCATTCAAGGTATGTAGAGGCTTATGCTGCCATGGATTGCAAAGCAGGAAGGATGCAACAAGACTGACCTGCGTTACAGGACTGCTCCGGGCATATCCGTGTTGGACTATCTACAGCGACTGGCGAAGCATGCCACTTTGACTCCACCACTACTCTTGTCGATGGTGTACTACATTGACCGCCTTTGCGCTCTCTACCCCGACTTTACCATCAATACTCTCACAGTCCACCGATTTTTAATCACGGCAGCCACAGTAGCTGGCAAAGGCTTGTCGGACTCATTCTGGAACAACTCTTTTTATGCCAGAGTTGGAGGTGTCAAAGTTCAGGAGCTCAAGCTCCTGGAGCTTGAGTTTCTGTACAGGGTTGACTGGAAGATTGTCCCTAATCCAGAGGTTCTGGTGGCGTACTTCAGGGGACTCGTCGACAGATGCGACGGTTATACGCTAGAGGAGAGCGGAGAAGATATGGATGAGGAGAGCTCTTCCGATGAGCTTGACGAGGAAGAGGATGAAAACGGTGATCTCAGCGACACCTCGGCTACAGCGACCAGCAAAAGCATCCAACAAGAGAAAGATCAGACATGAAGGGCCTTCAAATGCGCAACATCGATTTAGCACGAAAGAAGCGTCCGGGTACAGCCGGACCACCCACTATCAGAAGAGCAATACTCCTATGCCTCACTCGCAGGCATTCAGCTACGATCCGATGGATCGAGACTATCATCAATCGGCAACGAGCCTATAGACCTCCCGTGGAGCCTGGCAGCGCGTCAAAGGCCGGAAACCAGGCACCTTCGGAAGCCTTAATCTTTTGTGTTGTACCCAACCTGGGCACTGCATATCTACACATAATGTGCCCGACTGCGCCTGAAGATCAGGCCATTCAAGACAGCAGGCGATTAGACAGAGTCGCGCTGCCGTCATCTGTCCGTCATCAGCATCGGGTTGCGGACCGGCAACCCCAGAGGCGGTGTGTATATATGTACATGATTTGTGCATTTATATTATCGGTCACGTCCGTTACGTTACAACGCTATAGCAACATTGTTATCAGCACGCGTACCTACATTTGACACGAATTCTAGTGTCTTCACCGCCTGAATTCTGATGCTGATTCTGAGGGCTTGCCATCCTGTTTATTCAGAGGATGATGGGATGATACAATGACACAGTTATGATTGTGCGATTTCGAAGTGAATATGCCATGCCGTGACACGACCCCAAAGCTGGGGCAGGACGGTTGTGTTATGTAAGCCGGTCAGTGTCTTGGTCCAGACGTGCTGAGCTGTTTCTGGGTCTGAGACCCAGCGGGCGCCCAGAGAGTGGGGACACGTCCAGGACACAGTCCACGCCTCGGAACACCTCTAAGCTCATCAACCACCGAGACCCAGAGTAGTTGCACCTTACGGCTGGGTATATCAGCAATCTTGTACAGCGCGCTTTGTTCACCCGTGACAGCCCATCCGAAGGGTCGACAACCCCTCTCACTCATCTTCAGCACGAGGCACACAAGCGACGAGAGCTGAGCGAAGGCTTCCAGGCTGTGTCCCTTCTCCCACCACCCGTATCCCGCCATCACAGCAACTAGCAGACGATGAAGCTCTCGACGTCACTAGTATCAACGGCCAGCCTGCTCCTCGCGGCAGCGAGCTCGGGCAGCGCCGCGTCCTCGACAAGTGCGCGCAAAGCAAACGTCTACATTCAGCCTGTCGCGACGACCAGCGGCGCAGCACCGCCGCAGCTTCTTGCCGAGATTCAGTACGACCCATTCTTCGATGCCGCTTCAGGTAGCGCCGCCTCGACACGGGACGCCAGCACCAATGCCGCGGCCTCGATACTATCCTACGAGGCGCCCGAGTTCGACGCAGACGGCGACGATGATGACAGCGGCGGCAGCGGCGGCGGCACATTGCGGAAGCCGAAGCTCTTGCGGATAGGCGTCTGGGATCCGTCCACCGCGACGTGGGCGTCCTCGACATCTGTCGCGAGCGCAGAGAACTTTGGCAAGGGCTATTCCCCGCAGATCATGCTGTCTGTGGACGCGCGGAGCGGCGACGTCGTCGGCGCCGCACTCAGGGGGGTGCGAATCGACGCGGGGCAGACGAGGGACTTTGGCCCCAAGGCTGTCTTGCTGGTGGACTCGCCCGGGAAGCAGCCGGATCTGAACAAGCCGGTTGTCCTGGCGCCCAATGGGAAGAAGGTTGAGCCTGTGCCGGAGAAGACTTTGTTGCAGAAGTGAGTTACTCTTTCATCCTTTTCCTCTCTGCTCTATCTACACACACCCCTGTTGGGGAGATCGCAGATATTTGCCTGCTACGGCACTCTGTATTGATGTACTGACTCTTTGATTCCTACAGATACTGGTGGGTGCTCGCTGCAGGCGTGCTGCTCGCCATGAGCGGTGGTGGTGAGGGCGGCAAGTAGAAAGGGACACACGATGATCATTGCTTGTGGCATCTATAGCGTTCCTCTTCAATCGAGCAAATACCAAACTCACGGCCGTTCGTTATATTTGTGGCGTGGACACCATGACTTTATCCAGAGAGACGATCTACATTCATCCCTTGCTATGCCCAGCGTCCATACGTACTTGATTCGAGGTGGTGCATGCTTCGAGCACCAAGGCGACTTGCGAAGCCACCATTCTAGTCCCTTACTGAAGACAAGGTGCTATGGACCGTGACCAGAACAAAAGAAAGTCCCAGGAACACCCATCAAGGAGATTAATTGATTCCCAAATTCATCGGTAGACACTTAGACGCTGCAGCGGGACAATTGATTGTGCTTACTTCGAGCTGCGGGCAGGCGTTGTCTCGTCCAGTACCTGCCCAGGTGCCTGTGAGCACTGCGTGAATCGCAGAAGTAGAAGTACCGGCTACCCCTGGCCAACGAGCTCCAACATGCTTGTCAGCACGACATGTGACTGGGGGGCCAAGTAGACGATACCTCAGGCGACCCCTCCCACGCAGCGGGTCCCAAGGTCTGGTCCAGCCAGCTTCCCCTCTGACACCCGCAGTAAAGCAACCAGCCTGCTTGGGCGGACCCCTGCCACTGCCGTAGCAACCGCCCAGCCAGTCGCATGCGCAACCTGCGCTTTTTCCTCGGCCGCAGCGTCGCGCTTCACCAGCTCCTGCAGTCGCCCACTTTTGCGACACCGCGTTTGTGAACGAGCCTCGTCCATCCTCACGCACCTCTCCCTCACACATACACGCACAACAACAAAGACCGCCAACGACGAACCCCAGTTCAGTTCGTCACAAGCAGCAATTGACCAACCCCGGCATAACCTCTTGAAAATCACAAAGCACGCATCTCGAGCAGCCATGTCTAGCGGCAGCGGAGCTACCGACCCCACCCAGTCTGAGGACTTCAAGGGCAAGGGCAAGGCCGTCGCCGAGCATGAGACCGCCGACGCCACCATGGACGAGGACGAGGACTCCTCTGACGATGAGCAGGTATGTCTCGCCAAGGCTGCAGTGGACAAACACTGCCTGCAAAATTCAGGCTTCTGTTGGAAATCAAGCCACAAGGCACGAGGCTATCCCCGCTAACACGCACCTCTGCGAATACAGAACGAAGGCGGTAAGCGACCACCATGACCACCGTCACAACCCATACCACCACCACCGACCTTCGATCACCCAATCTGGCACGATCGCGGCCGCTTACTACACACACGAATCACTCTTGCCCCAAAGTCAGAAACTAACCTTGAAACCTTTCACAGGCGAGGCTGAGGAGGCCGAGGACAACCTGGACGAGATTGACCTAAACAACATTGTTGAGGGTGGTCGCCGGACCCGTGGTCGCGTCATTGACTGGGCCAAGGCTGCCCAGGAGAACCCTGCCGATGACGACGACGATGAGGACGAGGAGGACTTTGAGCCCGAAAGCAAGGACAACGACGATGACAAGATGGACGAGGACTAAACGGCGCTGCACATGAAGGCGTCCCTGGTGGCGAGTGATGATGCAGGACAACCTCACAACTACTTCAGTGACTTATCACGAGCATCCTTGGCTGGCAAGCGCACTGCAACCGCTCTTGGCCAGCAGGACAGCCGGAGTGCCTGTCAGTATACTCTTTGATGTCGCGGTTGTGCTCGCATTGGCCTCCCGTGATTCGCATGGCGGACCCTGCAAGGCAGCTTGCTGATGGTAGCTGTCTCATTACCACCCAGTGTTAGTCACTCGAGCTTTCGGCCCACCAAAAGCGAGAACCCGGATTGTCAGAATTTGGGTGCTTTGTTGTATTTGATGAGCGTCGACAGCAGAAGAATAAACGAAAATAGAAATGATGATGGCGTGGCATGATTCTGCAGCATTGTCGACTCATCTCGTGGATGTTTGCATTCACAAAGTGACGTGAGCCTCGACACTCTCGAATTGTGATCGGCCATCCAGCAGAGACGACCTGCAACATTTCTAGTAAATTGACATTCTCTTGCAGTTCCATGAATCTACTACTTAGCATGTACTTCGAATTGCATGCTGCTGGTTGGTTCCTCCAGCACAGCGAAGCTTTGGGGCGCTGACTAAGGACAGGCTTTGTCAAGCCGGGCCGATCTTTCCCCCGTGTCCGCACCCGCACCTCGAAAGCTCCAGATGTTTTTGAAGCTTCACAGCAGTGGCGGCAAACCCCCAATCACGTCATCCGCTGTTGTCATACTGAAAGGCGCGCGAGAGCCGAGCCAGCCCCCCAGAATAGCGCAGATGGGCCGCTCCCCAGATTAGTCAAAGGGCGCAATGGCATCATGGCCCGGGCCTCGTTTAGTCAGATTGACATCGCTTTGTCAGTCGCGGCACGCTGGGCCATTTGTCTTCTTGTTCGAGAATGTCTGCGTATAAGACAGGGAAGGCGCTCTGCGGCTTTGAGAGAAGAAAAAGTCAAGTTACTGGTCACGATCAGTAACGACAAACCCTCAACTGTCCCCGGCTCTCATAAAGTCCTCGGCTACGCTACGTACCCCACACTCGCAATACGCCACCACTGGGACAATCTTGATGAATGCGCTGAACAAGATTGCCAGCCCACTTGCAACAACGTTATTCCGCCCAGGTCAGCTTTCTACAGTGATAAAGCCTCTTGCGTTCCAATCCAGCCGTGGTTTGCGAGCTCCGCCTCTAACCCAGAGTATCACGACACCACCACACACTCGTGCTACACATAATACAAGCATTCCCACCGCCCACAACCACAAGACCGGCGCAATGACGACGACCGCGGGCTTCAGCCACATGGACCCGGCCGACCAGACGCACGGCGTCGCGGCCTGGACCAAAGTAGACGTGGACTACTCGTCCTTCGGCCGCAAGATGTATACCCGGCAGGTCCACGACGCCCGGGGTCACGAGGACGACTTCTCGGTCGACACCTCCGGGTTTGCCGTCTATAACTATCCGGCCAAGGAGAAGCTCTTTGTCGACGACGAGGCCGTGCGGAACGGCTACTACGCAGAGGTCGAGGCCCTCCTGAAGGACAAGCTGGGCCCGGGCGTGAAGAAGGTCGTCATCTTCGACCACACGATCCGCCGGCGGCTGCCGGGGGCGGCCCGCGCCCCCGTGCAGGCCGTGCACGTCGACCAGACCCCCGCGGCCGCGGACGTGCGGGTGCGGCGGCACATTGCGGACCCGGACGAGGCCGAGCGCCGGATCAAGGGCCGGTACCAGCTCATCAACGTGTGGCGGCCGATCGAGAACGCCGCGTCGGACCACCCGCTCGCCGTCATCGACTGGCGCTCCACCAAGCCCGAAGAATTCGTCCCCGTCAACCTGCTCTACCCCAAGCGCAAGCCCGGCGACGCGGACGACGACGACCGCGGCAAGGAGGTCGCGCCCGACAGGTCCACCTGGGCCTCGACCGAGGGCTACGAGGCCCGCGGCGAGACGATGCGCGTCCTGCCCAGCGAGGACCACCGGTTCTACTACGTCAAGGACATGACCCCCGACGAGGTGCTGCTGCTCAAGTGCTACGACTCGCACGGCGAGGGCCGGCCGGACGGCAGGCAGGGCGTCGCGCTGAGGACGCCGCACTCGGCGTTTGAGGACCCCAACACGCCAAAGGACGCGCCGCCCCGGCAGAGCATCGAGGTGCGGTGCTTGGTGTTTTATGAGTAAGACGAAGAAGGAGTATCTCTATCTCTCTCTCTCGCTTCTATCCGGGGTGGTTTGCGGAGCCTCTGGTTTCACACACGCACACATTTTTTGTGTTCGACCAACGCTCACTATCGTCGACGAGTGTGGGGTTTTGTCCGTTTTTGGGGGAGAGATCATGAAGAGAAAGTATAGCATAGTATAGCAATCCGATTTCTACGATATTATTCCGGTCATGCGGTGTTTGCTGGTTGCACAGAGTGAATGACAAGTCGGACTGATCTGAAGGGCAGTGATAAGTTGATATGTGATACAGCCTTTATGATTTGAAACCTGGCATGGATCCGTGCAGATGACAGCCTCGCTTCTGAGCTGCAATGAAAACCTGTCAAAGTCTCAAATCCTGACTGGGGGACGACCAAGGCATGCGAGTCGAGCTAACATCTCGCCGATGTAAGACGACCTTGCGCTTGTACAACCACAAGCCCGTCATCAAACCCCCCCTCCCTTTCCCCTTTGTCCCCTGTAGTTTCTCGTGCCATTTGGTGTTGTTGTGATGGATGAGATATCACGTCACACAGGCCGGCCTGGTGTACAAACAGGGGAAAGCAGGACAAGGATGGAGATGAGAGAGGGATTTACTGGCCCAGCCGCGGCAGCCACTGGCTCGCCACTCACGACTGGGAAACGTGGATCAAAGATGGACAAGAATGGCAGGACTACCGGAGTGCTCAGCTTTTCACCCTCGATCTGCGGTGACTGATATAGGCCATATACGACATCCCTTCCTGCCGGGTCCGCAGTGGACGGCCTCGGAGCATGTTCTGAGCCCCCTGGGGATCTCCATGCCAGGACTTAACGCATTCATTCCAAACAGACTGGCTGGCTTGTAAGCGCGTTGCTCTTTGGGCTGTTCTCTTCTCCCTCGATGGGGCATTCGGGCGATTTCGTGGGCGAAAGAGAGCATTCGGGGAAAGGGAAATGGCAAAGCAACCGGAGCGGTGATTCTCGTTGATATAAATGACGACACAAGGGACGTTCCTCACAGGCAAGGAAGTATGTAGAGTAACGCGCCTCGCAAAGAGCGAGTTGCCAGTGTGATACCCCGGAGCTTGCTATAAGAGGCTGATGAAGCACGTTACCATTGCAAGGTACCCAGGCTAGACGATGGCGAGCAGTGTTCGATCTGCTCATCGCTCTCACACGCAAGCTGTCTTCATTATAGTACCTTCCTCAAGCGCCTACAAACATGATCGGGTTTCCCTTGTCAAGGCTGATAATCTCAAGTACACTTACATGTCATCCTCACGGCAAGTTAGGCGAGACAAGCCCGGGATGTTCGATTGCATACTTGCTTTAAGCAAGTAACAAGCAGAAACAAATCAATCACGAGCAGGAAGTAATAATCCACATGGGAATTCAACGGCGTCTCCAACTAGGTAACGCCGAGATCTGCTCCAAGTGTGTGTGTGTGTGTGTGTGTCCAATGTCAAATCCACGGGTGATTCAGAGCTATTGCCAGACAAGAGAGAACCCGCGCACAGCACGTCTCAGCTGCACGGGACCGCTGGCCTAACCCAAGGGTGCCAGAGCATTGGTAACCCGTCAAGTGATCGTCCCTGGGGATGTTCACTTTCCAACGTGGTCGACGTTTCTCCTAGGCTCCAAAGTCGGATCGGAAGTGGTCAACACACAACGAGTTTTTGCCACCTGTAATAAACTTTACCAAACTTCTCACACCGACGAGGCACTTTTGGTCGAGGAGGGCACCCACGTTGGCAGCATTGTGGTTCGAGGCGACTCCCTAGCCACAGACATAGACACGGCAAGCACACGAGGCGGGATATCAGAGTATTGAGCAAGGAGCCAAGCGCACCGGCGTCGAACTCTGTGTGTGATAGGCACCGATGACAGAACTTTTGTCTCTCTTCCCCCTCCCACTCTGTCGTGTGTGTGGTACGGGGACGCCGGCCGCCCGGGAGAGAGAGGCCCGTCGGATTCGAGCCATAATCATTATGCCCTTTTCTGTCACAGACCAACTTCCATAACGAGGCTAGGGGGGCACGGAATCCCGTGCCGTGGCGGTGTGCGGTCTGACCTCGAACGAGTTTTCTAGATTGTAGTACTCTCTCCCCGCACCCGAGGGCGGGAAATAACCTTTGAATCTGGACGGTAGTTTTTGGGGGCCGCGGGCACCGAGACCGATGACCGAGCGTTGAGAGCTGTGTGCGTTTTGTCAGTAGCGGGAGAGAGGCAGGACCAAGAGGCTGCTGTCGAAGGCGCTTCGCCCGTGGCGTTTGTAATCTGTAGTAGTCCTGTCTACTTCGGTCCCGAGGGCCATTTCGGCTGTGTCCAATGGGAGCCGACGGCACATGATGAATGTGTGCAGGGGCGAGCTTTGTCCAACCTGTATGGATTCAACTTGATGGCGTCCTGGTTACTGGCCTCATATGAAGCGGTGATGCATTTTGATGAAGGAGACAGTGGAGAGGGAGCTTCTAGCTCGCAGATCTGTTTGCCCTCCCAAACAATACACAGCGGGTATTTCAATGCTGTGCACCAGAAGCTGCTCTAATATTCAAGGTGCACAAACAACACCCCCCAGAAAACATGACAGTCGAGGCGGGCAGAATGCAGTTGCATCACCGCAACCGCGCCAGTGGACGGGCGCTAACGTAGCTCTAAGCTTGACAGATCGATAGAGTTTCAGGCTGTCATTTTTGGTGCTTTGGCCTGATCTGTCGGGTCTGCCGTAATATCCCCCCCTTGGCCGAGCGAGAGGGAAAAGGGCTGGAATGCAACCCCGTCATCCAGGAAGCTGCTGCTGAACCGGCACAGACTGCCCGCGTGTGTCGGCCAATCGCTTCTCGAGTCTCATTTGGCTTTCCCATTTTAGCGCGCCGCAGGGTGCTTGTGCTGAGCGCGCCTTCTGCGGCACTCAAAAATTCCAGTACGGACTAAACTTGGTCAAGCCGCCGCAGAGACTCATGTTCTTCCGCCACCAGTAAATGTAATTGAGTGCCTAGGCGCTTGGGAGAATGGTCTGGGCTGGCGGTGCGTGCTAACTCTCTGCGGGTTCGATTGGGCGTTGTAGCTCTCACCATCTAGGCTCGCACGCAGAATCTGATGGTTATTGACCATGTCGAATGGGGAGAAGATCCGACAAGCCAGAAGGAGCAATAGTCATAGCTAGTCAAAGGCGTGCTCTCGAGGCCGGGTGACCCTCCTGGCTAAGCCGTGTGCCAACCACGGGCCACGAGCTTGAGACATGTCTGGCACCACGGGAATAACGAGAGACCGTTCGCCTAACTGAGGGGGAGGGCCACACGAGGGTCTGTTCATCGCCTCGAAGTGTAAAGGTTCAGATGAAATGCTCACTTACGTATACTTAGCAGGCGGCACAATCTGGTTTGGGAGCACACTGATATCCGAACGTCTTTCTTTCTTCTTCTTAGTATCAGGGCCGTGGGACAACGGCGCGGGGTCAACTGGCCGCAGCACATGGTATTCTCGGAGAGACACCACGCGCAGTATGTATTCAAGCTCCCAGGCCCAGCCTACAATACAATACCAAGCGCACATAGGGAGAAACCCTGCAGGTGACGTGCTACGTGGCTGCAGGCACTCCAGCAAGGTCCTCATGATTATGCAGTTTGCTACGGACGGCATACCTGCCATTCAAGGCGAAATGAGTACACAGTTGCACAGCCCTGACTGGCCATGCTTACTGTGTGGCACAGGAAACCGTGCGCAGGCAGGCAGCGCTCGGATGCCATGAGTCCTGGCAAAGACATTCCCAGAGATCTGGTTCACAGCACAGCCTCGGAATGCGAGCGAAATGTGGACTCGGTCTCACACGCACGAGACCTTTATCGGAACAAAAGACCACCATCATTGGGACTGTTTCTCTCAATCAGGCATCGTGCGAATGACGACCAGCAGACCCACCAGCCAGTGCAGTCGGTCAGCCAGGCTGTCCAATCGTGGCTCATCGGGGAACGGTCGGCAACGCCCTCAAAGCAAACGGCAGCCAGGCAAAGCAAATGAAGTGCCACGCCACAAGCTAGGACACAATAGCCGGGCTCTTGCATTTGACATTGGTGCTCTGATGGTTCTGAAAGAGCCAGTACGAGAACAGGGATCCTGCCGTGGGGCGCTGAACAATCCGATACCGAGTCATCGGCCCACCCAGGGAGCCCCCAAAAGTTGGCTTGGAGCACTTGCTCGGTCATCGACCCCAAACAGTCACGACCGTAATGGCAAGTAGGAAATCTGCCGTCAGACCCGCCCTTCCATGGTATCCAGGCTCGGCAGAATGTTGAATATCGCCGTCATGATGGGCCGAGCGAGTCAGGTAGCAGGGCAGGATCTCAAACTTGACGGTCGAAAAGCTGGTGGGCAATGCATGGCTGGTGGCCCCGTCACTTGCAACGATCCGCCAGGTCTCTGGGCAAATGCCAAGAGAGTCCAGTGCCCGGGCGGGCGGGATCATCGAGCAGGGGTATGTTAAGAACTTTTGACCGACCAGGGTGGTCGGACCCCGGGTTTGTGTTCCCAAGTGTCTCATGGGCGGCACAACCACGGGACGCCGCTCGGCAGTGCTTGACTAACACTCGTTGTGCGTGTGGCACCACGGAGTACCATGACATACCACGAATGACTTCCCCAGTTGGGACTGGACAGACAGGGTGCCGGGCTGGGGGTCCGCGATGTGGTGATGAGGCCTTCCTGCTCCGCGTCCTCCTTGGGCGCTGCCGCGCAGTGCTTCTGCTGGTCGGCGCTAGTGCGGTACTTTGGTGGCGACGCCATGTTGTGCTCGCACAGGCAGCTGCAGGTCCGTCTCGTCGTCTGAATTCGTCGGGGCCGCTAGCGGGGGATCTGCTGCAAGCAAGGCGGGAGCGCTGCACGACACGTGCTGGGCACGGCGACAGAGTAGAGATAGGCATCGCAGAGTTGCAATCGAGCCCGGGCCGGAAGCAAGGTGCATGCTGCTCACAAACCATGTCAACCTCTTGGGGCTGGCGCAATGAGCCAGGTGGCGGCGAGGGCGGATGGTGTGCCGAGGGAGGAGGGTGCAGCCGTTGCTCCACGTGCACGCAAGGAGGCTGTCGCATAGGTATGCAGATGATCGAGCTGGATGCATCCCAAGACATTACTGCCGCGCGGGCGCGGCGCAGGGACTTTCCTGCGTCGTAGTTGTGATATAATTATGCGATGCGGGACGGTATGACGACGGGGGAATCCGGAAGGACAAGTGAGAATCCAGATGTGGCAGTCTCAGCCTGGCAGGCGCCGGGAACGGGAACTAGGCAAGGGCGACCCGCAGGGCTTGTTCCGACGGCGCTAGCCGGGAAAGCCCAAGATCTTCAAAAGATCCTGGCGACGCCCCATCTTCAGGAAGGAGCTACGGCTATTTGAACCAATCATGGCGGGCTGATGGGTGTCCAGGGTTCCAAGGCAGCCAGCGCGCGACGGCGCGACGGCTGCCCCTAGGCTTCTTGAGGACATGTGGCGCCTGCCTACTATGGCCATGCTGACCCACCATCCCTCCCGTCCAGTCCCCGCCAGGCCGGTGCGTGCGACGACCAAGACATTCATCATCATCCATGTGGGAAAAAAGCAGCTGCCCGCATGGCGCTCACAACACCGGGCGCCCGTGAGCCCCTCGTCGCCTCGTGGCTTCCAGGCTGGCCCTCGCGGGGCTACCACTCCAGCAGGTGCTGCGCCTTCAGGCTCAGGCCGGGGACTCGAGGGAGCGCGCATACTCGCTGCAGTCAACTGGCGCGCTTGACATCTGCGAGAACAGGCGACTGCCCCCATATGTCTCTTAGATCCGATGAATTAGGCTGGCGCTCAGATGCATTTGATCTGTTCCACGATGGCGGGACAGCTGGGGATCCAAAACAGTCCAATGGCGCTGACAATGCAGGACTGCAGGGGTGCCCGTTGCGCCCTGCTTACCTGGGCGGACAAGTTCCTCCTGCTCCCTCGTCGGGGCTTTGTCCCTAATTCGATGCTCACTTCCGGGCCGGTGGTGTGTCTGATCGAGGCAGTGGACAGAAAAAGAGACCATTCTACAGCCTTACTGTGGAGCAGCCTCTTTGACTTATTCTGTCCAGAGCTTTGCTAACCTGTCATCCTTGCACCGATATGCCGATTTGTTAAGGAGTCATGAGCCGCCTCGCTGCATCAGAGACACTCGCGCCTCGATCCCATGACCTGCCTCCCTCCGACATTGGAAACCCCCCGCGGCGATCACGGAACTCGAGCAATGTCTATCAACGTCACCAGATCATTGTTCACAACCTCCACGCCACCTCGTGCGAAGGTGCAATGCTGCTGCTAACCGGAAGCCTGTGGTCTCCACACATGCTACAGCAAGGGCCTCTTTGGCAACGGGGCATGGGCTTGAATCAAAACTGGCATCCCAGGCTGTTTCGCGCAGTCATTGCTTGCTTTCCGCCAACACGTGTGCCGCCGGAAGGCTAAGCGTGGCTGGCTCGAGAATGGCAGGACAAGCCAGTCCAGTTATGGTATGCGCCACGAGACAAGCAACGTCTACCGACCGCATTCCAGGCAACATGAAATGACAGGAGCATGCTTGTTCCGAACTGGTACATTTGGCCAGAGACGGTCGGCAAGAAACCCCCTCGTGTTGTTTCGCTCGAGCGAGAGAAGCGGCACTCGGACTATCTGGCCGGAGGGGCCGGCAAAAGTTGCTATTGATGATCTGGGGTACTGTCGGGAATTATGTATGGCGCTTCCCGGGGACGAGGTGAAATGTGGCTTTTGCGCGTCAAAAGCAACCCTGCCTACGTCTGCTCATCACCATGTGTTGCGAGGGCCATGTAGAACTTGGGGAGGCGAAGCTGCGCTGTCCCATCATCAGAGAGACGGGTCTTGGGCGGAATCCCATACCATACCATACCATACCATACCACACCATGCGGATTCCCCCAGCAAAAACTACCCTGGAAAAGGGTGTGGTACGCCGATGGTTACTAGCCGAGGCTTCCCTCAGCTCGTTGGGGATGTGGAGATTAGCGTGCGATTTGTGATTCATCTGTTTCCTGTTTTTGTGTACATATATATATATGTACGTTTCACGGGCCCTGCGAGGCATGCGTGGGTCACGACATCCTTTCCCCTTTTTTTCTTCTTTGTGTTTTCCCCTTGATCTCGGGATCTCCAGCTTCGTCTCGGACATGGGTTCACGGTGCATGCATTTGCCAGATATTTCCGTTTCAGACAAGAGGCGCATGTGGAGTTTCGGTCACGGTATACCTCTGGGAGTTTCACTTTCTTATCACGGCTGCATTGTCAGGCCATCATTGGCAACGAGCTACAGCACACAGAGCATCTGTTTTTCATCATATGGGACTTGGTGGGGCGCTGTGGGCTTTACTTGTAGTAGAAGCTGCTAGACAGGGCACTCACGCCAGAACGCAATACACACAATGCGCGACCAAGAGTTGCAACGACCACAGAATGCCTGAATTGATCTTTGGACGTGCGGCTTTGTTCCACTTTGTGGATCACGAAACGTGCAAGGTGATTAATTACCTAGGTAATTAGCATGCTTGTGGCATGTGCGGGCAGGACTGCGCCCACACGAGACGTCTCGTGCCTGGAGCGTCTTTGACCACGGCGTGAAGGGTTGCGGACATGACGGTGACACTGTGCCGATGCCCTGGCCAAAGCCAAAGGGCATGAAGCAAGCGAGATGAGGTTGCCTGATGAGGTTGAGGGGCGCAAGGGGGTTTGCAGCACCGCCGCCCACCCGCGGCCCCGGCCCCAGCCAGCCGTTGCCCCTCCATCCGCAATGCCCCCCCAGCCGGCCAATCAGGGCTGCCGCGCTGCCTCCCTGCGCGACAGGGACATCCAAAGTAAACAAAAACGGCTTGTGCTTCCTGCTCTCCGTCGACGGCTGCTCTCTCTCTCCTCGAGACCAGCACGTCCACACAGAAAACCACCCCATCTCGCCGTGCAAACCTTGAACTCACGCATGCGCCAGGCACCCGCAAGAGGCACGCTACAAGACAAGCCCAGAGCTTGCACAAAACGACTCTGCACCATGGCCCTCGACGCCGCCTTCCCGCGGGCGTCGAGCGACAGCGCCCGCCAACCCTCCCGCTTCCAGGAGGGTTCCATGAACGACCGCGTCAGCGCCAAACCACCGCCGGATTTCCTCGGCCCGGATCTCGAGGCCTATGAGCGCCAGTTCTATGTCCATAATCTCACATCACCAGCCAGCCGAGACCATGCTGGCAAGCACCATCGCCAGGAGCGCCCGCTGTCCGCCGAGGCTCAGCTCGGCCCGACTACTGAACACCTGTCACGCCCGCCTCTGACCAAGAAGTCGTCCTTCTTCGGCCGGCTCAAAGGGGCGCTGGGGTTCGGCTGGGGTTCAAGCAACGGCTCGGCGCAGCAGCAACAGCCCAAGGACGAGGTGAAGCGGAAACACGCCAGCCTTCAAGACCACTGCATGCCACCTCCGCCCCAACCTACCACAACACAGCAGCATCTTTCTAGGCCACCCCCGAGGACCTGGAAGTCGCAGTCACAGATCAACATCCCGCATATCCCCGGCGTGTTGGGACTGGAGCGCAATGGCTCGACCGATCGTCCGTCCCGCGAAGAAATCCTCGAGTCCTACCAGCAGCTCATGGCCTCTGGCTTCTTCCAAGCGCATGCTATCCAGTCGACTCGCCAGCCTGGCCCGCGCGGCAATGCTCCACAGCAGGCCACCTCAGCATCCATACTTTCAACTTCAGCACCTGTACCACCTCCGCCATCACGGCGGCCGCCAGCTTTACCCAGCGTTCCGTCAACAGGGGCCAGGCTCCATGTTGAAGACGACACTGCCGCCTCGATGTTGGCTGCTCTTGGTGCGGCTCAGAGCAACGCGGCTGGGTCTCGGACTCGTGAAGATTCAATGGACTGGCAGACTGAGCAGGACTCGCGATATGCGCTCAGGGGTCGGAAACGCGGCCGTACCGACGGCGACGAGGCCAACGGCACCGAGTCCAGCCTCGCACAACCTCTCCGAAAGATGGCCAAGAAGCTCCGAAAGATTCCGTCCTCGTTGACATCGCCCAATGCTGCTGCAGCCATGCATGTCGACTCAGAAGCTTCTGCCCCGGCACAGCGTGTACCCTCACTATCCATGGGAGGCTTGCCGTTCCCGAGTGACCGGCAGCTCCGCCCACGAGGTCCTTCCCCGGCTCTTGTTGTGCAAAAGGACTATGCGCCGCGACGCTCTGTCTCCGCCTCTGGCAGCATTGGTGCTGTGAACAAGCTGCGAAAACGTGCCAAGTCGCCCAGCCCCGTCAAGGCCAGGCAGCCTCCTGTGTCGCGAGGCGGCCTCGAGGCTGCAAGCTTGCGGAGCTCTATGGAGTCCAGCAGGCGTGAGGCGGCCGAGGACCATTATGGAGGGGGCTCTCTCAAGGTCAACAGGCTTCGTGAGAGGAGCCGACCCGGCACTCCAGACCCGCTGGGAGCCCGGCCAGATTCCTTCCAGAATGTGCCTCAGGTCCCGCGAATTCCCAGCATCTACAAGCAGCAAAACGTGGACATCTCTAGCACCGAGAACACGCGGCCCAGGGCAGGTCGGCAGTATGCCTAGAGCCCAGGTGGTCAGATGGCCACAAGCTTTTCCTTCCTGTGGGAGCCGTTACTCATTGCTTTCGTGTTTCTGCGATATTCCGCGGGATCCTGCATTTGCAACCAATGTCGAGTTTCGATACAGCCCTGTTTGTGGGTGGGAAGAATGCCCAGCACCAACAGTGACGACCCCCTTCACGATAAGAACCTTATGACTTTACGAGACATGCTTTTGATTTCGACTTGAAGAAGGACAGAGGAGCCTGTAGTAATAAGTGGCGACAGCGGTGTGCCATTGAGTGTTTTCACTTTTTGGGGATGGATTTATGTACGCCAGGATCGATTCTGGGCACACTGGCCCTCTCGCCAAGTGTTGGGTTTGCGATGGGCCTGCCTTGAATCTTCTGGAGCGCGAGGTGTGGTTTATTGACAAATGTTGGTTTTATCGGTGTGAACGGGCGACTACGATGGCGGGTGTCTTTTTCCCGGGCCTTTTTTCAGGCCCACCGGGGTGGCGGCAAAAAGGAGTTCAGGGATTGGAGTTTTTGACTTCTTTGGTAGTGAGCGGAAAGAGGCACTTGTACTCCCCCTCGGGATGAATCAATAAGAAGCCGTGTTTTCTCTGCATTTTCCTGTCGTCCAGTAGTGTAAATGCGTGGCTGGCAGTGACAGTGGCAGTGGCTCCTCAAGCTGTGACGATGGGAGGACAACGACAAAACTGACGACGACCTGACGGGGAAAAGTTTACAGGCAGAACGCGACGAGAAGACACTACAGAAGAAGGAGAGGTGGCAGAAAAACGAGACAGGTCTTTTTGACGACAAGATCGTTTGTCGCCCCCCCCCCCCCCCCCCCCCCCCCACAATCCCCCCTCGTTCCTCGTTCCTCGACAGGTGATTTATCCAGCCCGCCACTGTACATGAGAGCAAGAACACGTTTGGTTTCCATGTCTCGTCGTCGTCTCTCGATAAGATGTGCTTGCGAACCTTCCACCACCACCACAACCACCAGATACTTGATACGCGGGCCTTCATGCGCTGCGGGCTTCACTCTTACTTCACCTCTTTTCGTGCCTGGCATGATAACTGGAGGGGAGGGGGGGTGTGCTCATTCTTCAACTCCCCCCCCATAATCGAGCCATGCGCCTTAGGCCTTGGAGATAATAGGGTGCAATGGTTCTGACACACGAGAATGGCCAATATGTGAGGCAAGTGGATGAACAACAAGTTGAACGAATGGTCGCCGCCCCATGCAGGCTTCGTCGGGGGCGTCTTTGTATGTTTTGACATTGCATGGAAAAGAAAAGTAGCTCAGGCACCTAGATTGTGCTACGGCCAAACCTGGCCAGGAAGCCCCATCGATTCGACTAATAATAAGTTTGTGTATGCAACACCAGCACCCCCACCCTTGGGGACCGAACAGGACCGTTCCTGGCTATTCGTCTGTCTGAAGAGCCCTTATGTACAACATGTAAACATATGAAAAGAAAAACTAGACCCGTAACCGTCATCGTACTGTCCGTGTTTGCAATTATAGACATAAACGCCATGAAAGGCTTGAAGCCCTCGAAAAGTTGTGATGGCACTTGGTTTCGACCAAGCAATCTGAAAATGCGGTGCAAAGAAAGGGGGCTGTCTCAGAGCACTACAAGGTTTGTGTGGTGGATGGCAAAAGGTTTGCTGAGCAGCTGACTATGCAACCTCTACCAGCCGTTCTCCAATGCGCCTGATTATCTGCCGCGGCTCAGCGACCGCGCTTACTACAGTCTTGACTGTCTGATATGTGCCAGTGAATAGTGAGGGCGCGATGTTGGTCATCATCATGCCAAGGACCAGGAAAAGGATAGGGAGCCAGAAGATCCACAGCATCTTGTCGTGACTGCCAGTCTTCAAACTGGCTGCATGGACTCGCTTGAGCTTTTCTTGTTGATCCAGTGTAATGGTGCCCTTTCTTCCAACGTGGAACAGGCTGGTCATTTCCGGTTCTTCTTCACGGGCCTGTGTATGGCTCTCAGCAATGGCCGTCGTTTCTTGCTGATCGAACATTGTTGCACACTTTGCATCCGCTTCATATTCTGCTGCGGCCTGGGCAGCAGAAGCCTGCTTTGTGTCGAGATCCTGTTGGGACTGGGGAAAGATGTCTTCGTAGGCTGGCGGTGCTTCCTTGGCGCTGAACAGCTGCTTCGGCATCAAGGAAGACATCCTCGGAATGGCAGGACGTTGAGGCAGGTAAGAGTGGTAATCAGGGAGAGAAGTCGGCATCTGCGGCATCTGCGGCATCAGCATCTGGGGCATTTGAGGCATCTGTGGCATTTGAGGCAAATGCGTGGCCATGGATTGCTGGAACTGGTGAATCTGAGCGGTGATGTGATCTCGGAAGGCGCTCATGGCTGCCGTGGGCGAGCTCATGTCCAAGTTCTGACGCGGTGGCGCCGTATTGATCTCTGGAGGCTGGATAGTAGAAGAGCGGCTTCGGCGAGTCATCTCCACCCAATCGCGTTCCTCCTCGTCGCTGTCGATCTCTGCAGAAGAATCGGAATCGCTGCTCAAGCTGTCCTCGCCATCCACTAGATATTCGGGGCTGGCCACGTTCCCCGACGATGGTGGATCCCATAGTGACCTCAGAGAGCTGGCGCTGTTGGCGCGGCTGTGTAAAGAGCTGGCACTGCGGGATCGAGAGTGATTTTCGATGCGACGGAGCACGCGCAAAACGTCCGGGCTGCGGGCGACATCTGCAGGTGTCAAGCCGGACAGAGTCCGCATGGAAGGATCCGCGCCCTTGAGAATCAGGCGACGCACAATCTCAGGATGGTTGTTCATGGCCGCCATGTGCAGAGCAGTGTATCCTCCCTTGTCGCGAATACCAATGTTGGCACCACGTGAGAGCAAGCCAGCCACAAACCGACCGAATCCCAGGGAACATGCCAGATGCAGCATAGTCTGGCCACTGGAGCGGCGGAGATTGATGCGTGCCCTGTTCGCACTGTCATCGAGGTCGATCAGTTCGAGCACCTTCAAGAGCCCGCCTTCAACGTCGGCGTCCTTGTCCATGTTGTTGTAATTGTTGGATCCAGGCGCGGAGGAGTTGGGCGACGAGGAGTTCCATGACCCGCCGTTGCTTGCGCCAACAGGTCCGTAGATGATGTTCCGGGCAATCTCAGCAACGTCAGTCATCTTCCCACCGAGCTTATTGCCGAGAACAGTGAGCGCTGTCCTGATGAGGCGGTGCTCGTCATCGTCAACGTATCGGAATAGCGGCTGTGAGTTGCCGTTCATGGTGACGGGCATAGGCGCCAAGGGCTGTTTAATTGATACTGGGACAAGCCCAGTGACCGCAGAGGGCGGCAGCAGGCATACAAGCGACGTTTCTCCCCAGAAAGTTGTTGTTGCAGCACGATTGTCGCCGAACATCACCTCGAGGCCTCCGTTTGTGAAACCACTTCCGAGGATAGTGACTTCCACGCCGCCAGACTTGGGTCCTTCCCCAGGTATAATCTTGTAGATCATGGGACGAGGACCTGTCGCGACCGTGGATGGATTTGTGGTGACCGGCGCGTTATAATTCTGACCCATCTGCATGTGTATCTCGCGACGCAAAGTGGCGGGGCTTGGTGCACGGCTGGGGTGCGCTGTGACCGGCGCAGAGAAAAGTTGCGGTGGGAGATTGTCGAGGCTCAAAGTTCGATTTGATGGATAAATCAGCTGATCCGCACCATTGCTGTTCGGGGTTGGCGGTCCAGTGGCGAAATTCTGGGCCATGTTAAGTCCAGCCTGGCTGCTAAAAAACGAATCCGTGTTGCCAGCGAAGTTGCCCAAAGTCGGCGAGAATGGCGAAGTATGGTTCGTGGCGACGCTGGTGTCGCTATTTTGAGCCACACCCGTTAATTGGGGCTGTTGCGGGGGCTCGAGCTTGGTCATGGCCAGGCCGCTGGGTACCTTGGCGGATACGCTGGCTTTCCGTTTCTTAGAAACGGCCGCTGGCGGGCCAAGAGGCACAGAAGCCGGGGAGCCTTGCCGAGAGAGGTTCTGTGGAGTAGCAACAATAGAGTTGGATCGTGAATTTGCTGTGGTTGAGGTCGCTTGCGCGTAGTTTGAAGTGCTATTTTGATTGACCGCAGCAGTCTGTTCTGGCTGGTTCCGGAAGGGGGCTGTGGCTTCGATGGGCTTTGCATCGTTGCCCGCAAGTGACGCTGTGTGAGCCAGTGCGGATGCCGGGAGGTGTGTCTTGTGGTCGTCGGTGATCATGATGGAAGACGAGATCTGCTGGGCGACGAGGTTATCCTTGTAGTCCTTGACGGTGAAAATGACCTGAAATCCCATCTTCTCCCCATGATGGCGGCAGTAACAGGCAATGCGCATAGGGGCGTCCACCTGAACTGTCCCTTCAGGAACAGAATCCCGCAATCCAGCCCCGGTAGGGTCCGCCATGTGAGGGGTCACTGCCTGCCACTCCTTGACTTCCTGAGTGTTGAATACTATAACCCGCTCCGTCTCGAAGCGGTTCCACAGGTCCTCCTCCTCAGGCTTTTTGTGCTTCTTGCGGCCTGCGCGTTTTCTTTCCCGAGTAATGCAGCCTGCGCAGATGCGGACTTCGCCCCCATTCTGTGCTTTGCTCTCCTCGTCATCCTCGAACTCTCGGGCGCTTTGCTGATCGAATTGGGTGGAAGCCGCACGGGCGAACGCCCGCTCACGCTTGGCCGGATCTTGCATTGCGCTCGTGCATACGAGCATTGTCGAGAGTTCGAGCATGTCTGGGGAACGGACAGCAGTCGGCTTCGCCAACAGCTTCGGCTTCGAGATTGTATGTGATGGCAGATGAATCCGCTTGATCCCCGCCGGCAGATGATGTATTGTGAGCTTAATGGGAATCTGTGTTTCCACACGTGACTTCAGAGGTGTAGGTTGCACGAAGAGTCTCGGCCGGGGTCCAGCTGCTATATTCGTCTGGACTGGGTATTGTGCTTGGGGCACGCTGGAGGACTCAGGTGTCCGAATCATCTGGGAAACTGGGTTCTGTGTGGGAAATGTCGTCACGGTGTTCCACATAGAGGAGACACCCAACCCGCCGAGATTGCCAAACAGGTTCACGTGATTTTCTGGTGAGGGTGTATTGTTGAATGTCGCGGATGGGGAAGAGGCATGACTAAGAACGAAGTTTGAGGCGGGGGAGACTTCTCGGGAACCATTTGCCTTGAGCCCGCTCATGCCTTGGGTCAAGGAAGCTTGCTGAAGATACAGTAGAGTCAGCGTATACGGTGCAACACACTTTGCAATCCCAACGTTGACTTACCGAAGGTGCCTTGTGATGTCCCTTCACTCTCTTGACCCGTGGTGCGTTTGCCGACGTCGATATCTCTGGGGACACGGACGTCTGCGCAGTATGAGTGCCCGCGGCTGGTTCGGGACTACTTGAAGCACTGTCGAAATCAAAGAGCGTGTTGGACATGTCCACGTTATCGAGGGCCATGGCGTGCTCGTGGTGCGTCATCATGTCGTCCATTTTCCACGGTCCTTCCAGCATGTTGACATCTATTGATGTGCGTGTTGTGTTTGGTGAAATCTGTAGTGTGGACTCGGCTCCAGCGCTGACTTGTGAAGATGAGGAGGATGCCGATTCACGGTGTAATGACGTGTACTGTGTCAGAGAGTTCATCTGCATTTGGTCCCGGTGCAGCAGAGCCTTGGGGTCCTCAAAACCTGTGGATTCCATCGTGTCGTCGTCGAGGCCGCTGTAGAGAGAGTTTACCGACTGGTTGTTGTCCTCGCCATCAAAGAGCTCGAACTCGTTGCCGAAGTTGAATGAGGGCATGCTGGGGTCGATGACGAAAGTATCTGTGCCGTCAAAGGCGGCGGATGCGGGCGGCATGATTGTTGCGAGGCGCGCCCAGAGGGCCGCAGACGCCAAGTAGGTATATTATCTGGGTTGGTGAGGGGGCGCAACACCCACGCGAAGGTGTTGCAGTTCCGATGATTCGGGTGGTGTGGGCGGTTTACTCTGAACACTAAGCTGACGCTGGTGGAGGCCTGTGCTGTGTCGCTGACTGTGAAGACCAGGATCGAATAAGATGTGGGCGGCAACGATCAACGACCAGTGACGACGTCTATTTTTGAGCTAGTGGCTCAAGCAGCCATTGCGCGGTTCCTGGCCGAAGAGGTGGACGGAAAAGCCGAGGCGAGGATGTGAGCCAGGAATTGACTCGCAGTAACGGCTTGCTCGACGGTGATTGGGAGCAGCAATCGGGAACGGAAACCGCGGCGTGGACGTGAGTGAATGTCGGACGCAAAGCAACAGGTTTGGGATATTCGCGATCCCGCGGCGGCAGCTGGTGGATGCTTGAATGCAAGTTGGCGATGGGCGAATGCTGGTGGTTGTTGTTGTTGTTGTTGTTGTTGTTGTTGTCTGGTGGCGGCGGAGCAAAGCGATGGGGTCGACGACTGAATGAATGAATTAGTTGATTGATGGCGACTGGCCGGTAGCAGCGTGCGGACAGTAGGCAGGCAGTTGTTGGCTGGCTGGCTGGCTGGCTTTGAGCAAGAGCGGGTCCGCAGGCGGGTGTGGGTAATGAGGTTGCCGGGTGTGGGTGAAAATTGCGATGGGCCAGAGGGCGATTGCGAATTGAAACAGGCAAAGCCACCACGACACGGCTTGATGTCCGCACCGGCGAGGGGGGCGTCTGGCTGGCGATGTCTCAAGCGGGACAGACAACAACAGACACCACGGCGCAGATAAGAGCCTGGTGCGCCGAGACGTACGTTGTCCACCGGGCCGCAATGCGTGCTCTCGAGGCAAGGCCAACCAGGCACGGCAGGTCGGAAGGGGAGCGGTCTGACTGCAATGCGAGGGAGCGTACGTCCTGCTGCAGCACGCACTCTGGCCGCCCCGTCGAGCAGGCCAAGCGGGCAATACAGCGACACGGCAAGCCTCGTGGAATTCCCAGAGGCCCAGCCAGCCCTGGGCCCGGGGGCCCAATCAGCAGGCAGGCGATGTGTCAACGGGCATGCGCGGATGTCCCTCCAGGGTCTGGTGGTGTGCTTTATCCTGGCCCAGGTGGTCTCCAGTCCGGAGGTGAGGGTCTCGTCACGCTGCAGGTACGGGGCCAGTACTGAGAGTTGTGCCCAGGGCCGAGTGCCACGCGGCGGTATCTCACAGGTCTCCCGCCGGCTCCGCCTGGCGCCCCAAGGTTGGCCACGCGAACCTTCTTGCAAGCTGGAACACCAGGGTCGTGGGAGGCGGGAAAGGGGCGGCGAGCATTGGTTGCGTGGACCCCGGGCGGGGAGCCGACTCTGAATGTTTACCCTAGAGAAACGCCCGGTTTCCACAAAACAGCGGGGGGACCAGCGTTGACAGGCCACTCACGCAAAGGCAGCCCAGGCAGATCGTGACCATTGCAACAAGGTCTTTCGCCCACGACCCATGTCCTGGCGAGCCAAAACGACGACAGCACGCTGAGTGATCGTGTGCCTCGCTGCCTGCCTGCCTGCCAAGCTGGCCCTCTTTCCCCGCCGGGCTGGTCCAGCCCAGAAAGGGGCAGCGGCGATCAGCCAGCCAGTCCAACGGCGGGGCCTCGCCAGGCATGGATGTCTTCAATTTCTGACTTCTTGCTGCTCCTGGACCGACAAAGCATCAAGGCGGCACCGTGTACACCGATCTGCAGCCGCAACGACGTACCACGGCCGGCGGTGCATAGCTCGCGTTTTCTGGGCCCTGCCACACGAGGCTTGCAAATATGGTGGGATGGGACAGACGTCAACATGGCCAGAGTCAGATTCCAGCTGTGCCAGGGTGCCAATGCACTAACGCATCATCGCACCCAATTGGTGGTGCCAACGGGTCTTCTCTCGCCATCCTAGTGAGGCTCGCCGGATTCCAGGGTGCCGCGCATGATTATATCAGAGTAAAGACAGCATCATAGCACGTCAGCCCTTGCTGGCCAAGACGGTGCCGGCAGCCGTCCAGCCTGCGGAGCGAGACAACCTCTTGTTGCGCTCATTCCGGCCAGCGGAAGTACGATTCCCCTCCCCGCGGACCCCGTTCAGCCTCGAGGCATCGGCTCCTACCTACCCTGTCTCGGGCTGCAGGCTCTAGCCAGTGCCCGGTTAAGCCGCTTTAGGGCATGTACTGATCGTCGCCGGCTCCGCCTCATCTCCATATCTCGACACAGGCCGCCCTCCGTCCCCCAGTGGCATCACGGTCGCACTGTCGTCGCGCATTTCCGTCGGATCCAACGAAGCACGAATTCGAGCTTACCTCGCCAGTCCTGCTGTGAGCGAAGGCCCAGACGTCATCGGCGATTCGATGGCGCTAGTCACATACGCATGGACTTTGTGGTGCCTTGCGCAGGACACATGATGCTGGCCCAGTGGCATTTGTGCCTAGCATGGAGCTGCTGGCTAGTCTAGGCAGAGGTCACGGGGAGGTCAAAGTGAGGGTCGTTCGTCAAGCTATGGCCCAATCTGTACAAGCTCGACCGCCGACAGGTCGCACGGATGGCTTTCCTGTTCGAAATCCACAATCAGATGGGCATTGCGGCTCCTGGAGTCTTGAGCTCACGTCGAGTCCTTCAAAACACTAGATGTTGGTCAGGCACAGGTCTGCGTACCTTATGGTATCTCCGTCTCAGCAAGTCCTACGGACCTAAAGTCGTAACGACCAGTGCATCACCACTGGGGCTCCCAAACAATAGCCGCGAAGCGAGATTCCCGGAACACGAGTCCGTGAGAAGGGGACCTGGTCGCTGCGCGACCACATCGGCTTCTGTTGCTGCTCAGCCACCTTAGATATCTCAGCATGCACGTTTCCGAGCTTCTCCGCCACGGTGATTACGATTCGCTAGGCGGGCCGGCAAGCTCCCAGACGGCGGCTGGGGACGCCGTGGGGCTCTAGTTTTATCTACTACATCATTTGTAGCGCATCTGGTGTAATCAGGCCAGCGGCTGAACGCAAGTCCCGGAAAAATGACCGTGTACTCGTTGCGACGGACGGGACAACAACAACAAAGTTCACAGTTGCTGCAAAGCTAGCCTCTGTTCAACCATACTTTCTCCGGCGCGCTGCCGCTGCCCGGAGCCGGCTCGTTCCGATGTCGCCCCTGGCATACTGGCAGTGGTATCCGTCGCCGGAGCTTTTGCATCTCACCACCACCACCATCACCAGATATGCGTCCTTGCAGGGATCACCCACACATGTCCAGGTATGCTGCACGTAATCACGTCGTGCAACAGCCTGTGTGGTAGCGGAGCGACTTTGCTTATCTTCGCTCTGCATCAGGTATAGGCTCACAACATGAGCGACGATGTCTCGAGGCCGTCACTTTGCAGATCGCTCCGAATCACTTGGCAAGTTGTAGAGTACCCAGCCGTGTGCCTACAACTCCAAGATAGTCTACATCCGCCTTCGATGGAGGTTGATACTCACATCCTCTGTACCTCACTCTGGTGGCCGGGCCGACTTGCATCGATCTTGATGCATCTAGCTGCATCCGAACGCGACACGCCGATAGCCAGATGACGCCTATTCGCTGAGAGAGCGAGTATGGATTTGGTAATAGCCATTCCAACGGCGAAGCCACTTCGATTCTCCTCTTTTTAAGAGTTGGCCGCGCAATGCGGGCAGGTTGGAGCCGCACTATCGCTCGGTGAAACCCACTTCTGCAGCTCATCCACTGGTGGCTGAAGAAGGCGTGCGTGATACCACCATGGCGCGAAGCGTCGACCAGGATATGGCTTGGACGAATGACATCAAGAATGTCGTGTCATCTTGACTTTGGCCTCGCATGCACAAGTATTTTGCAGACTGGACAAATCGACTGCCTTCATGTTCCCCACTGCGCCAGTGCCTGGACGGGCTAATCTCTGGCACACCGATCGGACCATCCGGGAATCAGGTACCCTCGGAGTGCAGCAGCGAATACGCATTCGACCCTTGGCCTCCTGGTTTGAGTACGGCACCGCCACATTGGCAGTATGGCCAGATATCTGGCAATGTCGACTTGCCTGTGCACTACAGCTCCCTTCAATGACCTGGGCACCAACACAGCGGTGACGCTTACACCGCTTCGTATGACAGTCGATGCTACATGAGATCAAGTACATGTCTTGTTCTAGGACCCCAGATACACCTCTGAAGAAGCACAAACACTCAGCTTGAAGGACCGGAGTTTCGACATATTGTTGCTGTTGCCATCATGACCACGTATGTTGCGGTTTTGTCTTGCCCTTGCGTCCTCTGCCGTGCCGTCCCATTAATCAGGAGTGCGATACCCCCGCGCTAGCGGTGATTGCTGATAAACATTCGGCAGCCTAGACCCTGCAGGGCCTGGGGGACAGCCTGTTAATGTCCGTGGCTCGAAGTTTGCGAGAGATCTCCTCATGTTCCGGCAATCTGGGACGAGTGTCGGATGGGCGGCCGAGTAGTGTAGCGGACACGAGACATGCGCATTGCTTGCCGAAGTGGACTTTGTACAATGAGCCGCGTTCCTCCTGGCCAGGAAAAGCCAGGGCTCTCCAAGCTCATCTAAGCAAGCAACCATCATGAAATTCCTCAAGGCGTGGCAGCTGGCATCCAGAAAAGTCGTGTTGGCGATGCGTACGCTTGCAAGCTGGGACGGGTATTACGACCATTGGCGTGCCTAGACCGTGCAACCACAGAGCTGTTTTTGGGACATTATCCTTCATTTCCCGAGCCTGGTAAGTGGTGTCAAGGTGGCCGCGAGGTCGAGGGATGCGGCACTTCAGAGATGATCCCACTTGGAGCTTTTTGACACGTTTCAAGTGTTGAAGTCCTTTTCAGCTGTCACTCTACTCAAAAATCAACACCCCAGCCAGATATGTGTAGAACTATCGGGGAAAGTCGAAGGTGCCCATGAAGTAGAGAGGGTCTGGTCAGCTGGGGTGTTTCCGCTGCGCTCAATCCATCAGAGACAGATGAAACCGGCGTACAAACCCCAGGGGTATGCAGCTAGAAACAAAGGAAGGCCATGGAAGAGGGATTTACGATTGTTGTCGTCGCCAAGCCACAGGCCTTCCTAATAGGAGACGCTCGATCAAGAGCAGGAAATTAGAACGAGCATGAAGCCACGGATCAACCAGGCTTGGGAAGCTATGACGGCGGAACAAGAGGTGTGTTGGCAACGACATCGAGAGGAAAAGGGAGGAAAATGTTGCCATCTAGAACCGCCTGTGTCTGCAGGCGCGTCAACGCATGGCTGGCGGCGTCACGGGTGAAACCTACGAAATTGTCTACCAGCTTCAAAGGGCAGCTTGCCTTGCCGCAGAGTTTTGCTTGGTTCTAGATGCACACCATGATGGCACTCTTCGTTGTCGAAGGCACATGATGAGACGACACAGAAGCTTCGTGCTGCTTGCTTACACTGCCAGCTGTGTCGGGCATCAGATCTTACGGGCCGCCGCATGAAGCTCACGAATATACCTGAGCCGAGACACCCGTCACCGCTACATCACCGCGACATGGCCAGGCCAGGCCGACTGGACCCCTAAGACGCTTCTTGGCGACATGGAATTCGAATCGATGGGGGTTCCATTCCAATGCTCCTCGGAGACTTGTCCGCCCTGCTTGCTTTTGTTCGAAGACCACCACCCGACTAGGTAATGATCTGGACCGGATCAGAACGCACAAAACCAACGAGAATTAGCGACGTCGCGGCGATCCCTCCGTCCCTGCCAGCCTGCCAGATGCACAGGATCGTGATAAGACAAGATGACATCCAATGGTGCAAGGGGTGGAGAGAGATCGATCCAGGTATACACCTCATGGCCCCCCACGTTTGCGACTCAGCCTGGACGCCGTGTTGTGTGTCTGTCTGTGTCTGTCTGTGTGCGTGTCGTGCTATCCTGAGACATCGACAGGACGAGAGGTTGTCTCAAACACGTGGTCTGGCATTGGAGGGGCACAGCAGCATCAGCATCGTCTCTACATGCACACCCGTCCTTCTCTTCCCCTCATCGCCGTCCTCCTCCTCCTCTCTGTCGTTCCTTGCTCGGCTTTGGAGTGTCACACTCTCCACGGTACGCACGTCTCTGTGTCGTTGTTTTTGTCTCACCCAGCCGGTGTCGGCAGGATAGGGCAGGCATGCTCGGGCCTAAAAGTCCGCATGGCAATGGAGCAAGGGAGTTACGGTCAGTCGAAACCACGTATCTGTGGGGGACAGAGAGAGAAAGAGGACCCTGCAGGCTGACAGGAAATATGGGGAACCAAGATCAAAGCTGGACGAATCAGAGCCCCATGTGCGACGACTTGTATACCCGGAAAGCATTGAGAGAGGGAAAGAATCGGCTAGCTGGACCATGAGATCACTGCAAGACTGGGGGAGGCCATCACTCTCACTCTCACTCTCACTCTCTCACCCTCTTGCTCGCTCGCTCACAACCTCTCGTTTTCCCTCTCGTGTGTGCTTTCCGACAGGGGGCACATAAATCTCGGATATCCGAGCCGATGATTGAAACAAGGAGGTCCAGATATGATGTGCCGCGTTGCTCGCTGCTCCCGACTTTAAGACACACGGAAGAAGGGGGAATGTGCGCAAAAGGCTCACCTTTTTTGCCTCCCAAGAATTTGCAAACGAACGCGGCCAGAAACGAGAGATCAACAGACAAACGACCGCCAGTAACCCTTAATCGACCACAGTTGTCTCTCTCAAAAATGGGTTACATTTAGGGAACGGGTAGATCCAAGAAATTCCCTTTCGGGCCGTGGCCGTGCTCAATTCTAACTAGTCTTTATCACCACAAAAGCGACAAATGAACACCGAGAGAAGTCCTGGAGGCGAGGGCCAGGCAGGCAGGGACCAGTCTGACCGCTTGGTAGTCCGGCAATTTTTTGCTTCTTTCGTGCTGACAATGCTCCCGTTGCGTTTGCATTTGCATTTGTCGCATTGCATTGGCCTTTGAGGGAACCCCGAGCACGGACGTAAAAAGCTGAACCTGGCAGAGTCCCTGCCGACTACGGCACGCTGACTGATGATCATGGATCAGAACGTATAACAGGGTACCCGTGTCGGCCATGACGATGGGGGAGGGGGATTTTGGAGAAAAACCAGTAGATGTGTACCATTGTAGGGTGTATTTCGCTACATGTGCTCGAGACTACTCGAAACTAGACTCTCTTTATGCCTTGTGGAGATCAAGAGAAGCAGAAAAGCTGTGTACATGCTTCATACGCTGAGTAACCGAGCTTTGACGCATGGATTTGATTGATGTACGCTCGCGTCAATGACGGTCTAGTGGCCCTTTCCCTTGAACTCCCGCACCCAAATAAATAACGCCTCAAACTGTACGCATGATCATCAAGTCATGATGTTGTTGTGCATGGTGGAACCGACCTGCCATCTCAAAAACTTCACTGAGCCTGGCCAGGGTGGTACGCCGCCGCCGCCGCCAGACCTATCGGCTTAGAGCTCCAGGACTGGCAGTCCACGACCAGTTAAGAGATGGCCGTCTTCATAGATCCCTCCACTGCCAGCCTATCGGCAGCGATGTTCCCCACGTCCGACCCGTGGCCTTTCACCCACTGGAACTGCGTCTTCGTGCCGACGGCATCGCGCGCCTCGATTTTGCTCCGGATGGCTTTGATCAGATCGTTGTTCTCCACAGGGTCGCCAGTCGACTTGCGCCAGCCGTTCTTCTGCCAGGTTCTATACCACTCTGTCACGCACTTGATGGCGTAGTTGCTGTCCGAGAAGATGCGAACACCCTGCAAGTCAGTTACCTGATCCAACGCTCTCAGAATGGCAGTCAGCTCGGCTCGATTGTTCGTCTGCGGCATGCCCGCGAGTCGTTCCGAGATATTTCTGTATAATGTCGTCAGTTTTGGCGAAGGATGAAGAAGATGATTAGCTTCCAAGGGGGAAGCTCGATGGGTGGCAAACATACCTCGGATCCCCAACACCAAAGTAGACGCCGACTCCAGCTACAGCATTTGCGCGGCCGTTCGCCCGCGAGCTGCCGTCTGTGTAGATGTGTACCAGATCGAGCTCCAGCTCGCTCGGCACCACGACGTCGAGTCTCTGCTTAGTCGCCCGCGTCTTCTTGGCCGGCGGCTGCTGTGCTTCGGCCTGCTGCGCGAGCCATTGCTGTGCCGCCTCGTTGCCGAATTGGCGTATAAAGTTGAGCGCCTCCACTCTGCTCTCAAACTTTTTGTATTTGGGCCCCTTGACGTTCGTTATCGCGGCCGAGCACTCCTCCCAGTCAGAGTAGATGCCGACGCCGTTGCCAACCGCGACGGCGTAGTATCTGGGCTCCTGGGCAGTGTCGGAGGCAACCTTACGGCCGGCGGCAAAATCTTCGGCGTCTTTGCGAGAAAGGAAGGACTTGTCTGTGGTTGTTGGATTGGTTAGCCAAATTTCATCGCGGTTTGCAGGTTCGGTGCGCGGAGCTTGGGCGAGCAGGGCACTGCTGAAGCAATGGGAGAGAAAGAAAAATTCCCTACAAACGGCGCCTTTGAAGCCAGCAGTCTGTGCCTGACATTCAGCCCATGTCAGGTATACGCCTGGCTGCTTGCCCGCCTTGACGGCGTAGTATTTCTGGGCTGAAGGATCCAGCTTGCGCTTCTTCCCACCGGCCATCTCTGCGTGCTCAGAGCTCTCCTCGCACAGACCCTCCCTGACGACTTCCTGGAAGAGGGCGTGTTCGTTCGTCTCGTCTAGGACTCTGGACTGAGCGGGCTGGCCCTCGACGCCGGCGTGCGGACAGGTGATGGCAGTCCAGTATATTCCAACGAGTGCGCGATGGTTTCGACCATCTGGCGAGGACGAGCTAGGGCTCAGAATGAAGTGAAGGTCGTCGAGTATGCGTTGTCGAGATGCGCTGTGGGTTACCGAGCTTTGAGTGGTGGGGAGGGCTCGGCGAAAGGAAGGAGAGGAGCGCTCGATCGAAGCAGGGAGTTGCCGACGCCAGAGCGAACGAGACCGAAGGAGTCAGGTCCTGGGCATGTCGAAAGATGAAAATCGTCAGGACGGGGGCGTTGTGTCTGGGGTGGAGCCTTCTCTTTGCAGGCCTGCTGTAATAGACGCCAAAGCTGGAGTGGAACGGGAGGAGGGGATCTCGGACTGATCCGCACGTCAAGCGCCAGGAGAAGCTGTCCACACGCGCCCGGGTCCGCGCCCCACCACCCGGAGCTTCTGCAGCCTCCATCCTCTAGCCGACGGCCGCGGCCGTGGGGAGCCCGCCCCCTTCGCAAGCAGTCAACGGCTGCCAGATCCAACCAATCGAGACCGACCGTCGGTAGATGAGCTGAGGCAAGTCACAACAAGGATCCTGAGAATATAGACAATAATGGCTCGTTTCTACGGGCTATCGCAAATTGCAGGCCATAGTGTTGGCATCCTAACTAAGACACTGGCCAATTCCACAACACGTTGTGATCCTGCATCACTTCCAACAGGAGCACTGTCCCATCAATTGACTGCGCGTCTCAACGCTCCAAACTTGCAACAAAGTGTCAATCACCGGCCAGCATCATGCGCGCCTCGTCCCGACACCGGCTTTCTCCAGGGTCTCAGGAACAGACTATACGTGTGTATGAGGATCGACGCTGAGGGGCTTGGCCTTGTCAGCCTCCCACTCCCAGCCCAACATGCTCCAGTTGAGTTCCTTTCTCCAATGCAGACCTAAGCCGGCGCCCCCTCCGCATGGCGTGTCCTTGCAGCCACCACATGCGTCATATCCACGGTCTTCTGAACTCATACCACCTGAGAGTGGCATGCGGTGACGAAACACAATCCTGCCCATCCGGGAGTGCAGGATTGCCATGGCACACATGGTACAGGGCTCATGGGTCATGTACAGCTCGAGATCGTGACAAAGATATCCATCAGGATTCGGGTGGTCTGCTTCAAAAACTTCGACCTCGTCCTTGAGGAGGGGTCCGTCCTGGAAAGACTCGAACTCAATGGGCTGAGCCGCTGCCTGTACCTTGCCCTCTGCTCGCACCAGTTTCTGGGCTACCATGCTGATCGCTCGCAGAGCGGCGTGTGCCATTGGATTGCCAGTCTGTCCAATTTTGCCCTGCTGGTGCCACCGTGCATCGCCTGCGATTGCAACAATGCTCGTCTGCTCCTTTTCTTCTTCTTGTGGTGAATCTGCAGTCTCCGCGGGGCCGTGCTTCTCGTGGACGCTTGTCTCCTGATTTTTGTTAATGGTCTTTCCATCTTTGGAAAGGTTCATTGGGAGACTGCCATCAGTGGTTGCACGGCTGTCGCCCGTGGGAGTTTGAACGTCAAAATCGCCGGTGTCGTCCTTTGGACCACGGTTATCAGGCTTGCCTGGAACTGTTCGCCGGATGATCACAGCACCAATGGGTTCGCCATAGCCTGCGTCTTTCGTCTGGCGGGCAATCTTGTGCGCCAGATTCATCCACACTGACGCGTCGCGAGACATGGTGGTGGTGGTTCTGCAGATGCTGCTTGGGTGTGGACCCAGAGGGTTGTTCTTCCGATAGACAGTCTGCCAGAATTGCTGCGACCATAGGTTCGCCTGGACCTGGGAAGTTGGAGGCCGCAACGGGACGGGAATGACTCCCACAAAGATGTCATCTCTAATGCCATCAATCGTGGACAGGCCTCGAATCAAGTCGCCGTAGTCGAAATCGTCCTTGGATCCGAGCATTATATAAAGCCAATTCGACTTGCCGGTGTGGACTGCACGTCCCTTATCACCGTTCATGAATTGAGCCTTGAGATGGGCAGGTAAGTCTGCGGGCTTGCAGCATCGTCGTAAGTGAGGCATGTTCTTAGCAACCTCCTCGCCGACGATATTCCGCGCGATACTAGTGGCAGAGAAGTCAGTCACCAGCTCGAAAAGGGCAAAGAGCCAATTCCTCGTTGAGCTCGTCGGAGAGGATCGGAAATGGCCTGGGGGTTGTTCCGCTAAATCAAAACTTACGTCACGACATCGTTGGTCAGTCGGGTTGGGGCTCGTGTGATGTACGCATGACCGAGAGAGAGGTTGTCCTTGAGCTCGAGGGTGGTCTTCAGAGGCACAAGTGTTCCATTTTCAAGCTGTGGCGGAAGGATCCGTTTTGTGACGGGGTCGAGCGTCTCGACGACTTGGTTCATGGATTCGCTCATAGCGTAAGCCTTTGTCCTCGACACTCAGGAACAGTCTCGGCTCGGGCGTTGATCCAGGAGTGAGATGGCACGCAATGAGGGGGCTATTTCAGCCGGTTTGTGTAGATCAGGCCAACGATGGAAGCGAGCTCCAAGAAGTATCACCAGCGAATGTCTGGTGGGTGAATGCTGTGGGTGACGTGGGAGCCAAAAGCTCTGCTCGTGAGGGACGAGGAATGGACGTCGACGTTGAGTGCAGGATCAAGGCCAGATGGGCAAGACGACCGCAGCTTGACATGACGCCGAGATGGTTCAAGCAGGCGCGACCATGACCCAGGCAGGAGGGACAGGAAGCCGGAAGAGGGTACGTCGGATGGTTGCGACGTCCAATGTAAGGCAAGCACGCACGTGTTGGGGCAGAAGGCAAGGCAACCGCAACCTGGGATCGCAAAGGACGTCGTGAGGCGGAGGTGTCTGTCCACTATCCAGGTGAGCTCCACGAATGAGCAGGCGTGTTGCGCTGCCTGGAGGCGGGCACAAGTCGACGGCCGTGAGGTTCGGTGCAGAGTACCTAAGTTGGCGCGCCCAGATTACGAAGTGAGGCCCACCTTGGATCTGCCTTGATCGTTCTTGCTGAGAGCTGTCACTGGCGACGCGAATTTGGGTCCACTGGCGGGTGGGCGACAGAGCAAGAACCAGGGAAAAAATTTGACAGCCTGGCTGCCTGAGTGCCCTATATGTGCCTGACAATCCGTCCGAATGTCGTCAAGGTATTTGCTGCCGAATCGAGAAATGCACGTCAACGTGAGCCTCATGGCCCGAAATTTTATAGCGTCCTTATTGAAAGGCGTTTACTGGGTGGCCGATGCAGGGGCGGCGTAAAGGGTATTGAGAAGGCTGCAGCGCCCCCACATCGTAAGGACCCTCCGTGCTTGCCTTCTATCGATAAGCATTGTGAACCCTTGCAAGTGGCAGCTGAAGCTTCTCGCAGGTATTGTTGAAGAAACTGATTGTCCTGGTTGCATCTCCACTCTTTGACTTTCGCATGCCGTGAGGGCATTCGTGAGTGTCAAGGAAGGCTTCAAGATTTCGCCGGTGAACAGCTTGGGCACTAGGATCCTCTTGGGAGGAGCTGCAGGCTCCTGTCAGAATGGCTTATCTGCTGCCGCCCCAAGCGCTTCTCGACCCGCAAGGCCCAATCACAGTATTGATACTCGCATGTGGCAGACGGGTTGGCCATGGTTGCTCGTCAGGGCAAGGCTCTCATTGCTCTTGCTTGACATTTTGTGATTCATCAAACTGGTCCCGTCAGAGATACGCACGGATAGCAGCAGTCTGGTCATTCGAGCTGCATCAGAAGATGGGTTTGCCCTTGCCTGCAGCTAGTTCGCGAATGACCCGCGGTTTGATTACGCGCCAATGAACAAAACATGTCGAAAACTACCCAAGGCAACTCTGTTGTCCTCTAAGTTGGCATAAGGCACGGCAGCCGTGGACGGGCTTTCTTCTTTTGGCCCTGACGATAGGTACGTTGCGTCCTCTGTCTCACGTGTGGACGCTGCCGGACAAACCCAGCTGCATGTCACTGCAGTGTAACCCTTGTTTGTTTCGTTCAACGATCCAGACTTCACACCATGCTCCAGACGGCGAATGGCACCACTGTCTCACATCGCGGTCCGCGGATGCCCATCCGGCCTTGCATGCTATTTACGGACTACGATCTCTTTCATGGCCCCGAACGACTCTGAGATGTTTGGGCCCTGGAGTTTCTGCTTCTCATTTGCGACGATGACTGACGCAGTGCCACACGAACGCACCCCGTTCTCTCCACAGTCGTTCCCGCATCTGGGCAGGCGGAACAATGGCCGCGTGCGACGTGGTAATGGGCGAGGCTTGAGGCGGGGGCACGCCTTAAGATCCTTGCTCAGAGGGCAGGCTGTCCTGGACTGTGGAAGCCTGCGGTTGTGGGCGTGTTGAGCATCCCGTGGGGGTCCTTCAGGGCTGTGATGGGTGGAACACGACCCAGAAACCGAACTATGACGCTTCCCTCTGAAAGGTCTTTTGGAGCCGTGCTGTTGTTTCGCTGCAACCACCAGGCAAGGTGTGCATGTGGCAGGAGTCTGAGGTCGCCCCCGCACCAGGGCGCATGCGTCGTTAGAGGCAGGCAGGCAATTTGGGTTCCTGTCGCCGGCTTGGGCCTCCATCGTGTTGGTCGTCTCGCAGGATTAAGGTTCTTTTGTTGGCCGGATTCTGGCGCAGACCTGGTGCAGACCTGGTGCACGCACAACAAGACCGGACCAGGACGTGGCCACCACGCCCAGGCTGCGTGGGCAGGCTAGCACGCCGCCCACCGACGATCTGCCTCGCTGCATGTGTCAATACTCGAGGTCATCTGCAGCCCCAGCGCGCCGACGTGCCGTGGGGAAGGGCAAGGCCGTGGCATGGTCGAGGAGGAGCATAGACGGGCATGGGACGGGCATGTCGGCCGATGGCCATTACAAGAGGGCTGCCTCACTCCCACGAGCGGGCAGTGGCAGCTGACGACTCTTGCAACGACCCAATGGGCACAGTCACGTCTCCCTCCCAACTCATGTCTTGCACACCCTCTTATACCGAATTGCACCGCCGGGTAGTGTCTCGCCCGACAACTCAAGCTGTCGGAGTTCCCCAAAGAATTCCAGCCATCTGAAGCCTCGATCGAGCGCCAGGTTCTCAAACCCTCCAACAATTGAGCCCGTCAAAGGCTGAGTGGCACATCCCAAAAGCAGCGTGCCTCCACGGGCCCGTCCTGGGAGAGATTGATCTTCGACAGGCCCTGACAAGGAACCGAGCTCCAGGCACAAGCTCAGCTGTTCGAACAACAAGCCGCCCTCCCACTAAACACAAAGACCACCTGAGCGACTGCCGTTAGACCAGGCTCCGACTTCCGTGGTCTGCGTACAGCTCACACTGCAGTCACTCACTGCCTATTACTAAAAAGCCCGACTCATCGGACCGGAGAGAAGGCAGAGCGAAGTCGGTCGCGATAGCGTGGTTCTCTCGGTGGGCCCCGCCGCTCACCCTGCAAGGTGAGCCTGTCTTCTCCCTTGCCATCGGCGCCGAGCATGCTCAGGCGAGCCAGTTTCGCCAGTGCCGCGACCGGCGGGTATCCCGACTCCACCAGCTCAAGTCATTCCATGATATAACCACAAAGCCTGCTTCCTGCACTTGCAGAGGATCCGCAGGCCTGAGGTCACTGCCCCGCCGTAGCAGCAGCAGCAGCAGCAGCAGCTTAGCATCATTCCCCCCATCGACGATTCGGGTTGCGGCACCGTCAAGACCACCGGCACCAACCAAGCCCCTCCTTCGTGCCCTTGGGGGAGGGCGGCGTGCCAGTGTGTGTACCGCGTACGTACGGAACGGCTGGCTGACATTGACGTGACCCTGGCACAGGGGGGTTCACAGAGCACAAAGGACCCTGAATATCCACACGCCATTATCGCATCGCTCCAAGCATCCAAGCAAGCACCATGTCAGCTCCGTCGCCCGCGCTTCTGCTGCCCTTTCATGGTGCACGGCAGCTCAACAACAACAACACGGCCAGCACCACTATTAGCACCACCACCGCCACCACCAACAACAGCATCAGCATTTCCCACTTCACGCACTTGCACATTTGCGGCAGCCACCACCATCACCACAACTACAGCTGTCAGCCGACCTGTCATCAGTCCAACCAGCTCCGCCGGCGGGCCTTTTCGCTCATCGACCACCACCGGTCTCCCCGGACATCTTGCTCCCGCCAGCCCACCGCCCCAGGTGAGTAAGCATGCTTCCCAATGTCTCCGGTCAGTTGCAGCATTGGTTTTTGGCGTGCCTGCGTGCAAGTGCACCGCTGGCACAGCTCGACTCTCGTCATCGGGCAATGCCCCCTCCTACAGTTGCTATCGGTACCCTCCACAGTGTCAGGCACGGGCACGGAGAGTCCTGGTAGTAGACCCCTGCTCACAGCTGTGCACGGCGCATGATGATGCTGCGAGCAGCTCCCGTGGGTGCACCTGCACTTACGCTACTGGCAGATAGCTTGCTTGCTCCCTGCTGTGCCAAGCCTGGTTGCCAGCCCGCTGGCGCTGCTCAACACAGCACACTTGCAGCAAGCCCGCCAGAGTCAAACGACATACCCATGACATGACTGGGTGGGATTCCATGCAGCCGCCTAGTGGCGTCGGCGGGTCCCGCCCTGCTCGCTCGCTCTCCACCAGGCCCGACTTGTTTTAGCACTGCAGTGTCTTGAAGCACGACTCGCTATTCCCAAAGTCATTAAAGAAATCATCCCACCCGCCCCCTGCCCATGTACCAATAGCGCCGTTGTTCGCCCGGTCGATTTTTCCTTTTCTGAGGTTCATCACATCACCCAACTCCCCTTCGCGACTCCACGACACACACTGGCGCAAGCGAAAACGAACAACCAGACTCATTCGAACATTACCTGCCAGATTTAGCACGACTTCAGTCCAAGCAGTCCTCCCTCGCCAAAGCGGCAATGTCAAACCAGCGGGCCGCCGCCGCATCGACAACTCTTACATCATCGGCCGAGCTGCCTCCCACTTCAGCACCCTTTACAGCAAGTACGTATGCGAACACGACAACAATAGAGCAACTCCCAACATCGCACCCACAGAGCTCCCCAATCATTGCCGTCCAATCCGACCCTTCTGACGTCAAACCGCCAGGCCCGGGCGATGGTGCCTTGACACCAGTCTCCATTGACGATTCACACTTGACTCCTCCTCAGGGCTCGCCACATCGCTTTCGAGACGGGCTTCTCCCACCACCGCCCCCTTCAACCGCTCCAGATGGTCGAGTGCCTCCGTCTCACCCAACTTCGTTAGCCACTGCCCTCCGCGCTGTGAAAGATGGAGGGACTGGTCGCGAGGCCGACTCGCCCTACGCCAAGAGTGTCTCTTCCACGGCACCCGCTTCGCCACGAATGTAAGCTTTAGATTCAGTGGCACTTGTAGCCTCATTTCACCTACTAACCATGTATGGTCTTGCAGCCCTCCCTTGCGACAGAACTCTGGCTCGCAGACCCCTCGCGTCCGCCCTCATGCAACTACACTGAGCATTCCGGGCATGACCCGCTCTCTGATCTCTCCAGATGGCAAGATCGCAGATCGCGATGTAGCCTCCAAGTTGGTGATCATCATGGTTGGCCTTCCAGCCCGTGGGAAGTCTTATATCACCAAGAAGATCAAAAGGTATCTTGCCTGGCAACAGCACGAGGTCGAAATCTTCAATGTCGGCAATCGACGGAGGGGCGACGCCAATGCCAACAAAAAGGACGTCAGCAGCGAGGCTCACCACACAGCACACGAAGCAGCCACCATACTTCTTAATGGCGGCCAGCAACCCGTTTCAGAACGGCCATCAGGAGCACCGCACCGCCTGAGTGCTGCAGAAGGAAGACATGCCATGCGCAGGGCGAGCACCATGGATCAGACAGCACAGTTCTTCGATCCAACCAACGCAGAGGCATCGCAATTACGTGAGCAAATTGCCATCACCACTCTGAATGAACTCCTGGACTTCCTGCTCTGCCGTGGTGGTTCTGTTGGCATCCTCGATGCGACAAACAGCACAATCCATCGGAGACAGTTACTTTTCGATACAATCAAGGCTCGCGAGCCGAAGCTCGGCATTCTGTTTGTAGAGAGCGTCTGCCAGAACCCCGACGTAAGTTGTAGATCAAGCAGACCATCCGGCGAATCATATTCTAATAAGTGCTGTACTGCAGCTTCTGGAGGCCAACATGCGCCTCAAGCTCTCCGGCCCCGATTACAAGGACAAAGATCCCGTGCAGTCATTGGCCGACTTCAAAGATCGTGTCAAAGCATACGAGAGCGCCTATGAGCCCTTGGGCGACTATGAGGAGGACCACGCGATGCAGTACATCAAGGTAGGTCCCATTGAACGGCTCGAATCAGTTTATGTGGGCAATAACCAACAAACTTCTGTAGATGATCGACGTCGGCAAGAAGCTCACCCATTTCGGTCTGGAGGGTTTTCTGAGCAACGGCATTTCTAATTATCTATCCTCGTTCAATCTCTCCCCACGACAAATATGGCTCACGCGCCACGGCCAATCCATGGACAACCACGCTGGCAAGATTGGCGGTAACGCTGAGTTAACGGAGCGTGGCCACTTGTACAGCCTTAATCTCTACAATTTCATCACACAGAAACGAAAAGAGTGGCTGGTCGAGCAGAAGAACAAGGCCGCAGCCTCTTCATTCCCACCAATTCCTGGGGACAAGTCACCACCATACCCCGAACTCAACCGGGAGCTTGATGAGAAGAACACGTGTGTCTGGACATCGATGTTGACGCGCAGCATCCAGACTGCGCAGTACTTTGAGGCAGACGACGACTATGACGTGAAGAACTGGGAGATGCTGAACGAGCTGAATGCCGGTAAATTCGAAGGCATGACTTACGATGGGATCGCACGGGACCACAGGACCGAATACGAGAAACGACAACGGGACAAGCTTCACTACGTCTATCCCGGTGTTGGTGGGGAAGGATATCTCCAGGTCATTAGCCGGCTGCGCGACATGGTTCGCGAGATTGAGCGCATCAAGGATCATGTTCTGATCATCGGTCACCGGTCGGTCTGTCGGGTCCTGCTCGCATATTTCATGGACCTGACCCGGGACGACATTGCGGATCTCGATATGCCGCTCGGCATGGTGTACTGCATCGAGCCGAAGCCATATGGCATTGAGTTTCATGCGTACAAATACAACGAAACCGCCTCGACCTTTGACGAGCTGCCAAACTACAAGCCGCAGAGGACTGTGGATCGACACGCCTGATCATCTCGGGCCGTTGGCATTGGTCACGACGTTTTTTCAATGGCTCTGCTATAACTTTGCTTTTCTTTTGTCTGAGCGGACTCGGCGTTTTGGGGCGGTTCAAGGTGGCCACCGAGAGGACGGTGAACAGCTGCTTGATTCATAGCTCTGGGAAATGGCATATACACACAACGGGCGTTCTTGGGGCATGGACGTTTTGAAGGATTGACGATGGTTACGGCTCTCTGGGGGACTTGCCTCTACAGCGCGAACGACAGAGTTATCAGAGCGCCTTCTTCATGTTTTGATTGTATTTATATCATCTTGGCACGGCCCATATGGTCTACAATAGGCTGCCCGTAGCTCGAAAGGAATGTGAGACGTGGACTATCTTTGCTATGGTTCAGCTAACGATAAGCTTACCGCCCAGTTCCGGGGGCGTGGTTCATTGCAAGGGTCTTGGGAGCGTGTGAAGCACGGTCCCTCAGGGGTCCTCGGACCTGCACAGGCATATTTCGAACATGGCAATCGGGGATTGGCCCGGCAAGTGGCTTGAATAAGCACCACCCATGCATGCAGCAGCGTGCATGCTGGGCATGTCTCAGCCCGCCCAGCTGGCTCGGGAGGCCAAAGCAACGGTGGCGTGCCGGGCTTGAGCTGCCGACTGACATAAAGGGGACTGGATGGGCTGTGGCTCTTGAAGGGAAGGAAACCTTGTTACCTTTGTCTTCTGCTTTGGTCGGTCAGTGTGTATGAAGCTGCGGTTGAGGCTGAACGACGCCAGGAAGACGCCGCCCCGGCAGCAGAACAAGACTACAGGGCCAGACACACAACTTTGCCTCACACGCACGCAGCGATAACAGAAATCGAGTCACAGGAGGCACGGGCAACCATGTCTGCAGCAGTCGGACCGGCAGCGGACTCGGAGCAGCCAAGCTTGCTGCTGTCGTCGTCTGCTTCCTCGGCTACGACAAGGACGCCATCACGACGCCCGTCGCGAGCAGCAGCAGCTAGTACCATGGGAGCAGGTTCGACAACCACAGAGTTCCATGTGCCCCCTGGCAAGAAGATCCTCGTGGCGCTGCCCGAGGACGCAGCGCGACTGAGGGCAAAGTACAAAGGCGCCGCCGGCGCGACCACGACGCGGGCCGACAGGCACAGCAATGGCGAGAACGAGGACGGCGACGACAAGGACATACAAATCGAGATTGTGGTGCACGGATCGTCCGAGCATTCCGCGCACCTGCACTCGGCGCGCCGGCACCACGAGGCGCGCCGCGAGGAGTTTGCGCGGCGGTTCGGGGCCGACTTTGACGAGTGGGAGAGCACGCAGAGCGCGCTGGACGAGGTAAACCGCCAGCTGGAAGGGCTGGTGGAGCACGAGGCGCCGAGCGCGCTGAGTGCGAATTTCGACCGGTTTGGATATTCTGCCACGGTGAGTTTCATTCTTTTTTCTCTGGCGGTCTTCGCGTGAAAGGGGATTTGTTTCCTCTTGGACTGGACGGCATTGAAGGACTTCCCAACATGCGAATCGGGGGAGAAGGGGCACAGAGGATTCTGGGGAGGACCCGCCCGATTGTTATTTGTGTGGAGGGTGTCTGGAGACTGTGGAGCTGGATCTGGCAGCTCGCCCCTTCCCTGCCTCACAATTACTCCCAACAGAACGAGACCGAGAGCTCAATATGCTGACACAGGTCATCCTCGCAGCTCAAGACCTATGCCGTCCACCCTGGACGAGAGTCGACACCTGGCTCGAGCCGTGCTAGTCTCAATGGCAGCGACTCTGACAGCGGCACGTTGCGCAACTGGGATGACACCTCTGGCGGGCGGACGATTCGGCTTTTCCAGCGGCCTGTCATCAAGCAGTACTTTCACAAGGGCCTGCTCTGGCGGAACAGCGAGCAGACCGAGGTGATGAGCTTTGAGCTCTTCTTTGAGCTCATCTATGGTCAGTCCTTATTCATGCCAAACATGAAACGTCCCCCGTAGCTGATCGTGGCGGTTATCGGTGATCGACCAATAGTCGGCATCATTCACTACAATGGCGAGCATGTGGCCGACAAGACGGACGCCCTGGAAATCGGCCGCTTCATCATCACCTTCGTCATGAGCTGGCAGGTCTGGTCAGACGTCCAGCAGGGCATCAGCTGGTTCCAGGCGGACGACGTAGTCCAGAGAGTCTACATCTTGTTCATCATTGCTTGCCTGCTTGGGTAAGTTTTATCCCGGCTGCACTCACATCTGCTCATGCACATCACTGATCATGACGTCCTTGAAGCTTCACCACCAACATGACCGGCACCTTCAACGCCGAGTATGACACCTACACCCAGCTTGTTGGCTTCTATGTTGCAGCCAGGCTCGCCACCGCGCTCTTCTATAGCGTCTCCATCGTCCTCTTGCCCCTCATCAAGGGCTTCATGCTGTCTCAGGTCATTCTCATTGTGATCCCGAGCATGATCTGGATTGGCAGCATCTTTGTCGACCTTCCTTCGCGCTTCGCCCTGATCGCTATCGCTTGGCTACTCGACTACTCCGGCCCGTCTGTGCTCCTCTACCTGTTCGCATGGACAAGACCCTCGGAGAAACCCAGGTCCAAACGCATGGCAAAGTTCTACGACTTCTGGCCGGCCATCAACATCGAGCACCGTGTCGAGCGAACCAATGCCTTTGTTGCGCTCGTCATCGGCTGGGCTGTCGTCGCTCTGCTGTACCAGAATGCCGCATTCGGTTTCAACGCCATCCTCGGGAAGGCCATCATCGGGCTCGTCCAAGCCTTCGTCTTCAACTGGATCTACTTCGAGGTCGACGGTGAAAACCTCCACCTGCACGCCATCCGCCGCAGCGGCTGGAGCTCCGCACTATGGAGCATAGCCCACCTGCCCTTCATCTGCGCGTATACTCTGTCCTCGGCGGCCATGTCCAAGATTGTCGTCGCCCACGACTCCATCAACTCGGACCCACACTCCCTCGAGGAGTACTACGCCCACAACTCGAAGCCCTACGTCACCCAGGGCGTCCGCTGGGCGTACTGTGTCGGGCTGGCCATCGCGCTGCTGCACATGGGCCTCATCAGCATGAGCCACGTGCACAAGGTGCCCCCTGGCATGCGCGTGCCCAAGAAGTACCGGATGCTGAACCGCGGCGTCGTGTGCGTCATCTTCTTCTGCCTGCCCCTCGCGGGCGACGCGCTCGACTCGCTCCGGCTCGTGGCCGTCACCATGTTGCTCATGGTCTGGGTCTTGCTGCTCGAGATCTGGGGCAAGTCGTGCTCCGACCAGACCTGGTGCGGCAACGGCCTGAAAGCCGGGCAGTGCCGGGCAAGGTACGAGGCGCGGTGCTCGAAGAAGACGCTGGAAAAGGCCCTGATGCAGGAGAAGGAAGATGCTGCTGGAGACGATGCGGAGTCGGGACGGCTTGGTGATGTCCACGCCGAAGCACAGGAAAAGAGTGAGCGGCGCAGGGACAAGAACGGTGATGAGCCGGAGATTGAGGTGTTGCAGCTGAGTCGCAAGGAGAAGACTGCCGTTGCCTGAACTCAGAAGAATGAGATTGAGTGCAGTGACGAAGAGCGATCAGAAACAGTAGTCAACAGCCGGTGAGGTTTTAAATTTTCCCATACATCATTGAAAACTAGACTGAGTGACGGAACTCGACAATAATCCAAAAGAAAAAGATATGAGCCAATAACACAGTCTGTACTTGTGACAGAAACCAAATGACCATGACAGGAGTGCATCTTGTCCCCTTGCTAATCGCCCCAGCAATAGACCAGAAAGGAGACGAGAGACTGAAAACGTTGTGAAAATCTGCAGACAAGAGAACATCTAATGCCAAAAGCAATTTGTAAAAATGGCAACACCGCACAGAGCACATCCATGGCAGTCGAAGCCTTCAACAAGCCATCCGCCGTGCAAACCATGTCATCCACATCCGACCCAGCCACATCCTGCTGCCTCTCGTCTTAGGATCATACACCACCAATACCGACGGCCAAAGCACCAATCTGCATCGCCCGCCGGCGATCGACCTCGCGCTTAAGCATGACGAGCGCCGTCGTGACGACCATGCGCTGCCCGAGCTCCTTGTCGCCCCTGGAGTCCATGTCGCCTTGCGATTCCTCGATACTAACAGTGTTGGAGGCGTCAAAGGCATGCCCGGCCTGACCTCCATCATTATCACCACAGCCCTCGAAAGATCGCAGGTCGATGAAAAGCCGTCCTCCATTGCCTGCAGAACTGGCCGAGCTGCCTGGGCTGCGCAGCTCCTCGCTCCGGACCAGCAGGGCCACCACCTGCTTATGTGTATTCTTCGTCGTGAGCCTTGGGGACTTGCTTCTTTTCGCATGATCCCCGTCCTGCGGTTGTGCCTTCTCGCTCTGGCCTGTCGTGGTGGTGGTGGTGGTCGTCGTCGAAATTGCCCGCTCGAGGACAAGCACACTATTCGGCACGCTGGTGTCCTTATCCTTTCCCTTGCCGCATTCAGCACTGTGTCCGATTGTTCTGGCGGTGCCAGCTGCGATGAAGCGGCCGACGGCAGCCCTCTCCCGCGAGCTCGCATATCGCCAAGTGAACTTATGATCGATCACTTTCGTAGCTGGCAGCGACAGCGAGACAGTGGAAGGAAAGCACATCTTTGGCACCGAGAACTCCACCGCCCTGGTGACAACGCCTTTGCTCTGGACGGGGAATTGAGGACGCTGCCACCCCCCCTTTGCCTTGTCCCGGACAAGCAGGGCCACCATGGGCGGGTGGTTTGGTCCGAACCGGTACGTCGTGCTCGCGAGCTCCTGTGGCGGGTTCCTGCTGCTGCTGCTGCTGTTATTGGCGGCAGGTAATTGTCCATTTGCCACGGCCTGACTATACGAAGCGAACTGCTCGCCCGTCATGAGTATGCTGGATCCGCTATTCCGCTCGGGGCGGACGGAGACATAGACGGGCCTGACGCCGAGGGCTGTTTCGTCGTCGTCGTCGTCGTAGCCAGCAGCAACGTCCTTGGCGAAGGGGACGACGGGGAAGATCGGTATCGGGTCTGGCCGCGGGCTGAAGGGAAGGGACAGCCAGGGTTTGCCGCCGTGCTGGATCTGCAGCTGGACCGTTGGGACGAAGTTGTGTAGGAAGACACTGCTCTTGTTCGACTTTGCTGTTGTCGAGGAAGAAGAAGCATATGACAAGGCGGAGCGTGCCGAGCTCGTAGATGGACGGCTTTCAGTTTTTCCAGGGTGCTTGTCGTCAGAGTAGTACGCGGCCAGGGTGGCTTTCTCGTCGTCCGCATGCCCTGCTGGCTTCGTGTCTGTGCGTGTTGGGGTGGGACATGTGTGCAAGACCTCAGTGTATGCTGGCAGCTCGTGCTGAGCGTGGGCCGGTGCTCGCAGCGAGCTGTTGTCGTTGTCGTCTTCTCTTGTAAGGCCCCTGGAGTACGCAGGTGGGCATGTATGGGTATTGAACGGCGTGTTCGAGGACATTTGCTCGTCGTCTCCCTGCTGGGCACGCGCCACTGTGGTGCTGATGGTCGTGGTACTCATGTTTCGTCGAACTTATTGCATATAGTGTCGTGACTGAGGAATTCTGTATTGCGTTTGCACTTTGTCGGTGCAGTCTTGATAGCAGAGGCCACCAGACCAAGGCAGGTGCGTCCTTCTTATACCCATCCCCTCATGGATACGTTACTTACCCAACGGGACGTCAAGATACGTTCATATGTCCTCATGACGTAAAACGTCAAAACTACCCCAGACACATATCAACAGGACAGGGCACTTGTCAACCTTGGCTGGACCAAATCTGCAAGCTGCGATCCGGCATATGCCATCTGACAGAACTATCCGGGATACGACAGAAACGAAATATACGACAAGCGAAAGCTTAGCCACGCGCTTCACCCCCATTCCCCCTCCCTCAAGAGCGCTGGCCAGCCAAACCCCGCCGATAATCTAAGCGTGATCCATTGCGCCACCTTCAGTATCTATGCAACACAGCATGCAAAAGTCACGACCTCTATTATCTGGGCAGTGGAAAACCCGCCTGGAGGGAAATCGCCAACGGGTACGTACCCAGTTTTACCCGCCTGTGTTGCAGGGGGGGGAAGACCCCCGCTGCGCCTCCACCCACGCTAAGGAACCCCCAGCTCCTGTCAATTGAAGCTTCCAGAGACAAAATGCGAGATACGAAATGTGGATACCCGCCTCTCCATTCCTCCATTGCCCCGGGGTGGCCGCCCACGCTGGCCAGCACGCACCCCGACATTCAGGCTCATCCAAGTCTGAGTCACAGGACGGAACCGTATGGAATCGGACAAAACGACGATCGTTGACACAATGCCACGCCTATCTGCCTTCCGTTCCGAAGCAGAGCCGGCTTGACGGTCATCCCGTGGCGTTGCGTTGGCAGAATAGTCTAATCCCAGGGTGCTCTGCCCAACAGGAGGGCGGTATTTCACGATGGCGGAAATGCGCTTTGTTTAAAGTGGCCTCGAGAAAACTGCAAAGTTTATATAGAAACGCCGCAGCACAGAGATAAGAACCAGTATGCAAAACCCAGGTGTCCCTTCCCCCGCGTGATCAACTCATTCTCAGCCACCGCCAGTCCTGATTTCGGCCAAAATAGCCCAGGTCCTCATCCAGCTGCGCCTCAACCCACCTCGGCCACGCGAGGTACTTGCCCAGGTCCGACCGTGATCCCACCTGTCCACCACCAGCCCCATCACCTTTCCCATCGGCCGCTGTGGCCGTGCCCGGCACAAGCCGGTTCAAGTGCCGTAGCCAGCGGATCATTCCCAGCTTCTCTCCCTGGGCCTTCGACTCGTCCGTGCGCCCCTCGTGCTCGATCGAGGTGATGGGCGCCATAATCTGCTTCAGCGCAATCCAGTGCGCAGCCAGGATCACCATGGTCGTGTTGGCCGGGTCAATGACCTGCTGGAACTGCTCGTGTGGGATTTGCATCCACCATCCATAGTGTTCGCAGAGGATCTTGTATGCTGGAGAAGGAAGGAGGGGTCAGTTGAGGGACTGAAAGGAAGCTGCGGTTAGCAAGCTTACCCTTGAATGAATCCGTGTACAGCGCCTCGGTAATCTTGACCAGGAACGCATGATAGTCCTTGTCAATCTGTCTCGTCAGCAACGGCTCGAACTGCCGGAGAGACGCCATCGCCGCGTCCGTGAGCTCTGACAGAATTGGCGGGACCTGTTCCATCTTGGGCTGCAGGATAGCCATCTGGTCCTCGCCGACAAAGTCATGGAAGATGAACCGACTGCCCTTGTGGTACATCTGTATCGCAACAATGATGATACCACGGCAAAATGTCATGAATTCGGCCATCCCGTCATTCAGGCAGACGGACTGGAACGTCAGCGCAAAGCACGTCGCCATGAGCGCATTGCCTTCTTCAAAGGTGCTAGCCTTGGGCACGTTGGCAAGCGTCTTCTTGATGGCCTTGATGGCCTTCAGGCGGTGCGCCATGGCGAACGTGACTAGGCTCGGGTCTCCGGCCATCATCTCGGAGGCTGCCAGCCCTAGAATCGCGTGCATCAGGTATTCGTGCTGGGACAGTGGTTGGGCGTGTTAGTTGGACAACGAGTACAAACACATGATAGGCTCTTTGCGGGGCCTCCGCGTAGAGAGGGTATTCTCACATCCTGTGCTAGACATGGCACCTCATGCGTCCAAACACTCTCGTTGCCAAGGGGGTGTGTTGGGAAGCAGGTCTGGAGGAAGTGCTGAAAGAACCGCATGTCATGGAGACTGAAGAGCGGTATCTGGTGTTGTGGCTTTCAACAGGCGAGCATGTTAACATTCATCATTGAACTTGACCACCTGTGCATCCAGGCACTCCGCGAGCTTACCTGGTGCGTGATCTGGGGTGTCACGGGATACTCGCAGCTTAGAGAACTCTTGACGCAGTGACCGCATGCGGGGTGAGTCTCCTGACACTTGCGGGGGGAGACGGTGTTAGCATATCTCTTTTCTAAAGAGGGTTGCATTTTCAGCTTTGGTGCTCCGTCCCCAGAGCATACCTTGATGCGCCGTCGTTTGCAGTTATAGCAGCCCCTGCGGCTCTTGGTGTGCCCTCTCCGCTCAAGCTTCTGCCTTCTGCTGCTGACGGATACACTGCCGCTGCCATTGTTGTCGCTGCTGCTACTGCTCCGTAGAATCTGGCCAGAAGGAACTCCAAAGGGTGAAGACAAGCTGGCAATGCCGCCACCCGAGCTCAATGCGCCGCCCGAGCGGGAGGATGGCGAGTCATCCTCCCCAAGATAGTCGTTGTCTGCCCCAGCAAGGAGAGCTGCAAAGTCGAAGTCGTCGACGGGAGTCGGAGCTAGTGCGTACTCAGCTCGATTGCGCGCCAGCAATGGAAGCAATCCGTGTTGGTTCATATTGTAATTTGACATTGCGCCTTGGCCAGCGCGAGCCCGATGCTGCAAGTAGTGAAACCCACTCTGACTCGTGCTGTAGTCCAGAATCAAATACCGTGCTGGCAGTATCTGTCGGCGATGATCGTACACCTCTCGTTGTTGTTGTTGTTGAGTTGTAGATAGAAATGACGTTGGAGAGCAGGCACACAATTAAACTTGGCGGACCACAGCTTCGGGCATGGATCGTCACGACAGGTTCATGGTTCAGACCTCACGAGAAACAGCTTCACTAGCGCAGAGGCAGAGCTCAGCGACCAGGCAGGGTGAACATGTGCAGTATCTCAGTGGCGGTGCTCCGCTAAGATCCTCAGCTGGAGGCTCAAGCCCTGGCTGCCTGCTCCAGGCCAGGGGTTTGATTGGCTGGGCATCCTCCAACCCGGCCGTAAATGGGCTAGCTGAGGCTGAGCCCCTCCACCCTGCAGCATGCCCGCACGATGAACATTGCTCCAACCGCTGTGCTTAGCGAGGCTGGCTGTCAGTCATCTGCGTGGGAAGAGACAGGGAGGAGAGCACGCCTCTTCCCGCCAAGATGCTTTCGAGGCTTACCCTCTGGGTCGCAACTGATTGTTGCACTGGAGCTGTGTATGCTGACCCTTTGTGGCCGTAGAGGGTTGGCCTGGGCTGGCTGGCTGGTGATCGCATCGAGACGTAGCCGGGTCATCAATCTATCCGATAAGTTGTCACAAGTCATGAATGCAAGCCCACATTGCTCAGCGGCATTGTGCTTCCCAGCATCCTGTCGTACTTCACATGGCTGCTGACCGAAGTGCAAGAACAGTTGATGCCATGCAAAAAGCAGAGTCCCGTCTCTTGGTCGTACCGAAAGGGTTCTATCAAGCCAAGGCCTGAAAACCCAGGTCGATGCTTGCTTCAGCGGCGTGTTTCTGATAAGGGTGCTGGTGGGAGGCAAGGTAGCCACATATTCGAAGCGAAGCAATCCATGCAAGTGCCCAAGCTGGCCATCAAATGGGACTAGCGTCGGCAGAGACCTCAGGCGGCTGTCAGTTAACAACAGGCTTGCCAGAGATGCTTGTCATGGTCTCATCTTTGTCTTGCTCCCTCAAGAGGGCTGGGGATGTGCTCTGCGGACGGGGATTGAGATGATCCAGGCAGACCATGCACGACTACGGCTGAACCGTACTTGTACGACACTGAACGGGTGGGGCGGCTGGCACTTGCTGCTGGAGCGCTGGCCGTGCGTCCCGCCGCTTCCTGGCTGTTTGCTGCCGTCTCCGTAGCTCTGAGCAGGACCCGAAGAAGTGTTGACGAGTGGTGGCTAGAGAGCTGGAAAGGCTGGTTGATCCGGTGTGCAAGACGTATGTGGAGTGACAGGACCTGCATGCCGGATCTCTGCCTTCGAGGTGCATATGCCCGGACAACGCAGCTAATGGACACGGACGTGGTGTCGTATCTGGAAGGAGTCGTAAGCCTGCCAGGGCGAGCAAGCACGGCTGGACGCCTGGAGAGTTGACAGGTTGACGCGGCAGGCCGGGCGCGAGGGGAGACGGAACGAGGGGATGTGGTGATCTGAAACAGGCCATCCTGGCCGGCGGTCCCGCGCTTCTTAGTTCCTCAGGTTGGCTTTTCGTCCGGGTCGGCAGTGGGGCCGGCAAAGGCCCATTGTCTCTTGCATGCCGCCCTGCTTTGCCAGACCACGCAGCATACTCGTACTCATGAAAGGCGCGCTAACTAGGCCTGGTGAGGGCGACGGCGTGGTGGCAGCGTCACGACGATGGCTGGGACCTGAGTCGGACCGGGGCCTCCTAGCCAGCTATTGTCCTGCAAGCCATCAAGGCCCGGCAGCCGCATTGCCAGGCGCGTGGCCCGCACTTTGGCGATTTCTCCCTTGGATGTAATCCGTACCAGCGCTCGGGTCCCGGGTGTGTCGTACACCATGCCGCACCAATGCTCGCAGATTTGGACAATGCGGAGAATATCGAGACTGGGTTTCGATGTTGCATGTGATGGAGATCGAGACTGTCGACAAAAGGCAGCGTTGCGCCGCAAATGGCGGACCTGCGTGGAGCCGTGGGCATGCCAAGAGTCGCGGCAGGCGGGGGAAGAGGGACGCCAACCGAGAGATCAGCACTTCGAGAACATCGAGCCCGCCGATCACGCCCACTGGGGCACCACCTGCCTCTTCCAAGGTTTCTCTTCATGGTATGCCCCTGGCGATCCACTCGGGCCTGGTCCAATGTCGTGATGCGTCCTGTGCAGAATAGGGCATTTCGTGGCTCCACGGCATTGCGACAGGGCCTGACTCGTTGGTTCAAGACAAAGACGACTCACTCTCTACTCTAGACCGGGCAAGCTTCGAGGCAAAGAGCCCAGACAGGGCCAATCACCTGCATGTGCTTGTCCGCCTCGACGGTCTGACAAGTCGATTGTTGTGCGGCCAGAGCGCCCGTCCAGCCGGTTGCGGGTAGAGTTTCCACGGGGCTCTGGGCAGAGTTGACAGCATCGTGAGCAAACACCACGTCACATGCAGCTGTGCTCATGGGCAACACCAAACAAAACTGGCAAGCATTCGTGCAAAGTCGTGAGGGTCCGTGTCCTTGCCATGGCTGCTGCTCTTCTCTTCTCTTCTGACGAACGAGTTCGTCACCCAACACCAAGCACCCTCGGCGGCACTGGAGGGCCCTCACCTACACACGGAGCGCTTACGAGGCAGCGGCGCCAACACGAGCATCCACCTCTTCTTGTTCTTTTTCCCCCCTGGGTCACTGGCGTGCGCAAGTGCTGCCCCTGGTGTCCGGATCATAAAGACGCCCAGGCCCGCCCGCCGCCGAGTGGCGTGCCCCTCCCCTGTCGCCGCCGCGCTGCCCCTGCAGTAGCTGCTGGACGCACCCTAGAGATCGGGCTCTGATTGGCTGCTACTGCCCATCGGGGCAGCCTCTCGGCGGATCACCCACCGGCACCCGCCAGCGCCCACTGGCGCACCCGCAGGCAGGGGCACCACGCTACCACACCCCTGGCGTTTCATCCCTACTGCCCACAGCTCACTCCACCCACCACTCACTCTTGGTGTCGTCGTCGTCGTCGTAATAGTCGTTGTCGGTCTCTTTTTATATGCTCCCTTCCGCGTCCGCCTCGCCGCTGGCCTTCTTGTTTCGTTTCCTGCCTCATCCTTCCTTCGGCTTGGTTTTCTGTCCCTCTGTGTGTCCACGACACCTTCCTTCCCTTCGCTTTCCTTCTTGCCTGTTGCGCGCCCGGCCGCCAGCAATCCACCTTCATTCCTTGGTCCAACCAACAAAGAGCTGTTGACAGTTCCACCATTATCGTCCAGCACCCACAAGACAAACTCACCCTCACGTCACACAGTTTTGACACGCTGAGCGTACATTCATTCCAATCTTGAAAACAGATCTTGGACCAGTCCATTCTTTTGCCACACACACACACACAGAGACACAAAAACACAACAAAGAACACCATCCAAAATGTTCACCAAGCACGCCGTCATCGCCCTGGCCGCCGCCGCCGCCTCTGTCGGTGAGGTTGCCGCTGCCAACTTCCACCGCCAGTACCACCACGTCATTCCTCGTGACATCAAGTACGCCGCTACCGAGACCGTTGTTGTTGTCGCCTACGAGACGGTCACCGTCACGGCCGGCGAGGAGCCCGAGGCCACTCAGGAGGCCACCTCTTCTCCGGCGCCTGCTGCCACCTCTTCTCCGGCGCCTGCTGCCACCTCTTCTCCTGCCGTCCAGGCCCCGGACAACGCCTTCGCTCAGCCTCCAGCCCAGCAGAGCACCACTCTCGCCACCCAGACCTCCAGCAGCAGCAGCACTAGTAGCAGTAGCAGCAGCAGCAGCACTCCTGTCGCCGAGCTGCCTGAGCCCACCACCGCCATTGTCCCCACTCTGCTGCCCTCCTCCAGCGCCGCCGCGCCTTCTTCCTCTGCTGCGCCTGTCCCCGCTCACGGCAGCAAGCGCGGTGCCGCATTCAACGATGCTGGCCTGGTCAACGCCCTCGTGGGCATGACCAACAAGATCAGCTGGTCCTACAACTGGGGCGCCTCCGAGTCTGGCCTCAACCCTGGCATTGAATTCGTGCCCATGCTGTGGGGTCCTGGCCACACTGCTGGCTGGACTGAGAATGCCGAGAAGGGCATTGCCAACGGTGCCACGGCCCTCCTGAGCTGCAACGAGCCCGACATTGACAGCCAGTCCAACATCAGCCCGGCTGTTGCTGCCGCCTTCCACAAGACCAACATGAACCCCTTTGCCAGCAAGGCCCGCATCAGCTCGCCTGCCATCTCCTCCAGCCAGAACGCCAACCAGGGTCTTGATTATCTGAAGCAGTTCTTCGCAGCCTGTGGCGGCGAGTGCGTTGTCGACTTCTGTGCCATCCACTGGTATGGTCCTGGCGGCGACTCGGGCGCCCAGCTCTTCCTCGACCACGTCAAGAACGCCCACGAGGGCTGCCAGAACAAGCCCATCTGGATCACCGAGTTCAATGCCGAGGGTGGCGATGTCGACCAGTTCTACCGCACCGTCATCCCGGCTCTTGAGAGCGACGAGTTCAGCTTCGTTGAGCGCTACTCGCCCTTCTTCGTGGCCACTGGCTATATCATGCAGTCCAGCAGTGCCCTCAGCTCCTGGGGCCAGATCTTTGCCACGCTTGACTAGATATCTGTCTGACATGGACTCCTGGTCCGGGTGTGCGTGGTTGGCGCTTCTTGTACGATGTTCTGCATGACCCCGCCCTTCACTTAAGGGGTCAGAAGCATTACATATAGGGTCAGATCTTGTTGATGTGGCGACACGTCCTCACATACAAGAAGACAATGATCTCATTTACTTTCTAGACCTGTACATATATTTTCAACAGCTTTTTTTTTCCTTCATGCAGAGGCTTCGTGCCTGTAGGCGTCAGATCAGGATGGGAACTGCTTGGGATAAGCAATGGTTTGGGACGGGATCAAAAGACCCCTCTATGAGAAGGATATGGATACAACATGATGACGATCAAAAAAATGGAATAAATTTGACGCAACATCTGGCCCTTTCTTGATCCCTTTATTGACTGGGTTCGCATGATCAATAACGACTAAACTAAACTCCTCCCTCGCCCGGGCAATCTGGTGCCGAGAGGGTCATCAGCAGGCCAGCCAATGTCAGTCATACTGATAGTGGGAAAGATCAATCAGAGTATACAGCGCCCCACGGTGCACATCTCGCAGAGCGCACGAGATCATGATCAAATCATCCACTAGACTCGCGCGCTAGTAGATCCAGTGAGAGCCAAAAGAGTAAAAAGCAAAGGACCACCCATAACTTTTGAGCTCGCAAAAAAATGAGTAGTCAAGATGGATAAGAGCACACGCGTTGCCGATCGCCTGGCTACCCAATCCTCACGAAAACTCCATATGGGGAAACCCTTTTGCACCGGATGCAGTGCGAGTTGACTGCCCGAGCATTGGTGCGTTTCGTGGCTCCGACCCGATTCCGAGATCAAGGTGCAAGCCATCTGGCCTAATTCAACGCATGCATGTAGACAGACGTTGTTTTGACCAACACTTATCTGGACCAAGGGTGGACAAATGGTGCCGCAGGAGGGGGAATCTCGAATAAATATTTGATAAACGCCTGCTTTGCCATGCATGTACCCATACACCAACCAACCCCTTTCGTTTCATCAGCCATAAAAGACCATGAGCATCCCGATGGGCCGGATTTTCTGCTCAGAAGCTAACAATACAACCAAATTTCCCAGTGTCCTGAACGCCAAGCTAAGTCAAAAGAGATGTTCCCGAGTAGCATTCATGCCCCTTCTCGAGCATTCCTCCTAGGTATCAAGACATCGGGTGGCCCGTCCCGAATGCCGTAAGAAAGTACCAGCTTAGGATGACGGGGGTGTTTGTTCCTGCCGTCGCGTGCGAATGTGGAAGAGGTGCAATATCCGTTCCATGCGCCGCTGGTCGTGCTCTGACCCTTCCGAGGATATGTGAGACTGTCGGTTCTCAACCATGGTTAGAGGGTCAACATGCTCGCCTCGCGGCCTGCCCGGGTGGAGGAGACGAGACATCCTGTGGCCTGTCCTCGAGCTGTCCGCCGCTCCAGTCGCCGCTGACTCGGGTGGGCTCGTTTCATCTGGCGCAGCACCTTCCGCTGGTGGGCTCGTTCCGTCTGCATTGCTAGACTCTGCTGGCCGCAGGTCCAGTCGACTGCCGTGATACCAATTAGTTCGAGTTCACAACGGATCATTTCAAGGTTGAGGACCTACCATAGAGGACATGTGCCGGACACGTTAACGAGCCAAGGGTCGATGCAAGCCGGATGGAAGTTATGATCGCAGGGCAACACCCGGACGTCTTCGCCAACTTTGAAGTCTTCGGTGCAGATGGAACAGCCGACTTGCCCGTTGTCGTTGTTGTCTGCGGGGGTCGCCGTCCCCGGGACAGCGGCGGTTTCTGACGGAGGCTCGTTGGGACTATCAGCCGCGGATTGTGCATCGACTCTCCGCTCAGTCGATGGCCTAGTGTGCGACGAGGAAGCTTCGTTGCCAGTGACGAGAGCCTGCTGGCGGTCTCCAGGCAAGGTGTCGATTTCCATTTCGGGGTCTGACTTTGTAGGCTTCGCATCTCCAAACTTGACAATCGGAAGCGTCTCCAGAACGGCTCGTGCTATACCCTTAGCCCGGCTCTGGCGCGCTCGCCCGTTTACAGCTGCGCGTGGCCCATATCTTTCGGGGTTGCGGTGAGCCCTGACGGCTCCCGTCGTGATAATCACCAAAAATAAGGCAGTGATGAGGCCCGTGATGCTGTACAGGATGCTCATCGCCACATTCGAGTTGCCGCTGCCTCCTGCGGTTTGAGCGCCGCCACCACCGCCGCCATTGGGGCCACTGCCACCAGGCGCCATGTCCTTGCCGGTGATTGTGGCGACAAAGCCATTGGTGGCGTTGCTGACCCTGATGGCGTTTTTTGCCTGCTCAACTACGGCCATTGTCCATATGGAAGTATAGGATAGATTATCTCCCGTCAATGAGCAGCCTGGATTCTCGAGGCTGTAGAGGACGATGGCGGTGGGCTTCTTGCCCATGACCGTATTGAGTATGATCTCTGGGGTCGTGCTGTTCAAGGCCGGGTCCGCAGGGTTCGTGTTGTTTGCTGTGGCATTGCTAGTCGCGGGCCAGTCACAGGAGACAAATGCGACTGTGTGGTTGGCGTCAAAGGTCTGGTAGTTGAACGCATTGACGGGCATGACAGAACCCACGACGTTGATGATCTGTAGCTCGGGTCAGTATTGACGGCCAGATCACGCCTTGCGTTAAGGATCACTTACTCTCCAGGCATTGGGGTCACCCAAGCCGACTTGAGGGGTGAGAGGTGCGGCATAGTACTGATAGGTACTCGACCCATGGGACTGTTCAATGCTGAGATAGAGATACATGACATAGTCCTCGACTTCTGACGGGAACGTCGCAATGGATGAAGTGTTGGCAGAGGCCGCTGATGCCATGAAGGGCATAAGAAGGAACGAGATGAGGAACAACGCCCACGCGGCAGCGAGGCCGGGTGGTTTCCGGGAGGCAACCATGATGGCGACAGGCGCATAAGCGGCAGGGACAGCGTCACGAACTAGCGTGGACGAGTCTCTGAGGAGTCAGCTGGGTGAGGGAGGGAGTGTACAGTTGCAGCAAGCCAGCGAGAGCCTGCTCCATGACCGTCCGTTGCAATGCGTGCGTGGTGCTTGTTCGCGATGCACGCAGAGAGCGGCCGATGCGTCGATGCAAAGCAACGACTGGCGGCACGCTCAGCGAATGTGCTGCCTCGCTGACAAGCAAGCAAGCAAGCAAGCACGACGGGCAACCTGTGTCGCTTTCGAGAGGTTGCGTTGGGGTCAAGTCGAGCCCCGGGGCAGGTCGAGATTGATCCGTGAGGTCCGGCCTATGGGGTAGGTTGCATGTTGACAGGCGGCGGGCTGACCAGGGTCGGAGCGCCGGTGACGTGGAGATCTCGTCAGCAGGAGAAGAGGGCTTGGGCGTCGTGTGTGAAGCCGCACTCGTCGAGGTGCAGCGTGAGGCTGTCGCGACAGGCAGGACAGAGGAGATGGCAGACAAGAGGGAGGAGAAGGAGCTGCGAGGGCGCTGTGGACAAGCGGACGAGGCTGGGAGGTGATGGATGGATGACGGCTGGCTGTGGAGGGCGAGTTGATGACGAGGCCCTCTCTCCCCAAAGAGCGACAAGGTGGGAGCCGCATGGACGGACGATGGATGGATGGATGGCTCCCCAAAGTGCCGAGCCCGCGCGCAGGCCCGAGGCCGCGTAGGGTTTGGCGCTAGTGCTGGCCAAGCCGCGCACTGCACCGCTCCCAAAGACACGACAATCCAGCATGCTGCCCGCCGCGCCTTGCCAAGCCCATCTTGTGACAGCCGCCCAAGACCGCCAAGCGGCCTCACCTCTCTCTCATCGCTCTCGTCCTCTTTCACGCGTCTCTTGGCTGCGACTCGTGGTGGCCAGGCGCTCGGAGCGGTGGCATCTTGAGCACGCACAGTCGCCCCGCAGCCGAGACGCCAAAAGCCAAAGCTGCAACGCGTCTGATGTAGATGACCGGGATAGCTCGAGCAATAGTATATGCCGTTGCATAGCCCAGCCGGCGCCGTCTTCGTCAGATGACAAGTTCCGAGACCAACTGCGACGACCTCCAAACCTATCATCCTGGATTGGGCATTGCTAGCGCGCGTCAGTAAAGGACCCTCCCTTCCAAAAGACCCCGGCACGGAGTATGACAACGACAAAATAACTGCGTGAGGCTTGGCACTGAGATTGGACAAGACCAGCCAAGCGGGCCCATCTGCGCCATGCCTCCTCGTCTTGGCTGGCTCACCTTTGCCAACTGGGCAGGCTGGTGCCGACCTGCCTGCAGACCGACAAGACCAATTTGCGCAACATCGTTATGCATTTATCCGCTGTCCATGTTTCTGCATGTTGGTGGCCATCCTCAGGTTATCAGGTCATCAAGTCATGAATGACCTGGCACCCTGCCAAATATGGGGAGTCGGCCGTGCCCCCGCCACGGCAAGCTCTATCCAAGTGGAAGCAGCACAATACCTTCGCCATACTGTCAATGTGCTCGGCATGGTTTCACGGGCAGTGCACAGCGTGGCTGAGTATGTCGGATCATGGGTATCTGGCCCCTAAGGGCCACTAGAACAATCCATGTGGCCTCTTGTCTGATATGAGCTTGCCACTGATGGCTTTGTATGCGATCCGGCCGGACCTATTCTCAGTGATGTGGCCGACATCCGACTTACATGACAAGGAGGGATGCATCACTGAAGGGGGAGGGTCTTGAGAGCCAAAACCACGATGCCAAACCGACACTCTCCTCGCAATCTGCACATCTGCTCCGTGACATAGCAACAACCTGCAGCTGTAAGTACGACGCCTTCTCGGCTTCCAGAGCGAGTACGGTCAAAAAGGATGTCAATGCTTTTATAAGATCGCCAAGCTGTTCCATCATGAGATCCATAGTCATGGTCTGCTCTGCCGGTGCCCAACTGGCATGGTCTTGTCCACGGGCCGCAGCCTGTCTCGAGATGTATGCCGAGACCGCAGATTGGGGACCACGAACATGCCGGGGAATAGCTGGATGGTTACCAGGCTTGCTCAAGCCATGGATCTCGTCAGGTAATCTCCGCGACCACCATATCTGAAGGCTGCGATGGGATAGGGCATAGTGTATCGTAGATGACTATCGTGCTTGCCACCGATGACTATCACTGACCAAGCGCAACGGCACTCTGTCAGGTCGAAATGCCTCCTTGTGGAGCAACTTCCACGCCTGTCTCTCGAAGTTTTGACAGGGAGGATAGTGCATTTCATTGACAAACGTTGATGGGCCCATTCTCCGCGACAAGAAATGTGACGGTTTAGTGGAAGTGCAACTCTTTCGGCAACTGGAGTGCAACCTGACTCATGATGCTGTGGTCAACTTTAGAATGATTGTCCATCATGTAGTCGAATGGATTGTTATACCGATTAAGTCACGTTAGTGTTTCTTGGTGATGATGACGACACATGGGCCCGTGTGGCATTGTGTTGCTGTTCAAGCCGTCGGTGAGGAGAAAGCCTCATCGGGGTCGAGGCAACAATACTTTTCGTCATCGCGAGATAATACACGGGTCATCGTGTGAGGAGATTTTTCCGGCAACCATGGATAATGCGCGCCGTGCTTATAGCCCTGGATGCAAGTGCACCTAGGTTCTGTAGCCTTTTGAATTGGCATTCCCGAGAGCACAACTGTGATGGATAGCTCTATGCCCGTTCACGATGGGGCGTCATTAACTGTATAAGGGCTCGTTTCAATTGTCATCGACGATCCTTCCGCTCGCAAGAAGCCAAGTGCTCCGGCCTGCTAACAGGGAACCAGCTGTGAACACTGGACGAGTGGCTAAACTCGCTCGGGGTGAACACATGAGCTAAGAACGACAGGGAGGAACAATGTTTGTGTAGCCGCAGGGCCCGTCATCGCGCCTAGCCGTTGCGCTTCAATAGTCCCGTGGCAATGATGGAAAGACGCAAGGCCGAAATTCCTTTTATATCTCCTCCATATCCTCGTCGTCAAGATCATCCAGTACCGGGAAGTCCCCGACCTCGACCCTCTCCGGCCGCACAAACACGCCGTGCTTGAGCTGCGCGCCCTCGTCGGCGGCGGCGGCGGCGCCCCAGTACCTCGTCCCGCCGACGCTCCCATCATTCTTGCCCACGGGCTCGTCGAGGCGCACGCCCACCCACGACCCAAGCACCCCGGGGATCTCCGGGACGGGGCCGACGTACATGACCTCGCCGCGGCGCGCGTCGTCCCCGCCGACACGGCACCGCCTGCCCACGGCGATCCCGCGGCTGTCAATCTCGTGCTGGTTGGCCTCGAGCTTGGCCTTCTCGAGGGTGGGCGCCTCCGGGTTGAAGCGGCCGAGCTTCTCGGCCTTTTTCCACGCGAGCACAGAGTCCGTCTTCTTCTCGTACTCGTCCACCGGCATCACGTACTTCTCGACATTGGACGTGTCGTTGAAGTTGATCTTGGCTGAAGCCGGCCTCGTGTCGGTAATCTGGAGACATGAACGTCAGTGTCTGGCTGGAGCGTTGGACACACACACACACACACACACACACACACACACACACAAACATATATATACAACTTGCACGAGCCACCATCGCCGAGCGCTTCCTCCTTATTCGAAGAGCTCCTCCCATGACGGAAGAACAGGGGGTCACGCCTTTGGGGATGACCAGTCATTGACTTACGTGGAGCTCTGCATACGGCACCAGGCCAAAGCTGGACATGAGGGTGCTGTCCTCGTCGGGGGCCGCCACGGGGACGGCATCACGGCCGGGAGCCTTGTAGGTCATCCGCTGCGCCGACGGCGGGATGCCGGTGACGGGCTCGAGCTTGGTCCGCAGCTGGCTGATGGACCATGACGGGGTGATGCGCCGCTCCGACGACGAGTTCTCCGAGATGATGAGCAGCGGGACGTCAGCCATGGTGAGCGAGCTGGAATTTAAACCTCTGCGTGAAGTGGTGGTGCAGGGATGCCTTTGATAGCGTGGCAGAAGGTGTGCTTCTGAATCCAGCTGGCTTTTGTGATTAACGACCAGGAACTTCCGTCTAACCGCCTCGGACCTGATTGAACTTATGTTGTCTCGGTCGGATTGCTCACAGCAGTGGTGCAGTGCTTGTTTGGCGCTTCTCGACGATGCGGTTGTCTTGTACCACTTCCAAGGGGACGCCGAATCGCGTGCTGCTCCGGAGCGCAGCCAGGGTCCAAACCAATGTTTTTAATGTGGAAACGTCCAGAACGCTATGCTAATCTCGCGCACCACTGGTCTTTGGAAACTACCCCGCCACGCGCCACGCCACAGGAGGCGCGTTCATGGCGGAGGTGCCAGGAAGTCTTCTGTGCACGTACGTTTACGTAGCAAGATTCCCCCAGGCGTTGTTGGGATGCCCGCTGGTGTTGCTCCTTGGGCATCGTCGAAAAAGAGCAGCCACCTCGGTCAGCGGTCTCCCAGGCAGACAGACAGACAGGCAGGCAGGCAGGCAGGCAAGCAAGCAAGCAAGGCCCTCCAGGACTCAAGCCCGAGCGGGAAATGCTACATTTGCGGCTAATGTAGAGCCCCTCCCTTTCCCAGTTGGCAGCTTGTTCGGCCAGGAGCGACTGGAAGGACGCTGTAACCCTCGCTCGGTAACGCCCTCTTTTCGCAATCAGGCGGCGGGCATGTTACGCGTGCAAGACTGGAAGAATGACCACACCACCACCCTGCAACCTCTGCGCCAAGCCTACTTCGGAGCCTGTCTTGAACCGCTGTCGAGGATTGGACAGCGCCGTTTGTGAGCCGTTGGCCGCGGAATTCTAGCTGCGTCCGTCTGGGCAGCGCAGAAACAGCCACGACCAGCCACGTGCCATTGGATCGTCGGACCAAGTCCCATCTCGTAGACAACCACATGTCGAAAGGCCTTTGACGCCACTCGTTAGCCCCGGGCAATGCCTGCCGGCGAGCCCTGGAGGCAGGCCTCTCCTTAGGCACACGCCTACCCCATCCTCTGTCCTCCCCCGAAGGATGACCTCCCCGAGGGCTATATCGCTCCAACGGAAAAACTAGGCACTTCAGTTCCCCCGCGTGCAACCATCTTACGGAGTGCATGGAATAAGCCTGCAGTGCCGGTCAAGGGGCCGTCATTCACGCTGCGTGGCTAGTTGGCAGCCAGCCAGCCCGCTTATGGACCCTGGCAATGGATCTTGATGGTCCCGTGACACCTCCCTTCCGGGGCTGCTGGCACGGCGCAATTCTGATCGCCGGGTGGTTCGTACCAACGTGTGTCGCCCATCGCCGCATATTGACCTGTTAAGGTCGTCCGTTGCGAGATTGCGAATCGCGGCTCAAACAGACCTGCCTGCCGCAGATTATTACCAGTTCCCTGCTTGAAACACAGGGCACCCTGTCGTGAACCGCCCCAACGAGCTTTGGTAGCCGCTTAATGAAGTCCGGTCTGCTCCCCCAAGCAAGGGGATTCGACTCGCTTAACAGAATCTGCTTTTGCGGGCAGCCCCTGGGATATATGGTACCAAAACAAGGAAGAGTACACACCGACGGCCAACTTCAAACGCCCTCGTGAACAAAAGCAAGACCAGAACAATGCTGTTTGGGGCAGAAGCAACTACCCTTGTCGCGATTATGCCAATATTGAACTTTTTTCTCTGGTTTTGTTTGACGCACGGCTCTGCTCACCGCCAGCGTGGTGCAAACCGGCATCCCTGGCAATCGCTCCACCCCCATGCAATGGTCCGAGCAGGATCCTAGTCCTTGGGGGTCAGCGGTTCGCATCATGACCCCTCAAGCGGTCTGCAGTCTTGACAGCGGTCTACGGTCTTGACACCAGGCGTGCATTGACCCTTGGCCATCATGGGGCTCCAGAAGCTGGACCTCGAGAGAAACATCGTGGCCGGACGATGTCATGCTGATCACACTTCGGCCCGCGCCACTGGGTGCAGCAATCGTGTCTCCGGGCCCTCGACATGACGTCGTCGCCTGTTCCCCGAGATGGGCCACGGGCCGTGATCAGGTCGCCGGCTCAGATCATGTCAAAAGGGCGGCAGCCAGGACCAGGGCTTGATGCATGGCCAACACAGCCGATTCGAGGAGTCTCTGCGTCCTCTGCCGTGGTTGAGGAGTCGGTTCCGACGGGTGGACGTTTGCAGTTGGCTGGAGCTGTCAAAGCTCTGACGAACGAGGTGGGACCCACGGCGAGCATGTCGAGGCGGGGGGCGGGCGGGCTGAGTACTGGGATGACCCCAACAGGAAGAGGCTGACGGGACGGCAAGAGATCGCAGATTGATGCTTGACACCCTTGTCCTTGATGCAGACCACGGCTGCCACGGAGTCTCGATTGAGCAAGGAAGATCCCGCGCTGCATGGACGGTGCATGCATGGCTGCTCACTTGACCCGGAGGGCGGCGTGGCAGCGAGGCCGCCAGAGAATAGGCAGGCAGAGTTCGGAGAGTACAGCGCTTCGTGTTGGTGATGTTTCAACCAGTGCTAAGGTTGTCTGACGAGCCGAAGCTCAGCTGTCTCACCCAACTCACCAGGGGTCCATTGCGCCTGCCAACCCACCCAGCAATGCAGCTAATCAGTACGTACAGTCCAGTCCAGTACAGTAGAGGGCACGCCTAAGACGACATCACTGGCCTCGCAGGATCTGCCCCGACTTCGGCTCGACACACATTGTCCAGCGCCAGATTCTTCAGCTTGTCCGCAGGATCTCATCGTGGACGCGGCCACCAGGAAGACGCGGGCACGAGTGCACTGCTGCGGCCCCTTCCACGTCAAGACTGTGTGATGAGTGCCTTTGCAACACGTCGAACATTGCCAGTCGGTATTGGTCTCTCTACGCGGCGCCGTTGAGCAGCCGTGCTTCACTGCGCGATACTCAGACTCATCTGCTCATCGATCTACAGAATTGCCGCGCGCCCCCTCGACCCCTGTGTCGGTGCGTCCCTGCTGCTTGCAACCGGGCTTTCAGGTTTCTGTCAACAAGGCCGCTGTGCGTCATGCGGAGCAGCTCCTCGCGCCTTCACACCTGCGGCAACACCCAAGAGCATGAGTGCCAGCAACTGTGTACCGACAGTAGTCTTCAGACTGTGCTATACACGAATACGCGCGTCAACGATGCCTCCATGGCCACCTGGCTACGCTCCAGGTTCCTGGGTCGTCCAGCAGACCGCACAAGCAAGGCCGCAGATTATGGTTCTCGGTCCGTCAGATTGGGAACCCACTGTCCATGCATGACATCCAGGTGATGATGCTCCTCGCGCTCCCTGGTCACAACCCTGGCACGGATGCACACCATCCTCGCCATCGATTCGAACTGTCGACTGGGGTTAGGCACTCTTAGCGCTTGACCGCCAGTTCGTCCTGCGAGGAGTGGAGGCCTGCAATGGCGCATTGTCCCTTGCGACTCCGTTTCTGCCAAAAAGAAAAAGTGGACTCGGCGATGAGAACATAAGAGGAGGATCCAGAGTCGATTCGAAGTATACACCTAATCATGGGCTTACTGGGGCAGTGACGCCTTCCCGTAACATGCATCAAGCGACGAAGCTAAAGCATGGCTCTCTAATGACCCTTTCCCAAGGTATGCGGCTTTGGGCTTCGGAATGGACATGCCCAACGATCTCGTTCATTTACCAATGCCTATCTTGCAGCCCGGCATCGCTTTCGCCATTTCTGGTACATGGCAAGACAACTTGACATTTGGGCCCATGTGTTACTTCGACGTGAAACATTGACTAGGGTCATCCGAATCGCGACGGTCTTTGAGGACTCCTCAGGGTACGTCTTCAAGGGAGGTGGAAGTCATCAGCAGCTGTTGACTACTTGTAAGAGGGCCAGCCCAGAAATTCCCTGCTCAATTTCCAATCTGCGTGGGAATTTAAGGAGACCACTTTTCGCTTTCGAGAAGGCCTCAGCTCTCACTCCACTGCTGTTATATGGCCAGCTGCGCTTGAATCATGATCCAGTTGCGTCCGCCTTCAACGAGCGCTGTTAACTCCACCACCGGAGGGATCTCCGGATCAGACACGGACTCTTTGGCTGGTAGGCGGTACGCTACCGGCCCCCTGTACTCCTCCTGTGACGACTTGGCAAATGAGGATTGAGTATTGGGCATCCCCACAAGCCACTGAGTGACAGACTCTGGTTCAAAGGTGGATTCACACGACTGCCAGCTCGGGACACCGCTACTTCGTGATCAGTAGGCTAGCGTCTGCTCCCCAGAGAGTTCGAGGCTTGCCTGCCAAGGAGCAAAGCTTCATCTGTGAGTGAAAGACCTCTTTCTTAAAAATTCCCTCTTCGGCCTTTCTGTGAAAGTCAACTGGGTCGTGTCCTGCGAGCTGCGCTCATCTCGTCTTCCCTGTGCTCCATCATCGCCAGTCAAGATGGGACAAGGCGGCTGTCATCACCGACCCCTTGATGTCTATTTTTAACCAGTAACAACAAATTGCCAATGGGTTTCTTTTCTTCATTTTCTTATTCGTCGCCACTCCAAAATCTATTCCCAGTGAGGTAATCGGCCTACGCGCTGAGCGGTAAGGCCCCTGCTCGGTCAGACCCATCCTTCTGCTGGTCCGTTCCCTGTTCGGCAACCTGGCAAGGACACATTTATGGCTACTCCGTGCTTCGCACGTAGCGCTGGCTCCTCTTCCACATTACATACCTGTTCTGGCGGGGCATACTTCGTCACATGCTCCCATCAAGCGGCAAAGCACGACTTTTGAGCGCATGTGTCGAGTTTTCGGTGCCGACTATGCATCCTGCCAAGGTAACTGACATACAAGCACCACGCCTGGTGGCATTCTTCCCGACCTCAGGTTGGAATCACTGTCACTCCTACTCACCGAACTTTTGGTGCCGGTCGAAATGAGGCGGCGATACGAAATAACCGTGTCTGCTGCTTCACTACAAATAGTTCGTCAACGGACAGTTGACGGAGGCTCCAGACTGCTGCTACATTTTTTGGGTGTCGCAACCAGTCGTTCCTCCCACTCAATCTTGCTTTGTCATAGGTCACAGACATTGGTGAGAGGCATGGCGAAACCACTCTGAGCCTTGTCTGTGCTACGCTTGCCCAGTGCTTTGCAATCTACTCAGGACTAGGGGCCGCGTCCTGTGGTCCTGGCCATCTAGGCAACTGACTGTGGTGTTTCCAGTAGTTCATTGGGCAATATGACCGGCCTATGAGACCCTGTCCCGTGATGGAGTTTCGCTGGCACTTACATGAACTGGGGACTGCTCCAGTGGAACTCTCTCACTCAGCTTCGCGACCCGACCATTTTTCTGTCCGCCACCCCCCTCCCCTGTTCACACTGCCGTCGAGTTGTCCTCAATCTTCAGCCCTGATCCCTGATACTGGACGGTGCTGAGCCCCAGCCAGCCTGGCTAGCGAACTTATGCTCTACATACCCTCCCCACACGAGGCGCTGTCGAGTCTTCCCTACAGAAAAGGAAAGGCAGAAAAAGGAAATCCAAAGCCCGCCCTCAAATCCTCCCTCTTCCCCTACCTAGTATTGCTTTTGAACTATGCTTGACCTCTGCCCAGTGGACACCAGAGGTTGTACTCCGTATGCATGAGCAGCAGAAGCAGCAGCCACAGCCGCAGCTTCAGGTAGCATGCCGGCAACCCAAGCCAAGAAGAATGACTGCTCATTCGAGCGTGCGCTGCTGTGCCCTTCCCAAACCCCGGTCAACCTGCCATCACTCAAACTGACGTATGGGACTACGGACACGCATTTCGGTACCTGACACCTCGGATCTAACCAGAAGCCGCACTCAAAGGCGCCATTGGCTGGCCACGAACCTCAGTGACGCCCAACCATGTTAAGACTGCAGATAACTTTAGACGCGACCCACGTCTCAAGACTTGGACTTGACGTGGTTCTTCTCTCCCCAAACGTGTATCAGTCACCAACATCTCTTAACCAGTCAACAACGCCACACTTCTAGCGTTGCACAACTCACACGCACAACAAACTCGACACTTGGTTCCAAAGGAGATTACACTGTCTTGGTTCGCCGGCCTGCCTCGTTCGTACTCCCTGGTCCCAGGGAACTACAATCAGCCGCTTCAGAGGACCCGCCGCAACTCCAAAGGAAACGCACGTACAGCGGGTGCGGCAGGCCAACCATCAAGAGACGACACAGTGATTGCGTTCAAAGCCGCCCAGCCAGGCGAAGGACCAAGCACTGAACAACCACGAGCTGCAGATAATCTCAAAGAGTTCATACGTCTTTGCCATTAGGCAAACCTACCGCCATCGTGGATATCACCAACCTGCTGAAGGCTCCTGACCCTAATGAAGGCTCGGGGTCGTCGAATCCGGCACTGCAAACTCGCTTACCGCCCACGCCAACAGCACCAGCGTATCTTCTTCATCACGGCTCGTCGCCTGCAATCTCTCCCATTCAGCCGGACGCAAAGTCCTGGGTTCGTTTCGCACAACCTGGCCCGGCTCCAAGTACAGTTGCACGCCGAGGAAGAGAGACGAGCTCTACCAAGCGCAACATGCCCCCGCAAAGTAGTGACTCGCCTGCAAAGAAGCAGAGCAAATGGTCTGCAGAAGAAGATGCGCTGATCATCGATCTCAGAGGCAGCGGTATGAAATGGGAAGACATTTCGAAACGACTGCCGGGACGAAGCGCCATCAGTTGTCGGCTACACTATCAGAACTACCTCGAGCGCCGAAGCGAATGGGATGAGGAACGCAAGAATAAACTCGCAAGGCTTTATGAGAGGTAAGCGAGCACTGGACGAGTGTACGCATGTCTACGACGATGGACCAACCAAGTATCGCCACTGTCGGTGACGTTGTCCGTACCTCCAAACTAACCATGGCTGCGCACTCATAAAGGTTCAAACAAGAGATGTGGGCCAAGGTGGCAGAGGAGATGGCCATACCATGGCGTGCGGCAGAGGCTATGCACTGGCAGCTGGGAGAGGTAGACATGGCGAAGCGGGCTGGAGTGACCCCCTTCTGTCTGTCCGCTGTCAACGTCGAGGGACAGGCAGGGAATACCAGAGCATCCACGAGTCGCGGCCACCACCATTCCCACTCCCACTCCCACTCGCTTTCTCATGGGCACTCGACCTTCTCCCGAGACGTCATGGGACAGCCAAACCACCACGGTGTCAGAGGATCGGTACCGCCGGGACCAGCGTTGCCACCGCTACCGCCAAGCCACAACCGCTCCAGTGCCGCCCGGAGAGACAACTTCCCACAGCACTCGCAAGCAATGCCAGCGGCCACGAACCACCAGGACGAGAGATATAGCTTTGCCGCCCCTCCACCGCCGCCCGCGATGCATGCGCACGGCGGATCCCTGCCACCAATACAAAACCGCTCCCAGCCAAGGACGGCTTCAGCATTACCCAGCGTGTCGGAACTCACGACTGGTATAAGCCCATATAGCACACCGGCATACTCGGTGGGTCTGCCGAGTGTGAGCCCGGCACACAGCGGCACAGCGAGTCCGAACCCGTTCACAGCCGGGCCTCCAACACAATCACAGCACCACTTCACGTCGAACCCGCCGCACCCAGTCCAGCCCGAGGTGTACATGCCGGCTCCCCTGAAGATAACGAAACGATCCAGGAGTCCCGAATTCGTCATGCCAGCCCCTGCACCCAGTCGCCGCCGCCAATACCATCATTACCGCTCAGAGTACGACGACAAAGCAGCCGTCCCCAGACACATGCCGTGAGCACATAACCTTTTTTCTCTGTATGCATCTCTGGCCGGCACGATATTCACAGCTCAAGCTAGCTTTGCCGCCAGATGATGACTCGGCAGGCTTCTGCAAAGCTCTGTGGTCTCGAATGTACTCTCTACGGGATAGGGCTCACATCTTGGGCTTGCCATCAACAGCATGCTGCTTGGCGCCAACGTGCGAACTTGGACTCGCTGCAAATGGTGTATATCTGACCATGATGCACCTGGCAGTGCAAACATCCGACGATTTGTCCATACTCCACAATGTTAGTGGTTTCCCGACCTGCGATATCGATGTCGAAGCGGACAAAGCACGGCAAAGCACGATGAACGGCAGAGATGTATCTCATATTGCACCGAGAAAATGTTGCATGGGCGACTACAAGAGGCAGGAAAGGTGCAATACCATCAAGCGTCCACGTAGCAGGCCGCGGCTACATCACGCCGAAGTCCTACCGTATTTCCGGGACAATCAAGCAAAAGTTCGAGCGGACCAGAGTGGTGCCAGAATGCGAACAAGTCTCGATGGCTGCCAGACTCGGAGGCACGGCACACACATTCACCACGACGGTCAAGGGCAAGGAAACGTAGGGGGGTCCGCGGAGCTCGAAACCCCCTATGCAGGAGTCCAGGGCGGCCTGTCAAGTCAGGCAAGATCATGGTACTTTACGCCTTATCCAAAAGGCCTGAGCACCCAACTCCTCCGTCGGCAAGTCCATGCGACAGGTTGTATGCGGCGGTGCCCATATTGTCCTCCGCAGCGTCATACGATCCAGCTGAGCTTTCAGGCATGCATGAGCACTCATCATCATCACACCGTGGCAAAGCCCCCCAAGGTGTTTCCCCTAACCCCCCCCCCCTTTGCATTCGCAAATCAACCCCGGTTTTTGCGTTCAAGCCAGTCTATTTGTTTGGACTATCCTTTTTTGTTTTTGTTCTTTATTTCTTTCCTGTATTGATATATCCTTGCCGTGTGGTTGTTTCTCGAAAGCAATTTTTGCATTATGCATTGGCAAAGCGGAAAAAACCCCCCAACAAGCGTGTTCTTTGATTATTTTACTTTTTTTTCTCCCTCCGGTGCTTTTCTTACCCCTGTTTGGGGTTGTTTCGATCTGAGCCACCTCGCCTGGGATTGGGATGCGTCGGGATTATGCGACCACGTTTTCCTTCCGACAAAGGCTTTACGTCTCGAAACGGCAGATCGAGCGAAGAAATCCAGTGCCGGGCAAGGTTCTTGCGAGTTTCTCTGGCTTCTGTCGGATGTTGTACTTTCTTTTGCCGTTTTCTTTTTCCTTTTTCTTTGTAACCCTGGTCTATTTGTTCATGCCGAGATGGAGCAGGGATCCCCCCGCGCCAATGAAACACGATAGACACATGATGAATGACACGTCAGGAGGGGAATGATAATAGACACCTAGGTAAATGGCTGCGAAGTTCTGGATATGTAGAAATCGCATCACAGTATAATTGAGTGAGAGTATTGCGAAACGTTTCCCGCCTTTGTTGAGTATTCTGAAGTTGATGCGCCTGCACTTCCATGTACTAGACCTGCCTTACGCCCTTGCAGCGATGACCCACCAGTTATCCCTATCATAGCCGTGGTCAAGGACTTTGCCACCGGCCGCGATGACATCGTCTTCGAGCTCGCCCTTCTTGAAGAGGTGATAGTACCGCTGATACGTCTGGTCGCTAGCCCCAGCTATTGGCTGCCCACCTTTTTCGACTTTTGCCTTTTTCACCCATGGTACAAGGAGGTCCTGATCCGTGCTTTCGTCGAAGCCTCTGCGGCTAGAGCCCTGCTCCAGGGCCCAGACAAAGACCAACACCCGGCCGCCATCTTTGACGCAGTCTAGAAGGGCCTTGACCGCTGCTATCCTTCTCTCATTCGTGGATAGGTGATGTACCACAGCAATGCAAATGGCGAAATCAAATGCCTTGTCAGGATATGGCAGGGATAGCCCGTCGGCAACGGCTACATCTGACCTCCGCACGCCGCCGTGGTCTCGTGCAATCGCGACCAAGGACGGACTTCGATCGGAGCCCATGATGTAGACATCGGGGTTCACACCAAGGTACTTGCCGTTCCCACACCCAACATCGATCCCCACAGCGCCCTTGGGCAGGGAGTTCAGAAAGTCTCCGACCACCGGCCAAGGTTTGTATCGAGTGGCTGAAAAGTGGCTGGCGATGGACTCGTACACGTTGTGCACGTGCTGCTCCTCATAAGACGCTGCTTCAGGCCGTGACGCTGCCATGCCTGGTGTCTGTGAACGGCTCGGGGTGTAGTAGGTGTCGGGATATGGCACACGGTTTTCCGTCTTGGAGCACTATATCATGCAGGTATGCAACCACAGACGCGGCTCCTTCCGGTTCCACTCTTGCGGTCAAGAGTCGTTGGGGTATGCTGACGTCGCAGCCGTGTCTAGAGATTGGGGCGAAACCAGGTTCACCGTGTCTCGATATCGGGTGTCGCGGAAGCGAGCAAGGCGGTTCCTGTTCCTGCAGAGATGTCCGAACGTTGCACACCCACTCTGGCTTGTGTCCGCAGCAGTCGCCCAAGGCAGCTGACGTATGCTCGGGAGCGGTTCCTGCCAAGGCAAGAGATCGTGTCTAGGTAGCACAAAGCCGTCGTCCGTGGTACTCCGTTTTAGGTTCCGAGATAGACAAGCAAGTAAGCAGGCGAGCTGCGTGGTGTCAGTCGACGGCTGAGGCTAACGATCCGAGCCGGTGATTGTTTTTCCGAGACACTGAAAGGGCAAGCAACCCTGGCCGAGATGGGGCTTGGACTGGTTGTGTCTTGGCGAAGCGACCAAGAGTTTGAAGGACTTGGAGAAGGTACAAGAGTACAACATGTCTCTCCTATGCGAGGTCTTGAGGGCAGCCACACGCCAGGGAGGTGCGAGTGAGCTGGCACTGCTGATATGTGCCTTCAGAGACCAACGCGTTGATTGCTGCACCCCAAGTGTCGTGCGTTGGACGCTGATGCCAAGGAACGCTCAGTGTGCGTGATGAGGGTGGTTGACAAGCTGGTTGCCAACAGCTCAAAACGGAAAGCAGAGCGAAGAGTATGGGTCTAATGTCTCATACACACACGGCGGGACGAGAGGCAAGACACGGCAGCCGTCCACGTTGCGCGGGGAGGTTGGCAAGCCGCAGCCCATACGAGGAAGAATTCCTATTGGCTGAGGCGTGATTCAGATGCGCTCGCAAGAACCGGGCAACTGGAACCAGGATGGCGGCTGCTGTGCGACAAAACTACCGTAGGGCTGGCGGTTAGGCGCAGAAGCGTTGCTGACGCAAAGTGTCAACGAGAGCGCCCGAGTGGTGACTGTGGCAGTTCGTCTCTAGCGTTGATCGCAAGCAGGTAGGCGAGTGGCAATGGCTGTCGGTGATGGTGTTGTTGAAGATCCTGGGTTAGCCTTGGTGCATTTTGACAAGGGCGATCGAACGGGTGGGGTTCGTGAGCAGGCATGCAGGGCAGCATCGCTAGCGAGAGTCGTCGCGCCTTCTCCGTCTTGCCATTCACAGGCTCCCAGTGCCAGGCGTGCCTGAGGCAAGCAACTCTCTGCCATCGCCCAAACGAGGAGGACCTCCAGGGCTGCTCATCGGGTGCAACATCCTGCCGCCTCAGCACGGCGCGCACGTACTGCGTTGGGCAACCTGACGGCCAGCCACATCGCCAGTTTCGCCGCCGCCTGCGATCTACCCGCCGCCGCCCGCTCATGTCGGTCAAGGAGAGCCCGGGGCAGGGGCTTGCTGCACCCAGCTCAACACAGCAAAGCATCGTGCAGCGTGCATGTACAACATCTAGTGAGATGGCCACCCCGGCAACAGGCCCTGCAGCCTATGCTCTGACCGGCTGCGAGGGTGAGTCCACGCTTGTGGTACACGTCAACGCGGTCAGGCGGCATTGAATCCGAGGCCGGCATCACAAGGGCAGCAAGTGCCGTCTCGCCTTAGCAAAGCATGTTCATGTATACGTGGGCTGACGTTCCAATCGTGCCTGACCCTGTAAAGATCTCTGTGCAGCCACACCCAAGAGGCGGTGTCGTGGTTCGTGGCCGCGGGTCGTCTACCATCCCTACACCATCGCTACAGACTGCGTGGCACCCATACACCCTCTCGAATGCACCTACAACGCCCCTAGCGGCGCCTCGCGCAACTTGGGCTCGCTCAGGCTCAGAAACCAGTGGTAAATGCGCTTCTCACCCCAAGCCTTGGGCCTCACCGACCGCCAGTGTTCAGAGGACTCTGAGGATCGTACACGTCGGTGGTGATGAGTTCGGGATACTGGACGCCACCCTGCCTCAGGGCCGAGTCCATGCACTCCATAATGGCGATGCTCTCCGCCCATGGAAGCCCAGCGCTCTCCTTCTTGCCATCCCGAAGGCACCTCGCACACTCGTCAGCCTCCCAGAACATGCCATGGCCCCAGCCGTCTCGTGCCTCGTCGCGTGGCACAGGGCACTCGACAACCTCAAATTTGCCCCCTCCATTCTTGAGAATCACCTTGTATGCGGTCGGCCTGTAAGCCATCCCAATGACGTGAATCTCGCCAAGTGGCCCCTGGATTCGGATGGCTGGGTTCAGGCTGCCAGACGCGTCATAGTTTGTTGGCACCCGAAGACTTGTCGTGGCAATGCCCATGGTCTTGTGCTTGGGGAACTGGACAATGATACTGGTCGACTCGTCCGCACCTGTCTCGTATTGGTTCATAGCTGCCACCGTCTTGGGCGACTCTTTCTCAGCCTCGGGTTGCAGATGGTACAGGATTTGGAAGACCCAGGTGAGTGAATAGATGCCGAGGTCCAGGAGCGCACCACCTGCCAAGTCCCTGTTGACCATGCGGTGATCATTGGGAAAGGTAAGAGACCCGTCCTCCTTTCCGGAGGCAAAGGAGAGATCAGCTGTGCCCATTTCACTGTCAGTCACATTGGTGTCCGTCGTTCCTGTACGTGTGGATGTGCAGGCAGGGCCTTCTGAGGGCACGGCTGGGATTCTTACCAATGACCCTGTGAACGGGCCCAAGCACGCCGGACTGGACAATCTCGCGCACCTTGACGCTCAGAGGCTGGTATCTGGTCCAGACAGCCTCCATGAAGAAGACGTTCTTCTCCCGAGCCTTGTCAATGAGCTTGCGCGTCTGAGAGGCTGTGACGGTGAGTGCCTTTTCGCAGAGCACATTCTTGCCAGCTTCGAGCACCAGCATGGCGTTCTGGAAGTGGTGAGAGTGCGGCGTGGCGACGTATACAATGTCGACGTCCGGATCGGCCACGAGCTCGTGGTAGGAGCCGTATGTCTTGGCGCCCTCGGGAGCCTTGACTTTGTCGAGAAAGGAAACAGCACTGTCCTTGGATCGGGACGAGGCCACGGCGACGACCTTGTGAGCAACATCATGGACGTCTCGGATAGCTGGGTTGGTGAGCAAGTCCTTGACGAAGGCTGCTCGTCGAGTTAGTTTTGGACATGGAGGTCCTCGGTCAAGAAGTCCCTGGGCACTGACTCTGGGCGATGCCACCAGTGGCCATGATACCCCATCTCAGGGTGTACGTTTCAGGCGCCATCGTGAGTTTCGAGGCCGTGGTGAAGTAGAGTGAATCCGCTTGCAATTCGCTGTCCGCGTTGACAGAGACTTTCGGCCAGCCAGTATCTCTCGAGCACTGGGCAGGAATTGGTTCTTGTTCTTGCGAAACCACAGATCTTGAAGCTTCTTTAGTGCTTGGGAGCAGGAGCGGAGCTCCCGGGTGGGGGTAAGATACTACTGTATCTCCCTCCGGTGCGGCGCGCCGTGGTGCCTCGCTCAGTGACAGCATCTCCCCCGCATCCTGGAGACGCTACGGTGCAATTCTACCGGCGACCCGGTCACCTCCGTCCCGCCTCTCTGCAATCAGCCGGCAACTCCTGCCCGCAAGTCCGTCTTGTGAGCACGAGGCTGGGGCGGCCATTCCTTCATGGTGGATCTGGTGCTATTTGGCCCGATGATATTAGCCCCCGGATTCTGTCGTTGACTTGCGTGGACTGTCTGGAGATATCGTCATACAGCCATGAGTGTCCCCACCTTGGTGAGGGGAAGCCTGAGACTCGGTGCAATGGGGAGCGCGCTCATTCTCGATCGAGCCTCGACAGAGATCAGAGGGTTTGTGTGTTGACAGTTTAGCCACTCGGAGTTGTATAATGCAAGGACTCATCGTGGGAAGGTTCTTTCTATGTCGTGCTGGGTTGTACGTTGCAGCGACCCTGTGCAGGAGGTTCACCTCCACGTGGCGTGCTGTGGGTGTGTGAGCACTATCAAAGAACATAGCTCTGGGTCGTAGACAGTGTTGTCCCCAACTGGCCTTGTTGGAAGCTCTCAGAGCGACATCCGCTGTCACATTTGATACTCTGAGAAGTTATTACGGCAAAATTGGTCCACACGTGCATCACGGCCGTATTTCATTGATTAAGCCATATTGTCATTCCTATCTAGCCGTGCTGCTGCTGCTGGGCAAGACCTCAGTACCTACAGTTTGTGCATGCTGCAACGGCCAACCGCAGCTCCCTCGTGATTCACCACCACCACCACCACCACCTTCCCGGAGCTGAAACCTTGGCCATGCTATTGTTACACGCAACGCCGACCTCAAGTATATCATTCAGTCGCTGCTGTCTCCGCCTTCAGGGCGCATCGAAGCACAAGCCGTCTAGCCTGGTATCGTCAGCCTGGGCAACAAACACTGCCTTGAGTCGCACTTCTCCCCGAGGCCACAAACCATCGCCATCATCCAGTGCCTCTTTTGCATCCATCACCACCACAACCACCACCATGGCGCAGTCGACATCCCCGACGGCAAGCAAGCCGGGCCTCACACAGCACCTCACCCTGCCAGACCACCACCATGAACAAACCACCACCCCCACAACAACAACAACAACACCACGCCTCGTCTACGGCACAGCCTGGAAGGCCACGCAGACCGCCTCCCTAGTCCACGCCGCCCTGCGCGCGGGCTTCCGCGGGATAGACACGGCCAACCAGCCGCGGCACTACTCGGAGGGGCTCGTGGGCCGGGGGATCGCGTGGGCCCTGGCGGACGGCACGATAAAGTCCCGCGCCGAGCTGTTCGTGCAGACCAAGTTCACGGGGCCCCAGGGCCAGGACAGGCCCGTCGAGCAAGGGGGCAAGGGATGCCCTTATTACCACGAGGATCCGCTCGAGACGCAGGTGCGCAGCTCGGTTGAGGGGAGCTTTGTCAACCTGTTTGGCAAGGATAGTAGTAGTAGTAGTAGTGATGATGATGATAGTGGGGGTGGTGGTGGTGGTGCCGCTGAGGGGACAGATATAGAGGTAGAGGCGGGCGCGACGGCGGCGGCAGCACCAGCAGCAGCGACGACATATATCGACAGCCTGGTCCTGCACTCGCCGATGCCAACATACTCGGAGACCTTTGCGGTATGGAAAGTCCTCGAGTCGTACGTCCCGCACCGGATCCGCCATCTGGGCATCGCCAATGCACCGCTCGAGGTGGTCGAGAGGCTATACCACGAGACGACCACCACCACCACCGAAGGCGCAGGAGCGGGACTGTCCGTCCCGCCTTCCGTAGTGCAGAACCGCTTCTACGCGCCCACGGGTTACGACGCGGACCTCAGGCGGTTCTGCCGCGAAAGGGGCATCGTGTACCAGTCCTTCTGGACCCTGACGGCGAACAACGCAGACAACCGCATGCGCGGCAAGGTCGACCTCGTCGGGTCCAAGCCCGTGGCGAAACTGGCCGCGGCGTTCAAGAATGGCGAGGTGAGCAGGGAAGTCGCATATTACAGTCTCGTCCTGGGCCTCGAGGGAATCACGATACTCGACGGCACGACGAGCGAGGTGCACATGCGCGAGGACCTGGACGGTGTCGATGCCGTCGGGAGGTTTGCAGCAAGCGAAGAGGGCAGGGTCGTGTGGGAGGAGTGTCTTGCTGAATTCAAGGCACTCATCGGCGAGGATGACGAGTTTTAGAAAGGAATTGTTGGCATAATCAGCTTGGTTCGCGGGGAAGGCAACGAGGAAGCCTGTCACGTCGATTATGGTGGCGCAAAAGCCAGACAGACACGTTGGTATGCAAATGCAAATTATAAGGCGTGATGTTTAATTCCTGGACATCTCCAGACTATATACTTCGCCATCAGTACGTGTAGAGTCTGGACCGGGCACGATGGATTTGATGGTAGTAAGTTCGGTTGCCAGTGACGAGCAGGCGCGTGTTCCCGAACCAGACAGACCACTGGCAATGACGCAACAATTCATATGGGCGATTGCGGCACCACGGCATTGATCTTAGGGACGACTGGCGCTGTGCCGATATTGCTATTAAGCATCTCGCGAGTCCTCGCTGGGTGGCCTGTCCAAGGATGATATCTCCAGCAATAGGTGAGGATGTGCCTAGGCGGCTTCCATCTTCATTTTGCCACGCAAAGACGTCAACTCGCTCTGCTTTTGTTGAACAATCTGTCAGTCCGAAATCCTCTCTCGCCCAGTTCATGGACAGATATCCTGCAAGGGAATCATGACAAAACCTACCTCGGCCTTCCTCTTTCCCAACACCGGCTCGGGCGTGGCCCTAGCTCCACCAGCATGGATCGGCAGCATCGTGATATCGTCCTTTGTTGCCTCCCTATGACAGCTGGCGTGGTAAATTCGATCACCTACACGGGTAGCGTCGGGCCAGACAAACTCCTGCGCATCGTCAAGCCAGCGCATCTCAAACTTCTCCTGGCAGATTGGGCACACGCTATTGGCCAGCACCGGATCGTCGGGGACCGGGATCCAGTCTCTGCGTCGCGCCTGACCACCCGGCATGGAGGCAGAATTGCGATTGCCGCTACCATCAGTACCATTGTTGGCAGCATCTCCAGACAGCGGATCGTACGGTCTGCCGGACGCGTCGGCGCCGTGGTCTTGGTCGATGGTCTCTCTGGTGTTGATCCAGTCCTGTGACGACTATCAGCAAGGTCGATTCTTGAGGGCGGATATGGCAACATGACAAGGGGTGGAGGGCGTTCTTACCATCTTATCGACCAGCCAACTCCGATGCTGTCCTTTCTTCTCATATTCGGTGATGCGGCGGTTCACACGGAAGTGCCAGTCCATGTGCGCCGTCTTCTTCCTCCTGCCCTCTTCTGTGGCTGGGAAGCGGCGACCGCACTGAGTGCATTGGGGACCCTTGGCCTCAAATAGGAGCGGCAGGAGATGTGGTCGGAATCTACGCGCAGTTATGTTAGGCCTGTGGCATGCTGGATGTGGGATCAAAAGGCTGGTCAGGGGCGTCCTTACTGTTTTAGCGACGACGCTTTCAAGGCGATATCTCCTGTGATAAACTCTAAACTCGGCGGTTGGGTTGGGAGCTGACCAGGGAGAGGAATTGGGAGGGTTGGAAGACCCGGTGGCGGAGGCGGCGGGTGAGGCAGAGATGGTACGCCCGGGACCGGAGTCGCATTGCTGCTTGGGGGAGGGGGTGCGCTGCCGCCAATCAGACCAGCAGCTCTCAAAGCGTTTAACAGTTCGAGAGGGTTGCCTGACGAAGCGGCGGGAGCAGTAGCAGCCGGAGGTGCCGTTCTTTCGGCTGGACGTGGTGGTGGTGATCGTAAAGCTGCGACAGCAGCTGGTGGTTGAGGTGTTGGCGGCTGGGGTGTGGCCGAGTTCCTTGCCATGAGCGCCGCAAGTGCTCCGGATCCGAGCAATGAATCCAATGATACCTTCGGTGCCGCCGCAGGCTGAGGTGCTGGCGCCGGCGGTGGTGGCGCAACTGCTACGGGTGGTACAGGAGTGGGCGCCTGAGCAGAGGGCGCCCTTATTGTCACGGCAAGTTCAGTTATCTGGTTCTTTACAAGCACTAGCTGCTCTTGAGGCAGGTTCTGCAGTTGTAATATAGTTTGCAAGTCCATCAGCGCCTTCAACCTCGTCTGTATGCTAGGGTCATGTGGGCTTTGAGCCATCTGGGCTCGGAAGGCTGCAATCAGCCTCTGGATATCATCATTCAACGAGTCTATGCTGATGCCAACCTGCGGCGGAGGGTAGCCACTGCCAAGGTGCGTTGGAGGTTGAAACGCGGGAGTGTGAGATGATGGTTGCGGCGTAGAACGAGCGGGTGGCTGAGTTTGATGCTGGAATTCGTGTCAGTACGTCGCCCCAGCAAAGAATGGACAAATGATCTGCTAGCTTACTTGATGAGGCGGATAGAACGGTCCTGAGGGTGGCTGTGCGGAATAGCCATACGCAGGACCGTTGTGTCCGGGAGGCGGCCCCTGCTGGTCATAGTAGGGACGAGCACCTGGAGGCGTGGCGGATTCACGGTACGGCATCCCTTGAGGCATCGGGCGGCCTCTGCCCATCATGTGTGGTTGTCCCATGCCCTGCTGTGCCTGAAGCGCGTTCGTCCGAGCCTTGATCAAGGCGTTCTCGATGGGCCGGACGACATCCGGGGGGAATACCGGCCGGGTGTCAATGGATCCAGGCACAGGTTCTTTCCATGTCTTGAGCATTTCATCCATCTTTCGCCTTGTAGTCATGTCCACGGACGCATAAGCATCCATGAATGTCTGGTAGAGCTTGCGGCCAAAGAACAGCGTGTATGGGGTGCCGACATTCTTGACGATCGAGTCGAGGACGTATAATGAGGGTAGCTTCTTGTGTGGTGCGGCCTGGTCATTCGGGTTAGCTTTTGAGTCACGCAAAGTCGGAAGGCGCCACGATGAGTCTGGAAGTGACACGCGACATCAAGCTAATGGGGTTGATGGCTCCTACCCGTTTGACATGATCTGTGAGAGCGCCTGATATGGCCAGCGCGTGCTCAGTGTTTTCTCTCGCAATTAAGGTCAAGTTTTGAATTTCATAGCGTGCGTTGGACTGGATGTCTTCGAGGGCCTCCTGGAAGTCCTTCGCGACCGCTTCGGACTCAGAATATGACATGATGACTGCTCTCTATACGCCAACACACAGTGAACCCCAAGTAAAGAAGTTGACGTTGACGTGGTAAAGATCACGTGTGCCTCGTTGCCCCAAGATAATGTTTGGCCCAGGGATGGTCTACAGACAGAAGCCTGGCCAAGAGCAAATCGTGACAAAGAGGCTTCCGTAGCGCAGATCAGAGAAAGTCACAGCAACAGGAAAGCTCAACGGCCGGCACTACCCAGCAATATTTCAAGTAATGAAATGTGGGAATCGCGCCCATGGATTGTTGTTTGGCACGTGGACTGCATGCAGCTGGCCACCTCGCAGACTCCGAGCACCAAATGCCACCTAGGCCTGTTTTTCTGCGGTCGCGTACGAGACCAGAGTGCGATCAATGCATGCTCTGAGCAAAGTACGCGGAGATGTATGGCTGACAAGAAGTCCAGCTGTGTTGACAGCGCGTCTAAAGCTTGTAGAACGTTCCGACCTCGAGGCTGGTTCGGATATCTTTAGTTTCGAGCTGTACCTTCGTAGCTGTCGATGAGCTGGTTTGCGTCGCCGAAAATGCTGTTGGCAGCTGCAGGAAGTTGATGCCGAAGATACGCCTGTCGGGGTTGATGCAACGTGGCATAGACTGTGTATCTGTTCGAAATTGCCGAAGGCCAAGTGCGATGCCCAGGCGTTAGGATGGCTGTCGTGGGCGCCTGGTGATGTGAAGGCAGATGTTTGGCGGATGCTCGAGATCGTGGTCGAGCTCAGCAAGCGTGAGTGGCTGTGGATACGTGATGACTAAGATTTTATTATGGTACAGTACAACTTATGCGGCCCAGGCTTTCAGAAGAGTCGGATCCCACGATTCCGAGGTCGGCTCCACTTTGCCAGTCTAGATGTGTCTAAGGCGAGCTACTTGGGTGTATGCGTATTAAATCCATCAAGATCAGAGGATACCAAACAACTGCCTCATGAAACCTCACAGTGATCGAATTCGCTGCAAATCTTGGTAATCTCTATTCGCGAGTTTACTCTCCATTACGTGGTGCTGAATCAATACAAAAAATCAAGCAGCAGAAATCTCTCGCGTCAAAATAGGTGTACAAGGTCGTCTCGCGGCTGCCTCAGTCCACTTATAACCCTGGGTATATACAACGACGGACTGCTTTTCCAAATAACCAACGCCGATTTGCTATGAGGTGGTGATATATAGGAAAAGTTGCGCCATACAAAAGATGTTTCGTAGTCATATTAAATCATCTTGTCGCCATAGCGGTCAAGGTGGCTGACTTCGCTGTAGTGGCTGGAGCGACGGCCTGCATGGTAGAGAGGGTGAAGTGCAGTGGGTGGGCGGTCGAGTCCAGGAACGATTGGGCTGCCCCTCTCGTTGACGGGATAGGTGTCGCCGTGCGCACCTGCACCGTCGTGCTGGACTGGCCCGATGGGACCGCTGATCTCAATCTTCTTCTTCGTAAAGACTCCCGTGAGTCTGTTGAGGCGGCTGGGCTGAGCTGCAGGCTTCTCCTTGTGAATTGAGTTGCTTCGCTGACTGTTGTGCTCCGACGCCCAAGCGACACTCTCGGCTGTAGTCGCGCCATAGTTCCGGACCTCCCTCGCGGTTACACCGGCTTCTTTGTTCTTGAAGACAAGCGAAGACACAATGTTGAGGACGCCAGCAAACAAGGAGAGAACTCCAGCGGCAAGGATGACCTGCCAGATGGGCAGCCCCACGGTTGCTGGGGTGAAAGGCTCGTGACTGAGAGCACCAAGCGTGTGGCAGCCCATGACGAACATTGTGACGCCGAACCAGGTGAAGCCAAAGCCCTCGCTGATGACGGGAAAGTGGTCGGCAATCCAGGACTTGCCAGCCTTAATGGGCAGCTCCGACCAGGTGAGGAGGAAGCAGACGCAGACGACAAAGAAGAGCGAGACGTCGGCAAAGAAGGTGTAGCCGTTGGGCATCTTGGCGAAGGCCATCATGAGGATGCATGCGGCGGCCACGGCCTGCAAGATGATGATGTTGAGGGCTCGGACGACATTGAGGAAGATGTACCCCGAACCCTGAAAGCCCGAGCTTGAATTGAAGTTGAACATTTTGCTCAAATATTTGTCGAAAGCCGAGGAGGTAGTATAAACAGCTATATGTTGTGAGGAAAATATCAGCAAGTTGTGAACATGATGTGCCGCGTACGAACATGGGCCGTCAACTTACAGGATATGCTGTCCAGCAGCAGCAGCAGAAGTCAAGGTAATATGTATATCAGGCAACCCGAGCAAGCAGTGTCGGAGGGTGCTGTATAGACGTGAAGAAGGAAAAAAGAGATTGTCTTGCTGTCGCGGATCGTCAAGGCAGAGAATGTAGTAGAAGTGGAGGTCAAAGCCGTCCCGGTGGTCGATAGGAAGTTTTAGGGAAAGTGACTGGGCGAGCGTGGTGTTGACACGGGATGAAGAAGAGACCGACACAGTCAAGGTCAGGGCGTGACGAGACGTTTGCGGCGTGGGTATGAATGGGACTGCGAGTGATGAATGGATGAAGCACGCGGCAAGATTATGATTGATGGCCCGTCAAGGGACTGCAAATGGAAAAACAGGAGTGAACTGGAGAGGCCCAAGCAACAGAGACGTTACAGGGCGCAGAGAGGGTCGGGCTGGAGTATATGAGGGCAGAGCTCCTGGCATCAAGCGCATACACACATCAGGAGCAAGCAAAGCAATTCACTGCCGGCCAGCTCGACCGGTCGAGCCCGGCCGTGGAGGGCTTCATCCTTAGTCTGGCGGAAGCTGCTAAGGTCGACCCGGGGTGTTTCGCATAAAACAAGTGTTTCCTGGCCCGACGCCCAATCAAGGCGACCCGGTGGCACGAGGCCCACGCCCAAATAAAGCCTGACAGGCCTCGACAAGGCCGGAAGCCATCTCAGCCAATACTTCATCGCCTGTGCCCAGGAGCAGCAACTCTGAATCGGGGACGAGCGGCAGGGCATGGGGAGGGCGCTTGCTGCGGGCAGCGCCGCTGGCTGTCTCGATGATCGGCATAAGTGGCCAGAAACATGGCAGTAGGGGCCGTCGAGCACGCTGCCGTCGCGCACAGAGCCGCTCAGGCGCCGGCCAGAAAGGACGGCCCCCCGTGGAGGGACGAGATGGTGCCGCGGGCGATGGTGTTGAGGCCCGGATGATAGGCTGGGAGGCCGAGTTGGCGGTTTCACGTAGACCAAAGCCCCCACCAGACTTCTGCGCAGGGCCCGGCTGCCGCCCGTGCCTGAGGCTCCGTCCACCACATGCAGCCTTATCGCGGCTCTGTATTAAACCTCTGGTCCTCCCTCTTCAGCTTGCGGGTGCAGAGCTTCCTTCTTCCAGTTTGTCTTCAAGAGTTTCATCAAGGCTTGCCTTAGCTGTGATCTCGTCGTGCATAGTGATCGGCTTTGAGTTGTGACTGCTCCCTGCTCCCTGCTCCCTGGTGAATCCCCCATGCACAAACTGTGACGGTCGTTTGTCCTCGATGAACCATGCTCTCTGCCTCTGTGAATGCCTCTTGTGTTTCCCCGTGTCGTTCGAGCGGCTGTTGTGTAAGATCAAGACCGACGTGATATTGTCGTGACCGTCGTTCCCACGAAGTCGAGGATGGATCCAGATCGCACAGCTTGGCCAGACGAATAGCAACCTCCCATCAACATTGCTGCGTCTCATGTATGCTCGAACCAGTCTTGCGTCTTATTTTTAACAGTTTGGCGATTTCAAGCCTGCGTCCCGAGGTAACGATACACGGTCCAGACCAAAACCACGGGCCCCACGCAGGCGGCTAGCCCTGGCAGGCGCGACCCTTTGCCAGGCCCCTCCCTTCCTTGCTTTGCCTCACAGACCATGTCAGCGATCCCGCAGGAGCCCTCACTGCCGCCGACCACTGAACCAGCGCCAGCGACCGCGCCTCTCTGTCTTTTCCCTCTTCCCCCACTAGTACACAAATTCACGCGCGCTTCCGCATTTCCAGATTACAGGATCTCGACAAGCGCGCTGCTATCCTCCAATCTCTGCTATTTTCAGCCCTCGCGATCCCCACGAGACCCGAGCCCGTCCGGCCTCGCTCCTTCCTCATCAAACATGGCGCGCGGCAACCAGCGGGACAAGGCGCGTGAGAAGAACCTCAAGGCCCAGGCTGCCCAGGTAAGAGTCTTTGCGCCGCCGTGACATTGCCACAACAGGAATATCGGACCACAGATACACATTTCGCATCGCCCCTCCCCATACTCCGACTCAGACCGGCAACCTGTCGACTTGGGCAAGAATTTCGATGCCGGCACGAACCCACACCAGGCTAGCCTATGGCTGTACTCCGCGCCCGTCGAACCACCTCGCAACACGGCGATTGATAAGTCGACTTGCTCAGAGGCAACGTCAAGAACACGAGGGGACGAGCCCGTCGGGGGAGCTGGACTCGGGGTCGGCGCACATCTCTGTTGCGTAGCCTAGCGAGCCGTCCGGTGTATCGATCTTCTTGCCCAAAGTCGACAGGTCTGTCGGGTGGTCTGCGTTTTTGGAGAATGTCGACGACATAGCAGCCAAGAAAGAAAGAATGCAAGGATCAACTCGTGTCGCGAGAAACAAAATGTCGCCAGAAAGCGTTGCCAAGGGCATATCGTCGTGACGGGAATGTGCGGAGTGCTAACCACGACTGGTCGTTTTCCTCGTCGACAGAAAAGCAAGAACAACAAGACCGGCTCCGAGATGCAGCGTGACAAGGAGGCGGTGGCCGAGATGATGCGCAAGAAGCAGGCTGCCGGTAAGTCTACATTTCCTGCCTGGCAAGGCCACTAGGAGAGTGTTTCCTCCTGTCTGTCTGACTGTCCCACGGAGACTAACACGACTCCTCCACCTTAGCCGACGCAAAGAAGGCCGAAGCGGCCGTTAAGAAATAATGTACTTGCCGCTAGTCATTGCTCGACCTCAGCCGGAGCCATAGCAGAAGCAGCATTCACCAGACGCAATCAGGAAGACGCGAGTCCCCATGCTTGGATACCGTATCGCGTGGGAAAGACTTCTCTATAACTTGCAGACAGGCATGGAGCAGGGAAGTTGCAGCTTGGCCCTTGGGGCTGGAATCCGAACCTCCTTGCTCTGTTTCATGGTCTTGCCTGTCCAGGTCTTGTCAAGTTTTGACTACCCCAGGTGTCATTGCTCTCAACCATTAGAACTCAATTTTATAGCGAAGCCGTGTTTCAATTTTCTCCCCCAATCCTCTATGGTAGCACTTGTGCATGTGGCTTTCTCTTATCTTCAGTAGCTGGTCATGGCTGTCCCGGCAGGAACCGTCCCGATTTCGACGTTAACCACCAACTTGCTGTCGCTGCTCCAGGGTGCACTGTCCCGGTTCGTCATCGACGCAGGGAGGCATGCCCTAGAACTTCCGCTTAATACAGAGATAGCGAGACGATGAGGCGGAATCCACTAGCGGCACAAGGTCGAAGAAGCCGACGAATTCCAAGCTGACCACTGACTAGCGATTCTGGGTCACTTTTGCCGGGCCTCAGGAGTTGGCTCGTAAGCAGATGTTGCATGACAGCGTGTGCCCATGGTACCGCAAGCAGCCCTGGCTTTCCCTGGTTTTGAAAGAGCGTTCCTCGGCAGAATGATGGACGAGTGGTGCCTGAATCTCCGTGGCAGCGAGTATCAAAGGTTGGGAAAGCTACATGTGACTCTGCAGAGAAGTATCGCGTGAGTTCTTCGTGGGTGAGAGACTGGTCGTTCTGCCATACTGCAGTCCACAGCGCGACGACGTTGGGCAGACTGTGAAGTTTCCAGCTTGTCAGTGAATACGTACTTGCAAGGTCAGGTGCTGCTCACCATAGCCCAGTAGGAGTGTCACAAAGTCCAAGCACATTTCACCGAAGTCGATCATGAACACGAGACTTTTTCTTTACAAGTGTTTTTTTTTGCATCCCAAAAAAATGTGTGAATTAAGTTTTTTTTGATTCCAATCCAAGAACAACGAATCCGCTTTCCTTGCCCTCCATCTCTCTCCAGATAATACGGTCCAGCATATTAACGTCTCCCTTCTTGAGTGCTTTGTGTACACGAGGGGGTTCGTCCACAGTCCACAAAATTCTATCTGCTGCTCGTCCTCTGTCCATAAAAAGATTCGGTCATCCCAATGTTTCCCGTGGTATCAATCAGCGTCTTCCCGTCCCAGGTCTTCCTCAAAAAAATGCGAGACAGAATGATGATGGCGAAAATGTAAAAAAGGAGAGAAAAAAGAATATATAAAGAACTCCCATCACCGGAGTGGGCTACCACTCCGGGTAGCATACAATGAACAAGAGAAGTCTATACATTCTTTTTTCTATGCCTCCATCATCGAAGCGGGGAGAGCGCCGGCGAAGCCGCCAAAGTTGCCCCGGCCCTGGAGATCGGCAGCAGGGAAGTTGGCGGCCGAGCACTGGACAGCGCAGATGCACTGGCCGTCCTGGATGGTGCCAGTGCCGGTCTCAATGGTGCCGGTAGCGCCACCAGGAGCAGCGGACTCGGCAGGAGGCGCGACAGGAGCAGTGCCATTGGCAGGAGCAGCGGCGGCAGGGGGCGCAACGGGGGCGCCGCCGGTGATGGGACTGGACGCACCCTTGCCGGCCTGGGCAATAGCAGCAGCCTGGAAAGCAGCGTGAGTCTTCTCGGCAGTGGGGTTGACGGAGAAGACCATGCCCTTTCCACAGTGGCCGGGCTGGTTGCAGAAGAACCACAGAGGCTCAGTGGTCATGACCTGCATAGCGACCTGGGGAGCAGGGACAATGCTGTCATCGGGGTTGGGCTGGAAACCAGACGCCTGGCCACCAGCAAGAGGCTCACAGGGCTTGGCAAACGAGGACTGAGTGGCAGTGTGGTTCTTGCTGAGGAAGGTGAAGACGACCATGTCGCCGACAGCAGCCTGGATCTCGGCAGGGGTGAAGACGAGGCCGGCGGTACCACCGACAGTGACGTGGTGCGTAGGGATGGCTCCCGGAGGCGCGGCGGGAGCGGCGGTGTTTGTGGCACCAGCAGTGACAGTCTGGGTGACGGTGATGGCCTGGTTGATCGTGGTGGTAGCAGCTACACCACCGGGGTTGGCCCAGATGACGATGACCTGAGCGCCAGCGGGCACGGTCAGGCCGGGGACGACCTGTCCGGCATTGCCAGCGACCTGGTGGGAGCTGCGCTCCTCGACGTCAGGGAAGACATTGTTGATGGCCTTGCCGAGGGCGGCAGGCACGGCGGCGAGAGCGAGAGCGGCGGTGAATCTCATCTTGATGACTTGTTGATTATGTTGATGGCGAGACGGCTTGGAGGATGCGTAACAAAGGACCGGAAACCTGGATTATGCGTTCGGGTTGGAATAACGAGTGCCAGCTCGGAGAAATGAAGGTACAGTCGACAAAGAAAGAGAGAGTACAGGATGCACACGACTCGGAGGTAGATTGGGATGGAGAGGGAAAGGAGAAACAAGTCGTCCGGGCAAAGGGCCGAGGGCATCATCTGCTTAAATCCCACGCCATGTGCAGAGTCGACGCGGAGGGGCCATGGGGCTGCCGAGCCAGGTTTCGACGCCACGGCAACACGGGACCCCGGCGCAGGAGGCCATCTCGAGACGGCGAGCAAAGTACCCTGCATCCAGCACAGCAGGCCCTCGCTAGGCCGGCTCCGCACCAGCCTGATCAGAGGGGGGGGCAGGGGCTGCGGGAGAAGGCCATTGCGTTTCCCAGGATGCAATGCCGAGGGGTTCAGCGGCAAGACGGCAATCTCGTCAAAGTGCCTGCATGCCTGGGCTGGGACTGCTGGCGTGGAAAGGCCGTGTGCGTCGAGGCGCCGGCGGTGCTGGTGCTAGTGCTGGTGGTGCGGCTGCGAGCATGCGGCTCTGGGGCCGGAGGTGAGGTCGGCTCAGGAGCTTCGGTTGTGCCAGGTCCGTCTCATATCGCGTTTTGAGGGGCCACCCCCCGGTCACCAAGTCCCGGGCAGCCGGCCATGTTGGGGGTCCACATGGAACCCAATAGCCTCAGAGGCAGTGAAAACCGCAGCAACGCTGAGAAGTAGCTGTTCCGTCTGCCTCTCTTGACCCTGGATCTAAGCGAGAGCTGACAACTTTGAGCAGGTGCGGTCGGCGGGTGATGTCGGTGAGTCTTCCGGCGCCGTGCAGAGCCCCGTATCAGTGAATCCAATTGCCAGCAGGTGGAAAGTGGCTGACAGTGTGATCCATGGGATGACGACGTGCAATGTGGTGGTGCCTTGTTCAGCAGCTTCTAGGCCCATCGGCAGCTGTAGAGTACCTGAAATGCGGCGCCGTTAGCATGGGCAGGACCCCTGCATATCCCCAGATCCCTTGTTGATAATCCTTGGATTGCGGCGGGGTTCAGACCGCCACAGGCACCTGACCTGGCATTTCTCAAACACGGAGTCTCCCATCGCCGGTCATGGACTGGTACCTGCCCAAGGAAAACGTCCTCGAGCTCAGCCTTGACGACGGAAATCGAGCTGCACAATGGCCTGCACCAAGGCCTGCAAAGAGGCCGCCCAGCCATATCTTGTTTCAATTGCGCGCATGCAGGCGACGTCTCCTCGAAACATTCTCGGCCCTGGTCTCAGCTTTTGTTTCCCTGATAGTGGTTAGTTGAGCCGGGTTGCTCATCCAATGTATGGTACACGCGTTCGCGGACGCCAACTTGGCGTCTTGTGTGACCCCTGATGGCAATCCGTCATCTCCTTCGGGGCATGCCCAACCCGAGAGGACGGAGACCCTGGCGTGGGACAGGAGCTTGCCTAAGAGAGAGGCTGAGCCCGTTGAAACTTCGGCCAAGGAGCATGGCTCGAGAGATGCGCGTCCACTGCAGCCCCGATGTGACTCGGTATGGCTTCGCTCCGTGCAAGTCGTCCGGGCCTGGCTCTCGGTAAAGTCTTGGACTGCTATGTTGCGGGGACAGTTCTGTGTAAGTGGCAGTTGCTAGTGATTGATGCTCATTTCCACAGACTATTACGGCCTGCAAACAGACCAGCCTCTTCTGCCATGGCAATTTCTGCAATTCATGCTATATCGGACGAACGCCGTAGGATAGGTCTTCTGGATCACAGTGCCCGCCAGCATACTCGAAGTCGCACGTGGCTGTCGCTCATCAGCTGCTTTGTTTCTTCCCGTTTGTTTCGTGCTCAGATTGGGCGGCTAGCTCCTGGCACAGACTGGAGACTGCATGGCAGCAGCGTGGCCATTGTTTCATGGACGCGCGACAGCCTGGAAGACGACCCTCGATGCGCCGATCTGGCTTGTGGGCACGGAGCCGACTTGGACGATCTGGTCAGCGCCCGTGCTTCTTCAAGCGTTGGCATGGTATATTTTGTGTGTGCATATCCCGTAATTTGGTGTTATGTGGTCCAGGGCCACCTCGGCAAGTCTTGGTAGTCTTTGGCAGGGGTAAGTTGCTACATAACCTGTAACGAAATGGGGCCAACAACCCCTGCAGCGGCGTTGTAAGGCCAGCGTTCGACGATATAGCCCGGGGCAAATCGTACGTTTTTCTCCTCCTGTATCAACCCTGGCCTTGTCCGTTCTGGCTACGTTGACCCTCATAAAGGCCAGTGTAATAGCCAGCATAATACCAAGACATAAGGAGCTTTTTGAGGCTCTCGTCCTGGACTATATGCATTATGTCAGCGCGGCAGCTTCATAGCTGTGCTTTATGCTCAATTAATGTTGCTTACCAGAACTGAGCACAAGCTCGGGTGCCAGAGCCGGAGCATTAGACGGCGGCATGCTGTCATGCGTTTTGTTCTTCAGATCTTCGTTCTAGATTCGCCCTCTTGTCAGTCACGTACTCGCGAGGAAACATTTTCGGGGTAATGCACCCCACACCGCTTGCAGGCAACATCTTCCCCAGGACGTCCGTCATGACTTGCTCGCAAAATGATTTTGCTCACCTCTGGGGCTGCGTTGGGTAACCCCAACCCCTTTGATTCGGTATTGTCCTCCTGGACACAAGCTTCAGGTGCAGTAGCGTTGCGGCTTTCCGGCTCAGACCTGCGCAAACACTTCGGTTAGCTCATAGCCCCGTGGGAGACAGGCTGGGCTTCATGGTCACCTGTGAGCCTTCAACAACTCAGCGACGTTTCCACCCTTGGTGTGTATGCTGTGATATTTCTGCTCACGTGGTCAGTGGATGCGTTGACAGCAGATATCACGACACGGCCGGTTTACCTTGTACTCCTCCAGCGCCGAGTTCCACGAGTCCACAAGTGCCGAGTCGTCCCATATTTCTTCATTGGTCAGAGGAACGTCTTTCACGGCCGCCATGGTGGCAGTGTCGTAAGGAGCCGGAAATGCGCAATGACTGCTGCGGGTTGCGGTAATGGGTCCCGGTGATGCGAGCTCTTTGTCTGCTGTCCCAAATTAGGATAGTTTGCTGTACGAAAGAGTTCAACGTTGTTCTAAAGCTCAAAGGCTGGGGATGTTGCAAAAGGTTTGATGGCCTCGAGTAACCAGTAGCGCGAATGGGCCCAGTATCTGTCTCCTTGTAGTGGATGTCAGTGTTCAGGACAGCCCCGGAGCTCACAAACGACGGTGCAACCAGCGGCTCCGTTGTGTGGCACGTCCAAGGACTATCTGCATTGAGCCTTGTCAGCTGCAGCAACAGACAGTATAGGCGCGCCAAGCTTGAGGTTGCTCATGCGAAGCTGGTTGGTGTTGCCTAGCAGTCTAGTCATCAACAACCAGAAAGGGAGCATCAGGGCGCTCTCGAGATCACTGTAGGCTGACGCTAGAGGCTCCCGAGGTCCTTCCAGTGGTGCTAACGCAGCCAGCACAGCAGGCCGCACGACAGCTGGGACCCACTGCAGGGTAAGAGGCCCACTCTCACCGCCAAAAAGTTGCTGGAGGTTTGCGCCGGCAGAATCATGGCGAAAAAAGTCTCGGAGACCCTTTGAGCTTTGCCCAGGAGCTCTGGCGCAGCGCAGAAAGTCAGATCCACCCAGACGACTCGCTCTCTAAACAATCGCATCGCAAATTCAAAGGCATAATGGCTGGTACAAAGAAAGTCAAGGGTGAGTACCGCATTCTGCGCAAGGCATTGGCATTCAATTCAAAATACTGACAAATAGACTGCAGCTGCTGCCCCGAAGCGCAAAGGTTAGACTTGCCCCAACCTCGCCCCCCCCAATTCGCATTGTCGCAACATCCTAACCGCCATCTGTACAGCGCCCGAGGAGGCTAGCCCTGTGGCTACGAAAAAGGTCAAGTCGATAGTCTCGAACGGAGCCAAGGATGCGACACCCGTCAAGCCCGCTAAGAAGTCCAAGAAGGTCGAAGAGCCCGAGGAGGAGGTTCCGGTGACAGAGGCGGACGAGGAGCACCCGTTCTCGGATGATGATGACAACGTGGACGCGGCCGACGAGGCTCAGGCACTTGCCAAGAAGATTGACAGCGACGACGAGGACGAGGCCGAGGTGGATAGCGCTGTTGCTTTCAAGAAGGGCCAAGATGTCGGAAAGATCCCCAAGCCGAGCAGAAAGTCGAGGGGAACAGCAGAGGTAAACGAAGAGCCTGGTGTTGTCTACATAGGACGTGAGTTTCTCCACCTTCCGATCTCCAGTGCGTATGTAGCAGAGCTGCGTAACTGACACCCGCATGACCAGGTCTTCCCCATGGTTTCTACGAGCACGAGCTCCGCGGATATTTCTCCCAGTTTGGCGAAATCAGCAAGCTCCGACTTTCGCGCAACAAGCAGACCGGCGCTTCGAAGCACTTCGCCTTCATCGAGTTCGCTGAAGAGTCGACCGCCGAGATTGTCGCCAAGACCATGGACAAGTACCTACTGTTCGGCCACATCCTCACATGCAAGGTTGTTCCCAAGTCACAAGTACACGAGTCTCTGTGGAAAGGCAGCAACAAGCGCTTCAAGAAGATCCCGTGGAACAAGATGGCTGGCGCAGAGCTTAAGAAGCCACGCACCGAGTCCGGCTGGGCCGCCAAGATTGAGCGGGAAGACCTGAGGCGGTTGACGCGGTCCAAGAAGCTCAAGGCCATGGGCTATGACTTTGATGTGGCCAAACTCAAGACCGTGGAGGGCGTGCCGTCTGGCGAGGCCACGGCTATTGAGGAGGCAGAGACACCCAAGGCCATCGAGGCGGCGCCCGCAGTCGAGGAGCCCGTTGTCGAAGAGCAAACTGCGCCCAAGGTCACGAACGGCACAAAAGGTGGAAAGAAGGGCAAAGCTGGAGCGAAGGGCAAAAAGGCAAAGGCTTAAGTGTTCACGCTGCATTTATAGGAGTTTGTCTTGCTTTTACGGGTACTCTACAATGGCGATTTATGATTGCGATGCATCACGATACCTATGCTTGCGCCGCTTCGTGTGCACTTGTGATTAGGCGCGACAAGCAGGTTATGGCGCAGATCGTGCGATTGAACACGCTGCTGGCCTCGCATCAAGAACAACACGTTCGAAGACGATTATCAAAATGTTTGCACATAGCGAACCCTCTGCGCCCACGACCGAGGTCGGGCAAAAGCAGTGGGATTATAAAGCGCGGGAGATCGTTCTACTTCAGCCAAGCGGGTGAATCAGCCAAGCGTAACACAGTCTCGACCGAAGTCAGGAAAGTGACAGAAGCAGTTTCGTGCGAAAGGATAGACCTGGCGAAGGGTGATATGTATGAAGGAGAAAGGGAGGAGAGAAGAGGCTAAGAAATTGCGCCAGCAGCTCCAGGTCTTTATTATGGTCCCGCACCGCAGTATCGATAGCGCTGGCCACGAGACTGGGGTAGCCAGTGGTGCGTACAGAGACGCCCGTGAGCTCGGGGGCTTTGAGATTTTGAATCATCTCGTGCTCAAGACTAAGTACTTGTTGTCCGGTATACCTGTCGGTACTAAGCCTGCGCAGAGAAGGACCAGAGAAGGACCAAGGGTTTACAGTGATCGTCTCAGGCATCTGGGGGCCACATTCTCGAAGGGAGGCAATCAGTGAAGACACTACCAGGGTCCTTTGGATGTCTTTTGGATGGGGCACGTCCCCAAATGCCATTGTTGAATCCCCTCCAGCATCGTGCCAGACGCTGCTGCCACGAAGGATTCCGATGGGACCGCCTTCTGCGATCAATCAGCATCTAATGAAACGTACGAGCGACGCCGTCGGGACGGGCCGGCGTGACATACGCAGGCCCGTAGTCCAAGGACTACGTCAAAACCCGAATCTAAATGCGAGGAGACATTCACTCGTGTGGGATGAATCACACTTTGGGGGGCAGCACAACGATGTGCAAATCGATGGGGTGGAAACAGCAGGGGTTCCAGAAGGCACAGGGCCTAGGCCAGACACCTGCGCAGGGCGGACGGGACGGGACAGCTGGGGCCTCAGGACCTGTGCATCAGCAGGTGCAGTGTGCCCCGCTACAGCTGGCATGCTGGTCGTAGGGCCACCCCATCATTCGCCAGCGCTCTCTCGCGACACCTTGCACGTACAAGCGACCTCTGGACACGGACAGATGGTGCTCAGTGTGGCTTGCCAATCCTGTCATCTCCCCATGGCATAACCAGCGAGTCCACGACCGATCCTCGAAGTCTTGACGCGCGACAGCCTCCGCAACACTCGCCTCTTGTCAGAAACTCACTCTCGTTTGCCCAATGCGTCCGCGGTAGTCGTCAATCCAGCAGCTCCGCTCGAACCTCGTCAACATGAGTCCCCAAGAACCCGCCCAGCAGAATAGCGCAGGTCCGTGTTCGCCACTCTGGGAGTCCTCTCTCAGCGATTGCGTAGTTGCTGACTTCTCCATCACAGCGGCTACAAAGAAGAAGAACAATAAGAAGAAGAAGAATGCCGCAGCCAAGGCCAAGGCCGCAGCCGACGAAGCCAATGCGCAGGAAGTTGCGTCGAACGGCGGCGACCGCGAGGACGACGAAGCCGAGCAGTCTGATGGGCCCGACGTGATAGCTACGGTAAACACTGCATTCTAGCTTGACCCTCCCATGTTGTCCCGCCAAGGTTCTGACCAGTGTCGCACAGGCCGAAGCCAAGGACCCCGAGAATGGCCATGTCCACCCTGAGCCAACCACCACCACCACCACCACCACCACCACCACCACCACCAATGGCCATATGAAGGCGCAGGCCGAAGACAGCACGACAGAACCACTACAAGCACCGCCGACGAAGCTTTCCACTACCGATAATGGCGACACAAGTGCCCGGCTAGAAGCCATGTCTCAAGAGCGTGAGGCACTTCGTGCCGAAGTGGGCCAGCTGCGCAAGCAGCTGGAAGATATCCAGGAGAACCACTCACAAGAGACTGCACAGCTCAAGTCTGACCTGGAGGAGAGCGAGGCTGCTAAGGAGCAGGCGCAGGAGCAGTACGAAGACCTGCTCGAGAGAGTTGAGAAGATCAAAGAGACTGTCGGAACAAGACTAGCTCGGGGCAAGGAGGAGCTCGAGGAGGCAAACCAGCGGATAGAAGAGCTCGAGGCGCAGAACGAAGAGCTTCAGAACGGCTCTCAGAGTAATAACGAGAGGGTGGAGAAGCTCGAGACCGAGCTACAGGACGCGAACCGAGAACTTGCCAGCTTGCGCAGCCGAAACAATCTTTCGCAGCACAACTCATTAAAGGAGAAGGAGGATCTGACCAGACAGATCCAGCATCTGAGGGAAGAGGCCGAGGCTGCCAAGGACGCCATGGGCGACTGGGAAGTACTCGCCATGGAAGAACGCTCGGTGAGGGAGAACCTTGCCGAGAAGGCTGCAGCGCTCGAAGAGCAGCTTGCGACCCTCAGGGACAACTACGAGCGTGCGGCATCGGAGCGAGACAGCCAGTCTAACGCAGTGGACAGCCTCCAGCGAGCGCTGAGAGAGATCCAAGATGCGCGCAAGAAGGAGCTCCGTGAGATGGTAGAGTCCAGCGAAGAGCAACTTGGCGCCCTGAAGAAACTGGTACAGGAGGCCGACTCAAGAGCGCTCGCTGCCGAGACAGCCAAGCAGACGCTGCAGAAGGAGCTCGAGCGCACAGCACCCTTTGAGAAGGAGGTAAAGGAGAAGAATCTGCTCATTGGCAAGCTGAGGCATGAGGCTATCGTTCTCAATGATCACCTGACCAAAGCGCTGCGCTACCTAAAGAAGACAAAACCTGAGGATAGCATTGACCGGTGAGTTATGGCAAGACCGTTTGGTGGTTGTGGCCGACACGACTAACACAATCGCCAGACAAATCGTCACGAATCACTTCCTCCAGTTCCTCGCATTAGACCGGTCAGACCCGAGAAAATTCCAAATTCTCCAGGTCATTGCTGGGCTGCTCAACTGGACAGACGAACAACGAGAGCAGGCCGGTCTGGCGAGACCTGGAGCATCGAGCAACTCTCTGCGATTGCCATCATCCCCATTCCATAGAACACCAAGCACGCCATCACTAAACAGCGAGTTCTTCGCGGATACCACACCGACGTCAGCGAACAAAGAGTCCCTCGCAGATCTTTGGGCCGGTTTCCTCGAGCGGAGCGTGGAGGAGGGTTCGCAAGGTGGTCAGTCGAGAAAGGGGAGCATGTCGAGCGTCGCCACGGGGACGACGACGACAAGGCCGGACACCAAGAGTGGGCACTAGGGTGATGGGGCACTATTTAGATCTTCTTACGCCTCATGTGCGAGTTGTTAATATACCATTTCTTGTTTGTTCGAACAGATTTCTGTGATGCTTAGCCACAGCATTGTATCTTTCTTGGGGTGGTGGGAGATATTTCATTGTAGACCTCGCTAGATATCAAACATCCCCCCCAGGGATGTGGCTTACTACATTATGGTTACATAGAGAGGTAGGGGTATTCTATGCCAGAATCGGGCTGTGCATACAGACTGCTCTACTGAACCCAACGATATCGAGTTCCTTCTACATGTTTATCTACTTTGAAGATTACGAGACAAGACATCACACAGCAGATGCGACCACTCGCTCTCAACCAACGATGGTCTCTGGCACTGGTTCCTGCTCGGGGGGTAGCAAGTTTGCCACATACAGATCGGCATCCTTGGTAATGGTCTGGATGTTGATGCGATTCTCGAGCGCATCGTTGACGCCTTCGATGACCTCGCGGTCCTCCATCATCTCCCGCATCAGGTGGCCCTCGTGCTGCCAGTACGCCACCGTACGGCTCCGCAGCTCCTCGTCGCGGATCGACGTGTTCTTGAACACGCCAAACGCGGACAGCTTGGACCGGGTCGACATGAGCGAGCGCGTGGCAGCCTCTATGCGCTCCGCGGGGGACGGGGGCGTGGCGAAGGCCCGGTTCGTCGAGCTGAGGTAGAGCAGCACGGCGAAGACGAGATCGAGCGTGGCCAGCCCGATGTTGCGGTACACCCGCGTGTTCCAGAAGAACATGTCCAGCTCCTGCAGGCGCGGGGCGCGGGCGTTGGCCTGGTGGTTGTAGTTGCTCACGGTGTACAGGTCGATCACGGCGCCGAGCCCCGCGGCGATGGTGGTGTAGCCGCGCCACTGCATGCCCTCGCGGCCCGCAACGGCCTCGGAGGTCGCCAGGGACAGGGCGACGAGGTTGGCGAGGTGCGGGCCAAGAAGGCCCGGCACAGCGTAGTAGAGGTATGATTTGATGTCGTCGGAGCTGCAGAAGGGGCAGTCCGCCATGACATCCGGGCCAAACTGGAGGTAGAGCAGGCGGGACTCGAGGCTGACGAACTTGGTCCTCAGGGCCTGGTCGAAGTTGGTCAAGACATTGCCGGGCCGGAGAGAGCTGATGCGGTTGAACAGCGTGTCGGTCGGGATTTGGAGGCGGGACTGAGTCAGGACGAAGACGTTCTCGGGGGCATAGAGTGGTGTCGCGAGGACGAAGAAGACGCCAGCGGTCACGGCGAGGAGGGTGAGGGCACGGAATGCCTGAAGCGGGACGGGTCGCACGCGGAGGCCGTGGGCATTCGAGCCGTTACGGAAGTCCTTGTACCATCTGATGAGCTTGGGCAGGAGCATGGGCCCGAAGAAGATCAAGAGGGACCGGATGCTGCATCGCGACGGTGGTTAGTACTACAGATGCACCATGAAGCAACGATGGCGCATAAGACAGCGGCAATGCGCAAGCCAGGCGAGGGCGCAGAAGGTGTATACTCACGTCCCCCAGCTGATTGTAGCCATGTTAGGACTGGTGCTCTGCAGGCATGCCCTTTGCAAGTACAGTGTACTTGGAAGAGACGAGCAAAGACGACCGATGCCGCAATGTCTCAAGCGGATCGTCACTTTTATCAGTTGGTGGTGATCGTGTCCTTGGGCCCGTAGGATTGAGGGGCCACCTGGTCATTGCCAGGGGACCGACCATCGACGCCACGGCAGTTTGACAGGCGCGTGCCTCGGCGGACGGGCCCTCGTAGCGCGATCAGCCCAGGCACGCTTGGTCTGACCTAATCATAAACCCACTTCAGTGCTCTGTGCCAATCAACACTGTGCATTCCCCTGGAGGTTTGCACGCGGGCCCACTTTCATTCACCTTCAAAAAGTCCACGCCTGCAATTTTTTGCCAGCCATCTTGCACCTCTCTTGCCCATCTTCAAAATCCCCTCGACGGTACACGATGCCGCACAAGCTATGGTCCATGGCTGTGCGCCTATCATGAAGCCAGCTTGCGTAGCTTGGGTAGTCGATCGCTCTCCGCGAAACTCCGCTTTTTGCAGCAAGAATTCGACCCCTACGCGCTCTGCAAAGCTCTTTCTGCGTTGAGCTCCAACGCAGGATCAGACACTTCGGCAGCTTTAAGCAAAGGTAGGTCAATCCAGGTGGCACGCAGGGCGGCCGCTCTGTAATTTATCACATGACGTGTCTGGTGTTGGCACTTTCGAAGCTTTGGCGGTCTTTATTTTCCGTGGTCGCCAAAGTCAATAAGCAGCCTAGAACGAGCCCAAGTACTCTGCCAAGAGTCATCTCAATCGTGTTACAGAGCTTTCCAGCGAGACCCTGTCTTTGCCATGAACAGCTCTGCGTCAAATAAGATGAGAGACAGACCAACATGCATTCATGCGCTAGTTAGTGACCGGTGTGCAACGTTGCCCTGTGGCAGCCAGGGAACTAAGCTGCGTGTAGGCTTGCATTTTGCGTGCTTGTGGTTGACGATTCGGTGTTCCGCTATCTGGGCTACTACACAAAATGACATGGTATCTGGGCAGACGATGATGTTTCGATCTCCAGAAGGCCAGCTATGTGTGGCTGCTCCCAGTCCAGCCGCGCCCATCAAAGCTCCTTCTTGCCCTCGTCCGCCCCAGCGCTGGCAGCCATCGGAGCCTCCTTCTTCTTAATCCCGGCAGCTTCCTTGCCAGCCGGCTCCTTCATCTTCTCGAGCCTGGCCTGCTGGATCAGAGCCAAGACGGCAATTATCGTATCGCTGACGAGCATGACAACGCCCGTGCACGCAAGCTGCCACGACGCGATGCTGATGCTGCCCACGGGTGCGCGGGGGAAAGACAGGACCCATTCAATGTAGTAAGGGAACCAGCCTCGGGGCAGCCAGAACATAGGTTGCTTGGCATACCAGAAGGGCAGCAGCATCTTGACGCCCGACGTGCCGAGCCAGCGCAGCACACCTACGATGCGGTCAAAGTTGGCCTTTGTGGCCTCACTTGAGGACTCTGTTGGTGGTATCGTTTAGCAATCTGTTCTTTCGAGGGGGAGAGATATTGTTTGAGACCATGCACCGAAGCCGGACACGGAGGGTTCTATTGTGTGAACGTACTCATCTTTTCAAGCTGCTCCAGGAGCTTGTCATGCTGACGCCGCAGCTTGGCCCATTTCGCGAACTGGTCCTGGCTGCTCGTGGCGTTGAGTTCTTTCCGGACGGCGAGGTACTCCTTTTGCACCTTTTTCGTTTCGGCTGCCTGCTTCGATGTCTGCGTCGGTAGAGAAGTGTATATCGACCATAACTGCGGGGTGTTCAAGTTAGTCTCTGGGCTCCTTGCATGTCGTGCGTGCTTGGTCGAGACTTGCGGCTCGCCGAGTAGCTTGTGGAGGGGTTCGTACCAAGTTGTTGACAGCCGATGCTCCCAGCGTGTTGACCAGGTGGGCGGCCAGCTCGACGAGGAAGACGACAAGGAGTAGGGACGGCATGGCGTATGGATGCACTCCTCTCGCGAAGCTCTGTCCGATAGTGCAAGCGTGGTCACAAAGGGGGCTTCGAGCTCGGGTGTCGAGGCGAGGCGGGCGCTGACGATGTCTTAAGCAAAGTATGTGGCAGCACCGGCGCCGCATCTCCAGTGCGGTGACGTGCCCATGCGCTGCTGCCCTGGCCATTGAGAACCCTATCCGCTTAACCCAAAGGAGCCCCTCAGGAGCTGCACCACACCACACCTCTCCCCCACTCTGCAGGCAAGCTTCACCACGCTTGGTGAACAGACTGCCGCCTCTTATATACAAGACTCACCAGACCAATACATTTCCACGTTCGGGACCTGCGGAGGTCTCTATGGGCCGACATGGCTCTGCAGCCTTCAACTCTCCCATACTTTTAGTAGATTCATCCAGAGATGTCGCGCTCCCTCGACCCCGCTGTGCTTGAGTCGCTGCGGGCCCAAGATCCACGACCAGCGTATAAGGATATATCGTCACTCTTCGCTCAGGGCCTCGACACGACGTCACAGGGTCAAGCACAGCTGCTCGAGATAGAGTTCCTGGGAACAAGCCATCCTCTCGAGCAGGGGGTCAGCTATCTCCGCGATGGCCACGCAGTAGCCATCCCCAAACTCCGCCTTGCCCAGGCGTTCATGGTTGCACGCCAGATTCTCCACGAAGATCTCATGTCCAGACATGCGGGACTAACCATCCTCGAGAAAGTCCTGCCTGCGACGGCGGTTCTTCTCCTCATGGATCCAGAGCATATCACGGCTGCAAATACCAGGAAGCGTGCTCTGCGATGCAAATTGTCGTCCTTGGAGAAAGACGATGCCAAGGCGAGGCTAGATGCTGTAAATCATGAGAAGCACTTTGTCGACAGCTTGTTGACATCCCGGCTACATCGGCACACAAAGTCGCCCACGCTGTGGAACCATCGCCGCTGGCTCCTGGAGCTCGGCAAGAGTGAGGGCAGAAGCCTCGATCTTGAGGACGAACTGAAGAGGGTGATCATGGTCTCTGGGGAGAGGCATCCCCGAAACTACTATGCTTGGAACCACGCAAGGTGGCTGCTTACTGAACATGTCACGACCAAGTCCCCCGCCGTAGGGGACGTCCGCGCGAATATGGTGCACCTCTGCCACATCGTCAAGGACTGGTGCCTTAAGCATCACGGAGACATATCAGGCTGGTCTTTTCTGGGCTTCATACTCAACCAGATACATGATGAGGACGAGCAAACCACCGCGCGTAACATTGTTGCACGAGATGTCCTCAAGATCACCGAGTCGTTCCGGTGGTCGAACGAGTCTGTTTGGGTCTTCCTCCGCAGTCTCGCTGCAACACAATGCTTGGAAAAAGAGGTATCTACTTCTTTACAGGCACTTGGCGCAAAATTGGGCTCATTGTGATGTGCTCACAAACAGATCGCACTTCTCAGCATGCGTGTTCCAGGGCGGGTCAGATCGATATTTACAAAATAATCCTAATCTCAGCACGAAAATCTGCGATCCCTGGCGGTGACTATTATGAACAGCTGGAACCGAGAAAACGATTCGAAGTTGATGGCGATTTGGTCTGCGTTCCAGAAAATAAATCAAATAGAAAAATTGACTCTTGTAGTAAAAAGGCTACACCCTAACTAGACATTGTCACGATATCTACGGTTGAAGCATGGTGATATGTCGAAAGATACCGTGCAACGTCATTTGAATACGCGGGTCAAATCCGAATTCGAAAATAGACGATCACAAACCACTCCAGCTTGAGCTGCACACATGAACGATTAGAAAGTCGGCCTTTGGGAAAGCACGCACCCATTGGGTCCGCCATCGGGCATTGATGTACTTATGACCCGACTTGGTTTCGACCGTCAAAAGCAACAGCCATAGGCTTTTGCTTCGCAGAAAATACCACCTCAAGTTTGAGCAGGAATGGTGAACAAGGGACTTCTCTTGAACATGAGACTATCTATTGAGTTTGGCGCCTGTGTCATTGGGACAAACACAAGTCTCAATACCTCTACGCCACGAATGCCATATCCAAAACCGTCTCCTCGCCTTTGGAAGTTAAAGGATGTTAACAGCCACTGTGCTCCCTCGTCAATGGTCGTGGCAGCATTCACGTATCCGTCCATCCCGGTCCATTCCTGTTGTTCGCCCGTGGTGTTACAGCGAAGTTGTCACCCGAAATGTGCGCATGATCGCTTGAAAGAAATGCAGAGAATACGTAAACGTCCTGGACTGGTCAAATGACGACGATGTCACCGTTCAAAGACATGCTTCCCGATAGAGGTGTGTTTCCAAAAGTTGCACGACCAGGGGGAAGTCGACAGCCATCGCTGAAAGCGAAGTGCTTATCGCTGCTTTAAGATGACTGTCACGCAGACCTTAAGCATTACTGCTTTGGTAACTATTGCGTAGGTGGCACATTTTTGGACTTAAAATCCGAGTCGATTTCTCAAGGAGAGAAACTGACAGCGAAAGCCGTCAGGACATCGATCACCTGTATAAACATACATTGCGGGCCAAAATTAACACCCCATCAAGTGACACCGCACAGATATCGTCGTCTTTGTCTTTCAACACAACTTGCCACTGGATGCCGACTTTAGGCACGGAATGCGGACTTCGGCGAAGGTGGACTATGCTTGCAAGGCGTTGGACTTGATGTCCATGGCCGTGTACGCAGGATCGTTCCGACTAGGCAGGCTCGCATGTCACTCCTCTACGCGGGGACTAGGCTGGCATGGAGTGCCAGAAAAGCGGCACCACAGGATTCGTTCTCTTGCCACGTTGTGTATAGAGCACCTAGTGTCACTAACGACTCGTGCCTTGATTTAGGTAATGTTGCATGGGCCATTTCCGGGGCCCAGGTATAGGGCTCCTAGCAGCACGTTTCGAGGACCAATCCACAATGCGTAGCTGCTTTTTGGTCATTGTCGTCGTTGTCCTCTGAGCATGTCTGCTGAGACGAGGGACACGATGAAGGATCTCCACGACGGCTCGACCATCGCAATACCACTTATCTGGGGATCTTCCCCTGTCTGCCGTGGAGAAGTTGCAATCAATGGAGAGGAGACAGAGAGTCAAAAGACGCCCTCTCGGAGGTCAGCAGGAGTCGAAGAATCTTGCGAGCCGCGACATCTCAGCTGACCCCTCTACAGGCCCGACGTTCAATTTCCCACGATAACGCTACTTCTTAGTGAGCTCCGTGCGCGGCAACATTGAGCTCCGTGACGGCCGGGGGCTAGAGCAGTAGATCGCGTCTTGACGTTGCGGAGACGACGCGGTCACGGAGCGATATATCACAAGATCCAAATGTCGGTCTGACAGTTGAGCTAGTCTGATGTGCGCGCCGCCGCTCAGATCTCTCTGCGGCGCCCAGGGCAGATTTGCCCCGGGATCCACGGGGATAGCGCAATTGCGTCACGCGTGCTTCGCTAGCTCGCGTCGTGGATTTCCTCTAGAGAAGTGGTGAGATTGCGACCACGGCCATGGGGCGCTCAGCCTCAGCCCGAGTGACAAAGGGCAGACACGCATTCGATAGTCTAAGTCGTTCGTGTGCGCACAGGACGAGGGATTCTGGGCGGGAGCTGCGCAGGAGATGTCGAAATAAATTCAAGGACCCTTACATGCCAGATACAGGCAAACAATGCTGATTGTCCCTGGCTCATTAGGGACGTGTATCAAATATCATGTGTAGACGCCCGGCAGTACCTAGATGATGTTGGTACATAGACTGCCACAGGGATGCCGGCATTCTTGAGGATATCAAACGTGGCGCTGACCCTGGTTCCTGATAAGAGGTGCAATCCCATTGTTGGCGCTTGTCAGCCGCCTGGTCAAGCCCGCCCAGGGGACATAAATGTCCATGCTCAGTATCGGCTTCTCCCTGCCAACCATAAAGTGGGATTTTGAGTTGGTGGGCCACCCGGGACGCGACGTGCAGGGTTCAGACTGTGCTAATTTGTCCGCAGCCAAGCGTCCTTTGTCAACCTCTGCACAGGCCAGGGCGAAGCTTGTCCCACAGAGTAGTCATCGAGGGACAAAAATGATAGCCCTATGCCCTGGTGACATTCACAATGTGACAAAGCGACGCAACGCGCTGTTACGGAGAGTTGAGCGGGAAACTGTCGGCTCTGGGACACGGGTTGGTGCTGGCGAGTAGGATTATCATGGCCTTGTGTTTATGTGCATGCCGAATCTTGGAGGCTATTGACCGCTCGCACGCCTCTGCGAGAAGGGGCCATATTGTCAGGTTGATGCCAGGCATATCTACTTATGAGGCCAGTATCTCGTGGGGCTTCGCTCGGTAGCCGGGACACTCCCTGACGACATTTGCGCCGACCTATGTGTGTAGGCTCCCGTGTGGGGGCCGTTTGCAGTGGACACGACGACAAGGACAAGGAGATAGATAGACAGGCGACCTGTCGCTCGCTCAGAGATTTCATCTCAATTTGATATTGCCTCAAGACCTTGACTTCCGAATGAGATCTCTTGCCGTTACAGGCGCTCGTTTCAGAAAATCGTTCCAGGTTGCGATCGGCACGATGCAGAACTCCAATTGCCGCCCCCAAGCTAGATCTTGGCTCGCTGGACGCGCAGCCCCTATTATCTCATGGTTCTAGGTCGGGTGTCGATCTTGAGAGCACATCTCCCGTCGAGCTGCCCATTGGCATGCGAGGCTTGCCGATCCACCCCCGTCGTCATTGATGGAGTAGTCGATAGACTGGCGTTGTACTGTGCGATTACTTCCACGGACTCCCATGAGACCCGGTCTTCGCGCATTCTTCGCGCTTCCATTCTTCGTGCATGGTGAAACTGTAGTTCTGTTGGATTTGGTTCCACGAAGCACCAGATGAGGACTGGAAGTGCCACGCTAACAAGTGGCGAGCTGCTACTGCAAAGGTGAATCAACATGAAGTTCGGGAACAGCTTTGGTGCTGCGGGCCAGACGACCGATGCCACTCTCCGGCTGCATCGTGCCAGTGAGCGGAGAATCCCTGTGCATGCGGCCATAGGATCATCCCAACCCCTGGTCGGGCAAAAGAGCGCTAGGAAGGTGGTTCATTGCTCGAGCCACTAGATGAGCCAGGCTCGTGCGTATCTCTACAGGGGCACAGGGCCTGTTGGTTAGCCTGTTGCATGGGTCCCACGCTGCGAAGCTAGCAGCATGCAGGCGCCCCCGCGACCAGAAGCTCCGGCTGCCAACGTCTCGTCCAACCTTGGAAAGGGCTACTGCCAGAACGAGATGGTGCCTGGCTGGGTGGCGCTTCGTGTCGGTGATGGAGGTGAGGAGCTGGCACACAGCAACCAAGAAATGCGGCAGACAAGCCTGCTTGCCCCTGGCGAGCCGGCCGCAAGACTGAACAGGTGGGTTTGCAGCGAGTGTTTCAAAACAAGCAGCAGGAATGCCTCGACAGTGGTCTAAGTAGCGTCTGGCGTTCCGTCAGCTGCAAGCCAACGCTGGACTGGACTCAGGGGCATACACGTTGGCGTGAGAATGGAGCCTAGGGTCAGAAGACTACGAGTTGGTCAGTCAGCCAGCCATGACCGTGACGTTGCGTGCGTCCTTCCTGCTGCCGCCCGCAAGTGACCGCACATGAAGCGAGCTTTGCAGAAGATGCAAACACGACACACCTGATCATTCCCTCGTCTGGAACTACTGACCTCTTGAGATGCCCGGCCAGGCAAAGGGATCGTGGGCCCTGCGCAGATGAGGACTGGCATGCCAGCGGATAACGGCGACGCTGGCGTGGTCGATCGTGTCTCCTGGGGCGGTGATTGTAATTATCCCTTGTCGTGCTTGGGACGGAGAGGGGCTCCTCAGGGTCGCCGGCACTGACAGTGACAGCGCAGGGAGGGTCATGATTTCATACTGGAGCCAGGCACCCCACAGCCGTTCGCGAGTGGAATCTGGATGGAGGCGGGCGCGTCGAAATGGCGCAGCAAAGGTTGCAGGCACTTTTCAACCATGCAGGCAGGCTGGCTCGCGTTGGAGGGATGGAGACTCAAGAAGGTGGTGAAATGGGTCTACCCACCCCTGGCCTGGCGCGCGTAGTGCCCAGGGGGCCCTGGCCCCAGACCTTGCTCGATTGGGGTAACGAGGTGCCGACTCGAGCGCCGGGCGCCGACTGAGCCGCTACTGCGAGCTCTAGCCTCTGAGATCGGCCAGCCACGGCCGTCTGACCACGGCGGCTCTGGTCCTCCTCCACAGTCTCCTCGTCGTTGTCGCCGTGCCATGCCATGCCCCCTCGGCCAGCCGGGCTTGCTTGACAGCCGGAGCCTCATTGAATACTGCCTCACCTCCCATCTTGCTCCTGCTTGGCTTCTCCTCCCCATCCCTCCCACGGCCTCCCTCTCAACCACGCCTCGAGGTCCTCTGCTGGTGCCAGCCTCACCACACAACCGTGCTTTTTACTGCCTGCCTGCCGTCTGCTCTGCCGGGCGACGCAAGCTGGTCCGTACAGCGCTTGCATATTTCCTGCATTGTCTCACTTTCTTGCAGTAGCCTCTCCCACCACCGTCAACATTGCCTTTGTTTGTCTTGGGTTCATCCGTGGTCCAGTTATATACCTCTGGATCCTCAGGCACTGTCTGTCTGCTTGCCTGCGTGCCCGACCAACCTCCTCTCGGTCAAAACCTCTCCGCTTTTCACCAGCGCCTTGCCAACTTTCATCTGCATTGCACCACCTCGATTCTTGTCTCTTGAATTGCATTTTCAGTCATCATCTGGCCCCTACGCCGCTCAGTCTCGCAGCTTCCATTTTCCTTGGAAGCGTGCTCGTCATATTCTCATACATATTTGCACACCGGATCAGACGGACTGCTTTGTCCCGATGCCGCCAGCCTCTAATATCTAATCCTCTAATACACCACTCCGCCAGGTCTGCACCCGGCGAGTTCGGGCTGTGAGATCACACCTGCCGGACGGGACACAGACCTCCAGTCATTCACTTGTTCTGGCGCTCTGGTAGCAGACCTTTACGATTTCCCAATATGCTCCAACTCACCACTCTCTTGCCACTGGCCCTCTGGGCGGCAGGCTCTGAAGCATCCTTTGCCTCGGTGCCAGCTTCGTGGAAGAACGCCCGTCATATCACGAGCGACAACCATGTTGCAGAGCGGAATGTTGCCATTACTGCCCCTCTGGTGCTCCGGCCAATCACAAGCCAAAGGAACAGCAATATGAAGGTATGTGGAACATCAGACTGTGCTTGATGTGGAACTCAAGACAAGCTGACTCGAGCCATGTTGTGACACAGTCCTCGGAATCAGTCGAAGACATGGCCAACCGCCTGGCTGAGGCGCTCATCATCAAGTACTCCGCCTCCGCGGGTGCCAGCGACTCGCCAAACCGGGACAACAACTTCAACGTCGTGCCCGCTCAGACTCCGAACGGACAGTTTAGTGGGGGCGTGTTGCAGGACGGGTCGGATACCACATATTTCATCGATGCCAAGCTCGGTTCCAAGCAGAAGTCGCTCTATATGCTGTTGGACACGGGTGCGAGTACCACGTGGGTCATGGGTGAAGGCTGCCAGTCTGAGGCGTGTGGGATCCACGACTCCTTCGGCCCAGATGACTCTTCGTCGTACACAGATACGGGAGTCGAGTTCTCCGTCAACTACGGCTCTGGCTCAGTCACTGGCCACATGATCAAGGACAAGATGTCGATCGCCAACCTGGAAGTGCCGATGGAGTTTGGAGTCGCCAACGTGACGTCAAACGACTTCAAGCAGTTTCCCTTCGATGGCATCCTGGGCCTGTCTATGAACACGAAGAGCTTTTTGACTGCGCTCAAGGATTCGGGCCTGGTGCAGTCCAATGTCTTTGGAGTATCTCTTGCGAGAGCTTCCGATGGAGTCAACGATGGCGAGATTGCGTTTGGTGGCCCCAATCCGGACAAGTACACTGGCGACATCTCATACACCAAAGTTGGCTCGGGCGGCAGCTGGGTCATCCCCATGGACGATGTCGTGGTCAATGGCTCGCCATCCGGTGTGAGCGGGCTCAATGCCTACATCGACACTGGCACGTCGTATGGCTTCGCCCCGCCCAGCGCTATTGAGGCCATCTTCTCCCAGATCCCCGGTGCTAAGCCGACGACCAGTGAGAAGGTTGTCTGGAGCATCCCATGTGATGCCAAGGCTGACGTTGCAATCAAGTTCTCCGGCCAGAGCTGGACTATCTCTGCAAAGGACTTGGTCATCAACTCCGGCTCAGGGAGTTGCGAGGGCAGGCTTTTCGGGCGCGAAGTCGTCAAGGGCGCCTTCCTTCTTGGAGACGTCTTTCTGAAGAATGTCTACAGCGTCTTTGACATGGACCAAAGCCGCATCGGCTTTGCAGCAAAGAGCAACAAGCCCACGGCCACCACCTCAGGGGCGGAAACTCAGCCAGCATCGACATCGACTGCTACCTCTGCAACATCCACATCAGGCACGAGCCCTGCGGCTCCCACCACAACAGCAGTGACCACGACCTCAGTGTCGAGTTCAAACATTGGGCTTGGTCTTGTGTCGTCCCCCACATCTACCGATGAGACACCAGCTGCAGATGCGCTGCTCACAACCTCTACGCCGACGCCAACGCCAACGCCAGGGGCGGCAATTCGCCTTGGCTGCGGGAGTAGGCTGGCTTCTGTCGTGGCTGTCCTGTCGTTCGTCGCCATGATTGTTTGAAGATGACAATTATGAACGAGCCTCTGCAAGGCTCACTAACATTTGACCATTTCTCTGCCTGGTCTTGCTCAAACAAATTGCTTGCCTGGCCGCGTTTATTACACGCGCACTTTTCCCCCAGACCTACACTCGCCTCCCGCACCGATCACCAAGCTTGAAACAGAGCTTGACTGCTGGATGTGACTGCTGCGGCACTTGGAGCCACCAGCAAGCCATCCATCCTTCAATCGAGCGGAGGAACATGTCTTGAGGTTGCACGCCTTTGTGGCCGAGCGACCCAAGGCTGAAGTACATGATACCCTCGGCACTTGATGCCACCACGTATATAGTAGCTCGCATTTGGTGGAGTGGCCGCGTGCCCACATCAACGTCCATGACATAGATATACGCATATACAATACAATAAGCGTTCAATTCATATACAACTTGCAATTTGTTCTCCACATAATAGCGCTGTCCTTTGTGTAAACAATTTCGCCAAGCACCAAGCTTGAGGCCCTTCGCTGAATAAGGGGCACCCTAGACGGACCCACCCGGGCTCGGCGATCTGCCAACGTCAAGCGATGCAATAAGTGGCCCTGGCGACGGTTCCAAGGTTAGCTCGAGATCTGAGCCAGCGCGATACGTATCCCTGAATTACTCGGGTTACATCATCTCGAAACCAGCGCACAGAGCCGCCAAACCCGTTCTCCTTTTTGAGCTCAGCACACCAATTCCCCCCCAGCGAGCACGCAGTACGGCCAATCATAGCATCCTCAGGCTTCACAGCCAGGGCAAAATGCAGCCGATATAAACACAATGGCCAAGGCCAGGACATCGAAGCAAGCACGCTCCACCACGCATGGCAGCAGCAGCAGCAACAACAACAACAACAGCAATGGCACCGCTAGTGCCGGACCACGCCCCGCGAATGAGGAGGAACACGGGCTGCTCGCAGGCGGCAGTCTGTCCGACGATGAAGACGACGACAGCAGCCACGGCCATGACACTGCGGCCATCATAGTCCGCCCGGGCCACAGCGACGGCAGCAGCGGGAGCACCGACAGTCTCAACGACGCAACGGCAGCACCTCGAACACCCCGCACGCCGAACCGAGTGCGCTTCGACCTTCGAGCTACAGACATACCCTCTGCCCCTGCGAACGGACATGGCGACAACCACAGCCACGGCCGTGGTGGACGAGGAAACAACCTCCACGCACCGGGAGGATATTTCGACGTGATGGAGCCTGACAGCCTCGGCCGGCTGAGCACCGACTCGCGCGGCAGCTACGCCAGCGACGACGGAAGGCGCGGAGACGAGTCACGATTCCCGCTGCTGACGGACATTGTCGCACCGTCGGTGGCGCTCGCGAACAGCGCGCTCCTGGACGGGCACGAGAGCGCAGAGGACTGGGCGGACGAGGAGCGACTGCGGCCCAAGTCGGGCCTGCGCGAGGCGTTCATGAACATGGCCAACAGCATCATCGGCGCAGGCATCATCGGCCAGCCCTACGCGATGCGGCAGGCCGGGCTGCTGTCGGGCACCCTGCTGCTCATTGGGCTGACCGTCGTCGTGGACTGGACGATCCGGCTCATTGTCATCAACAGCAAGCTCAGCGGCGCGCACTCGTTCCAGGGCACTGTGGAGCACTGCTTCGGCCGCACGGGGTTGATCGCCATCAGTGCGGCCCAGTGGGTTTTCGCCTTTGGCGGGATGGTGGCTTTCTGCGTCATTGTGGGAGACTCGATTCCGCAGGTCTTCCGCGCGATATGGCCTGGACTGCACGACATGCCGGTGTTCTGGCTACTGGGCAACCGCCAGTTTGTCATTGCGTTGTTTGTGCTGGGCGTGAGCTACCCGTTGACGCTGTATCGAGATATTACCAAGGTAAGCCCTGCCAGGCGAGTGTTGGCATTTCGCCTTGTAGTGCCGAGACCGGAATTCTTTTGTGCTGATCATTATTATGGCGCTTTAGTTGGCAAAAGCGAGCACCTTGGCGCTCATCAGCATGACCGTCATCGTGCTCACAGTCATTATCCAGAGCGGGTTTGCGCCGGCCGAGTCCCGTGGCGGCTTTTCTACACCACTCCTGACCATAAACACTGGCTTTATGCAAGCTGTTGGTGTCATATCATTCGGTTCGTGATCGCCGCCCTCACCGCAGGAGCAGCTTTTGCTGCAAAAAAAGTGTTTTTGTGAGGCACAATGATCAACTCAGCATGTGCTAATTCTTTCATCCAGCATTTGTCTGTCACCACAACTCCCTCCTGATCTACGGATCCCTCGAGACGCCCACAATCGACCGCTTCTCGCGCGTCACACACTACAGCATGGGAGTATCGACACTAGCCTGCATGACGATGGCGCTCGTGGGCTTCCTCACCTTTGGGGACCAGACCAAGGGCAATGTCCTGAACAACTTCCCTGCCGACAACACCATGGTCACCATAGCCCGGCTGTGCTTTGGTTTCAACATGCTGACCACCTTGCCGCTCGAGGCGTTTGTCTGCCGCGAGGTCATGCTCAACTATTACTTCCCTGGGGAGCCGTTCAACATGAACCTGCACCTGATCCTCAGCTCCTCGCTCGTGGTGTCGGCCATGGGCATCAGCCTGATTACGTGTGACGTGGGCGCGGTCTTTGACCTCGTGGGAGCCACGAGCGCGTGTGCGCTGGCGTATATACTGCCGCCGCTGTGCTACATCAAGCTCAGCACGCCGTCGTGGAGGACGTGGATGGCCTGGGCGGTCGTCGTGTTTGGGTCCGTGGTCATGGTCGTCAGCATGTTCCAGTCCATCGGCAAGATGATCAAAGGTACGTTCTCTGGTGGCCATGTTTTCCATTTGTTGTTTTTTGTTCTGTGTCCTTGCTGACTGGTCTTTTCTTTTCTTCTATTCACAGGCGGTGATGAAAACGCGGTGTGTGTATAATTAGAATCACTTATCGGACGACTTGCTGGGTTCAAGGTTCCCGGGACGATGCTTGGCCATGTGTACATAGAGATATAAATGCAACGACATTACAGGATCATCCTGAGCAGCCAGAACTGGCTTTGGGGCTAGATCAACTCTTTGTTGACTGGCCTTATAGCCGACTGGATCCTCTGAGCGAAACGGGGCTTTGGCACCGCAGCAAGGCTCTTGCATGCACCTACACGATGCGCAGAGAGAAGAAAGACCGGATCTTGTAACTCCAGCCGATGATGACATCGACGGGTCGCCTAATACGTCTGCTATTCCACAGCTGGTCTTGACAAGACCAAACCCACAAGGATTGCCTTGGGTCAGGTCAGACACGTGCCTGCCAGCCTGCCAGCCTTGCTTTGGCACCCGCCGGGTATATCTCCGACGCCCGATGCAAGTGGGACACCTGCCGGGCAATGTGACCTCACACTGTCTCTTCCCCTCAAGAGTCTGGGATACGTCCTCTACGTAGTAAGATATCGTTCTTATCGAACCACGTCACAACCAACAAGACAGCACTTTGGGGGTTGGGGGGTTGTGTGTCCTATGAACCTTATCATCGCCCATGCCGCCACGATAGTTGACGGGACAACACACCACCCGTGGCACACATGACCATGGGGGTTTCAGCCTGGCGTCCAATGAGCGCGGGGGTTTAATCAATCATGGGTCATTCCCGCGTGACTGACTAACTGACTGCCTGCCTGCCTGCCTATGTGGCCGCCGGGCAGACGCGGGTGTTCATGCATGCATGCACATGGCGTAGCCTGGCCTGGCAGAGGTGAGTGGGGGTGGTGTGGGTGTTTGCCTTTGGTACGGAGTACGGGCGGGCGGGAGCGGGCGCAAAGCGGCGGGGTCCTGGGGATCTCCTCTGCGATTGTGATTATCTAGAGTACGTACACGGGGGTTTTTATGGTGTAAAAGGCTCTGGAGACCCTTGGAAAGCTTGGGAGGAGGAGACATTGCATTTCTGTCCGGATGATGGCGAGGGCATGAGTTGGGGGACTGGCCGAGGTGGAACTATGAAAGCAGCACTACTCAACTCTCTTTACCAATATGCTTGAAGCTGAAGAGTGACAGACGCCAAGTGGCGTTCCAAGGTCGTCTATGCCACAACACAGGCTCTTCAGCCCATAAGCACAGGATGGCAGGCCTGATGTCTCCCAGCATGTGTTGTGTTAAGCTGTGTTGTGTGCAGTTCTACTTGCCTCTATGCCACCACAATCTTCACATCTCGTAGGCGGGCAAGGGCTCAAAGAGAGAGAGAGAGAGAGAGAGAGCGTCGGGTGCCTCTGCTGGCAGCCGCACAAGCCACCACGCCACGATTCCCCAAACACCGGCAACAGGCCTGCTCACTATGGTATGTACATTGGTTGCCCAGTCTCCCCAGACTGCTCACTCACTCTCATCCAGAGTCAGTCACCTGCCACTCACTGCCTTGCAGAGTGGAGAAGAGACGCCAAAGTGGAGGGCCCAAGTGTGGACAGGCGAAAAGGGTCTGTCTGAGGAGTGAGAGCGTACTGTAGGGGACCTGCAAGTCAGAAAGAGGGGTCCTCCTCTGCTCGTCCTCGTGCTGCTGCTGCTGCTGGTTTCGTTCGTGTGCGTGCCCAACTCCCGCCGCTGCCCGTCTTGTTCAAGTCTCTCTCTCGCTCTCTCTATATATAAACCTGTTCCGCCCCGCCTGAACCCATCTCAGTCTCGCAGGACCCTCCCCAACCTAGTGTACAAACGAACACAAACACCAATCTCTCTTCTACCACTACAACAACAACAAACCACACTCCATCAACCAAGATGCACAACTCGTCTTGCCCCAAGTGCGGCGCCAGCTTCAGCGGCAGCACAAAGACCTGCAGCTCCTGCGGTGCCGTGAGTCTTCCTCCCCAGAAAAGCCCGCCTTGCTCCTTCCACTCCTCTTACACACACGTTTCCCCTACTTCCTCTCTAACCCAAATCGCCTTTCTTCTCCTTCTTCGTCCTTCTCCTGATTCTCTCGTTCCCTCTCTCTTATCGTCTACTTTCCATGTCTGCTTCCTATACACCTCGACCGTTCTCCTCGTTCCAAGTCACACCCCCACCGGTTCCAGACACTCCAGCATTTCCCCCCAACCAGGGGAAAAAAAGCAACATCGTTGTAAAGAACGGGATATGCTGACTGAACACCCCATAAAAAACAGAGCTGCCCCCAGTAAAAGGAAAGCAGAGGCATAACGGCAACCCGGAAGTCCTAAATGAGAACAAACCCTGTAACGGCGGGAAGGCTGGGCGACTAGGACGGACGGGACGTGGGGGAACGGCGATGATTTTGAGGCCACACGAGAACAGAGGGTGTGTGTGATGGACCGAGCACTAGCCTCTCTGATCGATGATAATGACGAAGACAAAGACGACGACGACGACGACGATGATGATGATGATGGCGGCGGCAGGCGGCGTTGAAAGACCAAGGGCTTTCGAGTTTACATCGGGATGGCAGCTGGCCGGCTCGTGTCAATGTTTCCGGGTGTTTGGGAAAGGGTTCTCTTAGATATATGAGGGCAGGCGCAACTTTCATGCAGTAAGCTTATACGCGAGAGCCGGCTGTGAATCCAAGCTGTCTTCCATGCTTCCCCGCGCATACATGCAATATCTTCTGTCCCGGCCTCTTAAGTGTAGTCGTTTGAATGACCCAACGGGGTGACGTAAAAGAGCTGTTCGTTGATCAATGACCGAGGAACTAACTAACCTTCACCCGTCCAACCGGCACGGATCGACTAGGGTCACGGGGGACAGCACACGTCTCGAACAAGCCCACAGGACTGAGACAGATGGTTCTGGGAATTAACAACACATTGCCATTGGGAAAAAGACAGATACGGAACGAAAAGCAATCCCAAGCAGCCGATGCCCACCTCCTCGGTTCGGTTTACACGCAGGAATGCATGGTGGCTCCTTGCGAGAGAGTAATAAAAAGGAGAAGATGTATGGTATAGTCGTGTTCGCTCATGGCTGTATGACGCCAACTTGACCACATGCGCGGACGAACACTAAAACAAAAAGAACGCAGTACCTGTGCGCAAACCCGAACAATGCCCGTCCCAGCCCATCATGTAACTCTCGCCTTCAATCATCCGCGCTGCACAGCCACACTGGGAAATCGCAGAGACTGACTCCTTGACGAATACTCCCAGGCCGTGGTCAAACAGGGTGCTCAATGATGGATACACCATCTGTGTGAAATGGTCCGAGAAACCAGCTTCTTGCCCCAGCTAGGCCAATGCTGCAGAGGTAGACGCACTGTCGGCAGACCGAGTGAAATACTGCCAAGAAGCCATGGGAGTCTGGATTATTGGGATGTGCTGAGATGTTCGAATTATGTACCGGAGACTCTAGCGAGAGGCGACTGCGTCAAATGAGAGCAGCAGAGATCGCTTAGAGAATCAGGCACTTCCTCTTCTCCTTGCGGGTGCGAGACAGGAGAGCAGCACGGGTGGCGTGCTCAAAGATCTCCTTGACACCCTCGCTGGTCTTGGCGGAACACTCGAGGTACTTGTAGGCACCAATCTTCTTGCGGACATCCTCACCCTGAAAGCAAGCAAAAGGGTCAGCGCGAACACTCTGATGGTCTGACGACCAGGATGGCTAGGAATGAGCAGAAGCGAAAAGGGGATGCTTACCTCCTCGGGAGAGACGGGCTTCTGGCTTGTCTTGCGGAGCTCCTCGATGGTCTTGGCGTCGTAACGGAGATCCTTCTTGCAACCAACAAGGATGATGGGCAGGCCCTGGCAGAAGTGCATGACCTCGGAGATCCACTGATGAAGGGGGGAAATGTCAGTACGTTGCTCGTTGCGAATGGCATGTCAGAATTGGGAAGATTGCTATGCTGACCTTCTCCTGGACGTTGTCGAGCGAGTCGGGGGAGTCGACAGCGAAGCAGATCAGGATGACGTGGGAGTCGGGATAAGACAGGGGACGCAGGCGGTCGTAGTCTTCCTGGCCAGCCGTATCCCAAAGGGCGAGCTCGACGTGCTTGCCATCAACCTCGACGTCGGCGACATAGTTCTCGAAGACGGTGGGGACGTACACCTGGATAGGGATTTTTGTTAGTACATTTAGAGCAAGATGAGTGTCATGGATGCTGCGGCTGGAATGGCTGAGCCTGGTCCGTGTCTCGGTCTATCGCGGTGATGGAGGCTGTGATTCCGGCACAATTGTGCTGTAGACCGATGCGCGGCGACAGGGCGCAGCGAAGCCAGCACGCATGGAATGAGACATCCACATGACATGTGGCGATGAGCACGGGAATCTGAGCAGACGTGGCAGAGGTCGGCGGTGAAAACGATGACGACGACAGGAGAAATAACAGCGATGACGACGGCGATGACCGAAACACGGAGGCTGGCGACGAGCCGAGGCAGCAAGACGGGGACGGGATTAGCGAGAGGCATGGATGAGCCTTACCTCGGGGAAGGTGCCCTTGGAGAAGACACTGTTGACGATGGAACGAGATGGTTAGCATGATGGGTCGAGGCGGGCACGTTGCGGCGCGAGTGGCAGGAGGAGCGTGGGAGAGGAGTGCGTAGGCGGCAGTGCACGAGGGCAATGGGCAAGGGCGCTGGAGCGCGGTGAGGACGTACATGAGCAAGCAGGTCTTTCCGCAAGCACCGTCACCGACGATGACGAGTTTTCGGCGGATCTCAGCCATGGTGTCTGTGTGGGAGGGGAGGTGGTTGTGGTTGTGGTGGTGGTGATGGGCGAGGAGATGGTGGTTGTTGATGTTGAGGTTGGAGGTGGTGGATGGATGGGATGGGCTTTGGGGGAGAGAGGAGGAGTTTGGAGGAGTGAGCTTTGTCGGGATAAGGGGGGGCGCTGCTGCCGGGCCTTGTTGACTGACGGTCGCTGAGCTGGGCTGGGTTGGCTGGGCTGGCTGCCTCGCGTGCAACAACTGAGCGAGTGAGTGTGCTCAGGTAAAGTCCCAGAGAGTGCAGGTGGCTGCTGGCAGTCAACCCAGGCGCAGCACTGGCGCTGGCTGGGGTGGCCTGGGGCGGGCGCCGCCCAGTATGGTCAGTGCAGTGCAGTGCAGTGCGTGCAGTGCCCGCCGCGCACGCTCTGTGCCTCAGCAAGCACGCACGCCTGCCAAGTACCTGCATGCAATGCACAATTTATTGCCTGGTACCTAGTGCTGGGGCAAGCACAGCGGCGAGTCACACATGCAATGAATGGATTGGACAGCCTGGCCAAGCAGCAGCACAGAAGGGACAACAAGAGCGGTGTTGCTGCCTCTCCTCACTCAATCAGACGAGACTTTCATGTCTGTCTACAGACTGACAGACTGACAGACTGACAGACAGCGACCGCCTCACGACGCCCACCCGTCTCTCCCGGCAGCAGCTGGGCGCAGCGACCCTTACCGTCCGTCGTTGTCGTGGCCATCCGTCGTCTGGTCCAGTTCCTCCTCCGCGACGGCCCCACGTCGTCATCCGCTCATCCCAGGCTGAGACGGCTGCGAGTCCTACATACAAAACCCACTGCGCTAGGCCCGAGTCCTTGGTCAGAGCTTGCTCCACCCGGCTGGGCAGTGAACCCAGCACCGCCCGCCCTCCACGCCTCCAGCCCAGGGCTGTGATGTGATGTACAGTGCCGGACGTATCTCTGCCCACTCCGGGCCGCCAGGCACGTGAGAAGACTCACCTCCTCCCGCTAGGGCCTCGCAGGATCCGTCAAGTCGCAACGTCCGCCCCGTCGCGCGATCCTGCGCCCATCTGACAGACAGACCGCCCCAGCCGGGCAGATGCTGTTTTCGTGATCCAACCTCATACCCAGGTCCGTGTGGATTTGGCCTGCAGGACTCTGCTCCCCACTCTCGAGTCTCGAAGCAGCTGAAAGTCTCGAGTGCAGCAGCAGCATGTCTGCAACGGCACGGAGCAAGGCAAACTTTGGATTCGATGCTGGTGGCGGCAGGCCTGGTAGGACCACGGTGCCTGCCCGCTGAGCCATAAACCTAGTCATCGCAGCCAGTGCAACTCTCACCAAAGAATCCCGAGGTCAATCAATGTCAGCTGTCAGTGCAGGACCGTCGACGTAAACCAGCCATCCATTATCCATGGATGGAGCGATACCATCAGCCGGGGACCGTGTGAGAGGCCGTGCGTCTGGACTAAACACTGTATATAACCGCTAAGCCCCTCCTGGACACTTCCATCGCCTAGTCCCAATCAAGCCCACATGCGAGCTCTGTCCAAAGTCGCTTCCAACCACTGACTGCAGAGTCCAAAAAAACCCTGGGGCACATCGCCAACCACGAGCACCACAAGTGCCGGGCCTCACAACGGCGACAACCCACGACCATTGTGCCACCACAACCCCAGCACCGGCTCTGGCAGCGACTCAGCACTCCGCCAGCATGCAGAAGATCATCCGGCGGGTGGCTACCACGGAGCGCGTGGCCGCCAAGCGCGCAAAGAAGATCAAGTACTACAAGCAACAGGCCGACAAAGACGAGTCAAACAGCACATTCCTCGCCCAACGACGAGCGATCCGCGACGACATCAGCCTCGCAAAGTCCGCATACAAGGATGACTGGAAGTTGGGGCCTCTGGCTCCCCGGATCAATCATGGCGAGACCGGAGACAACCATGGCGCCGTCAACGAGGCTCGCTTCATGACCTCTAGCGCCGAACTCATGTCCAAGGAGCAGCTGGCAGAGCGCTGCAAGTGGGCCGGTCGTCTCAACAGGCTCAACATTGCCCAAGGCGATCGTGTTGTCGTCCTCGAGGGCCCAGACAAAGGCCGCATCGGCAAGATCTCCGACATTGACCTCGACAAGGCCATGGTAACTGTCGAGGGTCTCAACAAGGCAAGTCCCACTGTCCTGGCTGCGTTGTGGCCTTGCTGGCTGTGCATGCCAAAGTGGATTGAAACAATCAGCCATTTTAAAATCCTGACTAACAGCTCGTCACCTTCAACTATAACAGAGCAATGTTCGTGCTCCATCCCACATGCAAGCCCCCGGCCAGCCGGCAAACTACACCCTAGAGTTCCCATTACCCATATCGTCAGTCCGCCTCGTCTACCCGGTCCAGAACCCCACGACAGGCATCACCAAGGACGTCATCATCAACCAGCTCGTGGCCACCGAGTACGTGCGGGACCGGGTGACGGGCAAGGAGCGGTGGACTCGCACCATCCCGGGGCTCAGCATGGCCATCCCGTGGCCAGAGAAGCCCCCCAAGGAGGTCAAGGAGCACCCGGCCGACACACTGCGCATCCGCGTCGAGCAGCGCACGTTCATCCCGACGCTGCTGCGCCCGCCGATGCCCGAGTCCGTCCTCGACGAGCTGCGCGGCAAGTACTCGCGCTTCCGCACGCGGCACGAGCCAGAGTACATTGCGGCTAAGGAGGCCGAGGCGCAGGCCGCCAAGGAGCGCAACGCAACCCTCATGGACAGCATCCGCACCCCGCTGCAGGAGCTGCACCGCCACGAGCGCGCCGAGAAGAAGAAGAAGGGCAAGCCGAGGTTGACACTCGAGATGCTCGAGGAGATTGGCAAGGTCATTGCCAAGAACCGCGAGAGGACACTCAACGCGGCTGCCATGTCGTCCGTCGAGCCTGTGCCGGCCACGGCAGCGACCGAGGTGGCCACACCACCACCATCAGAAGATGCGGTAGCAGAGAAAGATTCAGAAGCTCCCACACAGCCGCCAGCGCCGTCGTCCTAGAGAAGGGACAAAGCGTGGAAGGCACGGCGGAAGCTAGACTCCCCAGGCAGAACAGGGGTGTAGTTGTAGAGTTGTACTGTATGAACAAAAATTCCGAGAGACTCTCGACAGGCAAGCAGGGCGGGACAAATATCTGCATGTATGTATAAATATATGAAAACAAATGTATACAAAACATATACACACACGACCCGGTCGGGGTCGTGTAAATATTAGCCTTGATCAATGTGTCTGAATCATGACTATGCGTGATGGACCCTGGTACTGACTATAGAAGCATGAAAATCTATGGACTCTAGAAAGCCCGTATCTCTGAAGGGGTTTCATCTACATCTTCTTTTCCTTCATTTGTGTCGTATGATGTATCCATATGCTCTATCATCTAGACTAACTGCTAGGACTCTACAGAACATGACCTAGACTTTAATTTCATGTACGGGTCGCCGCAGCACTCTCAAGACCCGAGAATAGACAGCTTCTGCACCCCCGTGATGACCGGTGGCTCCTGGGTGCGCCATTTGGCCTCGAGCGTGGCCGCCAGTACGGCATCAGCGCCCGACGGCTCCCACGATGCTTCATCAGTGACTGCTCCTCCTCCTCCTCCTCCATCTGGGTGGCCGGCCCCTTCACCAACACCACCAACACCGCCGCCAGCGACCGCAGCAGCAGCAGCAGCGGCAGGGAACACCTCGCGTATGGCGACTGAGCACGCCTCCACGACCTCCGCCATGAGCGCCTCGACCGTCCTCGCGCGCTCCATCATGCCCCGCCTCACGAGACCAAACACCAGCCGCTCCGTCTCGGCCTTGTTGCCCTCGACACGCTCGACGAGCCGCCGCACAGAGTTGACCAGGTACTCCTCCTCGTAGACGGTGCCCTTGCGGCCGCGCGCGCGCTTCTTCTCCTCGCGCTTCCGGTTCTTGCTCGTCGCACGGCTCACCCCGGTCCCCGCGGTGCCCACGCTGCCGTTCTTGCCCGTGTACCGCGTGAACAAGCTCGCGCTGGTGCTGACGCGGGAGCTCGCGGCGACCGAGACGTCGTCGGGCAGGTCGATGCCCCCGGCCCGCTCGCCCTCGTAGAAGGCCAGCGGGTCCTCGGCGGCCTTCTGGCGCAGCTCCAGGATCCGGGGCAACTGTGCTTTCAGCTGGGCCTTGCAGTCTGCGAAGAACTCTGTGCTGCTGCTCAGGGCTTCTGCGAGACCCGTGTCCACGGCTGACTCGAGGAGTTCTGGCCGGTTGTGGAGGACGCATAGTCGCTGTGCGTCGGCGAAGAGATAGCCCTTGCACAAGTATGGGATTGCCGTGTCGAGGGACTTGAGGTGCTCAATGTGGACCGTCGCGGCCGACACGTAGTCTTTTGCCTCGTACAGCGCATCCGCGAGAGCCATGGCCAGGTCGGCGTGGGCTTCTGCAGAGAGCGCTGGTTCCTGCAGGCTGGCGGTGAACAGACACTCGCGCCAACAAGTGCTGCCTGCGGCGCGATAACACCGCGTGGCGGCAGCAAAGTCTTGGAGCGACTCGTAGGTCAAGCCAGCCTCGCGGAAGCGAGACATGCTCTCGAGGTAGGTTGCATAGAGGCCAGTCAGCGTGGTGAGATTGGCTGGGTCGTAGCGGTACAACTTGAGGGCAGGTCCGTAGAGAGTGTGCTTGACTGTGTAGTCCTGGGCCTCGGCGTGTGCTTGAAGTTCCTGGAGATGCGCCAGTGCCTTCTCTTTCCGCTTGAGGTGGTCGTCGATTGCAAATTGTCGTCGGATTTCAGGCAGCTTGTGCAGATCCTGAATAAATGGCAAGTACTCCCTCGGGTCTCGCTGCGACTGCTGAGCGACCAGAGTCGCGAGCTCCAGGTCATATAGCCCCAAAGCTTCATCGTAGAGCGTGTTTACATCAGCTAGGAAGCAAATGTGCTCAACCGCCTTCTCGGCCAGTTTCTCGTCCTCTTGCATCAGCTTTGCCACGACAAGCAGACCGCTCTCATATGCCGGCGGGTCTTTGCAGACATTGGCTGTGATGATGTTCTGCAACGTGCCGTTGTCCAGAGTCTTGCGGGAGTTCAGATAGCTCAGTACAGCGTTGCAGATCCTATTCACCTTGCGAGACTCGGCGTCGGCAGATGCAGTAGAAGGCTCGGCGCTGGCTGATGTGCTAGCACCTGGTTTTGTGTCTCGGTACATGGACTGCGTAACGTCCTCGTTTCTGCAAATTGATCAGCTGAAGTGACTAGGATATGGTCAGCTCGGAACAGCTCATACCTGAGTGACGAAAGGAAAAGATCGATGTATGTGATATCCGCAAGCTGTTCAATGAATAATCCAGTGTTCTCCAAGAATTGCTGGGGCCTGTGGTCGAAGAGAATGTTCATGTCCACTCGCTGCGTTCTGCAGCACGTGAAGGCACCAGCATAGTCTTGCTGCTCGATCAAATGCCGTATACCGGCAAGGACCATGGCGCGTGGGTAGATGGTCTCCAAGTTACCGCGAGGCATCTGCAAGACCAAAGACATATTCGTCGGCATGGCCGTGACAAGTCGAGCGCCGCGTTCGATGCTGCGACATCTCTCGTCTGTCTCGGGGTCATCTGGAGGAACCTCCATGCCTACAGAAGACGTCAGCATCTCCTGGAAACTGGATCATGTCAGTGCATTAGACTTACTCTCCACATCGGTCAAGTGGATGAACTTGACAAGATGGTTTGAGGTGGTGACTACAACGTGCGCTGTAGTGATTAAGAACGAGGTACAATTCTTCAGAAGTAGTCGGGAATTGGCGTAGAGGTGGCCATTCCTTGACAGCCCGAATGCAATGACCTGACCAGCCAGGTCCACCACTTGAGTCCACGGCAGTTGGGATGGTAGCCGTACAGAGAAGATTTCATCTTCCTGATCTGCTACGTTGTGTAGCTTGCCAAGGCAATCGAAAGCTAGGACAGCTCGCGTGCTCGCCTGTGTGATTCCCGCAAAGCCCGATAGCGATGTGGCATACATGCCGTCCTCAGTGGTGAAGTCTCCCACGGTGCTGTCGAAGACGTATCTTCGCAGTAAGGAGTTTTTGTTATGGCAAAGACAATACACATTACCGGTCTCGCTCACGAATATCTGCAGGGGTGTGGTCCTGCCACCAGCGGTCTTGGGGAAATCCAGAGAGCCAATCAAGACTGGTTTCAGGGATCGCTCCCCATTCAGTTTCCATTCGTACAAGCTGAAACCCTCAGTATGGAGCAGTCCCATGTATGTGTTTGCTGGTGAGAAGGAAACATCCAAGATCGAGGAAGGAGCTGGCAGCTCAAAAAGTGCCATGGGCGGCGGGACGTTGGCGGTCCGGAAAGGAGTCAGCTTCAAGACATTGCCATCTATCACAGCGACAGCTCCATAATCATATGGGGCAGCCAAAGAGCCTCTTGCTATGTCGAGGATGTACTCGCCAAGGACGAGCTTGTCTGCAAAGATAAGTCAGCGGCAAAACTTCCACACGAGAGTGGCGGCACTCACCAGAAGTGGCAGACGCGAACCGAAGTGCCTTTTCCGGGTGCCACGTCAAGTGGTGAGCCCGACTCTCTTCAATGGCCTCTGCCTTCAGGTACCAATGATAGTTGCCCGTCGTCCAGAACTGTGTCCTGTCGTGAAGCACCACGCCGAGGACGGTCGAGTCGGAGTTCCACTCCAGCCGTATCCTGTCTTGTGCAAGAGATCTGTCTTTGGGATCTCGCAAGGAGAATTGGCCGTGTCTCAACCCATTGCGTTCAAAGAAGACAACATCTGTCCTGTCTCCGATGCGCTGGATCCCTGCAATAAGATTGCCTGATGGCCGCCAACTCAAAGCTGCTTCCAAGTGGTCTACCGGCTCGCTGACACTGTCTAGGACTCCATCTCTGGAGAACACACGAATCACTCTCCGTACGCCAGTCTCTATCGAGTTGACAGCGACGTAAGCACCATCGCCCCTCCAGCTGATCGTGGTGGAACCATCGTCTGTCGGGCTGATCTTTCCCTCGTCGACTTTCTCAGGAATCGTGGGGTCCCGCATGGCTTTGGCGCCCTTGCCCTGAAACTGGGTCTCTTTCTTGCCCCAGCCAACATTGACGTGTTTTGAGAGCTTCAAGTCATCCGGGCCCATTGTGGCGTCCGTGACACCTTCAAAGTTTCGACTCATGAAGACCAGAGTGTTGGCTTTGGTGGTAATGGCCAAGAGCTCCTCGTCTGGGGACCACCGGGCAGCGGTGATGCCCTCGTCAATGGACCCCATGATCTCGATGTGGACATCGCTGGACCCCGGATCTGACTCCTGGACGACGACAATGTCGCCTCCCTCAAAGACGAGGCAGGTGCTGCCATTGTCGGCAAAGTGGTGCAAGCTGACCACGCGGTCCACCAGCAGATCTGGGTTTGGACTTGGCGCTGGCCATGAGGCTACTTCTACATGTTCCCTGTGTACTGTGATTAGCGGTGTTGACAGTGCAGGCATGGATCTTGTCCCAAGACTTACACATCAACAGAAGAGGGTCTGACATGCTCGACCACGCGGACGAGCTGGATCTGGCCATCATGCTCTCGGGGGCCAAAGGTGCAGAGGACCTGGTCTTGGGCCGGATCCCAGCAGGTGGCCGAGATGGGGACACTGACGGGCTCGGCAGAGGGTGTCGTCCAGGTGTGGTGACGGATGTTGCGAAGGTTGCGCATCTTGGCAGACTCGTCACCGGCTCTCAGCACATGTGCCTCTGTCTGAACGGTAGAGCCGTGGTGTCAAGCTGGACAACAGCTGCGGGCGCTATCGGCTGTCGCTATCGCGGATAAGCCGTTGTTGCTTGTGTCAGAGGCTGCCGCGGGGCACAGCGCACGGCTGCGTCTGGGCGATGGCTGTTGCTGTTGCTGTTGCTGCTGCACTTCGTCACGGAGCAGGAGAAACCAGCTTGTGGGCCTGATGCTGTCTGTACCTGACCCAGATCTCAGCAGCACTCACGAACGGGTCGAAATGATGCGGCTCTGCACAGTCTTGTTGATTGTGACGTCGAGGCTGCCGCATCTCAAAACTTTTTTCTGGGGCCCGCGAGGTGGGCTGCCGATGCCAATTCCTCCAGGGCCCGGATGCACTATGGAGTTCAGTATGTACGTACTTATTAGTGTAGCTGTACTTAGCGTAGCTGTGGAGGGGCACGGCGCCCTCTGAGTGGCTGGCAGCGCTCGAATTGCCCATTGCGGCAACCCTGGAGGACATTACAGAGAGGGCATGCCCGCACCCGCCCGCCCGTGATCCCCTGACATGCGCAGCATGGCGTTGTCGTCCAGGTCCGTTCTGGCCTGTGCAGTAATAAGGCGGCGGCAGTCTGTTGAAGAGTGTCATTATTCTTATTCTTCGCAACAACGGCTGAAGGGCCAGCCGCCACAGAGGTGACAAGACTGCAGGCTCTGGCTGCTCGGCTGCGGTCCCTCGCTGCACACTGCACGTTGGCCGCCGCCCGTTGCCACAATGCAACCTACGTCAACTCCCGAGCCGTAACCTCGGCCGGAGCAGAGGACGCTGCGCATTCCTGCTTCTCTCTCCTGTATGTTGGTCATGTGCAGCCGTGGTCATCATGGCCATGGTCTCGCCCAGTCTTGGAATGCTCTGCTGCCCGCCATCTCACGCGACTGCCTGGCCACTCATGGCACCCGGATCGACTGCCCTCGTGGCCGTTGGCCCAACTGATTGTGCGGAGTACATACATCCCCAGTAGTAATCTGGCCATCCGGCCATGTGAAGCAGACGCCGGCTCCGCAGGTGGCTGCAGTCAGTCCCAACAGCCGTGAGCACCCCTGCCGCCCTCCCCCAGCAAATTGAGCTCGGCTCTACCCCAGACGCCCCACCGCCTCCGCCATCGAATCGCCCTCCAGACTCCTGTTCCGATCCGTTCGATTCTCAGCTCATTTCTTGCTCGCTGGCTCAATCCCTCGGCTCTGCCTCCTCCACCCACGGCCTTGCCGGTCAACGACGCGCCACAGCACGGCCAGGCACAAAACAACAACATCCAAAGCCCTCTCCCAAGCAGTTGCTCGAACGAGACTTGAAAACGGCCATCGTCTCTCTGCGCGTCACCACCTCCAACGACGACCCACGACCGCGACCATGGACCAGGCCTACAAGCAACACTCGAACCCGGCTCGCCGCAAGAACCGCTCCTCGACCAATCTCAACCACCTCTCCCTCGCTCCCCTCACCTCCAAGATGCCCCTCACCGACCACGACGACCTCCCAGACTCGGTCACCTCCCCCGTGTACCACACCCCGAGCTACCTGCAGGGGAAATCCGCCCCCACAACACCTCGCCTCCTCTCCCGCTCGGCCGCCCACACACGCTCAAACTCGCCCCGGCGCGCCGCCGCATCCTCGGGTCTCACCGGGTCCGGGTCCAGCGACACCGTTGCACTTCCTAAGAGCAAGTCAGCCTCGCACCTCTACCAGCCTGCCCAGAGGAGCAAGAGCAGAAAACCCACCTCCGGCACAGTCACACCTGGGGGCCCTGCTTCGCGGCGGCGGAAACCGGGCTTCCACGACGACAACAACAACAGCGACGGCAGCCGCGCCGCCCTCGACCGGACAGACAGCGACTGGCTCCTGCGCACCGGTGCCCTAATTGGCAACGAGACGCGCGAGTTCAAAGGCCAGTCCTGGCTCGTCTCGCGCGCGAGCAACACTAGCCTCACGGGGATCCGCGATGCGGAGGAGGAAATGTACGAGCGCGAGCTGGCGCGGGAGAGGGAGCTGGCGAGCAGGCAGGGCAGCCGGCGGGGCAGCTTCACGCTCCCGGGCATGGACGAGGACATGGTGTCGCCGGGAAGCCGGTATGGCGGCAGCAGGTCGCACAGCCGGATGGGCAGCAGGAGCGCTCTGGCAAAGACGCCGCTCAGGACGCCGCTGCGGACTCCGCACCACGAGAGACACGGCGATTCCGAGTACTTCAACAACCAGGGCCTGGCCGCCGACGAGTATGGCGCGGGCCCAGACTTTGTTGGCCTCGACGAGAAGCTCGAAGCCGCCATGCACAGGGAGGCGGAGGAGCTGGACGAGGAGACGGTACGGCGGCTGGTCAAGCGGGACTCTGGCGCTAAGGCATCCTGGATGGGCAATCTGATCGGCTGGTCGCTCTTTTCTGTCGAGGAGAACGAGGAGGAGTCATCCGACGACGACGACGACGAAGAAGACCTCACCGATGGGGAATCAGACGCCCTCGCGCGGACCACTAGCACCAGGAGCTTAAGTGAGGGTGCGCTCGCCCGCGAGTCTGGCATACCCCCACCAAAGGCGAACGAGGGCGGTTGGCAGGATGCCGCGTGGTTGTTGAGCGTCGCGACGAAAGTGCTATTATGAGCCTGAGCGTTTCGTTGGGCTATGCAATGTGCCGTAACGAGGGAAACGCATTCCCCAGCTTTAATAGCTTGTAATATTTTGTTTTCCGGCCTGGGATTTTTCAAGAATGACAAGTTCAGTTTCACCGCTGTCAACACATTGTATCATGTTTGAAGTCACATACACTGTGCTGCTTGATCCGCAACTTGACATGCTCGGGGTCTGGTATCTCTACTCCAATCCTTTGCATGCACATTGGCACACATACACACATACACACATGCACACACACAGACACACACAGATACACACATGTACCCTATATGTGATCCTTTCACGCTACCCATCACACTTGATGTGGTCGGACAACCTCGTGCCCCTTCCTTGGGCGAGCATCTATCGCTGCATTTGAAAAAGAAGCGAGGGGAACGGAAGAGGTGGTGAGGATTGATGACTAGACCACCCCCTTTCCCAATGAGAACAGAAGAGCGGACAGCCAGAAAACAGGAAAACAGGGAAGCCACGCTGGGAAACTGAGATATGGGAAAAGCCTTGGTGATTGAAGGGCGCGGCAGGGACAACTGGGAATGTTGGACCGCGCGCGGCGGTCGGTCGTGGTGATATGAGAGAGAGAGAGAGAGAGAGAGAGAGAGAGAGAGAGAGAGAGAGAGAGAGAGAAGGGGGGGGGGATGCTCACTGACAGAGTGTAGTGTGTCATCAAGTGCACTGGCGAGGTGGTGAAGCGCGAGCGAGCAGTCTGACTCTGCTGAGCCATTGAAGATTGATTAGTTTGTGTCTCCTGGTGTCACATTTCATATTGTCAATGCTGCTACTAGAGTAGAGGGTCCTGATGTAAAAAGTCCAAGAGCCAACTGATCTATCATTCAAACCAGGAAATAGCCACAAGTGGGAGGATATTGACGTGCTCGCATGACCGTTGCAGATGTCCTCTCTACACCATTAATTACACACTTCATATTAGAAGCCCAACCGAGCCGGTAAGCCTTTGGGTTCATGAACCCCAGTTGTAGCTTGTGGGATCAATATTCAATCGGCCCAGCGGCGTCGCGTTTGAGCTTTGTTTCCGTGACCGGCACCCTTATTAGCTCAACCAGTAATTCCGATACATTTCGGGGCATAGGCTCGGCCTCCTCAGAATGAGTCACTAGGAAACGATACTGACACTCGGAAGTACTGGTGATTGGGACATGAGACCCTAGATGCCAACAGAATGACTGCCTCAATAAATTACGAGCCAAATTTTTCTCGTATAGCTCTGCTTAACCGATACCCGTATCCCGAAAGAGGGCATGTCGTTGAAAGAGGACATTTGCCGATGCTGTGCGAGTATTTTGTCAAGTATGACAACGACAGTGTGAGGCATTGTGCGCAAACCTCGTCACCTTGGGGGCTTGTCGGGAACATTTACGGTTACGGAACTCCGTATCTTGTTTAAGCTCTGTGCGACGGTTCACTAACGAGCAATTACTGCTGCCTTCATCTCGGCGGCATGAGCCTGGCTGGATGAGTCGCCGAACTTCTGTTGCGCTGGTCTCTGGACCAAGAAACGTCCTTGTCCGCATCCGGGAGGATTAACCGAGTCAAAACCATTATGTGTGGATCAATGCGCCAGGCGGATGCTACAAGTCGCTGGTTCTTTCTGGGCCGGCTCTAGGTTCGGGCAGGGGTAGCAGTTGTACAATGCTCATGAGTGGTTGTTTGTTGTCGGAGGACCTTCCGAAATTCAAGAACCGTTTCCATAGCCAAGATCTTGACAAGGCCCCGCTTCCATGTTGTAATGGTCAACCGACGGTGCACTGGGTGGACCCCGAGTCCTTCTGTCCTCCGCCCCTCCATGCAAGGCTCGACTCAGACCACCATTTGGAATCTGAAGGTGGCACTCGAGGCGCCAAGACGCTAATCTCTGAATTCATGGAGCATGTAGCTCAGACAACGCGAATGTTAATCGATAGACATTCAATCAGTAAGATTGGATGAAAGGCAAGAACACTCCACTAATAAGTGCAGTCTCTTTAATGGGCATGATTTAATTGTTAGTGAAATGGCATTTTGTGGAGCGGTCGAGTGCCATCTCCAGATTCCATATGGTGTCAGACTTCCACGAAGCCCTTGCCTACATTCCTCCAGGCTGTTTCATGACACTAGTTGTGTCTCACTACTAGAGAAAAGCGGTCAGCCTGGCAGGCCGTTCCACCCGCGTGATGGGTCGACCCAGCTCGCTCTCACTCGGGCCATATGGTTGAGCAGTTCTGCTGCGCCGCTTGACCAAAACAGGTTTCCGACACAATGTAAGGCTGCTTTGGCGGGGCATGTGTCGGCACGACTGGAGCATGAAGCAGCCCCTCCTCCATGGAAACGGTCGGGCCGCACGACGCACAGTCAGACATCCCGCCCGTTACACACTTTTCTGTTCTGGTCACAATGTTGTAACCAGGCCGGCAGGATGCCTGCGGGCGCACATGAGCTGCTTATCTCCGTCACCTTGCCATTGGCCTGGCGTGTCTCGTGCGTCGAACCGATCCTGCACAGATCGCGCCCCTTGAGAACAATAACATTCGACCTACCACGTGGCGGGCGACAGCATACAGGACGCGGCGCAATGGATCTGCGTCGGAACTATTGAGTCCAGCAACCTATCGATCCTGGTAAGCTCTTGACCCGCTGGGTTTCTCATGAGGCAGAGCGGACTCACAGGTGCATGTTGCTGCCCAAACATGGACGCTTCAACTCAAGGTGAGGCACGAGCACTACGATTTTGAAAGAGACCAAGGATATCCGAAAATCGAGCGAAGAAATGTCTTGTCTCGACTAGAGGCGTGAATTGGTGAGCTTGGTGAAGGTTCTCGGTGGCTAAACACGGACACCTCAACTCTGAGACGAGAGGAGCTGTTGAAGCTTGACAACCCTGAGATTATTCCTTTGTTTCTTTTTGACTCTGTCCTAGACAGTTGAAAGTATTGGTTGGTCACCCAGCTCGCTAGTGCTGTGGGCCGCTGCAGCAAGGATGACATCCCGGCACCCTGGCCAGATGACGTTGGATTGGCAGACGCTTGCTCTGGCTGTCGGCAGACGGACTACTCTGACTGTGTTTCACAGCAAAACGTCCCATTCATCCTGAATCAGCGTCTTCTACTTTGTCACAAGTCGCTGGACTTTCCTGCTCCGGAAAGTGTTGGTTTGGTGCAGATCTACGTCGCGAGGGCTTCTTGGCATAACAATAGATACACACGCAGCATTGCATGTACGCTCACACCTGTCACTTAGCCATTTTGGCATGGATTGCCAAGCAGAAACCCGACAGCTTTGCCTTGCAGCTCCCAGCAGGCCGTGTGTTGGCTGGATGTTCTGCTCGGTCACGTAGTCTGTGGGGCTTCTAGAAGGCGCGTGGTTTGAGATGGCAGCTTCCTTTCCGCTCTTCCTGATGAGCAATTGTCGTACGCTCCATGCTGGCGGCTGTGGGCGTGGGCAGCGCCGCGACACCGGTGAAATTCATGATCCAGCTATAGTTTGTTGGTTCATGGATAGACCAGCTCGTCGTAGCAGGGTTTCCAGCATCATGTTGCTGGTCGAGCGAGCGAGAGACGGACGACCGGAGAGGACTCAGTCGGTCGAAACCGTGCCGGGACCGTATCCTTGGCGGCATGTCTACGATTGTGCAGGGAGGACCCCGTGGGGCAAACGTATTTTACTGTACTTGGCAGCTCGTTCGCAAGCTCTGATCGGCGTGGTCGAGGGCATTGTTGCGCATCTGAAAAATGGCTGGCGGTCTGCCAAGTCCACGTCCCTAAGACGGAGCCAGAAGCGGCAAGACCAAAAAGCAAAAGGCCGGCGCCGGCCCTAGAGCAAGGGAGGCTGCATGAAGCAGGCTCGAAAGCCTCGGTGATCGGCAGTCGCGAAGCCCTTCCTAGCCTCCCGCCGTGCTGGGATCCTTCCTGCCCGGCTTCCGGACTAGGGTGGCTGGCTGACCGTAGGCCCAGGGAGCGTACCGTTGGCCCCTTGAACTCCAAGCTTCCCCAACCGGGTCTCAGTGACAGGCGTGCGTGCGTGACCTGAGAAGGTTTCTGCGTTGCGGACGGAGCTCGGTTGCGTGCTGTTTCTTGCTCTCTGCGCTCTCTGCGGGGGAAAGCAGTATGTCACTGGCTGGTCCTGCCGCCGTTTTTAAGTGCAGGTGCCGCATCCCCGGCTCCGATGACGCCAACCCTTGCAGCAGCGTTCCGTCCAGATCTCCGCACCTCCTGCTGGATCGCCTTCCGTGCTGGGCAGTCAAACACCTCCCCTCGATGACTTCCTGCTTCAGTCTCGGCCTTTGCCTGGAGTTTTGAGCTTCGCACAGCTGGCTTGTTGCCAGGTCCACCCATGGATCAGGCCAACTTGCCAGGGCACGCTTGTGCGTGACACGCCTGAGCCCCGTTATTCCTGGACCCCTGGAGAGCTGCTCCATGGAGGTGCGGGTCGTTGCTACTCCATCCCTCGCCCTCTTTTTTTTTCTAATCAGCCCGGCAACTTCCAAGCTTTTCTGGGATGTGTGTAAGTGTGACAGCACCGAGCAAGCTGCAGGCCAGGGCCAGTCAGGGAGCTTCCCGTGGTTGGACAATTAGCGACTGGACGGTGCCAGATAGCTGCTGCGTCGTGTTGTCCAAGACAGCGAGGAGTCGGCCTGCCTGCCTGCGTTAGGTTCAGTCCGCGCCAAAGGCTTGGGCTGGCGCGCGCAGTAGCCTCGACCGCCCGGGTGAATGACGACAAACTGCTACGATCCCCACAGGGTCCTGTGCGCTGAGCTGGCTTCCAGGGGCAGCGTCCGTGATAGCTTACCCAAGACGGGAACGCGCCCGGCAGCCGCTCTGCAGGCGTCGTTAGCGACAAGGCCGACCTTGCCGCGACGTTGTGCATTCTCAAGGGCGAGCCCTGCGCTTCAGCTTCGGCCGGCGTTGGCGAACAAGGGTGGCCTCGAAAAGGGCGTAGTGTGTCTAGTTGGCTGACCTGAGTGCTTCGTGCCGGAAGCGCAAGGCAAGCTTTAATTAGCAGGTGGTCAGAGAGAGAGAGAGGTCTGGCGTGTGCGTGTGTGCGTGTGTGTCTGATATGACACCGGCGGGCGGTATTCACACCGGCGTCGACCCGAGCAGGAGCCAGACTGACGCCCCGACCTGCTGGCGCCTGCCCTCTGCTCCTCCCGTCTGTGAGATTGATCTGCCATGAGGCCAGGCGAGCGCCTTCCTCCTTGCCAGCTCGACAAATCCGTGCCTTCCCGCCTGCAGCCGCTCCACCAGGAGACCCAGACACTCGACGTGGGCGGCCGTTGTGCTCTGAACCACCATCCTCCCGGACCACGGCGCATCCATTCCGTCTCGCTCGCTGCACAGAGCGAGCGCCGTGTCCAGGAGCATGCCGTGCCCTTGACCGTTTCTCCCGAGGACGATGCCCCCACCTGGACCCTTTCCCTCCACCATCTCCTACAAGCATCAATATTCATCCTGGTCAGCCCACTGCCTTCATCACACCCACTTGTCCTGGCTGTCCACCCTGCCTTCACCGTCGTTGTCTACGTTCCTGCCTCTAGCCAGCGAGAAACACACACACACACACCCCTCCTCACGATCCCAATACAGCCGCCAACTCGGTTCTCCCTGAACACTGCTCCTCGTCGGCGCCAACCATCATCTTGATCCTCTGTCTCTCAGTCAGTTGCCAAAGACCCCTCCTAGACCCGGTCGTCAGGACGCCACTGGCAGTCTACAACGACGCCCCTGACAATACTCTCATGCCTACTGACCTTGACTGTTTGTGGCTTCCAGTTACTCTTGACGAGGCTGTCGGTCTGCAGGACCCAACGCGTTTTCAGACCGGCGCACCAACCTAAGCCATCATGGCTCCGTCCGAAGAGGTCAGCAGGTTCTCCCGCCGTCGTTGAAAGAGGACAACAAATGTGTTGGCAGCCCTTACTGAGTCGTTGTTCGCCAATGTAGAACCACGATAGTCATGACTCGAGCAGTCTAGCCGACCTCGGTGATGCCATCGATATGCACACATTCAGCCAGATCCTTGAAATGGATGACAGCGAGGATGACCGGGACTTCAGCCACCAAATTGTCTTCGAGTTCTTCGAGCAGGCCGAAGAGACGTTTGACAAGATGGACGCTGCACTGTAAGCCAGCTTCTTGATCACTGCACAATATACTTACGTTACAGAAATGTCCGTTCATCCGCAACGTCCGCCTTATCACAACACTACCTGGGACTTTCAGCATGCCGGGAAACCCGCCAGTTGCAGGGTGCGAGTGGAACGCTGACCAGACATGCTGTGACGACAGTGAGGCCAAGGATCTCACGGAACTCTACCGTCTCGGACACTTCCTCAAGGGTTCTTCCGCTACCTTGGGCCTTGCCAAGGTCAAGGACAGTTGTGAAAAAATCCAGCGATTTGGCAAGAAAGAAAACGAAGACGGCAGCGCACAACCGGATGAAGAGCTTTGCCTGTCACGAATTACCGAGACTCTCGCACAGGTCAAAACAGAGTATGCCGAGGCCGAAGCGACACTTCGAAAATTTTACGGTGCTGCGTGACGCGACCGTCGTGATCAACGCCCGCTCTTTATGCCGTTGCCAACAAGACAATGGCAACAGCTGCCAAAACCTCCAAGGCCAGGCCTGACCAAAAGCCCTCAGCAGCTCCCCAAGGTACGAGCACGTTATATTATAGATGCGACAGATGCGGATTCGGCACGCACAGAATCTATCAGCACAGCGCTCACTCAGATGGATGATCTACAATCCTTACATTTGAGCATACCACGACAGCTGCCAGCTATTACATTTACGATGATTATGAAGATGAAGATAGCCAGTCTGCACTCCTGAATCTACTCTTCTGTACCACATGCTCGCAGACTTCCCAATTCTGCAAAGACAAGCCCACCATGACAACGGCCTCTTCGGTCTTTTGCGCCCGTAACAAGCTCTTAAGCGAGGCATGGACCTCGCTGCGCATAAACAATCCACAGGGGCAGACTCCATGGGCTCAGCCGGAGCAGGCTGTTGAAAAGTGCTCCGGGTGACGCCATTTCATGTGACCACCACCCCCCTTGGCAGTACGTCATGCTCAATAGTACCCGTCCCAGAATGCAGATCGTTACCTATTTGGCAAGCATCTATTCACGCGAGAGCATTTGTCTCTTAAGTATGGCCCTCGACAGCTTGCAGCTTGTGGACCCGTTCAGCCAAAGTCCCGTGCTACTCCAGTTGAATTCGTCAGTTCCATGGGCACTCAACTCGGGCGGAGACTCCTCTAGGAGAGTGTTGCTAGAATACTCATCCACAGTCGACCACGCCGGGCGTCTCAGAATCAATCTTTTGTGTCTACAGGCCGTATCGGCCATTCTTTTCTGCCTGTCCGTGTTTGACGCATGATGGTCTTGTGGCTCACCTGGCTGCTATGTCATTGATGTGCAGGTGCAAATGACCAACTGCATTTGGGGGCTCCGCTCGTTGGCATCAGTACTACATCACAAGGTGCCACTCAAGCCTTGCGGCCGCAGAAGAAAGGTCCCATCGAGCAGCCCAGGGTCTTGTTTGCACTTCCTAGTAGGGGGGCTTAAAGCCAGGAAAAACAGAAAAAGAAGGGTCCAGTCCTGCTAGCTTCTACAGATCTGCGCTTACCCACTAGCTCAGATTGTCCAGCCGCAGAGGGGAAGGTGGGATCCTGGCATGTCTGTTCGTCATGCGCTCGGCTAGAGCTCCCGTGTAAGTGGCAAGAATGACGCCGTGCTCTGTGATGCGGTCAGCGCTCTCCGTTTTGCTCCGCACACTCTCGACAAATGATTAATTGGAAAATAGCAGCTGGCCAAAGAGCGTTTTTGCGTAACCGTGAGGGTAATGGTAGGTAACAATCAACCTTGTGACCAGCAGCACGGAAGGGAGAAAGAGAAGTATAATTTCTTCGTTCTGGACAACACAGGCGTGAGGCACAGTGGTGGAGCAGGGCAAGAACATCGCAAGAGACATTTGGGAGACACCGGAAATATGGTGCTGCTGGACGTGCTGTCCAACCACAATCTTCGACTGCCTTTCCCCGTGTTGAACCTGCATGGTCTCTGGTCAACCCTCCAAGCTACCGGCATAGACTCAATAACTCAAGAACCGACATGCCGCTGGCTGAGCTCACCTGAGTGACACCAGTTCAAAGAAGGCGAGTGTACTAGCTGTGGTCCGCCAGCATGAAACGAGGTTAACCACTGCGAGAAATTCTCATCATGACAACCCGAAACCCGCACTCTGTAGGAATGAAGCAAAGTTTTGAGGCGGGGGCGCAGGTGGGTTGTTTCAGGACAAGAAGCCTCAAGAGGACGACGTCCCATACACTGAAAGAGGGGATGGAGGAAACACACGAGGTTAACCCCAAGAAGGGGAAACTACCTAAAGGTGACAACATTGCCGTCGCCCAGTCTCCGCTTGCTGTCTCGCGGATGGGGAGAAACATGTCCAGTCATGCCCTCTCGCGAGCGTTACCAGGCGCCGGCGCCAAGCAGAAAAGCTGCTGCCTCCCCCGACCTCGCTTGTGCTTCCACGAATTTCCCCTGGTTGGTGACCTTGACTAATATGTGGTGGTGCTGCAGTACTATTCCGTTGTGTCGTTTCCAGTTGAGTGTTGCGGAATTCCGAGGCAGCAACTCCATGCATGATAATTATGACAGAAATGAAAGCAGCTCAAGGAACGAAGCACACAGCGGGGGGGTTGAGCAAAGATCCTTCGCTCGTTTGGCTGGCAGCGTGAACAACGCCTCCAGGGACATGCAAGACTGGTTCACTTCTGCACGCGAGGGTCAAGGAATCAGGAACACGAGGTGGGCCTGAGGAGATATCAAGATGCCAACTTCAATTTGTTATCATTTCATCGTCAAAAGATTTGCTATGCTGATAAAGCCATATGCTTGCCTCCTAGGAACCATAATTCCACACAACGCTATGATGAATGCAACGGATACATACTATACAATACATGGGGGGATGGGTGCTGAGAAGGCAGAGAGAGAAAAGGGTGGCTCGTCAGTCCCCCTTTTCATGAGGAAGGGTTATTGGCGTTGATCTCCACCGCCCTGACGGTTGGCTATATCTCGTTCCAAGTTCTGGTGGATAGCGCTATGCAATTCATCGAACAGACTAAGAGCTGTTAGACATGATAAGCTCTTCAGGAATTGGGGTGTCCCGGCGCGTGCCCGGATTTGAGTTGGCTATGTCTGCCGACCCGAGTCGCTCGAGGATTCGGCGAGCTGGTGAGGAGAAACTGGGAACGCCTCCGCATTTCACAATGGGCGTAATAAGATCCAGGCCGTCTGTGCTGAAGGGAGTGGTTGCGCGGCTCGATAGCACGCTACTGCTAGCATCCGACATCTCAACATCGAGCGATGGTTCCGTTGATGATATCTCCGAGACCGAATCCGCGTCCTCAACGCTGATTTGTATTGTCGTCGGAACGTGTGCAGTTGTGATGATTTGTGGCAAACTGGGATGTTGGACCGCCGTCAAGGGCTCAGGGGTCGTTGACTTTGCCGAATAGTGCGCATAGCTTGTTCGTGGTGTAGTGGCATCTTCTCCATATGTGGACACTTTGCCAAGCGTCGTGTTCTCTGATGTGGATGCTGATGCTCCTGGCGCCGGCGATGAAGAAGTTGTCGCAGCTCTGATAGCTGCCAGTGCACCGCCTTCTTCGGAACCTTCCTCCGAGTTGCCAATTGTCCAAACCCATCTGCGCTTCTTGTCCTTCTTCTTCCGCTTGCCAACGCCGGAACCGGCTCTGGGAGAGAGCACAGGGGTTTCTGTGGCCATGCCCGCCATCCGCCGTCGCATCTCCTCGAATGGACCAGGGGTCTGTCCTCCATCACGTGTCTCGTCTCCAGTATAAGCCATAGTGATGTCAAGCATCACGTCCGAGTCTGCGACGTTGGGGTTTGGTGAAAAGGGGGATGCCTCTTCCACCAGCAGATCAATGTGAGACCTGGTGTATCTTTGTGTGGTGATTGTCTGCTCCAGGGGACTTTGGTAACCGACTCTCCGAGCAGCTTTCTCCTGGAGCCGCAGGGACTGCCGCCTGGGTGAGATTGGGGAGATCGCACTGGATGGAGGTAGAGGCGAGTTGCGAAGAATGCCGCGGAGCCCTTTGATCCGGGAGTACGGAGCCTTTGGGCCGAAGGTGGAATACATGGCCCTTCTCCGGGCCTGAGCAGGTGAGCTAGGCGCCATGTGGTCCTGGATATCCGCGGGATTGAAGGGAAATGCTCTGCTGGTCGCATCAATGGCTCCAGCAGACATGGGAGGCGTCGCGGTCATTGTGCTAGGAAAGACCATGCTGGCCTGGAGTTGAGCTGGGGACATTGGGTTTGCACTGATGGGGGTCTCAGGAAGGTTGGCCGTGAATGGGGTTGCGATTCTGCTCTTCTGGTTCTTTTCGAGAGATGCCCGGTCCGTCAGAAGCTTGAGTGGTTGCTTGACGTTGATGGCGGTCAACGGCGTCGACTGTACTGGGGTCGAACGCTCAATGGCTGTGACATAGACATTTGAGAGGGTGTTGAACGAGGTGGGATCTCTTGGATCCGCGCTCGCCATCATTCTTGTCACTCGGCTGATGCTCTTTGGCATAGATTTGGTCTGAAGAGACAGCTTGGGCCTCTGACTTGGTTGCGGGCTCGCCATCTTGGTGGTGTATCTCGTGTCCCACTTTAGAGTCGTGTAAGTCGTCCGCCTAGTACCCACTGCCAATTTCCCTTCTTCCTTTTCGAGCCCGGGTTTTCGTTGTCGTCGGCGGGAACAATGGTCGTTTGTCTCGTCAAATGAGGCCAAGATTGAGACTATTTGAGGTTGAGAAATGAGAGAAGTGGGTGGTGCCCTGGTGGGGAGGAGGGCCGGCGGCTAAGTATGTCTGGACGGGCCCGGCTTTCACGCAGGATGGACGAGGAACCAAGAGTCAGGCCTGGGGATGTGGCTGCAACAAGGCGCCTGGCAGCAGGAGCTAATGCGTGGGACAGCGCCAAAGCACAGTCTAGACGCGAGCAAGCAGCATGTTGGTTGGTCTCTTGTGAGGCGCAAGCGCCCATGGCTCTGCACCCCTGCCGCAAGGGACCAATCACCACCCCCGCCAACTCGCAATCACAATGTCTCGCGGCCGTTTTGACGACCGCCGGGCCTTGCTTTGTTTCGCTGTTTCCCCGCTTGCCGGAGCGCCCCCCGGTCCGCTTGGCTGCTGACAAGAGCTTGGGACCATGTCTGAAGCATGCATGGATGCCACTGTTGCGGTCTACTGTATTAGGTACATCTCCTCTAATCCCTGACGACTCGGGCCCGTCCAGCCCGGGCTGAGCTCGACAATGCCTCAACAACGTCTATGCATTCTCGCCTGGATGTGATCCAGCTGTTGTGCCCCTGGCGACCAGATCAGAGGTGCTGGACGAGCACATCCCGTCGGCAATGTCGAGTGGTGCCACTGCTCCTCTCGGCGGGGTGGAGCTGAGGTTGTCGAGGCCGTGGCTCATCATCGGGGGAGGAAATAGACGCCGAGGCAAACAAGTGTCGCCAGCCGGACCAGTCAGAAGCTGGCAGCGAAGACTGGGGAGGACCACCCCAAAAGGCGGTCGACCCAGCCTCCTGAAGTTGGGGGAGCCCTGGGTCCCGTGCCGTCGCTCTAGACGAGGAATAGTGTCAAAGTGTTGCCAATCTCCACCGTCAAGTGCTTGCCAGTCTGACGGGATGGCGTGTTTGGCGGTGCTATCTCGCATGCCCATACGATGTCCTCCCCAGGCTGAGGATCAAGGATTCGCCTTGCCGGGTTCGGCCCACTAGAATTGCTGAGCTGCGGGGCCGGAAGGAGACAGGTTGATCTCACACTCGAAATGGCGACATTGCCAGGTTCTCGCATCCGCCGGAGTGGGAAACACAAAGGTGAGGTCGGGCTTCGGGTAGATAGGACGGCTCGGTGCCTCGTTCGTTACGTTGTGCCCCGCGGGCCCGCACAAAGGAGCGGAGCGGGATTCTTTTTTTGGACCTGCGCTTCGGCCCCACGGGTCGTCCGCAATTGGCATCATTCTGGAGAGGATTTGCTTGTTCCTGGTTTCGAAATAGCAACAGCGGTGCCGGGGGTCCTGCTTGACTGCCCATGGCATGCGCCAGGCCAGGCCGTGAACCGTGCAGCTCGAGTCTTTCTCCAGACGACCACTTCAGGCCCCGCTGTGCGCATGGCGGTGCAGCCGGAGGATGCGACACGTGCCGTTTCTCATGTCACAATCGCCATGTGCGTCGTGTTTGTTGCATTCCATGTCTTGGGCTCCAGCATTGCACCGAGTGCAGAGGAGCGCAAAAACCACGACCCATCAAGTTGGGTGCGGGCTTCCGTCGAGAGGCAGGTGCAACCAACCACTTGAGTGCCTGGTGTTTCCTGGTGTTGCCTGGTTGAGGGGCCTGAGAACCCCCCTAAACCTCACGTCAGATGCACTAATTAACGACCCGCTGGAAGTGCCAATTGGGGCAGGAAGCCACACTTGAGCATGGCAAGCCGTGCTCGAGTGCCAGCTTGCTCGTAACAACGACCCACCGAGGACTGACAGCAACAACAACAACAACGCGGGCGATCCGCACAGAAGGCAGCACCACGATGCCCGCTTGCCACTTGCTTCGTAGCTGGAAGAGGCACTGGCGATGAGCATTGCAGTGCTGACGCCGAATCCGCTGCCGCCTGGCTCCAGGACGGCACGCCCAAGCCCGCTCGGTGACGATCGGGTCGTTCTGCATTTTGTAGGTCGCTGGGGTGCACCGCCCCCCTCCCCTTCTTGGCCAGGCAAGAGACTAACCGTCGGTACAGGATTACGACTGCTTCTATGCTAGCGTCTTCGAGAACGAGAACCCGGCCCTCAAGTCCTTGCCGCTAGGCATCAAGCAGAAGAGCATCCTCGCCACGTGCAACTATGTCGCCCGGGCACGTGGCGTCAAGAAGCTCATGCTCATCTCGGATGCGCAGCAGATCTGCCCCGACCTGGTCCTCATGAACGGTGAAGACCTGACGCGCTTCCGCAATGTCTCCAAGAAGCTCTGGACCTTCCTGCGCGCCCACTCATGGAACAATCGCGTTGAACGCCTCGGCCTGGACGAGGTCTTTATGGACGTCACAGACATCATTGCCTACAACCAGGCCTTGGTGAACCCCCATGCTCTCGAGCACTCCTTCTTTCAGCTCTCGGACAAGGATCCGGAAAAGGGCTTCGCCTTCGATGCCACCCAATATTTCGGCTGTGTCCAGCCTCCAGCAGAAACAGATGGGGTGAATGGTGTCACCAGCCACCTGGGAATGCGCTTCATCCTTGCGTCACATCTGGCTGGCTATCTCCGACGCTACATTGAAGATCAGTTTGGCTACACTTCTAGCGGGGGCATCGCCGTTAATAAGACCTTGGCCAAGCTTGCAGGCACTGTGAACAAGCCCAAGAACCAGACGACCCTATTACCATACAGTGAAGATGACATTCAAAGTTTCGTTGATAAGCACAAGCTACGCAAGGTTCCGGGCATAGGCTTCCGGACGGCACAGCTGATTCAGGACCACTTGCTGTCGACGGACTCTTTTAAAAACAACAACTCCCATGACCAGAGCAACGATGCTCGGCTCACTGTTGCTGATGTCCGGAAGCACAATGGCATGTCCAGGACCCTGCTACATCATATACTTGATAGACCCGGTGCCGAGAAAGCCGGCGCAGACAAGATCTGGAACCTGCTCCATGGCGTAGACACTTCCGAAGTAAAGGAAGCCAGCGACGTGCCTTCTCAGATTAGCATCGAGGACACCTACATGTCCAAGCCTCTGAACTCGATCGGGGAGATCATGCGCGAGCTGCGTTCTCTTGCAGCATCACTGGTTCGACGGCTGCGCGTCGACTTGACTGATGAAGACCCTGGCTCACCTGATGCAGATGAAGGTGTCAAGCTCAGGTGGATAGCCCATCCGAGGACGCTGCGGCTTTCAACCCGATGCCGTCCCAAACTGGGCACTTTGGTGTCGGAAGCCGGCAACACAGAAAGCTTCAGTCGCAACACCCGCAGCCAGCCACTCCCAAGCATCATCTTCAACCTCGAGGAAGCAGTAGAGGCAATAGCGGAACAGCTCGTCCAGGGGTCTTTGCTGCCCATGTTCCGGCGCCTGAATGCGGAGCGCCAGGGATGGAACCTTGCGCTGATCAACATCTGTGTAACAAACATGGTCCTGGCTGGCGGCACGGGTGAGGGAGCAGTCGGTGTGGGCAGAGACATCTCGCACATGTTCCGCACACAAAAAGACAAGCTGCGTGAGTTTACGGCGTACGAAGAGGACGGGGCCGGCCCAGAGTCGCCCATGCGTGTGCCACCTGATGCATTGATACAACAGGACGAAGCCAATCCCGAAGAGGAGTCTTCCCCGGCCGACCAGCAAGGGCCGAAGACCTGGACGACTGGCCGTGACCAAGATATAGGCCACCAGATTCTAGAAGCCGAACTCAGCGACGCTGTATGGGAGGAAGACGAAGACGAGCCCGTAGCTCAGCATGTCTGCGCGATATGCCAGCATGCCGTCCCCCAGTTTGCCCTCGCAGCCCATGAGAGGTTTCACTCGATGGCATGATCGTCGAGGACCACCACTTTCTCTGTACACTTGATACAATTGCTACGAGTATACACGGCCCAATGTAGGGCGATTTTAAAGAATTCAAAACGTACCATCCAAAATCCAGTCAGGGTAGAGCCCTGTATGTGAATTGTTGGTCCTGTGTATGAGATACCAAAACCGGCCACATGCGAGACCAACATCGAGCCAACTAGACAAAATTGATGATCATGTCATTATTCTTTGATTTGACCTTTCGAATAATGGATTACATTATGATGTGAACCTCTTCTTCTCCTTTCCTCACTCACTCACTCACACTCTCTCTCTGCGCTCTCTCTCTGTGGTATAATCATCAATATCGCTCTCCTCGACTCTCTGCAGTCCCTTCCCTCCTCTTTTGCTCATCTACCTTCTCTCGTCATTTGCAGTTATGCAATGGTATACAGGGAGGATTTTCTTTTATATATTCTGCTGCTCCGCAAGGGCGCGGTTGCCCTCAATCAGCTTCTGCAGCCAGTCGCCGGCCATGCCGAGCATCATGCTCTTGCTGTACCCGCCAGCCTTGAGGTTTGGTATAATCTCGGTCAAGCCGTCGAAGCCTTCCTTGATGGCGCCTCTGCGCCTCTGCTCGCTCTTGATGTGATTCTCACGCTTCTGCGAATCGGTCAGATTCTCACGCGGTGGCTTGGCGGCGCTGGGTCTCTTGCGCTTCGGCGTCTCCGAAGGCGTGGAGGTTGTGGCTGCTGCTGCTGCTGCTGCTGCTGCTGCTACTGCTGCCACTCCCGCATTCACCAAGCCACCGCTGGTCCCGGCTGCTAAGCCATTCGTCTCAGTCTTGGGCTTCCGCTTCTTCGGCGGGGGCTTGGCTTCGAACGTAGGGGGCTCGCTGCTGACGGCTCCGCTGATGTCAACCTTGGCCTTGCTCTTTCGTCGTTTCGTTGGAGGCATTGTGCCATCTGTCTCCCCTGCGTCATTTGCAATACCCAGGTGACCATTCGCGCCGAAGGAGCCCTCAACGCCAGCAGGGTTGGGGCTGGAAGGCTGGGTATTAGCCGCGCTTTTATTGAGACTGAAGCACTTGATGTACTCCAATCGCTCCTTTTCCAGCGCCTCGGCTGTCTCGTTATGTGACGATGGTATGTAGCCCTGATTCCTGTCAAAGGCAGAGTCTGAGCCCCACTGCAATTCTGTCCTGGCCTCTGGCGGGCGATTTTGTCGCATATGCTGGTTGCCGAACACCATGTTGGTAAACAGGTTGTCGGTCTCTTCCTCGGCGTGCAGGCGTGGATGGCTCGCTTGCCGCTGGACCCCAAAGTGCTGTGCATTTGTAGGTCTGGTCGGCTCTGTTGGTGAGCGGTAAGGCGCCGGCCGGCCGTTATGCTGCTGTATTATCCTATGTCCATTTTGGTTGTGCCCGTTCTGGTTTCCGTTGCCCATCGCTGTGAGCACCGCCGCAATATCTTCTTGGGCCGTGTGATCCGCCGGTGTATGCAAGGCATGCTGTGCTTGAGGATGGGACTGTTGCATGTGCATTTGTTGGCGCTGGGGCTCCTGGTAACGCTGCTGTGGCCTGTGCTGCTGTGGCGGGGCAGGCGGCGGATAGTGTGGCGAAGGGAGGTGATGTTGTGGTTGTGGTATTGGGCGGTGGTGCTGATGTTGTTGCGGTTGGTGTTGTGATATGGGTGTCATCGGAGTATGTGGCGATGGCATCGACTCCCCAAAGTGGTACATGTTGTTCAGATTTGTCGTGTCCAGCCCCAGGAAGTCCGGTGGTACTGACGAATACGGCTGTGACGGCTGTTGGCCGAAAGATGTTGATGAACCCATGAAAGTAGGAGGGAGGTTTAGCCAGTCGTCACTGAAACTCAGGCCCTCGCCAAAGGAGAAGTTGAACTGATTCGAGTTGATGTCCTGGAAAAAGTTCATGAGAAGTTGCGAGTCATTTTGTGTCAACAGAGGCTCCCCACGGGGAGGCTCAGGAGCAGCAACTGGCATCCCGAACTCGTTATGATCTGGATAATCGTCTGGAAAGTACAAGTGTTAGTGCAAGGCGCCCTGAACGGGAACTCGACTGGAGGGAAGCACGGCCTAGCCATGACCTTCTGGTTGACGTACAATTGAACGGCATATCGCCGTTTGCCGGCCGCGACGAACCCATCCTGGGACGCTCTGTGGCCAGCATGAGAGGCTTGCAAGGAGGGAGATCCGTGCAAATCCGTTATCCCAGCGCCGAATCGAGGTCGACGAATGAGCTTAGGAGGTCGAAGTCGTCCAGGCTTAGGTTGCGGACCCGATGAAACCGTCGCCAGGATGTCGTGAGATTGCGTGGAGGATGTCAGACGTAATGCATAGCCTTAATGATGACCAAGATGTTGAGACAGGCGTGGAGCCCTAAACAGCTGCAACTAAAGCTGTCCTTGCTGATGCGTCTTGCCTCGAGTGGTCTTATCTCATTGTGGCCATCGGCCCGAGAGCCTGGACTGTGACAGGTGCTTGCGTATGGTTGAGCGGCGCCGAAGGCTGCGGAGAGAGGCGGGCCGTGCCGGTCGGGCAGATGAGAACCACTTCGGTTCTGGGAAAAGGTCCAACAGATGCCAGGTCGTATCGTTGAGACCCGAGCTCGTAAGATGCTACTGCTGTGGTGCTCGTGTGTAGCCAGCGTCAGGCAAGGGACGGGAGGCGCGACCAAGCGGACCGGGAGGCAGACCGAGGTTGCGAGACGAGAGTGGCTGCAGGGTTGGCCCCAGCTCTGGTGGGCGCAGGTGGTCGAGGTTGTCGAGGTGGGAACGGCGGGAACTGAGGCGGGCGCGTGCAGCGACGGTGTCGACGAGGAAGCGCAGGCAGCAGGACGGCCGGACGGGTTGTTGAGGAAAGGAGTGCGGCAGTTGGAGGACGCGGTGGTGGAGGCGGCGAGGTGGTTGAAGATGCGTGGTGCGTGTGAGACAATGCCCGGGGGCGGCCGAGTAATAAAGTGCGGTGCTATTGTTGTGGTGTGTGGTGTGGCTCTTGTCAAGCAGCAGCAGTGGCCGGGACAGGACAGGACCGGGTTGACAGGGTCAAGTGCTGGTGCTGCTGGTGGGTGGTGGTGGTGGAGAACGGGCCTCTGCTGCTTGGTTGCTTGGTTGCTTGCTCAGGTGAAGTCTGGGGGTGGGCATCTATCTGCAGGGCTCCCGAGGACGACGACGACAGGGACGACGAGTACTAACGTAAAGGTAGCTAGACTACGCTCAGTCACCTTGCAGCCTGCCATCCATCATCTGGCACACGACCAGAAAGGACCCCTGCCCGCGCGTTGCCAGGTTCACCTTCTGTGTGCTTCTGGGAAGAATGGATGGATGTCTGGGGGGCGGCGAGGCCCGGCCAAGCACAACTCTGGACAAGCCTCGGGCGGTGCCTGCAGGTGTGGAGAGTGGTGGGCCAGCCCGTCCATGCGCCAGCTGCAGGCTCCCCGTCATCAGTCAGGCAGCCTGCCTGTCAGGCCTCGACCGGCACGAGATCAGATGAGGCGGCGCAGGCCAGGCCAGGTGCATCTTAATTACTCCATGCTCTCCCTCTTGTGCCTCGAGCATCTCTGGCAATCAAGTGCCCTGCCAGCCAGACCGACACCTCCAGCAACGCACCAAAGCCCGCCCACATTGCAACGCAGCATTTGGAGATGCAGGCCCTTCGGCCGGAGCCGGTGACTTGGCCGGCCATGGTTACACCAGCACGGACAGGATCTACAGGCCATCTCTGCGATCTGCCCGCGATGCGAGCATCCACCCACCCTCCTGCGAGAGCAGAGTAGTCTGGAGACGACCAGGTCAACTGACTGGCCCCGCGCCTTGCCCAGCGGTGCAGCAATCGACAGGAGAGCCCACACCAGCACGGCGCTCCAACTAAGGGCAGGACACTAATACGGAGAGACAGCCACGGATTAGCTGGGTAAGGTGAGGCGGGCCAGGGGGCCTCAGCTCACTGGCCTGGCAGAGAGCTCCCCTTTTGACAGGCATTATTCTGACAGGGACCCCGCGACGTTGCGTGGTCACAGCTCCCTCGTCTCGAGCGTCTTGACTATTACGAGGACTCGAGACATTCATTGTATGCGTGCCTGCAGACAAGGAGTGTTGCAGGCCTGGGGTTGATGCAGGCAGGCGGCTGGCCTAAGCGACCGCCGACACAGAGCAGCGAGGCACGTCGTGCCTGGGGAGCCGCAACCAGGGTCCACCCACCCGCCCGCCTGCCGCCAACCAGCACCAGCACTAAATTACCTTATGGTAGCTAGCTGGGCGTCAAGACAGCCAAATCACATGCCAAAAAAAATAAAGGGAAAAAACGGTGCCAGCTCGCCCGGACACGGACGCGGGGCCGAGCGCTGCTGGACCACACATTGCGGATCGACATCTGGGATGACTCTGGCATCTTGGATCTTCTTGGTGGCAGAGAGGGATCAGACAAAGTAGCGACACAATGATCAATTAGTCGACAGCAGCAGGATCCCAACAACAGCTGCATAGTGGCTGGAGGGACCCCCCTCCCGGATGCAACACTTCTATCTAAATCGGGCCGCGAGCAGCATCCTGGCTGGGGAATTCTCCCCTCTGCAGATCTGAGACACCAGAAACCCCCGGTTGTAACGTTCTAAAGTTTCTGCCCTGCCCCGTCCGTCCGTGCCTGTCAACTGCCAGCGCCGCATTTGCCGCTCTTCTCCCAACCGGCCATGCGATTCTCCTTTCCAGAAGGCCTCGCCTCAAGTCCCATCCTTGCCTTTGGCGTCGCTATAGAAACACGGCCCTTGCGTCTGCTAAGCCGGACAGACAAGTGACAAGTGACAGCTGTTCCGAGTCGGGCAGGTCGACAACTCTCGGCCGGCCTGGGAATATGGCAGTCTTGGTTCCGCAAAAGCTGCCATCCTTGAACGACATGGCATGACATGTTGATGGCAGATCAGAATGCCTTCCCTGCGGCCTGCGGCAGCGCACATGATTAATCTTGCGCCAGCCGCCCCCCCGGAACTGACAAGATGGGTGTCACCAGATGACGCTGCTGTCAGCTCCATGTCATTGCTTTGACAGTGCAGGCTGTCGCCAGCAGGTATGATCGCCGCGTGGGATCGTGCAGACTTGCCACGGACTTGACACAACTCCTCATCTCCACCGTGCAGACCGCCATGCAGTGTCGTGCCAGCACTGCTGACACGATGGTCAGCGCAACATGCACGGAAATGGACTCCCGGATGCCCTTCGAGTTTATGCATCGCCCACTCCAGAGGTATAGCCATGATATCATCCAATCTCCTCACCGCCGAGGACCCTGGCCCGCGCCGTGCAGGCTCATTACCGATGTCTCAATGCTCTGTAGGCAGGGGGGTTGCTTTCGCACTCGCGCGCGCGCAGAGCCGCCCCCGTCAATCTTCATGCTGCCTGCTGCGCCGCCCGACAGCTTTGGGAAGCACCCCCTGCAACCCTTGCCCCCTTTGAGCGATCCCAGACATGGCTCAGTCGTCGTGCTCCTGCTTGGAGCGGCCCAGAGAGTTTACGAGATGATCAAGACCTGTCCAGATCGGGCTTGCTTCACGAGCATTGACAATCTCCTTGCCATTCTCTGCTGGCTCAGCCTTCCAGCTGTGGCGTGCAGGCATCTGTTTCTCCACCGGTCTATGTCCAGGGACGGCCAACCCTTGGCAGGACTAATTAAGTTATTAAGTAATATCCTCCTAGCTGTCTGGATATTTGTGCCTCCAGGTCCGCCGATGGATTTGGGATTTCGTTTTGATACAATGCCAGCCTGAGGACGGAGGGAGTGAGTCTGCGAGGTTGTACCTTGTACCTTGGAACACCCAAGCCAGCTTGTCGTCAACACAGGAATGCGCAGGGGTGGAAATTGGGCTTGCTCACGGTATCCGCTTGATTGTCCACGATACGCCGAGTGGACCACTCACCATCGCGCGTCAACTTCCCCAGATCCACGCGTCTCGTCTGGTGTGTAGCCAGCTCTGTTGTAGTGTGGTCTGACGCAGGCTAGTTGGGGTCCCGCCCTCTCCCAGGGGCCGAGCGATCGGCTTTAGCAGCTGATTGACTGCCTGGCCTAACCCAACGCTCGGTGCATGGCTGACGCCCTCGACATTGTCACCTGCAACGGCCCCCAAACTCGACCAGATCTTGACGTATTGCTTGCATGTTGGGCTGTGGCTTCTCTTTGCGTGCCTCCCCGGCAGATTCTCCTCGAGTTGAGCGGTCGCCATCACAGATGTTTGCTGACCGGCCTGTGCAAACTCCAAACACCGAAGCTCTGGTGCCTTATCTGCTGACACGTGAAAGAAGGCTATCTCGCACACTTGTCCCGGCCAGTTGCCTCCTGAGCCCAACAACTCGGCTCGAACGCAGCAGAGTCCCAATCCTGCGGGACAACCTCAGAACGGGTCGTCATCACGAGTGACTTTGGGCCTGTCGCTCCTCTACATCTCAAGTACGTGCTCGAGCTGCACATTCGCAGGACACTTCTTTTTTTGAGTCGCCATCTGCTCCGGGCCTCTGCCCGATAAGCGGCGTCGAGGGTTACATTGCAGCGCGGTAGCTTTCGGCACCGCGGCTGAGCCGCAATCATCGACTGCCGGCATCCTCGTGCCTGGGCTTCATATATCTCCGGAAGCCTCGCGCGAGTCCCGAAGGCGTTGTGCCACCACACCTTCTGTGACAAGTCATGGCGCCCACCTCGACAGCAGTGCGCAGCCCAGCGCGGCAACAGAACACGCTGCGCAAGCTCGAGGAGCCCATACCGTTACTACTTCGCCCAGTACTGCGCGCGTTCATCTTGGGGTACGGCTCCGCGGTCGCGCCACGGGTCCTAACCCTTGTCCTGCAGCATGTGTCCCGGTTGCGGCAGAGAAGCAAGAACGCTGCGGCGGCGAAAGGACGGGTGGATGGCGTTAGCTGCGCGCCTCACGAGCCTTTCTTTGTGTCTCTGGGTCGCCTTCTGCGCGGTGGGCTGGACCCGCAGCGGTTTCCGACATTCTGTGCAGCTTTGGTAGGAGGATCAACGTTGTTCGAGGTGAGTTTGACAAGCTCAGAGCAGCCAGAATAGTCTTGTGCCGTCATGGTTGAGAGGAGAGCTGAACAAGCGTGGCAGGTGATAATATCAAAAGCTCTGAGTACATGGGCGCAGTCTATAAGCCCACTAGCCCGGATAAGGTACCTAGTTGCCCTTGTTTCCTTCTTCTTCTTCTTCTTCTTCTCTCCCAGAGGCAGCTTCAACAGCTTTGCCTACCCTGACACTGTTCGTCCAGGCGCTAACCCACGATCCAGGCTCTCACGGTGGTTCGCTACCTTCACTGCATCCTGGCTCAGCCTGACGCTCTTGCAATCGAAACCGAGCCAGGCATTCTCAGCTACGGTGGTCGAGCATGCCGAAGGCGCAACAAGCCCGAAAGAGAAGACCATCAGATATGCCGGGCGCAGTCTAGACCTTACCCTCTTCGCAGTCACAAGAGCGCTGGACGTGATTGTGGGCGAGCTGTGGGCGCGGAGGAAACAACGCCGTCTCGCAGCTGGCAAGTCATGGACTGCTGTGAGCACTCCCCCAATGTGACATTCCGTCTGAGACTTCAAGCTGACACAAAACAGGCCGAGTCGGCGTTGTCCAAGCTCGCAGACCCAGCCATGTTTGCTACCTCGTGCGCCTTCATCATGTGGGCATGGTTCTACCATCCTTACAAGCTTCGCCGCGCATACTACAGCTGGATCAAGTCGGCCGCTGCCGTCGACCTGCGCCTCATCAAAGCCCTGCAGCGATGCCGTTCCGGCGAGCTCCGGTACGGCGAGGACACAGGCCAGGCTCCTCTCTTGCAAGAGATGTGCCGTGACTACAAGTGGCCGCTCGCGTGGGGCGATCCCGCAGTCGCCGTCCCCTTCCCCTGCGAGATGGTGCACATGGGCCGCGGCCCGTCGTGCGAGTACCACGCCCTCGCGAGGTTTCTCCGGTCTTTCAAGTGGGCAATGGCGACCTATCTCCCGCTGAACCTCATCCTCGTCGCCCGCAGTCCCGGCCTGGCATCGCTCAGGAAGTCGGTCAAGTCGGCGGCGCGCTCGTCCGCCTTCCTCGGCGCCTACATCGCCCTGTTCTACTACGGCGTCTGCCTCGCTCGCACGCGCCTCGGCCCGCACGTACTCGGCAAGGACACGGCGGCCCGCCAGCGGATCGACAGCGGGATCTGCGTCGGCACGGGCTGCGCCCTGTGCGGGTGGAGCATCCTGATCGAGAAGCCCGGGCGGGTGGCCAACATTGGCCTGTTCGTCGCGCCGCGCGCCATGGCGACCCTCCTGCCCAGGCGGTACCCGTGGGACAAGCAGTGGCGCGAGACGGCAGTCTTCGCGGCCAGCACGGCCGTCGTCTTCACCTGCGTGCTCGAGAACAAGGCCCGGGTGCGCGGGTTCTTGGGGACCGTGCTGGCGACGGTGCTGGAGCCGTAAAGAGGTGTGGCTGGTGGCTTTGCCCCGGAGCAGGGCATGCTCAACGGCGGGCGGGCGGTTCGGTCAAAGGACAGCCTGGATAATCCTCTGACGGACACCACAACTTTCTCGTGTTTATAACTCTTCGTGTAAAAAGTTTGGTTAAAAGTTGATGTAATACTGATTGTAAAACCATGCCCTAGTCGCCAAAATTTAAGGATAACCATCATTTCTGGTTAGCAGCTTTTCAATAGAGGTATGGTGCTTGACGGACGGGATATCACTCTGAGACTGCAAGAGAGCCATGTCGTGCGTTGCAAAGATCCGTAATCGTTTACAGCAGACCGCGTAGACAATACGATCTTGTTTTTTATTCTTTGAAGTCTGCAACCCCCTATTCCGCCCCATAGTCAGTCATCATCTCTCCTCCCAAGCCGCATCACCCCCCCTCACGACCGCAACCATACACAAACCCCCAGCACAAAAACACAGACCAGCGCGTCACTCCTAATGGTGCTCAAGATCCGACCGTACTGCAGCGCCTGCCTCAGATAACTCTGCACCTGCCCGGGAAGGAAGCCGCTGATCGTCCAGGCCCAGCCCGTCGGCGGCGCGCGGTCCTTGTCCAGGAAGAAGCGCGAGGTGAGGAGCACGGCCTCGATTGAGGTGAACAGGTAGAAAAAGTAGGCCTTTGTCTCGTCGACGCTGCGGGCCCCGAAAAAACCCGTGCTCTCGATGGTCCCGTCCTCGCGCTCGGCGTGGGTGCCCGTGAAGGTGGTGGACAGCGCGACATACAGGCCGAGCCCGATCGCGAAGACGGCGTGCAGGATCCGCCAGAGGTTCGTCGTCTTCTGGGCGACGGCCTGCTGGGCTTGGGCAAAGGGGCTGTTGGCTGCAGGGCCGGCGCCGCCTGCTGCTGCACCACCGTCCAAGCCGCCCAAGCTTCCAAAGAGTCCGTCCAGCGGGGTGCCGGCGAAGGGGTTCTGGCCTCCCTCGGCCCCGGGCATGCCGCCGGACATCATCTGGCTCATGAGTTTCATGATCGGGTCGTCCTGCAGGCCCTCCATGCCGGGGGGCATGGAAGCTCCTCCGGCGGGGCTAAAGGGGTTCTGGGGTTGAGGGCCAGCAGCGGAGGACGGGTCCATGCCTAGCATCAGCTGCCGCAGTTGGTTCTCGGAGAGGTTGCTCGGGTCGCTCGGGATGCGGGCGGTTGTTTCTGGCTTGTAGAAGTGCTGGGAGATGTCGACCTCTGCAGGGTCGGCGTCGTGCGAGGAAGCTGCTGCTGGCGTCGCTTGGGGCGTCGAGGTCTGGGTAGTAGTAGCTGTGGACGGTGCTGGTGATGGTGCAGACTGGACTGGCGCGTCTAGATTCGAGATTTAGGAGTCAGACGCCGTGCTATACTTCAGGCAAAGGTGTGATTCGAGTACTGACCGCGAGGTATGCCACCCCCGAGACCGGTAATCTTGTTGAGTCGAGCAGAGCCGCCGGCCTTGATCTTGGCCTCTCGCCGCTCCTTGCGGAGACGAGCCTGCTCGGCGGCACGAGCGGCGGCGGCGTCCTCGGGAGCCTGGACAGTCTCAGTCATGATGCTGATCGTGCTTGTGCCAACGTGCTGCTGATTTTTGAGCCTAGGGGGGTGAATGTGGTAGTGTCCTGGGCGAGTGCTTGGTGGCAGTTGTGAAATGACGATGTGGGGTGTCGTTTGGATGGAGCTCCAGCCATGTGTTGTGCTGTGGTTGAATCAAGTGCGATGTCACCACCAACAGGTACCTCCACCAGAGCTCGCTGGCTGGCGGGTCCCCTGGTTCTGGAAGCATCCCACTAATCGATAGGGATTGGACCCTGTTAGCTGCAGCGATGACATGTGCCTGCAGCGTCCTCGTCGAAAGTTTGTCTTCGCCAGGCCACTCTGCCTCAGCCACACAACTATTGCAGCACTGCGAAAATGATGATGCACCACGCATCCTCGCGGGCATGGCTCAGGTCTGCGCTGCACATTGGCGACCGGCCGCCGCGCAGGCTTGACCTTCCTGTCTTTCTCTGCCCACTCTCAAGTTGCGTCCCCTCCACAGCAAGAGGCTTGGGAACATCCCAACGATTCGCTTCCCAGCGCCAGGCCTCAACCACGACGCTGGCCAAGTACAACAACAACTTCTTGCAGAACCGTCCCCCGAGACGGTGCATGCACTTTCAGGCCAAGCAAGAAACGACTGTGACGCCCCCCTCAGAGCCTGGCCATGCACCGTATGCCGACGTACATGCAGCCCTGCCAAAGCAGTGCACTGGCTGTGGTGCGCTCTCCCAGACGGTGCTTTCAAACCAGCCGGGATACTACAGTCTGGACCGCAAGGCTGTCCGCAGGCACGTAGGGCTAGAGAATCTCAAGGTCCAAGAGCCGGCCAATACCGCAGAGGACGCCATCCTGCAAAATGTCATCGACAAGGCCGACAAGTCTGAGCTAGAGAAACAAGGAGTCGACTTCGACGAGCTCAGCTCAGCCCTGATGCAGTCTGATCCACCGAGGACGGGCAAGCCCACCAAGCCGCCGTTGTGTGACAGATGCCACTCGCTACTCCATAACCGAGCTGGGACACCCATCCTGCACCCAACAATCGACTCTATACACGACACCTTGCTCGACTCTCCTTACAAGTACAACCACGTTTACCATGTGTTGGACGCTGCCGACTTCCCCATGTCTCTCATGCCCAAGATCCATCAGCTCCTGGACGTTATGCCCCTGCGGACCCGGAATCGTCGGTCTAGCGCTGGCCGTTTTCAGAAAGGTCAAAAGATGGAGCTGAGCTTTGTGATTACGCGGGCCGATCTCCTTGCTCCGACAAAGCAACAAGCCGATCGTCTACTGCCTTATTTCCGCGAGGTCCTCCGTGATGCTCTTGGCCGGGATGGTCGTGACGTCCGCCTTGGCAACGTCTCGCTAGTCAGCGCGGTGCGTGGCTGGTGGACGAAGGAGGTCAGAGAGGACATATGGAAGCGCGGCGGTGCTGCATGGCTCGTAGGCAAGGCCAACGTTGGCAAGAGTCAGCTATTCGAGGCAGTCTTCCCCAAGGGCAGAATGGAGTGGGAACCGAGCAGGCACCAAATTGCTGTGGATCTCTATCCCGTAGGCAAGAAGGAATCCCTAATCAAGCCTTCGAAGAAGGAGGGCGAGCTTGAGGATCCGGCCATCGAGGAGTTGAAACAACAGTTGGAAGCATTGGAAAAGCAGGATGTGGACACCGACTCCATGTTGACCCCGGCGCCCGAAGAGGTGCAGTACCCCGAGATGCCACTGGTTTCTGACTTGCCAGGCACCACGGCTTCGCCCATCCGCGTACCATATGGAAACGGGCGTGGCGAGGTCATCGACCTTCCGGGGCTGGAGCGCAGCACCCTCGAACAGTACGTGCGGAAAGAGCACCGATCGTCACTGGTTATGCGCCACCGGATCGTCCCAGAGCAGATCGTCCTGAAGCCAGGCCAATCCTTGATCCTTGGCGGTGGTCTGATTCGTATAACGCCACAAGAGCCATCGCCTATCATGCTTGCGTACAGTTTCACGCCTATCCAGCCCCATCTCACCGCAACTGAGAAAGCCATCGGGCTCCAGGCTCAGACCAGCGAGGTCAATGTCGAGAGTATTGCAGTTGAGGGCACTGGCGAGACAGTCAAGCTCGCCAGATCAGTCAAGCTGCAGTGGGATGTCACGAGGGAGAAGACTGGCCCCTTGACGCGCAGGCATGCCGTTGGGCTGTCTGTCGATCGGCTGCCATACCGTGTTCTGGCAGCGGATATCCTTGTGGACGGAGTTGGTTGGATTGAGATCACTGCTCAAGTGCGAACGAGAGATTTGTACCAGCAAGAGGTCGTGTCCGAAGACGAGGTGAAGCCGGAAAGCGAGACAGTATCAGAACCAGAGCCGGTACCAGAGCCCAAACTTTCAGCACTCGAGCGACTTGAAAATATCAACAAGCCAGTCAAGAAGCCGAAGAAGGAGTCGCCGCTACCGCCAAAGCCTGCTGGCGAACTGAACTGGCCTGTGGTCGATGTCTTCAGCCCCGAAGGCAAGTACATTTCCGTGCGGCGACCGATGAATGGCTGGGAGATCAACAAGCCAAAGCACAATCCGGCTTCAGACAAATCGAGGCCACGAAAGAGCATGAAGGGCATGAAGAAGCTGGACAAGAAGCGTAGGCGAGAGCGAGAGGCTTCCCTGGCATGAGGGCTAACCCTTACATTCATGTCGTAACAAGGTTTCACATGTGCAAGATTGGTCTTTGTATAACAACATTACTGTATAACACCTAGATCAGTTTATAGAACAGATACCCATTGTATTTTTGTCTATTCTTTGTCAGAGGCTGCTGGGAAGGTGTAGTACCAAGAGTCCTTGCTATGTCATGTTTATAGCGGGTTGGGTACTGTGTTGTGTGGTTGGGCGCACAGCAAAGAGTGACGTCGGTCTTTGAATTAATTAGGCCTTTGAATGCCAGCCCCACCACGCCCGAGATGGTGTGCTCTGGACCCTGGCATTGAAGGCCGTGGCATGCATGGGCTTTCTATATTTCCGCATTCCATGCCCCGCCACCACAACTTTCTGACAAACCACGACATCACACCTACAAGCCCCCGATCGCAAGACCTGTGCCGGTCCCGAATCTCGACCTTGTCAGAGACTGCGCATCGACTCTGGCCCGGCAACAGAACGCTCTTCGACCAGCATCCCTTCCTCCTCTGGCAGGAGAGGAAGCAGAAAGCACGCCCTCACAACCATCAAACACAACAGACTCAGTACCTGAAGATGCCACCGCGACCAGGACAACAACAAGGACGACCGGGCGAGTCCTCCCAGACCCAGACCGTCACTTCGTCACCCGCCACGGGCCCAGCCCAGCCGCCCGGCGCGACGCCCGCGATCCTGCGCCTCCGCGGTGCGCACCACCCATCCGCAAACCACGTCCAGTGGGCCGAGAACGTGGTGGACAACGAAGGGCTCGGCCGCAAGAGCTCAAAGGTGTGCTGCATATACCACGCGCCGCGCGCGGTCGGCGAGTCGAGCGATGAGTCGGACTCATCTTCGTCTTCTTCCTCCTCGGACGACTCGGACTCGGATGCTGGCGGCGGGAGGCAGCCCGACGACCCGAGGGACCGCGCGGCGGCGCTGAGGAGGGCGGCGAAGGAGCGAGAGCGGCAAAAGAGACGAGATGAGGCGTGTCAGCACGACCATGGCCACGACCACGATCACGATCACGATCACACACACGGAGCAGCGAGCTCATCAGACTCTGAGGACGGCGGAGACGATCGGAGTCGCAGGAACGGAAAGCAGAGCAGCAGCAGCGCAAAGAAGAAGAATAAGGCGGCACGCAGGCCGAGCCCGAACGCATATGAGAAGCAACCCAAAGCAAAGCCGAGACCCGTGGACAAGTAATGCATAAAAGTCAACTACCCGCAAACCACACACACACATATACAACACGCACGAACATTAGATGAAGCGGGCGCCACCGGCCATGATGCGGACGGAGATGGGATGCTCATTATTAGCATGGTCCGCACTTGATGGGGCAGATCATCATCAGCACTTATGGATGGGAGGGGGGGCTTGCATGCAAAATGCGTCCCAGCGACAGTCCTCACTAGCAGGCAGCAAAGCGGCCTCGGCCGTCCACACATCTTCCGAGAACATCACATCTTGAGGAGCGAGCACCTGCCAGAGCATATCTCCCGGATGTCTGTCCGCATACCTCACGAAATCCATGGGGGCTCCGTCCCGCACACTGCTGACCGGTCCGATCCAGCTGTCTGACCAGGCGGGATGGGAAGCCTTACCTGCAAGCCACGAAATGCCTGTTCTCGACACCTGGTAATTAGGTTCTTGCGATCTGCACAAGCACTTGTTCATGCGAGCAGCGGATACAAATCACGCGCCACTCATATTGATTTGCTATACACATCAGACATAGATCTTTGAAGGGACTCGGGGGGGGGGGGGGGGGGGCAGGGCGGGATCGGTTTGTTCCAGGGCAAGGCTTTGGCAGGGCGGGTTGACTTATCGTGGGTGGCAAAATAGGACAACAGGAGGCAAACTTGTCCTTATGTGCCTGTAAGATACGTGCAGTCAAGGCTGTTTCGGATGCTTCGTGGAGGAGGCACATTTTATTGGTCGGCTACTTCCAAGTGTGAAGAGCACTGCGACTTCTAGATTGTAAAGAACCTTCCCAGCAAAAGTCTGGGCAAAATATCTAGTATGCAAGCGAGCAAGGTTCTGTCTTCTTACTCAAGGCCCCAACAAATTACAAATGCTCTTTGGTCGCCTGCTCTATTTTCCTCCACGCATTGTCTCTTACAATTAGGATAGCCGGATGTCGTGTCCAAATCCTGCTCACCACAACTTTTTTGGCCTTGGTGCTTCTGATGTACAAGTCTATGGTGTGAGTCCAGACATTCAGCTCCACGATCGTCGCCAGCGTCCGTTCCATGGTGGTGGAGGGGTGGGCGACGCGCTGCTAAAAGCTGAACACGTTCCTGATCAACTGGTGTGTGCCCTTCCAAACCGGCAAAGGCGTATATTCCATTCGCTGTCTATGTATTCTTGCCCGGATGTGAAATGGTCGGCACTGAGTTGCCGAGTGCAACCATGCTAGGAACCTGCTTTCGCATGAAGCCACGGGTGCGCTGTTCTGGGCGGGGCACGCCCTGGATCGCCCGAGGCTCCTTCATCAGACTGGTATCGAGTCTGGCTGGAATCCTCGTCGTGACAGATCGATAATCACCGGTGAATTTGGCATTGGGAACAGGCACTGAAGCCGTCCGCCAGAGATGGTCATATGTATCGGCTAGATAGGACGATGATTTGGACGAGGAGGATGAGGACGATGACCTTGAGGGGAGCTGGAGTCCACCCATTGAACTGGACAACCCATGCGAGGCTCGAATGGTGGAGAGTCGTGACAAGCCACTCAAGCCTGGCTTGCCTCTCGATTTCTTGGCCAGGAGAACTTCATCGAAGAGTCGGACTTCTGGGTCTGCGGCAGGCTTAAGCTCCCTCTCGTGGATGAACTCGTTGAAGGCTAGTTGTTGTTAGCTTGCGAGGGCCACTACTAAGCAGCAGTGATGACATACCTTGGGTGTCTTTCATCATCGTCACATAGTCCTGTTGGTCATAGGGCAGATTCCGTATAAACCCGTTCATATCGAAGGCATATAATTGCCCATTCGTCTTCTGCTCTTTCGATGGCCGCCCAAGGTGCTTCCGGTAAGTGTATAGCAGACTGGCATAACACCGCACGAATGCCGCACGAACCTTGTCCGCGTTGAAGGCGATCGGGCAGACCACCGAGACACAGCCGAGGCAACGCCCGTGTGTGCTAATGTTGCAGCCCGTGCACTTGTAGCACCCATCGCCCTCGGCTCTTTCATCGCAGATCGCGCACACCGAGGTGTTGTCCTTTGCTTGGAAATGGAAGCAGTGGCCCTCCACCCACACAACAGTGTCAGTGTTATGGACTGGTTGTATAAGCATATTAGGCATGATTGTTGAGGCGGCTATCGTCGATTGCGCATAAGTGGACGGGGCATATCCGCCGCCGTAGGACGATTGGGAATTCACCGAGATAGCTGAGAGAGATGCGTTGGGCTGGTGGCCATTCAAGAACGGCGGGTTGGGCCGAGGCACTGGCCCTTGGCCGAATGACGAGCTCCTCCTCCCCACTGGCTCATTGAGGTTACCCGAACGCTTCTCACGCAGCGTCGCTGACAGTGCAAAACCTGAGTCACTCCTGGAGATTGGTGTTATCGGCACAGGTGGAAAGTGAGCTGACGTCGGTGAGACGGACGATTGTGGGCTTGTTCTGTTTGACTTGCTTGTGGAAGGACGATCAGGAGCGCCTGGCTTGGCATGCGGGAAAACATTGAAGATCGGCGGCCGTATGTTCTCGGCAGGTTCAGCCTCTCCAAACGTCGTAGAGCTTTGGCTCACCCACTTTGAGAGCGTGCTCGGCTTGGCCCTCTCGTTGAAAAGTCCCTCGTTCTCCGCTGCAAATGCGTCGTATGGATACGATTCGATGGCGTAAGGCGGTGGCCCGGTTGTGACGCCATAGCGGATCTGATGTGGTGCAGCAAGCTGAAGCAATGCCATCAGCTTGCGCCTGTGCTGCTTGGGAAGTCGCACTGGTTGATTGGTGGCATCAATCGTGTCCTTGTCCAGATCGACGAGAACGTAGTCATCGTCAGGGAGCTCTATATGGTCGTACCTTCGCTCTATCCCCACGATGTAGGGACAGGGGGCTTCAAGGGCAGAGAGGAGACGAGCTGGAAGGATAGGTATGAAGACTCCAACCCACGTGAGAGGGTATAGGAGATTGAGCAGCGCATGTGCTGCGAGATGAAGCATGGATGTATGAGAGGAGAGGAGAATGATTCGCGACTCTGACATTGCGTACTCGAAGAGGGTGACGACATTCTCCAGCGAGAGGCACCTAAACAGGGCGTAGAGGTCGATGCTTCGGGAGCCAGGCAGCTCGTTTGCTGCTTCTTTACGAGCATAGAGGCGCAGCTCCCGCACGCCGATCTCTACCTGCGTCTTGGAGCTGAGGGGGCTGAACGCCTCTGCGCACAAGTTCACCACGTATCTCTCCAAAGGCTGCCATCGGCCAACCCGAGGAGAGCTTGCCGGGACCCTGAGGACGCCACCATCAGTCATTGGCACGACGACGGCCCGCAGCCAGTCCTTCCAAAAGCCGATTCGCGAAGGATCTCGACCAAGAATGCCGTAAGCTCGAGGTGTCCACAATCCGCTCTCGCCCGCGGTCAGGCCATCAATCTTGGACGCGGCTCCGTGCCGCAGTGGCCGTAGCATTTCCGTCATCAGACTGATCTTTTCCTCCACCGCACTAATTTGCTCGTCCAGTCGCTCACGTGCTGCTGAGCCAGAGGGTATCGTGGGCAACTTGGCCAGCAACTGGGACAGATGTGCCCGCTCTGCGGCGAGCCGAGTGCCGAGGCTGCCTGCCAGTTCTCGTTCTTCATTGGACATGTGACTCTGTCGCCATTGTTCACAACGTCGCTCAATGTCCTCGGCGGTGTCGGCAGGGACCGCTGTCCAGACGACTACTGTGATTCCATAAATCCTCGATGAGTCATCCGATGTCATGGTGAAGCCGTGCCAAGTAGACCTCGGTCGGTCATCAGACGAGACAATCTGGATATCGTTTGGAAAAGCGAACATGGGTACATAGTCGGGGAATCTCCCCCGTCGACTGAGGTCTTCGTCTGCGTTGCGCGGAGGATAACGATCGAGTAGTTCGGGTTCGAATCGGCGTTTCAGTGGATGCATGTCCGGATCCAGATTGAGTGGTTCCGGTGGAGGAATCACAGAGTTGTAGTTGCTCAACCTTCTTGCAGTCTTGATGGAGGCAGCTACGACTGCGTTGTCAGAATATCTCTAGATTGCACACGTGGAGGGGTATGTGCACTTACCAGGCTTAGGAGGACCAGGCGGCTTCCGCGCACTGCTCATGTCCTTGAAACTTATTTTCCGCCTGATGCTGCCGCGGATGCTCCCTCGGATGCTCTTGAGGGGACTCAACCGCCCGCTAGCATTTTCGTCTGCCTTGATCCGCTCCGTCCTGGGGTTGACCATGGGAGGCCGTGCTTGGGTCTTGGCCCCAGCAGAGAAACTCAAGTCATCGAGAAAGTTCTCTCTCTCTGCGGCAAATTTAACGAGAGCCTTGTCGAAGTCGAAGTCTGCCATTGAGAGCAGGCCATCCTGGCTAGCTGCAGCAGCGGCAGGCGTAGGAACTGGTCGTATGGTAGCACTGCTCCTGTTACTCCTAGTATTTCCATCAAGCTCGTCCAGAGTGTGGATGGTGTTGGCTATGGAGGACTTTGAAAGCCGGTGTCCGGCATTCTGCTGAGAACGCCGTGCGGCACGCTTCAGCAGGCCGTTGGGCTCATCCGCGTCTTCTGGTTCGCCATCTTCCGCGATGACTGTGTCGACCTGTGTGGAAGTAGCCGAGCTGGGAAAGTCCTGATAGGATATGGACTCGATACCTGCTATCCAGAAGTAATCGGCCAGTGGGGCAGAGGATTCATCCATGATGATCCGTCATAAGGAAGAGAGGTCTGAGTGTTGGGCTAGCAGGAGCGTTGGCTTCCTGGAGACTTGTGAAAGCTCAGGAGAGCAGAGATGATGATGGTCGCCAAGCCCAATAACCACACCGAGGCCCAGCGGAAAGCGAGCACGCCCCGAAAGGCGGCGGTCTGCGTGTCGTCTCCCTCGTCTTCGGAAGTAGCCGCTGGCAATAGAGCGCCCCGCGCGTGGGATTTGTGGTCAATTGTCTGAGACAGTTCGAGCTTGCGTGCCTGACAATGGGTGCAGAATGGCGAGTGTAAGTGTAAGTGGGTGACTTTGGGACTGAGGCCGGAAGCGGTACAGACGATGTACGTGACGATGTAGAGAGCAAGAAGGAAGGCGTCTGTAGTGAGGCTCCCGCGAAGTGCCGTGTAAGGAGGGCGCGGCTCGTGTCGTGTCTCACGCGTCGGCGAGGCGGCTAGCGGAGGTCGAGCGAGAAAGAAAGCAGCGGCAGCAGCAGCAGCAGCAGCAGCAGCAGCAGCAAGCAGGCGGCGGCGGATTGGGGATTCGGGGAGCGAGGAGAGACAGGAACAGTGGATCAGAAAGGGGAGGCTAGCGCAAAGACCCCTCCGCGAGGGTGAGGTGGGGGTTCCGTCGTCGATCCGCGAAGCCGGTTCGCCGCTAGACTACCTGCTTTCGTGTGCCCTGAGTGGGATCTAAGTTTGAAGCCGTCAATCGCTGCTGCAGATTGCGGATCGCAGGTCGGCGCGAGAGTGGTGATGTGGTGTAGGCAGGGCAATCTTTTTGACGTCGTATGTGGTGGTGCCTTTTGATAAAAGACGAGTCTGGGACGGAGCCTCCACGCCTTGGGAAGACGGTGCACTTCTAATGTAGGTAATTCACGGCTAATATCTCGCTACCGCATGCACCAGACCTCCTGCTGTGCAACCACCACTGCGGCGTGCCAGGCCAGGTCGGGCTCATATGCGCTTCGCAGGGGCACGCACGCACGCTCGCTCCAACGGATTAGGCACCCTCCGTCCCCGAGGGCCGTTGGCTAAGCACGAAGACACGGTGCGGCGCGGCGCGGTGCCTGAGCTCGAAATCAACATTCCTCGTCGTCGTCCTCGGCTGCATGCGGACCCCGTTGCACCTGGAGGCACCCGCCCGCATTGACTGCTGGTCTGTCGATGGAGACCGCACGACTCACTCCCGCGGCACCTCTGTGCCGCAGGGTTTTTTTTTCCTCCTTTGCCAGAGGGCACCCAACAGAGCCTCGCCTGCAGCAGCACAACATCGCAATGCAAGCAATGCGCAGCAGACCAGCCAGGCACGTTGCAGAAGGAGGAGCCGGTCAGCCGAGGCTGGCAGCCTGGCCGCGCACCACTCTGGGAGTGACACCACGTTGCGGCGAACAGCCCAAGACGACACCGATGGCAACGACACGAGCTCTGCCGCCAGGGGTCTCAGGGCCGGGGCAGCATCCCGGACGGGCATAATCAGAGGGTCTCGCAGCCAGGAGCCACACCGTGGTGGAGTGGGCTCGCAGCGGTCCCTTGCTGCCATGGCTGGCTGACGGAGCATGGCAAGCGAGGCACGCTCTCTGACAGGCTTGACTGGCTTTTCAAAACCAAGGATGGTGTCACCGCTGCTGACAGCCGCACACCAGGACCAAAGACGTCTTTTGGGTACTCGACTCGTGTCCGGGGTTCTCGCTTTCAAGCTCAAAGCTGACGGATGCACCTCTGAGGGATGCCGGCTCACCATGGCTGGGGCCGTGGTTGTCGACAGGTGATGTTGAATCTGACAGTCAAAATTGTCCGCCAACCTCGTCCTCAAAGACTCGCGCACAAGAAATCCGTTCGGTGCGTGAAATTGGTCCAGCCAAACACGGAGTCCATGCCAGGGCGTAGAATACGACCGTCTTCCCCTCGGATTGAGCCCAACAATGAAGACAGCAAGAAGACACATGGCAACCGGCGAATTAGATGTACGGACGTGGCAAGTCACGCACAGCAACTGACATCCGCTCGCAAAAAGAATAAAAATAAAATAAATGCCTTCCCACGGATAACCACAAGGATCATACTGCGGTGCAAGAGGACTCGAGGCGTCTCACGCAGCCGCCTCAAAGGCCTGAGGGCTGCATTGACTGTCCCAGGAGGAGGGCAACCCTCAACAGCCATGGCGCGAAGCTAGCATCGGGCCCTTTGCCATGGAGTGGCTCATTGGAGCACCCGTACACCGTGTTGAAGCTAGCAGACCCGCCAATCCGGCAGCATCTGAAACGTGCCTGTAGATCTGCTGAAGGCGTGGCGTCAACTGGTTAGGGCCAGATCCAATGTTCTCTGCTGCTCAGGTCCGTCATGATGACAAACCCTCTGGCTGGCTGGCTAGCCCTCGTGCGACGGACGAGTGTTGTGGATGTCGTCTTTGTCTCTCAATCCCTCGAACCACCACATCGGAAGATATTCCGAAGACCAGACTTTAGTTCAAGTCAACTGGGCAGTATTATACTTCCAACTCCGGATTCGCCTGGCAACCGGGAATGCACGAGCACTCCGAAATTTGCTTTTTTGAGGGGACTAGCCGCTCCTGTAGGTCGAGGCTTCGTTTTTCCGAGCCAGCATTGCGAATTCGTGCATATCCACGTGGGGCCGGACCACGCGACCTACATCAGTCACAACCAAGACTCTTGGACGAAAACCAGCCAGCCCGAGACGGACAGTATGCAAGGGACAAAGCATTGTCTGCCTGAAAGCCGGGCCGAGCCAGATCAAGAATGCAGTGCTGCAACATTGAGGCGAGCATGGTGGCACTCCGTGAAGGGAAGCATTCAGTAATGAGTTCGCCGGTACCTGCGCAAGCGCGCAAACGTTGGCGCTTAAACTTTGTCCACCCTGCGTCGTGTGACGCAAGCTATTGGCCCAGGAATCAAGGCACTAGTTGTATGCCTGCCCAGAGTCTGCCCACCACGATCAACCGTCAGCCATTCCGGTCTCGGGTAATGCACGCTCCAGCGCACCGTGCTTCACTAACGTAGCCAGCTAAACGCCACTCGACCAAGTAGTATCTCATTCACCGCTAACACTCAGCGTGTCTAGCCACAGAAGTGATTTCCAGCAGACGGTGCTCAGGGGCTTGCAGCCAGGGCACGACTGACTTGGTAAAGACTCCAGGGCTCCACAGCTCAATCGTTGAGAACATCTCATTGGGCCGAACGGTGACCAATCGGACATTATAATCGATCACGAAAGCTTATATGTTCTTCAGCCGTGTTCTCTATGCAATATAAAGCGTGCCTTGACACCGGAGGCGATCTCTGATGCAGGATAATCCAGAGTGATCCCTGCAGATACAGAAAGTCGTGCTGCAACGGGCATATCCAGTCAACGATCGGTGTCAACTTCTGGGGGCTCGAATAAAGAGCAACAGAGTCAGGTAAACCCCATCAGCGTAAGTAGTCGGTTGTTTCAGCAAACGGTCAGAACAGCCAGAACATGTACATCTCGCTCTCTCCGTTCTGTATGGATGATCAGGGTTTTGAGTTCCGGAAAACTAGACATCGAAGCAGAGAGCATGGCCTTGTGACTGGGAAGCAATGTAGTGCGCAGTGCATTTTGACCTCCTCGGCGGCCGCGAGAGTCCGCCCCCGTCTAAAGGATATATTGCAAGTACATGTGCACGCATCGTCACCTGACGACTCTCGTCCCAAGCTTGCCCGTTGTCAGATAGCCCTTGTTTCCCATCTCGCTGCGCCAACCAATACCCAGCACACCAAAGACGATCCGGCCGTCCTTGCCCTCCACAGCGCTGCCGACCTCGTCCTCCCCGACGATAAAGCAGCACTGCTGTATCTCTCCCGGCTGCAGCACGGGCCGGGGGGAACCGGTGGCCTCCCAGTTGCAATCGCGGTAGTGCACGCCCGGGTCGAGCTCGAGGAGCACGCGACTCAGCTGCATGGCGTCCTCGCTGCAGTTCTCGAGCTGGGCCTCCATCACCCATTTCCTGCGCTTCTTCTCGCTGTGCACCCCGCCGTCGCTGCCATCTTGCGACGCTCTCTGGGCGTCCGTCGCCATCGCGGACGGCGCGGGTAGTGGCCCGACCTTTGTCCGCACAATCAGCGCACCTTTGCAGATGAACTGGTACAGCTTGCGGAACGTCCTCGTGCGGCCCGAGGTCTCGGTCGCCTCGTAGTAGCTCACCGTGACGGCGAGCACGTGGTTCCCCTCGTCCTTGAGGTCGAAGTTCACAATCTTCTGCAGCGTCTGCCCCGGTTCAAGGTCCACCCCTTGCGTCCCCGAACTTCCGCCTCCCCCACCAGCTGTTTCGCTGGTGTGTGCTGCTCCCGTCGTTGAGGGCGGCGGCATATCGGTCGGCGTGAGGCTGAGCTGCTGCACCGCGCCGGAGCCGGGGGTCTTCATCTCCGCTTCTATGCGTACATCGCGGATCGACTTCTTCTTTTGGTAATGTTGCTGCTGCTGCTGCGAATAGTTGTCACCCGGACCGCCGCCGCTCGCGGGTGGATCGCCCAGAGCATCATGATTCGCGCACAACGTGCAACTGAACGTCTCGCCTACATAGGCAGAGCCAAATGACGGTGGGAGGTTGAGGATTGGCGTGAGGAGGAACGGGTCCGGGTTTGTGTCGGAGGTAGTCTGGTATGCGAGCGAGGCGGGTATCGTGGCTGGCTTCGATGACGACGATGTTGATGACGGTCGGTCTAGAGGCGCCGGGATCGGAGACGTAGGTGCGAGGAGAGAGTGTTGTGAGACGAGGGACGGCCGTGACAAGCTACAGGCGCCGACCCGGAGGTACAAAGACGTCAGTGATTGTCGCTGTCCTGGCGGCGTGTCCTGCTTGTCGGGTGAACGACAGGAGCTTGGCACGAGCTTGACTCACCGAAGGACTTTCAGGGAGACCGCATGCGGCTCTTTGACGGGGTCGATTGACGGATATCTTTGGTGGCTCATTGTGCTCTGATGCCGGCCTAGCAGTTGATATGGCTGGTTCGCGCTGGGAGCATCGTAGCTTGACCAGTGAGGCTCTAGTACCCGCCCGCAGTGCCCAGACCCGTGCTGTCCGTCAGGGAATTATCGTCTGTGTGTCGAGCTACTGGGAAGTCGTGTCGCGAGCAGTGACGGTCTAGCGCGAGCTCCGAGGTCTGTAGCTTCGTGCGTTGTTGCGCGGGCCGACTGCGCAACAGTGGCAGCTCTATCGATAGAAGTCAAGTGAGCTCAGTGAGCACGGCGAAGGGGTCGTATCGCAGCGTGGGGGTGGGGACACACAGCCTGTGCCCGCTCGGAATTCCTCCGGGAGCGGGTCCGGACAGCCTTTCAGTGAACCCTGGACGTGCATATTCTTTGAACAATCACAAACGCCCAACTGGACAATTATTGATTAGGCATTGCTCTGTTCCATCGGTCATTAGACATTGCTGTACAACTGAGGAGCGTGTCATCTCACATCAAGCGTCTCTGCATCATGGGTCGAGCAAGCTATGCGCACAAGGAGCCAGTGAAGGGGCAATCAGATATCGGTACCTCTTTCATATAGGCGTCTAAACGTCAGTGGAATACATTATCGACCACGATTTTGTGGACACAAATTATATCTGCAAGCAAATCAGAGTGCTCGCAACACCTCGGGCAAAGCTGAGCTTCCCATTATACTGAGCTTGACCTTTCAGACCAATGCACTGTGGACACACTCTAAATGGGCACTCTATAGTCCAGGCGGTGGGGGCACGTTGCCATAAGCTCCAGCACCAGGCGGACCGCCAGATGGCGGAGGCGGAGGCGGAGGAGCTTCAGAAGGAGGCGGCGGTGGCGGCGAGGTTGATGCGCCGGGAGGCGGAGGCGGAGCTGGTGAGCCTTGCTGGGCTGCTTGCGCGGCAGCGTAGTACTGCTGGTAGTACTGCATGTACGCCTGGTAACCACCGTAAGCGGCATAGGGATCCTGGCCTCCATAGTACTGAGCGTACTGCGCAGCATAATCGGTTGCGGATGGGGTCGCGGCAGCACCGGAAGCCGGAGAGGCGCTCGCGGCAGCAGGGTTTGGCGAATTACTGTAACCGCCATAACCTCCATACGACCCGGACTGCTCGCGAGACCTGTCATTGTGCCCACCGTGCGACCGGTCGCCATAATTGTCACCATGCCCTCGGTCTCTGTAGCCGCCGCCGCCGCCGTAACCGCCATGGTCACGGTTGTCGCGGTTATCACGATGGTCCCTGTGTTCTCCTGGGCCACGGTCCCGGTAGCCGCCACGATCGCCGTAGTGCTGGCGAGGGGGGCGAGCCTTAAACTCCTCATACTGCTCTTTGACGTTGGCAAGAAGATCCTCGCACAGTTCCTTCGCCTTCTCGACCATGCCGGCATCAGGTCCGCTGTTGTATGGTTAGTAAATGAACGCAATCGGTGGGGATGTGCAGGAAAAACATACGCGACGTGAAGGAACATATCCTCCTCGCTTTCGCGGTTGGTGGCAGTCTCGATGAAGCCAGAGCCTCGGCCTTTGATCTGGACACGACAGCCCGTCTCTTGCTGGATATGTTTGACGTAAGAACCACCGTGCCCGACCACTTGAGCACGCAAGTTGAAACCCGGTACTGGCTCGAGATCGATTGGAATCTTGGCCTCGGGCCATTTGCGCTACGCCCAGTTAGCTCGCAACTCTTCGGTCAAGGGTATACTGCCACTAAGACTTACCCTGCCGAGCTCGTCGCGCTCGACTTGGGGCTCCTGGTCACGTCGGCGAAACCGTCGTTCGTCAACAAGGGTAGGCAGCTCCTGCTTCATGAGCTCCTCAATCTTCGCAACAGCCTTTTCCAGGCCTTCCTTGGTCGTACTGGTGACGTGCAGGTATAACGGCGGGGCCTGGGAACCACGTTAGCGCATATGGTGCTTGGTGGATCCATTGACTTTGTGCTCACCGAGGGTGTCGCCATGCTCTTGTCCGGGTAATAGTTGCCTCGAGTTGTAACATCTTGTCAAAAGTCAACATGTGGTTTCCACGACAGTAGTAACGTGGAGAGAAGTCCATACCAGCTCCAGTCTCATCAGCAATCTATATTCAAGCAGCCGAGGTCAGCAGATGCAGAAGAGGGCCCTGTGTGAGCTGGTGCTGCCCAGTGTAAGCAGAACCGCGCAGACACAAGCGTCGAGCCATGGGTGGTCATGGCTGCTGTAGGGAAAATCAGCAGCAGCCGTCCAAAGGAATATTTACCATCTTCTGGGTCGAGCCCTTGGTGAGCAGGTATCGGTTGCGCAGGTCATTGACCTCAATGTCCTTGATGTAGTCGCCCTCGGCGATGTAGACCTCGGTGTTCAGGCCGCCGCCCGCGCCGGCACTCTGAGCACCGCCGACGCGAGCCTGCGCCGCGTCAGAGTGCTGAGGGCCCTTCTTGGCCTGAAGCTGCGCGTTGATCTTCGCTGCTGCCGCAGCAGCCGCCGCCGCCGGGTCTAGGGGGCTCTTGGCAGGAGCACCGCCTTCCGGCGTGCCCGTGGCATCTCTGCTGAGCGGGCTGCGATCGCGGTTGGAATCAGCCTTGCGCGCCGGCGGCGAGCGGGATCTGCGGTCGAATCGTGATCGACGAGCAGGCTCAGGTTCGGTCTGGTCGAATCGCGACCGCTTCGCGGCTGGCCTTTCGGAGTCGCTCATGTTGTTGCGGACCTTGAAATCGTGGAGATGCGTCGCGCACAAGGGCCTGGGCGCTGGATTCGCGGATGATCGCGATCCGGCTGCGGTTGAAAATGGAAGGCGCTCAATGCCGTGATTGGACGACAAGAGGTGGTCGAGCTGTCTTTTGAAGTAAATGCCTTTGCACCCAGACTTTTTGCAGCCTGGACGACACCTCTGCTGGAGCCTCGCAGAACGCTGGGGTTTTTTGTGGGGCACAGAGGCCCAGCTCGGAACAGAGCGACGCTGCACTGTCTAGCGTATGTGGACAAGGATACCATAGGTAGCGCCATGGGCCCGGTAGATGTACATGCTGTACATTAATGCATTATCACGATAGGGTCTGAGTTATGCAGGGTTGTTCACCAAGACTCCTGCCAAACCGCCTATCACGGAGCCGACCCTCAAGAGACGGGCGATAACTGCTGGCTTGACGCGCCTAGTCTCGGCAAAAGAAGAAGTACCGTAAAAACAGCACACCTGACACTTGGGCACCCGATCAGCGGTGTTCATTGCCTGTTCCTTTCGATCTGCCATCTCGTCTCGCCCGTGAGAAACATGAGAGGGTGGATAGTTTCTTGTCGCTAGGTAGATTGTGTGACTCCCGCCTCGCCTGAGAACTTCACCTTGATACCGTACAGAACAAGCAAGCACGTCGTTTCCCACAGTCCATGATCTCCCTGTGCGACCAGTGAGCTCCTTGTGACGTAGGTAGCTGCTCACTCATGCATATGATCATGCATTCGCTTCCTGCCTTCTCTTCATGCAGTAAGGTTGTCTCCAGGGTCCAAGTCCCCAAGGTGATTTACATGGTGGGGCCGAGTACCGGCCCGCACAGGCCAGCTCCGATAATCGCAGCGGTCTCCCCTCCGATTCACCGTGGCCTTGAGTCGACCTGTCTCTAGCCATTTTTCCTAGCCCCGGGGTGCCGTCCTCCCCCTTCGACCACGCGCAATTGATCCCACATCTCGCAGGACTGCATCCATCCACAGTCCAAAGGGTCAATTGCACCATCACACCACCATGGCGGCCCGTTCGCTCGTCCAGGCTTCGTCCTGGAGAGCTGCCGCTGCTTCAGCCGTGCGCGCAGCCGGCCCCTCGTCCATGACCGTCCGCCACAGCAGCAGCTCGACCTCTGCCATTGCCTACAAGGCGATGCGCCGCCGTGCCACGCCGCTGCCCACGCACGACCTGCCCACGCCGTGGTCCGCCCAGGCCGCCGTCTCCAACATCCTCTACGAGACCCCGACGCCTTCGAGCGCTCCGCCCAAGCGCCACGTGCTCAACTGCCTTGTCCAGAACGAGCCCGGAGTGCTGTCCCGCGTCTCGGGTATCCTCGCTGCTCGCGGCTTCAACATTGATTCCCTAGTCGTCTGCAACACCGAGGTCGAGGACTTGTCGCGCATGACCATCGTCCTCACCGGCCAGGACGGCGTTGTCGAGCAGGCCCGTCGCCAGCTGGAGGATCTCGTCCCCGTCTGGGCTGTCCTCGACTACACCAACGCCGCGCTCGTCCAGCGCGAGCTGCTCCTCGCCAAGGTTAACATTCTGGGCCCCGAATATTTTGAGGAGCTTCTCAAGCACCACCGCGAGGTCACCGCCGATGCCGAGGTCGCCGCCCATAGCGATGCCGAAGCGGGTGGCGATGCTTCCCTTGCCGAGGCCGCCGAGGATTTCCACCCCAGCAAGCTCGTTGCCAGTGAGGCTCTGCGTCACAAGCACGAGCATCTCAAGACCATCACCTACCTGACCCACCAGTTCGGGGGCAAGGTTCTCGACATCAGCACCAACAGCTGCATCGTTGAGGTGTGAGTATCCCCCCTTGGTTCTCTCTGCATTACTGAACTCCTTTCTGGATCTTATCGCTGACGTTTGTACTCACCATCTCAACAGCTCCGCCAAGCCCGTGAGAATCGACTCCTTCATGAAGCTCGTTTCTCCCTTTGGCATCCTCGAGTCTGCGCGGACAGGTCTGATGGCTCTACCTCGGTCGCCATTGACGACAAGTGAGGATGAGAACCTCGTCATGGAAGCGGACGAGGTCGTCGATGCCAGCCAGCTGCCTCCCGGTTAAGGTTGGATGTGTAGCAAAATCAAGATATTACTGAACCGGATAAGAAAATGCTTTGCAACTGTGTGCTTTCTCACTGATCCAACATGAAATGACGTCACGTCACAAATGCATTTCCATCGGCGAGACCTTTTGCATGGCAGTTATAGTAAGGGAGTTGTACTTTGTTCTCGCCGATTGGCCACTAAGTGACGCAGCTAACCACCGCTTCGCCCAAGTCAAGCTACTATTCAGCTTCACATAATCTTGCCCTTGTTGACCACAAACGATTGCAATGCCGCTATAAAAAGGAATCAGCTGGGAGTAAGATGTGTGAGATTGAGGGAGTTTGGGGTACTTACAGGCCGCGGCCCAGAGACGATTTTCCGCCTCGGGGAAGACGAGGGATCGGTCAGAGTAGAACACCTCGTCAGCGACTTCCTCCTGATGGCGAGGGAGGCAGTGCATGAACTTCCAGCCGGACTTGGCGCCACCCCTCTTGGCAAGCTCGCTCGTAATCTGAAAGCCCGAGAACGCCTGCAGGCGCTTCTTGGTTTCCTCCTCCTGGCCCATGGACACCCAGGTGTCAGTAACGAGGATGTCGGCATTCTTGACGGCCTCCTCAGGCACGTTGGTCTGGATGAGCTTGCCGGGGTTCTTGGTCGTGCCGGCCTGCTGCTGGATCAGCTGCTCCATGACCTTGGGAATCTCGTAGCCCTTGGGCGTGGCGACAGCAATGTCCACGCCCAGCTTGACGCTCGCGATGGCCAGGTCGAAGAGCACGTTGTTGGCATCGCCGACCCAGGCGATCTTCAGACCTCCGGGGACGAGCTCCTTGGCGTCTTTGGAGAATGCCTCGTGGATTGTGAGGTAGTCGGCAATGATCTGCAGAGGGTGGAAGTCGGCAGAAAGGGCGTTGATAACGGGCACACTCGAGTGCCGGGCGAGCTCTGTGACGTCCGAGTGCGGTCCGACACGGGCGACCATGCACGAAGTCATGGAGGAGATGACCTTGGAAGTGTCGAGCAGCGACTCGTTGACCTGATTTCGTGGGTGAGCTTTCTCGTCTAACATGTGTTTTATAGAATGCACAGGACTCACTCCGAGCTGGATGTCGTTCTTGCCGAGGAACATAGGGTGACCACCCATCATCGCAACAGCTGCTTCCGTGGAAACACGCGTCCTGGTGCTAAGCTTGCTGAACATCATGGCAACCGTCTTTCCGGTGAGGCCAGCGCTGAATTCCGGCGAGGGCTCGCCAGCCTTGACGGCACGCTTGATGGCCGCAGCGTTGAGCACAAGCTTGCTCAGCTCATCGGGCGAGACATCATCCATGGACATGAGATGCTTGGGGCCACTAGCAGAGGCCCCGGTAGCATAGGTGCGCTTCGAGAGCTGGCACGTTGTGCTCTTGGCGAGCTTGAGTGTTGACGACCGCATTTTTTCAGAAAGTGACAGAGCGACCACAAAGCCACGAGTGGAGTACTAAATGAGGTCCTGAAGAGGTCCTGGTGAACTGCAAAGCACTTCTGGTGGTGCTGATGTTGACGAACGGTAATCCTGTGAGCACCTTGGCTTGTCGAACCTACTGAGCAAGCTTTAGACTGGGCTCATTGGTCAATTCAAAAGTCTTTTAAATCCAAGCTGGACGCTCTAGCGTGACTCACCGAAGCAGCAGTTTGAGCAATGCAATCCAACGAAGCCGCAGATTTACTACTCTGCTGGTCTGTCACGCGTACTTGATTGAAGATTGAGCAGGCTGCAGGGCTGTCCAATCAGCGACCTTCGAGATCGTCAAAAAAATAAGAAGCTACTCGGTTGCGATTATCGGCGGATCCCAGTCACAACCAGAGAGAACCATGAGAAAGGCCTGGCCCTGCCCCACCTGGACGCCTCCAGGGCGGATTTTGTGCAACGCCAATTTTGTGCAGATTTGTACAGTATTCGCGTAGCCATCCAGTTATGCCCATGCTCATGCCCATGCTCATGCAAGGGGCGAGCATCATCAACGGCTTGCACAATTGGCTGCGCAACCCCGGACCGCGCCAGGTTTTAGGCAGCCCACTTCGTGTGTCCCATTCCAACCACTGCGCGCCTTGTTGTGTTGCGCCTGACCTCATCATGTCCAGGGTTCGACCCCGACCCCAGACTCCGCATCTTCTCCCTCTCCCAACCCGGCCCTCAGTCTAGTCCTCTTTCTTATCATCCATTGCGGAGCGCGTGCTTTCAAGCAAGGCGACCTGCCATGGGAAAGCACCATCACTACTAAATCTTTTCACGCAAGTCTTCTACAATCACCCTCGGCGCCGACGACCGGAGCCCCCGCCACTGCAATCACAATGGCTTCCGACGACGAGTCGTCCTCGCCGCTGCTTGCGCCTGCGAAAAAGCACAATACCAGAGCCAAGCGAGGCACGTCTAGTGAATCAACGCCATTGCTGGCCGATTCTGAGGCTGCCCCGCGCTACGACGGCGCTGAAGACGACGCGCCACAGCACGACGATACGGCAGAAGGGCATGATGTTGCTCCCAGTGGCGCCGATTCCATAAGCTCAACAAAGAAGAAGTCACCACGCCGGTGGCCTTCCTATATCGCCGCAAGCATACTCGCACTTCTAGTCATTGCCATTGCGATCCTGGCCTTTATTGTCCCCGATGCCGTTCAAGAGTACTCTGAGCAAGCGGCTGTCATCGAGCCGACAAATCTGTCTCTCGAGTCAATCACTGCAAATGGCGTCCGGGCGCGGATACAGGGAAACTTCAGATTGGACGGCTCGCGAGTAGCCAACGAGCATGTACGCCGAATCGGCAGTACGGCTTTGTGGCTCGCTGGCCAGCTCGGATCCGAGGAGACCCAAATCACAGTGCGGCTCCCGGACTACGAGAACATAGTCCTCGGAAGTGCTGTCGTTCCTCCGCTTGTTCTCGGCCTCAAAGAGGGTCAAGTCACGCAGCTGGATTTCGTCACTGACCTGACTACTGGCGACCTCAATGCTGTGAGGACCATTGCGAATGAGTGGTTGGAGGGGAGGCTGAAATCTATACGCCTCAAGGGAGTGGCTGATTTGACCCTGAAGTCGGGCTTAATTCCCCTTGGCACCCATACCGTCACCGACACTGTTGTCTTCGAAGGTCAGGACCTTTACCGTTCCTTTGCCTCTGCGTATTTTGGGGCCAAGGTCTTTTCGTAATGAGAAGGGCCCATGAAGCCCAGTGGTTGTTTTGCCTCTTGCAATCGAGTTTGTACTGATTTTTCGTGCGAACAGCTAATAAAATTCCCGCGCTGCCCAAATACAACATCACACGCTTCAACGTTCACGACGGGCCCCTGAACGCGTCCATGATCGCCGATGTCACTCTCTCTGCCTTCAACGAGTACCCCGTGGACTTCAACGTACCTGAGTTGTTGTTCGATATCCTCGTACCGGGATGCAAGCCGGATGACTTTATCCAGGTCGTTGACGCCATGACACACGAGGTGCATGTGCAACCTCACGCCGAGGTCTCTGCAAATGTGACTGGTGTTGTTCGCGAGCTCCCGGATGCTCTCACTGAGGAATGTCCCCACTCGGACTCATCTCCACTGGACACATTCCTGAACTCCTTCATCAAGGGAGAGCCCGCCACATTGTTTGTCCGCGGAAACAGCCACCCAGGCCCGCAGACACCCGAGTGGATCACAGAGCTCTTGTCCAGCGTGACCGTCCCGGTCCCATTCCCCGGCCGTTCCCTGGACAACCTGATTAGGAATTTCTCCTTGACCGACGTCAACTTCTCGCTCCCCGACCCCGACGCGGAGCCAGATGACCCCGCTTCGCATCCGCAGGTCTCGGGGAACATTCTCGTTTTGGTTGGCCTACCATCCGAGTTGAACTTTGGCATCAATGTCACTGATGTAAAAGCTACCGCAGATGTGTTGTATCATTCGCGAAAGATGGGGGAGCTGAACCTGCGGAAGTGGCAAGCAGCCAAGTCCACGCGGATCGAAGATCAGAAAGAATCACTTCTCAAGATTGAGTCTCACATCTCTAAAGCGCCACTAGAGATTACCGACAGCGATGTCTTCAGTGAGGTCATCCAGATGCTGATCTTCGGCCGCGACAAGATTATGCTGGATATTGTGGCATCAGTGGACATCAAGGTGCAAACGGCGCTTGGTGACATTGTTGTCAAGGGCGTTCCTGCTGAAGGCACCATTCCCGTAAAACGTCCGTCATTGTTTTGATTGATTGTCAGTAGCTCTCTCTATGGTCTCGTGTTCTGTCGCTGACAGTTTGTAGCTCTCCCAAAGGGCTCATTTAGCGACATAGCTCCGCAGCTGGGGACCATGAGGGTTATTGATTCTACCAGGAACTCAATCACGCTCGAAGCGACCATCAGCGCGACGAATCCCACTCCTTACACCGCTCAAGTCCCCTATCTCAACATCTATCTCATGCATAACGACACCATCCTTGGCGACGCTACTGTGCAGCATCTCAACGTCGTCCAAGGTTTAAATCGCAACCTGGTGGTTAGGGCGACTTGGAGACCGGCTGAGGGCGGACCACATGGCCGTGATGTTGGTCGCAACCTCATCTCACAGTACCTGTCTGGAATGAACACGACTTTGACAGTGAAGGCGCATCGGGAAAGCATCCCAGGTCAACCAAAGCTTTGCGACGGCCTCGCGAAGCTGAACTTCACGTTTCCAACCCCACATCTGACTCTGCCGGGCGACGCGCCTGATGGGAAGACACACTTCATCCGCGATACCACGTTTCATTTCCTCTCATCGACGGCCACGTTCACACTTGTGTCGCCGTTACAATACAACACTATATATATGGATTTCGTCAATGCGACTGCCTTCTACAACCATACTGAGCCGGTAGGTAGCATCATCAACGACCTACCCTTCGCCGCCCCTCCCGGCAAGTCTCAAACGCCAAGGTTGCCAGTCACATGGTCGCTGGGCTCAGTCGGCTACGACGCCGTGCGTAATGCCATCGGCGGCACCTTGAAGCTGGACGCCTACGCAGACGTGAGCGTCCGATTGGGCAACTGGCAGGAGAACCTCTGGTACCGTGGCAAGGGTATCGGGGCACGGGTGCAGCTATAGATGATACATTGCTTTTGATTCTGTTGGCACGGCGTTTTTTCAGGTTGTACGGAACGGATCATTGGCGTACTGTGCTTAACCCTTGATTTTGGCATGTATCTATGCATTACATGGCATATACTCAGCAGATTACATGTATACGACTGCATTGGTGTCTCTACACAGACCTGGCTCAAATTATATCTCTGCATCGAATAAGAACCTCGGCGTGAAGACATTGACAATGACCGAGGGTCGTGAATCTCGTGTTCTGCCGGGGCACACCGCTTTATACTATTGCCTCTCACAGGCCACCCTGAACAGTGCTTGGCGAACAATGACGACGGCCCAAGTCCCAGCAGGGGCATTGCGGCATATTAGCAACTGACAAGCTCCGATGTGGTGTGCACTCTAGATGAGAACCACTGAAGTTCTTGTGATAAGTCTGCGACTCAAGACTTTGTGCCAGAGTCCTGAAATTGGCGTCCACCAGCGCACGCAAGACACCTGCTTACAGAGGCTTTGGTGGGCACTCAGCGCATCAGCTCCACAAGGGCCGGTTCTACAGTCGGACAGGAGCCCCCATGAGGATCTCAGATCCACACACTGATATCCAGTTCATCTCGAGCTTCATAGCACGAAGGCCCGGCAACACTGGCGGTACCTCCCCTTAACTGCATTCTCGCGCCACAATCATTGGCACATACCACATTTTCCGCTGCCGCCTTTTTGAGAAAGGAAAAACCAGCCAGCAAAAGAGAAAGACACACACACAACACACACGCATAAACCCACCACCCACACAAGCACACGCAGGGAGGACCGGAACATCATGGGCCGCAAAATCCAGGAGATGTACTCGCCCTTCCGGCCCCGGCCGCGCAAGTCAGCGCGCGTCGTGGTCGTCTGGATGGTCCTCCTCATCCTCGTCCTCTGGCTCGTGTACTACCTGCGGCACGACAAGGAGACGCGGCTCGCCGCTGCGGCCAAGCTCCACGAGCACCGCAAGGGCGCGCGCTGGCAGGACTGAGCCCCTCCTCTCGGCGGGGGCATTAGTAACTTGTTTTTCCCTTTTTCTGTTCCCCTCCCTTCTTGTCCGGGTCGGTTGACGAAGAGGAGAGAGTACGCGTGTTTTCGTTCGTGGGAGAAATGGCGCACAGATGGGAAAGGGAGCTAGAATCGAGACCGCAGGGGGTTGCTTTTCGCTCGTACCGCCTGCAGCATTCGCCGCACGCCATCCCCGATCTGAGACTCGGACCTTGTACTCAATCAAAGAGTCCAATGGGATGGTCATCGTCAGCTCTGCTCCAACGACCTAGGATCACAACACACGTGCCCCGGCCGGCGGCGGAGGATGAGGAGTCTGGGGCACCGATAAACAAGCTGCAGGCATCAATTCGCTGGTTGGTAAGCAGGTTGTGCTGGACTCGAGAGTGCATTTAAACATTTTAGGATTGTAACACTGTAATGTATTGTAATATCTATGTCGAAAGTTTCGTTGCTAAACATCAGATCTCACCTTTGCTCCTCTGCGAGCATATCGTATCACATGAGATACAGTACAAAGACTGTCCTGTGGTATGCAAGAGTGCAGACGTTCACTGGAGCGGAATGCCCCATGCATTTTAACAAATCACGTTCGTCACGGTGGCACAGAATTCAATGCGGTGCACACGAAAATCACAAATCACGGCAGGGCAACTTGAGAGCAATCGCCCCTGGCAGCGAGTCTTCCGAGCAGCCCCAAGCGTCAGGCCGTATAGTCCAACTGGTCTCCAAGCCACTGGGTCAGAAGTCCTTCGTGTCTTGCAGTGTCAGCATTAGAATATCCATGTATTGATAAGTGTACATGTAAAGGGAAGAAGCACCTTTGGATAGTGTCGAGGCCCTTCCTCGGAATGTGCTCAATAATCGTGCCGGATGGGCAATCATGCCAACCGGACTCCTGCTTGTTTGTTCTTCTTGGTCTGTTGCGCAGTCGCAGAACTCATGCCGACGTTCTGGCTATCATCCAGGAAGCTCTGGGCCTCGCGACGCCTCTCGTCTTCAATCTTCTTGAGTCGCTTGTCCGTTTTGCCTTTCCCACTGCCCTTGCCATGGAAGGCGTGCGAGAGGTGCTTGAAGGCCTCCTTCGCGTCGAGAGACCGTCCGAACTCATCGTGATACTTGAGCTCGACGTTTGGCACATATGATGTCTTGTATATCTCAGCAAGCTGGCGAGAAGCCTGAAGGTCACGCGCATTGTTCTGCTGACGCGCATATTCTTCCCTTTCGCGGACCGTCATTCGGTCAAGTCTGCCACTGGCACGATCTCGTTCACGCTGTCTTCGTGCAGCTTCCTCAATCTCGTGGATCTTCGTCTTCTTCTCCGCAATAAACGCCTCCCGCTGTCGTAGCTTGTTGTTGAGATCGGACGAGTTGGTCTGCGATATCAGATTGCGCTCTCTCAGGAGCTGCAATGCCGCACCGACACCAGTTCCGACAGTCTTCTCCTCGTCGACTCCGATGACGGCAGCCTCATTGATTGGTGACTCCTCGCGCTTGACGGGCTCCTCGTCCGCATAACTGCCATCGTGCATGCGCTCATCCTCGTCGGAGTCTTCTTCCATTGCCGTGACGGGTTCAGGCGCACTCTGCTTGGGCCGTGGCCTCCTTTCCTCAATATCCTCCTTCTTCAAGTTTGACACAAACTCGGACGTCTCGTCAAGAACGAGGCCGCCCTCACCCAGGTCGCCAAAGTCTTCTGAGTCGTCGTTGTTGGCTTCCTCCTTGAGCTGTCGCGCCAGATCCTCAGGTCGTACCCTCTTCCTTTTCTTCAACGCTGCGCGTCTTTGTATAGAGAGAGTTGCTTGAAGGTCCTCGTCGTCGATCAATGCAGAGTCGTCAGTCTTGCGCTTCTTACTGATGAAGCCTGCACCTGAGTCCACCTCCATAGAGTGGTCTTCTTCCGCGGGCTCAGTAGGGAAGATGTCGTCATCATCCGCCGGCCTTTTCCTTGTCGACTTGCTCTTCTTCTTTTTTGGCTTTTTGACTTTGATCTCGGAAATGTCCAGGTAATCGGAATTCGGCTTGCCGTCCTCCAAGATGTCCAGATTGATCTTCGTAGCTCGTTGCCCGATGGCCTGCTCCGCCATGTCGCCCAACGTCTGAGCGCCCGAGCCGGTCCCAGAAGCATCAAGCGTGAATCGTTTTGACCTTTTGATTCCCATGTCCTCATCGTATTGTGCGAGCAGACTCTGTTCGCCATCTTCGATCGTCGCGTGTACGTCGTATACCGGCTTCTTCTTCTTGAGCTCCAGGTTGCGGTTGAGTTTCTCTTTGTCCCGAAGATCAGCGTTCTCAAGCTCGTCGCCGTCCTCTTCATCGAGGACATTTGTGTCCTTCAAGGTCATAACGTATGCATCACCATCCTCAAAAGCCGTGGCCTCGTGACCGACGCGGACTCCTGCCAGATCTTTCGAGGTGTACTGAGCATTTGCAAGAGCCTCCGCCTCCGCAGCTGCCAGCTGCTCTTCGTATTTTCGTGCCTGGTCAATCTTCTTCTGACGCTTGGACTGGCTCTTGAGCCAAGCCTTTGCGCTCACGTCGTTGTCGTCGTCGGCGTCGCCCAGGCCCTTGCCCTCGAAGACCTCGGCTCTTTTTGCGGCGTCGCGCGCCTTCTTGATGGCCGCAAGCTTCTCTTCGCGCTTCTTCTTGGCAGCCTCCGCCTCCATGACCTTCTTGTAGTTGTCGTACGCCGCCGCTTCGCGCGTTTCGAGTGTGCTCGCTGGCTCGCCATCGCCGTCTTCTGCGTCTTGGGCCTTCTCTTTGTAGGCTGGGCCGTCGGTGCTGCCGCCGGGCACGGGTAATGGCTTCATGCCCAGCGACACCCGCAGGCGATTCGCCTCCTCAAGGTCCTGAGCGTCCATGGTGGCCGGCGCGGCTGGAAGACCGCAGCAAGTTACTGGTCTTTGATCGTCAAATCCGATGCGCAACGAATTTTCGTCCGGCGATCCGCTGTTTCGATGAGTGTGGATGATTTCAACGGCCGGGTTTGGAAATCTGGTCGCAGGTTTGATGAAAATGACATTGAAGATGTACCGGACGGCCCATGGCCGCCGTCCAGAGAGAGCCCACTTGCAGCCGCCAATTGGCCCGGTCCGTGCATGCGCAGATGACTCAGCCGTTGCCTGGCCTGCCAGCGCCACGACCCGCTGGCTCCACCCCTGGCAGGCGGCTTTCCCATAAGTTCTGCATGCTAAAAATTTTGGCAGCCTTCTTCTCTCCTTCCTCTTTCTTCTTTACACAAACCACGAACCTGTGCCCGGCCTCCTTTGCTTAGCAGTCAGAGTCGAGACCGAGGCAGTTCGAGCTATTCATGGAAGCCATCCTCTTACAACGATGATTATCCTATCGACGGGTTCCAGACAGAACCGGCCCAGTCGCGAAGCCGAGATCGCCCTAGGGCTGAGCTTGGTGCGTAGCGACTGGTGTTCGGAGGCGATATATTCCAAAACCGTTTGCCCAGGCCATTGGTCTATGAGGCGGGGGTAAACCATACGTCTACAGACTTTTTTCCTCTCATGCTCTTATATATCCTCCCGAGAGCAGGATTTTCAGGATCTCGCCTGCCTGCCTAATTGCTGCAAAGTCACCCAACAGTAGCAGGCTAGTGTCATTCTGACCGTTAGCTCCCTAACGTTTCGAGATTTGCACCACAGCATCAGCAACGATGAACGTGGTGCATTCTTGACGTCCAACGACGTCGCTGTCACACGGAGTGCTTCAGAGATCGCTGCAGCCATGCACTCGATATGCTGTTGTCTGAAAAGTGAGGTCCAGGTGAGAGCTGCCCGCAAACATAACCGCGACAATTTCGGCGGCGCGTCGTCCCTCGTGTCGATCTTTAAGAGATGTTGAAGTCATGGCGCCCACTCCGGCCCGCTGGTCCCTACGCAGTACTTGAGCCGGCGACGTCACATGCGCGTTCGTGATTGCATAAGCCTCGCTCCGTTTCTCAGGCTGCTACTGGGACTTTTTTTTTTTTGCTGCATTCCCCACACAAAAGCCCATGCCATGCATGCTGAACCGAAATCTGGAGAAGAGGCGGGCATATTCCGACACCGCAGACCTGCCATCTCGGTGCTTTGTGAACTCCGCCCTGGACGCAGTTCCTGGCTACAACTCCGCCTGCCTCCCAAGCAGGATCTGGCATCACCCACACCCATCGCACGATGCGCCTCCCACAGCGCCGGGTTCCGAGAGAGCCTCCGCGATGTTGCATTCGGTCAATACTCGGCCACTGTCTCTGAACCCCAGGCAGCAATGGCACGCTGGCATGACCATGGACGACGTCTACAACGCCAACGGCGGGTTCACGGGACGTGTTGGCGGTCACAGGTAGATTCGAGCACTATGGGCGTACCTGCAGAGCGAGGTGTTCGCTTGACAAAGGGGCCCAAGTCGTTACTTGGACTGCCCAGCCGGTACCAAAGTCAAGAGTTGGCATAATTTATGTTTGATTGGCTGTTGGGCACTGTTGAGGAAACGACAAAGCAGCACAGACACTTCAGCAAGTACTCTGTGGTGACGCGGACGCCCCGCAGCGTTTCCTCACCTCATCTGAGCAGTCTCCACGCCGCAGAAACCTGCCGTCTGGAAGCTGGTCCGAATATTTACGCGCCGAGCCTGCCGAGTGACGGGTCGTGGGAGAGCGGGCAGCAAGTGTGCAACCTTTTGCAGTGGAGGGTTGCCCACATCACATGACAGCCTTGGGCGGCTGCTCGGGGGCCGACAAGCTGCCGAACTGTGCCTTCATACACGAGTTAGTGCAAGGGAAAAGCTTTACGCGACAGGGGCCATGAGAAACAGAGCTCATTTCTCCATTGCGGACATGTGCGGGTCACGGGAGAAAAACACAGCACAGCGCAACGAGGAGCCAGGAACGACAGGATGGGGAAGCGAGCCAGAGCCTGGAGAAGCGAGCCTGGAGAAGCGAATTGGGTGTGCGCTTCCCCGCGCTAGAGCTGGGGAAGGCACGATGAGCCGGCGCTAGTGCCTGGCCAGGGCGTGCCTGCCCAGCGCGAGTGGCTTCGTCCCCAGATCTTCACCCGCACTGCACAATACGCATCTCGCTTCTGCCAGCGTGTCGGCCTCGCATGCATGCATGCAAGTGGCCTGCTCAGCGCCATGGCCCTTCACGGCCCGAATGCCCTCCCCAGACCTCCCTTCCTTAGCTAATGCCATGGGGCTGCCCCTTGTCGATACCTTCCCTCTTGAGCCTGCTCCCGCTCATCCCCAGTGTGCCGCGGCAGGGTTGACGCAAATCGTCAGATGACGCTAACATCCCTCTCCATGCGACTTGCCTGCCTGCTCCCACACAGGCCGAACCCACACAGCTCCCCGGGCAGCCCACTGAGCCCAAAGCTTGACTGTCTGCGTGCCAGGATCATCACCGTTTTGCTTGGCTGCTGCCGACTCTAACCTCACTTCGGCATACGCAGACCCTCCAGCTACTGCTCTCCCGTGCCGCCCAGAGAGCTAGGCCGTTACCCTTGCTGAAGCTTCAAGAGTGGAATAGCCTGTCAAATCGGCCCTATGCGGCCTTGCGTCGGTGCTTTCATCAAGCCGGCGGACTCGTCTACCTCTGACCCAGAGTCCCACAGGCGGCTTGTTTTGTGCCCATCGACACACGACTTGCCTGTACGGGGGTGGCGGAGACGTGAATCGGCAGCCGGGGCACCGCAACCTCACTTGTAGTGGACCCCGAGTACTGTATTGTGTCATCCTGGGGGCAGACGACACTTGGACTCAGAACGTGACACTGATATAAATATCAGGGCCATGGACGCCATCTTTGCCAACGTCACACAAGCCCTCACCAGCAACCACGGCAACAGCTCCTTCGCAAGGCCCATCATGCATGCCCTCTCCTCCCTTCTGCTGCTCGGCAGTGTGGCCTTCCAACATGTCCTCGCCCGTCCCAGTGTTCGTGCTGGTGACTTTGACGGAGCCATCCTGAAGCGTTCCGTGGACGACTTCGTTGCCAAGGAGGAGCCCATTGCCCTGCAGGAGCTCTTGTGTAACATTGGTGCCTCTGGCTGCAATGCGCAGGGCGCTAACTCAGGTCTTGTCGTTGCCTCCCCTTCCCGGACCGACCCGGACTGTAAGTGCTTCAGCCTTTAAAGACAAACCTTGCAGCCACACTGACCCTCTCCAACAGACTGGTACACCTGGACCCGGGATGCTGCACTTGTCTTCACGGCCATCGTCGACAGATTCTCCAACAAATACGACGCTGGCCTGCAGCAGAGCATCCAGCAGTACATTGTCGCCCAGGCCAAGCTGCAAACCGTTTCCAACCCTTCAGGCTCCCTATCCGATGGGTCCGGCCTGGGTGAACCCAAGTACAACGTCGACGGGAGCGCCTTTACTGGTGCCTGGGGTCGCCCTCAACGCGATGGCCCTGCCCTCCGCGCCATCGCCATGATTGGCTACTCCAAGTGGCTTGTTGCGAACGGCTACTCCTCGACTGCGTCCAGCGCTGTCTGGCCTGTCATCAAGAACGATCTAGCCTACGTCGTGCAGTATTGGAACAAAACCGGCTTCGATCTCTGGGAGGAGGTCAACGGCAGCTCTTTCTTCACCACCGCTGCTCAACACCGTGCTCTGGTCGAAGGCAGCGCCTTGGCCAAGTCTCTTGGCACGACCTGCCCGGGCTGCGATGCTATTGCTCCTCAAATCTTGTGCTTCCAACAGTCTTACTGGACCACAAACCTTGGAGGCTACGCGCGTGCCAACATCAACGTCAACACTGGCAGGCAAGAGCGAGACGCTAACAGCATCCTGGCTTCCATCCACTCCTTCGACCCAGTTCTCGGTTGTGATGCTGCTACCTTCCAGCCTTGCAGCGATCGGGCGCTGTCCAGCCACAAGGTCGTTGTGGACAGCTTCCGCTCGATCTACTCCATTAATTCTGGCATCCCGACTGGCTATGCTGTGGCGGTTGGCCGATATTCTGAGGATGTCTACTATAATGGCAACCCGTAAGCATTTTTCCAGCCACCAACTGTTTGTACATGACTAACTCGATCTGATAGGTGGTACCTCAACACCCTCGCCGCTGCTGAACAACTGTATGATGCGCTTTACGTCTGGCAGACGCAGAAGTCGATTACTATTACTTCGACCTCGCTACCTTTCTTCAAGGACATCTATCCCTCCGCTGTAGTCGGCTCCTACGCTGCAGGCACCCAGACTTACACCGATATCTACAATGCGGTCTTTCTCTATGGCGAGGGCTTCATGAACGTGGTTCAGAAGTACATCCAGACCAACGGCTCGATCGCGGAACAGTTTGACCGCAACAACGGCCAACCCCTTTCCGCCCGGGATCTGACCTGGTCGTATGCTGCCTTCCTGACCGCAGCCGCCAGGCGTGCCGGTATTGTTCCCGTCGGCTGGGCTGTGCCTAGCGCATCGTCGGTCCCGTCCGTCTGCTCCGCCACTTCTCAGGTCGGTAGCTACTCTGCTTTCACCGCAGTGTCATTCCCTTCTGGCCAAACCCCTGTCACCACGGCTACAAGCGCGACCTTCACTAAGCCTACCGTCTCGGCCACTGGTACTCCTACCCAGACTGGCTGCCCCGTCGCCACTGCCGTTGCTGTCACCTTCACCGTGAAGAAGGCCACCACGTTTGGACAGACTGTGAAGATTGTTGGCAGCTCTGCCAACCTGGGCAGCTGGGATCCCACGAAGGCCGTCGCGCTCAGTGCCAACCAGTACACATCGTCGAACCCCATCTGGAGCGGAACTCTGAATCTGAGTGCTGGACAATCCTTCCAATACAAGTACATTGTCGTCAACACTGATGGCACCGTGACCTGGGAGGCCGACCCGAACCGGAGTTACACTGCTCCAGCCTCGTGCTCCAGCACTGCCTCGCGGTCAGATACTTGGCAGTAAGCGATCCAGGTTACGATGAGGGAGAGACTGTGGATGAACAAGATAGAGTATATTGAGAAAGAACGCAGAAAACCGAACTGGGAGCTGGCAAACGACAGCATTAGCCTTGGTGGGAAAAGAGAGGCAGCGGAATGACCTAGGCAACGCATGACCTTATGAAGAACTTTCCATATGTATATATATTTCATCATCGTCATTCCACCTTAATCACTCCTTCCGATTGCTTCTAGCTCATGCATGAGTGTCTCGACAACCCACTCAAATGTAGTCTCCATGTCCACATCCCCACCTTTCCCAGTCTGTGCCAGGATCGCCTTGTCACGAAGCACCTTCTTGTCCAGCTTGCCATCACCATCCACATCCCCCGCTTCAAAAAGCCACTTGTGTCCCTCTACATAGTTGGGCCAGACAATCTGGTCCACATACCCTGGGGGGTCGGTCCAGAACCCTTCGACCGTGACGTATCCGTCCCTGGCCTCGCGGCGCTGCGTGGCCTTGGCCCGGCTCACGAGCAGGAAGAACTTGATGTCGAGCAGGGACAAGATGCCCGCGGCCTCCATCTCGGGGGAGTACAAGAGGAAGCCGTCCAGGATGCAGATCTTGAGGCCCGGTTTGGTGGTGGTGATGGGCTGGGCTGCTTCTACAGAAGGAGACGAGGAGGAGGAGGTGCTGGTAGATGCTGCTGCTGCTGCTGCTGCTTTCAGCAGGCCGTGGCCTGGTTGTCCCGGGGCGAGCCACTGCTGCACCCTGGACCGCATCTGGGCGATCTTGGCGTCTGAGACGGGGCACTTGCCGACCGAGTTCTTGTCTTCTATGCTTTCGACAAAGGGCTGTGTTTTTGGAGCACCGGCGTCCATGGCGAGGTGTGCGTTAGCGAGCGATGGGGTGAGGTATGTTGAGACATTAAAAATCAGATTGAACAAAGGTGAAATATGCAGCATTATATAAGTCACAGGGAGTGGTGACTAGAGACGGATGCAAGCCCACCGGCCAACCATATCTGGAAAAGACGGCCCCTGGGCCAGGCAGACGCTGTGTAGAGTGGGGGAACTGATTCTCAAAGCAAGAAGGAGGAAATAATTTAAGAAGGGGGAGAAAAAAGAACGAGAAAGGCAACAGAGAGGACATGTAGAAAGTAAGGGTGGTTGGGCCAGACTTACAGGAAACGTGCCGTTCTCACGAATGTACGCCAGCGCCTTCGCCATGTTTTCCGTGTTGAGCGAGTCGAAAGAGTCCCAGTCGAGCAGGCCGTCTTTGGACGGCAGCCTATATTTGCCTAGATATCAGTATTTACTTCGGACTGAAAGAAGAAAAAGAAAAGAAGAAGAGGAACAGAAAGAATGGTCAGTCCTCTTCCGTTGGACGGCAGCGTCCTCTCCTGGAGCGAATGACATGCAAAAATAATTCTGTGACTAGAATTCACGAGCCGAAAAAGGAGGATCTGTTCCTGTGTCTCCTCCCGGTCTGCGCATTGTGAAGTTCTTTCGATGCGCCTCATACTTCCGGAAAAGAGAACAGAACACAGAACACAGAACACTACTTACTCGGACTCGATCTTGTAAAAGTCATCCTCGTGCAGGATGAAGGTGCTCGGGAAAATGTCCCGCAGCAGCCGGGCCAGCGTGGTCTTGCCGCTCGACGAGGCGCCGCTGATGCCGACCACGACGGCCTTGTGCGGCCGCGTCCTCGCGACTTTGACGTCCGCGGCGCCGGACACGGAGGGAGTCTGGTCTCCCATGGTGGCGTTCTTTTCTGAACTTATTGTCCCGGCTTTCTTTATCTGTCTTGCTTCCAGGGTCTAACGGACGGAGATGACAAAGACACTGCCCCGGCTCATACCAGACACAAACAGAGCTGCCAAGGAGAAGTCTTGTGGGGTCCCAAAGTTTTGTCGTCGGGAGAATGTGTTGATTTCGCCAGACTGAAGGGGGAAGTGGTGGTGAGAGAGATCGCGGTGATAAGTGTGCGGTCCCTGTACACGTTCGTTCCGGGGCGGGGCTGATGCCGGAGGGCGATTAGACCCACATGCCCGGGATCCAGCATCGGGTGCGGAAGCAACAAGTAGGACGGAAATGGCACTCTACGGGACTGCGTTTGGAAACATGACACAGGAGAGGAGGGTATATACCAAGAAGAACACTCTTCGATGGGAGGCAGCTAACGAGGTATCGATGACACCGTGCTGGATGTGCACATTCTCACACCTTATACCATGTAATTTTCTCTTGATGGATGTCAGCCTCCGTTTGGGTGAGGGGACCGGACGAAGCAAATGTTACTATTTTATGTGACGTTGATATCTGCAGGTCAATCTGAGACGATGTAGTTGTTATTTCTTCTTTTAAACCTGCCGATATCCCCCTTTCTGCTTATGAACCATACTTTGAAATAAGCCTCTTCATAATAGACATGGCGCCGCTTCGGTAGCTGCCTCCAAACATGGCCCAGTGGTTCAGATGATGGTATCTACACGGGATTTTAGTCATGGATCCGGCCTAGAAAGAATGGACACCCGAAATTACAATACTCCAAGAAAACCCAGCTGATGTCTGGGAGGGAGACACACAGCCAGCCTTTGAACAACAACAACAAGGAATCACGAAAACCCTCCCCGGCAAGGAAAAAGGAAAACCCCGAAAGTAATGGAAGAAGGGGAAGAACACTCACAACTCATAAAGCGACCTCCGGTCTTCCCACTCGGCAACCGGCTCCGCCTTGGGCACATACCGGAGGTACTCGTCCCAGAAGGCGCTCGAGAACCCGCCAAACATGGCCATGATGCCCAGCTCGTACTCGGAGTGGCCGTACACGGCCGACGCGTCGAACACGACCTCCTCGGTGCCCCCCTCGCCCCCGATCCTCCCGCGCCCGTGGTTCCCGCTCCACAGGTCGCCGTGCACCACGACGGGCCTGATGGGCTCGATGGCGTCCACGGCACCCAGGAGCCGCGGAACGACTCTTGCCGCGGTCGCCTCGACGGCGTCGGACAGCTCCGCGTCGTGGTGGTGGTTCTTGAGCCCGGCACGCAGCACGGCGCGGAGGCGGTTGTCCGCGTAGAACTCGGGCCAGGACGCCTTCCACGAGTTGTCCTGCGGCGTGGATCCGCAGCATGTCGTCACCGGGAAGCCAAACTGCCGCCGTCCCTCCTCCTCCTCATCCTTGGCCGCCGTGGGGCCACCAGCAGTGGTGGTGTGCAGCCGAGCGAGCTTGCGGGCCAGGGACTCGCCAGATCCTCCCGGGTGGGACTTTGAGTGCAGGTCGATAAAGTCGGTCACCAGGAAGAACTTGTTGGCGTCGGACGAGAAGACGCCGTGGGCGTAAGACTTGGGACACAAGTTGGGCACGGCGCTGTGGATTGCGTTGAGCGACGCGTGCTCGCCTGGGGGGGTCTTGGTGGTTAGAGCTAGCTGGATGGACTCTGGAAATCCCCGAGGGTCGAGAGGTGGCTGGCAAGTAGCATTGCTTTAAACAAAGTGAAATGAACGTTGTGGCCATGAGGCCGGTCACGTTGTTTGTAGGAGCGGGCCGTGTAAGAGCAGCACCCAAAGCCTCCTGCGACAAAGTGAAACTCACCAGTAAACATTACATCCGCCTCGGGTCCACTCCCCGTCTTGACAAAGTAGTTGACTGTCTGACCATCACTCTTCACCGATGAGAGTCTGAATGTCGAGGCGAAGCCAGACCCACCATGGCTGGATATCTTTGTCTGCTCCGACTTGCGGCCCAGTGCGTCGAGGATTGCTGGGTCCACGCTGGACATGGCTGGCGAGATGACCAAGTTGAAAATTGGTACGGCAAGTGTCCTGATGATCAAAAACCCAATCTCGCACAGGGGACGATGAATTGACCAAATGGACAAAGAAGGGCTGCCGATACTGTCCCACTTGTGGTCTGAGATGCCAGCTTGGTTGCACAATTAATTGGCGGTCGCGTGAAAGGGTGATGTGCGGGGCGCGAGGTTATCCGTCTTAAACCGTGGGGAATGCTTGTCGCATAAGTGTTGAGATGCGTGTGACACCACGTCATAGTACACAAGAGATATCCACGCACAGCACTCTTAAAGGGGGTCCCTACGCATCTCAACGTAAGATAGACAATTGAGTACTTCCACTGGGCAATTCGACGCGCACCTTGACAGACAGCATGGTTCAAATGAGCCCGCATGCCAAGCTAGCCCAACTCGCTGGTCCGCAGACTCACCTTACGCCAAGATTCATGGTTTTGCACAAAGCCTGTCCTTCCTCGGACAGTCGTCGGTTTTAAGAAATGTTTGTCATTTGCACGAGATGCACCCATTGATTATATGTACTAGCCCCCTTCTATTTGTTGGTAGGATGCCAAACATGATCCCAAGGATAACAAGGAAAAAATGCGCCAAGAAGCTCGAAGCCCATCTCTCCCCTCACCATTCTCCTCAACTGCACACCCTGGGCGTGCCATAACCTGAGTTAGTACAAAGAACGAGCAAGCTCATAATGCCCAGTTCTTTAGATGCCAAGGGTGAACTCAACACCGACATCAATGTCGCGGGCTGCAAGAAATCCAGACGTTAGCGATCTGCATGGAGGGAGCACGTAGGCAATGCCTCGAATTAAAGCAGTGACTTACCCATTTTGACAACCTTGGACAGCTGTACAGACTTCTCGGCGGCGCTCTGGAGGTCGTCAATGGAGAAGATCTTCATGCCAGAGTCGTTGATCAGAGCGTGGGCCTGCTCCATGTTGGTTCCCTGCAACCGGGCAATGATGGGGATCTTGAGGTTGAGGTCCTTGACGGTGTTGATGAGACCGTGGGCAATGGCGTCGCAGCGGACAATACCGCCGAAGATGTTGACAAAGATGGCAGTGACCTTGGGGTCGCTGGTGATGAGCTCAAAAGCCTCCTTGATGGCAGCAGGGGTGGCACCACCACCGACGTCAAGGAAGTTGGCGGGCTGGCCGCCGTTAAGCTTGATGATATCCATGGTGGCCATGGCAAGACCGGCGCCGTTGACAAGGCAGCCAATGTCACCGTCGAGCTTGATGAAGTTGAGGCCAGACTCGGCAGCGCGGACCTCCTCGGCATCCTCCTGGGTAGTGTCGCGCCACTGGAAGACCTCCTTCTGGCGGTAGTCGGCGTTGTCGTCGAAGCCGAACTTGGCGTCCATGCAGAGAACCTGGTGGTCCGAGGTCTCAGAGAGGGGGTTGATCTCGATCTGGGTGGCGTCCTTCTCGAGGAAGATCTTGTAGAGCTTCTGGATGGTGTCCTTGGCCTCCTCGATGCACTGCTCGCTGAAGCCGAGCTTGGTGGCGACGTCGCGGGCAATCTCGTCGGTGACACCGGTCTTGATGTTAATGTAGGTGGTGGTGATGGCATCGGGATTCTCCTTGGCGACGCCCTCAATGTCCATACCACCCTGGGAAGAGGACACGATAACGGGGCCCTGTGAGGCACGGTCCATGAGGATGGCGAGGTAGAACTCGCGGCGGGCGAACTTGCGCTCGCAGATGTAGACGGAGTTGCAGAGGCGGCCCTGGGCGCCAGTCTGCTTGGTGATGAGCTTGTGGCCGATCATCTGCTCGGCAAACATCTTGGCCTCGGTGGGGGAGTAGATGACACGGACACCGCCCTTCAGGCCGTTGTCAAAGGTACCCTTTCCACGGCCACCGGCAAGAACCTGGGCCTTGATGACCATGTCATCGTTGCCAATCTCCTTGGCGATCTCCTCAGCCTCGGCGGCGGAGGAGGCATTCTTGCCCTTGGGGACACCGATGCCATACTGTTGGGAACATGTTAGCCTTGTCGTGCGTAGCTAGCTACCAAAGTAGCAAGAACGTATGGATCTCGAGGAAGCAGCGTTCGAAGTGTTGCTCGGGCGCGGAGGCATACCTGGCGGAGGAGGTCGGCGGAGAGGTACTCGTGGATGCTCAGGTTTCTCCGTTGTTGCTGGACAGCACTGGGGAATCTGGGAGCGAGCTGGGTCTGGAATTTCGCAAGCCTGTTAGCAACGAGAACCAAGCCTACACCGGAAGGGCCTCGACAGAAGACTAGAGTGTCATCTGCCGAGGCAATGTTGCTGCTGCAGTGCGAAACACTGCAGGACGGGGTGGGCAGCCACTGACCTTGGCTGACCGCATGGCGGACGCCGCAACGCGGCTGCGGGCAAGGTTGAACATGGCGGCAGGGGCGAGGAGGATTTCGAGAGGGGAGATGGGTAGCTGGGACTCGCAACGGTGGGAGTCGCGACGACGGTCTGGCTCAAGAGTTGATGCTTTGGGAGCAGAAGATGTCGACGATGCAACGGGGCGACGGCGACGACGATAGTAGTGGCTCCTGACTGACACCGACCGACTGGCAGGGCAAGCTGCGATGCTATCACTGCACAGCACCGCCTGCACCACTGAAAAAACAGCTGGCCCAATGGCAGGCCCGCGCGGGAGCACTGTGCTCACCCGCTGTTTCGGAAAACACCTCGCTGCGGCAGGGGCTGTCGCGGGAGAAGTCGGGCCCCCCTCTAGGTACTGCTTGTATGGTCCCGTCGGCAAACCGGTACCTGTCCCCTCCCGCGGGTGCACTATGCCACCGTGCGAGACGGGTTCGGAGCCGCTCCAGGGTCCACTTTCTCGGCTCTTGTTTGAGGTTTGAAGCAACGGCAGCTGCCCGCCTTGTGCACCACCGCCCACGATGCTCAGGTGTGCAAGTGGGATATTGGGACTCGCTGAGTTCCCCCCGCAGCCGGGGTGTTTTCAGAGTAGAAATCGGAATTGATAGTCTGCCCTCTTTTTAAGCATCGAACACCAAGCACCGGAGAGCATGTTAGTCATGTCTGATCAGGCAGGCACTCGGCGTGAGCTCATCATGTTTTGCCCACAGGGTCTCTTTTGAAAGCTCAAGCTTTCCTGGGCACCCGTAGAGTTTCAGCTGTGCAGCAAGCTGCAGGACCGTTCCATGGACGGTATCCATGGATGGTGACCATGCACATCACCCTCACTGCACTATCTTATTAGGATTCTCCACTTTATTTTCCACATTGGGCTGCGCTCCTCCACCCCGGGATGGCAATGGCGATCTACTACTATCCTGAAGACAACTGCGACGGCGTCGACGACGAATCGACAGTACCCCTTTGAAGCCAGCAAGCCATGCATCATTCATAGCCATAGACCCTGGTGCCCGTCGCCATATCATCACCACCTCGTTATTGCGAACCATTCCCAGCATTCTGCTCACCCAAGCATCAAACGCCCAACCTTGAAGACACCATGGCTCCGCCAACGTCCAGCAAGGGCAGCAACCCGGCGCCCGACTTCAACCTGTTCATGAACAAGATCCAGATGCAAGTCGAAGCCAGCAAGAACTCTCTCCAGCTCCTGCAGCAACACCGCGCCGCTGCCGCAGCCTTCACAGCCAGGAGGACTGCCACCGCCGCCGCCGCCACCCAGCAGTCAGGACCTGCAGGCAGTACCGCTGGAGGAGGCTCATTCTCGTCTCTCCAAAAGGCCAGCACCTCAACGACTGCTGCTGCTGCCACCACCACCGTCGCACGCGGGCCGAAATCACAACAACAGCAAGCCGACCGTCTAGCACAGCTCGCCGCCGAAGAAGCAGAGTTCGCCGACGACCGCGCGTCAGACGTCAACGCCGGTGTCGGGTTCGCGCGACCAAAGGGGTCCGGCTTGATCCCTGGCATGACTGGCGATGCGGCGAGGGACAGAGATACCAAAGCGCTACGTGGGAGGCTGCTGGGGGGCCGGAGAGATCGCAATGGCGCCCGAGAAGATCCCAGTAGCGCCTACAGCCGTAGGAGGAAATATGGTGGCGGTGGGGACAGCAGTGAAGACGATGAACCCGGCCGAAGCGGGCTTGGGCGAGAGAAGAAGAGGAGCCATAGCGAGGTTGAGGCGGAGGAGGAGGACAACGGCGAAATCAATCCAGTCAAAACCGGGGAGCTTTCTGGATCATCTGGCAACGCTGCGGAGGCCGACGTTCTCACGGGCAGAGAGGCGACCGGCGTGTTATCAGGTCTAGATGAAGGGCCGAGGGGAGACGTCCTAGCATCACCGGATGGTCAGGGACAGGCAAAAAGCGACAAGTCAGGGAAAGCCGAGTCGTCCACTAGCTCAGCAAACAGGGAAACCAAGGGAAAAAAGAAGAAGAGGAGGAAGAACGGCAAGCGAGAGACTGCCGCATAAAATGATGAGGTCTGCAGGTATGGGTAACAATAATCTCACAGGAAGCTGCCAAATGCAACACAGGACGTGTCCGCCAAAACCCTGAACGAGTTGCCTCGGGAAACTGCACCAAGGCACAGGTAGAGCATCGGACACATTGCTTTTGTCGTAATTGCGGTAAAACCTCGAATTCAGATCGGGCGTGCTACTCTTCAGCTAGTACTGATAACCTTCTCCTGGAAGGTCAAGACCACATGCCCCCCTGCTAGATCCCGTCCCTTTCACCGATTATATGCTTTTACATCGAGTATCGCCATAGCCAAGGAGTGTGTTGGCTCTGCTGCGGCAATATGATTGAAATGAATGCTCAGTATGGCACATAGTATCGCCAGAGTGTGGCACAGAAATTTGACAACAATTCCTCGCCGCCCCAATTTTGTCGTTACTGTCTTGATATGTGCTCGTCGAGACATTGCCACTATTGCACCGTCTTGCATATGCTGATTATTCTGCCTCGAATTATCAGCCATCATTTACTGAATGTGAGGTCAGTTAAGCCATGGTCGACTTACATATGATTATACACTGTGCGACAGTGTTATTCGGCGCCGATCCGATTTCATTGCAGCCGCTTCCTCTTCCTATCATCGTCGCCGCGCAAGTCGTCGTTCTCATCGCGCTCGGCGGTCTCAGCCGGGTTCAGGATATGCGCCATGCTGCCCCTCCGAGTGGGTGGCCCAGAGCTGTCCTTGATGGCGAGGTTCTTGTTTTCGCGGCTCGCAGAGTTCCATGACCAGTTATTGAAGCTGTCAACTCCATTGATTCCATTCGAGAACGGCGGGGGTGGAGGAGTTGTTGGCCTCGAGCGGGATTGTTGCTGTTGTTGAGCGGCATTTGGCAGAGAGTATTGAGACAAAGACTCTCGAATGCGCTGGTCTTCTGGCGCGATCCGGTTTGGAGAGGACGGCCATTGCGACGAGGGAGGGCCAGATGGCGGTCCAGAACCAACGTAATGAGGAGGAGCTGGCTGCCAGCCATGCGCGCGGATGTCAGCTGAGGTATGCCGTCTAGCTAAAGAGCTGGGGGGAAGCTCGACATTCGCCAAGGGGTGAGGGCCAGGCGCTGGTGGAGCTGCCTGAGAACGAAGCGGCGACGGTGAGGATGGTGCGCCGGGAGTCCCCGGCCCTCCGATCGAGCCAAAAGGCCGGCGTGCTCCGAGAGACAAGTTTGAAGGGACTGGAGGCCGGTGGAAGTTTCCTCGAGCTTGAGCTGCTCCAGGCCCTAGCCGTCGCTGGTCGTCCTGCGCCATCTGGCGTGGCGACACAGGCGCATTGTCAAGGGCAGCGAAATACTGGCCGCGTGCACTGAACGGGGGCTCGTGCGGCTCGTCGATCGTCCTGAACTGGTCCGTGTGACGCTGAATCTCGCCTTGAAGAACCGCGACTAGTTACTCTTGTTTAGTGTACCGGACCAGAACTCCGAGGGACGCATACGGGCTGGCTTACCATCACGGTGGACTGGACTGTCAGGAGGCACGAGAGCCAGCAAAGCTCTGGAGATCTCTTGGTTGAATTGCAACAATCGATTGATAGTTTCGACCATAGCCTGCTGCTTGATGTGCATGTAGTGGGCATTCTCCTCACTACGTGTAAGTCTTGCGCTGAGATCGTAGACGTGCTCTACGGGAACAACTCGGGGATCGGCATTGTCGTGGATTGGGGGCATGGGTTCTGACGGGGTTCCTGGCTGAGATGGGGTGGGCTTCTGGTTGCTGTACTCGCGATGTACGAGGGCGTGGCGGGAGGCCCTTCGCTTGATCTCTCGAAGTCCAACTAGGTCGCCTCTCTTAAAGTTGCCGTTGCCGTGTTTGAACTCCCACAGTGCTGAGTCGGGATTACCCGTGTGGAACACATCGCTGACTATATGCACTTGTCAGTTTCACGCCGTGCGCTAATGCCGGACCAGGAAAGGAGGTATACCTTTGTGAAAGCCGTACATGTTGAGCTGGCGCACAAACGAGGAAATATTGGTGTGCTTGAAATATTGACTGCGAACACATCAGCGCCCATCCTCAGCGATGGATGCCGACAATGGGCAAACTCACGCAAGAACTTTTGAGAAATCATTCGTCGGAGAGACTACGAAACTGTCTGCTGAGCTTGACCAGCTGATCAGGTGCTGGATGGCTGGATCTTCGAGCATACTAGAAGGCAATGCGATGTGAGTAATACTGCGACGCCACGGCGCTCTCGGGACAACTCCCACAGGATCGGCGGCCATACTTGTATAGCTTATGTATGAAGGCTGTTTGCACAATCTTGGGCTGGTGGACGGCAGCGGCAGCTGCCGCGGGCGCGGGCGCAGGCATCGTTGTCGTAGAGGACGTCGGCGTGTGCGCTGGGGCTGTCGAGTATTCGCCAGATGAGCTGTTGTTGTAGCGGTCGGTCGAGTCGGCGCCGTTGCCATGTGGCCGCTTGTCAGTCGGTGTCGTGATTTCCATTGGATCGCCCCGGGGAGAGGCGGCCGATGTCTTGATGACGGGAGGGTTGGAGGTGGAGGAGGAGGCAATAATTGGAACCGTTCGAGAAGCAAGGCTGTCTTGAGGCTCCATACCCAGTGGGGTTCGGGGCGTGCTTTCGGTTACGCTCGCCATTGCGCGCCGCAAGAGTGCTGAGGAAGGTTGCTAGGAGGGAGGACGGGATGAGCAAGTCGACGGGCAGCAGAGCCGCGACGGAGGTGCGAGTAAGAGCAGGGTCACGTCAAACTATGGACGACGGATCGCATAGCTGTCTTGCGGCGAATCCACCCCGGCGCGGACGAATCGGGTCAGGGGGCGGCCAGGCCAGTTGGGAGGAGAGAGGAGACAACAAGCGTTTTGCCTGCGAATCTGTCAGGCGCATTGAGACCTTGGACGGACGTGCGTGCTTGACAGTACTAGGTAGGCACTCCCTGCTCATTCCCGTGCGCTTGGCATGGGGTTCGCTGTCGACAGCGGGAAAGGGCTGGTCGAGAGAGTGTGGGAGTCTCTGGGAGGGGAGAGTGGGACGCTTCGAGGCCGGTGGAGCACGCCTCAGTGGAGAGAGGCCTGGTAGCTATCAAACATCTGTGATTGGGAGGGGTGGTGTCGATGCGCGTAGGGCAAGTCAAGCAGCAAAGAATGCAGGTGGGTGGCCAACGCCCCGGAATGGAAGTGCGCAGAAGGTGCAGTGACTCGCGCATGGCGCCCGAAGCAGAATGCAGCAGAGTCAGTGGTTCGCTCGAGGTGCAGAAGCAAAGCTGGCCAGAACAGGCCCAGAACCCAACGGAGAGCGAATGCGGCGCTGAAGAAGGTGGAGATCGGGGCACTTTGCTAATGGAGGCTCGATTATCGCTGCGCGCTGCACCACAGATTACTGCTGCTGCACAAGACGGCACCGCGCCCAATCAGGCGTGAGGGTGTGCATGACCTTACATTGGTTCTGACTTGGGGCCCCCCGGGTGCTTATCCCGCCGCTCTTGTCCCTGTTGCTGAGCGTTCGTTGGGCTTCACGATCGATCTGCTTGAACCAAGGCTTGGTGTCAAATGCCCCGAGCCACAGGCTCGAGAGGCTTGGTCCCGCTGTTGCTCCGTGCTGACTCGGGTGTCGTGCTTGATGATTGGGGCCAATGGAGCCAAACGGCTGATTGCCTACGCCATTGCGGCAGAGGTCGGCAGGACGAGGCCCAGTCCATGGCTGGCCTTCTCCCCGGGTGACATATTCGACATGTCCAAAGATCGGGGCCGCGTTGGGAGCTTCCGCATGCTGGTCCTGACCCGTCATCTGTCAAGCCTTTCACGCGGATCATGACGAGGCGACACGAGACTCTATGGCTGCTGGTAATGGACTCGATGTGTGCGGCGCGCCGACAAGGAGACCCAGACAAGTCTCCTGGCGCTGATTAGCACAAGCTCTCTGCTTGATAAGTCAGTCGGTGTTGTCACTCACCCTGGGACAAATGGACCCGTTGCCCACCTATATGGGGACTGTGCCATGCCGGACGAGGTGCCATGCGCGTCTTCAAGGGCAGGGTCTGCCGCGCGCACGCATTGTCATTACGAGCTGGGGTCTCAGCAACGACGCCTAGAAACCCTGAGAAGCGTTCAGGGGTGCGACCCTGCAAGGAAGGTACATGCAACACCACCACGCACTTGCCCCTTTTGACGGCCTGGAGCTTCATGCCTCTGTCAGATCTAGAGCTCTAATGGCCACCAGCTAGTATCTACCGCGCAACAAAAAGCCACACCACGCTTCATGATGAGCCTATGTGGAACGGCTCCGGAGAACTTTATGCAAGCGCCAGTCAACTCTCACACTGCATCTTCTGCGTCGTCGTCTCTGGGCCTTGTCCACTCGTCGACCGTAGGAAATCTTCGGAATATGCCCAACAAGCGACGAGGTGGACGACCCCCAATAACACCTCCGGCTCGGTGCTGCCAGGTCCCCGGCCCGCCAGCTAAAACTAGTTGCCGCTATCGACGCCGCGGAGACTCCTCCCCGCCAGGCCGGGGGGTTTTAGCAGCAGTCGGGGCGTCAAGGCTTTGGGCTTCTGCCCACTCCCGTTCACAGTCCTGACATAATCCCCATTGTCATAAGCACGGCACAAGCATGTAAATACTTGCGGCATTCACCGGGGGCGCGAAGACGGCACAGTTCTCTTTTCACCTGAATTTGCTGCTACTGTCCAACAGTCCCTGCTAGTATGAAGGGGCAGACACTTGCATAACCAACCCTTTGAGTTATTAGGGTATATCGTTGCCCGAGGCCCGGGGGGCATATGTTATCAAAGCCACGCAAGGCGCACCAGCGGCGCAAAAAACCAGAGCAAAAAACACTTCCATGTAAGGAATGTCTGTACTTGGCTGCTTACCTCCAGATTGCAATGTCCATCTGAATCTAGCGAACAGACGAGGCTTCAATGATTTCACAGTCAGGGGAAGTGGGCAAACCGGGCTAGCGTTGTGCGGGAGCCACCCCCTGATGTTTCGGGGGCAAGCAGTTCACGACCCTCGATTACACCATGCAGACATAAGTGAATTCCTGACACACCAGTTTGTTTGCGGCGTTGTCTGGCGTATCGAATTTTCCCTGTGGACAGGATGCTGTCTGAAAGTCTCTTATATAGGTAAGCCTACCCTGATACTTATGGCTTGGGTACGAGAACTATCTCACAACCCCCTTTCGGCGCCCCAAGTGCACGACGTCCAAAAGCTACACGAAGCAGAGAACGTGGATGAAGTCGGTGGACTAATGAATGCGACATTGTGCCCCCTTCCACAAGCTGGTGCCCCAGCCTCTCGCCAAGTGGGGGGTTCGACAAATCGCCACTTCCGCAACATCGACTCAACTCTCGAGCATCTCCTAGAGGTTAGCAACGACGAGATTCGGACCAAGTCATGTTGGGAATCTCGGAAATGTCGGGTGGCCGGTGAACGAGGACTGCGACGGAAACTCGAGGCTCTGTAGTCTCCAGACGAATGGGCCTCGGATATGCACCGAGTCTAATAAGCCAAGAGACGATCGGCCAAACTCAAATAATGAAAGAGCGATGGCATGTGATTGGCCTTTTCTTTCCGGCCGCCGGAACAGTGAACAATGGGGCCCAGTGTCTTCGGGGGGAAGCTCCATTGCTGCTAGAGACAACGGCGATGACCCCGAGCGAGGTTTCGCTCTCGACTACGGACGGCCTTGTACTTGGATTTACTCCCATCCCGATGTATTCAGCTTCGAAAAGACTGCCATTCCCTCAGGGCAAATTGACGGAGCTTCCTCCAATTCCCCCCCTCGCCAAAGTGACCGCTGCATGAGGCTCCACACCGAGCCGACATATTGTGGGTGCTAGGGCATGCAGGCAAGCTGCAGCAGCCTGCAGGCGTGGAAATTGTGCCGAAGTTCTCTGGCCCAGTGGATGGCGTGTTTCGAGAACGTATTTGGAGTGAAGGTGGTGGCTAACAACGATTGGGCCAGGGTGGTAGGACGACATGAGTCCTGCACGCCAGGCTTGCATGTTTCACAATTAGCTGCACTGGGTTCTCGGCTGACCAAAACTTCCACAAGCTCCCCTCAGGACACCAGAACGATAATCACTAAGGCATCCCGAAGAGCTGGGACCTTCGCTTAGCATTGATGGCTTGGCGTCAGGCGGGCCTGGCCACACTTTTCATATTCCTGTCGAGGTCGGTCGTGCCGGACAGGTGGAAGACCCTGCCATACTTACTAGTCACGGTTGGCAGACCCATGCTACCATGGTATGCGCGCATCAGGCCCATCCTAAGCTAATGCCGTGCACTAAGGCGGATTGACGGCGCTACCTCACAATTTCCATGATTACGCTGCAAATCCTCGCTCTTATGTCGGACCGCATACCAGCTGGATGAGGTCGGAAATAACATTCAGTCTTCAGCTCATTCACTCAGGCGCGCCCACAAGAGCTAGGCACTAACCCTCAAGTGCTGGTGTGCTTGGTGCCAAGGAATAATTATGAGCATGCTAAATTGGGACTTCTCCCGCGGCAAATCTCGCGGCATCTGTGGATATCCTAGCTCTTCCGGATCGACCCATCACAGGCTTGGGGCGGTAGTGCAACTTTGTGATCCGACGGCAGTTGGCCAACAATGGAAAAACTAGCTCTCTTCAATGCACTTGTAACACCTGCATATGTGGCTTGCAGGATGGGACGCCTTCTTGTTCACATTTCCGGTTTTTAAAGAAACGAACCTCCCTTCTTCTTGGTGGACGGGTGTGGAACACGTCGGCTATTCGTTCTCCCTTCTACGGCTAGTCGTCGTCCTCCATGAGCGCGGCCAACTCCGCCTCTTCCTCGGCAGTCATCAGAGGTTCGGCCGGTGGAGCCGGTTCCTCCTTCTTGATGCCTTTCGCCCTGTTCTCCTGGTCCTTTGTGAAGGCGTCCAGATCGGCAGCGGCAAGCGGCCAAACCCGCACTGTCCCATCAATGGAGACCGAGAGGACTCTGCTCCCTCCCGGGAGCGCCAACAGGTCGGTGACCTCGTCGTAGTGGCCGTCCAATGTGCAGTAGAGCTTGCCAGACGCCCTGTCCCACACCCTGATGTCCTCATCTCGTCCCGCAGTGATGACCCACGGCTCAACCAGAGCCACAGCGCGGACGTGGTCGCCGTGCTGTATGGTATCGTCGGCGCCGAACGCCTTGTGCCGCAGCAGGCACTTTGCCGTGCCGTCGCCACTTGCCGTCCACAGGTCGACCTCGTCCCCATCTAGATCAAATACAAGCCTGTAGATAGTGGTGTCGTGTTCCAGAATGGCGTGCCGGACGGTGTTAGGTTCGGCCGGGGTGGTCTCTTGGATCTGCTCGTACCCATCCAGCCGTATCCGCCATCGCCGGATGTGCGGATCGCTGCTGGCACTGAACAGGATGATCTCCTCGGGTGTCGACTCTACGGGGTCCACGGCGAGATGCTGGATCGCCATCATCGAGACAGTCTGATCCTGCAGGACGTGAAGCCTCTTGCCGGACTCGATCTCCCAGACCATGATCTTCTTGTCCGCACCACCGCTGATCAGGCACGGCACGCCACCGATCACAACTGCAACCACGTGCTTGACAAAGTCGGAGTGCCCGCTATACCGGCGGCCTGTAGCCCCGGACGCCAAGTCCCATGACCAGATGTCCTTGTCCCAGCATCCCGCAAACAGAGTCTGCTTTCCAGCCGAGTTCCCCACGGCTGCGCTGGTCACAGGGGCAGTTGGACCACGGTAGGCTTGCTTCGTCTCGCCAGTCTGTCTGGGCTCGCGATTAGCTTCTGCTTTGCTATGCTTGAGGGCGATACGGGGTGGTGAAGATCGTCGACCGATCTGTGACTGACCTCGAAATTCAGCCGGCGCACAGAGCCAGCGGACTCGGCCACGAGCACGTGTGAAGCCGAGGTCGGGTCCTGAATCACGGCCTGTAGTTTCGACTTAAGCACAATGGGATTGCCATGCTTGTTGCCTGCTTTTGCGGCCCGGCGCTCGCGGAGAGCTTGTGCCGCACTGTAGCTACGTTAGCCATCCGGAACTGGATGTCTGCCCCTACATAAAGATCTGAAAACGTACTCGGTCTCGAAATAGTGCTCTGATGACGTGCCTTGCCGCATGCTGCCCTGAATTATTTTATCCGTCGTGATTCTGATAATGCAAGTGGCATGAAATTCAAGGTGGGGCGGCCGATTTAGGGGTTCTTCAGTTCAACGTGGCGGGGGTCTGGCATCTGGTGGTGCTGGAGATCTACCGTTCATTCCAACAATCTATGCGGAAAATTTACGAATAAATTGTGTCAGATTACGTTTTGCCCTCATGATACCATGTCCTTGACTTTTCGCCCAGCTTATTTTGCCATCCAGTGTGCTTGGATCGGAGCGTGTGCTTCGGAGGGCGGCGACTCTGGCAGGGGAAGAGTAGCCCGCGCTAGTCCCAATTGGATGTTAATTGGCGACCAGCCTCGACGCGTTCAACTCGACGCGTCGGAGTGTGGGACTCACTTTCGTCACTTGCAGTGATCCCACACAGCACAACAACCAAAAGGACACAGGCGGACCTACTTGTTCCTGGACGACAGAGGTCGTCTTGATTCTTTCACGGAACCCTGCTGGACAATCTCATATCGAGAGCACAACATCTACAATCTCTCGCAATGGCGTCTACCGCCCCTCCTCGGCCTCGCGCCCGCCCAGCACACACACAGGGCGTCACTCGCTGCGCCTACACACCAAACGGCTCGAAGCTCGTGACCGTCGGCTCAAACAACACGATCCGTCTGTACAAGACCGGCTTTGACGGCGAGCCCACCAATATCGACGACTGCCAGGAGCAGAACACGGCCCTTGCCAGTCGTGACGACTACTTCATAGTCGGGTCCGAGGATGGCACAGTCAGCTTGTATTCGATTTCCGACGCCACATTCGACAAATTTCTCCTGCGAAGCTCCCTCCCTATCCGCGATGTGGCGGTGTCTCCAGATGCGAAGTGGTGTGCGGTGGCCAGCGACGAGCTCACTGTCAAGCTCGTGCGCACCGACGACAACAGCCAGATCCGCCACCTCAACGAGCACAACAAGCCAACAAAGCACTTGGCTTTCGACCCCTCCGGCTCGACCATAGCGCTCGCGTGCAGCGACGGAATCATCTATGTCTACTCGCTCAGCTCAGAGCAGCCGGAGCTAATTCGCCGGGTTGATGGTGTGATCGGACCCATAGACACAGAGTCCGACGTCAGCTCGAGGGTTGCGTGGCACCCAGACGGGCGAGCCTTCGCCGTGCCAACGCCAACCAGGGATATACAAGTCGTGTCAAAGGGTGATTGGGAGAAGCAGAGACTCTTCTCGGGCGGTCACCTGGGTGACATTACGGCGCTGGAGTGGTCGCCCAACGGTGCGCTGCTGGCATCGGCAGGCAAGGACAAGAAGATTGTGCTGTGGGAGACAAAGACTCAGACGATCCTTGCGAAGCTGGATTTCGCCAACGTCATTGACATCTGCTGGCATCCTAGCGAGAACCTGGTGTCGTTCACAAACTCGGACGGCGAGGTTTACATTCATCCAGAACTTGTGCCTGAACAACATTCACCTCTACTCAAATTGAGTCGGCAGCCTGCTCCATTTATTCACGACCCTCAGACGGAGCTCACAACCAATTTGAGACGGCCGGAGGCCAATGGCGTGCATGCCGGTGCCCCTCGCCGCCGCAGAGATTCTGTGGACAGTTATGATTCCCTCCTGGACGGGCCCCTTCCTGAAGATGAAGACTTTGTGGAGGACGATGACGGCGCCGGGTACGTCATTAATGGTAATGGCAAGCGAATTCCCGGCCCAGGCAATGCCGTGGGCAGCACGAATTATAAGCGGAGACATATTGAGCCTCAGTACCATGAGGCGTTCCAGCCAGGCTCAACGCCTTGGCGCGGAAACCGAAAGTATTTGTGCCTGAACCTCATCGGTTTCGTGTGGACTGTCGACCAAGATGGACATCACACAGTCACAGTGGAGTTCTATGATCATGAGTTCCACAGGGATTTCCATTTTACGGATACGTTCTTGTACGACAAGGCCTGTCTCACGGACAAGGGCTGCTTGTTCTCATGCCCTCCAACGGACGACACCCCGGCGACAATATTTTACCGGCCTCACGAGACATGGACTCATCGCACTGACTGGCGGACGCAGCTGCCCAAGGGCGAGGCTGTGCTAGCCATGTCGCTTAGTGACTCTTTTGTCACAGTAACCACCACAGCCAACTATGTGCGTGTCTACACCCTGCACGGGGTCCCTTACAGGGTTTATCGCCCCAAGAGCGCCCCAATGGTCACCTGCGCCAGCTGGAGAGACTATGTCATGACTATTGGTAACGGTTCTGTCGGTGCAGATGGATTCACCCGGTTACAGTATACTATACAGAACCTGAAAAGGGACGAGATCTGCCAGAATGAGGATATCGTGGCGCTTCCGGAAGGGGCTACACTCAAGAGTGTCTTTTTCTCAGACAATGGCGTAAGTTATCAGGACATCAGTGGAACCTCAAGCAGCCATTCGTTAACGCTTTTGAACCAGGATCCATGCATCTACGACTCCACGGGCACACTATTAACTTTGTTGCACTGGCGCCAACCATCAAAAGCTTCTTGGATACCTCTGCTCGACACCACGCTCCTTCCTCGCCTTGCATCTGGACGAAAGCACGAGTCATATTATCCGATTGCTGTTGCGGATGGTAGATTCCACTGCATCATCCTCAAGGGCGGAGACCAGTACCCATACTTCCCCCGGCCATTGCTGTCCGAGTTCGACTTCTCTATCCCGTTGACATCTGAACCTCCGAAGACCAAAAGCCAGAATGATGATGCCATGGAAGATGAAGCAGACGAAGCTTCCTCTGAAATTCGCAAGCTTGAGCAGCAGTACCTCCTTAAGGATATCGCAGCTGCTCAGCTGCAAGATCTGATTGACTCGAGTGGAGGTGCACATGCGCAAAGGTCAAGTCTGGCTCGTCTGGAGCTGGATATCGACAAGACGCTGCTTCAGTATCTCGCCATTGAGTGTCGCGAGGGCGAGGAGCGTGGCATGCGGGCCCTCGAGTTGGTCGAGCTCATGCGGGACCGGACGGGAAGGATGTTTGAGGCTGCAGGGAAGATTGCAGAGAGGTATGGCCGCTCTATCTTGGGCGAGAAGATAAGAGAAGTTGGTGAGAAGCGAATGAATGCCATGGAGGAGGACTACTAGACGTGGATTTTCGACATTGTACCCATGCATAATTTGTCGGGTTGGAAACAAAGCAGTTGGGGAATACGTAGTGTCAAAATTGTTTCGTCCAGAACTGGATTGTCTATGTCCAAGGCCATGCTTGACTGACACAGCCAGAGCGCATGGGATGATGACCGTGGTTGCATAATGGTCACCGGGCGGTCGTCACTTGAGGATGCCGCTCCATTGTTCTTCCACCAAAGGGCCACGGCCTTCAACATTCTACATAGCATCCTCCAGAGTCTGGTCTCTTAGCCGCAGGTTCCATAAAACCAAATCTTTGGAGACCTCTTAGACATCTGCGCTTCCTTCCCACTCCTCCCATTTCTTCTGGTCTTCAACACACTTGATACTTGTGCAGTTGCAAGAAGACAGGATACCACAACTACCTCTGAGCTATATCTCGTTAAGACACAATACTTGTGCACGACCTAGGCTCCTTTCAAGAACCTCGATCGCATTTTCTGGCCTGGCCAAACCCTCCTGCAAACAAACCAGCAGACCTCAACGACAAACCCGCACAACGACTCACCATACAGCATCACCATGGCTGGCGAAGGAAAGGACAAGACACCCACCTCTGGCGGCGCCAGCCTCTCCCAGCGAGACCTGGCTGTCGTTGCTGCCGCCTGGCATTCTCTACAGGAAGACCCGAAGGTATGTCTGTTTCACAGCTACGCTCATGTTTCTTCTGTCAAAGCGATCATGTTCCCTCCGGTGTATGTCGACCACAAGCAGAATAGATCCATAAAGGCGGCTGCATGTGACTGTCTCCAGTGTGTGCCAGAGAGGGTAGTAATGTTTTTTAATTTTTTTTAACTTTCATCTTACTTCACTGGGTATATCACGAACACTTCATATCACTGTCCAAAAACACATGTCCTCAGCACAGGCTCATGTGCGGGACCTCACTTATTCCTCACAATGCATTTTCTCTTTCCTGGTTACTCGCCATGTACTGCCCACACAAGTGAGCCACGCCTAAAGATTTCCCGATACTGACACACGGACACACGTGAACCCACATTAGCTCGACTATGAAAAGTTCAAGGTCCTCGCAGGCTACGGCTCGACCGAGTCCGCGCGCGTCAGCTGGCGCCTCATCAAGAAGAAGCTCCTCGCCGCGGGCCCTGATCCTGCCATGCCCTCCGCCGCTGGGGCTCGCGCTGCTGGTGTCAGCAGCACGACGCCCAAGTCCACCGCCGGGGCCAAGAAGCAGCGCGGCGCCGGTGCCAGCGCCGTGGCGGTCAAGAAGATGGATCTTTCCCCTGCCAAGGCCGAAGGCGACGACGAGGACGACGAGCTGCTCGCCGCCGCCGCCGCCGCCGCGGACGCCCAGGAGACGCCTACCAAGAGCGTGACCAAGAAGAAGCGTGGTCGTCCTGCTGCTGCCTCTGTTGGTGCTGCTGCCGCCCCCGCCAGCGGCGACGCTGCGAGCCACCACGAGACACCCGCGCGCAAGAAGGGCCGGGTCACGACGATCCAGAAGCACATGGCGGACCACTACCAGGAGGGGGACGCTGTCAAGCGGGAAAGCAGCGATGCGGCAGATGAGGACGATGAGCCCGTCAAGAAGTTCTTCAAGATGGAGGAGTACACCGGCAATGATGATGAGGCTTGACCGGTGTGGCCGTGTTCCTCGCCGCAAAATTATCAGCCTTACAACCCCGATTTGATCCGGATCTCGCTCGCTCAGTATGGTCCGAGGCGTACCCTTTCTGAGCCAGCGCAGGGGACTTACAGAACAGCAGACAATGCGGTGGGTGCAGGGTGCGGTCAGCGAGGTTGTGCAAGGCAGGATACAGGACACAACCAATCTCTAAGCACTCCTTTTGTCATGAACATTTTGTTACTCTAGGGCAAAGGATCCCCACCCGAAGGAGAAGCAAGAACAGATAGTAGAGATGATGATTAAGACGTGTGCTTGCATGTTATGGTCTTGCGTTGATCGAGAATCAGAAAGTCGACTACTTGGAGAAGCTGAGGTCGCTGAGCAGCACAGAGTGCCAACTCAGATAGCATGAACAGTAATGGTTTCCAACGCGATCGTCCCTTGTGCACATTGTCCCTGTTGATATGAACGTGTCTATATTTCAGGAATGAGATAGTCCACGATTGACCGATCGGACGTCCTACCGACCATGGATCAGGCAAACAACGTCATCCGGGCGAGAACACTGTTCTGTACTAGTCTGTGACTGAAACCCTCAAGCCGGAGTGCTCACAGTAAAAATGCCAAGAGGGGGGTTTCTTGTCGAAATCCTTTTCAATGGTCAATGTGCCCGAGCCACTTAACGGCGTCCCCATGCATCATATGTCTCTTTCCACAAAGTCTGGATCGTCTCGAGGCTTGAAACATGTTCAGCCCTGCCTTGGGACCAGATGCCTCTCCAGATTGACTGACAACGGCGTTCCCATCCAGCTCTGGGCAAATGTTCCTGTCCAATCCAGACACACACATACACCCCCCCAGACAAATCCAGTCGCACCTCTTTACCAACGCGCTTCTCATTCTCTGTCCAGAAGCGCTGCCACGGCAGCCTTGCATCCTAACTCGCCCACAGGCGGGACGCGAACTCTCGGTGGCAGAGAAAGAGTTGCATTAGTTTCAAACTCTCCATTATGGAAGGCCAATGCAGCTAGTCAAGTCTTGTTCCGGTGGATGCGGCCTGGCCAAGAATGAAAGGTCGAATGCCTTGTGCCTAGCCGCGCGTCTCTGCAGCTCTGCACCGCTTCACTCGTCCAGTTCCTTGGCGGAGAGAGTCCGAGGATATAGATCTGGCCATCTCGCATGTGTTGTATGCGATCTGTCAGGTCTCATGCAGCTGCTGGAACCTCTAGCTACTGAGCCGCCGGGCGCCAGAGGCCTCTCTGTTTAACGGTGGCTTGGCTTGTTGCTAGCGTTTACCGATCTGCCGGAGAACAGGCGCCACGCCTCAGCTGGGATCGAGGTCTGTGCAACGACTCACAAGACGTGAATCCATCAGACCTCTTTTTCAAATGGTAGATGCACGCTGTGGTGGCCGCGATATAGACGGATGAAATGGGCAGGAAGGCTTGTCGGACGATGTTAAGGTTCAGGACAGTCGCAACGCTAAGAATAAAAGCTAAATGAGGCGGCCATGTCCAGGTGTAATTTAAGAAGCTGTGAACCTTGATTCTGATTTGTTGGGAGAGCGCTTTCCCGTCTGACCTGCAATTGCTGGCGTTATCAGTGTGCAGAAGAGCTTTCCCTCCGCATTGGCGAAAGCCAGAGCTTATAGGGCGAACAATAGAAACAGCTGACGATCATCAACGGCAAACGGCGCGGCTTGCTGTGGATGATTTCGCCAAGTGAGCCGAGGCATGTCTTGCGATGGCCGGACAGCTAATGCTGGCCATCCTTATAAGGTTAACTTGATCACAAAGCTGTAGGTTGATACGTTGCAGTGGCGGAAGAGCTGGCTTGAGAAATTCAAGCACTGACGAAAACCGGGATCTCGACGCCCATCTTGCGAACAGGATAGCACAATAGAGTTGAGCGCGCCCTGGGTTCGCGCGAGCTCAATCGCCAAAACTGCGAATGGCGATCCAGAGCAAGCACACCACCTTTAAATCTTGGTGAGAGAGACCGACTGCTTCGAATGGCAGAGAATCCCATGATCAGAGACACATAACGGCCGAGGGTCGCTTCTCGAAGTAATCGGCTGAAGGTCTCAGGGCAGAACATGTGCTCACCTCACCGTGGATCGGCAGCGTGTCTCAATAGCCACGAGGCCGCCGCGTGCTGTTCCTGGTTGCGTCAAGACATATCTATTTCTGAAGTTGGGCACACAGGGAGCAGCAATAGATCGTAAGCCCAACGGTCGATCAATGAAAGTCTCGTGGATCAAGAGCCGGGCATACATCGGGTTTTGTATTTAGAGAACCTCGTACATATCGCCGAAGCGAACGATCTTGTTTGTAGGCGTTCCAGCGAGGAGTGTGACCAGAATGCGGAACTCTGGGGTCCTGGCATAGCACAACTGGCCCCAAGTAAGCCTGCTTGTCTTAGCTAGCGTTGTGGCGTGTCTCAGGCCTGTGATGAGTTACTGCGTGTATTTGTGCTAGCTTGCATGAGTGGTGAACCGTGGTGAGACTAACCAGTCCATCCACGCAGATGCACCATCTTCCAAGGAAAGGGCACTTCTGTTTCAAGACCTGCAGCGCACAGTCTCACCAGGTAACATCGCGTGGAGGTGCGCGACGCGACACGATATTTTACTGATTCCGGCGGGTCTCGCTGCGAAGCCGTCGGAGAGCGCGAGGGAGTCGTTCTGCAGGCTGTCAATGCTGGTCCAGACCAGGGGTGTCAAGCCGCCATCATGTACCGAGTATGGTGAGGATGTCGCTCGTGATCTTGAAGCCCTGAAGCGGCTGGGTTATGAAGTCCAGCTCAATGACGTCTCTCTCCTGGCAGTGAGAGAGAGAGAAATGCACCATTGACTGAGGCTGTCCTGGGGATTACCACAACAGCGGACCACGTCCCGATCTAGCTGAAGACACAGCCCGCCATTGGTCGCAGACTCGAGGCTAGCAGCAAACCCCTGCTTGGAGGTGGTAGATCAGCAGCAAGGGTTAGAGTGGTTATTCCCGTGAGCCCTGCGGCCCGCCAGGCTTGATCCTGGCCTGGCCTCGCCGAAGCATTGTGATTCTTTCTTTTAAAGAGTGGGACCAGAGATTGTTCCGGAGAGCTCGAGGCTTTCCCGGCGAGAGGTGTCCCTGCCGTCTCCGGGTCGTGAAGAGGGGCGGGCCCCTTGAAAGAACTGGTGCTATAGTCTGGTTCCGCAACATCTCCCGCAGTCCGTCTCCGTGCCGTATGCAGCCCGGGACGCCGGAGGAGGAAGTGCGCAAACCGCTGGCCAGGGCGGGACGGCATTGGCTAACATTGCGATGAGCCCGCTTGGCTGGGATGAAGTCCCGTCAAAGAGAAACAGGAGGCCATCTGGCAAGGTGTCGTCTGAACCATGGCACGTCGCACGCTTGTGAGTAAAGCAGCGAGATGCGTGTCGTTTGCCCACGGCTATGTGCAGGCGAGGACGTGCTTCAAGCCTGCTGCATTGCAGCACATCGCATCCATGCCTGCTTTGTCCCGCACGTCCTTTGGGACGAGCACAGGCTGCATGGCGGGAGTAGACCCGGGAACTTGGACTCCAGTGACAACAAGCAAGCCTGTGGTGGTTGTTGTTGTGGTTGTTGACTGACCTGCGATGTGGTTGATGTGCCTGGGTCCAGTACAGCGAATCTGAGACCGTGTTTTGCATAGGGGGAGAACCCGACTCGCCAGCCACGGGCTTGTGTCTCGGTGTTTCTTTTGCACGAAGTCCACCGAGGCACAACTCACCTGTGGACGCGAGCAGAGAGAGGCGGCAGCACTGGGCACTGGGCACGCAGAGGCACAGGCGCCCGTCCCGTGAACCAGACCAGAGAAGGGCGGACTGCCAACCAATTTTCTCCGAGGATCGCTGCTGCAGGATCGGAAGCAGGACGCAAGATGTGTGGAGTGAGAGGCTGGCTGGCCCGTGGTTAAGGTGTGCGGGTGCAGGAGCCTAGAGGCCGGCGCGGGAAATAGGCTTTGCGATGGGCAATGTCTGTGGGCAGCGGCCCAGGCTGGTGGCGCCGCGCCGTCGCTGGCCTAGGCACTGCAAGTCCTATGGTGGCGGCGATCCCGCCTCGACGCGGCGCAAACGGCATCCCGCGCAGCCTGCCTTCCCAAGTGTTAGCTCTGCAGAAAGAAGCAAGCCCTGCCTGCTGCCCCCCGGCTATGCTATGACGATGCTCAAGGTTCACCACCAGAACGGGCTCCGTAGGGCAGTCATCCTTGCTGGCTGGCTCCCGGCATGGGAATTGGCTGCAGGACCTGCCTTGACGCCCGGGTAGCCGCCGCTGTGCGACATCCTTTTGCCGATGTTTGTTCCACCTCGTCCCTCGTTCCTCTTCAATCCCGTCCTGCCGCGTTGCTTTCCGTCGTCTCTGGCAAGCTCTCCTTTCCTCACATCTATGATACCCCTCTCTTCCTTCCTTTGTTGACGCTCCCGGGACTGAAACAACACATTGTCTCTAATGTATCCTTCGGACTTCGAGACGTTGACCTCCCTGTAGACGCAGACTTCATGTAAGTGACTTCTCCTCCTCGAGGGCGCCCTCCAAATGGACGTACTGCTTGTCTTGAGGCTGACCGAGACAGTATCCCATCAATTCCACTTGAGTGTGCTGGACTTGGTGGTTCAGACATTAGTCTACCGGATCCGAGAAACAAACTACTTCGGAGCTTTCCCAACTTCAAGCCGCCTCATATTATATCGTTTCGTTGGTGTTGGGCAAGTAGTCGAGTGCAACGGCCGCCATGGCTCAGTCGCCTCTGTCGCATGGCAACGTGGTTGCTTTCGAGGGCAATCACGACATCATCTCGACACAATTGCGCCTTCTCCCCACTTCATCGAAGGTCCTCATCGTACCACCAATAGATCAATTCTTGGACGGCCAGACCACTCCAACAGCCGACGACCTTCGCGCAAACATCCTCCACATCCACAATGCCGCAGTAAGGCGCGCAGAGGTCGTAGATACCTTCCTTGTCGACTCTACAGCAGAGAGCAGGAAGCTGGTCTTTCTTAACGGAGGTACAGCGGCTGCCACAGCTAAGTGCATAGCTGCCATTCGCCAGCATTATGTCAACACTACCCTCCAAGAGGCCGAGTTCATCTATCACGAGCTTGTGCGAAATGGAGTTGCTGGACTGCATCGACCAAGAAGCGCCTACCAGCCGTCGTCGACCTCTTCGTCGGTCTCCGTCCAAGAAACTACTCGCGGACCTGACGTTGATGATGAGACAGAGGAGGCCTTCGACGACCCCATTTCGAAAGCGATGAAGGCTGCCGATGCTCTGGATCGTGAGACAGAGTCACTGCAACCAAGCAACGAGCTGGATCTCACATCCGCCACAACTCGACCTCGGAGTATGAGTCTCCCCATCGGGCGTTTTCCAGACGATTTTGAGAATGCCCCTCCGTTTTACGTCTTTGGCGCATCTGCGAACTCGAGCTCTCTCATTCTCCCGGACATGCAGAAAATGATTGCTCGCGACCTCGAGCTCATTGATCTGTGCGAGAGATCAGATTCCCGGGAAGCTCGGTCTACAGCACTTCGGGCGCTTCAATCTCTTGAAAAGCGCCTGGGCACAAACGAGATGGAGCCGCAAACCCCAAACTGTATCGGCGAGCCATATTACTCGACGAGTCGAAACAAGGACGGCGCACTTTGGACACCAGCGACCGGATACGGATCCCTGCCTGCAACTCCTGCTGTCGTCATGAGTGCTCAGATCATTGACGTGCGGTGTTCTGAGGCTGCTGCCTGCTCAAGTCATCGCCGAGTGAGATCAGTCGACAGAGTATATGCCACGGCCAGACGGAATCAGGACATCTCACTCTGCCGGGACTCGAAGTCAGAGCCAGTCAGCAAGCGCACCTCTCAACCAGCTGCAGATACGAGCCCGAAGACAGAGGCAAGGCCCGTCCTACGCTCCAAGTTCTACAGTGAGATACCAAGAGCCTCTTTCTGCAAGCCAACCCAGACCACAATCAAACGCAGCGCACCCTCCCACTTGAGTTTGTCACGCGTCAGGAGCCGCCCAGTGTCGTACAATGATACATGCACCACGACCGCCCTCACGTACATGAACCAGAGCACCGAAACGGAGCGCAACTACGTGGATCGAGGAGTCGATGCCATCGAGCCGCATCTGCTAGACCTCCAATTCGAGAAAAGCCACAATTTGCCCCTGGACGCTCCATTCGAAGTCGTTCTTCCCATGATCGAGGACTTGGTCATCCACTTCAAGAGTGAGAAGTACGATGCCGTGCTTGATGCTATGCTCACCGGCCTACAAGATGGAACATACCCCGTGTCACTCCCACCGCTGATGCCTGAAAATGACGAAGATCTCGATTCATCCCGTTCGTCGACGTCGTCCCACGGATCCATACGACCAACATCCGATGTGGAATACTGTGGGGTGTCTACAAGCACTGTTCCGACCTCAGTGTATCCTGTTGATGCTGACGATTATGATCCTTATGCGTCCCACGGAGACTATCTACGACATACAGATTCTCCTTTTGGGAACAGACGAGCTACAATGGACAAAAATGACACGCCATTACAAGCGACATCGATGGCCACAAAGGCTTCGCGGCCCACGGCAGCACCTGAGCCGTCCACGCCTGTGGAGAAGAGTTTCCACGCCTTCCAAACGAACGACTGCCGCAATGCAGTCGGGGTGCAGAACTCACTGAGATCCATCTTGAGCATTTACTTTCCACCTCAAGACGGGGGCCTCAACCATTTGAAGTTCTCCTCCTTGCCCGAGATGGGTGGGATGTGGCAACCCGTTTTCCGCGACGGTGACTCGGATGGTTCGCAACCCCGAAGCACCAACATCGATCTCATTCTAGCAATCGGCGCCCAGAAAGGCGTCGAGCGGAGTTTCCTAAGCGCAATCAGCGGTTCCTTGGAGAAGCTCGGGTCCAAGTCGAATGGCATTACCCACAGTGGACGGCTTGATTTGCGGTAAGGACACCAGGTTTCCGCCATACTTGACATGAGTTATTGATAGCTAATTGTGCCATTAGGTACCTGATTGCCAGCGCCATGCAGACCTTCACTGCCCAGCCTCTGGCCAACCAGACTACAGACAATCCCTTTACGAACTCGCTGCTGCTCGCAACTCTCATTATCCCTTTTCTCGAAATGTACTTGGCTGCTCACGCCGACACTAGATTCCTTTTGCTGGAATATCCACCTGAGCACTTGACCACAGTGCTCGCGCTTCAGAGACTCATCGGCGTCGATCTTCTCAAGGTTTCTGGCATCATCGATGCCGAAGCGGGGGAGCCAAAGCCATTTTCTGGCTTCAAGGCACAATCACAATTGAGGCCGAGACACTCTGCAGCGCAGTCTGTCTCTTGCATGTCAGACGCAAGCACGACTTCCGTTGCCACAACGGCCACGCTGCTATCGCCCGGACCGCGCAAGAGCGAAGCACCGTCCTTCTCAAAGGCGAACTTCCTCCTGACTTCGTCCGCAACTGAATCCGAAATTGCCACTCTGATATCCACCATATGGAAGCTTCTTGTTGACATTTCGCCATTCTACATTCCTGAAGGTGCTCCCAAGAGCCACGCAGCCAGACGTGTGATCGAGCAGCGACAGGTCAAGCGTGTCCCAAGTGATCTCTATCCTAGGTTACCTACACCACTCATCGAATCCACCGTCCAGTATGCGCCCCTTGCCGCGGCTACGGCTATGATGGGTTTTGCTGCTGCCGACAATGATGCGGACAGTGTCTTTCAGAGCACCTCACCACAAGCCGTAGCAAGCCCTACCACTCCTCTGTCCCCGATAGACAACTTTGCCGCCGCCGCTGCTGAGCGGCGCCCGCCTACGCCACCAGTCAGGTCATCAAGGGCATCAATCACAGAAACGATCAGGAGCAGCAAGACAATGCGGACCATGGCAAGCCAGCGGAACAAGATCCGCAACATCATGCTCGGTCGCGACATCGAAGTGGAGCTGCCCGTCCCGTCGCGGCCAGAGACCATGAGTGGGTCGTTCTTTGATCTGTCCGACGACGAGGACGGCCGCTTCGCCGCAGACGAGAGGAAGTACATGCCACTCTTCGGCAGGACGCCAGTAGTCCGCAAGGGAAACAGCCGCAAAGCGCTCATGTGGCTGGGCTTGTCGGTCGAGCAGTGACAGAGACGATGCCACCCATGCACACACACACACACACACACACACACACACACACACACACACACACACAATATTGATATACCTTTCTTTTCCGCTTCTTTCACGATCGTTTGGTTTTTGCCCGAGTCACGTTTTGGGCTCAAAAGCGAAAATAAGGTCCGCTCTACTGGCTCCCCTTGCCGCATGTGCTCACTTCTCGCATGTTAAATGATTCACCTAATCGCATCACTACCATTGACCGCCAACGCCTTTGCTCTCCCGCCGCCTTTTTTCTTCTTCTTCTTCAGTTCTCGTATATCTTTATTCCTCCCGTCACAACGACATCTTCCACCCATCGGGTCTTTCTTCTGTCCTATGGCGTCATGGTATCTTTGCAGGGCTTGTATCATATATCAGAGCCACTCTTCCTCATTTTCCTTGTCACTTCTCCCGTGCCACTGTACCAAAGTAGTCAGAATACAATAATGAGAATATATTGCCTATGAGAAATGCTGGAATGGGGCATCTCACAGCTAAACACCTCGCTTCGTACTATAAACCTCACGTCGGTTTGCAAGTGTAGAGCACGGGTGCAACGAGAAGCCAACAGAGACGCTCAGAAGGACACGAGTTCGGGCAGCAGATGAAGAATATGATATAACAAACGTTCAATAAGGAGTTGCGCCGCGATCTGCCAGCTTAGTATCTAGAACAGCCAGTCTCTTCTTCCAAACCACATCCATTAGATTGCATGGCTGATGAGACGTCTAGTCGTGTGCGCGCTGAGCAGGGCCTCCCGCCTGAGAGCAACGCCTCGGTTGGCGGGCGATTCATGAGGCTTGTCCTTCCATAGATTGCACAACCCGTGCGAGAAGACAGTGAAACGACTATGCAGTACGACCCTCTAAATCATGCACAAACACGCGGCCGGACATGGAGCGACCACCCTGGCTGCTCGCCCTGCCCTTTGCCCATCCGTCCTGACCGCCTGATTCCGGTAATATCAAAAATGGCACGTGAGAAGTCCTGTCGTCATGAAGGGGTATCGTGAGAAGTCGTTTAGCAGCAGCCACCGCTGTTGTTGTTGCCGACAGCGTGGCCGGGGCCCACCTGGACACCGGGCTTGGTGTTGGTCGTGGCCTGGCTGCCCATGCGCTCCTTGATCTGGCGAGCCATGGTAAGGAAAGCCTGCTCGACGTTGCTGGCGTTCTTGGCAGAAGTCTCGAGGAACGGGATGCCGAGGCTGTCGGCGAACTCCTGTAAAGGGTCTTAGCTACTGCTGGCCATCATTTTCGAGGACGGGGATTTCTTACCTTCGCTACTGTGTACTCGACGACCTTCTTGTCCGACATATCGCTCTTGTTGCCAACCAGCAGCTTGTTCACACCCTCGGTGGCGTAACGGTCAATCTCCTGCAGCCACTGCTTCACGTTGTTGAAACTGTCCATGTCGGTGACATCGTAGACGACGCAAATGCCGTGGGCACCCCGGTAGTACGACGACGTGATGGTGCGGAAACGCTCCTGGCCAGCGGTATCCCACTGAGAACGGACACCAGTCAGCACTGGGTCGATAGATGCTGGTGTGGAGCCATGACTTACGATCTGCAGCTTGACGGTCTTGCCATCCAGGTCAATAGTCCGGATTTTCTGGATCAGGTCAGTCAACGATCATAGAAACCTGCCAGCGTGGCTTGAGCTCGTTGCAGATACGTACGAAGTCGACGCCGATGGTGGAGATGTAGGACTCGGTATAGGTATCGTCGGCAAAACGGAGCAGCAGACAAGACTTTCCGACACCGGAGTCTCCGATGAGGAGGAGCTTGAAAAGGTAGTCGTATCTGTGGTGACATGGCATCTTAGCATGGAATCGCTCAGGGAATGACTCGAAGTGCAAAGCGATGTCGTTAAGGTCGAGGATAAAAGGGGAGGTCTTGGTCTCTGGTGAAGGCGCCGAAAAGAGGAAGGCGGCCGTAGAATATAAGATCACGAGCCAACATCGAGGGCGAACATTTCGGAAATCGTGCGTCTAGCGGACGGGTGATGGCTGTGCTGGCCTGGTGGCATAGCGAACAGGATGAAAGGAGGCAGAGGAGTCGTGGGAGGAGTCGCGGGGGCGCACATGCAGGCAGGGCAAAAGGCACTCTACACGATGACAGGTGTTAGTACGAAGCTTGCAATTTCAAGACGGCTCGCTGGCAAGCGGAAAGGGCGGGTGCTTGCGGGGGCTGACGTTGGAAGGGCAGAGACGACGTACTACTCGGGATTCATCTTGTTGGCGGGGGGGGGCGATACGCGGCGTCGCAGAAGAGGCGGTGGGTGGAGAGAGGTGGATTTGGACGAGGTGTCGGCGCTGGAGTGGGAGAAAGAGTGTTGTGGGAGAGGTCGCAGCAGGAGGCGGGAGAAGCAGGCGACGATGCAGCGACGATGATATATGTAGGAGCGATGCGGAAGGGGTGCTCGGAGCCGGGATGGTGGTGGAGGGAAGAAGGAGTCTGGAGGCAGTAGAGGGCTGACGCTGATGGCAGGATGATTGCTGGCCGGATAGCAGGCAGCGCAGGCCGGGCAGGCCGCCAGCCAGGCATGAGTGAGGAAGCGGGCGGGCTCTCCCCAGCTCCAGCACAGTCATCATCACTGCGCTCAGGCAATGGCGGACCATTCACGCTTGCACGTCTCAGACTGGCAGCTGGCCGCCGGCCGCAGCCTCGCTCCGTTTCTCACGGTGGAGAGAGTGTGGCTCAAGTGGGTACCGGTTCTGCCGGCTGGCAAGAGAGACACCTGCAAGCCCAAAGGGCCCGGGTCTCCTGACCAGCAACGACCACTTGCACAAGCCTCCCTTCAGCTTCAGGGCCCGCTCACCTGCGCAGCGTCATGCCCACTCATCGCCTTGCCTGCACACTCAGGTATGAGTCTGCTTCACTCTTGTGGTGGCAGCAACGCCATCCAAAGTCAGAGTGAGTCTGGAGGCATTGGAGGGTCGTTTGGGCCTTGACGCACATATCGAAAGGGTGTTTCTGATCCGGTTGTCGTTGTTGTTGTTGTTCCATCATGAGATGGCCAAGAAGCCACAAAGACTTGTCCCAGCAAAAGCCCCTTATTTGCAGCCACTACTGGCTGCTCCCCTTCGGCATTGCATGCATACATCGACAACCCATCTCTCCGGCATGGCCTCAATGTCTCATGACACAACCGTGCCCAGCGACGTCAGCGAACCTCGGGCGCCGTGACTGACGTCGTGGGGGCATCCACATGCCCAGTGCATGTGGGGCCTGCTGCAGGGCGTTCTTGCCCAGCATAGCGTAGGGTCCTGGAGCCTGGCGGGCGGGTGCCGTTGGCCCACCGGGCCGCTGCTGGTTGGAGGTGCGCATTCTCACGACAGATTCCCATCATCCGATCAAGCTCTCCACTCCGCCGCCCGCACGCACGCAGCTTTCCTCATCCAGCCTTTGTCGTGACCTGACCCTTCTGCGCCATGCCTCTGCCGCATCCCGCCAGCCATTGAGCCTCGAGCGGTCCTCACGATCCCATGCTCGTCTGCTCTGCACTGTCTCGCCTGCCACCGACGGCCACGACACATGTCCCTTCCTAGTCGTGCGCTGCGCTCCCCCTGCGCCGGCGTCCTCACAAGGTGCCCACCAGCCAGCCCGGCTGTGAGATCTGGGGCTGTAGTGAGTCGGACAAGGGAGGTGTGCGGCCGGACGATCTCGACTGGCGCTTCCAAACGACTAAGCACCGTTTCCGTCGCATCAAGGCCTGAGACCGCCCCGGTATGGTTCGACTCCTCTGCACCGGTCCTTGATATTCAACGGCGAGGCTCTGGCTCGCCTCGTCAAGATGACGAGCGCAAGGTCAAGCTTGGGAAGAGTAGGTCAATCGAGAATCCTTACCTAGCCGGCCGAATGCCAATATAGAGCCTGATGGCCGATACTGACAACCTTGTGCAAAAAGCTCTTCGAATACTCCAGGACCGCCTGCCGACCTTGCTGCAGTCGCCACTTCCTCAGGAGATCCTCGCGCCCAACATCTCACTTCACCTCTTCCCATCGACGCATCCATACTTGCCCACGGTCTCTGGGCGGGTAGGTTATATAGCTGCCCTGTGGACTTCGCCCATTGCTTGGAACAGGTTCCCAATCGTGGGCAATGTCAAGCTCGACATACTCTCGGAACGTGTCACGAGCCACCCCGTGCATTCCTCTCCCAAGAGGTCGGGTGCCTATCCCGAGCAGCTCGTGGTTAGGTGGCGTACATGTGACAGCAGATCGAAGAGCTCCCCCAGCACAGCAACTGCCGAGGATGGGGAGCAGCGCCTTGATGGGCATCTCCGTGGCACCCAGGCTGTGGGCGAGAAAAAGGCCTTTACTGGTCTCTTCATCTTCGAATTCGACAAGGACGGCCGGATCCTCAGTCACACGATTGAGCACGTGGATGAGAGTGGAGAGTGGGAGAACGGCGTTGGGGCCAAGGTGGTAGGTCTTACGGACTGGCTCCTTGGTGGCATCAAGGGCCATCGGGATGGTGGTGCTGGCCCGGTGCCATTGTTTGAGTCCGCCCTTAAAAAGGGCGAGGGAAGGTCGCGGTGATCACCTGCATGGACAGGCAGGCATCTTCCGATTACGGTGCCGGAAAGCCAGTCAGTCGACATGTCATGCAAACATGGCATCCTGGTCGCTAACTGTGGGACAGGGATAACGCACGAGGCTCCAGCCTTGTGTCTCTGTGGCGCCACTTCACGCTGTGTATAGTAATATGTGATGTACGAACAAGCTGTACCACTACATTTGTACCAATACAAAATCGCATCTACAAAAGGCTTTGCGTGTATTTTGCGACCCCGAAGCATGCGCTTGGATGGACTTGCTCATGACGTGTAAATCCGCAGGAAGAAGCATGTATCGTGTACACTCTCTGCTGCGGCCGAGGTCCCAGCATGTGAGCCCCACTACAGCTCGACCCTTCCAAGGTTATCGCCCATGGGGTTGCTGAAGCTGACACCCAACTACACCAGGTACACATAGTTGACACCTGCGCAACGCAAGGCACAATCGCAGTCCGCACAGCTCAGGCGGACCTGCCTGCAGCCTTGGACCGAACGGATAACCAATGTGCCAGCATAAAGCACGGCGACGTGACTTGTGGTTTCTCTCAACAGGAGGACTCCGCTAACAGCAGCACATCTGAGACCGAGACCGGATCGAGTTGTGCGGGTCATTCTTCAGGAACATTGTCACCACTGCCAGCTCTCCAGTACATGTGCTGCGGCTCCAAACTAGACAGGCAAAGTCTCGTGGACACATATGATTGAGAGCTGGCGATCCTGGGAATCATGATGGCTTTCGCTCCTGCGCCGTCCAAGTTCCTGCTTGAATTCAGGATCCAGGACGATGGCCTCGATAGTGCTCGCGCCCAGCACTTGGCATCTGAAAGGACAGAAGCTTTGAGGGGCGACGGAGACGCCCACAGCAAGTTTACGTGTTTCCCTGAATTGCCGCCAGAGCTGCGACTGAAGGTCTGGGACTATCTCATCACTCCTCGAATCGTGCAGATCTTTTGTCTCCCAGACATACATCCCGGTAGGACAAACGGCCGCGGCACCCAAACCAACTCCATTGGTGACGACCACAACTACGACGGCACATTCGACATTGACTTCACTATTGACGACTACCATCTACCAGACGAGCTACACGACCCATCGAATCGGCAACACGACGCCTCCCTCATCCCCTTGCTCCTACACATCAACAGAGAAGCTAGACATCATGGGCTCAAGCACTACGAGCTCGCATTCAGCTGGAAGGTCCCGCATGTGCTCGCGGACCTGGACATCGGCACATCGGGGCGGAGGAGCTCCCCTCCGTCTTGGTCCGAGCCGCGGATATACTTCAACTTTGCGCTCGACGCCGTGCATCTCGCAGGCGAGTTGGAGCCCTGCGACAGCTACGGCTTCAACAGCCCCATGACGTATTTCCTCCGCAAGGAAGACTGCCTCCGGGTGCGGCACGTGGCGCTCTCTTTCGGTGCGCTCCACTACGGCGCGACGGCGTCGCAGCAGATCTTTGGGTCACTGTTCCATGTCGTGGATCGATTCAGTCCGCCGCATGGCCGGGTTCTCGTCACTGTGTCAGATAGGGACGAAGGGATCAACCTGATGATCGGGGCTGCGTCGCCATTGGTTCCTCCAGCGCCTTCTTCCGTGGTGCTGTCAGCGCACAGCTCATCTGCCCTCAGTAGGGAGGGCATCACCACTGCCGGGCCTATGACGAGTGGAGGCTTGACAGCCATGGAGCGCGAGTATGCGAGCAGACCGCAAGCGGCAAACACCGCCAAGGAGAACGTCGTGCAGAAGCTTTGGAGCGACTGGTACCGTGGCAGCTCCGTCAAGTCGCATCTGGCAAATATGCGGTTCGACCTGATCCACGACTGGGATCTCGCCGAGCAGATTGCGCAGTTGGATGGTGCGATGGCAACGAGGGATCTCACAGGACGTGACAACGAGCAGTCGCATGGGCCAATAATGTCGGAAGGTGCCGTGGATGGCGACCGCCAGACCCTAGGGCAGATGACGAACACCAACTTCTATGAAATGGAGGAGGACTACTCGAGCATCCCGGCAGAACTGAGGCTGTAGCTACGTAGCTGCGTGAGAGGATCCTCGGGCGGATGTTGTTAGAAAATACCAAGATGGTTGGACATACGAAAGCACCGGTCGTCGTCTTTCCAATCTATCTCGACTTCAATTTGCTTGCACAGCTGACGGCTGATTTTGACCTTGGAGGAACGGCTGGGCTTCTTGGTCAGGGAAGAATTAACATGTTGCTGTGTCCCAGCTCCACCACGATATCCTCACGCAGCTCCTCGATCACACACCCATGGAGGAAGAATTGTCCGGAATGACGCATTGGCTGCCTCTACCGACCAGTCTGCCGCCCTCACTCCTCCTCAGGCTGCAGCGAAACCACAGCAACCGACCACTGCCCCCCGGCCGACGGACAAGGCCTTATAAGCGCAAAAGTGCGTCTCTCAGGGCAACAGACACAGCGCAAAGCCATGTTGCCCGTCTGGCCTAGTGGGCTGAACATTAAGTATCTCTCCTCTGATCAGACTAATGCATCCAGCGACGGGAACCTAGCCGGAGGACCGATTCCGGCAGGCAGACCCCGAGGAGGTCGAGAGGGAGCTGCAATACCCACCACTCAGGTTCGAACCAAATTTTTGCCCTTGTTCTGGGTTCAATCCTGACAGCTGCACTGCGCGGGAGGGCTTTTTTCTTTTTCTTTTTCTGTAGCTATCGGCCATTGACCAGGCACGCAGCAGCATACATTTCATCTTGGACTGGCTATTGTTCTTATGGTTGGTGCCCTGCTTCCAAGCGAGGAAGGCAAGGACACAGCCATCGTCGTCGCTGGGGTGGCTCTGATCATCCAAACATGCTCGCGACGAGACGGATGCCCTGCACAATAGCTTAAATATATACACCAAGTAGTGGATGATCAGCGGTTCCTGCAGGACCCCTTTATATCTGCTGCTTACGATGGAGCCGTGCAGACGAGTCGCGCATCATCGGACTCCTTCTGACCACGGCGACATATTCACAACTCAAGTATATATTCATAGACACGATGCCGTTGTCGGGGCGAGAGTAGCCCAGATATGCGAACATCGTCACATGGTTCGTGGCATGGTCAACGTGAAGTTCCAGTGAGCCAGAAGTGAAGATGTCACTCACCCAAACAGTCACAACGTTGAGAGACTGCTGCCGCTGTCACCCAGACGCATGAATAAGGTGCAAGGCACATTCTGCGGGTCATCAAAAAGAGTCAGCACTTACGGCCGAGCTGATGAGGTTGTGCTCGTGCTCTTCAAAGCCGTCGTAGACGTCGCCGTGGCCAAGTGGGGCCATCGGGTCAACCATCCGAGTTCAGCCAGAAGAACAGCACGAGTCTTTTCAAGACGTTAGACTACCTGGAGCGTCTACGTGTGTTAAAAGCCTTACAAGGGAAATGGGAAGAGTGCTGCTCACTTCTACAGGTCCCGAGTATCAGAGGGTGCCCAACGGGACTAGATTTATTGCCGAAGCATACACTTGTGTAAGTACGTCATCATGATTTCCATGCCACTTTGAGAGAGTGCCTGAAAGGAGCTTCGGGGCACGGATCAAAGGAGCAGAGAGCTGCATGCCGCGAGCTTTGCAAAAGACGGCTTCTGCGACCGGGCCAGAGGATGTTGTTCAAAGAGGTCGCCAGCACCACATGCAAGCGCAGCCATGAGATGCGAGCCGGTGGCCAATAGGGTCGCGGTGCCTTTTCTCCGGTCGGGTGGCCCACTCGCTGACTGACGGCATCACCCACCCATGGCGTGGCAGGCGGGCCGGACGGGGACCCCACGATTGCATGTGACAGCTCCTGCCTGCCCAGGTGCCTGCCGTCCACACCCAAGGGCTGTAAAGTGCACTGCCCAGCCGACCGTGTCCCGGCTGACCTCGCCGCAACACCACGGCCCATCTCTCTGCGCTTTTAGTTGCCTTGCCTGTTTTGTCACAGACTGCCTGTGTGACCGAATGATTACGAGCCGTGTCATGGCCTGATAAAGTACCTGCCTGCCCCCGCTGCCTTCCAAGGCTGGGCCAGCTGCTTCACAAGTAAGTCGGCCAGCTGGTGTGGCTCACTCACTACGGGTGCTGCCCTGCTCATCGAGAACCCCTTCACATGCACCTTTTGCTTTCGTATCTCTCCTTGCTGGTCCCTTAACTATCTGAGACACGGCAGTCCCTCCCACTTTGGCATTCTGCGCGTCGTTCAACGTCTAGTGCCCGTGCCTCCCACATCCATGCGCCGACTGACGTGATGCCAAACCAGCTGCGTCTCTTTTCCCTGCCAAAATCTCTGGCCAACGTCTTTGGCAGTGGCTCTGTGACCCCTGCACGGTCTTCGCAACAAATTGTTGAGGCAGATATTCGTCCGCAGCTAATGGGGGAAATCCCAAGGCCGGCCGGCATCACCTTTGCCGGCCAGGATGAGCTCCCCAGGCTGCCCATCCCGTCCCTCGAGAGCACCTGTCAGAAGTACCTCGCGGCACTCAAGCCACTCCAGGATCCCCGCGAGCACGCAGAGACCAACCTGGCCGTCTACGAATTCCTGCATCACGACGGGCCTCAGCTGCAGGCCAAGCTGCAGGACTACGCAAAGGACAAGATCAGCTACATTGAGCAGTTTTGTAAGTGCTTCCTCGTCGGGGCTTCATGTGTCCATGCTTTCAATGCTGACTTTCTCACAGGGTACGATTCTTATCTCAACTTCGACAACCCTGTCGTGCTCAACCTCAACCCCTTCTTCCTGCTCGAAGATGACCCGACGCCGGCGAGGAACAACCAGGTCACTCGCGCTGCCTCTCTCGTGGTATCCGCTCTCGAGTTCGTTCGCGCAGTGCGGCGGGAGGAGCTGCCACCAGACATGCTCAAGGGGAAGCCCCTCGATATGTATCAGTACTCCCGCCTCTTTGGTACTGCGCGGGTGCCCAGTAGCCACGGCTGCCAGATCGAGCAAGACCCAGACTCGAAACACATTGTCGTCATCTGCCATGGGCAGTTCTACTGGTTTGATGTGCTGGACGACAACTCGGACTTGATCATGACGGAGAAGGACATCTCGATCAATCTGCAAACCATCGTCAACGACGCTGCGCAGACGCCGATTCAGGATGCCGCCAAGGGTGCCCTAGGCGTACTAAGCACGGAGAACCGCAAGATATGGTCGCGCATGCGGGACACGCTCACTAGAGAAGAAGGCTCGAACAATGCAGACTGTCTTGGCATAATCGACTCGGCGCTTTTTGTGCTTTGTCTGGACTACACGGAACCCCTCACGGCTGCGGCGCTGTGCCAGAACATGCTGTGCGGAACAAACGTCGTACAAAAAGGAGTGCAGATCGGCACCTGCATCAACAGATGGTACGACAAGCTGCAGATTATAGTCTGCAAGAACGGCAGCGCTGGCATCAACTTTGAGCACACGGGTGTGGATGGTCACACTGTGCTCCGCTTCGCCAGCGACGTATACACCGACACGATCCTGCGCTTCGCAAGGACCATCAATGGGCAAGCACCGAGTCTCTGGAAGACGACCAGCCCAGATCCGTCCAAGAGAGACCCCGAAAGCTTTGGTGATGTCACGACAAGCCCTCACAAACTCGAGTGGGACATGATACCCGAGCTCAATGTTGCCGTCCGCTTTGCAGAGACCCGCTTAGCCGACCTCATCGGGCAAACGGAATTCGAGTGCCTCGACTTCAGTGGCTTCGGAAAGAACTTCATCACATCCTCTGGCCTGTCCCCGGATGCCTTTGTGCAGATGGCGTTTCAGGCGGCATACTATGGCCTGTATGGCCGAGTCGAATGCACTTACGAGCCTGCCATGACCAAGATGTTCCTCCACGGGCGGACTGAGGCTGTCCGCAGTGTCACGGAGGAATCTGTCGAGTTCTTGCGAACATTCTGGGGCGATAACCCAGAGGAGCAAAAGGTCGCAGCTCTGCGCAAAGCCTGCCAGAAGCACGTTGACAATACGAAACAAAGCGCAAAGGCGGAGGGTTGTGACCGCCATCTCTATGCACTGTACAACATTTGGCAGAAGTCGATGGAAGAGGATCACAGCAGTGCCAGCACCACGCCAGGGGATGAGAGCCCACCCGGAGACACAGAGGATGGCCTGATCAGCTCGACAGCGTTGACTGACAACAAAGAGCCTGTCAAAGACATGGCGGAGCGGCCACGGGCTGACAGCAACTCGTCTCGCTCACGAGAACCAGTCCTCATGCCGCGAATCTTCTCCGATGGTGGTTGGGAGAAGCTCAACCAGACCATCTTGTCCACGTCAAACTGCGGCAACCCTTCCCTCCGCCAGTTCGGATTCGGCCCCACCTCCGGCGACGGCTTCGGCATTGGCTACATCATCAAGGACGAGGGCATCAACGTGTGCGTGTCGAGCAAGCACCGCCAGACGAAGCGCTTCCTGGACACACTCGAGAGCTACCTCCTAGAGATCCGCCGCGTGCTGCGCGTCACAAACCGCCGGACCATGTCCCACAGCAAGCAGAGCCGGGCCAGAGAGATTGATGCGCCACACAGTAGTGGTGGTGACAAAGGCCTCGACTCTAGCGTGGCATCGCTGCCACCGCCAAGGAGTCTCAAGGCTCGCGGGAGGATGATCTCGTCCGGGCTCGAGAACATCAGAGGACCAGCACGGCCGAGCCAACTGGAGGATGAAAAGAGCTCGCCAGCAGTTGAGGACGGGCCGCCTACGAATGATGATGGTCTGGGTGGTTGTAAGTTACCTGTGCCTATTTCGAGATCGAGCTCTGCTTCGTCCCTCTTTCCCCTTTATCCCATGCTGACTCCCAAGTCTTTGTTTTTGTGCAGATGGCTTCTTTGACGCAGGCATGCTCCTCCAAGCCCTCAAAGCCCGCGACGCATCTGGCGCTGCCACGCCGTCTGGGACCGCCACCGACCCAGACACTGGCCTGGTTGGCCTGAGGGGCTCCCCTTCAGCCGCGCATGCTCGGAGGAGAGGCGACATTGGGAAGAAGCTGCGGCTCGTGGAATATTGATTCTACACAGTGTCTGCATGGATGTGTGTCTGTGTGGACCAGCGACTTTCAGACTTCGGCCTAGTGTGATTTTGGGGATGTCCTTTTCTTCCCTTTTCTTTTCTTTCTTTTCATTTCATTTGTATACATTTTGTATGATGTCATTGGGGACTCCAAATCCTCGAGGATTTAGTATCGTTTCTGGGGGCGACGGCGTTTTGGCATGAGTATTCATACCTGGTTTCTTGTCCTTTTCCGATAGAGCATAAGCGAGAGACTCCTTTGCAACTATACCTCCATGCTCGAACACACTGCCAGGTCGCACGAAGAACAAGCTTTATTTGTCAGATCTGCTATTCACAATGCTTCACAGATCATGATTAACAAAGACATGATATCTGGGAGGAAGAAAACGCGGCCTACCGCAGCCTGGCTGTGCCTGCTCGTCACGTCTGCGCTGGGAGGCAAGATACACCATTGCAAACAAGAGCGTGGTATTGGAAGAGAGACATATATTTCATTATTTCATATCAATACATGGGATGCTACACTTTTCCCACTGCCCACGATGCTCCCACGCATCTTGCTGACTGTACCTGTTTTTGTATAGATATATATATCATAATTTCCCAGAAATCATGTATTGAAACGTGCTCATCCAGTACGCCCGGCAGAGAAATCGAAACCATGTTTTTCTCCCTACTCTCCGTGGTTTCCAAGCTTTGAACCACTTCGTATAGCTGCCAACACTGCCAATCTCTTGATTTTTGGAACATCTTACCCCCCCCCCCAACTTCCCCCGCCACCGGCCAACGATGAGTTACTAAGAAAAGCTCTCAAGCCAGCTCGTGCGGCTGGTTCTTGGCCGCAGACGAGCTCGACATCTCGTGCACGGTCGTAGGCGGGTTGTTCCCGAGCTCTGCGGTGGCGACCGACATGGGGCTCGTGGTCATGTGCATGTCGGGCGACGGGAGCCCGCCGGTGACGTTGGGCGAGACGGCCACGAAGCCGGCAGGCTTGTCCTGCGCGCCGTGTTGTTGATGATGATAATATGCCTCGCCGTTGGGGCCCGTGTAGTAGGGCGGTTGCTGGCCGGGGACGACGGCAGCCATGGGCGGAGGAGGACTCTGGCCGTAAAGGCCCGGTGCTGGGGGCTGGCCAGGGCTTCCTGGTCCAGCAGCGCCGCTGGCGGCAGCGGTAGTGGCAGCGGCAGTGCCTGCCTTGTTGCGGTTGTGCCTGCGCATGAACCATATACCGAAGCCAATGGCTGCCAAGAGGGCGACACCGCCGATGACACCGCCGACAATGGCGCCGATCGGGGTCGAGGAGGACCCGGATCCGCCATGGTCTGATGAGGTGCTCGTTGTGGCGGAAGGGCTGCCGCTTGTTGATGTTGAGGACCTCAAGGTGGTGGACGTCGGGGTGGACGAGGAGGAGCTGGAGGAGGAGCTCGAAGAGCTCGAATCGGGGAGGGTGATGGCGACGGCGAAGAAGCCACCGCCGACTTGGCCACTGTATGTTGTCTGCGCCTGCTGGACGGTCGAACGGCTGTTGGCAACGCAGTAGTAGTCGATAATGCCCGAAAAGAATGTGACAGTCCCGCAGTAAGGGAGGCCTGTCCCGGTGCTGCGGCTAGTATTAGCTAGACGATCTGGCGTCCGTTCCCATCACACAAGGCGCATACCACTTCAAGATCTGTTTATCGACCAGACACTGCCCAGTGCATTCGGGGTTCGTGCCGGACACGGCGGCAGAGTCTGCACACGCTGTTGCGTAGTAGCAGTTGTCGGCCGCACAGCACGCCGGCACGCCTCCACCTGCGGTGGTGAAGAGGGCACACGTTTCTGCCGTGTTGATGCAGCTATACGGGCTCGCTGTGGAGAGGTCAGCCCATGCCAATGTCGCGCTCAAAGGTGGTGTTGCATGGAGGTGTCTGTACCAGAGGATCCACTCATGTATCCGCAGATGTTGTTGGACGCGAGAAGGACTGTTGACACATCTGCCCGACGGAGCAGTTCGTGGACGGCTGGAGGGGCGGTGATGACAGGCTCTGGGGGTTCCTCGAGAGCCTTGGCCAAAGCATGCGTCTCTCGGGGCATTCTGTCCTCGAGCACAAACCCGCGGGCAGCAGCCAGTAGGACCGCCATGGGTAGAAGACTACGCATCTTGGATGGTAGTTCCACGCAGACTTGTAATGTGCTTCAAGGGCGCACAGACCGGTTTGACTTCCTAGTGTTGTGTTGACTCGGGAAACGGCCGAAGGCGACCACATCAGCTTGCACGATGGAACGAGGCAGTAGGAGATCAAGCGGAGAAAGGTGATTGAAGACCTTCACGGGCATGCAAGAGGAGCCGACAGGACTTATAAGGGACATTCCAGCCCACGACAGTCAGCCACCACGACAGAAACCAAGGCGAGAGGCTAGGCCGTCTGCCCGAGACATGTCGATCGTCCCGTGCCCCGGAGGAACAGGTCCCCGCCAGAGCAGAATCGTCCTGGCTCTCTAGACTACTGCGCAGCAGGCATAGGTGGAGGCTCAGGTCCAGACAGTGGCCAGTCAGAGTGCATCAATGTAGTGATGAAGGGCTCCCGAAGATCGGGCCGCTCAAGCTAGTCGACGAGGCAGGGCCACGAGGGCCACGAGGACGAAGAGAAGGAAGACAACGTTGCCATGGAGTGTGCGGCAAAGGCTTGGCGGCAGACGGGGGATCGACGGTTGAGGTCTAGGCGATGGCCTAGGCGATGGCAGAGTTCGCGGCCGAGGGCTCAGCTGGGGGCGCAGGACTCCAAGACAGCCTGTCTTTGCTCCAGCCCTGTGGCGCCATGCACACATAGGCTTCGGCGCCATGTCCTGCCAAGCCGCACAGGGTGGTTCAGCTCTGCGCTGCGCCTGCCGTCCCTCATCCCAACCAGCGACCTCACTCTTTGCTGGCGACACTTCATCCTTTCGTCCCGATGCCGATGTCTTGTACTTTGATAGTGCCTGCACAGGACGTCTTCCAAATGCCCAGAGATTCAGCCTACTCGCAACTCCAGCCAAAGCTCAATTTGCTGAGACAATAGCTCTTGAGGCGAGTTGCCTTGACGGAGCACCATCTGGAATATCGAGCGGCCTCGCTTGTTCGAGAACACAAGCACTCCAGACACTTTGTCAAGCCTTTCCGTCTTCGAGATCGGTGCTGATCCTGCTTTCGCCGTCAGTCCGACTCACAAGACATGCTTTCCGCGCTGGTACAGGGCAGCAGGGTCCGACTTGGACGCGCAATCATATTGTCCGCAGTATTCCCGTGGAACGCATTAAATGCATGGAGAATGAGAGCATCGGGAGCAACGAATGGCGATGGACTTGTGATAGAGAAGGAGTGTTGCCAGACCCTGCCTGTGTCAATCATTCCTCTTACAGAACTCTAGACCGGCCATCTCACATTACAGGACAGGGCTCGACTTGACTGACCACTGGGAAGCACTGTCACTGGACACCGAAAGCATTCTGCGAAAATTAGTCAAGTGCGGGACTTTGTCAGTGGTACCGAAAGTTGAGATCAAGGTGATTGTGCGAGATGGCGGCTGCACTGGACCATGGACATATCGATCTGGACTTTCACAAGACAGCTGTAGTAATGATAATTGGTACTGGACAATGAGAGGTCTCACTTTGCCTTTAATTCCACTCAAATCCGCCTTAGAATCTTTGCGATTTCACTAGGCAGATCTACTTGGTCGCTTCGGTAATGCCATAGCGTGCATTGGGGAATTACTACATCACTATGATGTCCCAGGAACGCATAACTTTGTATGTCAAGCCCTCGGGACCTGCGGGGAGCATCGGATGTAACGAGAGGGAATTTAAGTCAGTCCTTGGCACAGGAATGGAAATAGCACTGGACGCCTAGCTTTTTAGTTGTCCTCTGGTGATCGCAGAATTGAGCTATTCCGTTAACTCGACCGGGATATCTCGTTACATGTAGGCACAATCAACCCGTGGACTTTCATATGTTGTAAAGATTTTTGCTATGACCAAGAAGGGATATGATTCTCGACTCCAGTTATTGAAGTTGACAGAATTCATCATTGGGTTTTGATGAATCCTTACTCATCCATCATAGCCAGACTATCGTTACTATGTTTACCAGAACCCCGCACCCCCTTCTGCCGCAGCTCGCCGTAACCATACCAAGGAATGGATCTCTCACCTAGCCGTCGAACACACGTTGCAAGAAAGCCACCAAGCTCCCCGTCCGCAGGCTGGCTAAGCAGAATATAGAGCTATTAGTGTGCGCCACGCAACGCCTAGTCCACCAACCTCCGTTCCATCTCGTGGCCCGTACGTCTTTACGTACCACCCTCCCTCGTTTCCGAGACGCAGAGTCCCCAATGTAGGGCTTTTGCCCCGGCTGTCAGGAATGGCTGTTCCATTAGGTGCTGCCACCGAAGCACATGAGCTGGCCAGAGGCATTGGTAATATAGGGGTCTTTATAATATGCTGTGAGCCTACTACTATAATGCCATCTGCTTTGTTATTCGACGGGTAGGGCTTTCGAAAGACTTACTAATCGGATAGGCCTTCAGCGGCCCGTATACCCCATTGTTTCCTTGGCAGCGAATGGCATAATTTCTGTTGACATCAAGGTAAGAACCCCTGACATCGCACGAGTTACCATAATTGCCGCTGTTGTCGCAGGCAACAGGTTATTTGTCAGTCGCTGTCATTCAGGCGGATCAACTGAAAAGGGGGCTATAAGCCTAGGAATATTTATCACATACTGTTGTACGTATGCCAGATTCCCGTTCAGGTTCGCGAAGCAGCGGTTCAGGTTGAGGGTTGACGTGCGCCAGTTGCCCGAAAGATCACGGCAATCGGCGATGAGCGTGCTCGTAGGGTTACCAAGACGGACAACATCGCAGGAGCCGAAGAAACCACCGTCTCGCTTATCGAGCGAGACAGTAGTATTAACAGCCAGTATCTCGTGAATCTCAACGTCCGTGGTGGAGGCTTCGGGGACAGCGACGTCCGCGACAGGAGCTGCACTTGTAAAGAGGTTGCCTCCGAGCGAAGCCACGAGGGCGACGATAGTGGCTGTCTTGAAATGCATTATAGTATTAGGACAAGGGCAAGTAAGTTTTCAATAGAGGGCATCAGGATTCGATTCCAAGGCAGGGAATGATCGTGGGGGTAGTGAACTCGAATTAGACCGAAATACCAGGGACGAGTAGAGGTATTATATAGTTAGTAGAGGACGAGAATAACAACCCTTATACCAGTTCCGCAGTCTTATCAAGTTCCTTTACGGGCATTGATCAACTATTGGGCATAGTCGCGATCCTTCTGGGCTCAATCTATGGATGCAAGTTACATCCAGACCAGGCTAATAAATCTTAGTTGCCCGAATCATGCGCGGCAGGCATAACAGGGCCTTGGGATGGATCTGGTCATTACATTCGTCGGTGGTGGATCGGGATCCTAACTTGCCAAGTTCTGCGAACCCTGGCGGGCATCCTTACGTGCCCACGATCTCAATCTCCACCTACTCTGCCATAGGGCGAGACTTGTGAGGAGTCTTCCAGCTGCCCAAGGGTCTGCGATCACTCATCGTCCATTTGGTAGCTGCTTTTTCAAGGTGCTGACATAATTACTGGCCCCTTGCATATGTGGAGTACCGACGGTCCAGGCCGTTCAGGATCTTGCTCTGATTTCCTTACGAGCCTGCAATCCTTCAGGAGGACAAGACTCGTTATCGGGCTGCTGCAAATGTAGGAACCAGAACCTTGTATTCGCGGACCCTGTAAATTACCCCATCAAGCCATGCACCTGATGTCCAAGGCGTCGTAAAGCAAACGCTTGCATATTTCCACGTACCGCAATTTTCTCGACCGAGATTGTGGCGTGCGGATCCGAGTTCCAAGGGTCGGTGAGGCTGCCTAACTGCGGCTGAGTATATGTGTATAGCCCCGAATCCCGTCAAGGTAGAGATTGACCCTTGAGCGGGTGATGGAGCACTCAAAAGTTCCACGAGTAAAGAACACGCTGTCGATTCCGCGGGATTTGGCGGCATTCTAAACGGCCTTGGCGTTGTCGTCGCTTCAACTCCTGTACCCGATCTGGCGCGGACAAGGCGATGCATAAGCGGGACTGGTTATCTGGGTAGATAAAGAGGCAGATGCAAGTAGCCCGGCGCACTCGTGGAGCTGTTTTGGAAGTTCACAAGGGCATTGACAAGGTCGCTTGGAGCAGTAAACCTGTCGTGGAGTCGAAGCATGATAGCTGAGTTGGGCTGGGGCAAGGTTGATGCCGTCAGATTAAGGTAGGAGGAACCTTGGCTAGGCTCTGGACCGGGTTATGTCCCCAGAGGTTGTGTTGTTAGGCTAGGCCACAGTGCAATACCGTGCATATCACACGACTTTGCACAGTATGCACCTCTTCACGTACCCTGACACTCCATCATTCCAGAGCTGTTCGCGTGCCAACCTCCACCGCGGGGACAGCCGTTTCCAGGGAGCAAGGCACCGCGCCACTGCCACTGCCACCACATCTCCAACAAGCCCAGCACTGGCCCGAGGCCACCAGGTCTCGCGCGTGCGCCTCCAGATGTCGGCTTCTCCATGACCGACCTGTCTGTAGTCCTGCCCGGCTTCCCTGTCCAGCGGTTTGCCAACCTGCTCCCCGCCCTGGACAAGCACCTCATCACCACCACAGACCTCATCACCCTCGATGTCCCAGAGCTCGGCAAGCGCACCCAGCTGCCTCTGCTCGACCTCAAGCGCCTGTGCAATGCCGTCCTCGCTGCTCTTCACGCCGACCTCGGTGTGGCAGGTCCGCAGCCAGATAAGAGCACCGGCTTGAGACGCAAAGGCTCCGAGATACCCGCCTCGCTTGGCTTCCTCAGCGTGCTCGACACCAACCTGGATTCTGCCCTCGGTGGCGGAATCCCAGCAGGCTACATCACCGAGATCACAGGCGAGAGTGGTGCCGGCAAGACCCAGTTCCTTCTCACCCTCTTGCTCACGGTGCAGCTCCCTGCCCCTCATGGCTTAGGACGACCTGCCCTCTACATCTCGACCGAGGCTCCGCTCTCCACCAAGAGACTGTCCCAGATTCTGAATGGCCACCCGTTCTTCAAGAACCTTGGCCCTTCCGAGAGGCCCTCGCTCGACAATGTCATCAGTGCCGTGACACCAGATCTCGAATCACAGGACCACATTTTATCCTTTCAGGTCCCCGTCCTTGTCGCTCGTCACAATATCGGGCTGATCATCCTCGACAGTGTGGCAGCAAACTACCGCGCCGAGTTTGAACGTGGGAGTGGCGGCTCTAACCTGGCTACCCGTGGCAACGATCTCATTCGGCTCGGCCGGCAGCTCCACGACCTTGCACGCGAGCACAATCTCGCCGTCGTGGTTGCCAACCAGGTCGCCGACCGCTTCACTAGTGCAGCAGCTGCCGCAATGGGACCGCGCAGCAGTCTCATGGCCTCAGCACAGAACAACACCAGGCAGTCTCAGGATAGCCCTCTCGCATCACGCAGCTACCAGCCAGCCGGACCACTTCCTACTGCCGAGCCAACCAGCAGCATGGCGGAAGCCGCGATGGCGGTTCGCTCAAGCATGCCAGAGCCGATGCCCGAAGAAGGCCCGCCTGCGCCGCCAGCTCTGCTCCTTGACCATCAGCAGCGATGGTTCACTGGCTGGGGCGACGAACTCTACCACGTCAACGGGCTGAAGACGCCCAGTCTGGGGCTGGTATGGTCGACTCAAATCGCGTCCCGGATTGCACTATACAAGCGACCGGTGTACGGGAGGAAGCAGGTCGTCGAGGACGAGGAGGTAGGAAGCGCCATGCTCAAGATGTGGAGGCGCTGGATGAAGGTCGTCTTTGCCCCACATGTTGCGCCTTCTGGGCCTGGCTTGTCCACGGCGGTCGAGTTTGAGATCACGATGGAGGGTCTTAGGACCGTAGACAAGTCGAAGAGGAAGAAGAAGCGCGCAGACGATGCCGAATCATGAGCGCTTCCCGTGTAATGCTGAGCGCTCTGACCTTGAATATTATCAAACACGATTGACCGTGGATCAATATGCGCGCCATCCGTGATGGAGCAAAGCTGGCCAAAATGCTCGTGCCGTTGTTATGCAAAGTCTTGATTCATCTACACTAGGACGGAAATGAAAGAATGACCCAAAAACAGACCAGTATACGCCGCCCAAATGCGTTTTTAAATATTTCATCCTCATGTCTACACTGATGCCCTTTCCCCCTCTTTCCCCACGCATCGACAACTGCCCAATTTATAATCTAACGAGGATGAGGGAACTCATCCTCGAGCTGCAATCTGACACCAACATTCATGCTGATGAGCTCCTGGATGAGCAGCTTGGCAGCATATGGCATGGTCATCTTGGCGACCTCGCGCGTGCTCCGGCACGTACCGCAGTACCCCTTGTACCCGAACAGGCCGCAGCGCTGGCAAATGTCAATATCACACGCGTCGGAGCTGACCATGAGGCGCTCGAGGAGCAGCTGCGAGGCGCCGTAGGCGATCAGACAGTCGCGCTCCATCTCTCCGAGACGCAGGCCGCCGTCGCGCGAGCGACCTTCCGTGGGCTGGCGGGTCAGGATGGCGCGCGGTCCGCGCGAGCGCGAGTGCATCTTGTCCTGCACCATGTGCTTGAGGCGCTGGTAGAAGATTGGGCCGTTGAAGATGTAAGCCTGCAGGGGCTCGCCGGTGATGCCGGACGTGAAGTAGTCCTTGCCTTCCCAGGAGAAGCCACGGTCGACGAGCTCGGCTGCCATGCTCTCAAGGGGGTGCGAGCGGAATGCATCACCGAAACCGTACTCGGGACGGCCCTGGACAATCGAGGCCTTGCCCGTAAGACACTCTAGCAGTTTTCCAACCGTCATTCGAGACGGGAAACCGTGAGGGTTCATGATGATATCGGGGACGAGTCCAGCGTCCGAAAATGGGAGATCCTCCTGGTCGACAATGATACCGACAACACCCTTCTGTCCGTGACGCGAGGAGAACTTGTCTCCAAGCTCAGGACGACGAGTCTGCCGTGTTTGGACCTTGATAAGCTGTGTCTCGTTGGCTGTCTGCGTAATCATGACCTTGTCGATGTAAGCAGGATCATGAAGACGGTAGCTGAGCGGCGATTCACGGAACTCGTCGCTTCTAGGCTGCAGGCCAATGCCAGGGCTAACGTCGACAGGGCTTTCCTTCTTGATGATGACATCTCCGCTATTAACTCGGAAGCCAACATCGGCGAGACCGTCCTGGGAGAGTGCGATGTTCTTCGGATTGTTCGGGTCCTTGTCGCCAATCCGCTCACGGCTACCGTTAGGATACTTCTGCAGGTCAGTCGCGTATTTGCGGAAGACTTGACAGCGGCCGAAGCCACGATCACAAGAAGCTTTGTTCAGAACCAAAGCATCTTCAATATCATATCCTGAGTACGACATGACAACGACCGTAGCGTTTTGCCCAGCTGGTAGCCTGTCATATCGGATCAACTCAATGGTCTTGGTGATAACCATTGGGCGCTGCGGATATACGAGCGTGTAGAGCAGCGTGTCGATACGGTTGAACTGATTGTAGGCAATGGCGCCGATAGCTTGTTTACCCATAGCACATTGGTAGGTGTTTCGAGGTGACTGGTTGTGGTGTGGGAATGGAATGAGGCCGGCTACCGCGCCGAGAATGGTGAATGGCTCAATTTCAACGTGAGTTGTCGCCTTGGTGATGTCTTTTTCGTAGAGAGCCACAAGTGCGTCGTTTTCTTCGTTGACGTCGAGGTACTCAACGATTCCCTGCTTAAGGAAATCGTCAAATGTTGCTTTCCCAGCCTGTAGTAACCTCAGATGCGACTCCTTGATCTTGGCCTTGCTGTTCTTGACAATGATGTATGGCCGACAGATACGACCTTCATCTGTAGCGATGTGGATCGCTGACTGCTGCGTGTTGACGTTGATACTGACAAATGGCGAGATCCAGCCGCGGCGACGCATCGTCCTGAACTTGGCTGCAAATCGCTTGGGGAATCGGGTGAGCGCGAACGGTGTTCCGTTCATGTGGATGATATAGGTGTCTGGTCGATGCATCTCGGTACCCGAGAAGCCACGCAGAGGCTCAACGCCAGAGTCGAGCGTGAAGACCCATCTCTTCACCGGCTCCTCCTCATAATTGGTCGTGATGTGTGTCATAAGGGCCAAGTTCTTCACAAGACCACAGGCTTCTCCTTCCGGGGTATCAGACGTACACAGCATACCCCATTGCGAAGGCTGCAAGGCGCGAGGACCAGAGACCTTTCTGGTCTTTTCGAACTGACTGCTGATGCGCGTCATCATACCGAGGGCGCTGATGTAACTGAGCCGACTCAGGACGTGTGTCACACCTGCTCTCTCCATCTTGAAACGCTTGACACTCCAGTTTCCTGTCTGGATCGCACGATTCATGCCATCCGTGATGTGCTTGCCTTGTGCTCCGACCTGCATCAAGGGATCAACTGCGATTGCACGATTCTGCTTCTTCAAACTGTTCTCAATGGCGAACTTGAGATCCACCAAGAACTTCTTGAACAGATCTTCGAAAAGAAGGGAAAGCAGCTGTCCTGCTAATTCCAAACGTTTGTTTCCCACGAAATCTCGATCATCGACGAGCTTTGGGTTGTAGTGGGCCATCAGTACACGGCGGACCATGAGGGCGACATAGATAGCCTTGGGGTGGAAGTCAAGCCCTTCTACTGGGATGTGGGCGATGATGATATTGGACAGTGCATCGAGGCCTTCCTCCACGTTGCTGCGCCGAGGCTGAGGGATACCACCAGGCTTTGTGTTCTTGCCACCCATCTTGACCCGAGATCCAATAAACTCGAGGGCCTGCTGTTGCGTGTAGACTCCAGCCTTAACAGCCTCGTCGAAGTTGACCACAAAGTCATCCTGCAGACGACCATCCGACCCGGCGACCAAAGTCATAATTTCATAATCAGAGAGTCCTCCAAGTGCCTTGAGGACAATGGTAATGGGGATCGCCTCGATCAGGACGTTGTGCAGCAGTGATATGCGGTCCTTCTTCAACGTGACGTAGGTCTTGGATTTACGCTCGTGCGTCGAACTCGTCACGGAGGCGGAAATGATGTTGTTCTTCTCGTCGGCCTCGACAATGACACGGTTCTTGCTCAACTGCTCCTGCACCAAGATGACCTTCTCGGTGCCGTTGACAATGAAGTAGCCGCCGGGGTCGAGCGGGCACTCATTCATGAGCTCCATTTGCGCGTTATTGGCGCCGTACAGCCTGCACTTGTTGCTTCGCAGCATGACGGGCATGCGAGCGAGCTCGACATTGCGGCGCACAATCTTCTGCCGCTCTCTGGTATACGCCACGTCCACGAGGATTTTGGCTCCATAGGTCATGTCGCGCAGGCGACACTCCATGGGCGTCACCTCGTTGGCGACACGGAACTGCTGGTAGTCATTGCGGTCGGGCTTGGCAACGCGAATGTCGGTAAACTCGATCCAGAAACTGCTGTCGACATCGCTCCGCACGGTCCTGTTGGCCTTGACGATCTCCTTGATCTCGTGGTCGACGAAGAAGTTGTAAGAGTCGATGTGCCTGTGTCACGGTCAGTACCAGGTCTCCACGGGGTCGAGTGGGCAAACTAGAATTTCAGGGCTCGAGAAGACATACTGCTTGACCAGACCTGCATAATTGTCAGTAAAACGCCTGCAGCATTATGGAGTTACAGAAAACAGTGAAGGCATGAGTACACACCTTTGACCTTCAGAAAGGCAGGGAGCAGCTGATTCTTGTCCTCGACGGTGGAGATGGGATCGGTAAGCTTCTTGCCGTTGTAGAAGGGCTCGAGCAGAGCCTCGAAGCCGTCGTCGATCAGCGGCATTGTGCAGATGGTCTGCGACCAACCGACATCACCTACAGCCCTGTGTTGGCTGGGGCGGGTGCTGCTTTTGTGCTTTTGCTGTCAGAGGATTCTTCTGTCCGGGATGACTCCATCGCAAAGTCCTGTTGGAGGTTCCAGAATTCGGCACTGCGGGCGGCCTAGCGCGGCGCGCGGGAACCCCCCACCGCCGACAAAATTTCCAGGTCTCCGATAAGATAATGCTTGGAGCTACAGGTCAAGCAAGTCCCAACTCGAGCCTCAGGCACCACTCCCGTTGTGCCTGCATGCCGTGACATAACTTCCTAGGAAGTTACAAAGTAGGCGCCAACTTTGTGCACTTCGATCAAAAGGGTTTATATACGCGCAAGCAGCACTGTCTATCAATACTGCTGGCGTATTCAAACACGTCTCATAAAGCACCATCAGTCGATTTGACTGCTTTTATTTATTCATTTGTTCTGTACGCTGCCCACTCGGCAACTCTGCCGAGGCTTCATGGCCTTCCCCAAGCTCACCCAAGCTTTGGTCCGTTGGGTTGATGCAGCGGAAGCTGCTTGCCCGGCGAAGAATACCTAAATCCGGAGCGGTTCCTGGAAACGTGCGCCACAAACAACATATCTTGTCTCTCGGCTGTATGCAGTGCGTCCTTTTACTTCTTTTCTTTTTGCTTTCATCATCCCTCCTCCTTGCACAGCTGCTCAATAGCTCATCTGAATGTTATCTACCGCCGAACCAAGAGCAAGGCTGAGCTCTGGTCCCCAAGTACTAGCAGTTATTTGGCTGCACGGGCATCGTTGCCTCGTTCTGCCACTACCACATTGCCCTACTTCTTTACCTCTACCTGGTATGCAACTTGCTCAGGAAATTCTGCCGCGTCATGCACGATACCCCTCTCATTCCGTCTCCCGGCGACGAGTCCAATCCCCCCCCTCTTTCCCGCACGCCATGCCGCTTTGTGTCATGCAAGGCTCCGCAGCAAGGGGTGCACAGCAACAGGCAGGCTGCAGGACACAGTACGGCTTTGACGCACCTCAGCTGTGCCTAGGGTTGTAGTCTTGTGCAGGGCACATGCAGGAGGACGGGGGAATGGATTGGAGGGGGACGGAACAGTGCTTCGGCCGGGACTCGCCAGCAGGACCGGCTGATGATATGCATCAACCGGAAGATTTTACGAAGCTTGAGTCGTCATGCCCTTGGCCCATCCAGCATCCTGCATGTGGTCTTATTCCAATGCACGATCCGTGGGAAGAGAGCTTGGTCTGGGCAGATCAAAAGCCACAAAGTCAACTCGAAGTCACCACCCCCCAGATAATTAAGGTCACGCCGTACCTTGAATGCCCCGCAGGTCTACAAATCGCCCTGCCGAGACGCTCGGGTGGAGTCCAGGAGCCTGGGATACCCTGATTTCATCAGGCCGCCGCACCCCTCCATGCTCGTCCTTGGTGCATTGCTCATGTAAGTGGGAGTCACCCGCCGAAGGACAAAGGACAAAGCAGAGTCTGCCGGGTAGCGTCGTGACTCACTGGTAGTCGGTCAAAGAACGCATGGCTACACCATGTCGCTGACACCTTACACTCCTGCCTAGAGAACACTTGCTGGATATGTCAGCCGCAAAGAGTCACAATGCACTTCTCCCTCACGTCTTAGCGGCTGTCCGGTGTACTAACCTTCGAGCCTCTTTATGACGTATCAGCATCGCTCCACTTCTCCAGGTGGGCATTTCGCTCCGCCCGCCTGAGCTTGATGCTATTTCAGTGGCAAGGCGTATCGGACACGGGCTATCTGGAGTGTGTCGGAAATGATCGATGAGCGGCACTAGTTTCCTAGGGTGACGTGCAGCCACGAAGGAGCCGCATGGCGCACGATCCGACTCCCTCTTTGTGCTGGCAAAAGTCGGTGAGAGCTTCTGGCGCCGGCCTGGATGTGGGGAATGGGGAGAGAAAAGGCTCGGGCGACGCAACCCCTCTGCAAGATGACGATTCGCTTGCCCGCTAAAGGGAAAGAAGCTGGTCTGGGCGGGTGTTAATTGGTGGCAGAACGCCCCTGTTGCTCGCAATGATGGTCAAGTGCATCTCATGAAGCTTCACCATCTTGTGGATGCTCGTGGAAAGCGCACCCATTTCGCGAGAACCCGAACCTTGAGGCTGCTTGGTCAGTAACTGATAAAGAGCTTTAGACACCCACCTAGGTATGCGCTGTGCTAGTACGATTATGGGATTGCGCGTGTCGGGCTGTTTGAGCTCATGGCTTTTGCCGGTTGGTCGGCCGTCCCCTGATATTGGCGGACATGGACTCCAGGAGCCTCCATTCAGCCACTGACTCAGACAACAAACCAGTCAGTAAAGGTCGCCTACGGAGAGGCTGGCATCAGCTGATTGTAGAGGATCCCGCCGTGGTCGTAATGCTGTTGTACGTCTGTGGCCATCAGCAAAGCAACGTCTGGTGATCCTGCCAGTGAAGCCTGGACCCCCACATGATACCACCGTCTAGCATGAATCAAGGACTTAGAACAGCCCAACCTAACGTTAGCTTTGTGCCCGTTTCACCGCCCCCCGGAGGTAAGTCATGTTTGCTGTCTCATACAGGACCAATGTCTTGAATCATGCCAATTCCCACGAGCCAAGACTAGGTGCGCCTCGGCTGGCAATTCCAGATGGCCAGGCGCGGCCTCTATCCCGTGGGATCTCACAGTGGCTGATACTGAACGCTGACGTGCGTCTCCTCACAGTAATGATGATGTGGGGCCCAGACTGCGTAGATGGACCCTGAATGGTGCGGGCAGATGGTCCCTGGGCCAAACAGGCTGATGGTGTGCTACTGACTGAAGTGGGCTTTGCTGGATGCCAAAGCAGGCAACCTGATGGCACTGCCTCATGTTGACTGGCCCATTTCTGGAGGCAAGTTCAAGCTCGGCCATGCCTGCCATTCACTGCGGGGAAACAATTCGTTCTTTGCATGTCGACGATGTAAATTCCCGCCCAGCAACGAGAGTCGAGGCCGCGCGCAGGTGTCCATGGTCACGTCTTGAGGAGAGGGGCCAAACAAAGATTCGTGGGCCGGGGAGCTGTAATGAGTGACATAGTGTCTCCGTGCAAGGTGCCTGCTCTCTGGTACTGTAGATCACACAGGGCATCTGGAATCACCTCGGCGGGGAAAGTGAAGCCTGGAGGCAAATCCCCATGCCATACCCCGACCAGAGTAGCGCGCAGGACCGCCACCAACGACTGCTGGCAACATGGCCGGAGACAATCTGGTCAATGAAGCGCCGAGGAGCACTGCCCAGGAGGGTTTTGGCGGAAACCAAGTCGCTGCCAGATGAGCTGGTTGTTCTTGGGCAGCCTCGCGACACACATGTTCGGATAAGCGCCGAGAACACCATCGACGCGCCTGGCAGCAGCATCAGGAGGAGCCAGCTGGGTAAGCTGTATTCTGTGGCTTGGGTCGCTCGTGGTGCAAGCAGGCATGGCTTGCGCGCACAGAGGCACGAGTCCACCCACACCCGCCCGCCCGTGCCTTTGACAGAAGCATCTTGGTACAGTAGCACCCGAGTGAGGGCGGCGCTAGGGGCCCATCGAACAGGGGAACAGGGGTCGCCGCCAGTTTGGCCCGAGGGTGCCACCCGGGCGAGCTGGGCTCTCTCCCACTCCCAGGGCGCCCTCCTCGCGGCGTGGACCGCAACCACTGGCAGAGGCTTCTCACCCGGGGGACTGTGACGGTCTGTGTCTGCTCCTGTCTCTGCTTCCTGCCTGCCTCACCCGTCCACTCCTCTCGGCCCAGCCCCGTGCCTGCCAGCAAGGATCGAGACAGGGTCGTGTACACTACCTGGTCCTCATCGCTCCTCGGATGCGCCCTCAGAGCCCACTCTCTCTCCTTCCCACTCTCTGCCGGCTTCGACACCCGCCCAAAGCGACACCAAGCCAGGCCTGGCTCCTGGCTACTCCTCCAACATTGCTATCCCCTTAGCTATATTCCACAAAGAGGTGTGTGTGTGTGTGTCACAGGCGCCAAAGGCACCACTGTCTTTGAGCGGCTTGCAGTGTCCCCATTGCTGCCCCGTGGTCCCCTAGCCCAGCCTCCTTCGTCCCTACTGCACTCATCGACATCTCGACTCGCCCCTCCCGCCGAGAGCCTGTTCGCGCGTCTGCTCGTCGAGTCGGACACGTCTACCTCAACGCACACCTGGACTTTGCTCCAGCACTGGCTTCGCATTGCCTGTTCGCCCCGAATCTCGCGCGAAATCGACTTGCTCCAGTGTGCGGGCAGCGCCCCGTCAGCTGGGGGTGGTCGAATAGCAATTTGTTGGCGTTCCCGTAGACTGACTGCCTACATCCGGCTTCTGTTCCAGATCTCGAAAGCTTCACACATCGTCGTAGCAGGCTCGCCTGAGCATTGTACCAACAGGAGGGGGAAACCATGGACGATTATCGATTTCGCGCGCAGCAGGCTCCGCGGAACGAAGCGACGATGAATTCCCTTGTTTCACCACTCCGAAATGGGGGACCAAGACCTTTGCAACCCAGCTCGCAAGACTTACGAACCACCCTGCCGACCACCCTGCCTCGTCGCTTCACGACCGACTCGGGGCGTGTACCAACACTGTCTACCATCGGCTCGCAGCGGCTGCCGGATACTCAGGAGTATCCTACTGCAGTAAGTCCCGCCCAAGCTGTTCTAGCGCTTTCTGGAGGGGGCAAACACCCAAGGATGGGAGTGTGGGTGCTAGCCCCAGACTACCGTTCCCTTCCCAACCCTTAAAGGCCAACCTAACGTCTCATACTGCCGACTATGATGACATTTACATCTTGCAAAAACCAAAAGCTGACCATCTTTGTCCACGCAGAGCCAGTATAAGATGCAACTGGTGAGCCTCTCCCCGAATGCCTCTTACCGCGACCGATCTCCAATACACCCCGGCACAGCTCCCCGAATCCTCAACAGGCGCCACTGTGCTCCTTTGTGTCGATTTCGATTAAAAACGTGGCTTCCAATCGCATACTAATTGGCGTCGCAGCTTGAAAAGAAGAAGCTCGAATATGAACGGCTACGCGAACAGAAACGCCGCTTCGAGGCGGAGATGCAGAAGCTGGATCAGCAGCAACTTCGGGAAGAATATGATATCGCGCAAATGCAGGAGGATCTGGGTCGCGGAAACACGTTGACCATCACCGGTCACCAGTCGGAGCCTACGACGCCACCCGAATATCGCGAGACCAGCTTTGGCTTCCCAACAGCCTTCTCGCGGCCCAACCGATATTCCATGTCCAGCCTTGTCTCCCCGCCGGGTTTCTTCAACCGCTCGAGCCGGCCTGGCTCACAGCTGACGTCCCCTCCATCTGGCTTGTCCCAGGCTCAAAGCCACGCGCGCTTCTCATACGGGGACTACTTGCCCTCCCACTCAATGCCGACAACCAGGAGGAACAGTGATGACGAGGAAAAAGAGCTTGCTCTTCGCCAGGATCCCTCGAGCCACCGCTCAAGCAATGCGTACGTGTTACCTTGCTCCGAACTTGGTAAAACAGGTTCGGGATGTCTCCAGAGTTTTATTAGGAAGCACACAGTGTTCTTATTGGAGGGAAGCCCCGGTTTTCTTCAGTCATTTGTCCTTGTGCTAATATATCATCGCTAGCGTCAACCGCTACTCTATGCCTGTAACTCGGCGTGGAAATCTGTACGACAATATCGACCAGACGAACGCCGCCGGCTTCCTCTTTCGAGACGACGAGGCTGCTTCCGACCCGCACAAGTACAGTGCCATCGACAGCAGTGCAGATGAGGGTTATCCTGTGCCCTTTGCAAAAATGGTCAATCATAATATGGTGAGTCAAAGACGTACATCAAGCATATACGGGTGCCACGCAGCTAGATACAACTGTTGAGGTTGAACCGTGGTGGTCCACGGCCGCCAGCACTGATCTGGCCAGCTCTTCCTGTTTGGGCGGGCAGTGTATCCCACTGCTGACGCCTCATATCTGCTCTACCGCTCTGTTGTAGCCAGTGCCTTGTACTTTGCTCTTGAGCTAATCCGTTTTACCCCTCTGCAGGTGCCTTCGACTACAGCTGCTATGGATCTTGCGACTCAACGAGCAGGAGGAGAAGCTACTTCCGCTGGCTGGGCCAGCATGTCTCGGCATCGTCAACAGCAGAGCTTGTCGAATGTGGGGCCTGCACAACCGAGCATCGTCGAGCCGAGCACGGCAACACAGGCAGCGCCGGGCGACGCGGGCGGTATGGCCTCGCGGCAGGTGCGCCACTCGGCAGAGATTGGCCAGTACCGGGACACGGCCAACGACGGCGCTGCGACGGCATCCCTCTCGCCCTCCTCCTCGAAGCAGGCCATGGTCACGCCTCCGAGACTGCAGTCGTCCCACTCGTCCAACGACATTGCAACAATCAAAAGCCCCAGTGTACTTGCCAACCCGAATGCTCACGCTCAGCAGCACCTGCACAACCACAACGCCAGCATTGGTCGGATCCCTCCCGGAGCTGTCAAACGCCACAGTCGCGAGTTGTCATCCGAAGGTCACGCTCCCGTCACTCAATCCGCCAGCTTCGCTTCGATTCAGTCCCAGTTGCACGCCAACGCTCCTTCTTTCGGACCAACTGCAAGCAGCCAGACCGCTGGGCAACCGACCATGGGCTCCATGCCTCCCGTTTCAGGCCCTGGCGGGCCTACCCAGTATCAACAACCCTACTTCGCCGGTCCTGGTTATGGTCCTGCTAATGGCTATGGCATGTCTTTCCTCCCCATGGGCATGCAGAACATGAACCTCAACGGCTATCAACAAGGCTATAGTGGCTATGCACCATCTTATCCGCCCTCTGGACAGCAGGGCCAGCAGCAACAGCAGCCGCGTGACTCGCAACAACGTGTGATCCAGGCACGGCGCGCCCAAGATAATGAAGGTTCGTGAATGACACGCACTGCCCTCTTAGGTGCTGAGAAAATTCACTAACTATTCACAGCTGCCGTCAAGTATCAGAACAAGCCATTTGAGGAGTGCATTGGCGAAATCTATGAAATGGCCAAGGATCAGCATGGCTGCCGTTATCTCCAGAAGCAGCTTGAAGCCAGAAACCCTGAGCAAATCCACCTTATCTGGCTGGAAACGAACCCCCACATTGTCGAGCTCATGACAGATCCCTTCGGTAATTATTTGTGCCAGAAGCTTCTCGAATTTTGCAACGACGATGAGCGCACCGTATTGATACAGAACGCCTCTGTCAACATGGTGGACATCGCTCTCAACCAGCACGGCACCAGGGCCTTGCAGAAGATGATAGAGTTTGTCTCAGCTCCCATCCAGGTCGAGCTCATCATCCAGGCTCTCCAACGCGATGTTGTGCACATGATCAAGGACCTGAATGGTAATCACGTCATTCAGAAATGCTTGAACAAGCTCACTGCCGCCGATGCCGAGTTCATCTTCAGCGCTGTCGGCGCCAATTGCGTCGAAGTGGGCACCCATCGCCACGGCTGCTGTGTCCTGCAGCGCTGTATCGACCATGCCTCAGGCCCGCAGAAGGCGTGGCTCGTGGCCAGGATTACGGACTCAGCCTTGCAGCTTGTGCAGGATCCCTTCGGCAACTACGTGGTGCAGTACATCATTGATCTTAACGAGCCACTGTTCACGGAGCCACTCGTGCAGAACTTCCTCGGCCAGATCGGTGACCTTTCCCGCCACAAGTTCAGCTCCAATGTCATTGAGAAATGTCTCCGTTGCGCCTCGGAGCAATCTACGGACGCCATGGTCAAGGAGCTGCTCAACTCTGGCGAGATGGACAAGCTGCTGCGTGACTCCTTTGGCAATTACGTCGTCCAGACAGCACTTGAGCACTCTTCTTACTCCATGAAGCCTCAGCTCGCAGACATGATCCGGCCTCTACTACCCAGCATCCGCAGCACCCCCTATGGACGGCGTTTGCAAGCGAAGATTCAGGCTTACGACAGCCACACGCGCAGCAGCAATTCCAGTGGTCAAGCCACACCTGCTGATCCGACTCAGGGCCAGGTTCCTTTGCGTGCCCCTGCGACCAACCGTGGCGTCCAGAACCAACACGCAGGTCCTGGCAATGGCTATCCAACCAGCATGCATGGTGGCCGAGGTCAAGGCCACTACAATGCCAATTCCCACAGCTCTTCACAAACTGGCCGTGCCAACTCGTATCAGTCGTACAGTGCCAACGGCAATAGCCGGAATGGACCTGCGCAGGGCAGCGCCGACGGCCAGTTTTTCTGAATCTTTGCGAGAACACTTGGCCGGCAGGCACAATGTACACATCAAGTCAAGACGCGCTGGCCGCTGGCGTAAGCGTGTCGAACAGCTAGGGGCTTGCTCGCAACCATTCGAAACTGCCACGTATCACACTTTATGGATGTGCTGTACGAAATTCACGACGTCTTCTTCTTCTTCTCATTCCCAGCACAGGCTCGCTCTGTTTCCCTCAGAACAAAACTGGCGGTGGAACTGGACTGTACACTATTAGCATTCCGCCATTCTTCCTATGGATGCCATCCCTCGGTCCGTCGCCTGATTGGGACGAAGCACAACTTAGCACAGCTATTCACTGGCTTGTACTTGGTAAAGTACGTGATTTCAGCCCGCGTACATTGGCATAGACTTTCCTTTCGTCGATTTGCATCATCTTGCACGCCATCTTTGTCCTGAACCTGGCCAGTAGGGCTGGACAAAATTCTTTGTAACTATGGCCACCGGCCTCTGGCACTGTACCACTGTACCTATCCACTTTCACTTGCATATGCTAGGGCATGGGGGATTTGAGGGGTTGGATGATGTGGCGAGGTCCCTCGCATCATCAATCTCTGGACATACAGATTTGCATATGATAGCGATCTCATACACGAGCAAGACCTAGCTGGAAGGGAGGGAAGGGGCACAGTTGTCACTTCTGGGGGGTTTTCCGGATCTCGTTGTATTCGTGCGATCTTTGTTTTCCATTAGCTACTGCGGTCTTGGGCGGTCGCTAGCAGCTACGAGTAGCAGAATAGAAGCATCAATGAAAATCATGTGCTATGAAAAGTTTCATCATCGTGCTTTGGGTGTCCGACCATTGGGGAAGATCCAAGCTCGGAGGTTCATCGATAGCGGTACACAGGACCGTCGAGATTGATTGACCTCGGACTGCACGAAGTGAAGCTCGCAGTCTGACTTTGCCCTCGCCAGACCGCACTCACGGCGAGAATTGGCCATCGAGCTTAGCATTCAAGTGTAGAACAGGCATCAATGGCAACATAGGAGCTTTGACACATGGACTAACATGGGTGGCTTTGTGGTGTTGAGATGGGTAGACAGGCGAGATATGCTCATGGCCCGTGAACAGATATGCAAGGTTTCTTTGCACTACGACACATCACGGCGTTGCCTGACAGCACATTCACGTATTCAGAGAAACTTTGCAAGGTTGTGTGTGAAAAAAAGCAAACCCGTAACCATTTGGGCGCCGTGAGATTTTTCTTACTCTCAATTCCATCATAATTTCCGAATGTTTTTGTTTTGCTTTGCGAAGCAGCACCGCTCTCAAACACCAGCTCCCCCCATCATCAGTAAACAGAATGACAAACTCCTGACAACAGGAAAACATTCATGAGCCGCCACTGCATCCACCCCGCTTTTGTTCTTTTCCTTCGCGATGATGATGGTGTTGTCAAAGTTGGTGATGAGGTGTTGCGACTTCTGCTGTTGTGGCCGCTGGACACACGAGAGGCCTTTGATGACGGCCCGTTTTGGCAGCAACACATCACCTGTCGAAGCCAATCCCGAAATGTCCAGCAGCCCAACGCCCCTCCACGTCCACGCCTGTCTGTCGACATGGTCGCAACAGAAGGGAAAGCAGACTGCGACGAAGGCAGTCTGCTAACCTCAAGAGCGACCAGCCATGTGACGGCGAGACGCTTACCTGTAGCGCCACAGGGAGAGGGTGTTGTGCTTCTTCCAGGTCTTTCTGCGGCCGGCCTTGGTCTTGTTGTAGCGGTGGCCCTTGTTGAGACCGCGCGACTTCTTGCCAGTGGCGGTGAGGCCGCGGGACTCGCGGTGCTTGTGGACGGGGTTGACGATCCAGTTGATGCGGGGATCCTGGCGGATGGCCTTGTGCTGGGGGTCGACGAGGATGACCTCGTAGTACTTGTAGGTCGAGTCCTGGTTGATCCAGTACGAGTTGAGGACGCGCAGGTTGGCGCAGCGGCGACCGACACGCTCCTCGGCGGTGGACTTGAGGGAGCGCTGGTACTTCAGCTGGTTGATACCCTGGTTGGTGGGCTTGCCTGAATTGTAGAGTCGCTCGGTCAGCACAATCCGATTTCATGTATACTCTCCGGTTTTGGTGGCCAAACATACCGTAAGTGGCGCCCTTGGGGGCGGGCCGCTTGCGGCCACCACGGCGGACGCGGACGCGGTAGATAACATAGCCCTGCTTGGCCTTGTAGCCGAGGCGGCGGGCCTTGTCAGGGCGCGAGGGACGCGAGGCGCGGTGGATGACGTTCAACTGGCGAAGCTATATTGATGCACTCTCAGCAAAATGTTCAACGAGTGTATAGCAAAGACACCCTCCCAGGACCCCAAGAGCGGTGAAGCAAATGGAGTCTAGGGAGCAACAGCGTCCACATTTTCTCATGTCTGGGACCGAGGACCCCGTCCACACATCAAGGCCATCTTCTATCACACGAACGTGTCGTGATCAAATCCGGATCGATGAATGGACGGGTACTGGCTTCCGAAGACCGGGTTGTGTGGGTGCGTGCGTCGTCGTGAAGAAGAAAGTGTCGTTTGGAGGTCGGTGACGAGGTGGAGGATTCAACATACTTCCCAGCAGCGAACGCGGAGGAGGAAGCGAAGCACATCAGACTGCTTCTTCTTCTGGAGCTCTTCGACATACTTGAGGGCACCCATTTTGACTGCCGACCCGAAGGAAAATCTGTGTTAGCGGCGTAACTTTTCTTCCGACGAGATGATTATTGCAGCAGCGACTGCAATTGCACAGTTTCTGCAATTGTCGTCGGAGAGAGCACGGGCGATAGTACACACCAGGTTGGGAGGTTGAGCCTGCAACAATGGACGGTCGTGTGTCGGTGGTGTCGTTGGGTGTGTCGGGGAGGGGACGGACGCAAAATCTTGACCCTCTCACCAGATTTCGGACCCAGCCTGGTAATGCAAAGTGTGCGTTCGAAAAATATTAAGCGATTTGGTGGTGCTAACCCCGTTTTGGACCAGAGCCCACAGTTCTGCGGGGCGGGACCCAGTCCCGTGCTGCCATGGAGTGCCAAGGGTGCCCAGGCGTGCTGGCGAATCAATCGCTGGCTGGGGGGCATTGCCTTTCTTGGTCCTAAGATAATTATTGCGACTTGAGAGAACGACACTCACCTCATGGCGTCCCTCTACTGACAAGGCCGAGACTGAAGAAAAGTTGCTGTCAGACAGCACTCGCAAATCTTATTCTGCCCTAGTTGTTGCGATACAAAGCCCTTGTGATATTTTCACTACGTCGAGAATGCAGACTGTGGCTGAGACGACATCACCAATTCTCCCCAGAAATATGAGCACCCTTCATCCACAGCATTAGGACAGACTGGCCATGTCACGAGCCGTGCCCTCCACGAAAATGGTGTTTGCCAAGGCGACGCTCCGTCGAAGCTGATCCTCAAAGACCGTTCCCCAATTGTTCCCTTCCACGGCCGTCTTGCCCTTCACTATGAGACCCGCAGCTATTTCTTGGTTCTCAGTACGCTCATGGGCGTGTGTGTGTGGGTCTTGGTACAATCCTGGAACCAGGATACCTTCCACTATGTGTTGGCCGTAGTCGCGGCCACACATCATGATATCGGCAAGGTCGTGTTTGTCTTGATTCCACGTCTCAAGAGGCGATGCCAAGTCGAATGACTTGAGCATCTCACTAGCCTTCTCGAATTTGTCAAGCAGGCCTTGGCTTTGTAGCATGATCGCCTCGGCCTCTTCGCGTAGGATGTGCTTCGACTTGGAAGTATTTTCGTTGCGGTTCTGCCCGGGCTGCAAGCCTGTGGGCATGATGGCATTGTACAACTTTTCGAAGGTGGACACGAATTCCTGGCGCTGTTCTCCTCTGTGATGATGTCAGTGCCTGAGATAGCACCATTGAGCCCACGAGCAAACTTGCATCTTGACCTCTTCACTCATAACACTCTGTCGAATCTTGTCAGTCTGGCGACCGATTTGCGCTTCAAACTTGGCCACAAAGACCTCGGACGCTTTCTTCTCGCGATGGGGGTCGAAAAACGAGTATTGGCTCGTCGATATCCTGGTAAAGAATAGGCGGATGGCCAATCAGTCTTGAAATGCTCTTCATCATCCTCGGGGTGGCCATCTCATAGGTTGCCAATCTACTACATACTTGCTCTTGCCAGGATGCTTCGATAGCGAACCATAGTCGTCAAGCAGAGACAATCTCTTGGTCCGGTTTGACGACGACATGCGCGGTCTCTTTGCGCTCGTCGGTGCGCTAGGCTCTGAAGTAACCGGGCCGTTGTTGGCGTAGTCTGGTATGCAGAGATGGTGATTCTGGTTATCAGCGCTGGTACCGCTGTGGCCTGAGAGCCTTGGCAGTGAAAACAATGCGAAGTCACGTACCCATAACACTATCGGTCTTTCTCTTTCCAGGCCGTCTCGACATTCTGACGCAGATGTAGCCCAGTGCCGATAAGATGAAGCGCAGTTTTGTGGCTGATCTGACGAAACGGATTGAAGGTGACCGGAGGATCTTTTAGAACAAGATTCAATGGTCTCAAGGACAAGCAGGAAGGGGACCACGGCACAAGTTTCAGCACCTGGTGATCCCGTATGTCTGGGCATCAGTTTGGTTCTTGCTTTTCTGCAGACTCGAGGCGAGGCAGCCAGTGGACAGCCTCAGGCCGCCATCGATTTGTGGTGCACACGCACTCGGGCTCACCTGGGCAGCTTGCAAACGAATGGCCCGTTTGACTTGAAGAGGAGGAAGGATCGATTGACAGTTGACACATAGGCCAGATCTGCCACGAACCCGACTGTTATCCAGACCATATCTTCGAGTCTAGGTCTACTATCGACGGTACTCGTACACCGACATGGCCGGCCACTTTATCCATCGCAAATCGAATTCAATAGTAATGCTCCGACTCTCCAAGCTGTGATCACCCAATCAGTGACATTGCGTCCGCTCCCGTTACCTGCCAGTAGTGAAGACAGGGGCCTTTTTTCAATTGGAAGTCGACATAACTTGAACGTGGACACGCCATTGACTCCGATTCTCAGACTAATCATATTAGGCAAAATCACGAAAACAGTGTATTGGAATGCTACCCCAAGGAGACGACTCTAATCCTACAATCCCTTCCAGAGTAAACCCCATTATTTGATACGAAAAGCATTCGCGTGTTACCCAATCTAGAATTGATGCGGTCTCTTCGCATGATACCAGCACAGAGACCGGAGCAGACTTGAAGCTGCCTGCCGCACCTCAGCCAATACCTAATGCCGGGAAATGTTCTGTCTATGGTCCAATCTGTCCTTGGAAATTTCTTATCAGCCGTATAGCCGTTCTACCGTGAACATGACATCGTTCGTAATCAAAGCGTAATCCGATAGTCGCCTTTTGCTGTCAGGAAGCATGAGATCGTTTGCGAGCGTTGAATCAATTCTTCAATGGCGGGTGCTGTATGTGGCGTATATCGTGAATGCGCTTTTGGTGCCTGAATACATGAGAGCCTTGAAAGGACCACCAGTGTCGAAATTAGCCACTGTGATGGCAAACCAGAGAAATCTTTGTGAAATGCGAAGTATATAAAGGCTTGATGGAATCGCGCGTTGCTATCAGGAAGTTCGGCCGTTGGACGGTGAGGAATCCGTAGCCTTTTGGCAGGAAATGTGCCTTGAAACTAAGTAGTGCGTTGTGAATGTGCACACTGTTTTGTGGTAGATGACTCAAGTAGGACCAATTGCTATCGAGTTCGCTAGCGATCAGCGAGAGTTGAGGGACAGACCCTGGAAGGAGTTGACCCATTCGGGGTGATCAACCATACTCGAGGAGCTTTGTTCGTGCGAACTAGGTCCTCCGTGAGGGCTGGGGAATCGTGCTCGAAGTTCAGCAGCATAATCGTTGGAAGGGAGTCCGCCGCCAAAAGGGTCCATGGTCTGCATCAGACCGGGAACATAACCACCGGACCGCGGGCCGGCGGCAAATGAGCCGTAAGCCGAGTAGCCGTAGCCAGAAGGGGGATACGCAGTTGTTGGAGCAGCTTGGCGGTCAACGACCCCAAAAGGCTGGCTGAATGTAGGTTGCATCACGCGACCCGGTGGGTTGCTAGTGGCAAATGTAGCTGGCCCTTCCTGACGAGCCGCTGAGGGGCGCTGTTCATTGTTTGTGTTTCCGCCTCCACGACCTCCTGCAGAGCCGATGCCAACACCGCTGGGAGCCTGCAAGCCAAGGGTCGGGCTGGCAAATGAGGCTGGGTTGATGGCAGACATCCAGATCCTCGTCTTGTAAATTTTGAACAAGTCGGTAACGAGAGCATTGAAGTTGATGTACGCGTCGGCAAAGTAGTAGAACGTCAGCTTTTTCCAGTCCCTATACAGAGGTCAGTCTTGAGCCACTTGAAACCGGTTTGGAGCGACTGTGCAGGATTGCTCACATTTGAAACTCTGCGTCAAGGATTTCCATATTGAGACCATGTTCCTTGACCTTTTGCATGCAGACGCGTTTGGCTTTCGCTTCATTGCCCTCTTTGTCTTGCAAGTTGTTGATCTCGTGGCTCTGGGCCAGGCGCTTGATCAGCTTTGGCTTCAGCTCTCCGGCGTTGGGCTCCTGCATGCGATGCTGGCCGGAAGGGCCCATGCCACCAATGGCGCCTCCTTGTAGTCCATTCGAAGCGGCCATAAGACCAGCGCCAGACCCCTCCTGGGCGGCAGCAGCATTCTGGGAGAACATGATGAGCCATTTGTAATGCTCCTCAGCATAATGCTCCTTGAGATCCTTGGCAGTCTGCCAATCCACGTTGTGCCGTGCGACTGTGCCCAAGTCAGTGCCTCGGTCGGCCTCCACAATGACCAAGTCACCAGGCTTGACAGTGAGGCCGGTGCCTTCCTGGATATAGAAGACATCTGCACGTGAACACTTGAAGAGTACGATGTGGAGTGACTGATTGTGTCTCGGCTGAGGCATGCCGTATGCGCGTCTGTGAGGAGAAGGCGGGCGATTGCCATAGACTTGGGGCACGCCAAATCCTGGTTGGTATGGATGCCCGTACGCTGGCGACACAGCAGGCTGCTGCGAGGACGATAGACCTAGGCCGCCAGAATAGAAGCCGACTGGGAACTTATTAGACGAGATGCCACAAACGAAGCCGAGGTGGGGGCATTGGGGACATACCTGGACTCGCAGCTGCGAAATTGGGATTGAGTTGATACGCGCCAAAGTCCTGTTGGTGTTGACCAGCATCGGGAGAAGTGACTTCTCGTAAACCTGATGGCTCTGTGATAGAGCTGATTGAACCTTGCCGCGCGGGCACGTCTGCAAAGGAATGTCTACGACTCTGCGGCATGTCGGAATGTCCGCCGAACCCGAGGGAACTTGTCCAGTACGCGCGCTTCACATTCTCCAGCTTGCGGTTCTCCACAGGGTAGCGATGACCGCCTGCTGCATATTCGCTCATGCGTCTGCCCATGCCGCGTTTGCTGGCAGGATCAATATTGTCGTTGAGGTCATCAATCTCGTCGACCGCGTAGTCAGATTCTTCAGGGACAGCCTCGTGGAGGCTATAACCGTTGCCGAGCGCGAAGGCGTTCCCAGTCGACGCTCGTGGGCGGAGCTGGCTTTGGTACTGTTGCTGGCGGAGTATAGCATTCTCGCGCTCAAGTGCTTCGATCGTCTTCTGGGCTTCCAGTTCCTGCTGGCGAGCACCAAGGCCAGAGCTTCGAGAGCTTCCGTCATCATCATCGTCCTCCACTTCTTTGACTTTGCCGAGCATGGCACCATCGCTTGACATCTCACTCAGCATGCTCGGCCGTGATGGTCGATGGTTCAATGCAGACTTGCCCAGTGGTCGGGCCCTATTCCCCATGACCGAGACCGAAGGGACGGCTGCGCCTGGGGAGTCGGGATCCAGCTGGCCTACGGAGTACGATTGAGACCGATATGTCTTTGGCGTAGGGTGCAGCGGAATCGCGAATGGTATTTGTGCATTGGATCCTGGCTCACGGGCGTTTGGTGACGCTTGGGGGAATCCCCCTTCACTCCCAAAAAAGCTCGACCCCCCAGGGCCTGTCGAGGTAGGGGAAGGCAGAACTTCAGTTAACCTTGATGGTGGTTCTTTGCGCTCAGTGTTCCAAATGCCGGTACCCCATGAAAAGGTCGTGTTCTGTGGGCCACGGCCTACCGAAGCTGGGGTGCCAGAGTGTGCCCCCCATGGTGCAGCACCGAGCTCAGCCGAGGGTGTACTAGGATGGGAGGTCGTGGGAGACATTGAGCTACTGGCGAATGAGCTCTTTCTTGGGTGTGCCAAGGGGGCTTGGGATGTGTCGTTCAGCCAAGATGCGCGACGGACAGGCTTGTGCTGTGCTGGTGGGTGCGGTGCGACCTGCCGTAGCGGGTCGACCTCATCGTCGGAGCTTGCCATGGCCTCTGAGTCTGGTGTAGACCTCCGCACGTTGAGCTTGTCGAGTAATAAAGAGTGGCTGTTTGGAGCGATGCCACCGATGGTTGGTCTGCTTGATTTGCCGTTGGCGGAGCTCATTGTCGGATTGCAATGAGGTTCGATGTCCCGGCCTGCTCAGGACGGTAGAGAATACAACTGGGGATTTAAATGCGCGTGCTCCAGGATTGGGATACCGTCACCGTAGCCTAGAAGGCCTCGGGTGATTTGACGACGAAGAACTGTTTTAGCGAAAAGATGCAAATAGAACGATATTGTTTTCCTACACGGTAACTCTCGTCAATGACAATCCAACCATGACACTTTACCCGGGAGGTGCTGGCATGGGAGGCCAAGGCCTTATGCACGAGCGGGATTCATCGGTGATCAACCAAAGTAAGATCGATACTCACCAGAAATTATAGACGAGGATGTCGGTCTCTATCAGAAGGGTATCTCGGAGAAATAAAGTCTAAGTGGGTAATGTAGCTGGGGGTTTGGGGGAGGTGTTGAGCACTGTAAGCCTCTCCCAAACAAATAGACAGTACGAAATTGTGTCGTTGTGAAGAAGTAGACTGCACGACCTCAGAAGTATCTGCCGTGTTTCTTTTTGTTGCCGCTGGATAGCTGGCCGTGCGAGACCGTGTCGAGCGTTGGGGTTGCGTATCTGCACTGCCGCCGAATCGCTGGCTGTTCCCACTCGGCGAGACTTCTCTGGGTCTAATGTCGCATATGTAGTCTGAGTCGTCGAGAGAGAGGTGGTCGGTCATGCAGTGCTATGCAGAGCTTCCCATCCTTGTAGCTGCGCAGCGATACCAAGGTTGGGCTTTGGCGGTTTGGGGGTGTTTGAGCAACTGCGCTTGGCAAGATGGTAGCAGGACTTCGCAGCAGGGAGTCTACGAGTGTCGGCGACGTCGCTGTGGATGGTGTCGAGGGCTTGGTGGGAGGCGCAGGCTGGCTGAAGGAGACAGGATCGAGTGACGGGCGAGAACAGTGCCGATGACGCGGAGCGGGGAACTTGGGCTTAAATGGCGACGAAAGGCGGCGGCGGCGGAGAGCGAGGAGGGAGGAGGCCAGAGCTTCTTGGAGAGGGAGGAGAAGGCAAAGGTGTTGGCCGAAGCGTGCCGGTCGTGGTGTGGTTCGGTCGGTCGGTCAGTTGCGAGGCCAGCCAGACCAGGTGGAGAGGAGACCAGACGTGCCCCTAGGACACTTGCGACAGAGAGGCAGGCGGGCAGGCAGGGGACACGAGACTTTTGGCGGACGGAAGAGCCTGGGCTGCATTGTGGTGGGCCAGTCCCCGTTGTGGTTAGCACCGAGAGCAGTGAGCAACGGAGGGGAAGGCCCCGCTCTTAGCCAGCCTAGGCGGGCGGGCAGGCAGATCGGGGCCTGACCCTTAGGGAATGGAAGGCACCACCTGCTTGCGCACCTGCATCATCACCATGAGATGTCTGCCGCTCGCCACTCTGCGATGGGGGCGCACGCATGCGCTCGCTCACTCTATTGCACCCGCTTGCTCCAGAGAGCCACTGGCTTCATGCAAGGCTCGACCTCTGCCTCTCGCTCGTCCTGCAGACCCCGGGGGCGTCCAGAGCAGTGTGTACTTACATACATGCTGCGTCCACGGGCAGCGGGACTGGGGGCCCCGGAAGAGCATCCTGCCATTAGCACTGTTTCTGGGGTCAGCCACCAAGTGGGTGGCCGGCGGGCCACACCCGAGCAAGGCAGGCTGGGGCACCTTGCAAGGTCAGAACTAGGGGTTTGAGGCGTGAGCCAATGGCGCGCACGGAGAAATGCCAACCTGTTGACCTCTAGCACGGCTCTAGACCCCCAGCCGGCCGAGTGTGGGGAATCCCCCTCCTGGCTCATGTCCAGCTCTCCATCGCTTGGTGAATGTGGCCTTCCTCCAAGCATCGCCTCTCCTATGAAGCTGCCACAGAAGTTGATGGCAGTGTGCGTACTTGCGCTACCCGTCCTGGTCCAGAACGCGGCTGCGGATAGTCAAAAGTAACGGCCGCCTGGATCGGCCCTTGCCCAGTCAGGTCAAGCTGAGACGATCACTCTTTTCAAAGACTGTGGATCAACGTGAGCGAGCGTTTGCGAAGTAAGTTTCGGGGGGGCAAGAGGGCAGCAGGCGAGCACGTGCGACGGGTGCACAGGACAAACGAGGTGCATTACTGGGAGCGCAAGAGTTTTCATCGCGTCGGCCGATTTGGTGCCTTCATGTGTTGATCGAGATGGTCCTACCAGCACGTTAGGGGCCCTGCCCGCCTACGATCACCAAGAAGCCGAATCTGTCTGGAATATGTCCCTGGTCGCTGGCTCAGGCGATCATACTACGGGGAACGCCCTTTTCCTGCCAGCCCGGCGGCTGGAGGCACAGCAAGTGCCAGGCAAGCGCTAGCATGGAGAGCCAGCCCTGGAGAATGCGGGGAGACAGCGGCAGCTGCCACTGGCCTGGCGCGTGCGAAACACCCCGGGTGCTGGCATGCATGTGTTATGCGCGCTCTTCTGCACACCATCATCTGTCCGACTTGGTCTTAGGTCCTGCCACAGCCCATTACCTCGAGCTCGCCTTTTCTCTCCCGTCTGCGCTTCGCATGACAGTTCCCCATACCACAAGGCTTCGGCACTCTCCATTGCCTAAAGCGCCACCTGAGCAGGCCAGCAGCAAACAGTCCGCCACCTCGGCGGTTCAAGGGCTCACTCTCCTCACGGCTGGCAGTGGCGTCGACAAGGTTCCTCGGGCAGGTACATTACCCCACTCGGAAAGGCAGCTTCCCTGAATCTTGATGGCTGTGTCCCATGACGTTGGCTGTGGCGTGACATCAAGCTCGCCATCATACGCTCTCGAGTACGCGAATCCCTTGGCGCCAGGGACGTCACTCCCACCGGGCTTATTGTGCACAAAGCATCGCTCAACAGAACGGCAGGTTAGCGGGGTGCCCAGCTAGCATCATATGCACCCGCAAATCTCGGCCGACTCGCTATTTTGGGTTTGCGGGCTGATGATCCAAGGACCCGTGCTGGCCCACGAAACACAGTGGGATCCTGGTACCTCATATGTGTATCCGCCAAACCAAGAGCCAGTTCAGGTGGGGAAGACAGAAAATATTTCCGAGATATGGATGTGGCGCGGCAGTAGTGTTTTTGCGATACCTGCTCGACGCCAGCAAATTTTGGCGCTCATACCGGAGCAGAAAGACCGACGTAGAGGAACATGCCACCGAAAGTATCACTCTGCACATGACGCATCTGGGTTGTCTTTTCCTTTCCTTCTATTTCGGCTTAGGCTTTACTTCATGAATGGCCGACTCACTCCTTTGGCAACTTGCAATCGCCCACATGCCAGGATACAAGCTCCCGAGCAACTACATGATATAGCAGCGTCCTTCCGCTGCCCCTCGTGCTCTGCTCCCGATCCCACCTGACGAACGGCGTCCCAAACGTGGAGGGACAGCCAGCTGTGCTATGCCCTGCTAAGCTATAGAAGGGGTGTGAGTCCCCTGGCCAAGGCAGCAACCAGTGCTACCTATTCCCCCAGTGTTTGTCCATGCCAGGCCAAGCACACGCTGCAAGGTGAACCACCCGGAGGCGCAGGGCGCAGGGATGTGACAATATAATGCGGGGAAATACTGCGCAACATCACTGGTTGAAGCACACTGAGCAGGCCTCAGCACCAGCCACGAACGGACGGATGCCCCTTCAAGAACCCGTGTTCGACCACACGCATGCACACGGTGTTCCGTCCATGCCACCACCCGTTCAAGGTATGCCAAGAGCAACAGCCATTTTAAGCTCGGGACTCGAACCTCTCGTGACGGCCTCGCTCGCGCTCTGCTTCGGTGTGGCGTGTCCTGGGAGACACTTTGCATCAGCCGTCGAGCTCCAGGCGCTTGAAGCCCCGGCAGCTAATGGATGACAGGCCCCCTTAGAACGTCCTGGTCAGGGGGTTCTAGCGGAAGTGGCCGAGAGACGCGCAGCTTGGTTTGCTGACCACGTACGTCCACCTCGGCCCATGAGGTCTTGGGCCCACACACTCTGTGGCTCTAGTGCAACGGCGAGCGGCATGGCATCCGAACCTCATGACCGATGCATACTGGGTGGGCACAGATGGGCCCAGAAACAACCCAAGTGGCGAGGCATGGCTGTGGTTGTGCAATTGACATTGCCAGATGTTCCACTAAACTTCAACCACGACCAATGCATCCACCAAAGCTTGCCCTCCACGGTGCAGAAATGAGCCTGTGACTCCCAAGGAATTCTCCGAGGTCGATCATGATCATGCCATGACAGGCACTGTAAGGAAACTTCTTTGGCTTGCGGACACGCCACTGGTCGTCAAGCTGACTGGAAGGCACTCAGGACGCGGGGGCGAAGCCAGCCACTGCCAGACTCGTGCGTTAAGGTAGTGTACGTAATTTGTACCTGCCCAGGTGTGCCCAAGCGCTTCAGCCTACCCCGCACGCACTGCTCGCCGGCTTCGTCGCCTCGTGGCCTTAGCCTTCTGCCCCGTCTATCCTTGGCCTGCGCGGAGGAAAGCCAGTTCGACTGTCACACGAATGGCATCAAGCTTCCCCAAAGGTAAACAATATGGAAAACCCCATGGCGGGATCGTGGACATGTGGATGGGCTATGCCTGCGAATTGGTGATGTCGAGGCACAAAGTTCACCATTCGAAATCGGTTGCTCATTGCAAGACTCAAACATGAATCACTGGTCTGAGCTAAGCACCAACATGGACATGTGTGCTCGAAAGGAGGAGACAACTTGCAAATTGGAATGTGATTTCCTGACAGAAGGAGTTAATGGACCGGGCATCGAACTCGCCCAGTTTCTCGAGCTGCAAGCAACACAAGTCCACAGGTGCCCAGTGTTTGGCACCTACACCAGGAAACTTATTAGCAGGCTACCCTGGACCGTTATTCATGGAGGCTTCTCAAACTCCATCCCCTTTTGATCCTCCCAAGTTATGTGTGGAGATCTCGGAAGAAAAGCACTCCGGCCTGGCCACCTTTCACTCTCGGGCAGTGAACGGCGGTTAAGTGACGGGTTGTCAGCATTCATGCAGTCAATACATGCTAAAAATAAAATTTGAAAAAATTTGTCAAATTCTCTGGGATTAAAAGAATCCGGACTACCAGTAAGTGGCATAAGAATAACCGCGCTGAGTGATACGTTACTTAGGCCGTGTGAATTGGCCCATCTCAAAAAACAAATGGACCTTTCAGAACATCAATTTGCGTTCTTTCTAACTCTTTTGACTTCATCTTACGGGGTGGTAAGCGTAGTTGACTTCTAGGCAGCACATGGATGTGACCGCTGGCTCTAATTTCGCTTGTAAGCCATGACTTAAATCCTGCTTATAATTTCCACCCATCGGGTTTTCATGACCCTTTTCTGATTCCGACACACGAATAGCTTCAAGAAAAAAGCATGCTTGCTGCCTCCATGTAAAATGCCCGCGGCGAGGGAGGAATGTACAAAGAAGAAAGTAAAACGAGCCCATGGATTCATAAAAGATTGCCATGGGAATTTTCTTCACAGGTAATAACATCATCGTAACAATGATCGCCACACGGGCCTGTTTGTTTGACTTGTAACAATTTCGACTTGGTATATGTGGACGCCGGACAGTTGTCCCACTGGGGACAACGATGCTATACTACAGATATTGCATATCGTACAGTTCTAAGATGGGCCACAAGCGCCAGCTTTTTTTTTGGAGCGAGGGTGTCGTTTAGCCAGGAACCGTGTCGAGAGAGCCCTTCCCAACTGTCGACGGTGCGGCATCCGCACCCTTTTGTTGCCGGAGCTTCTCCTCAAACTTGGCAAACTCCTGCAATGCGATTTCCTCCTCTTGGTCCAGGACCTGGTTGACGCCCTTGACTTCCTCGATCTGACAGTGTGATAAAGATCGTTAGCATATCTTCCTGCAGTCTTATCCCAGCGAGAGGGAGGATATGAGAAACAACTTACATAGTGCATCAGCATGCCCTCGATGCCATTCTTGAGGGTCACGGTGCTCGAGTCGCACGTCCGGCACGCGCCGCGCAACTTGAGCAGGACGTACCCGTCCTCGAAGCCCCGGAACTCGATGTCGCCGCCGTCCTCCTGGATGGCGGGCCGGATGCGCGTCTCCAGCAGCTCCTTGATCATGCCGACCGTCTCGCTGTCGTTCTCGTCGTAGCTCAGGCTGTCGTTCTCTACGCCTTCCTGACCCTGCCCGCCCGCGCCGTCGCCCTTGTTGACCATGACGAGCGGCTGGCCAGCGGTGATGGCCTCGGTGATGAGGCTGAAGATCTCGGGCTTGATGTGCGCCCAGTTGGCGTCCGTGTCCTTGGTCACGGTGATGAAGTCGGCGCCGTAGAACACTGCCGTCACGCCGTCAATGTTCATCAGCGAGGCGGCGAGTGGCGAGGGGTATGGCGGCGCGATGGTGCTTCGCGGGTTCAGATACTCGACGAAGGGGGTCGTGACTTCTTCGGGCAGGACTCTGTGGTTGGGCAGGAACTTGAGGGCGTCGGCGTTTGGTGTCGACTCTGTCTGGATGAAGATGGTCCTCGCGCCACGGCCGGCGAAGGCATTTGTGGCGGGGAAGACGCTGCTCGTCGTTGAGGCGTGGAGCCTCGGCCGGGTAAAGGCGGTGCGAGAGGAGAGCCCGGTTGCTGTATACATCCTCCTCGCAGACTGGCAAGCGACGCTGTGCGCAGCGGCGGGCAATGTTCGCCGTGCTGCAGCCGACAGCAGGCTCGCCGCAGGCCTCGTGATGCGAGTCGCCGGCATGGCCGCCATGACGATGAGGTCAGGCGGGGTTGGTCGTGGTGTTTGCCCCGGGGGATATGTCGCAAGTCGCTCGAGAAGAATACGTTGTGTCGATGCCAGGCGCCTCAAGGCTGATATTGTTCGATGGTGTCAGCGGGATGGACTGGGCGCAAGGGATGGTGGGAAGTCTTGGCCTGCTCGAGAAATGTTTGCTTCGGCGTTGGGAACGGCCGCGAGCTCAGTCTCGGAGCCCGGAGCGGCGGAGGCAACTTGAGAGAGTGCCGGCCTATCGATTGCCTGGGGGGGCGGCTTATCAATCACTGCATTCATTGTGAGGTCACTGGCCCGCAAATCAAAGCGGCAGCATTGCCAATTGGACACTGTGGAAAACAGGGGTTTGCTGGGTAATTCAGCCTCCGAGAGAAATTCTTCAGCAGTGGTGTACGGTCCTGCAGCGTACAGCGACGCATACGTTGCCAACCGAGGGTCGTCCACTGTTGACCCTTTTTGAGGGGCTCGTTCATTCCTGCCTTATTGAGGTACTTTGGACAATACCATGACACTGCTTGGACTGACGAAGCGCAGCTCATAAGTACTTGATGTTGTTCATGACCACCTGCGCACAGCAGAAGACACTGACACTGAAACTGCAACCTGAGAGGCGACTGCGCATGTTGCAACCAGCTTGTCCTGCGCTGCAGCCAACGATGCAACTGTATCCATCCATCAATCCATACATCCTTGGAGCCAGAGTGCCCGACGTGATTATGGCGCCGACCATGCATCTCCGGCTCCCACATAGCGTGCGCTGTTGCTGGCCGACGACCAGGCCTGGCGGGGGCCAGTCCCAATCTTGCGGATATGGCGGTGGAGCAACAACGAAGTCGAGGCCGCACGATGGTCCGTCCGGCTCAAGTGCACTATGAATAGTCAACAAACAAGCTGGCCGACGTCGACGATCCTGGTCGAATTGGCTGATGCAATCGATAATCTGCATGCGCCAGATCCCTTGCTCCCTGCCTCCCAAGCAAAACCCCTGGGCCAGCGATCCTCCACTTGCTCACCTGCGATCTCCGATCCTGGCACCTGTAAAGCGGCCCTGGGCACAGCAACGTCGGAGCTAGCCGGCCCTTTGCCCGCTGCTACATCTACGGAGTCGTCGCTTGACAGATTCCAGGGCAGGAAATGGAAAAAACTCGTGCCTCGGTCGGACTTCCACCATTCTCTCCTTCTGCGCCATCCAGGGAGTCTCGTCATCATTCGCCATACTACTACTCACCGTGCCCCACGACGAAGCTTACGGCTGTGGCAAAAAGTTTTCCTCCGTCGCACGTCCCCTTCGGTCTGCCGCGTGGCGTCTTGTTTAACGAAGCGTCATTCTGTTTGCTGTAGTCATTTTCTATATCTCAAAAACTGCACGCATTCGTCCTTTGCTGGACATCTCCACCAGCAGAGTAACTAGTAGACGAGCAACCCGCCCTCGCCATAAACAGCAGCTCGAGTGGCGGATCTTGGCGGAACGGCTTGTGGTACACGCAAGTGCGCTGGGCACTGTCTTCTCACGACGAGACCAGCCATGGCCTCCGACCCGTGTGTAAATTGTCACGAAGCCGAGGGAAAGTACAAGTGCCCACAATGTACGCAACGCACGTCAGTCACCCACGCGAACCCCAGTCCTATATGTTCTTCGTGCTAATACCCCTACAGATGCTCTGTCGCCTGCTCAAAGAAGCACAAAGAGTCCCATCCACCACAAGAGGCCGGGACCTCGACAGCTATCAAGACGGACGGCAATTCGCCGTCAACAATACAAGGTTCTGAAGCATGTAACACTGCAGATGCCTCAACCTCAAACACGCAGTCGCAAAAGGCAAACGACCTCGCCGACATGCCAGAGTACAAGATGCTCATGACGCGATACCCGCAGCTCCTGAACCTGCTCTCGGGCATCGCTGCGGCCACGGACCCACCCACAACGACGAGCACATCGTCACTGACAGAGACCGCCGCCGGCAATACTGCCCCACGATACACAGGCAAGAAGCAGGAGCCCTGGACGCCGGACATCGGCATCCAGAAGGGCATGGAGGTGCTCAAGTCGGCCAGGCAGGCGCGTGGGACCGACAGCGAGGGCATCCGGGAGTTCATCGAGCTGCACCGTCTATGGCAGGCCAGGCAGCAGGAGGCTGCTGCCAACCAGGCTAGGACTGACCGGGAAGCCGCTGCTGCCGCGCGGAAGAAGCTAGCCGAGGCTGATGCTCAGGCCATCAAAGAGCTGTTGGAGAAAGAGAAGGCGAGTGCGAGGTGACCCGAGATAGTGTTGTTCACCCTATCATACCAAATCTGTAGAATACCCACACTCCGATGCGCACAAGATGCAAGATCAGCATGTCTCATACTCCAAGCATCTCAACACCACGCGGCAACACAGCCTGTCGTAACGGAAGATGATGACGAGGATAGCCCCTGGACAGTCATCAGTGCCAGATCACAATCCAGCACAGCCGTTGGGACCGCAACACCAATTTAGAATACTCGCGGATAATCAATACAAAAATGAACATGACACGACTTGAGGCAGTTGGCTTCTTCGTTCATAAACTTCGTTCTTTTGAAACAGGCCAAGGTGTTTTATCGTCTCGCAAAAGCTGCCTGATATATACATAGATTGTCGTAAGAAGAACGACGAGAATAAAGAAATGAAATAGGGTATCTTAGTGTAGCGTCCTGCCAACTCTTCATACTATGAGGAATATCGCCAGTCACGTTTCTTGATTTTGAATTGCACGACCACTAAGATCATATGGAACCCAGCGGAGGTTCTTGCCTGCTCAGATTTTGATGAGCTGCTGACGCCTGAACTTTGTGAGGAAAGCCAGGGGCGACTTGGGCGACTTCAGGCCCGGTATCGGCAGCGCGCTAGAGCTCGGTGAGAGCTCGCCCTTGGTCGAGATCTTGGGCGGGCGGACCTTGTTCTTGCTCGTGGCACTGGCCGGCTGCAGTGCCGCAGGTTCCGACTTTGCCTCGGCGGGTTTCCTGGTCCACAATGCCTGAAGCAGACTCGATCGCTTCTTCTCCGACTCGTCGGTCTGCGTCCAGTCGATGCGACGGTCGTTGACAATATCGGCAAACTCTGCCGAGGTCACTTTCTCCAGGCGACCTCGTTCAGCTTGACGCTTCTGTGTCGCGACGAACTCTTCGTCCTCGAAGATGTTGTCCATGCCGGCCCCCTTTTTCGTGGGGAAGCCCGTGCCGTGAATCGAGTCTCGGCTGTGGCTGACCGAGCCGAGCGTCAGACTGCCGTCCTGGAACTGGTTCCTCTCGTAGGCGGCGCCGTGGTGCAGTTGCTGGCTCCTCGACCGCTTCAGGTTCCACGTCTTGCCCGTCAGGCTACTCGAATTACACCTAGCCTGTTCTGCCAGCCGTGCGTGCTCCTGCTTCTCAAACGCCTCCCGTGCCAGCGGGTGGATGAGCTGCTTGTTCTGCATGTTCTGCGTCGTCGCCGTGTCCGAAAAGTGTGCGGCAGCGTTACGTGGGGTGTGCTTTGATGGGACACTCGAGCCCATTGACAATGACCGATTAAGCTTGGACGTCGAGTAGGAACGCCGAACCTTGGGCAGTGGCTGGGTCTGTCCTGCGGCGTCGACTGTCGTCGCCCTGGAGCTCGACCGAACGATGGTCTTGGCCGGCTCTATCTCCCCCTCGGCACTACGTAATTGGTCCTGACGGGAATGAGACCGGGCCGTCGGCAACGGCTGTGTTGTGATCTCCAGCGCCGAAGCCGGCCTCGAGGGTTGCTGGCCTCTGGCCGAGGCATAGCGCCTGGGGCGCGCTGGGTTGAGCGAGCCCTGAGTTGTGGACGACGCTGCGACTTCCACTTGCCCGCGCGCCTGCCCCTGGCCCTCGCTCACCGGGGGCGGACGTTGCCGTTGCCGCGCCTTTCGGTGGTTCTGCTCCTCCAGAACGACATTGAGCCGGCGGCGAAGCTCCTCGGCGTCAACACAGATGGACTTTGGCGAGACCTTGAGCTGGCCCTTGTGGCGGCTCTGCTGTGGTCGACCTGTGGGTTTCATGCCTGCGGCAAAGGGCAAGTGACGATACATCTGCGGGTGCTGCTCGAAACGTGTCGAGGGCTTTGCCAGGGCACTCGTTGGCCGCTCAAGCATATTTGAGACTTGGCCCATGGTTGGTGTTATATAGTGTCAGAAGATTGGACCTCGACTTGCTGGCTTGGTCCATGCCCTGTCGTCTTAATCATATGACAATATTGGAAGAGTATAAAATGAAACGTGTGTGTAAAAGGGCGGATCTCTTATAAGACCCCCAAGGGCAGCCCGAACAACGACGGCGAGTTCCAGTAGGAACAGCAGCAGCAGCAGTATATGACGAGTCGCATAGACTGAGCCGTCGAGGGCAACGGGAATGACGCAGCATGAGGGACCAGAGATGCGGCTCGACTGGCTCGCCCGGGATACTTATGAGGGCGGAGGCCATAGGGAAGGGACGGCGGGTGACTGACATCAGGGCCGGGGCCTAGTCGGGGCTAACGGGCGCGAGGGGCCTTGTCGTGGTTAGAGCGAGTCGATGGACTGCAGTAGTCGGGCGGAGTTGGGGGGCTTGTGGCTTGCACCATGTCTCAGACGGTCGCGGACGACAGGCTCGCAACGCTGCAAAGGAGGCGGCTGCTTGCGCTGCAAAGTGGTCACTTGACGAGCACGGCCGGGCACGCGATCACGAGCCGCTGCCTGTCCGCTCTTTCGGGGGCCCCACACGTCAACTAAACGAAAGGTCCTGCGCATCGGCCTTGCGCCGCAACATCAACGTTTTGACATTTCTCAGCCTGGCGCTCGCACCCGGCTCGACATCCAACGGCGCATTCGATATAATGGGTTAATGGCTTCTTTTTTTCTTCTTTTATGTGAGCTGTCAAACACATCAACCGTTTGACTTGTGCGGAGAACCGCCATGCGCTGCTGGCTCCCTCCCCCACAGGCCACAGGACCAACCTAGTGTACCTGAGGTAGTCGTCCACGCTCTCTGTGGGAGCCGCCGCCTTGCATCTCGTTTCTAGCCTCGCTCTTTCACCGCTCCAGTGCAACCCTTGCCATGCCGCCTCCAAAACGAAGCGCCCACTGCCGGATGCGGGCCCGGACCCTGCAGCCACATTGCCCACCGTCATCTCCTCCTCAACGAGCCAGCGTGGACCGGCTTCGGCCTGGGGGAGATGATCCCCACCCGGCGACCAAATTGTCCTCCCGGCTTCACCCCTTAGCCGGATCGTGGAGATTCGGGTGATCGTAGAGATTTGCGTTCCCGAAGCATCTTGGTCAGTCCATGCTTGCAGCCCGCTCAGACCACCGATGCCGCATCCAGCTGCAACCAAACACCTCCGGCCGTCTTTTGCGGGATCGCGATATTATTACCGGCTAGACCTCTGCGGGCTTCCTGTCAGCTGCACCCCGCGTCGTCCCCCTTGCTCAATGCCCCAACCCTCTCTTGGTCATGCCTGCATAATATCGACATGGGTTCCGACAGGGATTCTCTCCTCTCCCGTCCCTGCAGATCAGTCAGGGCCCGTGATCATGTGGCACATCTGGAAGTCTGTTGTGATCCCGCCCAGGAAGATTACCTCCAGGAGACCTCGGGGGAAGTTCTGGACAATGGGAAGTCCTCTTGCTCCCACCCATCCAAGCTCGTCGGATCCATCATCCGCGTAATCCCCGTCTGAGTTTTCCAAGCACAAAGGGGCAAGGGCGAGAGCATGAAAAGAGACATTTGGCCGCCACCAACGCTCGAAGCGGCCCTGTTCCAAAATTTTCCATCCGTCTGCAACTCGGACTTAATTACTAGTGGCGTTGCAACAGCAACCATCCGGCGTCTGGATTGCTGTGTTCTGGAACTTGTCTCAGGCATGCCGGTGGCCGGGCTGGGGATGCGCAAACTGTCTCAAAACGAGTCTGGACTTCAACAGCTAACAACAAGATCTCGGGCAGCGAAGGGACCGAGCCGAGGGCCCCTTTTAAACTGGGTTCCCCGTTGATGGCCGCTGGGGTGTGTCAGCTTGCATTCTTGCAAGCTCTGGTGTAGAGCTCCCCATCGGCGTTGGAGTTCATATTATTTCGGAGATATTAGGCTTCGGCTTCGACCGTGTGTATTCGCGCACGAGTTGCTAGGGTAAGTATTTGGCTTTTTTTATATACGGAACTTGTGGTCGCATCGTTTTGTCGTATTGTTGCCTTCGACGCACACACGCGATGCATCAAGTCTATACTGGTTGTCATAAAGGCATCCGCTTTTAACAAACTCAATCGGATTCTCGATTGGTCTAGTGGTCAGGATACCTGCTTGTCATTAGCTTACCTAAGCGCGCAGGTGGCCGGGGTTCGATTCCCCGATCGAGAGCACAACCAATCCACCAGTGTGAACACTGGCTGTGTCTTTTTCTTTTTTCTCTTTCTTTTTTGGGCGCTTCCCCGCAAACTGTATGCACCAATTCCTGCCAGAAGCCCAAGCCCCTGGAAACAAACGGGCTGCTGTGCGATGATGTGCCCGGTACGCGAAGGTGGTTTCCATTCTAAGGAAGCTGATCTGGTTTCTCTTGGCTGGAAGTTATCGTGTGTAATTCGGGTTGCCAATGCAGATCAATAAGCTCGTCCGGGTGGGGTTCTGCTCAAGCGTGATGCCCCTCATCCCACTTCCCACTTGTTAGATAGCAGGCAGGCAGGCCAGCCAGGACAACAAGACCCTGGACCACGCTTGCGATATCTGTCGTCTCGTGGGTGATTTATGTCAACTGCATGTCCTGGACGCTTTTGTTTCCAACCTGAGATATCCAGACATCCACCTCCATTTTCTCGAAACCGCAGGAGATACGACACACAGACACCACGCATCCGCAAACATGTCGCATACCCACTCTCACGACGGCGTTGGTGGCCACTCTCACGATAACTTCAATGCAGCCGAGCACGGCCATTCGCACGAGATTCTCGATGGGCCGGGCAGCTATCTCAGCCGCGAGATGCCCATTGTTGAAGGGCGAACGTGGGGTGAGCGGGCATTCACAATTGGCATCGGAGGGTAAGTGTGTCACTCACTTGAGCTCATTCTAGCGCAATGCAGCACTTCCTTTTCATGATGGAGGGCCAATGTTACTACAATGTGAGAAATGTGTGACATGGCAAGCTCGAGTTCGTGGCTCCAATCGTGACAGACAGCTATCCCCGAGCTCGTTTCATCTCGAGGCGTCAAGCTTGGAGCTCTGGACTGGTTTTCGAAGCATAGCCGAGCTCCCGAATGTACCATGTCGCACACACATGCACCCATCATAGCAAGGCTTTGCTCATGCCTCTCCCTATTCTTTCTGGATCTCCAAGTTCTTCCGATCGATCTGTGCAACTGCTGACAATCCGGGGTGAATCACCCCTACAAACAGACCTGTCGGCTCCGGCAAGACGGCGCTGATGCTGCAGCTGTGCCTTGCCCTGCGGGAGAAGTACTCGATCGCGGCCGTCACCAACGACATCTTTACGCGCGAGGACGCCGAGTTCCTGACGCGCAACAAGGCCCTGCCCGCGCCGCGCATCCGGGCCATCGAGACGGGCGGCTGCCCGCACGCCGCCGTCCGCGAGGACATCTCGGCCAACCTCGCCGCCCTCGAGGACCTGCACGCCGAGTTCGACACGGACCTGCTCGTCATCGAGTCCGGCGGCGACAACCTCGCGGCCAACTACTCGCGCGAGCTGGCCGACTTCATCATCTACGTCATCGACGTCAGCGGCGGCGACAAGATCCCCCGCAAGGGAGGGCCCGGCATCACCCAGAGCGACCTGCTCATCGTCAACAAGACGGACCTGGCCGAGGCGGTCGGCGCGGATCTCGGCGTCATGGAGAGGGATGCCAGGAAGATGCGCGAGGGCGGCCCCACGGTGTTCGCCCAGGTCAAGAAGGGTGTCGGTGTTGATCACATTGTCAACCTAATCATTAGCGCGTGGAAGGCCTGCGGTGCCGAGGAGGAGAGGAAGACCAAGGGCGGGCCACGGCCAACTGCTGGCTTGGAGACTCTTGCGTAGCTTGAGCCACGAGTTGCAGAGATAAAACGAAAATCGCGTATTGAGGATCAATCGATTTCCATGTACGAGATTGAAATATGGAATCATGAAAAAGTCAATGGAGAGAAGGATCTCGCGCAGTTTCGTGAAGAACACCCTTAAGCTTGAACAGATGTTCGCTCAGTCTATAATTTTGTGGTCATGATACGTAAAAGTTTCCCAGGATATAGCAAATGAAGTGGTATACCCAGCCCGATATTGACAAAGGAGAAGAAAAACAAACACCCTCGGACCGCCTGTCCCATCTACTGGATATCATCCATAGCCTCGTCCTGGGCTCCACCTGCATTGGAAATGGCGCTTGGCTCCAACAACGGTCCTGAGAATGGCCGAGCATCCCTTGGCCAGACTCGCTTGTACAGGCTGACGCCAACACTGTCTTGCGGGTTGATTCTGCCATCGAAGTTGGCCTTGAAGTAGCCGTGCGTACCGAGAGCCTCCTTGACGTAGCCGCTTCTGCCGCGGCGGGTCCAAAGAGGCAATGCCTTGTACCATTCCACATCCTCGCGGTTGAAGAACATGTACCGGATGGTAACGACCTTTTTGTGGATGTGGTAAGGGTGGCCAGTGAGGATCACACGCTTGGCGATGACGCGGTTTGTCGAAGGGGCGCGGGCAGTGCCTGTTGCAACGAGCTGCAGGGGGAGGTCAGAGCCCTCCTCGCCCTCCGCCGGAGCAACTCTCTTGTAGAAGAGAGCGGGTACAGCGCCCCAAGTCAGAGGACCCATGAAAGAGGCAATCGCAGACTGGCCAGGGTGCAAGAACCGGCAGTACTTGTGGACATCGTTCTCTGTGTTGCCGCTGAGGGAGAACAGCGGGTTGATGACGAACCGGCGTGGTCCGCATTGCACAATTAACTCCTCCTTGGCCTTGATAGACTTCTCGTAGTCCTCCTTATGAGTGATGTCAAAGTTGAGCGCGGCCTTCTTGTTCTCATGCCTGAGCAGCGAGAACAGAGTGACTGGCCGCGAGGCGATATACGACTGTTGAACGCTCGAGGGAACAGCCCGGACGTGAACGTGTACGCGGGTGCCTGGAGCGATACCTCCAATGAGAGCCTCCTTGGTGGCGTGATTCCTTGACGACACATAATTGGAGACTTGCAGAAGTCTTGTCCAGTCCTCAGGCTGGTGTGGGCGATCCTCCTCCTGGTTCCATGGACTCGTGCGAAGGCTCTTGAGACCTCTGTACTTGGCTAACCGCTCCCGGGCTAGAACGTTCGGGTGCAACTCGATCTCATCAGGGAACTCCTTGTCATCCTCGGCCTCGTCCCGCTTTCGTGATCGGTAGGCAGCCAGGCCTTGGGCGTCGTCCTCCTCGTTGGGCTCAATGAAAGCTTCCGACTGGGGATACTCGGACATTGCAGCTTCCGTGGGTTCCGCACCAGCCATACCCTCCATACCATCTTCTGGGGCGGCGGCTGGCTCCTCAGCAGCGTCCTCCATGTCGTCGTCTCCCATATCAGACTCCGAATCCTCAGCATCGTCGAGATACCATGCTGACTGGTAGTTTGACGTTCCTTTAGGCAGTTTCTTGGGCTTCGTGTATGCTTCAGGTTCGTCCTCAGAGAAGTAGTGATGATCATCCAGCAAAACACCCTTCTTGGTTGATGGGTCAACCATTTGCTCTGTTGTGTCCTCCATGGAAACCTCCTCAGGTGCCAGCTCCGCAAGATCGTCCTGATCCTCAGTCGGCGAGTCCAGAGTGCTATCGGCCTCAGTCTCGTCCACAGCCATGCCGTCCTCCTTCTTGTTCTTCTTGGACGGCGTCAAAGGAGCAGCCGTGATCTTCTCAATCTGGAACGTTCCCCAGTCGCCAATGTGCACAAGCCTGTCTGCTTTCAGACCCTTGCCACGAACGACACCAGTAAGAATTGTGGATTCTCCCTCATTGGCTGGCCACTGGACCTCGTCGACCAGCATCCACGATCGCTGGTCGCGCCAATGTATGCCTTTAGGGGTAGTACTGCATAATGAGCGCATCAAGTTCGAGCACTCTTGCCTTGAGTCGAGGCTGTAAATCTTGTCCTGCCCAGGGTGGAAATGGGTCATGAAAGAAGCCAAGGACTTGACGACATCAGGCCTGGCCTTGGCCGGCTGGATCTTGTCGAGATTCTGCACGACCGTGAAACAGGTGGAGATGCCCTGGTTTTCGACACTCCGAATAATGAGCTCGCCCAAGGAATCGACTTCCTCAGAAGAAGAAAGCATGAAGACGACGAAATCGGCAACTCTGGTGGCATCAAGACAGGCAGTCAAGTCTTTTTCCACTGGGAGATATTGGAGCTTCTGCTTGAAGCGGTCGACATTTACGCGGAGGTTCGTGTTTGTGACCTCTGCTTCTATATCGAGACTGGCGTTGAGGCTGCGAATGGCAGCAGGAACATCAGCGTCGTTGCAAAGCGGTACGACCGCCACGATTCTGGGCGCTCCATCACGCCCGGCAAAGACGGAGGCCTCCTTGAGGTGCTCTTTGTGCTTGAGTAGCTGGCGTTGCTTTGCTTGGTTCCGGCGATCGAACTTCGACATGACTTGCTGGTGGGGTGTTTTCCGTAGGCCTCGCTCGGTAGGGACTTTGCCTGCAAGTATGGAGCATTGTGTAAGTCTCTTGTTTCGAAAGTACAATAATTCTGAGCGATACAAGACCACACTAAACCAAAAAGAAAGAGTGGATTCAAGGGACATACCTTTGGCTTGATCGCGAAGAGCACCCTTGGTGGATTTGCGAGACTTGAAAGACTTGGCCGAAATCTTGGTGGTCGGCCGGTGAGAGTGGCTGACTGCGGAAGGCATCTTGCCTTCGCCACCTGCTTTGAAGCGGTACGGAAGTGACGCCAGGTTGCAGGTTTTTGCAGGAAAATAACTGTAAGTCTGATCGCAAGGGCCGATCAATCTTTACCTCATAAGAAGGTCGTGGCAGGTATACAAGCCGAAAATTTGGGGTCGTTGCGTAGAAGGAAGAGCCCAAACATGGAGGGGCAGGGCGAAATTCTTATCGATTTTGGTGGCCCTGCGCTGCACGAGTGTGGGCGGCGAAGGCGGCAGGCGGGCACCGGACCGGATTGTATCCAGAGCGCTGGGGTCCGTCTTCAACTTTTTCAGTGGGTCCACTGCCTATCGCTCTTATCGGTCTGAAATATTTCCTAGGCGCAGTCGCCGATCCCCGTGCTGAGCATGGGCATGCTGGTATTTCGGAGCAAGATCAAACTTCCTTCGCGACATTCCACCAAGCTACTTCGAGCATCTTCCGCGCAGGGAGACACGTTCATTCTCTGGTAGTTGTCGGCTCTTCACCACTTCGAGACAAAACCCGCGAAACAGGGCTCTCGTAGCTCAGCAATGGAGGTCGATCTTGCCGAACCGAACGTCCGAAAAACCCAGAGTTTCAAAGTGCCCGAGGATCACGACAATGGAGCCCTAGTCATCAAGCGTGCCCGCACCGAGCTGGTGCCGAAAGAGGAACGCGAAAGACGGCGCCGTCTCAAGGAGGCACACCGAGATTATGGCCGTGGCGGCAGGATAGACACAAAGAGCATCAAGGACAAGAAGTTGCGCCGCAATCTCAAGGCCGTCGAGTCGAAGGCTAAAGAGGCCGTCATCAAGGCGAAAGAGGCAGAGATCTTGTTGGAGCACACCGATGGCTTCTTGGAGCCTGAGACGGAGCTCGAGCGCACCTACAAGGTACGGCAAGAGGATATTTTGGACGGTGTCTCCGAAGTCACAGCCAAGAAGCGCTTCGATTTAAAGCTGGATCAGTTGGGCCCCTACGTATTCGAATACTCTCGCAATGGGCGGGACCTGCTGCTCGGCGGCCGCAAAGGCCACATAGCTACCATGGACTGGCGTGAAGGCAAACTTGGTTGCGAAGTCCAGCTCGGCGAGACAGTGAGGGATGTCACATGGCTGCACAACAACCAGTTCTTCGCAGTCGCCCAGAAGAAGAATGTTTACATTTACGACTCGCATGGCGTGGAGGTGCACAATTTGCGTCAGCACCGGGAGGTCACACACATGTCCTTCTTACCGTACCACTTCTTGCTCGCTACTCTGGTAAGTCCTGTGCATAAAGGAAAATATGCTTTGCAGCTACTGACGGGGACTCGCAGGGCACATCTGGCTTCCTCAAATACCAAGACACATCGACCGGTCAGCTCGTGGCCGAGATCCCCACCAAGCTTGGTTCTCCTGTTTCGCTAGGACAGAACCCTTACAACGGTATCATGCACGTCGGCCACCAGAATGGCACTGTGACCTTGTGGTCTCCAAACAGCACCGATCCCCTTGTCAAGCTGTTAGCACACAAGGGTCCAGTACGATCTCTGGCGATAGACAGAGAAGGACGGTATATGGTTTCCGGAGGTCAGGACAACAAGATGGCGGTCTGGGACATTCGTATGTTCAAGCAAGTCCACAGCTATTTCACAAGGCAACCGGCTTCTTCCATTGCCATTTCAGATCGGGGTCTTACGGCTGTCGGATGGGGCACCAAAACGACGATATGGAAGGGACTCTTCGACAAGCACAAGGCCGAGCAAGAAAAGGTGCAAAGCCCTTATATGGCATGGGGCGGCGAAGGCAAGCGGATAGAGAGAGTGAGGTGGTGTCCCTTTGAGGATGTGCTCGGGCTTGGAACTGACGAGGGATTCTCCTCCATCATTGTGCCTGGCGCGGGCGAGGCCAACTTTGATGCTCTCGAGGTGAACCCCTTCGAGACTGCAAAGCAGAGACGGGAGAAGGAAGTCAAGTCGCTGCTGAACAAGCTTCCTGCCGAGATGATTGCGCTGGATCCCAACTTCATCGGAAACATCGACTTGCGATCGGAGAAGCAGCGACAAGAAGAGAGAGACCTCGATGCAAAGCCTGTCGATGTGGAGGAAGAAATCCGGAAGCGTGCCCGTGGCAAGAACACGTCGTTCAAGAACTACATGCGAAAGCAGCGGTCGAAAAACATTATCGACGAGAAGAGACTCAAGGTCGACGAAATCTGGAAGGAGCACATGCAGAAGAAGGACGAGAAGCACAAGGAGAAGCAGGCCGAGCTCGGCCCAGCGCTTTCTCGCTTCGCGCGGAAGGAGTAGGCACAAGTAATGGTCGTGCCGAAGTAGAGAACATATCACGATACCCAGACCTAAATGCCGTGTGTGGACCATCGTCTACATGAAACCCCACCTCTTGTGACCTTCAAGGGCAGTCGATGTACGAGTACCAAACTGAGGCGACGGTCGTAGGCCTTGTCAGCATGCAGCCTGTGAAATCGGTCATATGGTCAGGGGTAGCTTAAGGCTGGCGGTATTCATGTGACAGCCTTTTCCCAACATGTGGAGGCTCCGCCGATGGGACAGAGCCCAACTGATTCCTTTGTGGCCGTATGTTGTCCGTGGTGGATGGCTGTTGGGAACGAGTGGTCACAGCTGAGATTGAATCGTGTCTGAGCATCTCGGATCTCCTCACCGGGAGCCGCAGGAACTCGTCATGTCGACATGTTCCAACGACTACTCCACAGCGCATGCGAAATGACGGTGCACATTCACAAGCATGGGCCAGCTGCAAGTGGGGGGTCCTGATGCCTTGCAGGGTCGTCAGAATCTTGGAAGCGATGATGCTTGAATTGCCTGGCCTGCTGATCCAGAGGGTGTGACCTCAGTGGCAGCCACCCACCACTTTTGGGGGGGGGGGTCCCGCCGAGTCCTCTTGGGGCCAGGAGACTCCCCAGCGACACCTGGGCAGCCTGGCGCCTGCAGGCCGAAGGGGACACGACACTCTAGCATAATTCCGTGCTTACTTAATCGCCAGGCGATAACCTCAACCTGCCTCCCAAGCTCTCTTGACTCCTTTATGCAGCTGCACCACGTTTGCGACTCTGCGCGGTGATTCGATCTACTGCTAAAGTCGGATGTCTGCCACATTGCAGTTCGACCAAATAATTGCGCCCCTTTCGTGCCCGCCTGTCTCATCCGGGAACCAACAAGCATACGCCAGCGCCGCATCTCCAACCCCGCCACCGCCCGGCGCTCAGCATCATGAACGGCCACTTTGCCGCCGTCGGTGATACGCCGACTGCGGCGCAATACGGACATGGCGTCCAAGTCATTGACGAGGACAAAGAGTTCAAGTCAGTCATTGCCCCCCTATCACGCCGCCGTACCCTACGGAAGCTTCCCGGCGGCAGAACCCACTGACGTCTTGACAGTGCTGGGATCAACCAGTACCTCCAATCCACCGATGTCGCCGACGCGGGCTTCAATTACCACCTCATCTCGGTGTTCGGCTCTCAGTCGACAGGCAAATCGACTCTGCTGAACAACCTCTTCGGCACCGACTTCAATGTCATGTCCGAGTCGGAACGCCGGCAGACGACTAAGGGAATATGGATGTCCAAGAACAAGCGCGGGTCGATGGCCGACAACATCCTCGTGATGGATGTCGAGGGAACGGACGGTCGAGAACGTGGCGAGGATCAAGACTTCGAGCGCAAGAGTGCCCTGTTCGCGCTGGCCACGAGCGAGGTGCTCATTGTCAACATCTGGGAGCACCAGGTTGGTCTCTACCAGGGAGCCAACATGGGGCTCCTCAAGACTGTCTTTGAAGTCAACCTGCAGCTGTTCCAGAAGGATAAACAGTAAGCCCCCACAACCAGCCAGCCCATCCCTCCCTTCCTCGACACCCTCGTCCGCGCCGTGCTTGTACTGATATTATTCAGATCGACACCGAGGTCTTTACTATTCTTCGTGATTCGAGATCACATTGGGCACACGCCACTCGCGAATCTCCGCAACACACTCATCCAGGATCTCACAAAGATCTGGTCTTCTATTGCCAAGCCCGAAGGTTTCGAGAAGTCGAAGATCGAGGACTACTTTGACTTCGCCTTTTCTGCTCTCCCGCACAAGATTCTGCAGCCGGAGAAGTTCGTCACAGAGGTTGCAAACCTGGGCAAGCGTTTCGTTGCTGGTAGCCGGAGCGCCAAGGGCCACAGCGAACACGGTGAACAGGAGCTGGAGGGTGGTGTTTTCTTGCCCGAGTACCACCGACGCATTCCGGCTGATGGTTTCTCGATATACGCCGAGGGAGTCTGGGACCAGATCGTTGCCAACAAGGATCTTGATCTGCCGACTCAACAGGAGCTCCTCGCGCAGTTCCGCTGCGATGAGATTTCTCGTGAAGTCCTCATTAACTTCGATGCTGCGATCGTGCCACTTGAAGAACAGCAAGCTGAGGCGACTCGTGCTGGCAAGCCAGTCGTCATTGCTGACCTGGGCACCACGGGCCGAACCGCGCGTGAGAAGGTCGTCAAACAATTTGAGGTGCAGGCCAGCAGGTACCACAAGGCCGTCTACACGCGCAAGAGGGCCGACTTGGAAGGCAAGGTTGATCAACGTCTCAAGAGCTTGTACCAAGCTCAGTTGTCTGCTGCCCACAAGACAGGCGTCTCCAAGTTTACCGAGTCCGTCTCTGGCGCTGTCAAGACTGGCCAGAAGTCGGGTGGCTCTTATGAGTTTGCCGAGATCGTTGAGAAGGCCAAGACGAAGGCTGCTCAGCAGTTCAAGGAGGAGGCCCAGAGCCTCGAGATTGCCGGCGTCTCTTGGACAAACTTTCAATCCCAGCATGCTCTTTTCGAGAAGGACCTGGACGAAGTTAGTGCCCGCTTGCGCAAGGAAGAAATGAGGCGATTGGCTACGCGCGTAGAGCGCTGGGTCAAGTCACGCCTCGGCGATGCAGTTGGTCTCGAGTTCAACAAGCTCGGATCTGGTCGTGGCGGCTCCGGAGCCCCCGAGCTGGACGAGAAGCCGCAGACGGAGAAGGATCTCTGGGATCGCATCTGGAACTGCTTCATCGTCATTGTCAAGGAGGCTGAGACGAGATTTTCAGACCGCGCGCAGAGCTTTAACGCCAGTCCGGAGGAGGTGAATGTCGGGCTGTGGAGACTTCGTCGCAAGAGCTGGGTCGCCCTGCGGGAGAGGGTCGATGAAGAGGTCATGGAGGGCAACATTCTGCTCAAACTGCGGGAAAACTTTGAGGACAAGTTCCGCTATGACGAGGCTGGCGTGCCCCGTATCTGGCGGCCGACGGACGACATTGAGGGTATCTATACTCGCGCTCGCGAGTCGACACTGACTTTGATTCCTCTGCTATCGAGGTTCCGCCTTGCCGAAACGTATGCTCCTCCCGATCTTCCAGCTTTCATCGGTCACCAGCCTCCTGGTGTTGAGGCTGAGGATGAAGACGACCTGACGCCTATCGGCGGCGTTGACGAGGAGGATGGAAAGAGCCTGGAAGAGGAGATGACGGTGCTCAGCGAGGGCAAGCGTCAGGACCTAGTTGTCCGGTTCAAGAAGACCGCCGATGGTGTCTACGTCGAGGCTAAGCGTAGCGCGATTGGCGGTGTGGCACAAGTGCCGCTATACTTCTACGGTCTGCTGCTAGCTCTCGGATGGAACGAGTTTGTGACCGGTATGTTTGCTTCTTTTTGCAACTTCTGCAGCGTAACCTGTACTGACAAGCCACCTAGTTCTTCGAAACCCTTTGCTTTTCCTGATGCTGATCATCCTTGCCGGCGGCACTTATATCGCGTATAACCTGAATTTGCTTGGCCCCATGATGCAGATGACCAACGCTGCCTGGGGGCAGGGACTCGAGATTGGCAAGCAGAAGCTGCGCGAATTCATTGAGAACAACGAGACTGCGCGCGCAGCCATCGCCATGCCCGCCCGGGACAGCGACTCGATCAGCCTTGACACGCTCGACAGTCGTGGCCAGCGGGCGCGGACCTCGAGCCAGCCTGCCGGAGACAACGATGACGACTTCTAATGAGAACGCATGAGTCAGGACTGGACGACGACATGACGAGCTTGGCACCAAGCGAAAGCACCCATAGGATATAGTATAGCAAAGTAAATTTACAATGAGAATGTGTCATTTGTGCACGAAATAACTCCCGAACGCCATACGCTGCCCATGATGATGCTGAGGAATAGAAACACACAAGAATATTGCAGACAGGTTGTCAGAATGCTTCTAGTCCCGCTGGAGAGCCAAACCAATTGCCCAGCTCATCAGTGTTGTCATCACCGTCGCGGCCAGCAAAGTAGTCCGTTAGTCGAGTCGTGCTCTCGTCCTCGTCTTGCGGCCACTCAACTTTGACACCACTCTTGGTCTCCATCATGTCCTTTGCCGTACCCCAGCTGAATCTGCACTCTGGGCCCCAGCCAAAAACAGGGTGCATGTTGCTCTTCAGCCAGCCCACACAGCGGGCGTCAGAAGGGTAACCGGATCCCCACGCCATGCCTTCCGCCGCCGCAGCAGCAGCAGGCCCTCCTTCCTCTCCGCCACCAGCGACAGGCCTCCGCGCCTCATACAGCACCTCGAGGGCCGCGTCACGGGAGACCTTGGCGCACACACTGGCGGCGCTGACACAGGGGTACAAGCTGTCGGCCTTCTTGGCGACCGTGATCTTGAGGGTCGGGAAGATGCGCTCGAGCTTGGCCTGGTAGACGTGGGGCAGGCCGATGGTGTCGACGTAGACCTCGCGGACGTTGACGCCGCGGTCGAGCACGCCCTGGATGAGCGACACGGTGGCGTCCATGGCCTGCGCGTTGAGGTTGTAGATGGCCGCGGGGCGCAGCATGTTGGCGCCAATGTCGCGCGCCGAGAGCGAGGCGGTCGCCCAGCCGCACGAGGTGTGCAGGTCCGACCCGGGCTCGCAGAGCGTGCGCATCAGGGCGGAGCGGACGGCCGGCTGGAGCACCTTGCTGTCGTCGAAGTGGTGTATCTCCTTGAGCAGGGAGTCGCTGAGCGTGAGGGGCAGGTAGAAGACGCCGTAGACCATGGGGCCGAGGACGGGGCCACGGCCGGCCTCATCGACTCCGAGGCAGCATGGCTCGCCTGCTGTTGTGTCTGTAGATGTGGCCGTGGTTGGCGGCAGGAGCGAGGGAGGGACGGGCGAGAAGTGGCTGTAGGATTCGCCGGCGAGCGTCTCTGTGTGCCAGACCGAGGGCGGTATGTAGGTATCCATGGTGGAATGTCGTCCTGGAGAAGTGAAGAGGCGTGAAGGAGTGTCTGGAAATTATTGTCTGGGAACGGACGGTCGATCTCGCTTGGGACTCGGTGCCGAAAAGTGACGATGAGAATTACACAGGCGCAAAGTCCACTGGCATTGCTGGAAAACAGTCAAGAAGAGTTGCAGGCATGCATGTTGCGTAATACTTCACAAGGGCGTTACAGAGCGCAGAGGGGTTCCTGGATGGCTTGACGCGCTTGGGTGTTCGGACAGGCGCGTCGAAGATGAAAAGTAGCGCAGGGGTTGAGAAGGTGTTGTGACTGATACAATGCTACTTGTACCATAGGCGCGCTTCAAAGCAGGAAAAGCCCAGGGTCGCCAAGTACCACACTAGCTGGAGCAACTGCCAGGGAGATCAGTGGCTACTCGGTGGGGCTCCGAGGCAAGCTGGCTCGGCCTCAAAGGCAGGCCGGGCGGCGGAGCTTGGCCGGGAGCGCAGCTCGCCCCAGGCAGTAAACAAATGCACCGGGCGGGAACCCACCTGCACCGCATCGTGCTCCGTCAACGCGTTTCCCACGGCACGAGCAGCCACCCACCCTCGCCCACGCCCACCCTCGGCCTTCCCCGTGACGAGCCTCCTGGCGCTGTGTGCCGCCTCCCGCGACTGATGCGACAACATTCACGATAACTTCTCGCCCTCCCGACTCCATCCGTCGATTGCGCGCACACGCCCTCTTGACACAGCTATGCCGCCAAAGGCCGCCCCCGGGCGGCGTGCCCCCCAGGCGCAACCAGAACAAATATACGCGCTCGGCCAGGCTGGCAGGTTCGTGCCATCTCCGCCACTACTGGCCTCCTCCTGTAGATCTTGTCTTGTAAATGTATGCTGACGGACATGCATGGGGCAGGAAAACGGGTATCGTATTGCAGGACACAGGCGAGCGCGACGAGCATGGCTTCGAAAATCCAAACATTTTTTCCTCGCCTGAGAAGGGCGGTGCGTCCCCCGAGGAGGACGAGGACGATTCGGGGCAAGAAATGGAGTTAGACGATGGTATGCCTCGCGACAGGTCGCGCTCTGTTGCACGGTGTCAACCAAGCTAACTTTGGCGTAGAGGACGAACCCGGACCAGCGACTATACGGAGAGGTGCTCAGCATCGACCGTCCCTACCTCGTGCGCGATCGCCCTTGAAGACAAACCTTCTCTCGCCTGCAAAACACAACCCGCAGCTAAACCCTTCTTCCTCACCGACTCGCGGTGACATCTACCACATGCCGCTGGCCAAACCTCACGAAACCGTCAATCGCGTTCTGAACTTTGGCACGAGCAAAAACTCAAGGGTCTCACCAGCGCCTAGGCCAAAGGTGAACGGCTCCGGCTCGCAAGAATCACCATTCAAGCGGCCGGCATTGAAGCCCGGGGCCGTGCTAAACGGCAGGACACTGACAGATGACGAAGATGAGAGCGAACCTGAGCAGGACGAACAGCCCGCCGATGCCCCCCTCGCTGACGACGATGACGACGTTGATCTCGGCACATACATTCACGACGACGACCCAGTGGACGTTGACGACGACGAGGAGCCGGAAGATGCGCCTGAAGAAGACGAACCAGAGGACGAGCCCGAGGAAGAGCCAGAAGAAGAGCTACCGTCACCGGTAGCAGCCGTTAGCAAAGCTCGCAAGCCAAGCACCAAACCACAAAGGCTAGTGGAACGCGAAACGACACCTGTCAGAGAAGAGGTCCCTCCTCCCAGGCCGCGCGGGCGACCTCCAAAAGCAAGCAAACAAGCTGCGTCGCCGAAACGAAGTCGAAAGGACCAAGCTGCCGCGGAAGAGGACGATGCATCGGACGCGGAGGCACCCGCCGCAAAGCGCGCAAAGACCAAGCCAGATCAAAAGGCTCCGAAGGGCAAACCTGGTCGCAAACGCAAGTCATCTGGTGTCGGCGTCGAGTCTCCTGCCGTACAACGAGGGCCACCCTTGCCGAAGGCACGTGGCCTTGTGAGCATCAGGCGCGAGGGCCCAAATTCAATGTTGACAACACGCTCGGGACGGCACTCGTTCAAGCCACTCAACTGGTGGCAGGGCGATCAGCGAGAATTGGAGATTGAGGAGTACACCGATGAAAAGGGGCAGAAATTTGTACTCAATTCGACTAAGGGCGTTGTCCGTTATGAGAACGAAGATGCTTCGGAACAGTCGTCACGGCGCAGAGGTGGTCGGACCGGCCGGGGTGGCAAGACTGTTTCGCGACGCAGCGAGCCTGCCGTAGAGCGTGAACCGTGGGAGACGAATACTGGGCGCATCGTGGGTGAGTGCATGTATTGGTATCCAGAATACGAGCATGCGCCGCCACATGATGAGGACCCTGTTGAGGTTGTCGAGGAAGAGCTGGCCATTTCTGAGCCCGCAATCCAGCTGAAGGACATCAAGGATGCCACCTTCAAGTTCGCCAAGACGCTCACATTGCCGTTCTTCGGGTCTGGTATAGTAGACCTGCCGCCGGGCTCGGAAAAGAGGTCAAAAAACTCGCGCAAGATGCAAATGGTCTTCTTCGTCCACAAAGGAGTAGTCGATGTCGTGATAGCGACAAACACTTTCCGCATCAGCGAAGGAGGCCAGTTCTTTGTGCCGAGAGGTAAGTGAAACGCGCGGCGAAGCTAGTCCTCCCTATCGGGCAACGAGCTAACAAGCCTGTCAGGAAATTACTACAGCATGGCGAACAACGGCGATGTCAGGGCGCGGATCTTCTTTGCGCAAGGCTGCGAGCTGCAGGTTGCGCCTGAAGATCACGAACTCGAGGGCGAAAGCACAATTATGTATAAGGGGTGATGACCCCTCACATGCTGGCATTACCTGTTGTCGAGTCACGATTACGCAGCGGAAGCGACGGTCATTCATGTTTGGAGGCGTTTTTCACGATCATGCTCAAAGATACCAATATAAGTTCGTCTTTTGCGGGTGGCTTCATGCTAATTGTCCGTTGTCTCGGCGCGAAGTGTGTTCGTAATGAAGCTCCAATGCTTCCATGTGATGTGGGAAAACGATTTTGCTCCTCTGCCGCTCCTTTGCCAATGTTTGTGCTCCTGACAAAACGTCGATGCCTTTTCCGTATGGCCAATGGCCTGTCCCGTTCGAAATTACATCCCTCGAAAAGGTGCCCGCTTGGTAGTGTGCCGCTCAAATACGAGCCTCAAAATGGCTCAATCGAAGCTCTAAGCTCCAGTGAACCTACCTTTACCTACCCCACCCTGCTGCAGCTCCCCTGCCTGCCTCCCTCGTGATTGACGCGCGGGGCAGTCCAACTGCTCTACTGCTCTTACTGCTTGGACAGCTCCGTTGATATCTGCGACAAGCTTGTCAATAGTCCAAATACCTATTTTCGACCAAACTTTTTTTTTCTTTGCTTTTTTTCCTTCACTTCCACCTCTCAAATCGTCAACTGAATCACTCCCAAGAGATACAAGATGCTGGTCAAAGAGAGCCATGCGGACGTGCAGATCACGGTGGACGGCAAGGAGACCCCTATGAGTAGGTTTTTGCCATTGTCCGTCACATCCCCTACGACGGCTTATGCACGGGAGCTATGGAATCCCACAGATGGGATTTTGTTTGACAGGGTCGTCCGCTTTCGTGTCTGATGGTTGAGATGGGCTAACTAACTGCCGTGCTAATCGACCCGTACTAATTTAGGGATCTTTGTGTTTCACCCGACCATACCACAATATCCTTCGGCGTAAGTCGGACTCAGCTTTCAGTGGTGTCTGCTGAATGGATTGTGTCGCACTTGAGACTGACTGTTTCTTGTAGGCGGTTCCCTGGCGTTGTTCTATTTAGTGAAATCTATCAAGGTCAGTATTCGTCCAATTATCCAAAGATATGAAGCATTTCGGCTTCGTCTTGATAAGATTTCCAAACTAATACCGTCGTGCAAACCAGTGACCGGTCCCGTCGCTAGATTCGCCCGTCAGATCGCCGGCCAGGGCTACATTGTGGCTGCCCCGTCCTCGTATCATGACTTCACTGGCCCCGAAGCTCTGGCATATGATGTTCCCGGCACAGACCAGGGTAATGAGTGGAAGGTCAAGAAGGTCAGTCTCGAGCGCATCCTGCAGACACACTCCAAAATATCACAATCAGTGTGGTATGCTAACCTGGGAACGGTCTGGACAGACGCTGCCGTCTTACGATGCGGATGGCTTCAAGACAGTCGACTACCTCCTCAGCCTGCCGACTTGTACTGGCCTCATTGGAGCGACGGGCATGTGCCTGGGCGGCCATCTCGCGCTGCGCGCCAGTGTGAGTTGAATCCGCATCTACACTAGCCACAAATCACGCATTGAGCGTAAGTGGTCTGTCATTCTGACCAAACACACAGCTCGATCCCCGCATCTCCGCGTGCGTGGCATATTTTGCTACGGACGTGCACAGCCGCACGCTCGGCCCGCACGATGCAGCAAACACCTCGGCAGAGGGCCCTGCGCAGAGTAACCACACGATAGACAAGCTGCGTGAGCTCAAGGGCGAGGTGGCCATGATCTTTGGCATCAAGGACACGCACGTCCCCGACGCCGGGCGGGATCTCATCCGGGCCAAGCTCCGTGATGCCGGAGTTGTGTTCAGCTTCTACGAGTTTGCTTGGGCCCAGCATGCGTTCATTCGGGATGAGCTAAGCAAAGGCCGGTATGATCCTGCCATCACAAAGGTGTGCTTTGAGGTTCTTCTGGAACTGTTTGGTAGGAAGCTCAAGACAGACCTCGGGCCGCGCGATGGGAAGCCCGAGAAGGTTGAGCATGTCTGCTAAGCGTATGGGAAGAGGATATTTAAGAGCAAGACGGGTGCAAGACTGGATACGACATTCGCATATCCAGGAGCTATGGTGAGCTCGCTGGGGCTTGAAAGGAACTTCCCCGCACTGCAGATATTGCACACCAATTGTATCATCCTGACGAGAGCATATGAACGAACCACTTTGTGCCTTTTCATCTGGACGACGTCAGCCCGCGTAGTGATTTTCACAGGTGTTGACACCAAAAGCACAGCCATTCGGGTCGAGTCGTCCGAGTTGAGAGTCACATTGAGTCACGGAGCTGTGATTATTATCACCTGCAGGCGTGGAGAAAGCGGGTGGGTCCGAGACATATTTTGGGGAAAGCTCCAAATGCAGCTGATGAGCGTGCGATCTTGTTACCTGAGAGCTTGAAGCAAAGGCAGTGTGGTTCTGGCCACGAGCCATAGAAGCACTTGCTGGCTTCGAGCAGAATATACTCAATTGTAGTTGTGGCCCATGCATGGATTGACAGCTGTTCGAAGAGCAAGTGCTAACAGCGCTTCCGCCAGGCAAGCCTCAGGCGTGTCAGCCAGGGCAGGGTTCAAGTAGCCCGACAGCGAAAGTATCGTCCAGGATTATATCGCGATAAGCCTCTGCACAGCTGAGTTTCGTGCCGTGTGTAACCACAAACTGTGGCCAATTGATGCAAGCGATGGCAAATTCGTCGGACTGCCCGGAGTTTCCGATGCCATCAGTTGCGCCTGTCGCTCATGCGTGTTGTCATTGCCACTTCCGCAGGACGAAAAGGTCCAGATGGCGCCGGCTATGTGAAGCAGATCTCTAACGCTGGGGCAAAAAAAAGAAAAGTGCCGTATGCTGCAGAAGAGATGAACCTGGAGGGCTGAAGGCCGGACCCAGGAAGTGTGCGGTGGCAGCCCAATGATGGCATGGATAATGGGTTGCCCCTCGAAAACTTTTCTGGGCCGGGCGCCCACAGTAACGAAGCGGTGATGTCAACCGGGTCCCCCGCCTTCCACGACCCCACCATGGAAGTGCCTGGAGAGTCAGTGCGTGCTGCGACTCATCGTGATTCCAGCCCCACAGGAGCCTCATCGAGCTACTGCGAGAACCATCGCGGTGATGCCGTGGGGTGCAAAGCAGGGAGGACGAGCTCAAGATCCAGGGGTGGACGGGGGCATCTGCCCATTATCAATCAATTGCGGAAATGCGCTGGGAGAGGCGAGGCTGAATTGTTGCCCGAGTTTGTGCCTGAGGCCATTGCGGGCACCCGCGGGGCACTGCGCGAACCCAATAGAAAGGGCAGGAGCTGGCTGGAAGAGGCAAGGTGGGGCGCGACATTTCGAGAAGCTTCTGAGGAGCACGACGCCGGCCGCAAGCAAGGCTCTGCGCACCACTCAGCAGGCAACGCACCACCACAACCCGGTTGCTCGGCCAAGGCACCTCCCGCTGGCTATTTCAACTAAAGAGCAAGACTCCTGCTCCCCTTCTGCTCTCTCCTCTGCCCATTTCTCACACATCCTCTGCATCACTCTTGCATCTTCCCACACACTAATAAGGGTCGATTGACAACTACGCATCTCAGCTGAACACTGCTACTACGCATTTCGGCGCCTTCTTCCGCTTACACCTTTTTCTTTGATACCCCTCACCTCGCCATCACACAATCCCACACACTTCACAATGGTTGCCGCCGTCGGTATCGACTTGGGCACGACCTACTCGTGTGTCGGCGTCTTCCGTGACGACCGCATCGAGATCATTGCCAACGACCAGGGTAACCGCACAACGCCCTCGTTCGTCGCTTTCACCGACACCGAGCGTCTGATCGGTGATGCCGCCAAGAACCAGGTCGCCATGAACCCCCACAACACAGTCTTCGACGCCAAGCGTCTGATCGGCCGCAAGTTCGCCGACGCCGAGGTCCAGGCCGACATGAAGCACTTCCCCTTCAAGATCGTCGACAAGGCCGGCAAGCCCATCATCGAGGTCGAGTACAAGGGCGAGACCAAGCAGTTCACCCCCGAGGAGATCTCCTCCATGGTCCTGACCAAGATGCGTGAGACTGCCGAGTCTTACCTCGGTGGCACCGTCAACAACGCCGTCATCACCGTCCCCGCCTACTTCAACGACTCCCAGCGTCAGGCCACCAAGGACGCCGGTCTCATCTCGGGCCTCAACGTCCTCCGCATCATCAACGAGCCCACCGCCGCTGCCATTGCCTACGGTCTCGACAAGAAGACCGAGGGCGAGCGCAACGTCCTCATCTTCGACTTGGGTGGTGGTACCTTCGATGTTTCTCTCCTCACCATCGAGGAGGGTATCTTCGAGGTCAAGTCCACCGCCGGTGACACCCACTTGGGTGGTGAGGACTTCGACAACAGACTCGTCAACCACTTTGTTAATGAATTCAAAAGAAAGCACAAGAGTATGTACATCATTCCAGCCCCCTTTCCATACCCTCATAACCCTCTCCTGTGGTTTTGAGACCCTCTGGACCTCTAAGCCCTCTGAGACCCCTCCACCCTCTGAACCCTCTGAACTCTACACTTTTCTGAAAACAGACTGCTAACTATTTCACAGAGGACCTGTCAACCAACGTCCGCGCCCTCCGCCGTCTCCGCACCGCCTGCGAGCGTGCCAAGCGCACCCTCTCTTCGTCTGCCCAGACCTCCATCGAGATCGACTCCCTGTTCGAGGGTATCGACTTCTACACCTCGATCACTCGTGCCCGTTTCGAGGAGCTCTGCCAGGACCTGTTCCGCTCCACCATCCAGCCCGTTGACCGTGTCCTCGCCGACGCCAAGATCGACAAGTCCCAGGTCCACGAGATTGTCCTCGTCGGTGGCTCCACCCGTATCCCCCGTGTCCAGAAGCTCATCACCGACTACTTCAACGGCAAGGAGCCCAACAAGTCCATCAACCCCGACGAGGCCGTTGCCTACGGTGCTGCCGTCCAGGCTGCCATCCTGTCTGGCGATACCTCCAACAAGACTACCAACGAGATCCTTCTCCTCGATGTTGCCCCTCTGTCCCTCGGTATCGAGACTGCTGGTGGCATGATGACCAAGCTCATTCCCCGCAACACCACCATCCCCACCAAGAAGTCCGAGGTCTTCTCTACTTTCTCCGACAACCAGCCTGGTGTCCTTATCCAGGTGTTCGAGGGTGAACGCCAGCGCACTAAGGACAACAACCTGATGGGCAAGTTCGAGCTCACCGGTATCCCCCCTGCCCCCCGCGGTGTTCCCCAGATCGAGGTTACCTTCGATCTCGACGCCAACGGCATCATGAACGTCTCTGCCGTTGAGAAGGGCACTGGCAAGTCCAACAAGATTGTCATCACCAACGACAAGGGCCGTCTCTCCAAGGAGGACATTGAGCAGATGTTGGCTGACGCCGAGAAGTACAAGGAGGAGGACGAGGCTGAGGGCAAGCGTATCGCTGCCAAGAACGGCCTCGAGTCCTACGCGTACTCTCTGCGCAACACTCTCTCTGACCCCAAGGTCGACGAGAAGCTTGACGCTGCTGACAAGGAGAAGCTCAAGGCCGAGATTGACTCTTGCGTCTCTTGGCTCGATGAGAACCAGCAGGCTGCTCGCGAGGAGTACGAGGACCGCCAGAAGGAGCTCGAGGGTGTTGCCAACCCCATCATGATGAAGTTCTACGGCAGTGCTGGCGGCCCTGGTGCTGCTCCCGGCGGCTTCCCTGGCGGCGCTCCTGGTGGCGCTCCCGGTGCCGGTGGTGATGACGGCCCCACCGTCGAGGAGGTCGACTAAATGCCTGCTTCACCATATGATTCCCTTTGATTTGCATTCGGCGTTTTTCCTCTTGTCGCCCTGACGGCACAAGTAATGGTGGCCAGGGCATTTGGGTTTTGCGATTAGATTTTCCAGGCAAAAGTTCCTTACGACCTGCATGATGGATGTATTTTAGGAAGATCATCAATGATGAAATGAGAATAATTTTCCAAATAACTTGAAAACTTCATGGTGACAATTTGATTAGTCCTCGATTCCAATCGTCATTCCATATGCGGCCTTTACTTGTCCCCTATCTGAAAGCTGAAAACTGGTTTGTTAAGTTCTTACAACACTCGACTTCACTGCCCGTCTGAGCCTCTGAGCCTCCGAGCCTCCGACCCCTCTAGTCCTGTGACCTTCTGACCCTTTGACCTTCTGGTTATATGACCTCCGGAATAATTGCGTGTCTGGGGTTCTGAAATGTCGTCCGGGCCTCTCTTTGGAGTGGGTCTCCGTCGTCACGATTAACAGAAGAAAGAATGTTCAACGTTTACAAAATGTGATTAGGGCATGTCTCGTTGAATTGGGTCAGTCACATCCTCTTACACTATACGTACACTGCAAAGTGAAAAACCGCGTTGCCAGCCTGAACTTCAAGGAAGACCCCAGAGATAGCCGGCCAGCACGCATCTAGCTTGTTTTAGGCATCATCATGGCGCAGTGACGGCACCATGACTCGCAGAGGCGGCATCTTTCCTCTGCAGCTCCTCCTGGACCTTGCGCCTATGCTCAATCTCCATCTGCCACCACTCCTCATCACTGATGTCCGGCTGGACATATCTCTTCTGGAACGCCGTGCCCGGCTCGACCTTTTCCGTCCGGGCCTCCCACACGTCCGTGCTGTTGGGCTTGCCGGGGCCGTGGTACTTGGCGAGCTCGCGCTGGCGGTAGTAGTCGCGGATGGCCTCCTCCTTCATCTCGCCCGAGTACGCGCGGGTGCGCATGCAGAACCAGAAGTTGTCCCAGTGCTCGCTGCAGGAGCGGACTGTGCCCGCGCGGTAGACGGATGTCCACTGCCCGCCGAGCGAGTTGCAGTGGAACGCCGTGTCGAAGGCCTGCCGGCAGGACATTGTTGTTGGGAGAAGGGACTCGGAGACCGGGTCTAGGCAGTCGGGCTGCTGCTGCTGCTGCTGGGCTTGGGATTGTTGTCGTGTTGTTGAGGGCTGCGTGGATTGTGGCGCCGCCATGGAGGAGGAGGAGGAGAGTTGGGGCTCGGGTTGTGATGAAGTCTTGGCTGCGCTGCCGCCCCAGAAGTTCCATGACGAGGACGACTTGGAGGAAGGGGCTGCAGATGCTGGTGGTGATGTACTACTGCTGGTATCGCCTGTTGTCGTCGTTGTGGATGGCCGCTGGGCAGAGCTTCTGTCGCTGTTGCTGCCGAAGTCGGCTTGGATCTGGGACAGGAACCTTGCGATCTCGAGGTCGGCGCTGTCGTTCTGGGAGGTTGCGGCGGGCGCGGATGTTGGTGCGGCTGGCGCATTGGCTTTCAACGTGTTTGCCGCGGCGCCCGCGGGTGACGGAGTCGCCGGGGACGCTCCTGATGACCATAGCCAGCCCATGATTCAAGGTGTGTAGGTGTCGAGACGGGGGACAGGCAATCCAGTTGTCGTTATTACGTTGTCAAGCTTCCAACACAATCGCTGGGTGACAATCCGCCAGGTAGGTGAGCGGGCAAGAAAAGGGGATAGTCTATATCTCAGTTGTGACCTTCCGTGACTTCGATGTTCGTTCGTGGCCGAGAGTTATGGTTGAGGATGACTGGTGAGGGTGCGTTGTTCCTGGCAAGACTAGACTCGTTCGTTTGAACTGTACGAGCCGACAGCCGGGAGGTGCAGCGGCCAGGCTCACTTTTGCGTGGTCTACGGCGGACGAAAGCTCCAACTGTTGCAAAACCCATTTTTTGCTATTACGCCCACCCCCTCACACCTTTTAACAAACCAGATTAGCCGCAAATCACCGTTTTTCAATTATGAAGATATCCCCTTGTAATGGCTCGCTTGTGCACAAGCTAAGACCGGTCATTTATAAATTCATTCGCACAGAATTCAAATGGTTTCAATTCGTTTCGAATCGTTTTCAACATTACAGCAATGGCAACCGCACGATTCTGCCCCCAGACCGGGCGGCCTCATACCTCAATCAAGCTGGTAAACCCAACCTGGAGGTACTGCCCTGATTGTAATATTCCCCTCCCGAATCTACCGACTATTCTACCGGAATGCATCGATTTGACAGCCTCACCGCCTCGTTCAGTATTTCTCCAGTCCGGAACGGTCCCACAAAGCCCCAATTCAACTCATATGCAGCCCACTACAGGCCTGACAGCCCCTGGTACCAGTCTCCATCAACCGACCCTAAGTAACTTCGCGCTCTCATCGAAGTTAGCTAAAAGCTATCGGGATCAAAGCATTACAGAGACAAAAGAGAAGAAACCGCAAATAACCTGCTCGATTGGAATCAAACTGTACTTTGCAGAGTACTACGAGGAGGTTATTTGCGGCGAACCCAGCCCGATATATACAATCCTCCACCAACACCGCATCTCTGGCCCGAAACGACTTGTTATCAATGAGAAGTGGGAGGACCATAGCGCTCTGATTCAGTTCCTCTTCGATACGCATAAGATTAGCGAAGGCCTTCGGCAGAAGCAGTGGAAATTTATCGCTCCACTACCAGCCTCAAACTGCTTAAAAGTAGTACACCTAGGCCTTGACGAGACAGCCTCAATCTCTATTGCGCAGATCAGGGACTATTCAGGCTCAGACCGGAAGGGAGATGACATATTCTATTTGAATCTCCTCTACTTAACTATTATCCCATCACCACAGAACCAGAAGCCAGGAGTCAAGAAGCAACGAGGTACAAAGAAGGCCAAACTAAATACTATTCCGGTCCAACCGGCCCCTTCTCTCTCTCCAGACCTCCCGGCCCTTTCAGACTACGACATTCTGAAACTTGATGAAGTCCCTTAGATAGGCGAGGACTTAGCCCAAGTCAAGGCAGAGGAGGACGAAAAGGTAGAGGTCAAGCAGGAATCAAGTCGGCCTGAAGGCCAACAGCTTGAAAGTAGCGAAATGCTACCAAAATATGACACAGAACAAGAGGAAGATAAACACTTTCAGGATATAGAGCCTCAAGCTAAGCAAGTTGAAGGGAAGTGGGCATACCTTGGTCCGCCCCTGACCTTACGTAGCCGCGTAGGGAAGGGTAGGAAGAGGTCCGCAACGGCTATTTCTGAGTCAGATCAGTCGGGAAATTAGCGATGTTTCTATTCACTCTCAAAGTCAATATCTTCTTCTTTAATCAAGTCTAAACCGGCCTGTTCCATATCGATCCAAGTATCTTGTAGACTAATATGGTGGCGCTGCATTAAGTCTTGTAAGTAGTCGAGATTCCCTATTGGCTGGGGGAGGAGAGAAATCGCTGGAGAACGGTTTGTTCTGATCCAAACCTGTAGCTCCTCCTGAAGGTACTGATACTGACGGATAAAGGGCTGGTTCACTAGTTCTGGTGGAATCTGGCTTGGAAGCCTGCCAATTCGACCAAGTACTTCCTGGCATACCGCCATTGTTGTACTAGGAAGATACTGGTCTGGGTCAAAGCCATCCAGATCTGCTAGCATCGAAAGCTTTTGATGGAGATCTAGGTCAAGTGGCAGCCGAAAGTCCTGGGCACCCGTTTGTTCCGGATGGAAAAAGAGACTCCACGGCCTTCCTGGAATAACATGGGTACGGGTTGGCTGTTTTCGTATCCGATGAGCATTCCAGGTCTGTACAAACTGAACAAACTCGGACCTGATGATTGGCATGTAGATATAGAGTAAAGCAACTCGATCTGCGAGTGATTCTACATTAAAAAGGCCCTCTGTAGCAAGGAAACCAAAGTACTCCCGCTAGAAGATTGACCGCCCTTCATAGAGGCGGCCCCACCAACTCTCAATCTTAACATTTTGCGTGCTTTTCCCATAGATCCAGGTATGTCGGAACTGAATTGGTGTCCCTTCTGTTTGGGCTGTAAGTGGAAGGTTTGTTTGTCCAGGGAATGAGTTCGATTCGGGCTTGACACTATTGACCTGGCTTGTCTGAGGACTGTAGTACGGCTGAACAGCTTGATGAAGGAGGAAGTGAGCACCAGCAATAAGGGTTGTTTCTCCGCTACGATCCGACCGGAATCGACGAGGAATAAAGCCCCATTGCTGGATAATCCGTAGGTATTGGACTAGAACAGACCGGCCCGTAGTCGTAGAGATTCCGTAGAAGAACCATGGGATATAGCGAGAATAAGCATTAATTGCTGCATATATCTCAAATCCATATGGCTGCAGCTTTAGATAGGCATCAATCGACCAGATATAATTCGATCCAGGGCTTGTCCAACCGCCTCTCCTTCGATGGAGCCGCTTTCGTCGTCCTTCAACTTCGTCGGGGTAGAATTGCGAAATGGTCTGGGAGATAGTATCGCGAGGAAGGTTGATTCGGTTCTGTCGGAGATGCGTTGAAAGCATTTCTCTTCCCATACGCCGGACCAAGTTTGACGTTGTTTGCTCCTGTATCAGGAACGATTGAAGCTGTTCCTGCTTTCTTTGGATCTGTTCGGGGGTAAAGCGGCGATATATATCGAGTTCCTTTCTAATTCTGACTACACCGTGCGCTGTGACGGTAAAGCCATCCGCCTGTAGTTGACGTAGGAGCTCATCATCGGAAAGACCAATAGTAAAGAAGTATTTCTCAATAGCTATTCGAAGCGCGTCGGTTATGATCGTTCTCTGCTGTTTTGGATGGATTCCCCATTGCTTAAGGCGGCGTCGAAGTGTAAATACCGAGGTCTGGATTGAATATGTAGCCTGGAGTACTTCTTGAATTGTTGGAAGAGGTACGCCGGACTGGTAGCGCTGTATAATAAAGTCTTTCTGACCCTCTAGTTGTAGCTCAGGACGAGCCATTTCAATAGGAAACAGATTGATTACGACGTGTTGAATACTTGTACGACAAAATCAATCACGCAGCTAGGGGTTAAGGGGGGAATTTTCTAACTTTTTCGAGCCCCACATATCATATCAAATCGAATTGTTTTGAATTGAATCGCACTGTATTGCTATTGATCTATGACTAATCATATGATACCGAGTTGGATCATATCAAATCGATCTGAAACCATTCGCAAGCTGTCGTTCCTGTGTATTACCGCGGGGAATCAATGCATGTACCCTTTACTCCATGCTAAATGCCTTGAAACAAGTCGAAACCAGCTGAATTGTCGAAATTGCCCGCTCTGAGACGTTACGTGTCGTATCGAATCGATTCGGGCCGATTCGAGCTGGATTAGTGCTTGCGCTTCTTACCGGCAGGAGTACCGTCGGCGCGGGAATCCAATTCCTCCTGAATCGAATTGATCAGAGCCTCGAGAGTGCCAGCCTTGTAGTCTTCAAGGCTGTTCAGAATCGATTCGATTGGATCCGACTCGGTTGCCGCTGCCTTGCCTTTACCCTTGGTACCAGAGTCTAATTTATATAAGTAAAATGGTCGATGCTGGAACGAATGGAATCAGGTTGATTACTTACAGAACGAGCAGTGGTTGGCAGAACCAGAGTACTGGCAGTTGAAACAAGCTGCATTGAAGTCCGAATCCACCTTGATGCACATTCGAAACGGACCGGAAGCACTCGCACTGGCGCACTGGCGGCAGATGGTAGAATTCTCCGGGGCACAGCTGACGTAGGCTGCAGCGGCAGTGAGCTGATTGGATCGAGTCGGATCGATCTGGTTCAAGCCGTGAACAAGCTGAATGGGACGTGCAAGGACTGAATTCTGGACCAAAAGATTCTTTCCAAGTTTGGAGTTGCTCGCAAGAATCTTTTCCAAGGCGATTCGAGTCTGATCAAATTCCTTTTTGGTCATGTTCGGATTGGTTTTGTAGGCTTCATCAAGCTTCTGACCACCCAGAGTAAACGATCCGATTCCGATCGAATTGAGCTGATCTGCATTGAAAGGGTCGCCCTCCGGGGTACCGGTGAACCAGTAGCCAGTGGATCCGATACGAGCCGAACCGGTTCGAACCGAGTTGGTTCGGCCGGCAGGAGGGACGGGAGCCTTCTTTGCGCGAGCCATGTTGAATCGAATCGAATTGATTTGTACGGAATCGAGTGGTATAGGCTTGGATGTTTAACAAACAACTTCTGCGGACGAGATCTGCTTGAAACAAGTTGTATCAGTACGATATGAACGGAACATTTTGGAAAGGAAAAAGTTGAGCTCGGGAGGCAGGTGGGGCGGATGTGAGGTGGGAATGAGCTGTTCGCGACAGGAATGTGCAAGGTCGCGATAGCTTCAAAAGTCGTTCAAAATTGATGATTCTTGTATCATTGTGTTCAGAATTCAATTCTGAGTCGAATGCACCTAATTGCAGCTGCGCGCAACGTGGTTTGAAGGAATTGTGGCCGAAAAGAAATGGTGTGGTACTTACGCGTTGTTGTTTGTGTTATGCAGGCAGGTGCAGGTGCAGGTGCAGGTGGGACTGCTTAAGTGCATCACCAAAACCCTCAAATGCTTGAAACGAGTAGATTCCTATCTAAACGGTACAGATCCACTATCGTGACCGGCGTCATTCTATTAATTTCACACCTCCATTTGGGTTTTGCAACAGTTGGAGCTTTCGTCCGCCGTAGTGGTCCCGCTTGGCAGGCGACTGCCAATTCCGCGCTGTGGTGGGCATGGCCGCGGGGTGGGCCCATCAGTGCGGAACTACCGGGACAGTACTTGGGTGCGTGCTTGTTGCGGCGGCACGTCCCCGGAACCTCATGGCTTGGTCGGCGATTCTGCATCTGTAAGTGAAGAAACCTCGTCACAAGATATTCGTGCTGCCAGAATTGCTGCACATACCCCTTCTTGTTCTCACGCAGTATGACAGTCATGTTGGCTGTGCTCCATAGTGGGGGACCGACCTCCAGTATACGTCGGGCCACCCGTCCGGCTTGGGCATTTTTGGCAGACGGATTTCCATCTTGCATATACACGATGCAGATGAAATTCTGTCTGACTTGGCGAGACGAGGTAGACTTTATGGCATGTCCAATCCATCATGCTCGTGGCCAGGGGCAGCCAGGACAGGCATCGAAATCACACCCACAACTAAGTACTGCTCTAAACGCCCACCCGTGCAGCGATCCGAGCCCCACCAGATGCAGCGATCGCGCGGTGCTTGGCAGATCCAATGACCTCATTCGCGGTCAATTGGCGGCTAGGCCAGTCAAGTCCACGCTCAAGCTCTTGGAGCTTTGTGTTGACAGCTGCGGGACTGGACCTACTCCATCTCTACCTAGATATTTGAGCCTCGCCGCCCTCGTTGCAACTTGCAACACCACAGCCAGGCCAGACTCCCAGCTCCAAGCCTGTCGTCGTAGGGCAGCAGCCTTCAACAATTGCCGGCATGCGACGTGCTTCTTGAGCCGTCACCCACCTCTTTCCGCCGCCCCTCGACCCATCCCTCCCCGGTCGTGCCCTCGCAGCGATGATGCTGTCCAACACCCACCTCCGCCTCGCGCGCTCGGCGCGCCCAGCGACCATGACGAGGCTTCCGTATAGAAGTGCGGCCAGCTTGCTGCTCAGACCGCGGCCCGTGGCCTGGATCCCGAGAGCCTGGGAGTCTACGACCTCGGCAGACCAGGACAAGGACGGCCACATTGAAAAGGCACCCAACGAGTCCATTCTGTGGTTCGACAGTATGCGCCATGACCAGCCGCAACTTGCCCTCTTGCTGCTGCACCACGGACTGACAATGTCGCTCCAGATCTCTTTCCACTCAAGCCCTCGGGACTCCTTCGCATCCCCTGGTTCAACCCCGAGTCCGACCTGACGGAGCTGCTGAGGCGCTTCGAAAACTCGAGCCTCGGCATCATGGACCCCATCAACCTCGTCAAGCGTGCGATCCCAAGCGAGGCGCCCATGAAGGTCACCGAGATCATCCCCAGGCTCAAGGACGGCGGCGTCTTTGTCAAGTTCCAGCACCCAGCCAATGTCCCCGCGCACGACATCGAGGGCCTGGTCACCAAACTGCTCGCAGAAAAACGCATAAAACCGTTCTTCAGCCCACTGCGCAGCGTTCAGGCTGGTCTGGTCCGCGGCGTGCCTTGGCTGGAGGACCTGCACAGGTTCCCCAAGGCTCGTTTAAGGGTAGAGTTCGTGCCACCAAACCCGGGCGGGGAGGCGGTTGAGCTGTCCCAGGAGGATCTGTACAGCATGTTCCGCAAGTACGGCAAGATCGCCGAGATTACTTCGCAGCCGTGGGACTCCAAGGTGCTGCCAAAGTTTGCTTATGTCGACTTCGCTCTCGTGCGCGACGCCATCATGGCTCGCAACTGCCTGCATGGTTACGTGGTGTCCGAGGCCAAGGGTGGCGGCAAGTCCGGCACCAAGCTGAGAATGTCCTACGAGGAGCGCACAAAGCAGCATCGCTTCTGGGACTGGATGACCAACCACCCGCGCATCGTCATTCCTGTGCTTGTGGCGCTTCTCACGGGTCTTACTGTCGTCATCTTCGACCCTATCCGCTCTTTCTTTGTCAAGTCCCACGTAACACACAGGTTCCGTCTCAGCAACTCGAAGCTCTACCGCTGGTTCAGGAAGCAGACGACAGATCTCTTCCACAGAGACAAGTCAGAAAAGGCTGGCCTCGAGGCCATCTGGACCCACCGTCAAGACCTGATCGAGCAGATACGAAAATGGCTGATGGAGACCGCCGAGACCTTTATTGTTGTTCAAGGACCGAGGGGATCTGGCAAGAAGGAGCTCGTGCTCGAGCAGGCTCTGAAAGACAAAACCAACATCCTGCTGATTGACTGCAAGCCGATCGTAGAGGCTCGCGGCGAGAGTGCGACCATCAAGCAATTAGGCTCGGCCGTTGGCTACCGGCCAATCTTTTCGTAAGTCCCAGCTCGCACATTGCACGTCCGACACAATACTGATGATTCGAACGACAGATGGGCAAACAGCATGAGCAGCATGATCGACCTGGCAGTCCAAAGCACCACTGGAGTCAAGGCGGGCTTTTCGGAAACCTTGGAGTCGCAACTCCAGAAGATCCTGCACACGACAGCTGGCGCGCTTACAGAGATTTGCTTGTCGTCAAGGCACAAGACGGACAGCGATGCTGCCCTGCCTGACGACGCCTACCTCGAAGCGCATCCAGAAAAGCGGCCAGTGGTTGTCATTGAGAATTTCCTGCACAAAGGTGATGCAAATGCGATTGTGTACGACAAGATCTCGGAGTGGGCAGCAGCCCTTGTCCAATCTAATGTGGCACACGTCATCTTCCTGGCGAACGACTCCTCGTATACGAAAACTCTTACAAAAGCACTCCCGGACAGAGTGTTCCGGCACGCCGCTTTGGGTGACCTGTCTCCAGAGGTTGCGAAACGCTTCATCCTGAGTCACGTTGAGCAAACGAAAGAGGAGAGGAAGGCGGAACAAGAAGCAGAGGAGGAGGGCGACGAAGAGAAACTCAAGGTAGCCTACGTGCGACCCAACTTGAGAAACCTCGACGAGAGCCTGGATGTTCTCGGAGGTCGACTGACGGATCTGGAGTTCCTGGCGCGGCGTCTGAAGGCTGGACAGTCCCCTAAGCAGGCTGTTGCGGAGATTACCGATCAAGCCGCGTCGGAAATCTTGAAGATGTTCCTCTTGCCGGGCAGAATCAATAGCGACTCAGACCACAGCTGGTCAGTCGAGCAGGTCTGGTATCTGGTCAAGGCACTCGCCAAGAAAGAGAGCCTGCGGTACAATGAGATCTTGCTCTCGGATACCTTCAAATCCTCTCTGAGCGCTCCCAATGGCGAGTCCGCTCTCGAGGGTCTCTCTTCGCTTGAGCTCATCACGATCAAGACGCGCCTGGGTCGACCTGAGAGTATCGTTGTGGGCAAGCCGGTTTACCAAGCCGCATTTGAGCGCCTCGTCAACGACCCGGTCCTGAGCGCCAAGCTCGACTTTACTGTCCTGACGGAACTGGTCAAGGTCGAAGCCAAGAACATTGAAAAATACGAGGCGGAGCTGATCTCGCTCGCCACGCTGCCGAAACAGCCGGCCCAGATCACGCCGCGCGTGACATATTTGCTCAGCAAGCTCGATGCCAGCCAGAAGAAGATCGAGGGCTACGAAAAGGAGCAAGGCGCACTCAAGATGGTGTTGTCCAAAGAGAATTAATGTTTCTGGTCATAGCAGGGATCCGAGGTCAAAGTCCATCGAGGTTTAGCTAGCAAAGCGGGTGAAATAGTCGGATTTTGTATTAGCAAGTGTACAACTAGCACGCGAGGGGCTGTCACCATTATACACCTAGGTATCTACTCCAAGCCTGTCTCGTCACATCTCAACCCTTTAAATAAAATCAAGCATGACCTGAAGGAGCATGTCAAAAGCAAAGAGCCCGAATATTGTCTGATTGGTTCTTTGACTTCTGCGCTTCGATCCTGATGCTCTAATTTCTCGAAGTTGTTGTATATGCACGCATCGGCAGATCTAGACTGTTGCAGCACGTGTGGTAGACTTGTACTCGTGGTGTAGGCCGTCCCACTTTGTTTCGCAAAGTCTTATATACATTTGCGCCTCCCCCTCCCCTCAGCTTTGGGCTAGCGCCCAGTTGTGTAGATATATACATATCGTTGGGTACATACGTCTTTGCTTAACGCTTTCCCTTTAAATGCCGGTTAAAGTGGTCCGTTGTGGCCGTTTGTCCCCATCTCTCACACTCGAGCGGCCTTCGGGGCCTCGGGGCTTCACAGATGGCGGGACCTTGGCACTCTGCAGGATCAGATTGACGATGCTCAGGAAACCCTCGCCGAGGACGAAGCCCTGTTTCCGCCCGGCGTTGTGTCAGCATGCTTGTAATCTTTCATGTCGTTGAAAATCCATTAAGTGATGGGTGGTTGTGGAAGGGGGGTTTTGGAAATCACCACCGGAAGGAAGAAGAAAAAAGAACTTACAGATGCCAGCACGATCAGGGGTGTATCCTGCCGTCCAAGGCGGACGCGCCAGTACCAGTTCATCAGGCCGCCTATTGTGCGGGCGAGGGTGAAGGAGGGGACGTTGTACATGCCTGGACGGCGCCCGAAGTCAGCTAGTTTCTCGGATATATCTAATTCAGAGCGGGGGGGAGGCGGGCTTCCGTGTTTTGGGAATCCATCAGATGAGATATTTCTGATTGAATCCAGCAGCCAGAACAGATAGAATGCCGAAGAGAATGACAAGGATTTAGAGACTGACCTATGGCGACGGCAATGCCACCGGGGATGTAGGAATGGTACCACTTGCCCATCGCACGGGCGCGGACGATCGTAAAGACGGCAAAGATGGCGGCCGCGCCGATCGAGAACTCGCGCGCCATGGGCGGCAGGCCCTTGCCCGTGACGAGCCGCGCGGTGAAGATCCAGACGTAAGCGGTGGGCACCTGGAACATGTCCCCTGGGATATCGTAGACGGCCGTGTACAGCCTGTAGATGAAGGCGCTGACGACCGCGCCGACCGTGGCGCCGATGACCTGGCCCCAAAACTGGGCGTTGGGCGCCGCACCAAGCAAGTGGCCCGTCTTGAGATCCTGCATGAGGTCGCCGGCCTGTAGGGCTCCAGCCTCGGATACGGCGCCGGCCACGAGGTTGATCAGCACGCTTGACTTGTGGGATTGAGGGATGATGAGCGCGAAGAAGAGCTGCGCGAGCTTGCTGATGCCTGAGACTGGGTTCAGGTCCGTCTCTCCCAAGGCACGAACGCCCATGATGCTCAGCAGCAACGCCATGAAGACGGCAATAACGGTCGCGTAGAGCGGAACCAGCTCCCCGAATGTGAAATGTATGCTTGCGACACAAAACAGGATCGACAGGACTAGACCTATGTTGACGGTCTTGGAGCCGATAAGTTGGTCTGGAGGAGCATCCTCCCCGTCCCATGCACGGAGTTTGGTGTTATCGTCGTAACCAGGCATGTGAGCGGGGGCAATAACTGGCCTGCTGGATGGTTCTTGCGAATCGTCGTTGTCAGTCGAGGGCCGTGGGGAAAGATTATCGTCATTTGCAAGTGCCGTGTAGCGGTGCTGGGAAGAGCGTTTCCGGAAGAGCCCGCGCCAGCCTTCGCGCTCAAATTGCTGCTGGGCATTACGCAGCACAGATGGGCCATGCTGGACAACGGGGCGTAGGGTGATGTAGCCCAAGCTGATTACCGCGTCCGCGAGCATGATTGCCAGCGACGTCCACACAATCCAACCCTTGCTGCCAGTCTCCCAGTCGTCAATTGCTCCAGGAGCCCAACCTTTGTTCTTGGCCAGCGGCGATAGGACAGCCCAGCCTAGCACGGCGCCGAGAAGCATGTGTATTGTCGTCGAAGGACCCATGATGATGCCCTGGCCGACGTAGGCCAAGCTGGGATTCAATGTCCAAAGCCACGTCTCAGCTGCCACGGTGCCAAAAATGGGCAGGTTTCGGATGCCGGGGAAGAAGAACGTGCAGAGTGTGTAGAAACCAGATATCCCAAAGGCGATAAGCAGGAGCCTGATGTTCTTGCCCCAGTTGTACTTTTCACCTCCCTCAAGTTCCGCCGAGGTGTGGTTGAGAGCAGACTCGTCTGCGTCCTGGGACTCGTTGGCTTCCTCGGCTTGCATGAGCGGCCGGTTCTCCAGAGCAAGACTGCCAAACCTCGTGGCTTTCGAAGGATCAAGGACGCCATTCTCGCCTTGACCCTTGCCGTGGAGGACACCAATTAGAACCGCGGTGCTGAAGCCACTTGGAAATTTGAGCTTCTCCCGGATGATGACCTGGCGCCGCCTGTGTGCGTTCCACGTCGATAAGCCAATGCTCGGCAGGACCTGGGGTATTAGGACTCAAGGTGAATTGCAACTTACAGAGGGACAGCAAACATCACTCCAAAATAGCAAAGCCCAAGAGACCAAACGATGAGCTTCGTTGTGCTCAGTCGCACCGGGCCCAGCTCAGAGGGTTGCAGGAGATACTCCATGGCCGGGAGCTGTCATTGTTCAAGCCACGGAGGGTGTCAGTTGTGCTACATGTGGTAAGAGGTGTCCAGCACTCCGTGGAAAAGACTCACGACTCCTACGAAGCCACACCCTAGCGGCATAACGGCCATTCCTCCGGCGACAGACTGGACCAACACGTTCTCGACAGGGGAGAAGGGGAACGTGAGGTGGCGGGAGAGAGCTTTGAAGATGCCGAAGCCCATCAGACTGGCGGGCATTGTCATCATGCTGATCCAGCCGGTCTGGAGACCAAAGTACATGTTGGAGAAGCAGATGACCAGGCCCACGAGGAGGCCCACGACCACGCCGCGAAAGGTGAAATGGCGGCCCTCGGGCAGGTACCGGACGGTGGCCGGGTCCTCGCCTCTGTTGGGCGCCATGAGGGGCATGATGTGTGCTGGCTTGCAAGCAGCGATGCCACGTCGTGAGGAGAAGAGTGCAAGCAGGAAGAAGAGGTGAAGATGGCCGGGGCCGGCAGGTGAGCATCCGATGCGGCGGAATGGCGGACTCGGAATGGTCATTGAATTAGTGAGCACGCACCCCGGGCATCGGCAGCCGCTATCCTGCCGCGCCGTACAGTGACTGGCACCGTCATGCTCACTGTATTAGCTGCCCCAGGCGGGGCAGACGAGGGCCTGCAGGACCTGCGTCTCGCACCGTGCCTCATGCCTGGACTGGCAGGGTCCTTGTCACGTCATACCAGATGACCCCAACCGCTAGGCAGAGAGCTCCCTGACCCCAGTTAGTTCGTGCTCGTGCCCGGCGCCGCCCTAATCCATGTCGCAGCTTGCTGGTAATTAGCTCGTAGCTTGCCGTCCAGGATCGCCGAAACAACAACTGCCTTATTCCAATCGGGCATCAATTACACGAGCAGTCTTCCATGGCATCCCACTTGAGCCGCGCGCATTAGTACTGTTTATTGTACTGCTTCTGCTGTAGGGTTTCGCGTCTCCCCTCGCCCCGAACTCGTCTGCGTCGATTCCAGGACCCTTGCGCAGGGAGCTGCCGAAGCCTGTTGCGACATTCCACAGCTGCAACCACACTATCGTCGGAGCAGATATGCGACAGTCCCACGGAGCTCGTCGATAGCATGAAGGCTGTGCTCCCCGGCAGGCCTGAAGCCCGGCTTCAGGCTGTCGCAGTCGGCTCCTGGCAGGGCAGGCGCACAATCGTTTATGCGACTGGCAATGCCCTCGCCATCCTTTCCGACCCAGACACCATCCACCAGACCATCTACGATGAGGACGAACGCAGCCTCGAGGCCGTCGCATTCGATGAGAGGTCCGGCAAGATAGCCGCCGCCACTGGGACAACTGTCAGGATCTACCAACCCATCGACCTGGACGAGGATACTCTGAAGGTGCGTGCTGCCTGCTGCGCATAGCATGGATGCTTGATTCCAGTGACCTGACGCACAAGGAGTGATATAGTGGGCGCTGCAAGCGTCTTTTGATATCGATCACGACGGCTCGACTACCGCGACTCTTTCATGGGGCAACTCGGAGGAGCTGCTCGTGGGAGGAACTTGCCTTGCACTCTACGACACGAACCAGACCCCTCCTCTCCGACACTGGCAGGAGAAGCTGGCCAATCCCGTTCGTACAGCCGAGCTTTCATACGACTCGGCATACATCGCTTCTGTTGGATACCACGACAGACTCGTCAAGGTGTGGAGGCGACTCAACTTTGGCTCCGAAGAAGTCCATTTCGAATTCGGCTATCTGCCACACCCACAACGCGTAGCTAGGATACAATGGCGGAGGCCATTACATGTTGACCAGACCATCGAGAACGTCTTATATACATTCTGTTCCGATCAGACTTTACGAATCTGGACGGGCGCGGATGGTCACGGGTGCCAGAAATTGCGACTTTGGGGCAAATTAGACCTGGCGCAAGCCATCCAGCATGAAGCCGGCAGTGCCGAGGAAGGGCACAATGCGCGCTGGGCATTCATTGTTGGCCAACGCGACATCGCCAATGCTGTGGAGAAGGCGGTTCAAGAGCGGGGTGACGGTGACGTCGCCCTCCAGTATCTCCTCTCCATCGCCAACCGCGACACGGAGTTGTGCATTGTCTTTGATGGTCGGCAGAGCATGTCAGCCTGGGCCCTAGAGGGAGTCAGCGCCAAAACTGCCGGTACGAATCGCATCGACAACGTTGCCTACGTCAAGTCCGATGACTTTATTTTCGTCAAGTCTTCACAGGAACCACTGCATGTCGAGATCCTCAACTATTGCAACAATGGGGAGGGAACACTTCATATCCTGCAGCATCGTTTCGACGGACGAGTACTGACATACGACAGCGATCTTGTTGATCTGCTAGATCCCACAGTACGGACGGCCCGTATCGTGCAGCATGCAACCTGGTCCGGCCATTCAAGATCCGTCAAGAAGATTGTCCGCAATGTGAGTGGAAAGGCAGTGGTGTCGCGGACAGAGACTGGCGAGAGCATACTATGGAGGCATTCCACAAGAGCGCGGCTGCCACGACTTTCCAGACAGGCCGTCATCCCTGAGACTCGCCATATTCACCGGATATGCCTACTTCGAGACGGACGCTTCGTCGTGTTCTTGCATCACGACAGCATCGCACTGTGGGATTGTAGGACGCAACAGCCGCAGCTCCTCGATGAGTGCCGCTACAACATTTCCGGCAAGCCGCTTTGTATCCTCGTATTGCCACGCGAAAACGTCAAAGACGACTCAGTGGCGCACATCGCCACGATAACCTCGAGCCAGCGTGGGGTGGTGTGGAAGGTCTGTCTACCAGGACCTGCGCAGAATGGTGGCCATGCTCAAGCGAACGGCCACGCAAAACCGTCCGTTGAAGAGTTCTGCAGATTCGAGCTGGGGGGGTCCAGCGACTTGTCCTACGTCTTGCCTGTTGACCCAGCTGGGTCATCACGCGTGGTGTCAGGCTTCCTTGACGTGTTCGCACGAGATGTGGCTGTGTCGTACACGCATTCTGGCCGTGTCGAGTTTTGGACAGCAAAGATTGACAGCGAGCAGAAACGGGTCGAGTGGCTTTCAACAGCCGCCATGGAGACCGGACTTCCTAACCCATCCCTTGCCAGCGGCAGCACGATGAAGAAAGCGGCTTTGGTCAACAAGGATCGATCAGAACTCAGCATATGGGACATTAGAGGTGCTCGACTAGAGTATGCTCAGCAGTTTGAGAATCTCAACACAATACAGGACCTCGATTGGACCTCTACTCCAGACTCACAATCGATACTTGCTGTGGGCTTCCCCTACCGTATCATATTGCTCGCACAGCTACGTTTCGACTACCTCAATCATGGGCCGGCATGGGCATCGATTAGGGAGATCAACATCCGAGATTTTACGCCGCATCCGATTGGCGATTCTACGTGGCTTAGCGATGGAAACCTTGTCATCGGAGCAGGCAACCAGCTCTTCATTTACGACAGGATGACTTCCGCGACGGAATCTGTCATCCCAGCTACACGTCTATCGCAGCACGGCAAAGACAAGGCGAGAGACACTTTCGAGATGGTGCAAAGGCTGAATGGTCCTTTGCCTGTCTTCCATCCCCAGTTCCTGAGCCAGTGCATCATGTCTGGGAAAACTCAGATTGTGCGACGCATCTTGTTGGCGCTCAATTACACCTTGAAGTACCACGTCGAGGGTGAGATCATTGATGACTATCTTGATCTCGACCTTGCAGAATTCTACGCTGGTGACCAGGTAAGGCTCATGAGACGTGTTCCGGTCCCAGACAACCATTAACATTACCCAGGTGCCCACTTCCAACGGCCGAGGCGATGCCGGCGCTCTGGTGAGGCGGATGTCTTTTGACGAGACGGACGAGGCCTTCACCGAGGATACAGCTGCATCAATCTGTGAAATGTTGCAAAAGGTCACACTTCCTCAACTGTCGGGTCATGAGCAGATTCAGCTACTGGACATTGTTGAATGTGCAGGTGTCGTAGAGAAGCAGAGAAGATCCATGGACGAGAACGGCGCCAGGTTTATGCTATTCTTCCGGCAGCACGCCTTGCGGAAAGGTCGGACGAATGCCATCCAGCTGTCGTGGCGTGAGACATCCTGGGCATACCACTCTACCAGCCAGGATATCCTCACAGATTTCGTGTCGCGCCAGTATCACGGCAAACTGCTTTGGGAAAATGCCAGAGAAAGCGGAATATTCATGTGGCTTGCAGATGAAGCTTCAGTGGTAAGCACATACAGCTCCCTCGTTGACATCTGTTCCTTTGGCTTTGTATGCTGACTCGCCGTGCAGAAAGCACAATTTGAAATCGTGGCACGCAACGAGTACACTCGCAGCGAGATGAAGAACCCGGTTGACTGCAGTATCTATTATCTAGCCCTCAAGAAGAAGGTCGTCTTGCAGGGGCTCTGGCGGATGGCTACCTGGAACAAAGAGCAGGCCGCCACTACCAAGCTGCTGTCCAATAACTTCCAGGATCCCAAGTGGCAGACAACAGCTTTGAAGAACGCCTATGCTCTCATGAGCAAGCGCCGATTTGGTAAGCATAGCTCTTTGGTCGCCGATGATTTACCATTGAGACTGACACAGGAGACAAGAATATGCGGCCGCATTCTTTTTGCTCGCGGACCACCTGCAAGATGCTGTAAATGTCTGCCTGAACCAGATCAAAGATCTGCAGCTTGCAATCGCGATCGCGCGTGTGTACGAGGGCGATAACGGACCAGTCCTCCGCAAACTGCTTGAGAATGAGGTACTGGCCATTGCGGCTCAGGAAGGAAACCGCTGGCTGGCATCTTGGGCATTTTGGATGCTTGGCCGCAAAGACATGGCTGTGCGAGCTCTCATTGTGAGTATACCCGGTGGAAACCGCCACTACACATCATGCTAACGGCCCTACAAGACGCCTGTCTACACGTTGATCGAGACCCCCGTTTCGCCCGATATGAAGTCCAAACTCTTCCTCACGGACGACCCTGCACTGGTCGTGTTATATTCTCAGTTGCGACAGAAGACGTTGCAGACACTCCGTGGTGCTTCCAAGGTGACACCGCAGACTGAGTGGGAGTTTGTTGTGCACAATGCAAGGCTTTACGATCGCATGGGCTGCGATCTGCTTGGTCTTGATCTAGGTATGTCCCCGACTGATGACGCGCATGTGCGAGACCGGAGCTCTCTTGCTAACTCTTCCGTCACCCATAATAGTGCGCAATTGGGAGTTCTTCCGGCCGACAGGACTGCCGCAGATGCCGTCTTTGGGTGGAGAGCCCGTCATCGACCCACGCAAGCTGCTGCGGCGCCGCAGCTCACTGGTTGTGGCCGACCTGCCGACGTCGCCCGTGGTGGCAGAGATGCGGACTGGTGGCGGGGGTTTCAATGCTCATGGAGGGATCAAGCCGCCGCCGAGTGTGTTTGAGGAGCCTGACGCTAATTCATTGCTTGATAGCTTTGGATTCTAACGTGTGCAGGCGTCCCCTGGCTCACGGTATTGGGGTCAGAGAAGGTTGAGGCGAGGGCAATCATGTATATATCTGTATGCAGTGTACATGAAAAACACTAGCCTATGACCCTCGAGGATGTGATCAAGCCCCTAAGTCTATTAGTCCAGGCCACGAGGCCGAGTTTCTGCATCGGACGGACCCCTTGTGATGGCGACGGTGGCAGATGTGAATCTCACTGCCGAGCCTGCCAAGGCGGCCGACTGTGGGGAGAGAGTGAGTGAGGAAATCTGGGGTGCAGTAGCGCCTTGGTAGCACGTGCGAAGTGCTTTGTGGCACCCATATATATCTTTTTTGTCGACACTCGGCGATGAATGCCACGCCTGGCAGTTTTGATGCCTCTACGTGACTGAAGGCCATGTGTTCGGTGTTTTCTGTCTGGCTGTTTGCCCTGCATTGCCTCTCACCCGAGAGAAATGGCAACATGGCCGGTTGCCACGAGCCCGGTGCTCCTTCCCCAGGATGACACAAGACCATGTGGCCCCACAGATGAACCCTGCGGCTTTTGAGTAGTGCCTGCTACCAGCAAGCCGTCGAAGTTTGCCTGCTCGTCTCGTGTGCAAGATTGACGGACAGCGTACGCTCAAAGCACGAGTAAGCTCTTAGCTTCCCCCTTGGAGTGCAACGCTCGCAAGGTCGCATCCTCTTCATCAAATCCTCTCCACATTGACCATCTCCCCCAGTACTTACCTCCGCACATATCCAGCGAGGTCTTGTCCGGGCTGACAGAGCATCTACTTGGCAATGTTCCAGCAGCGATGTGCAGCTCACACACCTATGCACATACATACAACAAGAGACCTAGCAGGCGGACTGTGCGGTGGGTAGCACGTGTTGTGAGCTGGTGTCCCCAATACAGCTGGGAACCAACAAGGCTTGGATGCCGAGGTATCGTGGCACCGGATGTGGGGAAGAAAGAGGCACACGAGGAGAGGAACCGGGGGGTCCCCCTGCCATTATCGCCCGCACTCTCTGGAGTCACTGCCAAAAGTGCGCCGTGGGACGGCGATCACACGCTCTCTTGAGCGGCGGCGGGCGGTGATGGATTCTTCTCTGGGAATGGCAGACAGGGCCAGGTCCCTCGCCTGGCCATCTGAGCAGGGTGCGTCATCAGGGGTGCTGCTGCTTGTGCTGTTACTGCTGCTCCAGTCTTGTCATAATGCCCCGATGCGTTGGTTGCTGGCAGTTTGCAAATTGCTCCCACCTTGAAATACTGTGGTTTGTCTACGTTGGCGTACGCAGGAAATACTTCCTGCGGGAAAGACGTAGCCCACCGACCTCGACTGCAACTTACTTGGCTTGACGGTGTGTGCCCATCTCTCGACAAGACACCAGTCCACCGCGTCTTCATGGTCACGAAGTCTCTCTCGTCATGGCCGAGTCTCGTTCACTCTGGTCAAGTTCTCAGTGACAGGTCTCGTATCAGTCGATTCACAGAGCTGATAGAAGAAGTTGACCATCTCGAGGTTCGACGAGACTTGCACGTCACAATATGGCACAGCGGCTCCATCTTGAATTTGCATGGTAATCAAGAATGCCCGAGGACGAAGAAAAGGCTGGGCACTATGGCCACGGCCACGATCTGGAAAGCACCGCGACTGCAAGCCATATAGAGATGGTCCATCTCGACGTGGAAGACAAGACCTCGATTGCGCGCGCGGAGGACTCGCCATCGACTGACAACGGGATCGTCAATATCACTGGCAGCGCAGTGCTTGTCCCTCGAGATGGACCGGATCCGAGACTTTCGGTGTTGTTCCGTGAAGATACAAAGCAGATGGATGGAAGCAGCGGCGACACGCACCACATTGGCCACGTCGATCTCGAGAGGCGGGAATCCCACCGGACGCCGCTTTCGCGAATACAGATCATCTCTGTCATGGCACCACTCGCCGCGGGAGTCTTCATCGCATCACTTGACATTACCATCATTGTCACTGCTCTGCCCGAAATTGCCTCCCACTTCGACAGCTCTCAGATATACACGTGGACTGGTTCATCGTATGCCTTGTCTCACGCCTCGACGACGACCTTATGGAGTATGATCAGCGATATCTGGGGCCGCAAGCCCATCTTGTTTTGTGCATTAGGAGCATTCTTCGCGGGCAGCATCATCTGCGCGTTTGTCGATGACGTTAAAGGCTTCATTGCTGGACGCGCCCTGCAAGGAGCAGGAGCGGGTGGGCTGACGACGATGGCAAACATATGTATAAGTGATCTCTTCTCGTTGAGAGAACGCGGTCTTTACTTTGGGATCCTGTCAGTGGTCATGGCGTTCGCAAGTGGCATTGGGCCGTCGTTGGGTGGGGTGTTCACGGAGAGGCTGTCGTACGTATCACCAGTCTTGTATCGCTGTCTGGCATGTTTTTTGCTGACGAGGCCATGATTTCAAGCTGGCAATGGTGCTTCTACATCAACTGTAAGTGTTGGGTTCGTCTCGTTAGGGATATGTCCTAGCTGATCAAGCCTGAAGTACCAATATCAGCCCTCGCGTTTGTCCTTTTGTTGGCGTCTCTTCCCCTACAAAACCCAAAGACTCCCATCTGGCAGGGACTGAAGGCTATCGATTGGCTCGGAACCCTTCTAGTCACAAGCGGCACTCTAATGTTCCTGCTCGGACTCACTTTCGGCGGCGTCGAATATCCGTGGTCCTCAATCACAGTGGTGTCATTGGCGGTTGCAGGCATAGTTGTCATCGGCCTTTTCCTACTCACGGAATGGAAGCTCGCCAAGTACCCTATGGTGCCGCTCAACATTTTCCGCAGTGGGTCAAGTGTGGCCTCTTTTGCTATATGCTTCTCTCACGGCATCGTTCTGATGGGAGTCGGCTTCTATGTGCCGCTGTACTTCCAGGCTGTTCTCGCAACGGGACCACTCCTGGCCGGGGTCTACGTCTTACCCTATGTCATATCGGTCGCCGGAGGTGCCGCTTGCACGGGTGTTTACATTCAGCGAAGCGGAACGTACATTGTGCCAGTGTACCTAGGGCTGGCGATGACTATTCTGGGGAGCGGTTTGATGATTGATCTGGAGCAGGATTACAACTGGGTCAAGATTGTGCTTTACCAGATCGCGGCCGGTATCGGTCTCGGCATCAATTTCGAGCCCGCACTGATCTCGCTCCAAGCAGCCACACATCCCGACGATATCGCGGCGGCAACATCCACGTTCGCCTTCGTGCGGTCCCTTAGTACTGCCATCTCGATCGTCATAGGCGGAGTGCTGTTTCAAAACCAGATGCAGGACAAGGCGAACGCGCTGATTGCCAGCCTTGGGCAGGCCGGGTATACAGAGTACCAGGGGAGCGACGTCCTCGCAAACATCTACGTGATCGACAAGTTGCCGCAGTACCAACAAGTTGTCATCAGGAGCGCTGTCCACGAGTCTCTGACGGGTGTTTGGATTATGGTATGTCTAGAACTCGTCACGATTACGGCGCCGTGCCCCGAGACCTACGTTTAACAACCCGGGTCGCAATACTGACATGGTCTTAGTATACCGCTTTCGCCGGCCTCGGTGCGCTGGCGGGCATTTTTGTCGCGGTCCATCCACTAAGCAACATACACAAAAGCGTTGTGCTTGGGCTGCCCGGTAAGCAGGGGAGCTTCAGTCGACGACAGAGTCGGTTGCTGGGAACGGGCCTAGCGAAGACAACGACAAGTGACACAGCACACATTCAACCAGAGGAGGCTAGGCAGAGGCGAGAACGTCTTGATCTGGCGACAGAGCAAACACTTGGCCGTGAGCCTGTTGTGAAGGACAAGGATCGGCAAAGGACGAGTAAGGATGGTTCTGAGCTTCAGGACGATTTCGAGTACATTTCAGCGCCGCGGCACGAGCGCGCGATAGATGGGCACAGAGAATCCGCATCCGACCTTCAAACATCAACGAGCTCAAAGTATAAGCAAACAGAAGCCCATGGGCAGGCTCTACGCAGATCAATGTCAGGCTGTGAGCAGCCACGAGCGCCACAGAACCTCGAAATGACTTCTGGATTGGCCCAGAGCGCCGCGGTATCGCAGCAACAGCCACCAGAAGGTCAAAGGGGGGATGGGGAAACAGTCAATCACAGATGATGGTGAGACAGGCAGGCAGACAGGAAGGAAGGAAATAATCTTGCCCGATGGTGCCTGATGCATTCTAGCCCGGCAGCTTCCAAAAAGATAGAAGAAAGGGGTTTGGGATGCATCACGCGAAGGACGGTAGTCGTTCAGGCATTCGTCGTCCTAGAGAATACCACTGTCATGTCATGCGCATATACCGGGGAGAGCTTGAATCATATGCACCCCGCTTCTTTCCTGTCTGATCAGTATCTGCCATGAGGATTGAAGATTCGGGCTGGCCCAGCGAAGACGTGGAAAACGATGGAGGTGTGGCCGGCCATCTGCTTGAGACTTGTAATAGCAAACAAAGTTGTGATTTGAGGGGGTATCGAAACGATCGCAGTCTAATATCTCGGGGGGTCTCTCAAGAGCCCTGTCCGCCTCGCGAGTGTAAATGCTCCTTTATAACCATTTTCTTTCGTCTCCTCCACCCGGACCATGTCACGTCTCATGCAGGCCATTGGCGTGGGATTCCTATTATATGCTACCCCAGACTCCGAGCGTCCACGCATTCGCCCCCGCACTCTGAGCACTGCCTCTCATCAACGCTCCAGGACCCATGCTTTGCCGCTGGTGGTGGTGGTGATGCGTCACACCACCGGCCGCGGTCTTGGCTTCGATATCTGCCACCCTCACTGCGCCGTTGACCCCATGCAAAGTCCACAGCTCGCGGTCCACCACAGCGATGGCGGGCACCTTGAGCTGCGCAGTCATGCTGGCGCCGCACCAGGGGCCTAGGGACTCAACGGCCCTCAGAGTGCCCTGGACCGGTGTTCTATGGTTTTTATCACGCTTAATCATCTCTTCGATTTGGTCTGACGCGGGGGTGACGTGTGCTGGATTGCTGGGGGCTGCGGTCCCGCCTTCATTAGTCGCTCCTGGAGTGTCCGAAGAGGAACTTGTGAGGAGTTCGGTGCTTATGTTCGTGGTGGAGAGGAAGGCCGGTGGTGGCGGCACGATGATGGGAATACTGCTGCTGTAAGAAGGTGGCGGTGCCGCCCCGCGGTGCAGCTTCGGATTGATCCTGTACTGCTCGACACCCTTTCCTCGGACTGGATCCCAGCTGTACTCTTGAGCGAGGGCGGCAACGTCATCATAGATGCGTCCCTTGAGACCTATGATATTGGAACATCCGCCTGTAAAGATGATCCGTGACATGCACAACGCCCGCACGTCGAGGGGGAGCCGGAGCAGGCTCTTATACACAAGCCTATGGATCGGAAGTTCGTGGTCGTCGAAGCATGATTCGGCCAGCTCGCTCTCGAAGAAGGTGGACTCGCATGGTTCGGCCAGCTCCGAGAATGGTATCTGTACAGTTCGTGGGGGGCGGCATGACCTCAGAGGCACAGCAACGGGAGCCATGTCGTCTGCGAGGTCTGTGGTAGAACGGGCTTCGTCCTCCTCCTGAACCACGGCCAGCCCGTCCTCCGCGTCATGGAACTCGTCTCGTGATGCTGCATCGGCATCATGGAACTGATCGCGCGTGTCTCTTCTGCACCACAGGGCTCGCCGCGCAAAGTCCTCGCACTCCTCGAAACTCAGGATGTCGTAGTTGTCGGCGTCGGCAGCCTCATGGGCCTGGCCAAACTGGTCCCGCAGCACTTTGGCGAGAAAGCGGTAGACTTCATGTATGAGCATCTTGCCCGCACGATCTGACCGGCTCGTCTGGACTTCTCTGTACTCGTATACTGCCGTGACCGTGGTTTCGTGCCAGCCAATGTCTATCACGAGCGCAGATCGTGTTCCGGCTGCGAGAGCCGCCATCACGGGGGCCGACAACAGCGAGACGGTCGGGGCTTGGAATCGGTCAAAGACGGTGTCGAGCACACAGCCTAGTAGCGGTATCGGTAGTGCCGGGGGTAGGACGAGAGACATGCGCCTCTGCTTTGAGTCTGTGAGGAGGTATCGGGTGAAGGTGTCTCGCAGCTCCCGCTCAAGCTTGTCGCGGATGAGGGCGAGGTTCTGGCCGCGGACATCGAGTTGCCATAGCTCGTGGCCAGCGGCCCAGTCGGGGCCTGAGGCTCTTGAGCGCCAATTGGAGCTGTAGGAAGGGTCCCATGAGCTGAAATCACCGACCCGGCGCTGCTGCTCTGGGGCAAACGAGAGGATCCTCTTTGGGGCAGCGTCGCCGGCCCAGCCGATGCGGAAGTTGCGGGCACCGACCTCGATGACGATGAGATCCTCATCGGCGCGCAGGCTCGAGGGCGAGCTGAAGGTGGCGGTTGGGGAAGGGCGGGAAGGCGTGTGCGGGCTGCCGGCGATGGCCCCTGCCGAGGTGCCAGCGCGGATGGAGGAGAGGGTGCGGTGTGGCAGCGGGACGCCGGCGCTCGAGGCCATGGCTGCGTGGTCGCGCAATGGTCGAGATCAAGGGCCAGCAGTCGATTGCCGCAGTCACATTGTGGATTGGGTGGGTGTGTGTGTGGCTGGCTGCAGGAGCGGCGCAAGGTTGCTTGTTGCTGCGAGGCTCGTCAGGGTGGTTGTCGGCAGCAGCTCGAAGCCATCACCGCAGCACCACCAAGTTAGAGTACAGTGGAGGGGCCACCCCTGCCTGCTGCTGCCAGTGCTGGTGCTGCTGCCAGTTGCTGGTGGAGACGAGCCTGGGCCCAAGTCAATATTTGGAGTCGGGGCGTGCTGGCGAGACCTGCACTCTTCACCAAAGAACTGGAACGTCACCGTCACACACCGACCACCGCGCTCCAGAGCCAGCCCCGATACCTCGACCTTGTACGCCTCGAGCATCAGGCGTCGGCCACAGGATACAGACTGCCTGGCTGGTTGCGAGTACAACCACCCTCTCGAGCTGTTTCCGTGGCGTCGCCTGCACCCATGGCGGACCCATGTGAACCAGGCTCCCCACCTTGAAAATGGGTATCAAAGGGTATGACATGTCGTCCTCCCGAACACCACCGGTCAAACCCAGCACTCCCTAACATCGCCTCTAGCATTTACAAGGAGATCGGCCCAGGGAGGAGAGAGTCCCTGGCCAAGCTAGCCGTCACCACGCTTGAGCACGAGGGCAGGCCGCTGCGTATCGCCATCGACATCTCCATCTGGCAGTTCCAGACCCAGGCTGCCCGCGGCGGTGCCAACCCGGCAATCCGCACCCTCTTCTACCGGCTCTTGCGGCTCCTCAGCCTTTCCATACAGCCCATCTTCGTCTTTGATGGTCCAAACAAGCCTGCCTTCAAGCGCAACAAGCGCTCTGGCCGCGGCGATGGTCTCTCCACCGCCATGGCCAAACGCCTGCTCAACCTCTTCGGCTGCCTAGTCCACGATGCCCCCGGAGAGGCAGAAGCCGAGTGTGCCCTCCTGCAGCAGCACGGGATCGTCGATGCCGTCCTCAGTGAGGATGTTGACACCATCATGTTTGGCTGCACCCGGACCCTCCGCAACTGGTCCGCCGAGGGCACAAAGGGAAGCAAGGCTCCCACTCACGTCTCCATCTACGAAACCCAGGATATCGCCAGAATTGCTCCAGGTCTGGATCGCGAGGGCATGGTCCTTGTGGCTCTCATGAGTGGCGGTGACTACATCCCAGAAGGCATTCCGGGGGCTGGTATCAAGCTAGCTTGCGAGGCTGCCAAGGCCGGTTTCGGCACCTCGTTATGCAGACTGAAGCGTGCCGACACGTCTGCGTTGACATCGTGGAAAGAATGGCTCATCTACGAGCTGCGCACAAACGAAAGCGGCTTCTTCCGGGTCCGGCATAAGGCTCTCTCTATCCCAGAAGATTTCCCCAACTTCGACATTTTGCGGTACTACACACACCCAGTCGTGTCACCTCAGTCCGTCCTGGAAACACTTCGGCAGAAACGGTGGCAGAATCCCATCAATGTACCAGGACTACGCGAGTTCTCCAGGGAAACATTCGACTGGGACTACAGGGGTGGAGCCTTCAAGTTCATTCGTGTCCTCGCGCCAGTCTTGTTGGTTCAAAGGTTGATGGACCGAAGCGGGAGGCCCGAGGAGAGTGCCAGTGATGTCGACACCTTGGCGACGGAGGAGAAGCAGCTAGTCAGAGCCGTTTCCAGCCGAAGAGCACATTTCAGCACAGATGCAACTCCAGAACTACGCGTGTCATTTATCCCCACCGAGATTGTAGGCCATGCCTTTGAAGAGGAACCAGAGGAGGTCATCGAGTCTGCACGCGATGGTCTAGCGTTGAACAGTGACGACGACGTCGATGCTGAGGATGGTGACCTCGAGGCAAATTCCAAAGCCGGAGGGAAGAAGCCTTTCAGCCCAACCGAGCCGGACCTTGCCTGGATCCCAGAAACCGTTGCCAAGCTTGGTATTCCTTTGACAGTAGAAGACTGGGAAGCTGCCCAGCGAGCCAAGCTCTCTCGGAAGGGCCAAAAGGTGAAGACCACAACATCGAAGGCCGGGAAAGCGCAAGCTATAAACAATGGCGCAGGCTCGCTCGACAAATTTGTCCGTGTCACCAAACCGCTGCCGGGTGGTAGAGAAACTGCCAAGGATTCATCTGTTGTGCCTCCTGGAACTCAATCCACCTTTGTTGGGAATCTCGCAGCCCAGACATATACCCCCTTCAGTCCGACTGCCGCCCGGCCGTCGAAATCCAATATACCGCCAACGTCAAACTACCCTAACCAGCGCAATCGTGGGGGCAGAACAAGTAAGCAAAACAAGCGTGAAAGCACGCGGAATACCCCATCAACACGGCCAAGATTGGATTCGAGCACCAACCCATGGACGATCGCTGGCTCACAAGTCAGCCCTAGGACTGCCAGGACCACCACCACCTCAGATCCCATTCTCATCCATTCCAGCCCGGCTGCCTCGCCTTCTGCGCTTTCGCTTTCCCATGTGACGGCCGTGGAGGACGATGTTCCTCAAGATGGCGGCATTGGTTCCATGAAACCGTTGTCGAACACGAGCCCTCAGAAGCGACGGTCTGTCACACCATCGAGTGAGTTGCAAAGATCAGTCACCCAATACAGCGACCTGGCACCGCCAAGTAGCCCGACTCCACAACGACCGTCTCGCACATCCAGGAAACTGGCCCGGACAGAGTCTATGCCAGCAGCTACTTCACCACGACAACTTGACAAGGCTGAACCGCGGCCAGCACGCGAATTAGTGCGAGCACATACGGTCGCGGCAGATATCATAGAACTGGTAGACTCCGACGATCCTGACGATGATGATGATGATGATGATGATGATGATGATGACCTGCCGCCTGTTTCATCCATGTGCGGGCGAATTCCTGGCAGTAAAGTGCCCGAGGTGCCAGCAACGAGCACTGCGCCCTCACCCCGGCGGAAGCTTTTCTCATCGCCAGCATCATCCAGCCACCCCGGACAGAGCATAGCAGGTGCGGCGGCTACAAAACAATTGAAAATGACCAATTTCACATCCATCACCAAACCGACTGCCCGACTGGATGGTGATGCCTCGAAGAAACAGGCTGGCGCAGCACGCACGACTCCCGCCCATTCCGGTAGCGAACACAACGACCAGGACGCATTCGGGTCTAGGATGACCAAGATGTACGTGCCGAGTGAACGTGCGCCAGGATTTTACAGAGAAATTGAAGTTACCGTCGACGAGGCAGAGGCATACAAGGAAGGGCGTGCGGCGCTGGGGTTGCGTGCAATGCGCCGCGATAAGGCGTGGCGGAGGAGCGATGTCTCGTGTGTCGATCTTACTGGTGAAGAGTGAAGGATTGGGCTCACAGGCATGTCCTTGCAACATTGTCACGTGTGGCACTGGGTTTTCTTTGGTGGAAGCTCTATCATCAGAATCTCAGCCATGGTGGCTGCAAATCAACAACCCAGAAGGCAAGCAAGTTCAGTCTCGGGACCTGCTCTGTGAGCATCAACGCCGTCGGACGCGTTATGGAGATCATCTGCGCGAACGCAAAGACAATGTGAGCTATATAGTATTTGGGGGGTATCCTGCAATTATGCACAAACAGCCGTCTCTAAAATGCAGTCGGTCAAAAGAAGCCTCTCCGCTTCCAGTCAATCTGAAGAAATGCATCGTCCACTGACAATCCTCCTCTTTCTACGCACAAATGGCCAGCAGATGCGCCGTTGCCATTCCACGGCAACGATCCAAAGCAACTTGAAGCCAATCTCCATGTACATCAAAGATCGGTAATAACTCCTGTCAATGCCAAGCATGGGTCATGTAAATCATTATGTCGTCATCTTCATCGCGGCGGGAACCCCCGGGTACGCGGTAACCTGCCTTGTCATGCCCGCGGCAAGCGCCGGCTTCACTCTGCATCCCACGGGAGGTCTCTTTCGTGGACGCGGATGCAAGTCAGGTAGCTCGTCATGCTGTTCACGGGTGGTGCCGCAAGCGCGGGTCGCCCGTCCGGACTCGGCGCATTGGACTCCCGGTCCATCTCGAGCTCGAGCCCCGTGCCCATTAGCGGCCGCACAATCTCCCTCGCGGCTGCCTTCAGCTCATCGATACGCTTCTCGAACCGCCGGAGGTTGTCCCTCGAGTACAATTCTGGTGACAGCTTGAGAAATCGTTTGCACTCGTCGTGATCCAGGAACCCACTCCCGCTGGGGGACCCAAGCGTCCGATAGGTCCGGCCTATGCTGGCAAGACTCGGGAGGGTTGCAGCAGCCTGCACGGCCGCAGACGTGCGGTCCCGTGGACGGTGTCGGTCCGAGTTTGACGGCGGTTCCTGGGGTATGCTTGTCCCAGACGTGTTGTCTGCGAGCCATTGTCGGAAAAAGGAGACGGCGAGCCAGTCGAGGAACGAGGTACCCGGGCTTGTCTTCTCACCGCGCGAATTCGTGAGTGTCAGCCTAAACAAACGCCCTTCGATGCGAGAGACCGTCTCTTCGAGCTCGTCCACCTTATCTTCGATGATGTCGAGAACTGAATCTGGCAGAGCATGCCTGATGCTCCTCTCTCCTGCCGGCCACTGTCCGACGACGTGGATCAGAGCCTCTTGGAATATGATTTTGCTACGTGCAAGGTAGCCAAGCCGAAGATAGCTGACCGGGTATTTGGCTATCTGCTTCCAGAGGCGGGTCTGAAACTGGAGCAGGTGGTGATCGACCCGGGGCCCAGTGACTGCGAGGGCGTCGTACTGATCTGCAAGCGTAAGGAGGGACTTGCACTGGACATATGCATCTGCGATGTTGATGCCGTCCAGGATGGGAGGATAATTGTAGAACACTCTGAACAAGTTATCGTAGTCGCGCAGCAGGTCGATTTCTGCTTGGGAAAGCGGCGTTTCGGGCTCGGTCCTTGTGGGAACTAGTGACAAGTTTGCAACAGAGCGGAAGAACGAGCCATTGGAGTGTGTGTGCTGATGTCCCGATGGTCGATTCCTCACAACCGGGGTGTTCGCGGTACGTCCGCTGCCGCCCCCGAACAAAGATCCAGTTGCTGTCGATGGATTGGTTGTAGCCTGGGGCGCTGGCTCGGCATCCTTCTGGATGAGCATTGGTATGTCATCCCTTCCGGTGCCCGGGTCTAGTTCATACCGCCACCGCCTCCTCGGCTCCGAAGATTGGCTGTCGGAATTCGTTGTTCGTGCCAATTCGTTATTATTCGTGCTTCCCACAACACTACCCTCAGTTGAGCTGCCGCCACGGCTGTCCTCTCCTATTCTCGCAAGGTCCCGAGTCGGCGGCTCTGGTAGCGCCGGCACCACAGCGGCCTTGGACCATTGCCGGCTGGTGCTAGCCTCGAAGAAGCCGGAGCATCGTGTCAGGGTGTGGCGATGCAGCAGGTACCGGTTTTCGACGTGCCCGGCCTTGATGAAAATCTCGACATCGCCCGAGTGGTTGAAGATTGGAAACTCATTCTGAGGGACGTAGGAAGTGCCGCCGGCATGTGATCTGTTGTAGCGCTTGCTCCTCGAAGACGCATAGGGGCGTGAAGTCGAGGTGCGGGCGGAGACGACGGACTGGGCGCCCCTGACCGTGAGCGAGGACGACGGCGGCGAGTTCTTGTCGCGATCGGGTTGCGAAACCATGGGTGCGGGCCTGTGGGCAAGAGACTTTACGATGTCTGGTGTTGACCGAAGCTGGTCCCTGGCCGCGCAGGGCGGCGGTCTCGAGCTGTCACTGCAAGCCCAGGGTGTGCAGGCAGGCACAGCTGGAGACAGCAAGTCACCTCAAACCCATCCAGCAGACCAGCGTGGGAGGGTTGAGGGCGGTGGTCGTGGTTGTGTGCGCAGGCGTGAGTGTCTCAAATGCGGTCTGGCACGGGGTGCGGAGGGGCTTTCGAGTGCGGTCGTGAGTTTCGGCGGGTGAGCTAGAGCAGAGCAGCGTCGGTGTATTTATTGCACGCCAGGCTGCTGTGGTCCTGACAAGATTGAGGCTGGAGTAGTCTGCTTGCGGTTGTCGTGGGTATGGGTCGACAAGGCTGTGTTGTAGTTTCCAGCAAAGATCGTGCACATGGGAGGAGCTGTCAGATGGAGGTGGTGTATGCACGCACGGAACAAGTCACAAGGAACAACAGGCGCCCCCGGCAAGGACAAGGCGAATGCGCGGAGGTCGCGTGAAGAAGCATTGAGCAGGGCGGCGGTCGAAAGAGGGAGCTCCTATGAGGGGGCAGCCAACTGATTGCCCTGCTGCACGTGTGGGTGTGTGGACGACAGTGTCCCACGCCGTCGCAGCCAGTCAGGCTCTAGCCTGGCCGCGTCCCAGCTGAACGTGCAGCAGCTGCCGGTTTCTCATCTGAGGCTCCTGGTTCATTCGTTGGTCGTCCATCGACGTCAGGCTGTGTGTGTATGTGCGTCTGCCAGCAGTCCGTGGGAGCCCTCTTTCGCCACTTCCCCTTACCTCTAAACCACTTGAAAGGAAGGCCGCCGAAACGACTCGCTCCCCCGACATCAATGTACACACAGAGACGCCTCAAGCACATTCGGGCTTCTTGGCTCTGGAATCCTCCAGGCCGTGTCATTATACAGTTCCGAATGAACCACCCGTGCTGGCCGCACTTCATGAGAAACCACGACAGCCAAAAGAGCAGCACGTTCCAATCACCAAGAACCGTGTAACAAGTCGGTCACCTCTGCTCCGGCATTCACGGTTGGTCCATTCGGCATATGCACGCACGTACAGCTTAGTGCAACTCACGCCTTTGCCTCCAGTCTGCCTTGCCAGCATGGCCGCCTCCACTTTTGTGTCAAGCAGGCAACCTTGGAAGCCATGGCAGCAAGGAACAGCAAGCAAAGCAAACTGCCATGAGCGGATCCGGCGCGGCCAGTCCGGCCGCCACCACGACTCGCTCCACAACTAAAAGATGGCTGGCTGGGGTCCACTCTCACTATCGATAAGCGTACACGGGCCGCGCCAGCCCCGGCTGCACGCAGCACCCGTGGACACCACCACGGACGGGAACCCTCGCAGCCTCGGTGACAAGCCTGAGGCGTGGGTGGCCCCTTGAAGTCGTGTGCTCCTTCGAAAGCGGCCAGCTTATCCACGCCTTGCTTACCTCGTCACGCCACAGACATTGATCCTGGTAAGCAGTCACTGCCCGCTCCTTGTGGCTCCCACAGCGACAGGCCGTGTCGCATTCTTGAACAAGATCGCTACACCGCGCGTATGTCCAATGGCATTGGTCACAGCGCATCGTCTTGAGCTGAATTTAAAGCTTATCATCTTTAGGAATCTATTGAGCTTTGCGTACCTAGAATTGTTACACACGTAATGGTAGTCAAGTAATCGTGAAGCAGTAGCAGTAGAACGCCGATGTGATCCCAAAATCCAGTAGGGGCCGAAATTGCAGAACCTAACCCCCCTCCCCGCGAGTTTTTGCGCCAGTCATGATTGAAAAAGAAAGCGTATCCGAGCCAAGTATCGACATGATCCTTTGCGTGCCATTAGATCATTTCCACCTCGACATTGACAGCCTGCTGAGGTATCGTGGGCCCCACGGGTGAAGGGGACACAGCTGCAGACATGGGGGCTGCACCTTCAAAAACGGGAGGGTTGGAGCGGAGGTTCTCAAAGGTGCGGTTGAGATCCTTGCTGACGAATTGGCCCTGCTGGAGGTTCTCGGCGAACAGAAAATAACCTTCAGTGGCCTCGACAAGATATGACTGCAGGCCACGACTCTCGAGCTGGATCTGCACATTGGTAACGGGGAAGTGATTCTCAATATACCGAGCCCATCCACGAGCTGCGGCTTGGATGTGCTCGTCCTGGCTGAGCCTGCTCCAGCCAATGCCAAGGTGCAGCGTAAAGTTGTCGATGCTAGGCTGCGAACTGGCAGCTGAGCTGAGCGCCTCTGCGTCGCGGACGGGGCTTGAGCGATTGGAGCGCGAGCCGTTCTCTGGGATCGACACGGCAGTCATATCCAGGCGCTGGGACTTGTTGGTTCTCAATGACGGGCGAGTTTGTTGGTCGACAGCACGAGCCTCCTCGTCCTTGCGTGCCTTCTCCGCGGCGGCCTTCTCTTCCAACCAAGTGCCAGATTGGCTGCTGGCCTCAGAGACATACGAGGACTTCTTGATCAAGGTCATGCCAGGACCAAAAACCCAGCCATCTTCGGACTCCTTGACAGGCTCAACGGTGGACAGCTTGGCTTCGGCCACGTCAAGATTGACCCCAGCTTCGTCTCTGGACCGTTTGCGGCTTGTCCGTGTAGTGCTCGCCATTTGCATTTGTGCGAACCCTGGCTGCATGCCCGAACCAGAGGCGAGGTTATTGAATAGAGTGGTTTGGTGGCCAAAGTTAGCCGCGCCGAAGGGCTGATGGGCCACACCGGATGGCATAGTCAGGACTGGCGAGGCTGTGCGTTGGAAGGCCATGGTGAGATGTGAGTGTCTGAGTAGCTAGAAAGGAACTTGTATAGTATTAGACAGCTCGGGGAGGTGGGTGATGGGCACGACGTTGCTTCAAGAGCAGGGTCTGAGAATGGGTAGTCCAGCAAAGTGGAACAAGGCACCGGGGCTCAAAAGATGATGTGCAGACCTGTCAACGAAGGACAAGGGCTAAAGAACAGGCACTAGACAAGATAGGGTGCCAATTGGAGGAGGAGGAGGGAGAGGCAGGATACGCGTGAGGATACCTGGGGAGGGCGTAGGTCTGACTATTGACCGTTCGGAGTGGCTGCAGGAGATGGCAGGTGTTTGGTTTGTAAGTGAGGGCTCGATGAGCCACGATGGGAATCAAGAGCAACAAGCCCAGACTAGCACGGGATGGACCGTATCAAAGGTCACAAGACGACAAGGTGTGGGGGAGTAGTGAAGAAGGCTTGGGGTATTTGAGAGAAGAAGGGTTCACGTAGTAGTTATGGGGTGGGCAGGAGGTGGGAGAAGGATGGATGTCGTGCGAGAAGGGGAGAGAGTTTGGGGGTGCCTGCGAGAGAACAGTGGGAGATAAGTCGAGGTGCAGTGAGGACTGGAATGGGCGACGTGAGAGTCGAAGGCTTCCACCCGGAGAGGTGCATCCTGGGGAGACCAGGATTTGCTGCCGCTCCGGCTTGCCATTGGCCGAACCTCCCAGCGGCGCGCGGGAGTGCCGTGGGCGAGCAGGTACGTATCCAGGCAGGCTTGGCTCTGGAGGTACTCCGTACCTTGGTAGCGACCAGGAGCTCGTCCGCTCCATCTGTGCCGGGACGTCGCAGCTGCTCGTACAGCCAAGCTCGGATCCTCCCCAAGACGAGCGGACACTCTAACCTGGGCGAGACCCTAGGAGACAAGACAAGCTAAGTGCGGCGCCGGGCACACGACAGAGCACCAGTCCGGGTGGGGCTCTCTTGAATCGTCGCGGACCTCGCGGTTGGCTGGACAAGCACCTCTCACGCCACAGGAGGGGGATACAAGGTTATGAAGTACTACTTGTGTGAAATTGCCACGGTGATGCGGGACCAGGTACAGGAAGGGGAAGTTTCTCGCTCGGGTGGGTCTAGAGCACTCTGAGAGATCATGGATGGAGTCAGCTCTTGGAACCCTGAACCTGGGGGGATCCCGATGCCGTGCAGGCTTGCTGTGATTCGCTGCCTGTCTGGACATCATGCTTTGTCCTAAGCTCAACTGAGACGCTCTCGATCAAGCCAAGCAGGTGGAGCCCTGTTGGCAATCATTGTTGCCCCCGGATCCACCGGTCTCTCCTTTGCTCGGCCGTTGCTAGGCCCGCTCGACAGACACGCCAGCAGAATCCTTTCCCAGAGTAATCTTTTCCCAGAGTGGTCCAAGCGTGCACGACGAGACTCTGCTCCATACCTCGCAGCCTCTCTCTCCATCACTCGTCATCGTACGCTGGTGCACTCGTGATTACTTTCTTGCGCTCATGCTCCTGCGTGGGGTGGACCATGTAAAGACCTGACTAGCGTTCCTCGACTTTTCTGCCGTCCAAAATTTGTGAACATAAGTGTGTGCCGGGACGCGCTCCTGTCACACGTGCGGATCTGGAGCTCAGACGCGAAGGCGTGTTGATTGTGACGAGAATCTCGAATGTATACCTGGGTACAACATTGCTTTTGCCGTTGCTGGTAGTACTCTGAGATTCACATTGCCTAGCCATCGTCGGTTTCTCTCTATCCCTCTGCTTATAGTTGTCCTAGAAATGCCCTCGACGGTTGGTGCATCGAGACTGATAACGTGTTCAATGGAATGATTGGTCGAGTCGGATGTCTGGACTGCTTTTTACGATGTTGAGGATGAACCACGTCGTCGTGCAACGCTCACTCCCGTCGCCAGGTGAGTTTCCTTTACTTGTATGCGACGTATGCCTGGTGTGATTGCTGAGTCGTGAATGCGGCTTCGATGTCGTGCCTCTGGTAGACTTTGTGGGGTTTGTGGCTGTTGCACAGCTGGCAGCGCGTCGTTGTATATCTTAAAGCCGTGAGGTTTCCTTCCACCCAAGCCTTCTTGGGTGAAGTCGAGTACTGAGGACGCAGAGCGAGAACGCTGTCGTGCCTCACGATGCTCAGGCTTGTCCCTAGAACGAACGCTAACTGGGCAGTCCAGCTGTGCCCGCCCCAAGGTCGAAGGCTCAGGCATCCCATCGTTCTCAACTTCGTAGTTCTTTTGTTTGTTAGGTTAGCCAGATGGGCGTCAATAGAACCAATCGACAAACTTACGGTAGATAAACTCCGACTAATTGATATCACCGACGATGAACACTGAGAGTCACACTCGAGCTTGTCCGCTAGCGACCCTTCAGCTTCAGGCCACTGCTCAGCAAGCATACTTGACGATCGTGCGTCTTCGGCATGACAAGTGTCTGATGCATTGTCCGACTCGCCCACGCCTGCAGGTTGCACTAGACTGGAAGGCGAAGGCGAATGAGGCCAATCGCTTGGTTCTGCTTTGTTGTCCTGATGCTCAGAGAATCTTGCATCCGCCCCAAAATGGTGCATAATCCAATTCGGTTGTGCAGAGGAGGCTAAGCACGGCTCGCCGGGTTCATCCGGCTCTTCCATCTTCGCCCAAGTCCCGCCTTGCTGATCTGCGCAGAGTCTAAAGCTGATGTTCTTTGCGAGATAGTGTTTATAGCGCTGATGCAGCTCAAATGCATTCACTTCTGCCATGGTCAGAGAAATGGGTGTGGGTTGGAGACGCAACATCGTGCTGATTATTCGTTTCTGAGAGGAATGGAACGCGATTGTAAAGGAGAGCACAACCGGATAGCCAATATTGGACTGAGGCAAGCAGCAAGGAAAGGTCTCATAGAGATGCGGCTGTCGTTGAGGCCTGCACGGAGTTGGCTGATGCTGGCGCCCCCGTGGATGTTCCCAGGCTGCGCTGGAGATTTCGATTCTAGATGATCAGATCTGGGGCAATTGCCACCAGAATCTGGAAGACTCGCAGTGGACGGCACAGGGACATCAAGAGCATCGCGGGACATGTGGCAGATGCGGGCTGCATCGTTCCTGCCTTTATCTAACGACTCTGGGGTAGATCGCCCTTCTCGTCATTACAATCTTACGGATCAGAACAAGCACATCCATTGCAGCTGCTTAGCTCCGACGAGCGCCGATTCTGTTTGTGGCCCGTCTGAGAGGCCTGTAAGAGCCGTTTGACCATCTGGAATAATGGGTGCATGCTGCGCATGGACAGAAGTGCGGGCTGGTCGGCCACAGATAGTCATCAAGTCGAGGCCAGGGTCCAGTCGTCCAGCGACCAGACAAGACCTGCAACAGATCGCGATGCCTGCCAGGCGGCATGTTGACATATTGTTGGCGGTTACAGAGATATGATGAGCATCTCCCAGGATATTGCCAATATCAAGCCCCCCTGCGATAAACTCGGAGATACGCCCAGTGCTGATGCTCCTCGTGGTTGACGACGACGACAATCGCCCACTGGGTGAGCCTCACCTGTGCCTGAAGCTCACGCGTCGTAGATGACAAGGGCACAAACCCGAAAGCGAGTACGGCCTGGTATTTCTGCGAAGCTCGCCTGGCACTGCGTCGGCTTCATCCCTCGCGGAGCTCCATGTCCTGCCTGTCCTGTTTGTCTTGCCCTGGAGGGAGGGACTGACCTTAGCGTCCTGTCATTCCATTTCGAGATGGGGCACCTGGGCACTGCTGGGGAAAGCCATCCAAGGTCAACGTAGTGCAGTGATGCGTTCCATGGCTCGGGCCAGCTTAGTGGCACCGGGGCCACCTAGGGGATGTGCGCCCAGCTGCTCCCGTCGGTCGACGCCTGCCCGCGGCCGCCCTGGAGCCACAGCCGTTTCATTCCTGCCTGCCTGCCCTGCCTGTCCTGTCCAGGTGTCCACGCTCGCTCGGCCTCGACTCGTGCGGGACAGTGCCAGCACCCGCGAGGTCGTGTCTAATATCCTCAACGACAACCGCGGAACGCTCTGCCTTTACCCGCACATTAATAGGGCAAACCCCACGACGCCTCAAGACACCATCAAGACTTCTGTTGTCTTGTCTGCCGTGGCTGCGACACGGGCAATACGCATTACGCCCCTCTCTCCCTGGGACGACGGCCCCTGGGCGTGCACCAAGCTTACCACACACGCCGCCTAGCCTTGGGCCCTTGTTCTTGGTTGGCCACCGCTCACAACGACCTCCTTGTCGCTCGCTTTACCCTAGGTCATCAACGACAGTTCGCGCTGCCTGGCGCTGCTCTGGCATCCTGATCCTGCCGCTGGATCCTAGCAGAACCTCTCCTTGATTCATATCGCCTCCACGGCTCTAGCAGCTTGCCGCACCCTGCCCCAAGCACCAGATTGGGCCACGTCGTTCCATTACTCGCAACAGCCCATGGTTCGCCCTTGAGGTCAATCGTCCGTTCGTTCTCCACGGCTCGCAAGTAGTCTGTGAGTCGTTAATACCGCCCCTCAGATGATCTCTACTGGCCATGGCAGGCGTCGCCCCCTCTTCTGGCCAGGTATGCGATTCAATCGCTGATCACAAGCACTTAGTCCTTCACGATACTCGGAATCACCCCGACAGCCACATGCCCAGCGTCCCTCATCATGAATAATGACCTCAGCCTGTCTGGGGCTCTCGGTGGTCTGCGGATCACGAACCCCGATGACGCGAATCAGAGTCCGCCCGGCGACCTGTCTACCGATCATGTGGAAGCTTCTATTGGTCTTCCTGCCTTGTCGACCTCTCCGTCGCATCTCTCATATAACCCAATGACCCAGAGTTCCGAACAAAGCGACCAGACCGCCACCTCGGCATACAAGTCTCAGTTCGACCAGCCAGGCGATCCGTCGACATTCCCCCAGAATGGATCAAACCCGTACTCGAGCTCGGCACCTCGACCAGTCTCGGCGATGTATTCGGTAGCCAGCGCTGCCGAACGAGACCAGGCCGCGAACTCGTACAGTGCTCTTCGAAACGACAACTCACGATCCTCTGCGTACGGCGCGCCGTCACGCTCCGACTCGAGATCGAACGCCACCGGCTACCCAAACCACATTCCCTCGCGAGAGCCTAGTTATCGGGAACGAACATATCATGCAGACCGCTCCCCGCCCATAGGCAGTGGGAGCGGGCCTCTACCGCCTCGGCGAAGTTCCAAAGGGATGGGCGGCGGTTATGCTTCTGTTCCCGGTGTTCCATACGCGCCCGAGTCGCGGACTCCAATGCCTCAAGAGATGCAAGTCTCTAGCGGTAGCGAGGAATGGAAAGATCGTGGAGCGGCCGTGTCCATGCGGAAAGAGGTCGATGCCAATGGCCGGACAGTCATGAAACCGGTTAAGAAAGGTGTTAGGGACTTCTCATTCGGCCGAATACTTGGCGAAGGTTCTTACAGTACAGTCTATCTTGCGACAGATCGCCAGACGCTAAAAGAGTACGCGATCAAGGTCCTGGGCAAGAAGCACATCATCAAGGAAAAGAAGATCAAGTATGTCAACATCGAAAAGGATACCTTGAACCGGCTCACTGAACACCCCGGAATCGTTCGGCTATACTACACCTTCCAGGACGAAAACTCGCTCTACTACGTCTTGGACCTCTGTACTGGCGGCGAGCTTCTGGGTGTGCTTAAGAAGACTGGGACCTTTGATGAGGAGTGCACACGTTTCTTTGGCGCCCAAATTCTGGATGCCATCGAATACATGCATTCGAGAGGAGTCATCCATCGAGACCTCAAGCCCGAGAATGTGCTCCTTGACGATCAGATGCACGTCAAGATTACGGACTTTGGTACAGCGCGCTTGCTGACAGACCCCCGGAACCCGAAACCCCCTGGTGATCCGAACTCGAGGGGGAAAGAACAAGACGACAACCGCGCAGGCTCCTTCGTCGGCACGGCCGAATACGTGAGCCCTGAATTGCTCACTAACAAGAACGCGTGCAAAGCCAGCGACTTGTGGGCATTCGGGTGCATCATCTATCAGCTCTTGGCTGGCCGGCCACCCTTCAAGGCTGGCTCGGAATACCTGACATTCCAAAAGATTGTCAGCCTGGAGTACGAGTTCCCGCCTGGATTCCCTCCTGCTGCCCGAGACCTGGTCGAGCGGTGCCTCGTACTCGACCCAGCGCGCCGCCTTACTATTGAGCATATCAAGAACCATGAATTTTTTGATGGCCAGCCGTTTGGTAAAGGACTTTGGAAAACCAAAGCACCCCGCCTTAGGCCTTATGTCCCTCCTGCGCAAGAGCCAAAAGTCATTCAATTGAACAGTGTACCGACGACAGCGCAGGCTGCTTCTGCTTCCCGGCAGAACTTGGCAGGTTTGAATGGTAACAGAACCCCGGGTAGAATCATTACGGATATTCCGCCGCCGTCGCAACTTGATATCGAATGGTCCCCTGTTCTGAGTAGAACCAACGAAAGGATACTGAGACTCGGTGACCTCATGGTGCTGTCGACCCCCATCGCCAATGGGCCTAATGGAAAAGATGGGGATGGGCACCGAAAGCTCTCTCGTTTCTTTGGAGGTAGCACCACAAAGAAGAGACAGAGGCTTGTCATGATCACGTCAAGTGGAAGAATCATATTGGCACCAGCTGGCGGCGAAGAAAAGAAATCGAAGCAGGAAATTTCCCTGCTTGCCTCCGATTGTGCTTGGAAAACCCAGATCGATGCTAAGGGACAGACGGTCTGGACTGTGGACTCGGTAAGCATCGCCAGCATCCCTCAGATTTGTCGATCTCATTTACTTATGTGTGATAGAACGGCATGCATTACACCTTCGAGGATGCGAAAGCGCCGTCATCTCTAGACTCCTCCCGACCGACCGCGAACGACTGGATTGAAAGTCTCGACCAGGCAAAAGAATTCGCCTCGAATCTGTCAAGTTCGTACGGCGGAGATACAGGTTTTGGAGACATGCAATCTTCCATGTCTAGCCCTGCGAGTACATTCCACGGAAACAGGGATTTCCCAGCCGAGGGCTACAGCATCAGCGATAGATCTCACCGCAACCACCTCAGCAAGAGTCAAGCGAGCCTTGATGATACACTGCCCCAGAAGCGAAACAGATTCAGCAAGCGCCAAAGCAAGCAAGGACTTCAGTCTGCATTCTGAGGCGCCACCAGAAAAATGCGTCAAAACCCCCGTTCCCTGTTTCAACAGATTCTCGAGTTTCCTTTGTGGCAGTTGCCTCTTTGTGCGAGCATATTCGAGCGAGGCGCCGGCTTTTGTTTTCTTCTTGATCATCACAATAGCGGATGTATGTAGTTCGTGCATATAGTTTCAAGGGAGTTTGCTGTGGCGGTGGACAACGCAGGGTTCCTCCTCGGCCCTTGCCGAATGGCCCGGAAGGGCAGTCTGAATCGGCAGATAGCGACTCACCCATCGTGAATTCTGAAATTTGGCGGCATTTTCATGATGTTAGCACATGTCGTGTCGACGTGCCCAGTAGTATAAATCTATTGTCGTTAGTCACACTAAATCCAACCTTGGAAGTGGTGGCTCTACAGTGCGAAGTGAGTCCACTCACTGGTGGAGCGCCGCATTACACACTGTCTGCCGGACCTGACCAGCCACCAGCCACCAGCCATTCGCAGGCACCTGGGGGGAGGCAGTGTTGCAACTCGCTCAAGGTTACGCGCAACCTCGACGATTTCCGACGCGAATCCACCCCCTGTGACCTTTCTAAAGTTCGACCGGGAAATTCGTGCTTTATCGTCCTTCACCAGCCTTTGATTGCCGATCCCACTCGCGCCTGAACAGACGCGTTGTACGGGGCGCTCCCTCTGACAAGAGGATTTCCGTGGTCAAATTGGGACACCCGACTCTTGGCTTTGTCGGCACTGAAGTCCGTCCAGCCCGCGCGCGCCCCATCGCATCGCCGCACGACCACTCCATCCCCCAGTAACGCGCCGCTTAGCATCTCCACGATCTCGTCTACCCTAGCATCGCGACATTGCCAAAATCCACGAGTCAGCATGCAGCCAGGCTATCGCCCATACCCGCAACAACAGGCGCCGCCGCCGCAGCAGCAGCGGCCACCTCATACTGCCCAAGGCGGTGGTGGCGCCCAGCGTCGTGGCGGAATTGGTACGTTCACTTGCCTTGCCCAGCAGCGATCACATCACCACGCAGCCATCGTCCTCATCGCCCTCCCGTCGCTTCCCTTCCTAGTCGGCGCTGTTCTGCTAGTCTCCACTCATCATCTCGGCGCGGCACATTCTCACGCGGCTCCACTGTCCGTCTCGTGGCTGCCAAACTCGTGTTATGCGCCGCCGTTCAACGAGTTTTACTCATTGCGAACGGGCAGTCGCGATTGCCTAGAGCCACCCGAGCGAGCCCCTGACGACCCGCCATCGCCACTGTTACTTTGAGAAGAACTTGTCTAATCGTCACACCGATAATAGGCCCTATGATGTCGTCCGGCGTGTCTGGGCCGCACCACCAGCTGCCACTGAACCAGCATCAGATCGCGCAGCAGCAACAGGCTGCAGCGATTCAGGTCGAGATGGCCAAGCGCCGAAGTCGCAAGCCCACCGACAAGAACCTCCCTGACGATATCGATAATGCTACCATTGGCGACATGGCTTCTCGCTACCGAGATCTGCGCGAGTTCGAGAGGCGGCTAGACGCTACCATGACGCGCAAGCGGTTGGACATTGTTGACTCGGTCAACAGGAGCGTCAAGGTGAGACATCATGTTTAGGCATGCGTCGCTTGTGCATCGCTGACAATGCTTGCGCAGAGATGGAAAACACTGCGCATCTGGATATCGAACACGGCCGAGGACCAGGTCTGGCAAGGCAATGATCTGGACGTCAACAGCTTCGACTTCAGCTCTAACCTTGAGCCTACGTATCGCGTCAAGATTGAAGGACGGCTCCTCGATGACGAGGACGACGATTTGGACGAGGACAAGCCTGCAGTCACCGATTCCGACGCGATGGATGTTGAAAACGCGACCACTACCAAGGGCATCAAGACACAGAAATACCGCCTGTCACATTTCTTCAAATCCCTGTCTGTCGACTTCCCCGCCAACAGGAAAGGCATCGATACCAGCGTCGAGTGGAAGAAGCCTGAGCGCAACGGTCAAACTGCGAACCTCCCCCCGTCTGCCGACTTTGACGAGTTCACGTTTAAGAGGAGTGGCGATGAGACCATGAATATTACAATCAATCTCTTCCGCCACGAGGAGCCGGAGCGATATGCCCTATCGCCGGCGCTGGAGGACATCGTTGATCTTTCCGAGGCCACACGACAAGAGGTGGTTACTGGATTGTGGGAGTACATCAAGATGCTCGACCTGCAAGAAGATGAGGAGAAGCGCAACTTCCGCTGCGATGAATTGCTCCGCAAAGTAAGTTACCTTGATACGGCCAGCCGCGTCTCATGATTGCTGACAATTTCCATGTGCAGGCATTCAACATTGAAATGGGATCGATCCCAAAGCTCCATGAATACATCACACCACATCTGAAAACATTGCCCCCAGTGCAGCTCGTGTACACTGTACGGCTCGACGAGGAGTTTCACAAGAACCCGCAACCTACCGTGTACGACGTCCGCGTCGCTGTGGATGATGCGCTGCGAGACAAGATGGTCTCGTTCCTGAACAATGCTGGCTATGCAAGCATGCTCAAGGACGCTGCATCTCTCGATGATCAACTGGCGACCATCGTGCAGGCTATCCACGTATCGAAGTCGAAGCATGCGTTCCTGACTGCGCTGAGTGAGGACCCAGCGACATTTGTGCGCAACTGGCTGAGCTCACAGAAGAGGGACTTGGAGATCATTATGGGCGAGTCCATGCGTGGCGGCAGCGATAATTTCAATGGTGACGAGTGGCGGAAGGGAGGCCGGGATAGCGTCTGGAACACGGTCAACGCCCGCGAGAGCATCAGCGTCATGTTGGCAAAGCAGATGCCACAATTGCAGCAGCGGTGATTCTTGGCGTGCTATTTTCTTGGTAGACTTAGGAGTTTGGGCGCAAATCCTGAAGCGATGGATCGAGGACGTGAGAAGATCATTGGGGCCTATCTGGTCAGTTTGCATGCACAGCATCTTGATCTGGGTTCTGCATATTGTATATACGGGCAATGGCGTTCGAACGGAGCCATTTCCCCCCAGGATGTTCCAATTACTTCTTGGTCGTGAGTTTCCCATGCATCAATGAACAACGCACGAGCATAGTGAAGATACCGAGGTACCTCTACGGAGTGGATGCACGAGTACGTCATTGGATGTCATGCATGAGAGCTATCCACAATCGGCGTTAGGCTGTTCCCCCCGAAACTCTCTGGAACGGGCGGCGACGGCAGACGGCAGGCAACCCCCCGTGAGGGTATCCCCGTGGGCCATAGCATAGACCTATCCTCGTACTACGACATCCTCACGAACCTTTTTTGTCGCTCTCTGAACACGGATTGTTCCCAATCTCACGCAACCACTGCAGCTGCGACGACTAACATATCCGGAAACCCACTTGCCAAGAACCTCGGTAGCAAACTTCAGAAAACAGCGGCGAAGGAGAGAGAGAGTGAAAAGAAAATGCCGTCAACTACTCCCACCACCAGTGTCCTCAAGCCGGGCAACACGGCCGTCATCACCGGCGGAGCCTCGGGGATCGGCCTGGCGCTGACAAAGAAGTGCGTCGCCGCGGGGATGAAGGTGCTCGTCGTGGACTACAACCCGGCCACGCTCAGGAAGCTCTCCGAGGACAAGGAGCTTGGCGGCGGCGGTGGTGCTGTGAGTACAGTCGAGGCTGATGTCAGCAAGGTTGAGGACTGGAAGAGGATCCAGGGGACAGTCGAGAAGGACTTTGGCGGTAGGTTCTTTTTTTTGTTTTGTTCTTTTCGCGTGATTGGTCCATGTTTGTCAGGGACATGAGTTGGGATGGTTGGCTGGCTGGCGGTTTTCATTCTTTTGTTCCTTTCCATCACTTGTATCACGGGCCCGATGACGGGGTCGGGGTGCAAAAGCTAGAAAAAACATGAGAAGATCCCGGAAGGCAGCACCAGTCGTCGCTGGGGAAAACAGAAGGAAGGAAAGGTTTCGAGATAATTTTCTTTCATTACTAACACACTCTTTTTATCCCCATGTAGGACAAATCAACCTCCTCGCCCTCAACGCGGGCATGCAGCAGAAGACGTCCTTTGACGATGCCGACCCGGCGGGGTTCCGCGCCATCATGGAGACCAACCTGTTTGGCGTCATGAACGGCATCACCACTCTCCTGCCACTAGTCAAGGCCGGCGCCAAGAAGCAACAGCCGGGACCCAGCGGCGAAACAACGACGACAACAACGACAGCAGCAATCGTCATCACGGGCAGCAAGCAAGGCATCACCAATCCGCCAGGCAACCCGGCGTACAACGCTAGCAAGGCCGCCGTCAAGGCCTTGGCCGAGCACCTGTCGTTCGACCTGGCGCGCGACGCGCCATCGGTGGCGGTGCACCTGCTCGTCCCCGGCTGGACGTGGACGGGACTGACGGGCGCGGCGGGCGGTGGGCAGAAGAACGAGGGCGCGTGGCTGCCAGAGCAGGTGGTGGACTTCCTGCTCAGCAAGATGGACGAGGGCCAGTTCTGGGTGCTGTGCCCGGACAATGAGGTGACCGAGGCAATGGACCGCAAAAGGATGCTCTGGAGCGCGGGCGACGCGGTCAACGGCCGCAAGCCTTTGAGCCGCTGGCGGGAGGAGTACAAGGGCGAGGTCGCCGAGTGGATGGCCAAGGAGCATTAGAAAATGCACAACTTGGGTGGTGGGAGAACTCTGCCCGTGGGAGTGCCATGGTTGAACCGGGCCCTGGACAATAAAAAAAAGGAGTTCAGTGAAAGGAGTTCAAACTTTATTGGGAATATCTTTGCCTCGTGCTCAAGTATTTGCTGAAGTCTAAAAAGTCAAGGTAGAAAAAAGAGCGACAAGGAACATGTCGCTGCTAAAAACATCCCAAACGCCTAAGCTCATGCATCTATGAACGTCTCTACTGCTGTGCTCAAAAGATGACTGGCATGGCAGCTTCAACGTGCTACCTGCATCTCCACGCTCACGAGCTCGCGCTACGCGTGTTTGTGAATAAACACCTTGTGCTGGCCATTGCCAGCACGCCGTAATGGCCAGCACGCCGTATGAAAGGGAACTGGCAACACAAAGAGAGCTGCGATCACATGCCGTGGTTCAGCTGCCGTGTGGGTGGGACCGGCTGTGACGGCATGTTGCGGATTTGCTTGATGAGGAACTCGCGCTCATCGATGAATTGCTCGTCGTCTGTTCGGTCTTCCAGAAAGTGTGATAGGAAATTGAGCAACTTGTCGCGGTTCATCAACAGAATCTTCTGAACAGCAACAGACTTGTGGGGGTTAGCCACAAAGACCTTGAACACATGAAACCCCTCGTACTGGACCATCTTCCGATCATCCCTGAGGAGGTTCATGATGATTTTGAGGTGTTCGCCTCGATCGACGTAAGCCGTCATGACATTATAATTCGACCGGTCCAAAAGCAGTTCTCCCAGCAGCTTGATTGACTGGCGTTTAGTCACATAGCTGTTGGACTGTACGAGAGTGTGGTTGTATTTCTCAAAGAAGAGGTCGAAATTGATCGAGAGATATCGGGGGACCAGTTCCTTGTGTTTGGTCAAGAGTTCCTGGAAGTTGCTCTGCATCAGTCACCTGTAGTGTTAGATCAAGTCGGCAGTGTCGACATACCCTGAATGTCGTGAATGCGTCAGCCGCGACTTCGAAAGAACTCTTGTCGATCCAGTCAAAGAACCTCCAAAACACCCCGTTTCCACTCTGCGGGCGCTCGCGGTCAATTGCTGTGACCCCCTTCAAACTGGAACCAGGTTCTTCGCCATCGTCGTAAAGAATAATGGCGGCCACCGCCTCGTTCTTGAGCACCTCGCGTAGTACCGTGCCAGCCGGGGTAGCACTTTCCTTCGAGTCATACCCGCGGCAGAGCTCTAGCAGAACCTGGGGTTTGTTGTTGACAACATAACTGAGGGCCACAGGATCGGTCTTGGGCGAGGCCGTAGGTGGACGAAATCTGAACACATAGGAGAAGATGACTTGGGTATCTTTGCGGGACTCAAAAGGTAGGCGAGACAGGTTCTGCGCCAACAGAAGCAGAAGGTCCTCTTCTATGAGGCCCTGAACCAGTTGGTAGACCTGCTCTGGGCTGCTCTCTGCTTCTATAATAACCCGCATCAGCGTGGCACTTTGGCATTTGTGATTACGACAGAGGCTGCATACCTGGTGTGCCTTGGAGGATAAGTTTCATCTGGGCGAGCACCTTTGCAAGCTCCTCGGCCTAAGAATGTGGTCAGCAACGACATGTCGAGGTTTGTGAGATGCTACCCAGGGACAAGCTTGCCTTGGCGGGGCCGCCGGGGCCGTCGAGCTTCAAGACATGATCCCTCGCCTGCTTGGAGAGGTCCAGAGTGTTTGTCCTGGTGCGGCCTCGGCCGAATAGGAAAGACATGCTGCCGGCTTGGTATAAGACCGTCTAATTTGGGTGCAGAACCACGAGCAGGTAGCTGGATCGAAAATAGGGATGCTGCCGAGCTGGGTGGTTTCACGAATAGAAAACAATCGAAGCAATGTGCTGAGAAAGCAGAAGACTGCGTCGCATAGTGGAACCAGACGTGGCCTAGGGTAGAGGGCAGTGCTTCGGCCGCGGTCGTGGCGAGGTGCCGAGGTGAGCGTTGTAGTCTGGGACGAGGATGCAGGCAGGTCGGCTTGGGCAGTTGAAGTAGCCGGCGGGTTTCGATCGAGGGACGGGGCAGCAGGACAGTGGCTGGCGGATGCTTAACGGCGGCTTGTATGACGGGCAGGACAGGGCTGCATTTGGTCGAACGAGTCGCTGGTCTGGTCGCCTGCCGGTTGGGCTTGTCTGGCCGGGAGGTGGATGTTGTTTGTTTACTCGCAGTAGCACCAGCAGCACATGCCGCCCGCCCGACGCTTGGGCGGCAGCGGCGGTGGCAGCGGTCGCATTTGATCACAGGCCCGCCCCTGTCCGGGCTGGCTACTGGGAGTGGACCTACGCACTTTACCTGCATACCCCGCCATCTCGCCCTGCCATGCGTGCTCGCCCAGGGAGCCTTTGGCGCATACTATGTAGGCTCAGGGGTCGCGTGCCAGGCAAGGCGCGCTCGCTGCCCTTTGCGACTCACCACGCACGTCTTGGGCCTGGCGCGCGCATGCACGACACACTTCAGAGACCCCGAATCGCCCAGGCAGGCAAGGAAGGGCCATGAGGGACAAGAGTCAAGGGCCCAGTTTGCCCACCCGGCCCAGACGTCGCTTCCAGCGCTCATATGACGCCGATTCTACCTCTATCCCGCCCTGCACAATCTCGTGGCTGCGGAGGACGCGGGGCGGCGGCGTCAGTGCTAGAGCAGCCTCGTATGCCTGCTTCAAGATGGATGGCTCCGTTTGGCGGTGCTTCTCCAAGTCCCGGGGTGGACCCCGCGACAATTGGACATTGTGGGACCCCGGGCACACAGCAACACGCCTCTGATTGGCTACAATCCCAGTGCGCTTTCGGCGCCCAGGGACAGACGCCTTCTCGAATCTTGACTCACAAAAAATACCCCGCCATAAATTCCGTCTGTCACAAGAGCTGTGAGGGTTCAAACACCACACGCTGTCACCACGACGAGAACCCTTGACCTCGTCCGAGACCAGCGCAAGCCAACCTTGTCTAGGCTCACCTCTGATCTTTACGCGCCATCGTCAGGCCTGCTGCGAGCTCTGCACCCGGCAAGTCGTTGGTGAAGGGCACCTCAACCCCACTAGACAAAATGTCCATCGACTTCCCCAAGGAGGAGGTTGCCGTCATCGAGAGATGGCGGGAGATCAAGGCCTTCGAGAGACAGGTAGGGAGAAGCACAGAAATGCAAGTGGAATGCCAGGGTTCTAACAATATTTCTTCGTGCAGGTTGAGCTCTCAGAAGGACGCCCCCGATACACCTTCTACGATGGCCCGCCGTTCGCTACCGGTCTCCCGCATTATGGCCATCTCCTGGCCTCAACCATCAAGGACATCATCCCTCGGTACTGGTCCATGAAGGGCTTCCACGTCGAGCGACGCTTCGGTTGGGACACGCACGGCATCCCCATTGAGCACGAGATCGACAAGAAGTTCAACATCACTGGCAAGCAGGCCGTCATGGAGATGGGTCTGGAGAAGTACAACGCCGAGTGCCGCGCCATCGTCATGCGGTACAGGGAGGAGTGGCGTCACACCATCGAGCGCCTCGGCCGGTGGATCGACTTTGACAACGACTACAAGACCATGGACACCAGCTTCATGGAATCCGAGTGGTGGATCTTCAAGCAGCTCTTTGACAAGGGCCAGGTGTACCAGGGCTATCGTGTCATGCCTTACTCGACAGTTCTGACGACGGCCTTGTCCAACTTTGAGGCCAACCAGAACTACCAGGACGTGACAGACCCGGCTGTGGTAGTGTCCTTCCCCCTGGTCGATGACCCAAACACCCAATTGCTCGCATGGACCACGACGCCATGGACACTGCCGTCCAACCTGGGCCTTTGCGCGCACCCGGATTTTGAGTATGTCAAGATCTTGGATGAGAAGTCGGGCAACCACTACATCCTGTTGGAGAAGCTTCTGGGCACTCTGTACAAGGACCCCAAGAAGGCCAAGTTCAAGATCGTAGAGAAGATCAAGGGCAAGGACATGGTTGGCTGGAAGTACCAGCCGCTCTTTGACTATTTCTACGAGGACTACAAGGACCTCGCCTTCCGCGTTGTCAACAATACCTATGTCACAGACGACAGTGGTGTTGGCATTGTCCACCAGGCCCCAGCCTTCGGTGAGGATGATTACAACGTGGCTGTCGCCGCAGGGATTGTGACCAAGGACCACTCGCCCCCTGACCCTCTTGACGATCGCGGCCACTTTACCAGTAAAGTCAAGGACTTTGCTGGCATGCACGTCAAAGAAGCCGACAAGCACATCATCAAGCATCTCAAGGGGACCGGACGGTTGGTAGCTGAGTCGCAGCTCAAGCACTCGTACCCGATGTGCCCCAGATCCGATACACCCCTAATCTACCGTGCAGTGCCCTCGTGGTTCATCCGCATCCCGGAAATTGTTCCGCAAATGCTCAAGACCATCGAGAAAACTCACTGGACGCCGTCATTCGTCAAGGAGAACCGCTTTGGTAACTGGATTGCCAATGCTCGTGATTGGAATGTGTCGAGAAACCGGTATTGGGGAACTCCCATCCCCCTCTGGGTCAGCGACGATCTGTCAGAGAAGATTTGCATTGGCAGTATCGAGGAACTCAAGGAGCTCAGTGGCTATCAGGGCGACCTGACGGATCTACACCGCGACAAGGTCGACCACATCACTATCCCCAGCAAGAACGGCAACGGCGTCCTCAGACGTGTCGAAGAGGTCTTTGACTGCTGGTTCGAGTCTGGAAGCATGCCCTACTCCAGCCAACACTATCCTTTCGAGAACAAGGAGAAGGTGGAGAAGTGTTTCCCTGGTGACTTCATCGCCGAAGGCCTTGACCAGACCAGAGGCTGGTTCTACACCCTTGTCGTGCTTGGCACTCATCTTTTCGGCGAGGCTCCTTTCAAGAACTGCGTCGTCAACGGTATTGTCCTTGCTGAAGACGGCAAGAAGATGTCGAAGCGTCTCAAGAACTACCCCGATCCTTCGCTGCTGATGAACAAGTATGGTTCTGATGCCCTCCGACTTTACATGATCAGCTCTCCAGCCGTGCGCGCCGAGCCCCTTCGTTTCAAGGAGACTGGTGTCAAGGAGGTCGTGGCCAAGGTTCTTCTGCCCTTCTGGAACAGCTACAAGTTTTTCGAGGGTCAAGTCGCGCTATTCAAGAAGGTTGAGGGCAAGGACTACCTGTTTGATCCATCCATGGAAAGCACCAACACCAATGTCATGGACCGGTGGATTCTGGCAAGCTGTCAGAGCTTGTTGGAGTTCGTCAACCAGGAGATGGCTGGTAAGTGAAAACTTCTGAAATCCCTTCTGGACGAGTAAGACTGACAAGACTGAACAGGTTACCGCCTGTACACCGTCGTCCCCAGACTCCTGGGTCTTATCGACACCACTACCAACTGGTACATCCGCTTCAACCGGAAGCGTCTCAAGGGCGAGTACGGCCTTGATGACACCCTTCACGCTCTGAACACGCTTTTCGAGGTCCTATACACTCTCTGCAGGGGTCTTGCTCCCTTTGCGCCGTTCCTGACCGACAACATCTACACGAAGCTCCTGCCTCATATTCCCGAAAGCATCCGTGCCGAAGATTCTCGCAGTGTCCACTTCCTGCCATTCCCCGAAGTACGCCAGGAGCTGTTCAATCCCGAGATTGAACGCCGTGTCGGTCGTATGCAACGTGTCATCGAGCTTGTCCGTGTTTCGCGTGAGCGCCGCACCATCGGGTTGAAGACACCTCTGAAGACTCTCGTCATCATTCATGCCGAACAGCAATACCTGGACGATGTCAAGTCCCTGGAGAAGTACATCACTGAGGAGCTTAACGTTCGTGATCTTGTTCTCACCACAGACGAGGCCAAGTACGGCGTCGAGTACTCGGTCACAGCCGACTGGCCCGTGCTCGGTAAGAAGTTGAAGAAGGATATGATCAAGGTTAAGAAGGCCCTACCCGGAGTCAGTAGCGAGGAGGTGAAGAAGTACACCGAGAACAAGTTTATCGTTGTCGATGGCATCCGTCTGGAAGAGGGAGATCTGGTCGTCAAGCGGAGCCTGAAGGAGGGGGGCTCGCCAAGTCTTGAGACCAACACCGACCAGGACGTCCTGACGATTCTTGACACAGAGGTGCACCCAGAGCTTGCCCACGAGGGTGTAGCTCGTGAGATCATCAACAGAGTGCAGCGTCTGCGCAAGAAGGCCGGTCTGGCGGCCACTGATGACGTCAAGATGGAGTATAAGATCCTGTCAGATCCTGACAACATTGGTCTCGAACAGGTCTTTTCTGGACAGACAGCCATAATGGAGAAAGCACTCCGGAGGCCGCTTGACAAGCAAGAGTCGGCCGAGGCGCAGCAGGATGCCATGATTGCAGAGGAGGAGCAGGAGATCCAGAAAGCCACGTTCACACTGAGACTGCTCAAGCTATAGGATCACGCGGATGATAGAGACCCAAATGTAGAGCTAGAGAGACACAAAAGCACCTCGCAAGCTGAATGAACAAAATACATGAGATAAACATTACTCGCCCAACCCCATTACTGTCAATTCTTTGCAGAATGTTTAAGGTTGTACAAATACAACTGATGGTACATTGGCAGATGAAATAGGATGCTGCTCTCTATATGCTGTCAGAACAGGCGGAGCGAAGAGCTACTCGGAGACACTTCCGCCATCTTGGAACTGTCCATAAATCTGGTTTCTACCGAGCCCTCTTTGCTGCCTTCTGTATTTTGACATTAGCGAGGGCGGGGCATACAGAATAATTATGGCTACGTGAGGACTTACAAGGTAACATTCCTTGAGCCGCATGAACTCCTGGGCGCACTGGTTCTTGTGTACCGAGTTGTAGTCGGCGAGTATGCACTTGCCGTAGACTGAGGCCTGTTCAGCATGACGGCCACAAGGGTGTTAGCCGCCCAGCCAGCAATCATGATGAGGACGAGAGAAACAGAACGGGAGTTAAGCTGCCACGGACCTCGGCGCCGCATTGAGACACTGCAGCGGCAAACTTCTGGATAGGCCGGGTTGGCCTTGGCGGAGTCATGGTGGTGATTTTGCACTTGCTGATGCTGCGGATGGTGGTGGTGGTGGGGGTTTGCGTAGTGACCATACTTCATCGTCGACGTGCTGCAGGATCGAGAGAGACGGGGTGGAGAACGCCGTCATGGCGTCCCCGGCTCAGCAGCGGAGTGGGGCAGAGCAAGCTCTCTAAGCCCCTGCCGGCGCCATCAATTCAGGGCGTCGCAACCCTGGAACCTCTGACGCGACGCGACAAACATGCGCCAATCGACCTGGGCCAACCTGGAGAGCCTGCATGTCTCAGCAGCCACTCAACGCCCGCGAGACCACTCCTGCCAGCCACGTCCTTGCTTGCCCGGCTCACAGCATGCGCCCTCTCGAATCCGCCTGAGAACAGAGCCTGCAGCCATGTTCGCAACTCTGTAACAATAAGAGGCACCCTCGCAAACAAACGAGCTTCCACATCACCTGCTTTCGCAAACAAGACGGGGTCCCGACCACGCCCGTCCAGGTCTTTGGACACGCCATGCTCGCCCCTCCTCCAGCTCCGCGAACCCAGCATGGCGCTCGCTCCTTCCAGTTTCGAGGATTCGATCGCCTCGTCGGACCTTGACTTTTCCGATGGCTTCGACGAGCTCTCGTCGTCTCACACATCGCCCATGAACCGCACCTACGACGATCCGGGCCATGACCCGCCCGCTCTTCCTTCCATCGCGCAACCGTTGGCGCCCTGGGAAGACGGCTCCTCCATGATTGACCACGAGTTCTCAGACCTCGGTACGAAGCACCACTACCTTCATGGCACGTCATTCCTGCGCCCAAAGACTAAACTGCCTCCTCAACAGACATCCAGACTCTATTTGCCGTCGTTCAGCGCGCACAAGATGTTCTGCCAACATTACCCGCCCACAGTCGCCGCCCGGTTCCGGCCCTTTTCAAGGCCTACTACGAGATCCTGCCTCAGCGAGGCATCGACCCCGAAGATGACCAGCAAATCGCAAAGCTCATATTCAAGCTGGGTGGTGTCAAGACTGGGGGTTCTCTCGAGGAGAAATTCACTGCCGTCATGTCAAGGATGGGCATTGAGCTCCAGCTAGAGGATCTACAGTCCCAAGCAAGCGATACCGAGGGCGAAAACGCCCAGATGCCAGATCTGCCCTCCCTCGACCAGGATCATCACGACCACGTGTACAAGATGCACGAGACTGAGCCTGACGCGGAGAACGACACAATGGTCCCTGAGCCCACCTACACAGGACTTTCTGTTATCACCGAGGAATCGCACACACACTCCAGCACATATGAGGTCGAGGACCATTCCCTCCTGCCTGAAGAGCCAGTAGCCGCGATCGATGAACAGGATCTTCACGAGGCTGCTGCGGCCTTCCACGACGAACACAAGTTTGTGTTTCCGGTCACGACAGCATTCTCACAGTGGCATTCGAGAGCATCGTTTGCTAGCCACATTCTTGCTCAATTTCAGCTGGCACGGCAGGCGGACCTGGAGGACGACGTCCAAGACAAGTTCCAGGAATGGAGGAGTGTAGCTATCGAAGCGAAAGAGGTACCTCTATACGAACTCCCTGGAAACATATTCTCTAAACAGACGGAACAGGTGGCCGTGCGCGCCCGTGAAATCTATGCACTCAAGTGCACCCTACACCGGTGGAGGCAAAAGACACGAAGAGCAACATCCCAAGGCGCCTCGACCAGTACCACCCAAGCGGATCTCATGCAGCGTGTAGCGACAAAAGCGCATAATAACCTCATGTTGTCGCGGACGTTCACACAATGGTACAATCGCGCCGAGGAGGAAGCCAGCAAGGAGAGGCTCGCTCGCCACGCATATGAGTCTAATCTCAAGGCCAAGATCTTTGACGCGAGGCCAAGGGTGGCAGCAGTCGAATCCAAACCTGTCCCAGACTCAGGAGAGCAGGAAACTCGCGCTCGCCAAACTCGAGCAGGCACCTCAGAGGCCAGGGGTAAATCCGCAGTAGACTCTCTACCTCAAAAGGCGCCTGACACAACAAGTGCGAATCCCAGAATGAATGTAGCCTCTGGTCTAGAACTTGATCAGAAGCACAAAGGCACGGCAGAAGCTACTCGCCGAGAAAGCTTTCAGCATCAAGACGCCGCTGGTCAGTCAAAAGTGGCTTCAGAGGCTCGAAAGGAGCGTGAAGAAGAACGTCGGAAGGCCGAAGAGCGTCGTAGTGCGCTTAAAGCTCGTACCCTCTCGCTGATCCGTGCCCTATCCGAGAGAACACAAAATCAAGAAGGCTCTACTGGTGATGAGGATCCTGCGATGTCATCTGAGGTCGCTCCAGATGCAGACGGCAATACAGAGGTTACGGTAGTTCGTGTAGAGGACGAACTGGACGAGCGGACCCTGATTGCCAGGAGGCATATCCTCCGAATGCGATACTTTACAGCCTGGGAAGATTATTCGAAGCACCACCTTACGTTGGTCGACACCTTTGAGAGACGCAAGGTAGTTGAATCCTGGCGGCAGCATGCTGCCAAGGCTCCAGAACGACTCCAGCATGTACAACAGCGCGTTCCCGAGTTGAGACGGCGAACCTTCCGGAAGTGGATGAAGAGAGTTCGAACGAACGAACAACTCGTCGAAAAAGCCGACTGGGTATACAAGCGATCAAGAGTCTCGCAGGCAATCCTTCAGTGGCTCGCACAGTCCCGCCAGAGACAACGGTCAACAATGCTGAAGCGCCGAACGCTAAGTGCCTGGTATGACCAGCCCATGGCAGACGCTACACTGGCTGCCTGCGCAGACAAATTCCACCATTTTCAGCAAGTTGCGTCTACTTTTAACTCATGGAGACGCGCGGCTGCGCGAGAGGCTCTGGCATGTGACAGACTTGAACAGTATGGTGCCAGGGCTGGATATTATTATGCGGCCACGGGAGTCCTTCGTGCGTGGAAGGCAGTCGCTAAGGAAACTTCACGAAAGACGGCAGCGAAGAAGGCGGCTCTCGACAACTGGGGCACGACGAGCCAGCAAGAACTTGAGCGGCAGGGTATTCTTCAGGAATATGCCGAACGCGCAATATTCTACAACGGCGTTGTCAAAGTTTTGCCAAAATGGCGCGCCCGAGCAAAGGAAATATGTGAGCGACGACAAGCGCAGGAGTCTTATTGTCAGAGAGCAAACTACTACTACTCGACCAAGGGGTCTCTCGAAGCCTGGCGTGCTGCGGCGAAGGCGAAGCGCAAGCAACGGCTGCGGGATGCTTACCTGGAGACACGGCGCATCGTGAAGAAAGGATCCGGCGAGCGTGCTGTTCGGACGTGGTATCAGCGACTTGAGCCACAGTTGCGGCGCACGGAAATGATGAATGAGACTTTGGATCACGCTCTTGGCGAGAGAAAGTGGCGGCAGAGCATGCACGCTGTGCAAGTATGGCGAGAGAGAGCGGCTCAGAAACAAGCGATCATTGACGACCAGCACACCGCCGCAAAGCACCAAGCAATGACACAGTGGCAGCTACTTGCAGAAGAGAGGCAAGAGCTCGCATATGGGGCCAGAGCCCACTGGGAAGATTCCAGCTGCACCAAGGCCCTCAAGCGTTGGAACCTACGCCGAGACCAGAACGCAGGTCGACCTTTGATGGTAGCCTATGCGCTTGAGAAAAAGGATCGACGGATGGTTCGGCATGGGCTTGAGCAGTGGTATGCAAAAACAGCGGAGCATCACCTCTCGCTCGAGGCTGCAGAAGAGCAAAACACGGTGTCTCAGCTCGGCGTGTCAACGTTTGAGGAGGCAATTGCAGACAGTCATGGCAAGAGTCCTGCTCGGAGTGAGGGCCGGTGGCGAGCCAGTCTCAAAGAGGGCATCCGAACGGAGGATATTTACGTGCCAACGCCAGGACGGCCTTCCCTCATGCTGGGGGATCTGGGGTTCCGAAACGCCGCCCTGACGACGACGCCGCTCGGGCCGGTTCCTCGAAGGTCATGGCATCCAGACACGCACGAATCATCTATGAGAGGATCTGCTCTTGGCGGCCAGGGGAGCCGAGCAGCACGGAAGAACCTGAGGGTGTCTTTTGCTCGGTGAGGACGTGTGTGCCGGGAGGAGAGGCACGTTTTGCATAAGATAAGCGCTTGGGTACTGTAGCATGTACTGGCGGTAGCATTGTTCTGGTTGGTTGTTCCAACATGGTATAGCAGGTTGGTTATGATACCCCATATAGTCATTTGAAGGATTTCTTACCCAGGATCACTACTGCATGTTGCATGTGGAAGACTGTATTCGTGACTTACACTGCATAGAGGTGCCTGCCTGCCTGGTACGGTGCAAGTATAGTGCTACGGACAGGGGAGGGAGCTGCCATTGACAGCCCCTGTCAGTGAGTGATGAGAAGTTGGTGGGTCCACCGCCACTACAGCTCTCCCACATAGCAAGCTAGTCTAATGCAAAAGAAGAAGCTCTGCCGCCCTGGTGATGGCTTCACATTCCAAAGGATCTACAGCTCTGGATCCATGACTCGACTGCCACGTCGAGGCAGCTAAAGACGGCAACAATGGCACCCGCCAGGGCGGCATTCGTATGTGTTCAGTGCCGGCTCGCAACACCACGACAGCTGCGCCCGTGGCGGCCACCTGCAATCTCGTCGAGCATCCGGCAGCTTCACAGCAGTAGCTCGGCTCGCCGTGCCTCTGTGGCACCGGTCTCTGAATCGTCCTCGCCAGCCCACGCACCGGCACGGTCCGCCAACGCGCCCAAGGCACACATTGACATCAAGCACATCCGGCAGAACCCGGAGCTGTACGCCGCCAACTGCCTCGAGCGCAACTACAAGGCGCAGGCCGAGTACCCGGCGCGGATCAACGGCCTGTTTGAGCAATGGCAGGCGTGCCAGCGCGACGCCCGGTCGCTGCGAGAGCGCTCCAACGTCCTGCGTCGGCAGATTGCCAACCCAAAGAGCATCCAGCGCGACGGCGACTCCGGGGACAACCAGCAGCGCATCGACGAGGCCCGCCGCGTGCAGGCCATGAGCAAGGACGAGCTGCTGGGCGAGGCACGCGCGCTCAAGGACCAGCTGTCCGCCATTGAGGCCAGGGAGGCCGGCTTCACGCGGGAGATGGAGGACCTGGCGATCCTGCTGCCAAACCTGACCAGCGAGCACTCTCCCCGGGGCGAGGAGCCGCGCCTGCTCACCACCATCAACGAGCACCCGCACGACACGGCCGCCTCGGACGGCATATGGCGGTCCCACGTGCACATTGGCTCCGAGCTGGGGCTGCTCGACTTTGCCGGCGCGGCGACCACGAGCGGCTGGGGGTGGTACTACCTGGTCGACGAGGGCGCGCAGCTGGAGCAGGCCCTCATCGCGTACGCCCTGGCCGTCGTGACCAAGCACGGCTGGACGCAGGTCTCGCCCCCGAGCATCGTCTACAGCCACATCACCGCCGCCTGCGGGTTCCAGCCCCGCGACGCCAACGGCGAGCAGCAGATCTACACGCTCGCGCAGTCCGCCGGCGACGCCGCCCGGGGCAAGCCGGAGCTCAGCCTCACCGCGACCGCCGAGATCCCCCTGGCCGGCATGAAGGCCGACACGACGCTCGACGCCGAGGCCATGCCGCTCAAGCGCGTCGCCGTGTCGCGGTGCTACCGGGCCGAGGCCGGCGCGAGGGGGGCCGACACAAAGGGCCTCTACCGGGTCCACGAGTTCACCAAAGTCGAGATGTTTGCCTGGACCCTGCCGGACGAGGACGAGGCCACCGACGTCTTTGACGAGATGCTCGACATCCAGACCGAGATCCTGCAGTCGCTCGACCTGCACTGCCGCGTCCTCGAGATGCCCACGGCCGACCTCGGAGCAAGCGCCAGCCGCAAGTGCGACATTGAGGCCTTCTTCCCCTCCCGCGTCGCCCTCGCTGGCGCGGGCTTCGGTGAGGTCACCAGCGCCAGCATCTGCACCGACTACCAGGCCCGCCGGCTCGCCACGCGCGTCCGCGGGGCCACTTCCGCTTCTTCTTCCGAGGGTGGCGGCGGCGGCGGGAAGCTGGGTTTCCCTTACACGGTCAACGGCACCGCGCTCGCCGTGCCCCGCGTGCTCGCCGCGATCCTGGAGAACGGCTGGGACGAGCAGACAAAGACCGTCACTGTCCCCCACGTGCTGAGGCAGTGGATGGACGGCAAGGAAAAGCTGGGACTCAAGAAGGCGAGGCCATGAAAGTGTTTTCAAGTTTCTCTTTTCTTGGCGCGCATGGATGGTGATCGTGGGGGAGGCAGCTTGGGATCCGACGACAGCTAGGATTCATGCCACTTCAAGCAAAGCTAGAGATTATGGTTGAGAGGGGGAAAGAAAGGAAAAGAGTTGCCCTAGTATGCGACTCATCTTCTCGGCTCAAGGTGGGCAAATAGACAAAAATTATGTAAGATGATGTGTAAGGATAAAACCACTAGGTGACAAAGTGAAAATAAAAGCTGGGCATGAATGGTGAAGCACACTTCGCAAGTTTTCATGTAAGAACAAAGTTCCGATAGTCAGGCAGGTGCCAGAACATCAAGGCGTACCAAGACAGACAGCACCAGGTCGCAAGTGGAATTATTTGAACTTTGCAAGATCGTCCTCTTGCGGTTTCATACACATTAAAGGAAACAAGTTTAAACATCGTCTCAGTACAAAAGCATCATGACCCTTGGCCAATAACCCCATGAAAAACAAAAGATGATCCCAATAACACCGCTGAGCCATGAAACAGACATACAATCATACCATCCTCAAGCCCATCAATACTTCGTGAGCATCTCAACCATTGTACACCACCACGGCGCCTTCCCCTGCTATACTTTCCGTGTCCGCCACGCTGTCGGATACCATGCTCTCGGTGCCTACATTGCTCTCTGTCCAGTCGCTTTGTTCATCTGAGTAGTAGCTATCCGTCTCGTCGTCGTAGGCGCCGCTTGTGTCGGTGCCCGTGATGACTGTCGTGCCCAAACTCGATCTACGTAGCGTGCCCGTCTCGCTGGCACCGTCGTCACTGTCCGCAAGATCTTCGCCAACATCGTCTACTTCGATGATCTCCTCGTCTTCTTCAGCCGGCGTTAGCGCAAGGACGGTATTGCTCTTGTTGATGCTTGCAGCACGGGGCGTTTGAGTGGGTTCCGGGGTCGCAGTCTGTGATTCCTCCTCGGCTTCCCTCACGAGGCCCATGTTCTCCTTGTCGAGATCGTCAAGGCCGCGCCCCGGTTGACTTCCGGCCCAGCTTCGCTTTCTCAGACCAGCACCACCAGGTGTACGCACACTCTGACTGCGCTTGAAGCCTCCAGTAGGGACATTGCTGGTAATCTGGCTAAGGCTGGCGATTCTTCGGCTGGCACTAGCCGGACTGGGAGGAGCCAAGCTTGTCCTGCTGCCTGTGACAGCCATATTGACCATATTACGAGAAGGAGTCTTAGGCTTAGGTGTGGTCTCCTGCTTCTGCGCCTCGATGTCAGCAGGCGACAGGCTGGACCTAGCACCAGGCACCCGCTTGCGACTCATTGTGTCGCGCCCCTTAGGAGCAGACTTGGTCATCAGGAGTGATCGAGAATGGTCAAGAACGCCCTGAAGGATACGGCGCTCCAGTCCTTCCGCACGTCCTTCCATCGCATGGAGCTCTTCACGGCGGATGTCAAGAGCCGTCTCAAGCGAGGAGACATCAGCAGTGAGCCTGGTTCGCTGGCGGCTCAGCGAGTCGTTCTCAGATTTGAGAGACATGATAGACTCCCGCAGGCGTGCCTCCTCGTCTCTCAAATCTGCAAGGACAACCTCGACATGGAGCTGCTCCGCACGCTGACGTTCCAATGCGAGAGTGGTCTCCTCAAGAGCCTTCTCCCTCTCCGCATGATCGTCAGCAATGCGCTGACGCTCGGAACTGAGGAATGCAGTCAGTTCAGCAGCCGTCTGAGTGACCTGTGCATGGACCCGGTCAATCGTCTGAAGCTGAGCAAAAGCCTTGTCGGCGACATCAGTGTAGTCGACAAGTTTGTCAAGTTTTGTGTGGAGCTCTGTCTGGCTTGATTTTTCGATGATGTCGTCCAGCTTGCCGTGGACCGCTGAGCTGTCGCACTTCTCGTCAATGGCATCCAGCTTCGCGCGAACTTCGCTGTCATCGTAGCGTGACTCAAAGATGTTGTCCAACTTGGCCTTGACCTCGCTATCATCGTACTTGCCATCCAAGATGGCATCAAGCTTGGTGTGGACATTCGAATCATCGTATTTTCCATCGATCAATGAGTCTAGCTTCGTATGCACATTTGAATCATCGTATTTGCCATCGATAATGGCATCAAGCTTGGTGTGCACATTTGAGTCGTCGTACTTGCTGTCGATAATGGCATCGAGCTTGGTGTGCACATTCGAATCGTCATATTTGCCATCGATCAATGCATCGAGCTTGGTGTGCACATTTGAGTCGTCGTATCTGCCGTCGATCAATGCGTCGAGCTTTGTATGCACGTTGGCATCATCGTATTTCCCGTCGATCAATGCATCCAGCTTTGTATGCACATTCGCATCGTCGTACTTGCTGTCGATAATGGCATCGAGCTTTGTGTGCACATTGGCATCATCGTACCTGGCTTCAATCAAAGCATCAAGCTTTGACTGCACCTCGCTATCATCATACTTGCCGTCAAGCAGAGCGTCAAGGCGGGTGCGCAGATCAGCATCATCGTACTTGCCGTCGATGAGCTCCTGGATCTTGGCACGGAGCTCGGCATCGTCGTACTTGTGAGTCGCCAGGGTATCGAGCTTGGCATGGACTTCTGTATCGTCATACTTGGCTTCGATGAGCTTGTCAAGCCTAGTCACCACCTCCGTGTCGTCGTACTTTTCTGGTGGCGGAGGAAGCATGAGCGGCTCAGGCTTGTTGTCCTCAATTTTCTGCTGGATGTCCACGATGGACAGCTTGGTGTTCTCAAAGTTCTGGCCAACCATCACCAGGATTTCCTTGACAGACTCGAGGATCTGGGGCTGCACCTCCCCAATATTGCCCTGAAGCTCTTCGATCCCTGAAATGGCAACCTGGACCTGGTCCCGTGTTGTCTGATGCTCTGTCTTGTTGTCGATATGGTTCTCGTCCGTCTTGCTATATAGCAATTCAGTCTTTTCGAACACCGTCTGGGAAGCCAGCTCCATCTTCTCAAGCGACTCAGTGACGGCAGTACCCAGAGTGTCAACCAAAGTCTTGAGCTCCTCGGCAATCACCTTCGTGCCGGAGACGGCGGCATCCATCTCGAGGTCCCGCGCTTCGCCGGCTGTAGCGCGATCGTCGAGGACGAGCTGGAACTCGTCGTATTTGGTGACGAGCTCTCCGATCTTCTCGTCAATCTTCGCGCTTAGAGTGTCGGTCGTTTGCTGGAACTTCTCATCGGTGTCCATCTTGGCACCAATGACACCGGACTTGGTCTCCTCAAATTCGGTTTTCATCAGCTCGAGCATCTCCTTCAAGTCATTGCCAACACTGCCGTTCGCAGTCATCGCTTCGCTCATGCCTTCAAGGACCTTGCCCAGGGCTTCAACACCGACGACACCTGACTCGAGCTTGTCGTTGATAAGACTCTTGAACTCTTCAAGGAATGACTTGACTTCCAACACCCGTTCACCAACGGTGTCGAGCTCGGCATCCTTCGCGACGAGGGCTTTTGATGACGCCTCCGCGGCAGTGGCGGCAGAGTCCTTCATCTCAGTGATCATGTTCTCAACAGTCTTGAGATCATCCTTGGTGGGGAGCGCTGCAAGGTCTGCACCAGATATGTGCTCGACCATAGCCTTGAGGTTCAAGATTGAGGTTTCGATGGCCTCCATGTCGGTCTTGGTGACCTTCTCCGGGTCCTCGAGCGATTTTTCGGCACGCTCCTTCATCTCGTCGAAAGAGACATTGATCTGTGTGACAAGCGACTCTAAAGAGACGAGATCGTCCTTGCGAGTGACAGCCTCCAGCTCCGCCACAACACTGCTGAGGGTGTCCTTGGCTTCGAGGACAAGCGCCTCGATTGCATCAACGTGGTCCTTCCTGACTGCCTGCTCGCCGTCAATGGCGTCTTCGATGCGTGCCTTGGTGTTGCGCAGAATAGTCTCGATGGCCTGCACATCCTCTTTCGTGGCGACATCGTCAGGATTTACAAGAGGCTTTACACCATCAGTGCTGTCGACCTCCTTCTTCTCAGTCTTCTCCTCGACTGGATCCTCGGTCGTCTCAGTTGTCGTGACTGCAACTTCTCTCGAGCCATCCTTGGCTGGCAGGTTGGCGATTGTGTCCTCCATGCCGGCGATAGAGACCTGCAGTTTTCGGAGAGTCTCTTCGATCTCCGATGTTGCCATGCTCGAAACCTTGCCTTGAACGTCGCGAAGGAGATCTTCCACATCTGTGAGGTCAACCTTGACAGTGCCTTCGCCGGCGCCTGATTGTGCCTGGCCATCCATGGCGTCGACCTTTGTTTGAAGCTGCGTCATCATAACTTCGAGGTTCTTGATGTCATCTTGCTTCAAGATGTCCATGGGGATCATAGCGTTACTGGTGACAGGCTCGATGGTGGCCAGCGCTCTATCATTGCCGTTGTCCCGCAAAGAGTCAATCTCTGTACGGACATCACCCAGTCCTGCCTTCAAAGCATCTAGGATCTCGTCGTTGGCGGTGAGATCTGCAGGCTTGTCCCCAATTCTCTCGATGGTAGCCCTGAGGTCGCTGAAGCCTTCGTGTAACGCATCGAGAATATCAGTGGTGCCAGCATGAGGGCGCAGGAGTTCTTGTCTGACGCGTTCGATTCCTTCTCGGATTGTCTCGAGGGCTTCGCGATTGTCAGGAACCTGCGGGACATGGGGAACGAGGGCTGAGTTGACGGCATCCCGCAGGGACTCGATCTCCTGCTTCAGGGCGTCTGTTGAGGCGTCCGCGCTGCGACCAACGAGGACGGAGAGGTCATCCCGGAAATTGTCAAGGTTATGAACCAGGTTGGCCATAATCTGTTCCTGGCCGGCCATGCCGGAGACACGGTCGACGTAGCTTTCCATGTGGTTTCGAAGCTGGTCCATGCCATCGCGTGTGGCATCCAACACCTGCTCAGTGTCACGACCATTTGCCGCCACATTCTGCTTGGCCTCCTCCGACACAGCTCTGAACTCCTCCTGCATGAATCGCATAATGTCCTGAAGGCGTTCGATGATGGCAGAGTCGCCACCGCTATGCGGTACCATGGCGTTGTGGTTACTCGGGAAGTCAAAAGCGCTCAGTCCCTGCTGAACAGCATCCAGCATGTCTTCCCTGGTAAGATCATTGGTGGTTCCAGAAGAGGCGACCGGAAACTCAAATTCCTCGAGGCACTCCCGTACAGCCTCGACGATCTCCTCCTTGGACAGTGATGCTGGTGCATCGATTTGGGGCGGTTCGAAGGACTCCAAACCACGAGCCACGGCTTCGTAGACATCGTCGCGAGTTGCAGCATCCGAGGATTTTTCGGCTGGAGCGTAGGTGGCAAGGCCTTCCTTGAGGCAAGCTAGGACCTCGTCGCGCTCAAGACCAATCTGCTCGATTTGGATTTCGGGCTTGTACGTCTCCCACGCATCCCTGACGGCCTGAACAACATCTTCTCGGGTGAGCTCGGTTTCGCTGTCTCGCCGAGGTCGCGTCTCTGTTATGGCGGCGCTCATGGCGTTATATATTTCTTCATAGTCGATGGCAGATTTCGACGAAGCTGCCGACGCGCGCCTGTGCTCTCTAAGCAGTTGGTTCATGTGAGCCTTCATCTGATCAAGGCCCTCGTCGACAATTCGTGAGACCTGTGTCTTGCTCACGGGCTCGCTCTTGCCGCTGGCAGCCACATCGACCTCCTCGAGTTTCCGAGCAATGTCGCGTCCCATGCCCAGGACCTCGCCGCGCAGCTCACGGACCAGAGCCTTGACTTCGGCGGTCATGCCTCCTCCTTGAGCCACGCTATCCTTGACGGACCGGATGACACGGAGGACCTCATCATTCAGCACATCGGGCGATCTTGCCGTCATTTGCAAGGGGCCGTGGCTGCTTGTTTGGGTCAGGCCCAGATCTCTCGCTCTGCTCTCGTCGTCGTCGCCTTCGTCGAAGCTGAGATTTCTGTTCCGCGGTGTGCCGCCGCCACCGCCGCCGCCACGACCTCCAGCCGCAGGAATCATCGCCTTGTCCTGGTTGGACTGCAACTGGCGAATGAGCTCTTCTACTTTCGCGACACTCGCCATGCCGGTCAGTCTCTCCGCCAGCTCAGTCAGCCGGCCCATAAGTGAATCTTGGCCGTCTCTGGTTCCCATTTCTCGGAGGATCTTCTCGAGCAACGCAATGGACGCTGGGGACTCTGAACTGCCGCCCACCAGTGATGGAACGCTGAGTAGCGAGTCGTTATCCATAAAGCTGTTTGGCGAGGGAATTCTTGGGAGAGCGAATGGCCGAGCCAACTTTGGCGTTGGCGATGTGCACTGCGCCTTCTGCTCGAAGTATAGATTCCTGTCGTAGGGGTCGCGGTTGGAGCGAGTCGGATCAATGTTGGTAACAAGCTCGCGGAGGCTCTTGCGAATATCCTCGTCTCGGGCATGTGTTGCCTCCTTCAGACTCATCAGATCCGTCGCGTTGTCTCGCGAACGCCTACTAAGCTGCGACATCTCTTTTTGCAGTGCAGTCGCGATATTCGTGAGGCTCAGGATCTGATTCGAAAGCTGATCAGCAGTAGGTATGCTCGTCTTGGTCATGGCCGACGACTGGTTCGTGACAACAGAGAGTGGCGCTGGACTCTCGACCGAGCGAGGAGCTGGAGCCGCGGGTGTTTGCGCCGGTGATGACATAACGGATGAAGGCTGAGCCGGTGTCGGCTTTGGCGTCAATGTGCCGTGGCTGTGCAGAGCAAGCATTGTGGCCGACTGAGGCGGGGTGTTCTCCCCGAGTATACTGTGATGCGGCCGGCGGGCGGATGGCCGCAGCACGGGCGTCAGGCTGGTGGACATGGCTGAATTGTCCGGCGTGGTGGCCTCCTTGTCTGCTTTGCTTGGCTCCTTCTCGGGCTCCTTAGGTCCGAATGGTGTGGTCGGTCGCTTTGGCTTCTCTGGAGATTGTGGTGTTGTAGAACGTGCTGAATCACGAGACCCCTCGATCATCAAGCTGAGATCTCTGACGCTGTTGGGCTGGAGCGATTGCATGCGCTTGTGGGGACTCGGCCGCGGGACGAGGGCACGTTCTGGCGATCCTGTGAGGTCGACGGTCATGCGCTTGACAAGAGTTGGAACCAGGGCAGCCTCTCTGGCTCTCTCGGTCATAGCCGCGTGGGCATTCTGGATGGCAAGCGAGGTGCCGATGCGGGAGGGGCTGACGCTGGGCGACTGGGGGTTTAAAGGTAGAGGAGGCGGCGCCCGCTCGGGGTCTGAGCTATCCCACCTGTGTATAATGGTCAATCTTGAGCCGCGACGCATCATGGGTATACGGGCGTATGGAGCCTTTGGCCTCGGGGAACTTACATGGGGACCAGCGCGCGGGAATGGTCGAAAGAATTTGAGTGGTGGTGGCGTGTTTGCACGTCAACCGGAGCATCCCGCTCGATTGGAGGCATGATGAATTGCATGCCACCAGTCCGGGGCAGAAACGTGGACAATCAGTGATCCGGGTGGAATGTGATGTCTTGGAGTCGGCACAGGGCGTCGTGAAGGTCCCCTGTTCACAAATAGCACCGCGTGTTTGGCTTCGTGGGTATCTTTTTCGCCGTGGGAGGCAAGCTCGCGGAAGAAGTCAACGCCGCACGCAAAACAAGAGTAGCAGCCGGTGCTCTGGAGAAAAATGCAAGGTGGTAGGTGATGCTGCTGATGGCAAGGTCAGCAAGTGCACGCCTTGCAGTCCTGATGGAGGAGGAGGGTGGTGCTTGCAAAGGTGGAGAGAGCTCAGGCCGGTTCCCTGTGAAGCTGCTCTCTTAGGCCCGCCCCGTGTTGTTTATCTGGTGTGCGGCTGCCGCCCGACGCTTGCACTACCGCTGCTAGCCCAAACAACAAATGCCTGCTGCGCCAATCCCTGATCGCCAGCAACGTCACTCCCCGCTGCCGGGGCAACGCCGCTAGCCCATGCCCGCTGCGGGCAGCAGACCCTGGCTGTTTTAATTGGCACCATTCTTGGACAAGCGACGAGCAATCACCATCCCAGCCCGCTCGGACGATCTCAGCCTTGCTGGCACCACTCGCTCCATGGATTCAGCACTGGACGCTCCGCCGCGGTCCACACACATACAGCATATAGTGAGTGTGCTTCTCAAGGTGGGCTTCCGCGATGACAGGACCTTTTTAAAAATGTGTGATGCCATGCCGGGCTATGGTGCTCATGTCGTAGGCTCTGCCCAGGCTGCCTCGAGCACCCTCTTCAGTGAACAGAATGCGAAACAGCTCTGGGAAAACAGAATCTCGATCAACGACTGCTTCTGCACGGCTGCGGGTCGTCAGCGTTTTTTCATCCTTGTCGGCGGCCTTCTACCCGGTGCAGATGCAGCAACGGTTCACCGCCTGCTCATCATTGGCATCGCACCATGGCGCCCGCTGTAAGATGCATGACTGCCTGACACGGTGAATCAAAATACGCCCGTTTGAGTTGCGCAACATTTTCATTCGGATGGCCATTTCTTGGAAACACACGCAACACCGCATTACGCTCAGGGTCTACTTTGCGTCGATGCTTAAGACATAAATCATGCCCAGTTTCATTGTATTGTGGTGCGAAGAGAGGAGTAGGTCTTTTATCATGCAGTTCCGCTATGGTGGAACCCTCTCTTCCCTCCTCCTCCGAATCCCCGCGGCCATGCCTCCGCACTCTAACAAGCGCCCCTCACCGACACGCTTGACATGGAGAAGATATCGTGCCAATCACATACCCATGGTATATACGCCAATGCCTACGCCCGAGATTGGTCCTTTTGATCGCCGTCCGTCAAAAACGCCCGTCCCGCCTAGATGTTGATACACGTCCAATGGACCCCTGATTATCAGATTATGCCGCTTGTCATTTCCCCCACAGCCTTCTGCTTCGTGCTGCTTGTGCCGCGTGTGCTTCGTGTGCTGCGTATTCTTCGATCCTGCTGTTTTTGTCCTTTATTTCTTCATCATGCCGTCAAAAGCGGGGATCAGGGTCTGAGCCAGCCAGAACGAAAAGACGAGCTTGGGGCCGGTCATCAAAAGCTAAATGAAGAATCCGCGTTAGCCACGGTACGGCTTGACATACCCAATCGTCAACACAAAGCCAAAGGCTTACCTTTGGTACCAAGCCCTTGAAGAACGCACCAGCACCCTCGTGCTTGGCCATGTTGGACAGGATACGGAAACCGCTCTCGGGGTTCTCAAAGTTGCGGTTCTGGATGCGGGTCTTGATGACGTCGAGAGGCGCCGAGACGACGAGCGAGGCAGAGGCACCGGCGATGGAGGCGACAAAGTTCTGGAACCAGGAGGCCTTGTTGTAGTCCTCGAGCTTGAAGAGGAACTCCTTGGCGAAAGCGGAACCACCGAACAGCTACACAGATTGTACTCGTCAGCCCTCATATCCTAACTCGACACAGACCTCAAGGGACATACCGCGAAGGAGCCAGGTGCGTTTCTGGCAGCGGTCCAGCCCCACCCTCTGTAGAGACCGAAACCCTCGTCGGCGATAATTTTGACGATGCCACGGCCACGGAAGGCATCTGGATTTGTCTGGCGCTTGATCTTGAGGACATCGAGGGGCAGGAGGACGATCTCTCCGATACCGATCAAGCTGCGGCACGCAGGTTAGTGGCTGTTCAAGAACCCCTCGAGACGCTGAGCTCCTCTCGAATGTCATACCTGCCAGCAGTGGAGTGCATGATAGCCTTGCCAGTCTTCTTGCCGAAAGCGCTCTCAAAGTCCTTGCCGTAGTGCGCCGCGAGGAAATCGCGGGCCATTGGCTGACCACCATACTTGTATATTCTTTGGGAGACCTGTGTGGGCGCTTATGAGCTTCCAGGGCATTGATCGGACGTGGAGTCGAGCGGACTGACCTTGTAGCCGGCGGCGTATCCGAGGCCGGGGAAAAGCGAGAAGAACTTGGTGCCGGCCGAAGCGGCAGCCTTGTCCTTGAAGATGACCGAGTTGAGCTGAGCAGCGTTCGCAATCTGTTATCGTGATCGTCAGTGGTGGTCCGAAAGCTGGTAGATATATTGATGAGGCGTACCTTGGTCTGGTTGCTCATCAGACGCTTCGCAATCGTGTCGACCTAGTCCGCGAGGCTCGTCAGTATTGTTGTGGCTGCGATAATCCAATATTGAGCGTCGCAGTGCGGCATGGTGACGTACCGGGTGGAAGACGGCAAGCTCGGCAATACCGGCGGAACCTGTGTTCATTCATGTCAGCTTTCGCATGGTCAATTGGCGTCCTCCACTGTCGCTCTCATAGACGTACCAGAGCCGAGGAGACGAGCCACGTTGGACTCCTTCTCCTTGCCAGCCACCATGGGAGCCATTGTGTGGAGTGTTTAGTGGTGCGGGACAACAGAAATGTTGAGATAGAGAAGCGCTCGAGAAACGCCGAGGTACAAAGCTGGTGACGAAAGACGCGACCAAAAAAAACAACACAGGTTGAGAGGAACGAGGACGGATGACGAAGCTTCGACGGAGGGAACAGCGCGGGTCGGCGAACCTTGAGATGGCGGCGGGCAATGCAGCTGGGCCGGCAAAAAGTTGAGGGCCGCCCGCGAAAATTCGCAGATTGCCCTGGGCCGATTTGCGCAGTGCGCTCGCAGTGCGTCCCTGGATCCTGGCCTGGTGGAGCTCCAGGCGTCGAGCTCTGATATGTATCTCTACGTGCAAAGCCCAGCACAGAGGTACCTGGGCCGCTTGTGCTATCCCTGGACGGCCACTCCGCTTTTGAGCTGACAAGGGAAGCTACCTAGGTACCCACCACCCCCCGGTTCTCGGCCATCCTCACAGTTCCAAGGTTGATGGGCGACTGTCTACAACAATGGCTCAGATGCATCAGAGCTGTGAAGTCATCCCGCTGGATTCAAGGCATGCTATTTTTCTGGCGTTCAGCATTGGTCACTGTATCGGCCAAATTCATTTCCTCTTTCCCATTTTTTCGTTCCCTCTTTTTCTTTTTGGTTTTGCATAGCAAAGAGAAAATCCTTGATGTGTACATGGGAGGACGAATGAAACCATTTCACCCAGACCGTAAATTTACAGGATACAGCTGGATGGGCCATGTTTAAGTGAAGGCAGTTGTCAAGACGACCAGCTCGAACATGAACTAATGCCCCTTGGCTTTAATTGAAACCAATCTGGTAAGGCTGTGGGATTCAGCACTTGGCACTTGAAGCAATTAATCATGTTCCAACAGAAAAAACAGTGTTTATCTAGGTTTTTGTGTGTTTGTAAATGCACATAAATCACCTGGAATTTCTTTCCACCTTGTCCGCCGCCTCAAGACTTCTTATTTATTTTCTTTTTAAAGGCTCAACTATGGACAAATTGGCGAAATCCATGCTTTGCCAACTTTCAACTGAGAAGTACACCAAATAGCCATGCATTACCCACCAAACACACGCACAACTTACATTTGTATCATGACAGACAGCTGCGAAGGACCACAACCTCCCACGCACAAAGAGCAGCCTGCGGTGAGCATAGTGACCCGACGCCAACCGCAACAGTATCCGCAGACAATATCGTTCGCTTTACATAATGCATGGAGTGTGGAGAATCATGTGTAGATGAGGTCAGCATGAGGGGTGACCAATGGTGGGTATGAGTGTCCATCAAGGTCGTCGCTCAGGCCCGGGGCCAACAGCCCCGAGTGGCTGAATCATGACTTGTTACCTCCATCATTGCCATTGTCGTTTGAGTTGCGGTGCGTCGTTTGATTCTACTTCTTTTCTGCTCCCGCGAACGATTGTCCTGTGGACTGGCCCTTGCCGTGTGCTCTGGCCTCATTCACGTCTTCAGTTTCACGCTATCTGGAGAGATTTCGTGATATTTTACTTTTTTTTATCGTTTACAATTCTATCCTCAAGCCTGTCCTTGCGACATTCAACGTCTTTTCGACATCAGCCGCAGCCCAGTAAATCCTCGTACATGCGGCAGTGTCTTCATACGAATACCGAGTCGAGGGTGTCGAAGTCGCGAGAGAAGAGATACTTCCAGTAGTACAAGATGCCAGTGTAAGAGGGGGATCGCTTAGTCGTCGAAGACAATGGCAGCCTTGATGGCAGACTTGTTGCGGATGCTCTCGAGAGCCTCGCCCCACTGCTCCAGCTTGAACACCTTGTTGACAATGCCCTCGGTCTTGACCTTGCCGCTATCGAGGTAGTCGACGGTGGCGGGGAACATGAAAGTCTCGGAGAAAGAACCGATGATGGTGATTTCTGGGGAAACGCAGATTGTAAGTACACGGACACTCCGCAGCGATTGGGGGGAGAATTGAGACTCACCATCACCGAAGATCTTCGACGGAGGCCAGGTGACACGAGCAGAGCCGGGGTAGACACCATAGCAGACGAGCTTGCCACCACGACGGACATAGTTGATGGCGTCCTCGAGGACCTTGGCGCTGCCGGAAGCCTCAACGACTATATATCTTGTCAGTCTCATCCCAGCACAAATACTCATATCAGCGAAGAGAGGCCATACCAATATCAAAACCGTAGGGGTTGTCCTTCTTGATCTGATCCCACTGGGGTTGCGGGTTCTCGCGCGAAAGAGCGACGTAGGTGTCGGCGGCCTCGAGCTTCTTAGCCAGGTCCATCTTGGGGCCGCCAGGAGCAGCAATGGTCAGTTGAGAGACACCGGCAAGCTTGCTGTTGAAGTTGTCAGTATCATTCATGACCCCATTGAGGTACCCGCAGTTTCTCTTACAGGAACTGGGCCATCATGAGACCGGTAGGACCGGCACCGATGAGCAGAGCGTGCGAACCAGCCTTGGGAGCAATCTTCTCGAGACCGTGCATGGCACACGAGGCAGGCTCAATCAGGGTGGCATCAATGTGGTTGAGGTTGTTGATTTTGAAGAGCTTGCCCTGGGGATAGTTGCACTGATTGACAGATTCGCCGTGTTAGTTGACTCGCGCGCTCAGGTATCGGCAAGAATATTCGACATACGTATTCGGCGAAACCACCGTCCAGGTTCAGCACACCGTGAGCAGAGAAGTCCTCGCAAAGCAGGGCCTCGCCTCTGCGGCAGTAGAAGCTATTGGACGAAGAACACGTCGTCAGCAGCTGTGGCCCAATCGGTTTGACCAAAACACCAAGAATCAGGCACGCAGCTTACCAGTGGCCGCAGAGCTCCGAGTTGTCAGCACAAACTCGGTCGCCAATCTGGAAACCCTTGACGTCGGGGGCCATATCTGGGCGGCACACTCGTTAGCACGCTCGACCGGCGCGGGAGGAGTCCTGCTGACATGCTTACCAACGACAACACCGGTGGTCTCGTGGCCGGGAATCAGAGGGAACTTGGCGATGAACTCGCCCTCGTGGATGTGCAGATCGGTACCGCACACTCCGCAGGACTATTACTCGACACCCCAATGTTAGTCGGCTGCGCTCTCGTCAGGTATGTTCGCCCGGGGCCATTGGCATACCTTGACCTTGATAAGGACATCACCGGCACGGAGCTTGGGGACGGGCACCTCGACGATGCTCCAGTCCTCAGGCTTCTCGTATCTGTGAAAGACGACTTAGTCAGTTCATGCTGCACGCGATTGGACCATTGAATTGACGCAACGGCGGTTGAGCATCCCACATCTCCAGGGGAGCACGATGCGATTGGGAGGGCAGAACAACGAGGGAACTACGAACCTGAGCGCCTTCATGGTCTTGGGAATAGTGGGAGCCATTGTGATGAATTGGTGAAGGTAAGACTCCTTCGGGCTTGGGGTGGAAGTGGATAGAGGGTGAAGCCTTGGGCAAAGAAGGACAATGCTTTGATCGAGGGAGAAAGGAGGGAGGAGAAACCGGACGGGTGGGCGAGGGGATTATATTGTGCTCACGGGCAGGCGCGGGCGAGGAGGGGCTGCTCAGACACGACAAAGGATGTTCATACGGTGAGACGAGACAGCCAGCCAGGCGCCCTTGCTGTTGAATGACGGCAACTCGGGGCGTGGGGTGCTGCCGTCTACTCTAGGCATTCCCTCCATGTGTGTGGACCACATGCGGCCGGTCGCCATGGATGCTGTTTTTTTAGTGGCATGGGACGGACAAGCTTCACTGCGGCAGGCCCGTGGCCGAGACTGCGCCCCTCGAGGCTCGTCTCTTTGAGCTCCCATTGTCTTGTTTGCGCGTCTCAGATGAGCCGTTCTTTTCTTCAGATCGATAGCGAACTAGCTTTGGGTTGGCAGAGGGCTAGACCAGATGCATGCATACTTGAAGTAGCGTAGCTAGGCACTTCATGGTTCGTGGCCGCAGTTGACAATTGCCCTTGCTGTCAAACGGCTTCTTTGTCTGAGCTCTCCTCTGCTTCCTGCCTGCCAAGAAGGCGACGATTTGAAGCGGGGTCCAGACCTATCTTGGGCGAGGGGGTCAAAAGGGAAATTCCATAGTTGCTCTCTCAACCCTCGAACAAGCTTGAGCTTGGGCGTCGAAAATCAACACCAACCAGGCACGACGACCTGCAACCAAGACCACCAGCAATTGCACCCCAGCTCAAGAGTTCCCCGCTGTGGAGACGGGGGCCGGGATTCGTGAGGCTCGGGCCTGCGGCCACGACGTAATGCCCAAGGGTTGAAAGAGGAGCTCCCGCACGACACTGCCCCACCAAGGCTTCCACCAGACGGATTCTGGGACGGATGCCTTGCCTTGCCTGCGGTCGACAGCAATTGATCCCTCAAGACGGCCAGCTCATCATGCGATCGAGACCCCTTTCGTACTTGGGGTTTGGACGTGAAGAAAGAGGGGTCCTGCGAGGATTTTGTTTTCGTGCAACGCCATGCAGTGACTTCCCAAGTTGGCTGGGATCGTGCGTGCAGCGGGCGTGCGGGACAAGTGGGCTGAGAGGCGGCGCCATGCCCGTGTCGGGATCTAAGTTGTGGGCTTACCAATCGATCGGCCAGCCATCGAGGCCTTCGGTCTGGCAATGTGATTGATTCTTTGCTCCCGGGCCTGCGCTGTCATTTGGCCGGGAGGGGCAGCCGCCTTTGACATGCAACGCAAGTGCCCCTGGCTGCCGTCGTAAAAGGACTCGATTCGTCCCTGAGGCCAGCAAGTGTGCCTAACATCCAGCAGCATCCAGTCCAAGGTGCATATACTAGTTGGATGGCTAACAGCACTCTTCCGCAGCACACGGCTTTTGCTGCTGGCATCCGAGGGCTGGATGGCTTGCAACCCCGGCTCCTTCATCGCAGAGTGCCCGTCTCATGGAGCACTGGCTCGTCATGGTTGTGTTGAGATCCCGCGGCCACCCCACGCAATGTCTCAGCACTCGACAAAACATGCAGAGACTCAACGAAATGGATCGCAGACGCGGCTGCCACTCCGACTTTTCAGGGATGCCCTACCGTCCCATGTTGCAATTGGTCTGAACCCTGAGAGCTGACCAAGCCAGGCACTTGAAACATGCAATGTCGGCTCCATAGACACCTAAAAAGAGAGGGGAAAGAAAGGAAAAAAAAAAAAGCAAGTGGTTACGACCTTGCCAGCAGAACAATATGGACACACGAGCTCCCACTACCAGCAGGCTACGCATCGCGTGGCCAATGGCTGGATCTAACAGTCGCCATGTGACCATATTTCGAAGCTCAGAGTCCGACAAGAGAGAGATGCCGTCGTGGCGTATTTTCAGGCATGCATACCGCAAGGGCAGCCATGCAGACGGCGAGTTGTGTGACTGCTTAGTCCATGCCGCTCTACAATTGTCTTGAATCCAGACGTGCGTGTCCCGGGCCGCCGACATCGCTCTTGTCGTCTTGTTGCGAGGGCCTGAATCAGTAGCCAGGAATATCCGACAAGTTCTTCCTTCTCGACGCTGGGCGGCGTTGGCTGGGTGGTGATGGCGCGATTGTAGACATGTCGGGCGCACCTCAACTTACATCACCAAGATGCACAATGCTTTGGACATCACATTAAGAGAAAGGGTCTAGTTTGAGACGACTCGCTTTTCCGTCGAATTTCAAGCTAATCTTCGGCAGGAGGAGACGACACTGAAACTGTTGTCCTCCAGTCTCGCAGAGATCACAGAATGGTGTTGGGGGTCTGCGACGACTCATCTCTAGAAAGCGGCGATTGGTTCCCCAAACATCTCCTAATTTATTTGTGCTTGATCGGGGGTCTCATTCTGGTATACTTGGCTTATGTCAGGAAGAGTATACGTTCCCTTCGTCAACTTTGGTGAATTACCCCGGGGCAACTTCCGCTGAGACTTCTCGACTAAGATTAGTACGGATCTGAGATAATATGCCCGGTTCCATTCGAGGGTTCAGCGCCTAAAAGTGCAACATTGGTGTCAAGAGAAGGGCGAAGATTCGAAGGCATAGAAGAGACACTATGAGGGCAAAGTATTCAAACAAGAAGGACTCGGTGTATAAGTCGAGATGTGGAACGGCGCCAAGGTTGCCAGCAGTGGGATGAATGAATAGTCACACGCCGACGTGTCACCATTTTGGCCTATATCACGGAGCAGGAGAGCTGATGGTGCTTTCGGATATTTTTTTTGGTTTCCTCATAACGGCAAAAAGCATGACCCTGATTCGTAGAAGACGGTTTCCGAGTATTTAAACCACCTAATAACTCCCACCTGTGCAAAGCGAGGGGGTTCAGCCCCCACGAGTTCTATCGCGCATCCAGAAGCGCGACTATGCAGGTCCTCCAATCCCTAGAGTACGCAACCATGCCGGCCCTCCTGTGCGTCGAGCGAATCCATTTTTTTGTCCCACAGAGAAATTGCTGATGAAGAACGGACTGTCCCTTACGAAGGGGGAGCGGCACCACGGCCACGGCCGAAGCCACCACGGCTATAGTAAAACGAGAGTCAGTACTGAGATCGATCTGCAATGGCCACATGGTGTCGCGCGATCTGGGGCGCAAGCCACAGTCGTCGTGCCGGATGGATGTTGAAGGGATAACTCACAACTGAGGAGCGAATTCACCAGGAGCGCCAGCCTCCTTGCCCTCACCGGCGTCACGTCGTCGGTAACCACCCTCCCGGTCACCACGGTCACCACCACGGCCACGGCCGCCGAATGGTCTTCTCTCGCGCTCGCCCTCGCCGCCGAGCATGCCACGGGGAGGAGCGTGCGAGCGCTGCTGCTTGATGTGCGTAGAAGGAACGATCTCGGCGGGGAGGTGAAGCCACTCCCGGAGGTAGTCGAGACCCTCGGGGGTGAGGGTGTAGTAGTAGTACTGCCACGAGAACTGGGTCTTGACGTAGCCGCGCGAGGTGAGGGACTGGGCGGCCTTGACGACGAAAAGGTTCTTGGTGTCGATATCGGGGTGCTTGGGAAGGTTGTAGTCCTTCTTCGCGACCATCACGCCCTCACGGAAGAGGTACTGTAGTGTAGAAGAAGAATGTTAGAATCCTGATTCGTGCAACTCTCGCTTTCCATGCTGCAATCGTGCTCCCGATCCTCCTCCATCGCAAAAGTTCGATATTGGCCATCGGCGTGCGCGGAAATTTCGATGTTGGGGATTTTGGTGGCTTCGGGACGTGGTGGTGATGAATTACCTCGTGAATCTTCTTGCGGTCAGCCTTGGGAATCAGCATCTTGGCGGTATTGTCTGGCGTCAAGACGGGGAGCGTTGTCGAGGTTGATGGTGATGGGCTGGCGGGGACGAGCTCTTGGGGATGCGTACAGCCAGGAGTGTTCGAGGTCGAATTGACGGCCGGGGCGGATATTTTTTGGTGTGTGCAAAACCCTATGTGGCTTTCCGGTGGGGCGCTGCGGATTGGAAGCGACCATGGCTCTGCGCGGCATGCTGCTGTGGCTGAAGCACTGTGGCCGCAAAGAGTACATAGGTACAAGTGGTGGATCTTGGTCGAAATCTTGGCGCCGCTTCCTCCATTGGCTCGAAGGGTGGAGGAGGCCCCCACACTCGGTGCTCGGGGGTTGCTCTCCAGCTGCGGAGCGCGCAGGACTGAGGTTGCGCAACGGAGAACAGGCTGCCTGTGACGATAACTTATCTGACGCAGCCTTGCCAACAGTCGAACGCCCATTGCCACCACCCTCCGCAGTCACCCTCTGACCTCTTCAAGCAACCGGAAGTCCCAAAAGTCCGCGTTGAAAGCCACGAGAATCACTCGCAAACATGTCACCGCGCAACATCAACGTCTTCGTGACGACCTTCCCAGGCCTGGGTCTCCCGTCGACCCTGACCTTTCCAGTATCCTCTCATGCGACCACAAACGACATCCACGCCTGCATCGAGGACAAGCTTCCGTTTTCAGAAGCGCGATACATTCTTACGACGATATCAAACAAGCAACTCGTACCAGGCGTACAGCGGCCAGTTTCCTCATTATGCTCTCAAGAGGACGACTTCATTTCGCTCCGGCTGTCTCTGCCACTATGCGGTGGCAAGGGAGGCTTTGGTTCCCAACTGCGTGCCGCCGGTGGTCGCATGTCGTCCAGGAAGAAGAAGAACCAGGGCGATGAGAACGGCTCGAGCAGAAACTTGGATGGGCGAAGGATACGGACAGTCACGGAGGCCAAGGCGCTTGCTGAGTACCTGGCGATCAAGCCGGAAATGGAGGCAAAGGAGAAAGAGAAGCGTCGCGAGAGATGGCAACAGATTGTCGATGCCGCGGAGCAGAAAGAACACGAAATCAAGAACAGTTCGCGAGGCCGGCTCGATGGCAAGTGGGTGGAGGATAAGGAAGAGGTTGGTGAGCGCACGCGCGAAGCGGTGCTTGCCGCCATGAAAGCCGGTCACTACAAGGATAACCTGCTCGGCACCTCCCATGGTTCGGCAACAAGCGACGAGACTGGTGACGATTCGGAGATGGAGGACGAGGAAGATGCAGAAGAGGCCCAGCAAGCTGCCGGATCGAGCAGTAGCTCAAAGGCCAACTCGCCACCACAGACCACTGCTCCAGCTGCAAGACCACAAAATCGGGTCTTCGCCGGCTTTGACGAGGACGATGAGTTCATGAGCTCGTCTGATGAGGAAGAGGAGGGTGCAAAATGAGCTGCTCCTTGACGCCACTGCGTGTGTTTTATGCAGCTTCACAATCTGCGCATATTGCTTTACAACTTCGAAGGATGCAAGCGATGCTTTCGACAGGAGCCTTCATATACACTGTTAACTCAAAACAGATGACCCATTCGAGATCTTTCGCGTTGGTCACGTCCCACCAACAACGGTGCTTATATGAGGACACATCCGCCCCATGCCATGACAACTTTGATATGCCTACGCTGGAAAGCGGACTGTGTTGCAACCACGACTGACCCTGACCTTAACTCAAGGGTTCCGTCGCTAGACTCAAGAGGGACATGATGGCAAAAAACGACATTGGGTATGCACAATCGGCTTCACCATTGTCAAGGGAGTACCACATACCAAACTCTCAAATATGCGAGCGGGTATACGTTATGAGGATGCGCATCATGGCGGGATGCCGGACGCGGCAATTCCTTCTATTTTCTCCATTCGACTGTGATAATACTACAGTGTAGTGGCCGCCCTTCTACTCACATAGTACATTCCTTCCAGGCACCATTATGGTGATCGATCTATGCGTCGAGCTTGGCGGGGAAGTTGCCAGCCTCGCGCTGCTCATCCCACCGCTGGTGCCAGCCGCTGGGGCACAGGGACTTGTAGGCAAGATAGAACTGCGGATCGAAACTGTTAGTATCACCGAGACATCCGTCACTTCGTCTTTGGTGCAATGGACCGATGTTTACCTGGCGGCAAGGGGCGAAGTCCTCGCCCTTGGCGTTGATACACTTGTGGTAGTCCACGTAGTTCTGCCAGCAGTGCTTGGTCTGGTTCTGGTTGGGGAAGCGGGCGTCGACACCTATATTCGAGAGTTAGCAGCCGGTCGTGGGAGCTGCAGGTACAGCTGCATCGTAGTGGCGCATTCTCCTCGGACTCGGCGGACCAAGAGACGGCTATTGGTGGCTACAAAGCTCGTCTGGTGGCGCGCAGGGCATTGGTGGTGATGATAAAGGTCAATCGGATCGGGGCATGTTTCATACCAGCTGCAGACGATGTTAGCGATGATGATCATACGATGCCATGTTGCCCGCCCAGGAAGTTGTCGGGCGGGGGATATTGAAGCTACGTACCGGTGACGAACTTGAAGGGCTTGGTCTCGCGCTCGTCGTCGGACATGTTGGCGGTTGGCTGGACTGCAATGGGAAAGGCGAATTGGCAGGGTGCGTTGTGGTAGCAGGTCGGGAGGGTGAGGTTGATGACGGCGTGACGGAGGAGTGGTGTGGTGAAGGTTCGCAGAATTCGGCTGGCAGCGCAGGCACGGCCAGGACGCCGCTCACTGGCTGGCTGGCTGGCGGCTGTCCAGGTGCTCGGGGCCTGCACGGCTGCTGTTGGCCAACAGCAATGGAAGCAACAGGACTCCCGAAGCCAGAGGGGCCAACTGTCGAATCATGAGCGATTAATTGCCAGGTCGAGCTGCCCACCTGGCAGCGTCCTGGTGCCCCACTCTGCAGCAGCTCTGCGCTGCCTGATTGGCTGTCCCGGTCCGAGTCAAGCACAGAGGAAGCTCTCCCGCCGCAACACAGTCTCTCGTTGGGCGCTGTGCCTGCCCGGGCCGTGGCGTGGCAGCTGGCTCCGTCATGTTTCTGCGCAATCGTTCGACACCTGCCAGCACTTTTGCTGGCACGCCGTTCCACTCTGCCGACCACTGCCAACCGCATCACGCACCCATCACCGCGACGACCTCGTCTCCCGTCCACCACCGACCAGACCAATCCCCCCTCTCTCGCCAGCGCGCACAAACACCGCCAACATGTACGCCACTCGTGCCCTTCGGATGATGCCCACCCGCCGCATGCGGGCTCCTCTCCCCGTACGTTGCCCTCGTCCCTCCGGTCAGAGGGAGCCACGATCCCGCGAAAGCCGACCTTCGGACGAGATGGACAAACTTTACTAACCGTTTCTTGGATATCTGCAGAAGGAGGACCAGAGTGGTATGCTCAAACGACTTGCCAATTGCCTTGGGAGATGCACTTGAGCGGCTTGCTAACCTTCGCATAAATATAGCCCACACTGTCTCTCAGCGCCTGCGGAAGATCAAGGACGTCCCCGCCGAGCTGTGGCCCCTCGGTCAGTGACACCAGATTACCCTCGCATCTTTCATAGACATTTCGTTTGTACTGATGGCTACCACAGCTGTTGTCGTCGGCTTCGCCGTCATGGCTGCCGGCTACTCTTGCGGCCGCAAGTTCTTCGTCGACAAGAACCTCCGCCTCGCCCGCCAAAACCGCAAGGACGACGCCCCTCACGCCGAGCACCACTAGAAAATGGTCGGAAACCCAGAAGCTATGCCAATGAACATCGCGGTTTCATTTGTCAGGGAGTCATCAATGTGTACCAAATTCTACAGGAGCTCGGAGGAAGTGGTCTGGAGTGTTAGCAAAACATCCCTTGTGGTATATATCAAGGCAAAATGCGGGCTCGCTTTTGCCAATCGCAACGGCGTCACCCTCTCTCTACAAAGAATGACCTTTGTAATATGATCCAAGCTGGTCCGTGAAGCATATGTCGTGTCTCATCCTTTCCTTGTTGCCTTGCGTCGAGGACATTCGCGTGCCTCAGTCTTGCCCGAAAAGTGCTTGGATCGAGTCGTGGCTCGTGACTCAGTACCGCGAACTCGTAGTGCCATGTCTATTTTCACTCGTTACTTTATCCCAAAACGCCATCGCTATGTATGAGAAGACCAGAATCAACCACTAGGTTTGGATATTACATCGGCTTCGGCCCGGCGACATCCAACCCCTCCAACCCTTGCATGGGGTCCTCTGCCCGTCCATCGCCTGTAGCCTGCGCGCCGTCGGCACTCAGCCTATCCTCATCATCCACAGCATGTTTTGCGAGCCATCCCTCCTGCAACGTGTCAGTCTACGAGTGTCTGATGCAGTCTAAAGCTAGACTTGGAAAGACATACCTGCTCCCACACTGCGGTCTTGCTGCCCAGACCCTCATTGGCACTCTTTGGTGGTTTCGCGGCAGACACCTTCAGGACCCGACCAAAAAACTCGGACTGATCCATGTTGTCGATTGCTTCCTTGGCATCATCGGCGTCTTCGTACTCAACGTACGCGAACCCTCTGTGGGGTTCTGTGGCGTTGGGGTGGTCATTTTTCGGGAGTGAGATCTCTGCGATCTCGCCAAACGGAATGAACGCGTCGTGCAAATTGCTTGTGGTGGCATAAGACGACAGTCCGCCAACATAAACAGTTGCTTTCCAGCGGGCCGAGTCGGTCATGTTGGTGGACTGCTGAGTATTATGAGGGCGTGAAATGTGAGTTTGAGTACCTCTACGCAACTGTGTCGATAGGGCAATTCGGAGATCCAGGCGCCTTTCTGTATGGATCAGACCAAATAGTTTCTGAGATCACGGCCTGTGAGAGCACAGCCTGTTAGAGCTTGTCGTAATGCCTGCCGCGTGATACTTTTCCTGGAGGTGAGGGAAGGCTAGCTTCTGATCCTACCTAGGTAGCCAAGTGGTGGTCTGTGCAGCTCTCGGCCTGGGAGGGAGCTGCTGCACATGCGAGCGATGGTTGCGCGCGGCGAGCTTTGCAGCCACCTCTTCTTGATCTGAGCCCGCCAGGGCAGGCACAATGGACACCTCTGCAGTCCCCACAAATTACACAAGGGAAGGAACCCGTGGCCAGCTGGAGGAAGTGGGGCAGATGCGGGTGGGTGAGCTAGGCGTGGTGATACGCAGCCTACATATCTGGCAACAATTGATGTGGCACATAACAGCTTGGCCCCCTCAAAACCCCTTAAACCCGCCAAACTAGCATCGCGGGAGAACGCTCTCGACAACCTTCTGCCACAGGTGGTATCGCACTCCAAGCTGGTCTGGACACACTCAATGCCCTGTGGCATCTAGGCACCGCTGCTTCTCTCTTCCCATACTACCCCTCCGGCGACCTCCACCGCCTGACCTTGCCCGAGTGCCCCTCTTGCTGCTGCCCAGGCTGTCGTCATGGTCAGACTGCGGGAGATCTCGCGCACCGCGGCGTTTGCCTGGTCGCCAGGCGCCGGCAAGCCATACCTCGTCACAGGTACACGAGCTGGAGCTGTCGACGCAGACTTCTCGGACGAGACCAAGCTAGAGCTATGGGACCTAGGTCTCGATGACAAGCAGCAGCCTCTTGAGCTCCAGCAGCCGTTAGCCAGCATCGTCACCGACTCAAGGCATGTTCCTGAAGAGCAATTCTTCTTCGCCTAGAAGCAACAGCTAACAAGCGATTTTGCAGATTCTATGATATCGCTTGGGGTCAACCTTCCGAAGCCCACCCGAAGGGCATCATTGCTGGCGCCCTGGAGAACGGATCGCTCGACTTGTGGGACGCTGAGAAACTACTGGACGGCGACGATGACGCCCTCATCTCACGGACAACCAAGCACACCGGCGCTGTCAAGTCTTTGCAGTTCAACCCTCTCCGGCCACAGATCCTTGCGACTGCCGGTGCCAAGGGCGAGCTCTTCATCTACGATGTCAATGACCCCGAGAGCGCATTCCGCCTCGGCACCGCCGCTGCGCGATCAGACGACTTGGAATGTGTCGCTTGGAACATAAAGGTCGCGCACATCCTTGCCACAGGTGGCTCGGGAGGATTCGTGACAGTGTGGGATCTCAAGACGAAGAAGGCTTCGTTGACATTGAACAACAATCGCAAGGCTGTCAGCTCCATTGCCTGGGACCCGAACAACTCTACAAAGCTTTTGACAGCGACACCTGACGACACGGCGCCTGTCATCTTGCTTTGGGATCTTCGGAACTCGAATGCCCCGGAACGGACTCTGCAGGGCCACGAGCAAGGCGTCCTCTCGGTCTCATGGTGTCTCCAAGATCCCGAGCTTCTTATCTCGTCTGGAAAGGACAACCGCACCCTGATCTGGAACCCAGCCACGGGCGAGCGCTTTGGGGAATTCCCCGAAGTTACCAACTGGACTTTCCTCACCCGCTTCAACCCCCACAACCCGAGTATATCGGCCACCGCTTCTTTCGATGGGAAGATCACCATCCAGACACTGCAGAACACCAATCCCTCAGCTACACAGAACATCGTCCAGAATAGCTTGGATGGTGAGGACTTCTTCACGCAAGCACAGACACAACCGCAAGGTGCCGCTTTCTCGCTGCCAAAGGCGCCTCGGTGGCTCGAAAGACCAGTCGGTGCATCTTTCGGATTCGGTGGCAAGCTCATTGTCTTCAAACCAACAGCGTCACAGTCTGGCCAGAAGCGATCATCAAGCATCCAGATCGCCCGTTTCACTGTTGACTCCGACATTGGTTCCGCAACTGAGAAGTTTGAAGAGTCATTGAAATCTGGTAGCATCGCGGCGATCTGCGAGGCACGGAAGGATGAAGCCGAGACCGAGGAAGAGAAGGCCGACTGGCAAGTCATGGAGACTCTCCTTGCCGAGAACCCGCGCCAGAAAATCGTGGAATGCCTGGACGTGGCTGATGCCGTGAATGGTGTTTCTGACGATGAGGACGATGAGGACGATTCCGAAGACGAGGCCGACAAAGCGCCTCCGGCACCCAAGGCCACGTTGGATGTCAAGGGCCACAAGAAGCGGATATCTACCTTTTTCTCGTCCGACGGCGCAGAAGTCGACGGCGAGGACTTCCTGGCCAGTTTGTCAGCAACCAAAGGTGCAAAGACAGATAACCCCTTCAGCCTGTTTGACGACAATGACTCTGCTTCAGAAAAGCGTATCACCCAAGCACTTACGCTGGGCAACTTTGCCAAGGCTGTCGAGGTATGCTTGAAAGAGAAGCGCATGGCAGACGCCTTTATGATTGCCAACTGCGGCGGTAAGGAGCTTGTGGACAAGGTCCAAGCTGCTTATCTGACGCAGAAGACCGGCATGCCGAGCTACCTCCGCCTCCTCAGCTCTGTCATTGTCAAAAACCTTTGGGACGTGGTTTACAATGCCGATCTCTCCGCCTGGAAGCATACTATGGTCACTCTCTGCACCTACGCGGACCCGGCAGAGTTCCCAGACTTGTGCGAAGCTCTGGGTGACCGTATCCTGGAATCTGGTGACCGCAAGGATGCCAGCTTCTGCTTCCTTGTTGGATCAAAGCTCGAGAAGGTTGTAGACATTTGGATTTCGGACCTTGAGGAGGCCGAGAAGGCCGCTATTGCCAACGGTGACGACACTATCTTCTCCATCCACGCCCGTACCCTGCAACAGTTTATCGAGAAGGTCAGCATCTTCCGTCACGTTACCAAGTTCCAGGACAGCGAGATCGGTCTGGCGTCCGACTGGAAGCTGGCGTCACTCTATGACAAGTACGTCGAGTACGCGGACATTGTTGCCGCCCATGGCCAGTTGGACATCGCCCAAAAATACCTGAGCCTACTCCCTTCTCAGTACCCACCTGCCACGCTCGCCAGGGAGCGGGTCAACTTGGCGACCAAGAAACCGACCGCAACTACATCCGCTCGACAGCCTGCTGCTGGGGCTCGTACGTCGTCAAGAGCACAGCCTAGCATGGGCTTCCAAGCTCCTCAGCCTGCTCCGCAACCCCTGAACCCCGTCACACCCTCGGCGTACGCCCCCTCGCAGACACCAGGACAACAGCAGTATGGTGTACCCACGCCTGTCGCAAGCAACCCGTATGCGCCTCCCAATGCCTCAACAGGCTTTCAGCAGCCCGCCGCAAATCCGTACGCACCACCGGGAAACAACCCCTACGCGCCCAAGTCTGGATATCAGACTCCTCAGCCAGGCCCTCAATTCAATGCTCCCGCTCAAGCCTACGGACCGCCGCCCACAGCTATTGGTGGCCCCCCTCGCAGTGGCACTCCCTCCTCCCGACCTCCGCCTCCCAAGCTCTCGGAGGTGGGCAACTGGAACGATGTCCCCGTAGTCTCGCGGCCTCCGCCGAGGAAGAATACGCCGAGCATGGCCCCTGTAACGTCGCCCTTCGGCGCACAGCCTGGCATCATGTCACCTCCGCCGCAGGGTCAATTCGGCCAAGCCACCAATACTCCTCCTCCGCCCCCTAAGGGATCTGCGCCCCCGCGTGTTGGCTCTCCATCTACTGGACCTCAGTTCGGTGGTGCGTTGCCGCCGCCGCCGCGGACCGGCTCATCACTCGCCAATGCTTACGCGCCGCCGCCCAACATGCAGCAAAGCCCAGTAGCCGGCTCGGGCCTGCCGCCACCTCCGCCGATGGGCGGCGTGGTGCCCCGAACAGGGTCCCCATACAACCCGCCGCCATCTGCTGGTCCGCCGACGAACCGCTACGCCCCAGCGCCATCGTCGCAGCCGACGAACCAGCCTCCGCAGCAAAACTTTGCCCCCCCTCCGCCACAAGGCTTCTCCGCGCCCCCGCAAGCTGGGCCGCCTCTGGCTGGGCCTCCCCGTGCTGCTGGCAACTCGCCTGCGCCGCCGCCTCCTCAAGCCGCGCCCCCGAGAGCGGCAGCACCACCCCAGAAGCCCAGACATCCTGCCGGCGACAGGTCTCATATCCCACCCAATGCCTTGCGCGTGGTTGATGTGCTCAGCCAGGATATGCAACGGGTTGCGGCCAAGGCTCCTGCCTCCTTCGCGCCTCAGGTGAAGGATACTCAAAAGAGGCTTGGTCTTCTGTTTGATCACCTCAACAATGAGGAGCTCATTAAGCCTGACACCATTGAGCAGTTGACTCAGCTCGCCAATGCACTAGAGACCCAGAATTACGTGGAGGCCCAGCGGCTCCAGGTTGAGATTCAGCGCGACAAGACCGAGGAGTGTGGCCAGTGGATGGTTGGCGTCAAGCGCCTGGTGCAGATGAGCAAGGTTACGAACTAGAGTTGAAAGCGCACCACGGAGACAGCTAGATAGCCGCCTATATAATACAACATGGATCGGCTTCATCCTTGACCAACAGTCTGAAACCGTGTCGAAGCACATTCATCATGATGAATGTCGTCGAGCCAAGGTAAGTGAGTGTCTGCAACTCCTGCCGGGGGCCTCTTATACTTGAGCGAGATATCCAAAGACAGCGTTTGCACTTGCAACATTGTGACTAGTACCAGCATGTGGAATCCAGGTCCAGATCTGGCCAAGCAATGATATGTTTGACCTGCAGTCTAGGCTCTGCTCTAGGAAACCCTGTCACTACAGTGACCTTCGTCATGCCGTGACTTGCTTAGGGGCTTAGGGGCAGAGCAACAGCCGGCTGTCATGCAATCTTGCCAGAATGCTGCGACCTACCGCGGGCTGCATAGCCTCTTACAAGCTTACACGCAGGAGACAAGCGAGATGGGAAGGCGTTGCAGGCAGATGGAAGAAGCAGTCGCGGACAAACACTTTTGCGCACGCACGGAGCGCGGTGCTGCTTGTCGTCCATGTCCAGGCCCTGCCAGCGTCAGGGATTGCCCCATGTATCCATGCCCTCCGCTGTCCACTTTTTGAGTACCTAGCTCGCATCCCTAATTCCACGTCCTGACAAGTCGTTTGGGGTCGTGGCCAATTACTTTCGTCCGAGCCTGGGGTGGACTGAAGTGGCAGGCGGGGGTTCTTTGCCGGTGGTCGGCTCGACTACCCTGTCTGTTTGAGATATGGTGGTGGACACTGGACGGGCCTTACTTGCATGGCGTGCTGAGGGTGGTAGCCCAAGGCTGGCCCGGTGGATTATCACGAGCACCCTGTGGTTGTTGTGGTGGTCATGATGGGGGCAAGCGGGACGCGCAGAATTTATCCACCGTTTGTGCCCACCAGGGCTGGCACACATAAATGCAGGTACTAATTGCATGCAGAAGACGGAGCTGCAGGCACCATGCGGGCGCGCCCTTGGGTGCAAAGAAAGCGCGGAAGCACACCCACCCGCGCGGCCTGGAGTCAAAAAGTCTCAGGCACGGCCGGGCAGCCCTGATTGGATGTTGTGCTCTATGGGAGCCACTCTTTGCAGGTCGCGTTGGCGTGCGACAAAGACACGCCCCCTTTTCCCCCTCTGACGCGGCTGTACGCAGTAACTATTAGGTAGAGTCAGAAATGGGCCGTGATGCCCGGTACCCAGAGGCCGGGTGGCAGGCCGGATGGCAGGCAGGCAGGCTGCGTTAGTGTAATTTATTAGCAGGGCCCAGCACGGGGGCCGGGCTGTCACCTCGCAGCTTCTGAGTGTTCCTGGCAAGACCCCGGCCCCCGTGCTGGGCCCGCCCGCCCGCCAGCGTCTCGTTGCTGTGGTGTTTTGTTTCGTGGCTTTTCTGCATCTTGGGCGCCTCTAGATAGAGTTTCTGGCAGCGCTGCGGGAGAGATTGAAGGACGATGCAGGCACGGCTCAACTGTGATCTCTGCCCGACGTAGATGGCCGTGTAATGAATTCCACCCGAGGCCGCTGCCTGCATGTGTCTGCTGCGTCTTGGACGATATTCCGCGGCCATCATCACCCTTGCTTGGCATCACGCCCATCCCCTGGGACCTCCTTGCAACTGTTGCGAAACCCCATCGCACTATCGGAGGATTGCCAGAGGTCCTGTCTTGCAATAATTTCAGCCTCCATGCCTCCGTACTGTACCTATCCATCCGCGACGACACGACACGCACCGCCCGAGCCCAGACTGCCAGCATCACCGCGCAATCACCTGCCTCGCCGTCGCGACAGGCTGCCCATCGCTCAATCGCGGGCCCCTTTCTTGCTCCATCCCCAACCCACCAGCTCCAGCCAGCCAGCAACGTGCACTCCAGGCGGGGATCGCTTCTGGCCGCTGCACTCCACCACGCCATCGCGACACACCAGCCCTCGCCGCCCTCGGCATGCTATTCCCAGTGGTTAACCAGCGGAATTACGACTGAGGCCACAGCAGCTGCCTTTGGGTGCGTCTGGCCTTTGCCTTCGACACTACGGACGCGCGACAGTCGCCCTTACTGCGCTCTCCAGCGAGCGGTTGGCTTTTGAGCACGGCCGGCCGGTCTTCAAGGGTCCACGATCCGTCAACACCTCATGCAAGTGCCTCCGACACCCAGGTAGCGACGGCGCAGCCGAAATCAAACGATCCCAATGCCTTGGCAACCGCTGCCGCGCATCGCCTTTGCAGTTGCGACATACCCTTTCGCCCCCCTCGGCGAGCACGACCTGCCCCTCGAGATCGGCGATGACCTATACATCATTGAGGAGACGCCCAATGGCCAATGGCTGCGCGGCTATCTCCTGGCGCCGCCGTCACTCACGGCAGGCCTGACTTCGGTCAAGGGGCAGACTTTGGAGGCCAGGGTGTTCTCTGGAATATTCCCTCGCAGCTGCGTCGAGATTCGCGAGCTCCTGGGCGAGGCAGACGACCTCTCCTCGGTCGAAGATGACGACGAAGATATCGACGAGCGGGTCAGCTTGGTAGGAGACCAGAGCGAACGGCGGTTTGGCAGCGACTCTGGGAAGAGCGGAGTGGCCTCGCCGAGCGCCAAGGCTCGCAAGCAAGCCGAGGCGGGCAAGACGTCGGGCGCAAGAACCAGTGGGAGCACAACCGCCGTCGACGATAACAGGCGGAAGACGAAACCGCCCCCTCAGAGGCTCCCTGGAGAGCCCAAACCTGCGGCCCCCGTGCCGATGCTCAGGATTGGCGATGAGTCGCCTACGTCTGCCTCTGAACCTTTGATCGACGAGATCGCGTCGTGCCTGCGCGAGTGGCACTCAACCAACTTTCACGAACTTCTCCTATCTCGGCAATATGGCTCTCTGGACAAGGTATCACAGCTGATTCAGGCGCTGGACCTGGCGCGGCGGCAATTCCTCCACAATGTGCTTACGACCAACGAATACGATGCGCTACGCGAGAAGACAGTCTGGAATCTAGTACGGGGAAACAAGTTGTGCGGCGGTGAAGTTATAGTGCGCGATCCTCAGCAGAGAGGTCGCGTGTTAACGGGCGAGGATTCTGTCGTCGAGATCACCAAGCTACAATCAGTCATGAGTCTTCTGGACGAGCCACCGGTAGCTCATGCGGAGATCACTGCGCTACACCACCTCATGGTAGATATCCGAAGCTTCGCAGGGTCATCCAACGAGCCAACAACGTTGCTCATCTCCCTTGTCAGCAGATCAGTGGGCGGCACCGTGACGGCCTTGTCGGAAAGTTATCTCATCGAGATTCCAGCCGGTGGTCTCATGGGCGGCAACTCCAAGGATGGCCATATGCGGACTCTATTCACTGATCTGACTTCTGGTGACATTGGAGATGCTCCGTCCGCCGACTCCGAGCTGTTTTTGGTTGTCAAAATACGAGCTCCGCAGCAGATCACTGCAGGAAAGCCTTCTTCTCGTTCTGGATCGTTCTCGCAACCAAATTCTCCCTTCTCCAAAGAGAAACCCCCGACCTCGAGTAGCACAAAGGCTTCTAGAAGAAGCCTCATGTGGGGGACTACGCGCTCTGCGTTTTCTCGCGGTGGGATCAAGCTCGATGCGCTGTCTGAGCAGCCAGAAGAACGACCGCAGACGGACCGGACAGAGAGCCGCGAAGGGCCGATACCACCCAGCACTGCCGGATCCCGTGGTGCCCGACCCTCGAGTGACGGCACACAGGTCACACAGATGACTGTCGACCGGATGGTGGGGCTTGGTGTTCTCAAGATCAATGCCATCATGCAGCAGCCCGATGAGGTGGAACATGTTGTAACGATATGGTCTGCAACGAATCAGTCGAGCTTTGACGGGCAGCAAGATGACGAATGCGACATCCTGGTCAAGCACCTCCTAGACAGCAAGTCTGGTCATTACGAAAAGTCGAGGAGAGCGGAACGGTTGCAGGTGCATCTGAAGCCCTTTAATCACCAGGACCCGGACGCTTTGATCAAGGCGACACCAACACTACTTTCTGGCATAAGCAAGACGCCCAAGATGGGTTTCCCCGGAGCACCAACAAAGCCACGATCCGACATCTACATAACCATACACCAAGCACTTCTTGCACGGCAGAACCTCTTGTCACGGGTTGGAGGTAGCGCCACCGCATTACCAAGCAGCATGCACGGCAACAATCTCGCTGTCACACTCGAGGTGCGCTCGTTATCTGGTGACCGCATAGAGAACTGCATATATTCTGCCTCGAACGCCGAAGCTGTCTCGGCATGGCAATCCTTCGCGACCGAACGCAGTGAGCGCTGGAACCAGTGTCTCCGACTAGCTTTATCTCCTGAAGAGGTCATGACATCTCACGTCATGGTCACCGTCGCAGACCTGCCGCATCCGCCATTCGCAATTGGCTACCTGCCTTTATGGGAGCAACAAGCTTTTTTGAGCGATGGCGTACATTCTCTGCTATTGTATAAGCTGGAAGACGGCGCTCGGACCGCTCAACCAGGTCCAACTGGCCAGGGTGGGTATCTGTCAGTACCCTGGGGGCCACGAGTAGATTCATCCGACGTAACTGGTCCCCTTGCGACGCTGCAGGTAGAAAGCTACTTGTGCAGCACGCGTTTCTCCCAAGACAGAGTGATTCTAGGGCTTCTCAAGTGGAAGGAGATTCCAAAGGGCGAGATACCAGCCCTGTTACGACAAGTCATCTTCGTACCCGAGATTGAGATTGTCAAGCTTTTGAACGAGGTTTTGGACGCCCTGTTTGGCGTTCTCGTCGATAACCAGGAGAATGACGAATACGAAGACTTGGTCTTCTCGGCTCTGGTGCGAGTTCTAGACATCATCCATGATAGGCGGTTCAACCTTGGGCCGCTTGTCGACCAGTACGCCGAGACCAAGTTCAACTATCCCTTTGCCACCGCTTGTCTCGTTCGCTCCTTCACGAGGCTTCTCTCCAAACCGACAGAACCTGAGACTGCACGCAAGCTCCGGGCCACCTTGAAGGTCGTCCGGTACATCCTGAAATTCATCACTCATGCTAGAGATCAGCAAAAGGCGAAGGAAGCCGGTATTGGGATTGTTAATGGCAATCCTGGCTTCACCAGGCACCTGCAGAACATCTTCAAGGCCTTGGACTCGATGATGCGCAGTACTGCCCCAGTCCTCGTCGGCAGTCAAACACTGGCAGTTCAGCATTTCCACACATGGCTGCCAGAGCTCACTGGGCTTCTTACCACAGAGGAGATTCTCCACATCGCAATTGACTTCATCGACTCTTGTGCACTGGTCAAAGGCAAGCTCGTTTTGTACAAGCTTGTTCTGATCATCAACTACTCAAAGCTGGCACTTTTCTCGCAACCCGAACAGCGTTCCGCACTCTGCGCCAATACGGTTCGGTGGATCGCGCCTCACTGGGGCGAGGCGACCGAGGTTACAGACCAATGGAAAGACCAGGTCAGGCTGTGCTGCTCCATCATCGCCAGTCAAGCTGATCACCTTGGACCAGAAGTCCCCGACTATATTCCCAAGATCACGGAGTCTTTCCGCTTGATCCAGGCCGCTGGAAGCCAACCGAAGAATAAGCTCTCGTTGCTCTTTCCCGCAAGCTATCCGTTCCCTGCTAAGCCCATAAGCGGCGAGCCTGTGCGGTTCGACGAGTCTTTGATTGAGCTGTCAGCCGTACTTTCTGCCTTAGCCAATTCACCCCAGGGCATGCAACTGGAGCTTACCGAAGATGATCTGGCGAGCGTGCTTAAAAGCATGCTGCAAGTGCACATGAGCATTCTGCAAGGGGAGGCCTTTCCCTCGACGTGGCTAAGCGTGCATATTTACCACCACAAGTCGACCATGAAGACCTTGCAGTACTTGTCCACAATCATGCTGGATACTTTCCTGCCAGATCCCGACGATGCCGAGAACTTTGATACAGAACTGTGGAAGATGTTCTTTACGACATTGCTCAAGCTTGTTGGCAGTGAGTGCCTTGCGCTCGAGACGTTCCCCGAGCAAAAGCGCCGAGCGGTGTGGAAGATCGCCGGCGATGTGCGCGAACATGGCGCCGAGCTGCTCCGACGTACCTGGGAAGCAATCGGTTGGGAGACGACTGCAGACGAGCGCTTGAGGTACGGCTTGAGCAAGATGGGTGGCTACCAGGTCCAATATGTCCCGTCCCTGGTCGGGCCTATTGTAGAGCTGTGTCTCAGTGTGCACGAGGGTCTAAGGAGGATGGCTGTCGAGGTCTTGCAGACAATGATAGTCAGCGAATGGACACTCAGCGACGACCTGTCTGTTATCCAGACGGAAATGATCGACTGTCTCGATCGCTTCTTCAAGGAGAAGGCCATGACGGAGAGCATCTTGCAGAAGCTGTTTGTGCAGGAACTGCTCGACAGATTCGAGCCGCTATCGCACATTGAGGACGATGCCATGTACGCCGGGCTCAGGGATTTGATTGCAACAGTAGACGAGTTTCTCGACCTTCTCGTTGCTGTTCACGGCGGCGAGGTCACGGGGCAGGCATCAAACCTCATCAACCGACTGCGGCTCATGGAGTTCCTCCGAGACATGCAGAAGGAAGAGATCTTCATTCGCTACGTACATCAGCTCGCTCACCTGCAGGCAGAAGCAAGAAACCACACGGAAGCCGGACTTGCACTCAAGCTCCATGCCGAGCTATACGAATGGGATCCTACCAGGAACACGAGGGCGCTGCGTGACCCCGACATGCCTGAACAGTCGCACTTTGAGCGCAAGGAGCGCATCTACTTCGAAATGATCAAGCACTTTGAGGATGGCGAGGCGTGGAGCAGTGCTCTTGCTGCTTACAAGGAGCTGCAGAACCAGTACGAGAACAACGTCTTCGATTTCGCCAAGCTGGCTCGTACCGAACGTGCCATCGCCACAATTTACGAGACTTTGGCCAAGAGCGAAAGGCTGGTTCCCAAGTACTTCAAGGTTGTGTACAAAGGTCTTGGCTTCCCGACAGCCCTGCGTGATAAGGCCTTTATCTGCGAAGGATCTCCTAATGAGCGCACCTCTGCGTTCACAGATCGCATGCAAGGCCAGTATCAGGCTGCGCAGATCATCACGAGTGGGGATGTGGACTCGGACACTGAGGGCCAGTTCCTCGTGGTGTCTTCCGTGAGCCCACACCGTGATCTCAGTCACCCGGTCTTCCAACGTGCCAGAGTGCAGCAGCCCATCCGTGACTATCTCCTCTCTGCCCACCCTCAGATGTTCTCGGTATCGTCAAAGCGCAGCACGAACGGACCTGTCTCAACTCACCACGCGGAAAAGACGTTGTACACCACGGCGGAATCCTTCCCAACAATCCTCCGACGCAGCGAGATTGTGGAGGTCGACACTGTCCAGCTTGGTGCCAAGGAGACCGGACTCGAGCGCATTGTCCGCAAAACGCAGGAGATGACTGCCGTGGAGAAGCGACTCGCTGAAGGTGACGAAGAAGTCGCTCAGCTCCTTGTAGACGCGATTCGTATTTCGGTTGATCCCGAGTCAGAAACAAGTGTTGTGGGCTACAGAGAGCTGCTTCCCAAGCCTGCGCACAAGTCCAGAGAATTGAACCCCATGGACTCGGATGAGGAGGACGATGACGATGACGAGAGCGACGAAGGCGAGCCAGAGCTTAGCGAGAAGGAGAACGCGATCAAGATGGCTCTCGTGGACCACGCGATCATGCTCAAGAGGTGTCTTAGCAGCTTTGCGCGAAGCAGCAATCCAATCCTGCGGAAGGCTTATCAGGATCTGTACATGCGTAAGTCGTTTTGCTTAAGGGGTTCGTGTCAGCGTCATGCTCGTGTGGACTAACCCGAAATGCAGACTTTGAGTCAACTTTCGCTCCAGAGATCGCCGTCTTCACTCCGGCCGCCATGCCGCGCGACCAGCAGAGCACGCCATCCCCTACATGGCAGAGATCCCCGCGCCTGACCGACAGCTCGCCACCACTCGGCCAGATCAGCGCATCCGGGTCAAAGGGCGTCGTCGAGGAAGCAGCCTCTGTGCAGCCCATCACTGTGCGCCAGCGAGGTGCCCGGCTCAGCTTCCTTGGGGGCAAGAGGAAGGAGTCACTGTCCTCGGGTAACGATGTCGTTGCTTCGCCACAGCTGAATGGGGATGGCGAGACGGGCCACGCGTCGCCCGACAGAACCAAAGACCATGGTCACAGGATGAGCTTTTTCCGGCACGGATCTAGTGACAACTCCTTCACGCCTGCCCATCACGAAACGATGCACTCGAACGGCTACTCGCATCATCGCGGGACGCCATCCATGTCCACCGCGCAGGACCGTGGCCTCAAGAGCCGCGACATTATTGACGTGGTCGAGAAGGGCATCGACCGTGGTGGCGAGCACACCGCCGTGGTGGAAGGTGGCCACGGCGCCAACGGCGAGAGCGGCCTGATGAAGAAGGCTAGCATCCGCAAACGCTTCAGCACGCTCAAGCTCGCGACGAAGAAGAGCAAGAACGCCCTCATGGGTGATGTGCGCGAGGAATGAACACGGGGGCGTTGCCCAACCTCGACGTCTTTGACGAATCACTGATATTCTGCTTCATACCTGACCCTTAATCCGTTCCACGCGGCCATACATTTCACACCATTGCATATCGTCATAATCACCATCAAGATTCTCGGCACTTCTGTCATCATATTCTTTTTTTTTTCGAAGAGATCTTTATTTTTCACTTTCCGTCTTCGCATTTCTGTACGACTGTCCAGCTGAAGGGGCGTAGGCTCACCAGAAAACGATTTGTCCCCATCCTTGTATCTACCAGATCTCTCTTTCTCTCTCTCTCTCGCTTGTAAAACTTCTTTTTATTATTATTATTTTCCTTGAAGCATGATACCAGGGCTAGTAGAGTTGTTGCGGCGGCCGGTATAGCGGTTGGCGACAGTGAGCGAGTTTGGCCACGAGGCCTGCCTGTGGGAAGGAAGGGCCAGACAGAGAGTAGCGAATGATGAAATGCATATAAGAAAGCCCTGCAGATTGTGAACAGGCGCGGTGCAATCCCACCTATTTTCTCATTGACACGCATGTATTCTGACAGCCTTGATCGCTGTTGTTGCTCTGCCATGGCTGCACACAACAACAACGGTCTTCATTTCGTGATGGCAAAGTCCAGGACCACACCACCCCCACATGAGGCACCGAGTTTGGACCCCACTTCTAGTCAGGAACCGGGTCTGTACAATGTGCTGCGTGCCCCTTTTTCCTTGGGTGCCACTGGTTGTCCAAGATGCCCGCCCCGTGGCGTCGAAGCGGCTGAACCCAGCCTCTGAGAGTTTTGGCAGAAAGGCTTGTCCGTAATCACGAACAGGGGGCAACAGTGTGGAGGACACCGCGCCTGGGCCTGCACACGCAACCACCAGCAGTGGCGTGATCACTTGATTGGGCGCGGTGGACGAGCGTACTGTAGACCAATGTAGACCAATCACTTGAGGACTAGCGTGTTGTCCCCTCTCAGCAGCGGAGGAGCGCCTCTTGCTGGCCGTCGTGTGCCGATCCCGCGCAAAGCATGTTTCATCATGACGACCTGCAGCGGCAGCCAGTCGTTCGCCGCCGTTGTTGTCGTCACTTTGCAGAGGCCTTTTCTGTCTCACTTTGAGACGCGGCATCATCCCTAGTCTGCGACCAGCCGGCTTGCCTCTGGTCCACTGGTTAGTTAACCCAATGGTGTTTTCCGCGACCGCATCGGGGGAGGGCTCAGACGGATGGTGGTGCATGTTGGACCCTTCTTCGTGTGGAAACAACATTATTTACCAGCCGGCCTGGTGGCTTGTCTGTCCTTTAAGTGGTCGAGCAGGGGGGGTCTTGCCCCTTGGGGGTGCCTGACTGATTGTCATTTTCCTTTGCCAGGGTCACTGCTAAGCCATGAAGCCGTGGGATCAGGAGCAGGGCGCGGTGACCGCCCCCCCTCCAAGTCCTATCCACTCAGAGTCGGAAACCGTGCTGTCAAAGACATCTCTGGACGACACTGCAGATAAGCAGAGCACGACAGCTCGACCCGTGGTGGACTCTCGTGAGATCCGCCCACAGCAGGCAGCCCCGGCGCGGATGAAGTTGGATGGGACCCTGAGCTTGAGCTTACTTACTAGCGTAGCTCAGCACTCTTCTGGGCTAGTCAGGCACAGGCGGCGTCCTCAACGGGCACCCGTCCACATCCGCCGTTGGTTTCAAACAGAGTTGCCGATCGCATTGAAACTGGAGGACGAGAAATGAAACTTTTTTTTTGTTCAGTAGAGTTGTTAAGTTGAACAGTCTCTTCTGGGCAGCCGCACCGACTTCCTCGAACAGCTTTTGCGGCTCTCATCTTGCGCCTGCTTGCTCTCTCGCCTTGCTGCTGACCCGACCCACGCCACCACTTGGCAGGCGAAGCACTTGCAGTGGGATCAGCCCCTGCAGCCTGCATCCTGGGGAGCCCACGACAGGGTCCACGGGTCTCTGAGCTGAGCCCTGCCTGCTGCTCGTCCCCTGCCCTGCGCCTGTCCTCTCCTTCATCTGCTATTCCACTCTTCACGCTCCCTTCTCCGAGGCGCGTGTCTCGAACCAAGTCGTCCACTGGCACTGACACCACCCTCACCGCCGTCGCCGTCCCGCCCTACGCAATTCACCTTCCCTCTCGTCCGCGCGTGGAGCCGCCGTCCCGCCATGCCAGCGGCTGCGTAGATCAGGGTATCCCCGCTTCCGCCGACCATCGATTATGCTCAGGATGACGAGACTTTTTGTCGTTGGCAGCCGCTACGGCTTCGTCCTCGTCGCCGCCCTCCTCGTCTGGCTCTTCATCCGCGAGCCGTTCGCTCGGTTTGCGCACGACCACAGGCGACCCGATGATGTAGTCGTCGTCACAAACACAGCCATCAACGCAGACGCCCAGCAACAACAACAACAGCTGCAAAACTCGCCCGCCGTGGACAGTGGGGGCATCGCCTCCTCGAACTCCGAGGCTATTGCCGACGGCAGCGACAAGCCTTCCCTTGGGCAGCCGCCCGCGCAGCAGCAGCTGGTCGAAGAGCCCCCTCGGGCCAAGGTCTACAAACCCAAGCCCTCCGCCGCGCCTCCGATCAAGGACCACTTCCCATGGCTCACACATTCGGGCAAGAGCCCCGAGGTCCTCGAAAACAACAAGCCACCGTTCCCGCACGTCCCCGAGAAAACACCGCTCCTCATAGGCTTCACCCAGAACTGGCCGCTTCTCCTCCAATGCGTCAGTAGCTACATAGCCGCGGGCTGGCCCGCGGGCGACATCTACGTCATTGAGAACACGGGCACATTCCGCGCCAACAAGCAGCATCAGCTCTCGCTGCAGAACCCATTCTTCATGAACCACACAAGCCTTGCAACCCTGGGGGTAAACATCATCTCCACGCCGACTCTGCTGAGTTTCTCGCAGCTGCAGAACTTCTATCTCTACGTGGCCCAACAGCGCAGCTGGGAGCATTTCTTCTGGAGCCACCAGGACGTCATTGTCTTTTCGGACGAGGACGTCAAGAGGAAGGACCGTGATCATGACTGGGACCGCGATCCGTACGCGACAATATACGAGCGCGCAGTTGGCCTATTGCGGTATCTCAATGGTCCTGAGATGCCGCCGTGGTCAACCCATTTCTTTGCCTACGACCTGTTCACTCTCGTCAACCGCGATGCCTACCTCGAAGTGGGTGGCTGGGACACGCACATCCCCTTCAAGGCTGCCGACTGCGACATGTATCTCAGACTCCATTGGGCTGGATTCTGGCAGCCACAGAGCGAGGCGGGCTTGGTGTACGAAGTCGACGCGGTCCTGACGGATATTGGGGCGCTGTTCCACATCCCCGGAGCCCACGCCACTTTCGAGGAGGACCCCGTGTTCGCGCCACTGAAGACGCTGAAGGAAGACGAGGAGCCGGACTCTGCACAGCTGCAGCAGGAAATCGACATGAAGCCGTGGGTGGCCAAGCATGGCGAGACATGGTTCCATCTTGTCGAAGTCGTCGAAAGAATGGCCGAGGCCAAGGAGAACAACACGCGCTATCAACTCACAAGACAAGCGGGTGGGGCTGGAGAACCATTTTACAGAGATCCCGAAGGCTTCGAGGTTGGGATCCAAGCCCTGACGACTACCGGCAAAGCCGTGTTCGCGGACAAGTGGGGACACCGAGGCTGCGACCTCCTCGACATTGGCATCGACGATAAAGATGCATGGAGACTGATGCGCGACTGGGACGTGAGCAAGAGCCCCGGGTCGGAAGGCGGGAACTGGGGCAAGCAGTGGATGACGACTCCGGAGGAAGACCGGGCCGCGCACTGAGTTGCGGCCCCTTGCAGTCAGCGACACAATACTTCCCGTGCCGATCTTGCCACTCCAGTTTCCCATCTTACTGGTCTTGGGGCCGTCTCGATCTTTTCAAGGTCTCGTAATAGTCCTTCTTCTTTCAACATTTCGCTTCACATCAAAGGCATCCGGGGTTAGCACATTTGTTCAGTTATGGGTTAGGCGTTCTTTCCATTGATGAAGATGCTCGGCGAACCATTTCGTGTAGAGAAAGCCGGTTTGGCAAGGTTTCAACAGAGCATTGGCAGAGCGAGTGTATCGTCTTGGCGGGGTTTTTTTTTCTTGCACGACTAGTAGGTAGCAGCGGAGTTGTGACGGACGACGGGATGGCAGAAATACAACGTGATATGGTCATGGTCAGCCATGCAGACAAAGGGAGAATCAGAGCACATATTTTTATTTACGATGGGGCAGATGACATTGTCTAAATCAAACTCATTTACAAATTGTGGAAAAGTATTGTTTTATCATGGGGATTCGTGACCCGAGGCCGCGTCCAGGATGGCCATCACATGCTTCCCAACCTCCTGTCCCTCTGTTGAAGCTACCATAGTACTCCAACTCGTGCCGCGTTTTGTGACTCCACATGGCTTTCCCCGCACCCCCCTGAACAGCGTGCGTTTGTGTGTGCCTGGACGAAGCGGAGCCCGCGGGGAGTTCGTCCTGTGCAGAGACGGGAGGTTATCTCCAACGCTGTGCAGCTTTCTTTGCTTGCTCAGCCGTCGGGGCACATTCTCTCCCCTCAAGATTGTCCTCAGCTTTCGGGAGCTCCCCACAGTCTTGCTTATGTCTCGGCGACATCTGTGATTCTAGAAATTTATCCTCTGCTGATAAGAAGCCCATCTTGCCCAGATAGATTGTGTCGGGGCCAGCCAGCCAGCCCGCCGTTTGTTTGCCACCCTTTTTTATCTTACGCCTCGGGTGGATCTGCTGCAAGGCACGGCTTTACTTCCTCTTCAGCTTCATCTTGCCTCGGTTCATCTGGCAGAGTAGTTTGGCTCGCCACTACAAACACGGGGGGGAAGAAGAAGAAGAAGACGCCTTGCACTACTTGGAGACAGCCATAATACGGACATCTCTCCCACCGAGAGTAGACAGAGACGACTCCAATACCAGCCGGCTCAAACACACACACACACACAGGGACTACTCCTTGAGCAGCAGCAGCAGACGACGACGAGATGGCGGCCAAGCAGCGCTTCGCCGGCTACCCGATTGCCCGCGAGGGCCCGGAGACGCCGTACGCGGTGGTCGACGAGAAGAACCCCGTGCTCCGCGGGTGGTTGCTCGTTGTGGCGGCCAACCTGTGAGTTGAATTCCCCGTATCTCCCGACACACAGTTTCACCCAAAATGTCCTCTCCTGCTTCTTCCTCGTCAATTCTGCGTGTCTGGCAACCGCCCGGCTAATTCGGGGGGGATAAACATCAGCGCGACGCGCTTCCCGGCCCTGGCAAAGGCCGCGTGGGCGAATGCCAAGTTTGGCGACATCAAGGACATCCCAGGCCTCCTGGAATACGACTATCGCATGTCGTCGGCCGTCACGCCTCTTGGCAGCGGTGACGATGACGACGACGATGCGACGGCCATGGCCAGGCTTGAGATTGGGCCGGAGCTCACAGCGCGCCAGTCCGAGACCCTGCCGGGCCGGTTCTTGTCGGCGGCCGACTATCACGAGCTCTACAAGTCTGGTGCTGTGACACCGCTGCAGGTCGCAGAGGCGCTGCTGCCCCTCATCTCCCGCGGCCAGAGCCCGCCTGCGAAATACGAGTCTGCGTGGTCCGTCACCAATAAGACGCTCGTGATGGAGGCGGCAGCGGCATCGACCCGGCGGTTTGCCGACGGCAAGCCACTGGGCGTGCTGGATGGCGTGCCCGTGGGCGTCAAGGACGACTGTGACGTCGAGGGCTATGTCAGCCACATTGGCCTGCAGTACGACGCGGCACATCCTCAATTCCAGCCGGCAAAGAAGACGGCGTGGCCTGTCCAGCAGCTCCAGGCCGCCGGCGCGCTCATGATTGGCAAGCTGGCGATGCACGAGCTGGGCTCCGACGTGACGGGCTGCAACCCGCGCTGGGGCACACCCGTCAACTGGAACAACCCGGGCTACTATCCGGGTGGCTCGTCTTCGGGCGGCGGCTCCGCGCTGAGCGCCGGGCTGATCCCCATCGCCGTCGGAACGGACGCGGGCGGCAGCATCCGCATCCCGTCGTCGTTCTGCGGGCAGTACGGCCTCAAGCCCTCGCTGCACCGCACAATCACGATGAAGTCGGCCGTGTGCGTCATGGGTCCCATGGCCGCCACGGCATCAGACCTGCGCATTGCCTACCGCTCCATGGTGGCGCCGAATCCAGAGGACGCGGTCCAGCGCGCCTTTGCGACCTCCCTCCCTCCCGCAAAGTCTGCAAAGAAATCCATTGGCATCTACACCGAGTGGTTCGACCGTGCGAGCCCCGTCGTGCGCGAGACCCTTCGCAAAGCAATCGCATATCTGCAGGCAAAGCTCGGCTACGAGGTGGTCGAGATCCGCATCCCGTACCTACACGAGGCACAGCTCGCGCACGCGGCGTGGACACTAACCGAAGCGCTCGACCACCAGCGCACCCGCACGGCCAAACCGAGCGACTGCCTCGGCATCGTGAACCACTGCAACCAGGTCCTCCTGTCCGTGGGCGCGTCCACGGCCGGCGTCGACCTGGTCAAGTACTCGCAGCTACGCGAGCTGCTGATGCAGCACCTGGCCTTCCTCTATCAGAAGTACCCAGGCCTGCTGATCGTCACGCCCACCGTCCCGGACGCCGGGTGGAAGATCCAGCCTGGCGACGAAGCGTATGGCTTTAGCGATGGCGACAAGACGAATCGGGCAATGATGTACGTCTGGCTCGCCAACTCGACGGGTTGTCCCGCCGTGAGCTGCCCTGTCGGATACGACGAGGCAGTGGAGGGCGGGAAGGTGCCGATCGGACTGATGGCGACTGGCGAGTGGGGTGCCGAGGAGCAGCTACTGGACTTTGCGGCCGAGGCGGAGGAATACCTGAACGCGGTGTATCCTGGTGGGAGGAGTCGCCCGGAGGCGTGGGTCGATGTGCTTGCGCTTGCTGCTGGCAAGGCAGGGAAGGGCGGTGATGCGGCTAGTGAAGAATGAGCCCCAACAGAACGTCTCGAGCGGATGAGCAGCATGCAATTTTCCTCTCATTTGTCTGTCTTTGGAGTCCAAAGCAGGCATCCTATCTCCTCACACTGAACGCTTGTCTTCCTTGTAGTCCACCTCCCAATATGTGTGTGCCAAGTTAGGCCTATCAGCACTAGAACATCCTGGTCGTGGATCATGACCGAGTAGATGAGGACAGCACGTCTGTGCCTCGGTCCGACCAGTCACACTTCGGCATGGGTCGTCAGTCAGATTCGAGCCTGGACGCCTCTTGCCCTGGATACGGAACCATCGGACATTTTTTTCGTCTGCCGGTAATCTTCGGCAAATTTCTGACACCTTTCATCCTTGTCCCGGATGTGCATGCTAGCAGGCTTTTGCCCCTTGTGGTTGCCATATCGACTCGACGGTGCCTTGTTCGGCCAGGGGTCCAATCTGTATGGCGTCCAGATGGCCTGCGAGACATGGGTGTCTGCATACCAAGTGGATGTTGCAGCTGAAAAGTGTGAGGGCGCCAAGGGAGATCTGCTGCAGGGATCCAGGCCTGGGCCAGGGGGCGACGTGGAAGATTGTTTCTGCACGCCTATGGCTGGACGGCTGTCTGGTGTGTCGCTGCGTGTCCATTGAGGCTCTCTACCATTTGGGACCCTGTGCATCGCCGAGAGGACGACGTATGAATTTGTTGCGCCCTCTCGGCTCGGTTCCACGGTTCGTCTGCCAAGCTCTCTCGGCCGACCGCTGCGCCACGTTGCCTTCTGTGCTTTCTTCCTCGTTCTCCGCCGGAGGGAATATCTTGTGGCTTGCAGTGGCTGCGTCTAGTCTGCGCCGCACATGCACGAGACTAACAGCTACCCCGGTCATGTAGAGAGCCCCATCTGTGGATATGACTCTGACAAGGAAGAATCGACGTTTCGTGGATTGTACAAGTTGGCGCTGGGGTTCCCGCATCCGTGGGCTTGGGCGAGTGAGTGGGCGTGCTTTATTCGCGCGGTGGGCCGCTACTCGCACATCACCAGTCGCGCCAGACGGCACGACAAGCCCACTAGTGTGGTTTCTCGGATTCGGCATGTACCGTGTGGTGAGTGTCGGGCCGCGTGTCGGGCAGGGTCATCGTTCCTCCCAGGGAGAGAAGGGGGCGTTCATGCTGTGCCGCATTGAGCTGCGATCTCCTCAGCAGAAGAGGTGTTGAAGTAATCCATAGGCGAGCTCCAGATCATCACGTAGCCGTGGATCATATGAAGGGACGGGGCAGGTTGTCGCACGGACGGACTACCCTAGGGTAGTGCATCCTTCCGTCTGGAGCGTCACCCAGGTCGCGGCTGCCTCAGCTCATCATCTGTGGGTTGTTGTTGTGGTCCGTTTGCTCATTGCAGGCCGCCATGTCAGGGTTGGTCCATCTGCATTTCCCACGTGTCGCTACGCCTTCCTCCGGCCCCCATGCATTTCACTTCGCCAGATGCTACTCGTGTGCACGACTTGCGCCGACTTTCCCAGGGGTGCGGCTTGCCCTGGCCCTGTTGTCTACCCCGGCACAGCATTTGGCAGAAACACCCGAAGCCTGAGGATCGGGGTGGTGAACCAGGGGGCCCATGTGGAGGAGGCTAGGGTGCCTCGGGACCACACCGAGGAATACAACCCTGGAGAGATGGTGGAACAAGACGACACAACCACCACCGGACCATATTCAAGACGAGCGAGCCTGCAGCGCTCTGGCTCAGCACTAATGTCCGCGGCCGCACCGTTAACGCCAGCAAACCACCAATCCCATGGCGCACCGAGCTAGATTGCACGCAGCCACAAATTCGCAAGTCCCCCGAGGCAGCCACGTGGCGAGGAACACCGTCGGATGCCGGGGCTGCTCTGCTAATCTCCCGAGTTGTTGCGCCTGCTTCTGGAAGCCTTCCGGGACTGCTTCTGCGGCGTCGGGCTGCCGCGTCGCACATTGCCCCCGTCGTGCTTGGCGAGCACGCGGCCTCACCGGTTGTGGCGCAACAGACCTTGACTCGCAAGGTGGTCGACGACAACACTATCGACGCTCAGACAGCTGCTATCGCGTAGGAATGCGCACGCATACCTCGCTTGGTATCAGTTCTCCTCTGCTGCTATGACGGCGAGCTTCGTGCTCGGGTCAGGAGCTGACACACCCTAAACGGGCCATCAAACTTAACCCTCCCAGGAGCATATGGTAACAGAGACTTCCGGTCGCTCACTTGCAGCGAGCGTCTCTGGAGATCTCGCCTGTTTCACGTGCTCCAAGAAGTGTGTCGTCGTGGTCTCACATGGCTATTTAAGACTAGATCCTCGCGTAATGCGGACGAAGCGTGAGCGGCTCGACTGCCCCAAGCAGGTTCGCGCGCACACTAGTGACGACTAAGCGCCTGAAGGATGATACGATGGCAGCGAGTCGTGCCCGAAGTCGCCCCGCTAGCACTGGTTCTGAGACTTCTCTAGCGGCTTCCAGTTCTTCTCTCGCTTAAGCTCTTGTCCCGCTTAAGCCTGGCGGTGCAAGCTGTTACTTCGGCATGGACACTGCGTTCTGCCTCACACGACTTCGTGCCCAAACTCTCACCTAAGCAACTCGGCCAGGCCGCAGGCTGTACATTTCAGAGATGAGGATGGTACTTTGTTTTTTGCAGGAGGGTGATGAGCAGTTCAAGCTGAGGAAGCCCACGAGAACACGAGCAGGCTCGGGAGATCGTCGTGGCTCTCCACGCCAGTGATCTGCAGTCCCATCAGTCACGCCGCAAGCTGTGCCGCTTGGGGCTATTCTCCGGCACTCCATCCGGGCTTTGAGAGCAGCATCAGGCTAGCCTAGGCTCAGTGTCTCATCATCTCAATACTCTGGCGCCGGAGCAGGCCCCTTTCCCTGCCACGCCGAGTGTGGTCGGACCTCCTGTTCCCTCAGCCCAACCTGGCAAGCCACGTTCTTGGGCTCCACAGGCACAGGTCTGACAGGCTGGATTGTGATCTCTACCCGTTCAATCTGAACCATCAGAAGAAGTCCATGCACTACCAAGCGCAGTACGGCTAGCTTCGATCTCGCCCACCCCTTGGGCGCTACTTTTCTTGCCGCTTTCAGCCCAGGCACGCGCAATAGAAGCTGGCATGTATGGCCTTCGATTACTGGACCGGCGAATATTAGCCTAGGGTCGTTGCCACATGGAACTTCTTGCCTTCTTGCTTTTTTGACCTTTCCTGTCTTTTGTCGTCCGCCAGCCTCCTCACTGTGCTATTCAACCTATTTTCGACAAGAGGACGAACAATGAGCGGACAATACCCCCCCGAAGCGCTTGGAAGCGCAGTCGGAGTGCTCATATACTCGTTCCTGAGTCTCGCGTGCTGCATCTTATCCCTATGGCTCGTGTCTGTCCACGCCGAGAAGACGAGTTGTAAGTGATTGTCCTTGCAGACGCGATTCGCACCAGCGACGCAAAAGGCTGACCACCCGCCAAATATAGATGTCGGCCTCTTGGCTTTTTCAGTCTTCCTCGGCACTTCAGCCAGTATTGCACAGCAACTTCACGGCATCATAAGCTGGGAAGATGTCAAATGGGACCAACACCGATTTGCTATCGAAAATGCTGGCTCGCCACAGCTTATCGTCTCTGGACAATCACAAGGACTGGACCTAGGGCTGTTCTATATCCGTACGTTCCATGGGCATAACGACGCTCTCTGTGTCCACATTCACGACCAATACCGATGAGCACTTCACTAATAACCTCGTAGAGGCGTATAGCTACAATGTCTGTGCGCTGCTGTCTCTTTCTTGGTAAGTCAATGTTGCCCTCTGAATCTTGTGTTCCTGCAAGAGATTAAGCTGACATTCCCTCAGGGCTTCTACTCTGGCCCAGTCTATTCTTGGCTTTTCCGATGTGGACAGGTTTACAAGATTCGTCAAGCACTCAACAATCTCCACAAAGGTCTTTGCGTGGGTGTTCCCACCCATCATGTTGAGCCTGCTTGCTGCGCCGCCCATTCAAAAGTCCACTGTGGCATTCCTGGTCGTTTTTGACTTCTGCAGTAAGTCGATGTCCACAGCATTGAATGAGTCGATCCCAATAACTCCACTGACAATGTGGCCCTGCGCCAACACAGTGCTCGGGGGTCTGGCCTTGACGTCTTTCCTTCTGGCATTCATCCTCGGCAAATACATCTACACGCGACGAAAGCTCTTGTCCTGGAATCCATATGCCCGCCCTGTTCAAGCCACTGGCCAGTCGTCCATCTATGATCGCTGGCTTCTGATGCGCTTCACCATTGCTTTCTTTGTCTTGAGCGCCTACGAAATTGTCACAGTCCTGTTCCAGGCCAGCCACGCAGCGAGTACTAAGGACGCCGCCAGCATCGGCTCCGAGCCAGATCTATCTGCAGCGCGAGCATTCGGCGAGAATCTTGTCTACCTACCCGGAGTGTCATCGGGCTTCCTGGTCTTCGTCGTCTTCGGCACCACCAAGACCTTCCGAACAACCATGTACCAGACTTTTGTGCCGAAACGTTTCCAAAAGGTGGAGCGCAAGACGAACCAGTCAGCCTATGGCAGTGCGTCTGCGACGATGCATACGAGCCGTAATGGTGGCGTTGATGGCGTGCAGGTCACGTCGACATTCTATGTAGAGAGTCAGAAGAGCAATGCTGCGCGTAGCGAGGAGGCGATTGAACTGGGCGACACCACGGCTGACGACGATATACATCACCACTACCGGTCAAGGCTGCGTCAGCAAGGAAAGGAGGCGGATGAGCGGCCCATATTGGAGCACACGACTCAGGTTTCGGTACGACACCCGTGAGATTCCTTCTCCGGCACATTTATGAGGGCTCTTGATGGATGGATTATTGTAGGCGGGTGCCATTATTTTGCTTGGTGCATGGGCGTTGTTATCTTGAGGGTTTTGAAACACCTTGAACTAGAACACAGAATTCTCGCGAATATACCCTTTTCACACAGACAGAAGCCTGGTCCGTCGTCATTCACCAGGGACAACCACAACGGCAAGCACGGTTTAGCTCGGTGATTGTGGTGGCAAGCCTGCCACCGACTAACTGAATTTTGAGGGTCCACCGCCCTCTCGGCTGGTCGAGTTTCCGCTCGGAGGCCTTTATTTCGGATCGAATTATAAAGCCAGGCATGCAGTCGGCTTTGGCGCTGTTGGGACCTAAACCCGTGGAAACCAAAACCGACTACCCTGTCTTCGAAGACGTGCGACGACAGGATTCTATCTCAGGCCGCACACCCGGCTCGGTTCCAGCAGAAGAAAGAAACGCCTTCACTGTGGGGCACTTACGAAGTGTTGCAACTCTACACCGTGGTTTTTGCCAGTTCGGTTGGCCTGTGAGAAAGCCGTTTATAAAGAACGACGAAATGTGATGATCCCTGAGTCCCCCAAAGAAAAGAAGCAGGAAAAAGAACCTGCACGCTGGATGGACCCGGGACAACAGCGCTTGGGGGGTTTCGTAGAAGTTCTGGGCGGAACCAATTGACTGGGCATTGCCGAGGTTTTTTGTTACCTACGCGCTCTTACTTGGGTGTTTTGGCGCTACTACTACTATTTCCTGCTGCATGACCATTGAGCGCGAGTCTTTGGGCCCAGGCGAAGTCCTCGTTTTGTGTGTTGCGCCAGCCAAGAGCTGCAGTGTCGTCGGTGTCCTGCCTTGCAATCCAGTTGCGGCAGACACGCAGGGTTGCCAAGTGCAACGACGATATATATCCCCGTGGGGTGGCTGATGGATGATGATCGGCGTGTGTGTGTGTGTGGGGGGGGGGGGGGGGGAACAACCCCGGGGATCTGGATTTGCGGAGAAGGAACCATAATTACGCTCGCCGAGTGCTCTCCGGCTTACACCTCGGGCGCCAATGCAGCGATTCCCCGAGTTCAAAGAAGAAGCGGGAGCAAAGCTTCGTTTTTTCCTCTTTTCCTTTGCTGCAGCCCCTCGAACTTGGTCGTGCTTGGGGATACAACAGAAGGCAAGTGTCGTTGTTGTTTGCAGTTTCTTGCGCGTCTTCACACACCTTCCACCACGTTACGGATTAAGCTCATTGCGAGTCCAGGATGTTACAACTATTCTTCCCTCCTCATAAAGCAATTCTTTGGAAATGGGCGGTCTTCCAATGCTGTCAAGAGCACACGAGCCTCAGACGGCAAAGAACCATACAAACACCACCGCGCCGTACCACCACTGTGCAAAAAGGCCTCTCTCTCACTTTCTCCCAGCACCGGGACTAGGGAGGGCTCTTAGGCTAAATGGGCGCTGCCCGACTGGTGGCATTGCGTCGATCCCACCACTCAAGACCGGCATTCCCAATCCTGTCAGTCAGATGCGCAAAAGCTCCCCCCCGGAAACCAGCAGGGATTCTCCAGATGGAGCTTCCCGTACCCCAGCCTCTTCCCTGAACCAGTCGTATGTTATCCCCCACAGATTTACTTGGACGACCACACGGAACAGTGCGGGGAGGCCAGGGTGAACTAGTCTCGACCTCTTCGCCCAAAGGAAGAAAGGGCTGCCGGCGCGCAGAGCCTGGTTGAATGCATGTGTGAGGCACAGGTCAGGTAGTCCAACCGGCAGGATTTGGGACTAGCACACAATATGGTGGCCAGTGTATCTGCATATATATTTAAGAGTGCCCCTGCGTGACCACTTGCCCGGGATACGATCCTCAAGCTGCGGATACAAGTTCCAGCCAGATCCTACCCAAGTTGCTCAGCCGGACAAGGCTCTGTCCACTTTCCCCCAGGAACGGAATAGCAACAAGAACAACCCATCATGGCGGACAGGCACAATCTGAGCACGGCCCAAAAGGTCGCCGACACGGTCCTCGAGGAGAAGCTGGGCCACAGCGCGCTCTACGAGGCCAAGCAGGCGACTGATGATGAGCACGCCCAGACCTTTCTCCAAGCGCTCCGCGAGAACCGCAAAGCCGCTCTCTGGTCCATCGCCATCTCCATGGCCATCATTATGGAGGGCTACGACACCATCCTGATCGGAAACTTCATGGCTTACCCGGAGTTCCAACAGAAGTTTGGCCAGTACTATCCAGGTCTCAACCGCTGGGAGGTCCCCGCGTCCTGGCAGTCCGGGCTCAACATGGGCAGTACTGTCGGTGCCATCTTCGGCGGGTTGATCAACGGGTATCTCATTTCCCGTTTCGGTTACCGCTGGGTGCTCATTGGTGCCATGGGTTGTCTGAATGCCTTCATCTTTGTCGTCTTCTTCGCCAAGGACAATGCCATGCTGCTCGGTGGCCAGATCCTCTGCGGTCTATCCTGGGGTGTCTTTGCTACGCTATGCCCGTCATATGCTAGTGAAGTCTGCCCCACAAACCTGCGTGTATGTCGACAACAGATCGCACGATGTATCTGCTGATGTATACCCGGAGGCTAACAAGCTTTGTCTGACAGGGCTACCTGACGACTTATGTCAACCTGTGCTGGGCGATTGGCCAGCTTCTTGCCACTGGTGTCCTCCGCGGCTGCCTGAGCATCCCAGGCGAGATGGGCTACAAGGTCCCCTTTGCGATTCAATGGGTACGTCTGCGCGCAAAGAACTGACCTTGACGGACATTTTGCCTGACAAAGACTTTGCGCATGACAGCTATGGCCCCTTCCCCTCATGATAGTGGCCTACCTTGCCCCCGAGAGCCCCTGGTACCTCGTACGAGTGGACCGCATCGAAGACGCGCGTCGGTCCATTGCCCGGCTGAGCGGCGACAAGACGCAAGAGCAGATGAACAACCAGTTGGCCATGATGATGCACACGGTCAAGCTGGAGTCGGAGGCGACCAAGGGCGGGTCGTACCTCGACTGCTTCAAGGGGACCAACCTGCGACGCACCGAGATTGTATGCTTTACGTTCATGGGCCAGATCCTGTCGGGGAGCAGCTTTGCGTACACGCCGACCTACTTCTTCACGAGTGCGGGCATGCCCACGGTGAGGGCATTTGACTTGAGCCTTGGTGCCAAGGGGATGGCGTTCCTCGGGACTTGTCTGTAAGTGCACCCGACCCAACGGAGTCACGATGGTTGTACCCAAAGTTGACCTGGCATGTTAACTCGTCGTACCTTGTAGGTCGTGGTTCCTGATTACCTATTTCGGACGGCGGACCATCTATGTATCAGGCATGGGCGTCCTCGCGCTGCTGCTGTTCCTCGTTGGCGTCTTGAATGTGTCTGCGGGGCAGAACGCCCTGTGGCCATCTGGCGGGCTATGCGTGGCCTGGCTGTTTGTCTACTCGCTGACCATTGGCCCTCTCGCTGTAAGTGATGTCCAGAGACCAGGCCAGATCACAAGACGACTTGTAATGACATTCTGACGCGCGTCCTGCTAGTACTCGATCACTTCTGAGACGTCGTCGGTCCGGCTGCGGCCGCTGTCGGTGGTGCTGGCGCGGGTGGCGTACCAACTGATCAACATTGTGTCGCAGGTGCTGTCGCCGTATATGGTGAACCCGACGGCGTGGAACTGGAGCGGCAAGACGGGCTTCTTCTGGGCGGGCACGGCGGCGTGCATGTTTGTGTGGGCGTACTTCCGGCTGCCCGAGATCAAGGGCCGCACCTACGAGGAGCTGGACATACTGTTTGAGAACCGCGTGCCGGCACGCAAGTTTGCGAGCACGCACGTGGATGCGTATGCGTCGAGTGCGGCGCTGGCGCCGGGGGTGGGCGAGCGCGATGTGCACACGGCGACTTACAAGGAGTGAAGGCAGGGAGCAAAGGATGATGATGATGACGACGATGATGATGTATCATGGATGCGGTCGAGGCGACGGAAGGCTACTCAGCGGCCTCAGGCCAAGATTTGTGTGTATAAGTGCTGGCTGGTGGGGCACACCTAAACACAAGTACTTTGGATTTTGGTGGTGCCTGTCGAGATCCGAAAATGGCAGGCACGCAGTAACTACCGCAAAGACCGGCGCCATGATGGACAGACACTGCGTCTCCAGTCTCTGGATGCAGGGTGACTTGTTTTTGCTTTGACCAGGGTAGACGTGTCGTGGCAGCGGTCACCGAGTGTGCGTGGTCTTCCGCTCGGCCACTGATTTTGACGGCGGGTGGATCTGGCTCGGGGCGGGCAGGCAGGCAGCCACGGCCCGCCCCGTTTCCACTTCCCTGGACGACTCGCAATGGATTCCCCGGCTCCAGGATGACACACAATAATGATGATGCAGAGATGCCCATCGCCGTGTTGTAGACACGGGCCTGGCCTGGACCTTGTGCCAGCGGCTGCCCCGTGCACCCTCTTCACCCACTCACTCACCGTCTCCGTCTTCTTTTCTTGAGTGAGCTGGCGGGCATCTCCCAGCCTGTCCCTTCCATTCTCTTCCCACTTTGCTGTGAGGATCAAGACGCACGCCGTCAACATCATGGAGCCGCAAGAGACGCAGTTCAGCACCGGTGCCGGCGGAGACGGCCCAGGCACGCCCGGCCCGGCCGCAGCACGCAATGGCTACGGGACGAGCACCTCGCTTGGCCGCCAGGGCTTCTCGGCGGACCACAGAATTGCCGCCATCATGGCCGACAGCCTCAGGAACAACCGCGAAAACGTCAAGACCGCCACGGCCAGGGCAGTCGGCCCTGACCTGCTGCGCGGCCTGCTCATGCTGCTCATGGCCATGGACCACACCGTCGGCGCCATCAACTCGTGGCCCCACGCCCAGGGCTCCCTCATCGAGCTCGACGGCATCCCCATCACCCGCTGGAACCGTCCCATCGGTTATGCCATCCGCACAATGACCCATCTCTGTGCCCCGGGCTTCTTCTTCCTCCTCGGCATGGGCACCGTCTATTTCGGCCGCTCCCGCTCCCGACTCGGCTGGTCCGCCTTCGCCGTGACGCGCCACTTTGTCATCCGAGCCAGCGTGCTCACAGTCTTGACAGTGCTGATGGGCATGGCCATGGGTTTCGGTACCATCTGGTTCCTCAACGTCGTCCTCTTCGCGCTCGGCTTTGACTATCTTGTCGTTGGCTTGCTCTGGCTTCTCTTTAGCAAGACGGAGCCTGCTCTTGCGAGTACCGTCACCAAAGCGGCCCGTCTGGCCTGGGGGAAAAAGGACAACCAAAATGTCGAGAGCCACGCTAGTGCAGATGATGAAGCCCTCCGCCCCCTGTTGCCCTCGTTGCAGCGACAACACTCTCCTTCAAGGGAGAATGGGTCACTGGACGCACCAGGGGCGAGGACCTCGTACCACATCCATAACTTGCTCATTCTAGTCCTCGTCGGCGTGACCATTTGGTGGAACATCTGGCTGTCACCTAATGGCGGGCGGTGCATCTCGACCAACTCCGATGGGTCGCTAGACACGCAGCCTTTCCCCAAGACTGGCAGTGGCTTCATTGATTTCTGGTTCCACGTCTACGTCACAGATCGTGTCATCTCGATATTCCCAGCCATGGGCTGGCTCTCATTCGCCATAGCTGGTCTGCTTTACGCAAGGCTTGTGCTCCATCCTGCGGCCACACCTGCTCGCATCCGCAGCGGCACGCTTGTGGCGTCTCTGGTGCTCGCTGTCGTGTTTGTACTCACACGCCTGCTTCACTTCGGCAACTTATCTGAAGACTGCTTCTTCACCCCGGACCAAGGCATTTCAGACATCGGCCACCCGAGACACGGGAACCAATACCTCGCCTCGCCACAGGCGTTCTTCTATCTGACAAAGTATCCGCCAGACGTCGCCTTCTTCGCTTACACCCTGTCGGTGAACCTGCTTTTTCTCACTGCTCTGGACTGCGTCCCGCGCGTATACCTCCCAAAGACCAGCCCCCCGAGTATCACAGATTCCGCAGCGTCAGACGGCACCGCCGGTGCTCGGCGAGCCTTGGCCAAGGCCTTCACCACGCTCCTCACCGTGCTTCTGACATTCGGCAACTCTGCCCTCTTCTTCTACATTGTCCACCAGTTTGTCGTGTACGGCGCTGGCTCGATCCTGACAAAGCTGTTCGGTCGCGAAGTCCCTGGCGAGAAGAACCCTCTCGATGGGCAGCCCCTGATTGCCATACAGAGCATTTGGGCATTCTGGGGCGTCTGGCTTCTTGTCATAGTCATCATGTTCCCGTTATGCAGGTGGTACGCGCGCTTCAAGAGTACCAAGAGTGTTGACTCGGTGTGGCGGTTCTTCTAACGATGTGGATCATTGAGATGATAAGACGATAGCATGAAAGGCATGATTCGCGACTTTATAAAGCAGATTGTAATTTCAGCAGCAGCAGAAGACTATGTAGAGACGAGGTCTCCACATGGAGCGGGATTCCGCGGTTGAAAAGAACCATAGCTTTTGGCACATGTGAAAACCTCCCATTGCTGCTCGGTTCGTTTAACTCTCACTTCCACGTGGAGGACGATCGAGAAACCATCGTGGCATGGCACGCGCACACACACATACACACACACACACACACACACACTCACCCACTCACGAAACAAAACATGAGAAAAATCTTGAAGAGCATCGCCGCCACACGCAACGGTTCTTGATGGAGAGACTCTATGTCCCACATCCTCCGCCCCCGTCCAGCCAAGTCCAGACCGGGCAACCCCCAGTGCTCCTGTTCTGCGTCTCTCCTTCAGTCCTCTCTCATTATTCCCTCGTCCGGCCCTCCTCGGTAGGGTTTATTTGGGATATTTGTTTTCCCTCTAGTAGTAAAGATCCGATTGTGCTGGACCTCCTCGAATTAATGGTACATGTTTGATACAACAGAGGATATCTCTTGTCTTCCTGGGTGCGAACAATATGCTCTGCTAAATCTGCCAATAAATCGTACACGGCCCATTGCGCGACCTGAAATGTTTTATATTCGTCGCACCCCTCCAAATAGACCCCGGCCATCATCACCGCGGCAACATCCAAGCCACTGGGGAGTAGAATATTGGGGGTGGCTCCGAGAGGAGCCGACCGACCGCGCGAAAAAGAGTGATCATCTATTCTGCTCCCGCCGCCGTGGGCCCCTTGGAGAACGTAATATCGTACAGATACCCAGCGACGCCGAGCACCGCGACAAGGCTCTTGGCCACAAACACGGCCACGACGACGGCCGCCGCGGCCGCGACCCGGACGCACATGACGGTGGCCACGAGCAAGGGGTCCGCGTGCAGCAACGCCCCGCCAAGCATCGCGAGGGTCATGGTCGGAGGTGCAGGAGCCATGGCACCCCAGCCCGGCTGTGAAGAAGAGTCGCCGGTGGGGATGGAGACCCCCAGGGCGGCCGCTAGTCAATGGATCTCGAGTAGTCGCCGGTTCTTGGCGAGTAGCTGCCGCAGCTTCTTGTCAATGGCATCGTGCTGCTTCTTGGCCGAAGCCCAGACCGTCTCGGCCTCATCGACGCTCATCAGCGGTGTCGAGCCGATCGCTGGGGACGGACCGCCGGGCGCGCCAGGCAACGGTGGGATCCCGCCGGGCCCGGCGACACCAAGAGGGTCGTCGTACGGGCTGCCACCACTGCCGCCCTGGTAGTCACCGGGGCCGAAGTCGTCGCCGGGCCGCACGCCGAACATGCGGCGCAGGTCATCGCTGTCCGCGGACGGCGGATAGATCCATGGCGCAAGCTGCTGCAGGTTCACGTTCTTGGTGAAGTTGGCATTAGGCCCCATGGACTTGTAGTTGCCAAGATTTAGCGACGGCAGGACGTGCTGGTTGATGCAGCTGATGGCTTCTTCACGGTGCATCTTGCCCACGGGATCGCTGGGGTAATTATCAGGCCCGGCCGGGAAGAAGGACGGTGTTCCATTGGGCACAGCCCGGTTCTTAACCAGGCTGAAGCCGCTTGCGGGAGCGTATCTCGGCGCCGCAAACGCCGTCGGCAGGGCGCTGTCTGCGCGCAGGCGGTCTTGCAGCTCCAGGAAACGGTCCGCCTCCTGCTGGGAAAGGTTGAGAAGGCAGTCGCCGTTGGGAGTGAGCAGGACTGTTTGGTTGTTGACGATTTTCCGCACGGGCTGGAAGGCGTTAAGCCGCTCTTCGTCTTCCTTGGTGATGATTGACTTGAGGTTAGGTGGCGCGGTGACAGGGGCATTGGGTGTAGGCTCGGTGCGCTGGAGAAAGCCCTGGATAGACTTGAACAGGCTGATATTCTCGACGGCTGGAATTTTGCGGTCTTCAGCAAGCTTTTGCAGCACATCAGAGATGCTGGGGATCTCGCCAAGGTCTTCCTCAATTGGCTGCTCGTTCTTAACCTCGGGCGCATGAGTCACATAATCGGGAGTAAGGACGGTAGTCTTGGTTGACTCGTTCAACCGGATCGAAGTATCGACCTGGGCGGGGCTCTTGGGCTGGGGGGGCACCTCTTTGCCCTTGGTTTCTTTGGCTTTAGCTGGCGAGGCGGGAGCTGCAGCAGGTTTAACCTCCGCTGCCGTCTTCGATGATGACAACCCTTCTGTATTCTGCAAGTTACCGCCTTGCGATGCCGATGTATCCTTCTTCTGGTCCAGAGGTGTTTGCGGCCTTGTGGAGCCGGTACTCTGCGGTATGACTTTCTTGTCCTTCTTCTGCTTCTTCTTTCTGCCAAGAATGGGAGCGATCTCGACCTCTGTCTCCACGGGCTTGGTTTCGGCAATATCCGCAACCGCCTTCTTGGAAGCTTCCTTGCGCTCCTTGCGCTGCTGGCTCTTTGTTGTAGTGCGGACAGCCGCAGCACCAATTCTGGAGGCAGGGGGCGGAGAGCTTGTCCGCGAGGCGGAGACAGAGGCACTGATGACAGAGGCTGTCTCCGAGTTAAGCTCGGTGGCAGGAGTGGCAGGAGTGGCAGGGCGGCTGTTTGGACCGCCGATTCCAGCGGCACGAATGGATGCCAGCGCCGCAGGAGGGATGGCTGGCGGCGTCTCTGTCTTGGGAGTCTGGACGAGACGCAGAGTCTTGGGTGCAGCCCTCGCAAGGGGTGACGAGATGGTCGCGGTTGAAAGGGTCGGTGTCGAGATTGCAGAGGGCACAGCAGACGACGGTTGAGACTTCGGTTTTGGCGAGCTTCCTGGCGCACTGGCTTCTGGGACCTTATCGTCGTTCTTTATATCAGCCGGCGTGGCTGCACCTTTGGTAGCTGCAGCAATGTCGAGCGTGTTCAGCGCAGGACGTTCGACCAATTCGGACGGCGCAGCAGCTGACTGGCCCTTGTTAGCCTTTGCCGGGTCTGCATTCCTCTTCTTCTTCTCTGGAGTGCCTCGGCTGACGTCCTGAACCTTGCCCGAGACTGCCTTGGTCTTGAGTGGTGAGGCGGTCTTGACAGAGCCCAGCGTGGGGAAGTCTTCCTCCTGGAGCATGGTGCTCGGCTTGGCCTCTTTCACCGCCTGTGCTGCAATGTCCGAAGACAGCCCGCTCTTTGCTGCCAGCTCCTTGATCGTCTTCTTGGCCGAGCTGCCTGCAGATGGTTTGCTGAGCGTCTCCACTGCAAGCGGCGTCGTGCTTCGCAAGGGCGTTGCCACGAGTGGTGTCGCGGGGCGTGTCTGTGGTTGTGTTTTCGCCGCTTTGTCGTTTTGGGCTTGCGAGGCTGGCGTCTGACTTCTCTCCACCATGGAAAGCAGAGGGTGAAGTTGTGGTAGATCGAACCCAGGCGGAATGATTGGTGTCGTTGTCCCGGCAGGCTTTAGGGACAGAGGCGGATCAAATGCGAATTGGTCATCGTCAGACACGAGCGCGTCGATCGAGGTTATTGCCTCGCCAAAGGACAGGTCGTCGTCGTCTGCTATGAGCTGATGTTAGCTCTGCATGCGCAACGCGAGTTTTACAAGGAATGTCAAAACAACTGAAAGCAAACGGGTTATTCACGCGACACCAGCCATCCGTCGTCTTCCACATTGTACATGATACCGGTGCTATACTGAGGGTATAGATGCTATATTGAGGCTGGCCGTTGGTTGGCGCTTGCGTTTCGCGTTAATGTACATGATGCTCTCGTGGAAGACGACCATGGCCTGCCTGCCGGCCTGAAGTAAACCGTGGCTGGGCAATGCTTGAGAAGAAAGACTGAAACGCCAAAGGATCAAGAGCCCGGAAACCTGCAGGTGTCACAAAGACACCGGAGAGGAAGCCTGCTGGGCCTCGGCGACGTGCAGGTTCCGACCCGTCCTAGGTCATGCTTCTGCAATGCTCGCTAAAATCACACTCCCTCCAGGTTGGCGAGAAACCCCTCCTTTCAACCCGCGGCAATATTACCGATGCGGCGATGTGCCTCATGCGCTGTGCGACAACGAAAGAAAACCAATGGGAAGAGAAATAAAATCAGGACAGAAACAAGCGTTGCCCACGCTCCCTATGCATTTGTTTTCCTTGGCGAGGCTACCATCGGTTGTTGTATCCGCCGCCGCTGCCGCCACCGCCACCGCCGCCATACATCATGTTGGGATTGTACCCACCTTGAGACTGACCCCCAAAAAGCCCGTGTCCAACTCCGGCGGCGTTGCCCTGTTGCTGATGCTGCATTCTCGCCTGCAGGATACTCGGGTCCGCAAGATCTACTAAGCCACTCCCCCCAGAGGAGGAAGTGTTAGCATGTCTGTGCTTCTTCCCCTTCTTCTTCTGCTTTGGTCCGAAGTCTTGGAATGCTACCGGTTGAGAACCGTACAGCGATGCCAACGGGTTGCCCGAAGCAGGAGCAGGAGCAAGGGTAGAGGAGGAAGAGGAACTTGGGAACTGATTCGGAAAAGAAGAGAAGTACTCACGCTTTCCAGCGTCATGCGCAGGCGTGCTGCCCGAAGTCCGGCCTCGATTCAAAAGTTGAAGTAGGTTCGACTTGTCCGCAAGCGAAGCCGCGTCGTTGAAGGCTGATCCGCCAAAAGCGTGCCCTTGGCCAAACATGCCACCGACAGGGGGGGTTCCGGTTGATTTCAGCCCCGGAGGCGGGCCGGGGATGGAGGTGCTGTAGAACTGACTGCCAGGTTGCGCACGAAAGGATGACGGCATCATCGACGACTGTTGAGCCATAATCCGGGGATCGGTCGCGAGGTTGACCTTTGTGGAGTTGGAAGTGCCCTCATTGGCGAAGCTGTATCGCGAATGTCCCCGTGAGTGGCCTTGTCCCTGAAACAGAGACGACTGCTGGGTAGCAATGCCAGGCGGCATCTGATCAACAAAGCTCCCCCTGGCTTGGAGAAACTGCTGGGGGGTCATGGAACGACCTCCCACGGAGCCGCTGGGCGTGGAGCTTTGGCCATAGCCGATAGCTGGGCTGAAAATCCCTTCGGTGCTATTGCGCTGGATTGGAGGCTGTGTCGTGTTGCGCCTCTGGCCAAAAGCACCGTCGCGACTTGGCTCTCTGTCCTCAGGTTCTCCTCCAAGCGCCAAGCTGCCACTCTCAGGCTCCTCCTCGGAAGGCTCTACTTGATTGGTTGGTTCTTCTTGCTCGGTTGAGCGGTTCTCCTCCTCGACGCGCAGTGCTCTACGTCGCTGGCCGCCGTGGATGTCGAAAAGTGGTGGGAAGACGTCCTCAGCCTCTTTGGGTGGCGCGAAAGCATCCGCCGGACACGCCGCAAGAATTTTGAGAACGATGCTAAAGTCAAAAGCGTCGGACTTGGGCTTCGGAGCGGGAGGCTTCTCTGCGTTTTTGTTGGCTTTGGACTTGGTCGAAGGTGCAGGTTGCTTCTCTGTCTTGCGGCTTGTCGACGGCTCTGGTAGCGGGGGGTGCTCTGGATCCTCGCGGACGGACTCGGTTGTCGCGGGCAACGATTGCGATATAGCTGGACTAGCCGCAGTGGCACTGGTCGCATGGCTGCCACGCCGGCTGCGCTGTTGTGTACTCCGAGCCCAGCTTGCCGTTGCTGGCAGAGCAGGGCCATCACCTGAATCAGAACCATCTTTGCTATTAGAGCGTGCCATAGGTTGAGAGCCAACAGTGGCGGCTTGCAGAAGAGGTGCTGCTTGTCGTGAAGCGGAACGTGAAGAGGAGGAAGCTGCCGTCGAGAGCGGACGCTGGGTACCGACACTATTCAGGGACGAGAGGTCCTGTCTCGTGTAGCTGTCTTCCTCGTCGCCGAGCTCGTGGAGGAACATGCACTGACGGTTGCCACACTGCTCGTGACGCAACCAGGCCGAGCAATATTTCGTTGTGCCGAGCTGGGCTTTGAGGACGCGGTCGCCATTTTGCGAACCGTTTACGGCCTGTATGCATCGAGCGGCGTCCTCTTTCCTCTCAAAGGTCACGTAGATCCCAAGAGACTGAGGCTGTCCCTCTGCAGATTTGCGATTCGATATGGAAATCTTTTGGATGTTGCCGTACTGGCCGAAGAACTCGGGTTTCCGTAACGTCTTGAGGAGCTCGTCTTCGCGGACAGTCGGTGTCAGACCGGTCACATAAACCAGGTTCTTTTGAACAACACGAACGCCAACGAGATTCTTTCGGTTCTCCTTTTCGGCTTCGCGTTTCTGGACTTCCTTTTGTCGTTGCTCGGTAGCTCGCTTCTTCTGGTTCTTTTGTATGTTCAATCTGAACTCAGCCTCCCTGCAAGTCCATGTCAGTCGATTTCTCTCACGCACAGCTGGCGGACCAAGAACCAGTCCCAGGTGTTGTGGCGTGACTTACTCTTCCTGCGTGACGACCTTCCATTGTATGGTCTTTTCGTCATAAGGTCGGCGGCAGGCAGGGCACAAGCCGTTCAGATTGTTCTTCAAGTTGTTGAAGCAAAACTGACAGATCTGTACGCAGTAGTGTCAGAATGCAGAGGAACAGCAGCGCATTAGAAGTCTGGGGAGTTCCGATGGCGTACCTGGTAGCCGCAAGGACATGGTCGGAAGTTCCTGTCGGACAGATCAAATTCTTCGATGCAAAGAGGACTGACAGGCAGTCAGTACACGTGGCTTGCATAGACAAAACAGCACGGAAATCTGATTATGCTGGTGGTTTGAGGTCACACGTACCATGTGTCGTCCTCATCGTCGATGAAGGAGTCTTGAGGCGCCATGGTGACGGGTGTGATGTTTGAGCACAGAGCCAGACAGACGACCGAAGCTCGCACGTGTGCCTATGCCGTGGAGGTAGGGTGACGAGGTCTCAGCGTCGTGAACGGGAAGCTGGAGCGCGTTGGTGATCGAGATCCTGTCGTGCGGTCGGTAAAAGGATGGCCGACAGCGGGAAAAGGGCGGACGGCGGCGTGAGTCTGGATGGACGGCTTGACGACGGGCACAAGGCTGCGCAGAGGACTGGGAATAGCCGTGCTGTGCGGGCTGCTGGTTGTGGTGATCGGGTGGTGGGAGGGAAGCTGTGAAAGCAAGGAGTTCAAGGTGTGCAGGTTTCGAGGTCTGGCAGCCACGGGTCAAAGTATGAGGCAGGCCACTTTCAGCGGCAGGTCAGGTGCAGGTGGGCCCCAGGAGGAAGAATCAATCGAAGGCCATAGACTGGCGGGCGAGTCGGGGCCGGCACAGGGCGGGAGCGGCCTGACGGGGCAGCAGGAGCTGGCCGGCAGGCCTGACTGAGCGCGCCACGCCACAGCAGCACCACCACCAGCCTCAGGCAGGCGGGATATGTCAGCCACACAAAGGCCTTTGGTCATCTCTGGACCATCGGCAGGGCCACCTGACATGCATGTTGCCTTCACCTTGTATCCCAGTTGAGCGGTCTGTAGCTGCTTCATTTCGCCCAGTATCTTGCATATCTATTCGTGTTTCTCGAGCATGATGCGTGCATGTTCGTCTCGAGTACACGTGCTCTTGGCCGCCCAGGTGCCAGCACCTTGCTCTCGTCGATCTCCAGTATTTGTGGGGACAGAGTCAGAGGTACTTGCAGCGGCCATAAAAACATGCATGCGGCACAAGTATCCCCTCGTCATCCCGCCATCAAGCGTCAACGACTGCCGCAGCTCGCCCCCCACAGCCAATCAGCAGCCACTAATTGTTTGACCTGACCCGTGGAGCAGAGCGTCGCCGAATCTTGTCTCGACGTCAACCAACTTCTTGCTGCTGAACCACGGCGACGACATCAGCAACGCTGCGATTGCCAACCCCTCCAATTGGCCGTCCACGCATCATGGCCAGCAAGCTCTCTCGCACCCGGGCCCTGGCCACCGCCCTGCGGCCTGCGCGGCCCGCCGTCCAGGCGTCTCGCGATCTCCAGTTTGTCCGCTGCATCGCCAGCACCGCCAGTCGCAGCGAGGTCGCCATGCCCAACGACGTCTCCAACATGCGCCACGCCCCTCGCGACCACCCCAAGAAGCTCGAGGCGCCCATTGTCAACCCGGCCGACAAGTTCCAGTCCAAGGCCGACAACCTCCACCGCTACGGCGCTTGGCTCATGTCTTGCCTGCCCAAATATGTCCAGCAGTTCTCCGTCTGGAAGGACGAGCTCGTCATCTACATCCCTCCGACTGGAGTGATCCCTGTCTTCTCCTTCCTCAAGTGTAGGTCCATCTGTCTAGCACACGGCGTGTGAGCAAGGTCGTGTTGTGGGCCACCAAGTGCTGACGAGTTCTTTGCTGCCATCATCAGACAACACTGCTGCCGAGTTTACTTTCGTCAGCAACGTCACAGCAGTCGACTTCCCCACCAAGGACCAGCGTTTCGAAATCGTCTACAACCTGCTCAGCGTGAGGCATAACTCCAGAATCCGCGTCAAGACCTACGCCGATGAGGCGACTCCCGTCCCCAGCATCACCCCTCTCTTCGACGGCGCAAACTGGTACGAGCGCGAGGTGTACGACATGTTTGGCGTTTTCTTCACTGGCCACCCTGATCTTCGCCGGATCATGACCGACTACGGCTTCGAGGGCCACCCATTGCGGAAGGACTTCCCTCTCACTGGCTACACCGAGATCCGATACGACGAGGAGAAGAAGCGCATCGTCACCGAGCCTCTCGAGCTCACACAGGCCTTCCGCAACTTTGAAGGCGGCTCCACTGCCTGGGAGCCTGTCGGCCCTGGTACCGATCGGAAGCCTGAGTCATTCAAGCTACCGACACCAAAGCCTGAGGAGAAGACCGAGGAGCAGAAGAAATGAGCGCAGCACAACAAATGAGAACATGTACATAATTCCTTAGTTCAAGGCACACGATGTAAGGTGGAGACCAGGCCATCGAGTCGCTAGGTAACTATTGAGCTTTTGATGGCGTATACAGAAGGCTCGAGAGAGAATCAAGACCGCGCAGGCACAAGCCCTTCGCTATGGCTTATTATCTTACATGTGTTTTTGATTGTGGAATTGACCCGAAACTGTTCTTGGGCAGAAGATATCGGTGGACAGTCAGTGACCTTTCTGCCTGGGTTTCGGCCTCTTTCGACGCTGTGTGAGAGACCGCGGAAAGCTGAAACGTGCGTTCCGTCGCGTCTTGGCCTAGGTTAATTGTCATGGCCAGCTGAATGGCGGTCGGAGAGCAACCCGTGCCGGCCGTCGCGGGAGCCTTCGGTGGATTTCTCTGAAAGAGCTGAACCAGGCCGCTTTATACCATGGATGTGCTTCACGGACAGTGCCCGCACGAAACGAACAGTTTTGGCTCCCAGACTCTGTTGCACCATTTTGTTCTGTTATGTAAAGCCACCCACAAGCTCGAACAAGTCTGTTGTTAGTTAAAGGATCTGAGTTTCATCCATCACAGAGATTGGGAGTCGACCAGGCCGCACGGCGAGACGTTTGAGCTCTCGTTGTCTAGAAAAGTAACGACACATAGGAGCCTATCTCCGCGATGAAACGTCATCTGGTGGATCGTTCCAAGTTAACGTGTTCCCTGGTGGGCGTTTTGGGTCTTTCTGTTGTCGATTTCTCCGTAAACTCTATTGGCATGACCTATTTCCGAGAGATCTCTCGCTCACGTATAAAGTCTACTGCAGTGACATTTAACCAAAATTGACCTCATTTGATTCCCATAATCAGATGCACTGGGCTCGCCGTCCACCGCACACAGCACTTTCTATTGTTCTCATGGTACAGCTTCGGGTTAACTATCATACCCATCATTCTCTCAACAAGCACATTAAGTGGCCATCAAATATTCGAGTTCAGTTCCAAAGGCAAAGTTCTGCCGCCAATTTCGAAGCAGATAAGAAAACAACAAACACCGCCATGTGCGACGTCGGAAGCGTCAAAATGGATCACGAGCGCAACATGGCCCAGGATCTCTCTACCGTCACGACGTCTCGCATGGTCAAAGTACTCGAGATACGCTACGCCTTTCTCAGAGATCCTCACCTACCCCTTGAGGAAGACATCGAGTTCCAGGACTTCATCCGCTTGCAAGCCCACAAGATGGTCCCCACTCCTCAAACAGCCTCGACCGGCAGCACCAGGAGCAAGAGCCCACAAACTGACCGGGTGTATGAGACCTCTTCGGGATCTCAGAAGCGCAAGCCATTCAGCATTACAAAGTTTATGAAGACTGTTCTCCGCCGTCTTCATCGACTCTCCTCACTGTCACCCAACACGCCGATGTGCTCGTCACCATAATCATACCAAGGCTCGATATGGGCTTAAGGGGGCTCGTCAAAGCGACAGTGCCGCAACAACGGCGTCAGCTCAAAACCATCAAGGTCGATCAATCGCAAAATCGATGCTGGAAGCTCAATGGGAGGAGTAGCCCACCTTCTGGAGCGCTGCAGTCTCACCCAAACCAAGCTGGACTCAACACACGACACAACCAGAATACAGCCACCAATTTGAGAAATCCATGCTCAGCATGCCAACAAAACTCATGAGCTGCGTCCCACCATGCATAACGAAGCCTGGAACAGTTCGACCGTGACCAGACAAGGGCGAGGCTTCGACGTCACACAACACAATGGCCATGGTCGAAACAGCACTTCCACCATCACCACGACCAACGCAACAATATTCGGGACAATCTTGAGCGAGATGGCAGTGCCGTATAATTACCAATGGGAGGAGGAGAACCGCACCCAGCCACATGCACGCGAGACGGAAGAGAGCTCAGATCTAGCCCGAGATCAAATGATCGCCTATTCGAAGACAACTTACGCATACCCCTCTGAGCGTAACAAGATACAAGCGCGGGTCGACAAGTGCCACCGGCACCAACTACACAAAATACATACCAAGTTTATGATCCTGGGCTGAAGAATACTATTTGGGCACAAGCAGGCAATTCCCACTCGGTTGAATCCCGGACGATGGAATATTCATGACTCTACGAACTCACATCTAGACCGGCGCTCGAGAGCGGGTAACTCGAACACGTGACGCCGTTCGTCGGGGTTCAATACATCAGACAATTGGGTAGGACGGAGCGTGAGGGAATACAAGGGGCAGCGATATGCACACTTGCATGATATGCGTGATTGGTCATGTCAATTACGCAATGAAACGCACAGCTACTGGGGATAAAATACACTACATGAGACAAAACATAAGGGTTTTCCGCGATGCAACTTTGTGAATCATGGCATCAATTCTTTTCGAGAGGTTCAAGCGTCATCTATTTCTTACTCAGAAATTCCATTGTTCTTGATGTGTAAATGTCCCATACTTGGTCTGTTCTTATTGACCAAGTTCGGTAGCCATACTAAAAAGAAGCCACATCGCAGAGAAATGGATTTTATTACAAATGTCACGCAACAAAAACTATCATGCCCCTTTGGAAGGCATGAATAAATAAAACGGAAGACCTCCGCATCTACATTTAGTCCATGTCAGGGAGTTTCCAATACCAACATTGACTCCACGAGTTTGCCACGATTTAAACCACATGCACACATATTCCTGTCCTGTGGAGAGATTCCCGTGATCAGACACCTTATCTGCATAACTCTGTCAGAGAGCACAGAACGAGTGGCTTTTCATTGCCCATTAGCAATCAACGGTACGTTGATGCTTCTTGTAGCTTTATTGGGACTCTTGAAGACTTGGAGCATGTACTTCGTAACCTGACTTGGCCACACCCCCGTGTCCCCAAAGAACACCACCTGGTGGCAAGGATTACTCTGTCGGAAACATGGCTGCGCTCGTCACAGCTTCACATTCAGACTGACTTGGAAAGGCAGAGCTATTGCAACAGACTTGAAAGTCGGCAGTCACTTATCATCCTCTAGATAGTACCTGTCTTTCTTAAGTCGCAGGCTGACTGCTCGTCACCTAGTCACCGAGGCAGGTAGATGGGTTTGATAACTCTGGGACTGGCATTTACAACCTCGCAGGGATGGCTCTCTTGTCTTACTCTACATCTTTCTTGTGCACTGCTGCCGATCGCCGCCGAGCACAGTCCAATGACCTTTGCAATCAGAGCCGCTCTGCCCCGTCATTGAAAACACAAAGCGTACTCCTCCGGGTACTACCAGGTTGGGTGTTTCGTCGAACAAATTGACAGCTCCACGGCGCGCAAGAAGGTAAAAAATCAATATCTACTTTATACAGCCACAAGGCGCCTCTCCACAGCGCGCAGAAAAATCAATTTGCAGGCGAGATGTCATCATGATCGGAAACAAGGGAACGGCTAAAACTCAAGAAAACCCCGCCACGCGCAGAAAAGAAAAATCCCAGCAAAAAAAGGGCAACACCAGCATTGAACATGACAGCATCACAATGCGAACAAGACCACATGTCGAGACTCGTGAAACGCATTAGCCACAATCTTCCAATTGGGGAAAACGTCATCAGCAATTCAAGTATATTAAACAACCCCGCGTTGGAACAAAACCCGCCGGGCGCAAAAACACAAGTCTAGAAGCAGCGATATATTACAAGATAAACAAGTGTGGCCGCAGTCTGTCCGCATTGACAACTAACGGCGCCTCCCGCCTTTCCAATTAATTGAATCTGCGAGGCTGTCACTAATGCCATACGCTGCGAACCTGCGCATTTAATGCCCGCAGGAAAGCACCGGCGTCTGAGATATATATGCGACCCGGAGGTCTGGGACCTGTCTCGTGGGGTGTATCTATTCACACAAGGTATTGTGGGAACAAAGTTTGACGTTGGTGCTGTTCCCGCATCCGCGCATTGACAGATTTGACAACCACGGACGAAAACACCCTCGTGGATATCTCCCCGTTGTCACAAAGCGCCACAATAGTGCTCAGACCTGCGACCAAGACCTCCGCAAGGCACAGCATGCGCACTTGACACAGGCACCCGCTGCAGCGTCGCCCGGAGACAACAGCCCAAGCGCGGCGAGATGAGACGAGAGACAGAGCCGCATTGAGGGGAAGGGGGGTCAGAGCAAAAGGCAGAGACAAAAATCAGGGTCGTCCGTCTGGTGAAACATCAACCGTGCGCCCGGAACCGTGGCTGCGCAAAAAGAGGTTGTTTACCCTCACGAGGCTGACGGGGCGGAGGATGCGGCTTCTCTCCTGTGCCATGAATTCAAGCTTAGTGGCGTGTTCCAGCCAATGCTGCGAAACCATGAGCCTATGGCAACAAACAGGTTGGTCACATGAGCGATGGCCGCAAATCATTGCTGGTGCGCTTGGCGGCGAAGCTGACGTGGCATCGAGTTCCACGGTGGTAAAGGTCTTCTGGATTGGCCAAGTAACGCTCGCAACTCTACCCCAGCCATGCCAAAACATGGCACATGGCCTGTCAGATCATGTCTCGGTATGCCAAGGTCCTCTGGCCTCACCGACGCAGCACACGGCACGGCAGCCTGGTCCCTTGGGCGAACACCTCGCAGGAAACCGAGGAACTATCCCCGCGTCTTGCATGCATAAGTAGCCAAGCCGGTGGCAAGGTTGTTGCACGCGTCATGAACATGCGTATCTGTGCCGTGGTCGGTCCACTCGTTTGATGGAGGATGCCATGTTGAGGTGTGCGGGACAGACGGGCGGGCCACGCGCTGTGTCAATCAAGTTCTCTCCAGGACGGACGCACGGCGGCCGCAACCGAGCCACCATTACTTTGTGAACATCGAAATCACCCGCACAACCAGCTCCATGAGCTAGCAAGCCTCTATCTCTTCTGAGTCGATGTCTGCCTGCCCCAGCCCATGCCGAGTCAGGTGGGCGCATTTCGGAAGGAGATAGCTGACAGCAGCTACCTTGGCCGCAGGCTGCTTCATGCTCCTCGGGCTGAAAGGTGGTACGACGGCTTGGATGGGCGAAGCTAGCACAGAAGGTCCCTTCCCAGCATAGAATGAATTGGTCTG